ACCCTAACCCTAACCCTAACCCTAACCCTAACCCTAACCCTAACCCTAACCCTAACCCTAACCCTAACCCTAACCCTAACCCTAACCCTAACCCTCATCGCTAACATCCCCAGTGTGTTCCTCCCATTGTCAGTAGCCTCCATGCTCGTGGTGACCTGCAATGATGACATAGATTGCCCTTACAACCAGGTAAGTTTTGCGTACTAGATTCCAACCCAGGATATAATGCTAATCAGTATCTTTCATCTACAGTGGTGTGACACAGACATTGATGAGGGCACTGTATGCTAAGAATTACCTTACATATCTCTTTATCTAGAATGAGGGAACCAGTGGCCTGCACTGATTAACCTGCCTGGTGTTCTTCTTCCGTGTTCAGGTCATGGTATGTGTGATGAAAATGAGTGGGCGGGGTGGTAAAATAATAAGAGGAGCTTATACTTAAGGCTCTTTACATTCTGCTTTATTTATGCAGAACTACAGTTAATTAGTAACCTAATCCTTAATATGATCCCATATTTCAACGAACATAACCATACCAAGCATAGAGCGTATGTGAATAACACTGACATGGAGTCGATGCTGTAAGCGGACTTGAAGTTGAAATAGTATACCCATGGCACCTTGATAATAGAATAAGGTAAACTATAATAAATTTACACAGAGACATGATTCTGGAAGTGAATCATTTATTAGATAATATTTGCACACATCAATTTCTCTGAATTCATGGTGGAGTGACTAAAACCGATATATATGAAACTCTATGCTTACAATCACTAAGACCTGATCAAATAATATCAAAATTATACTTAATGGGGATCTTAATCCATGCAATTAATTGAGTTGATTGGTGAATGAGATATTCAATGAAAAATGGTTGACTATAGAGGGTGCTCATCAGGTTAACTAAGGCTGTGGATAGCCAACCTAACATCAGAAAATTCCCATCATAGTCTGGTTCCTAACTCATAAAAATTGCTGGGTATAGCAGTTCACTTTTCCATAGGAAGACGTGTGAAAGAGGATAGAACACTATATATTTATATATATATTTATACTGCTTAACGGCTCTTCGCCCAGACATTACTCGTTTAAAATAAATTCTTCTGCCCCCTTTCTATCTCGAGAAGAAGTAGAAAGACTACTATGCTATACTCTATTATCTATTTTTAAATAATACACTAGAGGGATATTATAGTACAGTATCACCCTATTAATAACTAGTAAGATTTTAAGTATGGCTAGTAGATAGGATTTAGGTCTAGATAGATTAATTTAGGTTATAATTAATTAGCCTTATTATAATAGATTAAGTAGTAGTAGTTAGGAAGGTATTGGGTATAAATTAAGGGTATAAGTATAAGAAGAGATTAGATAGTAGTCTAAAAGTATAGAAATATACCCTAGATTATATAGTAATAATTATATATATATATATTCAAAGATTGAAGTTTACCCTAATGCTTTCCTTATCCATTAATCTTTCCATTCAATGCAGCATCTACCACTCCATCAAATCCAATCACTTTACTATATAAGTGATTTCAGTTGACCTTTTTTTTCCATGTCATTTCAGCGCATCGGCGTGCATAGTTTGCGGAGAGCGCGTCACTAGTATTCAATATATTCCGCTCGGTAGTGGATTACGTTAGTCCGCTTTAGTAACTACAAGTAATGGCAAAAACGGCGAAATGAAATATTATCGTACATGACCTATAACGCCATGTACGGGTGGTCCGTTGGTAGCTGGAATGTTACATTTGATGAAAGCCAAATCATCCAAACAAGAGCTGGGGTGGGGATGGCAAGCTGTCATTTTCCCTACCCTGAACATCCAAGTGACAATCAGAACCAGACACATGAAATGTGATTTATAATGATTTGCTGACTTGCAGACTACTAATGAACCCCCTCGTCACTATACTCAGCCTGTCAGCCACAGCTTCCTCCCACTTGGTGCTCTATGGTACTCTGCTGTTGCAAGACGATTATGCTAACTACCGACCTAAAATGGCTAATCTATGGGAACGGCGCCCTTGTATACCCCCTATCCCAGTTACTTTAGTTGTGACTGCATGCCATCCGTAAATCTGTCCCTCACCGGACCCCGAAGAAATATTTGGTGAATGCTCATCTTCCTTGTATGAAACGCGAGCAACCAAGTTAGATTTATGCAAGTTGGAAGAGCGGGACGATGGCAGAACAACTGATCGACAACCACCGACCTGTATTCACTATCAGATCGAATGGAGGGTAACTCTAACTAATATGGTGGTGGTGAAGGAAATGGAAAATACCTGGCTCTGCCCCACAGTTCCTACTGGCAGCTGATTACGGAGACCGCTAGAAACATTCTACTTCGGAAGATAGCCCTGTAAAGGCTATATCGCAACACCAGGGGTTGTTCGCGTTAATCACCTGTCTTTTCTCAAGGTAAGGTTCAGTGCAAGGGCCATGATATCCTAGTTCGCGACGAAGACCAGAATATATTCAAAGCTCATGCTGGGAAGAGCAGCCAGATATCAAAATCAATGATAATCAGTACTTTTAATAGGTTCAGCTGATAGAAAGAGGTTTCATCCCTTCGTGTATTTTTCTCGGGAAGCTCCTTAAGAAGGCCTTAAAGTGAATTGACCCAGCAGGTAGTGCGATCTGGAATGTGGTAATGGGTAAAGTGAGTTTCCAGCTCCCATGATTCTAGATGGTCAGATGGTCAGTGGAACGACAAGGCGATCATTTTATTACATTAAGAGACTAATGGTCTTGCTAGCACCAGAACATATCTTCCTTGGATCCTGATTTAGACACTGGTGTATAGGAGTTACTGTACTTTTATTTTAATTTGAGATCTATTGGTTGGCTGAGCCTCTTAGTGTCTTAAACGCAGCCGTTCTTTGATATAACAGAATGGTAAACGCAGCCACCAACATAATGAACAACTAGGATTCGGCGCTTGGAGTCATTCTTATTATCAGCCCTTCGTACAGTATTAAATTCGCATTGGTATTGTGATATGATAACACTATTCTGTTCATTTTAGGACTACTTTGTTCAATTATCTTCGGTCAATTACTGATACCTTCTGCCCTGCCAACGTTCCATCAACCTCCGCCACAATGCCAGCCTTGTTTCACCGAGACTTTGACCTCTCACCCCCCAAATGGGAGTTTTCAGATCAGTGGACTAATCCAAGTGATATATTCACCGCGCTTCTCATCCTGGGTGGTGATGGCGTTGAGGTGGCCAAAGCTGTCGACAGCTTGTTGGGCGTGGCTTTGTCCCAGTTGCTTTTTCGATCGGTATGTAGCATGCCTAAAAGATGGAGTCTTCTGTGCACACTTGAGGCTACGATTTTTTACAGCCTTTAAGTTGTGTTGACAGTAATACACTTTGCGGCTTCTGAGATGGGTCGCCTTCGCAGTTAAGTCTGCTCTGTCTGCTCTCGCGGGCAACAACCTCATGCCCTCAGCAGATTCCGAGTGCATCATCATTAATGGCAAAAGCGGGTACGTCCAAAAGAATACAAACTAAATAGTACGGTCGCCTTCGGCGGATTTCAACAGGTGGATGGAACCTGCCGTCCGAACCCAGCTGGATGTAATGCTCGAACAAAAATTCGAGCTCGAGAAGACCCGTGCGGAGAGGAAGGTTCGTGGATCTAGCAGTCTTTTATTAAAGCCGACCAGAGCGGGTTTGTGTGTCGCAGTTTATCAAGCAGGGCCAAATCCTAGAGGTTACACAGGCCGCGATCTTCTGTACTATTAGGGTTTGTGGTATGTATACTTCAGCTAGGCATGGCGGCCATCCCGTTTGGTGTGTTGGGCGACTGGAGCATTTTCCTCATCACTACATCCGGCACCATTCTCTCTTTCGCGACATGCAGCATCCCGAGATGGGTCCACGAGAAGTGGGCGTGCCGAGCTGGAACCCAGAAAAATATTCTTCTCACCCGTGGAAATGGCAGTCAGTTCGTCATCCTTATCCTCGGTGGAAATAAAGGGTTTGAGATCCTGTTCGCCGTTTGCGCTGTCGGAGTCTTCCAGAACATATACACCGCCATAACTTGGCGTTCCCCACAAGCATACGGAATGAAATTGACATTCAAAAAAGGCCATTGTTCACCTTAAGGTCATGGACACGCTGTTCGATGTGGAGAAAAGGTATTCATAGACCCTATGGAAGAGCAAAGATGGGATAGTCTTTGCGCTGCTGCTAGACATCGGCAAAACTTTGAACATTAATAGAACTTTCCTTTTTTTTTTTACCATTAGAAGGCCTATTAAGTTATATTCCCGGCCAACAATACGTCTAGATCTTCTCATATCACCTAAAAACTGCCAGCGCGTGTGACAGTCCTCCTGGGTTAAGACAGCCAGACTGACTTGGCAGCCACGAGGCACTCACGGGGATGTTGATGACAGGTAGTCGACGCGCAACCCGTATGCGACCGACTGCGCCCTTCCGCTGTGTGACTGTGCCTGCCAGATGAAACGGGCAGTCGAGCCTGACCGGACAGGAAGACATTGCAGGGTGGATAGCTGAGGACTCAGGAAGCTGATGGACTACCGTCTCGTCCACTATATGTAGCTAAAAGTGTCCTTTCCTCGTTCCCCTTCTACACACTTGATCCCAGTTGACCTTAGCATTTAAAATGGAATCTTCGTCTTTGGGACCGGTGCTATTCCACGAGGGGAGCAGCCCGTCTGCCTGAAGCCTATGCGCTTATCATATCCAGATTCATTGACATATATCAGCTGTTAGGAATGGAATGCGAGATAAAATGGAAATCTGCTTCGACAAATAGGCGTTGCGCTCTTTGGCCTTTTTTTTGGCCAACCTTTTTGTGTTCGGAGTGCGACTAATGCTAGATTTTGCTGCTTGGACGTAGAACTCACCCCACAGGAACACCGCCGTCTGATCTAAGATACGAGTCAGCCTTCTCGCATAGATGATCGCATAGGCTCCTAGCATAATTGGGGTGATGCTTTATGGCCGCCCATCTTTCTTAGGCGGCGCTACCAAGCAACCATATATTAGAGGAGATGCTCGGAGTCGTACGCTTGCTGCAGCCGGCAGGTATAGTTCGTAAGTTGATCTCTTCAAGGAGAATTAGGGATAGGACAGCAGATGATGGTGATGTGATGTTGGTACAGATAGTAAGTCAACCTCTCCTGGAAGATTGTATGAGATATGACAGCAGCTGACATTAATATGATGTTGGTATAGATAGTAAGTTGAATCCCTCCCAGAAAAGTATATAGAATCATTTAACAATACCCATGACATTCTTAACTCTTCATATTGACTACAATTTAAGGCTGGCTGGTCATGTTAAAAGGATACCTGCGATCCTCGAGCGTATTTTCCCCCATTATGGTATAACTTTTCTCCATCCAATGCAGAGATACTAATCATTTATTCATTATATATAGACATATCAGAAAAATATTCCAATAGATTCACAAATCAGTCTTCTCTTTAACCGAAAATTAATCAATTCAAGTTACTGCGCGAATGGTTTGATATGTGCAACAATGAGCACAATTGTTTTAAGCATGAACGCGACCTCTGGCCAGCATGGGTCATTTTAATTAGGAACATGGATTCTAATAAGCTACAACTCCAAAAATTAACACATTGTATTGACTACATAGCACTGTCACATTGCTCAGGTACACCAACTACTGAAGAGAAGGAACAGTTCTACACTACTCGGAAGAACCATGATGGCCGGTTAAAAGAGTTCAGCTATGACCTCCTCCCCATTGTATTCCAAGACGCAGTTATCGTGACTCGAGAACTCATGGTGAAATTCACTTTCAGGTCCAAATCACATTTTCTAACATACTGGTCTTACCAGCCCCACTACTAGGTAATACTTGATTGATCCTCATTTTCCTGATAAGCTCCTGTCCTCGGGCTTTCAGAGAACGATTTAATTTGTCCAAGAGCTTATCATAGACTATTCCTACCATCGTCTTTCCTATCTAACTGATAAGATTATTACATTTTACAGAATAGCTAAACATATAGTGAAGGCTTTAGTAAGTAAAGCAATATATAGTCTCCTATTACTTTCTTCCTAGGCTGCTCTTATGGAAGAAACCTAATATAAAAATAAGCCTGATTCCTTATAAAGATCTAACTGTGCCATCCTAATCCTAGTCACCTAAGTATTTGTAAGCGGCTTCGAATAAATCACTTGAGGAGGTGGTTGATATACGAATCGATTGGTAGTAAGTGATTCAACTGCTATTCACTGAGTATGCGCAAACGCGTAGATGAAGTAAGACTTTGAATAATACATATTCAAATTCATCAAGACAAATTGCTTGACCTCTACTAGGTCAATAATTCAAGCCCTATTTATATACAAGTCCCATTTGCCATCGACCGCTATTCACCCCCCTATCGCACAGGGTATTCGCGTCCACACCTTATTCTAGATCCCTCGGATCTCTGGTTTTATGGCTTGATCGTGAATATATTGAGCTCCATCACTTATCAATCTCCATGCGTGTGGCGGTTGACCAGCCGTAGATCCGAGGTTGAGCGTTGACACGGAGTTGAAGATATTCAGCCCGTGACAGTATTATCATTTCCTTACCTAGCCAATGGGTTTTTTATCCCGATAAATCGATATCTCTTACAGATTAGTATTAGTCTAATAGGATTGATACAAATCCTTCTAAATTAGGATTAGTGGATGGTGTCACGGCCACCACCACCAGGGAGCGTTCTGGCGTAGTGCTGCTGCATTACCAGCAAAAGACTAGGTATTCTACTTATTACTCAAACTCCACTCCTGTGACACACTACCAAAAATACACCTATTTTATATGGGGGAGGCTTAAAATGCAGTAAAATATAGTAAAAATACTGACTCTTACTCTACTCTTATTCTATTTAGCATGAGTTTGAGTCCTAAATCCTAACTCTACTCATGAGTCGAGTCTTAAATTCCTACTCCAACTCGACTCGTTTGACACACTATATACTAAGATGAGTCCTAAATCTTAACTTAACTTAAACTTATCTTATTACTTAAACTCTATCATTACTTCCACGTAGACTTGACTCGTGTGACACGCTATAGACAGGGATCTAACTATATTTAGTTAGTGCTATTACTTAAATGGGTTAGTCCAGTAAAAATTAGGTTTTTATAGGTAAACCCGCCCCAACCTCGCCTCAATGCATCGCTAGTAGACTTGACTCATGTGACACACTAATCTATCTATATATATTAAGAAATACTGATTCCTGTGATGTTTAGTTGTTAAACATTACCATTATTTCGCCTACTATAGAGAGACTCTAGATCAAGCATTTAACAAGTATGAACTCTTTATGAAATATAACAATTCCCTTTCAGACGCATATACACCCTTTCCCCTCTAAATTACCTCTTTGTTCTTCTCTCCAATCTCTAAATTAGGATACCCCACCCGCCTCCTACCCTCCAAAACCACATCCCTCACAAACGAATTCTGCGCCCAAAAAGCACCCTCAAAACTCATATCATACCAATAATTCACTGCACAGGCAAACCCTTCCTCCCCACTGCTCTGCTTGACTTTATGATACCACATCGCCGGCAGATAAAGCATATCTCCCTCATTCAGCGTCAAGGACAACGGCTTGCTCAAATGCGAGTATTCCGACGTCCTCTCACTTGGAACCTCCGGATCCCAAATTGCAACAGGAATAGGCTCTGGATTAATCTGCGGTTTTACCTGGAGAGTCTCGCTGTCCTGGGCGCTGACAGGCGTGTAGTGGTGCTGAGTGAGAAACTGTTCATTCGCGCATGGCATTTCAATTGGAGGGAGGAGCACAAAGTGTTTCTGCCCTCTTATTTGCACATACACATTCTCATAGTTGTCTTTGTGCATGGCTGTTACACTGCGGGCATTCCCTAGCCAGAAGTTTATGGCATCGGGAGGTTGTTGGAGGGCGATTCGCGCCCAGGGGATGTCTTGCGGCACATCGGCGAAGAGGGTGGAGTATTCAGAGCGGAGGTTGTCATTTTCTAAAGTTTGGGTTTGATGTCAGGTTTAGTTATTGGATGGGCATGAATGAGGCTACACATACGAGTTTGACCGTATTTCACATTGCGGATTTCAGGTGGTGAGGGAGGAGGGATTGAGCTGTCTGCTTGGACATAATGCATGAAGTCGAGGAAGTTTTCTTGCATTTGGTGTGGCTCGACGGCGAGGAGGGTGCCGTCTTCTGTCTCGACTACTCCGTCTGCGTTGCTGTTGACGGCTATTAGTAGGTCTCTACTGCAATGGAACTCGGTCTGGTCTTTGACTTGATTTTCACTTACCCATATGGAGTCACAGCAACCTGCACGTCTTTGTCTTTCATGACTTTGGCCAGATACTCTGCGTTCCATTCTTTATAGGCTTTCCAGGATTTGGCACCGCTCCGGACGACGAACGGTCTATTTTTAGCGACATAGCGCATGAATTCAAGTGCGGATGGCTCTTCATGGAATTCATCAATTATAGTGGCATTGAGTTCGTGATAGGTAGTTATTAGGTCGGCGATGGGGCCCTGTGCTGACATTTTGCCGGAATATACTTACGTTGAGTATCATTAGGATCTTGAGGTCTGTACATGGAGGTTGCAAGGTTTTCGTTTGTCATTCACGGCGTGGTGAAGCTAGCGGAAAAGTTCAAAGTGGAGACTCCATCATTGAGCCCCACATGTCACCACTTCCTATTTCGGAAAGGAGTATCCATGAAAACCATAATTCCGGGAGAATTTCGATACTAGCTGAGCATGCAGAAGTCACTATCTACCTGCCCAAATATAAATGGAGCAGTGGACACTGCAACAGCTAGAGATGTTTATTTTTCTGTTCTTATCTAGAGACCTGCTTTGGTTGAGTCAGAGAAACCTATCGAAAAAAGAGATGAGGAGATGTAATCTCCGGAGTGCTTTGCAGGGGCTCGTGGATATGCATTATAGGGATCTTCTGCATAACGGTAGGTAGAAATATTGCCGGGAGATGCACCCTATCACGATTCTTACCTGGCCGACTGTGGATAGACATCAAACCCAAACAATATTCTCATAGACTATGAGCAAAATAGCGAAGATGAAATTATCATCAAGAAAAGTCCAGATCTCCGATTTCGAAGATACGGTCGTCGTGCCCAAAGGCAAGTGGCTACGAGGTCCACTTTGCTTTCATACGATGAGGAGCCTTGAAAGCTGATGCCAATCGCGCTAGAAACCAGACTTCCGATGTGTTTTCATTTGGCATTGTGGTATGATGATTCCTGCTATTCTGCTGTTTTGTATATCTAACATCCATTAAGATGATATATATAATGGTCAACAAAACAGTCTTCTGTGTCGATGATGACCAGCTAAATTTGGCAGATTCGTGGCGCCATATCCTCCACCGTTCGACAAAAATACAACCGCATTATTCTGCGAACTCGAGCGGGGAGTGCCCCCGAAACAGGAGGATTATATCAAACACTGTCGGTCTATCGTCTCCACTTGGGAAGAGATTGTTGGTCATAAAGCAGAGAAAAATCTTCAAACTGTTTGGGTGATGGGTGCTTTAACTACGGCGCTTGAAGCAGGGATTGGGCGGCCTGAGATTTGTTTCTTCACTTTTTTATGCCTTAGACTGAGTATATTTATAGGGAGGTATCTATATTCCAGAGCCGGGCCTAACTACACATATCTTTGGTGGTGGCTTTAGACTGGTAAAGATGAGTAGTTGCAGGTCAACATGCCATATTTTGAAACACTCACCAGTGCTGGCGATGAATATTACATTAAGCTTATGATAGAGCTAGAATCACGCTGAGTTAGTTCCTACCAGGATGGACTAGAAAAGAAAATCGGAGGATATATTACTATCACGCTGATTCAAGATTATGTTCTATCAAAAAGCCCTTTCTTATTCTCATTCCTGCCAGTATTTATATAGAGGCAGGGCTTTATGAGATATAATAACATATAGACAATTAAAATCAGGTTATGAGATGAGAAATAGAAAGCTTGAATAATAATTCAACTAGATGCTTTCAGGATTAGGCTGGTTATGTTTCTTATATTAATAAGGTCGAAGTACAAAGCTATAAGTCATTTAACTAGCTATAAGAATAATAAAGAAGGATAGACAGAAGGGAATAAACAATATCTCTAGCAAACTATTAACTACTAAGCACTTTGATTACCTCTATAAGAGTTCCGCAACATGGATCAGAACGGGTACTTACCTCTATAAGAGTTCCCACATAGCTCTCGCTATCGTAAAAAAAGATAAACATTTTCAAGAGAGATTACTATACGCAATTACAGAACAATACATCCAATCCAGCACCAGTAGCAAAGTAGTATTTCGAAGAGAAGTCAAGGGATCTTATAAACACTGCGCAGTAAGCAGGGCGATAGTTAATATGGTTTTAATAGTAGTTAAGTATTCCGGGCCGATATTCTCTCCACGGACATTTATAAGAGGCTTAAGATAATAGAAATATATTAATAGCAGCGCACTCCAAGTTTTTTATTTAAGTATAGTAAATATAGTACTTAATTCATAGTAGAACTAATAACTAGTCTAGAAAACATTTTAAGCGAGTAATTGGAGATATATACCATATAGTCACATGTGTATATCTAAGCCATTACCTTAGTAGTCGTTCCTGCATATAGCATATCATACAGGCCCTAATAATGAGAAATTGCAGCTTATATATTCTACTACAGTGTCTAGATACCTCTAGAGTACATCCTTACAGCTATACATAACGAAGTGCAACTCTCAAGATGTCAATCCTCATTTTCTTAAACCTGTAATATGTAACAGGAGGTGCATATTCATATTGAACCCTCTGGAAGCTGATCTTCATCTAAGTCATGCGTGGGTCCCTCCCATATTCCACCATGCAAACACTCAATCTTGCGAAGTCTCTCTTGAGACTGCCATACGTACCTCTCTACCAAGCCTGACTCTGGCATTTGAGCAAAGTAGGTCCCACACAGGTTCCCGTTGTCATCCATAAGACCTGCATGCAGAGGTGCATATAGTGATTCTGTAGTGGGCTCCAGGTCTGTGGCCACAGCGTCTGTTTCACCGTCCCAGTCACGGTGCCCTAGGGTGATATCAATTCCTTGTTCAGCTGCACGTCTCTCCACATCTGCTAGATAGAAAGGATTTGAACAGTTCTGCGCGGCCAATCGCATATTACTGTTGGCATCAAGCTTGCGGTATTGCCATTCGTAGTCACAAAATATACAGGCAATAGCAATCTGCTCTTTCATTTTCGGACAATCTTCAGCTAGTTTAGAAAGAGAATTCCTGTCAGGCTTGAGGGGCCACCAGATGAGATATGGCAGATAGTTCGTGTCATTGTTGAAGCCTGTGATATCATTGATCATGATACGACGGGCGTTAATGGCTGTTGAAATTCGCCAGATCAGGTCTTGATCGCTAGAGGGTTTGCCTGACAGGATGAGACGCCTAGGATTTGTCTCCAGCTGATCGGCCCACCATCGAGCAAACATGGTGTGATGGTAAATGCCCCGGACAACACACAGCAACCCCGTCCAGGTCATTGACTGGCGCATCAGCCGAGCGTATCGATCGACGTTTCCCTCGTAGGCTGCCATCTGTATCAAGAGATCCTTTTTGAGGGTTGGGAGATCAAGCGGCAGAGGTTTGTAGAGCCACTGAGCCTCCTCATATGTGAGGTCGATACATGAATCAGGTAAATAGGACTATTCTGCATCAAGACCTCCATCCTCTTCAACATCGGGCGTCTTACGAAAGACCTCTTTTCCATTTCCTGGCGGCCTGTATCGGCCCTGAAGAGTCCACCGAACAGCCGTGTCGCCATTCAGAAATGCCGGTGCCCGTGGATTGTCGGTATTAATGGAGCGATCAAAGTCATCCATGACAGCATATTTTGCGGGCGAACCCATAATAATCGCAAAGATCTCGCGACCTCCGTCAGTGTTGCTCTCTCGTGCCTCCTTAGCTCTGGAAACATCAGGTAGCAAACCGAGTTCCTTGTAGAGAGTAACATAGCTAGCAGCAGCACAGGCCCGGCCAACTTGGTAACGCATGTCAGGAAAGCGACACGCCAGCTTCCGGTAAGTATCCTCGTCTGCAAAGTCTGGATTCCAAATGCAGTACGGCCGAGTGTTCGCATCATGTAGTCCATCTGGGATTACATTACTCATGATCAGCCGAGCGTTGTGCGCCCGGCCAATCTCAGGCGCGAATTCTTCGCCGCTGGAAGCCAGTTCCAAGATTCCTGGGCTTGTCGCCAAGTCATAGTGGCAGCGGATGCCTCGAATGAGAGAATATCGTGCGGTTAGAGAATGGAGATTGTCTGGAATCGCTTTTCCTTCCATAGCAGCGATGCACTGGTTGTAGTCGAAGGGCGGTGGGGGTGCCTCTGCGGAGAAGTCACTCTCATCGTCACTTTCGTCGTTGCCGAGAGGCCTGTTGGCCTCAGTATCGCTGGGCGAGTCACTATTGGGCATTGTTCTGGGCATTTTCCATTGGTGGGTATTCAATGGAGAAGGAGGAAGAAAGACAAAATAAAAATGAGAGCTTCTCCAAGGCAACAACTTGTTGGGCTGGGGACTAAATATAAATTATTTTTGACGCCGACAAGATAATTTGCCCCTCAGCCCCATATGGCACCCACACATGGAGTACTATGTAGTCCTGCTTGATTTGGCGGATCGCGCTGTGTCAATCCTCGAACGAAGAAAAGTGATCACGTCAAAGGAAATACAAAATTAACCCTAATCCCAACGGTTAGATTTACCATTCTTTTGCTTCTTACAATTATAACAAGTTTTGTTACGACCAGATCATTTCAGTGTCATTTGATAGAACACCTATAATAATATACTAAAAATGTTCCAGAAATATTGACTGCAAGTGATAATAGAGAGCATATGTATATAGAAGTACACACTCAGTTACATTTCAATTCCTCTGCCAGTGCATCAGGTTTAAGAGTAACCCGGGATTTGACTCTGTTCCATGAACATTGTGTTCGAAAGTGGGATTTTTAAGCATCAGCGTATCCATTCTTGGCTTTGCTTTCGGGATTCCCAAGTCCATTAACCTATGGTCATATCAGCATATATTATTGGAACTGTGTAAGCGGCCATGACATACCCATCTTGCCAACTCCTTTTTGCTCCCCAAGCCTTGGGCCTTGAGCTTATCTTTATTCGCTGAGAGAGTCGCGTCAATGTCAACCTTGTCATATTTAGGCCCAATGTCGATTGCAGATTTCTCCTTGGTTGTCTTAACAGAGCCGTCATCGCGAAGTCCAAGTCCTTTGTTTTTAGTAGGTTTTCGAAATAGCTTAGCAATATAACTTTGCGTATCCTCTTGCCGCAGAGTCACAATGTTCTGATTGATATTCTTGATGCGGTCCCAACGGTCGTTGATGGCTTCTGTAGCCTTTTCGTTGTTTCCATTCGTGCGCCAGCTGGACACTTTATTCTCGATTTTATCGACGAGCACAGTGTAGGAAGTTCGGAAGGGATCATCCTTAGTCCAGGAAGAGCCCTGGGGGGTGTGGGGTCATCTAGGTTGCTTGGGGCATTGAGCTTTTTGCCACGGAGCTCAGGGTCGATTTTCCCAGGATCGATTTCACCACCGTATTTATTTCTCAGGAGCTCCTGTGCAGCATCGTTGAGTTCGCTTGCACTCTTGGGCTCTTTTGATAACTGGGACATGTCATCATCTAATCCCTTGTTGTCAAGCCGACGCATAAACTCAGAGTAGGTAAGAGTCTGGTCCATTTCGATGTGGCCTTTATTATTTGTCGATTCCTGGCCTCTCTGTTCGTTGAATGATAATATGGATTTCTGGCCGCGGCCCTGAAGAGCCGGCCCTCGCGGTATTAGCCCAACACACGATACAAGACTGTTGCTGAACGTGTACCTACACAATGATCCGGTAGTTCTCCCATAGCCAAAGCTTTTCGAAGCAGTGAGACAAGAAGTTGCCCTCTCCCGCAGCATGCGTGAGGCAGCTGAATAGGAACAACCAGATAATGGCCAGTGACAGCACCGAAGGTCGTGTAAAAGAAGCAAACATGATGACTAGGAGTGAGATAACTAAATCTATCGAGGATAAAGGGGGGGTTGTGATATCTAGTAGAACAATAACCCTTTCATAGGATAGAAACCAAGGCCAGAACAGAGGCCCTTGTATACCACCAATTACTAACAATAACTACAAAAAAAAAAAATCTCATCCATTTCTATTTCTGGCCCCCACCGGCACAAATGTACTAATAAAATTCTGAAAATAAGTGTCTTGGCTAGATAGGGATCATGGCTCTGGAATTTGGGGATTTTGTTACGCGATTCATACATTATCGAGTCCTTATTGACTGCTAGGATTGAGTAGCGCTCTGTATAAGGCTAATTTTCTGGGACTCCTAGCTAACATTCTTGGGTCTTGAAAAGTGCCAGAAATGCAAAAAGGAAGCCAGGTATTTCAGACGTGCGACGCTGATGCCACCAATGCCCAAACGGTGGGGATTTACGCTGTTGACTCGGTGGACAAGCTTTCGGATGTCCAAGAAGCCGTCAAGGCTTGGGTTAATGGTGATTGTGTCGACATCAAGCAATCCAGAAAACAGGGAGATGTTGAACTGGGGATTCTGGTCTCCTCGATAAAGGCAAAGCGAGGCCTGCATTCTGCCCTATCTCTGGTCACTGACACACTCATTCCTCGCGCCGACTGCAAAATTATCCAGGTTTCATCTGGCGATAGCTGCGGTTCTCTGGCCAGCCGATGCGGTATTTCTGGCGACGACTTTAGCAAATACAACTCCGAGTCCAGGTTCTGCGCCAGCCTCAAACCCAAGCAGTATGCCTGCTGCTCGGCTGGATCACTTCCCGACATGACGCCCGAACCCCAGGCAGATGGCACTTGTGCTGTCCACGAAGTCCAACCCGATGATGGCTGTAATGATATTGCTGGACAAAACAGTCTCACAAAGGAGCAGATAAACACTTTCAATAAAGGTACTTGGGGATGGTCAGGCTGTGACCGACTCCAACCTGGTCAACGCATTTGCCTCAGCAAGGGCAACCCCAATGCCCAACAGCCTCTAAAATGCTGTGTGTGGACCCCAGAAGCCAGGCACCAAGGCGCCGTCTGGATCATTTACTGGATTTGATCTGGCGAAGCTCAACCAATGTCCTCTCAAAGCGTGCTGCTCCGGATGGGGATTCTGTGGCACAACTGACAATTTCTGCACCGAATCCCCAGCGGACACCGGCGCCCCAGGGGCAATTAAAAACGGTACCCAGGGCTGTATATCAAATTGTGGAACAGAAGTCGTCGGAAACGAAGAAAGACCCGAAGAGTTCAAGAAAGTCACATACTTTGAGGCTTTCAATGTGCAGCGTGAATGCCTTACAATGGATGTTACCGAACTTGCCGACCAGACTGACCACACCCATGTCCATTTCGCTTTCGCAGGACCAAATGAGGATTTTGGAATCACCTTCAAAGACGGCGTGAAGAAGCAGTTTGACAAGTTTGTCAAGATGAAGGCCTCATTCAAGAAGATTCTCTCATTTGGCGGTTGGGCTGAGTCGACGGATGAGGGCACATTCCAGCGATATCGTGATGCCGTGAAGCCAGGAAACCGGGAAAAGTTCATTGCCAACGTCATTCCTTTGATCGAGGAAAATAACCTGGACGGCATTGACTTTGACTGGGAGTATCCCGGCGCCACTGATATCCCTGGCGTCCCCGCTGGTGGAGGGGATGAGACGTCCAACTATCTGGACTTCTTGAAGCTCATCGAAAAGAAACTCGACGGAAAGTCTCTCTCAATTGCACTGCCAGCCTCGTACTGGTATCTGAAGTCATTCCCCGTCGAGATGATGGCTCATCATCTGAGCTACTTTATCTACATGACCTATGATCTCCACGGTCAATGGGGTGAGTCTGTTTCTTTCCTTTTAGTTGAACGAATAAAACTGACTTTATCACAGACTATGGAAACAGCTATGCCAATCCAGGTTGTAAAGCTGCCAATTGCCTCAGATCGCATGTCAATAAGACAGAGACGGAAGGTACCCTGGCCATGATCACCAAAGCTGGTGTGCCTGCATCCAAGATTCTGGTCGGCATCTCTAGTTATGGCCGTGGCTTTGGTATGAAGAATGCCACTTGTACTGGGCCGATGTGCAAGTTCACCGGGAGCTTCTCCAACTCCACAGCTGAAATTGGTGAATGCACCGATACCGCTGGGTACATCTCCAACGCCGAACTCAACGACATCAATGACTTTGCAGACCAGGGCATGCCTGGCTACAAGGCACGCAAGTGGCATGACGACAAATCCGACTCAGACATCATGGTGTATGGAACCGAAGGTGAAATCACGACCTGGGTGGCCTACATGAGCGATGAGACCAAGAAGAAGCGCATTGAATGGATCCGTGATCTCAACTTCGGTGGAACTACAGACTGGGCCGCCGACCTGCAGGACTGGAGCGATGGCCCTGGGGTGAGAACAAGCTCGATCTCTCCGGTCTGCCTGTTATCGGATGTGACTCATCCTCGTGGCCAACTACCCTGGAGGACCTCAGCAGCAACGTGGACTCTATTCCCGCTAATTGCCGTGGACAGGCCATCCTCAATGTTCTCCTCGGTCATCTCGATGATGCAATCACGCATTACAATAAAGCATCCAAAGGATACGATGACAAGGTACGTCTACTTTGAAGATGAGAGGCCACTGCAACAAAGCTAACAACACCCACAGTTCATGTTTTACGTCGAATGGGTCAAAGACAGCATTGACTCCTCCCTAGAAAAGTTCATGATACGCGACGGCCGCAAGTACATGGACTGTGACTGGGAGTCAAAGTGAGCCAAGGGCAGCGGTCCTTGCACCGAGGCCAATTTCAAGACAGGCGATCTTCCGCCCACAAACCAGGGCCCTCGGTCGCTGAGATACAAGATGCGAGATGAAGATGGGTTTTACAATGCTCTCTCTGCCCAGTACGGAATCGAGAAGGATTGGGTTGAATGGCAGAAGGAGCATATAATCGTGGAACCCTGCATCTGCATGCAGCAGGGCATGTGCCCGGAATGCAACACAAACAGTCTTGTGTACTACAACTATCCCCGACGGCTCAGTGACGCAAGTAAGATTGATGTGAAGAATCCAAAGGAGATTGTCAACAAGGCCATCCCCAAGACGGACGAGCTGGCCAGTGTCATGATTGAAACGTACATGGAGATGCGTTTTGGTACTCTGGATGCGGATGACAGCGATGTTGTCACAGCGCTGAGTATGCCCGTCTTCATGCTCGAGGATGCCGCCGTTCAGATTGAGAATATCAAGGAGATCGGAGAGAAGGAGAAGGAAACCAAGAAGCATGAGCTGATTATTGGCATCCTGAGCATTGTCTTTGCTGTTATTCCCTTTGCTGGCGAAGCGGCTGCGGCCGCTGTAGGTGGTGTCGCTGCCATCTCCCGCACTGCATTGATCATTGGCGAGGCAGGAAATGCAGCCATCTCCATTGCTGATATTGTGAAGAATCCAGAGTCGGCGCCATTTGCTATTCTCAACATATTAGGAAGTGCTGCTGGAATTCGTGCAAAAGGCCCGCGTAAGGCATTTGGTGAAGCGGCGGATGCAAGGAAGGCATTGAGTGCAGACAAGATGAAGCTGTTTGGAGAGGCATTCCAGCACAAGGACAGTCTGGTGCAGGGGATTATCAAGAAGTGTAGCATCTGATAGTAGATATAAAAGCCCATTGTTGGTTATACACGTGCAGAATATCTGTACTCGGATAGAATTTCTTTATACAGTATAGATTTCAGACATTACATTAATCTAAGTCAAATAACGCTTCCACCATTGCTCCTGTCGCTCAAACGACTGGTGAATGGCTTCTCGCCCAACCCATCCGTGTCCTTCGCCTTCGAATTCGACCACTTCTGCGACACGGCCTTGATCATGCATAGCATGAGCCATCATTCGGGCTTGTTCGACAGGGACCACTTGATCAGCCGTGCCCTGCAGCAGAAGTAATGGTGCTTTGATCTTTTCTGCATGACTGCACGGGCTGAGAGTGGTCAGTTTTTTCTCTCGATCCTGCTGTTCGGTCTCTCCTAATAGCAATCGGTCGACATCCTGACTTTCGAACTTGTACGAGTCTGCCTGCAAAGCTCTGACGTTGCTGATACCAAACCAACTCACTCCAGCCGCCCAAACATCCGGATATACATGAAGAGCCTGCAGGGTAGCATATCCACCGGCACTGCGGCCATACAGGCCAACGTGGGTTTCGTCAATCAATCCCCGTCCTACGAGGAAGTCAACTGCACTGACAATATCTGCAATATCGACTTCGCCCCAGTAGCCCGACAGTCGTTCCCGATAGTCACGCCCAAACCCAGTTGAACCCGTATAATTGACGGCACAAAGAGCAAAGCCACGGGAAGTCCAGTACTGTATGGTCAAGTCTAGAGCAGGCGTTGTGCATCCATTCGGACCGCCATGAGCGTAGACCAGAAGGGGTGGAAGGGTTTGACTATCAGCCACGAAGTCGGGGTTTTGAGGGGGGAAATAGAACAGATGGACGTTGCCATCACGAAGCGGTCCATGCTTCTGAGGAGCCGTAAGATGTTCTGCTTGAGAGACGTATTCGGAGGGCAGCTCAAACGATGAGATGGAAGTAAGCACTGTTTTCTGCACGTCGAAGTCGGGCAGGATTGAAACTATCGCCAGTTCTTTCGGGGTAGTGGATGAAGAGCCAACGACTGCAAATCTCGACTTGGAAACGCGATGGATGCCATTTCCCGGATTGACTAGATCCAAATATGGCAGTTCCAGTTCTCGAAATGTCAATGTTTTTGTGTCGATCAGCACGATCTTACTGGTGGCGTTGACAATGACTGCTGCTGCAATCGTGGATTCATCCAGAAATATAAATGTCGAGCACCCAAGCATCCATTCAGCGATGGCGAAATCAGCCTGTTCAAGACCTGGGATCGACAGTGAATGCAATTGACGGTCAACCAGGTTGAAGCTGTATAATTGCCAGAATCCCGTCTTGTCGCTGGCAAAATACAGTCTGCCATCCAATCCCCACTTGGGCTGCGCGATGCTTTCTTCTCGAGCCTTTCCAGCAAGTCTGGTTACATTCAGCAATGTTGCATTCTGCCATTCTCCAAAATACAGGACTGTTCCTGTCCAGGGCATATCCGGATGGGACCATTGAATCCAAGACACGTATCTTCCAGAGGGATCGAACTTGGGATGCGAGTAGAAGTGATCTCCTTCGGCAATCATTGTCTCTTCTCCAGTGAGAATATCAATAGCTACAAGCAGATTGTTCACATCATATGCTTGTGTCTCTGGGGTTGCATTGCGATGATCTTCTTTGGCTGCAAGAATCCACCGTGTATCTCGTGGATGGCAGCAGAAATCAGCATATCGTATGCCTTTGACTGCTGCACGAATCACAGTCGTTTGTCCAGAGAGAGGGTCGAGTTTGTAAACATTCTTGGAAATATCGTCGAAGAAGATAATGTGTCCATCCAGGTTGATCGCGATTGAGCCACCGCCGAGTTCCTGCACTGTCGCATGGGCACTGAATTCTTTGAGCAGAACATCTCGACGCTGGCCATTGCGATGCTCTACAATCACATATCGAGCGTTCTCAGTCGGACGGCATTCAACGGAGTAAATGGCACCGGTGGATTCCTGATTCTGTTAAAATGGCGTACTTTATCATCGACATGACTTACATTGACCACAACTTCATGGAGCGAGATGCTGCTGTCTGCCAACAACTCTGGTGTCAGTGGACTTTTCCAGTGGCCGTATGGCACAGTAGATGAAGGCATTTTTATCAATCAATAACCGTGTCGAAGAATGTTGATCAAAGCTGAGTTGAGTAAAATCTCAAGGTGGCTTGAATTAGCTCCATTGCGATGACTCACACGCTGCACTTGGACAAGCATGTTGTCAATTTGAGGATTTTGGCTGCGATATGCAAGTTGTTCTTTTTTGTTATTTATATTTTAATGCTGCCTTTGAAATCGTTAGATGCCACCTGTAATCCAATCGAAAGTGACATCTTTCAACGTCGATATATATTTGACTGTTTGTGGCTCTCCACCCGCACTATCTATGCTGTCTTCGAACACCACTTTTTAATAAATCAACGGTTTTGTATACTTATCCTCTAAGATAAATACTATAACTAAAATCAATTCCTTCGCAAATAGGCAGCGATTCTTCAGATGCCGATCGTTGCTCTTTCAGAATGAGTTTGACAAGGCTGCCGTATACGACACAGCCACGTGTACCAAAGCGTTCGTATTTAAATAGGCGCACTTTTCGTTCGATCAACACCATTGATGAAACGAAAATTGATTTCTGTCAAAATGGGAAATTCGAGTGCGGACGATAAGCCTGAAGTTCGTCCGCCCAGGAGACGAGCGCTTACAATTCCGCTGCCGGAAGACAGAGACGATATCTATATCAAAACAGTCATACCAGAACAGAAAGGACTCCTACAGAGCATTTTCCATCAGCCAAAGCCCATAATAAGCATCAAAAAAGCATCGCAGCAGACCCGCAATCAACGCCAGTCGCCGCTTTGCCGGCTGCCATACGAGCTTCGACTGTTGATCTGGCGCGAATATCTCGGGGGCCACCGATGGCACATCCGCCGGGGCAGCAAAGGCCCCCGCGGCAGCGAGTGCAATGGGGATCACACCGTCACCGAGATCAGCGTGGTTGATCGAAGTGAGTTTACAGGCCGAGTGATCCCCAGTAATTTGAACGCGGTGGGCAAGCTGCCTCTGCTGCAGTCTTGTCGCTTGATGTGAGTTGCTCCAGGGCGATGGAGGAGACGATACTGACCAGTATAGATACTCGGAGGCTATTCCAGTCCTCTACACAGAAAATCTTTTCGATTTTGAGGGATTAGATGACTTTGACTGCATGAAAGAGATGATTCCGCCTCATCGATGCAACATCATTCGCAGCGTCAAACTGAATTTATCCCTGGAACATGATATGTCGTGCAAGGATACATATAAGCAACTCCTCTTCAACTATCATTCCTGGATCGAAAGATGCTCTTCCCTAGGCAGAATGCAGGGATTGCAAAATATGCATCTTTTTATTCACGGTAAGCAGCTGGACAAAGGATATGAGTTGGACGCGGTATTCCAGCCTTTAATTTTGATTCAGGCAAGAAACTTTCGCCTTCACTTGACTGAGAATGCACGGTGGAGCATGAAAGATATCCCCGAAGATCTCTCCAATCGGCCTGGATTCTCCATCAAAGTGATGCGATCCAGTGTGATGCGCGTTCGGCATTATGGTATTTCCAGTTGCTGCTTCGATGGCATTAAGATTCCACCGTCACGGCATGGTGAACTGTTGGGCTTTTCTGCATGCCGTGAAGTCTCGGGCTTCTCTGTATACGCTCTATGAATGGATTATAATATGTAAGATCGTATGGAATTTGCAATTACCGAATATCCACCTTCAACCCCTCTACAAGAGCCATCTTCCACTCATCTAGAAAGTTAATGACAAAGTCCTCGTCGTAGAATGCTTCGTTCCAGTTGACATTGAGCTTCATCTCTCCATTCCATGTCCAAACATTCGTGCATAACAGTCGGTTGATGACTTCTACCGCTATCCACCAGTCCTCGACTTCATGCCGTGATGCTTTCCCCTCATAATCGGCTTGGAGGTAGCCATTGACGACTCCAATCGAGCTCAATTCAGGATGAGCAGGGGCACGTAGAGGATCCTCTGGTGCTGCTCCCAATAGTTCGAGTACTTTGCGCACATACTCTGCCTGGAACTGAAGTGCATTGCGCGGCTCATCCTTGCTGAGATTGCGACTGTATCCTTTTGCAAGCACACTGGCCATTGATGTAAACGTATTGTTCAGACTGAGATCCACGCTGAATGGAATGCCGGTGTGATAGATGCTGACGGCAGTGCTCGAGCTGCTATACGGCGCAGGTAGGTACTTCCGCAGATCAATGGCGTTGAAGCAGGTGTATTTACCGCCGCCGCATCCACGCGTTGCTGGATCGAAATTGACCTGTGCGTATGGCAGGGTGGCGACCACCAATGCAGCATGCGCAGCTGTTGTTACTGTTATGCCATGTGCCTTGCATGCTGAGATAATGCGCTGTGTTGTGCCTGCTGAAAAACCAGAGATCATCCGTCGCGGGGCTGTAGGCAATGCATTTGGCAGCGTGGGAATGGAAATGCTGGGCAGCCCATTCCGGAAGACATCCAATTCCGCATCGGCTGCCTGGTAAATCGAGTCACCGGCTTCAAGTGGGATGGAAGCTGCTTCATCAAACGATGGAGAGAGACGTGCTGCTTCCGATCCATCGAACTGAAGGTCAGCTGGAGGTCCGTTGGCTAGGATGCGAAGGAATGCTGCTTGCAGATGCATCAATCCAATGCCGTCGATGCGCCAGTGTGGTGCGCGGAAGAGAAGCTCTCTGGTTCCTGGTAGATAGTAGAGCTTAAAGAGCGGCGATGGCTGCAGAGTTTTGTATAGATGATCGCCAGAGCTGTCGACCGACTCGACAATGAACGTCTCATCCGCCCATGCCTCGAGGTCTGCTGGCGATGGTGATGTGTATGTAAGACGAGTGCCGCTTTCATCTGGCAGCGCTGCAATCTGTGGATGCTGCTGACGAAGCGCTTTCCATGTCTGCTTCACTTGGTCTGGAGGAGGAATTTGTTTCAGCCGGACACTGGAGGAAATCAGATAGTGCTGCCTCTTCAGCGGGGCGCCAGCATCGGCAATGGCGCGATAAAATATTTCCAGCGAGTCGAATTGGCGCTCAAAGTGGCCAGGAGAGACTTGGTGCCACGGCATTTTTTATTAGGAGAGAAAGTGGTTCGAGCTGATAATGAATTAATTTGAGGTGGACGCCTGAATGTAAGATTGTCTGCGTAAGATGAGAGACTGTCAGATGAGAGACTGTCAGATGAGGGGCTCCGCTGATGCCACATGGCAGGCTGCCGGTGGACTGTCGAATGCTGCTGTTGGAACATTCCAGATATAACTGGGGATTATTTAAATTGAGCAAGAATCTGCTGTTATCTTGCAAATCACTCCATCATCATGACTGCACAACTGACTTGGCTGGTGACTGGCTGCTCCTCGGGCCTGGGCGAGGCTTTTGTCCACGCCATTCTTAATAAAGTAGGCGTGTTCTAAAACTCAGGATATCCCACTAACTCGCATAGGGCGACCAAGTCATTGCTACAGCACGGCCAGGCAAAGATGGCAGTGGCGCAGAACGCCTCTCTGCCCTGAAAGACGCTGGAGCAGCTGTGATGGAGTTGGATGTCACTGCACCGCAAGAAGAGCTCAACCAGAAAGCCCAAGAGGCATGGGAAATATACGGAAAAGTCGACGTGCTCGTCAACAATGCTGGGTATATCGAGGCTGGGGTTTTGGAAGAGCTCGAGTAAGAACGTCGTCCACCATCCATACACGGTGATTAACATAGGATAGCGAGGAAACACTCACCCGATGTCTCCGTGTGAATACACTCGGTCCATTGAATCTGACACGCGCCTTTCTGCCTTTGATGCGGGCTCGACAGACCGGCACTCTGCTCTTCGTCGGCTCGATCGGACCTTACTTTGGCGCCCACGGAGCCTCGTCGTACGTTGGATCCAAAGGGCTCCTCGAAGGAATCGTGCCCAATCTGGCCCTGGAAGTCGCTCCCTTTGGCCTGCGCACGTCGATCCTGACTTTTGGCCACTTCCGCACGGCCGTCATGGCACCGGGTGTCATCCAGTACCGTGCTCCTCGCCAGCTGCCCGAATATGCCGAGATGAACAAGCTCATCAGCGGCGGATGTGCGGCCACCAATGGCAACCAGCCCGGCGATCCTCGAAAGGGCTGCGAACTGGTCGTTGACGCCGTCAGGGGCGAGGGCAGATGTGCCGGGAAAGAGTTGCCGCTACGACTGCCCATTGGGGCTGATGCATTGCAGTGTATCCGACAGAGCTGCGAGGAGAGAATGCAGATCTGCGATGAGTGGGATGGAATTGCATCGCAGACTGACTTTGACGATCTGACTGCGGATGCTAAATAAACCAGTTCTATCGAAGGATATTTGGGTATATATTTTATCAATTATCGTGATATCTCTAGCATATGTTCATAAATCCATTATGCCTCTGCATACTGATACACTTGCCTGAAGAACTCAGCAAATGCCTGTGCCCCATCGTCGCCAAACAGCATCTGCCCATTGCTGTGTGTCTCTTCTGCCTTTTCCTTGCAGCGTGCCACCATGTCGTCCTCAAACTCCTTCATCAGAGGATCCAGTTGGCTCTGGAATGGCATATCCCGCCCAGCAGACTCGTATGCCTTGGTGATCGCGTTGGCCAGCAGTAAAGAATCCAGCATGGCCAGGTTGACTCCCTCGCCGGCCCATGGACACATCAAGTGCGCTGCATCCCCAATCACCGTGGCGTAGTTCCTGTGCTCCCACGAGGCGCCAATCGGTAATCTGTATAGCGATCGAATGTCCATGGGGCCTGGGTTGTCCGCTGTCTCTTCATCGCATGCAATGGCAACCAGCTGTTTGATCTGATCGCCCCAGCAGCCCAGTAATGTGCTGTCGTCTAGAAGCCGGCTCTTTGCAGATGCAGCTGTCTGGTTCGCTAGTCCTGATGAAACTCCAAAGTCCTCATCGGTCGTGGTGAGCGCAATATATGCCCGGACCGAGTCCTGCGGTCCACGATGTGTCATGACGCCGTGTCGCATACCAAGTGCTGTAAAAGTGCCATCACCGACCATTGCGGCGAGATGCGGGTATTTGGCTATGACGTGGCGGATGGTGACCGTGATGAGCTGCTGCTCCGCGTATTCTGGTTTGACGTCTGTCAGCAGATGGCGAATGCGAGACCAGGCGCCATCCGCGCCGACGACCAGATCGAACGTGTGTTTTCCATGAGGGCCAAAGTCGAGTTCCGTTTCAGTGCCGCTGGGTGTGGTCAACGCGGTCGCAGATAGAAGCTTATGGCCCCATTTGATGCTCTCCGCCGGTAATTGCGAGCTCAAGAGCTGTATGAGCGCATGTCGTGGGATCTCTGGACGCTCGCTCAATTCCCCTTGGTCTTCATGCAGAATGGTCCCATCCTTGTCGGCCACTTTTTGCGCCTCGGAACATTCGCCAGTGAGCAGTAAAAATTGGTCGAAAAGCCCACATTCCGTGAGGGCAGCGATGCCGGATTCTTCGTGCAGATCGAGCATGCCAGATGGCTTGGCCAGCTCATCGTCGGTTGGTTGCTGACGGAGGTCGAATATCGTGAAGGGGATGCAGCGTTTGTGCAGTAAAACTCCCAGGGTGAGGCCAGCAGGACCACCGCCGACAATGGCGATTCTTGGAGATGGCATTTTATTTTGATGACAGACTCCGATGCATCATGGGTTGTGAGTTCTTAAATATTTCTAGAATGGCCGCTGTCGGACTGTAAAAAAGACCGAGTGGCAACAGTCGGGCAGTCTATTGTCCGCTCGGGGGTTAGTATTTGCCGAGTACAAAACATGAGGATATCGACAGAAAGTGAAGAATGTTCAAAGATTGAAGAGATAGCAGCCTGGAATCTGATATCACATGCAGCATGCAGTCATGCAATATATCAGCAGGATAGCAATAAATGCAGGCCGTCACAACTGCATCGAATATTGAATCGACTCGTCATTTCGGCCATCGTCACCCACACTCCATTCTTTTATCCCAAGTTCTCACTCGATCAATAAATTTTCATCCATTTCGTCTGCCTTCCTACGCTCTACAATCTCCAAATGGCTTTTTCCGACTCGATTCAGCATCTCATCTCCAGATTACCATTCCATCAATCACTGGTCGACATGGCTTCGATCAACATCCCTTCCAATGTCCTCGCTGCGGTCAAGATATTTGCTGCTGCTGGCATCCTGTACAAGCTGAACCAGACCCTCTCCCGGCTGGCCCTGAACAACTGGGTCTCGGATCCATGGGACTGGGCTCGCGAGATTGTGTTGATTACGGGTGGATCCAGTGGCATTGGAGAGCAGATGGTGCACAGGCTGGCAGAGCACGGCATCACCGTGGTCATACTGGATCTCGTGGCGCCGCAGACTGCGACGCCAGATAAAGTGCACTTCTACCAGTGCGACATCACATCACCAGAGGCAGTTCACGCAGCAGCACAGCAGATCCGCAAAGACGTCGGCCATCCAACTGTCTTGGTCAACAATGCCGGAATTGCAAATGGGAAGTCTATCCTCGACGAAGCAGACGAGGGGACCAAACGCATCTTTGATGTCAACAGCATTGCGCATTTCCGACTCGTGCGCGAGTTTCTCCCCCACATGATTGAGCGGAACCATGGCCATGTCATCACGATTGCCAGCATGGCATCCTTTATGACGGTCAGCCCCGGTGTCGCCTATTCCTGCACCAAAGCAGCCGCCTTGAGCTTCAGCGAAGGGTTGGCGCTCGAGCTCCACTACCAGCACAAAGCAAACAAAGTCAGGACGTCGTATGTTGTATTCATGATGGTTTTACTGTTTTACGATGCAGCTAATGAATCTCAGCGTGGTTCATCCGACATGGGTGCGCACACCCCTCATCAAGCAAGCGCTCGACAGCGGCAAGTGGAAGCAATACACACTGGACGCCGGCACGGTTGCCGATGCCGTTGTTGCGCAGATTCTGGCAGGAGAAAGTGGGCAGATCTGCGTGCCAGGGACATACACCTGGCTGTCGTGCATCAGGGCCTTTCCCAACTGGCTGCAGCAGTGGGTGCGGAATTACCAGACAGAGCTGCTGGAAGCCTCTGTATAATTACTCATGTAAATATAATGTTATGTTCTTTGTTTGCCAGCAGGGATGATCCAAGTGGCGGCACAGCCTCACTGCGCCAACACATCAGGCTGAACAGCCGAACCCCTCCATTCTTTGTTCTCCACACATCCTTATCTTCTCCCATGGACACTTTGACCGTAGACAGCATGCAGCTATTTAACTACATATCAACAGCCCTTATTCATCGTCATTTAGCCCCTCATTCAGCATGACAAGCGATAGAATTTACCATCTCGCGGTGGCTGGGATTCTGACCGCCGCCGACCTTCAAAACAGCCACGACGAGCTGCATTTTGTGCACCCCAAAACGAAGCTGACGGCGCTGGCTGCGGCAGTCTGGAACGGCCATAAACATACCGTCAAGCTGCTTCTCGATTATGGCGCAGATCCAGATGGAACGCCTGGGTCGCGTCCTCCGCTGTGGGTTGCGGCAGGGAAGACAAGGAGGAACGCCAACAGCATCATCGACATTCTGCTCAGACATTATGCCAACGCATCTCGACCGTCGAGTTTCGATGACAACTCCACGCCTCTTCTGCGTGCCATGCTGACGCTCAAATCGCCAGCCATCCTGCGCGCGCTCGTCAAAGCCGGGGCGCGTCCGGCGGTTCAAAACAACAAAGGAGAATCGGCGGAAAATGTCGCGACAAGAAGAAACGACCATCAACGCGCAGCAGCTCTTTTCTCAAAACCATCACCGGTAAATGATAGACTGGAGCGGTTTGGGGCTTTTCTGAGTGCAATCGTGCTCGTTGTCGCGTGCAGACATGAACAACCGATGATTGCATTGGCAGCGGCAGCAACCTTGATTATGATCAAAGCGAGTGCGATCAGAGAGTATCTGCTCTTGAATGGACTTATTGAAACTGTTCAGACAGTGAGTTTATATCTACTTATCAGAAGGTAGTGGCTAACCGGTGTTTGATAGGAGACAGAGCTAAAGCAAGAGCTTACAGAGGATATTCATCGTTTTCTTCATCAAAAGCAGCTCAGTCGGTTCTTCTGCACAGATGGCAGCTTCGTCAAAACTGTCATCGAGCATGCTGTGGCCTTGGATAGTGACCCCGAAAACACGCTCGACGTCAAAGACTTGATGCGACTGGCACTCTATCAGACGGTTCTTTACTGTGGTATGGCCATCATAGTCCTTGTATGCAATGGCTGAAAGAAATGACAAACAAAGAATCATCGTCCCAAATGCAACAGAGCAAGCACTTCGATGCTATCGTCCATCATATTGCCAGAATCGCCACATTTGTCAGTCCTGAAGACGGAAGTGCAACACGGATTGGAAAAGGCTCGAAAGAAAACTTGAATCCATTTATACGCGACTGTCTAGAAAGTCAGGCCATGAAAGGACCTATCCTTCTTGTTGTCATCTCCGAAGAAGCCTGGATAGGAGAGGCGAGCGCCGATGCTTTGCAAGGACACAACCTGGACATGCAAGGTAGGCCGAAAATGCCTTCGATGAATCTTTCTCACGGTCGTCCAGGTGTCCATTTCCACGAGATCATCATTGACGATACAGCAAGGAGTATTATGCAAACCGACCAACCAGGCTTGGAGAAATACGTAGGTCGCAGGTCAGAATAGCTGGCTACTGTGCTGACACTATTCCAGCTTTTGAGTCTATTGATAGCCCCTCTTAATGAGACCGCTACTGAAAAATGACTGAGACGGGAATGTCCGAGTGATATGGCCAACCCAGTGTCGTGGTGTTGTATAAACATTTTCAAGTGGGACTGTTCTTGTATATACATTCATAATCATCGCTCATTGCGAGGGAAAATCTGTTCTTCTAGCGTGGTTTCAATATCGCAGAACACTAGTATAGGCCGGCACAATCGATTGCCTCATCTGTTCCCATGAGAAAATCATTGGCAAACAAATTATCAAAGGTGTTTGGGATATTGATATCAAGAAAGTTCCCCAGGATGTTGTCGATATCTTCAAACATGGGGTCTGCTGCGAGATCGGTAAAGGTGCCATCGCCCATGTGTGTCAAATCAAATGCGGGCTGATTGTTGATATTCGGAAATGGTTGGTTTTCTTTTTCCATGTCATCAGCCTGTCGTACTCTAGTATCATCTGAATGCGAATATGAGCCACGATTGGCTGTTTCTATATTATCCAAAGGATGAGGGCCTGCCGTGACAATGTTTTTGTTCAGCGAATTTGGTACAATCTGCTGTCGAACATCGTTTTCCGCCATGCGGTTGATGCCATCGAAAGCCCGCTGTCCAAGCCGTGTCATCAGTCGTGCTGACCACCATGTGGCACTCAGTGCTTTGAGGCTTTTGTAAAAGGTCTGTAAATTCTGTTGCGCTGTATGTTGTGTGCTGGGCAATTGACATCGCTTCAGCTGTTTGTAGGAGATGGAGAACCCCATCGAGAGGGTGTATGCAACGACTGGCAGCGGAAGAAACTGGTTGATATCGCACATCTGGATCAGAGTGGCAATTCGATACACAGAAAGATCCTGACGTAGATACAGCGTGTGCGATCGAGGATGGTCTTTGAGACCCCAGGGGCGCGCAGCCAAAAGTGCAATTGCGTGATATGCCAATTCAAGCGATACTGAGCGAGCATCATTAGTAGGTCTCTATTTGCCAGCAAGGAAACATACAATTCAAATGCAATGGCAAGTTCCATCCATTGCACTCGTTCAGCACTTCCTCGAATCGTGGGATTTCAGGCTTGTTGTCATCGACCGGCGTATCCAGAATCGGTCGGTAGACTCCCATCACCCGGCCCAAGATTGATGCCAGGGACAGTGCGACACGAAACGGTGCATCGAAGAACGCAATCACATCGCCCACTCGTTGCCCCAGATCGCAGTCGTGAATGACGAGAGGCCTTCCGTTGATCGCCGCGCTCCAGCGATCCAATTTCCACAAACACCAAAAGAGCACGACCAGGGCCTTCTCTGCTGGATCCTTCTCTCCCTGGTCTGGCGAGTACTTGATCAAGTGCAGGCCCAATGTGTGCGCGTGGTGGGCGGCTTGCGACAGGTGTAAAGTAGAATCCTCGGAGTCTTCGGGTCCTGAGGCATGCAACGAGAGGAGAGCGAGAACTTGTATCAGAGTGATCTTTCTGGTCTCGACCTTCATTGAGATAGTATGGGTCAGGTTGTCATAGACCAGCTTGGTGAACTTTCGTAGAGGAAGAGGGTTAGTATGGTTGGCAAGGCAGAGGAACGGCGCTGCGCTGTGGTCTTTTGCGGCCACCAGACAAATTGCCTGCACAAGCTGGGGAGAGGCGGTTTGATCGCGAAACTGTGCTTGGAAATCATCTTGATTGATCAAAGGAAGAACCGGGTGGATGCGCTGGAAGTAGATGTTCATCAATGCCTGTTGGCTTTGTCGTGGAGGAAGAAGCGGTTCGGTCTGTCGGTTTCTATACCGTGGCGACGGTTCAATATGGACGTTTCCATCTAATGGCTGACCATGGCTGATATCTTCCTGGTTCCTGAGGATGTCTCCTTCTCGGTCCAGCCAGACTCCAACATCGCTTTGGCAAGTCCGTCCACGCAGGAGTCGGGAGCTGGTATCGCCAACAAAGAGTGCGACGGGATTCAAGTCGCCGATAAAACGCCGGGATGGAATGCTATCGGAGTTGGGTTTGGCAGTGTTTCTGGTCTTATCCACTTGACCTGGTTTTGGTGTATTGTGAGGCACCTCAGCCGGCTCTGAGTCGGGGATGCTGCATGGCGACAGAGGGCTGCCCCTTGCATTGGGCGAGTATTGGATGAACTTCCGGTCGTTGATCAGCCGGCGACTCTCATCGCCGTGATGGCATTTCCTCTGCGCTTCTTATCAGCAATGCACAGGCCAGGCTGTCATCCCGCATACCTTTCGCTGCCGGCAGCTGTCACACGCCCCGCGTGGGCATTTGCGCTTCAGATTCCTCCGGTCTGGACTGACGTGGAATGTCAGCTCCATGACAGCTTCTTAATGACAAATGAATGACGGTTTATTGCAGGAACCGTTGCAAATCAACATGGAAAAGACAGATCAAAAGCCGGTGGCGAGCACGAAGAAAAGAGGGGATGGTGCGGATTGTGCCTCGATTGGGTTAGACTCCGATTCTGCTGCCCAAAAGAGACAATCCCGCCTGTGGGTTTCCTATTCTGGACTAGCGGACACTGCTGCTCATACTACGCGATTTGGCAAAAGAAGCCGCATGCTGGATGATGATTGGCTGTTCTTCAGATTGATCTTGTAAGATGAGTGAGTCACGATGGTCATGATAGCCCTATAGCCCTAATATGCATGGGAGACTGAGCTCAGCTATCAAGATAGAGTGGATGGTTAAGTGATGAGAATGGCCATCGCAAATGTGCTCCTCAACCAACGGCTATTGATGTACACTTTACTGGATATTCTCAGAATCGTTAAAATCATATGGGTCGGATCTACCAAGATAGAATGTTCTGTCATAGTTAAAGTGCATTTCCCAAACAGGTGCGGCTCCCGTCCGTTTTAGGAAGGCTCCGCAGTCTCCATCGGCATGCCGTGTACTCCATATGCACAATATCTATCTATATAAGGACTTTGCACTCCACTGCTTTCTGTCAGGATCATGAATAAAGCATCTTCAACATGACCGGGACACACATCACGCAATTTAACCTTGGGTATAATCAATTGCCTCCACAACAGCCCTACATCCGCTAATGCATGTTGACATCCAGACTCGACAGCTCCTGCGTCTTTCTCCCTGCAGAACGAGATGCAGATCATTCTAGTTGCGTCACGGGGACCCTCCAATTCCATCTCTCCCAGCCTATCTGGGTCAAAGGCATCAAGGTAGCGCTCCGAGGAAACCTCAGACTGTAAGCGCTCTTCTCCATCGGTCTGACTTACATCTAACCATCTAGACCTCGTGGTGAATTCTCAATCTGGGAACCATTCCACGAAGCAGTCACTCTCCAACTTCAACATCAATTGGCCGCATCCAGAACCCTCAGCTCATTTCGCCTGCCGGCAGGAAAATACCAATTCCCATTCGAGATTCCCGTCAGCAAGTACGGGCTGGAGACTCTTACCGGTCCTAGCCATGAATACCACACTTATCAAGTCGATGGGATTATCGAACGAAAGTTCAGCAAAGATGCCATTGTGTCACAGCCCGTCCGGATATACAGGTCGTTTGATTTGGAAGAGATGGAAAGATGGCAGTATTCTTCTCCTTGCGTGAGTCTCTCATCTTCTGATATACGACCATCACTAACAGGACAGTCGATTGAAAAACAATGGGATGGAAAAATCCAGTATAGCGTCACGATTCCCGATCAGAACATGCCGTTTGGCTCGACATTTCCAGTTGAATTCTGGTTTGCGCCCTTGACAAAAGGACTGAAGATTGAACGAATCCGAATCCAAATCATCGAGCGACACGAACTCAAGATCATTCCCACGGCAGCCGAGGCGGTACAATATAACCTGCGCTTCTTCAAGTCGAACAAGAAACATACCGTTCTGAGTGGAGCATATTACTACGACGATTCAACCGCAGATGCGCAGCCGTTGGAGGATGAACTGTGTACGATCAAGTCGATCCGGCTGCCGCAGCGACTGCACGAATGCACGCAGAATATGGATTCTGGGATGATCAAGATCGATCATGAATTGATCTTTTCGGTGGAGCTGCGAAACGCAGATGGTCATTTATCAATGGTATGTCCCTTCTGATGTTGACAATGCTGTATACTAACGTGTATAGATCAGCGGAGTGATGCCGATATACATCCACATGTCGCCGACCGTCATCACCAAAGACGGCGCTGTCCACGGCAAAGATCTGCAGCAGCTGCAGATCGACCAGAATCCCCCGCCGTTGTATGGCGATCATCTCAAAGACTCGATGCTTGTGGAGTTGTCCAACATCTGCAGTCAAATGGGACTGGAAGATGCAGGCAATGTGCCGGATTACGAGACAGCGATTCGAACGGTGGCAGTGGAACATTGATACCCTGATTAAAAGTGATTTTATAATAGTCTCAGCGTTAAGCGATAATGAATAGATATTTAATTCAGATCGACATGCTATGCAATGGTGAAGCACTGCCCATCGACCCATCCGAACAGCCATTTTTGGTCTAACTGAAAATTCCGATCATAAAAGCTTGTATTGAACTCGCTCGAGAATCATCATCCAGCATTGAATGACTCTAGAATAGTCAAGATTCGCATCGCCTAGCCCATTGAAGCTGCTGCGACCGAACGATGTGTCGTCAGGCTGTCTATTCTCTTCACCATCTACAACATCATCCGCTTCTTGCTCTTTCGCTTTGTATATAAAAGCAAGAAACTCTTTTTCCACGACGCAAAGTATCCCAACCAGCTATTTGACTATGGCAACCCACAGAGAGAGACGCATTTGGTGAAGACCAAGATGGAAACACTATGGATTGAGGCTCCGACCATGAAGCGATGTCTACGGGCGTGTCGACAAAATAAAATCTCATTCACCCGCTATCATACACGCTGGCTTCACTCGGACTGGCTGCAGATGTCTATCCCCCAGCTGCTATCAATGCCTCGCAGACGGTCGTTGATCCTCGCCGTGAACTGCGCACATCGCATCCAGACAAGGACGACTTGGGGACCATGACCAATGCAATGACGTCCATGTGGAAGTTTGACCGTCTTGCCTTCCGGCAAGCTGGATCTCATAGCACATCGTCATCCGGAGACAGTCTTCCAGTTGATGCTGCGCTGGTGTAGAAACTGACCTTTCGCGTATCGAATCTGGGCGCATTTGATCCTGGCAGCGCGGGAAAGAAAGGGCCCTGGACGGTATCCAACGTGCAGCTTTCTGCTACTGCAACTATGCCTGGAGTAGGATGCGGTTTGGTGTTTAATGCGGCTGGAGTGGTGGGTGGAGGGGCTGTGATCCATGTTGCGTATCAAGAGGGGTGTTGAAGGAGGACATGGTGAAGATGGTGGGTAGAGGGGATTCGCAACAGAATGGAGTCGATGATCTGATTGAAGTGAGGTTGAAGGAATGCGTCCTGGTATAGCGTCAGCACTGTGCATCTAGACCATCAGTCCACTCGGATGCAGTAGAACCGCTCGATAGGCAGTATTTATTCTTCTATTCAGTCAGTTCAATTCATCTCAACGTGCAATGACTGCTCACCCCTACTACCCCCCAGGCGTGGCCATCGATGGCTATCTCCCCAATGGCTGGAATACCCTCGCTTTGCTCTCCATCTTCAGCGCCGTCTGTGTTGCCATCTTCGCAGTCACTTCCCTGATCATCGGCAAAGCCAATCATCGCATTTCCAACAGCGATCGGTGGACTGTCTTGTGGTTTGTCCTGAGTATGGCTCTCCCATACTGTTAAACAATACTAATATAATAGGCGGCTGCATCCATCTCGTCCTGGAAGGCCACTATGTGTATAGCTTCAAACCCCTCGGCAGCGACCAGACGCTGCTCGGCCAGCTGTGGAAGGAATACGCCCTGTCGGACTCGCGATATCTCACGCAGGATGCCTTTGTGCTGTGCATGGAGACCATCACGGCTGTCTGCTGGGGGCCATTGTCGTTCCTCCTGGCCATTCTGATTGCGATCGACCATCCTCTGCGCCATTCCGTCCAGACTGTCGTCTCTCTCGGCCAGCTGTATGGCGATGTTTTATACTTTGCAACCAGCATGTTTGACCATGTCATCCTCGGACTGTCGTACTCGAGGCCCGAAGGATATTATTTCTGGGGATATTTTGTCTTTCTGAATGCGTTTTGGATCTTCATCCCTTTGAGTGAGTGACTGCCAGAATGGTTGCATCCATCGCTAACAGATCAGTTCTCTTGTACAACAGCATCACCGCGACGGGACGAGCATTTCTAGCTGTGCAGAGAATGGAAAAGACCAAAAGAGTAAATAAATAGAATATCAGATAATCATACGATGAGGCTCAGAGTCCCGTCGTGGACGAGGCGACCGTTGCATCTCCACCCTGTTTCACAATCCCTGCCCGTCCCAGAAGGCCTGCGTAATCTTTTCAAATCATCCAATATTCACTTCTCATCCTCAAAATGTCGTCCGACATGGTAGAAATCGACCAAGATGCCCCCAGCTCTGCTCTGGACGATGCCTCCAACGGCACTTCGCTGCGATCCACCATCGTCCAGTATGAATTCCGCCATGGCCGTCGCTATCACAGCAACCACGCCGGCAACTACCAGTTCCCCAACGACGAGGCCGAGCAGGATCGTCTCGACATGCTGCATCATATGTTCCATCGCCTGCTGTACAATCAACTCTTTCTGGCCCCGATCAACTTGGCCGGAAAGCGCATTCTGGACATTGGCACCGGCACGGGGCTGTGGGCGATAGACGTCGGCGACGAGCATCCCTCTGCGACCGTGATCGGCAACGACCTCAGTCCGATCCAGCCGCAGTGGGTGCCGCCGAATGTCAAGTTCTACGTCGACGATGTGGAAAAGGACTGGGTTGAGGGGCATCGGTACGACTACATCCACTGTCGATACCTGGCGGGGTCCATCCGAGACTGGCCGCGATTGATCCGGCAGTGCTACGATAACCTCACGCCGGGCGGGTGGCTCGAGCTGCAGGAAACAGCGAATACCCTCTATTCGGAAGACGACAGCCTGCAGCCCGACAGCTACATGGTCCGGATGATGGACGGGCTGTTCACGGCCTGCCACCAGATCGGCCAGACGATGGATCCAGCCCCGCACATGCGCGGATGGGTCGAACAGGCCGGATTCAAAAACACCACGCAGCAGCGATTCAAACTGCCAGTTGGGAACTGGCCAAAGGATGCGCGATTGAAGGAATGCGGCACGTTCATGCGCGTCAATTTCGTCGAGGGCGTGGATGCCTTCACGGCGGCGTTGCTGGGCGATGTGCTGGGCTGGGAGAGAGACGAAGTCGAGCTGCTGAATGCAAAAGTGCGCGATGAAGCGATGCGCAATCAGATCCACGCCATGTTTGATTTCTTCGTGGTTGTTGGCCAGAAGCCAGAATAATTGTTGCGATGGTCCTGTTGGATTCGTATTGCCATCTGTCATCTGCAAGGCTATGACTCACACTTTGATTTAAAACAATCGTCCACATCACCAACATCAATATCAACACAACGGAACATAATACCATCATGTCCCTCCCCCTCCCCTCTGTCGCTCACAAACTACTCCTTCTGCCGCTGGAAATTGCCCACCAAGTCCTCGACAATGTCCGGCTGTGGGACATTCTCCGCCTCGCCTGCCATGACATCGAGTACATCAACACCTGCCTCATGTCGCATCTCATCGCTCGCCAGCTGATCGGAGATGACACCCAATCCTATAAACAGACCCAAGAGGCGGCTGGCCTCTACTGGGAAATGTGCCGCATGATGCGTCTCTATCCTGCGCCTCCAGCCAGATGGCCTCTCGCAACCATCTACATGCTACATCTGGACGTCACAAAAGTCCACGACTGGCTGCACAAAGAGACCAAAGCTCTCCTCTGGATGCCCGACTGGAAGCGAAACATTCTTACGCGCCATGCTACGGATGTTCCTGGACTGACGCAATCAGATGCTCTCCCTCTGCAGCGTCGGTGGACAGCCGTCAAAAGCAGCCAACACAATCTGAATGACTCCAAGGCATCGCAGCTGCGCAGAGTGGCATCTCTCCTAGAAGATAATCCAGACATTTTGAAGAGAACATTGGACCCCGAGCAGATTCAGCGACCGAATACAGCCCATGTGGTATCACGATTCCGCTACACGGCAAACAAAATCGAAAAGTCGTGGGTTCATCGACACCAGGGAGGCTCGCTGGAAGGCTTTCGACATCCTTTCCTGCCCGTCATTCCATTTGATGCAGCCTTGCAGTTTGTGGTTCGGATGCTTCCCAAACATGGTTTCGTTCGTGATGGTGCTATTCCCAAAGACATGGCCAGTGGCCATCCTCCTGATGTGGTATCAGCAGTTGAGACCATACTCCAGGGAATGGACTATCTCTACCTGCCATCTCCATGGTTCTTTTCTCGAGTTAGTGAGATTCATCGAACTGTCGACACACCTGCATCCGGAGTGCCAAAGGAAGAGTGTATTCACAATCCGAGGTTTGGGATTGAACGATTTATGGACATTTATACCCCTGGCGAGGCCTATGTTAAAGGCTTTGAGCCACACGACCAGCGAGAGATGGTGTGGCTGGAGGCGTTTGTTGCTGTTTATCGATATTTGGAACAATTGGACAAGTCGAGTAAGTGATCTGGTATGTAGAAATGATAAAGAACAGAAGATATCCAAACACATCAAAGCAACACATCATTCATAAAGCATCAACACATCAAGAATCCCGTAAGCCATAGATCAACCCGTTCAAACTGGCTGAATCAACCCCTGTTTCGGGGTCTTCGATCCACCGTTCTGGGCGGAATTCATCCGGGTATGGGCCTTGCGGCTAAATGCTATCCCTGTGTTGGGTTCCTTTTCCTTCATCACAGTCGAGAAGATATCTGTGTTTGACATCGTCTCTGAGTTGGCGCTCATCGGCATGGGCGAACAGCAAGGTGACTGCCGCTTTGATGTACTTATACATACCGAGGCAGACGAGACGATCCACCTTCCACCTATGGAAATGGGGTTGGACCAGAGCCTAGGCTGTCAGTCACATTCTTCCAATAGATATAGCCTGTATATCACTACTCCCAGAGCTGTACAGGGTTAGAACAACCAGGAATGAGAGGGATCCGCGTGGCATACATAAAAGAGCAGACCTTCTGCTGCTATATGATAAAGATGCCACTCCATGTTAATGTATGAATGTAGATACGCTGTATCAAGTAGACTACAAGAAGCACAGTAGGCAGATATATTACCAGAAAGTAAAGATCTCTCTGAATGTATATCAAGCACATGTAACGTCATTTGTCCAATTATGAACAACGCTTGCCAGCTTGTTTAGCCCCTATTTGCTGTGATTAATGTAATGACTGTCTTTTCAGTTTGCCTCTACTGTATGACAGTCAGCAATCTTACGTGGAAAGCACGAGGCTGCAGATAGAACATGTTTACCCAAAGTCTATAGCAAGGCGATGCTTTTTGGGTTGCACCCTGGATCGCCCGCCAATCAGTCTGGTTTGCGGCCAACGGGAGCAACCTAACGTCCCGTCCTAACCTGAGCAGCTTCAAAGAGCAAATGACACCATACGAGACAATCTGCGCGTGGCCAATCACCGTTGAGCGCTTTATCCATGCCGCATGGCTCGGTGGGGCCGCACACTGCATTCCAGCCAATCAGGATTCATATCTGAAACAGCCTCGGTGTTTTCGAGATTTCTGACTTGCACTAACCCAATCCGGTTAGTGCACCGTGGTCTTGGCCGGCCCATTTCCCAAAAGAGACCGTCTTTTCTCTCTTGTCTTCCATTTCCTGCTGTTGTTTTCTTCTTATTTTTATCCCCTGCAATGTCAAATTCATAACCGCAATAAAACCGCAAGGCTTCCTAGTGCTTATGCATCGCCATCCGGCATATCTCCAGCCAACTGCGTTTGACCGCCTGGTCTCACCGCGGATGTTGGCCGTCGCCCTCATACGTTCGATTGCCCACCACACCGGAAACGAATCGTTTGGGCCCTCTAAACGCAGAGATTTCATCTTATTGCATATCTCTTGACATGTCATGCCGTGCTATCGTGTGGCTTGCTGTAATTGGCTGGCCATACACTATAAATACTTGGCGCTGCTTGACGCAGATTAGTGATATGTATTGATTTGAGCCTCGGCAGATCGTCTGTATAAGAGATTTCTAGCATCGAATCCACTATCTATACCCACTCAGTCCACTCAGTCCACTCTCATCCCGAGACTCCATGGCCCATGCATCGATTGTTCGATCCCTTAAAACCAGCGTCGTGCCCGGTGTGAATGAAAACCTGCATCCATTTTTTCTCCTCTTCCTTCGTTTGGCCAGCGGCCGATACGCTTGACTAACGTCCATCAAAGATTAATCTATTGCTGGTATAGATATCTACAGATGGCCTCTCTCCCCAAAAGCGAGGCGCCTCAGGCCTCCAAAATCCCCCTGTGGCGCATGGTGTTCGACCAAGGCGCCGTGACGCAGCAGATCATCGACCATCCGTATTCTGGTTCCGGCACTGAAAGCGATCCCTATGTCGTATCATGGATTGAAAATGATCCTCGCGATCCCATGGCGTTTAGCGAGATTGCCAGATGGTCCATCACCTTCCTTGTTGCCATGGCCACCCTCGCCGTCGCACTTGTCTCGTCTGCATACTCTGGAGGCATGGTGGAACTGGTGTTATTCTTCCAAATCAGCGAGGAAGTCGCATTGCTGGGGATCTCTCTCTTCGTCATTGGATTCGCCGTCGGTCCTCTCATGTGGGCGCCTCTCAGCGAGATCTATGGCCGCCGTTACATCCTCGTCCTGAGTGCCATGGGATTGACGGCGTTTACTGCGGGCACCGCTGGTGCGCAAAACGTCCAGACCCTCCTCATCCTTCGATTCTTTGCCGGCAGTTTGGGATCAGCCCCGATGGCTGTCTCGGGAGGAGTGATCTTCGACACTTTTCCTGCCATCACTCGCGGACTGGCCAGCAGTCTCTTCGCCGCAGCACCGTTCCTTGGCCCAACCCTCGGCCCTATCATTGGGGGCTTCATCGCAGAGTCGGGCGGTTGGCGATGGGTGCAGGGCTTCCTGGCTGCCTTCTCGGGTGCCCTGTGGCTGGTCATGGTTTTCCTGTTGCCCGAAACATATGCCCCCGTCCTACTGGCAAAACGAGCTGCCAGACTATCTCAAATCACCGGCCAGGTGTATCGCAGCAAGACGCAGATCGAACAGGGAAAGACGGCTGTTTCGAAGACTCTCTCCGTGGCACTGTCACGACCATGGGCGTTGCTGTTCCGCGAGCCCATCGTCTTCCTGCTGTCTCTCTACATGTCCATCATCTATGGAACACTGTACATGTTGTTCATGGCGTATCCCATTGTCTTCCAAGAGGTTCGTGGCTGGAGTGAAGGAATCGGTGGGCTCCCCTTTCTGGGAATCCTTGTTGGCATTCTCTTCTCTGTTGCATATGCCTTTCCCATGTACTTCAGCTACAAGAAGAAGACGCTCAACACTAAGGGACGCGTTCCCCCAGAGGCTCGTCTGCCCGACAGCTTCATCGGCGCTGTCTGTCTGCCAATCGGTCTTTTCTGGTTCGCGTGGACAAACTATCCCTCGGTGCACTGGATGGCTCCGGCTGCCTCGGGTGTCCCATTCGGCTTTGGCATGGTGATGGTGTTTTTGCCTGCGTTCAATTACCTCATCGACGCGTATACCATCTATGCTGCATCCGTGTTGGCAGCCAACTCCGCCATGCGATCCGTCTTTGGCGCCGTCTTTCCACTCTTCACGACCTACATGTACAAGAATTTGGGCATCCACTGGGCGTCGTCTATTCCCGCTTTCCTCGCCCTGGCCTGCGTTCCTATTCCAGTCTTCTTTTACAAGTACGGGGCTGCAATTCGCCAGCGATGCCACTATGCTGCCGAGGCGGATGCTTTCATGGAAAGGCTGTTCGGTATGATGGCAGCAAAGGAAGAAACACCAGAAGAGAAGAAAGAACCAGGTGATTCTGTCGATCACGCAGGAGGGAAAAGTGGTGATACCACTGAGATTGCCTCGACTGCTCCCTCGGATGAATCTAGAGACAGGGGTGGTTTGAAATAATTGTCCACGAGTTTGAGATAAAAGTCGCATTGTTTCTTAGAATAATGGTTAGATATAGCTTATGATTACTATAATGATAATGGATAGATTTTAGACATAACTTGTGCATTAATACTTCGTCACTGTCTGCTATATAATCAAATAGTCGTGCTGTCGCTCCAAGGCCGGATTATGCGTCTATAAGGTTAGCAACGTCCATCAGGGCGAATATCCACTTACAAAAAGCATCCATGGGATGTTGCTATGATCTCCCTTTGATTGGCTTGCCCTTGCATCCCAAACATTCTTGAGTAGATCTTTAGGCACTGGGTTGCAAAATTCAGACGCGACCTTGACTTCATCGATGCGCAGGATAGTGTAGTGGCGAGAATGCGGCGACAGCGAGTCCGCACCAGCCATGAAGAGTGGGAGAATCACGAGATGTATTAACGGGTGGTCCTTTTCTATATTAGCCACGGCATCGAGAATAGCCGTGACCGAATTCTGTATCTCCAATGCTTCTGCTGGCTGAGATACATCCAATAGCCGTGATATCCGTAAAATGCAGGCGTGGCGAAAGGCGTCAGCAACAGAGCGCCATCGAGGATCTTCGTCTGGATAGATGCAGCTGTTCTGATTCCATGACAGAAGATCCCGTCGTGCTGTATACAAGACCTGTTTATATTGCTCTGTTTCGATTTCTCCGGCTGCATGTGCTTTGGCGTGGTCGAGAGCTCGGCCGATGATGAGGAATATCTCTTTCGGACAGCCATTGACTCTTTCAAACTTCATATCGGTGAGTGAGACGATGGTTTCGCGCAGTTCTGGCGAGAAACAAAGTCGTTCTGGGCCAGCGAATCCACGGATAATATCCAGCCTGCACGGTCAGTGAGGTTCAATACAATGATGAGACACTTACCAGGCAAGATTGCCTAGGAAGAAGACGGTTCTTTCATGGTCTCTCGTTAGTGATTCTCCCAGCATGAGCTGATTGCATATCGAGACGGCTCCGGTGATGTGAACTCCGTGCGTTGAGATACCTGTTTCGCAGATCTACACTATTAGCCACGAAATGTAAGAGATGGCGATACCAACATCTTGCAAAAGAAGAATCTGGATAGTCACAAAGATAGCATCTCGTTCATCCTCGGTTGGAACCCCAGAGCTTCCTTTTTTAATGGCTTCGCCTAGTCCTCGAATGGCTTTCACTCGATATCCCACTGCGACTGTTTCGCGTAGATGCTCGTCTGATTTGAACTGTCCCAGGTGGCATGCGGATAGCCCGAGAACAGCATATAACAACTGGATCTGCTTGTTTGCCAGAGGCAGAATGTATGTTCGGTATGGATTGTCCATCTTGTCGGCCAGGGCGATCTGGAATGGGCATATCCTCTTGTCGTCTGTATAATCAGCCACTGCTCGTGCCATAGATAGAGTGCATACAATACGACAGGAGCATTTCCGTCTCTTCAAGCATCAACACTTGCTCTATCTCTGAGGGGCTCCGTGCTGTATGAGGTGTTGGAGGCTGTATATTTCCATTATTGTTGGATATTTCTTCTGGCCGCGTCGGAATGTTATCCACGGTCTGTTCTGGAATATCCGAATCGACTTGGCTCACTCGTCCACGACGAGTCCTAGCCGCAGGTCCATCTGTCGACGGCCTTTCCTTTCTCTTTTTTCTTGTCGGGCCACAGAACTGATACTTGTCCGGATATCCCCCGCACGGCAATCCCTTGGAGACGCAGCGTTGGCATTCCGGTCGGCCACGATCACATCGCCGGCACTTTTCACGACAGGTTGCACAGGCTGGGCCTATTGTCACTTAGAGAGGGCTACAGATTATCCAGGGCTGCTTACCAGGTAATCGCATGGTGTTGTCGTTGGAGATGGAAAAGGCTTCGTGGCGTTGGAATACTTGGCAGTGCATAGCTGACTAATCTGCATATCTTGTGTTCATTATCATCACTATGGCTCTATTTATCTCATCACGAGTCCTTGTCCATGCTGGTCTCAATGCGTCTGATGACTCTGGCTGGATTGCCGGCGACAAAATGAAACGGAGGCACATCCTAGACAGTCAGCTTCCACATATCCGCGAATCTACAGCATTCACATACCCTCGTCACAACTGACGCAGCACCAACAGTACTGCCCCTTCCAATCCTGACGCCAGCCAAGATGGTCACACTCCTTCCAATCCACACATCGTCTTCGATGTGGATCTCTTTCCCTGCTTCTGGGCCTTTTATTCCCTGGCGAATTGCTGGGTCCATGGGGTGCACTGCTCCGTAGATGCAGACATGAGGGCCGAAGAGAACATTATCACCAATGGTGATGAGACATGTATCGAGAATAGTCGTGTTGAAGTTGATGAATGTCCCTTTGCCGACTTTCAAATTAATCCCATGGTCAACCGAGATAGGGCCATCGACAAAGGGATCTGTCTCTTCAAATAGAGCTTCATCTTCTTTGGGATCGGGATTAACGGGTGGAAGGGCTCTGGTGTCGCCGATGATGCTGTGATTGTTAGTCTAAGGAAGTACTCATAGACGATCTATCTGCCATACTTCCTCCATAGTTCCACCTGTCGACGTCGTGGAATGTTCTTGGCTGCGTTGAACTCGTCGCAGGCCTGTTTGCATCGTGTTCGGTTTGCTTGGAGATCTTCATCCCAAGCCCAGTAGAGCTCACCACGGAGCATCTTCGCCCATTCCTGGGATGTTGTCATGTTGCGGTCTAATTTATTGAGAGAACAATTCGAGGGTATAAATTACGGACGAGGGAAGAGTATTTAAATTGAGTGATTGCAATTATGTGGGGAAGCTGTAGATATTACCGGATTAGGCTAATCAAGCAGCAGCTAGGATGATGTCATTTCTATATACGTTGACTGGTCAAAAAGAGAGAATCAAGATCTCGATTGTACTCCCAGTACAGATAGTCCTAAACAAGTCAGCCCTGATCACATCAATAGAGCCAACTTACATCCTGGCAATAGCGACTGCCCTCGTCTGTCATCTCTCCGACGCTAGTATCCCCAATCCGAATTCCACTGGCATAAGACCGTGGCAATAGCTCAGTATGTTTCATTTCCAAATCTTTTATCGGGATTTCAATCCCATCGAAAGAATGGTGGTCGCCCTTGATGAACATCACTGTCTTCTGGCTATAGTCTGCCGGAGGATCATCCCAACGACCGAGTGCATCCTGGCGCCCATCTGCAAATATCACCCGCAATTCCATGCATCTGTCGTTGGTATGCCAGCCCTCAATCTGTTCGATATCGTGCATTGAGATAAAGGTTTGAATAGTGCCAAGTTTCAGGCTTCCAAGGATTCGCGGGTCAGGATCTGGGATGCCAGCATGATTCGATGGTTGGCCAGAGTAAGTCACGCCGAGGCTGGACGTGCTGTCGTAGTAGATGCCACTGACCTGGCCGTGTTGGGATCAACTCAGCAATTCCACTTCGCGGGATTCAGTGACATTGAGTGGCTTCACTCGGCCGTGGCTGGTTCCGATCTACTCACTCGGTCAATGAAATAAAAGATATAAACAGAAGGAAGCCGTACAATCAGGCCTAGCTGTGTAGGATAGAATTCCTCCTGCAGACCTGCCCATTCTTCAGTCTCGCGAACAATCCAAACGTGGCTGATAACTTCATCTTCCATCAGTCGAAGATAGCAAGGGAACTCATTGCGTTTTCCAATTAACTCGATGACAAATCGAGATGGATCATCAATGCGTTGAAACACACACTCGAAGCCTTCGACACGGTAGTTCGTAAACGTAAAAGTCGTAATGCTGTACAGCCGATGATCTTTCTTCAAGAACGGAACATATCGCATGAACCCCGAAACCGTACTATATCTATAGCCTCTATCCCACTCGTCATGCGAAAAGTAGCTGTCCTTGGGATAGATATGACCTCTTGGAAGAGCAGGATTCCACATACAGTCATGGCCAAAGTCGTCAGTGTTGTTGTCATTGGCATACTTGTTTCCTATACCACCAAAGGCAGTATTCTCGATTTGATCCTGATTTTGTTAGACAAGACTGATAAAGAGCGGCAGCATACCTTTCCACTGAAATGAATCGTTTTAGACGAATTTGTATTCTGGATGAACCGTTTCCATTGATGTTCGGCCTTTGGATGCAGTCTTCCCAGCCATCCTGTCTTTTTTGTCGCCTGTATAGAACCTCACTGCACTCACGCCATAATTGGTGCTGGCTGTTTCGATTGTGCTCACTTCAGCCAGTACTTCAATCTGTCCGCTGCTACAAGAGGCCGTGGAGCCTACATGGATGCAGCTGAGGTACGGAACTCCCAGATGCTCACAGCTATACCCATGCAGCTCCATATTCCCGAGATTGACACCGAAAAAGTCCGTCTATATGTCGATCATGTACATACTTAACCTCTGTGCTCCGGTAGATAGCGATAAAGCCCCTTGCCAGCCAAGATTTCTCATCCAGATATTCCCAAATACGGAGTCTGAGTTCGATTGGTAATCTCCGAATAGAAATCAAACTTTTGTCAAGAGGTGGTGTCGATAAATCGAATATTTGAAAGGCCATCTCCAGCGTGTCTGGTTGATATAGCATTGTATCTGGGATAGATAGAGTGCGGCTCTGTTGAGAACTGATCATCGCATACCATGTCTCGAGAGATGCAGCATGTCCAGCCACTTTCCAGCAGAGATCATGCATACAAAACGACGGTTGGGCCTTGCGATGGTATCGGCGGAAAGCATGCAGTGGTCGCAGGGATATCATGACACGTTCCGCATTGGGCAGTCCATTGGAGGCATGGATGTCAATGCCTTCAAAGCCCGGATAAGCTGCGACTTTGCTGGCAAAAATACCATTCTCGTTCTGGACCACTGTTCTTGTCAGCCCATGTACTTAATTCCATTGGCCTATTCACAGGCTTGAAATGAGCTGTCCTTGATCAAGGTCTGGCAAAGAAGGCATTTTCTAGTCAGCTCATAAGTCGGATACGGACTGATCTGTCGTTGACCTTTCCCATGGTTGGTGATGATCATCGTTGTTTGACGGCTGCATCTTAGGATGTGCGATAAGCGAGGAAATAGCGGGGTAACAGGCAGCACCGACTCGCACTCCACCCCATCGTCTCTGTCATCTCTATCAAGTCTGCAATATCCGATCTGATAATCGTGTATCATATTTATCTCTGCTCTGTCACTTCCCCCGACTGCTGCTTTTACCCGAATAGGCAACTGGGCCAGCACACTAACCCCGGGGAATTATCGGCTCTTCCGGCAAGTCATTGAATTAGCCAGAAATATAAACCAGCGAATTCCTGCTTTCTCATCTCAACATCTAAACCATACAAACACTTCAAGACTACAGACACAATGGCTGCAACTGCAAAACGCCCTGAAATCATCGAGATCGCCCGCGGGCTCAAGGATGTCCCCATGTGCGAGGATTACGAAAAAATGATTTCAGGCATGATGTATGTACTCTTTATTTGATTTATTCTGTTTATTTACAACTCTCAGGTATAACCCCAACATTCCCAAACTGCTGGAAGCACGCCATCGCTGCCGTGGTTTGGCAGATGACTACAACAAACTCGATACCAAAACAGTCTCGTATGATAAAATCGCCGATGTTCGCCTCGACTTGCTGCGAAAGGTCGTTGGCAAAGTTGGCGATGGTACGTTTATAGAGCCACCCTTTCTGCCTGATTATGGATGCAACATTTCCATCGGACGTGACTGCTTCATTAACTGGAAGTGAGTATATCCTCAATATTCAATGCTCTAGCTAACCGTCCAGCTTGACGGTGTTGGACACGAGCCTGGTGGTGATTGGCGATCGAGTGCAGATCGGAACCAACACGAGTATCTTCACTGCCGGCCACGACACCAGCATTCTGTCGCGCAGGAAGTTTGTGGAATTCGGCCATCCGGTGTTTATCGAGGATGACTGTTGGGTCGGGGGCAATGTGGTGATTCTGCCAGGTGTTCGCATTGGACAGGGCTCGACGATTGGAGCTGGTTCGATCGTGACGAAAGATATCCCGCCGTTCTCAGTGGCCGTGGGCGCTCCATGCAGAGTGAGAAAGACGATTCCTTCCGCGGAAGAGGAGGAACAGGATCCGAATAACCAGTACCGGAATCTTGTTCGCGAGGATAGATAGACATTACGAGTTTCCATTGATGAGACGACTACCCACAGCAAGACGTGGGCTCGTTTTCTATTCCCACAGGACCAGCCTGTTTGGGAGAGGGATTCGATTGCATGCCAATGACCACTTTATACTGCCCCCAGTCGCAGAATAACTTGCCCAGGAATGCCCCGATAAAGATGGAGATAATCATGAAGCCATTGTAGTTCATCGCGATCAACATGATGATGTACGCCACGGCAAACTGCGCCATGTGGATGAACGAGCGGACAATCTGCTGTAAAGGACTGGCACGAAAGGTCATCACCATGGGCGTGTTAGTGTCGCCGCATGCAAAGCGATACTTGACATCGTCTGTCTGGGCTGCAACATGGCGCTGGAACTGTCGCTGGATGCTATCTTCGTAGTCTTTGGAAATGCGACGGAGAAACTCCAGGGTGATGACCAGAAAAGCAACGCCAATGCAGGAGACGGCAAACATGCCGGCGGAAGTGATGCGCCATGTGGCAGAGAGGAAGCCTAGCAATTAGCGAGTGTCGAGTATTTATTCCATCGAGACATACAAGAGTCGATGACTTCCCAATTCCACAGCATCTAGAGAGTTAGCAATTGTCTTGATCATGATCGATGAGTGGCTTACCGTCATGGAACACTCGTCCATGGACGAACTGGAACCCGACATGTCCATGTCCATCATTCTGGCTGACAATAACAAGAATAACAAGAATAACACAAGAATAACACAAGAATAATAACATCATAAAGGACAGGAGGAGTATTTAAATGGAAACCTTGGCATGAGCAGATTATGACTAAGCAGCTGCCACTTGAGCACATTTCTGGCTTGGCGTCTTGGCGCTGCACGCAAAACACATCCACTGTGGGTCTCAAATGAGATCCAGCGAGGCAAATAGAGTGGAGGGAGTCATACTGATAATCTCTCTTATGAATGCCCGTCTGGCCACTGGCTTAAAGGACGGCCTCTCGCATTCCCCTCCTCCCAATTCCACACGCTCCCACGTCCTGAGATGGACTCCTCCAAACTGCGCCGCCATGCGCACATCCAGGACTTTTCCGCCAATTCCACCTACGAGAGCCACTGGGGCTATTCGTCGCGTCAGGTTCCGTGCGTGCAGGATGAGGGGACCTGTGCGTATCTCGACTCGGTCTACCATGGCCATGACGTTTCCATGCTGTACAGCTTCATCTTGTGGGCGGTCATCGTGGGCATTCTCTTTCTCTGGGCTTTAGCACGGCGGTTGTTTCCTCTGTCTCGGACAACATACACAAAGCTGGCAGAGAGTGAAGAACCCCAAGCACCCCAGAATCCTGTATATCGCCTCAATCGGTCCATTCGATCGATATCCCGACGATATCTTCTTCCAGAGAGTTTCACCTCTCTGTTCGGACACACGACACGACTCCACCTTCTAGTCTTTGCCATTATTTCTGTCTACCTCACCATCTTTACCTTTGTCGGTCTGGTCTACAAAACATGGGTCACTCCTGTCAAAGGCTCGCCAGGTGTATATAGCACCCGGTCCAGTCTCGGAGCATGGTCAGATCGAATTGGAGTCATGGCATTTGCTCTCACCCCGTTGTCCGTCTTCTTGTCCAGTCGGGAATCCCTCCTCTCGTTGATCACGGGAATACCGTATCACCACTTCATGTTCATGCATCGATGGCTGGGATACATCATCTACGTGCAGTCTGCCCTGCACACCATCATGTGGACCGTCATCGAAGGCAAACTCTACCAACCACAGCCAACCCAGTGGAATTCCTTCATCAATCAGGAATACCTCATCTGGGGAATCGTCGCCATGATTCTGCTCACTTTCCTCGTCGTCTTCAGCACCCAATGGGGCATCAGACTGACTGGATATGAATTCTTCCGCAAGGCCCACTATGTCGTCGCGATGGTGTACATTGGTGCTTGCTGGGGTCACTGGGAACAGCTCTCCTGCTGGATGATTGCATCGCTGGCTGTGTGGCTGATTGATCGTACAATCCGGCTGGGTCGTACGTTTGCAATCCACCATTTCAACACCCCCGGCACCAACATGGCGTGTGGTTTCCATGTTCCCAGAGCCAAACTGTCTCTCTTTTCGAATGACGCCGATGGCGACGTTGTTCGTCTAGACTTTGAGCATAACCATGACGAATGGGAAGTCGGGCAGCATTTCTTCCTCTGCTTTCCCGAGTTGAGCGTGTGGCAGGCCCATCCGCTTACCCCGTGCAGTGTCCCTGGGCAGAGTCCGACTGGCCAGCAACACAGCTACATCATTCGCAGTCGAAATGGTATGACGAAGAAGTTGGCGGAATTGACTGTGCAGAGTGACACTCCGTCTACATCTGTCGTGCTATCCGGACCATACGGACAGTCGATCATGTGCAGCAACACGGAGGGAAATGAGAGCAACGTACTCTGCATCGCGGGTGGTACGGGAGTGTCATTTGTTCTACCAGCACTCATGCAAACAATTTCAGAAGTGGGAGAGCATCAGCTTGTGGAATTCGTTTGGGTCGTTCGACGAGAGAACGACACGCGATGGATTGAGAACGAGCTGAGGCAGTTGGAAAAGACAGCGTCCTCCATGTCGAATTTCAACATTCGCATCTTCGTCACCCGCGAAGGAGAAGCAACCTCGGAGTCTTCGTCCGCAGATGGATCTTTAGATGAGACAGAGAAACCAGCTGGAATCTCGTCTGTCTCAACAGATAAACGCCAATCTCTACGGATCCAGCACATGCCGTCTTCCACAAACAGTGCATCGCGACATCCTGATATCGGGGCATATTTGAAAGACTTTGTCGCCCGCACAGCTCACGGACCGACCTGTGTACTCGCCAGTGGCCCGTTGGGTATGATCACCGATCTGCGGACGGCGGTTGCAGACTGCAATGACCCAGCCAAGGTGTGGAGAGGCGACGAGCGGTTTGACGTCGAGTTGGTTCATGATGATCGACTAGAGTGGTGATTATTCTTTGTATATATTATTCGAGTACATATCAATACCCAAAATGATTTTTGACGATAGTTGTAATATCTTCTGTTTATTTATGTTGTCGGAATGTGCAACCCCGATATATATATATATATTACCGCACCACCAACACACCAACATATATGCAGCAACAACACCATCTAGCAACATACATAGACATCAAATCTATTACAACTCCTTATCACACCCAGATGCATCAGCACCAAAGCACCAGTTCCAGTTATCTCAAAGCCCCCCGAATCCAGCCGTCTCAGCTTCAAAGACAAACTGGCCACTAGTTCGTTTCCCGTTCGCCGCAGTCACCCACTAGTTATACGAGAGACTAACCATCGAGCCCTGCGATTCCGCCTGAATGAAATTCTGCAAAGGATTCCTCTTTTGGCCAATTCCAGTCGTGCCGTCCACACTATCCATCCATTGTGCCACCTGCAAACCGGTCATGGGCATTCCATGGAACATGATGCTGCCTAGCTCAGGATGATCGGGGAATGCGGCCAGGATCTCATCGACCTGGTCCCACATCTCACGCTTGCGAGCAGCACTGCTATCTGGATATTGACTACGGTAGGATGAGAATAACTCGATTCTGCCTTGTAAACATCGCAGGTTCAAAGATGTCTGTTATATCCAATCACAGTTACTGGTGTATAGCACCTGGAGTAACAGTATATTCTGTTTTAGTGCAACCACAGAACGGCATATCCCGCGTCCCGATGAGGCAGTCTGTTTTCCGTATCGGGTAATCGGGCAGCATGCCAAGGAAGCTTGGTTGGCCCCAAGCGAATCGAAGCATCCGGAACCATCGGATGATTCTTCATTCCATCATATGCTCATTCTGGATGATATGTTGACATTCGCCTGTTCGTGTGTGATCAAACAAAACCTTCATCCCCACTGGACCCTACGGTCTACCACACTTTGATCGTGACCGAGGCATATCACCATGCTTTTAAAGAGCAATGGTCCTTTGCAGGGATACGCATGCTTGTTGAAGACGCGGCGCATTGTGTGTTGTTTCTTGCTCCTGCGAATGGAATTTTTTGGGACTGCCAGGCCAATTTACAGAGTATGCCTTCACACTGCTGTCAAGTGCTAATCGTTATAGGGAAGCAGGTGAACTCTATGACTCGACAATCGGAGAAGAATATGAATTAAATAAACGGAGGTGCTTTATATCTGACCATAGACTGTAGATAAGAGTAGTGATAATTTTCCTGACATAGATCAACTGCAACGAGATTCATCTCTTTACTAAAGGTCTCCACTGGGCTATAATGCTCTAAGCAATGTTAGTAATCATACAAGGGCAAGGTGGCCGAGTGGTCTAAGGCGCATGGTTCAGGTTAACCTGAATCCCCATCACGCTTCGTGGTGAATTTCCATGTCTACATCAGTGGGCGGGGGTTCGAATCCCCCCCTTGTCATTCTTTTTTTCTTCTTTTTTTCTGCAAAACGTTATATACCCTCGGATCTCCGCATTTCCGCTCTATCCCCACACTCGAGACTGATTGATGCCTTTTGATTGTCGAGATTGTGTTCAATTGCCATGATGTGGAAAATTCTCCTATCTAGAACGACAGACACGACATTCTTTCAACATCAATCTGATCCATCACCTTCTATTCTGACGCAATGCAGATCAGTGTTATGCATCCCTTGCCCTTGCAGTCTGATTTTCTAGCTGCAAATCTGTCGATCAAACCCTGTTCAATCCAGCTCGTTTATTTAAGAGGGCTGATAGTCCTTATGTTTCGGATTCCAGATTCCTTGATGCTCACCCCATTACTCAGTCAACCCTGATCCCTCCCAGTCCACACTGAACAGTTATCATCTAGCGTGGTGGTTGTCTTCTGCAGCCATGAATGCATGCAATATTCGTCATCGAGGATTACGACGAACGCGACACCCGCCTGGATTCAGGGATGGCTGATGACGAGTGGGATGGGATCGCCAGGATGATGCGTCCGGTTGCAACGGGAAGCCGAGCAGCTGCAGGGATGTGAAGCTGCTCCATCGCGACTGATTCTCACGATGTTGACTCCGACCGATCGGCGGATCGCCGCTGCTATTGGAAACCTGCCGGGCGGTGAGCGTCTTTTTCTTTGCCACGGACATAACGCAATTGTCCGAAATACCGACTCTTCGCTCTTCTTTCTGTCGTCTTTTCTTCCTCTCTTCTTCTCTTCTCTCCTCCCAGATGATAAATTTCAATCCTATCCCTTCAATCGACACAGGACAAGCTCCTGTCGCCTCGTGACATGCCAGAGCCATCCAACCCCGGCGTGGGCGCAACCGTCCACAATGGCGTCGACACTCCTCTCTCCAATCGCTCCTCCTTCTCTCTTCTGACCACGAATCCTGCGACTCCTGCGACCGGCGCACAAACCCCAGATCCTCTCTTGAACCCCCAGCCCGTCGTCAATGAAGATGCGCTGAAGAACCTCCACTTTGGCGAAAATGGCTACGAACTCGAGACCAGAACGGAGCAGCATTTGACGAACCGAAAGCAGTCGGTCTCGCAGCATGTTGAGCCTGACCCAGAGTCACGACCGGCTTCGCCCAAGGGCAAGACTCAGGGTGTACCCCCCGAACTGCGCAACTTTACTTCAGAGCTTATCCTCATCACCGTCTGTTCTGCCGGCCTCATGTTCTTCTCCTTCTTCCTGGGTGACATCCTCGTCAACCAGCAGAAATTCCGTGAAGTGCTGGGCATCAAGAATACAGAACTGCCGTGGTTGGTGGGCGCGTTCAATGTCGCGAATGGATTGTCAGTTGTTGTATCTGGCTCCCTGACGGATTTAACACCCCCAAAAAGCCTCATGGTCGGGGCATTTGCGTGGTTGACTGTCTGGAATATCATCGGGGCCTTCTCCCTCCACCCATCACGATATATCCTTTTCTTTGTCATGCGGGCCATGCAAGGACTGGCGATTGGTGTCTTGGTGTCTGGCAGCATGAGTATTCTCGGTCGGATTTATAAACCGGGTATTCGCAAGAACCGTGTGTTTTCGGCCATGTCTGCCTGTGCACCCTTTGGGTTTTCTCTGGGAGCGATTCAAGGTGGCGCCCTCCATTCGCACCTGGAGTGGATTTTCGGGACAAATGCTATCATCACTGCTATGTGCTGTGTTGGTGCATACTTTTCCATCCCAACTCTTCGCCCAGTGGCCGATGTTGCTGGCGCTGAAGCCCCCTCTCTTCGCGAATTCGACTTTATCGGAGCTGCTTTTGCTATTGGTGGCTGTGTCTGCTTGCTCTTTGGATTGACACAGGGATCCGTCACCAAGTGGTCGCCTTACACATATGCACTGATTGCCGTTGGCGTTGTTCTTTTGGTTGCGCTTTTTTTGTATGAGAAGCGCGCCCGTCGTCCATTGATTCCCACCCGTCTCTGGAATACGACAGGGTTCACTCCTCTGATGGTGGCGTACTTCCTCGGGTTCGGTTCCTTCTTTGGTGCCTGGCAATTCTACGCTATTCAATTCTGGTTGCGGATCCAGCATGCAACCCCTATTGCAGTGGCATTGTATCATATCCCCAACGCTGTTGTGGGTGTTTTGGCCACCTTCATCGTCAGTCGGACTCTCCATATCATGCCAGGCCATTATATCTACACAGCCTCCATGTTTGCATTCACCCTTGGACCAGCCTTCTTCCTCCCGCAAACCCCGAACACGACCTACTGGGCTCTTTCATTGCCAGGTGTTGCGCTTGTCACTTTCGGTCCAGACATGGCCTTTGCGGCAGCATCCATCTTCATTACGAGTAACGTTGCCCGGTCGTATCAAGGAAGTGCTGGCAGTTTGCTCGTGACCAACCAGAATCTATCCTCTGCCATCATAACTAGTATTGCTGATGCAATCGGCACCAGAGTAGATCCCACTCCAGATGGAGAGGTGGGACTGGATGGTCTCAGATCGATCTGGTGGTTTGCGCTGGGATGCCAGCTACTTGCCGCGTTGATCACGGTGGTCTGGGTACGTATTCCAAAGGAAGAGGAGAAGGAGCACGTTACTTGATTTGCCTTACATACACTAGACGATATACATAAACCGGATACATACAGATAGATGATGACTTGTACATGGACGTCATGAACGTCGGGAATAAAAGGGACATACCGCCCATCAATAATTCTCCCAGGTATATATATTACATCAGTCCACCATAGTGATCCCCTTCTCTCTCTATCTCTTCATCCTGATCGATGTAATCCTTGAACTTGTCCATTTCTGATTGTTTATGTTGAGGTTCAGGCTGTTCGGCGTGGTCTTCATGGTCTTGAGATTCGTTCTGCTTCTCATGGTGATCATGGTGGAACAAGCGGTCCATGAAGCTGTGCTTGTGTTGGGGGTTGGATTCTGAGCTGTTAGACCATGCATGCTATAGATTGAGAGTGACATACCTTCAGGCATGATGTTGATGTGGATGTAGACTGTTTCCTAGAATTGTCTTATCTAAAGTTGGTTCTCAGAGGAAGCACTTATAACAGTACCATGATACTTCAAGCCAGTGGAGCATTGCATCACGACTCGAGATGAAATGCGGAGAAAGTTTAATCGGCTGGAATGGAAGATATTACATTCGTCATGGCCCATTTGGGCTGTTTTGATTGGTTAGCGAGGCTGGTCTGGACTGGGCGATTGAATTGGCCAATCATGTTGGAGTTTATATTGAAATAAAGATGTTTAAATAGAAATGCTCTTGAAGACACTGACTATCAACTATACAAAGAGATACATCATACTAAACATGACCAATTGTGACCAGACTCAAAGTCTGCTGGCAAAATGAGAGTTCTTTCCTCCATACAGATCTTGATGCTCGGCCTTGATGATATCGGCGCCCTATGCATGATTAGCTTCATTTCACTTCTTCCGATGGAAAATGCTCACCTTTTCTCCAATCATGTAGACCGAGTTCTGAATACGACAGTCGGGAATCACAGGGATGATGGATGCGTCAGCGATACGGAGGTTTTTGATGCCATGAACCCGAAGTCTGGAGTCAACAACGCCTTGACCGATATTCTTCGAAAGACGGGCCGTTCCACAGGGATCTAGAGAGTCAGTGTCATTTATTTGCTGTAAAGGAAGATGCCTTACGGAATCCAGTTTGGCTGCGGTCGAGGACGGCCTTTTTCATTTCCTCATCCGAGTCAAGAGGCATCTCCCATGGATACTCATTTAGAACGATATCCTTGAAGCCAGCCCCCTTGGTGAGAAGATCGTAGGTCCATCGAACACCCTCGCGCATAGCCAGAATGTCCAGATCAAGTCCGAAGAAGTTGAGGTTGATGTTTGGCTGCACGAGAGGATTGTTGCCATTGAGAGTGACTTCACCTTCGGAGAGGGGTCGAAGCAGATCGACGATGACGGTCATGTAATTTCCCTCTTTGGGCACTGGATAATGCCACTGGAAGGCCGAGCTGAACATCCCGACAAAGTCAAGCTCAAAGTGAGGCTGGCCGGCAGGGCCAAAGGGGTCTTTGCCTTTATTGGCGGCTTTGGCTTCACGATACTCGGGGTATTTCTGCAGGCGTTCATCGATACGAGGGAAGCCGACTAGCTCGAGCAGTCCAGAACCGACAGGCCCGGTCTTATCGTGCTGGTAAGCAGCCACCGCGGCATTGTTGAGCGGACCAGTCCGGAGAAGATGATCGTCCAAACCATATCCATCCTTGATCTTCAGCACAAAAGGAACGATGGGATGGTCGAGAAGATGCTGGCCGACATGGGGAGAATTGACCAGCACATCCACACCATGCTTGGACAGTTCAGCTGCAGGACCAACACCGCTCAGCATCAGCAGCTTCGGGGTCTCAAACACGCCCTGGGAAATGATGACTTCGCGGGAGGCATACACGCTCAGCTCAGTCCCAGTTGTGGCGTTGATGACGGTTACACCGGCGCAGGTGTGCGTTGTTGGGTCGATGATGAGGCGTTTGGAGATGGCGCCGGAGAGGACGGAGACATTGGGCTTGTTCTTGAGAAAGAGATAGCTGCCCTGCCGCTGGCCTTTGTAGATGGTATCGACACAGTGGGTGAGACCTTTCATTTCGCCGGAGTAGATATCCTCAGTCAATGACTCGCCCTTGGACACCCACGCTTGAGTGAGGGCATCGCGGAATGGCTTCATCTCGGGAACCAGCTCGGCATGGGAGATCTGCAGGGGTCCCCCAGTTCCAATCTTGCTGAGTTCATTGGGATACAGCTTCTCGTCATCATGGTAGGTCGCGCACTTGCGGAGATAGTCGACGCAGTTGTCCCACGTCCAGTCCTTGCCTCCAAACTCTTCCCAGTCGTCAAAAGTTGGCTTCGATCCGGGAATCCACGTAAAGTAATTGGCGCACGAACTTCCACCAAGTGTCTTTCCACGCGTGTTGGGCTTTTCGATGCGCTCGTAGTCGTCGCGTTTGATCATCGTCGACTTGTATGCCCAGTCATATTGACTTCCTCGGAGACCAAATGCTTTCGAAGGAGTGGTGATCTCGTCTATCTCGTCAGGGTTGGAGATTCCAGCTTCGACGATGAGAATGCGGACATTGGGGTTTTCGGCCAGACGACCAGCGATGGTGTTGCCAGCGGTGCCACCGCCGACGATGATGAAGTCGTATTTGGACTGAGTGGCCATGTTGATAGAGGAATGGATGATTATTGAAGAAGGGTGAAAGAGTTGGATGATGCGAAAGATTGATGGCAGCGATGCAGTATTTATCTCTTTTCATCATGCTGATGCCACCGGAAGAAGATGCCGTCTGCAGCTGTATGACTCCATTCTCTGCAGGGTGAGGCAGTAAAAATCCATCTCATACAGACCATTCTGGCCACAGCCAGAGTCACACCGATGCTCTGTTGATGATGGACGGGCATATTGGGGATGCGGAGATCCCTCGGACTTGGTTCGGTGGGCAGCTTCCCCTCATGAGGGGAAGTTCTCCTCACGAACAAGTCTTTCGAAAAGTTTTCTAGAAGAATTTGACCATGTTAGTTTACATATTAGTTTATAGTTTGGAGAATCGGTATACCAAAGCCGAGATGTGATCATCCAACAATGAAGAGGATATTGCAAGAGATGGCCTTTGCCGATTCCGAAGCCGAGCAAACGCCGCAGCCAATCCAACCATGACAAGATGATCTCCAATTCTGCTCCTGTGGATTTCAGTATAGCTTGATGTTAAAGAGGGATTCTTAATGTATTTAGAAATCATATGTCATGCTACTGACAGCCTCCGAGTCGTACGTATCATTGGTGAAATGGTCTTGGAGGTTCTATTCCAGAATACGAATTGATCTGCACTGCTGTTTATACTCGGTCTAACCGCTTGTTAGAGGGCCTTGCATAACTGAATATCTAGAATGCTGGTGTTATGCATATGCAGTCATAAACCATAGACTGTGACATACATGTAGTCAGCCTACATAAAATGCATTGCAAGATGTGTGTATATCCATGCATCTACTGCCTATATAGATAGGATGTCTCCCAACCGAATCGCATTAGAATTCTCTCATCCCTTTCATTCCATCCAAGGACACTGATATCGCCATGCATCTCACATGTGCTATTGTCGCCTTGATGGCCGCCTCTGCCATGGCCGTAGCCACGCCCGCGGAAGATGGCACTGGACCTGGCTGGCCGAACTGCCCTAATGATTGGAAGCATTGCGGTGTATGCTGATGTCCATTCAACCATTATACAATATGTTTGATGTTTTGATAATAGGTCTGCAACGGCGTGAGTTGCAACGTTATGGGTATCGACTAGTATGTTCCCTGTCTTCTACCCTCTATCATTTACTCATAACTCGATATAGTGAATGCCAGAATGGCACCAGTGTAAGACAGCAAGATTCTATCATTTCATAATACACAAACAGACAATTTATAGTGTATTATTGGCCCTGGAAGTATAGATATCCCATGTGGAACGAGTGGGGGACTTGGACCCAGGGAGTGTCCTACAAAGGAATGATTTATCGGTGGCATCGGTGTTATACATGTTCTTCCAGATGAATAGTTGAACTCAGCCTTCTTCTACTTATACGTCTCTGATAAGGAAAAAATGCTACCTGACCCCACCGTGTTTATCTTGCCCTGCAAGTCACCGCAGCTGCCGCAGCCTTGTTGCATCGAGTCTAAGGCCAATAATAACTCAACACATCGCAAGGCAGCTGACGTGGCTTCAGTCAGATAAATAGATAAAGGGTGTAGAAAATGAAAAGAGTTTCATTGTCTCCCAATATCCATTTCAGATTCTACTGCTTGAAGCAAACCGCATATCAACTTTATTATTTGAACTCTACACCGATCTGAGTCGCTATTTCAACATGGAGGGAGCTTTTGGCAGGTATGAAGTCCCGACTTGGTAATTAACGCGATGCTCATCATGTGCAGATATATCACCTCCCCATTATTCACCTTTCAAATCGGCCCCGACAAGAAGGAAATCACAGTGCACTCTGCTCCTCTGGCCAGACTTTCGCCAACACTCGATACACTGATGAATGGCAGAATGAATGAAGCAAAAAGTAGACACGCTCACTGGTCCGACGTCGATGAAGACACATTTATTCGGTTATGCGAATTTGCGTATAATCGCGACTATACGCCGCCTTCTTGCGTCGAGTTTACGCAAGACCCTCCTATACTCCAAGATACCGACATGACTATCAGGAAGAAATCGGCTTCGATAACAAGACGGAAAAAGTGGATGATGAACTATGACGATGTCCCGCCAGCGCCCGACTGGGATGAACCTGAACCTGTACCTGAACCTGAACCTGAACCAGAGCCGGTGGCCGAGGGGGAAGTGCCAGTGGAGGACTGCCAATTGCCATACACAGAGAAGAGCATATGGACTCGACATCTGCATGATGCATTTAAAGAGTCGATATTGCATCCTTTCCCTGCCGATGAGAGCCCAACCGATACATTTCGTCCGAGGGGAAATGTCAGCCCAAAGGAGGATTTTACGCCCGTCCTCTTGGGACATGCTCGACTCTATGTTTTGGCCGATAAATACGGCATTAAACTTCTCCAGTCGCTCGCTCTCAACAAGCTATATCACACCCTCAAGAGCTTCAAGTTGTACGAACGCAGTGTGGGTGGGATTATTGAATTCGTTCGATTCACATATGCCAATACACTGGGAGATGTCTATGGTATAGACGACCTGAGAGACTTGACCAGACGATATATGGTTTCGGTTATTGGCCAGCTTGGAGGGAACAAAGAATTTAAAGAGTTGCTGGGCGATGGTGGTGATTTTGTGGTGGATTTCTGGGATGTCGTGTGGAGGGACAATGGATATTCTGCACACCGGAAGGTGAACGGTGGAAGGACCCTGAATGGCTACACTCTACTGAAATAGTACCGTATAAGCAGGTCATATCATGACTCTGCAGGATTCAACATGTCTGCAATCTTAGTTTCTAGACTTTGCCAACCAATCTGACTGTATATTCTCCACGCGATGCTCCTATGTGGGCTCATGAGTGCAGTAAAAGCTGAGTGGTGGTATTCTCGTCCGTCAGCCATACGTAGTCAAGATGTCAGAATGATGGCAACATTCTTATTTATATCTGTAATTCGAAGACATTCTCAACGTGCTGAACTACTATCTAATTAAAATATTAACTAGGTACTAATGTCACATTGTAAGTTGTCCTACCTAATCTTAAACCCAGGCTAGCATACCGCAATGGATAACAATACCTTTAAATGCATCAAACATGGAAAGGACCTGGCAGGCCTGGATGCTGCCATTGGGCACTTACGCCAGGCCATGTCAGCTTCATACGGCGGCCTCGCCAGGGTACAATAGATGGACATGGGCATTTATGGTACTGTTCGATTGCAAATCCAACTCTATGAAAAGCCATCAGAGCTAGAATAACAGAATAAATAATCTATTGGGTAAGTACTAGAATGATAACTATGTGACCGTTATTATTAACATGAGGAACTTGGTGATCCATTCATAAATAAGGCTGTGGCTGTCAGATTACAATCCTGGCCAATCATCCAGCTGTGCTGCATAAACAAAGCACTCGCACGTTTCATTTTGTACGACAAAAGAAGGAATTCACAGCCTCGCCGGCCTCCATCCCTTTCCTCCCTTCCCGCTGTTTCTGTCCCCTCCCCCTTCGGCAATCAACTTATCTGCATGCTGCATTGCTTAATGCATTCCAACGATACTTTATTTCCATCTTCCCTATTAATTCACGCGTTCAGAAAGCTCCATCATGTCGACTAATCATGAACACTCAGCACTCGACTCTCCACAAGACCCTGGCAATAACATCGACCTACACCCTCCGGAGCCACTGCAGCCAACGCAAAGTAACGCAAGCAACAACAGCAATACAGATTCAAAACCCGAGAAAGAAGAGACAAGGGTCACAGAGAGTGAGAAAAAACCGCCAGACACGAGGCATACAGGCAATAAACATGACTGGGCAGGGTCTTGGACCTGGGAAATCGGAGGTGCCATTCTGAGTGTCGTCTGCATCGGCCTCTTGTTTGGCTTTCTTGGATACGTCAACGGAATGGCATATGAGCGCTGGGAGTACTCCATATCTCCTAATGCAGTAGTCTCCGTTATTGCTGCCTTTGCCAAAGCCTCAATGCTGATCCCAGTTTCTGCGTGCCTGAGCCAGTTGAAGTGGAAGCAGGACCGACAGGAGAGACCCATGCAGCTTTACCATTTCCATGTCCTCGACCAAGCCAGCCGTGGCCCATGGGGTGCCCTCGAGGTATTCTGGAGAATGAAGTCGACTCTGCCAATGGCAGGAGCAGCATTGACCATCCTGGCTGTTGCTCTGGATCCGTTTGCACAGCAGATTCTTGCATTTCCCTCGCGTGAAGTACAAGCGCTGGATGAAACAGCATATGTCCAAAGGGCTCAGGTTTATGCTCCTGAATGGGGATCGCGAGGACACGAGGATGAATTCAGAAACACATTGGCCGTGCAGCTGGATCCGACCATGCAGACTGCGATTCTGAGTGGTCTGGCACAAATCAACCGTCCTCTTGAACCGGGCTGTTCCTCGTCCCACTGCGAGTATCCCGACTTTGCCACGCTGGGTGTCTGCTCCCACTGCGACGATGTCACTGAAGGCACCATCCAGACCTGCCAGCCATATGCAAGAAACAGCTCCGGTGCGTTTGCATTCGGTGTTCTTGATAAGAAAAATGCGTCAACTCCTGCCAACTGTTCTTATACAACCCCGAGTGGCTTTACCTTCATGCCAGAGACCTTCGACACCAGTTTCCTTCCCCCATTCACCCATCCTAGTGTGGAGATCACCCGCCAACCATGGACGTCGATCACAACCTCCAAAGGGCATCAGCAGGATGACTCGGGCTTGCTCGTGTCATTCTTCACCGCGAAATACTCCCACAAGATAGTTTATACACCGGATAATGCTACCGCAGTCGAGGAGAAGCCGACGATGACCGAGTGTTCAGTGCACCTTTGCGAAAAGCAGTACACAAACAACCACATCACAGATGATGATCATACTTTTCAACCTTCAAGAAGTCAACCCCTGAATGCAAACGGAAGCGGAAATGCTACCAACGGATACACCATCCAGCTCATTCCTCCGGATGGGACCAAGACGGTTTCAGACAATTCAACCTACGCCATGGATTATCGAACATATGTAGACCTCATCCATATGCTGGAATCGCTGTTCAACACTACCTTTGTCCAGGATAACTCGTCTCGCAATGGCAGCTCTTACTCGACGCTTCCTGGTGTTCAATCTGCTCCGGTCCTTTACAACAGCCGTAACATTACCGAATCGATAGCCGCCATGGCCACGAGTATGACAGACAACATCCGGTCAGGTATTCGGGCTACCCGCGTCGACGGACTCGCCTACCGGACTGAGACGTATATCCACGTTCGATGGCCGTGGATTATTCTTCCAACAATGTCAGTAGCTTTCTCGATCATCCTCTTCATCGCGACCGCAGTAGTAAGCCGAGGCCAACCGGTTCTGTGGAAGTCTTCCATTTTTCCGTTTCTCATGGGGCGGTTGGAAACGGTCCCAGACCATGATATTGCAAATATTTACCATGTGGACCAAGTGCAGTCCATGTCGAAAAAGATCAACGTTGTGGTGGAGGGGCAGGAAAATGGCCCTCTTCTGTTTGCCGAAAGAGAAATGACTTGATATTTCATATTTTCTATCCATACACAAGCTGCACATGAAATAGTTTATCCACCGCAGCCACCTACGTAGATACTATACCTCGTACTATGGAAAGATGGGATAGTTTTGAAGTGTCAAGAAAATACAACTGAATCTATTACTATGATGCTTAGCATGGTCTATCATTCAATGATAAGGTGTAAATTTTTACTATAAAATGTATTGATAATCAAGTAGTAAAACAGAATTGAAAGATATCTCATCCAAACAGTCTAGATTGTTTCACTCAAAAAATCAGCACAGTAGCTGTCAGCTTAGTAGACGGGCAGCTTGAATGCATCAAAGGTGTAGGTCCAGGTGTCGATGGACTTCTGGTCGTTGACACAGTCGAAAGAGCTGCTGTTGCTGTGCCAGAGAGGACGAGTGGGCCACTGGCAGAGCATCTGGGTCTCACCGGCATGGTCACCGGAAGAAACGGTAGCGTTGAGACGGCTGGGCTTGACGTTGTTCTCGACCCAGTTGATCATGATCTCCATGTTGTTCTCGGGGTAAGGACCGGGCTGGAGGCTGTTGGTGCCACAGTGGGCAGCGCCGGGGATGAGGTAGAACTGGTACCAGTCGGCGAGCGCCTTGAGGCTCTCAGACTCGGAGAGGTTGCCGTACATGACCTCACGAACGGCCTGCCAGTAGTGGACGGACGAGGCAGTGGGGATACTGGGGTCAGATTCACCGTGGTAGTGGATGAGCTTACCGCCAGAGGACTGGAAGGTGGTGAGGTCGGGGATGGTGGTCTGCAGGCTGTCCATGTAGCGGATCATACCGGTGTTCATCCAGTCCACGAGAGTGTCGTAGGTGACATTGTCGAGGTTCTGGAGGTTGTCGATGTTGAGCAGCTGGACGAACTTGGTGACGTATTCACCGCCGGTGGAGGGGATGCTGAGCTCCCACTTCTTGGTGTTGTTGTTCCATTCGGTGGTGGCATCGCTCAGCTCAGCGGCGATCTGCCACGAGAGATAGGCACGCTCGCCCTTGGAGTTGTGCAGACCGTTGTAGATGGTCTGGGCGAGTTTGATACCCTCGGCAGTGACGGTTCCGTTCTGCTCGGGCTGGTAGCTGGTGGTGCTTCCTTCAGCACGCTTGCTGAAGCCGAAGCCGAGAGAGGTGCTGGTCTTCGCGGCGCAGTGGTACGGTTGGCCAATGATGGAGGTGAGATTGAAGTTGAGCATGCAGAGATCGGTACGAGAGACAACACCGTCAGTGCGTCCGTCGAGAGGGTCACAGGCAGCAATGGTGGCGTTGACGATCTTGTCCAGTTCGCAAGGCGGAGGGTAGTAGTCCATGGTCTTCTCCACAGCAGACGAAAAGACGTGGTGAACCTGCTGCTGGGCGAAGCGGAAGGCAGGGGCACCGGTGATGGCACCGTCGTATTCGTCGCCATAACGCTGGATCTGGCTCATTCCCTCACGGCCACCGTCGGAGCATCCCTCGTAGTAAGTGTAGACCTTGTCGTCGGAGGCCATTCCGTAGAAGCCCTTGGTGAGGGTCTTGCCCAGCTTGGTCATCTCGCCCAGCGCCTGGTAGCCGAACATGTAGGTGGCATCCCAGTTGATCGATCCGTTGCCGTAGAGAACAACCTCGTCGTAGCTCTGGTCGAAGGCATCGTAGCCAGCAGAGGTGGCACCACCAACGGCACCATATCCGAGACCACCGGTGGCATCACTCGAGAGGGAGAAACCACCTCCACCAGCAACGTAGAATCGCTTCTTGAAGTCGGAAGGCTTGGGGAAGGCGTATTTGACGACAACGGAATCGCCCTTGCCGGTGTGGGTGTAGGTGACGGTCACATTGCAGTAGGTGTAGGTCTCGGTGCTGCCCATGCCGGCGGAGGCATTGTAGACAGCGCCAGCAGTCACGGCGGAGGGGATCATGTCCATTCCCAGCAGAGTGCCATTGGAGGGAAGGGCAGACTGCACGTTGGAGACGGTGCAGACATCGGAGAGAGAGGCTGCGTTGGCTGCAGCTGCCAGAGCAGCCACAGTGGCGCCTTGAATGAGACGCATTGTGATAAAGAATGAATGGATTGAATGTGTTGACGAGCTGGTACTGATCGGGGATCGTCTATAGATATTTATATTCCGATCAAAGCTTCAAACAATTCTCCGATGGGTCCATCATGCCCTACGAGGCATCAACAATCCTTCAGTGCCGTCGTCATCCATTTGCGCAGCACGGCACAGCACCGAAAGGCTGCGTTTGAAACAGAATAGCACGACTTGGCAGGCGCAATCCTGCTCAGGGCTATTCAACTCAGATCAACCAGCGTCGGACTATGGTCTGGTTCCTGCGCTGCAAAACTCCGGGGTTTCTCCCTGGCGTGGTTGCGCTGGATTTCCAGTATGCGGCGGCAAAGATCATATCCGCCATTGGCTGAAGAGCAGTGGGGGCAGCCTGTGATTGGCTGAAAGACAAGTGGACCGCGTCATTTGGCGAGTTTAAAATTAGTTAAATTTCTGCTGGAAGCAAAAGTGACGCGTCCATTGCCCCTGATGCCCTGATAGACCCTGATGCTGTTACTGATATCTTGATATTATACTGTTGTTCTGATGTTCAGCAGTGGATTCAATTACAGAATATTATTCAGTAGGATTAATTAACTGGTTAGTCTCTGCTGACGCGGCCGGAATTGAATATAACCATAATCAGCCCCAGACAAAGTATGCAATGGATCTTATCTGATCAGTCATTTTGCGCTCTGGAATGTTCGATTCTTCTTATGCTTAAATTAAACTCTCTGGCTACACAATCTTGCCTATTGCGGCCGGCCTGTGCGTGTGCAGTGGCGCAGGTCTCTGTATATTAAAATACCTGACTCCATTGCCACGATGGAAAAGTTGATAAAAATGATTTCAAGTGGATCATGCTTAAGTTTAGCGTCGTTTGAATGTCGGGCACTGAGCTGCACTTTTCCATAATCAGTGTCTTTGTCCGCCGATTCGGGTTAGCAGAGAATTCTTTGGGCTTTTCAGTTGTCTTGATTTTCAGCAGCAGTGCCAAGTACTGCTTGTCAATAGCTGTCAATTCAGTCTTGCAGAAGCATCTCTTTTGTCATCTAATTGATAGATATAATGCTTAAACTATAATATATGATACTTATAAGGATACACTGTATACTGTTAAACTTATATAAAGGCTTATGGGAAAATTATCAGGCTGTTTTCATGTTTAGCTTATTACTGGTTCGGTTCTTGGATATATATAGAATGGTTTGTATACTAGAGAATACCTTATTTTCTCATTTCCACACACACTGAATATTCATCTGAAGGATGTTACAACTCAACACAGGCTCCATATCATGGCAATAAAACTCTGTAGTGACCCAATGCAATCATCAAAGAACGATAGATAACAGGACAACAATCAAGTATTAAGATCCCACCCCAACAACAAAACTCGAGTCCATCCAGAAAGAGCAGGCGAGAAGAATAGGGAAAGAAAATGTAGAGAGCTTGAGACTCAGTACCATCATCAGATGTATATATCCCAGAACAAGGATAGAATAATGTTGCAAGCCTGAGCACAGACCGAATCCACGATAGATAGTTCCACGTTTCATCTTAAATTATAGTAATACTCATGAATTTCATCTTTAGATTCAAACATTATTCTGTCAGCACCTGTGATACTAGATTCTGGTTCATCTTCCTCTCAGGTTGTTGAAAAGATGTGATAACTGTATATATACTGGTTAGATATAATACTGATGAATTAAAAAGACCGAACATGGTCCTTACACATTCATTGAAACGCCTAGTGAAGCCTATGCTGCGTTGTTCATAATCCATTTTATCGGTTTCGTTCGGGAGCACCCCATCTTCAACACAGTCTCTAAATTGTTCAATTTCAGGGCATGCATTAGGAGAATCTGCGCATGCTTTCTGACTCAAAGAATTTATACAATCAGTGACACATTCAGTGTACTCTAGGCCACACTTCTCAATGACGTTTTGTGAGATAGTTTCCTTTCTGTGCGTCGGATTTGCGAGGGCAAGACTGATTATCATGAGATAGGACAGCAGAATGTTGATTTTGCTTCCTTGCAGTGGGCGCCCCTAATAATTGGTTCGGAGCAGTCAGAATACGGCAATAAACGAGGAAAGCACCGCTGTTATACAATTGCTCAGCTAAATTTAGGATTTACATGAAAACAGAAAACTAGTAGATTGATACTATTCTCGTCACAACAATGTCAATATAGTTTACAATTTTCCCCATTTGGAAGGATGTGGAGAACCCACTCCAATAATTAAGTGATAGAGCTGCTAGCGTGGTTTACAAGTGATCAAATTGAATAGTTTGAAATTCAATAATCCAATCAAGCCACGCTGGTGTAATTATATAGTAATACAAAATACAAAAGACCTTAGGGGTGTGATGAAGATGTGCTTGGTGAGGATCCTGCATACGAGAAATAATTGGTCAAAAGTCCTGTAAAATCTGGGTTGACTGCCAATTTACACCGAAAAAAGTAATCAATGTACATCGTAAAATATAACATCTGTATATCATCACCTTTGCTGCAACCATCTGACAGCCACTAAACAAATGACAGAAGTGGCATACGATACACCCGAGAATACAATCAATCCCCAATACTTTCCATCACATTGATGGATGAGTTCTCCTGCAATGGGAACACCAGTCAACGCCCTATACACAGTCAGTCAGCTGGTCAAAAATAGCCGGAGGATACATACGCAATACTGGCAATCGTATAAATCACTGCATATGTTCGTCCGTAATTCTCAACCTTGCACAGCTCGCCTATACAGACTGGCGCAAGACCGATGGTACTCCCACTTGCGAACCCAAAGGCGACAGCAAAGACGACGACAACCGCCACCTTTCCATCAGCCGGTAACCATATTGCCAATAGGGCAATGACACAGAGAACATTCGCCCCGATCATCGTGTTGAATCGACCGAAACGATCTGCGACGATGCCGGGAATCCAGCGACCGAAGAAAGAGCCGACATTGAGAAAGACAGTCATATCGTAGGACAGACCGCGCGAGATGCCATACGCCAGGGAGTAAGAAGAGAGATAATCAAGACCGACAAAGAAGGCCCACTCCATGAAGAAAACAGAAGCAGCGGTTAGAATAATTGCCGGACTGTTGAGGATAGTCATAGTAGGGAGCACTGTGGACATATTCATAGGCGTAGGAGGAAGACGAGGCCGAAGGAGGATACAACCAGCCACAAGGAGAACAACCGTGATCAAACCGACTGCCTGGACAGCCCACTGATAGCCAATGCGGACGGCAAGATGCTCGAAAGCCAAGGGGAAGATGATGCCTCCAATACTACCACCAGATACGGCCAATCCAGTTGCTGTGCCACGTCGTCGATTGAAATAATGGCTCAGACAGGAAACGGGGACGATGAAGATGAACGACGAAGCCAGCCCAGCAAGGAATCCGATCACGACGAGAAATTGCCAGTAAGCCTGGCAGAAGCTCTGAAGAACAAAGCTGAGGATAAATAGAAGCGTCCCTGCAATCATAAGCCATCGAGGCCCTTGAGCATCGAAGATAGGACCGATTTGAACACCGCAGAAGAAGGACATGGCATTATACACGCCAAAGATCCAGCCGACTTTGGCTTTGTGGACATCGTGAAGTTGGTGTGTTGATATCCATGCCTGATAGATGCCAATACTGTTCATATAACCCAGTCCGCCGAGGAGAGAGAGAAAACTTCCCAGCAGGACTAAATTGGCTGTACGGCCGCCTTCAGGGAAGTCTGAAGATGCTTCAGACGAGGAGTCGATGTTGTCTTCAATGTGTTTCTCATGATGAATATGGGCATTCCCTTTTTCTTCGGATGGTTGCATCAAGCAGATTGTGGTGACGCTAAAGAGGTAGATTTGACCGAGTGAGCGGAATTAGAGATGTGTTAACCTGATGGATGGAACACGCCATCGCATACCAGGGAATATTAAGAAAGGGGTTAAAATGCAAGGATAGACGCAAGGGGCATCTGATATCAACGATTGTCTACACGTGTTGATGCATACCCGATGGCTTGGTTACACAGAGAATAGTGGATGGAACTATTGACGATCACTTAGTCATGCCTGAATAGAATTCGGACACAGAAACGAATGCTCGAAACTGATGTATAAAATGGAATATTTTACTACCCAGGTAATGTTGATGAAATAGAAGTGATCTAGATGAGCATATATACTTGGATACTGGTTAAAATCTCATGCGGGCAACTGACCCATTCCACGGAATGGCAAGAACGGGCGAGATACACAGCAGAAAATACGCAAGTCATTCAGCTGGTTACAGATCATATTTTTATCCTGCATTGTGATTGGCCACAGCCATACAGACTGCGTGGGTACATCTATTGAAGACAAAAGACATTCAGATTGAATTCAGTGAACTTCCGAATAAAACTGTCAATATTCACTACAAAAAAAGCTAATTTCACATGGAATGTCCCCGCACCTCAGCAGACAGCAAGAGTACCACGGGGCAATGGCTGATTATAAGTTTCTACAGACCAAAAAGTTTGACGGGAGGACATAAATAAGAATATCTAATAATGCGTTGCTGCGCCGAGGGCGTGCGTGTATATAGATTGCCATCACCAAAATTATGCCGCAATCGCTCTAGAAGTAAGCCTAGGTATCTACATAGACCCCACCTCAGGCCCTAACTTGGATACGTCTGAGAATGCCGGTAGCTCTTCACTTTCCGGCCCTTTCAACATATTCAGCTGCATTTGGGGCACACCAGCTCCAAATTGAAACTGAAAACCAGAAGGAAGAGAGAGATTCCGTTTGTGAGCGTCCTGGATACCCGAATTCAAACAAGCTAGTCTGGTGGTCAGCCCTGCAATGCGCTGCTGGAGCTTCTCCACCTCTTCTTGATGTTGCTTCCTCTCGATTTTCAGCTGCTCTTCAAGATGACTATTTTCGGCATTCTGTCTGTCTAGTCTGTCTAGAAAGACTCGAGCCATATTGTCTAGGTTCATTGTGGGTTGAAGTATGTTGCCAGCCTGTTGTGTCGATTTACTCTTATCATCATCGAGGGCGCCTGGAGTTGATGAACTGCCTGTTGGCCAGGCTTTGGACTCTGTATTTATTTCTTCCTTCTTGAAACCATCCTTAAAATCTTGCGAAGAGCCCTTGCCATCTCTACGATCCTTTTCAAACACCGACAAATCAAAGATCGGAGGTGGCATAACAATGTCTTTGGCGCTGAACGACAAAGCGATCGATGAAGGGTCAATCAAAGCTCGAACCCAAGGGTATATTTGATATTCTTCTGCAAGCTCAAGTGCTGGATTCGTCATTTCTTGTGTATCAATCGCATGATTCTAACGACTTACCAGAGCGAGGAGATATCCAAATACAGTTCGCATTTTTGATATCACTGATTTCTTTGCTCTCTTTGATGTACTCCCATTCGCGTAATTGCTCCTCAAGATTTGCCTATGGAAAGGTGGCGTGGAACATATACGTGGCACTGACATATCCATCATCACACCTCCGCTACATGATAAGTGAGCGAACGTCCAAGTCAGAATGTGTTGTGGGAATGAAAAAGATGGCGTCAATGTGACTGACAAGTAAAAAGTACCTATCATTGCCTTTCATAGCCTCGGGTAGATCTAGCAGAAAGCCACATTTTGGTAACGGAACAGCCAAGCAAGCATAGTCAAAAGATTCGTTGATTTTGGACCGAGATGTATTCGATGCGGAGAGTGGTGACGGTTCAAATCGCTGTAGACGACGCTTTTTCAGGAGCTCTTCATCTGTGGTGGGTAAACGATTATTAAGTATATTGTATTCCAATGATATTTTGACGAGACATACATGGTGGTGTCTGGAATGAGGTCGTGAAGGGGTTTTCAGTAGTGGAAGTGGTCGCGACATATTCTATCTTAGAATAATAATGCAGACAATGGTCAAATACCTTAGGGGCGCAACGGTATAAATAGGAAAAGTGACACAGCCTCCCATAAGCGGGCTGCTGTACACGAGTCCGAGCAGGATGATCATAATAAAGCATAGATAACACCATCCATACCCTGTTAAGGCTGATGGACGATCTTTATCCCAGAATCCATTTATAGCTGGGCTGGTAATGTCTATCAATAAAAATTTTGATCAAGACTATCACCGTACATCAATTTATTTTGTTATTATTATTTCAGCATTCAAATTTCACTTGCGGAAGGACTTGCGCTTGGGATATATACTGTTCAAGCCAAAGTGGTTTCTGAGCAACACAATCATTCAGTTCAGATAGGAATTGCTTGTCCAATATGTTTCCAACTCAGTATACTGATTATCATCTCTGGATTAATTACAGCTGTCAATTTGTTTTTTAGAGGAAAAAAAAAAACGGCCTTTCTATTTTTCCGTTCCGAGTCTCCAGCCATCATGGTGGAGCCAATCCCGACTTCCTCCCAACCATCATCGGACAAAATGGGCATTATCGACTTTATCAAGGAGATCATCCGTCCTGGCGACGGAGTAACCTATCCTAAAAATGGTGATATGGTGACAGTTCACTATCATGGATATCTATATGATCCGGCCAGATCTTGGAACAGGGGGCGTCGGTGTGTTTACCTGCACACGGATCCATGTGTCTATACATAGACCGGTGATGTTAAACGTGCTGTACTAATCACTGCAATTCTTAGGTTCGACAGCAGTATCAAAAGAGAAAGACCTTTTACATTCCAGCTTGGCATGGGCCAGTTAATCAAGGGTGTGTTTTGCAAATCTCTTCATCTATTCGGCGGCTTACAATCAACAGGATGGGAAGTTGGAATTCTCAAAATGAGCCTTGGTGAAAAGTCACTCCTTACTTTTGGGCCGTATGTCTCCGCAATTAATGGATGTAAAGCTGTCTATTTACTAACCTTTTCTACCCAGTCATTATGGCTATGGTGCTAGGTTAGTCAATTGATATATCTTAAGAAGTGCGATACTAATATAGCATTAGGGGAGCTCCTCCATTTATCCCTGGCAATGCAAACCTCGTCTTGTAAGCTCTGCCATCATCTGTCTATCTATATACTTATCCCATACAGCCAGATTGAGTTGCTCGCCATCAACGGAAAGACTCTGCAGTCTAACCAGTCTGACGATTCCGAGTAAGGTAGTTCAGCAGTGTATTATTATTATCAAACATGTACATCAGTCTCGATTTATTCCCATCAAATTCTGTCCTGCAATGTAATCCATATACCGTGCTCACTGATTTTCAGTATAAAAAAGACACCCACCATTCCACAATCAATCTTCATTCTGCCAATGAAGCCTGCGTCCATCGCGTTGTATTTGGATACCAACAGCAATCGCCCCATTTCCTCTTGAAAACAGGTTATCAATTTACAACACGTCGGGTCAATTTGCACATCAATGGGGGCTTCTCCCAGAGCGTATAAGTTTTCTGTTCGTTCCACTTCAAACTATCCTGCTGGAGCTCGAGTTCAAAGTTCCAAAGCACGCGCGCAAGAATCACACGCATCTCGGTATAGGCCAGATTTCTCCCGATGCAGTTACGCGGTCCGACTGAGAAGGGTTGGAGGACGTCGCGGTTGTCAGAGAAGAAAGGTGAGGACGGATCGCTCTTAGCCTCTGGGGACCAGCGCTCGGGGATGAAGCGGTCTGGGGAGTGGAAATTGGCGGGCGACATGTATGCGGAGGCTTGGTGGACGGCGACCTTTGTCTTCAGGTGGGTCAGAAGGTGTTATAGGAAGATATGTGTCTTGTGCTCTATACTTACTCTGGCTGGAAGTTCGTATCCCGAAATGCAGACTGGAGATAGGGTCATACGCTGTAGGCCGCTGGGCACAGGTGGATACATCCGGAATGCCTCATCAATGCAAGAAAGCATATACGGAAGCTGAGTGGTGACATTGTGGAACGTGATGTCTGCTTCATTCTTCATTGCGAGTCGAACCTCTCTTGTCGCCTTTGCCAGTGCTTCAGGGGTTCGTAGCAACCAGTACGTCACGCCAGACAGCAATGTGGCCGTCGTCTCGCTCCCTGCAATGATGAGGATATTCGAGTTGGCCTCAAGCTCATGTTGAACCAGCCCATCTTTCTGTCCTTGATGTCGTAGCATGGAGTCCATAAAGTCGCCACGATCACGGGCAGGGGGGTTGTTGAGTCGTTTCTGCACAGTGGTGCTGGCATGGTGAATCTGGATTTTCCACCCCTCCAGGAAGCCCTTGGGCAGGAACAGGAGAAGGGCTTTACAGAAAAGAGGATACGAGTCACTCGCTTTGAGGTACGGGACAACCTTGACGAAGGCGAAAACGGTCGATACCCAGGAATGATACTCCGAGCTATCCAGCCCACCAAAAGGCTCTCCAAAGGCAAGATCACCTATCAGGTCAAAGGTAGTCAGGTTGTACCATTTGACCATATCGACTGGTAAGCTCGATTCAGCAATGTCTTTAAGGCGCCCAATCAGCTTATCGACGTAACCTATAACGAGCGGTTCTTGTGCCTGGAGTCCCTTCGCTGAGAACGCATGAGATAGCGCCTTCCTGAAGCGAGTGTGATCCGCGTCATTGGCGCTGATGATATCGGCTGGATTGCTAGCAGATGACATGACTTTGGGCAGTTGGGAGTGACCGTGGCCATAGATGTCCTTCCAGGAATCTGCTGTGATGAACGAGACTTCGTCGCGGCCATGGCGAACCACCGTACCGAATCTTGCATGCCAACACTTCATGTCCTTTTCAAGTGTCCCCCGGATGGCAGAGAGGTGTTGCAGAATAGGAAACGCGATCCATGTTTTCGGCCCGGGAACATGGCAGAGTGGGTGAAAGTAAACATAGTATATCGCACGGAGGCAGATATAGAGAGTGTAAAGAGCGGCGAATGTCCCTAGTGCAAACAACATGCTGAGAAACTGGCAGTACAGCGACGAGGGGAACGAATAGATCTGGGCATACAGCCGTTATTTAAGTCTTGCATAGTAATTTTCATCCCGGCATAATCCAAAACACAGTTATGCCAACTGGACGACAGACAAGGCATGAATTGCTCATCCTGGGATCGAGTTTGGAGAATATCCTGGGCCAGCCAGGCTGCTCCAAGGCAATGACGAATGATGTGGCAGAGAATAGAACGCGGAGAAGCTGGCCGCATCACACGGGCCCAGGATGTGACTAGGGGCAGTGGAGACAGGTGCCAGCATCCCTGTATCATCTGGCCATTGAGATGTACTATGTAAGTCAGACAGCCAGCACGGAGGTTATTTTTTGGTTGTGCAGATTATGACACTCCGGAGATTTTTCCAAGCCACATAATCATAGCTGCAAAGACGTTGGATAGACTCTCAGAGTAATATCGTGGCACTGCTATCTTCTACGCAGCAAGCACGATACGTACCCTGTGGCCACTACCCCTCTTCTCATGGCAGGTGGCCGGGGTTACACCTGACGTCCCCTCAGGTGTAGCAACGGCCCACCTGGATCTAGAATCATGCAGCTGTCGTTTCACACCCCGCAGTGGCCTATACTGGCCGACTTTTACTTGGAGGGGGGCTTTGTGCATTTCTTGGTATAGGAAAGAGGGGGTATGGACTGCTCTATAGCACCCTTACAAATTTATACATCTTAGATATATCGCTCTGTTCCAAGGTATACATGAGACTTTCGAATCTGGCTCTAAAATGCTCAAGATTAGCTCTTAGATAGACTGCTTACAGCCAAAGTATGATGCTAGATAGTCGAATGATGGACACGCACGGGCGCCACCAGTTGGGTAATTGATGACACCCCAGTAGCCAAATGAGCGTATATCATCAGGCTGTAGATAGTAAATAACATGGCTAAAGGCATACCCCAGAGTTAGTACTGTCGGCAACCTAACGATCCGGGCATCCGAAAAGGGCCAATTCGGAGAATAAGACATCCGGGCACTAGACGGACGGGATCTACCGATCCGGGAGGCGATCCCCGCCCTATGATGGGCCCAAGTGTTGCACAGTGGGGAAATAGCTAGATCCTGGACACCTTAGTATGGGATTTGTATTAAAGCTCTTGTTTTTCAGTTCAAAATCTAAAGGGATATATATGGGAGTGGAATAGCTCAAGGTAGTTGATCGAATGGCAGGTACGGCTCAAGAAAAGAGGCCATTGCACCAGCCCCAGTTCCCATATCGAATTCGCCCATAAAAACATCCCAGTCCTGTGGAGCCATAGTGTAGAGAGACGGTCCTGCATCCCCAAGGCTCATCGAAAGGCCACCCTCAGTCTGCGGATTAAAAGTGGGAGGAGCTGACACGGAAGGATGGAATTGGGCTTGTGGCACAGTCATTTGTTGGGCGACGAAAACGGTAGCAAATTGATGGAATGTTTTGCAGACGTCGTAAAGCTTCTTGCCCGATATGGATCTGGAGGATATGGGCTTTAGAGCTGTGACGGTGGCGGCCAGAAGTCCTACATCCTTCGCAGATGATGATGCGACAGTATGTCCTGTAAGTACGACAAAAGGTGCAAGCGGGACTAGGGAGAAGAGCCTGTCGATGTTTAGAGATGCTATCCTGAAAGGGGGTTCTGGTGGAAAACCTACATATTGAGCAATCTGACCCAGCCCTCCGGACTATGGCCAAAGCCCTCGTAGGCATTCACTATTGTGGACAGAGCGTGGCGGGCGGCTTCGACGCAGATGGAATTGCATTGTAGCGGACTCGCATTGGGCTCGTTACAAGGGATGATGCGGTAGACAATGGTCACGAGGCAGTGCATCATGATGTCGAGAATGATATCTGCGCTGGCGAACATCTTATCGGTAACTGGATTTTGCTCAAGTGACTGCTACGGTTAGACCATGAATTACCTGTTGGGGATGGCCTGTACCTGTTTCAAGTTGGTGTTGATCCCGATGAGCCTCGTAGCAAATGCCTTTGCTTTCTCAATCTGTATATGCTGTGGCTGTTGTCGTGCAGCGACAGAGAAGAGGTCTGTTTGTATTTCGCCAACGATCAAGGCATACTCGAAAAAGCCAGCATAGAGACTGGTGCGTCAGACTGGGTATTGAAGCAGGCGAGGCTTACTTACTGTCCCGGAATCCCTGGTTTGTCTATTGCTGGCCGCTCAGTGGAAACATCATAAGGCTGGATAGACGGCACTCTGCCCATCGTAAATGCCAGACCTTTGTCTATGATATACACATTCCAAAAGACACTGCGCTTCTTTAATCTCTCGGACATTTCCATATCTTTAGGCAGTTGGTGCAGCCCGAGATCGATGCACATGGCGGAGGCCGTTGCCACACATGACCAGCCTAGTTTGCTTCGCCCTGATTTGAGGCAGTATGTTGTCTTTCCAATCAGCTTCACTCGAGTGGAGGAAAAGTGCAGACTCACCAGAAGAGCTAGTGCCTGGATCCCTTCTACAGATGGATCTTGAAATAGTCTCATTGACTGGATGGTGGCTTCGATATTGTCTGTTAATAGTTGTGTGTATGTCTGAATATCCGAATGAGTAACGCCCACTGCTGCATAATTGTAGTCTTTAAGGTCGGTGAACAAATAAAACAGACCAACGTTGACAATGATCCATGTCATGATGGAATACTCATTGACCGCAAAGTACACCTTTTGGCACAATCCGCCAAATTCCGCTTCGTCAATGACGGGCACGTCGATGAAGATCCGCTGTCTCTCTGTCTGCGCCAGTCGGAGGAGGCCTAACACATGTTCAAGCGATGGGACCATCCTGCCTTGTAGCTCTGGATATCGGACATGGATAAATGATGATGTGCTGTCGGTATCGCCAAAGCTAGATGTGGTTTCTTCGCTGCCAGTAGTGGCTTCGAGCGTCTGAATAGCACTCATGGCCTCGGAGAAAGCCATATCTGACCTGCTAAGCTGGAGATTCGAGGCGGCAGTCCTGAGGGACTCAGTGACACGTTTGACCTGTGCTGTGAATGAAGAATCGCCTCTATATCCCTCGTCCGTTCCGGCGATGCTAGAGGATGGGTGGGCGCTGCTAAGAAACGCAGTCACGGGATCCTTTGGTGACGACTGCCCGGGCCTCTCATTGATCTGTAGGAGCTTTTGTAACATATTAGAAACATCTTGAAGCGAACGATCGACATTCTCCATGGCCTCATCGTAGCGAGCAGAGATAAGGACCCGTTGTCGCTTTTCTCCAGCTCGGTCACCTATGCGACAGTCGAGGTTCGATGCGACGCAGCTGGAGCAGGGAGATTCACGGTTGCATTTTGTCTACTTTATCATCAACAGACTGGAATCTTTATAGATCGGATTATGCTTTTACCTTCCTGCTTTTGCAGTTATCGCACTGCTTGATGGTTAGCTACGTCTTACTGCGATAATTGATGGACGTACAGCAGGCCTTTTGCCAGTGCCACTGGAGGGATCCATGGCTTCATTCCTTTAGGATAGATATATTTGGAAGAAGATAAATGCTCAGATCGTGTCTTTCAGAAATAAAATCAAGAACATTAAGCGTTTAAGGCTGCCAGGATTCGGCGGCGGGGCAACACAGCCTCGTCAGCCTCGTCCTGGCTAAGATCTGCAGTGCAATATTCCCTGCTTTAGGCCAGAAATTGCGTCGAAAAAGCAATTATATCAATATTAAAAACATTAAATCGAAGTCTATCTAGCGTATGCATAACTACATGTACTGTGTCTAAAAGAACCAATCCCTATCCTAACAACTCCCACATCTCCTCCACTCTCTATACTCTGTTAACCTTGAATCCGCCTGGAACACGGCTCTGGAAGACACCAGCGGGGTCGTATTTGGCAGCCACCTTTCGCATGAACTCAACGCGATCAGCACCATAGCTGCCCAGGGGATCCTGGGTGGCGTCCGCATAGTTGAGATAAATCATGTCGACATGCCCGTCAACCGTTTTGGCGAACTCGGTGAGTTTGGCTGCCATCTGGTGCATTCCGGCCTTTGCAAACGCCAGAGCACCAGTGGTTGTCTTGACAGCCACACCACCAGTCCACATCACAGCATTGCCTCCAAGCTTTTCCAGTGGCATCATACTTCCGCCGTGTGCTTTGGAGATTTTGGCATAGTATGAGGGAACGGGCTGAAGGAAGATAGCGGTCGAGAAGTTGTCAGGTCCGATGGATTTCTGCAAGGCCTTGACGTATTCGTCGTGCAGCTTGTTCACGTAGCGAAGAATAGTTGGGTTGTTTCTAAATGTCACTGTCGCACCGGCGTTCCTATGGTCAATGTTAGCTGGGTATCTTAATGGTTTAATTGGAGTAAACGTACCAGCTCTCACCAGCGAATTGGGAAGCCTTCGCGGCGGCGGCCATGTTGTCCACACCCCCTTTATTGACATATGCCGGGAGCTTTCTGATCTTGTCATAGCTGGTCCCAGAGTTGACAACACCGGCTGTGTTGGCATACAGGGTGTCAATGGTCGTAACCTTGTCGTGTGAGATATAGCCCACCAGAGCATTTTCACCGACAGACTCATTATGGTTTGCATAGTCAACAATAGCATCCAAGACGATATTTGTATAGTTGGCGGACATGACGCGTGTCTCGTGGAACAAAGGCAGGGAAGGAATGGCGTTGAAATCGAAACGGGTGACGATGCCAAAGTTGCTGGTGCCACCCTTGAGGGCCTTGTACAGGTCCGAGTTGGTCTTGTTGTTGGCATTGACAACGGTTCCATTTCCAAGGACGACTTCAAAGTTGTTGACAGTATCGCAGGCAAAGCTGTGCCTGCCGGAATAGAACGAGTTGCCTCCTCCGAGGGTGAAGCCTCCCACGCCAACATCACCATCGCGGCCACCGGCGACGGTGATGTTGCGTTCCTGGAGATCGGCATAGACGTTCTGCCACCGACCACCTGGCTGGACTCGGGCCGTGTTGGTACTTTCGTCGTAGCTGCTCGAGTTCATGTGGCTCAGGTCAATGGTGACGCCGTTGACGATGTTGTTGCTGTTGATGGTGCTGTGGCCTCCACTGCGCACGGCAATATGCCAGTCGCCTGCTCCCTTGCCGGCGTGGACGAGGGTAGTCAAGGCGAGAGAAACCTCTTGGGTGTTCTGCGGCAGCACGAGACAGTATGGGTGCTGGCGGGAATTCCACGCCCACCAACTGAGCACCTGAGGCTCATAGCCAGTGTCGGCTGGAAGAAGCACTCTATCCCGAAGGCCGGCAGCGATAAGGGCTTCACACTGGGGGAGTTAGCTGAGGGTATTCAGAGTGACAGATGGATTACATACAGGAAGGGGCCCATTTCCCTGGTAAATGTCTGCTTGTGATATATTCTTCACAGCAGGGAAAGAATAATTGGCTGCTGCTGCCAGCCCCAGAAGAGGGGCAGCTGAAAGGAGATATTGAATCATTTTGGCGGTTGTAAACTAGCCAAATAGAGTAAACGACTGAGGTTCTTGTCGGTGCTTGAACTGTTGAATTGTATATCGACACTAACATCCCTAGCGATGGGGGTTTATATATGCAATTCCAGTGCTTCACTTCTATACAAATGTGGATGATGATGGTTCGGGGCCGAGGGCCCGGTGCGATTCGGCCACAGCCATTGTCCACACAGCGCGCAGCTTCGTCAAACCCTTTTTCGAGCCTGTAGAAGTCTTTACCAGCGTGGATGACAGTGCCCATCTTGGAGCCGCAGATGTTTGCTTTTTTGTAAGCATTTTCTCGAATCCGGACATAAGGCTCGCCACGCGATATCCACTGTTACAGATCATGTCTCCAAACACATCAGCCTCAGACGAGCCATGACGCTAGGAAATGGTCAACAAGCTAAAATTAGGAAGAAATGATATTCAGCCTGATGTCCGAATGCGGTAAGTACTTGGCCAAGAAATCGTGCATGGGCCCCACTATCCAGCCACAAACCAATCAAAATGCACTGTGACGTTCAGTCAGGGATGCCACAGCTTCGCCCCCAAAATTCCACGGGCCCTCGGGTCCGGCCAGCCGGCAGTTAACCAAGGCTGTTGCTTGGCCATGAGGAGGCACTACAAGTCTGTTGGTTTCTATACCTGGATAATAATTGTAATACCTAAAAGAGCAGCGAATTCTAGTGTCTTGTACTATGAGGAAGTCTGCTGACTACCAAAAGGATTCTATCACAGTGTGGGGTTATTGCACATTCATAAACAAATAATGTCCATGAACATGAGTGCTTACTTAATTGAATGAAAGTAATATCGAATTCATTATTTCATGCCTGGTTTCGATGAGGGAATACACACTGTGGTTGATCTTGTAGGATCCATTGTGTCTACTATGACCACCATGAGATGAATACTTACTGTACAATAACCATATAATTCTGAATATTTCACTATATATAAAGGGGGAAGCAGATTGTTCTACATTCGACCTGGAGATTATTAGTTGTGGTATAAATTCGCATGGTCTGTTCTGTTTATTTGGGAGAGCAGTTGGCAGGAGTTATATATATCTATTTCTGGATTACTAGGTATCATAGACCTCCAAGTATTTCTATTAAACTCCTTAATAAAGTAGCACCCGAATGTCAACTATTTCGAATCTTTCTTCCCAAACAGTGCATCTTCTGTGTCATATGCATACTTGAGCTCTCCATGCCAGAATGTGCTTGAATCAGCTTCCGTGATAAGCCATGCCTGATCAAGAGCGTCGACAACCTCAGCAGGCAGAGGTCCCTTCTCCAGATCAGCCAAATTACCCTGCAGCTGACCAAGACTGCTGAAACCAGTAACGACACCATCTTTTCCACGAACGATATTCAACCCCGAATGGCGAACACACCAGCGAAGCGCCACTTCGACTAGAGTGAGACCGTATTTCTCCACCACAGGCTCCGGAACTTCGAGTGCAACTTCGAGTGCACGGCATACGCTGGGCTTGAAATAGCGCCATCGGTATGTTTTGCCCTGGTAGCTGGATTTTTCGCTGAACCTGCCATCTGTGGGTTCATCGGTCGACTTGTATTTGCCAGAGGAACCCTCCAGCGAGTGGGTTGAAAACGACCACGTCGATGCCGTATCGGTGACAGGTGGGAATAAGCTCGGTGTCGAATGCTCGGGCTAAAGATGGAGGAAAGTGGGTATCAGTGCACCATTCTTGCATGTAATGAGGAGAACAGAACATCTCACTTAAGGCATTAAGGCTTGATAGATGGTTGGGCGGATCCAGCCTCGCTCGTTGCACATGGTCACGATTTCCGCAACTTCATATGCAGAAAAATTGCTCAGACCAAGCTGCTTGAATTTGCCTTGACGGTACAGCTCATCCAGCGTCTGAAAGTCTCCGCAAAGACAGTCGAGCGGTCCGCACCGTGGAGGTAGAATACATCAAGACAATCTGTCCCCAGCTCACGAAGCGACCCCTCGAGCTTCTCCTTCAGCATTTTGGCTCGGTGGGAGCCAGCGCCCAAAGGGTACCACTTGGTGGCAATGGGTAAACCGCGTTCTTTCCAATGTGCCTCCCGGGTAAAGGCCTCCTGACGGCCGGCATCGTAAACACGAGCAGTGTCGATTTCGCAATATCCCTTCTCCTGAAAGAGATCCAGGCACTGATTGAATTCATCAGGCGATGTGATGCGGGCCCCGTGGCATCGATGCATCGGGGCCGACGTTCATCACACCGAGGATAACTCGCCTTGTAGCAGGAGTGACAGACATTGCGATGATAGTGGCGAAGACGAGTTGAGTATTAGTGTGCGAATATGGCAGAATTGTATAGATATAGACTGTACCTCGATATCGGTCAATCGGGAATCGGACATGTCGCTTTTGTGAAGTTGATGTCGGATTGCATCCTGACCGACATCCGAGAGAACTGATACTATCATTCTACCGGTTTCCACTCCAACGGACATATCATGTAGATTAGATTTGTCAAAAAGACCCTGCAGTAGTGGGTCGGAATGCAATCGGGTGGGTCTTCTGCATAACTTTACGCTCATGCCGATACTGCTGTATAAAGCCAGCGGTGGCAAATCTGCACGATGGACATAGCCGGAGTTTAACTCCGAAGGCATTTCTTATATTCTCCAGACTGTTAAAATTCCGCCAAATGAACTAGGATTCCAACTATTTGGGTATATTCAGCATGTCAGCAACACCAATGGCATCAGCAGGACTAATTGGCTCCACTGGTCTAGTGGTGAGTCCATTCTGACTTGATATAATTATCGGCGCTAAGTCAACCACAGGGTTCCCATATCTTGAATTCTCTTCTTGCCAGCTCTGCAATTAGTCATGTCAACACCTTTTCTCGCCGTCTCCCGCAGGTGGAATCATCCAAGCTCACAGCGTTTGCCTCTAAGGAAGCTCCTCAATGGGCTAGTCAGATAGGCAATCTCCCTGCACCGGCCTTATTCTTCTCCTCTTTCGGTACTACTCGAAGTGCAGCAGGTGGCTTTGAAAACCAATACAACATTGAGCATGGGCTGCATTTGGAATTAGCTCGCGCAGCAAAACAAGCTGGGTCACGCATTTTCGTTTTAATTTCTTCCTCGCACGCCAACCATCAATCATCTATCCCGTATGCTCGGATGAAGGGCGAGATTGAAGAAGATATCAAAGGGCTGGACTTTGAAAAGACAGTCATTCTGCGCCCTGGAGTGGTTACAGGTGATCGCAAGGAAAGCAGACCTGCTGAGACTGTGGCACGATACTTGCTAGGAGCAGTTGGGAGGGTTAATACTTCATGGAAGGACAGTCTGGCTCAGGATGCAGATGTCATTGCACAGGCTGCGATCAATGCGGGTCTGAGGGCATTGAAGGGCGATTGTGCTCCAGGCAATCAAAGGGTTTGGATTCTGGATGGGAGGGAAATAATTGAAATTGGACGGAGATAGATTAGATTGGGATGATCTGGGGTTATACTTTTATTAATGGTCGCGATCATAGCTAACTATATCATCGCATCACTGTCAGTTTTGATCAATATTACACTCCAATAAACAGAGTTGAAGGACGAACAAAAAGGCACCAAAGTAGCGACAAATACATTTGTTTGAATGCCTATCATCTGCAAGATCTTTATGGCCTTCCTCGTGTAACAAAGCCAAGATATTGCGGGACAGCTATTCATCTCCATTTTCTGGCTTGTTCCGAACAGAGCTTCAATATTAGTACATTAAATGAACAATCTTTTTCCTACCCAGAACGACTGCGGAGTTTTATTTTTAAATAAAGTAGCGAACCTCCTGTCAGTAATGCTCGCAAGAATACGCCTCTTTGGAACCCTTGTGCGGTTCGATACGAGCTGTCAAATTGCGATAAGCGCGAACAAATCGTAGATCATCGTGGAACGACGCAATCCTACTGGACGAACCACTCATCGAGCCAGGAACCGACGATAATCTCATTACAACACGAGCATTGACCGACAGGGCATCGGTACCTGGCCCTATGAAAAGACGCGGTTCCTCCGAAATAGACATCGCCAAGCGAGGCTTTTCATACCTTCAATATAGCCAAGCATACTAGGAGTGCCTTCTCCACAGAAATGAGAGAAAAGAAAAGTATCCGACTGAAATAAATATGTAGAGGTGTCCCTGAACGGAAATGGCTTCTGGACATCGCCTTCGACAGAAGATTTCATACCCCCACGATGGTGAATCTCCCACGGTCCTGGCTGTCTTCCAGCCTGCTCTTCTCCCTTCTTCTTCAGCCAGCCTTGTCTCTGGTCTTTGAAGATACAGAAGCCCCCGATGTTGTCAAGGCACTTGTGGACAGAGATGTCCAATCGAGCGAAGATGCCGTCCTTTCGTATTTTGATCGGCTAAGCAGAGATTCTTACTACTGGAGTGGTATGATACACCAGCACAGAACATGGATATAACTGACACGAACATTGCACAACAGGAATGCAGAATGGCCACAAAACGCTGGCCAACCTCACTGTCGACATGGGCGATGATGAAGCGAGCATTGTCTCGATGGAAAAGTTCCGGCACCTCCTGAAATCCATCGACTGCACCAAGAACGGGATGGTGATGGAGTTTGAGAACGCTCGTGCGTTCGGATACACCCAGCGCGGATGGCAGTGGGTTAACGACGAGGATGACCGCAAATTGATCCTGGTTGCCGGCAAGGAGCACTGTGGATGGAACAAGTACCGGACGCCATTTGTCGTCTCGTCCATTGCGTTTGACAGGGACTCGCTGAAGGCCAAGTTGACCGGCGTGGCATCCGAATGGAAGAAGCTGTTTCATAGCTACGAACTCACGATAGGCAATGTGGACGCACCCAGCACCGATCGACGAGACTGGGACCCCACTGCATCCATGAGCTTCAACCATAAAATCCCCCTCAGCAAGTCATTCCCGATTCCTGGCACCGACGTCTCCGTGGATGTTTCTTGCGAGGGATGTGAAACCAAAGGATCCTTTGACTTCGGCGCCCACATCAAAACCGACTATGGCGTCCCTGTCGCCGCGTCGTTGACTCTGTCGCCAAATGATGTTTCTGCAAGCTTCACCCCCCGCCTCGGACTCAGTGGGAATATGAGCAAGGAACTTTCCGACGAGTTCAAGCTAGTGACGATCTCTGTCGAGGGCATCTCCATTCCCGGAGGAGTTCTGGACCTGGGTCCGGAAATTGTCTTTAGTTGGGGATACCAGATTGGTCCTGTCAACGGATCCGCAGGGGTCAGTGCCGGAGTGACTCTGAGCCTCTCGGACTCTGCAAAGCTCGAGCTGGACCTCACTGATCCGGACGTGTCTGCGGGTGGTTGGAAGCCTCACGTCAAGACCAAGCCTGTTGAGGTCGATGCTAAGATCGAGGCGGAGGCGGAGGTTTACGCCAAGGCCGAAGTGCAATTGATTGCGGCAGTGCTTGGTATGTATCGCGCTCCTGAGATGGCTCAACTATTTACTGACAGCTTCTAGACCAGGGCTTTGAAGCGGGTGTTTATTTGAAACCCTATCTCGGAGCCAGCATCACGGCCTCTACGAGTAAGATCACTCTCCATGGGAATGAATTCGATGTACTAATGCCATCCAGAAAAGGCATTTGATGTCGGCGCCAAACTTGGAAAACTCGGTGTCAAGGCTGAAGCGGGCCGTAAGTTGATTGGCGTCATTTGATCTGTCTTCCACTAACGAAATATAGAATCCCAGGTCTGCGTGAAATCCAAGGCCGGTGTCAGCCTGGATACAAGCATCGCCCAGGCGGATTCGCCAGAAGACCCGATAGTGGAGAAGCAAATTGCAGTATGTGGTTGAACTGCGTCTTTCTGAATAATCTCAACTAACTATGAACAGGAGGTCACAGCGCCGATGCCATCGAAGTGCTTCAACTTTGGTCCCACTGCTGGCGTCAACGTGGGCGAAGACAGGCAGAAGTCGCCGGCATCCAGCACCAAGGACAGCAGTTCCAGCCACAAGTCCACTCCTGTCAGCACTTCGTCTGTCCATCACTCAACGACTCGCTCCTCTGCCACTCACACTGCCTCTCATCACTCGACGACTGAATCTTCTGCGGCTCATCACTCCACCCATTCCTCTGCCGCTGAATCGACTACCCTACACACCCGGTCACACCACTCGTACTACACCTCATCGTACGAGACCACATCCTACAGCACCTCGACATACGACTACACCACGACTGCCACATCGTCGACTCCTTGCTCGTCGTCTGCTACGTCCACTGCGTCTCATCACAGAGGCCACCGTCGCCACCATAACCGAATCTAAACCTCCAGCATGGGAACTAATTCTCAAGTCTACCCACTGACTTTACTTTAATATATTTTTCCTTCTATGTACTTCTTTTATCTGGGCTCATATCCACTGCAGCCTATTTATTACTTTTTTCTTTTCTTTGTACATATACATATCACCATCGGGGTTTCTTCATATGCGTGTTCAGGGGCTGGGAAGAGGATTAAATCATCTTAGAAAGAGATAGGAAAGGATGAAACTGGAGATAGCAGATTTAATTGGATACTTCAACTGAAGGATCTCCCTTTTGACTCGGATAAGCAATGATCTTCTGATATAAATAAATCGCATCAAAGGATCAGGATTTTATAATGATTTGCAGCAGGCAGTGCTCCGCCCCCACAAACACCAAAAAAAAGAAGCAACACTGCGCCTTCAGATCGTCCATGAGAATTCTGGCCCCAGGAAATTAATTTATTTAAGGTCTCAGTTGCTTCTTCAATCCCATCTCAATCTACATCAATCAATTGAAACAACTCAACATGAAGGCCTTCCAGACTGCCGTTGCGGCTGCCGCCATTTTTGGCACCACTGCCTATGCAATTGACATTAAGATCAATGACCAGGGTAGGTTGTTATTTCCCACCTTTTGACAATAGTATTGACCAGATAGAATCTATCAAACATGCCGCTGCATCCGCCGCCTTCAACACCATGGGCAACTACACCGGCAACGAGACTGGCCAGATCCCCGGAGCCTTCCCAACGAAGTGGTGGGAAGGTGCCGCCCTCTTTGAGTCCATGATCACGTACTGGCACTACACCAAGGACGCATCGAACAATGCCGCCGTGAGGCAGGGTATGAACTGGCAGCGAGGCGACAACAATGACTTCATGCCTGCCAACTACAGTGCTTATATCGGCAACGACGACCAGCTCGCTTGGGGCTCTGCGGCCTTGACTGCGGCCGAGCTGAACTTCCTCCAGGACAAAGGAGTGCCGACATGGCTGGAGATGGCGGAGAACGTCTTCAACGATGAGATCAAGCGATGGGATCCCCGCACATGTGGTGGTGGACTACGCTGGCAGATCTTCCCTTACCAGGCTGGATACGCCCAGAAGAACGCGGCCACCAACGGCAAACTGTTCCAGCTGGCTGCCCGCCTGGCGCACTTCACTGGGAACGAGACGTATGTGGATGTGGCCAACCAGGCGTGGGACTGGAGTATCAAGTCTCATTTGTTGAACACGGAGACCTGGTCTGTTGTAGACACCATCAACTCCGGCAAGAACTGCTCTCTCTCCGGTGATGTCTGGTCTCGCAACTACGGGCCATACATGAGCGGTGCCGCGGTCATGTACAACGTTGTATGAGCCCTACCTACATGCTCTATAAAACAAGACTAACAGCTCCCAGACCAACGGAGATCAAAAGTGGAAGACAGGCCTAGTCGGCCTCGTCAACTCTACCATAAGCACTTTCTTCCCCTCCAAGTACGGCGGCAACATCCTTTCCGAGGTCAACTGCGAAGCGAAGAACAACTGCGACTCCAACCAGAAGGCCCTCAAGGGAATGTTGGCTCTCGACCTGGCTGCTACTGTCAGAGCAGCCCCCTTGACCGTCTTCCGGATTTGGCCCAAGCTGCAGGGCTCGGCTGTCGCGGCTGCGAAGCAATGCACCGGTGGCAACACCCACACCGTCTGCGGAGGGCGCTGGTACGAGCCCAAGTGGGACGGCAGTGATGCCTTTGAGGACCAGCTGGCGGCCACCAACATCTTCGTGGCGAACCTGGCGGTCCCCAAGCCGGGTTCTGGTCGTCACTGATTCGGAACGAAAGCAGACCTTCAGTGACAACGGCAATGATGCAGTGCGTCTGCTTGGATCATGAATGAAAATGTAAAATGACAACTGTACGATAGCTACTGGCTACTGAACTGGATTCAAAATTGTATACTCTCTCGAATTCATCATTCATATCTATGTCAACGCCTTGTAAATTGGAAAACACGATCACAATTAAAGACAGTAAATGCATCACCAGCATTCGTAGCACCCAACTCGCGAAGTAATTCAACCATCTGACTGTACTCTTTCCCACTATGCAGGCAGAATAAGGAAACATTATCCATTGCCAAGTTAGGGTCCGCACCATGCCTGACCAGCAGCCTGGCAGCGTCCACATTTCCTTGTTTCACCGCGAGATATAGGGGTGTTGCACCATCGCTGTCCGGCTCATTGACATCACACCCACGAGCAAGGATCTTCTCCAGAAGTGAATACCCTGGCGACTCTGCAACATTGCCTTTTGAAGTGATATCCTTCCATGGCGAAGCATGTGGATCGGCATTGTAGTCGAGTAACATCTCTGCTATCTTGTAGTGCCCGTCTTTGATTGCACAAGCTAGCGGCGATTGCGGGCTCCGTCCACGAGCGTCATCCTTGTGTTCGTTTGGATTTGCCCCATGTTCTAAGAGGCTGCGGACGTCTTCCTCGCGTCCTCTCTTCACTGCCGAGAATAATATCATCGATTGCCGTGTGCCCAGGTTGGGATCTGCGCCTTCAGAAAGCAGCAACTGCACCATTCCCGGGGGCCCAAATTTGGCTGCATACCAGAGGGGACTGATGCGCTTTCTGGGATCACAAGGGTTTGGATCGGCCCACTGCCCTAGTAGCAGTCGGACAATCTCGGTGCATTCTTCCATTTGCGCATCTCCCAACGACCAGCTGTAGGCGGCTCGCCATAATGGTGTTTCGAAACTCCCGTCTCTTGTTACGTCCACATCAAGCTTGGGGTCATGGTCAAGCATCGCGTTGACTACTGGAACGTTTGAATGAAGGACTGCGTAGTATAGACTATGGGTGCCCTGGTCATCCCGCGCATTGAGGTCCGCCCCGGCCTCCAGTAATCGTATCACCGTCTCCACGCCCCGCTTGGTTGAGTTGCCAATGTCCTCTGGAAAAGGCTGAAGCCCATACGATGTAGCATATATCAAAGGCGTTCCAGTGACCGTCGTCGACGCCACCCGAGTCTCTGTCGACACACCAAGTCGGAGAAGTCGGTCCACAAGTGGGTAATGCCCACACTTTGCAGCAATGCAGAGGACAAATCCCTTGGGTTCCATATCTGCCCCGTTGTCGAGTAAGAGTTGGACAATATCAAAATACCCCGCCTCAAGGGCGTCCGTCAGTGCCGTCCTGCCGTCGTCGCGTTTTTGGTTAATGTCAGCCCCAGCATCCAGTAGATAACGAACGATTTCAATGCGACCCCCAGAAACTGCGGCTTGAAGAGGCGTCCCATAACGGCCTATCTTGTTGGGATTGGCGCCATGATCCAGCAGAAGTCGAACCATCTTTATATGCTGCTTCTGAACAGCCTCAACGAGAGGTCTGCCATGAGGTCTTTCCGAGTCGATGCTTGCGTCAGGAGCTGCACCATGCTCGAGCAGCAGTCCCACCAAGTAGTAGTCGCCGTCTCGTGCAGCCCCAGTCAGGAGTCGATCGTTCCGGCAGCAGGTGTTGTCCGGGTTGGCGCCATGTTGCAATACCAACCTTGCAACTGACAAGCCCCGTCCTCGGGTCGCAAAACAGAGTGGTGTGTGGTGAAAATGAATGCTGCTCTTGCGGGTGGCTGGTAGTTTCTTTTCCAAGCTGGGATTTTTCTTCAATGCCTTTTCTGCAACATTGATGTATCCACGTTCTGCTGCGAAGCCTAAGGCCAAAGAGTTACCATATTTCACGTTCTGTCGATAGAGAAGGGGTTCGAGGGTATTGTAGAAATGTCGGTTTGTTTGCGTGAGAGCATTCAAGCTTGCTTCGGAGAGATTACCTACTATTTGCAGTAGGATCTCATGGGGTAATCCGATGAGCTCCATGGTGAGGATATTGGAAAGGGAGTATGGATCAAAGTGGTGAAAGAGAGTACATCATGGATGCTCTTATGTTGCTCAGGCTGTGAGTCAGCCTTGTGTGCACAGCCACGATAACAGGGATTGCCATATCCTCATGAACATATCAGATACTTTATGATGCTAGAGATTAGAAACTGGACAGAGCAAAAATATAAAAATACTTGGAAAAGAAAAAACAAAAAACATACAACAGCAGGGATTCGCTGGTGGTCACCCACCCAACTACTAACCTGCCGGCGTGTGGCTTAAGTACGGCTGAGCGGACGGGAAGCCCTGTTCTCCACACCCTGTGGTCGTATGTACTGGAACAGCAGTCGTCATAGTAGATAAAGAATATCTATATCAGGAACTTCTACAAATATTCCTACCCGGAGTATCTGGTATGAACCTACAGCGGGGCAATACAGAATGAAAAGTGTAGGATTCAGGACGTGAATGATGGCTACTAAATAGACGACGCCCGAAAACCAGACTGCCTAAACCTTCGACTGCAGGAATATGGAAGCATTTGGCACATCAGCCACATAGGTAAAGTGCGCCGCGGTAATAACCAGAGTGCCCTCGCAGACCAAGTCTCCCAACGCACAGTAGATTTTGGTCTTATCAGTCGAGAAGTTGGGAATGCGACCACCGTCCTGCTTGTTACGGGTATCTCCGAAAAGCACAACACCCTTGATCTTCTCTTTGACGCTATCAGAGAGCTTCGAGATGGACCCGTGCATCACGGCTGCGCCTTGGCTGATACGTTCGTTAGAAAGAGCTGAAGCGAGAGATGGGAGCCTCACCTGTATCCACCCGCCACGATCTGGGTGTCGGGACATTTGGACACTGCCAGTTCAAACAGTGTTGTGGCTTCGTTGATAGCCGCTTGGGTGGTGCCCTGAGGGAGCAAGTTGGATACCAGATCGGCTGTGTATGCGGGTGCCACGCCTTGACAAGCGACCTGGCCGATATTGGCGAGTTTCAGAGCATCGCACAAGGCTGGGCCGGTGGAGAGGCCCTGTTCTCTGCATTAGTTTATGCCTGTGCAGTGGTGTTTGGATCACTGTTCTGCTTACTAGGTAGCCAGTCTCAGTCGAACCGCGGGCAAAGATAAAGGTGATGGGTTTGCACGATTCACTTCGCAGTTCATTTCCATCCAGGGCTAAGTATGACTATTTAGCACACTGACCACAGCTTTCGAACGGGGATCTGGGAAAGTATACTTTGACGGTCCTGAAGACTGACCGGGCTGGCTGCGGCGAGTCCAGCAAGGATGGGAATGAGAGCCTGGAGCTTCATGGTGATGATTCACTAGCTATAGAGATGGGATACTGCCTTTCTGGAGAGTGCTGCTGCTGCTAGTGAGCTGTTTCCTTTTTGTACGAAAGCCCTACCCCTTTTATATCCTGATGGTATCCCATCGTTCCATCTCAAGGGCCCGGCCCTTTTCATCATCATCCCTACGGCACTTGGGATGAACCCAGAAACCTCGGTTGCTGCGATGCTGGCAGAACCTGGCTGAGCATCTAGAACAGAATCTCCTTTCAGCCATTGCAATCATATCCTTGCCCGCTTGCTACCCCATCGATGAGACTGAGGTTACAACGGCAGTGAGATGGAAAAGGCGCACGGCAGTCGACCATGTTGCTCGTTGATCAGGTGAGCATCCCTCATCATTATAAATGAAGACTACTATGCGTTTTTTGACAATTTCTCTTGTGTAGAACTTGGCAAGTGCCGTTTAATACATTCTGTTCGGAAAATTGTCGTGCCCAGATCCGCCCCCGCAGTTTCTGCGTCTTGGATACTATATGTGTCTACCGAGGATGTAACGCAAACTTGTATGACTTTATTGCCTTCTAGCTATCTGCTCTGACCATTCTTGCTGTATAGATGCTGTATTATAAAAGCCAAGAAGGCCGGAGACAAATCACCTGCCAGTGGGTGTGGCCAGAATCACTAGGTCACCAGCTGTACAGGGGGGGTCATCTATCTTTAGTCTTGGAGGCCACAGGCTGAGAGCGCTTGACAGACACTCTCATGTTTATTAATCCACTGGCAGAAAAGGAATACAGGTCATATGTTCTGTATGTTTGTTTGGCTGCTTTGCCGGCTAAACCCGGGCTGATGCTATTATCTTGTTGGTTATTCCAGTCATCCTAACCAAGTATCAAGCGAATATGCAGCAGTAAAACAAAGATGTATACCTCACTTACTTTCCACTGCCTTACTGTTCACCAATTTCTCTAGTACTTCTCGCCGTATTTTCAACGTTTCCTCCAAGAACTGAATTTCGATCTGAAGGCGTGTCTGTTCATCAACCGCCTGGGCTGACTGCCCAGGGACTGTTTGGTTCTCTTTTGCTTTGACTTCATCCGAATCTGCCTTTTTTGAATCTTCCGCTGGCGACTTAGAGATGCCCAGGGCCGATGCAATCACCATTATTATAACAACAATAATAAATAGCACAAGCCCAACGAGGAAGATCCCGAGTAATGCTGGAATGAAAGCCTCGAAAGTAGCTTCGAAGATGATTTTTATAATCTTCCAGACGCGCTTGTAGTAGGGATCGTCAAAGTTGCGGACGGGCATTGTCGTCGTCGATGTTTTAGTGTTGCCAGTGAGCTGTAAGAGAAGTTGGAATCAGCGTGGGGAGCCCTTTAAGGGATGCATCGCCAGTGAGGCTGCCAGCCTCGCCTTCTTGGCATGTGCAAATCCTCGTGTCGATTAACGCCTCCACACCGAATTATCAGGAATTTGTGTTAGTTTTGTACGGGGTAATGACGCTGTAAGGAGGCTGTGTCAATGTTCAAAGTAAGCGCAGACCAAAAACCGAAAAATCGACATTTGGAGAAACAGCCATGGTTTTCGATCGGCAGATCACTGCTGCGCCACTTCGAGGGGCCATAAGCTAACAGCAGCTGCAAAGTGCGCAAAATCAAGGGCAATACGATATATAAGATGGTGATCTAACATTACCTCAACATAATTATTTACAAATCTCCTTCATCAAATCCATAGATAGCCAGTGTTGGTCCGCGGATAGTGGCTGCAGCCCCAAAGAATATATAAAGGTTGGCATCGTCACTATAAGCCACCAATCAATAAATCAAATAAACTAGTCAATTAACCATCTAGTGATATGCAGGTATCTTTTCAGAAGCATAACCGTTGAAATCGGGGGATGCTCCTTATTAAGTCCATTTTTCTATTTGTTCAACACGAAAATACATCTGTATGAAGGGAAAAACAAACACCCACCCAATTCGAGCAGTGAAGCATGGCTAGATAAAGCAACATTGAATCATGCCATAATAATAAATTAAACAATTCCTTTTATATACATGTGCCGATTGGACAGACCCTGATCATCTCGGGTGTCCGTCGGAGCAGCGGTTCGTCCCGTGCAGATGCTTATCAGTGACGAGCTGACGATGTAACCTCATTCGGAGATTTGATATCATGTAGTTAGTCAAATAAAGCTGTTGTCCTGGTTGCTGAAGAAAGGAAAAGCAGGAAAAAACTATACATCAGGAAGGAAAAGCAAGCAACATGTTTTCTATTAAGGTATATATAATCAATCTCCACACAAAGTGCATACATTGATATCACAGACAATCCTCGCACTTGTCCCCATCGTGGCCACCTCCATCGCCAGCACAATCCCCATCAAGCGCGAAAGCTGCCAGTACACCTGCGGTAGTACTTGCTACTGGTCCAGCGACATCAGTGACGCCCAGAAAAAGGGCTACTCGCTTTACAAATCCGGCGATACCTTGCACAACTACCCACACGAATACCACGATTATGAGGGCTTTGAATTTCCTGTGTCGGGTACATACTACGAGTATCCCATTCTGAGCTCCTTCAAAGTTTACACTGGAGGATCGCCTGGTGCGGATCGGGTTATTTTCAATGAGGACGATGAGTTGGCTGGATTAATTACGCATAATGGAGCCAGTGGTAATAATTTCGTGGCATGCAAGTCCAGCTAGATTGTTTGGATCAATTTGATATTTGTACATCCTAAACAATAGTAATTGTAGATCTCGCAGTAGCCTGCATAGTGCCCTCAATCTCGGGTACTGAGAAATATACCTGACCCAGTTGCTCGTGAGCACCTGGGACTCGCCATGAACGTCCTAGAACAAGGCCTGTCACTCGAATCAAGGCCGTGAACAAGAGCATTATATGGCATTAGGGAAAGCATCTATCACTGACTCGCCAGAAGCACCCCGGCAGACGGGGTGTACAACATCGCCAGTATCCAACAGCCCCTGCCATATACAATATTTCTGCATTCTGGTATACGCGCGGTTGACTACCATTGCAGAAGCCCAAGCATTGCACAGAACAGCTTCGCAAGCTCCATGTTTTCTAGGATAGCGACATCTGGTGGAGAGCAGCATTTCACAAAAAAGGCCAAAAAGATTCGTGATTCGTGGTTGGAAGTAGGACTTTTCCTGTACAAATAAAATTAACCTACTGCGATCGGTCTAGGGCATGATTAGAATGAATCAGGAGCTGCTGCAGGACAAAGTGTCCGAATCTAGGCGAAGCGATATCCTGTTGGTTCATGATAAACGCAAGGGTGGATATAAAGATGTTGATGATTGTTGATCAGCAGGATTGCGAGACTGACGGCTGCCACCGTGGCTTTGATGAGACAATTGCCAACAGGGATCTTGATAGGATCGATTAGACGCCTCTAAGCGCCAGTCTTATTCGCAGCTCTAAGCATCTATGTAGTAGGTTGAAGTATATTTGACTAGGCTTGGAAGAAACAATCACCGAATCCAATTTCATTGCTTTCCAATTGCCGCTACTTGTGAAATAACCAATTAAATAAAACTGCGAATAGCCTCCTCCAGCTGCTGATCATTCATGACACGAATTCCCAGACGATCATTCCATGATAGCTGACGAAAATCTTTACCGCCATAGCCTTCCTCATACATCATTGCATAGTAATAGTTGAGCATAGCAGACTTGTCACCGTTCTTCAACTTGGCATCTGTCTCTTCCAACAGATTGGCCACCTTCAGATCAGGTATGCTGCCATCCTCGACAGTTCCGAAATCGAAACCGGTAATCCTTGATACTATCGCGGTCAATTTCCGTTCTGTGACGGCTGCTGAATGAATATACACGGCTTGGTTTGCGGTCGCCTCAAAGTTGTCTTTGTCAACAATCCTGACGATAGCAGTGGCGATATCTGACAGGGTCGAGGGACCAATTTCATTGTCCCCTCCATTGTGGAAGACAGCCTTGCCAGTCATGGGATTGGGACCGAGTGCTCCAAACCTAAGGGTCAAGTCGAAGAATGCGCCATTGTTTAGGGATGTCCAAGTTGTCGTTGATGTGGTACTGGCGATCTTGGTAGTAAGATATTGACGGACCTTGACCTTTTCTGCTGCGACAGGAAGCCGACTAGCGAGAGGTGATTCAAGGTTGGTGGTGAATTCAGATGGAATGATACGCTTCACAGACACAGCGAGAGCAGCATCAATCCAGACTTTCTCTGTTTCAAAGATGGGAAATCCAACAGCACTATACTGTCAGCTAACAGACACACTGTAGTATCGCTCGACGTACCTCAATACAACATCCTGTCCCTCGAATGCAGCCCTCAGTTCACTTTCGTCATTGAGATTAGCTTTCACAGAGTCAACACCGGCCGGCAAATTTTTGCTCGATTCCTTTCTCTGAATAGCAGTAACTCTATGTCCAGAAGAGAGTAGAGCTTGTGCAATCCGGCTTCCTAGAAGACCAGAGGCCTGCCATTGTTAGCCAGTTAACAATAATTAATAATATTAGGCATACCCCAATGATCGCGATATTATGAGCGCTAGCAGACATTTTCAGAATTGATGTGGTTGAGATGGGAATCCATGAGAAGTCGTTGAAGATGGCGATATTTAAGAAACACTCGGCATTGGAAAGAACCCCGAGTCTACTAATCCATCGGATATCGGGATCACAACAATGCGATGCTCCACCAGCCATCCAATGGCATAGATAGACTCTAGTCTCTTTAACTTATGACAAAAAAAGTATTTGTAATCTTTATATCAGTAAGGTGTATAAGAAGAAATGAGAGCAAACTCCTGTGACCACATCGCGACTAATACCTGAGGCATCAGTATTTGGGCTACTGGCCAATCAAATCATCGGTTGATAGTATTCCGACGATGCACTACACGGTGTACCTGAAACGGTTCCATGTCTTTGCTCGGTATTGTAATACGAGGTAGATGAACTAAAGTAGAACAAAACATAAAGTACTCAAGTAGGTCCACGTGGCTAATTTAAGATCGTAACTGCATCAGGAAAATAGTATCTTCACTAACCCCTACCTAGAAGAGCCATCCAGTGGCATAGATTTCAAGCACCGCAGGGTGTACGTATCTCCTTCTTCGCAACCCTGCTGTCTTTCGGAGGCTTCAACAGGAAATCGTCCAGAACTTCCAGACAGAAGAATAAATCACCTTGAACAAGCTCACTTCTCTCCATTTTCTCTCCGCTGTTATTGATGAGTCGCTTCGTCTCTATCCCCCTACACCGAGCACTCTCCTTATCGTGTGCCTCAACAAGGAGCTGTTGTATCTGGAAAACACATTCCCAGTGGTACAATGATGGGAGCCAACCTTTGGGTCGTCCATCGATCATCGAGACACTTCACCAACGCCGGTGTCTTTGTCCCGGAGAGATGGTTGGGTGATCAAGCATTTTCATCAGACGACAAGGCAGCATTTAACCCTTTTATGACAGGTCCGAGAAACTGTGTGGGACAAAAGTATGTCAACCACCTCAAGTGTATACTCAGTGCTAACAGTAACTAGACTCGCAGATGCAGAACTCCGGCTCGTTCTCTCTCGCCTGGTGTGGAATTTCAATATAGAGTTGGCAGACCCGAATGAAGATTGGATAGCAAAACACCAAGTCTTTACTCTTTGGCGGAAGCCTGAGCTCAAGGTGAAGCTTACTCCAAGGCAGGCTAGATAGATAGCTTATGCTATTTATATGAAGGATTACTAAACACCGTTAAACGGTTTCCACATCGGCAAATACTCGTAGGGCTGAACCGAATATCCCAAGGTCCCAGTGGATCCTGCTACCTGATATCTGTCCTACCATATTGTCTGCATTTGCAATCACTTCTCTTTCAACCAAACAATTCCGTTGTTTCTTCCAGATTCCGTCCTGCTGTTTCAGGCAGTAGAAACCACGTCCACAGAAAGCCAAGAAATGTCATGGCGGAGAAAAACCAAAATGTGCCTTTGGGCTGCATGGCATTTTGGAGTAACATCGACGGGACGGCCTGTTCATTAGTATCATGCTTATGAGTCGAATAGCAGGACATACCTTGGATATTCCATAACGATTGGCATAGTGGAAGCACATCAGGAGGCTTGACCCGATCGCTCGAACTCGCAGTGGGAAGACTTCAGCATTGATGAGATACTGAATCGAGTTCCATCCCATCGCCCAGCCAATACCAACAAAATACATGAATACGACTGCTCCCATAGCTGCTCTTTTGACTGATGACGATTCTGTAGATGGATCGACAGTAAGGTAGATGGCTATGTAGAGCATTGCCACTTGCTGTATCAGAATGCCCGACACCAAAGACCGCTTTCGTCCGATGTGGTCGATGAGGCAGATGGCGCATAGGAGGGATGCAACGAATTTGATTGCTCCGAGGACGGCAGTAGTGAATAGCTTCTCCGACTGTCCAGTCATGCCAAATAGTGCGAATAGTTCAGGTGCATAGGCTTTTCTATTAGCATCAATCGTATCATAGGAGAAAGAACATACTCGTGATGGAATTCGCCCCCGACCACTGGCTCACAATCTGCTCTGATATAACAAACAGCAGTCGTTTTTGGTTCGCCACAACAGTAAACAACTCTTTCAATGCACTCATCCACGATGTGCCAGCGCTTTGTTGCACTTCCGTCGCGAGCTGATTCTGGATGCTCTCGATTTCTGATGAGACCAGATGATGTTCGCGAGGGAGATTCCACAGTCTTCCCAGGGCGCATCTTGCGTCTTCCCAATCTCCGATTTTGCAGAGATATCTAGGGCTTTCTTCGCATAAGAATGAGAATATGCAGAGCAATCCTGCCACGATTATCTGTATGCTCTGCGGGATAATCCACTGGGTTGAACTATGGTTCGAGATATGCAGTGCAGCACCCCAGGCAGAAAAGTACTGTCCATCAGCAACATCCAATATCATCAGATCAGAACGACTTACTCCAATCATGATCCCAATATACTCTGATATCCCAAATAAACACACCATAAATCCTCGTGCCTGTCGAGGTGCAATCTCTGCCAGATACGTCGGTGCCACTATCCCCGCCTGTCCAATGCCCAAGCCCATCACCAATCGTCCAGCGTATATCTGGCCTAGTCGTCCATCTGCTGTGATAACAACAATCACTCCTACTAACCATAGAACACACAATTGTCGCATGGACCAGAGCATGCCGATTCGTTCACACAGGAAGAACGCGATCAGGGCGCCCGGGATACTGCCAATATGCACCATGGAGGTGATATTCGAAAGACGATTCGCTTGCTGCGAGGCATCGAGATATTCAGCACGGAGGTCGAATTCGTGGATGAAGGATTCCTGAGCGACGGTTGTTGAGATGATGCCCTCGTCGAGTCCTGTTTATTAGCTTTGTCTTTCTTCAGAGGTGGGATGTCTCACCCCTCGACATGCCAGACAGGCCGAAGCTGAGTCCGGCACAGACGAGCTTAAAGCTGAATCCCTTGAAGAGGGAGTGAATAGCGCCTTGCCACTTCATTTTGAACAATCCATAGATACTGTCAGCTGGTGACACTCATGAATAATAATATTAAAAGATGGGCTGACTGCCTTGTAATAATGTGCTCAACTCCCTAGAAAGAGTGGGGATGCCAGCAATCCGGTTGCCCCTGTCTCCACTCAGCCCTACAGGGCTGAACAAATTCTCGGAGTTCGGATAAAAGCTGCCCTCTGATTGATTGCTAATAATAACATCGTTCGTTTTGTTTCTTTTTATTTTGCTTTTTCGGATATTAATCATAAATGCGGTCAAAATGTTGTGCTGAACGTTATGCCCACATGTCATTTGCACAGCCGACAAAAAAAATTTTTTTTTCCGTCTTCTGTTTGCTTCATTTAACACCACAGGGATTAAATAAGATAAAATAACGTGTCATTGGTGTCCGTGTCTTCCTTTACGATCTGCAAGCTATTTCTGTGTGATATATGTAAACGGAAGCCCTAGATGGCTTCCATGAAAAAATGGCTATATAGCGGTGTGCTGTCTAATGTCGAGTGATGATGGTCTAGGATGGGATGCCAATAGACTACGATCAAGTGCAAGGTATGGGTCAAGTAATCTCGTTAACTATACACATCTATTAATAATTCGTAAAATAGAATGATTCTTTAATAAAACCATCTAAAGTCAGGACTATCCGGTCCTTCTCGTAACCTCTCCGTGGGAACATCCATCGCAGTGAGGTTGATCCCCTGCTTCATATTCCTCCGTTTATTATCAATCATCATCCACACTCCCAGAAGCAATGTGAGGACAATCCCAGTACCACAGAAGGCGGCAGTGGTGATGAGGGCGGGAAGATATTTCGGGGCATCTTGGTTGCGGAAGATATTGGAGCTGACGACGCCCATTAGGTTTGCGATGGGGACGGCGATGGAGGTGAGGAGCATGCGGCGTCCTTCGTTGGCGATGTTGTTGTTGTACCAGGTGTCTAGAATGACGGAAGGCGCGGATGTTCCCCTAATTCGTTAGTTATTTATACCAGAATAGCATATATGGATGGCTTACCAGGTCATCATGAATGATGCAAAGTATGCAACCCCCAACATAGAAGTGACGTCAATGGAAACGTAGATCACAAAACCAATAAAGGTACACATCAAACCGAAAGCAATGAATGGGAACCTCCATCGAGTCCAGTCACTGCAGAATGCAAGAATGAGAAGAACAACTGCGCCAGACACATTCGGTGCAACGGTATACAGATTCGTCTTGACGGTATCATATCCAAGTCGGGAAATAATTTCTGGTAGAAAAAGCTGAACTGATTGTAATGGAACACCGAGACAGATTTGAATGGCCAGGACGGCCCAGCTGGTTGGTTGTTTGAACACTCGTAGTGCGTCGCGGATGTCCAGCTTTTCGTTGACGACCGATGAACTATCGAGTTGAAGGCGGAGGTAGGCGAGTTCCTTTTCTTCCGGGGACAGGAAGGTTGCTTGTGATGCCGAGTGTGGGAGATACCAGAATGCAAAAATTGCGCAGATGACTGTGCCTCCTCCTTCGATGAGGAATAGATATCTCCATGATGCCAACGGACCAGATGTGATGCGGAAGACACCGAACGCGAGAAGACCAGAGAATGCAGATGCGATACTTTGGGCTGCGTAGAAGATGGCCAGACGGCGTGCTAGTTCACCTCGACGGTAGAATCTATATCGTCAGTACATCAAAGAAGTCATCTTTGATAGATGAGGAACATACGTTGTGAGGTAGTAGATGACGAGAGGTAAAAAGGCGCTCTCTGCCATACCCAGAAACCATCGAATGGCCAGAAGACCACTAAAGTTGAATACTGCCACCACCAAGATTGTGCAGAGGCCAAAGGTGAACATCATGCATGGAAGGACGAGGCTAGGGCCGTATTTCTTGCCGACGATACCGAGAAAGGGTGCTGTGAGGACGTAGGGAATGAAGAAGATGCTGAGGATGAGGTTGTATTGGTTGCCATGTAGCTTGAGGGTTTCTACTCTGTTAGCATTGGTTACCACCTAGAAAGGGAAGAACTCACTCTCTAGTCCTGCAGTCTTTGCATTGCCTAGATTGGACTTGTCGAGGCTGTTGAACAGATACATCAGAGCCAGCACAGGCAGAATGCGAAGATCAATCTTCCACACCAACGACCGCTCAGCACGCGAGTCAATTGCGCTCCCAACGTCTGTGGGAATGTCACCTGGCTTGATATCTGGCTTTGCTGTTGATACATCGTATGTTGTCTCCAGAGGAGATGATTTAGTGTCTGATGAGGTAGCCATCTTCGAAAAGAGATATGATGATTCTACACAGGGAAACCACGGAGATTTTCCATGATATATAAGGCCTTCGAGAAGACATCGAACCCTTGCATGATATCGAATCCCGATATTTCACGATCGATATGATAAGCGATGCCCATGGGGTTGATAAAGCATGATAAGTGCCCGTGTGTCACCCTTTTGTGTCGGGAGATAAGCACAGATAAGACTGTTCTCTCCTTAACCCCATACTCCCTCCCATTATAAATAGTCAGTCACCCCGAATAAGAATAAATGACTCCTTCTCATCAAAATATCCAGATCCTACCCATTGCCTACCTCTTAACTATCCTCTTCATTCTACAACATCAAATCGCTTATCAGCGCCAAGACCAGTCCCGTGCAGCGCCAGATAACCGGCCTTGGCAGAGTGGGGCCCTAATGAATACTCGAATGAATAACACATTTCCATTGCGATAGTGACTCGATTCGATTTGCTTTGACTTTCAATTGACTTTCTGGATATTACATCCAGTCTGCCACAGTTGCCGTTAGAGGTTGTCTCTCAATGGCGTTTCGGAGAAATCTCGCTTCGCCACTATCGCGATTGATTGTGGCTTGCATTTCACCCGAAAGGGACTGATTACTATCATGTTGATTGGCCCCGTGCCTGGCTCTGCTGAGCAAAACAAAGTCCATATAAATCAATTTTCTTACAGATATAAAGAGTAATAATAATCTGGGGTAAAATCTCTTGAAACAAGGCTTCCAGGAATCATCCAATCCTGCATCGATGTGTGTAGCCTGCATTTATGTATTCATGCGTCCGGGGATGTGTAATTCTGGGACAGTCTACAGACACTTAGGGAATGAAAAGGACATGGCTTCAATGAAGAACCGCTGTATATTACTCCCCATGGCAAGCTAATGCATTAACCATATGCTTATAATCAACCCCTTTGGCTACCCAGACCCGTGTACCACTGTCACCGTCTCATATTCAAATCGGCTCTAGCATCCGCCTTGATCCAAGCTCCGTTACAGGCATATGCTGCTGTAAAAGTGGTGTTCAACCATCTTTCCCCCTCATATCAACATGTCTACCGGTATTCATAAGAGTTTCTGTAAGCCTTGTAATATCTGACTATCTGAATAGCGTCGCATTGCTTCATCTGGTGAGTGAGGCTGAGCAGTGCAGGGATTTGCACACGTGAGTGATTCTGGCGCTTAATTCCAGTGACCAGCTCAGCAATTCCCAACTGCATTGAATGGCCATTGTGTTCATTCTTGACAATCCCATTGTGTGTGAATATACCAAGAAATGGGTTTATTGTATAAATTGACCAAAAAACTCCGCAAAGCAAATCCACCGGTTACTCCGACCGTCTCCAAACCCAATACCCCGCCGACGCTTCAGTCTCAGCCAGACCCCAACGCCACAACCATCAGACCAGATAATCTGTGGGAAAGAGCCGAGCATAAACTGACAGAAAATGAAGATAAGAGGAAAATTGTGCAAGCAGGCCTGGAGATCCTTGGATCACAGCTTAAATCAAATTGTCTCCAGCCCAGAGGGACAGCCAGTCGCCAGGAACAGCTGTGCGGCCTTCTGGAGCTGAAAACACGCGAGTTAGAGGAAAAGAAATTGACAGTTCGCTTTCTCGATAATGAAGTTTCTGTTCGTGATAAGGTCACCAAGACCTTTCGGAACATCCTACTGTTCAAGGATATCATCAGCCCAGCTACGGCGTCGAGTCCGCCTGCAGCGATTGCTTGTGCGGGGGTGACTGTCGTCCTCACAGTGAGTGTAATGCTGCTCTTGCAATTTAACTGACAGCTAATATGTGTGCAGCTGGTTTTGAATGCCGCAGAGCAACACTCCAACCTCATCCAAGGGTTGGAATCCATCTCTGGATTAATCTGTCGACTTCAAGTGACAGAAGATCTTTATCGATCGGCACGGTCGCAATCTGCAGCGGAGGTGAAGTTGCAGCAAAAGTTCGAAGCAGATTTGACCGATTTATATTCAATGATTCTGGAATTCCAATTCCGGGCTTTATGCTACGTTCAAAAGCACCGAGTGACCAAGCTGTTCCGTGATGCCTTCGATAAGGATGGATGGACGACACTGATGCAAGATATTGAAAAGTCAGAGGATCTGAGCCAGAGCTACACTGCTCTCTTAGGTGCTACAAATGTGGACAAAAGATTATCAGATATTAAACGCGCACAAGAAAGCACTCAGGAGTGGCAACAGCAGAGAGTTCGAGATGAAAGACAGAAAAGCCTCCTCAGGTTGCTTTATACTTGTCCATACAAAGACCGCAAGGATCGGAATAGCAAAAGAGTCCCTGGTACCTGCGAGTGGTTTACCGGCCATTCTCTCTTCAAGGACTGGCAGCAGAATGATAAGTCCTGTCTATTATGGGTTTCTGCAGACCCTGGATGTGGCAAATCTGTGTTGGCCAAATACCTGGCCGATGACTTCCTCCCGAGTATAACAAAGGCAACAGTCTGTTACTTTTTCTTCAAGGACGACTTTTCAGACCAGAAAACAGCGACAAATGCAATCTGTGCTGTTCTGCGGCAGCTGATCCTGGCACAGCCTCATTTATTATCAGACTCCCTCCTCGACAAAATGGAGACTGACGGGGACAAGTTTACGAATTCGTTGTCTGACTTGTGGTCGGCATTTACCAGCATCGCAGCAGATCCAAGAGCTGGCGAGATCATCTGCATCATTGACGCTTTGGACGAGTGTGAGGAGAGTCACAGGGAAAGCATCATCCGCACTGTACAAGACTTCTTCCTCATAAATGCTGGCAAATGTAAAGTCAAACTATTAATAACCAGTAGGCCTTATTATGATATACGCTATGGCTTCCAGGAAAGACGGCACATGTCAATGATCCATCTCAGCGGCGAAGGAGAGGAAGAGGTCGAGAAGATCGCCCAAGAGATCAATCTGGTGGTTGAGAAGCGAGTCGACGATATTGGAAACAAACGCCGTTTAAGGACAGAGCAATGTCAGTTTTTGCTTGACAAGCTTAAAGTCGTCCCAAACCGGACATATCTTTGGGTCACATTGACCCTGGATGTGATAGAAAACATTCTGGGCTTCACCAAAGGGAATATCGACAAGGCGATCAAAGAAATCCCCCAGACGGTGGACGAGGCATATGATAAAATCCTCAACAGAGGCCCAGCACCGGACAAAGCCAGAAGTTTACTACACATCGTCACTGCCGCCACACGGCCTCTCTCTGTTGGTGAGATGTCTCTGGCCTTGGCTATTGACCAAACATGGAGATCGTCTGCTAGCTTGGAGGACCACCTCGAGCATGAGGATGACTTCCGACACACCATGAGAGACCTATGTGGTCTTTTCGTCGTCATTGTTGACTCCAGGGTATACCTTCTTCATCAAACCGCGAAGGAATTCTTGGTCGCGTCTGGCAGTTCTCTAACTCTCGTTCAACCCGACACCAAAAGCTGGAAACAGTCTCTCCACCCAGCAGAGTCAAACAAGGCCCTGGCAGAGATCTGCACTTGGTATCTTCATTCCAACTCCTTTGCCGGTCATCCAACCAGCTTCCTTGAGTACTCTATCGAATGTTGGGATGCTCATTTCCGTCTTTCCGCCATTCAAAAGAACGATGCAATAACAGCCCTAGCACAACACATTTGCGATCCAGAATCAGCCCAGTACGAGGTCTGGTCCAAATTGAGAAGGACCAACGCCATAATGACTGTAGCAGCAGCCAATTCACTAGTCGTTGCAAGCTCCATCGGACTCCAGGCAGTAGTCGATCTTCTAATTACAGATCGGAAAATGGATGTTGAAAGTCAGGATGCCGACCGTGGATGGACAGCCATGATCTGGGCCGTAAAGAATGGCCATATTGAATTGGTTGATTTTCTTCTTCGCGCTGGTACAAGTCCACATTCGAAGAATCGCTTTGGTCAGACTCCAGTATTTTATGCGCATACTCATGGTGAAACACTCCAGTTGCTCCTCGACGCTGGGGCAAATGTGAATGTGCAAGATTTTAGCGGCAATACGCCACTAATGCACATCTCGGATAATGGAACTTATGAGGAAATCAAATTATTGCTCAATGCTGGTGCCGACGTTAACTGTGCCAATCGCTTTGGATCGGCACCAATACACACAGCCGCGGAGTGGAATAATATACAAGTAGTGCAGTTGCTGCTGGACGCTGGGGCGGACCCCAACGTCCAGGATGATGACGGCGGAACCCCGCTCTACCTTGCATCAATTAACGGGGAGTTCGGAAACGTTGAAATACTCCTCAAGGGCGGAGCTGACGTGAACTACAAGAATGGCGAGGGGCAAACGGCACTATCAGGCGTGGTAGTTGAATGGGAAGGTTTTACTTACGAAGAGGACCGCTCATATCTCGGGGAGACAGTGATCAAAGTATTGCTGGATGGTGGTGCTGATGTCGACACCAGGGATAATGATGGTCGAACACCGCTATCTCTAGCGGCGACTTACAGTGACTGGGTCGCAGCTAGCATTCTTATTCATGCTGGGGCAGATGTCAACACCAGGGATGACGATGACCAAACTCCGCTAGACTATGCGACATATACAAGCTTCATCGAAACGCTGGTTAACGCTGGGGCAGATACCACCAGCTAAACCAACTTCATATTTTTTTCCACCCCTTGTTCTATTAAATTGCATAATTGTGCCATTATATATCATCACTATTATACCGTTCACAGCATATCTGATTACCACCAGCCAAACCAACTGCGTCTCTTTCCACCACTTGTACTCTTACCACCCCCAGTTCCACCTCCATAGACGTTATACTTCTGAGGTCCTTCACGGGAAATGAGATAACCAGGCTCGCACGAGGAAAACGACACCTTGGGCTGTCTCGAGTAGAACCCATCAAAACTGGCATCAAGAGCATCCGGCAAGCTTTGAACCTTTCCACCAGGGTGTAACTGCTTCCATGGGTCGCGGCATGCATCTCCTGTGCAAGATTTGAGGACCATCATGAGAGCATCAAGACGGGGAATGATCTGGTCCAATCCCCTATTTGCAATTTTGTAGTCTGCGTGCTTTGCGGTGTTGGCCGCCAGGTTGATGGTTTGGGCAGGATCGGCCTGTTCTGTTAGTCTCGTAGTACCTCTGGAACATATGAAATATAACATACCTTTGTGTTGTAGAATTCCTTCTCGTTGGTACACCAAACTGAGTAATAGAGAGCATAATCATCTGCCACCAATCTCACTCCCTTGTAGGTGTTGTTACCCCATGATCTTCCATTGCCGGCGATGTCATTGCTGTACCAGCCATATTTACCTTCGGCAATGGCCTAGTACTGTTAGCTAGAGTACACTATAAAAGGACGATAGGTACATACACTACTCCAGTATTCAATAGCAGCATGCTCAGTTCTTGTCTTCGGATCTTCATCCGCAGTCCATGGAATCTTCTTACCATCCAAGCCATCTTTGGTTGCACCAGCAATGGACAGGAAAGTAGGGGCGAGATCAGTATGACTAGTGACAAGACTCAAAGTCTGGTTCTCGGGGATACCAGGACCACGGATTGCCAACGGGACATTGATATCGGTGTCTATCTAGGTTAGATGACAGTATACTTATTAAGTGACGATTGATACTCACCAAAACCGCAGTTCTTGCCGGGCCTCATCCGATGTTGCGAAATGTGATAACCATTATCTGCAGCAAAGAAAATATACGTGTTGTCCAGCACACCAGCAGTATCCAGCTTCGTGATAAGACTGTCAATCAACTCATCAACACCTTGAAGAGCTCGCAATCGCTTTCTCTGGAATTCATCGTTGTAGTCAATTTCAGTTTGGTTCAGCTTGGGCAATTCCGCAGTCCAGCTAACAGCTCCCTCAATGAGATTGTTGAAACTGGCATCTCGGGGGATTTTGTAGTTTTTAAACAGACTCTCGTATTTGGATGGGTACTCAGCTTCACCGAACCAGTTTATATCTTTGGCAGGGTTGGTAGAGCCGTTTGCATGCGGTGCATTCGGTGCGACAGTCAACATCCAGGGTTGTTTGTGAGACACAGCCTCATCAATGAATCCTAGTGACTTGTTTCTAATCACATCCGTGCTGTACTGCCCATCATAAGCAACCGGCTTACCACCATTGCGCGTAAATCGCGGTAGGTAGTACTGATATGTCCATGGATCAACGAGGATATCCGATCCGTTAAAGCCTCTCGGAGGTGGATTGTTGTACGTTTCAGTAGTAAACGCATTCCACAACTTGCCAACATAATACGTGTTGTACCCAGCGTCTTGCATCCAAAGCGGGAGGTAATTGTCGTTCCATCCTGCAGACACAAACTTCGGGTATCCACCATACGGCAGACCGACATCCGTCACGTTGGTGTTGTGCGGCATGCGACCAGTCCAGATGTTTGCCCGGGATGGACAGCAGAGAGCAGTCGAGCAGAAATGCTTTTCGTAGTTGGTTCCTTTTTGGACAATTTTTTTCTATTCAATTAGCTGGGTTCATATAGTGTAGCGGTGGTCTTACCTGCAGATGAGGCATATAGTCCATACTCCCCATGTATTTATCTTGATCATCGGTAAGAATAAATAGGATATTGGGCTGCGTGGCTGCCGCAGCCAGTCCGCAAAGGAGGAATGTGCTGATTGTTGTTTTCATCTTGGGTGAACTGCTTGTCTGGATAGTTCAAACTGAGAGATTCAGCAACATTTATATACCTGGACAACACCACCCATTGCCCGATTTTCGCAACAGTAAACGATAAGTAACCACCCCTCTATCCCGTGGAGTCCCCAGACCGTGCAGTCTGCGATCTACAACAGACGGAGAATATCTATCGTCAACAAGAGAATCTAGATTGACGATCTGCACCATGTGGGGACATCCGGACGGGTGAAGCGAGAATGTAGCGGATTGCGACATCTTGACGCTGATGACGACAGAATATGATGATGGTGAACAGCATCAAGATTCCCTGGATAGGAAGTTAGAAGATTAATTCTACAGTATGGTGTGATTTTTTTACTTGGTTGTGTGATTAGCTATGTTTAATGTTGATGGTTGTGGGTCTGGAGATCTTCGGTTGAAGCTGTATATGAGCCTAATCTGGCATTGAGATAGAATCATAAGGCGGGCTGTATATTCGAGATTAACCTACGGTGAGGCATTATTTATCTTTAATAATATGATTAACTATATGATACAAGTTATTACTGTTGATTTATTTTGCAAATCCATGATAATAACTGGAGGTAGAGGAGGGAAGCCAAGATGGACGGCTGTCGGTCTGTTTATCTCAGGCCTCTCGTCTTCGGAGCCTTATGACTCGTGTCTGCATTACTCACTTGGCATGCAGATGCGGGATAAACATTCTGGCAGTTTTGATAATCAGTTCCCTACCAAAATTAATGTCGTTGTATGATCTGCCATATAAAAATCCACCGATTCATCATAACTGAAGCGCATACAACCAAGATATAAACCGACAATCAACACAGGCTGATAGCACCAAAGGCACCACAATAAAATGGATTAAAGAATTAAGTAGAGATGAATAGCACTTGCTCAGAAGGTCCAACACATGCATATCGGCTATATTAGGCTGTGTTGTGATTCCCGCTAAGAGCACATCATCGCTGCCCCACACAGACGTCAGTTGATGATATCACAAAGTAGGTGCTCTTTATGAAAATGCACTCAATTGTAAAATATTCGTGTAAACTATTGAATGTCTGTGTTATCTCTCTTTTTCACCCGATCAGATTCAAACTCGAGTCCTGCATGCGACCGCAGCACTCCATACATCGAAGACGAGTCCAACGCCCGTTTGTTTTCTTCTCCGTATCTGCTTGCCTCTCCATAATGGTTGATAACAACATCAGCAATGAGTAAACTTGTTCCAACCTTCTCGGCATAATCAACGCCCAATTTCATGTCCTTCTGTGCAAGTTGAAGGTCCGACCATGGCCGTTCACCCTTGGCGGGAAGATAATGTCCTCCGGTTATGCGCTTTGACATTGCGAAAGGGAGCGCTCCATACTGATGCTCAATCAACGACTCCAATGCCTCATTTCCGATTCCTGATTTTTCGGCAAAGACATGGGCTTCTGAAATAAGCTCCATCATTCCACCGGTTATGAAGTTCCTAGTCAATCGATAAGTTGTGTGTCTGAAGGAGAAGATAAAGGTGAAGCATACCCCGTGGTTTTCAGGAGGCTAGCCTGAGCAGCATCCGTTCCAACATATAGTGTCTTTCTAGCCATCACCCCATCCAGAAAAGGCTCAATAGCCTTGACAGCCTTATCTGCACCAGCGACGACGAACAAAAGCTTCCCTTCCCTCGCGACAGGACTCGCACCAAAGACTGGCGCGGCGATAAAGCTGACACCCTTCTCTGAAAGGTGTCTTTGCGCCCAGGACGACGTGTCTGGGTGAATGGTCGATGTATCAACGATAATCTTACCAAGAAGCTGGTGTGCTGGAATTCCTAATATAGAGCTGATGATCGAATTGACCACGTTCTCATCGCTCACTGACATAAAGCAAATGTCGACACTGGCAATAACATCCTGAACACTAGTGGACTGCACGCCTCCTATTTCCCGAATTGACTCGCCGCGAGCCTCTGTGCGATTGTAGAATCGAAGCGAAGGGGCACCTATGCGTGATACATGGCTTTGAAGATTCAATGCCATGGCAAGTCCCATTGACCCGAGTCCTGAGATGTTAGTCGATAAGGTGTTGGAAGAGTAAATTACTCACCTATCCATCCAAGTCTGGGGTGGTTATCGGCAGCAACAGACGGCAGTTCTGGAGAGGATGCCATTTTAAACCAGGATTCGATCGCTATCGAATTTTCCCGTTCAACTAGACAAATGGACGATATGTATCCCAAGTGACTAAAATCAAGATGATCTGGACGAGGCCTCTAATCACGATCCCTTCGTAAGCATTACTTGAAATGAGGCGTGGGGCACAGTGAGGGGTAAATTCGGAGTAGCGAGGGGAAGCGCAGGATGGAGATTAGAGCAATTCAGCCAGTAATCAGTAAGTAGCAAACAGCTTGCAGGCCCATTCATAATTACTAGACCACTATATATATAGGTATTTTCTTATCTTACTTCCTCTCCATAAGTGAAACAAGAATTGCTGATGCAGTACCTGATTTCAACCATATTAAATGACTCAGAGATCATCTCCCCTGGTGTTATATCCTTTGTATAGTGCGAGGGTTAGATGTGCAAATAATTAAACACCATATGAACGATATAAAAGTGATCATATATTATGCCATATTATATGTTTCGCTGGGCTCTCTTCTCTTCCTTCTTCCGCGCCTTGTTTTTTCGACTCTGCTCAGATTTCAGTCGAAGATTCTCAGCCCATTCATGGACTTTCTCTGGGTTCTGAACCCAGCAGAGAACAACTTCCCGAGTAGCCATCGTATCTTCCATGCAGTCATGGCCCACTTGGGCTGGCTGGATGTCCCTGTTCAGTATGTCACTGCATAGCGTCTTCAGTCCGAAAGAATCTTTGCAGCTCTTCCCGACTGCCTCTCTGCTGACAATGGCCGTATCAATAACACGCAGATGGACCATCCGCATCACTTCCAGATCGTGCTTGAGTGCCTGCCCAACCATGAGGGTATTTTCGTCGACATATTTCCAGAGCTCTTCGCGAGCTTCTTCCCATCCATTCACTGTTCTCCCCGCGCTGACCATCTGCCTTAGTCGCTTCTCTGACATCCCACTCCATGGAGTCCGCCAGTCTGTCACCTTCTTCTTTGGTACAACAAATGTATCCACGAGAACTTCCCCAGTCACAATATCCACAGCACAGACCTGAGCAACTTCACTCGAGCCTCCTTCTACCTCAACCATCTCACAGTCCATTGAAACAGCAGCTCGAGCCGTCTTTACTCCATCCTGGGCAGGTGTAAGTTTCGAACATCGCCACATCTCAGCCTGACCTTCTGGAACAGGCAGGTATTTATGCGCATCCAAAACAACACACCCCCTCCTCTGATGACAGCAAGGATATATTTTTCGTTTTCCGCGGTTATTCTTGGGTCTGTCTTTGTGGTGGTAACACCCTGGTACTGTTTTCCTGTCCAGGGCGCGTCTTCGTTCTATTCTCGCATTAGATGTGGATGCTACAGGGGAAAATGAAGAAGTGTACCGCCGCAGTTCGCACATTTCGCATGGCCATCTATATCCTCTTGGGTGGGTTCTTGTACTCTATATCCATTTTGCAAGAGGACGTCATTCGAGTGACATAATCCATTCAATGCAAGAGATACTGAATCATAAGCGTCGGTTGATACGACTGCCCACGGAAGTGATGGAGACAGTAAGTTGGCATTTAATGAAACAGATGCCATGCTGACAGTAAGATCGGCATGTGCCTGTTCGGCTGTGTGTTTGGCATCCATCTTGATGCGTTGTCTCGATAACAGATATTATCTGTTGGGATTATGTCAGGCAGCTACCCCTATATAAACGTCAATTACGGTCGGAGTCAAGGCTATGCCGTTGACTCATTCAGTGTGCAGGCAGAAACGAGTTACAATCAGAGTGGCTGAACTGCCGCGCAGCTGTGTAATCATTCGATCGGACCCAATCGAAGCATCCTGAAACCGCAATGAAACTGAAACTGCGGTGTTGGTGTCGGTCAGCACATCGCCAACCCCTCAGCCCCGCGCTTCGGATTCGTGGCGGCGTTTAAGAGGTGGCTTTGCGGGATTGAAGATACGCACGCATCATGATCACCAACGATTGAGATAGGCTCAGCATTAATTCGTGCTGGTATGGAGTATTTCACCCTTAATTAAATATTCAATGCGTTCATAATTGATTGAGTCATAGAGTAATGCCTGATACCCAAGGCATCTATTACGAGTGCCCCACGAGGGGTAATTAGACGAAAATAATCTGACGGTGCTGTAGCCACCCGATATGTACAGGTCTATAGCGCAGACACTCGGAACAACACGGATCCTCCATCAGGCAATCCCATGCGTGCCTCAGGGCAATAACCTTCTTCTAGAACACAAATCAAGGCAATCTGCCTTGTTCCTCAGGCCAAAAATCGTCTTCATCGTCGGTGGTGATCATTCGGCTACGGTAGACCAATCACAGGCCGCCATGGCTAACACCGGGTTGCCGGGCCGGTCAGCAATGATTGGCCGGGATGACCGAGTGCTATCAGTGAATGTATACTCCACGTTGGGCGATAAGATGAGGCATTACCCCAGGGGCATTGTGGGATTCTGGATTGCATTATTTCGGATGTGCTGGCTGTGTGTGCTTCATTCGCTCTTTAACTTTCTTTTGTCGTGAGTTGTCCTTCTGCTTATCCGGTTTTCTCTGCTAATCTTCCGGAGTATACATATACATCTCTCCCGACTGCCAACATTCCTTCCTCGATATTCTCATTTTACACCTCCCACATTTGAAAGTGCGTAGACACAGTCTACCCGCACAATGGAACAGGATTTCGACTTTTCATCTCGACACCTCCCTTTGTCATTCCAACGCAGTGGTAGCCGGATGGCAGAGCTTCTCGCGGCCGATACAATCGTTGCTGCGGGTTCAGCAACATTGATCACTCCTGCGGTCATGATCTTTGATAGGTATTACACCATTGCCCTGAATATCTGCATATTCAACTAACAAGATAGACTTGTCGTGGAAAAATCCTTCTATAACCAACCTCTTCTCCCCGCATTCCGACGACACCTTTGGCTCTCCATCTCACAGCCTGCTACCTTTTTAACATCACGACCCAGTCTCCTTGTCTGGTCCCTCTATACCGCAACATTCGCAACAGTAAATGCATCAGAGACGATCCTAGAGAAGATCAATCCCAAAATCGACCATGCAATCGCTGGAATGACAACCTTCATCTCGACGTTCATCGTCAACTCCTCCGTGGGCATCTGGAAAGATGTCAAATTCGCACAATTATTCGGCCAGAAACATATCAACACAGACTCTACACCAAAGCCTGCTCCTTCCCCGTCATCGACATCCTCAACTCCAACACCGGCTCCTAAAGTCGCCCGTTCAATCAGCCGTATCCCCCTTGCTACATACTCTGCCTTCCTCATCCGCGACGGCCTCACAATTTTCGGCTCCTTCAGTCTTCCCAACATGGTCTCAGCATCTATCCCCGACTCTATCGCCTCCCAAGAATACCTCAAAATCCTCATTGCCCAGCTCGCCATCCCCGCATCCATCCAACTCATCAGCACACCCATCCACCTCTTCGGATTGGACCTTTATAACCGTCCCCAGACCCTCCCCACAAAAGACCGGCTCCGTCGTATCAGTCGAGACTGGATCGGTGCATCACTCCTACGCATGTGTCGAATTATTCCCGCATTCGGGGTAGGGGGATTCGTGAACACCGAGGGGCGGGCATATTTACACGAGCAGCTAAACCGGCTCCCACGATGATCCTGATCTCATAATCACGATGATAATATCGCATTACCAGATACTTTGCCCAAGGTGGGGAGAGGAGAAGGTGCAAAGTGGCAACCCACCGCCAATTCACCGGCCCGGTGTTTCGCCCCGTCTGGCTCCGGAACACAACACGTTCATCACCGGATGGGTGCATTATTGATTATTTGATTCGATTTGGAAATCATTTTCAATATTATAACATAATAGATATCCATAGAACAAGCAATATACCCAGCATTTATCAAGCGTTCAGCAATACGCTCACATCCTTGTTATGTAACTAGGAGGATGATTAACCGCTAAATGGGTTTTCTCCGCTTGGGGCCCCGCTATCGTCGGTCGTTATTTGGTGATCTTATTAGATAATTATCTAAAGCCTCTCAAATATTATCTATTTCCCTTAAATATATATTGGTCTATACCTCTACTGGAGAGACTGTGGTTTGTGTGTTCTCATGAATATAAATAGCCATGCCCCACCCCCTTTCCTGCTGCTCCAATGATAGCCGCTCTGCTCTCTATAAGAACCAAGGTTCGCAAATGACGTATTTCTACGATGTCCAACCAGTGTATAAGGCACTCAAAAGTTCAAATATAAAGTATTTAATCCATTTATAAGTTTATACTTGGAAACATGGGCAACCACTTTTATATCCATTGATTTACAATTTAGCCTTGTCTTCCTCTCGGCCTTGCAGGTTAGGGTGGGGAGTTCGGACAGGTCGAGTCACGGCATAGAAGGCCAGACCTTGAGACTTGGTCGAGAACTAGAAAAAGGTGAGCTGTGTTAGCCAATTGATCGCTACCTGTGATGGAGAGGACATGACAAACCTTGACCTTGGATCCGACGTGGAAGAAAGCAAAGTCTCCAGGGACGAGGTGATGGGTGACTCCGGTAGCCTCGTCCTGTTTAATCAAAGAGCGATGGTTAATATTGCTTACATTTATGAGAAGGAAAGCATCACGGGATCAGACAACATACCAGAATATCGATCTGACCATTCAGGACATACTTGGTCTCCTCGAAAGTGTAGTGTGCGGGTCTTTGCGGGCCAGCCTCAATCTTATAGAACCCGGAAGTAAAGTACGAGGGGGAATCAGTCGTCCGGGTGCGGATGGAGTGGAAGTCGGCGGTAGTAGCGTTCTCGCCCTGGGGAAGCGGGATGAACTCGTGGCCAGCGCCTTTAATGACGGTCAGAGGAACGAGATTGTTAGACACTGCGCATAGTAAGAGTATCAGTAATAGTCCTAAAAGGGAGGATTTTAAGAGTTACACACTTTTGTTTTTTTATTGATAGATATTTACGATTGGAAAATTATTTAAAAAGACACTCTTTGTCTATATATATATTCATGGTGCTGTATGGATGTACAACTCGGATGCTTTCCCGATACGGCCAAGATCCCGGGTGTTTTGTCCTGATGAGGAAAATCCACCCCTCAGCGGAGGCGGGGAAAATGTCGGATGCATGCCCGGTGTTGATGATGAGGGTATTATAGCAATATAGAGCAATGACGTGCTACGTGCATGTATTCAAGAGGAAATGAGCATTCCATTTAAGGGAAGAAATAGAAGGAGAGAAGAAAGCAGCTATACTGATGTGGGGTTGGCCATGATCTGGCCAATCATGATCCACGTTGCTTGTACTGATGAAGATTGGTAAAAGAAATACTTAAACGGGGTCTAAAGTAGATAAGTCGAGATAAATTGATGAGTTCGAAGGCCATTCAAAGTTTGAGATGAAGCGAATGTATATTTTTACTCAATGGCTATCTGAATATTTCTCGCGGTTTGACACACCCAGTTCTCCTAAAGCATTCTAAATCACATCAAATAGCAAGATAAATTAACCATTCTTCAAATCATATCCTCAATATCGTGGTACCAATATTCTGTCCCGATATTTCCACCACGGCCACACCGTCGTACTCCACCGCGACAGTCATGCTTTCCGACCCGAATAGCGTCACATAATTGTCCGACCAGAAGACAGGAGAAATCTCCTTTCCGGTTCTCGGGTCACGAAGAGTCAATTTGACGAAGAACGCTGGGAAATTGGACTTATTTGTCAGTAGGATCTGTGCTTGTTTCGACGACTTTTTGCCAGTGCCTGGTGTTTTGACAGTCGCTTTGACCGAGGAAGGAGATAACTTGCTCAGTGCGCTATAATCCGAATAAGATGAAACAGGAGTGGTAATCCAAGTCGATCTGTCCCAGTCCAGCACATCTTGTGTGGGAGAGAGCCAATAGACATTCCGACTGAGGATGTCACCAGTGCGAGGATCCTGGAGAACAAGACGGAGAAAGGCAACATCCCGGATCCTGTCAATGCCAGGTACGTTCATCACCTTGTTCGACGAGTTGGGAATAGTCTGGATAACAGCATTCCAGTGTCCAAGTGTCTTCCCACCCCCATCAATCAAGTCCACAGAAACGACTCTTTTCTGACCCAACAAAGAATGATTAATCACATAAACTGCCTTGTCACCATAGCCATAGGCAAGATGCTCCGGACGATTCGCGATCTTGGCCCCAAAATACGCACCGATTGGGCGAAGATAATAATCGAACAACTGCCAGTGTAGGTTAGGCCACGCACTGTTCAACATCCAGTATATAACACCCGTCGCAGGTCGAGGGGCATCCCGACGGATGGAGAAGGCTTCGAATTCGGCTCTTGTGGATTCATAGTCTAGTATCTGGGCTTTGCGGAGATAGTCATCCAGACTGCTCGGCTCTCCGTACCGGTTGAACAAAGCATCATTGTAGATGGACCGATTGTGGAAATGGGAATAATTCTGCGACATGTGATACTGTCCCTGCTTGGGCTTGGTCCATAAACTCTCCATCCCATCCTTGGTCATGAACATCCCTAAGCTCTCCCTCTCAGGCGTACCAACACCAGCACCTTGTTCGGACCCAAAGCCGAATGCTGCTCCATATTGATCTCCATACCAATAATTCGGGGGGACCCAATCGTACGGTCCCTCCATCTTCATTCCCGATGGATCGAGCGGTTTCGCATAGCCACGCTTACTAGCAGATGCGATAATGGGGTTTTGCCAGTTCATCGCCTTGAATGCGTCGACGTAGATTTTCGTAGCACGGCCATCGGGCCAGTAGTCGGATCCGACGAGGAAGGCGAGAAGACTGGGATGGGGCTGTAGCATGCCTGCTTCGTGGAGCATGGAGTAGTTGGCGATGGTGTAGTCGTGGTCGTTCCATTTGTCGGCGGCGACGTCGTCGTTATACTATAGAGTCAGTAACCATATACCATGTAGGAGTGACTACTTACAGTCCACCCCTCCCATTTATCACAGCATTCCCAACCAGCCATTACCATTAGCCCCATCTCATCTGCCAAATCGTGAAATTCGGGATGTTCCATCTTTCCCTCCAAACGGACAGTGTTCATTCCCATGTCCAGGATATACTGGAAAATCTTCCGAACACGGTTGACATCAAAGCGGAGGAAAATATCAGGTGAATATCCCGCCCCGAGCACAAGGAATGGCTGACGATTAATACTGAATGAAGTATCGTTGAAGGAATTAAGCATCGACCTGATCTGCCGGATGCCAAAGCGCGTTCGCTTTCCAATATCAGAGACACCATGTCCAACAGAGGCATTGACCTGGACTGTATAGAGGGGTTGCTTCCCCCATAGTGCAGGCCACCAAATGCGGGCATTATTGATCGTCGTTCCGAAAGAAACAGTTCTCTTCTCATGGGCCTTCAGTTGGAAGTCATGTCGCAGGGGAAGTTTCTGCGACCCATCGTCCGACTGAATAATTCCATCCAAGGTACCATCCACTTTCTTTCCGTCATAGTTAGCGATATCAACATCAATAGTGACAGAAACCCGATCTGCGTTGCCACTAAAATCCGTAATAACTCTTGGAGCAGAAACAGTAACAGAGCCAGTTTGCGATATCTCCACATCGCGCCAAACGCCCGTTCCATTATCAGGGGGAAATGGGTTCCAATCTGCCCAGCCCACGGCAAGATCACGAAGATAGTTGGTTGGATGGGCTTGGATGAGAAGACAGTTACTTCCAGAATTTACATGAGGAGTCAGATCGTACCGATGGCCGGTGTACGATCCATCCTGGTAATCTGGGGCTGCGATACGTTGTCCATTGAGGAAGATATTTGCCTTGGATGTGATTCCATGCGTGTCAAGGAAGAAATGTTGGCTCTTCGTTTGTTTGGAGTTGATGGTGAACTCCTCCCTGTACAGCCACGCAGACTTGAACATGGTCTGATCAACTTTATCCAGATTGTCCGAGTAGAACAAGTCCGTTTCATTGAAAACTCCATTCTCGATCAGGCCTGCCATGACAGTCGCACGCGATCCGATGCGATACCAGGAGGAAACATTGGCCCCCGGTTTGGAGATAGAGGGGATGTCGCTTGAGGTGCGGAGAGACGACTGAAGACGCCATCCTGGGATGATAGCATGGTCGCCTGGTGAGGATACAATGGCTTGAGTCCTTACGGCCGCTGGAAGACCAGCAAGTAGAACACCAATAACTGGAAGAACGTGCATTCTGGTGTTGTTCGTCTTGTCGTTGGTGTCGTTGTAGTTATTTCAAGGGGTGAAGATGAAGGGCGGGTATACGCGTGACATGCAGGCAGCATCTGCACGAGGTTACCACCTTGCTTCGTCCAGGCACCAGGGGGTGTGTAACATCATCATGATATGATCAAGTATTTATTTTCAGTTTACTTCCGTACTCTCTGGAAGCTTGTATTTAGTTAACTTCCAGTAATAGTTAGGCATCAATATGAATTTACATCAGACTGACACATGAGCATCCATGTATTAATAGGGTAAACACTCATCTATCCGGACAGGAAGGCAAGGGGAAACGCCGCAAGGGATCAAACGACTACACCGCCAGCTCGAGGAGTGTCATTCGCAATTTTTTGCGCAGGAGAATCTAAATTGTACAGGTATTTAGGTCACCAAAGTCGGCCTAGACAGCTAAAATCCTTTGTGTGTAAACCCTGCTTCTTTCAACCTTTAATTCAGCATGTGTTTCGCGATTATCCTTTGTCACTACTACTTCCGGCGCTACTGTCCCTGCAACATAATGTCCTAATGGGATTCAAGCAAATATGCATGGGCGCACAGGCATTGACTTGGCATTGATCGAGGATTTATTAGGTCCAGATGACAGGGCCTTCGTCTATTGCTTAGAGTATCGTCATACCAAGTGTAATGATGGAGTTGAAATAGACTACCGCGTAGATATGATTTCTTTCTGGGATCAAAGACTCTATCAATGTAGATGAAACTTGACTGTTTGTGATCTTCACACTAGGGAAATTTCATCAGCCGAACAAGCTGAATCTGGCAGGCTCAGATTTACGTAGCTACACCAAATGCTATCTCAATCTCCCCTTTCTTCATGTTTTATTTTATTGTCTCTTATTTTATCCTTGATTAACCTTGACAAAATCAAAATGGAATTCTTGGGGATTCGCAAGGTGCTCCGTGTATCAGTGATGCGTTGGCTGGTGGCGGTGGATACTTGGGCAATTTGACTGCGTCTGTTATGTCGCCTACTTTGAAGAATCACAGTAAGGATGCTCGTCATTGTCTTTCGCATAAAATAATTCTGATTTGATAGTCTCCGCCATCGTCTTCTATGGAGACCCGTGCCACATGCCAAATCAGACATACAACATGGGCAATGGCACTCGAAGCGCTGAGGGGTAAGCACTGTCTTGCACCATATATAAACATAGCTGACCGTAATATAAATACCCACGGAGCCAAAAGCAGCGTGCATTTCTGAATGAGCACTACTCAGACTTGATCGCCGACTACTGCAACCCCAATGACCCCGTCTGTGCCTCGAGTGATGATATTACGGCGCATATGGAGTATGTCTACTTGTGGAACGGCAACGCTGCTGCATTCTTCAAGAGGAAGGTCACTGAGACTCTTAAATTGGGCAGCGGATTGAAAGGTATACAATCTGAATTTATATAACTTTCTACTATCAAGCCTCCGTCCAACCGTGAAAACACGAGACCCATGAGATCCTTAAGAATTCAAAATAATATCAGCAACAGCCTCTCCCATCGCATACATCGGTGCTTGATAATGCCCTGCAATGGGAAGTGGTAGCACACTGGCATCACAAACACGCAGGCCCCTAACACCCAAGACCCGACACTGGCTATCAACAACCGTTCCCATCGCTGCAGTTCCGGCGTTCTGATACAGGCTACTTCCTATGATGTCGATTCGCTCGTCGAGATCTTCATCAGTGCAAGAGCTAGTCAACGCGTTGTGTCCAGGGGGTGGGGTTTCGCCTGCAATAGCTTCTTTCGCAGCGTCTGTCTCCATGATTTTGAATGCGAGACGAATTGTAGAGCGAAGCGCAGCACGATCCGTAGCCGTCGCGAGATAGTTTGGATCAACCACTGGATTTGACATAGGATCTGTATTTGCAAGACTCACTCTTCCCCGACTTGTGGGAAGAAGCAGCACAGCGAGTGTAGCGATGTGCTGTCCATCAAGTGGAAGGCTGAATTGCGTTCCTCCTCCAGCGATGGGAGCGTAGTAGATGATTATTTCACCGTTGGCGCGCTCTTCTCTGATGTACGGATCCTGAGGATCGATCTTGTCAGCTTTAGCAGCGGCAATGAGTCCATCACGAGGCGTGGAGGTAGTCACCACCCAATCGGTGGTGTTTCCATGTAGATATTGGGGATTGCTAAACTGTGGCGATCCTAGTGCTAGGCCTTGGTCTGAGTTTTTCAGTTTCCAAAAGATTGATCCCGCAACATGGTCGTGATAGTTATAGCCGACTGGGAGATCAGCGATGGTGTGGATATTGTGCTCCTCAAGATGCTCCTTTGGACCGATGCCAGACAGCATCAGCAGCTGGGGTGTTTTCAATGCACCGCAGCTGACGATAACTTCCTTGCTGGCTCTGTATTCAGTTCCGTCGACCAGCGTAATGCCAGTTGCTTTGTTTGACTCGATGAGAATCCGAGAGACGACACTATTCGTATGGATGGTAGCTTTCGACAGGTCGTATGCTTTTCCTGCCGGCTGACGCTGTGCATTCTTCCAGGTCTCTGTCATGAAACTGAATCCGAAAGGATGGCCATTGTTAGCATCGCTGTTGAATATGAGTCCTGCTTCTGTCAAGGAATTGCGCAGTGGCTCTCTCAAGGGATAGTCACGTTTCCCCATGGTGGTCGAGATAGGGCCTGCGAAACCATGGATATCTGAGCTGGCTGTGTGAGTATGATGCGTCTCTGTTGCTTTGAGATACGGAAGCATGTTCTGATAGTTCCAGCGTTCATCGCCCACATGCTCAGCCCATGCATCATAATCGCGTGAATGTCCTCGCGTCCACATCCCATAGTTCACAGCCGTTGAACCCGAGAGCAGCTTTCCCCCATGGTTTATGACTGGCCTATTTCCCAAGTGTGGTTGGTCGGTGGCTGTGAACTTATACTCGAAGTCTGTATCATGCAGGAGCGCAGATCCAAGCGGGTTCATAACCAGTTCATTGTAGTCTTCGGGGCCAGCTTCGGCGAGGAGAACGCTGTGACCGGCTTGGGAGAGGCGCGATGCCAGGACACAGCCGACTGTGCCTCCACCGCAGATGATGTAGTCGTATGTAGACATTATACTATCAACTTTGTATAGTACAAGAGATGATTGTTCTACTTTCTCCTGACGCTGTGTTTAATTGAAGATGCCCCGCACTTTCAAGGCTGCTTATGCTGATGCTGCCCAAAATCTGACATAATCCTCTACGCCCATTTTGGTCATCGTGTAACCATCACATATTAATATCAGGATATTGATATCTCAACGGTGCACTAAATGATCAGTGGATATTAAATGTTGAATAGAGAATACACTGCCCATTTCGATTGCATGCGCCCCACACATTTATTCAGTAACAATGAAAGTCCCAAGGTAGAAGACGAGGCTGAGCATTGCCTGAGACTGCAATATGCACCAATAATGTATCGAATATGACAGATTGTCATGATCGTCGCTTTGGCTAATTCATGGCTACGTACTCAGCCAAGACAACAAGTAATCGTAAAATATAAGACAGCCTTATCGCAAATCAACTTATGATCACGAAACCAAGTTGATTGATCTCATCCTATCTTGTTACAGAGAATGTCGTGCAGAAATCTAAATTGCACCCCAGTAGGAAATGGATATCAAATACCCCCGAATCCTGATGTAGTAGGTATTCCCTCACCATACTGAGGCCTATCTGTTTGCTGAGATTATCCACAGGGAGGAATCGGTGTGTGTTAAAAGTACTTATTTATACGACCACCGTCTAACAGTTACAGGTAATTGTCGCATTTTTGATATCTGGCTGGATCACATTCATCTTCTGCGTCGCTGTTTTCTTCGCCTTCGACCATGATGATATGACTTTTCTTGATCGTCTTGCTTTCCGTGGTGTAAGGTGGGTGGCAAGACATCTACGATACATCACACCCAAAGATACCGATATCTGTTTCTCTCGAAACAGTCAGAACCATCGCGCTAGTTTTCAGCGACCAGCAGCTCATCACCGGTACTGCTGTATTCCTCGCTGTATACGCCAACGCATGCGAAATCACTCAATTTCATTTTTGCATTGCCTACTATCTCGGAGGAGTCAGCTTTCTGACTCACCAGTCTGCAATTATGACTGTTGGCAACTCTCTCAAAGACCATATTTTCATGAGAGCCTGGAGGCTTCTTTGGGTAGCTGCTATCTTTGGCTTCGTCATTGCATCGAACATGCACAATATCATAATCATATACAGCGGTCGCCATGAGCTGCCCACACAGTGCATCTTAAAGGACGTCCCCCATGGCCTTGAAATATCATGGCAAGCACATATATACAGCACGGGCCCCTTTGTTGTGTCTGCTATCTTCTGGGCCTGGGGACTTTATATGGTGACATGCATTCTGTGCCCTGAAGGATGGGACTTGCTGGGACGATTATTCACCCCGATCGTGTCATTCCTGAACAAAGCCTTGTCCTTTTTATCACTTCCACGACTATACATGGCCACGGTAAACCGCTCTACTCGGAATCAAGGATCCATTACCAGCTGGGCGTGGTGGGTGATGAGCAAGATCATCTTCATCCCGTTTCTTCTCTATTTCACCATGGTCCAGCTATGGTGCTCTCAGTTTAAAGATCTATGGAGAATCGGTACTTCTCTAGTTACCCTCACATGCTCCATCTATGGCCTAAAGCAGTCCATCGAGGGCGATGAATATAACCACCTCCCTCAGGACGAATCCGATGATGATGACAACGCATTAGGGTTCGGTCAGATTATGTCACTTCTCCTGCTGGCTTTGCCGATGTTTTAGGTTCTAGAGCTGTGCTACGGTATGAATTTTCTTGGTTTAATATTGGTTGATTTTGACGTTTATGCAGAGGATTGGCGAAAGCAACGAGCTAGTGACTCTAGCCAGAATGATCAGCATCAAAATCAGATTGGTCTTGTGGATTCGTACTCTCAATCACAACAATCAACGCCCACTATCTTCTCCAACTCCATCACGGTTACAAACGATAGTACAATGAAGATGGATGCTCAACATACAGACACAGACCCGGAAATCGGTACACCTAATGAAACGCAAACCTGTGAAGAAAGTAGCATCGACACATTAAACAAGCAAATGTATGATTCAATCGCTTTCCGAGTCCCCGCTACACTTGTTGTTCTGGCATGCTCTACTGTATATTTTGTCTTTTTACAATCATTCCCTGGGATGGTTATGTGAAAAACGGTAGTTCATTATCTATATATCAGCATACCCTTCTGTGTGAAAACATCCCAGACCTATCATCTATAAAGCTGCTACAGCCATTCTGGTTGATTTTTACCTCGAGGCCAAAGGGGGTGTATCAAAGAAGTCCAAGACACACAATACATGGGATAACGCCTATATCTGACATATATCCGTGGTCGCGATTCTTTCCCAATGATCATTGAAGTATTTTCACTTAAATACATCACTCTTGTCCCAACCCGTCGGCTGCAGATTCTGAAGGGATTTGGTAGGATGTGGTTTGCTCGGATCGGCATATTCGATCTGATAGGGATTGGGATCGGTTCTTTGGTTCAAGTTGGACAAGGTGTGGTTCACCTCACGGTGCTTGGCCTCATCTGCACGAATGTACAGGATCAGATCGCGCATTGTGCGATGGCCTTCGGGAATCTTCCAATACTGCACCGCGATCTCGGGGGCGGTCAAATTGTTCCACTCGGGGAGTTTACCTGCCTCAATCTCTTCAATGGCCCGGCTGTACGTGATAACGGCTTCCTCTTCGAGGTAGCCCACGAATCGGTGGCAGGTCCGGGGAGAGATAAGGTAAGAAAGAATGAATCCATTCAAAAACACGCCTTGGGCCCCTATCACCATGAAGCGCATGAACCAACCTGGTTCGGCTAACTTGAGGAACGTAAGAAGGTGCATACGTTCGTTAAATGCTTCTTCTAACTGTGTTTCAATCCTGTGAGATAGACTGTTAGTCTTTACATCAAATGTATTTCAGATGAAGCAGTATGTACCAGCCATTGTCTCGCTTCATCCGTCGGAGGCTGTGCAGATGCCGCAGCATTCCGCCCACCATGCCAGGCACACCCGCTATGCTTTCAAGAAAGATAAACCGAGTTAACCATTTCTTCTCCGTCATCTTGAAGCGAGCTGGTAGGGCTTCGCCTGGTTTCGGATGCTTGTAGCCAGTTACAGAGTCCACACACCATCGAAAGAAGCGAACGGTTCCAAGAGCCACCCAGTCAGACCAGTCCTTGGCCTCTCGATGAGCAACCTGAATGTCGCGCATCTGCTGTTCCGTGTATCTGATGTATGTGAGTCAGCGAGTGGGATAATGTGAAGGATGGGATGTTTGGCTTACACTGGGTGTGACCATACTGAAATGACTTGCTTGACACCTGGTGACTGTGGAGGTGGGAAATATTCTTTGATCCGGTGCTGAGGGGTGGCCGATATGAAACGCTTCGAAGAATGCCTAACATCAAGGGCTCGCGAGAATCGGTGAAGACATGTCCCTGAGCAGTTTGAAACAACCCACGGCGTAGGCACGAGGGAAGCTTTTGATCGGGTCGCTACTCGTACTTGAGAGAGCATCGTAGTCGCTTAATAGTTGATACTGTACTCTCATTAATTCCAGTTATTTAGAATGGTGATAGGAATCTCCCCTTACAGTTACACACCTATGACGAAATTGATGACGTTCGGGATCACGGCGGAAGTAGTAGGCCCTTTTTTGATTGGCCCAAAGCGGAGCAGGCACAATCTTCGGACCGGCATTTATTTGCTCATGTCAAACACTGTTCATATTATTATTTCAATTAGTATTCATATACTCCACTCATCTGGACTTGACAGATGATGTGTCGGGTGCGAGTGGACTCCCTGATCATGGATCAACTTGACCCCGAAACCTAACTCTGTTTTTCAAAATACCTCAGATAAGATATATAGATCCATTCCAGCATATCTCCACTCACATAAGCAAATGCCGATACTCATTTGATATAAAAGCTACTCCATACCATCATAGATCTAGACCCTGTGGAGGTTGGAATATGGCAAGACTCCAAAAATGGTAAATGGCCTCAACAAATGCGGAGAAAATATATGAATAGCTACGGTAGATCTTGATGAGTAACACTTCGGGTTAGCGCAGTATAACCCGATATTCTTTACAGCCAGGATGGGCTATGCTGAGTGTGAAGTCATTTTTTGTGAGCTTCCTGATGTAAGAATGATATAGATGGATGACGACAGCCATTATCATATTATCATATATTATCATATAAACACCGTATGACCATATAGAGGCATCTCTTCTTGTCTATTGTAGTCCCATCAAAATGCCTCTTCCGTTAGTCTATACCAGCAAGATGCCCTCCTACAAGAGACTCGACAAGAACAACTGTGCCTTTCTCTTCATCGATCACCAAGCCGGTCTCATCCAACTCGTCCGCGATTTCGGCGCCGACGAGTTCCGCAATAATGTCCTCGCCCTGATCGACACGGCTAAGTTTTTCAAAGCCCCTTGTGTGGTGACTTCTTCATTTGAAACTGGTCCAAATGGTCCTATTGTGAAGGAGATTACGGATAACCTCCCAAATGCTACGGTGATCCGACGACCGGGTCAGATTAATGCGATGGACAGTGAGGAGTTTGCTCAGGCTGTCAAGGCAACAGGAAAAAAGCAGGTTGTCATCAGGTAAGCTTCATCTGATTTTGTGATGAATATCGCTGACGAAATATACAGCGGCGTTCTAACCGAAGTCTGCGCAACGTTCCCTGCCCTCAGTCTTGTCGATCACGGATACGAGGTTTTTGTTGTCACAGATGCCTCCGGGACTTTTGCAGAACACACCCGCGAGGCAGCTCATAAGCGGCTAATGCAGCATGGCGTTCAACTGGTCAACTGGGCATCGGTCTCTTCTGAACTGCAAAGAGATTGGCGAGAGGATGTGGCTGGATTTGCAGCTCTTTGGAGGGATCGGGTTCCGGGATATTGGTGCTTGATGCAGAGTTATGAGTATGCAAATAAGGGTGTGTCCAATTGAATAATCATTGAAGATAAAGCTGGAATCATCTGAGGGATTATTCAGTCTGTTCGGAATGAGACAAGTCTAGCCAATAGGCATCCAAAAATAGCAACTGCCCTTGGACAGAAATTTTACTCTATCATGGATAGGAAAGGCGCATCAATCAGAACAGATTAGTATAGTCCACATTCGATCACTTGCAGCGTTAATATTCTGTGGCTATTGGAACAAAGGCTGACCAACGACGCCGGAGATATTGGTCATGATTCTAGAAGATGGTAGAGTTTTCTCGCCGTCTCCCGATGATCGTAATTGGTGCTCGGTTATCTGTCCGATAAATAGCATGTCAGGAAGTCTATCTATCTTGCCACAAGGCTGATCACGCTAGGTTATCAGACATCCCAGATGTAACAGATCTGTCCACATCATTATGAGTCATTGTTCCATTATTCATCATTCCACTCGAAGAATAAGCGAATATCCATCGACTGACACGTATTGGAAAGCAGACCAACAACTACTTGAAGGTGGGATCGGCGTAAAAAAAGTAATTATATGATCAAACAGAACCCACCTTGAACTGCAATGTAACATCCAAGATGGGAATAGAACCTGATTTGTCTGATGCAAGTGCACTGTCCAAGTGTGGTAAATAGTCCTTTCCTTTGTTGATCCTGAAATCCGGAAAGTAGGGAAGAGAGCCCCTCACCATCGCGGACGAGGCTGTTGCGTGCATTACGAAATGCAGGGATCTATGGCAGGAAGTCCGCACGAGGCTGAAGAGCGAGCAATATGATTAGAAATAGGATTTTTTTCAGCCTCGCCGATCGAGGTCTTAACGTGAAGCCTTGTCGCCCATAAATTCTGATATTTTCTGAGAGAGCATCTCTGCCTCCTGAAGCAGATTCTTGCGTTCAAAGATTATCCCAGGTGGTTTTTTTTTCGAGACATACTACTACTACCTTTTTTGCCAGGATCGTCAAATCAAGATGCCCGGTGAAGAAAGAGATGAACTGCCTCTTCCTGACGTGAGAATAAGGCTCGCACAATGGGAGCAACGAAGCAACCCCAACATAGGAACCCCGAGTGCAAGTGATCACAGGCAGAAAGTGGGCATACAAAAACCCATACATGGGTTTCTAAGGTGGTCGAATAATGTGAAAGGTTATACTGTGAATCGAGCAAAAACGGGTGCTCAATCAATGCTCGACAAAACAGGGTTTTACCATGCTTACCTGAGAACGAAAGAGGACATTGATGATGCAAAATCAAGTCAAAGGGGCCAGGAAGGAATTTGCAGTCGCTGCAGGAGCATTGCTGCCACTTTTGGCGGGACGGTCCGGCGCCAATTAAGATGGTCTGGAGAATGGGCAACGCCATTATCGAGGATCCTCCTTCATAGCAACTGGTGCCTTCTGTGTGGTTTAATTCTGAATACCATGTGCGATCCGGAGCTCGATCCACTGCGACATCCTGCCGTTGCCAACTACATTCAACCACATTTGAAAGATCACACAATGAAAACATGGGCTGAGAGAGGTTGGGAATTCAATGAACTTAATTGGCCATTCGGGCATGGACACCATCGTCACGAGGGATCGAGTCACGTTCTGAGTGCCGCGTTCGAACCTCTGGAGACTCTCTTCATCATGGCATTATATTCTGTTGGCTACCGAAAGCTCAGGGAGATTCTGGGTTCTGCAACAGCCAATTTTCGAGTCGCCGAAAATGAGATTGGTCTACAAGAAGAGCTTCAAAGAGCACGCGCCCCGAACAAACACCCACTGAGCTGCGTCGTGAAGATCACTCGGCCTGAGGCGCAAGACCCAAGTTTGCTGATGGTCACTCTGTGGGGATTCGGTCGCCAGTCTAATGCATCTCTCCAAGTTCTGAGCAGTTTCCCCCTCTTTCTTGCCAGTTCGAACTCACTACATGACAGCCTCGTGCCTTCCTTCAACCGTCTTGGGAAGCTGTTGGATCCCAGATGGATTGATCCATCAGTGGCAAAGACGTGGTTAAACAAGTGTAAAGAACGACATGGCACGAAGTGCAGTACTCCCGGATGGGCATCTAGTGTAGAACGCCCAGCCTCCCTGCGTGTTCTTGATGTCAAACACCTCTACATCAAGGTTCCGAGCAGTCTAAGAACATGCGAATATGTGGCACTTTCATATGTCTGGGGGGAAACGGACATGCTGGTACTGAACGAAGCGAATTACGAAATACTGACGAAGAAGGACGGCCTTCAAAAATACTGGAATCACCTGCCACGAACCATTGTTGATGCCATTCAGGTCGTGCGTGACATGGGGGAAAGGTATCTGTGGGTAGATACACTTTGTATCATCCAGGACAGTCCGGACAAACACGAACACATCAAGAATATGGATCGAATATACAGCAGTGCATTGGCAACCTTGGTTGCAGCGGACGGGGAAACTGCAAATCATGGACTAATCGGCGTACGAACCCCTGATGAGTCCCATGAAGGGCAACCACGCGACCTTTCCCAGCGCTGGGCAAAGATCAACAATGAACTCACCATGGCTGCCCCACTGTCAACGCGGGATTACAACATCGATGGATCAAAATGGAACTCCCGTGGTTGGACATACCAAGAACGCCTTCTGTCGCGACGGTTGATCATTTTTACCCGGGGAGAAGTCATCTGGCATTGCCGGGAGATGAGCTGCCGCGAGGACATGCCAACAGACGATCCAACCATGGAACTGAAATCACTCGATTGGATTTCGCTTAAACACCAACAACTTGGCGAACAGGCCGACTCTGTCTGGAACGATGGATGTATGGAATATACCCGTTATGGTGTCACCCGTCTGGTGCGCCCTTCATCGTTTGTGGAATATGCGAAGGCAGTCAAGCAGTATACTCATCGAGACTTGTCAAATCCAAATGATATCCTCGCAGCATTTGCAGGGTTGTCACATATCTTTTCGGTGTGTTTCAAATCCCCCATGCTATCCGGTTTGCCAGAAGCCATGCTTGACTTTGCATTATTATGGAGGCCGACCGAGCGCTTGACAAGAAGACGAGGCTTTCCCAGTTGGTCGTGGTGTGGATGGATAGGCCAAGTGGCATATGACAATACCTACCACATGGAATATGATTTGGACGGCAAACTGCTGCTATTCAAGGTGGTGGAAGCTGGAGAAGAAGGAATACGACCATTGATTAGATGGTATATCTGGCGCGAGGAAGCCCGAAAATTGATCCCCGTCAACAGAAACGGTATTGGATTTCCATACAGGGATTTCAATCACCCAGCAGATTGGGAAAAGGGTCCATCGTGCCTTCATGACAATGGAGACGTGCAACCGGCAACAGCTCCGAGCATCCCATTCCGCATTCCCTTGGACAGACGCATACGCGGCCAGTGCTTGTACTTCTGGGGAAGCATAACTGCAAACATTAAAATCGGGCCACCTATTTTGCAACAGAGTGACGCACAATGGAAATGCAACAATCGGCCAAGGCGTCTTGAGTTGCAAAACCAGCAATCACAATTCGTTGGCAACGTGTTACTCGACGGTATGGAATACGACTTGGTCCATCACAATCGATACGAATTTATTCAAATGGCCGAAGCCAAGTATCATCACCTCGATGGAGAGGAGAATAACATCAGAGGCTTTCCGTTGTATCTCGTCTTGATGGTTGAGTGGGATGAAGTGAGGAAAGTTGCCACGCGTCTGGGGGTCGGGAGGGTGTACAAGGAAGCATGGCGGGCCGCCCGTCCTGAACTAGAGTTCATCCAATTGGGGTGATCGACTGGTTTAGATGTCAAGTAGTTGAACCAAGCTGGAACGTGATGATTGAAGCCAATCAGAATGAATTGTCGATGGACTGTCGATAGAAAGATGATGAAGAGACGAAGCTGAAGTTGGAGAAGGCGCTGGGAAAGGGACTAGTCCCAAGGAGGAAACCACGTCAACATGGCGTCGCAACCTGAGGCATCATTGTTTCGCCTGCCGATTTTGTCTCCTCTCCCTCCCTCTCTTTTTTTAAAAAAATTTTCTATTGTAGGTGTATTATTACTAGAAAGATCTCTACATTGTGTACGTATCTTATATCATCCAGATTATAACACGCTGCTCATCCAAGCCAACTTTTTGCTATAATATATTTGACAAGCACCATTCTGTAGTGAGTCGACAAATCAATTGTAGATGCTAATTGTCAACAAGGTAGATACTGGACACTAACTGGGAATACTCTTAGAGCTGAATCTTAGGCTCTAAATTCAACTTCCTTCCTTTATTCATCTGTATGCTGCGAGGAGATCGTAATGACGAGTGGACGATGCAAATGAAAATAGGCAAGTGGAGCCTGGGGAACGGGAATTGCCGGCGCTAAGCAGAGGAGAGACACTAGGCCCGAATAGGCATTCTGTGCCTGGCCCGACCGGGCTGTATACTGCTGCCCCGTCTTTGCATGCTATTTCTTCTTGTATTCCATTCTCTTCACTATTCTTGTTGAAAACTACGGTCATACCTACACCTATTTGGTTTATCTTCTTTTATAGCAGAATAACCAAATCCGTCCAATATCAAAATGTTACTCGACTTCCCCAACGAGATCCTCCTCCTTATCGCAGAAAACCTACACGAAGCAGACATCAATTCTCTCGCAACGGTGCCCTATACTGCATTCTGGACCCCTTTCTCTACCGCTACAATGTTCATCATTCTGCGAGCAGAGCACGAGCACTGAATTGGGCTGTCTTGTGGGGATCCATGGCCACCATCCACAAATGCCTCGATGTAGGAGCAGCCACCTTGATCCAAAAAGATGGTCATGGCGGAAATGGCGATATTACTGGCTATGATAATGGATTTACAAAACCACCATTGATCTACTTGGCTGCATTCCATGGACGTACGGAAGTAGTCAAGCTTTTGTTGGATCAGGGCGCGAACCCAAACACCAAATATTACAACGGAACACCCGTGATCTCACATGCAATAAGGTCCGACAAAGAAGAAACCGTCAGGGCCTTCTTGGACAGTGGAAAATATATCGATCTCGAAGCAAGAGGCAAATACAACATGACACCACTTGCGATTGCGGCACGATTGCACAAGCCATCGATTCTCAAGATGTTGTTGGCATCGGGCCGTGTGGACGTGGAAGCAGAGGATGAGTATGGCGCGACACCGGTGATACTCGCAGCGATTACTGGAAATGCTGAAATCGTCGCCATGCTGGCAGAGAGAAACGCTGATTTGCAGGTTGTCCCACGCCGTGGTCGCACCGCGCTTTCATACGCAGCTCGCTTTGGGCATTTGGAGGTTATCGAGTTCCTTTGCAACAAAGGGGTTGATCCTAATATCCGCAATCATGATAGCAGAACACCTCTATTCACTGCATCCAAATACGGTCGCTTGGAAGCCATTCGCCTCTTGATCGCCAAAGGAGCAGACCCGAATGCGAAGGATCTATCTGGAAATCGCCCGATATTGCTTGCAACAAAGAGACTCCACCAAGAAGCCACGAAATTACTCATCGAATACGGCGCCGAATGCAAGGTGTGTAATGACCGTGGACAGTCTACGCTTTTCTTTGCAGCTCGCTTAGCCGACACGAAGTTTATGGATTTTGTGATTGAGAAGGGGTTCGATATCAACACTAGAGATCGGGATGGGCGAACAGCGCTGCACTTGGCAACAGGCTGTGGCGACAAAAGAATGGCCACAAGGTTGCTCGAGAAGAAGGCGGATATTAATGCTGTTGATCAGGGGAACATGACCGCGTTGCATTATGCCGTTCGTTATTGTACAAAGATGGTTAAATTCCTTCTCAAGAATGGTATAGATCAAGAGATCCGGGATCAAAATGGCCACACAGCATATGATCTTGTAGACGAGGAGGATTGGGAGGAATATATAGAAGACGCATGTACTTAATTGCTGAGTGTTTGCATTTTGCCGGAAGCTTTGCTATGTATGCTGAGATTTGTTATGTATTTTGGGAGCACAAAACACAGAAACGAACCATTCCATTAAAAAGATAATTTATACCTTCAACACATCATCCACCTTGACCATCCTCCCCTTTTGCATCGAAATATTAGCTGCAATCCCCGTTAGGATTGACATGGCCCCGTCGATATGAGATGCTGCTCGTCCCAGCTGATCCTCTGCGGCATCGCCAAACAAATCATTCAACAACTGCGGATCACCTCCCCCATGGCCTCCAGGTCCATGTGGGACTTGAATCTCCACCGGCTTTCCAAACATGGGCCGCAGGAGAATCAAACGACTCTCCAATGCGCCTTCCATCGCCTGCTCCCCGCCAGAGTTGACATATGACTGTTCAACAACTTCGACTTCAAGACGTCCCTTGCTGCCATTAAAGCATACTCGGAAGCCCTCCCGCGGTGCGTACGCAGTGAGACTGTAGGTCAAGACAGCCCCAGATCGATACCGCACCATCACACCCATGGTATCTTCGATGCTGATCCCATCTCCAAACACGCTCTGGTCACGGTGATATCCATCCTCCATCTCCGCATCGAGATACATAGCCTTCAACTGCTCATTCTGGTCAAGATGCAAAGCAAACGGATCCTGACGGGCATTCTCACTCCCATGCGCGCGAGAGTAAAATTTGGTTTCTCCTCTCTTCTCCGCATTTTCCTTTCCGTAGAACCGTAAATCTCCCATGGCAACTACTGTCTCCGGACGGCTCTGAAGCCAGAAATTGACAAGGTCGAAATGATGCGTCGATTTGTGGACCAGTAAGCCGCCACTGTTTCGTTTGTCGCGGTGCCAGCGACGGAAGTAGTCTGCTCCGTGTGAGGTGTTGAGCATCCATTCAAAGTGCACCGAGTTGACTTGTCCGATTGCGCCGGAGGAGAGTAATTCGTAGATTTTTGTATTGTGAGGCGCATATCGGTAGTTGAAGGTGACACGTACCCGACCACCCGTACGGTCGACAGCATCGAGAATCTGGCAACATCGTGGAGCGTCAATAGTCATTGGTTTTTCAGTAATGACGTTGCAGCCTAATTCGAGTGCGCGGACAATGTACTCATTATGAGTACGGTCAATTGTCGTCACGATAACTTCATCTGGTTTAGTCTCACGGACCATGCGATCAAAGTCACTTGCATGATAGGTTGGAATTGCCTCATGGCCAAATGACTCTAGGCGAGAGTTGGCATAGTTCATGCGAGTAGCATTCGTATCACAAAAGGCCACCAGAGAGGCTGTAGCCTTAAACTCAGTAACCAGAGCCTTGTAGAAGAAGATGGCGCGGCCACCGGTTCCAACGATCGCGTATTTCTTCATGTTGCTGGTGATGGACTCAAAAAGCACCAGGACGGGACATTCTATATACCTTTACCGGAGCGGAATACACCGAATTGCGGATCATCAAGGATAGACCATGTTTATAGCTAGAGCGAGGCGCATATTTTCCATGAATCAAAGCGTGGTGGGGATGCGGGGAATCTGGGGAAGCGGGGATAAACTCAAGTATATCTTATCGCGATCGATCATCTGACATGGATTCCATCAATGGAAAGCTGCCCCGATGTATTTATCCTACAGGCTATTTACATGATGATATCGGCATATTGTAGCCCGTTGTGATATATAATGTCTCCACAGTATGGATGAACTGGCAAGTAGCAATACGCAACAATGGCGAATCCACCTCAAGATACCATCGCGGTGCAGCCTGATGATAACACAAATAATGCACCCAAAGAAAAGGCAGCCCAGTTTCTCGCAACAGTGGAAAACCAAACATTCACTCTTGAAGAAGAAAAGGCCGTCCTGAAACGTATCGACCGACGTATTCTCCCCCTCATCCTAGGTGCCTATTTCTTCCAACAACTCGACAAATCTTCTCTGTCTTATGTATCCATCTTTGGAATCGTCGACGATGCGAATCTCAAGGGCCAGGAATATTCCTGGCTTGGATCGATATTATATTTAGCTCAACTCGTTATGCAGCCATTAGCAGCTTTCATGTTGGTTAAAGCGCCGACGGGCAAATTAATCGGGTCTGCTGTCTTCCTTTGGGGAAGTTCTTTGGCCATCATGGCTGCTTGTACGGATTTTAAAAGCTTACTTGGGATGCGGTTTGCGTTGGGATCTTTTGAGGCTATGATTGGTATGTCTTATATTCTTTTCTTTATCGACATACTGACCATTAGCTCCGTCTTGTGTGGCTGTCACACAGATGTGGTGGCGACGGAGTGAGCAGACGATGAGGACGGCTTTGTGGAGTGGAATGAACGGAGTCACCTTTGTTGTAAGTCCATCAGTTGATATGAATACTGAATCCTGACAATATAGGTCGGGAGTCTCTTCACCTACGGCCTCGGGCATATCCACAGCAACACCCTCTACTCCTATCAGGCAGGACCCCCATATCCCATACATATATCCAGACCTAATCGAAGCAGATAATATTCCTCTTCTGCGGTCTGCTGACAGTAGCCTACTCCTTCCTCGTCCTCCTCTTCATGCCCGACTCCCCCATGGAAGCAAAATGTCTCAACGAACACGAAAAATTCATCGCCGTTGAACGTCTCCGCGCGAACCAAATGGGGATTATATCGAGGGAATGGAGATGGGATCATGTGCGGGAGACGGCGTATGACGGGAAGACGTGGTGTTGGTTTTTTCTGATTGTCTCCATATCGTATGTCGTGCCCTGGATTCTTGATGTCTAATGCTGATGAATTTAGAATTCCGAGTGGGGGAATCAGCACGTTCGGGAATCTTATAATTAAATCTTTTGGGTATAATGCTTTTGAAACTATCCTGTTTAACATTCCCTTTGGTGTTATCCAGGTTATCTCGATCATTGGAGGCGGGTGGCTGGCTACTCACTTCCGGCGGAAGGGACTGGTGATTGTGCTGTTTGCTGTTATAGCAGCAGTCGGAACATTGCTTATGATTGTTGTTCCGAGGGAGAATAAGGGCGTTCTTCTTTTTGGGTACTATCTGGTATGTTCTTCCACGAATAAGGAAAGACATATCTAACAAGATAGATATCTTGTCTCGCGGCGATAACACCACTAGTCTACGCCTGGGAAGCACAGAATACAGCAGGCGACACGAAGAGAAAATGTACATCGGCCGTTGTGCTGATTGGGATGTGTACTGGAAATGTATGCCAACTCTGACTTACTAGGTATAAGACAAGCTAATCAGCCAGGTCATCGGTCCACAACTATATTCAACCTCGCAAGCACCACTTTATAGACCTGGATTGATTTCGAATTTGATTCTTTTCGGATTGACTGGGGCTTTCGCAGCGTATGTACGTCCTCACACAGGTATTTCCAAGCTAACAAGGCAGGATCACGAATATGTACCTGATCATACTCAACAAGAAACACGCCAAAAAGCGAGAATCACTTGGAAAATCAGCCCAAATCGTAGACGAATCAATGCTGGCAAAAGACGAGATGCAAACAGGCAAGGCAGTCGAAGTGGAAGACGTTACACCCGCTCCAGAGAGAGCAAACGACAAGGGCTTCGCCGATACGACGGATTTGAAGAACGAGGATTTCGTTTATGTGTATTAAATTGTATGTAGTATTGTGTGATATGCAGAGTAGTCATTCATTCATTCATTAACCAAAAATGCAAATGCTGTGGGTATCATATGCCGTTTATGCAAGTGGTGTGTATATATATGATTGGTCTGTGCCAATGTGGATATGGCTTCCTCCGAATATGACGTCATAGGGGTCCTGTTGAGTCCGGTTTGAGCCTCCAGATCTTCAGCATGTATGAAATGCGGGGTTATTGAATCCTGGGCGGGATGGACTCGGCGTGAGGCTGACCGGTTGAAGATCTGATAGAGTGCCCATGGTAGACATCCTACCCATCGGACTATAGGAGTCGAAGGAATAAGGAGGGATGTCCTCGACTCAAGTAAAGTACTGTGAGTGCTAAAAACGAAGGTAAGAATAAAACAAATCAGCGAACAGGCGTTTCGGCGTCTTCAAGACTTGCAGCTCGAAACTTGGAAGCTTGACTATCCGACGCTGGACGCGCATGGTTGAAATCCGAGACAACACGAGTGGCATCGACGAACGATGGATATTCTCCACCGGCGACGTTAAAAGCCGTTCTCCAGACATGCTGATGGGCGATGTTGACCAGTTTTCCTAGGACGGCGATTTCGAGCTTCAGTTTGATACTGTAGATGGTTGCTTTGAGGGTGGTTTGGTAGATGTAAAAGTTCATGAATTCGATGATCATCAGGGCGATATCCATGAGGATACAGACCAGGTTGACGGCGAACAGCTGCATGATGGTCTTTCGGTTGACGCGGTCAGGGTTGGTCTGCAGCATCCGGTTGGTCTCCCACATGTACAGACAGGAGATGATAACTTCCTGGACGCAGAAGCCCGTCAACTGTACCTTTTCCATAATGTCGTATCCTGAGACCGAGGTGTGCGAGTTGGAGAAGTTGGCGGCATAGGTGAGCACGGTGGTCGGAACGTGCAGCAGAAAGACATTCATGATGATCATCCCACGCACAATACGGAGGATTTGCAGATTTCGAAGCACCAGATGGAGGCGGGAATACAGCACAAACGACTGTCCCGTGACCATGGACCACCAGCCCACGGTCAGCAGGGTGATGGGCAGCCAGGTCGCACTGGTGAGGTCGAAGAACTTCATGAGATAGCCGACCGAGTACGGCAGCACCCCGAGGGCGGAGATGAGCATGCTCCAGAAGTAGGGACCCTGGTATCGCTTGAAGGTCAGAAAGATCAGAATCACGAGCTCGATCACGTTGTACCACGCGACAGCGACAAAGGTCGCGAGAGTGATGCGGACGCCATCACTGTTGCCGGTGTAGCTGCCGGTGATCCAATGCCCTGGACTGGAGGAGCTGGAGGTCGACATCTGGCAGCTTCTCGATCGGGAAGTCCTGAGGCGGACGGAAGACAGCGTCGAGAGGGATCGATAAGGACGAGCAGTGACGACAATATTTTTTTGCGGCGTTTGGGGAAAAGTCAGTGGTGGGAAGTGGAAAAACCGACACGCTCGGACGCTGACAGGGGAAGCAACGGTTGACCACGGTTGACGCTGGGCCAAGCAAAATGCGTCATTGGACGAGGCGCTGTTCCCCTCACCTGAACCGTGGATCGGAAGGCTGGGCTGAGGGCGCGGGAGGCAATCTGTGGTCGGATTGGCTGGGGAGGACCCACTGGGCGCGCCCCGGTCATTATCCGGTGAGACACCGACACCGCGCGGGCTGCGATTGGCCGGCCGGAATTGACGCTGGGATTAAATCTGGATAAAAGGCTAATTTTATCAATCGACGACGCCTCACTCCGAGGCTAGCAGCAGCAATCGAGATTATCTTGATCGAGGCAAGGGGTTCCTCAGAGATTAGGAGCTGTCAAATAGGGGCTGGCGGTGCATATTAAAGGAGGTCCACTGGATGCTTAAGAGGTGGTCACTGCTGGCTGTCACGGTCTGAGCTCAGAGTTCATGATAATATGCAGAGTGATGTGATAGCTATGCTGTCCTACATGGGAATAATAGATAGACGTGCACTTGCAAAGGTGACTGAGGATGTGCCGGTTTATAGCTGAACACCTTGTAGTCTGAGTCTCCGGGTCAACCCCTGAGTCCTGCGAGCACTCCTTTTAGCCCCAATCTAAGCTGTCGAAAAGGGGCAGGTAACACGATGTATCACAGAACCAAATACTGGGAGCCCTTGCAGTGACACGGTATGCATGTCACATCTTGACTGCGGTTGAGGACTCAACAATATGCACTCCCTCATCTGTTCATAATTTCCAATCTATCAGCAAGGCAGCTTTATATAGTGGTATGTGTGTATGCCCTGGTATGACTTGAAGGCGACCCTAAGCAATACTAATTTCTCTACTCATTAACTCAATAGATGAGCCATGAACCAATCTATCTTCCCTTCCACGGAGTTGATCGCTTGTCAAGAATATCGTGCCCGACCCCAATGACAATCTTCGTTTATCCAAATTAGGCAGGTCTAATCCTCTCGGCGACCGGTTAAATCCCTACGACGAAGAGCATTTCGCTGGAACAACCTACCTGATCCATAACATTGCGCCGTCACCCTCCCTAGCTGTGGTTGGCTGAGATGTTCTGATCCTTTGAGTATGGATTACGCATAGTGTGTCAGCATGCATTTCCGACAGAATTCCCTCAAATAGATACATCAGGCTATACCACATATCGCCCGGTCGTATATGGTTCCTGCTCCAGAGTGTGAGTTTGATCCGATCTGATGCTGCAGATGTCAGATATGGTAGTAAATGATTCATCACATGCAATGAACTACCGGCATTCTTCTCCACAAAGATTCGGCCGAAAGAATACTACGGGTCAACATGCTCAATGGCGATAAATTATTTGTTTTGCAGATGAAGTGTTGCATCCAACATGTCAAACTTCTCATCTACAATCTTGAGAGTGATGTCTTTAGAAATAATCTTGTCGCTGGGTGAAAGAAACCTTACGGACAGCTGCCAGTAGTAATACCTGTCAGTAAGACGATACTTTGAGGATTTCAATGAAAGAAACAAACTCAATCTGAGGGCATAGTTTAGTGGATATGATATCCACAAAAATACTGAAAAGAGAATTTCCATGGTTCTTAACACTCAATCCATAGCACCTTTACTTGAAGAAGACCGATGGCCTTCTGGAACACACAGGCCACGAAAGTCCATATAAATGTTGTGCAGATTCTCGTTTCATTATACTCAAGTATTCGTAGATGTTTATTCCTCACTCTGTCTAGCCTTCGCCTTTTGACTCTTCCCAGGAATAACAGTACTCAAATCCCCGACAGGGAGTGAAATAGGAAAGTCGACGGCATCCAACATCTGCACCATGAAGATATGCCAAACAGGCATACACAGGGCGAAATTAAAAGCACCACCAGCCTGATACATTAGCAAATATCCATAAAAATGGGAGTATGGGACGTACAATCTGCAATTTATGTGCCAAAGCCTCCTTTCCAAGCGCAAGTGTGAATTCCGAACCGGCGAATAGTGAAAACGCGATAACGAGGAGGAAGAGGGCGGAGAAAAGGCAGATATTGGTGCGGATTGAGCAGATCATGTAAATGAAGGTTACGATGGCGAGGGTGACATAGTAGTAGCCTTATTTGTTAGTATATCCATGGCGATATGGACGTGGAGACGAACCTAATGTGGCACTGTATCCAGGGTCCGTCTGGCCTTCGAGATTATTCCCAGATGCAGAGTATTGGAGTCCAGTGGCGAAGAAGGGCATGAGGTTTGTTCCTTGGACAATCCAGAATGTCCCTACACAATGAGCAATTGAACATGCAGTGTATGATTGAGACCTCACCATAAGTAAAGAAAATAGCACAGGAAAAAGTATTCCCAATGAGCCATTCTCCAATCGCACCGAGAAGCTGGACGACGCCACCAAAGAAGATATAATCCGGTCTATACCATTAGCTTCAGTATAGTAACATAGTTGAAGAACTTACATTACAGCCCCTCCATGGCCACCAGCTCCTCTCCAGCCCATCATCAGACACGCATTTGGCATCGAAGCCAGCAAGAAACCCATCAACGCGATCGGCGTGGGATTGCCGACCTTCTTGCGCAGCTCTCCTGATGTCGATGGATGCTTGGGACTGAGATAAAGCTTCTCAAATACATCACGGGAAATAGGAAGGAAGACACTGTCTGCTGTCTGGATTCGTTTGATTCCTTCGTTGTGAATGGTATCGGAGCGGTCGCTCATATCGCCGGAAGACATGGTATCGTGTTGGTTCTTCATGAGGATGATTGAGAAATGGCAGAGTTGTTTGATCAGAGATAAAAGAAGGGGATCTTGCTTTATACCTCAATGCTTGTTTCGAGCACACGCGGCGTGGAACGCGGCCCAAAAAATGAAGCCGCAGATCAGCCATCCAGCTTGACAAAATTGGACACGCTGATTGGCTGGATAATAGGCTATATCGTCCATCGCCTCCTATCGTCTCCAATGGTTGAACAACTGGGTTGGATGAGATTGGAGGTGATCTTCAATAGTGATGACGGAGTCGCTCCAAAACAGGGTGGTTTGCGGGGGAATCCAGATCCACAGGGCTCCATTATTGCGGAGAAAGTGCATTATATTGAGTTGGAGAGAAGGTGAACCTCGGATGAAGCAGTTTTGGGCGGAATATGCGCAATCAATAGTTGAGGAAAGAGGCTGATAGTTGCTGGTTAGAGTTAAGATCCTTTCTTTTTTCTTCTACTGTTGTTGATTGTCGATCCCGCCAAGAGTCGAGCTCTTTCCCAACGTGTCAAGATGGATGCACCAACATCCATCCATCATGCATCAATCAAGGCTACGACCATATCTCAATCCCCTGAAAGTCACGATAAACCATGATTGGCTCCATTCAAGCGGACGATCGGCCCCTTTGGGTGTCGCAACATTAGCTGGCTGCATAAGGAGCTCTTTCGCGTCGAATCAGCGCAGTCTGATAATGGGCGCAAATGTCCCATCTTTTACTATCCGTACGTCCGTGTTTGTCTATTGATACCTATTGCTGACTTAGTAGCCTGCGATCCTCTTTCATACACCAGTGGGCGATGGCTGAATCAGGATGATCTGCAGCGCAACTCTCGCTTCATCCAGTTCGATTTTACTGAGCTCTGCAACACCGTGATAAAACTACACCCAAATGCGAAAAAAATTATCAACTGCGACAAGAAAGAAGGCGGGTTCAACCGGGTCTTTATTTTCACTTTCGATTCAGCAGATCGCGTGGTGGCAAAACTTCCGACGAAGATCGCAGGTCCGCCACGGCTAAGTTCCAATGCCGAGGTGGCGACGATCGAATATCGTCAGTTTTATTCCCCCGCATTTTGTGTCGTGGTTATTGACGACTAGCAGTGAGAAGGAAAACATCAATTCCGATTCCAAAGATACTGGCGTGGAGTGACGACCCGTCAAACCCCGTGGGCTCGGAATACATCATCCAAGAACAAGTCGAGGGCGTCCAACTACATCAAGTATGGCCCTCCATGTCCAGTCACCAGCATATGCTGTGTACGAAACATGTATCTTTACGGATAAAAGAAATGGCAGCTCTTGATTTTCCCGCATTTGGAAGCATCTATTTTTCCGATGCTGCCATCGACTCTTCGAAGACGATCCCTCTGAATCAGGAAGGTTTATGCGTGGGTCCCAACTGCAGTCCTATTTTTTGGAATTGCAGCCCAAGGGAGTTGGATCTTTATGGTGGGCCAAGTCCTGATTGTGGCCCCTGTAAGTTGTTACCTTGAATCTATATGATCCGTGATACTAATATAGCTGGGGGTTGATCTTGCAACTTATGCCTCTGGTTTGATCAGAACAGGCCATTCACGAATTCCGCAAAGGCATATGGTCAAGCAGCAACTTCCATATCAAGGGTCGGTTCAAGAGCATATCAATCTTCTTCACACAAGCCAGAAGGTTTTGGAACACTTGATCAAGGACAGTCGAATCCAAAATGCTGCCTCTCCCACTTTGATCCATCCTGATCTACACAAGCGCAATATCTATGTCAATCCCAATGACCCAACAATCATCACTGGGATTATTGACTGGCAGTCAACTAGTATTGAACCTGCCTTCATCTACACGAATGAGACGCCTGACTTCGCCTCACTCCTGATGAGAGTCTCCTAGATGAAGTCGACGAGCTGACTGATTCAGCCGAGAAGCAAAAGCTAAATGATGCGAAAATCTGTCATCAAACCTATGATGTGATCATGAAAGGTCTCATCCCTAAAATGGGCCCTGCTAAGCTGCTTGATCCTACTTTGTTCCGACCATTTCATTATTGCCATACAACATGGAGAGATAGCGCTACTGCTCTTCGCCAAGAGCTGATGGAACTCTCGGCTCGGTTGTCAGAGCTCGGAATGGAGGAGTCTTGTCCTTACTCACCTGGTGAAGAAGAGATCACCAAACATGCACAGTACTATGAGGATTTTGAGACAGTCCAGCGACTAAAGTTGTGGCTCAAAAACTCACTTAATACGGATTCTGATGGATGGGTTCCGAACGAATTTTGGGATGCTGCAAAGGATGCGCATAAGACTGCCTATCATGAATGGATGGAAACTGCAAGAGAGGCCGAGGCTCAAGGCGATGAGTTGACGGTGGAAAAGGCTGATCGGTTGTGGCCTTTTGATTCTAGATGAGATTATGCATCCTGTGTTGTCGGTATGTGCATGGAAATTCTATCTGTCTGCATCATGTACACTACTAAAACAAGTCTCCATTTCTCCCTATAATCATAAAGTCTTGCTATGTCACATAGTATGTCTTCCCATCACAATCATAAGACGACAATCCCACGTCGACAACAACCGGCCTATGATCAGAACTAAAAACACCATCATCGAACTTGTTGGGCAGAATGGCATATGTTTCAACATTCCATGGTGTCCATTCATCTGTAACAGGACCAACCAGAATATAATCATAGAGCGCATCTTCATTCGGGTCATCATTGAAATCAGTCCAGGAATTCTTATTCCCATATTGGTGACTCTCGTCAACATGAGCCTTCGAATCCGACAAAGCATTCGGGGCTGTCAATACACCATATGCATCACTCTGGTCTTGAGATTCGGTATTAAAATCTCCGGCGAGAAAAAGGCCAGCGATTTCCCCTTTGGACTCTTTCAACCACTCGTCGACCCATTTCAAGATCAAATGAGCACCTTTAAATCGTGACTCAACGCTACTATCATCAAGATGCGTATTCATCGCCAGGATCCGTCTATTCGTTTCTTTATGTCGAAGCACACCAGAAGTAACAATCCTCCTATACCAACTTCCCCAACTATACGACGGTTTGTCGGGAGTATCCGATAGCCATTTCGTCGCAGACCACTCAACATCCCATATACTCGATCGGTATATGATTGGTGAATATTCACCCCACTCGCCACCATCGCGACCGCAGCCGACGGACTTCCATGACACAGTTGGAGATCGGCTGTTTAAGCCGTTGAGTATATCTTGGAGCTGGCCATGGCGAGCCTCTTGCAGACAGATTATGGCTTCAGGGATATGGATTGTTTCAAAGTGTAGTTGGTTGATGATGTATTGTTTTCGAATTCCCCAGCGCTTTTTGGGGTCGAGGGATAAGGTGAGGCTGGTGCGGATGTTGTGGGTTAGGATTCGGATAGTGAGGCTATTATCGGTATGGGTTGTCATGATGCTCAATAGTATGCGAGTATAGAATATATTGATATAGACAGCAATGTTGAGAGTTGTTCGTAAGATGGGATGGGTTGTCATTGCATCATGCAAGGTGGGGTTGGCCAATTAGACTTAATGGCCTTGGTGCTAATTATAGAAGTATCTGCTCTGGTATTTCAACATGTCGATGAATAGCACATAAGTTATCCGAGTATAATTAAATGATACCATTCCTCGAATATATGAATCAACATTTCAACCTGTTCTTTTCTTGCCACCTTAATGTCGCATGAGGTCGATTACTAGCTTTCGCGTACACTCCAGACTGCCAACCTTGCCAACTCGGTACGGGGAACTTCCAGCAATCGACTATTCTTTGGAAATACCCCAGACTGCAAGTCGGGTGATTGGCTGGATCCAGAATCAACCGTGGTTACGTGGGATTAAGCTTTACCGCGGTGAACTCGTGTTTCTCCACAAGATCCACCAGTTCGTGGCAGCTCTGGCTATCCCATCGAAATGAAATCGAGTACCAGTTGTTCAAGACGGTTATAAATAAGATCATAGAGCTGAAAACACTTGGATACACTACATTGCTAGTCAGACACTGTCTGACAAAATTCTGTCGGCAAATACATGTTGCTCAACACCCGATCTGACAAGTCAACACAGATATGCAAACTCCATCACATCCCATCATCAAATCATCTAACTGCATCAAGTTAAATGGTAAGCACGTCCTCATGATTCTCCAACGATGTATATTCAGCTCTGAATATACATCCCCATCGGGCTAGTCTATCTGTGCTTTCTCATATTTGCTTTTTCTCAAGTCGCTTATGGATGCCAAGAGATGATCCCTCATCCATGATCCATTGTTCCCACCGATCGAGAAGCTCGTTTCATCCAGATAAATTGCTTGTTGGATTAATCTGCTTATCCGCCTTTCTGACTGTATCTGAACAATAGGCAAACTGGACAGCCTATTTATTCAAACAGACACCTACCTTGATTATTGTTCTTCAACCCATTCGATTGTATTCATCTCTTGACATCTCTATCCACTCTCTTTTCCCCGCATATTAAACACCGCAATATTCAATATGGGTTCTGTTGGAATAGAACAGTGTCAGGTGATTTCAATCAAAGGACTGAATGAGAGTGAGGCATCTGCATTCTCTACTTTTCGCCAGCTATGTGCCGAACAAGGCCTTTTGAAAAAGCCCCAAGGTTTAAGCAAGGACGATGTCAGCGATGGAATTAATGATGACATTGCCCTCCTGAGATTCCTTCAAGCACGCAAGATGAGCCCTTCAGATGCTCTGAAGCAATTCAAAGATGCAGCAGCATTCCACTCGGAGAAAAATGTCCTCCGCTTGTTTGACCTGATCTGCGTCGAGGATTATGAAGATACCCGGAGCATGGTAGGTCTATTCCCTTTCAATCCATTACAGTAACTAATCAATAAAGTACCCTCACTGGACAGGCCGTCGCGACAAGAACGGCTACCCTATCATGATCCTCGACGCAGGACATCTCAACCCGACTACAATGGCTCACTGGCGGAAAACCCGCGACAGCCCAGTCGCCAAACACGGCACGACTACCGACATGAAGCAGAGAGCTTCTATCCACTTTGACACATTGACGCGGTTTATCTTCCCGCTTTGCTCGGCTGCTCAAGACAGACCGGACAGTGGATTGCCAGTTACCAAGTCAACCTATCTCGTGGATGGAACGACGGTATCTTTGAAGCAGGGCTGGGATGTGCGTGATTTTGCGCAGGATATTAGCTGGATTCTTGCTACTTGCTATCCTGAAACAATCGACCATATCTTCGTGAGCACTATCCAGCGACATGTCTGTAGAAATGATACTAACAAAGGTCAGGTCTGTAACGTTCCCTCCTACTTTTCAATGATCTGGAACATTGTCAAGAAACTCGTCGACCCAGCAACAGCAGAAAAGATTGTCATTTTGAGGCCATCTGATGTCTACCCCGGATTGGAAAAGTACATTGACCGCAAGAACATCCCCACCAAGTTTGGCGGTGACTTTCCATTCAAGAACGGCATGCTTCCAGATCTTGATGCTGGTGTCTGTCAAGCTCTGGATTGGACAAATGCAGCAGAGGGCAAGCTCCCGCGTGGTCCGCTCAAGTGGATTGAAGATAGCACAGGAAAGAGAAAGGTGGTTGCTACTGGAAGCGTTGATGGTGTGCAGAGAACAGAGGAAGTGGCTGTTCTTAAGAATCAGGCTTAAGAGGGAATAAATATGGTTCAAATTGGTAATTAATGGGTATAATAGGTTTCAGATAGACATAATGACTTTCAATATATTGCAATTCATCACATCATCCATGAGAAACAGACTACTAAAAGAGGTCGCCTTATGAATTCCCAATTTCCAAAAGTCCGTTGATGCCAGATTATTGACTGTCCTCAACACAGCAGTAGAGAAAACAACCAGCTCCATCAGATAGCCATTGCAAAGAACGTAAAATCTCCAAATCCTTGCCACTGCTCCCAAAAGACACACCTAAATCCAGTCTTGCAATCGGCCACCCAGAATCATTGACAAGTTCCGATGAGTGTCCCGTGAATTGTTGGCCTTCCATTTCAGCATTCCCATAGGTGAGCTCTTGACCGTACAATCACCGGAATAATGACTCTTGTGCATCCTTACTGGTTCATTGCTTAGTTATAAATCGTATGTGTATGAAAGTTTGTGGATCTCAGCCGTTCCAATTGTATAGGAGGGGTAGTGGATGCCCTTGTAGCGGACGACGTTTGGTTTTGCGAATTTCGATGTTGTGATAGAGTATAGAGGGAGTGCATCTATAGGATATCCTTCTCGACGGATAAGCAGGAGGCTTGTATGGTTTGGTGCTGATCGAATTGTCAAGCTGCGACACGATTCTGTCTGTCTGGATGTGGCGTCACCCAAGACTACGGACTAGGGGCTGGGCATTATGATGCGCTTATAGATAGATTGATGAAAGGGATTTGTTTGGATGGTTTGAAGTGTTCTTGTCTTGTCATTGCTACCTATGCAACTATCGGAGGGCTATATATGCTTGGTCCACAAATTCGGATATATCAAGAAATGAAGTGATGCCACAATATCCCACAAGGTAGACAAGGTTTAGAACTACTGAGGCGACTATCTTCAGGGTTCTTTAATATCCATAATGCGATAATAATGGGCCCGTTTGCAAAGCCACTGAGTGGGGCACGGTCCGCAATAGCCAATCGGGGCCTCCATACAAATTGGTTTATGGTCGGGTACATCTCAAAGAATTAAGCTTGATAGTATTCTAGAAATTTACTTTTAACCTTTTTCTATCGGATAAGGATGCCGATTGGGGAATGGCATATATTTTCCCATCGTGATGTATACTGTGAAGATTAGGTTCGCCTCTGAGATGCAGACGAGGCTGTGCTGGCGCCTAACCCCTCATGCACCCCCCCACAAGCAAATTTCTGCTTCATAATTCTCCAAATGACATCAAAAATCCATTTGTCAGTCTGATAATATGCGTCTTATCAAAGCAAATGGGGTCGAAGCAGACCGCTTCGAGGTCCGGGAATTCTACGATGCCAATATTCCACCCTACGCCATCCTGTCGCACACGTGGGGAGATGATGAAGTCACGCTGCGGGATCTGGAAGAAACCAATGCAAAGAGAAGGGAAGAATACGACATATTTAGAACGTACCGATTTACAGGAAGAAGTGACAGGAGGAAAAGGAAAGGTTACTCCAAAATACGGGGGGCATGTTCCATCGCTAAGAATGATAGCTTTGACTATGTGTGGATTGATACATGTTGCATCGACAAGACGAGCAGTGCAGAGCTGTCCGAATCGATCAACTCCATGTATCGGTGGTATGAGGAAGCAGAGGTCTGCTATGTTTGTCTTGCCGATGTATCATCCATGGGCGACTTCTCTAACAGCAGATGGTTTACCAGAGGATGGACTCTTCAGGAACTGATTGCCCCATTGAAAGTGATCTTTCTCGATCGAAACTGGAAAGTGCTGGGAACTAAAGAGAGCTTACAGGCGAAAATATCTGACCGGACTAGAATTCCTGTCGATATTCTCACAGGAACTGGCGATCTTGATCGCGTTCCGGTCGCCCAAAGAATGGCATGGGCTGCAACACGGCAAACATCGAGACTGGAGGATCGTGCATATTCCTTATTAGGTATATTTGGCATAAACATGCCCATGCTTTATGGAGAAGGGAAAATGGCTTTCGCCAGACTTCAAGAGGAAATTATGAAGGTCTATGAGGATTTCACCCTTTTCGCCTGGAGGTCGAGTGACGAGAACCATGGTGGGCTGCTTGCCATCTCTCCAGACGCCTTCAAAGACTCTTCAGACTTTGACCTGGACTACAATCCTAATGATACTGTCAATCCCTCCTGGGTCTTAGATGGCAAGGGAATGCACTTGGAACTGCCTTTCATGCCCATAGGACATGGGGGACTAGGAGTGGCACTTATATTTTGCTCCTAAGGCGACAAGAAAAATGAGATTATTGCAATCTATCTGAGAGACACACTGCTTTCGATGAGGGTGTTTGAGAGGGTATGGTGTGACAAGTTAGTACTGCTTGAACCCGGCGACGTTATTCCCCCAACGCTTCCAGTGACGAAGATTTGTATTCGGAACCGGTATCTGGCAATTACGAGAAGCCCTACAACCACCGGAAATACCAGAAATAGACGCGAAGAAAGGGATGTAACTATATCCAATGCCATGCTATGCCAAAATCAACCTGTCAGGCTCTTCGCTCCGTTTGGAAAGACTTCTATGGACAAAACCATAGACAGATTGCCGACTCAAAAGGAACTGGAAAGTATGCTACAGATTGTGGTACAGGACAGCGATGTCGACGGCGTAGCATCGCACATTGCCAGTTCAAGTGGAAACCTGAACGCAAAGAATACCGATGGAAGAACGTTGCTTTCACTCGCGGCAGGGAGTGGTGATGCGAGAATGACATGGTTGCTACTAGCCAGTTGGGCGTACCCCAATATACTTTGCAATGAAAAGCGGTCGCCTCTTCTATATGCCGCAGTAATGGGCGATGTCTAGGTGGTCTGGCTGCTGTTCAGTTGGGGTAGAACTGACCTACACTCAGTTGACGAGCAAGGCTTCACAGCATGGTCACACGCGGCAAGGCAAGGACATACGGACATTATCAAAATGCTTCTGTCACAGATAGACTATCGCCAGTACATGCTCGATAATAAGAGACGAACACTGCTATCGCATGCAGCTGAATGTGGAAGAGTCGAGATGGTTGAGATGTTGTTGGACAGAAGCAGTCCTTTTGATATTAACAAGAAGGATCATGAAGGTTTGACAGCACTAGACTGGGCTATCATAAAGGGGGCATGGTGAGATTGTTACGCTACTACTGGATGGTGGCGGTGAGGCTGAATTCCCATAATAACATATGTTCGATCTATATAATATCTACTTCATGTATCTGTTCCATGCCCACAGATGACAACGCCTGCGTCAACAGCCTCACACGCAGACTTTCATACGTATACTTGAAAAACATACATCCCTCTCTCCACCTTGTTGATGAAAAATCATTTTGATAGTCTATGAGAATTTCCTCAATCTCACTCAGCCTGGATTTGTCGCTGGTAGCTGACCATGCAGCCATAAGACACAGTACCATATACCCTGCTCCGAGAGGTCGATGCCGACCTGCATCTTTGGCTAGAAGCATGATATCATCGCAAAAGAGCACCGAATATTCATCAAGGGACACGTCATCTGGGTCGAAGGCAGCTAGTATTCGGTTGAGGATTACAGCCAACGAAAGTGTGATTCCACACGCAGCTTGGAAGCGAGATAGGATCTTTATGTCAAGCATAGTTGGCTTTCGTGTTGCAGTAGAAGAGGCTTGTAATTTCGCCTTTTTCGTATGCTCTCGTAAAATTGGATATTCCTTTTTCAATTGCCGGTAGAAATCTTGTATATCGAAGAAATGCGCTTCAGGATCCCGAACGAACAGGGGAAGTTTGCCGATGTTGTGCAATCTAAGACATTGGAATGGCGTCCCATCGTTGCTCACAAGAGGCCTTTTTGGTATGAAGGTCGCTGTGAGTTTATGAAACCAGGACCCGAGTTTGATTCTGGGATTGAATATAGCTTCGATTATCTATTGCCGTTAGAAACGTTGGCCATTTGGGAGGGCTGTCATACCACGGGCATGCATAGAGTGATAAGCATTTCTTCGTCTATACTGTCATGCCAGTTATTCTCAGTAATTGCTTTTAGAACATGCTCCATGCCTTCGCCATGGGAGGTAAACTGGTTGTCATCTGATGCTCCTATCCAGGCCTGAATTTGTTAATGGCGGTTTATTCGTGTCAATGGATACCTCTGACCTGGCATATCATAATCAAGTAAATGGCACACAGCGTATCCAACGATGTTGCGGTTACGGGATTATTCAGACCGACTCGGAGAGCATTTAATGCTTGTCCATACTTGGTAAAAGCTTCGACGGATTGCTGGCGCGAACAAATGGCCGAGAAAGCAGGCGTCATGGCGGCAACTGCTGCATCCAAAACTTCATTTGTCCCGAGCCGTCTTGGGATGTTTTTGATGAATCCTCCATAGCAGCTGAGGTCATATCGGGTATCTGTAATCTCCAAAGCAGAGACAAACGCACTCGATAGCACTGTCATCTCATTGCTGGGAGATCGCAGGAGTACTTCCACAGGCGAAATCGACCTTGGACTCTTCGTCGTGCCATTCGATCTCAAAGCAACAGCCTGGTCCTTGAATTTAAATCGCTGCTGTCCAGCTCCTACACATGGAATTTTCAGTCTCGCGCATCTCGAACAAGCCGGTTTGAGTTGATCACACTGTCCTGTCAGTGAGGTTTTTCGCACGGTAGAAAAATCCAACCTTTTTCTTCTGCTTGCGACAGGCTTCGCAGCCCCGACTCGAGGGTACGCCTGGCATTGTGTATCTGACGAAATCTACATACTCGATGGAAGTACGATTGATAAGGAGAGATGGAGAGGATTAAATTATCGTGGGAGAAAGCTGTGCAGCTCGTATTCGTGCTTGGCGTCTTACATCATCGGTGCCCCTCTCAGCCTTGCGCCCATCCAGAATGACTTGATGGAAATGGGATTATTTTTAGATGATCTGCTAGGTAAGAAATAATTATATTCATCATTCATGAAGATAATATAACGACTAATGACGTAATGTTAAATCGAGTTATGCACACACGCTCAAAACGGCTTAGCGCCCCTGACAAATCCAACTTTCTCTCCTCCTCTTCACCTTCAACATTCAATAGTATATCAGTATTTATATAGCAGAATGGCACGAGGAAGGCCTAAAGCACACATATCGCCATGCAGATTCTGCAATATGCAGTTCAAACGACTCGAACATCTGCAGCGACACGAGCGAATCCGTATGTCTTTCCACCGGGGTAGAATACGAGCTGACTTTGGCAGATACGCAGGAAAAGCCTTTTTCGTGTCATTGTGGACAGAAATTCTCTAGGCAGTATGTATTATCTCTTCTAATTGTCAATTTAATATCTAATACTTTAGGGATCTTTTATCACGGCATACCAGACTCTCCCATCCAAAATCTGGGGAGAAAGAAAGGAAAGTTGATGAATCGCCAAGCATTCCAGAGAATGAAAAAGACCTGAATGAAAACACAAACGACATCTCTATGCCTTCAGCTAGCACTGCTGAACGGCAAGATTTCAATTCATCAGACCCTCTGATGGGATTCGAAAGCTCGACATCTGAATTCGACTTTTTATGGAACAACAGCGCCGACGTCAACGGCTTTCTTCCATCTACCCTGTTTGATACTGATCATTCTCTATCCGACCTATGGCAAACAGATCTGTTCAGAAATGACTCAACTCCCACATTATCGAGCTTTTCTGAAACACCACAACAAACTTCCACTGTCAGACCACCTCCCGACTTCTTCCCCTTGTCATGTCGATTACCCCCCTTGGAACCAGATTCATTATCTTCGAACACGTCCAGACTCCCTCTGAATGAACTAAACTCAGATAAATCTCGACCAGATAGAAGTGATTCAGCCTTCGTTATTCCGTGGAATATATCCCCTTCTACTTATGAAATAATATGTAATGCCATTCGCATGCATGCGGGGATTCTTCCGATGACATTTACTATTCCCTCTCGCCATACAATATCCCGATATATCGAAGGCTACTTCAGAGGTTTTCATGAACACTTTCCATTTCTTCATCCCCCAACATTCCGAATAGATACAGTTGCTCCGGAACTTCTCCTTTCCATGGCTGCTATGGGAGCATTGTACCGTTTTGAACACACGAAAGGATACGAGCTCTACTTTACCTCCAAGGCTATCGTTCTGCATCTACTTCAGCAGCGCAGCGGAGTTGCAGCACACAATCTGATGAATAGGAATATCAGCCCACGTTCAGATAGTCCAAAACAGCCACTCTCCCCCGCTGAGATCCAAACAATGCAAGCTCTCCTCATTCTCGTGGATATGGCAACAGGATCAGGCGAACCACTGTCACAAGACAGCCTACCACTAGGAGGTCAACTGGCAGTTCTCACTCGACAGGGAGGACTAGGAGTTTACGACGAAATTGAAACCGACGCCGAATGGAAAGACTGGGTGCGGCGTGAGGAACGACGGCGGACAATGTTCTTCGCCTATATCCTTCTGAATATTCAAAGTATTGCTTTTGATATTCCTCCGTTGATTATGAATCGGGAGATCGGGTTATGTCTTCCCCATTGCAATGTAGAATGGGTGACTACGACGGAAACAGAATGGAGGCATATGCGAAATAAATACGGACATACAGAACAGCAGTTCTATCCAACTCTGAATAAGATCCTACAAGGGAAAGATGTGTATACAGCGGAGCCTCTGTCATCTCTGGGAAACTATGCTCTCATTAATGCTCTTATTCAAAGGATATTCTTTGAACGACAAATTTCTGACGGTCCAGATCTACAGTCCGACAAGGTCAAAGTCCTTGAAATAGCTCTCCAAGCATGGCAACGATCATGGGAAGCAACATTCGAGTCATCTCTCGATCCCTCCTCTCCCAAGGGCCCATTGGGATTCAACTCCGCCGCACTATTGCGTCTCGCCTATCTACGATTGAACGCCAACCTGGGCCCATCTCGTAATCTGAGCTCCTTGAATCCACAGGATATTTCAGCTGCATTCACGCAGAATAGCGCCATATTCACCCGGTCTTCCCACGTCGACCGCGCCGTCCTGCAATGTATCCACGCTTTGAGTATTCCCATTCGAGTGGGGATCCCGTTCGTGGCCTCAACGCAGACCATGAATGGGAGTATACCGCATCCATTATGTACTCTCGAATGTGCATTTCTTCTTAGTCGATGGCTAGGGTCAATATCAGATACTATCCAGTCGTCCCCCGCTGGGCTAGACTCACTCCGCGAAGACGAGAGAAAGCTCCTAGGTATGATCATCAGTCTTATCAGAGAGACTGACCGGGCGGGATCTCTTGAGAGGAATGAGCATGATTCTTTTTGTATTCAGCGTATGGCAGCTACGACGGTTAGACTATGGGCTGAGACATTTAGAGGTGTTCATGTATTTCCAATTGTGAGTATCGTCGGACAGAGTCTTTCAACTATTGCAGATATATTGGAAGGACAGCTAGGAGTTATAGCATAGTGTAATCACTCATAAACATGAAACACCTTCGCTATAACCTCCCACTTCCCATCCAGCTTGATCAACGTCAAGAAATCTGTATAGTCCCTGCCTGACCCATCCTTTTCCATATCCACCTTGACCATAGCCGTACTACCTGTGATGCCGATCACATTCAAACGCGTCTTAACATGAGGTGCAGAACCGTGTTGGTCGATGTAATCGTAGAGGTTTTTGATCGGGCCACCGAGGAGATTGCCATTGAGGAGACCATACATGATTGCATCTTTGTGGAAGGCTTCGGAGACGGTTTCGGAGCTGCCGGTTTGGAGGCCATCAACGTATTTGCTCTCGGCGGCGGTGATGTCGTCGTATTGGGAGGTGGGGATTTGTTTGGTTGACATGGTGTATGCTATTTTTGTTAGTTGATGAATAAAGGCAGACTTACTCTCTGAATTTGTAGCAAATATTGATTTTGGTTAGCTGGTGTGTCTATGCTGGTCCAGGACTCCGTTATATATTTTGCTGTTCACATCAACAATTTCTCCAATTTCAGCCAGTCCTATTATGTGCATTTGGAGTGGGACCAAATTGATAATTATGACCAGAAAGATAATAAGGTATTCAAAGATGAAAAAAAAAAAAAAAGAAAAAAAAATTATTGATCACGATTGCTGAGTGGCTTATTTCCTTCTCCATGAAAAACAACCCAATGTCCGAATTTCCTCTCCAACAAAGCTCTCCCACCAGAAATAACAACTGCGACTCCACTCAGCCCGCATTCCGCAGCAAAACGAAAAACAAAAAAGAAACGAGGGCCGAGCGAGGATCGAACTCGCGACGTTAAGATTTGCAATCTTACGCTCTACCGCTGAGCTATCGGCCCACCACGTGATGTTAGTATGATGAGTATCAAGTTCTATGAACTGACACAAGACTAATCACCGCACTTAAGGCAGGTCGGTGAAGCTTCCCAATTGATTAGTGGGTCTGTCCAATTGCTGAAATATCCAATCACTGCTACGGATCCAGCCATGACTCAAATCCAATTTCAAGGTATGCAGATCGAACAAAGCCTAATGATGAAAATATCCGTGTCAATGGACATGTTGAGATGCAATACCAGCTACTAGGCCATGAAGCTGGCCTCATCTCTGCCCTTTATAAGGGAGCCTGGAATGACGATTCAAATACAATATTATCTCATCATGCAGCATCCAGCCTTTGTGCAGCAAGGGATAAACAGCATCTAAACCTGCCTTCTGTATCCAACCCCAGATTATCGAAATTGAAGAAGGAAGGTAAAGCGAATCATGGAGATCCTGAGTCATGCTCTTATATAGGCACCTTAATTCCCATCGGCATCCCTGTCGGAGGTGCCCACTCCATACTGAAGAGATTTACTGCCCCTCAGTCACATGGCTTGCTATGGCTGCCTCCAAAGGATTCTGAGCCGGCAATAACCTTAATGATGTCTAGTTGATCTGCATTTTCTGTAACTCCAACGTGATTGTGGCCGATTGCCCTGAAGAAGTTACCTTGGAGTGGTGCACCGTACATCACTCCAACAAGCCAAACTCGAGTTTGATCTCGAGACCGACCCCTGTTATTGGGGTATGCGTGGCCCGTGTATGAGGGAATTTAATATACCGTACATGAAAATAAGAAATACATTATGGAGTTATATCCGATGAATCTGGGCTTAGGACTTGCCCTGGCATTGTAACACAACACTATCATACCTAAGAGGACCGTGTTAGAATCAACATGATTGCTGTATCTTGTATAAATATAAAGCCCCAAGTCTTTTGCTTGAATCTACCAACTATCACTATAGGTGAAGCAGTTCTAGACAGGTGCTAGTGATCTGACGGATGTATAGCAAGTGCCTGCAGCCCCACAATCTCTTCCATGCCTACCTTTACAAAATGGAAAGATGTAGGTGGTGATTCAACGTGATGTGTCTTCCAATATGTTGGACTACCAGCTAATATGGACATATTCATAATCTTCAATTATCAATGCAATGTTCCATAAGTATATCTATTTTCTATTAGAATGCAGAATGCGTAAAACGTGACTGCAGAACATGCGCCATGTATTAGAAATGAATCCCTATTCCTCTGCACCTTCCACCTCATCCAACTCATGAATTACATGAGCGTCAAGGTACGGTGGCCGATTGACTTTGCTGGCCATGTTTCCAACCTCGCGTAGATGTGGTTCCTCATTAGAATCCTCGGTGAATTCAAATGTTCGGTATTCGCAATTTCTGTAGCCAGTGCCTACGCAAGCGTCAAGTCCAAGTCCTATTTGGATGATAGTGGCATACATACCGCGACCCTTTACATATCCCGTCCAGTCCTCAGTGAGGTAGTGCATAAACCCCCCATGGGACACAAGGGCGATATGCTTTTCAGGGCGATTCCATATCCAGCATCGCAGTTCGGCTGCGCGCCTGCGAACAGAATTCAATCTTGGGGCGTATATTCCTTGCTGCGTGGGTCAGCACCCAGTTCTATGACACGGTAGTCAACCGAGACTTCTCACCTTAGAGTTCCAGTCCACACCCACTAAACTCGAGTCGATATTCGCCGTGTCGTACTTCGGTGCTGCTTGGGAAACTATTTCGGGAGCTTTTCCTTTGATGATGTTTTGGTCATCACCCAAGTCGCATGTGAGGTGGCTAATTTCCTGCGCGTTTGGAACTAGGACGAGAGGTAGTTGGCGCTCTTCAAGTGTAGGTGCGAACACGTATGCGGCTGTCTGGATGGTGCGCTTCAAGGGAGAGGCAAGTACAGCCGAGATGTCGTTGTGGAATGGGAAAGACTCCCTGAGGCTCTGACACTGTGCCTTGCCGTTTTCTGTCAAGAAAGGGTCGCGGATATGATGCGAATTCTGGAGATTGTTAGAAGACTGCTTATTTGTGAAGGGCGGTATGTACATTGATATTATGTTCACCTTCACCATGACGGATGAGATGGACGATAGGAGGCATGATGGTTTTGATTTTTGGAATTGAATGGATATATTGAAGAAGCTACAATTTCTGAGGTCCGGTGGTGGACACGATACGATTTATAAACACCCCAACAGCGTGTGACTCAGATGTAGTAGTGGGCATTCTAGACTCCAATTCAGGTAAAACTTGAAGACTTAGCCAATGCGATATTTTAGATATACAGTGGAGCATCGGCTCAATTGCACCAAAATATAAAGTAATGGCTCTTCAACGATCTAGAGGGAGGTCAGGTGATACGATGCCCGGCTCGCCTTCCATAAACAGTTTCCATACGTCATGGCTCCAAGCGAGGCATTTTTGCCGATGTATGAATTAGAGTATAACCTATAAGACCATCTACCCTCATATAGACTCCAATTATCAATTCCAATTACCTTCCATTAGAACTATTCGCAGAAATTGTCCCTCTCACCATGGCAAGCCTTCGTTTCCAAGATAAAGTGGTAATTGTCACGGGCTCCTCTTCGGGCATTGGCAGGACCATTTGTCTACGCTACGCAAATGAATGATCCAAGGTTGTGTGTGCTGACTTAAGCCCAGCTGCACGATCAATCGTTGAGTCAGAAGCAGAGACTACCCATGAGCTTATCACAAAGTCTGGGGAAAGGCTATCTTCGCTCAGTCCGATGTTGGTGAGGCAAGGCAGATGGGAAATCTCGTTCAGGAAGTAGGAAGAGAGTTTGGATGTCTAGATCTGTAGAAATCCCATACCTTGGTAAACTGTCTGTACTCATACTATTGAACAGTCTTGTGAACAATGCGGGAGTTGGGCTTGAACCTCGCACCCCGGCAGTGTGCCACCCGACGGACGAGTCTGTGTGATATAACCATGCGGGTAAGTGTCAAGTCTGTATTCTTAGGCTACAAATATGCCACTGCTAAGATGTTAGAACAGCCGGCGCATCGTTCTGGAGACCGTGGCTGGATTATCAACATGTCTTCGATCATGGGTATTATTGCTGGGTTGGACAACCGCAAGTTTGATCTCACTGATGACTTGATCTTTGCCTGACCGTATATACTTACCTAACATCCTGCTGTGCATCTAAGGGTGCCGTCAGTAGTTTGACAAAGCAAGTCGCACCGGATTACGCCCCGTACAAAGTCCACGTCAATGCCATCTGTCCAGGCTATACGTCCAATCTCACTGACTCTTAATTACTTCGTCAGAGCTAACATGCAATAAAAATACTCAAATGCCATATTTAAAGAGACTGCAACCCGCATGACTCCCTTGGACGATCTGAATCGCCGTCATCCCTTCAACGGACCAGGGTATTCAGATGATATTGCCAGAATGGCTGTTGTCTTGGCCAGCGATGATGCCAATTGGGTTACTGGTGTTTGCCTCCCAGTGGATGGTGGATGTACTGCTCGATAGTAGGTTCGATGGGATATCTTTGATCATTCCAGAGAATAATGTTAGACACGGACGCTGGATTTCTGATAGATTTAGGGAACACAACCAGTACAATAGGACATATTTAATGTTCTACAGGCGTTAGATGAACTTATCATTCCTATGTTGTCGATGGTTGTGATATTTAGAGATCTATGAAGACTAGAAACGGCAACTATTCCGACGCTGTCTTTTTAAAGACAAAAACCCGAACCCGTCTAAGCCCGTTCTGGCAAAAATAGCGATCCGGCCAATCACAGACCTTGGATATCAGCCATGATGTGGATATTTCTCACCCAAAGCTGATAGAACAACTTCCCTCATAATTATATCTGCTCTCAGTCTTTTGGTATCCCATCTACCATTAGCATAAGACAATCAAGAAGCATCATGCCTCCAACACCCGGCGAAGCAGATATCACCACTCTGCTGGCCTCATTAGAGCCAACCCTTGATCCCCAACTATTCGTTTTCATCACTACAAAAATCCCCCTAGAAAGTCTACCATTCAACTCGCTCAAACCAGAAATGCTCTTCCATGAAAAAGAAGGCCTCACTATCATCACCACTGCTGGACGGGCCCAAGCTCATGGGTATCATGATGCAGTCTTTCCATGCCGCAAGATTTCCCTGACGGTCCACTCGAGTCTTGAGGCCGTGGGTCTCATTGCGGCCATCTCCAAGAGGTACACTGAGCGCGGAATTAGTTCGAACGTGGTCAGCGGCTTCTATCATGACCATATCTTTGTCCCCGACGGGCTGGAGTTGGAGGCTATGGAAGTTTTGCGTGATATGGCAGCGGAAGCTGGGGAGCAGAAAAGGTCAAGGCAGCCTTAGGGCCATGAGACATTTGTTGGAGAAAGACCCGGTCCAGAAAATAGGGGGCCCATATATTCCCGAAGAGATAATTACACACAATATAATATCAGACTCGCTGGTTAACAATAAGCGCCTCCCCATACGAACTGATATCAAACCCATTCTCCTCCAAAAATGCCTTGAACTTGGCATCCTCCGTCTCCAGCTCCCTCGACATATCCGGAATGAGAAACCACGCAATGAACCCCCCAACAATCGTAAAAGCAGACCCAATCAGAAACACAGCCTGCTGTCCTTGTATCGTCGAATCGAACGAATCCTGAATGGGCGTAAACACCTCCGTCCCAATCGACGCCCCTGCCTTACCAACTGCAGCTGCGAAACCGAGGAAATGGCCACGTAGTGGAGTGGGGAAGGACTCCGCTGCACAGAGGAATGTGGACACGCCCGGGCCCATTTCGCCTAGGCCATTGAATATGCCGTACATGACGATGAAAAGGGGGAAGACGCTTTGGATGGGCTTTAGAGCCCCGCCGAGGATGAAGCCCCAGATTGCCCAGAGGAAGAAACCAAGTGTCATTGTTTGTTTGCGGCCGATGCGGTCCATCAGAAGGCCACCTAGTAGACAGCCGGGGAGATAGAAGCAGTTTATTACCGTCTGTTAAGTTAGTATTATTCACTCTGTTGGGATGGTACATACGCCATATCCGACATTTTTCACAGTTGAATTGTCAGTGTTGAGCTGCGAGATGATGGTCGACGAAAATAGCCCAAAAGGATACGTCACAAAGTCATAGCAGAACCACGCCAGAGCTACAAAATCAGTAAATATCATGATTTGAAATATGAATCTTACATGTTCCCAGAATGGGCTTCCAATATCTCTTCAGAATCAACCAGTACGGGTACTGCGATTTGATGGCATGTTTGCGGTACTGTGTCGAGTTGACCATGCGAACGCGGAAGAAGCAAATTGATATAGGGAGCTATATTGTCAGAGTAACTATGAATGATCAAGACAAGGGACTTACTATGATTCCAATTCCAAAGCAGACCCTCCATACACCCTCTTTGACATCTTGCTGGAAACAAGCAAGGACAATTAGAGCCACAATGCCGGCAGCCACGAAGCCCTATGATTGTCAGTCCCGTCTGTATTTCAAGAATGGTATACACACCAAGTCAACAGAAAAGTCAGTCGTCGATGCAACCAACAGCCCCCTTCTCTTCCGTAAATGTGCAGTTTCATCTGCTGCTTCAGTCGCACTCGTGGCACACACGGGATATTCACCACCAGCCCCAAAACCTGCTATGCCACGGGCAACAATCATCATCCAGAACATTCTGCCAGAGTAAGTAACCATTATATTCCATATCAGATAACATACCCTAATTCAGACTTTCCATGCGCAGCAGTTGCCAGGACAATTCCCAGAATCAAGAAGAATGTTGCAGCGACTATACCCGTTCTCCGTCCTATACGGTCGATCAAGACCCCGAAGAATAGCATCCCGAATATCTCTCCGATCAGGTATGAATTCGACAGTCGAGACTTTATGATGGAGGACATGCCGTTTTTATATCTGATTATTAGCGTGGCTATCATAAATCTTGGAGTACTTACAGAACGGAGAAGAGAGGTTCCATATAACCGACTGCAACATGTTAGCTGTGCTTGTTACCTGCTGGTAGAACATACTGATTTGTGCGTTATAGCCATCGCTGAACAAAGCCAATCCTGAAATGAAGACATTGAATACGCCTGATTTGCGACTTATCTGTTTGACTTGGGCCGCATTGTATGATTCGATGTCTTTCTCATCTGTGGATCTGTCTTGTTTGATATCATCGTCGTTGATCACGGCATCATTTCGAAGAGCCATTGTTAGAAATTGCTTTTGGGAATTTCAAAAATGGATGAGCTGTCAATTGAATGGAAACTACATTCTTATATTTATTTTGCACTACATTCCCTTGCTCGATCTTCAAGCGAACACAGTATATTCTATCTCATTATGACTAGATCCAATAACAATTGACAGACATACCACGAGGAATACCATACAGCTATTAACACCAGATATTAAATGGTTGCAAGCAACTCCATGACACATGCAAGAAAATGGTCGGAACGAACCGCGCAGCTTCAAGTGGATCTGATTGCATCGCTGATCTCGCGCTCGCAGACCTATCCTTCCAGACACATGAGCACACATGACACTCTCATTGGCTCATGGAGTGGTGCTGTCATTGGCAGTTTTGGTAGATCTATCTAATTATTTCGCACTTCGCACCGACACTTCAGCTGTATAGAGTGGGGCAGGGATATACTATGACTATTTCGGCAAGTCGTTTCGCGAGGGGTAAACAGCGTTACTATTTTCGTCGGGACGAAGTGCGACGATATATTTACTCGATGGAAGATGGACTAGAGATTCGCATCCATTCAACTGACAAAATGGAAAACTCTCATCATCCCCTATCTGAAAATCAGATTCATTTCTTTCAGGAACGTGGATACCTCCTCATTCCTGGTTTTCTGACTGCCCCAGAAACAAACCATCTCCAAGAATGGGCACAAGAAGTGCATGATCTTCCTCGAACGGCAGATGCGCCGTGGATGCCATATGAGGTAGACACCAAAATTCTAACTCAAGGAAAAAGGGCTAATGGGGAGCAGGAAGTCAATTCTCAAGGAAAGCGAGTCCTCTGTAGGACAGAGAACTTCGTCAACAGCCATAATGGCTTCCAGAGCTTTCTTCGGGGTCAGCGCATTCTGAGCGTGCTCGAGCAATTGGCATCAGAGGAAATGCTCTTGTTCAAAGAAAAAATCAACTACAAATTTGCCGGTAGCGGTAAGTATTTCATCCATCAACAAGTAACATGATCTTACTAACATTGTAGGTGGCTTTGATCCTCACATCGACGCAAACGCATACACCCACGTCAAAGACATCAAACATCTCACAGTCCTGGCAGCTGTGGATGAAATGACCTCCTCGAACGGTGGTTTGGATGTCGTCGACGGAAGCCATCTCATGAACATCCCGTTGGGCAGTGATCGATGCATTGATCCTTCCTGGGTGAACAGCCAGAAATGGACATCCTGTGATTTGCAGCCAGGTATGTACAGCCAAGTAGGGATTGGAACAATATCTAACAGTACAGGCGACATCCTCATCTTTGGCTCCTATCTCGCACACAGAAGTGGAACAAACACAAGCTCGAAAGACCGCCGTGCTATCTACGCTACGTATAACCGTAAGGCAGAAGGAGATCTTCATGATCAGTATTATGAGGATAGACGGAATCTATGGCCCGCTACGCATATGCGCAAGGAGGGCGTGTCATATGAGGAGGGGCGAATGCGGTATGCTTTTGGGTCGCCGATGTTAAGTGTGGACCAGAAAGGAGTAGCCGTGTAAATAGCTCTAGAAGAATACAGAGGAGAGCAAAATCTCTAAAACTGGAAATGTTGAGTAGGGACGGGAGTACGATGAATACCGGAAATCTGAAGATATCTTATGTATACTCAAATATGAATGCCAAGGACCAGCATAGGGGAAAGAAATGTCGAATACCACGTTTCCTCGGTTAGAAAATAATTAATTTCCACTTGTTTCCAAAGATATGTCGGCCATTAGTAGAGGTCGCTTCCACGTGGGATTGCCCCTCTTTTGATTTCTCATCTTGTGATAAAATTTCCCCATTCTCGTCCCACACTCTTTCCCTTATTTCGTAACAACACAATGGACCATCAAAAAGCACTTGAAACTGCTGAAAAGGTAGTCAGTTCCATCGAGAAATATGGACAGGGTGACTACATTGGTGAATCGATCAGTCAACTGGAACACTGTCTCCAAGCTGCACATCAAGCACAGAAGAATGGTATGCCTCTCTTCAACGTAGATAGAGAAACAAGCACTAACACAACTTATACTAGGCGCACGAAATGAACTCGTTCTCGCAGCTCTCCTCCACGACTATGGCCAGATAATCCCCCTCGAATCAACACGTGAAGTCCGGATGAACCTCAAAAGCAGCTCAAAAGATGTCGGGCGAGTTGGCCATGAAGCTATCGGGGCGGAGGTGTTACAATCACTTGGATTCAGTCAGACTGTCTGCCAACTTGTCAATAGCCATGTTGCTGCCAAGAGGTATATATTCCCTTTAGTTTCATTCCATGTGTCGACTAATGTGGTCTAGGTACCTTACTGCAGTGGATAAATCGTACTATAACTCTCTGTCATCTGCATCCCAGGCAACTCTTGCATTTCAAGGTGGTCCATTCAGAGGGGATGAACTCGCTACCTTTGACCAAGATCCCCTGCGTGATGAGATGGTTGCGATGAGATTGTGGGATGATGCAGCCAAGATCCCAGACATTCAGGATTTGACACCACGAGCTAGGTCATACATGGATAGAATTGTGGCTCATCTTGAGGGAAGGGATGAACTTTTCTAATTAGACAGTTGATGGTATATTGCCACTGTATAGTCTATTTATCCCCGGCGCAATTGCACTTTGCTTAATCAACCCGAATAACAATCTTGCCTGTATGCGTAGACTTCCACAGATATTCATACGCTTCCCTCACCTGCTCAAAGCCAAACACTCGATCGATAACAGGCCGAATCGGATTGGCCTCAAAACAGGCCAACATGTCCTGCAACTGCTCCCTCGATCCAACCACAACACCACGTACAATACACAGACGATCTAGTGCCAAAAAAGCTGCATCCGGACCTCGAAGATCCTTGCCTGCGCCGAGCGGATCCGGATTCGTGATGTGGCCAATGCAATGAATGAGGCCATTCAATGCAATCGCATCAAATGAGGCCTGCAGGGTGAGAGTTCCTCCAACCTCGATGATGTGGTCTGCACCATGGCCGTTGGTGATTCTTTTCACCTCTGCAGCCCAGTCGGGGGTTGTGCGGTAGTTGATGCCATGCGTCGCACCTTGCTCCTTTGCTTTGGCGAGCTTTTCGTCCGAAGAGGATGTCACAATTGTAGTAGCCCCTGCTGCGTGCGCAATCTGTAGACCGAATGTCGATACTCCACCCGTTCCCTGAAGAAGAACAGTCTGTCCCGGTCGAATGGGAATAAGACCATACAGGGCATTCCATGCTGTCAACGCAGCACAGGGGAGGCACGAGGCCTCTTCAAAGGTGAGATAGTCCGGTATGCGCACAGAACCTGTCTTGGGGAAGATGAAATACTCTCCTAGTAGACCTTGGATTTCGCCACCAAGTTGGGTAAGGAGAGTATGTTGGTTCAGTCGTCCAGCGAGATGGTCTTGCGTGAAGTTGGCTAGGACGCGATCTCCAACCTTCCATTCCGTGACACCTTCTCCAACCTCCTCTACAATTCCTGCATGATGTTAGATTATGATATGATGTCTACCGAACGGGGACATACCAGCTCCGTCACTTCCAGGCACCAAAGCATCAGGTCCAGGAAACGGATAGGTGCCCATGGCAAGAATGCCATCTCTCCAGTTCAGGGACACGGCTTTGATCTTAACAAGGATCTGTCCAAATTTGGGAGGTTCTTTTGGAACATCGCGAAGGGTGAGGCAGTCGAAGCCATTCTTCTCTGGGAGAAAGTATTGTTTGAAGGTGGATTCAGTCATTGTAATAGATGCAGTTATAAACAATTCAAAGGCTTTCCTGTGCTCTGGTGATGTATCATGGTTGGGATAGTCATATTTATGTCTAATTGATGAACGGAGTATATCCTGCTACTGAATTTGTGTCAAAACCCCCAATTACGCCAGATACGCCCAACACGCCGAACACGCCAGGATCCACATTAGAAATGATTGCGAATGTTCTCAGCGAATGGGAGCATTCAGTTGAAACATCTAGTTCATCCAATCATGGTGCAATATTCCTGATCAGTCCAATGGAAACGGGGAATATGATTTATCAGCGTCTCCACTACCCCGCACCGTCCCAGCAATTCGAATCGATTAATTCCGGACACTGACAGCAGAATAATTTTCAAGGCTACCATGTCGAGTGTCACACCTGCATCCTCAATGCCAGAACTAGCAGGGCGACATATCCGTAGACGAAAAGGCTCGAAACATGACAGAACTGGGTGTCTGACGTGTCGCTACAGGTAATTGCCAATACCCACTTTATTCAATCCTGCACTAATCAAGCCCAGACGCAAGAAATGTGTCGAAAATACATTTCCATCGTGCGGGGCATGCATGCGACTGAATCTCGAGTGTATTCGCGAGGCAAAGCACCGCGTAGTACCGTCAAATGGCTCGATCAACAAGGCGAATAAACTAGCACGGGTCAATTCCCCATTGGACTCTCAGATAGACCGGCCGTTATGCGTACAAAGTCACGATATATCATCAAAGCGACGATATGCAATGCGATACTATGTTACTGTGTTGACTCAGCTCTTGACTGTAAGCCAACAATATAATTCATTTCTCTCGGGTAAGTACGAAGTAGACTGCTATCCAGCAGAGCTGACCATTCCATTAGCCTTCCTCCCAATGGCCATGGAATCCCCAGCACTGGCCGATTCATTAGTTGCCTGGGCATCTGGCCATCTATCTGCTAGTGATGATCGCTATGCCATCACTGCACTTGAGGCACGATCTGCATCCCTTTCTGCGCTATCCAAGTCCATCTCCACTGCATCAGATATTACCTACCATGAAACAAACACCGCAACCTGTCTCATCCTCTTAACATCTGAGGTCTGTCTCGGGAACTACGCAGGCTGGTATAATCATCTCACTGGAGCGAAACACATCATCCAATCTGCGTGCAATGTTGCAGGGAACCAAGTCGTCCACGGCCCAGATGCTTTCAAACATAGTGCGGAAGGGCAGTGGGTGTTGCGCAACTTCGCCTATCACGATGTCCTCGGCAGTGTCACACTAGGAACAAAACCATTGATCCATGCGGATTATCTCGAGGGAATTACTGATGTAGTAGACTCTTACATCGGTGTTGCATCGCAGCTCTTGGTGTTTATTTCAGAAATCAGCAATATTGACACTTCAAGTGAATTACAGATGCAAGAATATTTTGCGATAATCGAAACCAACCTGCAATCATGGCATTGTCACGTTGATTCCTCAGCAGATCTCGCCGCAGTAGCATACACATATCGCAGTGCAGCTCTCATCTATCTCTACAGACAGATGCGAAAATACCTCAGACTCAATAAAGAAACCCTCCCAAATAACCAAACGAAGCTGATAGAGCTTGACTCGAAAATCCAAACCGAAGTCTTCAACACTCTCATCCACATATCCAACGTTTCGCCCAGTGGGATTCCCGATTCAGCCCTGCTGTTTCCCCTATTTGTTGCTGGGGGTGAAGCAAGAGAAGGCTGTCATATTGACATGATTCAGCTACTGCTGCGATTGATGCTCGAGAAACGCCCTTTCCATAATATCATACGTGCGTTGGGGGTCTTGGAGGTGATATGGAATCGCCGTATGCAAGCCTCCGAGGATGAGGTTGACTGGGAGGATGTAGTTACGAGCCAGGGAGGAGGGCTTTTGCTTACTTGAAGGTCCAATGCGATTGAATACATGATTGATGCAGTATCGTACAGCTTTCAAATGTTATAATACAAATTATTACCCTCCGTTTTAGATATCAATGACAAGCCTTCCCATACTTCCGCAACCGCAAATAATTGTACGGTAGTGGCGCCACAAACCCCGCTCCTATCGACACACACGCTGCCAACCAGAACTTTGGATCATCCAACACAATGACACCACCGGTGAGATGATAATCAACCAGGTTTTCAGCTGCTTCCATGGCCAGCATCGAGACGAAGCTCATTCCTGCGGCGGTGCGGGCGGCCATTGGCCATGAGAGCTGATCACGGCCACGGCGGAGCAGGACGGTTTCAAGGATAAGAGAGGTGGTTATTCCGGATGTCACTACGGACTTGTTAGCTGAATATTTATATAAAGAGATAGAGGCAGAACGTACTCGATAAAGCCATGATAGTTCCCATTCCAAGATCAGGGCAATAAGCCTGTAGCAGCCACAGAGCGGAAAAGTCACCAAGAGTACATCCAACCAGACAGCGGAGTGTATTAATTCCCGCTCGTTTCCATGTCGGTTGAGAAGACCAGAAGTCTAGCGTAAATACGGATGGCGAAGCTTTCGAGCATTGATTTGTAGATGAATTGCCGACGGACTTTGCGCTGCTACCAGAACATGTTCCAGGACCATGGGATATTTTAGTTGTTTGGATAGAAGTTTGAGAGAAGAATCTGTATGATGTCGCAATGTACGCAGGTTGTTGGATGATTCTCCTGAACGGATGTGAGCACTGCAACGGAAGTCGATTCATAGTCGAGAATTTTAGAATGACCAATGGGTGAAATAATTTTAGAAAATTCAACGAGGTCTGGGGGAGGAGGAGGTTTTATATCAAAACCAGGGAACTAAAACACGCAAAAAGCGCGCAGGAAGGGATTATTTCATTGGTTGCCATTTCTCCATTTCATGGACCAATCGGATTGGATTTCCGCTGAACTTGGTGGAGCCAATAAAAGAAAGCTAATCTATTTTGGTCATCGACAGCTCGATGAATTTGATTGATTTGAATAGCTTCATTTCAACCTGCCAGATTTGCCTTGTGATATATAGATATGTCCTTGCTCCCGATAATTTCTTACAGCAATGTAGCCGAGTAAGGCATCTTCTAAGTGTGGAATATTCACTGTCTTCGCCACCGGTCGACTGCGGGCTATGAAGCCGTTTCCTATTATCAATTTCTTCATCGAAGTGTTGACATGGGGCACTGGACAGGTCAGTTCAAGGTTAATGGCTCCTTATCTGCGATATAGTAGCTTGTTATCTCGGGGGTGGCTTTCCCTCATTTCCTCGTCTGTATGGAGGATGGGGACGATGAAAATCGCTGGAATATATTGTTGCTTTGATCATCATCCGGCGACATAGGTAATAACCTACTGCACCTGCATCGTATTTAATGGTAAATGAAACACTTGGATATCCGAATCTGCTCCATGAAGATATGACCAATACTCCATCGAATGACGTGACCAGTGGGTACGTGTAAGCAGTTCGGATTTAAGCTTGAAAAGAACGGGTATATCCCCGCAAGATAAGCCAGCGGCTTACATAGAGTGGGGTTGTGGATGTGCTATATACACCATCTGTAGAGCTGAGGAATACTTTTATCAATGTCGCAGTGGCTATAAGAATGCCCTTCCCTCCAAATATACCCTACGTTTCTCACACCCACAGGGCTTGTTTTCAGGTATGTATTGCTTACACCGTCATTGAACTTGACTGAATCTCGCTACCAGCCACCTATACATACAAAGCAACAATGCCCGAATCAATCGTCATCAAAAACGGCCACAAGGCAGACGGTGCCTGCGCGAAACCCACCGCAACCTTCACCGGCGACGTCTACCTTGACCCTATCCACTTCGACCCCGAGGCAGCGATTGCCAATGTGACATTTACACCATGCGCCCGCACCCATTGGCACACGCATGAGAAAGGGCAGATGATCAAGGTTGTTGCAGGCAGTGGTTGGATCTGCGACAAGGGCGGTGTTCCTCAACGGTTGAAGACGGGGGATGTTGTCTGGGCTCCAGCTGGCACGACACATTGGCACGGGGCGGATGATGGCAGTATCATGACGCATTTTGTGGTTGGACTTGGTAGTACTGTTTGGCATGATGCTGTTACCGATGAGGAGTATGGGAAGAAGAGTTGTACATAAGGAACTTATTTCCCACCAGTTGTATGTTTCCGCTCGGAAGGCTGGCATGGACGAATATTGGTGCCCATACATTTGCTCCCACAAGCCACAGAGTTATTGAACATCCAGATATACTAAAGACTATATGAGAGGGAGATAAACTTATTCCTCCAGGCATACTGTTATATGATTGATTCAACTGTTATATAGAATTGAACACGAGCGACATATCCGTATATAATTATTTGCATGGCGAATTACTGTCTGATCCACCCCTACTCATCTCTCTTCCAACTTCCAGACTGCCAGAAAGCCAAATCAGCAGAGTCTGTAGATGCTTCCTCAGGCCCACGCTTCCACTTGCCCGACTGCCAAAACGCAAGGTCCGCACTGTCAGTCTGAGCGGTGCTATCTTCCTCACGCTTCCACTTTCCAGATTGCCAGAATGCAAGATCAGCACTGTCAGTGCTGGCCTCTTCGGGCTCACGTTTCCATTTTCCAGACTGCCAAAAGGCGAGGTCGGCAGAGTCGGTAGAAGCCTCTTCAGGTTCACGCTTCCACTTGCCCGACTGCCAGAAAGCAAGGTCGGCGCTATCGGTACTGGCTTCTTCGGGCTCACGCTTCCACTTCCCAGATTGCCAGAAGGCTAGGTCAGCGCTGGCTTCTTCGGGGGTGCGCTTGGTGACGTCGGAGCTCTGGTACTGTTAGTTGGTGGTAACGAGATGTATAGGTAGACATACAGTTGGTGCGGCGAGGGCAGTAGAAGCCAAGAGAGAAACGGCCAGGACGGTAAAAGACTTCATTGTGAAAGATGGTTTGTATTGCAACTGGAAGCGTTGTGGTGTTGTGCTGGGTTGAGATGCAGGTCGACGATGTATCTTTTATACCTCGAGACGTACAATGGAAGACGCATCCAGGCCATTCGGATGACGGATACTCAGACATCCGATCGAAATAAGGCATCTCGTCATTGCGCGTATGCGGATGACTCTGCAGATGCGACGGATCCGAAGGTCGGCATCCCATGCATCCAACAGCTTCCATGTCGCTGTTGGGTGGCAAGCAGTATACATGGACTCTGGGATGCAAATGATTGGTACAGCTAGTTTGGGGGCTACAGGCAAGCCTTGCGGTCTCACTCGGCAGGTACTATCGATTTCAAAGGTTACATTGGCCGTCAGCATTCGCCATTTCCAAGCATGCAGAACAAACAACGCTCTGGTTTCCGATTGGACATGCATATTAAAGCTATGTAGTAAGACAACGCCGATCACTTCACATCCCAACCCAACACGCGAATTACAGGAATTGAGTCAAATTCTCCACTTTATGATGCGCTGCCCAGTCCATAATTGCTCCAAAGTCTCTACAGGTGTGGATGGTACTCGCGACAGGATGCACCTTTCCATCTCGTTCCGCCCAGGGGAGAGCAGTCACATCGGCTGAACACATGAGGCTCTGTCGGACGCTATCAATACAGTGGTCGAGATGGTCCATCTCCATTGACCCTTTTTCGATTTCTGTTGCCGGTTCTACGCCCCAGACCTTTTTGCGGATCATGTTCTGTTGTAATCAGTATATTATCGATACAGAAGAGTAGATGTAGGCATACCAGACAGTGTAGTTGATGGAAAATGTCAAGCGATATCAGATATCCATCTGGGTCGTTAGGAATTGGAATAGTTTGGTTTATTAATTTCTGTGCTTCGTGGCCGGTTATACGGGAGTAGGTCACTGGGTTGTCAGTATATCGTTGATGGTTGAGAAGAAAACGACATACTTGGGTATAAATCATTCCATGCCTGGTCAATCTCTGGCGATGGCTTTCCTTGATATTTTGTGATTTCATCGCGGAACCCAGAATCATAAACGACGTTGTGATATCGAATGGCGCTGTGGGCGGGGGCTGTATAGTTAGCATCGAGTACGTATCCTCATGAAGAAGACTCACTATAAACTTGATTGCCAGAACGAGGCAATAGAAAAGAGATAACAACCAACGCGATGCCAATCACAACGGCCTGGACGACAATAATGATATAGTATTCGGTCGGTGCTCGTTTCCTCATCGGATTGAGGCCAGCTTCTTGGTGGGCGGAATAGGATTCGAATCCAGTCTTGGGTTCAGAAGTAGTCGAGGATGAGGCATCATCGTCTCTGTTATGGTCCTGGTTTGCAAGCCGTGTGTATCTTGTCAAGTCTTTCCACATTGTGTATGAGTGTATAATGAATGAAGGGAAATCCCATTTCAGCTGGAAATACGATGATTTTCTCTGGGAAACGACAGCCTTGGACAACAAATGACGCCTGCAGCACTGTGGAGCAGCGACAACTCCAATCCTGCAGCCACTTCCAAATGGCCCCAAATCTGACTGTGTTTTTAGCAGCAATAATCTGCGGGATCCGACGGATCCGTGTCGGCTGTAGATGCCGTCCATAAAGATATGATGAGGATAACTGCAGAAATAGACCGATTGTTATTCGCATATTGTGTGCTTTGCCAAAACCCTCACAATGCCCTCTCCCCGCCGGCTGCTGTTCACAGCCCTATCCCTCATTTCTATTAACCCCTCTTTATCACTTGCAAAGACAACAACCCTGACTCGTGATGTATGCATTATCGGAGGTGGTGCTTCTGGATCCTACGCTGCCGTTCGACTGCAGGACCTTGGCTATAGTGTAGCTCTCATCGAACAAGAAAACCAACTCGGAGGACACACAAACACCTACACCAAAGATGACATCTCGGTCGACTACGGAGTGGTCGACTATCGCAAGAACATCTCCGTCGTGGAGGAATTCTTCGATCGGCTGGATATTGCGTATGGCGATTTCAGCGGCGCCGCGATTTCATCCATGATACGTGCGAATCTGCGAACTGGGAAGATACAGAGGAATTATACGACGCCTGATGAGATTGGCGCTCTCACGCGATATTCGAAGATTGCAGCAAAGTATCCTGCGTTGGAATATGGATATTACCTCCCTGACCCTGTGCCTGAGGATTTGCTATTGCCCTTTGGGCAGTTTGTCGTCAAGTATAATGTGACTGGAGTGATACCGGTTGTCTTCCACAGCTATGGGAATATCCTCACCCAGACGACGCTGTATGTAATGAAGTACTTTGGACCAAATGCAGTACAGAACCTGGTCAATGGCTTCTATGGCACAGCGCACAAGAACAACTCGGAAATCTACACCAAAGCTGGCGATATCCTCGGCGACAATGTCTTTCTCAACAGCCATGTTGTCTCCAGCAAAAGAAGTGGCGATGAGTCTATCGACTTGACGGTGAAAACACCGTCTGGCAACACAACCATCCACGCCCGAAAGTTGTTGATCACCATCCCACCTCTGCTATCCAACATGGACGTCTTCGACCTGGATACCGCTGAAAATAACGTCTTCAAGCAATTTTCATCGGTCGGATATTACACATCCCTCGTCACAGGAACTGAAATCGCAGCAAACACCACCCTCTCCAATGCAGACACCACCCAGCCATACAACCTTATGACTCTACCTGGTCTATACGAGATCGCCAACACCGAACTGCCAGAGATATATCAAGTCGAATACGGAAGCACCTCCCCCTTGCCAGAAGAAGATGTCAAGTCGGATATCCTCCAGTCGATACGGAACTTGAAGAGGACTGGACTCGCCAATGGGACTGTTGATCCTAGATTCGTCGAGTTCCGGTCGCATACGCCTTATCTACTAACTGTCCCTCCTGATGCTATCAAAGAGGGGTTCTATAAGAAGCTATACTCCTTACAAGGCCATCGGGGGACGTTCTATACTGGAGCTGCATTCCATGCGCATGATACAGCACTGTTATGGCGATTTACCAAGAGCTTGGTGGGTGACATTGTAAAGACGCTGTAACTATATTGATAAACTAGAATAATAGATAGAAGCTTATACATACTGATACGTCATGTCAATAACAATAATTTGATTTCCCAACTATCCCTTCTTGACAGACTACTGATACGGCCATAGCTTTGCATTAATTCTCGTTCGCCCTCACTTTTGCCCATCTTGAAAAACTCGTAAAACCCCCACTCAACACCTTGACTCGATCAATCCAGATGGCGTACGATTCCATTCATGCGTCCAACTATCTCCATCTCAGCTTCATGCTGTTCTATCTGTTTCAATTCAAAATAAACCGGACAAGAGCTGACATCTAAAAATATATCCCCCCACTTGACGAAAACTAAATAAGACCAAGAACAGAGTGGCTAACGACAGGTTTCCCCGGCAACGCAGACAACGGCAAAGCCTCATTATCCATCTCTGGAGGGATGATACATCAAGTGTCACTGTCCATACATTATGCATATGCTTACATAACTGTATACCCTGAATTAGCTCTGGCGGATCTCCATCGACCGATCCATGAACTGCGACTCTCATGTGTTTTATTCATTCTGATATCTCGGTTCGATGGTGTCTATAATGAAGCGATTCATCGCTCCTCTGCGGCTATTGAGACACCAACCCTGGCCTTTGTCTACTGCGGTCGCACCTCGTCTTGACATAGGGTCACCCTTGGAAGAAGAGAACACGCCTTATTATCATCAAAACCGCTTCCATCCAATTCATCTCGGGGATGTTTTGGATGGGCGTTATCAAATCGCCACAAAGCTTGGCTATGGTAGCGGCTCTACTGTGTGGCTTGCTCGGGATCTCAACCAGTCTGTATGGCCTGTTACTTGATGTTGATAATATTGCTGAATAAATATAGATGGCGCTGGTTGGAAGAGAAGTACGTTGCTGTGAAGGTGATGGCTTATAGTCATCGTCAAGAGGACACGCTGCCGAGCGAGATGAGCACACTGAAGCATATATCGGAGGTAAATCCCCCGCATAGGGGATGGAATTTTGTTCGCCATCTCCTTGACTCGTTTGAAATCGTCAAGCCATCGCATAAGCATGTTGGGCTTGTCTTTGAACCATTGAGAGAGCCATTATGGCTCTATCAGAAAAGATTCCCAGGAGGTGTGATGCCTTCGAATATTCTAAAGATTATTGTGCGAATGGTTCTTCATGGATTGGATTACCTTCACTCGGAGTGCCATACTATACACACAGGTGATTCCGTCTCAGCAAACTCATATTTTGATCTCCGCTGACACCCAATAGATCTCAAACCAGACAACATCATGGTCAAGATTGAAGATCCCTCAATACTCAAAGATGCAGCACGGGATGAGTTCCAAGACCCCCTGCCACAAAAGGTCTATGACGATGGACGGACAATCTATCTCTCTCGCAATAATTTCGGTCCACCACGAGGAATTACAGGGATAGTTCGAATCACCGACTTTGATCGTGCCGTTCGTGGTGATCAGCCAAACAGCGGATGTATCCAGGCAGAGGTGTACCGGGCCCCGGAGGTCATTCTCGATGCAGGATATTCGTATAGTGCGGATATATGGAGTTTAGGAGTCATGGTATGACCATATCAGATTCCATTATATATGCTGACATATGTAGCTATGGGATCTACTTGAAGGAAGGAAACTGTTTACGGGTGCTTTGAGTATGGACGAAGACGATGAGATGAAACAGCTGGCATATATCACTGCCTTACTGGGCCCTCCACCAAAAAAGCTTCTTGATGCTGGGAGAAGAACAGCCCGTTTCTATAATGTGGATGGTTTGTTTGCCTAATTCTAACCTTGAATCAGACTGATGTGCTCTACAGGAACCTCTAAATCGACAAAATCGACACCCGCTAGAATCGAATTTGAAGACATATTGAAGAATGTTGAAGGGGAGGATAAGCAAATGTTCATTGGCTTTGTGAGAAGAATGATCAAATGGCAGCCGGGGGACAGAAGCACTGCAAAAGAACTGTTGCAAGACCCATGGTTGTATGCCGAATGTCCACAGCGTTGAAATGCGATGATGGCCTTATTGTTATGGCCATAGACACTAGTTAGTCAGGTGATCCACAGGGATCGCCTCTTTTTCCCTCTCGCTCCTCTGGATTTCCTGGATTCTCTTCATCTCACATATCCACCTTTCGCTGCCTATCTAAAGAAAGAAAGAGCAGCAGAGAAGGTACATCCACTGATCGCAATGTGTAAGTCAAAAAGACAATCAGAACGCACACAATATGGGCTGGATTAACAGGCATCTTCCAGTCCTTAGACGCAAGTTTGAAGAGGAGGATCCTTTTGCTGAACCTGGTATGCCGCTGATTCATGATTCATTCGCGTCACGATAAATCGTTTTGATGCAATTGAATGAGCAAACACCTTCTGGAGAACCCAGGCTTACCTAGCATGGGTGCGCCGGCACAGTTTTGGAAGGTGACAACTGGGACTCCGAGGAAGAGGACGAGCTCGATGAATACGCAGAGGAAACAGAGATCACAATTCCCGGGAGCCCGGACCAGCATATCATCGTCCGGATTCGTCGATACCAGGAAGATGAATTCCGCTGGCTAGACAATATAGAAGCCAAGTGCACCTGGGAAGACGAGGAGATTGGATACACTACTTGTCGATATATCCGACGCGATGCGATCAAAGCCAGGTTCTGGGAGAATATGGAAGAGCCCAGCAAGGGCATGTCGGAACTGGCATTTGATATATTTGACCGATATGGAAACCTAAAACAGGAATTCAAAGATCACACCGTTCGCAGTGGCCTCAAAGTCTGGAAGAATGAATTAGATCATGGTCGACACTTTTTCATCGAGGAAATGTTTGTGACAGACGAGTGGCGACGAAAGGGACTTGGACGAGCGATGCTGAGTGCTCTTTTCCAAAAGGCGCAAGACCGGCTAGAGTCAGAAAAAACCAGCTTCAAGGAGAGGCACCCGCTAGACTTTATGGAGATGAAGCAATCGGACATGTTGCGCAGACCCCACGCGCTCGTCGTTCCTGGATGGCTCCGGAACGACGTCGAGGGAAAACGGATGGGAAAATCTCCCCGCCAGCGACAAGAAATCAACGACCAGGCAATCGACGCAGCTGTAGGTTTCTACACGACTTGACCTTGGAATGGCAACCAAACATGTTTCCGATGATTTCAAGGGATTCCCCCCTGCTGCCGTGGACTGCTTAGCTAAGCTCTCGTATCTTGCGGGGGATCAGAATCTGCAGGATATTACCAAGCTACGTCTCAAATATGGGTGTACATGCGGGGAATGTGATGGATTTTTGTCGCCACGCATGAAACTGGCACTTTTGTACCAGGCCGAGATGATATTAGACATATTGTATTTTGGAATCAAGGAACCCCGCGCTTTGTTCGTGCAGTTTGGACAAATTTTCAACCGCCTTCCTCATGACGTGCGGAAAGACCTCCGAACAGACCAGGCTCTCCGTCAAGGAATGCTTAACACACTCTCCCAGATTATCAAATGCTTGAAATTGAACAAGTTTCCCAACGCGGAGATGATTTTACAACTGGTCAAGGATGCAGGCGAGTCGCCATCAATAACCGAAAACTACTTGAACCGCGCTGGAGCATCCGTCACAATCGATGCTGTTCTCAAAGCTATTATTTCAATGGCTAAAAACCAAGACGAAAATACAGGCGATGGCGATTTCAAAAGGGAGATGGGAAGGGACTTGACCGTGTTGAAAAGATGCCGCAATGATCACGAATTTGGCTTTGTTTCATGGGCATTTGATTCGAAGATGAAGGATCTTTCTGTTCATATGTGACATGTCTTAGTTTTCGGAGAGATTAAAGAAATATGGAGTGGCTGAATCATATACCCCACTGCAGCCCGGCGTACAGAACGATTCCATGTACTCAGCTGAACCCGTAGATCAGCCGATGTCCAATTTCTGTCACTTCGTTCCTTTTAATCTTTCCACTGTCGGTGATAGGAAAAGCAACAGGGACATCGTCATGGCCCAGCCAGAAGATCCAGCGGGGTGCCTTGTGAGGTGCCAGATTCATTTGCACCCATTTGATGACTTCCTGATCAGAAGGACGAGACTTTTCTGGCGCGAGCTGGAGGAAAGCTGCAGCCTCTTCCCCTAGTCTCTCACTCTTGACTCCAACTATACAAGACTGGGATATAGCCGGGTGCTCGTTGAGGCGTTCTTCAATTTCTGCGGGGTAGATGTTTTCGGCTCCTGGGAGTTTCCATATTAGACATGCAAGTGCATGATCAAGTTGTGGTTTTCCTCACCTCTTATAATAATGTCTTTTATTCGGCCGGTAATCATGCAATTCCCATCTGAGTCCATGACCGCCTCATCTCCGGTATACATCCAGACAATACCAGAAGCGTCTTCTTTTAGCGCCTCGCTCGTCTTCTCGGGGTTGTTATAGTATCCCTTCTGCACAGAATTACCCGCAATGGTCATCTCACCGCGTGTGCCTCGGGGAACAATATTTCCAGACGAATCGACAACCCTAGCAGAGGTATGTGGGAGGAGTGCTGTGTGGATGACTGCACCCTCCTCGGGCTGGTCGGATGCTCGTGACATGTAAGCTATTGGCGATGTTTCTGTCATTCCTATGCAATTTGTCAGTTTCAATGCCAAGTCAGATTGAAAGTATGGCGTACCATATGCCACTGTCAAATCTTCAAAACCGAATTCGCGTTGCATCTCCTTTACCAACACCGCAGGTATTGGAGCACCCCCGATAAGACCAGTCCTGACATGGATTTGGCCAATGTCGATCTTTCGATATTCTTCTAGAAGAGCAATGAATATGGTGGGTACTCCATGGAGACCGGTACATTTCTCTTCCACCACTGTGCGAAGAACAGCCGTTGGATTGAATGTCGGAGAAGGATACACAACTGTAGCCCCGTGAGTCAGGCAAGAGAGAAGCCCCATCACGAGGCCTGAGATGTGGAAGAGGGGGTACGGGCAACAGATCACATCTTGCTCTGTGAGGAGTAGACGGTGTCCGATTAGGTGGCCATTATTGATGACGTTGCTATTAATGAACGTCAGTTCATGGAGCCAAATCAGAGTCCAGCGAGAGGAAAGTATACTTATGCGTCAACATGGCAATCTTGGGTGCTCCAGTTGTGCCGCTTGTGAATTGGAAAGTGCATGTGTCTTCACTCTGCACCTTCTTCTCTCTTTCACATAAGGATGCTTCCGGTATTCGACTGGCAAGGGCGATAAAGCTTTCATAGCTGCTAAAATTGTGCATACACGGACCACCACTGTGGAGGAGAATGGCCTGTTGAAGATCTGGCAGCACTCCATCATCCATAGAGGTGCTGACACTCAGCAAACACGGCGTCAAGCACCGTTCTCCAATATGCGTCGAGGTAAAGAAGAGCGAGCATCCTGTAGGGAATTAGAAGATGACAGAAATATTAAATCCCATCGAGGCTCACCCGTAGTTTTGAGAACATTCAGACACTCTTTCGCAGAGTACGCAATATTGAGCAAGACAGTAATAGCACCGATTCTGGTCGCGGCAAGAAAAACCTCTGCATATTGCTCACAGTTACCGGCGAAGATTCCCACCCGATCACCGGCTTGGATGCCATTCGCAATTAATGCCCGAGCGACTGTCTTGGTTCTGGTGTTCAGCTCATCATATGTGTAACGAGTTCCCGAAGCGGGGAAGATCACCGCTTCCCGGGTGGGAAAGGCATTCGCTTGGTCATGGAGGACCCGTGCAATTGTGTATGGTTTTAGAGCAGGCTCTGATGGTCCATGGAGGATTGATAGAGATGCGGTATACTGAGCCATAATATCTCCTCCTTTCCTCGAGATGAAAACTGGTTATTGCACTGATGATGTTGACCAGAGCTGGAGGCTCGGATCGGCGCGGGAAGCCAATCGAGTGGGTCTGCCTCAGGGGAGGAATACATCTGATTGGAGGACCGTGATGTTCCCCCCCGGGAGGTCCCCGGAAAATGAACCCAGACAATGTCACTATTTACATCTGCAGTTCCCTCCGGCTGGACACATGCCACAGTCACCAAATTGGGGCTTCCTTGCACAGGCAGATGATTCCAACCATCCATGTCCTCGTCTGCCCAATCGTGGAGGATGTGCTGGCGCATGAAAACGTCTGCTCGGCGACCCAGAACCATCTGCTGGTCGAAGAAAGAATGTCAGGCGAAGAAAACGCGAGATTTCAACATCAGCAATGATTGCATTTCCGAGATGGTCCCAAGAAAAGCCAATGATTACATGGCTGATATCGTGAGGACCTCCACTGGTAATCAATGCCATATAATCCTCGGATGATAACTTGTAAATAGGTTGCCCGCTTGGAGTAAGTAGAATACGTGCAGATGTGGCCGGAATACTGACCGAATGCCCGTGAATCATGGAGTGAAAGTCCTGTCATACCCTAGCCTGTGGTGGTGGTAGCAGGAGTGTCTACCTAAGGGGCTCAGGAAAGAGAATTGAATCCATTATCATTACGTCTCTCTTTAATATATTGATACAGGCTACCGCTGTCTCCTCCATCTAACGGTCATGCCTGTTCTCTCGATATTGCAGCTGTTCAGTGTATGTGTCCTGCATGCATCTCACACATTCGGAAACTAACAATACGGCCATTCGATGCCGGTGGGACGGACTTTCCTCCCCATCATGGGTTCAATTCGGAAAGCCTATTTCGCAGGCATTGGGTGTTGTAATAAAGCAATAGATAGGAGCATTGCTTGGATATCAGCGATTCTATCGTAAATAGACGAGGAACTGGGATCTGGTCGGTCAGAAGATGGAATCATCCTTCTTTGAGAGACGGTTAGTGGGTCGGTCCAAGACGGGGTAATCGGATGGTGATATCTCATTATTTATTCCATACTGAAACGACGAAACACACTTGATATGTCTAACTGCTCACATTGCCGACCACTTTGAGGGTCTGTTCAACACCAGCAAAATCAAGTTCTGCCATTGTCTCTTTCCATAACAAGTCGCTGATCTGCTTTCCCTCGGGCGTGTAGATAACCGGGGCCATTCTGCTTTTGTTAGTGATAGTTTGTACAACATGTGCTGAACTTACGGCTTGATCCTCTGCAGTCCAAGATAGTGACCATGTGTCTCATCCCCGTGGTTGACAGCTGCATCAGTGACCATGCGAGCACCTACTGCGGTGGAATACCCCACTCTCCGCATGGCAATCTTGGCCACTTTTCCCTTGATCGTCTGATCCAGTTCTCGATTCAATTCCGAGTCATGACACATGCCAGGCGTAGCCGCATTCATCACCGCAACCGATGTGGGGACGTGTTTTGCGATCTCAGTCAGGAAGAACTGGGCCAGTAGTTTGGAGACAAAGTAACGATCGGTCATGTCGGCCTTGTCTGGTTTGTCAAAAGAGGCAAGGAGGGGGCTTTCGGCCCTCTCGTTAAAGCTGGTCCACGCAGCGGCATCGGATGAGGTGAATGTGATGCGACTCGGTTGGTCCTGGTTTGGCCGTTTGGACTTGAGAACAGGGAGGAGGAGAATGGTCAACAGTGCGGTGGAGAGATAGTTGACCTGGATCACCTCATCGTGGCCTGTCTCTGCGTTGCGTTCCTGCTTCAAGGGTGCGATGCCGGCGTTCAGGATGACAATATCGATGCGATCCAGACTCTTGGTCCGTTCCACAAAAGACGTGATGGACTTGTACGAGGATAAATCCATTCTCCAGACTTCGATCGCGTCCTCGGCCAGCTCTCGCCTCGCAGACAGGTTCGCCACGGCGGCCTGCCCTTTGGCCTCATTTCGGACGGCGAGAATCAGTTTGCTGATGCCCAGATCAAGGAGTTGGCGACTGCATTCCAAGCCAACTCCGGTGTTGGAGCCGGTGACGATGGCTGTTTTGCCGGCGAGGCTGACACCTTTCACTTCGGATGGGGTGAAGGTAAGCTGGCGATAGAAAAAGTTGAGCACACTGGCCTCCTTTTCGGGGGTGACGGGAAATTCTGCGGTCGCCATCCTGCGATGAAGTCATGGAGTGCAAAGGCGAGACCGCAGAAAACGACGGAAGTTGGTGGACAAAGAAAGATGATTCAGCTTGCAGGGATGGGGTTGTCAAGGGTGATGATTGGATGATATGGTACACGAGGCTGTATACCAGCTGTGTGGAGCCAGGCATAAATTAAACAGAATAAGCACTAGATATCTATTCCGTGCTCTGTGGTAATATATACACATGGCGCCACCAGAAGTCCTGCAATCGGCCCAATATTGTACCTTCTATATCATGATAGAACAAGGTACCTAGATACTATATATACCGCTTTATCATCTCACGATCATATCCTCTCTTTGCTGACTGACTAGGCTGAGCATATTGTAAGGCAATGTATATCCAACACCCCTAACTATAGTATAGGACAATTGCGCATACGAGCAATCATTTTATCAATCAATGCATCCACGAGATCATTCCAGGTATGACTAGCACTGTTGAAGAAGAAAGTGCCTACCAACAGCGTAGCGCAGGCGCGGATGGTCTCCTTACCAGAGGACTAATTGAGGGTAGCTCTATGAAGGACGCCAGAGATATGCGGCATGGTACCTGAATCACAGATGATAGACCTGAATATTGCCTCACCCTCAACCTACCTCGTGTTGTCTACAGGTCAATCCAAGGTTACATTGATCATCCCGATAGCGCAGACTGATACACCGATCGTCCCTCGACGACAACTGGTGATGACGCTTGTATACCCGGCTTCATACGTAAGGCAGCAAAGAATATGTTCTTCCTATATTTAATCCAATACACATAATTCCACCAAACTACCAATTTCCAATAGTAACACTCTTCACATGCTGATATTCCTCCAATCCATATAGACTGCCCTCTCTTCCATATCCACTCTCCTTGACGCCTCCAAATGGTGCTTCCGGGGCACTGATCTTGCCTGTGTTGACACCAACCATGCCGACCTGCAATTTCTGGGCCACGCGCATGACCCGGCCAATGTCTTTTGAAAAGAAATATCCAGCAAGACCGAATTCAGTATCGTTGGCAAGACGAAGAGCGTCATCTTCAGTGTCGAATTCCAGGATTGGGGCTAGTGGGCCAAAGGTTTCTTCTTTGCTGACGATCATGGTAGAGTTGACGCCTGAGAGGACGGTTGGGGTGTGGAAGAAGCCTTCTGAAGTAGGGGCGTTGCCTCCACTCTCAAGCTTTGCTCCCTTTGATACGGCGTCGGTGATGTGCTCTCGGACTTTGTCGACTGCAGATTTGTTCACGAGAGGGCCTTGCGAGGTGGACTGCTCAAGGCCAGGGCCGGTCTTGAGTGCTGCCACTTTTTCGACTAGTTTGGCAGTGAAGGCTTTCGCCATATTCTTTTGCACATAGAGACGATTTGCACTGCAATAATCAGCACCCACCATGTAGTCAGAAGAAGTAGACATACCAAACACAAGTCTGCCCGGAGCATCTGAACTTGCAAAACATCGCCCCCTCAACGGCAAGGTCCAAATCTGCATCCTCGAACACGATAAACGGTGCATTACCGCCCAGCTCCAAGCTAACCCGCTTCAATGTGTTCGCTGCCAGCTTCGCCAGCATTTTACCCACATTCGTAGAACCAGTGAAACTGATCTTCCGAACCAATGGGTTCACAGCCAACTCCGTCGCTGCCTCTCTATTCTTCGTAGGACAGACCTGGATCAACGTGGATGGAATACCCGCCTCAATGGCCAACTTCGTCAAAGCAAGGCAAGTAAAGGGCGTTTCAGACGGAGGCTTAATGACCACCGCACATCCAGCCGCGATGGCTGGTCCAACCTTTCTGGTGATCATGGCAGCTGGGAAGTTCCATGGTGTAATGATTCCACACACTCCGACGGGTTCGCGGATAGTCCAGAGTGTGGTATTAGGAGATGAGGATGGGATCGTCGCACCGTATGCCCGGGTTGCTTCTTCAGCGAACCAAGCGATAAAACCGGCCGCGTAGACAACTTCTCCGCTTGCTTCGGCGTACGTTTTGCCATTCTCTAGGCATAGAATAGTTGCGACTGTGTTCGTTAGATATGCATCCGTCTTAAGCTGGTGGCTCAACATACGATCGTCCTTGTTCTGCATAACCAAGTCATACCATTTCCGTAGCAGCGCACCACGAGCAGCCGCGGTGGTGTTTTCAAAGAAGGATGACTGTGCTTCATTTGCACTTTCAATGGCTTGCTTGAAGTCATCGACATTGCAGTCAGTCACCTGTCCAAGAACGGTGCCAGTTGATGGTTCTGATGCTGTTAACTCTGCTCGTCTGTTTTCTTATTGGGAGAAAATACCATAAACGTCAAATTTGGTTTCTTTGGCAACCCATTCTCCGTTGATGTATGCATCTTTGATAAACAGGCCTGGACGGTTCAGCTATTACATTGTCAGTCATGGTCACTATAACGTGTGGGGGACATACCTTGGAGAGAGCCTCTGTGTGGTAGTCGGTAGCTGCCATGATGATCGATGGTCTTTTACTGTTGAATCACTTCGATAAAACAAATATTGCACAGTATAAGTACTCAACATATTAAATGCTTATGTTTGATACTATCATAATACATCAATTCCTTGTATTGTTCGGGTTTATTATCCCGCCGCAATGGTTCGGAGGGAACGCCGCGATGAACGCCACCAATTCATATACGGAAATGAGTCTATGCACTCCGCGGGTTCGATCCGGTATAACGCAGTATCTCGGTAGATAGGCATCCAGGAGTCGTATGGAACTACAATTCAGCAAGCCCGCTGGAAGTAAACTGCAGATGCGAGGGTGTTTCCACTCGGCTTTCCAGTCCCGTAAATGTCGGGATTGATCAGCAGATTCTCGTTCAGCTTCGGAATCAATTATGGTGTCTAGATTGATAGTTTATTACATCATAAGTGTTGTCATAATGTTATAGATTAATTCAATTTGAAGCAGATGGTGTATTCAAATCCACATTTTATGATTCCGGAATTCTTCAAACAATAGCAAAACTGGCAAAAAAAACATCTAGTACATAATTTGACTGAGACAATCTACACCGTACCAGACACCCTAGCATTAAGTACATCCTTCAAAACATCCATAGCACCATTCAGCAAGGTCGTACGAGTAAGCACCGCAAAAAGCACAGCCCCGAGAGCAATCTTAGTGGTCGAAGCCAATCTAAACCACCGACACACACGATAGATGGGCCACAAGAAGCTCCCACCACTCATGATAAAAGCAGACCAGTCGGGGAAGTATGTCCTCGCCCAGTAGGATCGTGCCAGACCAGGCCATGACGCCGCATTCCGGCCATGGTTGCCGATGTACCAGTTTGAGCAGTCAGCGGCAAAGACAGTATTGGAGAGTTCTTTGTGGATGGCATTGGTTTCGCGGTCTTCCACGGACTGCTTGACTTCAACGATTGTGGCGCGTTTGTCAAGTAGGGGCTTGAAGAGGGTGTTGACGGCGAACTCGACTTGTGTTTCACATGCGAATAGAGCGGAATTGTTGGCGGGAAACGTATTCGGGCCAAATATGATGCCAAAGTTGGGGAAGTTGTGGACGTGAGTTCCCAGATATGCCTGGGCGCCACGGCATGCTTCCCACTGGTCATGCAGAGAGGTGCCATTGGAACCGATGAGGTCCATGGGCGTCAGAAATTGGGAGACCTGGAACCCAGTCGCCAGGACGATGAGGTCAAAGTGGTCTTCATCGCCAGATGAACTGATTATTCCCGTTTCGGTGATCTCCTTGATTCCCTCCGGCTGTAGTTTGACACTTGGCAGATTCAGCGAATCCAGATAGTCAGGATCGAAGATACGACGCTTGCAGCCAAGCGGGAAGGTCGGAATAATCGACTTCCAATACTCCTTGGGTGCCTTGGACTGGATGTATCGTCGTGATTCCGCCTCGACTGCATGGCGAGCTTTCAGTCCCTTTGGAGTGGGAAAGTATGTAGTGGTTTCTTCATCTGCAGCCAGGAAGATACGCAAGCGAAGCAATCGCTGCCACAGCGGAAGCCAGCGAAAGGCGAACTTTTCCAACCAGGTAAAGACATGGTCAGGACGCGCATGAAACCACTGCCCACTGCGCGCATACTGCTTCACAAAGGCAGCATCGTTGGCAATCGCCGGCACGACCTGGGCAGCACTGCATCCATTGCCAATCACCGCGACTCGCTTCCCCTTGTAGTTGAACGAATGATCCCATCGCGCGGTGTGGAACATGGCACCCTGGAAGTTCTCCATGCCGGGGAATTTGACATCGCGAGGGAACGAGATTGCCCCGACGGCAGAGATCAGGACGGTGGCGAAGCGAGAGTACGTGATACCTGTCTTGTGGTCTTTGAGCATCACCTCCCATTTGGTCTTGTCGTGGTGCCATTTGGCGCCGGTGCATTCGACAGCAGTGTGGACGTGTTTGCGGAGGTCGAATTTGTCGACGGTATCATCCATGTCTGATCTGTTAGCTGTGCACTTCCATGAATTGGGTGGACTTACATTGAAGAATCTCAGGCTGTGCGCAGAGTTCCCTCGACCAGTTGGGATTGAGGTTGAAGCTGAACGAGTATAGATGGGAGGGAAGATCGCAGCCACTGCATTGTCAGTACTTCTCTATAATCCGTAATGGTAGGTCTTACCATCCAGGATAAGTGTTAGTCCTCCATGTCCCTCCCACACCATCCAACTTGTCGTAAATGGTAAAATCATGCATACCCAAGTCATGCTTCAGACGGTATCCCATTGCAATGCCGGCTGGACCGGCACCGATGATGATGGCATTGAACTCCTTTGCGTAGACAGACATGTTGATATCGATGAAAACTGCCACCAGAGCAGAGCAGACAGCGGAGTGGAAGTATCTATAAACGACTCAAGACATTCAGATAAAAGTAATACGCTGGAGCTCCAGATTCAAGCTCATTTTCCGATGTCCACAACAAAGTAGAATCCCTGCTCGGTAGAGCTACCCATGCTGCTCGGGAACTTGTATTCCGGGTGAAGATCCATTCCCAAATTTCGGGATTCAAGCCGAAGGAATTACAGGCTGTTTCACCTCTGGAGTTTGTTTTCCTTGTTCTCCATGCCAGATGACTTGCTATTCTATTGCTTTTGCGGAAGTCCATTGGCAAATGTATCCCGAGAATAAGAGATTTCCGTCCTTCACATTCGGATACCGGTGAGTCTATCATATTTATCCTATTCCATCTACATCATTTATCCAAATGGGATGTGGTGCTAAATCATTGAGGGAGATGATCGTTTTGTTATTCCTGGTCGTTGTTCTAGCGTATGTGTTGGGTATATCGAAAATGTATTTTGGTCGCGCAGCATCAGATTGGGTAGCTATACAACACGGTACAAGAAAAATAACTTTAACAATAAACAAGCATGTATTCAAGTGTATAAGTAGACAAACATATAATAAATCACAAACATATAATAAATCAAATTGATCAAAATACAGCAAGAGAACAATCAAATCTGCCGCCACCCGGCCATTCTCGCATTACCACCATCCAAATCGCCCAAATACTTGCGCACTCTCCCTTCAATGCCCTTTGCATCAAGCTGGAATCTATCATAGTTGCTTGGGTTCGACGCAGAATATCCATACCCAGTCATCCCAATACTGGCAGTTGTATATTTGGCCCATGTAGTGGCGACGTACTCCTCCACACTCACAATGGCCGTGCCATCCTTGGGGAAGACACTGTCCTGATATTCTCTCGGCTGACAATCGAAATGGTCAAAACTGGGCATGCTCACCACACGGGTGATAATCCCCCCGTTCGACAGAGACTCAGCTGCAGCAACCGCGTAGTGGAGGTTTGTTCCACAACTGACGAGAGTGAGTTGGGCATTGTCTGCTTCCTTTACCACGTAGGCACCGTTTGCTACCTTGAAGCGATCGGTTGAGGGTACGTGGCCCACAGGATCGCGACCGAGGGAGATCATTGTAGGGCCATCCTGTTTCGACATGGCCAGCATCCATGCTCCGATTACTTCTTCTGCATCGCAAGGTCGAATGTAAGTCAGATTCGGCATAGCGCGGTAGAGAGAGTCCACTTCAACTGGCTGATGTGTTGGTCCATTCTGACCTTCAGCGAACGAGTCATGAGTTGCGCAGTGGATGACAGGAAGGTGACTGAGAGCTCCCATTCGGACACCAGGGGCAGCCTATTCAGTTAGCATTGAAGTAATGATTAAATGGATGGTATACTGACGTAGATATAGAAAAGAAGAAACGTAGCTGTCATCGGCAGAAATGTGCCCGGGTTATAAGCAGCAAGACCGTTGGATATAGCCGCCATGGCGTGTTCACGAATCCCATAGCGGATATACCGTCCATGGCCAACAGATGGATGGAAGACATCAGATTCGCCGTATGGGACTTTGTTGGAGTTGACCAGGTCTGCACCACCACCGCAGAGTGCAGGATAAGCCCGCCACATCTTTTCAATCACGGCTCCATTTACATCGCGAGTCGCGCAGTCTTTGAATTGGGCTGTGTCGATGGTCCGCAGAATGTCCTTCCACTCTGTTCCGTAGTGGCCATTGCGACGTTGAGCAAATTCTCGCCCAAGATCAGGATGTGCAGATTCATATGCATCAACAAGCGCATCCCATTCTTGTTGCAGTGCCTCTCCATGTGCCTTTCGCTCCCGGAAGTAGGATAGTTGAGCTGGAGGGATATGGTGGGTGATGGATGGATCCAGTCCAGCAGCTAGTTTGGACTGCTCAACACTGGCTTTATCAATGGGGCCGTGATGCGCTTTGAATGTGCCAGCAGCCTGAGTTCCCAGTCCAATGACTGTTCTGATGTTGATCATTGTCGGTTTGCCTTTGAGGGTGTTTGCATACTGCAATGCTGTCAAGATGGACTGCACATCGTAGCATCCATCCTCGACATCTAAAACATTCCACCCACATGACCTCATCTTGTCATTGACCGACTCTGTGTTAATCCACTCCAATGGCCCATCGCAGGTAACCTGGTTGTTATCATATAACAACACCAAATTATCCAATCCCAATCCTCCAGCGAGAGAAATAGCCTCAAGTGCCACGCCCTCCATCAGACACCCATCGCCAGTCATGCAATAAACACGCCCCTGCACCAGATCAAAACCAGGCTTGTTGAATCGAGCTCCTAGGTTCTTCGATGCGATGGCCAGTCCAACTGCGTTGGCGATACCCTGTCCTAGCGGACCAGTCGTTACTTCAACACCCGGAACTTCAATCTCTGGATGACCGTGGCAGATGGTCTTGTAGCCGTTTGTTTTGGCACTTGCGTATCCTTTGATCTCGTCCATTGTCCAGTCATCGAAGCCGGTCAGGTGGTTGAGTGCGTATAGAAACATTGCGGCGTGACCTGCGTTGTTAGTTATGGAAATACCAATAGACTCGGTGTAGCTTACCATTCGACAAGACAAACCGATCTCTGTCAAACCATTCCGGGTTGGATGGATTATATCGCATCATGTACTTGTACAGCGCAACGCCAATAGCAGCCATGCCAATAGCTGACCCGCCATGGCCACCTCCATTCTGGTTGCAAATGTCGAACAGAAAGTTGCGGAGTGCTAGGACTGCTTGGTCGTCTGCGTTGGATAATGCTGTTCCCTTGACACCGTTGCTAGGGCCCTTGGACTCTAGTCCAGGTTTAGAATTCGAGAACCAAGTCATGTTGATGCGCTAAAAGCTGTTTCTGCAGGACTATTGTGCACGCAGATTGGTGCTACTATAGTATATAAATGAAGCATTACATAGCACACGGAAATGAATGCATACACTTCCACTATGAGTGATTTTCATCTTCACTGACAGTGAGGATAGGAATTGCGCTCCCTCAGCCCAATTCCGAACGAAGACCGGGAAAGGATCTCCATTCGGATCGCAAATCCGGAGTCTGGGGAATCTGATCGACGCATACTTTTACCCCGCCTTGGCAGAGTCTGGGGTTGATAATCGCTGTCCAATTAGAGGAGCAGGGATCTTGAGTTCCTGAAGGCGTGAAACACTATCTGATCTCGGGTATAATATTCCGAGTCATACAGTAACTCAACATCGGAGTCTGGTCTCCTTGCTATATCGTCCGGGTAAAAGCTTCCTCATTCTCAACATGAAGATGGATAGTTGATTTCAGCGAACCATATTTCAATCTGTTAATTCCCGTGGCTACAGTCATATTCCAATCCACTAAAACTACTGACTTCATCATGACTATGGAAACCCCCTCCAACCCCACCATGAAGCGCGACGCAGACGGTTTCCTGCGCCGTTCGGTGCAAGACCTGATGTCCTTGGCGGGTCGCACCATCGTCATCACAGGAGGTGCCCGAGGACTCGGCCTGGCCTTTGCATATGCCATCGCCGAGTCAGGTGGCAATGTGGCCATCCTCGACGCTGCGGACCAACCGCACGAGCATTTTTACCGACTGCAGAAGGAGTCGGGGGCGAAGGTTGAGATTTACAAGTTTGTCTCCTGCTGATCCGCGTGGTGTTTCAGACTAATTCTGAATAGGAGCGATGTAACGAATTACGACGTCCTCAAAGCGACTTTTGACCAGATTGTTGCCGATTTTGGCCGGATTGACGGGCTGTACGTTCTTCCCGCCGCACCTCGGAAGGAACTGCCTGGTCTAACATGATGTTCTAGTGTAACTGCAGCCGGAATCTGCCCCGATGAATCCTTCCTTGAACGCTCCCCCGAGTCCGTTGCCCGATGCATGAACATCAATGTCCTCGGAACATACTATTCTGCACAGCTGGCTGCTATTCAGATGGCTCAGCAGGAGCCAACAGAGTTTAGCCCCCGCGGTGGCTCTATCGTGCTGATTGCATCCATTGCCGCGTATGTGGCGAGTAAGGGCCAGCAGACGAGCGACTACTGTGCGAGTAAAGGAGCAGTCGTTGCACTCGCCAAGTCGTTGGGGGTCGAGTTAGCCGGGAAGGGCATTCGGGTTAACAGCATTTCACCGGGGTAAGCCACATCCATTAACATTATTTTCCCAGCTAATTGAGTAGATACATGATGACCGACATGAGCCTTGATCTCTGCGATCGATTCCCGGTGCTCAGTGACATTATGAATAACGAACCGCCCATGCGGAGAATGGGTGACAGAACTGACTTGAAAGCGCCGGTTGTTTATCTGCTTTCCGATGCGAGTGCCTATCATACGTCTGATGATTTGTTGATTACGGGGGGTATTCATGCGGGCAGACTTTTGTAGATAGATACCTAGAATTAGATAAATTGATCAGGTAGTGTGAATCACCCTTGAAGGATATGTCTTCGCAGTATGGTAATTAAGCTCAGTAGTGAATAATGGGATGTTATAATATCGAACATGCTATCATGACCGATTACCATGCTCAGTGTCTCAACTTGCCACAACCAGATAACACCCAATATGGTATCGGAATTAGGGTCCGAGAGAACATACTTTATCAAGAAACTTTGCTGCCTCCATCCTCGTAATCGGACCTTATCCGTATATCTACAACATCTGATAGGTTGCTCACGGTTGAACCTTGGACCGATATCTCGGCCCTCCACATATTCTCTAATGACAGAAATTTCGGATTCCCCCAGACGGAATTCCCGTCCCCGCGTTGGAGTGGATCTATTGTAACCCCGCAGATTCAGACATTCTAGGGAGAGGCGTATACGGAGCCTTAATATAGTATGCGTGATTATTAGCGGCAGCACATAAATAGAGTGGTTAGCCTGATGGAAATGCTGTAATCTGCAGTTTGTGACAGATTTATATTCTATACACATATTTGCTTACTGACAATGGGTATGAAAGCCGACTCCGCTGAGTTCCACCATGTTGAGACGCATGGGGATCCTATCCCGAAGCTTGGTGAATCAGAGGAGATACACGGCGAGGACAGATACGGTAAAGCAGGTATGTTTATGGTCCCATAACCTATACCCATCTAACAGATCAGGCATTGCCGGCATCTTCAGCAACAAATATGTCAGTGCCTGCGCACTCTTCGCCACACTGGGCGGTGCCCTCTTCGGCTACGACCAAGGCGTCGTCTCCGTCACCCTGACAATGGACCAATTCCAAGCTCGCTTCCCCGAAGTCTCCGAGACTGCCGCCGGAGGAGGGTTCCAGAAAGGCTTGCTGACAGCCATGATCGAACTGGGTGCTTTCGCTGGGGCAATGAACCAGGGCTGGATTGCGGATAAGATCTCCCGGAAGTGGTCGATCATGGTGGCTGTGTGGATCTTCCTTCTTGGGTCTGCATTGCAGACGGGTGCGATGGACTTTGGGATGCTTCTTGCCGGTCGGTTTGTGGGTGGGATGGGGGTGGGCATGTTGTCGATGGTGGCGCCGTTGTATATTTCGGAGATTGCGCCGCCGGAGATTCGAGGGACGCTGCTGGTCCTGCAGGAGTTGTCGATTGTAGGCTCGATTGTGGTTGCGTTCTATACCACGTACGGGACGAGGTTCATCCAGAGTGAATGGGCCTGGCGTCTGCCGTTTCTCATTCAGGTATGCTCCTTTTTCGTATCGAGCATAAATGCTGATAGTTCTAGATGATACCGGCAATCATCCTCGGAATCGGTATCCCATTCCTCCCATACTCCCCCCGCTGGTTAGCCTCTAGAGGCCGTGATGATGAGGCCTTGCAGACGCTTTGCAAACTGCGCAATGTCCCTGCCACCGACCGTCGAGTGCTGCGAGAATGGTTCGATATCAGAGCTGAAGCTGCCTATCGCAAAGAAGTCAGCATCGAACGCCATCCTAAGCTGCAAGACTCGAGCTACTCCAGCCGGATCAAACTGCAAGTCATCAGCTACCTTGATTGTTTCGGAAAGGGATGCCTGAAACGCACTCATGTCGGTATTGGCATCATGTTCTTTCAACGTATGTCGTGAACACTCCCTCACTGCTGCTTTGTCTGACCCCTCCAGAATTCTCCGGCATCAACGCCCTCATCTACTACTCCCCCTCCCTCTTCGCCAACATGGGCCTCGACTACACCATGCAGCTCGACATGTCCGGCGTCCTCAACATCTGCCAGCTCGTCGGCTGCCTCTGGTCTCTCTGGGGCATGGACAAATTCGGCCGTCGGCCACTCCTCCTCACCGGCGGCGTCTGCATGGTGATCTCCCACCTCATCATCGCCATCCTGGTCGGCAAATACGACAAGGTCTGGCTCTCCCACCCCGGCGCAGCATGGGCATCCGTCGCTTTTCTCTTCTTTTACATGATCACGTACGGCGGGTCCTGGGCCCCAGTGCCCTGGGCGATGCCGGCTGAGATATTCCCCGCCTCGCTACGTGCAAAAGGCGTCGCATACGCGGTCATGTCGAACTGGATGAATAACTTCATCATCGGGCTGATTACGCCGCCGTTGCTGCAGAATACCGGATTCGGGACGTATGTGTTCTTCTGTGCATTTTGTATTCTTGCTGTGGTGTGGGTGTATTTTGTCGTTCCGGAGACGAATGGCCGGACGTTGGAGCAGATGGACGAGGTGTTTAAAGACAACACGGGGGCTGCAGAACAGGCGCATCGCGCGAGGATTGAGGCGGAGATCACGGCTGGCTTTAGGGAGGCCTCGGTAGCTGTTTAGCTGATATTGAGTTAATATGGATTTCATAAGAATAGTAAATAGCTTTTATTCATCAGGTCATGGCTAGGTCACACATTCGCTAAACATGGTCTAATAACATCATCAATTAGTCTATCGAACAAAGGCCAAAGCACTGTTCAATGGCTGGTTCTTTCTATCCTCTGCACCACCCGGAAGAGCACCCTTTACCCAATCCAGCTTCACATGGCCCTGGAAAATTAGACAGTACGTCGATCCACCGTGATGGAACATGCCCGTCTCCTGGCCCTTGGTGATATGGGCACCGGGTACGATGTCCTTGCCAAACTCGCACGAGGATACTTCAGCCATTCCAATCGGCACGAAACACACCAGTCCCAGGTCTTTGTTGTCGGCTTTGATAACGAGGATAGCTCTCGTCGCAACCTGCGCTAGATATCCCTGGCAGAAATCTGGCGATGCAGGGTCTGGTGTTGATGTTTGTGCGAAGCCAGTGAATGTGGGCTCGGAGTAGTATGTGCCGTCGATGACGGTGGTTGCGAGGACGGTGCCCGAGACTGGGGCGTGCCAGCGGTGATATGTCGTTGGGCTGAGGAAGGCCTGATAGACAGTGCCCCCGACGAAAGAAGGCGCAAAATGTGCCAGTGGGCTTGGAGAGAAGATTTCGTACAGAGAGTACTCTTGGCCCTTCAGCCAGAAACGGTCGTATTCTTTGACGTTCTTTTTGAGAGCGTAGGGCTTGGATTCGCACGCGTTGACCACGACGGATGTTGGGTCGAGACCGCGGAACTTCTTGTCGTCCGGATAGGCAATCGGGCGGATTCCCGGTCGAAAGAGGCGGATGAAAAAGTCGTCCCAGGATTTCCAGCCATAGTGAGGCTTGCTTGGATCGCAGACGTAGAGTTCTTCAAAGGTGTATGTCTTTCCTGGCGTCAGATTGGCGTCGTCGGTCAGGAAGCCCTTTGCCTCTGGGCTCAGCCAGTTATTGCTGGACACGACATCGGCCGACGCTTCAGTGTGCAAAAAGTTCTTCCAGACGGTGAGGATTTCCTTGAGGTGCATATTGACTTGTTTGTTCAGGAAAAATGCATACCCACTCGGTGTCGCCATGGGCCAGTCGATGATCGCGTTGAAGGGAAATCCCACCAGACCAATGCCATACGCCCTGGTCGTCCACTCTGGCGCTTTGGTGAGAATGCGATTAAACAGCACCAGCATGTGGTGATAATCGTGGACCTGTCGGTGGGCAGTTGGATCCCTCAGATAAGGCCGTTTGTTCGGCACTTCCGTAAACATGGCCGACGCCAGCATGCGCAGGACCGCGTCGCCCTCGATGAGCTTTTCGAATTTCTCGATACACGGGTGGAAAACCACGTCGAATCCATCATCCTCCACTTGATCGATTTCGTCATTCAGCTCTGCTAACCAGTCCGTGATGAAGTTGTGGTTTCTCGGCAGCCAGTTCTCCAGGCGCGCGTACGAAGTGGCTGGGGCAGCCATTTTGGCACAGGTTGACGAGAAAAACCAAGCTGATTAACTGGGCCTGCGCTACTTTTGAACCCCTTGATCGCGTCATTTCGGCCGTGGCTGGCTGCAGCTGAAAACGCAGGGAGCTGAAATGGCGCTTTTCAGCCCAGTTCCACAGTGCGTCGATTGGGAATGGTGGCATGCAGCAGCGGCCTCGATGTGGAGAGATCGTCGTTTCGGTTAGTCATGGAAATTCAGGTTTATTTCAGAATGCACTGTTGCGGCATTTATTAAGTCAGCTAAGTCGGTGACAGGGTGTCTCTTTTTATTACTGCATTCCATCCTGACTGAATCAGCGGTGCATCATAAAAGGGCATCGCCAGTGCAACACTGCGACGGAACAGCACGGACTGGTGGAGCTGATTGCCTCCATCGTTCGCCGATCAGCATCACTACCACGAACTAGCCGATTAGGTTGCTCATCGAAAATCAGATTGTCTCGAACACCTGGACCATGGTAAGCCCCGACTTTATCCGGCTTAAAGATGGTGACATGGACATGACAAGGCTTGCCGCTACCCCGCATGTCCGCAAACAGCTTGTGTGACTTCATCGGCATTCCGAATCCTGATCTGACGTGTGGCGTCGGTTTGGGAACATGCTGTGTTGGCTTGAACAATTATAAAATAGGAGACATGTCATCCGATCGTGGCCAGGTGGTACTGGCAAATAAATAAGATACTAGTCGTCTACTACAATCTGTCACAATGGTCGGACACCGCTCATACAACCTGAAAGGGAGTGACCATCATTGAATTACCGTCACATATTCTAAAGCCTCGCTCTACAGATAGCATAGCCGGTTATGAGTGATTAATACTTTAAAGGACGGCTTTAAAGCCGAGTCTTCTTTTCCATCCTTCTAAGATTAATAACCCGCTCCACCCCGCCGGACTGGTAGTATCTCCCGTTCTCGTCGGTCCCTAACTTCAAAGTCGTTGAAAAAGTCCAGGTCGCAAGGGAAAGCCATATCCAGGGTTGAGCTGGTCATTGAACATCATATGGCAAGTTGCGCAGAGTCTCATGCCGTTCTCCGGGCTGGAAAGTAAGAGTGAGACGAGTCCGAGAGAGCTAATGTCTAGCGTCTGCATTTAAATGGTTAGTATCGAATCCATTGACAGGGAAATGTGAAAATACCTCAACGTTACTATGATGGACGGGCGATCTGTGTAGAATTCAAGTTGATCCTGGGCCCGGTGCAGCGCTAGGGATTTCTTTTCTCTCTTCTGAAAGGGGAGGGTCGTTGTTTGCCGAAGCCCATTGACTCATGACTTTGACATTGACCTTGATCGTACAGCACTTGATATGAGTTGAGCAGTAGATCTGGATGATCGTACAGAGAGGAGTGAGGAGAATTCCAGAGAAAAGCAGATTGCTATAAGTATTGGTGTGGCGAAATACAAGTGAATCACCCTCAACAGCGTGATGGGCTTTGGCGAATATACCCACTTTACTGGCTTGTACTGCGATAAGTCATCATGATATAGCCGAAGTGAACGATCATAGTTATCAGGGCAGGACAGCATTTTGGATCAACAGAAAGGTCAATATTGTGAAGCATGTCGATGTTTTTCAATCACGACGCTATCTTGGTGGAGAGGCAATACGGGGCCTTGTATGAAGTCGATTATTTACACATGAATATAAATAACCATGATTCCAAGAAAGATCAATGCGATATATAGTATAATGGGTAAGTAAGTTCGTAAAAATCATACGTGGTAACAGGGGAAAGTATGTCATTCACACAGCCTCCTTATGCACCGTCGACAAAGTATCCTTCGCATCATCTACCTTCCCAAGCTCAGTTGAGTCCATAGCTTGCGAATCCGGTCCATCAAACAAGATAGCAATCTGCTCTAGCGAATATCCCTTTGTTTCCGGGTAGTAAAAATATGCGGTCAATCCGTAGACGAGAAGGATGACAATAAAGACGATGTAGTACTTCCACGCGATTGCCTCTAGGGCGATAGGATTCACGAACATATTGAAGAACATGCCACAGATTGTGGACACCCATGTCACTGTTAGGCCGCGGGATCGGAGGTGGAAAGGCCAGATTTCGCACGGATACGCGGTGAGGAAGGGAGTACTAAACACCAATCAGTTAAATCTCCGAAACAATCTCACTTGCCAGCTGTTTGAGGAGGGAACTTACAGAGCGATTACATATCCTGCAAAGAAAATAAAGAGGAATGGAATTACTGCCCCTCCTGTTGCGGTCGAGTTGGTGGCGGCAAAGGATCCTGACAATGCTGTGACAAGGACGTAGCTAATGAACATAATCACAGCTGAGGAGAGGAAAAGGGGCCGACGACCAAATCGGTCAATAAGCACGGCTCCGACCGCCGCGAAGATCAAATCCCACATTTGCAAGCAGGCAGAGATGAGGGTTTGGTCCCCAACGTCGGTAATACCCACTGTATCCAAAATAAGAGCAAGATAGTATGAGATGACACCATTTCCGACCCATTGTGCGAAAAAGCCCAAACTGATCGAGATCATCAGTCGGTGTCGGTTCCCCGGAGTCTGAACCATCTCCAAATAACTGCCGCTATTGCTGGCCTCCTGCTCCGTACGAAGGGTGGAACTGATCTCCTGGAATTCGAAGTCAACCAGGGGCGAACTACTATCACCCGCAGCGTGATAGCGAGCAAGAATAGTGCGAGCTTCTTCATCCCGTCCTTCTGAGAGGAGCCATCGAGGGCTCTCCGGGGCAAGCAGTAGAGCTGGAAGAGCAACAAGCGGCACAAGGGCTTGTAGAAGGGATGGCAGTCGCCAAGACCATGACGAAGGGTACTCTCGTGAGGCATAAGTCACCCATCCACCTACAGTACCACCCACGTACCATCCCGACATAAAGAGGGAGTTCAGTATACTGCGATGGCTCGGATAAGCGATTTCGTTGATGAGTAGCGGAACGGCGTTTCCGTAGAGGGCCGACGTAACTCCTAGGAAGAGTCGAGCAAGGAGGAAGGCAGTCGGATTCGGAGCAGCGGTCTGCAGTGCAACGCCCAAGGCCAAGAAGAGGTATCCGAGATAGACGCCTGGTTTGCGTCCATATCGATTGGCTATCCATGCGGCAGAGGGGTATCCAACACCACACCCTAACCAGTAGATGGCATTGATCCAACCCAAATTCGCGCCGGTAGGGTAGTCCATGAAGCTATTCCACTGATCGAGAGCCTGGAGACTGTTCATCAGAGATCCATCATACCCGTTGGCCGACGAGTACAGAACAAGCAAAATAATGATACAGTTAAGATGCAAGAGATGAGTCTGCTTGTACCATGCTGGGCCATCTGCTGGAAGGACTGCCAGCCCATCGTCCTCACTCGAACCTTTCCCAGTCTCAGCCTTGTTGGCACCCATGTTTTGGAGTTGATGGAAATATTAAAGGGGAAATGAAAAAAATAACCTAAGAATAGAGAAGCAGGCAGCGAGTGTGACGATTTATGTCTGATTCCGATCTCAACATCGGATAATATACCCTCCATTGTCGCCAGACTTTGGCTTTGAAATTTCCCCGAACATCAGCGTAGGATGACTTGCAACCACCCGGTCGTAAAGGTTTGCACCGTTGCGTGATGGTGTTTCAGCAATCATATGAACCAGTCGGCAGCAAGAACCCGCGAAAGCCGCACCCCCTGGCTGTACTCCAGGCCATGATGCAGCTAGCGCGCCAAATTCGTGGAGGAATAATGGGGAAAATGCGGGTGAGATGGGGATTTGAAGCGGAGAAACGGAGAAACGGAGAATTGGAGAAAAGGAGAAACGGGCAAATCGGCGATATCCACTTGGACAAAGCCATCTCGGAGACGAGATAGGCTTTTTGAGACAGAGGGCGATATACAAAGGAGAGATCCCCGCGGACATGATGTGAGGGGCTCTGGGAAACCCGTCAATTGACTCTGAGGTCTCGTTCAAGAGCACTCTGATATAGGCATTATGCCCTTCGTCGAAACAGCTGCGGCTGAAATCAACAGCGCCTTTGCTCACATTGCAGACGCAAATATCGATGCGATTCTGAAGCAATTGACTCTCGATGAAAAGGTTTCTCTCCTGACAGGTATATCTCGCTGGCCGTCCCACTGCCGGTAATCCAGAAAATAGACACTCACGACTTCTTAATCGATTTAGGTGAAGACTTCTGGCACACCGTCCCTATCCCCCGACTCGGTATTCCATCGATTCGACTTTCAGACGGCCCCAATGGAATTCGTGGCACGCGTTTCTTTGGCAGTGTCCCGGCTGCATGTCTTCCCTGTGGCACTGCAATTGGAGCGACCTTCGACCGCGATCTAGCCATCGAGGTAGGACATTTTCTCGCCGCAGAGGCAAAGGCCAAAGGCGCGCATGTCGTTCTTGGTCCTACAATCAACATCCCTCGAGGCCCACTCGGAGGAAGGGGGTTCGAGTCATATTCGGAAGATCCACTGCTGTCGGGTGTCATTGCTGGCCATTACTGCCAGGGATTGCAAGACAAGAATATAACTGCGACCCTAAAGCACTTTGTTTGCAATGACCAGGAGCACGAGCGCATGGCTATAAATTCCATCGTCACGGACCGCGCGCTCAGAGAGATTTACCTACTACCATTCATGATCGCCATTGCGCTGGGAAAGCCCGGTGCGATCATGACGGCGTACAACAAAGTAAACGGTCTGCATGCACCAGAGAACCCGACACTTATCCGAGATATTCTCCGCAGAGAATGGGGCTGGGAGGGGTTGTTGATGAGTGACTGGTGAGAAAGACTCCCTCTTTTTATCCATTTAGGATTCCCGTTGACGGTTTTTATTGCATCAGGTTCGGAACGTATAGCACTTGCGAAGCCATCGACGCTGGTCTTGATTTGGAGATGCCAGGCCCAAGCAGATGGCGGGGTAGTGCTTTGACACATGTCGTCACAGCGAACAAAGTCTCAACCACTACATTAAATACCCGTGTCCGAGCTGTGCTACGCCTGATCCAGCAAGCAGCCAAATCCGGCGTTCCGGAACGGGCACCCGAACAACAGTTGAACAGGGAGGAAGATAGATGTCTTTTGAGAAAAGTTGCATCAAACGCAGTCGTGTTGCTGAAGAACGAAGACAGTATACTCCCATTGAAGAAGGATAAGAGAATCGCTGTGATTGGACCCAATGCGCAGGTTGCCTCATACTGTGGTGGTGGTAGCGCCGCACTGAACCCCTATGCCGCCATCACTCCCTTCGAGGGTATCTTCAATTCTTCCGCCGGTGGTGTTGACTTTGCACAGGGGATATACGGCCATCAGATGCTACCATTGCTGGGCAAGCGTCTGCACACTGAGGATGGTCACACTGGCTTCACCTTGAAAATCTTCAGTGATCCACCAACAACGCCAACCAGAAGAATGCTGGAGGCGCGCCACGAGACGGACTCGATGGTTTTCTTCCTTGACTACAATCATCCCGAGCTGCCAAAGGTTTGGTATGCTGACGCAGAGGGGTATTTCACACCACAGGAGTCTGGGATCTACGACTTCGGTCTCTCCGTTCATGGAACCGGGAAGATTTTCATCGATGGAAATCTATTAATCAACAACGCTGATGTCCAACGGCCAGGTACTACCTTCCTCGGTAATGGTACCGTAGAAGAGCGTGGAACAATGGAACTCGTTGCAGGGAAACAGTATAAGATTCATGCGCAGTGGGCATGTGCCAAAACCAGCAAGTTCAAAGTCCCGGGTGTGGTCGACTTCGGCCACGGTGGATTCAGACTCGGCGGATGTAAACAACTTTCTCCCGAGGATGGAATCCGAGAAGCTGTGCAGCTAGCAGCAGAAGTTGAGCAAGTAGTTCTCGTTGCAGGATTAAGCGGCGAATGGGAGTCTGAGGGTGAGGATCGGACAAACATGGATTTGCCACCTCATACCAACGAACTTATCTCTCGAGTCCTGGAAGTTAACCCCAATACAGTTATTGTGATGCAAAGTGGCACTCCAGTCGAAATGCCCTGGATCCAACAGGCGAAGGCCGTGCTGCATGCTTGGTACGGGGGGAACGAGACGGGAAATGGCATTGCTGATGTCGTCTTTGGCGACGTTAATCCGGTGAGTGTCTCTAATAATCGATTAGAAAACGTCCAAAAGCTAACTTCATTTGCTTCCAGTCCGGCAAACTTCCTCTCACGTTTCCCCGCCGCTTAAAGGATAATCCCACATATTTCAACTACCGCTCGGAGGGTGGGAGAGTCCTCTATGGAGAAGACGTATACGTAGGATATCGGTTCTATGATGAAATTGAGATTGAACCGCTTTTCCCCTTCGGGCATGGTCTTTCCTATACCAGATTTGCGCTGTCTGGCTTGGAAGTCGCAACCAACTCTGATAATCGCCTGGTTGTAAAGTGCAATCTGCAAAACGCCGGCCCGGTGGCTGGAGCAGAGGTGGTACAGTTATATGTGGCATCAGTATCGCCTCCTATCAAGCGTCCTCCGAAGGAGCTGAAAGAGTTCAAGAAGGTCTGGTTGGAATCGGAGACAGAAAAAGTGGTGGAAATCCCTCTTGACTTGGTGCGCGCAACGAGTTTCTGGGATGAAAAGAGTGCCAGCTGGTGCAGTCACAGTGGCACATACCGAATCATGGTCGGAACCAGCAGCCGTGGTACCTTCTTGGAAAGCTCTGTCGAGCTCAGCGAGACTACCTTTTGGTCCGGGATTTGAATCCCCCTTCCTGTGTTGATTGAGGAGTCGGTCCCATTAAATAGGATTTATTTGTACCATTAGATGGTAACTGTATAGATATGCAAATTCATGGTTCATTTTGGAAGACGATCTGTATCAACCCAAGACTGTAAGTGCATCGCGTTCACACTTTCACTCCGATCCAAACGGGACAGTAAATCCGACGAGTGCTGGACATACTCCGCAGCTCGTTTCGCTTCCGGGTCATTGGGGTGAAATGGGCATTCCAGAAGCCCCGATGCAATGTCCCGCACTTTGTAGGTCAGGTGCAAACCATTGGCTTCTAGGTTTTTCGGTGGGAGGCTGTGCAGCACAAAGAAGAGCTGGCGACAAAGCTCCTCCCGGTCTAGCCATAGTATTCTTCGGTCGGGGACAATCTCGTGTGGACTGGATGCCGACTGAAGTCCTTGTTGACGGGCCTGGGCTGCCTCCAGTTGGTCAATAAGAAGACTTTGTAGCCACAGGTGAGTGACGTGTAAGTTGGCCCGCATTGATTCAAAATTGGAGCTTCGTTTCGCTGCATCGCTGGCGCTTGCACTATCGTGATCCAGAGCACGCTCGTCCAGCGTTCCCCATGGTCGGAGGACAGGCGGGATATCATTCAGCAGGTATTTAAGATTGTGTACACGATTTTGAAGGTATGATATTTGCAGGGTTGCATCATGAGCACGCACACAAGGGCATGGTTCTTCAACAATCTTAGTTGAACATGGACTTCTCAGCGCAGCCCAAAAGACACGCGAGTGGAGAATGAAACCAGTGACCATACACGGTGTGGGCGATGCCGGCATTAATACCTCAGTCTCGGAAATGAATTCATCATCCACCTCCAAAGGCATCAAATCTTCTGGATCTATGGATTGTAGAATGACCGGGTCTAGGTATGACAACCGCTCTCCAAACATACTCTGCAGCTGCATATGACTAGTAATAGTCAGTCCGGTCTTTCAGTGAGCGAATATTGACAGAGAATCTTACACAAAGCTGTAGAAGACCAGCCAGAACCCCTTCTTTCGGAGTTGGGTTTCGATGCAATTCAAGTCTTTATATTCGGAAATACGATGCAGATTCAACAACCGAGCAATCTGCATCGTCTCAATGTCTGACATTCGCGCCCGGTTGTGGTCACCCAGCTGCAGAAAGGCAGCGTAGAACAGATATGAGGTTGCGAATTTCTGAAAGTTCACTTCGTCAAAGTAGGTGGACGTTCTCAATCCAAATATGGTGTCATGGCAGTAACGTACCATTTCCCTACGCGACTCGAATCTCAGAGGGGGGCTGTGAGATCGGTACGATTCGTATTTGCTGGGCATTGTAGCTACAACCACGGCAGCAATGCCAATAATAAGGCTTAGAAATCCCCTGTCTTCACAGTCGCGGTCCTCTTGAAGACTTTGTCGAAAGGAAGGATGGTGCACTATGGGAATCAAAGGGTATAGTTCATCCAGGTAGTCCTCCAACATTGTTTTGAACAGACCCCGGTCACAAATATGGTCAGTCGGGTACTTGGAATAAGAAGGACTGGTTGTAACAGAAGCACAATCCAGTTCGCCGGCTACCACTACATTAGAAGCATGACCTTCTGGAAAAGCATTGGGGCGAATCCTATTTGCCTGTTAGTATCAAATATCACAAAACATTTGGACTACTTCGCGTCTTACCTTTTCTTGGGTCCTCGGGCTTTTGAAGGCGAGAGAAACGTGCATTGCAGGCCCAGTCTCACGCATCTCCCGCATTTCCCCGCGGCCTGGGAAGATCGGCATTTTACCTTGCGCTTTCGACATATATCACAGGCCTGAGTTGAGAGTTCCGCTCGCAGGGATTGTCGATTGCGATCCAGCGACATAGTGGGATGTCATGGTTGATGTCAATTGATGAAAATTGCCATGGCAGTGTAGTGTTAGCGTGTGGTGTTGCAAGGCACCGCGTTCGCTCAAAAGGGAAATAACGTGATGCGATCCGAGCACGTGATCGACTCTGAAGCACTCGTCTGATGGCCAATCAGCACAGCAAGTATATTAGCAATCTTGCATAAAATCTGTCACTTCATTTTTAAATAACAGGGTTTTAAATGGCTCGGGCTGAGTAAAATATGGGAACAAGAAGAATGAATCAGATAATCAGGTTGCGAAAAGAAAGTCATCCGCTGCCATAAAGATTATATATTTTCCAGTATAAAAACATCATTTGGACAAGAACACCAACTTTCGTCCGCTGAGATCTTTTCGAGCTTTGAATTTGAACACCGCTACCTAGATCGTTTACTATCAGTAAAGTGTCTGATAACAGTGTGATGATTTATGGACTATGATACTATGTTTATTGATATCCCTGCCGATGCTTATATACTTCCTGGAAAATGCCTTCTAAGCATGCTCTAGTTGCGCTCCACAGATCTATAATGGGCCCGACGATTGTCGATGATCGATAGCAAGTCCGAGTACCAGGGGCGATCTGACCACATACTGACCTGCTCCCGTTCAGTAGACCAGCCAATAGGTCCAATAATAGGATTCCATCTTGGCTGTACAAGCAATTCAATACTTTCCTCTCTCCGTCGAAAAAGAGCGTAATCCAAGGCACATACTCCTACCCTGTTGGTCGACCGAGATAGTTGGTTGCTTTTATCGCTTTCTAGTAATGTCTTGACCATCTCCCCCAGTCGATCGACTGGCGTTTTTTGAACAGCAAGATGCAGTGCAGTGTCTCCAGACTGATTCTGATGAAACAAATCAACGTCTGGGGATTCCAACAGCTCAACGACTTTTTCGACTGAAGAGATAAGAACAGCCTGGTGCAGGAGAATACTGCGATTGCGGCCAAGGCCATTTTCGTCCTGGTAAACAGGGATGTTGCGCTCAGCACCGTGGCTGAGAATACATTCAACGTTATCTAGTCGAGAATAGTCGATAGCATAGAGCAGTGGTGTCTTGCCCTTCTTGTCAACGGCCTTCAACAGATCTGGTTTCCGGTTGAGAATGGCGGTGATAATCTCTGGCTTACTATATCTTGCGGCGAGATGAAGCTCTGTCGGGGCAGGCTTTTCCTGGCGACCCAGTTCAAGCTCAGGGTATTCCAGCAGCCTCTTCAAAGGGGATGATTCGCCAGCTTTCAGTAACATCATGAAAGGGGTGAGACCAGACTCATCGGCATGATTTAACCCGGGCAGACCACCATTATCCAGAAGGTGGAATAATATTCTGGGATCGTCATCCTCAGCTGCAAGGTGTAATGCCAGTTTGCCTTGCTGTGTTGGCATCAGAATCGAATCGGGACTCTGGGAAAGGGCTTTGATTCTCTCGAATCTCCTATCAGTACTCATCATCTTGGTAGTGGGCCCTTTGTAAAAGGCTAGGGTTAATGAAGTCTCTTGAGACTTGGTTAGAGCGCACAGGTCTGCTCCCCCGGCAACCATACGCTGCATGGCAGTGCTATCCAACTTGGTTCTGGACAAGCAATGTAGTGGTTTATAGCCGTCTCTGTCTGCAACGTTGAACAAATGTTGACGACCCGTGCTCAAGCACCAGTCAATCAGGACCAAGGGCAAATCCGGTTCGAATATCCGATGTCTCACATGCAGGGCGGTTGCACCTTTGTCGTCAATCGACTCGATATTTGCCCCGTTTTCTAGTAAAAGCTTAATTACTGCCGCTTTGCGAGTCTTTTGGAGTGGAGTGAGGCCGTCTCTGTCCTTAGATTCGGTATTGGCGCCTTTCTTCAAGAGAAGCTTTACAACTTCCGGTTGCCCTAGGCGGGCTGCCCATGACAGCGGCGTTCGACCATAGTTATCATTTGAGTGAATATCAGCGCCGTGGTCGAGAAGCTGCTGAGCTATTGCTGTGTGGCCTTCACCTGCCGCCCATGACAGTGGTGTTCGACCGTGCCTCTCGTCTTTGAGGTCTACATTTGCCCCTGCGTTGAGCAATAGTTGGGCTATTCTGACATCCCCGATTTCAGCCGCGCACCGTAGAGGCGTCATGCCTTCCTCATCATATAAATTCACGTCTGCGCCCTTGCCAAGTAGCAGCTTCACTGCTGGTTCGTGGCTTTTTGACACTGCCCATGTAAGGGGTGGCCCGCCATAGGTGGCACACTCCCCGACCAGTGGCTTTACAACCCATGGATATTCAAAATCCTCGGTTGCTCCAAGCCCATAGGTTCTCAGTATTTTGATGGTGTGCCACCGACAGACGACATCTGAGATGGTTGCATTCAAACATGTTGCTTCGTCAGCTAGCACAGCCAACGCATGTCCTATACTGTCGTCCCAAAGCTGAGTAGGATCGAACTTTTTCTGTGGATTATTAGCAAGTACTCGACTCTTGTCTGAAGGCGATAGCATGCTTACGATGATTTTCTCAAGAACCTGGTTGCGGTTTACTGGGAGATCCAATATGGCACGCAGACGGGAACAGCTTCGGCGCAGTCGCAGCGAGTCATCAAAGTCGTCGAAGTATTGACAAATTAATAAAATCAACTCGGTTGGAAGGGCTTCAAAGGTCGCCATTTTATCTGCGATTAGCTTTGTGATGTGTTGATGGGTAGTTGAAGAGTTGAAATTTGTCTCGTGGAGCCTTGTTGATGTTTGTGAGGCTTAGACGTGGTCTACTAATGCCCAATCAAGCGATGCTCAGCCTCGCAGGATCGACAGCCCAATTAAAGGCGATTTATTGTGTCCACTCAGTGGCTATGACCTAATTATATGAAGATGCTATAGAAATGAATCTTAGTTATGATATATGAACAAAACGTATAGTCATCGCTATTCTTCTTGTACTCCATATCGCTGGTTATACCAAAAGACATGATCATAAAAAAAGAACAGCGTTTAAGTGTGAACAATGATATATAGTCTAGTTATTGACAGTCATAGCTAGGAATATAGTTTAATATTAGCAATACTCAAAGTAACAAGGCAGTCATCCTGATGTATTTGCTGCCGGACCAACCTTCCTTTTACGGACAGTTGCCTAGACTACCTTACCTTAGGCAATAACCTCTTTTTCCCTCCTCCTCTCCCCCAACCATCTCCACCTTGTCGATATCAATACAAGCATAGTCGAAAATATGCCTGCAGACACCCTCCCCGAACCCGTCCAGCCAGGCGATCTCATCCTCGTCCACGGTGGCGGTGATCCGCACATGCTAGTCGTCGATTCCGCCCGGGATACAACCAATGCGAACCCCAAGACATCATCGGTCACTGTTCACGAGGTCCACTGGCATAGCCCCGACCAACAAGGATTCTGGACATTATCCGGCCCAGACGTGTATTATGTCGGCGAAGGCAGAAAGGAGGACAAGGAGGATGCCCGTTGGTGCCTGCACAGCAAGCATGTTGACGATGAGCCAGTGACCGATCTGTGCTACTTTATGAACCCTGATCCGAGTACTGGGAATAAGGATGTTTCGGTTATTGTGAGGCCTCATGGACGGTATGTCTTTTGCATGCCCATCGTCTACTCAATCTAACGCGCTGGGATTACCTAGGGACGTACTCCAACACTACTGGGGCGGGCGCTGTCCTCACTGCGGCAATATGGGCTGGTTCTGTCCTGGATGCGGTGGTGCCACTCGATGGCCGGATATCTTTGGCAGCTGTGGACTGGACCAGTCATGTCCGATTTGTCTGGGATATGGTTTTGCCCTCGATGACAAAGCAACACTCTGGCAGCTAGACGATTTTACATCGCCTCTTTACCGTGAAAGGTATGGTCATAGTAAGAAACCAATGGAATCGGACGAGCTGGAAAGGTTAAAGAATGAGGCCCTTACCATGGTGACGGAGAGATACGAGAGGATCAATGCTAGGAGGCGGGAGATGGGAATGGACGAGGAGGATTTGGATAAGTTGATCAACGACTGGAAGGAGAGCTATTTCTAGTGGTGGTGGTTTGTAGGGGTGATAAAAGCTTATTGCTTTTAATTGCCGTAGCAATCATGGATTGTTTATACATCTATCAGTATTCTGTATCCAACACACCATAATTAGGCACGGATCAATGCTTAGTGCCCAATCTGATGAATGATAAGAAAAGCCCTTCATCAGAAGCTGCTCATTTTTCACGCAAACAAACAAAAGACAAAACATACGACACTGATAATATGGCAGTCTATGTAGATTATCAGAAAAACATACGGCAAGCAACCACACTCTGCCAGCGCTGCAAAGTCCTCGAATTCGACGACAAGGTATGTGGGGGCTCCATCGCGACGTCCGACGATGGCACTCGATATGTGTCCTTTGAACCACCAGATCGAATCGTTCTCGAGTACGAGCTGAAGGACACACTGCCAGATCTCCCACAGCTCTCGACATCGATCACTTCCGGGTGTAAAATGTGCACCATTGTCAAAAAAAATCTCCTTACATTCTGGAACGACTATCATGAGCCGCATTCGCTGGACATTGTTATGGACCAATGCTGTTTTCAATCCTTGAAAGACTTAGATGACCAGTAACTCTTTATATTATTAATGTGATTAATTCTATCTATATAGGGCTGATTAGTATACTCTAAATATACTTTAATTTAACATACAGACAGAGCTAAATAGTAAGTATAGTTATTCTAAAGATATACCTACTATTAAAGTTTACTTAATCCTTAGCTAACTATTATAAGCTATATTTACTGGATATTATTATAGACTAATACTATTTTTAATCCTTAAAAGACTTAGATAACCAGCAACTCTTCATGTTATTGATGCAATTGATTCCATCTGTATGGGGCTGATCGGCACACTCTAAATGTACTTCAATTTAACGTGCAGGCAGAGCCAAATGGTAAGCATAATCGTTCCAAAGATGTATCCGCTGTTAAAGATTGCTAGATCCATGTGCCAGGTGGCTGAGGATCAAGCAAAGAGTTATCGATCCATACACTCTATCAGCGCCTAGCATAGAAAGGCTCAGGGAGCTCATGGAAAGGGACTCGAAAAAGGTCCCCGGGAGACAGAGACAACATATCTTCCAACTCGTCTGATAGATGTGGGCGACAGCAAAGGAAATGAAGACCCTCGACTGGTAGTTACAAAGACACATCCGCTATCCCAAGACACTCAGAATGGGGATAAACGATACCTGGCTCTTATCTACTGTTGGGGCCCTCCTGAAGAGGCTCAACACCAGCTGACGACGACCAGGGACACGCTACAAGACCGGCTGCGGGTATGAAAATGGACACTCTGCTCAAAACCATCTCAGATGCAGTGCTAGTCTGTCGAGCGTTGAATATACGCTACATCTGGGTCGATGCGCTGTGTATCATTCAGCAGGATGGAGAAGATTGGGAGATGGAATCGGCAAGGATGGCAGACGTTTACTCTCGAGCCCATATAACTATCTGTGCCATGCAGGGAAACTCATGCCTGACTGGATTTCTGCAACGAGCTGTTCCTCCCTCTGTCGAGATCCCATTCCAGTCATCCTTGGATCCTTCCATCTCAGGTCAATTCTCCGTTTATGTCCGAAACTCGAGTCTACGGGTAGATTGTGATGTCTGGTTTTCAACACGCGATGCACCACCGCCAGACCCCTGGGAGTTCACATCCCAGTGGGATGACATCCTTGCAGAGGATCTCGACGACTGCGTCTGGAATACACGCGGGTGGACCTTTCAGGAATTGAAGCTCAGTCTACGAACGCTCTTATTTGGCCGGCGCATGATGCATCTCTACGCAGACTCTTTCCTTGAGTCAGAGGACAGACGCTGCGTTGACTATTACAATGTCTGGGGCCCGTCCCTGGAATACGCCCAGTATGGAACTCCACCTGAGTTGGAGGAGATTATGCCAGCAGCACACTGGCAAGCATTCGAGGCCCTGTGCCCCCTTAGAGACTGGCAGATACTGGTCGACAGTTTCTCCCGACGATCCCTGACAGAGCCATCAGACGCCCTGCCCGCCATGTCTGCCATCGCCCAGTGTTTTGCCGGCGGGAACAATGGCGATTTTCTTGCGGGCGTCTGGAGTGCCCATCTCCATCGCGAGCTCTTGTGGGCCCATTATTCAGGTCCTTCAGAAACGCGACTCGATTTCGCTGACAACTTTACCGCGCCATCCTGGAGCTGGGCTCGACAAAACTACCCCGTCGAATGGACCCCTATTGACGGTAGTTCACTCAAAACCGGAATTCCAGCTCTTGGCCGCACATACAAGAACTGGTCCGAATCCATATGGCCGGGTTCGGGATGGCCGCATCGCATTATCTGCGAGAGCATGCAAACTTCCTACGATGAACCTGAAAGCGCAGCCTGGATCCCAAGGACTGTCGTTTCCATACGAGCTACAATCAGCCGATTCGCGGTTCATCGCGTATCTGAGGTTTGATTGGAGGTCGCCGTCTGTACGGGCACCGAGGGATCCTAATAACATAGGAGGAGCAAGAGGACGGGCCCATTGACAATCTATGGATGGTTCTGGTGTCCAGTAGGCCATATAGCTCGTTTGATGCTAATGAGACCACGGAGAAAGAGCCAGAATACATGTATGGTCTGTTGATGCCTCCCGCCAAGACGCCAGGCGAATATCAACGAGCAGGCCTGTTTTTCTCTGAGACGAGGGGGCTTGGTGGCAGGAGGTTTTGGATGCGATTGAGTTGACGACTGTGACGCTTGTATAATTTATTAAAAAATGGTGGAAACAAGAGAAAGACATTGAAAAGCAACGTATGGTTGATTATCAAGCATCGCTGACAAACAGAAGCAGATCGCCAAGACCGGAATATAAAAGCCGTCGGCGTGGATTTCGCCCGTCGATTTGGAGGCCATCTATCTTCACACTTGATTGGTTGCAATAGAATGTATATTTTCTAGAATATTCACGGTGACCTTGCTGGGCGAATTAGTAAAACCGGAGACCCAATATCATATTGACGTGGCCATTCAGAGGTTAATGACACAACGAACTGGATTTTGCACCGTTTTCAATACCAGAGAATATAAAGAGGCCCAGCTGCATATCGAATGAGAGAAACATCGAGTTCAATTACCATCATGTCCTCCACTATCAAGGTCGCAATTGTCGGAGCAAGTGGCGAAACCGGGCAGTCCATCGTGGACGGCCTGCTAGGTTCTGACACCAAATTTGTAAGTCCCCAGACCACTTGCGCTTCAATCGATACCAACCACAACTTGTGAGCAGCATGTCAGGGCTCTTGTTCGACCCGAGTCTATCAGCAAGCCAATCAACGCTGATCTTCAAGGCCGGGGGGTTGAAATAATCCCGGTGAGCCTGACTGGGCCAGAAGAGAAGCTTGTAGAGGCCCTCTCCGGTATTGATATTGTCATTTCTGCCATATTTTTCGGCAGCCTTGATCAGGAGATCCATCTTGCGAATGCAGCCAAGGCTGCAGGAGTGAAGCGTTTCGTCCAGTCTGCCTTTATGGTTGTCATACCACCAAGGGGCGTTGTGGATTTCCGTGAAAAGGTAATGGCCATTTTCAAATGTGGTGGATATCCTTATTAACCCGGTACTCTTTTAGAAAGAGGAGAATCTGAACCATATCCAGAAGATACGCCTTCCGTACACATACATCGACGCCGGGTGGTGGTACCAGATCACGCTTCCTCGCCTTCCTTCGGGTCGCTTGGACTATCTTGTTCCATCCACACAGCCTCAGAATCCCATTGGTCTGGATGGAAACATCCCAAGTGCCCTGGCAGATATTAAAGATGTGGGACGTTATGTTGCGAGGATTATCACCGACCCACGGACCCTGAATAAGAGGGTGCATGTATACAATGAAGTGTACACGCGAAACCAAGTCTATGATCTGTTGGAAAATCTAAGCGGAGAGGTGCTCGAGAGGGATTATGTGAGTTTGCCCTTTATTATGCCCCGATAGAATCAAAATACTGACATGAATGATGTACAGATATCAGAAGCAGACGCCAAAGCACGCGTTGAAGAGGCTCGCACTGTCCTCGAACAAAACCCAGCAGATTTCACGGCATTTGCCAAACTGTCCACGTCGCAACTGTTCTATTCTTGGGGAATTCGTGGAGACAATACCCCCGAATATGCTGATTATCTGGGTTATCTGAGTGGAAAAGACTTGTACCCAGACTTTGAGTATGCCACATTGAGAGACTATGTAGTGGATGCGCTCGAAGGAAAGGCAAAGGGGGTTTATCAGAAATAGATGGACGTTATCCTGAGATCATGAAATCACAAAGGTCATCTTGCTTCTGTGTGTATAGTTGGTTAGGTATATTCAAGCACGGAAATAGGATAGGATGATCCCATATTAATTTTGTCTACCATGTATCATAATCAATGTGATTTTGAAAACATCTTATAGTCGACTCCATCTAGGCTACATCGAGTCCCAATCTGCTGGAATGTCAAAAATAGCGCTACTTAGAGTATCAAAGCAGTTGTAGTCGACTGGCAGTGAGCCAGCACCGTCCAAGGCAAAGTCCATATTTTCCCATAGCGGCCATCCCAAAGGTTCCGGTGCTGCAGTGATTCCTTCACGGCCATTTGTTGTTGTGGTAGAAGCTGGGAAAAGAGTCGAGAATGATGAAAGTGCTTCATCGGATATTTGTGTCTCGGTGGCGGCGTTGGCGAGAGGACAAGAAGCCGATCCCTCGAGCGATGGAACTAGGAGATTATGTTGAAATGATGACTGCTCTATCGCCAGATTCTGAGAAGGTAGGGGTGATGATTTCTCTTCTAGCAATCGAACCAGACTTCGACGTATCCGTCGTGCGATATCCCACGAAGTCGATAGCTCATCCAAGACCAGCAAAAGCGTTTCGAGGTCGGCGGAATTGCCAGTCAAGGACAAGTTAGTATGACTGCGTGGGTATTCCGACTGGATCAATATAAGTGCCGCTGACAAAGAACAGTAAGTTGCAGTTACTGCGCTCTGTCGAAATGAACCAAAGGCTTGCTGATACTTTCGGCCTACCGCACATATTCTTTTCGCGGCGGTGACACTCATCGAGGCGGCTTTTCTGGCAAGACACAAGACATGGTCGGATATGCTTTTATTTACGTTTCCACGGCGTGAGCCACTAGAAACGCTGGAGATGAGAGGTTTCAGAAGGAGAATGTAGTTTGTATGGTACACCATATGCAGGGTGTAAACTTGTGGGAGGGGACCACTTCCAGGTATTGGACGGTCGAGCCGTAGTTCGGATGGAAGATCATAGTACCAGTTCTTGAGGTCGAGGAGACGAGACTCCAGGAATGATGGGAGTTTAGAAGACCCACGATGAGTAGCCTTGGGGGCGTAACTAGTATATGTCAGATGTTGGGGTTGTAAGGTATTAGTGGTCATTCCTTACAGCCCGAGAATGATCTTCTCTGATATTTGAGAGATGTGGATGAAAGCCCTGAGAAGAACGGTGTGTTGATACGGATTTATGCTATGCTGATACAAGTCACGGCTTGGGATCGAGGGCAGTTTGACCTGTGCTTGGATATCCTGAAATATTTTTAATTTAGGCCACGATCAATGGAGAGCGTCGGAGGAATACCAGCATCGAACAGACTCGCCCAGTATAAGCAGCGGACAGTTTGTCATCGCAATACAAGGCCCAGAATATCTGCCGCCTCAACTCGACTTCCTCGTGTGATATTATATCCGATCCATCGAGGGTTTCTGCGTCGAGATTGAGGCCCATGTCTAGGACCAGGCGGTTTGCCATTCCTTGGTGGAGCCATGATGCCGCATCTGCCCCTATGCTCTGTTTCACAGTAAGTATTTAGCAACTCGTAGGAGACGTAGAGATCTCACAATATACATGTCTATCATAATGGCCAAGGACTGGATGGTTGTGATGGAGGGCCATTTCATTTCGTATTGAAGAAGCGTTTCAGCCGCCTGCAGAAATACCCGGCCTGCTGTGCTTGGGTCTTCGGGAGCAGATCGAATATCAGTCCTGTCAGAGAATCGCGAGCCCAACGCGAGCATGCAGTTCAGTAGCAGAGGACTAGAATACCGGCCGCCGGATTGTTCACTTTCACGGAATAGTTTTTCGTTGACGACTTGAAGCCAGGGATTCTGCCACTTAAAGTACAAATCGAGAAGATTATCCTTAAGCTCCTCGGGAATATACATCTGCTCTGCGGTGCCAGTCAAACTGTTGTTCTCTTTACGAGAGGGCGCAGGTGCTTTCCGATCCTGTTCCTGCGTTGAGTCGGGGATGTCTTGAACTGTCTGGAAAGGAAGATGGCCGCTTGTAGCTCCAAAATAATGCACTTCTCCATCTCGATCATACTTGAGTGACCCATCCAACGACAGCGCTCCCTCGAATGCTTCACTCAAGTCCTCTGTCGAATGACTGTCACGGTCATAGCAACCACTTCCAAGACACAGCGTATTTTCACCAGATACATCATCTCTCACTGCCAGTGCGGCAGAATTATCAACATCTATAGAATGTGACCGAATGACATTTTCCAGATAGTCAATCCGGCTGCGGAGCATCTCCACGTATGATTTCGGGGCTGGTCTACGCCCATCCTCTTCAGTCCTATATTGGCAGCTGATAGAGCGAAGCTGGCAGCGAGAGCAAACAGGCCGTTTCCCATCGCACTTTGGCCAGTAGCACGATTAATAACTACAATGATGCTTCAATTGGTGGAAATACCTTGGTTCGACATCGACGACACTCGTCACAGGCCTTGGAGGTGTATTTGCGTCTCATTGGAGCAGAAGCGCGTGCGCGGGGAAGGGAAGCGGGGGAGGACTGATTGAACTGCAAGCTCATGGATAGTTTTAAAAGAGAACAAAGAGATATTACTGTAAAGCATGGAAGCTGTTTGATATATTGAGACAACAGGAATAGTGCTTAAGAACTGTTGAGGAGGTCAAAAGTCCAGAAGCTTTTTGCTGTCTGGTTGTGGGGAGATGGATTATGCGATTAGTCATCTGCTTCAGATCTACGGATTATAAATATGAAATTATATCAAAGATTTTGATCACGGCATTAACTATCCTGGCAATATACGAACTCCATTGTTTATTGATTTAACTAAGAACTGCAGATAGGACTTGTGCCAGCCTCCTTTGCACCTTCAGGATCATATGCTGACACCTCAATCTCAACCCACATGTTTGGTCCACCGAGACGTCCAATCTGCACACACGTCCACGTGGGATGGTTGTCAGGCATCCACTTCTTAAAAATACGAACCATCGCTTCTTGGGCTTCTTCATCGAGTTGAACGTGGAACGAATTGACTCGATAAACCTGGGACCAGCCCTTGCCACCAGCATCCGTAAGAGCATTTTCAACGTTGACAAAGGTCTGGTCGATCTGCTCTACAACGGTTTTTGGCTGGGTGCCTTTTTCGTCAAGGTAGCCACCTATGGTCTGGGTAAGCATTGGAATAGGCTGCAGTAGAAAGGCAATCATACCTTGTCCGGCACAATGGATGAAATCGCCGGTGCGAACGGATTGGGAAAACCAGTGGCTTAGACGGGTGGCTTCGCCAAACCCAGGATAAGCGTATTGGCGCATTGACATCGCGGCGTGTCACCTTGAATCTCCTGGGATAGACGGCTGATTCAAAGGTTTCAACGCACTTGGTACCTACTAATATCTATATCCTGTGCTCTGAGATGTCACGTACAATGTTAGACCTGATTGGACAGTATCACAGCAAGTATCCACAACCGGAATATATTTCGCGGAATGACGTCGATGCTCCACAGTGCAGTAGATACATTAAGCTACCTCTACGGAGTGTTGTTTGTTTTGTTGGTACTTTTCTGGTTCAATCTAAAACTTTAATTGGCCTGTATGATAGATTTGAAGTGTCAGCATTCTCATGTCCACTGCCTGTGCTTTGGACTAGGGTGTAATTCGGCATTTAAAGGTTTGGAACATAGTGAGCTGATAGGGCAATGTATATGGCCATATCCCAGAACATCACTATTAGCTGAAAGCGGCTATGTCAGGCATGATACATCTTGCTATCGGAAGGAACGTGTACATGGTCTATTTGCATATAATATGTCTTTAGGGTTGGTTGTAGGCATACGACCATATTATTCACAGATAAAAGTAGAATGTACAAATTAACTTTGCATGCCTATTTACTGTACCAATGCCCGTAATTCACTATAACAGGCAGCAGCTTTCTCCTCTACCATTTATTTTGACGGCGTACTTGTCTCCCTTTCTTCATCATGTCCCACCGTGACACGCTTGCTGGGATGTCTCTTTCAGCAGAGCAGCCCGACGAGATCTGGAATATTCAATCACCTGCATGAACCTCTCTACTGTTGGAACTGGAATCTGCACTTCAGCGCCAAAAGGTTAGTGCCTCATTCTAGGCGTTTCTTCAAGTATGGGATATAGGAAAGGTTCAACAACTTGTTACCACCGCGCGATCTAATTCGACCATATTCTGCATCCATACTATAATTCGTCAATGCCACTTTTTTGGATGCAGCGTTCTGGAGATGAAAACTCGGCTGTGCCTACCAGGAATGCGTGCATGCTCACCCGTCCTGGCAATTTGAGTATTCCAGAATTTTGGGATTTGCTTCATTCGCTTTTCAATAGTGATCATCTACAGGAATGGCGAATGGCAAATTCTAGTGACCCAGATGACCCGAATAAAGCAAAGGATGGCTGTCACAATCAGATGTGCTTGAGTGTCTCTGCCCATAGCTTGTAGATGAGGGGGTATTTTGCCCTACGCCCGGTAGCGCGAGCCCCAGATGGTACAGCTATGACAGTCGAGCTCCATTGGCAACCAGTGCCCTATAAGGATCGACCAAGCAGCAACATGACCCATCTCTGAGCGGCCGCGCAGAGAATGCTCCCAGTCAGCATTAGGAACATCGACAGTTGAAGTGCAGCGTAGCTCCCGAAAACGTCGGCGAGCCGTCTGAATGTTGGGATGAAGGTTGTCGAATTTGTCTGTCATAACTGCGTTAAAAGTGCTTTTTTCTCATCCCGACTGAGGTAAATGGGTTCATATTTATATCAAACTGATATGAGACGCAGTAAAAGGCACCGCCGTTGCAACGATCGTCAAATCCCGTGTGCTCGACTGTCCCACGGGTGCTTTGAATTCCGTCGACATTCTCGAACAACCTGGCCTTTCCCGTGGCCTTACCTTACCCATGTCCACCAGGACACGCTGATCACTCTTTCCGGGGATAGGAACAACGGCATAATCCCCTCTGGTGATATCTTCGTCTTCAGTACAGACAACCCAGATACACATCCCCTCCATAGCTGAGAGCTCCTGGAAATGCGGTGGTTTCTGACGCGGATTATATCCCATGAGTGGAGCTGCTAATATCTACTATGAAGAGGATTGCTATGAAGGTGACTGTGATCAGGCAGATGATTAGGATACCTTAATTCGCCTTCAAACTTTGTTAAAATGGCTCATGCATTAGACAATAAGAATCTCATCAGTTAAAACTACATTATGTGGTATAGCGAAGATCAATGAGCAAAAGGAAACCACCCAACCCTTAAAAAGAAGTAATACCAGGCTCAATATTCTCCAGGATCTCACTCAACTCCTTCCACACTTTCTTCTGTGCCTTTTCACCCTCCTCACTCCGTACAAACGGAGACAACATCGCATTCGCCTCTCGGCCATTCGACATGTATGCCCCATGAGTCTCTGGACCAGCAGCAGCAGAAGCAACTAGACAGCGGCTTCCCACTTCCGTTGTGCGCGCAACAATCCCTTTGATAAATCTCAATGTCGTATTAAACAGCCATCCTCCTTCGAGGTCGCGCTGCAATGATGAATGGCAGAATCCCGGGTTCAGCATGTTGAGGATGACACCTGAGTCAGCGAGCTTTGGTGCTATTTCCCGCACGACAAGAACTTCCAGCAACTTTGATACGTGGTATCGGCTGCCCATGATGGCTGTTTTCTCATCGTCGAGGGTGGCGAATGTATTTTCGGTTTTCCATTCGGGAAGGTTTGAAAAGGCGTGGACTTCACTTGTCACGATGGAGAGGCGAGGTGGTGATAGTGGGGTTTGTTTTGCAGTTTCCTTCAACTTGGGAAGTAGCAGTAAGGCAAGGAGAATGGTGCTGATCACGTTGACAGTAATCGTCCGCTCGTGCCCTTCAGCAGTAGAATATTTATCTGTGGCGATACCAGCATTCTCAACAACAACATCTAATCGAGGGAGAGTTGCTGCCCGTGCCGCAAATTTCTTGACTGAATCAAACGAGGCAAGGTCAAGTTCCCAGACTTCGCATCGTCCTTGCCGACCGGTTGATTCTTCCAGGGTATTCTTTGCTTCAGTTCCAGCTGCAACGTTTCGAACGGCAAGGATGACCTTGGCAGCGTCTAGACGGAGGAAATGCCTGACTGCTTCAAAACCAAGTCCGACATTGGAGCCTGTCACGATAACGGTCTTGTCGGTGAATGATGCTGTGGGGTATGGTGGGGTCTCGAAGAACTGATCGTAGAGAATTTGCTTCGAAGCCATGGTGTATGAGAGTAAAGATAATAATAACTTATTTTATATAAACATTTTAAAACGAAGGGAGTGCTAGTTCTTATATATGACGGAGTGGTCGACGTCATGGCGGCGGAGATAAAATCGCACTGGAGATAACCGGAAGCCGAACTAACTCCGCGTGGGTCTAGGGCAATGGCCGCTATTGGCTGAATCTATCTTTAGCCCCGGCATTGACAGATTCTGCGCACAAAGTCCGGATGCAAAAACTTTGAGACTCTGGGAGGCCTCCCTGCAGCAAAAAATAAATGCAAAAAGGAAAGCCGAACGCGGGGGTCGAACCCGCAGCCTTGAGATTAAGAGTCTCACGCTCTACCGATTGAGCTAGCCCGGCTGCTCTTGTTATATGGAGCGCAGCTTAAGTGCTATGTGAATGAGAGAAACCATCAGTAGTGTTCTTAAAGCTGCCTAATGCTAATAGGTTCAACCAACTTTCCAAAATTCACGAAGCTGGTCTGCAATACAAATAGTTTGCCGTCCTGAAGTCTTCTGGCATAACTCGATTAGTTCAAGGGTACGCTGTCTCTCGAGAACCCCATCCGTCACGAGACCGGCAATATACAGACACTGCGTCGATATCAGTCCCCAGGTTTCGTGGATCTTGGAATTGGCCACCATGAAGACTTCTCGACGGGATTTCTCTAGTTCGCGACGAGTGTGGAATGGATCATGTGCTGTATCAGAAGTAGAGGGACGGTGTAGTGTGAGTAGGATCTTGGAGGTGTGGTATAGTTGGTGGGAGACCGCTGTAGATGTTAGATTTGTTGGGCATAAAACACGAGCACTTACCACTTTCAGGATATGCAAACCAAACAGATGGTAGCTGATATTCTTCCATATTTTTCGATGGTTGCTCCATACAGCAAGTCGCCATGGATCGGGGTAGCTTCATCTTCCAGTCTTCGAGAAGGTCCCCCAATTCCTTCGCCCGTCTCTGCTGAGCCCCTGTCCAGTCCTCTGTACTTTGCCTTTTCGTACTGGTAATACAGTAGGTGATACACTGCCCAAATAGAAACAACACCCGATTTGCAATATCACGGATCGAAATTCCCTCAAAGGTATCGACAGCCTTAGGCCTCCAATACTCCTCGTCCAGGAACATCTGTCGACGAGCCTGAAAGGCAACCCACACTTCATGCCGATACCAAGTCCAATACGTGGCGCCTCGAATCCCAGTTTCGTCGCCATTGATGCGGTGGGAGCGTATTAGACTTGCTACGCCTTTTAGGTGAGAGCCGAAGCTTTCTCCTGCTACGTCTAGGATCTCATACCTACAGGATGGAATTAGCTAGTTCTGATATCGACAGTGAGGAACATACGTTGAAAGGATGATGCTTGAAGCGAGTAGTTCGTCGCTACCAGAATATCGAGGCTCTATCAGAAAGTGGCTCATTTCTTGGAGCGCCTGTCTATAGTAGAAGATAGGCGAATGCTCAAGCATGGGGCTGCTGCTTTGAGGGGCTCGCGTCATTTGCTTTGCTGAGACAGCCAGGCAGGAGTGTAAAAGCGTCGGGCAATGAAGTGCCATGGCGGGGACTTGAAGGTAGAATGGCTGATCGTGAGAAAATGAGTCGATCTGACTATTCAGTTAGCATTGGCCTAGAACAAGCCAGGATGAAATCTGACCCATTTTGAAACTCTTTCTACATAGTTCCGGAGCAATAGTACTTCTGCAGGCGATAGTTGGATAGGATCAGTAACTCGAAAAGAGATGAGTATTGAATGATGTTGATCATCAACCGACTCTGGCGTCGGTCGATGGCTCAATGCTGAATACAGGGGAGAACGAATGTCGCTTGATCCATCGTGTGAATGTGTAGGTCCTGGCAGGTTTGCATGTTGAAGGATAGAGCAAAGGTTTGTCGCAGGTGGCGATGGTGACAGTCTCTGGGATGCGAATGATTCATCGGCTTGGAATGATATAGATGGAGTTGACCTAGTTCCTCGTTCTGGATTTGATATGAGGCTGCTGTGATGGACATCCTCATAGACTGGCCCCAGTATTCGGGATGTATTCAGTGACTGTCCTCTCTGAGAGGAGTTCTCCCCTCCCATATCCTCCTGCAAAACGTCATCTTCTCCATTTTCATTCCGCCTTTGTCGAGACTCAGTGCCCCGACTCCTGCCAGCAGACACATTATTTCCGTATCGACAAGGCCGATTTCTCTTTAGACAATTCTGGCAAACTGGCCGCTTCTCATCGCATTTGACGCGTCGAGCGCGACATGTTAAACTACCAACAAGTTATTTCCACATGGCAGATACACCGAAGAAGCGGGTATACTTACCATCCAGTAGTAACCCGAAGTCTTCTAGACTGCCCTAATCGCATGGCCACTTTATTATGGAGGCAATATTTATTTCGCTTTGCACTCGCAATGGCCGATGAAATCTCATGTACCCCGCAATCTCGCTTAGCGCTTTGATTGGCTGACATCCCCACATCTTCACATCATATCTACATGATATAAAGACTTAGTTTCAGTCGATGATAAGTGTCTTTTTATTGTCTTGGATATTTCGTAACTTCTACAGTAAAATACATCTTTCTTATCATTCTCATTCAATCCCCACCCGTCACCATGGCTGACTCTGCTATCCGTCCATTCAGAGTTGATATCCCAGTCGAGGAAGTCGAACGGTTGCAGCGAAAGTTGAAAGATACCCGTTTACCAGGACGGAGTATAGTTCCTGATGCTGGGACCAGCTATGGTGTGTATAACAAATATTAGATGTATTTGACATGAATACTAACATACCAGGCCCGACCTACAAATGGGCAGAGGACCTATACAATGCCTGGATCAATGACTTCGACTGGTTCGCTGTCCAGAAAGAAATCAATGAGTTCCCTCATTACATAACCTCAATCGAGGATATCAACATCCATTTCCTACATGCTCGTGCGGAAAAAACAGATAGCATACCTCTACTTCTGATCCACGGCTGGCCAGGTTCATTCTGGGAATTCAGCCAAACATGGGGTCCTCTATCTCACCCTGCTAATAAGGACGACATATCATTCCACGTTATTGTTCCAAGCATGCCCGGATTCTGCTGGTCAGACTGGCCACCGCGGTCAGGCTGGAAACTCCAAGATAATGCAAGAGTATTCGACAAGCTAATGAAGAGACTCGGGTACGATGAGTACATGGTCCAGTGTGGCGACTGGGGTCACTTTGTCGGACGTGAGCTTGGGTCGAAGTATACAGATTCTTGCAAATTGCTGCATTGTAATTTTGCGCCGAGTCCACTGCCTGATGGAGTGGAGTATACAGAGAGGGAGAAAGCAGTTGCCGGTCGGGTTGATGACTGGTTGGAGAATCATATTGGATATGCCGTCTGCATGCGGACGAGGGTATGTCTCCCTTATATCTTTGATGTGTCAAGCTGACCAGAAAGCCACACACGATTGGAATCGCTCTGAATGACAATCCAATGGGCATCCTAATGTGGGTTGGAGAAAAGTACAACGAAGCCGCAGATCCAAATACCCAAAGGCAGCCATTCTGGACAAAGGCCATTCTCACCACAGCTTCGTTATACTACTTTACAGACTGCATCATGCCATCAATGTTATGCTACTACGAGAATCTATCACACGACCACTTTGCTGAGTTTGCCATGAAGCCGGAGAATCGTATTCGCATTCCATTCGGGTATACGTCGTTTTTCTGGGATACAGAGCCTTCGTCTAAGAGGGCGGTTGAGAGGACTGCTAATTTGGTCTTTTATAAAGGTTTGTTTACTCATGCTCCCGTTTCGATGCGACTGGCTGATTATGTAGAACGTGATAATGGTGGTCATTTTGCTGCTCTCGAATGTCCGGATGGACTAGCACAGGATATAAGAGAGCTGGCAGCACAAGAATGGGGAAAGTGGTAATTAGTCTATTATATGCAGCGTCGTATCTGAAACATATGCGAAACATGGCCGATGACAGCTCCAGTCGTGCTCAAGATCTTCGGATGGTGAAAAGCAGACAATGCCTCAGAATCCAGTGTCCCAATATCAAGCTGTTTTAATATCTCCACCACAGCCGAATAGAGAATATCGATATTCCCATCTTCAATCTTGACTGATATCCCCATTGCACCATCTGCTCCTAGCTGTCGTGTCTTTTCTGATGCCCGTATCCCAATTCCACAGCAGCCTTGTGATCCAGGTTTGCATACAAGCGCGCCTTGAAAGTTCTTCATTGTTAATGTGCAGAATCTGCCTTTTCCACCAACCAATTCTGGATATTGATTCATAGAGTGGAAGATTCGAGCCATGGCTTTTGTTCGAGATACATTGGTGGCGGTATCTGCTGCATCCTCATCTGCTGCTGCTGCGAATCCTGCATAGATTCGTGCGAAGCAGCGGAGAGGAAATGCCGGCGTAGGTAGATTGCACCCATCAACAGCCCATTCGCACTTGTTCTTCTCTGCTCCGGATAGCTCCTCCACGACCTGCATCACGCGCTGCTGCATTGGATGCGTGGGAAGATGATAATCACTTATTTCAGTCCCCAGTGCCTTTGCTCCGGCTAACATGCCCACATGCTTTCCAGAGCAGTTACTACAGGCCGCAGTAGGGACAAAGTCTCTCTTAAGCCACGACTGATTTACTTGCTCCGATATCGAAGACTGGCCACCACAACGGAGATCGGCTTCATTGGCCTGAACCTTGGCCAACATGCTGTTTACTCGGGCGATATGTCTTTCTTCACTGCTATGTGATGAGCAGGACAATGCCAGATCTTCATCGTCGAATGGAAATATATCGAATGCACCGGTTTCAAGGACGGCGACTGCCTGCGCTGGTTTCGTGGATGATCTGGGTAATGTGATTCGTGATGGGTCACCAACTGCATATAGCAGTTTACCGGTAGAGTCGACTATAGCTGCATGGACTGCGTGGCGGTTTTCCACGACCCTGCCTCGGTATACAGTGATATGGTTTGTCGGTGCCATGTTAATTGGGAGGTAATGTACTCAATTGGGCGTCTCCTAGACTCAATATAACTTTATAACTTTTTTTTGCAGTATTCAAGAAATGAAAATGCAGTTTGTTTATCATGTCCATGGCTATAAACTTTGAAGATTTTTCTCACCTCCCGTCGGGTGCATATCCTTACCCCTTTCGGAAGTATCTTGAGTACGCATTTCACCGAAACAACGCATGTTTATCTAAACTACTGGGATTTAAGAAGATCTCAGACTTCATATATTTTTTTATAACTGCCTTAGGCCGCTATCAGTCTCTCCTTCGTGTAAACATCCGTCATCTTCACATTAAACCTTAAGCTTGTCTCTCATTCCAGGTTCGGTCAATCATATTAAGAGATCGTTGAGCTATTTCATTAGTATATCTTTTCAACAACATAAGACACGATGGACATACCAGATGGAACAACATCAAGAGCCTTGATCGATATATTCAACGGCTGTGTAATCATATAGATAGCAGCCTGCGCGACATCCTCTGAGATAAGGGGTCTACATCATGTCAGCAGATCAATCATCAACTATCAACAGAACACTCACTGATATCCCTCGAAGAAGCTATTATACATCTCCTTATCATGGCCAACACGTAGCGAGTGGAAATTAGTCGCCACACAACCAGGCCGCAAAGCGAGGACTCGAATGTTTGTTCCGCTCAGTTCATTGCGGAGGGCATTCGTGAAGCCTTCCTGGGCAGCCTTGTTCGAGTGGTAGACAGCTTCGCCTGGGAAGGGGGGAACTTCAAGACCAGTAACGGATGTGACGTTAAGGATGGTCCCTGCCTTTCGGGGCATCATGGATACGTTGAGGACGGCATAGGTGACAAACATGAGTCCGTTGATATTCGTGTTGTTCATGGAGAGGATATCGGAGATTTTGAGATCTTGGAATGTTGCGGGTGCTCCAAGGGCAAGACCGGCCTGTTTGATTAGTATTTGCCATTCTGGTGGAGATGGATACTAACATTGTTGATGAGGATATCAATGTTGCCTAGCTTTTCTGCGCTCGCTTTGACTGCTGCTTCCACGGCTTCGTAGCTTTGGATATCGACTGCTTGGTAGATCACCTTGGACGAGGGATGGTCTTTCTGGATCTTTCCTGCGATTGCTTGTAGCTTGTCCTATAATCCTGTCAGTATTAGTCCATGTGAATGATATGAGTTCCTACCTCTGATCTCGAAAAAAGTATCAAGTTTGCTCCCTGTGCAGCAACAGAATTGGCAATCGATTCACCAATACCCATGGAAGCTCCAGTCTAGCCATGTCAGCAGATGATTCAACACATGAGACGAAACCTACAATGAGCACGTTGGATCCTTTCAAAGACATTGTGACTGCTGCAATAATTCCTCGATGAGAATAATCTCTGCTCAACTGCTGCATTTAAATAACTGCTTTATCTTCAATCGACGTCAAGTGGGGATTGGACCCTGCATTATTAATCTAAAGCTTCACTTCGAGGCGAACCTCGCTTTGTGATTCGATTGGTCGATTTTCGGAGATATGCCCGATGATGTCATTCACCCATCAACTACATTTATTCAGTAAAGCATGTTTAGAAGTGTTTTATCTAGATTAAAGTGTGTTGGAAGAAGATCTTTTATTGTGCTTATATCTAAGTGGTTGTGAACCCTTGATATGAAGCCTGTTGGAACCAGGTTTGTATCTCCGAAATATATAATCGGACTTTCCTCCGCAACACACACTGCTTTCGATCCAACCCCAGCATCGCCTTAAAAGTGTTTTATATATTCTTTTACCCCGCCATATTTTATAGTCAACAGAATTTTACTGCTCTGACCGAATATTTGCGATACAATGCTATTAATAGCTACGTCTCGTGGTACTCGTGAGAGGAGCTGCATAAAATAATGCACTTTCATAAATACCAAGCATCAACCAACTAAGCTAAAGATGTACTCGGACACATAATTATGCACTATGTGTATATTTATGGTTCGTTTTGCTTGACACCATCCCTACGGACTGGCGTTGATTTGGATAATTCTGATAGAATTAGCAGGTATCAACACAGATAATAAACACGTGTTTTGTTTTTAGTGCGCCAGATGGATAAGGTAGCATACATTGCATATTCCACTATTATTGGAGCTTCTTTATTATTTCTACCTGGATTGGTATTATGTGGCGCCCAACGCCCATCCTTGCCAGTATGCCAACTTGTTGTGTCAGGCTGTTAATTAGACGGTCTTGTCTGCAGCACCACGTATCGCGACAGGGATGCGAATCCTTCGGACCACAGCCTCAGTCTTAACAGCCCGCATTTAAATACTGTCTTCGCTCCCTTCTTGATTAAAATCTCACATAATATGGTAGATGGTTTTGGGATATATATATCCTAAAGACCGCTGATTTGCTCACTTTTCCCTCTCCTTAATACTCTCTGATTAAAACACCCTATTACTACCACAATATTGGACACCATGAGCTGGTCAAAAGTGTCAGATCGCCGCTGGGAGCGCCCCGTAAATGGCATGGAGGGCTATTTTGTCACAACTGGGAACTTGACTGCATCACTCTGCGATGGCCGCGAGCACTATGTGATCTTTTCCAAGGTCAAAGTGGATATAAAGATACCGGACGTGGCATTAGCGCTGAAGAACGCGTGGAAGCAACTGCGACACGAACAGCCCCAGATCGCCAGCACTGTAGAGGGCATGAAGAAGGTGTATGAGGTTCCGGATGAGGCGGCGTTGGAGGAGTGGCTTGCATCGACTTTTATTGTTTCTTCCTGTCAGGATGCGGAGGAGCTGTATCGGAATTCGGAACCGATTAAGCAGGCTACGCTGTATTATCTGCCTCAGTCGTCGGAGCTCGTGCTGAGAGCGCATCATTATACGCTGGATGGGACGGGGGCGATCATGTTCTGGGATCGCTACTTGAGCATGCTGGTCAACCCAGCAAAGGATATGCAGTTTGGAGATGAGCATGCCAGACTAGCACCCGCGCTGGAAGAAGCACTGGGCTACTCAGAACCATCGACGGAAGAGCAGAAAGAAAAAGCAAAAGCCCGCCTGATGGAGTACGCCGGGAATATACCTGGAATCGGGCCTGTATCGAAACTCGGAAGTGCACCATCGGGTCGACGCCAGAATGCAGAACTTTTGTTTTCGAAAGAAACCACCGCAGCCATTATCGCGGCGTGCAAGGAAAAGGGAATCACCGTTACATCTGCCGTCCATGCAGCATACGTTCAAACGATGATGAGGTATGCAGACCCCAAATCCAAACTATCAAAATACGTGACGGCAAATCTATTCAACCTACGATGTCATCTACCTGCACCATACAATTCCAGCCAACACGCAGTGTCTGTCTACTATACCCCGCAACCATTCTACCTCGCCCTCCCGTCTTCCTTCTGGCATACAGCCCAAGTACTTAATAAGTACTACAAGACCACTTTCAGAGATAACCGCGAACTCCTTGAGCTGAACGGACCGTTCACACGCGCCCTCTGCGATGTCGCCCAGACTCCAGAGTTCCTCGCGAGTCCGCCACCCAAAGACGCGCTGGTAAGCAGTCTCGGAATCGCAGAGAAACACGTGCAGCGAACATACGGCCGCACAGTCACAGTCAAGGATCTGAAGGTGGGGGTCGATGTCGTCTTGGGGATGAGCATGATGTTCTTGTACACATTCCAGGACCAGCTGCGGTTAGTGTACTGTTTTAACGAGGGCTTCGAGGAGACGCCGAATATCCAAACGTACCTGAACGAAATCCGGACGGTTCTGGAGGAGGAACTGCTGAACCGACAGCGGAACTGGTTGCTGTCATATTGCAATGTGATGTAGCAGTATGCAGACAGTGCAGGGTGGGTACATGCACAGTGGCATCCCCACAGAAACCTTAATGGCTGCAGAGAACAAGGGACGTGCAGTATCCACATGTATAAGATCGACATGATATAATGACAGATTGAATGGAAATAGTCATATGGCTTTGGAATTGGCATTAGTTCATCCCGTGCGTAGGACAGGTAGTCTAGTCAAGTCATACAAGATCATCCGGTGTGACGAGTCAAATCAAAAGCAATATATTAATTGCCTGTTCATCTGCAAGGTGGATAAATAGTCAATGCAAGCCCAATCAGTCAAGAGAACAACGCATTTCCATGCTAAGTTTGCGTACTCGAGAGGTATACAGAAAACTTTGAACAAGTCAACTATAAAGCTTAATTCGAAGGTGCACAGACCCAGCCTAAATTGGAGCATCAGCTGCATATCCCATTGTATGTTGTTACCTGCCTAATCGGCTCGTATTCCGTAGACTTTGTGGGTGCTGGGTTTTTGCAGCTTACGAAGCGCACTGGGCGAGTAATCAAAGTCAGGAATGACTACTTGGATTTTTCATGGTGATGCAGAGGATACTGGCAAGGCGGAAAATAATACACAGGAGAAAAAGTTGACGTGGATGAACCCAAGGATTGAATAGGGGTTCGATATATTTTATAAAAGTGTGATAAAACCGCCAGGGTGAAATTACTAATATACATCCTACGTTATTCTGTGAGACAGCAGGCTAATAATCAATCGATTAAACCACCAGTCCGGGTATCTGGCATGGATATATTCCTCATTAGTCCTCATGACGAACGTAGTAGGACCGCAGTCCTAAAGCAATAGATACTATGTACAGTGTTTATGGCTCAGCAGAAATCCTGCTAACACGACGGCCGTTGTTCTCCTTTCTGTCCGAAGCAAGGGTCTGGGCGAACTTGCTCCTCTCCCGAATCTGCGGTCCATACCAGTAGAACACGTAGATGGGAATGACGACGAGGCAGGAGAGACAGGCCAGAATGGTACTCGCGTATTCGACGTGCCACTTGTCGCCGATGTTCTCGTACATGGGCGTGGAGTACATGGCTGCGATACCGGCGAGCATGTCACGCGCGAACGCGTTACCACCGGTGGCAGAGGCGGAATAGACACCGTAGGACGCGACCATGTAATCGACGGACGAGAGATAGATGGCATAGTTGGCGATTCCGACGCAGGTGGAGAAGACAAACGACCCCATCCAGTGGACGTTGCGCGAGTTGCCGAAGGATGTCCAGGCGAAGCCGAACAGACCGATCGGTTCGAGCGGTGCCAGGAACAGAAGCCACTTCAGACGGCGTTCAGCCGGGATGTTGTCGTTGCCGTGGACCTGGCGCAGCTTTTCATCCCGGATGAACCAGGGGAAGTAAGTAAAGTAAGCAATAAAGTATGCGACGTTGATCGGAATGACCGCCCACGCCTGGCCGAGAACACCCCAGCCCCAGCCTTGCTCGTACACGATCGCGAAACTCTCCAAGAAGGTGAAGATCAGCGCGTCGGAAAATCCAGACAGCAGAGACAGGCAGAGCACAATGGGTTCACGGAAGAACATGTAGAAGGGTCGGACCCAAATCTTGCCAGCCTCCTTGAGCGAGATCCGAGGCGACTTCAGCTCGTTGGGACCGTAGATGTTGGGGTCTTCGCCCGTCTTGCGGCGGCGCTTGGCCTCCTTGTCCATGATGATGGTGGATCGAGACTCGGGCATGAAGAAGATGATGGCCTGCACGACAGCGCCGAAAATGAGCTGGATCCAGAAGAACCATTGCCAGTCGAGGACTGTTACGCGTTAGATCGGATTCCTTTTTCCGGCCGAAGAAAGGGGAACAAGGGATGCTCACATCGCTCGATCGGACCACCGATGACACCACCGATACTGGTTCCAATGCAGGACGACAGGACGATAAAGGCAAGGGGGAACTGTTGTGTTTCGGGCTCGTAGAGATCGGCAATGAGACCCAGGGTCACACTACCACCAGCAGTCGAGATACCACCCTGTTGCCGTCAGCGTCTGTTGTTTATTTACAGTAGTATCAAGGGAGTCTCACCAGTCCACGGGCAACGAGAATCGTGCCCCAATTAGGCGCCAAGGCAGCAGGAATTTGCCAGATGTTGATCAGAAACATGGAGAGCTGGAGAATGGGCCACCGGCCAAATTCCTCACTCCAGGGCGCCCACAGCTCGCACCCAATGGAGTAGGTGACCAGATAGATCATCTGGCCCGTCCGGGCGTGCTGCGCGCTAATGTCCCATGCTTTGGAAAGAGGCTTGACCGCGTTGGGGAAGACGGAGGTGTTGAAGTTCATCGAGACCTGCACGCCGGCGATCGCAGCGAGGTACATCCATTTCTTCCATCGCGGCCAGCAGTAGGCGAGTATCTCGTAGCAGTCTTGCTCCTTCAGTTCGCGTTTGCCGTCGGGGCGGAGCTCCCCGGCCTTTTCACCATCAGGAACGTCGGGGCTATCGCTGCTCCTTTCCTCGGTGCCCTTTTCAGACGACGACGAGGGGTCAATCGTATTGGGCACTTGTGGTTGGACTTCGTGTTGTTCGGTATCAGCCATCTTGGAGGGTTGGGGGAAGAGGACTGAGAACGTGGAGTCGTGGGGATGAAGAATCTGGGTCCCCCCTGGGTACATATAAATTTCTGCGTGCTCGGCAAAAGCAGGATGCAAACTCCAGCAACCGTCGTCATTCACTGCGCGCAAACCGGATTCACCGTGGATGGGTGGGTCTGATTGTCTCTGATCGTCGCTGTAGCTGTGGATGCTGGCGTCATAGCCAGCGCTCGTGCTTATGCCCTTGCCCTGTTATTAGCGTTTAGGGCCCACTAGCTTAATCTGCAGTGGGGCCAGCAGCAATCAAGGCATTGCTTGAGATAACAGTACTCAACAACAGAGCACATGTACTGATGCCGTCTGGCAGACTCAGCGGGGATCAGAACTTTTCCCGTCGCAGTGGAGAGCACCACATTATCCCCGTTCTCCATTTTATCCCCAATGCTCCATTCAATGGTCCATAGTCGCTGCGTGCATGTGGGGATAGTGCGACCAAACATTCTGCCGTTTGCAGCTCAACAAAGCTTCCCTATTGGACAGACGGCATGCGGTGTGGCCGTTCATATTAAAAATCATGTGGCAATTCAGGTCCATCTTCCACCCAGACTGTCTTCACCCCTGGTTCTGGTATCAAAAAAAATCTGTAGATTCATTCGACTGTTCCACAGATCGGAGCAATGGCAGTCCCCTTGTGGCAACTAAAACAATCTGAATCTATCCATCCCTTTCCCCGCGTACCTGCATAGAGATGCGATGCTACATTCCAGAGAGCAGACTGTCATTTCCGATGAAAAATAACAAAAAAATAACCAAAAAAAAAAAAATCAAAAATCAAAAATCAAATTACCCTTCGCCTACCCAGACGGGAATCTACCTAATAAACCAGGGTTCACTTCGGGAAACCCGCCCGGAAGACCGAAATGAACTTTGTTCAATTCCGATTCCGAAAAGCCGAAGATTTCCCGTACAGTCATCGGTCCGCCATGTCGGTTGTGCTATGGACAATTTAATTGAGCATAAGTATTTGTCCATATTGGGTTCTCTGCATTGGCTTTATGGAAATGTACATCCCTGGTAGATTATCGGCTGGTTCATTGGGTGCGGTGCATCTGCGATGACGTCAACCGAGGTTCTGTGATGGCAGTGGCGTTGAATGTGGATGCTGTCCCTGGTCATTTGTGCCTGACTGCGGGGAGATCAGATTGGATAAGATTGGAGAAAAAAGGCGAATTGTCTAGGCATACAGATAGAATTGTTCTTTTCCATTCCCATGACTTTGCTTTTGAAGAATTGACATCAGTTTTAGTCAGGATAACTTTACTCACCCACCACTTCGCACACTTTTACTTATTATTAATTCCTAACAAAACTGGATGCATCACCCACGTGCATGTTGTATATTTTCTCTCGCCACGAAAAAGAAAGCAAGTGCTGACTCCCGCTGGGGAGTCCTGCCATTATTAACCCGCCTAGATATGATTCATTCAAGCTACCCGGAAATATATCTGGACAACCCTTGCAGGAATGGTAATCCCTTGCGTTGTTCATTAGACACGTCTGCAAAAGTCCATACGCAACTTAAGCTGACCTCAAAAGATACGTTATAGGGACTATGATGATAGCAATTCCTTGGTAATAGAAGCAAGTCGACCTTGAAGAAGAGATATATACACACTCAGGCGGGCCAAGCAATACTTGCGTACTCGCAGTGAGGGTACCCTGCGCTACAAAGATGGCTACTAGGATGGCATAGGAGTGGTATTTGAGACTGCTGTATAACGTAGTCCAGCAGATCCGCAACTCATTTCACATAGAACAGCATAGGCGAGGTACAATAGATACCAGCTGATACTGCTCCAACTTAATTGTCGCCCGCGACAAACGCGGCGAGAATTCTCTTCCCTTCATCAGCGTCATCCTGCTCCCATGGCTTCAACCCAAAAGACTGCATAAACTGAGTCCATCCACCATAGGATTTCACAATAGCACGCTCCGCTTCGGAGAGAGGTGGCTCTAACGATCGACGTGGATTAGCATCGCTGTTAGGCAACAGTCTGGGTCCGGGCGTACGAAGGGTATCTGTAGCAGGCATTATGGCTCAGATGAGTGGTAATAGGATTTGATCCTTGTTCACGATTTCTAGATTCAAATCGATTGGGCTGAGGAGGATGAAAGTTTGAGAGAAGATGATTCTAGAATCAAAGAGGGAGGGTGTGATATCATCGTTCCCCACCAACTATTCTGCCATCTCTGACCGCCTGTGCGGCGGACAATCGACAGAAAGATTTTTTTATCAAAACTACATAGTACACATCAAAAATTGCTAATGCACCCTATCTCAGCAGCTCATACAGATCAGTTGGTGATATTTTTTTATATGTAAATTCTATAAAATGAAAAGCACACAACAACAGGAATTGGCTGGTGGTCACCACCTAACCACCACCTAATCTGCCAGCATATGGCTTCTCCGCAGTCAATACAGTAAAACCCCACTATAACCGTATAACGAGATTTATATGGGAAGACCCTGAATTTCACGAGACTCGTTGTAGAGAGGCATCTCGTTATTTGAGTGGTGGTTTCAATTGGACACGCTGATTTTCTCACATAGCGGGGTTCTCGCTATAGCGTGATTCATTATAGAGGGGTTCTACGTGCCTGGGTGGCGCAGGGTGAGCTTGTTGGTAGCGCGACCAAGGGTGATTCAGGTGAGTGTATTATATTCAGGGTGTCGAGTTGCCAGCTGAGTGAGCTGACAGCGTTGGAAAACAGGCAGCAACTGTCTGTATATCCATAATCCTCCCTAATAGAAACGCTTATTGGCTCAAATCATTGACCTAAAACACTGAGCTACTTGGCATCTGCACATGGCCATCATGATTGGCGCAACCCGAACGTTATGGGTCATGTGATGCCAATGGCGTTGTATAAAGCAACAACAGTAGATGCAACGCTAGTTTCGCTGTCAGCACACCTGCAGCTACTCGATTGTATAGGCTGAGCTGGCCGCCAAGAGCTGCATTACCCCTCCATGCATCAACCCAGCTGAATTGGTTTTGGCAGGGCTGGCGGGGTATTTAAGCCACGTCACCCCGTTGCATCTCCCACTCAGACCAGCAATTCCTTTATCACCATTCTCTCTCCCATTACAGACTACTTTCAAAAAACAAGCAATCACCATGTCTTTCGAACAATCCTGCCTGGACATCCGCATTGAAGTCCGCGGTGACCACACCGTCCTTCTCGCTGGTGCTGGACTTGGTGATGATGCATATGAACCCGCAGAGCTGGTCCTCGACGACCATATCGGCAACTCGGACGGTAAGCTTCAGCGATTTCAATAAAATATCACTGCTAACCAAGTCTGTGGTTTATTAGGTTACTTCACCTGGGACGGTAACTCATTCACCCAGAGCGCTGAGAACATCGAGTTGAGTTTCCGTGATGATGGTGTTTGGTTGGAGGGGGATCTGCCCGAGTTCGATGGCGGAGAAAGAGGACGCCAGGGAATCAACCTATCCGAGCATATTGAGAACCAGAATGGGCAGCTGGTGTTTGTTGGATTCTAAATGTGATGCTGGCATGCATAAACAGTCATGCATTAACCCCAATGAAACATGTTAGAATGAATACTGGATAACCGACTAAAGAAATGACTTGATGTGAATACAGTCAGCATCGAGGCTTGAGCCTGGCAGATTCCATCACAATACATCTAGGACTAGGGTAAGATAGTATTCTAATTACCACTAGAGGGTTGCATTCTGCTCAAGTTTGTCGTCCATGTGTTTCGTATCCAAGTTGATGATGAGAAGAAGAACTCAAACAATTGGGATGGGTAGATAAAAGAATTGTTTTATGTGGGAATAGCTGCTCACCCTATCCTAACAAGACTAAAGAATTGATTGAGCTATCTGTGGCTTAAGTACGGCTGAGTGGATGGGAAGCCCTGTGATCCACACCCTGTGGTTGTATGTACTCGAACAAGCATCACGTAGGCCGCTCGAATATCACTTTAGGGTGCAATGCATATACTCCTGGCATACGACTTCCATGACCATCTAAAGTAGATGTGACATTGTACTTTGATCCTCTAGATCACTACATTGGAATCACATGGCTGAAGTAATGCCCGAGATATCCAATCCTACGAGTGAAATGATGCACTATGACAAGTAGAATGATCATGGGTGTTTCGTGGTTGTATATAGTAGCAGATCACCCCATCAGCCCGAATGCCCATCTGTATACATATCCTATCGCTTTCTGATTGAACCATCCATTCTAAGCGAGCATTCTAATACAGCCTAGTCTACTTCAAAAGCCTTTCAAGCCCCGCCAACCTGTCCAACAGAGAAGGATCACCCAGGGCAAATGGATCATCATCGTCTTCGGCTTCATCACATTCATGTCAAACTTGGATATAGCCTCGGCAATGATGCGGGCATGGCGAGCCGGAGAGTGTTTGGCAGGCGACTTCATTCCCAGCACCGCTATCTCCATGTCAGCCTTGGCAAGCTCATTCGTTCCGGATGCATACTCGATCAGAGAAGCGTTGTTCTTCATCTTGGTGAGATACTTCCGGGACATGTTGGACATGTAGTCCTTTTGCGTGGTGCTCTGTTCTTGGAAATTGCGCACTTGAATGACTGCCTGCTTGAGCTGAATTTCGGTGAATCGCAGTGCGGACTCGATTCCGGCCTGGCGAGTCGAGGCATGCGGTATCACTTAGGTGGACTATTTGTGTATCAATATCACCATCAAAAGAATGGGCAATAGCTCCTCCAAGTTCTTCATCAGTCGCTTCACAAGAGTACTGTGATACCAGATTAGCGTGTGAAACCTGGCATAAATGCTTGTTTGATGTGCACGTTAAATCCGACGACTCCCCGTGGCAGACGCGCGCTTGCTAATCTCCTGGCCAGAGAGGCGAGGACTTCGAAAGCAACGTAGAAGTCCTTGAGGTGGTCACGGTCGTAGTAGTCATGTAAGACTTGTTTCTGGCTTTCCTGAAGCTGGTCACATTTTTCGAGGAACGTTTTCACATGGTTGGTGAGCTTTTCGACATCGGCGATGGAATTAAGCTGTGGGACGGCGGCCAAGTGGAGGACATAGCCCCGGGTTGGGATAGTGGGAGACACGACAGCCTGGGTGGAGAGAAAGAAGGCTGGCGGATGGACGGGCGGGCGGACGGGATGGGCCGGAGCGATCAAGTTGCGTAACAGGAATTGAAGCTATTCAGAGAAAGTCGAGGATGGACAGTCCGACCGTGAGGAGACAGTGCGAATCATGGCGATGGGGTGTTGGAGAGCATCACAGAGACGTTTAGATGGTCCAACGGTCTGTATGCGCCATATCCAGCTGTGACCATGGATGGGGCGAAAGGTTCGCTAGTGGTGACGATCATCCCATCACCGCCAGCCATGCCGCCGGAAATGCGATGCCGGCTCCACCGAGCGACATATCAAGCTGAGCCGAAGACACAAACAGGCAACGATGTTCATCCATGCGGGGTCTTCAGCTGGCGTGATGAATTTGGCTGCGGATGGACTCGTAATATAGACGCGATTCGCGTTGGCATTGGTTGATACTTCGATTGCCGTCCACTTGCCGGTGGAGCTGAGCTGGGAGACACTTTTTCAGCTCGTTACGAGAGGGATGTGGGTATATTAGGAAGCTCCCACTCTTTCGCGTCTTGATTCCTCACAACTAGCACATTGTGTCTTGAGGCCCGAAATTATTTCATCCCCCGAAGAAAAATTCATCAACAGCCTGATATTCTCTTTCAATATGCCAGTCAGCAATGAAGTCACAGAACCGGTCCCAGAGAACAATACAGTCACAGAACCGGCGAAGGAAAACGGTGACAATGGAGAAACGGCACCAGAAAAGAAAGGAGATGGAGAAAAGGAAGAAGACGGAGAAAAGGAAGAAGATGGAGAAAAGAAAGAAGATGGAGAAAAGAAAGAAGATGGGATCAAAAACGATGGCAAGCTTCTACTCACCGTCATCAAGTACGACAAGAGAGAAGGAAAAGCAATGTCCGGGGGTAAACTGGCACCGTCGCCCTCGCAGCTGGCAACATCTTCACTGGCCGTCATCAGAGCCTTTCTTTTGAAACAGGGACATCTCTCAAAAGACGAGTAGGTTTTTGTTAATTCATGGGGTTACGCTCAGTCTAACAAGGTGTGTGCAGTGGGAACAAGCCTTTCTGCACCAAGGATGGGATTGAAGTGACCGATGAGATTACTTTCGATCATTACATAGATGAGAGCCCCAATGCATCGACGAACACTACCGAAGCTGGAAAGTCTTCAGACGAAACCGCCAATAAAAATGTGAAACCCGTACGGCATTTCTGTATTCTTCCAACGCAACTATGGGTCTAAACAAATGATAACAGGTGAAACACAACATCTACGTCCTGACCAAGAAAAGGAACGGTTTGGACTCGACCGCAGACGCGTTCATCAAAAAGGGCGTTGACCTTAGCAACGTGGGAAATCCATACTCTCCTCCCTGATTGAATGCCACTGACACTTCGCAGACAAGTGCAGTCGACTTTTTAGCGGCTTCGACTGGAAATCCTCTGACTTCCAGTTTCAAGAGCAGCAGCTGGGAAGCTGAAGCGAGTGAGGATGTTGTGTCAGTATTCTCTTTCAATTCTCTCTTTCGCTTGGTTGTGGACGAAGTAATGCTCATAATCTCTAGTCACCCTGCCGATATGACAGAAAAGGACTGGGGAATTGTCATGCGCAACAATAACCTCCTGTGCGGTCAGTACTTGCGAACTGGCCCCGTTGACAAAGTCGTCAAAGTCCAAGGCCAACCGGATATCAAACGACCAAGCTTGGGGGTTGTTGATGTAAAAAGATCGTATTATTCAGGTATGTTGTCGTTGAAATAGTTTGTCTTCTGCCGATCGCTAACTCGATCAAAGCATTTGCCCTGAAACCGAGAACGCTGCCGGAATACGACATCACATTCAAAATCACGGAAGAGGCAGCCGAGGAGATGCATAAACTCGGCATTCCACATCCAGGGGTATGCCCCCCCCTCTCTCTCTCCACCACTTATGCCAGGCTGAATGTTAATCTCGACTATAGCATGATTTCCGCATCCCCCGATTCCACATAAACGACGCCTCTCAGGTCCGCGTGTTTGAGACCAAGGGCTCCCTCGAAACAACAATGGCTGCAAGTAGCTTTTCATCAAAATCTGTCGATGCTGCTGTGTGAGTAAGCCTTCAGACCAGGATTCTGAAAGATATGCTGACCTTTTCCACAAGTGGAGGATCGGGCTTTGGTGTCAGTGTTGCTGTTAAGGGAGGTGCGAGCTGGGGCAATGACGACAAGAGTGCGAGTGCCAAGTTCAATGACACGAGTTATATGCACGTTGTCTACGAGGTAATGAAGCCTTCCCAGAGAGATGGGATGTTCAAGTACTAACCTGGTCAATCAGTTCCCACGCGTGGAGCTAATCCTGAACGAAGAAAATCTGGATTTAAGTGACGAATGCAAAAAGGATGTTGAAAACTTGCGAAACAGGCGTACCTTGCAGGAGTTGATTCATTTTGAAGAGAGATACGGTATGATCGCCACATTTTACTCACTATACATGGACTAACGGATGAGACAGGCACCTTCTTCGCCCGCAGTATTCACCTGGGAGGCAAGTTGATTTCCATCGAGGAATCCGACTCTGTTGCGGGCTCTTCTGTGGAGGAGAAAAAGAAGATGCTCAAGGCAGCAGCCAGTGCTTCGGTATCTGGCTATGGCTTCCAGGCCGAAGTCAACTATAGCCAGACAGAGAACTCGGGAACTAAGACAACGTCTACGGAGAAGAAAATGACTCACTCCATGTCTTGGTCGGCGGACGGAGGAGACACTACTCTCTGCAACAAGTACGTTTATCAAAGAGTCAGTGGAGATGGAATACTGACAGCTTTACCTCAGTCCACCAAAATGGTGTTCCACCGTGTCCAACTTCTATAACTGGAGAATCATGAAGGTATAGTACATCCTGGCCTAGAAACAGCCGTGTCTGACCATCATTACAGCAAGACGACGTCGTCAATCTCTACGAGTTCATGGGAAAATTACCAGGTTACGAGGACATTCCGAAGCTGATTTATAACATCATTTATATGAACCCAGAGCCTACAAGTCTGGTCCAGTTTTCACTTCATCTGGAGGCTGGGAGAGACAACGGTCCCAGGGTTCTTACCTTTGGCGATGACTTTGGTAAGTTTTGCTCTGGAGCCCTCATCAATGCGCTATTAACAAGAGGAAACAGAACAGGAGATAGCGCCTCTGGACATGGATCCTCTGAACCACAGTCCGAACCAGAATGCCCGGGAAAAAGATGCACAGGACAAGAAGGGCCCGAAGAAGGATATTCAGGACAACGTGCATTCCCTACGGCAGCATCGGAAAGAGCTCATCTCATAGATTATGTTCTCAAAAGCAACATCCGGCGTGTACCCCACCGTTTTTGGTACTCCTATCAGCAATGACCAATCCAATATTTTCATAGAGGGGGAGGATAGCGCTGGAGTTTCTCATCCTCGGGTAAGACACCACAGTACACTCTGGCATGGCAATCAGGATTAACCTCACCTCATAACAGTTCAAATACGGCGTCAAATACCCCATCCACTACTTGGTCAATGCAACAAACGGAGAAGAAGAAGAACTTCTGCTGCACACTCTTCAGATCGGCGGTGACGGGTCGTCCAACCCCTTCCTCTACGGCAAACACGATACGGCCTCGAACATCATGGTTGAATTCGAACCAGGGAACAAGAAAACAAAGAAGAAGTCGACACCGATTGCCCAGAATGACAGGGTCAAGCTGAGATTTTCCTACTTACCGACAGATACTGCTGTCCACTGCGTTTCAAATTTCCGGATGAAAGACGTCAGTGATAAGACGGTTCAAAGTCCGGACGTTAAAAGACTGGAGACTCAGTTGCCTGCAAGACCTCAGCCTCCCGTCAAACCAGAGTCCCCAGATTTACGTTTGACAACACTTGAGGCATACCGGGATGCTATCGCTAAGACGATGGAGAAATACGGACCTAGTATGCTCAATCGAGCAAGGTTGGCTCACTGGAATGAAGAAATTAAGAAGTATAAAGAATCAGAAGCATATACAAAGGGCCGAGCGGAGTACGGTGCTAAGCTGCGGTACTATAACCGCGCCAAACTGACATATGATGCAAGGGTGAAAGATTATGACCTGAGAGTGCAAGAGGAACTGAAAAAGGCCGGCCAGGAGTATGAAAGACTCAAGCAAGAATGGGACGATCATCAGAGGAGAATGAACGAACTCGTGGTTTTTGACGAATTCATCTTCCGGGTGGAGTATTGTGATGCTAAAAACGGAAAGAACCTCGGAACGGCGATCGCAGCGGCAGAGAAGGCATTGGCTGCAGAGAAGGCAGCGAAAGCCGCAGAAGCAGCTGAACAGGCTGCTGAACAGGCTGCAGGACAAGCTGCCGAGGAGGCAAAACAGAAGGCGAAAGCAGCAGCAGAAAAGGCCCATGATGACGAGGTTGAGAAACGGAAGAAATTGGTCTTCCCCAGTCTCATCTTTCAGTATGACCAATGGCTGGCACAGAAGAAGAAGCTCGAACGAACGGCATGCCTATTGGACGATGGAAAGGCAGCCAAACTGCGTGAGGATATAAAGAGCAAAGACAAGAACGTGACGCTGTGTGCAGAGTGGGACTTGGACGAAGATATACTGACAGCCACGTCTAAACTCTTGAGCAATCCTTTCTTCGTCCCAGCAATTGCTCAAGTCAAGGTACCCGACAGTAAATAGTTGGCTGTCATAGGAGATATGTCAGGTTATGTCATGGATGCAACGGGATTTCCATTTAATAAGTGATTGTTTATTTCTATGATTGCCTCTGTGTAGTCCAGGTATAGTGATAGACGTAGAGACACATTAAGACACCGCGTTAGGTGTGGGCTAGCCGCTCTGATAGATAGTATTATCAGAGGACCTAGCATAAATAGCTACAAATCAGTTTGTAGACAAGGTAAAACGTGTATTCAAATGTTATAACAAGGCTCGAGTGATGCCTAGGATGGATAATCCTCAATAGGCAAGGATTGACCATGAGGGGCGTTTATTTACTGACGCAGCCTCATCTCAATCCCATCTCTACTGGACCTCCCTACAGAAATACTAGAAGATATCATTCAACATGCAGTCACCTATTCTGCATGTGCACCTAAGACTCCCCAAGAATCGACAAACCGAACGAGCATCATCACGGGAAACTCCATTGCTTGGAGTTATGGCCCCAAGAATGTTAAATTCCAGAAAATCGAAGCAACGTGGATTTCCAGCGCAAATTCGCTGCGACTAGTGAATCGGGGCTTGAGGGATATAACCAACTCGGTTATCAGGCACATATCAAGCCGGTATGAGTTTGATGTGGTGCTACTCGACAATGGAGAGGTATGGCCTACCTGAACCTCATTGCCATATCCAATCAAGCCGCATGTGGATAATGTCACGATGACTGTTCGTGCTGTTGGAACACCTCATCCGTCCACTCGATGGGACATGTTTATGCACGGCGATGGGAGTCCACCGCAGTTGGTGTGGGCATTTTACTATCTCCTCGAACGGTTTGTCCGGTCTGGGCCTTTACTACCAGAGTATAATGATGCTATTCGTTATCGTAACATGTCAATCAAGAACGTCATCATCAACTGTGTCTCCCCGGAAGATCCTACAACCATGACTACCTTGTCCAAGTTTCGTGATTGGATAAGAGAGAACGAGGACGAATACCCATCTTATCCTCTGACACCACCTGAGATTCCCAGTATCATGCGTCCAGAGTGGTTGGCACATTTCCTGTATAGTGGCGTGCAGACTTTGCGGGGGCCGCGTCCGGATGGCTATCAGGAACTCTTCTACAAACATGTTGGGAATATTCATTTCTGTGTCGATGGAAAACTGCTCTGGGGGTGTCCTCTTGGCAGTGAAAGGAGGTGTGAGAGAGGGAATTGAGGAGAATATACCCAGTGAATGGAAAGGTCAAAACTAATATAGCACCAGGAATTTGGCAATGGTGGATAATCGTTCATAATGGTTCTTTACCTGCGACAGATCATTTGGGCGTTGGGTGTCTTCTCCAACCGGACCAATTTTATACAGTAGCACAGTATCATCCAAGCCTTCTATACTTCCCTACAAGACGACGATCCTAATGTAAAACATCTGCTTTGGTGTTGGTCTTTATCTGTGTTCCCCAGACACATGTCATGTGATAAGTGGATGACGCTAAGCCTAGAATGGCAATTCTGAGTCAATCGAGGGAGATCACGTGCCGAATCGAGGGGTTATCTTTTTTGCCCGGAGGAACTGTTCTTCCGCCGGCGGGGTTCTTTGATAACATCTCTGGATTTTGTCTTCGCACAGAAACGCGATCACCACGCTGCTGCCTTTTCATCACACAGATCCCGTCCGTCGCAGACCGTGCGAAGACATACATCATGGCGGACCAAGTCGCGGATAATCTGGCCAAGCTCCAGCTTGACCCGGAGACCGGTGAGATGGTCTCCAAGGGCGAGCTGAAGAAGAGAACGCAAAAGAGAGCCAAGTTGGCTTCCAGAGCAGCTGCCAAAGCAAACCAGCCGGCCAAGCCAGAGAAGAAGCCTGCTGCCGCTGCAGCTAAACCCGCCGAATCCACCCTCGACCCGGATGCCATGTTCAAGCAAGGCTTTCTCTCCGATGTTTACAATCTGCGACCCTCGAAACCTGTCCGAACACGATTCCCCCCCGAGCCTAATGGCTATCTCCATCTCGGTCACGCCAAGGCCATTGCGATCAACTTCGGGTTTGCGCGATACCACGGTGGAGAGACCATGCTTCGTTTCGATGACACAAACCCGGACGCCGAGGAGGACAAGTACTTTGAGGCTATTGAGGATATCGTTCGCTGGCTTGGTAGGACATAAGAGAATGGCTTGGGTTGGCGCATTCCGCTGATTTATGGACAGGATTTACCCCCCATCAGATTACCCATGCCAGTGACAACTTTGACCGCTTGTATGAGCTTGCCGAGAAGTTGATCCAGCTCGGAAAAGGCTACGTTTGCCACTGCAATGAGGCCGATCTCAAGTTGCAGCGTGGTGGTGAAGATGGAAAGTCGCCCCGATTCCACTGTGAACACGCCTCCCAGGACGTCGAGACCAACCTTGCCAAATTCCGTGATATGCGCGACGGAAAGTACGCGCCGCAGACAGCCTTTTTGCGTATGAGTCAGATGCTTCTGGAGAGCGGAAACCCCCAAATGTGGGATATTGTCGCCTACCGTATTCCCAAGAACCAGACTCCCCACATTCGCACGGGCACGAAGTGGCATATGTACCCGTCCTATGACTTTGCCCAGTAAGTGTTTCCTCACATTGGGTGTCCCAGCATGTTCCATGCTGCTTTTCATTTGCCCGGTCTTCCCATAAGACCCGCATTCTGGTCTCGTAGGGTCTTCTGAAATGCAGTTGCTAATTCTCGAACAGCTGTCTTTGCGATAGTTTTGAAGGTATCACACACAGTCTGTGTACTACCGAGTTTATCACTGCCAGAGAGAGCTATGAGTGGCTGAACAAGACACTCGGAGTTTACGAGCCAATGCAGCGCGAGTATGGTGAGTTTCTCTTATCTTCGGACTGGTCAAGCCTCTGTTGATGAAAATTATAGGCCGCCTTAACATCGCCGGAACTGTCATGAGCAAGAGAGCATTGAGAGAACTGGTTGAAAAGAAGTACGTTCGTGACTGGGATGACCCTCGCCTTTACACCTTGATTGCTATTCGCCGACGTGGTGTGCCGCCTGGCGCCCTTCTGTCTTTCATCAACGAGCTTGGCGTTACGACATCACAGACCGTCATTCAGATTGCTCGATTCGAACAGTCGGTTCGCCGTTATCTCGAGACATCGGTCCCTCGCCTCTGTCTCGTCCTGGACCCTATTCGCATTGTTATCCAGGACATCGGCAGCTTGGAAGGAGAAGAGCTTGAGCTGCCGTTCTCGCCAAAGAATCCCGAATTTGGCAGCTACAAGTTGAAGATGACATCGACCGTCTACATCGACCGAGCCGATTTCCGCGAAGTTCCTTCAAAGGAGTTCTTTCGCCTCTCGCCTGGTAACACCGTCGGTTTGCTCAATGTGCCTCACCCCATCAAGGCCGTTGGCTTTTCCAAGAACGAGACTACCGGTCGGATCACAGAGATTCAAGCCGTCTTCCAAAAAGAGGGCCCCAAGCCCAAGGCATTCATCCACTGGGTTCCTGAAGGCTCCCGTAAGGTCGAAGTCCGTGTTCACAACCAGCTTTTCAAATCCGAAAACCCATCGGCCGTCGAAGGCGGGTTCCTTTCCGACATCAACCCCGACAGTGAGAACATTTACCCCGACGCACTTGTCAACGCCGGATTTGAGGAAGTTCGCCGTCGTGCTCCTTGGCCGGCGGCTGAGGGCGAAAAGAACGCTTCTGGACCGGAAGCCGTCCGGTTCCAGGCCATGCGTGTTGCATACTTTGTAAGACTGTCTATTTCTCTTGAATGCGCTGAAAAGTTGATTGCTAATATTTCCTTGTTTAGGCTATGGACTCCGACAGTACTGAAGACAAGGTTGTGCTCAACCGCATCGTTCCTCTCAAGGAAGATTCTAAGAAGGAATCCGACAACTAAATATGACAATGTTGGGTCTTGTTCTCTTATTTATCCAGGGGTTTGGACGAGCAGTGGGCGTTGAAAAGGATGGCTGGCGGGGAAACAGCATGAACTTCATATTATACAAAGCAATGCATCTAGATATCCACATTTCGTGATTCAATCTTCTCCGTCTCTAGCAAAGCATGAACTAAACATGTATTTCGGTTTTTATTCAAATGGGCATAACTCCTATAATCTATATTACGAGGTTGCTCCTGTATAGTGATTGTCTCTTTGATCTCACAACTAGGAACTTTCTGCTTTGAAACTATCAGGTGATAGATTCTGTCTCCAATGAGAGATACAAGGCCTTCACGAGGAATTAATGCGATAGAAGAACATGATCCTTCCTTGTTATGTTGACTGGTACAATTATGGTATCTGCAGAATCGAACAGAATATAATACATAGATCTACATATCACCCATGGCGCCCACAAGGCTGTCCAAGTCGTTCTGCAACTTGGCATGCTTCTCTGCCATTTCCTTACACTTGGCCTCCCACTGATCGCACGACGTCTGGAGAGCCTGGACACGGCGCTCATCATGTCCGGCCTGGATATCATCTTGATCACGTCTAGTGAAGTCAGTAGATGTAAGAATATGACGCGATAGAGATCTTTCGAATAGAATCCAGGGACAGAATAGGACATACTGGGCTTTCAGCACACGAACGCTCTTGTCGGTCCTTTCGACCAGCTCCTCGAGCTCGTGATGGTGGTCTGTGAGAGAGGCAATCTGCGCGTCCTTTTCGAGATTGTTTTCTTCGAGTTCTTTGACTTTGGATGTGAGCTTTTCTGCCTCGGCTTTGGCCTTGTCGACGTCTGCCTGGAGGTGGCTCATTTTCTGTGGCGGGCGTAAGTTTAAGTGGACTTTTGCTGGGCTGCGACTTCTTACCTCGCGAATACGGTCCATAGTGAAGTTGTTTATTGTTGGAATTTGGTATTATAGATAATAGGTTGATGGATATTGAGTGATGATGGTTGAAGACAAATGATGACGATGATGACAGGTAGTCAATTCAACATTATTTCTGAAGTGGGGCAACCCCCTTTTTGGCCATTGGGGATGCTCTGTGCTTCTGAATTGTGGGTCATTGCATCTATAAATACATTTTTTCAATAAACTATTGCATATATTTATTGGTTTGTTTTACGGTGGGTGAGCAAACAATGTTGTAGGTGTGGTTGACTGTCAGAGTCTAGACCAGTCCCGGATATTTTCAGTGGCTATCAACATTCTCCGCCGTCCATGAGGTTCTGTAGTACCAGGAAAAGCCGACGGTTTTTACATATTACTCTCTTCGTTCACTCCCTTCTCACTCTTATCTCTTCGAATATTCTTCATACCCATTCCCCAAGCGACTATTAAAATCAAAGCAGATGAGCCAGTTGCCAAATAAAATATGGAATCTATGCTCTTCGCATACGCGATGAGAACTTGCACAAAGTTTGCCCTATCTTCATCCACAGCCTGCAGTATATCTGAGGCCGATGCACCGGCTGAAATAACAGCTCCCGCATCGGCATCGGGGGCGTATTTGGGGATAGTATTGGCGAGTCTGGTAGTGAGGATCGTCTCGTCGATAGCTAGGTAGATAGAACCGCCAAAGGTTTGACTGAAAGATATCATGGCCATTGCGGCAGGTATCATAGATGGTGGAATACTATTCTGGACGGCTATAATTGGTGCTTGTGTTCCGAGGCCGTTTGCAACGCCGAGTAGGATTTGATAACCTATCCATTTCCCTGTTGAGGTGGTTGGGGAAAGCGTCGAGAGGAGCCCGTTGGAGATTGACATTAGGATAGCGCTGGCGAGCATGAAGGGGAGGTAGTAGCCTAATCGACTGACTGGATAATTGTAAGAAGATGAACAGACCGAAACAAAGAAAAACTCACTGCCTATGCCAGTCAAAATAGCAGATATCAAGTGGCTGATGATATTCGGCAGTGTATACACACCGCTAAGCATCGGGGAGGCCTGTTTAACAGTCTGGAAATACATCGGAAGATAGTAAGTAGCCGTCTGGAGACATCCGAATAATAGCATCGTCACGACACACGATGACCAAACAGGGCGAAGCTTGAGGATGGAAAATGGTATCGTGGCATTATCACCCTGGCGCCATTCCCAGAGCACAAAGAAAATAGCCGTTGCCCCAGCACCACAGAATAGTCCGATCACCGCAGCGCTGTTCCATGCATACTGATGCCCACCATAGTCAAGAGCAAGGAATAGTTGGATGGCTGCTGGGGCAAAGAGGATGAAGCCAATGAGATCGAGTTTGGTTCGAATGATTTCCAGCACTGTAGAAGTACGTGGTTTGACAGTTTCAGGCACTTCCATAAACCATAGAAAGATGGCAACGATGCCACCAAGGGGGATATTGATATAGAAACCTTCTTATACGTTAGCTATAACGATTCAGATGGGGAGGTAGAACATACACCATCTCCATGTGGCATACGATGTAAAAGCACCACCAAGCAGTGGTCCACATATAATCCCCATCTTGGACACGCCCATCATGATTCCAAAGTACTTTGGTCGTTTGTGCAATGGAACAGACGCAGACCCTATCGTCATGCCGCCATTCATGATCCCAGAGCTTCCCATGCCAGCGACAGCTCTCCCGATGGTGAGCATTTTAGATGAAGTGGCCACACCGCAAAGAAGGGATCCAAGCTCGAAGATTGCCAGGTATGCTAGGAATGTGTACTGGTGCTCGTTAGATTGGAGCTGTTGGGTTTTTGTTGAAGTGTGAATTACCTTGGTATTGAAGTTGGAGTATAGCTTGCCAGCCAGAGGGAGGAGAGAGGCACTTCATTCGTTAGATATTGAAATATAGAATGCAACAATGCAAGACTTACCACGCTAATTGATATGCACTTCCATACCAGCCTACATCTCCAAGCGAATGGAACTGGCCGGTGATATATGGAGTAGCCTGTGGACAAGTTGGTCCCCAAGACAAGGAAAGACCTAGGAATGAGATAGATATACAGTTGCGACAATGGATATGTCCAGTGTAATTAGAAAGAAACATAATACTAGCGATGCCATCAGAGCATACAGCTTCATTCCTGAGATATACTGGCTTTCCATTGTGCCACTATGAATAGTCGCTGCGGTAGGCGCTGCGGTAGTCTTTGTGTCTTCCATCTATGTGGCTGTAAGACTTGGTTCATTCGCAAATAGGAGCAGACGGGAAATAATTGGGTATAAATACCAAGTCGGATTTGAGGAGTTGAAAATCGTTAAGCTCCCTATACAGAGTTGGGATGCGATGGCCCGAAATCCGTCGGAGTTGACGACTACCCCTATCACACGCCTGACGATGTGACTGAGCATGGAATAATAAATTACAGTCTAATTTAGCTATTTACATGACACGGTAGGTAGTCATACAAATTCAAACTTTGTAGCTACTCCGAATGCAGATCCGGCCACCAACCAAACAGGTCTGCGTCCCAAAAGTCCTGACCAAATGATGGGAAACCATCCATATTTTGAGATTGCATTTGTTGCTCCACACCTTGTGGCTGTATATCATCAAAAGACTCATTCGACACATGCTCTGGCAGAATGGAACAAGTTTGGGTCTCCACTTGGTTGTATACCAGCAGCGACCAAGATTTCAGCCCATTCAATAGTTTGACCGACTTGGAATACACATTTTCCTCGCCATGTTCCAATTCCACTAGATTCCCCAGATTACTGACGATGTGGTCCAGCACCGCGGGGAGATTTACAGTCCGTCGAACAAGGTTTACATCCCATGCGGGATCTTCCAAAACTGCCATTCTTATGAGGACAAGGACGATTGTGCGAAATTGCTTCCAGAGTGGAAAGTTGAAACCGATGTAGTCTGTTCCATCGAATTTGATGATCGTGTCTAACCAAGATTTCACTGCGGCAAGGCACATGAGCAGACTATCCATGGTTTGCGTGTCGGTGTCGGTAGAGAGAAGGACGTGTTGAACACGAAGTAGAGCGAGTTCATTTATGGTGATTTCGGTATGAAAGGCCATTGCCTGGACAACATCTGATGAAAAAGGTCAATCATGGAAAGGTAAATAAGAATATTCAGACGTACTGTTGGTCACCAGATGGGCTGGCATTTGGCTCTTGATGGAAGCCAATTGACTATTAAGCGACGAAACGTATGGCCCGATTAATCTCGTGCTTTGTTCACTTTCGACATCTCCGATCTGTACACGGACTGTCGTGGCCTTGCTGGCGATGAGCTGGAGCTTGACCAGATACACCAACACTTCATCACCGGGTGCTTCCTTGGTATGCTCCAACGCCTTTAAGCAATCGTCGAGGTATGCTGACCATGATAAACTTTCGACTCTCGAATGGAAAGTCGCAGCACTGCTAAATCGTTATTCCAATTCCCGAGGAGATGCAAGAAGACATACCTGGAGGTGATAAAGTAACAGGCCAAAGCCGTACGACGATGTTCATTGCTTCTTTCTTTTGGGACTCGAATCTTGCCATGGAAATTTGGTGGCATTGATCCAGGAAATAACTTATTCATGATACTCTCTCCAGGGTGACTGTGCAACTCTAAGTCGAGTGTGAGTGCAGTGCAGAGATGGGAAAAGACACTGAGCAGAGGCCCCATGGAGAATCGAAAGTGCCCCCTGGTAATTACTGTCAGTCATAGGTAGAGACAGTAGGATATCAATGAAACACACCATGCAATAAAACAAAGCAGGCCGAGCAGCAAGTCCATCGACCGTTCCCCTTCGATAATGATTTGTCGAGCAGCTATCTCTCGCACTGCCTGGGCTAGAGTATTATGTTTGGTCATGTTTGTAGAAGAGACAGCTATGATACACAGCCAGAGAAAGGGTCGCTCCTGACGCAGTTTTTTCGAGGTCATGTCTTGCTTAAAATGTACAATGGGCAGGAGACTCAGGTGTTTTATGCGAAATATCTGGAAATAACACTCTGCCGCCTCGGGAGTTGGTTCGACGTCTTGAGGGAGAGTGTATGGGAATGAAGGTGGTGTCGTAATAGCCGGTGTAAGTGGTTCAAGACTTTGCTGCTGATTATCAGGTTCATTGTTGGGCTGAGCATTATCCCCATTGCCGTTTCCCAATTGGCTAGATGGAGTATGAAGTAAAGACGAAGAAGTTCCTGCCTTCATCATCGAAACAAGCCCATCTACTTTCTGTTCAAGACGAGCAGTCTGAGAGTATCCAACCCGTCATCTTTTCCGCACACTAGGCGAGGGAGTGCAGTCTTTCTTGAGACGAGAGCATCTATATATATCAGCTAGTCCATGATCGAGAAATAGCACAAGAAATACCTCTCACAACTTCCTCCACTGTTACGCAGGATACATCTGCATTTGGCACGTGCGCAGTTAACGCAGGCGCGGCCATACGGGGCCGGTCTTGACGATTCTTCCATGTCACACAATCGAGATCAGGATTTCAAACGCTCTTCAAATCCGGTACATATGATTACAGAAGAAAGAAGGATTTCTCAATTCAAACGTTTTTATCTTTCTGATCGTTTGGCCAAATCCGTGTCGACCGGGTTTCGGTGAATCGGAATTCCGAATCCCGCCGGAATTGGAAAGTCAGGTGACTTCGCCCGATAGATCCGCTGAGGACTTTGGATTATTCATACTGGAGAGTATCGAACATAAAAATATTAATATTTTCCGAGGTATTTTCCATGAAGCTGTTACAGTAGAAAAGTGAAATGATTGACTTTTGGTGGATGTTGGTGATGTACATTGGGAATATCTCAATATATATCGTTCCAGCCACTTTGAGAGCAAACAAGGTATTGGGCATATTTGTAGTGGAGATGAAGGAAGGTTAGTGAAGTTTCGAAGACTAGTGTTATCATAGTAGTATATACTTTGATACTGCTACCATGATAAGGTAAGAACCCCTAGCCACTAGCTAGGGCTCATATAGGTACCGTGGATCCCAGGTCGATCACCCGAAGATGAACGAGTTTGCGAAAATAAAGTCTGGCTGTGGCAAACTTCAATCTTATAAATTTCCTATAATATATCCAGAATTATTAAAACTACGGTTATATACTAGGTAAATATCCCATCAACACATAAAGAATTCATCACAAATATACGTAGCAGAACGGCCCGGAAGTGGTATCCAGCAACTCTCGAATGGTACGCGGAGCACCCAGAGCAACCCCAGGATCAACAATATCGTCAATTTTAGTCAGAGGCGATGAAGTATTGGCTGGTTTGACGTTTCCACCCACCACGTAGGTGCGATGTGCCGGGTCGAGATTCTGCCAGGTCCAGAACATACGGTCGATGGCTGAATGGTGGAGGTAGAACATTGGGTCACCGGGCGAGACGAAGAAATCCTGTAAATTAGTTAGATAGGGTACTTGCAGAAACGGGGAAGGAGGGCGTACATCGGCAGGATCACCACCAATGGTATAATGGCCACCACCGTGAAGGCCAAGGTAAAAATCGGTCGAGTTGACAAGCCCTTGCATTTTGTTCTGGAAGTTGAGAATGGTGGTTTGGTTGACGAGCAGGTCCATCACGACTTCAGTTGTGGTCCATTGCGCGCAGTATGCCGAGATGTCACGGCGGAGGCATCGCGGGTTGTAGTTGAGGCCGGATCCGTTTTGAGCGACGAGACCGGGGAGTTTTTCGATTGGCTGAACTGGGCCTAGGTTGACCGTCCAGCTATTCAATATCAGCATTAACTTCATTTACTCTTGGTTGATGGTCTCACTTCTTGAAAGGGCCGGTTGACACACAACCACCGCCATTGCCAGTGGGAATATAGATTCCCGGGGCAAGCTCGCTGTCATTGTGACGGATGTAGTCTCCATTGCCAGACATGCTGTATGGAGAGCCGTCAAAAACCGGTGAGTTCTCCGGGTCATGTGCGTATTTATTCCAGGCCCAATACGGCTGGTATCCGGTGTATCCACACTCGTTGCGCAAGGTTTGCTCATAGATCCAGGTGAAATAGCGATGCCAGGTTAGAAAGTTGCCCTGCAAGTGTTAATATCATCAAATATAGATTATTACTGACCAGACATACTGTATCATGGATGTACATTGTCTGGTTGATATGGGTCGCGACGAAATCATCATAGCGGCTGCGTGCCCCGGGAGCAAAGGTATGGTTGATGCGGGAAGGCTTAGATGCCAAACACAGCACAGCATCTGTATACTCCTTCCGTTCGTGATGGGAAAGAGATCCCCTGATAGCGGTGAGTATGTTACATGATCAGGATAGACTCATCGAGATTGGCAACTCACCATTCTCTGCGGACAGCAGCTGTTTGTGGGGTACAGGTGCTCTTGACATTCGGATGCGAGAACTGGTGCTGTGTCTGTTTATAAAGTGCCTTTGCAGCCAAGGCATCCCACGGATCCACGACAGATGCTGCAATTGGGCTGGCCAGCGCTGCAATAATGGGTATTAAATCGAAGCGCATCTTGCCGCTGTTGTCAAAAAAGCAGGAAGCCGAGTGGGACACAAAGAAAAGAAAAAAGAGCGTACTCAGGGGTTTTATACTAGTTGTAAACGAAAGGGCATCCTGGGCACTTGGACTCGATGTCAATGCCTGCCCTTAGCGTCGAGGGAACCTGTCGATCCACCCTGACTAGACAGTTGAGGGCAGGGCCTGACCGACACATAGCTAATAGGAGCAAGGAATGTCGAGCCCAAACCGTCCAGTTCTTTAAAATCAAGGAAAATAATGCTGCAGCTGTGCCTGACAGACTAGGCCGGATTGGGATATCGGCCCTGGCGGCACAGCCACCAGCCAATCGCTTCGCTTTGTTGCCTGTCAGATCCCTGTCAATCAGTGCCCCTGGCAGGGGTATATTCCACTTTGAACTGTCATTTTTGGCCTTCCCCTCTTCCGTGCTCTTTTCTTTTTTCTCATACAGAAGAATACAAAAGATGGTAGAGAAGGTCGCATTCTGACTAGGCTGCATTCATGCCAAGCTGTCAACGCTGTCTTTGCTTTTTATTTACCTTTTTCTGCAAATCCAGGGTGGTCATTGACATATATACCTATGCAGATGGAGCCAAAGTTTATTTTTTAATACAACTTAAGCTTTTCCATACTATAGACAGATATATTGAATGCCATCCAACTGGCAAGAACAGTATCAGCCGAGTTCAACCACCGGCTCCTGCTTGATTATGATCAACACGCGAACAAGGTTTCTTACCGGTTTTCATCTCGATCACTCCACAAGCCAAGGGCAACGTTTGTTTTCTAGTGCACGTTAGCCCGTGATAACAAAGCGCAAAAGGAGCCAAATGCCTTCATTTTTCGGCCTTTGATTGTTCTGGCCTTGAGTCTTCTACGTGTCTTCGCCTCCGCTGTCTCGGCCTACTTCCGGTTCATCGCCAACTGTCATCCGGGCTAGTTTCTGATCGGCTTCCGCGGGGTTTACACCGGCCTTTAATCTTTACTACAAGTCTATGTGACAGCAGTCGAGTGCCGAAGATGTGGAGATTCAGAAGAGCCGAACCAAAAAAAATAGAGACCCCGTGTCCCGATCGAATGAAGCCACCGAAGATCTCCAGATCGCCCAGATTCTCTTAATTCAGCCTTGTGACGGATGAAAATTAATCTGAAACCAGCATAATAATGCCAGCAAACTAGTCATCCAAGCAAGCACTCTTTTGCTCGGACCTATCAAGCCTCACGGCGTGGAACGAACCCCGAGCATGTCTAAGATGCCCTGACTAGTTCCTTCAAGTGCTTACAGCATACTTAAGACTTCTTTTAGTCCTCTGTCGATCCACAAATGAAATTGGGCGCTGCGGGAAGATCTGGAAATGGATGTTGTTTTGTTGATGGAGTGGGGTTTCGATCTACTTTTTGTCATCCTTGGGCTTGATATTTTTTTGCTTTATATAAATTGATCAATTTTTATCTCATATGCCTATTGGGTTAATTTAAAACCATTGTTATCATCCCGACGTAGAGATCGACACCAGGGTCGAATAAAGGAAGAATACGGCATAGACATCTACACGGGCGACCGTCTAGACATCAGACAGCCGCGGCAATGAATATCATGACTTTGTAGATACATGTATTTATAAAAAGACATTACTAGGTACTATTAATCTAATCATCTAAAGCTAGCTCCGAAGCACAATGGTCTGATGATATTCTAAGCCAAAATCACTTGGCAGCAACAGCCTCCAACGCCTTGGATATGAAAAAGTCCCTCCCCTTAACCAGCCGAACCAACATACTGAACGGCGTAAATCCAAAAAGTTGCCCTGTTCCGCCCGACGCACCAACAGGAACAAGCATCATGATACAATTGCCCTGATCATAAGAGCGCCGTTTGCCAGACCCGAGAATGTCCGCTTTGAGGTTCGCTGCGACAACGGCCGCTTGTTCGGTTGCTTTGAAGGATAGTCGCATTGAGTTGTTGGTAATGTCGCCGGCGGCGTAGATGGGTAGGGATTGAGAAGTTTCACTCTGTACGCGGAGGCTGCTGTCGACGTTCACCCAGCCGCTTTCATCGAGGAGTTCTTTCGGGATGAAGGTGTTGTTTGGGAGTGCGCCGGTAGTGGGGATGTAGATGTCGGCTTCGAGCTGCCTCTCGTTGTCCAAGGTGACAGTCCAGGTGGAATCATCTGCTTGGGTAGCGGCTGTTACTTTGGAGGACTTCAAGATCTCCACATTCTTCTGCGTGAGAAGCCATTCGGCGGCATCGCTTCCACTGGGCTTGAGGATAGGCAACACCCGTGCGCTGGCTGAGACTAGAGTGATGGAGACTTCCTTCCCTCTTTCCTCGGCTGCTTCTGCGATCTCTCCTGCCAATTCGACACCGATAGGTCCAGCACCTCCGATGACGATTCTTTTAGCGCGGGAGATGGCGTTCTGAGCGTCCCCGATCAGAGCTGACATGTTGTCCGAACCGGACTGTTTGAATGGGAATGGTGTGCCATTCTGCGTTATCGTAGACGCAGTTGTGCTCCCCGAGGCGATAACAAGATAATCAAATGAGATGGTTTTGTCGTCATCTATCGTAACAGTTTTCCCCTCAACATTAATCGACGTCGCGCGCCCAAGGACAAACTCGAACGATTTTCCTGAGTAATGTTTAAACGCATCCTGAATCGAAATTAGATATTGCTCTTCTCGAAACGCCGCAGGCTTCGCCAGAATCCGTGGGGCAGCGACGGGAAAATAGAAAGTCGAACTCGGATTGATCAGGGTGACTTTGGCAGATGGGACATCCTTGATGAGCGAGTGTGCAATGGGGATGCCGGCAAAGGATGCACCGATAATGACTATATTTGTGGGTGCCATTTCTGCTGCGTCGTGGATGGTGCTGACGGTGTGCTGGGGGAAAAGTCGTTGATATATCCTCGCTAAGTGGGTGCCTAGCAATTGCGTGTGGCGATTTGATTGGCTCTATATTTAGGTTAAGAGGGCCTGGGAGGGTTGGACCGTCGGTTGTTTGTTGAACCTTGCCAGCTGGCCTGGCCAATGAGAGTTACGCCTGGGGTGGTTCCTCCGCGGGGAAATTCCAAATAGGGCAAATATCTGCAAATCCGAAGCAGGCCGGACAGACTATTACCCCGGCTTGATGTTGTAATCCTGACCAATGTAGATGACAGACACGTTAAGTTATTGATAATATGCAAATGGACTTACTAACCGCTGACGAACTGGCTGGTAAGCATAATGATGCAACCCTGAAACAGCTGATATAAATCACCCACTACATTCCGATAAAAGAGCGATATGTAGATTCAACCCTTTCTGTTTACTATACCTTCTACTCAAAATGGCGGTACGCACCCAGCTTTCTCTTCCAGTATACTTTTTATTGATACATGATAGGACTCAAACAAAACCATCACCCATCAAGTCACAGTCCTGGTCGTCGGAGGCGGTCCGGTAGGACTGATAACTGCATGGGGACTGGCGCGCAGAGGCGTACATTGTATGCTGGCTGAGCGCAACATGACTACAACAAAAGCACCGAAAATGGATATCACAAACTGCCGGTCGATGGAATTGTTGAGATCCATGGGTCTTGCTGATGATCTGCGCAAGCAAGGTAGGCCGTCATCTATGTTAGAAATGTGGGTTTTAACATGGCGAAGGTGTCAGCCAGGATATCTCCTTTGATGTCCTCTTTTCTTCAGGGCTTGGAGAGAAGGGAGAGAAGATTGCACGATGGGTATTCTACACTTCTTTTCCTCAACAAACCCAGTCCTAGCTAACATTGTTAGAATCTTCCATCTCCAAACATATGGCGTGAGATGATCAAGGGGAAAAACGATGGGACGATGCCACGCGAGCCATATCAACGATGCTCACAGGCTGTTTTCGAAGCATGGCTCAAACCCTTCATTGATGCCCATCCGTCTGTTGAGTCCCATTTTGGATTGAAATTCGAGTCTCTCGAAGAAGACGACGAGGGAGTGACCAGCCATTTGGTCGATGTTACCACCGGTCAGATACATGTCGTCAAAAGTACATATGTGGTTGGTTGCGACGGTGCTGGAAGTCGTGTGAGGAGAAGTATAGGAATTGATCTGACTGGAGGACCAGTGTAAGTTGAACCACAGAACGGCAAAAGCACATTGCTAAGTACTTGAAACAGTCCCAACAAAATGTATCTCGTCCATTTCAAATCACGAGATCTGACGAGATTACACCGTCAAGGTCAATTCTGGCATATATTCTTCGCCACCGGGGCTATTCTGATCAGTCAGAATGAGGTCGATGCCTGGACAGCTCATCTTCCCATGCCGCTGGAGGAGAATACTGAGAGCATCAACCCATATGAAATTGTCTCCCAAGTCCTAGGGGGTATCGAGGGTCAATTCAATATTAATATTGATGAGATCTTGCTGCATAACACATGGAGACCGACTCTTGCCGTTGCCAATTCTTATAGAACGGAAAAGGGAAGGGTTTTCCTTGCCGGTGATTCTGGTGAGTGCATTAGCTGACCGGATGACGATAATATCCAGTACTAACCGTCTAGCTCACCAAAATGTTCCTATTGGTGGATATGGAATGAATACAGGCCTTGGAGATGCATTCGACATTGCATGGAAGCTTTCTGCCGTTCTGAATGGGTACGGAGGGGAGGATTTGCTTGCCTCATATGAGATAGAGCGACGACCTGTGGGCCTTCGCAACGTCGAGCGCTCCCGTGTCCATGCATCTGTTCACGAAGGGTGGGCAAGGATAGCGGCTGAACGAGGTCAAGATGTCCTTCTGTCCGATACCGATGAAAGTCGGAAGGTAAAGCAGGACATTGCAAATTTCGTCAACACTAATGATGGCGAGAACAAAGATCACGGAATTGAAATGGGATATTCCTTTCCCGATTCACCGGTCGTTGTGACGGAGGTCAGGACGGCGCAAGAGAAAGAACCAGAATGGTCTCCTCGACACTATATGCCGTCTACGAAGCCAGGCAGCCGTGCACCCCATGTCTATCTCCAAGATGGGAAGACGAGTATTCTGGATCTGTATGGCATGGACTATACGGTGGTTGACTTTACCTTGGATGGTGAGATATCAAAGGTGTTTGAGGACACAGCCCAGAAACTCAGTGTCCCTATCCAGCGAGTCCATCTACCAGATGAACCACATGTTGCATCTATCTGGCAGAAGAGTGTTGTCCTTGTGCGGCCAGATGGCTTTGTCGCTTGGCGGAGTGATGATAGGCCTGGTCAAGTATCAGTCACCGCACAATTGGCCGAGGATATCATCTCGAGGACTGTTGGAAGACACAATGTCAGATGTCGACAATAACTAAATCAGCCTTATAGTAAAGGAAATAGCAGGCATGTATCCTTTACCACACGCTTTCACTATATTTCTTGGATGGCTTCCCTTGTAGCATAATAGGAAATAGAATGACACTTTCAGATAAATAGCTATCTATCCAGGATATTGTATACGACTAGCATATAGTGCTTCTAGGCTGGCTTCATGTTCGGTCGAATAATCTGCCCGATAAAATGAATTTCCCCGTAAGTTCGAGTTCCTCCGCGGCGGAACTTTTGTGGTGTGGAGAACCAGTGTCGATCAGATTGGATTTTGATATGACATTATCATTGCGATTCCTTTCATGACTTGTATTCTCCTATTTGAAGATGAACAGAAGTATATTCAAAAACTGACTTGACATTCACCACTATGTACTATGAGGTGAAAGTGTATCAATGATTCTATTTCTATTGGATAACTTCAATACATTCTAGATGGACCTGTCTTTCTACAGAGATGCCCTCCCAGTAGACGTCCCAACAAGGAAGCCCGAATCTATAGGGTCAGCACACTAATCGAAGATTTGTCTTGCAATAGATGACCTACCAACTAGCACATGTTCGCCGGTAGTTGAAGTGTTCTTTGACAGGCTCACAAAGGCCTCTGCGCAATCCTCGAGAAGTGTCTGGCCAATGTTAGTCTCTGAGGATGGAAAGGAGGGGAGATTTGATTCGTAATACCTCCTGCTTCAGGATAGAACCATTCTTCATCTTAGCAATTGCATCCGTCCCATACCGATTGCCCTACAATGTATAAGTAAATTATGAAGAGTATGCACTGCGCGTACATACCCAATCAGTCAACAGCAGCCCTGGCAAAATAGCATTCACCCGAATCTTGCTTCCCATGGAGCATGCGAGATGCTTCACTAGATGAAGTGCCGCAGCCTTGGTCACCGAGTATGGTATGCTGCTTCCTCCGGGGAAAACGGCCTAGAATGTGTTATTTCCGACGAGATTGTCACTGGGTAGACACAACTTACAGCGATGGAGAGTGTCATGAGATAGACTCCCCCATCGGGATTTTGCTTCATATATGGACTTGCGGTTTGCATAAGTTGGACATGAGACATGACGTTGGCCATCCAACACTGTAATTCTTGTTATCTATTGAAAACATCTCAGAATAGTGATCGCGGCTTACCTTTTGCCATTCATCATGGGACATGTCATAGATATCTCCGGGTTTAGCAAATCGTGTCCAGCCAGCATTTGCAATAACAATATCAAGACCAGATAGCTTTTCGATGGTGTCTTTAACTATCCGCTCGTTGTCGGCGGGAGTACAAACGTCCTGTCCCATGGTTATGCACAGTCCTGACACCTAGTGTATTATGCGTACCTACCCCATGGACGATACATGTCTTCACAGAGTATTCTTTCTCGATCGACGCAGCCAGTTGTTCAGCCTTGTTACGACTACTCATATAGTTGATGGCAATATTAGACCCCTCAGAAGCGAATCGTCGACAGAGAACTGCACCCAGGCCTCTGCAGTATGATTATAGTTTAGCTATTGTAACACCCGAGAGATGTAAAAACCCACTTCGAACTGCCTGTGATTAGGACATTTCTTCCTTTAAGATTGTACGGCATGGTGGATGTAAAGAGTAAACAGGTTGATCAAGCAGAAAACATGAACGAGATTTATACTTTATATAAGACCAGCTGGGATGTAATGATATCATGTCATGCCGGCATGCCTAATCGTCACACGCTCTCGTCACACCGCAACCTGAAGCGGTGTGTATCTCAAGTAACTCTATGCATCACATCAGAGATCGGACCAATCCGAGGATTCTTGCAGAGAAATGTGGAGCGGCTTGATCTACGGAATTTTACTTTCCGGATAGATTACTGTGTATTATTGGTGGGGATGAAGTGCAGAATCTGTAGATGGTTTCACAAATAAGTGGAGCTTTGGAACTGAAGACTCATATTCAGGAATTGATGAAGAAACCCATATGATCAGCCTCCGTACTTTGGATGTTGCAGACAGGAGCTGTATTATCTGTCCAGGTTATAATTATCGACATGCTCGCTGAGTGATAGCCAGAAGGAAGAGGGAGAAGATACACAGAACGGAGAGTTCTCGCCCGCCCTCTTGTCTACAAGTGAACAGTCTAATGAAATGTATCATATTGCAAATTCCCAAAAGGAGGCTGATATGGACGAACGCAACATACACTATTTACAGAAATTTATCAATAAAAGCGCTCTTATCTTGATTATACAACGTGTCATATGTTGCTATCTGGGGCATCACGTGAAAATGAACCCCTGATGGAAATCGTCGATCTATTTACCTTCAACTTCAATGATTTTTGTTTTCTTCAGTCTCTTCCTCATATATATCATTTGAGAGGACTCATCCGCTGTGTATTTCAGTAGCTTGACCTTTGCGAAATCGCGAAGAAAAGACCAACACGCGTCAACTACCTGCAACAATAAACTTGTGTACCAGACAAGATGAACAGCCTAACAAGGGAAGAGATAGACCAGAAAAAGCGAGCAAACAAGGGAAATAAGGAGAGGCGGAGAAGACAGAGAAAGCTACAACAGAAGGAGTCGAATCAACGGAATCAACAGCCACAGGCCATTCCACGGATACAACATAGCCAGCCACAACGTCAGAAGCATCAGAGCCAAGAGGCACAGAAATATCCAGAGCCCCAAAATTTCTACGAAAAACCAACCCAGATTCAGAATCATTTACACAGCTCACATTTACGGGTGCTGGGGGAGACACAAAACTAGCAACAGAAGCAGAAGTCATCTCAGCCACTTCCCAAATGGTACCATCGTGTCTGCACTCTCATTGTCGAAGAGAGACGAGAAGTAGAACCGGAAGATTTTCACGAGGATATCGACGATGACAGCGAGAACGAGTATTACTTTCCGTTTGAAGTCCCAGAGGATATCGGTGAGGCTGAATCCGAATCGGAATACATCTACGATGGATCTGATGCGGTTGTCTACTACGACTTGAAAGAACAGCGCGAAGACCGCAGAGAGGAAGTCGAAGGCAAGAGAAAAGAAAAGCAAAGAGACATCGACGAAGAAGCAGCGATGGAGAAAGATATCAAAAATGGATTTAAATCTCTCAATATAGCGAACCAGGGCAGGGTAACTGCTCTATCTCTCGCCGACGCGCACTTTGAAATACATTTAGAAGGCTGGATGCAATACTGCAATCGTGCCTGGGGCGACGTCTCTCGAACGAAATATATCGAGTTTTACCATTTGGAGAATGGTGACCAGTTAGAGTCCCCTGGTGAAACTTCCACAGATCCTGAACAGCTGATTTACGGCCACATCTATTTCGATGCCAGTAATGAGTGCAGTTCAGCTCCATTTGACCCTCCAGCACGCACGGGTTCCATCAACCACCTGCTGCAAAACCAGGATGGAAAGTACGAGCTTTATTGCCAGTTTCTCAGCCAGGGTCACTTGAGGCTACAAGTTAGTCGCGATCTGTTTTTCAAAGATGAGCCTCCGCCGAGTGACGCCCCGGAATTTCTTGAATTCATGGGTCTTCGGTGCGATATGGAGAGGGAGATGGCAAAAAGGGAGCAAGTGAGGGCGCAAATACCGCAGCCACCATCACGGAGAGAGTCTTGGTTTGAGAGGTCAATGTGGTGATTGGGCTATGGATCACAACAGGCTTCTTTGATACCTTTTAGTACTTTTGTAATATATGTATTATAATGTAAATAGTAAACGCGCTGCGAAGGTTCATAAATTGCGAAAGTCCAACTGCAGTGGTTATATCGAGTACGCGACGCGTCTACGCGTGGGGAATCACGTGACAACAAGACAGCACAGCCAACAAAAAAACGTGTCGATCATTGGAGCTAAATCATTTCTGTTTTCTTTTCACCAGAACAGTCGAATAACCAGTCATTGCGGGATTGCTTCTTTAGGGAACAGGAAGACCCTATTGCGATACATACAATCCAACAATCCCAGACACAAAACACCAACAAAGATGGATACAGCATACAGCAACGTGGATCACCCAAGGAAGAGGCAAAAGCGAACGTCACTTCCGCTCTGGTTCTATCGCGTCCTAGATAAGGCCGGCCGCGAACGTCGAAGCTGCAAGCCTGAAGATTTTGACCAGGATATCTCTGAATATGAAGAGAGTGGATACACGTCAGAGGAAAGCTTCGAGGGGGCCGATACCAACATATACCAGAGATACAAGGCAATGCGTGAAGGCCGGAAACGGCAACTGAAATCCATGCAGGAACAAGAGGAGGCAGAGTATGACGAAGAGCATGACGACGAAGAGCATGACGACGAAGAACAGGAAGGGGAAGAACAGGAAGAAGAGGGTGGGGAGGAAGAAGTAGATGAAGAGGAAGACGAAGAGGAATTGGGAGATGAAGACGAAGAGGTAGAGGAAGATGAAGAAAAAGAAGGGGAAGACGAAGAAGGGGACGAAGAGGAGGAAGAGGATGATGAGCAGCAAGAGCAAGATGATATCGACCAAGAGCAAGAGTTCCAAGCAGGCAACGAAAAAGAGGTCGACGATGCCGAGGAATCTCTCAAAAGAGCAATTATGAACGGCGAACGACTTCCTCGTCTCGCACTCGAAGACGCATATTTCAACCTTTATTGCGGAGACTATGTCAACTACTCCTGGGATCCACTGGATGGTTACCCAAGGCATATCGAATTCTACGGCGCCCTAAACAATGTCCGCTATTCACCACCTACGAAGCCACTGGAAGGCAAAATATCATTTGACGACAACGCTGAATGCAATTTCACGGCATTTATACAGCCAAAGAACGCAAGTTTGAACGGTTTCCAGTTGAAAGATGTCAATGGGAATCATAAATTCTTGATTCAGTTCTTCAGCAACGACTATTTGAGGATCAGAGTGAGTCGGGAGCTGGTCTTCCAGGGAAAGATTCCGCCTCCTCATACCCCAGAGTTCTTCGACTTTTCGGGCATTCGATTTGATGTGAAGAAGGCACGAGCAAAGAGGGCTCGGGAAGAACAGATGGTCAGGAAGAGACCACGGTCCGAGTCGTCGGAAGCATCGGAGAGGAGCGAGGAATCAGTACATGTCGTGGATGCATTTGTATAACGATCCTCATTGCTCGCTGGAAGAACCTGTTGTATTATAACGCTACCTAAATTTTGAGATATCTAATCCATGTACAATAACTCGAAAGCATAGCGTTGCTTGGTTGGAGAAGACATACAACTGACACACAATATATATATCACTATTTCCATCAGATCGTGAATGCCAGGTGCTAGTTGATAAAGGCAAGATAACCCCACTCGATGATATCTAGTACATCAACTCAGAAGGCCCCTGCGAAGACCTCGACAAAAGACAGTTCTCCCTCATATATGATCTCCAAAGTTCCATCAATCCCAACCCTCGGTATGGAATCGTATATGAATCTGTATTCTCATTATACCGCCGACGAATTGTCCTAATACATGATGCACAAAGACATTTATAATGACTTGAAATATAGTTCGCCACTGAAGAACCATGGAATCGACAATGTCATGGCAAATGCATACACAACGTTTGATTGGATATTCCGACCATAGACCCACATTGATCTTGTTTTGACGCTAAGATAACAGGTTACAGCCAACCTTTATCGCAGGCTGTTCTCCACATTTATTTGTCGATTAACTGGTTTCGGTAGCTGTGGCATGCAATACATCATAGACACATAAGAGTTGAATCACCACCTGACATCATACAGTACCGTTCCATTCTTTATAAAAGACCTTATTTCGACGACTGAACAATGACTTTTGAACACTAAGTACAACAGATATACGATTATCGACAATGACATCCCAAACAACCTTCAAACTCAACACTGGTGCCCATATCCCAGCCATTGGCTTGGGAACATGGCAAGATCCGGAAGCCCAGGAAAATGCAGTTCTCACCGCCCTCAAAGAAGGATATCGCCATATTGACACAGCCAGATGGTTTGTATTCGATACTTTACACTTTACAGCAGGCTAATTCGAATAGCTACGGCACCGAGAAACAAGTAGGAAATGCGATTCGAAAGAGTGGAATTCCAAGGGAAGAGATTTTCGTCACCAGCAAACTTTGGAACAACAAACACCATCCGAACGATGTTGCCCAAGCATTGCAGCTTAGTCTCGATGACCTCGGCTTGGAGTATCTCGACCTCTTCCTGATGCATTGGCCATCTGCGTTCAAGCCTGGGGATGACCCATTCCCACAATATAAAGACGGAAAGATCATTCCTGCCGATATCGACTATGTTGCTGTACGTCTTTCTAATATAAGACACTACGTACACCGCTAACGATCGCAGACCTACAAAGCAATGGAACCCCTGGTAAAATCAGGCAAGGCAAAGGCAATCGGAATTTCCAACTTCGCCCGCAAAGAGGTGGAGCGTCTTCTGGAAAACTGCTCTATTGTTCCCGCTGTACATCAATACGAGAACCACCCTTGGCTTCAGCAGGAGTCATTCGCCGATTTCCATCGCCAAAAGGGGATTATTGTCACCCAGTACTCGCCATTGGGCAATGAGAACGAAATTTACGGTACCAAGGACAAGTACGGTAGACTGGTTGAAGATACTGTTCTGGTTGAGATTGGAAAGAAGTACGGCAAGACTTCTGCGCAGGTTGCTCTCGGTAGGTCGTCTTATATCATTATAGTTGATAAGAATCTAACAGAAACAGCTTGGGGCATCGCACATGGCCGCGCCGTCATCCCCAAATCCAAGACACCACAACGAATCGCTGAGAACCTTCAGAGTGATTTCAAGCTTGAAGCTGCGGACCTGAATAAGATCAACTCGATTGACAAGAAACGTCGCTTCAACGACTCGAGCGCAGACTTTGGATACGAGTTGTTCACGGATCTGGATGGAAAACAGAAATAGTGGCGGTCGTTACTAAACAGGGTGTGGGTGTATCATCAGAATAACAATAATAAAAGTGGTACATAATTATCCTGTGCCTGGCCTAGCATCCCATAGACATTATATAGTAGTCCCATGGATCCCAGGTGCTAGTGTACTGATCCATAATCATGGGAAGGTATCTACTCGACCATCCTTCACTCCTATTATGAGTGAGCCGGGCCTTTCGGGTCTCCCAGTATTCAGGTAACCAACCTGACTGTTCCCAGTCAATAACGGCAAGGACACGATAGGGATAAGAGGATGTAAGAATGATGTTACTCGGGTGCAGATCGCCATGGGTAAATTTAATGCTGCTGTCATCTGGCAGTCCATATCGAAATGGCTCAATTGGCACTGAGTGTGGATCGGACATTCGTCTTCGATGGAGAAATGTCCACCAGTCATGGAATGCACGCACTGTGGGGAATGGTCCTGCTTCTGACATGTATTCGATGTGGAATACTCTGTCATAAAGAGGGCCTCGTACAACATTGCCTGTAGATGATCTCTTTATTAATGGGATGGGCAATATGGAGGTGATAAAGTGCCTACCTATAAAAGGGTCTGACGGATCCTGTTCAAGTTGACGGAGATTGTCCAAGGCTGCCCGGAGTTCATGGGATACTGAAATGCGGTCCTCAGGTTCCATGGTATCCCATACCTGCTCCAAAGTCTGGCCTTTGATATGTTCCATGTAAATAAACGTCTCCTCTCCTTCAGTACGCCACCCATATACCTCAGGAACCGGAATGCCACCCTTGAGAGATCGCGCAATAGCATAAAGGGACTGAGCCTCTGATATATTCATCTCACTCCCCCACTTGACAAGCAGCCCGAGATCTTCAAACACCACTGGCGACGGTCGCGCATTACGGCCTTTCTCATAAACTCTCCTTCTGTTGTCCAGATTGGCACCTGCAAGATGTTTGGCTTTTGCTTGTTCATAAACCTCTTCTGGGGAAGGTAGATTATCCCATTTACTGAAAAATGAAGAATCCTTGACGTCAAAATTCGGCTCTGATGGCGGCATTGAAGGCGTTAGCCGGGTGCTGCGTTGTTTGCCGCTCATGCTGGGGGTTGGATTGTTTAATTGGTCGCAGTCAAGATCAGGGAGATTTAGAATATATATGGTGAAGTCCTGGTGATATATGGCCCTTTCATGGATTGCTGCTGCCTGCACAGAGCGGGGTACTTGCTTACGTGGGAAATCCGCTCACTTGAAGTCTGATATCCCCATCCTAATATGTAAATTCGCATGCATTTCTGTTCTACTACTCGGTTCGTCAATACTTGTATTATATGAAGCAGCAATTAAGTATACCGTATTATGCACTGGTAAAAGTAAATACATCACCCATCCACAGCTTGCACTTGCACATTATTTCCTCCTTTTTCAGTCATAGTATCCTTTGGAGATACCCACGTCACCTGTGGTCCATCCATAAACCTTTCCTCCACTTCAATTCCCCATCTGGTCTTTCCATCACCACCAATAAACCACCCGAGTCTTGTGTGAATATTCTCATAGTCACTGGCAGAGAATTTCCCAGATCGTACCGCCTCCATAACACGCATTAAATTATCACTTCCCGCAACGAGAACTAGAACGTCTGCCAGACACCCGACGTTGCGAAGCATATTTCCTAGATACTGTCGCTGTAGTATAGCCACAATGACGGTTGTGATCATCATCCAGCCTAGGATAGCGATGCTCAACCACACAGCGGCTGGGTTCATGTGAAGTAACTCGACACGTTGAGAAACGACTGCGGAAACGGTCCTCTTCGTGTGTAAGATAGGATGTAAGTCGTCTTGATAGGCGGTAGCTTTGCCACCCATGATATCATCAACAGCCGGGGCGAGATCAGACGGGAGACTCGCATTGATGGGTTGGTAGGCCCAGCCGCCTATTTTGGGGGAGATGTCATTGCTGACAAAATGCTGGAAGAAGGTGGTGAAGGTTTTTTTGGACAGTTCGTCTAATGTTTGGGAGTTGAGGAGGGCGTCTGGAGACTTGTTGGCCATGCTGAACATGGAGTATGTCATGTAGTCCATATTCAGGCCTGTGGAGTTGTCACGGAAATTATAGGTGTTTTCTAATAGATTCTCGACTCCCCACCCGGACATCCGGCTTGTGCCTGTGACGTTGGATGTTTCGGCTGTGATCAAAATGACACTCATAAAGAGGTTGCCATAGCTATTCATCTCGTTAGTATTAGCAGGAAACGTAGATGGCGATAGCTTACCTCAATGTAATATTATACTCATAGTTGCGTGCTGAGTTCAAATGGCTGTCATTATGAATGACAAAATTGTCTGAAAACGCGCTAGATGCAATTTCTGGTGTGCTGGTGATATCAAAATGGCGGATCTCCCCAGTATTCGGGTTGACTGTGACTGTAGCGTTGGCTGTTTCCACGATAGGTTGGCAATTAAGCGCGGATATCGAAGGAATATCACCAAAGATCAAATGATGATCGTTACCGGATTTAGTAAGTTCGCTCTGAAGATTCGGAGTGGCATTTCCAGTAATCCACTTGGTGGTGAAGTTATGCTGCCAGTCCTGCGGCGTCCAGTTACTCTCATTGGGATTCGAATTAGCCGACCAGTAGCCAAATGCTACATTGCCTGTTTCGGCGAGACTGCTTCCATTGCCACAGCACAGCACCTGCTTTGGGGAGCTCAGCATGGTCGTGCATCCAGGACAGTTGTCAAGGTCGGATTCGGCTTGTTCTGGGAGGATCAGGCTTGGGTTGTCGTTATCCGCCCATCGCGTGCCAAGTTCATAGCCAGTTGTCATGTTTGTTTCGTTTCTCCAGAATGCCTTGTTTGTCAGATCCCATGTCGTCAGCCAGGAAGACAGATTCTGCAATCCATCAAGGGGGCTGCATTCAATCCGGCCTCTGATGGCAGGTGTGCTAAAGGTAAAGTTGATACCAACCTCCTTCGCAGTGCTAGCTCCCTGCTCCCAGCTACCAGACACTGGAAGCGATGATTCGTTGCTTGCAGTCGCCAGGTCAAGAGGAACAAAGCTCCAACCATCCTTGCTCCAGGGAGGTTCAGACGAATTCAATACCAGCTGGAGAGGAGCCGTGAACATGTAGTTTGCAGAAAGGTTTCTCCCAACCTCCCGCATGACTTGGAGTGAATATTCTCCAATGTTCCTGAAATCGCTTGACTGTGTCGCTGTAAACATGTAGGGGATTTGGCGAATCTCAATGTCGCGGGGAAGAGTGATGGATTGTGTGATGTCACCAGCGTTGCGTTGGAAGAGACCAGACATGGCAGTGGTGACTATCTCGATTAGAAGATGTACAGATTATGATATAGAATACTTACAGATAGGAGAAAGGGCTGTCCCTGATGTGACAAGAAACAATAGCCAGTGTGTATTCATAGCGGCCTTTGCAGGTCCCCATATCCAGTAAGATGACTGATAAGAAAGGCCCACACCCTCGGATAACGAAGGTCGTCCCTTGGCCATAGCAATAAATGGTTGTAGTCGACGGAATGAGTCGTCAAGTGCACTCCACCAAAGGCCAATGCCGACTGCAATGATGGTCGGGATCATAGAGAATGGGGCCACGGTAGGCAGTGACTTGTGGAAGATTGTGACGCTGGCTTGATAGACAAATGCTTTATGGTATAGATTTGAATCCCGGGCGTAATGATAGAGCACGGCAATTCCAACAACGACCGCAATGAGACAGATGATCAATGTGAGCAGAAGTGGTAGCCGGAGTATGAGGGGAGTATTGTTTATTTTCTGTTTTGGATTAGTCGTTAGATTTCTCGAGACTGTTTCGGTATTCTCAGGATTCAGTCTGTTCGCATTTCTTTCAAAGAGTCTGTCTGGCTCGGTATAGTAATGCCGTTGTTTCAGTGCTGTCTCGAGTTCCTTGTTGGACGACTGATCTAGGCCGTCAAATGATGCTCTGACATCTCTGTCATGTGCAACGAGTGACCCCATAGTCAGAACAGTAGCCGGGTCGTGGCTCAATTTCAGCGGCCTTCGTTGGAGTCGTGATGACCACCAAACAACAAGAACAAGACAGAAGGAGATAAAGAATAGGATGCCCAATGCAATAGCAGGACCAGCCACTACCACAACTCGTCGTTCCACACTATAAATCCTACCCTTTGTAGGCGTGCGTTGGCCATCCTGATTGGCAAGGGCTGATTGCAGTATCTCTCCAAGCAGTCTTTGTTTGACCTTTGCTGCGTTGGAAACAACGTCTGGATCGGATACGAGTGCTGTGCTGTTGTAATCATACATAGCTCCTAGGAGAAGCGACAGTCCATCAAAGACTGGGCGATTTTCCTCCCATAGCAATGACGCCATATAGCTTGACCAGTCTGTGGTAAGTGCAAGATCCTGGAGGTGCGTCGTGTTGAATAGCGCATCTGGAATGGGAACTCGGTTTCGAATGTATTCATCTTGGTCAAATGACACCTGCGGCGTACTGTCGGTCAGTTTCACCGAAGCCGTGACATTAGCCATGGAGTAGGAATTCTTGCAAAGCTGTGCGTCCTTATAAGCAGTCGAGTTCCACGCATCAGTCAGAATAATGATTTCATGACCCTCGCACTGGGGTGTATGATATGAGCTGTCGAGAGAGCCCAAAAATGCATTATCCGATGCACCACGCCAGCTGGATCCCCCTGATCTAACAAAATGTGTCGTATTCGCCATCTGTAAGCCGTATGAACAGCCATTCGACGAGTTCCAAGCTACTGCAGTCGCAGGATCAGCGGATTCACCCATTCCAAATGTAGAGCTTTGAGTGCCCATTCCTTCGAATGTCATCGCGTTGCAAATCAACTCGCTTTTGAAAACGGTGGTGTCGACTTTCCATGTTTGTGTGAGGTCTGATGGCAGGACATTCAGTGGCTCACTTGTCGAGTCGGAGGGCCAGAATGGCAGCATGGTATATTCATCCGTGATCCATGGGGATGTCGATACATTTTTGAGAAGGTGGGCGAACGTTCGGAAGGTAGTGGTGCGATCTGCTTCAACGGCCATTTGAGAGTTGGCCAGTGGTTCCAGACGAGTGAATTCCACTGATCGACGGACCTCGACATCTTCAGAGGTGAGGAATGCAGACGACAGAGGGGATATGGCGAGGAAGCCAAATATATTAATAAGTGTTGCGCAGATCAACGCCCAGCTTCGACGCTTACTTCCGTTCTTCTTCTTGGAGAAGCCATCGTGAAGCGTATTCCACCAGGCTCCAGATGTCTGCAGAACACTTGCCGATGCGGTGGCTCCATCTGGCTGTGCCATTCGTGCATAGGGCTCAGTCCGCTTGATATCCTGGAATAGCATTGCACTCAGCTGAATGTAAATAACTGCGATCAAAGTCGGGCTGAATCGCCAGCCGAAAAGGAGTCCGGTAGAGCCATCATCATTGCCTAGACCGTAGTTTGTTTGTGATCGCCAGAAGAGTAATAATGTTGTCAGGCAGAGTCCTAGAGGGAGGATGCTGAATGGGACGATGAAGAAATTTCGAAATGTATACGGCCGCCATGTCGGTGGTTTGTCTTCTGTCTTTGGCGGTGATCCTTCGATATCCAGGTTCTCAGTCTGTGTCGCATCGTCCTGTTCATATCGTCTATCATCGTGTTCAGAGGGTGCAGAGACGGGTGAGTCAACACTATGAATCCTCTCTGTATGCTCATCATCGGCATCATCAACTTCGTCATATTCCCCATGTTGGCTCCTCGCAGTAATCGTCGAAACATCGCCATCATCAAATCTCTCGCTCCCTCTGACAGTCCTGATCGTCCTGATTGGCGAAATTGACCGTCGTGCATCCACTTCATTAATCTCGGACAAAATATCACTCGAAAGCGTTTCCTCGAGCGAATCCGATTCCACCTCCTGGAAGCGATTCGGCACTTGTGGCGTAGAAGTCACCATTTCGCCCCGTTGATCATTTTTTTCACCATCCAGACTGCATGTGGTGGGTTTCTCAGCTTATTTTATTTCCCTGCATTCAACGTGGGCAATGCAGCGTTAAGTACCAACTGTTCATATTGCTAACCGCCATTCACGGTCTGCGATGGCCAGCCTTGCAGCATTGATTGGGCTCGAAACAGCCAAAACAGCAACGATCGTCGCACAGCCTTGTCACCCAGCCAATCAGAGTCTGTGTTATACGAGGCTATCTTGAACAAAGGATGAATCATGTGCGCCCATCGAAGATCGCCTCATTTTTGGCCCTTTTCGGTACAGAAAATTTAAAGTTCCAGATCACCACCTTTCAAATTGATGGATTTTGCTGTGTGGCCGTAGGAGTCATCATAGATGAAAGTGATTATCTGTAGGTAATAATATCATGCAGTATAGTACAGGGATTTCCTGGTCTTAGTAAATTCGTTGAAGAGTCCATACCCCTGTAAAATTGATATAGAATGGATATGAAAACAAAGTCAATAACAAGCTCAAGTGATTTCATTTAGATACTTTCTCTCCCAAAATATATCAACTTCATGGATATAGTAATACTCGGGATTATTCTGAAGCATGCGCTGTCATGCCTATATTTAGTACCGTCGAAGGTTTCATAATAATGCTAAGCATTATTGGCATGGTATGTCGGAATGACGGGCTGGGATGATCATTAGCCAGATACATCCCACGAGCCTTGTGGTTGCTGGCCTTGATCAAAGGATTGTTTATAGCCTCATTAAAACAGTTAATATCTAGATGGGTCTTTTTCCTACTAATATGTTGATGGATGCGAACATTATAATATGTATTTTTAACTAATAATCAAGAAGCAACACTATCGCACCTCAGTACGTCGAAAGCAATTAGAAGAGGAATAAAATGATCAAATGCAGAAATACATTGTCGAATCTTATTTTAATATTGCCCAAACAAGACAAGTACAAGTACAACCTAACTGCATAAAAAGAAGACAAAAGAATGGAAATCTTGAGAAAACGGCGTGGCCGCACGTGTTGATCCACTCTTGACAGGCGCTAGTCCCAGATCGTGCTATATATGCCCTTACTAATCCTATTATGGACTAGTGGATTTACACAGTGGCCTTGATTGTATAGAAAAGTCTATATATATCATCGAGATGGAACAGACTGCTTACCGGATCACGAACTGGTTCTCTGTGTACGATGGAACGATTGGTCCAATGTGCAGCAGTCAGTGGCAGTGCTGTCAAGACTCCTGATTGGCTTATCGGGATGGAAAAAGCGGGCTCATTTATGCCTTTGTAGCTGGGCATGAACAACCATTGCTTGCATTAACAGGTGCTGTCATCTTCAAGTCTTATTTTCATGTCAAAATTTGATCATCAAATGAATGCTCTGAAATAAAATTGACCACTTATAATAACGTTGTGGAACCGTTAGCTTCGTTCATGCCCTGATAAGGCTCTGACTTGCGCCTGGTTAATGGCCTCGGCGGCACTTCTGAGCATCTGATTTGTTGATATAAAGACAACTGCCAGCACAGCAAAGCAGGGGTGGTTGAACGCTTTTGTTATCCAACTGGATATTTTCTGCTATTGCCTTGGATTGTCTTGAATGCAGATGGAGAATTACCTACACTCCATTCGGAAATAATTCATTGCACATTCAAGGACTATCTACTCGGTCTTGTGAATATTCCACCCGATGTCCAGGATGTTCGACAGGATTTGAAGTTGGCCCTGAATGAGACAGTGGATACCTGGCACAGATACCAAGCTTTTATATTGGACCAGTAAGCAACTTTCTGGTACCGAATTAAAAGAGGCCAGAGTTGTTCCGTGGTACTGCTGCGAATATTAGATCAAGCATGCAAATGAAGATGATGAAGACAAGCATCTACCGAATACGATTCTCGACCTTGTGCAAAATACTCTTAAGTATGTCAATCAGTCAGCACACGTGAATTATACTGGATAAAGGCGCAGATGTCAACATGAACGGTGGAGAACACACATATTCTCTTCATGCAGCCTGCGCTAAAAGTAATATCGAGCTTGTCCAGCTGGTACTGGAATACGGGGCAGATTCTGACATTAAGGGCCACGGAATTGGCAATACTCTTTATGCTGCCTACAGCAAGGGTCAATCGAAACGGCTCCATCTGTTGCTACAATATGGGGCGAATCCTAACGTGCATGAAGAGTTCCTTGGCAGTACATTTCACTCTGCCTGTCAATGAGAGGATAATAGAATTGGGTACGTGGCTATACCTTAGAGCAGTGGAAATTATGAAAAATCGTAATTGTCCGACTTTCGGCAGGGAACTCGTTATCGCCGACCATACAAAACCCACCACTCTGGCCTAATCCTATTGTTTATAAGCAAGGCTGTCGCTCCAAAACAACGCGCTATGCCAGAAATGGCCTCGATGAATCCCAGTCAGCCTTCTCTCTTAAAAGGCTCAAGCTCAGCCTTGCATTTCTTGTCTTCACCCCCTTTTTTTCACTTCATGTTTTCAACATTTTCTATCACAATCCACCATGGAGGCTGCAACCTCATCCAGTTTCCTCCCACTAACAACAACGTTCAAACCGCCAAGCTCATGCATCAGTGATCTCTGGGCCGTGCACAGCTCTAGTAGCGGTAGCTCAGGCACCTACACTTGGATGAATCTTGGCCCGTCCGACACTGCAGCATGTCTTCCATCCGGCTGGGCTACGTCGAGTTATTACTCGCCGGGCCTATGCCCGAGCGGATACGAAATCGCTACAGCTGTAACTGTAGACATTGACGTTACCGTAAGGGAAACCCGAGCAACATGTTGTCCGGTGTGAGTCATCCATTCCCGGTGATAAGCATCGTACTGACAAGAAAAGGCAAGGTGAAAACTCTTTCTCCATCCGTCCTACAACCACAAATACACTCCCCTGGTATGACTATGAAGTGTGCCAGTTCCAACCCCCCGAACATTATACAACCATATACACTTTTACATTCTCAACGGACGGGACAACGGCAACATCATCGGGCACAATGAACAGTGCTGGTCTGATCAATGCCTACGGTGTCGAGATTTGTTGGCAATCGACGGATTTTTCGACGCCCGCTGCAACTGCTACGCTTTCTACGAGCGCAGCAGTAACTTCGACATCACAAACAACTGCAGATGATCCATCGAGCTCTGGGCTCTCGTCTGGTGCCAAAGCTGGCGTTGGTGTTGGTGTTGCTATCGGTGGCATCTTGATTATTGCCGTTGCCTGTACGTTCTTCTTTGCCCGGCGACGAAAGAAGCAGGATGTAGGTGGATTTCAGGGCGATGGAATGGCTATGGGAGGGGTGCAGAGTACTGTGCCTAGTGAGTTAGCTGCACTGACGGCCAAAGCGGAGCTATCGGCTACTTCTGCTAGATCAGTTATTGCTGAGATGGATGGGAGGTGATGTTGAGATTGATGAATATCCTAATCTCAATCGCGCTATATACTGCTGACAAGATAGAACGGTGGACTTTGGCATGGCTATGTATGAAATTAATCTGAATAGACGTTAATTATATACCTAAACAATTCCTATGTACAGTTTGAGCAAAGGCTCGTAAAAGACAAGATAGAATGTAGCAAGTATGTGCAGACTGAATTACAATAGACATCACAAAGTATACCCAAATCATGCCACATTTTCCAACCAAAATTTAGGCCAAAACTGCCCTTGTCCCACAAGCAGCCCTATGAGAAATAGTTAGCCAACCAGATGACCTTCGTCCAAAGCAGATGGGACATACCAGTAGGAGCCAGCTGAAGTATAGCCTAGTGTTTACTCTGCTTGTTGGGTTGCTGCTCTAACATCACCAGTTACATCTGGTAGTTTGAAATAAGCATCATTATTCCTAAGAAGATGGTATATACCAATTAGAGAAATAGATTCCAGACTCTAGCTCCCCTAGCTATAGAGTTTCGCAATACTTTATTACTTTTCACTTAAAAAATACCGAATCCCTCATAAGCTGGAAGGATTCTAAAGTGGAGCCCCTAATCCTGCCGATATAAATGAATGTCTCATCCCATTCACTGAAATTCAACATCACCCAACATGTCAGAAAATCACCTCGGATATAAATTGCATAATCCATTCGCCAACGAGACAATCCTCCATATCCACGGGGGCTTCTCCAGTGGCAGTGAATGGGATGCTGTCTACCTCCTCCTCGCTGACAGGGGATATCATCTACTCATACCTGATCTCCCTGCGCATGGAGAGTCATTACATATTCATCTGTTCGAACTGGATGATGCGGCGCGTCGATTATCGGAGTTGATTGAGACAGAGGCATATGAGGGTGTCGCTCATATTGTCGCGATTAGTATTGGAGCTCATATTGGGGCGCATTTAGCATCGCAATATCCTGATCGAGTCGTGTCGATGATCGTGTCGGGCTTTAACATGTTCACACCGAATATATTCACCCCATTCCTCCCACCACTTGTCTATCTACTCCAACGAGGAAGTGCCCTCATATCAAGTCCAACAGCAGAATGGGAACGTCTAAAAAAGGGCCAAGGTTCATTCGGAATGACACGCGATATTTTTAACATACTGTTCTCATCGCGGGAACTGCGCCCGATCAGTACCCGCACCTTGGTTGTCGCTGCAACGAGAGATGGCATTTCTGCAGATAATATCGATCATTCCTGAAAGCTTTTTCAAACAATTACACCAGATAATGGAAGTCGCGTTGTGCAGAATCGCCAAATGCGGCATCCGTGGAATGTGGATGAGCCGGGGATTTTTGCAGCGATGGTGGCGGCCTGGATTGCGGGGGATGTTTTGGAGGGGTTCGAAGATATCTAACAGCAACCATTTACCGCTTCGAGTAACTCAGGCAGAAATATTATCGAATAAAGTGACTCATAAAAATAAACCTGAAGAAAGAAGATCTGCAGTGAAGCTTAGCACGAGGCAGACCGAGTGAGGCTGTGCGGTGGAGCCGTAGGGCTGTGCAGGCCTAAAGTATAAAAGGCCACTGCCCCTCGTCTTCATCTGAATATCTTCAAACATCTTCAAAACATCCTCACATCACTTCAAAATGCCTCTACGAAACAGATACACGGCCGACAACATCCCCTCCTACATCAAGGAGCTGGAAACAAAACCTGAATTCAAAATCCTCAAACCCCTCGTCCAACAAGACACCTCGTATTCTCCTTCCGAGGCAGTCCAGAAAATCGTCGAAATCACCAAGACACTGCGGGACAGTCCACTCGGCAATCACTGCTGGGACACATGCTGTGCCCTTCTTGAACTTGCAGCACAGACTGCGCCAGGGCAGCACAACAGATTGGTTGAGTTTGTGGTGCATCTGAAAAACGCAACGGTAAACGACGAGAATGGACAGCCGTTAATGGTTGAAGATGGAATCGTCTGGACTGGACTACCCACGTTTGGCTATGGATTCACGGATGAAATGTTTTTTGGTATGTCCTTTCTCCCTTTTGTACAATCTATACTAACTGAACAGACCACAAGGATAACGAAAACACACCCGAGGAAATCGAGCGATGGCTCAACAAAGCTGCCTTCATGGCTGTTTTGTCAGATGCATGCGGCCAGCCCAACACGCCCGAATGGATGGAGATTATCGACGCCTCTCCATATGCGCAGATGGAGTTTTCAGATGCCTTCCCTCAGTCTCGGAAAGGGCCTGAAACTGCTGTGCAGTCGGCTTGTTTGTGGTTTATTTACGGGGGAGAGAAGCTGTGGAAGAATGTCCACACTGGCTGGAGAGGGTTTAATCACGAGGGATGGGTCTTTTGGAAGGAGAGACTAACGGCTGCAGAGGGTGATTATAATGATGAGACGAATAAGCTGATTCGGGATGCGTTGGAGAGCATCAGAAAGGCTGAACACTAGATTATAATAATGACTATTTACTACTCTTAATCTTTCTGCCGTTCTTTGCCTTGCTCCTTTTCTTCTTCTTGCCATCATCTGGGGATGAAGATGAAGTTCCAGACTCTTGTCACTCTCATCACTCTGAATCCTCATACTCGGACACAGACTACATCTCTCCTCTTCCTCGCCCTTGGCCTGCCATATAATCACCTCCACAGCGCACCAGCCGGCTTCCATATCATATCCCACAAGTTTATTGCTCCTCTTGTCCTCGGTTGAATGTTGCCGGGTGATAGTTACATAGGCCACCAAAGTCTGAGAAATCGAATACATATTTGCCACAGACCAGTTTGATGCTCTTGGCGAACATATTCATAAAATTTCTCTCGGGTTCGAGATCGGAAAGGGAAAACCATGATCTTTGGTGAAGAAAGAACAATGCCCAATATTGCCGAATAGCAACGGCTTTCTCTCCAACCGGCCACTGGTCAAACTTGGGGATTCTATTGGTCTTCTTGTATTGCGCGCCTTGCTCCTCCCATACCTTCACGATCGTGTCGTTGAGTACGAATGTATGATTAACACGAAAGTGTTCCACGGCCTGGTGAACAAATGCCGTATGCTCATCTTCCACACCAATCCAGATCAGGCTGCTCTTTGCGTGTTCCAAGATAGTGTGTCCGGGGACGCCATAATCGTTGCTTTTGATCTCAGCTGGGCTGCAGCAGATTTCCTCGATCCATATCCACTGGTTCTTGGGCGAGCCGAGCGGTTCCAACCTCTGCCTTTCAGCATGCTGTAGGTCGGGCCTGCAGAGGAAGTTCACGAGTTGATAATTACGCCTTTCCTGAATCCACGCAGTTCCGGATGGGATTTTTCCAGTGCGGTCCGCCTTGTTTACATCGGCACCCGCCCTGACCAACAGCTTCGCAATTTTGTAATGCCCCCCCCCCAAAAGCTGCACGGTGCAGCGCCGTTTGCCCATTGGCGTCGACAGCATGGACACTGGCCCCTTTCAGCAGAAGCGATTGAACCTCATCCAGCTCTCCGTCCTGCGCGGCTGTCATCAAAGCGGTCCTTTCGAGTTCCGGGGTTCGTTCAAGGTCCACGTCCGGCTCTTCTGCGCCCGTCCACGGGAAGTGACGCAGGAAATCGTAAACATTCTGGCCGACAAAAAGAAGACGCCCGTTGACGGCAATCGGGCATCGATTGAGCTCTGGGCTGTAAGTTGTGTCTTGCCCCGGTTTGTCAACGAATGGCGAGTGCGGCATTTTCGGTAATGCCTCGAAGTCTCTATTCTCGTTCAACTCAATGGCATCGAGACAAAGCTGTATCAACGGCTGGCCGAAGATGGTTGGCTTGACCGGGTTGAGAGTGTCGTCAAGTGGCGATACAACCCGGATCGAATTTGGTTCGTTGAGGGGTTCATATTCGTATGGCTGGTACTGAAAGTGCGCCATATGCATCGCATCCTCATCCATTCCGAGCAAATTAGCAGCTTCTGCTATTGCATCTCGCTTTTCAATTTGTGTGTGAGGTTGAAAAATCAGGCTGACTGCTACGTGTTTGTGCCCCTCCCACGTGATGTCCACTTGTATAGCGCTAAACAATCAATGACTAGACTACTTTGGCTTCATTGTAGGAACAGGTTATTGTCTTGGCGGAAAGGTGTCTAGGTGCCTCATCATTAAATGCAGACTCAACATCCTCTATCAGTCACAAACAGAGATGGAGGTTGGATAAGCTTCTGACCCGGCAGATCATGATGATCATTATGTGTCTTTATGCGGGATTACCTAACGAGGATAATAAAAAATTGATAAACTTGTCTTGACTATCTGGTATATAAATGTCACTTCTTCATGCATCTATCACTATGGACTTGAGTATACATGAAAGATAGTATGATGAGCTGTAAGGGCACCTCTTAATCGGCTCCGATTCGAGTGAGCCAGTTGGACTAGATAGTCAGTCAATACGTCATTATAAAAGAGAATAAATCTTACCTGACTCGTTGTAAACAGAGCATACAAAGCAATGCCAACACGAACATGTCCCCAAACGGCCAGAGTCGGGAGCTGCCATAGTGACTGGGGGCAGTGATAAAAGTGCCAGGAATTGTAGACCAGTTCATACAGCGCACTGAACCCAAAATAATGCAGCACTAGTGTCGATGCACTCGGAATAACAGTTGAATCCTGCGCAAATCCCAATCCACGAGCAACGAGCAGCACCAGCACCGTCAGAAAATCCGGACAGAGCAGGTAATCTTCCACCATGGATGGAAAGAGCAGCGAATAGAAGCATCGTAGACGGTACCAGCCGGGGTTATCAGAGAAGATATTGCCAATGTCACGGAGTACCTGTCTGATGCGATTGCGTTGCCAACGAAGAACCTGACCCAGATGGACACCTGCCTGCTTCGGACGAGAGATGATGGCGTAGTCATCTTTGGATACGAAACCAGTTCTCCATCCCTTTCGCTGCAGCCATGAGGTGATGGCAACGTCGTCGCCGGATCGGAGGGGGTGTTTGCCCATCCACAGATCGCCGGTGAAGTATTTTGTGAATTCTGGGTCCTGGAGAATCTCCGTTCGATAGGCTGAAGTTCGTCCGGTGCAGACGAAGACTTGTCCGTTGCAGAACTGAGCCATGGCGGCGTTGGTGACGCTTCTTCTGTCGAGTCGGCTCGCGCCAACCGCTTCAAGGGCGTTGGTCTTTTGGTTCTTGTTGTTCTTAATTGGCGTGACTCCACCCACGTCACGGGCTTCGGATAGACTAAGAAGCAGACCTTCCAGGGTATTCGGAGACCAAATCACATCATCGTCAAGGAGAACCACGGCAGGCGTCGTGGTATGCTTGATGCCCTCGACAAGACCAGGACGCTTTCCGGTAATCTCAACCCGGTGCACAGTAACTCGGGGGTCATTGACTTCATTCACAAACTCGCTGACCTTGTCAAACCAGCGAGGAGTAGTCACCACGAAGATTTGCTTTGGGTTGTTGGCGAGCCAAGAGCGGAGGGCATCGACAAAGTCTCTTTCTGGATCAACAGAGGGGCAGACGATGGATGCATCTGTCGTGGAAAAAGCAGCTTCTCGTTGGACTGGCGTTGAGCGATGGCGGTGGAAGCCATAGTATATCAAGGCAATCCAGAAGAGACGGAATAACCGAAGGCCACTGAAGATGTTAGTTTAGTCATATATAAATAAAGGGTACATACTAATTGGCCTGATATACAAGCTCTAGAAACGCGTTAACTGGCGACATTGCGCCTATTCCACGAGAATTGAATAAAGTCGAGGGAGAAAGAAAAGAAAGAAAGGGCAGCTGAACTGAGCTGAAATGCAGACCGTGCGGGGCACACAATCGATGGAGATACGAAGCGAACACCCAATCAGAAGAAAAAATGACGGACCAGAAAGGCGGATCGGCTGAAGAATCGTGATTGTTGGTGGAGTGAAAACCAGGAGGCTGGGAATATCCACACTGATTGTTCGAGCGCAGATCGGCGTCCGATCGCGGTAATGCCCTGAGACCACAGGAGGGGTTCATCCAGATCCCCTTTTCTTCTCTGGGATGATTTCAATAGATATTATACTGCATAAGATGAATTCAAATGGCGAGACAAAAAGCATACAAAATGCCTGCTTCATCGGTGCAGGATATGTAGGTCAGTACTCCACCACACCAACAGAATTCAACTGACTGAAAACAGGCGCATTGACAGCCATCGTGCTCGCAATGAATAATCCCAGCATTCAATTCCGTGTGGTCGATAAAGATCCACGCCAAATAGCTGCGTGGAATTCAGACAATCTGCCTATTTATGAGCCGGGGTTGGAAGATGTATTTTTTGACGATGTTGGAAAATCAGAACAAAATGGAGATTCCAGACGACGAAAGTTGGAGAATATCTCTTTTTCCACTGATATAAATGGCTACATTACTACAGCTGATATGATATTTTTATGCGTTGATACTCCAGCCGATATGACAGTAAGATCTACTTCTAAATGGTGGAGCATAACTAACATGCTGTAGTCTCCAGAAAGCGATGAGATAAAAGGGCTCAACCTGACCAATCTAGAAGCTGCTGTTAAAGCAATAGCGAAGGCATCAACAGGACATAAAATTATTGTACAAAAAAGTACAGCACCATGCGGCATTGTCCATCGGATCTGGGATATCGTATGTCTGCCTGTGTCCACGATCATCGACCATTACTTACATCTCTATAGCTAGAAAAGACATCATCACCATCGGCATCCTTTGATATATTATCAAATCCAGAATTCCTGGCTCAGGGCAGCGCTATTCACAATCTCTTACATCCTAACAGAGTCGTCCTCGGCCATATCATGTCAAATAGTACGGACTCTTCATCCAACTCTCTATCAGCTCTCAAAAACCTATATACATGGATCCCCACAGACCGCATCATCACAACAGATGCCTGGTCATCCGAGCTCGGCAAGATCGCCTCCAACGCCTTCATCGCCCAGCGAATAAGCAGCATCAACTCCATCAGTGCAATCTGCGAATCCACAAACGCCAACATCTCCGACATCTCACAAATAGTCGCTACAGAACCACGAATAGGCCCACAGTCTCTCCGTGCAGGCTTCGGATTTGGTGGGTCCTGTCTGAGGAAAGACGTGTGCTGTTTGATTTATCTTGCGAGGGAATTGGGGCTGGATGAGGTGGCGGACTACTGGCGGGCGGTGATTAAGCTGAATGACTTTCAGAATAGGCGGATTGCGAGTCGTGTTCTGGAATGTTTACCAGCAGAGTTGGGGGAGAGGAAGGTGGCTGTGCTGGGATTTGCGTTCAAAAAGGATACGATCGATACGAGGAATTCGACTGCGATTGAGTTTATTCGGGATCTGGTGCGACGGGGGGTGTGTGTTGCTGTTTATGATCCTCGAGTACCGAAGGGACATATTGAACGGGCTTTACAGTTTCTCGGAAATGAAGCTGCTAATATTACAATAGCAGACAGCGTGGATATGGCATGTATGGGGTGTAATGCCATTATCCTCCATACAAATTGGGATGAATTCCGTGACATTTCATGGAAAGATACTGCCAGTCAGATGAAAGATCCACGGCTGTTATTAGATCCATGTGAAGCATTGCATCATGATGTTATGCGAAAGTATGGATTTAACGTGTTAGAGGTTGGAAAAAGACATGTATGATTATAGAAATGATATCAGATCAACTGTCCATATTTGTATTCCTGCGCTGTCTATAAATATCTGCATAAAACAGCGGTCTATCTTCACACCGCATCTAATCCGTCTCGTATCCTGCATCTATACGTAAATTCGTCATATGGTCATGCTAACTCATAACATCCACCATTTCCATCTCGACAGCTGTCTCAATCCCCCCTCCTTTTACGTTTCCCCGGTCTCTTGGCTTCCAACTGTGGAGGAGGTTGCGTAGGCTCATGATGAATATCTACTCTAGGCGCAGCAGACCTATTCACAAAGCCAATAACGCCCAGGCAGAGGACAGTGGCCGCAATGAAACCCCATCCAAAGCTCGCCTCAGCAATAGATCGAACAGTAAAAAGGCTTTTCAACATGGGAAACCAAAGATGCGCGGTCAACCTGATGACAGAATAGACCAAAGCAAGAACAATCGCCCGGAATGCGAATTCTGAAGGAGACAGCTTCTCCTTTTTGTTCGCTGGTTTCGCTTCCGGCTCACTCTGTCGTCTACGCTCGTTCCGTTTCACGGTGCCGATCAGGTATGACTGCATGAGATTGTTGGCCGCGTCTGAGTGGCCGACATCCTCAAAGGCATCGGTAGCATCGGTGCCTGCGACGGTGTTGAGGGCTTCCTCGCCACCGGGGTGGGTTTTGGCGAATTTGGTGACATTGTATACTTGACGGGTTTGTCAGATTCATTCTTTGAAGATTGTAGAAAGGAACAAGTTGCCTTTGTCGTTGATGATAATCCAATTGTCATCTTTGTGGTTGTGCCAGTTAACCTGCTTGATTTTGTATTCGGGGAGAGTTGAGGGATCCATTGTGTCAAAGGTGAGTTGAAGAGCAATATCTGACTATGAAAAGACAGAGGAAAGAAGCTTATTTATCTATGCTGGCCCTTGATACATCATTCCTAGAAAGAAATATGAATCAGATCCAATGAGAACGTTGCGGTTTGTCAGTGTTGGCCATGCAGCTATCTATAAATATACCTCCACGTAGCCATCCAGTGTCTATCCAGTATTTGCGCAACCTCACTTAGTTGCAAATATGGCGGCTACTAATAATCTTTTTTTGCTCTTTTTGCGATAAACTGCGAACTACATACTGATTCCCAGGAGTCGGTTTTCGATTCTATGAAGCCACGGCAGACATCCTCACCGTAGAGCTCCCCCTACACTCTGAGCAAAGACCGTCAACCTCTTTAGCTCAGTGAAGCTCTCAGACTCTATCTAGAAATGATGGGTTCGAATGGTACTACAGTAGTATTCGAATTCAGTTATACTTTCACACTCTTATAACTTGATTCTCGGAAAATAAATCCGACATTCATGAGTTCTAATTAGACAGGTGATGCTGCCGTATTCGATTGACCTCAATACAATCGTAAAGTATTTTTCAGAGCTCAAGAGTTTTATTAGACATGATTGGAGTTACTATGAGAACGATCCAGAGCAAGTATTTGACATCTTTATTGAATGGTGCATCAATGTGGTTGGCGCAAAAGACGAGAGTCCCCTGGGTCATTTTTATCAGGCAGGCTGGAAAATCGAAACTTGTGGCGCCTCACACTGGACATGTTGTGTTTGATTGCGGTAAAGATACAATATGCGTCACATAAACGGTATAAGCCTAAGGTACGCAAGCTCTGGTCAATGGGGGTTCAAGATTAGCTCCGAAAGTAGTAGACCCACTTATTTTCTCATATAGATAGTATCCGTTGCTAATACTAACAGCCCTAAATGACTGGGAGAACATGAAGGAAAAATTGAAAGAAAGTATGTACCACGGTAAAAAGAATCTAGCCTGATTATGTGACGCAGTAATGCGGTAACACGGGGAAGTTCTACGGTGCCAGGCCCAGTCATAAGGTTAGGAAGTCACGCTACCTTCCTTAATGTGTGATCTAGCCTATACTCCGCACCTTTCGATATTTGCATAGGACCACCTTAAATTGGCGGCGGTCGTAGTAAAATTGTTTCATATCTTTTCCCTCTCGTATCCAATAGTTTTCTAATCTCACTGTACACGTACTCTTCAGGATATTGATAATTCGATATGTCTACTTTAATGTTAGTTTTGTAGGATAAGCAGCCTGCCATTTCTCAATATACTTCTGACGATTTGCTGACTAGGCATACCTTTGGAGTTAAAGGTAAGGGGCACTTAGACAATTTCTAAACTTAATAGTCATGATGTAAGAAGATACCTAGACAGCTGCCGTACTAAATGGATACCATGTGTCCATTTAAATTTTACCTATTTATCGCCCACGCAGCCACTAGCCTAATTATGATCATATACGAAGCTTAGATAAAAAAGGGAGCTACTGGTAATAGAATGTTTCCCAAACTTATTACCTAAGATATACGAGTCCATCCTAGTAAGTGTCTAGATTTTTAAATAATCTACAGAACCTCATGATCGTACACAGTACATAAAACCACAAAGAGAATAGTTTTCCTTGAGTATAGATAGAAAGATCCAGACCGTGCTTGTTACCAAAAAGCGCGAAGAGGAGGGTAATCTTTAAGGATAGAAGCATCTAGGCCTCACATAAAGTACCATAGAAACATAAAATATTTCTTAGGTATAAATAACCCTGCACTCTCCCTGCGGCATCAATCCTAAATTAATCATAATACATGATCAAAATGTTCAGATTACTAGTATTTACCATTCTTGTGTATGGTGAGTCAACTAATGCAGACCCTCATAATATATCTCAAATTTAACAGTTACTCTTATAGTAATTATTACAAGCACTGCTTATCCACACCCACAATCATGTACTACTTGCGAGCCTCCACCACCAACACAGCCACCGTCAGCTACACTTGCTGTAAGTTCATATTGTAGCATTCCACTCCTAGATTATAGTGCATGGCTGACCTCTACTCTTTAACAGCTGGCGCTAGCTAGGCTTAGGGAGCTACTTACGAGGCTAGCTAATCTCCTACGGAATCCCGCGTAATGGCTATAGATTATATAGCAAATCTACTCTATTTTCTTTCTTGTACTAGTGCAAGCTTTGAAGAGCTAAATCCAAAGAAGATTTAAACTAACTACAAAATCAACGCAAGAGTGTAGGTAAGCGTACCAGTTTCGGGACATACTGCATAGAGAAATCCATAGGTGCAGACCCTTAGAACCCCAAAATACGTCAAGGCCTGCAGCGCGACAGCACCATCGTAGATCAGAACCCTATCATGATCATTTGTCATGTCATCGAAGAACAGGTATCCCTCGTTGGTGCACTGGCAGAACATTGACCGCGGAATGTCTACTGTCCCGCCATGCCCTGCTATAGTACATCTGCCAAATTGCATGCTGTGATCACAAAAGCAAGTTCTCCGCCAAAATGCCCTGCATATCTCCGAAGCAGGCCAACTGTCCACAAGAAGCACAGGTATAATATGCGCGATCAACATTGCCGTTGTCATTTCAAGGCAGACAAGACTGTGGCAAGTATTACTCTGTCTTTCGCAGAGTCTCGCTTTAAACGGTGTACTTTGTCGAAGCGATACAAAGCAACTATCACCTATTTCTGTGTATATATCCATCCTTTGCTTTAGATAATTGACTGCATATAACGTACACAATAGCAAGTAAATCTATCTAGGACTTATCCAGCCGATTTGGCTACAAATTTCAAAAACAGCGCTCTTGTCCCTTCGAGGATGTTCATTATCCGTCGACGATTCCTCCATCCATGCGAGTTTGAAAGAAGTCTGTCGATGTTGAAGTAGAGATATCGCCAGTCTAGCGCAGCAGCGTCTGGGAGTGGCCCATGAAGAATAAAATCATGGATGCACCGAATCCGCCAATATCCCTGGTGAATGGAGAGGCGCCATTGAGGAAACACCCATAGCAATAGCACTATATCTTTAGGGCCATATAACATGTCCATAATGATCATGACAATCTCGGGTGGGATGAGAATATCACGGATATCAAATGGCTTCATGCGGCGTGGAGCAGGAGTGCGACTTTTCAACGTCTTCTGCTTCTTCTCTTTCTTCTCTTTCTTCTTCTCCTTTTTCTTCTTCCGTGCTTCCATTTTTGTTTTCCTCTGCAGCCCATGTCGCCGAATCCTTTCTGGGTGCTTGAGTAGTTTTTGAAGTTTGCTAACGTTCAGTGGATCTCTGGCCGCGTAGGCATTATCCGAACATTCCATCTGGTTCTCATAAGCGCTGGTGTACCTCCTTGGGCTCATCATGTACGAATCGGCATAACGGTTCTTCCACTTCATCCACACATTTTCTTCGCATATTAGAGGATTCTCATCCTCCGCCTTTTGCCTTCTGCGATAGCACAAGGCCTTGACGAAAAGATCGAGATGCATGTTGATAAGTTCGACATCGACAATGCGCGTCATCAGAACCCAGCATCGTTCGTGCATGGCGTATGCGCGCTGCCGGGGATACCGGGTGGTGTATCTGGTCGATGCTACCCCTGCCTTGATTGTCTTGTCCCGGATACGCCATGCATCTCCCATGATGAGGAGATTGGGATCTTCGGGCACTGCCACGTGTTCCTCGTTCCAGTAGAGAGAGACGCCGGACACACTGAATCGGCGCCCTGTTTTGTCGGTCTCTTGGATGACTGTTTATGGTTAGTATATGCATTACGCGCAGAGCATAGATACTGACTCGCGCGATAAAGACGAGCCCACAGCCAGGGGCGTGTGAAGGAGAGTTTACTCAAATTGGCTGCCTGGTCAACGACGAAGTGATCCCGTCTGTAACTCCTCTTCCATTTTGGACATTCTGCAAACATTCTTGCCGATGATCTGTCATCGTGCATGGAGACAGAGGCTCGATACAGCGCCTTGCCGCAAAGCATGCAGAATGGATTTGCCATTTTTGCACTCGTCCAGCTAAATCGTGGATGCAAGTGGCATATTTTGCGAGGCGTGTATATTTCTTCAACCTCGCAACGTCATGATGAAGCGCTCTAGAGAAAATTCTTTCATCGCAACCCATGGCCCTATCTTTGTCCAAGAATTTGATGGATCAATTCTAATAACCAGATAGCACTGATGATGTCTGTGTGCAATCTCCGCACGTACTTGGGCTGAAACCCCTGTTGGCTACCAAGTGTCCGTGTGCACGTTCTATGGTATATGATTAAACACGTCGAACAAATAAGATCGTCTCTTGGGTACCGAAAATATGAAATGCCAGTTGTCGATAACAGCTATCATCGCCGTCTGTATCGCTGCCACTCAGAGCAAGCCACGCCGCCGACAGGAACATGCCTGCGTGTTTCCCCGACGTTGTCTACATCCAGCTGTACTTGCTTTTTCGCCGCTCTTTGTATATGAAGACGACCCGTTCTTCCAGTTTAATGATACCTGCACATATTCTATGCATCTGTATATTACGACGGTCAGGAGGAATTATCATACATCTCTTTAATCGAATTTATCCGCGCATCTTCACCATGGAGCGTCGGTACTCTTATATTTCCCAGCGAACTGTCTCCTCCTTCCGAAGCGCACGGCCGATTCCCGATAATTCATGCGCCCTGTGCGAATGCATGGGGAAGATGGACGATCACAATCAAGTGGAAATCGATCGGACAAAGCTATTCCACGAAGAATGTACACGGTGTTCGTCGTATATGGAAGAGCCTCTCTGCCAATTATGCAAACACATGAGACTTGGCCATATCTTTCGCTGCGAGCGATACAAAGAACTCGGAAAGCCCAAATACGGGGCATTTACCTTCACAATCAAGCTTGGGAGTTTGGGGGAGTTGCAGCAACGCTCTGAGAATTGTCATGTTTGCTCTACGTTTGTACAGACCGTCGCATGGGATAGCCATCTTGACAGTAGAAATGCTGTGGAGCTGTGCTTGTACATATGGTTTGGGTCGAGAAAGGCGCGTGTTTCGTTTCATTTGGCAGTCTTTACAGACAAGTATGAAGCTGAGTTTGTGAACGCTGGAGGTATGTTGCATCATCTGTCTCTGTATACCGTTTACTGACTCTGATCAGGCAGCACAACGCCCAATCGGTACTACTTTGACTTCCCAACAAAAGGACTCTTCGACTATCTACCATGCACCCGAAAACCTCGGGATATGGTGAATTGGGATAAAGCCATCTCTCACCTCGACAGATGCTACAGGAAGCATGACAACCCAGTCAAACCATTCCAGCAGCCGCCTGGATTTCGAGTGATCGACACGGAAAAAGGATGCATCACAGATGCTCCTCCGGACTGTACCTATGCTACATTAAGCTATACCTGGCAAAAGACGGAGGAAACAGACCTACAAGCCACGACAGACAACATTCACGAACTCGAGCAGAATGAGTTTCTATTCAATCACCCAGTTCCAGCCACAATCGATGATGCCATAATCGCGTGCAAAAAGTTGAAAATTCCATATCTGTGGGTTGACAGACTTTGCATTCTCCAGGATGCATCGGATCAGGACCAGATCGATGCCATGGGCGATATCTACCATCATTCTGTTGTCACCCTTGTGGCTGCAGCAGGAAGTGATATACATCATGGTCTGCCTGGTGTTTCATCACCGAGAACTCTTATCCAGTGCAAGACACAGGGCATACACTTTGTACAAGGACGCGTTCCTTATATAAATCTTGCTCGCAGCTCGAAATTGGCCACCGGGGGGTGGACATTTAGGGAAACATTGCTTTCGCCGAGAGTACTCCTCTTTACGGATTCAGCGACGTTCTTTGAGTGCTGCCATGAGGCATAATCAAATATGAAACCGCAAGATCTGGCGATAAGGTTCCATCAAGCTGAAGAGCCTGTGCGTTCAACTGAATTCTTTGGTCTTTATCATATTCATTGTCTGTATGAGAGCCAGAAGGTGTATTTTTATGGCATTATGCACTTGTGCGATATCAGCAGATGTGAAGTTTGGCTTGGAACGGATATTATGATGGTGGGCCGTGAGACTGTGCTAGCCACCAAACGCGTGGGACTTGGTCGTGTTCTCCCGAAGCCGTGGGGGATTAATTCCGGTCTTCCATGTGGCGCATTCATCATCAGAAACCGATGATAGAACTCGGAATATTAACCATGACTTCATGACTTGCAATTCGTGATATCTGCCTTCTTGGTGGAAGGCTGCATAGACCACCAATGCAATCCACCTTGCATGTATTCGTGTCACACACAGCCAATGATCTGCATATGTTCAAGCTGCCGCAGTCAGGCTGCTTCAGCCTCGTTGGCTATCCATTGATTCATAGGAAAAGTCACATGTGATTTCCATCATCCCTGGAATGAAGCCTATATATACCCCTCGCTAGTGCTCTTGACTGCATGAATCAACGGTTGCCCCAAGGGAAGTAGTGAACCTCTATTTCAATACATATTATCTTGAACGGTCTCTGTTCCTCATCATCACGATGCCGTCGGATGGTCTCAGACCCCGTGGGCTTTATTTCATGTTGTTTATCCGAGACTCCCCACCACCACCGAACGATTTTCACTGGGCACTATATTTCCATCACGACTCTGGAAATACCGGTATGAAATATCACATTAAAGGAGAAGGCGGGGGTTGGATTGCCAGTCATGAACATACTGCAGGAGTCCTCAAGTCTTTTCTCCTAGTAGGGCTGCTCAGGATTGCTGACGTGCCTGTTGGCTCGGAAATTTATCTTGATCAAGCCTTCAGAACATATGATAATCAGCTCAACGACCTACCTAGTATTACCTGTCGTGTTTGGGCATTCTGGGTTTTGGAACTACTGAAAAAGTCTGTGAAGGGACAGAGGATCCTGAACTGCAACGATCTACAGGCGCTCGAAGAGGAGGTTAAGAACAGGGGGAATTCCCATGCGATGAGTGCTGATAGGAATCAACAACCGAGGCCGGTGGCAGACTCTGCCCTGTGTGGTCTGTGATTCAATCTCCGGTAAGGAATGCTATCGTCTCCGTCAATCTCGAATGCTAAACTCGTTTCAGATCGCTATGATGTAGATGGACATATTCTGCAAGTTTGTGCCACATATTAGACTAAACCATGTGCGCACAGTCCCCAGACACCCTGGAAGCTCTGGTGGAATGGATCGTCTATACTCATCGCTAAGCGTTGTATGTAATTATCAGAGTTCATCGCCGGGAACGCGAGTCATAAGGATTGACATTGGCGCATGTGGCATGTCGGGATATTCTCCGTAGTGTGGAATGGAGGTCTAGCTCTTCTGGTCACTTGCATTGTGATAGCCTCGTCCAGTCATATTTCATAGGACCATCCAAGATCATTCAAGCGGGAGCTATGATTCGACTATCATTTTTAAATCCCCTCGACCGCGATATATTTCCGAAAATCTTTCGAAGCAGTTGTAGATAACACCGCAAAGTTGACCTCTTATTATTGGAATAATTGACTGGCCATGTAATTCTGGCGTAAGCAGCCGATATATCGAAAGCAACTGCATCATGCAGACAATAACAGGTTCGAGCTGAAGCGTTGGTTGTTTGAGGCTGATCAAGAGCCTGCCGATGCACGTGATACTTGTTTTCGCGTACTTTTTTGTCATTGACCAATCAGATTGTGTCGTTCTTCCCGCTTCCCGCGTGGCGCTGCCTGTGTGGCTCCGTCATTTTTGGGCGGCATCAAAACACCAGCACCAATCATTATGCAGGTACTTTGGAGACACCCTGGTCAAACAGCGCTGGAAGTAGGCGCAGTCCATGAGAATATAGTACCTAGGGAGAATACCTGGTAGATAAGGCTCTGGAATCTTCTGATCATAGGCTATGGTGATCCAATAGAATGAGGCGGTGCAAATATTCGCAACCAATACAATCCATGCAAAACATGGGTGCTAGACAATATTGACCAATGGAAAAAGAAGATAAGAAATAAGGGAAATTGGGTGTAAAGTGATGCCATTTTAGCTCGCGGTGGATCAAGGCTGATTCTGTATCTTCAGCTGTGCATTTTGCTTTACTGTTTGTTCTCAATGTGGATACCACAAAACCATGGATTGTGTACATGTCAAATGGGTCAAGCGAGAGTTTAAAAAACATACAATATGCAAGTCAAGCCTACAAGGCTGTATCAGCGTCAGATAGGAGTGGAGATAGACCAACCAAGTGGCAAAGCAGCAGGCAACAGGCGGCTGGAGCTGATGCAACTGCGGCAGTCCAACAGCGATGGGCGGATGCATTGTTTTGCTACTAGCGCCTATCACGCTCAGTGAATGTCGCGCAGTGAATGGCAGCTCTGTCTGGGGCGCTCTCTCATCCTGTCGCCTGAAAATTTCAACTTCTCTTTAAACTCCTCTCTCCCACTTCTTGGTTAGAATAGAGTTATATCAGTTAATAGCAATTTATCACATCCCCGGTTACAACACGATAGACGATTTTTGATATTTGAGCCGAGTTACGTTGATCTCAAAGCATGGAAGTCGACGCAACGACGTTCGATTACCTCTTCCACCACGTTATCCTTCCCCCCAAGCTTCCCCAGCACGAGGAGAAAGATGAGTGGCGGGCAGAAGAAGGCCTGCTCCAGTTCGTTCGCGATTCCGTAGGCAAATTTGCCGAGAACCTGTCGCCGGAGTCTCGAAATGGCTGGCAGATCGCCATGAATATGCTGGATAACTGGATCAAGGTAGAAAACCGGGGAGAAATACACAACGATACACTCTTGCGGGTTGTTTCTGCACTAAAGTCTTCAGGTAGCTAGATATTAGACTCAAATCGGCAGATATACTGACGAAGCTGTGCTGAATAGGTGCTTTTGCGCTGCGAATTCGAGAGCAGAGCTGCGGCTGGCTGGGCTACTACGACAAGAAAGGTAATCAAGTCATCTTCGATGCCTTCGAAGCTTCCGCCCAATGCAATCCAGTCCTCGCTGCAGCAGATACTCTCATCCGCTCTTTTCCCGGCCAGAGCATCGCCATCCCAGCTGATAAGATCGACGAGCATCAGTTCTGTACTTATTTAGCCCGTAACCTCTCGCGACTTTCCGTCGAACATGTCACTGAGATGGCGCCCAAGACACGAAAGGCCAAAGCTAATGTCGAAGAGCCGAGAGACACCGTCCACCCTGGATTAGTGACGGAGTGCCTGATGACCCAGCTGCTCACGTACGGCAAACATAATACCTGGCCCTGTTTTGAAAAGCACATACGAGATGAATCGAACTGGAACAGCAGCTACCTGGGATGGAGACGATCTCCTCATTGGTTTGTCCTGCGTGTATCTCTGCAGACTGTCCTTCAGCGCGTCTTTCCCATCCACGAGGGCCACCAACAGTACAAGAACTTCATGCTGTATTTGATTGCCGAGATTGGGAACACTGCTCTCTCGATGGACCCGGCTGTACCAGCAGAGCACCTGGCGCTCATTCGCACAAAGATTGGTCGGCGAGTCAACAAACTACAAGACAATGCTTTTGACTTTGTCACAGTCGACGCAGGCGCATCAACTGATAATCTTCTGCGCCATCTACAGCGCATTCAGACAAACATCATTTCCTCGGATCCAATCCCAGTGTCCAAATTTCCAACTACCGCTGCAGCTGAAGATATCCATTTGTCACTAAAGTACAGCCACGAGTTTCTACAAGCAGTCATCAACCATACCACAGTCGAGGCAGCCCCCTCTATCTTTTCTCGGACGCATAACCTAAGATTTAAACGCGATGAATACGGCCTGCCTCTCTTGGAAAATGGCGATCCCCTCTGTCTGATGGACTTTGAACAATGGGTCGGTGATCAGCTGTCAGGCTGGTCGAAGAGTGCCGAGCCCTCAGAAGACCTTTGCTGTGTACTCAGCGACCGTCTCCAAGAATACCTCAGGTTTGCGCAACTTGAGTATGGATCCAACCCACGGGAGGTGTCCTTAATGCTGCTGGTAATCTTGGAGCTTTGGGTGGCTTTCGATAGGATGTGCATCCGTGTCTACCCATTGTTAGGAGACTTCACACCAGAAATTCCAATTGATTTCCTCGAACCACTACTTCTCCCGCAGCGGGATCAGATGGAACGAGCAATCATAGTTGAGCAATATCTTCGCTCACGGCATCAGAATATGCAGCCGTATAACCCACCTATCCTGGCAGATCCCACTCCCCAAAGCTTTGGGGTTCGTTACTTTGACCGTTCCCTTGGACACCAACAACTGCGGAGGCGAATCGAAGACCGCGCCGAAGAGAGACGAGAGAGAAAGAAACAGGAGTGGCAGAGGAAAATTGACGAACGACAGTCTCTCTACGATCAGATAGATAGCTCATCGTGTGACTATCACTATAACAGAAAAATGGAGTATGTTCATCACGGAGGATGCAACAGATGCTCCCTTAGTCGACACGCCGCTGCAATCTCTATTGATATCGATGAGTGGCCTCTCCCGAGTACAGAATACATCCTGAAGGCCGTTGTCTTCGAGCTTGATTGTCCTCGGTGGTTTTGCGCCTGGCGGGACACCACTTGGATATTGCTGCAGGATCTTGGGCGTGGCCGACCCTCCAACGCTGATGATATGAAGCAGAATTTGCTCGACTACAACCAGCTTCATGATGTAGTCACGAATCATGACCAGCGTTTGACATTGGGTTCCACTGCCAAGTCATGGCTAAAGACCCATTATAGGACCATGGGGCTTCCGGGAAGCGTGCAGGACGTATTATTCGACAATGCACTGCAGCTCAAGCTCTTTGCTAAAGATCCTACAGCATGGGTAGTCGATCAGACAAGGAAGCCTTCGTTGAAGCATCATTGTTGTTTTGTTCTTCCTTCAGGTCCGTATTCACAGTTGCAATTCACCGTGGACTCGGTTCATCATACACAGAACCAGGTAATTGCAGACCAGAGGAAATGCGACAAGGAGATGACTCTACATGAATTCATTGCTTTCGGATGTCTTCGTGCTGGTGAGCGTGTTCAATGGCATAACATTGCTCGTGAGCTGGCTTCCTCCGCTCTATCGTTTAATGAGGAGTCAGTCACCATTCTGCTGCGACAGGCAGCATGGGAGCTGGGGTCATACAGTACGGCGGTCATCCCCCTCAGAGAGGCGCACCGAGTCTTCGAGATTCCAGCATTTGGTGAACGGCTTCTGGAAACCTTGGAACAGAAGCTGCAAACCATTAAATGCAATTGGAATGAGCACTGGTCGCTTTATGCGCTTGTTACACTGGCTCTTCGTCTGCTTACTCTTTCCGACGGTCACAATACATCAGCCATAGCAGCGTTTCTAAGGAACATTCGGCAAGTTGCGATGGGTTGGTGTGAAGACCTCATCGACAGTCTACATCAACAGACTGGTGAAGAGAGTAAGGCACAGCAACATCTCATTCTCAAATTGGGCGTGATTTGCCAGATGACCTACTTCGTGGAGCCGGTACATCTCAGTGCTGTTCTCTCCACCCCCGACGACCTCTTCTGGCTGATTTACTCTTCCATGGTTGTCTTTGAAAATACTCCTCCTACATCCGATGCACTACCTAGTAATACCAAGGCGTTGTTGACAACTAGTGCAAGGATTCTCCATCGCGTCGAGACAGTGATTCATCAAATGATAGAATCCGATCCATTAGGACTGAACCAGGCTCTCATCAAGGCTTCTCCCGAGCTGGTAGTGAACATGCCTTGGGGCTTTGGTGCAGGCGGGAATGAGAGATGGGTGACTACCAAAACAAGAGGATCCGGAGGTCGCCAACAGACAATCCACTACAACATCCTGTCTGGGGAGTTTCTTGTTGACAACCGGCCTCCGGGTCGATTACCGGCCGAATATACAAAACATCCCCTGTTCCAGCGTGTCTTTGGCCCTGTGAGTCCCATTCCCCGAAAACGACTAATTCATCGAGTTGCTGACGGCTTAGCGCACGCTTACCGTTTTACCATCAGGCCTACCCGGTGCCGTATTTTGCTCTGTGCAGGCATTCAATAATCATCAGGTTTGTCGTCAAAGTATTGCTTTGCGAGTCACTAATATGAGTAGGTTCACTTTTCCATGGAAGCAGACCAGCTTGTGATCATTGCATGCCATGGAACACAGCGTCTACGACTCATACCGCACGAGAAATTACAGGGCGATCTTCCTTTGTCTCTTGTTACCGATTATGTCCATTGGCTCGACCTCGATGCTCTGCAAATCGAGTTTCGGCATCTTGATCAGGTGTGGCAACCAAGTCCTCAAAACTGGCATCTGATATTCCGCGCCGACTCCCCAAAACGGTCTGTTATGCGAAAGAAAAATCAGAGTCTGGTTGATATCCGCAGTACGTTGTTTCAAGATCTGTCGAGTATATTGGCCAAACTGGATTCGCGGGAGCACATCCACGTCGTTTTGCGGGCAGACGGGATAGTTGAAGCCGATATGGTTCGCATGCGTCTGAAATTCTTCATCAACAAGGACGGCGTTCTACAATCTAGACAGCTTAATGCTACAGTGGACCGGAATCAGGATATCGGATGTCTCTATGGTCTAAGGAATAATCTTGTCGTCAAGGAAAGCAGTGAGCCAGAGCAACACGCTGTGCTCATCCCGTATGGAAACGTTAGCGTTGCACCGAAAGACCACCATGTCACAGTCTCAATAAAGCCAGCGAATGGGCCACGAACCAGGTACTTCCTGTATCGGTTGGACAAACACTTCAACATGCTTCGAGGTCCTCCAGACATGCTAAGCACTCTTTATCTCGCGTACGTGCATGCTGTGACTGGATTCGTTCTTCCTGACCCATCAATCGAGCGCTCTGGTACCGAAGAGGCATTGCGAATTCTGCGCCTTGAGTTCCTGAAAACATCATTTCCCATTGATGCTGAATGCTCTTCCATGCTGAGAAACCTTGCTGCTTTAACTCCCAAACGGAGATACTATCCCGAGCACCTGAATGTCATGCAGACCGTTAGGTGGAACGACAATCTGTGGCCGATGATGCAGCATGATGATTTTCAACCCCTGGTACAGGAGATCATTGATCACAGCAGCAAGTTCTCGAAGCTGCATGTTAAAACGGATGATTCATCTCCCTCTATATCGGTCGCAGACCGCGGAGATTGGCATTTGCTGCAGAGGGCTCGTATTCGAAATGCCTCTTGCAGATATTCACAGTTTGGCGGCGCCGCTGCTATACCGAAAAGGCCGTTACAGCACCTACCCAGAGATCGAGACACCACAAGTGCACGTAGTCAACGCGTGTATGAAATCGCAAATCTGATCCACGACTGGCCTTCATCCATGAAGCTTCAAGGTTTTGTCGATGGCATATGGCGGTGGGAACGTGTGTGTACAACGGGAGATCAACTGGATACGCTTTCGTGCACTAAGCTCCTGCAGCTGAGTCTCAGAGATACATGGGGCGCTCTCTACGATCGGTGCCGTCTCAGCAACCGAGAATGTGACTCCTACGACCTCATGTCTGACCTCAGCCTAGTGGCCTTTGGCGACGAGTCGAAATTGGAGCCTCTCCGGAACTTACTTGCTGTGGCATTTTCAGGCCAGCTTCGCTCTATTTCCATTCCAGAAATTGTCCAGCATAAAGTTCTTGGTCTTTATGTTGGGAAGGAAGTACAGCGGTATCAAATAAGAAGTGCCATTGAACAGCATTATCATGCTTTCGTGCCCGACAGCTACGGCTCCTCGTTGCTGTCCTATGACGAAAGAGTACGAAAGGAGACAATTGCTAGACAGGAATACAATGAAAGAAAATATCAGGATATTGCCAGTCTTGAGGATGAAATTGTCAGTCAATGGCCTTGTCAGGCGCCGCGGTACCCTAATGGATCCGCAGCCCTCAAGGTGAACCAATATGCACTATGGCAATCATGCGCTTTGCTTTTCGAAAAGTGGTTTCACAATTTGCACTTTGATGGTTTCCTCCGTCAGGTTCAAGACCAGCTCATAGCGCAAACTCACGACCACCAGCCTGCTGTTCCGGTCTGCCCTCCACAAGGCGAAGCCTTCAGGATATCGTCACCTCAATCGCCAACGCTTCTCGGGTGGATGAGGTCCTCACAGCTGTCTATTGCAGCAGGTTCTTCTCCAGAGTTACTACATTACGAAAGGGAATGTGCACCTCGGTCAGATACCAGTGGTAGCATTACTGAACTTCGCTCTATAATCAAAGAGGCCTGCGACAGCAATGATCCCCATCGGAAGGAATACGGTCAACATCTCCACGACAGCGTGTCTGCGTTAGAAAAGATTCATGTATCCCGTCCACCAACATCCTTTCCTGTTACCCACGATAGGCTTTTGGACTGCAGAAATCTGTTGGAATCACAGCGCGACGCAATATGGGACTGTATCATTTCGGCACTGAAGACACCTGGGGAATGGCAAAATGTGGCAATCCACACCGTTTATCCGTCCTTGAATAAAGTATCTATTCTTTCCCTCCTTGGCTCCGCTCAGTGGTCTTCACTTCCAAAGCAGTGGCGAGAGATTTTGGTGGATCTGGGTAGAACAATCTCATCCCTGAGACGGTGCAACCGGCTTATTTCCTTTGAGGTCAAGCAAGATCTACATGGCTTTTTCAAAGAGGCAGAGTCTATCAGTGGCGAAGGTTGGGATATGATGGAGCACCCTCAGTGGGTGCTGTTCGAGCTGGAGAACGACATGACAATTCGAGCACGTCAAGCAGAGGTGGCCCATAGGATGATCAACCCCGAGGGAAACGAAAATGCAGTCCTTCAGCTAAACATGGGTGAAGGCAAAACATCGGTCATAACACCGATGGAAGCAGCTATCCTTGCGGACGGTATCCGATTACTGAGAATCATTGTCCTAAAGCCTCTTTTGCGACAAAGTGTGACTCTTCTTTCCCACCGGCTGGGAGGATTGCAGCAACGGCGAATCTATCATATCCCCTTTTCGCGAAGCACAGCCATTGACGATGAAACCGCTGCTCAGCTGCAGTCAATATATCAGGAGTGTCAGGAAAATCGAGGCATTCTCATCGCGCTCCCTGAACAAATTCTGTCATTCAGATTGGTTGGGCTTGATTTGATGGGAAGCAAGCCGTCTCTGGCACGGAGATTGATCACATTAGAACGATGGATCCAGGCCAACAGTCGCACCATTATCGATGAAAGTGACGAGGTCCTCGACGCCAGGTTCCAGCTGGTATATACGGTCGGTAACCAGAAAACCCTCGATGGACACAGCGACCGATGGAGCATCATCCAGGTCGTGTTGGATCTCGTGCGAAAGCAAGCTGCGGTACTTCGTCGAGAAGATCCGTCTTGTTTGGATCTGGAATTCCACGGGGACCGCTATCCAATCATCCGATTTTTGAAGCCCGAGACAGTCGACACCCTCATCCAGCGCATCGTGGATTCTATCGGACGGAATGGGTTTTCCGGCGTTCCCTTCACTCAGTGGACACCAGGAGTCCGCAAAAGTGCATTGCGATTCATCAGTTCAGTCGACGTCAGCGACACAGACCAGGAGACCATTCGCAGCACATTCGAGGGCAGTGTTTCCATGGCAAAGCTGCTCATTCTCAGAGGTCTACTGGCTCAGGGCATTTTACGTTTTACTCTCGCTGGTAAAAGGTGGATGGTGGACTACGGGCTTCATCCTACACGGTGCTTGATGGCTGTCCCATTCCGCTCGAAGGGTGTTCCTTCGGAGAACTCTGAGTTTGGCCATCCTGATGTCGCTTTGACGCTGGCATGTCTAACCTACTACTACGATGGACTGACTGAGGACCAAGTTCGGGACTGTTTTGCCTTGCTTGAAAAAGAAAACGACCCATCGGCCGAGTATCAGAGCTGGATTGCAGCATGCCACGATCGCCTCGACGAAGGTCTGCGAGCTATCACTGGAGTCAATCTGGAAGACAGTCGGAAATTCAGCGCCCACCTGTATCCTAATCTGCGGGATCAGATTCCTTTGATCGAATTCTACCTCACACGGGTCGTCTTTCCACGAGAAGCAAAGGAATTTCCTTATAAGTTGTCAACATCATCATGGGATATTCCCTCCCGGCAAGAAATGCCAGTCACTACCGGTTTCAGCGGCACAAACGATAACCGGTCTCTTCTTCCTCTTTCGATAAGACAGCGTGACCTGCCTCATCTGCTTCACACGAACGCCATGGTCCTCAGCCATCTCCTACGAGAGGAAAATCGAGCATGTGTTCTGGCACAGGACCAGGGAGGTCATCAACTGAGGACCGATCAGCTTTTTGCTCTGGCGAACGAACAGAGTCCGTCAATTCGTGTGGTGATTGATGTTGGAGCCCAAATCCTTGACGCCGGCAACCAATCCGTGGCCGAGCAGTGGTTGTTTCTCACTACGGACAAGAAGGTGGAGGCCGCCGTCTTCTATGACCAGCATGATGAGGCCATGGTAATTGACCGCGGTGGGCATGTGGAACGACTGCTTGCGTCTCCATTTCAGCAACGAATGGGTGTCTGCTTGGTGTTTCTAGATCAGCATCATTCGCGGGGAGTTGATCTGAAACTCCCACTTGGTACACGGGCCGCTGTCACACTTGGGCCTAGGCTGACCAAGGATCGTCTTGTCCAAGCATGCAGTAGACTACGAGAGCTTGGGAATGGACATTCAGTAACCTTTTTCATACCACCCGAAGTCAGCCACAACATGAACGCAGATGCTCGAAACCTCACTTCCAAGGAGGTGGTTTCGTGGACGCTCAAGCAGACTTGTGATAGTTTGGATACTCTTAGACCACTTTGGGCATTTCAAGGATTGCAGCATAACCGCCGAGCTCAGCTGATGGAGATGCTGGCCACCGACCCTGATCAGGCTGAAATAATCGTGTCTCGCATTCAGGAACCAGAGGCTCGACCGCTTTTGCAAATGTATGCTCCCTGGGAGAAGACGCAATTGATGGATCTGGACCCGGACCTCGATTGGAGCTCTCTGCAGACAGTACACCTCCTGGACGTCTGGAAGGCACCTGGCCGTCAAGCAATCGCTCGTCTCCACGAAGAGCAAGAAAGAGAGATTGCCCAAGAGGTCCAGCAGGAACAGCAAGTGTACCGCCCCCCTCCGACTCCTCCGGCATCTCATCGTCTCGACGCGGCGGTTCGACACCTTGCAATTCATGGTAAATTCCCGCATGACGGTTCTGCTGCATGGATAATGGCATTTGAAAGCTTCCGTACCACAAGTGCTAATGACATTGGCTTTCCTGGATGTTTGGGTCCACGTCTATACGCGACCAAAGATTTCGTTACTTCGATCCAGCGCAGGAACGGGATCCAAGATGATGAATTCTTGAAACCGGTGAATTGGATATTGTCTAGCATCCACAGCCCTAATCTGCTCGTGTTGAGTCAATACGAGGCGAACGAGCTCATTCCTGTTATCTGCGATTCCCCAAACACCAGGCTCCATGTTTATACATCCAGAACCACAAAATCCATGCGTTCATTCCGAGATCTGGCCTTTTTCATCAACGGTGTTAGCAATTTCGACAATCAGCAATTTGTGGAAACGACTCGAGATTTGGAATTATTTGCAGGTAGTCTCTATTTTAAATCTTTGGAAGATCACAATCGTTTCCGCAGCTTTCTTGGTCTTTTGACAGACAGTCACGATGATTATGCCGAGGGTTCGATCTCAGATGAAGGTTTTGTCAACGAAGAGGCTCGAAAGCTGGGATGGCCCGTTTCTTGTCCCTTTACTACGAGTCCCTTGCGCTTTTTGGCTACGATTTTCAACATGCGCGGACGGGGTCATGGATATTCGCAGACTCATATTGGAAGCATTATTGGGGGTAAAATGTTGATGGCCGATCGGTTTTGATTCGGATATGATATTATCTTACTTTGGCAAACTAGAATCTCGAAATGAATATCCTTTCAATTCTAAATACTCATCCATGGATGCCTTTCGTTTGGGCTCCAGACCTGTGTCTGTTGGTCCTGTTAGGCATCACCATGATTTCACCTCTAACTTTCCTGTACCTGCCCCAGTTCAAAACTTCGCCCTCGCCTATAAAACCATCCATCCTCATCATGTTAACCTGTACCTCGATCTGACTGGTTTAGTCCAGAAGATCGAGGGAAGGCCCGTCAAGATTGAGGAACAACTGACTGGTGTGACCAGCGCATGGATAGCCCAGCAACAGGTCCTAGCTCTCGCCCGCTAACTCGACACCAACGAGCTAATCGTGCTCAAAATCCGATATGAGTAGGGTCCATCTCAGACTCTCAGAGCGAGCTACTGACAACCGTGTCCAGTTTGAATCCCAAATGGTTCAGCATTGAAGACCCCAAAGAGAACCAAGATTTTGCCTTTGATCATTTCCTCCACGAATGTGACCTTGTCGAAATCGTTCATGAAATTGGTCATGGACCCAAATACATCAGTCATTTTTCGCGCAAGGCCGGTCCCAAATACCCATACCCAAACGGCTTGGTGCATTTTCTTATCATGTCTCGAGTTCCTGGGGAGAATGTCAGGGATATCTTCCTGGGTCTGTCCGATGAGCAGCTCGCAAGTATTAAACGACAGCTTGCTTACATTCTCGAGTATGTAGTTATCGCTGTCTTTCATAGTCTCTAACTGAATTCTCCAGACATATGCGTCAAAATGGAAGAACTTTATATGAACAGGATCCAGACTTTCTCCGATACGATATTCCAAATGACAAGCTGTCTGTTCTGATATCCCTTTAATAACAAGCTCAGTGTCTGACAAGTTAGCTATCTCGCCAATTTTACATTTTTCAACATTATCGACCCTGACCTCGAGGATCCCATTACCGAGCAGGATGTCTACGTTCTCACTTTCAAGATCTGGCAAAGGCACCTTCCCAGGTTCTTTGGAGACGAACCTCCCCGTCCTCCTGCCCCTGCCACGACCAAGGACGCCTCGACCCAGACTGCGGGGATATTCTAAGCTTTCAGAGAGGCCTTTAAGCTAGGATGGTCGATTATAACCGCCGCGAGGGGTCTTGTGTCCTCTTGTGTAAGAATTCGTGACAAGAGGTTAAGCATTTTGGACGTTTTGTTAGATTTGAATCATATTTTGCCATCAACTATTAATCTTCTCCTTGTATTTCTTGTCATGCTCAAATATGAAATTATTACGTTTCTGTTCTTTCTATTTGTTTTCGCGATACATACTATGATTCTACAGAATGATTTTATATGTTGTTGTGGACTGTGCGTTTGTCAAATATATATCCGTTACCATACCACATCTCTCGATAAACCCACTGCAAAATAATCTTAAACAGGGTAATATATATATTATGAATTTTACTCGCTATAATTATCATTACCTGTTCATAACTTGGTCATATTATAATCTCGTGATCCCTTCAGCGCTGCAAATCTTGGATGCTATACGATATATCGACACCAACACAACTTTACATGGATTTTCTAACATGAATATTGACAACTCTAAAATTAAACAATTCAAATGCTATAAAATATTGACAAATATTTCTGTATCAGCAGATGAGGACAGCAGCTGAAACCCATCCGTCCACAACCACCGAACCAACAGTTCCAACCGGACTCCGTGCCAGAAAAGTCGGATAGTTTGAGCCATTCTCAGTTGACAGTCGACCTTCCGACAGCCAAACTTTGGTTCTCCGGTGGAACGAGATATTAATATGCAAGGTTTCGGAGATGACTCGGAGTCCGGCCCTATAAGGGAATGTCGAAGAGGCCAGATTGAGGGCCCTGTTGCTCTTAGTCACGACGTGTCTGGTTGATTGACAGATGGAGACTGCAGAGTCATGGCTATTTAATTGTGGCCAGACTGTCCATATTGTAGCCGGATCCAGCGGCTGGATATATTATTTCTGCTCTGTGCCTGCATTGTTTGACTTCTCCACTGACTGACTTGCATATTCACGTGTCAATGTAACTAATATGAAGACTAAGAGTGTTGGATATTAAATCATACCCACTGTTAATGTACAATTCAAATAAAGTATTCAAAGCTATGGCGACACTCCACGTTCTGCTCTGTCTAGATCGACAACCTGATTGCCGGAATATAAATCCCGAAACACGAGTTCTACTGTGCAGCACTGTTGAAACTGCTGAATGATTTTCCTGCATATTTGGAATTTCCACTGACGTACCGGTGCTATTCCCAGCCACACAGCCACAGCATGACGCAGACAGCACCTCCCAATACTACAGATCAACACGGACAGGATAAATGATTTCCAGGGCTGATCAAGGCTTATATGGGCAACGATCATATGAAGGTCATAGTGTCCCTTCCCCAACACAGGATCTGAAACATCCGATCAGACTGCCGCGGATGCCGCGACCAATAATATCGCCACCAGCCATCCTGGTTCTGCGCAGTTTCACCAACCCAGGCGATGCAGATGATTCGCATGGGAAATGAAACCTGGGCATGGGAAATGATCACACTAGATCCTGCTCAACATGGATGCGAAGAGGGTGCCCCAATTCGTTCAATCATCGCCAATTGAATATGGACGCGGGGCCCTCTGGACTCTGCTTGCTTTTTCCAGTATTTATGGCCGATCCGACCACATGCTGAACTTGACCGTAAACGAAATGACGACTCGGGGCTTTCTGCGTGGGTGTAATTGACTGTGGCTGTCTCGGTAATTTAGCTAATTCGAAACTATTCATGCAGTGGCCTGATTTAGTGTATGCCGGCCACGAGTGGCATCACTCCAGTCCCTCACAGCCCTCGCGGATGGCTTCCCCATCTGGCATTTGTGAGTCGGGAATCCCGATTAAATCCGAACAGGAACAGGCAGAGACGAAGTTGTTCGCTTGGAAGGTCTCAGCCCTTCAGCCCAACACCGAGATGATGGTATGCTAAATGCCTTGGCAGGAGTAATGCCATCACATAATGACGGAGTGATTCATTTCAGTTCGACGGAGTTCGCTGCGTGCCAAGAGGGGCGATAAGATTTTTTACGAGGCAGTGGGATCAGATAAATCTGCTCACCCGGCTGTCAGGCAATGAGGATGGAACGGGTGGATACGCCTCGCTACTTTAATGGCTGCTGGGGATGGTGACTGGCTGGGCAGGATGGGCTAGGCTGGGAATTGTGCGCACAGGATGAGGGCATTCGTCAATTGCGGCGATATCGGGTAGAGATCGGCAGTCGGTGCCGTGTCTTATCAATCTGCTGTCACTGAAAGTGTATTTATTTTCTATTTTATTTTATTATACTATATAGTCTTCGATATATTCACTATTCGTCTACATTCCATAATTCTCCCCTATTGATCCATCCAGATGACAATGTATTAATGTACAATGGCATCCCATCCAGGATCGCGTGGGATTTTATGCAGAACGAAGTTGGGGTGGGGAAAGTGACAAGGGCTTGTGTTAGCTTAATTATTCTGTCCAATCACACAGCCACACCAAATTACTATGTGTCACTTGGCAGCCCTGGCGAGTCACGGGCGAGCCAGGAGTGGCTGCACTAGCCATGCAGCTTAATCATAGGCTAACGCGATATGGTAGGTGAACAGCCAATCGCACTCTTCCTCCGTCCAACCCGGTTATCTGATCCTGGCAAGTTATCTGATCCGAAGCCGATCGCCAACCCTAGTGAGCTTCACCACCTTTTCACCTCTCGAGATCGACATCGGAAAGCGCGCCTTGAGCGAAAATGAAACGAACCATGTTTGCTTGTTCCCGTTCCCCTCGTAGTGTCGGTACCCAGTATGCTCCATAGGACGCACATACATACAAGTAAAGATCCCTCCCGCTCGGTCCATGTTCGTTTCACTCTGTCACTGCCAACTTGCTGTCGACGTGCTGTGCTGCGCATCATGGGTATTACCGATTTGGTCCGAGGCCGCAACGACGCTCGACTCGCGCAGAATGTCGTCGGGTCTGACTTTCACGACCTCAAGTATGAAGTCAAGGTGGAATCGAATGGGGATGGGGTGGGATTGGAGTCGAGCCAGCCGGGGAATGAGAATGAGATTACGCAGGGTGCGCATCTAGGTGTGCAGAAGGCAGAGGCGGCTGCGTTGGCGTGGACGAAAAAAACGGCCTATATAACATATGCTTTGTGAGTTCTGTGCTCCGGTACGGTGGACGAGGTTCTAACGGTGTAGGATCTGGTTGGGCTTTTTCATGCTCGCCCTGCAGTCGTCGATCAGCAGCAACGTCATCCATAATGCGTATGCCTCGTTCGAAGCCGCCCCCGAAGTCAGCACGGCGAATATCCTCTCCAGCGTGATCAGCGGCATCGTCAAGCTCCCTGCCGCCCGCTTGTTGACCATCTGGGGTCGTACCGAGGGTTTCCTCCTCTTCGTCGCCGTTTACCTGCTTGGATTGGTGATTCTGGCTTGCTGCAACAACCCCAGCTCGTACGCTGCCGGATACGTGCTGTACTGGGTCGGATATGATGCTATTTTCCTCATTCTGGATGTCTTCATGGCGGATACGTCGGGGCTGCGCAACCGTGCGTTTGCGTTTGGGTTCGCCAGTACGCCGTTCATCTGTACTGCGTTTACGGGGCCGATGGCGGCGCAGTCGTTTATCAAGCATGCGAACTGGCGATGGGCGTATGGCACTTTTGCAATTGTGATGCCGTTTGTGTTTGCTCCGTTGGCCATCACGTTCAAATTCTACCAGCGCAAGGCTGAGCGGATGTACATTTACGAACGGGGATCGAGTGGCCGGACGCTCTGGGAGTCGCTCATGTACTACATCCACGAGTTTGACAGTATGTTTTATCCACCTGTTGTATAGATGAAGCTAACCTCTCAGTCATCGGCGCTCTCCTCCTCATCTCCGCGTTTGTCCTGCTTCTCCTCCCATTCAGTCTGGCCTCTGAAGGCCGCGCCCAATACAAAAGTGCCGCATTCATCTCGATGATCGTGATCGGTTTCTGTCTCTTCTTCGTCTTCGCTGCATGGGAGAAATACGGCGCCCGCACACACTTTATTCAATACGAGCTCTTCCGACAGAGGACAGTGCTTGGAGCGTGCTGCCTGGCCGGATGTCTGTTCTTCAGTTACTACGCGTGGGAATTGTACTTTTACAACTTTCTCATGGTGGTGTATGGCCTGGACGTCAGCATGGCCGGGTACATGGGCCAGATCTACAACGTGGGCTCGTGCATGTGGTCTGCCGTGTTTGGTGTGATTGTCTACATCACCAAGCAGTTCAAGTATACGTGTTTGTTCTTCGGGATGCCTCTCATCCTGCTGGGTGCCGGACTCATGATCCACTTCCGTGTGCCAGACGGCAACATCGGATACATCGTCATGTGTCAGATTTTTATTGCCTTTGCGGGCGGTACAATGGTCATCGGCGCCGACATGGCCGTGATGTCGGCTGCAGACCGCGAAGGCGTGCCCATGATGCTGTCCATGATCGGGCTGTTCTCGAGTCTGGGCGGCGCTATTGGATCGGCTGTTGCGGCGGCCATCTTCACCAACACTTTCCCCTCTGCGCTGCATAATGCTCTGCCGGCGGGTGATAAGTCGGACTACATGCGGATCTACCAGGGCGGGTATATCGCGCAGCTGGACTATCCGGTGGGCAGCCCCATCCGCACGGCCATCATGTCTGCGTACGGCACGTATATGAAGTACGGCTGTATCTCGGCGGTGGCGGTGATGTCGCTGGGGATTCCGTGTATAGCAGCGTGGCGGAACTACCGGGTGGACAAGAAGCAAAACAAGGGCGAGATGATGTAGTATCTTATTTTTTTTGTAATTTTGTATTTCTTTTGTCTTTTTATCTGTGGGTTTGCTCTCTGCTGGCAAGGGACGGCATTTTGTTTATGATATCCTGGTTAGTTACTGTTAGTCTGGTTACGACACAATGAATATTTCAATAATGCGCACATCCTGCAGCCGTCGGCGGCGATCTCTTGGCACCAACAGGTAATCCCCAACTACGCAGACCAAACCATAAAGAATGGAGGCGCTTCGGGCGCTCTCGGCGAGGTCATTTGACGCGCGACAACGTCATGAACCCTCGGGCCTGGGTGGAGGGGGAGTGGAGAGGCACCAGCAGTCACACCTAGCGCCTCCACCGTGGCCAGCCTAGTTTGGGCGGCGAGAGACAGGAAAATAACTCGGACGGAAAGGGATCGGCCAAGATAAGATTGATAAAAGCGATGTCGGATCGTTGTGCGATTCTTTTGTCTGATTTTGTCCTTTGATATCTTCGTTTCTTCCAGCAATGTAAAATGGAGCGACTCCCCCCCAAGTCCAGCCCTCGAGGCCACGCCCGCAAAGGCTCCGTCGCCCCTGACCTGCCCTGGTTCCTGCAACTCGACTGCGACGATGAGGTGGTCTACGAGGACACCCCCATACCCGCCATCAAGGGCGGCACGCTGCCCGGGCTGGTCGAGCAGTTGACTCGCCACGACAAGCTGGATATTTCCTTTAATGAGATCTTTTTACTCACATACAAGTCCTTTGCCTCAGCCGACGAGCTCTTCGAAACCCTCCTGCAGCGCTTCTACATCGCCACCCCCATGGAACTCACCCCCGCCGAACACACCACCTGGGTCGAGCAGAAGCAGAAGACTATCCGCTTCCGCGTCGTCAACGTCATGAAGACCTGGTTTGAGCGTTTCTGGATGGAATCCCACAATGAGGCCACCGTGGACTTTCTCAAACTCGTCCACGCCCTCGTCAAGGGGTCCCCGGCCATCCTTGAAACACCGGGCTGTGCCCAGCTGCTGTCCGTCGTCGAGCAGCGACTACAGGGTCAGGAAAGCACGACGAGACGACTCGTGCCGACGGTCAACGCACATGCTCCCTCACCGAATGTGCCCAAGAATATGAAACGAGTCAAGTTTCTCGACATCGACGCGACCGAGTTTGCCCGCCAGCTCACCATCATCGAGTCGGGGCTGTTCCGCCGGATTCGACCGCAGGACTGCGTGAACAAAACGTGGTCGAAGAAGGCGTCGGCCGAGTCTGCGGAGCCGGCCACCGGGGTGAATGCGATGATTCTGCATTCGAACCAGCTGGCCAACTGGGTGGGAGAGATGATTCTGGCTCAGTCGGATCTGAGGAAGCGAGTGGCCATGGTGCGGCATTTTATCAACGTGGCTGAGGTATTCCATGCTACCATCTGTGACATTGATGAAGCTGACTGGATAGAAATGCAATTCGTTAAAAAACTTTGCCACGATGATGTCGATTATCTCCGGACTAGGCACAACACCTGTATACCGACTGCATCGCACATGGAGCCAAGTAGGCGGGCGATGTCTAGGGCCTCTCGAGCAGATGCGCAATCTGATGGCCAGCACACGGAATTTCATCCGATATCGTGAAAAGCTGCGACTGACGAATCCGCCGTGTGTTCCATTCCTAGGTACCCCCTACACCTCATCCATATCATCTATCTACATGATATACTGACAGAAAAGGCGTCTATCTAACCGACCTCACCTTCATCGACGACGGCATCCCCAGCCTCCTCCCCAACAACATGATCTCCTTCAGCAAACGGGTCAAAATCGCCGAAGTCCTCCAAGACATCCAACAATACCAATCCAACTCGTACCTGCTACACCCCGTCCCCGAACTCCAAGAATACATCGTCCGCAACATCCAAGCCGCCGGCGACGTGCACGAGCTGTACGATCGCAGTCTCGAACTCGAGCCCCGACTCCGCGATGAAGAGCGGATGATGGCAATGCGGCATGGGCCGTACGCGGCGACGGGGAGTCATATGAGTTCGGTGGTGATTGCGAGTATGGTGATGGAATAATATATGTTCTATCGTGTTATGAAATGGATGATGATGATATACCCGTGTTTGATTTAGGTAATAGCATAATCAAATAATCAACCTTGTATGAGGCATTTAACAGCGTGTACGGCTTCCCCGCATCTTCTGCAGTTCGTATATTATCCATCAGATAATCTTAGTAACTGCTTATCTGATATGATTATCTGATTTGCCTGGATAGTCAATGGCCAAAAGTACTTGCATGGTTACACAGTGCACTGTTCTCTTTCGTATTATCCCAGTCTGATGTACCGTTGCACAGGCTGTGTTGCCTATTATTGCCTATTCTGTCTCTTCCTATTCAGTCCATCCATTTTGCCTTTCTGATTGCCTTTGGCAGATCCAGAGCCATGGTTATCATACCAGGCGAACAATGGCGATCAACAATGCCATTGTTGGCCATGCACAATCCTGTCACATCCGACCGTGCGATTTTCGGATAAATGCATTCAAACTGCGAAGATGAGTCATCTGGGTGATTTGCTTTTGTTCAGGAAAGGGAGACAATATAATTATGTCATTGTGCAATCGGGTGGATGCATCAGTTAACCACCACCATATTATTATATTGACAATAATTAACAATAACAACGACAGATAATCACAATAATTTATACCCCTGCAGACAATCCCTTGATTGCTTCCTTTGTTCCTTTATTCTTTATTTCTCCCCATCCCTAGTTAACGACGTGTCTCCATTCCACCCCTCGCTATCCCGAAAGAATGCCAACGAAGCTTCATTTCGTCATGATCGCATCCGGCCAGCAAATCCTCCCAGGTAACATGGCCAATTTAACCAGCAAGATTAACCTCGTCTCATTCAGGGGAATCGTCAAATCAGAAACGGCGATTGTGCGCTCACGATGAATCTAACTCGATGCGGCGGTGGAGCGAGGTGTCAGTGGGTGAAGATGTTACATCAATGCAACAATGATTGCACCTTTGCCATTGAGATGGATGGAGTGTACCATGGTTGAGATGGGAGTGAATGGCTCTGTCCATTGTTACTGTAGGTACAGAACGACAGGATAAAAGGCATAAAGGAGAGATGCTCCTCGTGTCGCATTCCATCCCTGGAATGCCTTGATGGACTTGCTGGTCCATGGCTTTTTGTTTTCTTTCTTTCTGCCTTTGATTCCCTGTTTCTATCATTCATTTCACATCATGAAAGTCTCTCGATTATGTCTTCTTCCGGTGGTTGTCCACGCTATCGATTTACAGATCGATGATCCAGGTATACCCCATGTACCTTCATCAATAGCCTCATATACTAAGAAGCAGACTCCATCAAACAAACCGCCCACGATGTCGCCGAACAGATGCTCACCCACTACACCGGGATGAACCCCGGCGACAACCCCGGCAACCTGCCCGACCCGTACTACTGGTGGGAAGCCGGCGCCATGTTCGGCGCCCTCATCGACTACTGGTTCTACACGGGCGACGACACCTGGAACAACATCACCATGCAGGGTCTCACCTGGCAAGCCGGCGGCACCGGCACTTTCATGCCCTCGAATCAGTCCCGCACAGAGGGTAACGACGACCAGGCCTTCTGGGCGTTTGCAGTCATGTCCGCGGCGGAGCGCAATTTCCCCAACCCCCCCGACGACCAGATGGGGTGGTTGGCGATGGCGCAGGCGGTGTTCAACACGCAGGCAAGTCGATGGGATACGGAGACGTGTGCGGGTGGGCTGCGGTGGCAGATTTTCTCATTTATGAATGGATATGACTATAAGAATACGATCTCGAATGGGGGGTTCTTTAATCTGGCTGCGCGGCTGGCCAAGTATACCGGGAATCAGACATACGCAGACTGGGCCGAGCGTGTATGGGACTGGACGACGGAAACTGGCTTCATGTCGGATCAGTATGAGTTCTGGGATGGCGCGAATGACCGGCTGAACTGCACCGAGTTCAATCGGATCCAGTGGACGTATAACCCGGGTGTATACCTGCTTGGTGCTGCCACCATGTACAATCTGGTACGTCTACACCACTGATGAAAGACACCTACTGATAAGTGATAGACAAACGGCGATCCCGCGTGGAAAGAACGCACAGCACGTATCATCGAAGCCACCGGCATCTTCTTCCACGGCGAAGGCAAAGACATCATGTACGAACGCGCCTGCGAACCCGTCGACACCTGCCAGATCGACCAGCGCGGCTTCAAAGGCTTCCTCGCACGCTGGATGTCCGCATCCACGCAGCTGGCCCCCTTCACCTACGACATGGTGATGCCGAAACTGCGCGCGTCCGCCGTCGCAGCAGCAAAGACGTGCGTGGGCGGCTCGAAAAAGACAACGTGTAGTTTGAAATGGGCAGAGCCGAAATGGGACGGGCGGGATGATGTCGGGCAGCAGATGAGTGTGTTGGAGGTGGTGCAGGCGAATCTCATCAGTCGCGTTGAGCCTCCTGTGACCGATGAGAATGGAGGCACGAGTAAAGGCGATCCCGGGGCTGGGTCACGGCCTCCAGATCCACGACCACCGGCTATCACGATGGACATCACGACGGGGGATCGAGCGGGAGCAGGCATTCTGACGGGGTTGATGGCGATTGCGATTGTTGGGTCGACGGGGTGGATGATATACGAATGATGATAGCAGTTTAATTGTAGATCTTATGATACGATAATATATTGATGATTATAGTCTTCCATATTCTACACTATGGGGAGTGTGGATCTTACCGGATTAGGCAGTATAGGCGATCTGACCAATCACAGCTCTCTCGGCCACATCCATACAAGATAAATTCAGTCTCTCATGAACTGAATCTCTGCATCCATCCATCTTCATCTTCATCAAAATGGTCAAAATTAACGAATTCGCCGTCGAGCGTGTATGTCCTCCATAATATCTTCAGTGTCTATACTAATGTCACAGTGGATGGACGACCACGAAACCAGCGCCGTCCACAACCTCGCCGAAACCTGCTGCGCCTCCATCTCGCTCAACGACCTCCTCACTCTCTCCCAGTCAACCAAAACACAAGACACCCTCATCGACCTATCCCAAAAACAAGTCTACGGCGCCATCCGCGGCTCGACCGCCCTCCGCACCAACATCGCCAATCTATACAATGACAATGACAACCCGGATGCGGAAACCGTCTGCGCCGAGAACATCCTCCTGACAAACGGGGCTATCCAGGCGAACTTCCTCGCGCTGTATACGAATGTCGGGCCGGGGGATCACGTCATCTGTCATTATCCGACGTATCAGCAGTTGTATTCTGTGCCTGAGTCGTTTGGGGCGGAGGTGAGTTTGTGGAGGTCAAAGGAGAATGGGTGGGGAGTTGATTTGGATGAGCTGAGGGGGTTGATTAAGCCGAATACCAAGTTGATTGTCATCAAGTACGTCTTCCTATTCCATCCTGTGAATATAAACTGACTAACTCATCAGCAACCCCCAAAACCCCACCGGGGCAGTTCTACACCGCGATGTACTCCAAGGCATCGTCGACATCGCCCGTCAGCACAACATCACCATCCACAGCGACGAGGTATACAGACCTCTCTTCCACTCCTCGGTAACGCCCCCATCTATCCTCTCCTTCGGGTACGAGAAGACCATCGCAACAGGATCCATGTCCAAGGCATTCAGTCTCGCAGGTATCCGTCTCGGCTGGATTGCATCACCCAGTCGTGCCATTATCGAGGCCTGCGCGTCCACCCGCGACTACACCACCATCTCGGTAAGCCAGATCGACGACCAGATCGCGACGGCGGCTTTGTCGAGTCCGACGGTGGGGAATCTGCTCGCGCGGAATGTCAATCTGGCAAGGCGGAATCTGGCCGTGCTGGGTGGGTTTATGGAGAAGTATGCGTGGGCTGTGCGTTGGGTGAGGCCACAGGCTGGTACGACGGCGTTTGTCAAGTTTGTGAACAGGAATGGTGATCCTGTTGACGATGTGTTGTTTTGTAAGCGGTTGCAGGAAAAGACGGGTCTGATGTTCGTCCCTGGGAGTAGATGTTTCGGGGGCGATGTTGATTTCAAGGGCTATGTTCGTGTTGGATATGTACCGGAGCATCAGGTTATGGTGGATGGATTGGAGGCTTTATCTCGCTTTATGGAGGAAGAGTATGAACATCTCCAGTGATGTATAAGAACATGATAGTTTACAGTGATATAAGACAGCTAGAACAGAACAAGTTCCAATCCACTCCCCGCAAAAAACAAATCCCATCGTACCGCCGTATTCGCCTCCCAATACACACTCAACGCCTCTCTTGCGCGCGTGAAATTCCCCATCCCCGTAGCCTGCATATTCTTCATTCGTTCCTGGATGATATCCCGCTCAATGATATCGTCCGTTTCACAGCCGGCACTGAAAATCGGCCAGAGGATGAGGATGTTTGCAGTGGAAAACGGGGGAATGTTGTTGAATGCGTTGATGATTCCGGTAATCTGGGCTCTGACTTTGGGATGGTCTTTGGGCAGGTTTTGCACACGGCGATGGAGATGGAGAAGGGCGGAGTGGATGAATGTCTGATGGGTGTGTGGGAGCTGCAGTGCGAGATCTGAGTGGGATGTGAGGGTATGCGTTGCTGCGGATTTGTGCGAGACGGCCAGGATGCGGGTTTCTATATCTTCTGCTTCGGAGGCGGGTATAGATGGTGTGTTGCATGCCTGTTGACGCGCGAGTATCCCAATCCGAGCAAGTAGAGGAAGCAACTCCATCGAATAACCGCAAATATCATCAACATGGCCGGTCGAAGTCATCTCCAATGACCAATACCGACCATCCTCGACACAGCCACCGTGGATACCAGATAATCCGGCCGAAACATCCAGCGTAGCGAACCACTTGAACAGACACTGTGCGAAGGGGTCATCAGTTGGCTGATTCTTCTCGAATACAGCGTTGAGTAGCTTCTTCACGCCCTGGAGATGGACTCTCCATGTTCGAGGATTCCCATTACACACGTCATTCGTGCATAATGCCATGGCCGTCATGGCTGTTTCAGGTTTAAGCATCTCCTTTTCATCGTTGAGTGCATCTCGCAAACCGGAAATAGCCAGATTAGTAAACTTGAGAATCGTCCGTCTTGTATTCTCAGACGTGTCTGTAATCAGCCGTGCATGGTGACTGCAGGCTGCTGCAAGAAGAGCATGTAGAAGATGCCTCGTATTCAGCGCCGTTGAAACCAGCGTTTGGCTAAACAGCGGCGGGGCAAGAGGGAACAAAACAGAGGCTGTTTGTGTTCCAAAATGGTGCATGAAAAATTGATTTTCGTGGGTTGAGAGATTGGCCCATGGGTTGAGGGGTGGTTGGATGCATATTCTTTGAGCTGCTGGTACTACTTGAGGAGATCTAGGCCCCGACACTCGAGATGATCTCGTTGAGCCCGTGATGAAGTTGGACTCGTATTTGCATCCTTGTGGATATCGGGTGCATCGTGAACATGTTGGTTTTTGCAAGTCACACTATCTTGTTAATACTGATGCTATTCAAGATAAGATGAATATACCTTCACCTTCTTCCTCCGACACTCTGTACAGCCATCGCGTCTTCGCTGGATGCCCTCATTCCAGGATAGCTTCATCGATGTGAGTTGCTGGAGGAATCGACGTCATTTTAGCCGCTGATATTCCGTCGCTCACGTGGTCTGCCAGCCCTACCAGGGCTTGTCGAATCATCTGACCTCTTACTATATAAGTATAAAATAATAAATAAAAGTACAGATTAGAAAAGTAATGCTGAATGGCCACTTCATATGCACGTAATCAATCAAGTGGGCCTGCATGGATGTGCCGGAATACCGGATGTATCCATGCGGATCTATATCATCTCCATATTAATCCTGAGAGGGGAAATGAGGGGTTTCATCCGGGGAGTCGGAGGATTTCCGCTGTCTTTGCTATAAAGGTCTTCTTCTCGACTGTAACTATTACAGCTATACACCATACACCACAGTCAACATGTCACCTATTGTTTCAGCATCATCCGAACCCCAATCCGAACCTGACATCCCCAGCTTCTGCAAAGCTGGCGTGGTCGTCAATGAAGGTCCAGACTATGAAGTCAAAGTAGAGATGGTCCCTGTCCCTCAGCCAGGTATTCCCATCTCCGATACCATCGAACGTGGCTAACTTCCAGGCCCCGATGACATCCTCATCCGACTCAACGTCACCGGTCTCTGTTCCTCCGACATCCATCTCATGAAAGGCGATCTAGGCGTCCCGCCCATGTCCTCCTTTGGCGTCCGCTCACCCGGCCACGAAGGCGCTGGCGTAGTCGTCAAGATCGGCGACAACGTAAAAAACTTCAAAGTAGGCGATCGCGCAGGCATCAAGCCGATGATGGATACATGTGGTGCTTGTGATTTATGCTGGGGCGATAAAGAGACATACTGCAGTGGAGCTGTCCTGACTGGATTAGCAGTGGCAGGCACGTACCAGCAGTACATTGTGTCCCCTGCGCGGTATGCATCGCCCATCCCCGACGGTGTGCCGGATGAGATCGCAGGCCCGATCATGTGCAGTGCCAGCACGATGTACCGGTCGCTGGTGGAGTCTGGGCTGAAGCCTGGGAATTGGGCTGTGTTTCCGGGTGGAGGGGGAGGCGTTGGGATTCAAGGCGTGCAGCTGGCGAAGGGGATGGGGATGCGGCCGATTGTGGTGGACAGTGGAGCGATGAAGAGGGAATTGGCATTGAAGATGGGCGCAGAGGCATTCGTGGACTTTGCAGAGGAGGAAGATGTTGCTGGTGCAGTTATCCAAATTGCAGATGGAGTTGGGGCTCATGGAGTATTTGTCACTGCGCCAGCGGCATACAAGACAGCCCTTTCGTATGTTGGCAATCGCATTGGAGCTGTCTTGATGTGTATCGGTTTGGCACAGGCTGGGGTATTGACAATTGGAGCAGATCCTAATGTCTTTGTGTTTAGGAATCTGAGTGTCAAAGGCACACTGGTGGGCAGTCGGAAGGATACAGCTGCTGCGCTGGATTTTGCACGCAGAGGAATACTGCAGTCGATCAGTGAAGTGTATCCGATTGATAAATTACCCGAAGCAGTGAAGAAGCTGGAGAGAGGAGAAGTGGCAGGAAGAATGGTGGTGGATTTCAATATGTGATGTATCAATTCTGTATCTACAACTATGCTATATCTATTTATCCTCGTACTTGTACTTCTCTTCCAGATCCTATAAAGTCAGCCACATTCTCAGAATAGATGGAAGACATACCCAATACTTATTGAATCCCACTCCCTCACACACCTCACTATATCCAAGAATCATCGGCGGTGCTCCCACCGTCATGCTCTGTTTGAGTCCATCCAGGGTCTCTCGGATACTCTTCAATTTCGCTGCCACCAGAGTCCACGGATAGGCAACAGCAGAGAATCCCAGCTGTGCCAGATCTGCAGCTGAGAGATTCTCCGTCTTGCCGCCTTCAATGATATTGGCAAAGGTGGGGATTCCAATTTCCTCAACGCACTTCTTCATAGCATCCCGGTCTGGAAGTGCCTCGACAAAGACGGCGTCAACGCCAATCCGTTTGAACTCCTTTGCCCGAGTCATCGCTTCCTCCCAGCCGAGGATGAGAGCGTCAGTGCGAGCGAGGATGAAGATATCCTGTCCTTCGTCGCGGGCGTCACAGGCAGCTTGGATGCGAGCATACGCTTCCCCGCGCGAGACGACCGATTTGCCTTTTGTATGACCGCATCCTATCAAATTAGCATCTCCCATTCTAGGTTATCAGCACATGGGTGATTCATAGGTCAAATACTTACTCTTCGGCCACGTCTGATCCTCAATCATCACACCCGCCGCCCCAGCCCTCGCAAAGCACTCCACCGTCCTCCTCACATTCATCGGACTCCCATACCCCGTATCCCCATCCGCCATGACAGGCACAGAGGTCACCCTCACCACCTCCTGGATCTTCCTACACACGTCTTCCATGGCGATATACCCTGTATCAGGGATGCCGAAAGAACTGGCAACGGCGTACCCGGCGAGGAAGATCATGGGGAACCCGGCCTCTTCGACAAGGCGGGACGAAAGACCATCGTAGGAGCAGGCGTGGGCAAGGATCTTGGTGGGATCGTGGTGGGCTTCGAGCATCATTGCGCGGAGGTGGGAGGTATGGATGGAGGGGATGCGGCCTCTGGTGTGGGGGAGGGAGGGAGAGGGAGAAGAAGGGGTGAATTGGAAGGGGTAGGGGATCATTTTACTGATTTGTTGCGAATTGATTGAATGAAAGAATGAGGGGGTTGAGGTGGTTGTGATGATTGTTTGATATTAGATGTGAAAGATGGTTTATATAGTTGTGGCGGGTATTTACTGCGGATAATGCCAAATACCCGCCACGACGAATAACCGAAACATGACAATTCATGACGAAGCTATGAACTATCCTTACCCCGTGGGGAAGTCAAATGAAATGCGGGGTGCAGATATCCGGTAATTCGTCTATATAAACCTCGTTGATGAAGGAGATGTTCTATCATCATCCATCATGGACAAGCCATCTGCACAACACTTGGAAGGAGGGCTCAAGACCCATCCTGTCATCCACGTTTCCTCTCAGCAACAAGCTTCAATTCGTAGAAAGGTATGCGTTCCTCGTCATACGAGCTGTCTAACAATACCAGTTTGACCGTCGAGTCCTTCCCATCGTGTGCATTCTCTACATTCTCTCCTATCTCGATCGAGGTATGCTCCCATCTACTATATCAACGTTAGGCTAACGTATTCAGGCAATATTGGAAATGCCAAAACCGCTGGTCTTGATAAGGACCTCCATCTCAATAGTGCTCAATGGGCTTGGGTGCTCTATGCCTTTTATATCTGCTATATTCTCTTTGAATGGACGACTGTGCTGTGGAAACTCCTTCCTGCGCATATCTACGTTGCTGTATTGTGCATTTGGTACTCATCTCTATCTCTGTATATCTCTAATTATGCTAACTTCTCAGCTGGGGCGCGGCCGCCATGTGCAGCGGTGCCGTCAACAACATGGCCGAATTGATCGTCTGCCGCTGTTTTCTAGGCATCTTTGAAGCGGCCTTTGGAGCTGGAGCACCATACTTCCTGTCTCTGTTCTATCAAAGACGTGAACTGGGGTTTAGAGTCTCATTATTGCTGGGCATGTCCCCTGTCGCCAACTGCTTTGCGAGTGCCTTGGCCTATGGCATCACGCATATCCGGGATTCGTTGGAATCATGGCGATATCTTTTCATTATTGGTAGGTCTATATAACTACCTTACTTATCTGCTGATGCTAACAACATACAGAAGGAGCACCCACCATCATCTTCTCCATCGTCGTCTTCTTCTTCCTCCCCGACTCCCCGGGCACTGCCAAATTCCTCAACGAAACCGAACAAACCCACGCCGTAGAGCGACTGCACGATCTGGATCAAACAGCAAAGAACCGGCTGGAGTGGAATCAGGTCTTCAACGGCCTATCCGACTACAAGAACTACATCCACATGGGCATCCACTTCTGCTGCAACTACTCCTTCGCCGGCCTGTCCAACTTCCTCCCCACCATCCTCCACGACATGGGATACACTTCTATAACCGCCCAAGGCCTATCCGCGCCCCCATACTTCGCCTCATTCCTCTGCTGCATCGCTGCAGCGTTAATCTCCGACCGCTACGGCCACCGCGGCCTCGTCATCGCTGTCTCCGCAACAATCGGCATGATCGGATATCTCCTCCTCGCCGCCGTCCAAGACGAGACGCAAACCGGCGTCCGCTATCTCGGCATCTGGCTTGCGACGTGTGGCGTCTTCCCCGCACTCTCCATAAACATCACCTGGCTGCTGAACAACCAAGGCGGAGATTCGAAAAAGGGCGCCGGGATGGCGGTGTTGGCGGTGTTTGGGCAGTGTTCGAGTTTTGTGAGTAGTTCTGTGTTTCCGGAGAGTGAGGCGCCGTTTTATGTGAGGGGGTGTGCGGTGGGATGTGCGTTGACGGGGATGATTGCCGTGTTGGCGTTGGGGCTGTATGTGAAGCTATTAAGGGAGAATCGAAGAAGAGATGTGTTGTATGGGCGAGTGGAAGAGGGAGTGAGAGTGGACGTGACGGTTGAGGGGGATAAGAGTGCAATGTTTCGGTATTTGATTTGATGTTTATATCCGATTGGCTATAGCAAGTATATCCACTCTGCAGTATAAATACTCCGCATTCCATCTCCACATCCACATCTACATCTACATCTATATCTAAATCTACAATGAATCGTCCACCTCGCGGCAGAACAACGGAGGAATACCAATTCCGCCGCACTTATCAAGCCTGCATTCCCTGTCGCCAGAGAAAAGCCAAATGCGAAGTGACAGACGAGAATCAGCCGTGCAAAAGATGCCAGGCAAAACAGCTGCACTGCCGCTATCCCACCAAGCGGCCATGGCAACGCAACCCATCAACCACAACATCAGACACAAACGTGCTGAGGATCTGGAATGCCTGCCGCTTCGTCCGGATGGGCTGGTTCACTGCCTCTGAGGCTCTCCTCCTCATCGACCGCTTCTTCACGCACATGTGTCCTCAATCCCCCATTCTGACTTCTTTCTACGCCAATCCCGCCCATCACTACTGGCTGATCACGCAGGAGCCCATGCTGTGCTGCGTTATCCTGCTCATTTCCTCGCGATATCACCATCTCCCCGGCTCGGCGGGCTCGTCACGCAGCTACTTCATCCACCACCGTCTCTGGCAACATTGCCAGCACCTCATCCTCCGCATCACACTGGGGCAAGAGAAACTATCCAAAGCCAAAACCCGGCATCTGGGTAGCATTGAAGCCCTCCTCCTCCTCTCAGAATGGTATCCCCGGTCGCTGCATTTCCCGCCCGAAAGTGACGGCTGGGATGCGGATTTGATGCTGACGAATCCCGATGATCGCGATCCCCCGCTCGATGAAGATGACGTTCCCATGTCTGATCGGTGGAGGGCGGATGTTGTTGAGCCGTCAAGACGATCGGATCGGATGTCATGGATGTTGCTTAGTTCTGCGCTGGCGCTGGCGCATGAACGGGGCGTTTTTTATGGGAAGCCATCGCGGGCAAGAGATGTGACTGGGCCCGATGCAGAGATGTATCTTGCGCATTTGGAGGTGAGGAGACAGCGTCTGCCGGGACTGTTGTTTGTGTTTGTTAATGGGCTTGCGGCGAGGATTGGCTGTACGTCACTTATGCCGGAGTTTGGGGGCATATCGACTTGTATTCCAGATGCTGGATGGACTGCGCTGATGCATACTTGGGTGGAATTGACGAAGCTCACCAAGGAGATCACGGACTCTGTGATGGCAAATGGCATGGTAGATGTGGCCATGTTGGATGGATGGAGAGAGAAACTGCGCCTGTTGAAAGAGAGTCACAATGGTACATCCCATCTCTTCAGTATAGACATCATACTTACTGCCTAGACTCCCTCCTTCACATCGAACACCAATACCTCCGCGTCTTCACCAACTCCCTCGGCATCCAAATCATCGTCGAACAAGTCCTCTCCCACCCTCAATCCCAACCCATCGACGCATCCTTCATCGCGCGAGCACGCCAGCTCAACCTCACCCCCGCGCAATACGAATACATCGAAGAAGTCATCGACGGAGCGGGCGCCATCCTCACTCACATCGTGCAAGAAACCCAACCCCTCCAGTATCTCCCAATCCGAGTCTTCCACCGCGTCATCAGCTCCTCGATCTGTCTCCTCAAAGCCCTAGCACTGGGCGTAAAAACCGCCAAACTGGAACAATCGCTACAGTTGCTCGATCGGGCGATTGCTGCATTCCAAGCGCGTCCTCTTGATGATATTCATCTTATTTCGCGGTATGCTACGCTGCTTGAAACGCACGTGGAGCAGCTTCGGCAGACATTCGCTAGAGTGAATGTACCCACCACGGATCATCAGAATGAATCTATTAACGAGGGAATGTGGGATGTCCCATCAGACTGGAGTGATTGGCTATCGCTACCGTTTGACCCCCTGATGGCGCCGTTTGGAGAGTGGGATGGCCAGGAGTTGGATCTGGATGCGGCGTTTTGGGATTTGGATTTTATATGGAATTTGCCTCCTTGATATCGTTTTTATTCAAATTTTAATAATTATCACATTGATAAATAGATAAAATAAAAAATACTTTCTAGTGACAGACCCGCCAACAGTGACGGAAAGAAAAACAAAAAAATGGACTCGCGGGGAATCGAACCCCGGACCACTCCCATGCTAAGGGAGTATTATACCACTAAACCACAAGCCCAATGGCTTGAAAGGTCGACAGATTATATGCCATATAAAAGAAATAATCTTCTAAATCATTTTGCTCCATTAATTCATGCACAGTTTTATGGAAGATCAAGAGTATTCTCTATGCGAAAAGAAAAATAACTTTTTTATGGTCTAGTATATTCAGCTCTGATTTTCATTACATTCCATTATATTTACAATCATCAATGGAAATGTTCCATTGATGATTTTCTATCGCAAGTTTTGCTACTTGCGACAAAATATATTTCCCGCAAACAGTCGTCCATAAACATCACACGGCACAACCAAATAACAGCTATGTTTAATAATTCAAGAACGACCACTCTCCTTTAGATTCCAAAATCCCACCCCCTATATATCTCCTACCCAAACCAACTAAGAATCTGCATCATATACCCTCACCAGCCGTAAATTCCCCCACCTCTCCCTCTCCGTCCCATCAATAAAACCCAGCTCTTCATCCGCACACGATATCATGATCGAATCCAAATGAAAAGAAGGCCTGGTGAGCGGCATCTTCAAGCCTCTCTTCAAGCTCCGCAAAATATGCAACCTGGTAGTATATAGCATCATTCCCTCGTCAGCTAGACCTGCGGGCGTCACTTGGATCGAGAATGCAGAGGGGTATTTGTTGGTATTGTTGAAGAGTTCGATGGCGATGGAGCGTTTTTCGAGATGGCAGAAGAGATATCGGAGGAGTTGCTCGTCTGTTATGGGAGTGATTTTGGGATCTGGGAGGAGGGGGAAGAAGATCCAGTAGTCTTGGTTAGCCATTGGATAGGAGATATGGTGGCAGGGTAGTTGTGGGGGGTTCAAGGCAGATATTTATACTTGGATACAACAATGGGTAGATGGAAAAAGTGGTTTTATATTGATGTGATTGACAAGTCTTTGGCATGATATACACAAAGAGAGACTGGTCTGTTTTGGACTTTCCCTTGCTTTTTGGTGAGCATGCAGACAAAGGCGTCGCAGAGGTAGCTTGACTGGACACATTCCAGTTTCTGTCAAAAGATGTTCTCGAGAAGAAAGAACATCAAGGAACGGTGTTTGCACAGTTTTTGGCAGACTGGTGGTGTAACACAGTCCAAGGTGGACCATACAGATGACTTTTATACAAAAGTGATGGAACATCCAGCGTCAGACTGCCACTCAACGCAAAGCACTGCACGACTCAATGGACTTAGCCATCTGGACAGTATCGAAAGTCTAAGCAATAGATCCAATCATGGACTACAGATTGTTTACGCTTTGCATCTTTCAACTTGATATTGCTTTTGAACCCGAGTAAGAAGAAGAAGAGAATAATATTCACATAACAAAACAGGATCATCATCGGGCAGCGGAGCTCCACCATCTCGCTCATGAGATGTTCTCAGGAGGAGCATGTTTGGCAGCACAACGGCCACAGTGTCTTAACCAGCTGCAAGATATGAGCGGAGAATATGCGGACAAGTCAGAATCACTTACACGGGGTTATTGAGCATTTTCTGTGCCCATCGAGTATGTCTTCCATTTGGCCCACGGCGGAAAACCCATCGACAGCACTCTGCACACAGAATACAACCGCCTTGGACGTTGAACCGCGTTTCAAGCCAATCCGAAACGATACATTGAACCAGTAGATCCTCCTTGCCCTCCTCCGTGTCTTTATACGGCGGTGGCACAGCCTCATCTGTCATCAAAAAATGCGACAGAGCTTCTGGGTCGAGAATTGATGCCAGCTCGTCTACTGGTTCTACAGCTTCTGGCGGGCTAATTGTCCCAGGAGCTGGGTCGTCCATGTGATCATGGCCACTCATGGCGAGATATCTAATGACAGCGGCCAGCGCTGCAGGTTCATCCCATGAGGCCCAGTGGTAACCAAGCTTTTCTATAGCCTCGGGTTCATTGCGATACCGGTCAAGGTCATAGTAGGCGGCGAACAGAGTGAGGAAGTGAGGTCCAGTCAGACCAAGCGAAAGCTTGCTAGGCCGATCAAGGCGCTTGAATATGAGATATAAGATTTCAGTTGGGAGGTCGGACAGTGATAAGGGCATTTTGATGGAATACGCGGGGTGGATGGAGGTCAGGAAGATGGTTTGGTTGATGTCTCAGGCGGTGTGGCTAAACCCAATTCGGCTATCACTTCTTCCATAGTTTCCATGGTGACTCTTCAAGCGTCTATACAAAACCAGCTGTAAAAGTATGATAAATCTGCACCTTAGGATTCTCTATTCCAGAATATACCAAGAAGATGACAAGTTGATAACACTAAAGAATACGACAGAGTCGTCCCCGGCCCTCATCCTTGAACGGCTCCAATGCACCCTTGCCACTGATTTTGACTTCCTCATACTGTCGGACCAGACGCTTACCTGGCTCTAATCTCGAGGCTGATACCCAGTTGCCGTGAATCTGGGCCTTGACATGAAATGGAAGTTGAACAATAGCCACCGGCTTCTCAAAGTTCTGGGTGTCGATAACGGCAATATCGCATCGATTCGCAGCCCGTCGTTCAACCAATGTCATCACCCAGCCATCGGCTTCCGTCTCGGAGCGTGGGATGAAGATAGGTTCCTGGCAAAGGGCGTCATCACCAGCATAGAAATACCGGGTTTCACCTGTACGATTATTATGCATGGCTAGGCCGTTTAGTCCTTGGAAGATATTCTTTCTTCCATCACTGTTCTGGGGGATAAAGACATTGAGGAAAACCCAATCATATCGAGTACCCATGAGTCGCTCGTCGATTCGGGGGAATTCTGAAGGAAGATCGAGAACAACCTCTGGGTCCGGGATGGTGGTGCCGGTTGGCTTGCTCAGGTCAAACTCCCATCGAACAAAATCCGCCTTGGTCTCGGGTGATGGCATCCTGCCATCCTCTGGTGGAAAGAAGGGAAAGGCATTGTCATGCACCCGAGAGCTTTCCGCGTAGATCTTTCCATCCTCCGTTTCCCATGCGCCGGCGGTATGAATCGGCATGCAATTCGTCCAGGAATACTCGCGATGTTCCCCATCCTTCCAGCCGTACTTTGCGGCGCTTCCCGGACGACGGGGAACGACAAGGAACGTAACAGGGAGATCGTAATTCCAGGCCCAATGATGTTTGCCTTGCTTCATTCTTTCCATTTTGGATTCGAATGGCCACAGGAACAAGACGATGAAGTTTTCTGTAATCACACAATCATGAATAAAAGCACACCAAGGCGATTTCAACCATATTTCTGTGGTCTTTCTCCCTCTACTATCCAGAGCATAGGTCACAATATCCAGAGTTGCCAGACCCTTGGCCTCATATCCGAAAACAACCAGCTCGTCCGTGCGGGGATCCACCTTGGGATGGGCTGTGAATGTCTTGGACTGCACCTGACCCTCGAACGGGTCATACCTGGTCGTTTCGAGAGTATTAGGATCGACGGCGTAAGGAAGAGCCACCTCTTTCAAGGCCAGTAGCTGCCCTGCCCAATACACCAAATTCGTGTTGGCAGTAGAGTCAACAGCTGCTCTAACACAAGGATGATGCGTGAAAGGATTTCGATAGAGGCCAAACAAAGCTTTGCCTGCCTGACGCTCCAGTTTGTAACGTTCTGTCTCAATGTATCGCATCTTCATGTCCACCTGGCCGTTGTGAAATCGGAATGCAGAAATATTTCCATCGCCGTCAATGGGTACGTTGCCTTCATCGGGAGGAACAAATGGATCGACCATCACGCGGTAAAATGTCCCATTGATTTCTTTTGGAATCTCACCGAAAACGACGAGGTCTGCAATTTCGCCTTCGAGACGACAAGGAGAGTTCGAACCTGCCAGGTCAAGAGCAACAGGCCATTTTGAAACGAGTCCATAGAGCCCGTCATCGCCCCAAGGCTTAGTCTGGCTAGGAGATGCCATATTTCCAATTAGAATTTTGGTTTGCCTGGTTGAATATCACATCTCGAGATTCTCTGGGTGAGAACCGACGAATATATAGTGTGCTCCCGGTCAATAATTGTGAGTAATTTCCAACTGCCGAGCAGATGCCATCCCGCCGGAGATGCTCCCACACAGTGGCATATAGAGAGCAGGGTTTAAGAGACCTGGCTTGGTTTACCAATAGAATAGTTGAGTGCAAGCTGCAGCATGAGGGGATACAGACGGAGAACTCCCACTTAGGTGGCAGCAAGTGGGCTATCTCCGCCAGACAGATGACGGACGACTGCCGATCAACCACCGTGTGGCAGGGGATTTCCAACCATCTTCTTTCACTGGCTGCACTGATTTCTCGCAAAAACCTCGGCAGTACTTTTGTTTCTGCAGCATTAAACGGCCATGGCGATGGAGATGCGGGGCGAGAAGCGGAGCTGTCATGTGACTTATCTCCGCGGTGGCCCGTTGCAGCTGGGCTTTAATCCGTCGATGCTGGGATGGAATTGAAGATGATAGGTATTTGCTAATATTTACCGTATATTAGAATGCCGCCAAATCAAAAACTGCAGTGCTCGCTGTGCTTGGCTAGTTTTCGCCGCGTGGAACATCTCCGAAGACATTTGGCCTCTCGTATGGGAATGACTCTAGTGCTGCATTGAGGATTCTCGAGCTGATGAATGTTACTATATCCGGCAGATACGGACATTCGCCCATTCAGCTGTATGTTTTGCACCAAATCTTTCAAGAGGAAGTAAGAGAGCCGCACATTCGATATCTGTCATGGTGTCTGATTCAATACAGTGATGTGTTAAAACGCCACTGGGACACTTGCAAGTCTCGCATTGAAAATGGAAAAAGCATCCCAGGAACCTCTTCCATCCGGAAATCGAAACGAGAAGTGTGCGACAACTGTGCCCGTTTGAAGCGCGCATGTAATCTTGAATCGCCCTGTGGCACATGCTTTGCAAAGAACCAAAGGTGTTCCTACTCAGGTGTCCTTTGCTCGGAAGGAAATGCAGGTAATAAGGGTCCGGATGTAGATCGACGACAGATTCATGCAGTGCCATTCTCTTTTGCTAAGTCTGATTTGAACATTGAACTGAATTCAACATTAGCTGGCTCCATATCTTGTGCCAGCAATCAAATGAATGATAGCCAACCTCCGGCTTATTCATGGGAGAAGCTAGATTTCCTTAACCACACCACGGCAATATCCAGGATGAAAGGCATTTTAAACTGTTTCGAATGCGGGAGTCCGTCGCAGAGGCTGGAGATTGCCAATTTGACTTGGTACGACCCATCGGTTGCCCAGGATGAAGCTTTAGACCTAGAAAGTTGGAACCCTGAAGCTGCGTTGGCTGAGAGCCACGGAAACGACCAGCCTATATCAGCAATGCTCCTTCCCAGTCTCACCTGGGATGATGTTAATATGGCTGCATCATCAACAGGTACCGTCGAGGAATCCTCCGCGTTTCCCTGGGTGGATTTCGATCCCGATCCATTGGCAGGCACAACGGCTGAAATCGTTCAGCGCCTCGGAGTTGCTGTATCCCATCATTTCAAAGGCCATGAATGGCTGCCCTGCACAGAAGCGCTTTGCACGGAGTTTTTCAGACCGTCCAACATTCGCAAGTTTATACGTCTGTTCTGGGGTGTTTGGTATCCCAATTGCTGTATCATTCATAAACCTACCTTTTGTATCCTAACAGCCCCTCTTCCTTTGTTACTTTCCATGGCAATGATTGGTGCCTCTGTTTCAGTGTATGAAGAAGATACCCAAAGAGCACGTCTGTGGTTCGACGCAGTTGAAGAATTGGTATTCGGTGATGATTGCTTCCAAGAAGCACTCACCGGATGTCCAGGAAATCAGAGTCACTCGGGGTACGAGTTACTACGAGCTCTCCAGGCTTCTTATTTCGTCTGTGTATACCAGAACTGGGAGGGGTCGAATAAGAGTCGGGAAAGAATACGACGGCTTCGATACAGCATGGTTGTCACGGTACAGGCACAGAATCTGTCTCGAAAATCGGACATAAACAATTCTAATCCTCAAATAGGTTGCAAGAAACCTCGAACTCTCATCAGCAACTCATGGAAGGCTGGATTTGGCAAACTTCGATTGGCACGAGTTTGTTAGAGATGAAGAGCTCATAAGGTAATTACGGTTAGATCAACATACCCAAAGATGACTCACAGTTCGATAGGACCTTGCTATATGTTTTCCTCATTGATACGGCCTTTACGATATTCAACAACCTCCCACCTCGACTAGCGTTTAGTGAATTGAAATTGAGCCTGGCTTGTCCCGAGCCATGCTTCCAATCTCAATCAGCCGATGACTGCCTTTTGGAGCTTCACATGGCTAGTTCAGCAGTGCCGCCGATTAATACCGTTGCCTCCGCCATAGAGACGCTCTGCGAGGCGGAAATATGCCCAGATGACTGGCAAGCGTTAAGCCGGACGGGCATCCTCAACCTATTCATTATAATAAGTGGTGAGTACGCCCTGAGAAGGGAGTGCTTTGCTTCTAACAAGAATACAGCTCTTCATGTCTTGATATTTAACGCAAAGACACTGATGGCGCTTAAGCCATCCTTGTTACCAATTCAGCAGGGGTTGAAGAACTGGAAACGGCTATGGGATAAACAACACATATTAAGGACGCCAACTTGGCCAGATGAGCTATCCGTGACAGAAATGTGGAAAAGAGAAGGGTTCATGAAACACGCGGGGGAATACTGGGCACTGGCAGCAATGAAGTTGGAGCGCATGAAGCCGCCGCGTTCTTCGCGGATTGCAACCATCCCTTCGAAGCCGAGTAATGCGGAAAAATATGACGATACGAACCTCGAGCAAGTCATTGATCTTATACAAGATTTTCGCAAAATTGCCGTGTAGAATATCTTTCAAAGCATATTTTGAATCTCTTCTTCCTGCCAAAGAAAATGAATAATGAATGGATTGGCCATATCCCACATCTGTAATATTCTATGTGTCGAGATGACCGTGCAAATCGTAAACCTGTGCCATTTGGAAATTCATAAAAACCACTGTTACTTGCTCCCAATCTCGACATCAATATTGGGGGACGAATTATCATTCTGACCCTCAATTTTGACACCTTTTCTGCGACGAAATACCCTCCCCAGCCGATGCACTCCCCAATTTAATGGGAGGTAAACAAACAATACCGGCTTGCCCAAAAATCTCGCAACGGCTGCAAACCAGTCGTCAGGGAAGATGCGAATACACACAGCCCAGGGCAAAGAAAGTGCTGCGACAACAATGCAAATTGCCCATTGCACCCCATTGATGGGCACGATACTAAAGGCCGTACCGCCGAAGAATGCAATGACAATTTGACAGCCAACCATGATACAGTTGATGCCGATGAAGAACCAGTTGCGGTGTAGCCCTGTAAAAATATTGAACCGGTTATCTAGACGTCGGTTGTTGAATTCGTTGAAAATCTGCATCCAGACGAACGTGTTGAAGACAATCGAGCGTCTTTCGTCGTCCGGGTAATCTAGAAATCCTGGTCCCTTGGCGAAATACAGAATGAGAGTCACCGTGAGCTGGAAGATGGACTGACCGATAATCATCTTCCACATCGTGACTGAGATCAAAGGAGCACCACGCTTGGGTGGCTTCCGGTCCAATATTTGCTCGGTTGGAGGGTCTGTGGCAAGAGCCAACGCAGCCAGCGAGTCCCTACTGCAGTTAGTACAACTTTGCCATTAATATGCCGTGGAGAGCATACATAATTAGATTGATCCAAAGGAGCTGAACAGCTGTCAGAACGGATCGCATTTCCGAATCCGAAACGGATGAGATGAAAGTCAAGAGAACGGCCGTGATGTTGACTGTAATCTGAAACTGAAGAAACTTTCGAACTGCATCGTTGACTGCCCGACCCCACATCAAAGCAGTGAGGATAGATGTGAAGTTGTCATCCATCAGGACGATAGCAGATGCTTCTTTGGCGACTTCTGTCCCGGATATACCCATCGAAAACCCAATATTAGCAGCCTTGAGTGCGGGCCCATCATTTGTTCCATCACCGGTGACAGCCACGATTTCCCCCATATCGCGTAGTTTAGTGACTAGAATCCGTTTATCCTCTGGAGACGATCGTGCAAGTACCTGGAGTCGAGGCAAGGTCTCTTCAAACTGCTGATCAGACAATAACCGGAACTCTGGCCCTTCCATAACCATTCCCCCAGTATAGATACCGCAGTCTGTTGCAATAGCCTTGGCCGTGACCATGTTATCACCCGTCACCATTCGAACTGTGACCCCGGCGTGGTGGCATTTGGCAACCGCAGCGGGGACTCCCGGACGGATTGGGTCTTGGATGCCAACAACACCGAGGAAGACCATATCTTGTAGCAGTAGACTGAAATCAGCTGATGAGGAATCCTCGGCACTGATAGCGTCGTGCGGAGGCCACTCAGAGAATTCACGAGAGACGAGAGAGATCGTGCGCAGAGATTGCTTTGCGTAAGCCAGAATAATCTCCTCCAAGATACGACGTTGTTGCTGATCGAGAGGGACGTAACCAGCAGGTTTCCAAAGCGTAGAGCTGTGACCCAAGAGAATCTCCGAGGCACCTTTGACGAGGAATTGATATTTGCCGTTGGGAAGTTTCATCGCAGCGCCCATGCATTTTCGCCCTGAGTCAAACGGCATCAATTGGATAACCGTTGCATTAGCACGTTCCTCCGACAGTGTTCCCATGCCGAGAACATCGCGGGCAAAACCCAATAGAGCCGTCTCAGTCTTGGAACCGATAAATCCTGGGACCCCATCTTCTTCGCCTTCGAATGCCGTGGAATTAATTGCAATTGACTCAATAATCAGACGCTTGTGTTCATGGCTCATGTCGTTCGCGAAACTAGAGGAATGGCGTTCCTTCCCTGTTTGATTCTTGTCATCAAAGCTGTCGTCACCAAAGAATCCTGTTACCACTGTCATCCGGTTTTGGGTCAAAGTGCCGGTTTTATCGGAACACACCGTCGTTGCGTTGCCCATCGTCTCGCATGACTTCAATACACGGACTAAGTTGTTCAACTTGACCATCCGAGTAGTTGCAAATGCAAGGGCAAGTGTCACGGCAAGCGGTAAGCCTTCGGGTACAGCGACGACGATGACAGTGATGGCAACAATGAGGATATCCGTAAACTGGGAGCCTTTCTCGGTCCCTGTGCGGTGATTGTTTGATAGGGTGCCGAGAAATCGGAAAAGGAGAACGAAAAACAACAAGATGGCTGCACTGGCACCCAGCTTGGCAATGGCTGAAGCCAGACCGTCGAGTTTCTTTTGAAGTGGCGTGGGTTCTGCATCTTGTCGCATCGCCATGAGGATCTTGCCATAGCTTGAATTGATGCCGACAGATGTGACCAGACATGTTCCGATTCCTTCAAGGACTTTGCTACCTGAAATGATGAAAGGATCTAGGTCTTGTGATTTGGTGTGTCCATTTTCCAGTAGCCTCATTACTCGTTCAGCCCCGGTCTTTTTCAGTTGGTCCGATTCGCCCGTAGCGGAGGATTCATCGCATTTAATGTTGTGACCATCGATGAAAATAGCGTCTGCTGGAATGAGGTCTCCAGGCTCCAGATGTAGAATATCACCCACCAGAAGATCGTGAACGGAAATAATGACAGTTTTACCTGACCGAATCACCTTTACCTCACGATCCTCCTTTTTCGCATTCAGCTTGACGAAGGCCCATTCTTTTTGGTAGTCGTTCAAAGAGCCTACCATAACCACAATGACAATAGCAATACAGATAGCACAGCCCTCGACCCAATCAACCGGCATGGGAGACCCGGGCTCGTGATACGTACCAAATGTCTCATACAGACCCAGCGCAAGAGATATAACAGCCGCAGCGGTCAGCAGAAGCAATACCTTGTCATTATAGGCCATCCACATGAGTATCCATAGGGGAATGGCCTTCTTTTCCGGAAGAATGTTTCTTTTGAATACACGAATACGATCACAGAAAATTTCCGAAGAGCTCGCTGCTGACCCGTCTTGGTTAGTTTGGCCAGGGAGTGTTGTTTCATTGGCGCTGAGACCTATGGTCGGGTCGGTATGAAGACCTCGAATCAAACCAGGCAGTCCACCTAGCGCTGCGAATGCTGCAAGGGACTTGGGATTTAGAAGTTTATTAAGTTGACCTGGAGAAAATGCAAATGGATTGCTGTGAACGTCAAAGTCAGGTTCTGACCCAGGGTCTGGCCGCAGTGCATCTTCTTGTTCTTGGGTGGAAAAGACAGTCGAAGAGCAGCTTTTGGATCTTTCAACTTTATTGGAAATTTCTAGGTGTGGGCTAGAAGGGGCCACAGTGCTGCCACTCAGGGCTCGATCGCGCGTGATGTATAGAGGGTTGGTGGTGTCGAGATTGGAAAAGGACATGTGCGTGTTTATAGTGTCCGGGGAAAGAGATTCGTGGATATCATCATGATTTATAGTTGTATAATTGGTATTGTTGTCCTGTTTCCTCGCAGTTAGCAAATATTCAAAAGAAAAGCATGAAGAGGAAATGCACTAAATAATGACCGAGGAGCGACTACCGGAACCTGCAAAGTTATCTCTGGCACAGATACTCTGTCGTTGACACTCATCTTGCTCCAAGATGCCCTAGTTTATTGAATGAGATCGCTGGTAATTCATGAGAATTGGCAAACCCCCGACACCTGGGAGACGGTGACATCTTTAGTCGTGTTTTGTATTGCAAAAGGCTCTGCGATAATGAGGCAAAAACGCGGCTTCTGCCTCCCAACACAGCTACACAGCCCCCTCCAAGCTTTTACCAATGGCCGCTGTGGACCAGGTTCCAAATCGCTTCATTGGTAAGTAGCCGAAAACCAAGACACGAGAGCGGAGCCAAGCCCGCTCGTGCATTATCGATCATCTTCAATACTGGAGTCATCCCCAGTAGATCAATGACAGCAATGTGACTTCTAATGATCCTGTTATTTTTCATGGTATTCCATTCAATCCGTGATAGGTATATTGGGAGAACGGAGCTTTTCGATGCCCGAGATGACAGCCTCAGTTATACAAGCACAGCCTTCCTCGCGAGGCTCTGTTGTGCTGCCGAAGGGGCTCGAAGATATCAAGGGTTTTATTTTCTTCGGGTCTTGAGTATGACGTACACAACCGTTGGAGATCATGTGATGTGTATGGATAGGCAGTGAATGACAGCGCAAGCGAAACACAAAAAACCAAAAACTCTGGCTGTTGCCTGCTCGCCCTCCCTTTTTCCTTCTTGCCCCTCTGTCCTTCTCTTTCCACCCATTTGGCCCATGCTGTCTTGAGCTTTGCAGAAATGGAATCCTCAGGAGAGAAACCAGAGATGCCACCAGGAACTGGATATCGTGATACTCCCTTGGATACAGCTCCAGATCGACAGGTGCAAATCCCCGTCCTGCCCTCGCGATCGTATGTGCAGTCGCCACCTGAAATCCCCGAGACCTCAACAGAATCGACTTCAAATCGCTCCGAAACCCTTACCGATACCACGACCACTCCAGGAACAGAAGTCGGAAATCAAGAAGCGCTCTATCTCTTACAAGCTCGAGTCTTACTTCAAAGAATAATACACAAGTCCTGTGCATTTTTAAGAGGAGCTATGGAGGTTTTCGAAACACATGATGCGGAGTACTACTCTCACTATGTCTGGCTCAAGGCAAGACTTGGAGAGTATCTAGCTTACTGGAAAGAGCTAGATGATGAACAAGATCTTACAGTCAAATTTCTACAGAATATTACGAGTCTCCTTTCTTTTGATGTTGACATTCGTCGATTGTCATCACCCAGGAACGCGACAAGAGCATCAAGGGACAAGATGCAGTTCCTGAGAGATAGCATGAGAGTCGCACGATCAGAGACAACCCAACTCCGTGACCAGATTTATGATGCCGTAGCACGACAGGAGGAAGATAAAGATGTCGAAATTACCTTCCCTGGTCTACCAAGAATCGAAGAGACCCCTCTCACCGTTGATTTTGACATGGCCACGGAGCTTGATGCCTTTCTGCAGCCTTCACCAAGAAAGCTCACCTCAGAGGACTCTGATACTTTAACAGAGCGCCTCCAGGATAAAGACGATGGTCATGATGACAGCCCTAGGAGTGGGGATACCAGCGATAGTGAAGAAGGCTGGGATATTGTTGCTCGGGGAGGCTGGAGAGACCCCAGTAATCTTAGAAAGCATGGCTTACGAGCTGTGTGGACTGGGCGGGGGGGCTATCCAGGAAAGATACCTGACGACATTGCCGAGTGGCTCGATGAAGATGGAACTCGGAGTAAGTAATTCCAGGAGTGAAATGATGACTGAATCCCCCCACTAACCTGAAACCCACAGGGGGAACGCAATTCATAGGCCCGATAAAAAGCCTATTCTGGATTGGCGGCTACGACGAACTTGTTCAAGCAGTGGACGACCCGGCGTTTACAATTGAAGACGAGGTGCAAATAATTCCCGGTGGAGCCAAGGTTGGATATCTTGTGGACCGTTACTATGAAGACGGCAAGATACCCGAGTATATTTATCGTCGAGCAATGGGATACGAAGATGATATCATCTTTCGCCAGCGTCTGACCGTGCTCACGGCAAGAATAAATGTACTTCCAAGAGCTATTCCCGACAACCCGCAGTCCCGGACTATCCGGTCTATGTACCCCCTTAGCCGCCCCCAATCCCTTCCTGAAAGCGTGGCATGTTTCAAGGTCAAGCGCGAGAAAAAAAGGGAAAAACTGGTCAAACAAATACGCCAAAAGGCCGGGGACCTTCTGGAGTCAAATGATATGTGGTTTCGAGGGCTTACACGCACTGCTTTAGCATGCACGCTTGCCTTTTTCATTCCTGCTATCGCTACCAAGTCGCAGGACAATGAATTTGGGCCGGGCTTTTATGCGACCAATGACTTCGACAAAGCGCTTGACTATTGCGGCGTGGCTGGAGCTGTTATGATCTTTAAGAGTCTCGATCTCCGGCGATTAAAAGTCTGGGAACCAACTGTTGAAGAGTGGAAACAGCTGATTACCACGTGGACCGGCTTACCTTTGTCTGTGAGCGAAGATTTTCCGCAGCAATACAGGGATGCCGATTTTATCCGAGGGCCTATATCAGAGTCGCCATCTGAAGGCAACCAGAAAAGCCATTTCCCCGATAGAAGCCAGTCCGATCAGCTTGTCGCAGTAAGCTATGAGGGCTGTGAGCGGTTGTCGCAGTCACTTCATACGATAATTTACATGGACGATTAAGATAACAGGCGGAATAGTGGAGTTGCAACGTCTTGTTCTTCGATTGGCACTTCGTATCCGTGGATTGTTGCTTTAGAGTAGTATTGCTGTACTTAATAATAAACAATCAAAGAGAAGTTCGAAATGAAGTCGAGGAAAACAGAAATGATGATGCCTAAGAATGCCTTGCCTTGCCCTGGCCCTATGCCCTATGCCCTAGCGCAAAGCGTGATCTCCTTAACTTCTCAACTTAAGCCTCTTCTATTCCCTGCGCCTATAATATTTCTTTACTCTGAATAATAGATCATGGCCAAAATCTCGCATTCTTCGTATTTCCGTGATGTCAGTCGGGCAAGCCTTCTTCAACACCGGAACGGCCGAAACAAGGCGATCATTTCTTGACATGGAAGCTATTCATCTCTGAAAAGTTTCCAGAGCTTTCACAGCCTCCTACACGGGATCAGGGGCATATTTTACTTTATTTCTTTCTCGAACAAGCCATTCTATTGGAGATCGTGTCCAGAGCAACGCTGTACCCAGCGTTGGCGGTGGCAGTGCTGCTTGTCTTTGCGGGGCATGTGAAACTTCATCCACGCAGCAAGTAACATTGTCAGGAGATCAATATGGCACAGCATTCTGGAGCTAGCTTCAATTCTCGCTAATATTTTCTTCAAAAGCAGCCCGATAACCCTTTCTTCCTTTTCTACCAATACACGTGGTACCTTGTCGAATTACTGTTGGATCAATATGAGCAATAGCTCTGGTCCTCGAAATCATGGATGTGTCACCAACGTCGCCGGACTCACACCAGCACAAGGTTGGACGGCGTCGAGCTGAGAGCGAGAGCACTACAAGCACATTGTCCCCTCGAATGAAACCTGTAATGGTGGCATGTGAAAGATGTCGACGGAGGAAGATTCGCTGCGATGGAGATACGCCGTGTGCCACTTGCCGACGATTCTCCGTCGCTTGTATTAGACACAGGAAAGATAGCAACACACAAGCGGTGTTAGAGCATCGGGTTCGACAGCTGGAAGAGCAAATAATACAACTGAGGACCAATATACCACAGGGGCTGCAGCAAGAGTCCCCGATGCAGCGAAGCACTCCACCCTTGCATCTGGTTACTGATTTTGAAGCTCCTTATCAATCTGCATTAGCTGGCCAGCCATTTGGAGAAGTTCTCCAAGACAGTAGCCCATCAAATATGGATATCCCGCGGATTGAGATTGTTGACTATGCCGGTGCGTCGGCAGCTTCTGTACCCCGAGACCCATCACTGCAGTATGCAACCTCGGATGGTTCAAGACCTGCGTTTGCCGCTCTTGATTGGGGGCTGCTGCCTCCTAATTATTCCGCGATGCTATCCCCTCCTACGTCCGCTTGCTCGTCCCCCAACTACGAATCGGTTCCGTATTTGTCGCCTCCAATTCCGGCGGAGCCGGCATCCCGAAGATCATCAGTTTCGTCTCTTGGCTTGGACTATGACGGTGCACCAAGCATTGAGATCCCCGGTTTCATAGATGAAGATGGGCAGACGAGCCAGTTTGAGACGTTTCCTATGTTTGGGGACCATTTGAACACGAATGACAGTCCGTACAATATCAGTCCAACATCACCAACAAGGTTCGAGATGGAGACATTACTTGATATATTCTTCGACAATGCAGGGGTATATGGATATCGAGTGGATCGGGGTTTATTCTCTGCATTCCTTGACGTTATCGGTTCCCCGACCCCAACCGGGCCGTACCCTGTATCTATGGCGAGATTTCAAGTATACATGGCAATCGCGATCGGTATGCGAGTTAAAATGGATGGAAAAACAACCGATAGCCAGATGCTAGACAACTGCTACCGGCTTGCAATGCAGCAGACGGAATCCCCTCATTTCTGGAGCCAAGAGGGATCTGTCCAGGCTGCCACGCTTCTTGTTCTCTTTTCTCGAGTTAGTGGGGTGTGATTTATAATTCGATAAGCTGTCTGCATATTCATCCAAGTTACCCCAATTATTGGTGGGTCATTGTCGGAGAATATCAGCATAGCTTTTAGTCATGGTCTCTGGTTATACTCGCCATGCCCGACGTACCCAAAATACGAGGGCAACATCTGGATGATCAGCTATCGATAAGAGATGTAACGGTTGGAGGATTACGGAATAAGAATTAATGCTTTATTGTTTCCTTTACAAATGGTTTGTGCGGGATTTCTGCTAATCCCGACCCTCATTGATGACCGCCAAGTCAATAAATCCTCTTGGCTACATCGCCCGATTTGACAAGTCGACTCAATTATTTTGCGGCGATGCTCTCTCAACACCCCCTGGGACTAGTAGCACCCCGGATTCTACTGGCCCTATCGCATAGTGGCGGAAATACTAGGTACCTGCTATCGAGGTTCAAGATGGTCAAGGGTTACATCACTATTCTACCCGTAAGCAGATTTGTTAATAGTAACTATTCACAGCCAATTCCAAAGCTAGCATCATCATTCTTCTTACGTTAATTCCATAGTGAATATGTAGTGCATTGCGCGAGATGGCCGGAGATCGACGCCTAAATTTATGTTCGAGCGAATTGTTCTTTCCACTTTAGGCATGGTTATGGCTTCAAACTACACCATATCGGGAAGTCGGGGTGTCACTGGCACCTGCCGGGTGTTAGCAAACGATCATCGACCGTTTGAGATAAGGCTGTCTTTCCTGTTTCCTGATGCACTTTTTCAATAGCAACGTCTATCATTTACCCCGATACGTCCAAGAAACTCCCATCCCCGGTTGTCTCCGACCATCTTGGCTGCTTTGACGGGTATATAAACAATCCAGATCGCTGCATCGAGTTGGAATCTTCAACGATAACTCAAAATGTTATCCTTCACCTTCGTTGCCCTATTCCTCCTCCTGGCGGTCGTCAGGGCCACCTCCGTGGCCAACGGCCAAACCGTTGCCTTGAATGGCATTTCCTACTTCCTCAGTGGCATTCCAGTGTCCAATCTCTCTATCGACAATGGCATCCTGAACAGCCTCGTTGAGGAGATGGATATCTTCCCCATCACCATCGTTCACACTTCAGGCAACGTCCAGGGCAGCGATCTGGATGCCACTCTTGCCAACTTCACGCGGCAAGATGACGTGTTCCAATCGGCATTCCTTCACACCGTCTATTTGCAATCGTCTGAAAAAGCAACCATCGACAGTCAGTCGTGTCGTGAGACCCTCAAAACCTCCGACAACAAACTCCTTCTGGCTTCACCGGATTCGCAGGTCGCATCGTCCAACGCTGCGATTCCTGCTTCCCTCTCCACCCCTCTTCCCAACGGTCCCTATTTCGTCTCTGCCCGCACTGGCGAGATCTACAGGGCATACCGCCTATACCCCGACGACAACCTTGGCTTCATCCAAGCCGGCATGAGTGATGAAAAGGGTGGCTACTTTCCGCTTCCTGCAGTGACGGAAAATGTCATGACCAAAGACGTGGCTGTGCCTTCCCGTTTGTACTACACTCCAACTGCTGAGCAGCCTCTCGCTGGTCTGCGTCTGGGCGTCAAGGACATCTACCATGTCAAAGGCCTTAAGACTAGTGGCGCCAACCGTGCCTACTATTATCTATACGACACACAGAACGTCACTGCTCCTTCCGTTCAGCGTCTCTTCGACCTGGGCGCAGTCTTCGTCGGCAAAACAGGCACTGTCCAATTCGCCAACGGCGATAGTCCCACTGCAGACTGGGTCGATGTCCACTGCCCGTTCAACCCGCGCGGTGATGGATACCAATCGCCCAGCGGTTCATCTTCTGGTTCCGGAGCTGCTATTGCATCCTACGACTGGCTTGATCTGACCGTGGGCAGCGACACCGGTGGCTCCATGCGAGGGCCTGCTGCAGTGCAGGGCGTTTATGGCAACCGGCCATCGACTGGTGCTGTGTCGCTGGATCACGTCCTCCCCTTGGGACCTGCGTTGGACACCGCGGGTATCTTTGCTCGAAATGCCGCGTTATGGTCCAAGGCCGCAGCAGCCTGGTATCCAAACTTCAACCGCAGTTATCCATCGCTGCCTCAGAAACTCTACCTGTCTCGCACTGCCTGGGATGACGAGATTACCCCGGAAGCGAATGAGGTGCTGGAGAACTTTGTCCAGCAACTCGAGAAATTCCTGGACGTCAATCGCACGGTTGTCGACGTGAAAGAACATTGGAGCACGACGCACAACTCGCAGGATATCAACACTTTGCTCAACACAACCTACGGGTTCCTCACCTCTGTCGGCCAGTACAACAACCTTGCCAAGTCTTTCTTCGCGGACTATGCTGCCAAATACGACGGCCGACGCCCATTCATCAACCCCAACCCCTTGGCCCGCTGGAATTGGGGTCAGGCGAACGGAGGCAATGTCTCATACGATGCGGCAATCCACAACATGACTGTCTTCCGCAACTGGTGGCAAACATCCGGATACGGGCGCCACAACAACAACTCATGCTCCGAGGGAGTATTCGTGCAGGCTTGGTCTACCGGTAAAACAGACTACCGGAACCGATACTTCCCTGCTCCTGACGCTCCGCCGATGGGCTTCGACGACACTATGATTGCTGTCTTCGGCGGTACGCCTGAAGTTGTTGTTCCTCTGGGTGAATCGCCATACAACAGCACCATCACATTGCATAAGGAGTACCTTCCTGTGACCGTTGGACTGCAGGCTGCACGTGGATGTGACAAGATGCTGGCTGAGTTTGTGGCTGATTTGGGAAGTAGGGGGATTTTGAAGCCGGTGGGAACTGGGTCGAGGTTATATTAATTTGTTTGAAGTCTTGATCGACGATAGATGCTGGATATCTTCATGTCTTCGGTGTATATATATAGACTGGATATATAGACCTACCTTTTGACTATACGGCTTTAATAAGATTTCTCATCAAACCAGAATGTTTGCTATCTTGATCTTCGACTCAGCCAATGCACGCTGACTTTATCTACGAATCACCTTTACCCTTGCATTATATATGCCCGTTCAGCCTTAAGAGCTCATTGCTTGGTCGAATTTCCATGTTCCACCAAACTAGCAAGGGTAATGCATCGCTTGGCTGTCTGACAATGCAGGCCAGCGGGGATACAATATAAAACTTGCCAACACACTGCGGGGTCAATCAGGCAACAATTTAATGATTGAAGTTATAAATGCATCCTTGAATCTGTACGATCTAAAACTCAACCTACATCCAAACATCAAAACCACCATATCATCATGTCTTCCATCTGCGTCGGCGCCGTCCAGGCCGAACCAATCTACCTCAACCTCCGCCGCGCGGTAAACAAAACCATTGATTTAATCAAAGAAGCCTCAGAAAAGGGTGTTGAGGTTCTTGCCTTCCCTGAAGTATGGGTTGGTGGTTATCCGTGGTAATCTCCCTTGCTATACGCCGCCTTGAGTAATGTGGAAGATGTCTGATAAGAACTAGGCCGATCTGGTCGCAAAGCCCGTTCGAGTCGTCCGAGTTTGCTGCCAAGTACATTGCCGAGTCTTTGCCAAGGGAGTCGGTGGAGATGAGGCGGATTCAGAGGGCTTGTAAGGAGTTTTCGGTTTTCGTGGTGTTGGGGTATAGTGAGAGGGATGGGGGGAGTATTTACATGGCGCAGGTTGGTTTGTTCGTATCTGTTCGAGACGCTTGCTGATGATGATGAAGGCGTTCATTAATGCCGAGGGTGAAATTGTGCATAACCGTCGCAAAATCAAGCCCACGCATGTAGAGCGAGCGCTCTGGGGTGAAGGCCAGGCGGATTCGCTGCAGTGCGTCGTTGATTCTCCCGTCGGCAAGATTGGAGCATTGAACTGCTGGGAAAATATGCTGCCGCTCCTTCGGTATTATGAGTATAGCCAGGGTGTGCAGATCCATGTTGCCGGGTGGCCGGCGTTCCCCGAGACACCGGAAGACGTGGAATTCCCATGGTCGTACAGTTCCACAGCCGAAGCAAATTATCGAGTCAGTCAGATGGTGGCGATGGAGGGGCAGACGTTTGTGTTGTGTTCAACGCAGATTGTCAAAGAGGACTCGCATGAGTTGTTGGGCTTGCAGGACAAGGGGTTCATCAGTGGTGTGAGTATTTCCATTGGAATGAGATGGAACCGAAGCTGACGATGTCCAGAGCGGAGGTGGCTTTGCCATGATCTTCGGACCTAATGGCCAGCCGCTGGCAGAGCGTGTGCCTGCGGACGAAGAAGGAATTTTGACGGCAACTATTGATTTATCGGCTATTCATCTGGCAAAGCACATGATTGATACTGTGGGGCATTATTCGAGACCAGACCTGCTGGGTTTGAAGGTTAACAACGTGGCCGCAAAGATGGTGCACGAATGAGCTGTCATACTTGGCTTACAAGCGTAGCGAATGAGAACACTTACGACCCTTCATGTAAATTATATCCATCGCTTGAATTTTGCAAAGGTTAAAGACAGCATGATGATGCCTAGGATCACACCCAATATCACATACCACCATTGTGTTCCATGCTCACCCCCAGGAACGGGTACATTCATCGCAAAGAAGAAGGTAATCAGCTGCATCGGGACAAGAATACTAGCGATAACGCTGAGTTTGCTGAGGGTGTCAACGGTCGCATTTCGTGAGCGTGTTGAGTCCATCGAAATCTGCCCGAGACACTTGGATTGCGAGCTCGACAGCATCTGTTCCGAATGGGCAAGGTTGGCCATCATGGCCAAGACGTGATCTTGAATATCGCTCAGGTAGAGATTCACGTCCGAGGAGTCGGTCGAGGTGCGGACCTCACAGTGTCGAGCAAAACACTTGATCACATCAATTTTATCATGCAGCATGTGTCGAATGCGGGTAATTTCTTTGCGGCAGCGGTAAATCCACTGGAGGACCAGTCCAATATCGTCCGGTCGGGAAATGGAAAAGTTATCCTCCATGTTCTCAATACTCTGCTCGACTTGATCGATCAACGGTCCGAATCCATCGACGATGTCATCACTAACTTGTCAGAACTGCAGATCCGGATGGGCCTCGGTGAACTCACATCAGAGCATAGCATATCCAGTCACTGGTCAAGGCAATCTGATTGCGCTCCATCATTCGATTCTGGATATTTCCCACGTGAGGACTAGTCCCGAACGTGAAGCTCAGGATGCCCCGACGGAAGACAATCGCATACATGTTGAGGTATGATGTTTTCTGATCCGTTTCCTGGGGAGGACGGAGAGACAGAAAGTAATAATTCCCAAACAGTTCAAATTTCTCCCGCGTCTCTCCATCTTTGATATCCTCTGTTGTCAACGGGTGAATCGAAAATGCTTTCGCGAGTTCCTCGATATCCTCTTTCGACGGCGAGACGACATCCAACCACCACATGGCCTCATGGTTGCCCGTTTCGAGTAGGTCGCGGAAGGGCGGGTGCGATGATTCCAAACTGCTGATGCTGGATGCACGCCGGGCGGAGTCCAAGTTGGAGGAGAAGAAGCTGAACTGGGTCGGATCGTGATCGTATTCGAGCGGGGGTATCTTCAACTCGGACTTCTCGTTTGTTTTGAATGAGTTTGCATCGTCATCGGTGACTTGCGGGGCGGGCGATTTATCCCTGGACGATCTCCAGGGACGGGAGATCCGCGACACCACCCCCATAGTAAAGTGGCAGAGAGCAGCGGGTGCTCATGTGTCTGGACATGAAAATCGCGCAAGATCGCATCGAAACATCGCCCATCGTCCTGATCGTGGAGGTTGTGTGAGAAACGTTGACGTATTTTTTTGAATGAGGTCAGGTGCGCCAAGACGCCAAGACGAATAATCGTGCGGCAGTCTGATTGGCCGGATGTTTCTTGCCTGATCTTGAAGGCATCAACTGCACGTCGCACAGTATTTTAATAAATGTAGCAGATAGTACTTGAGGATATGCTCATGATAGAGATATTACTGTTAATTGATCATATTTACAGTACCAGCTGACTATAAAATGTTTGCTAATATCAGTCACCAGACGATGGAGATATCCGAGGCTAAGACCAACCGAGCTAGGTGGAGGGGATACGAGCGTAAATCAAAAAGACTTCAATTGAAGGTTCCCTCAAGGCATACTGAGCGTTAAAACAAGATGCCTTCAATTAAGTAAAAAAATGCATCATGAACATCAAGCGGTACTTCTCTAGCCATCCGCCCGAGGAAAAAAGGCTCCTCTTCAAAATCGACTTTTTCATCCTCTCCTTTTGTTGTGTCACGTATTTTTTCAACTATCTCGACCGTTCCAACCTCACCAATGCCTATGTCTCTGGGATGAAGGAGGAGCTGGCCTTCCATGGCAACCAGTTTAACATCATCAACACCGTCTTCACGGTCGGATATATCATCGGCCAGATCCCCTCCAACCTGGCCCTGACTTATATCCGGCCTCGGCTATTTTTCCCTGGCATGGTGCTTTTCTGGGGTGCTCTGACGATGATAACCGCTGCTGTCAACCATCCCCGGGACATCATGGCTATCCGCTTCTTCCTGGGGATTGCTGAATCAAGCACTTTCGCTGGTACGCATTACATCCTGGGATCTTGGTACACCGAACGGGAACTGGGCAAACGAAGCGGCATTTTCACTGCTTCTGGGCTGGCAGGGACAATGTTTGGGGGGTTCATCCAGACGGGCATTCACTCGTCGCTAGATGGGGCGAGGGGGCTGTCAGGCTGGCGATGGTTATTTATTGTAAGTCTATCAAAAAGAAATGATCAAAGGCTGAAATGCTGATCCACAGATTGACGGATTAATCACTCTGCCAATTGCCATATATGGCCTGCTCCTCTTCCCTGATACACCAGCCACCACCAAAGCTCCGTATCTCACGGCATCAGAGCGCACACTGGCTGTTACGCGTCTTCCCAGTGTCAACGCGGATCGAGCTCCCTTGAACCTAGCCTTTGTCAAGCGTGTCTTTACCACCTGGTACTGGTGGGGATTCGTCATCCTGTGGATAATAGCAGGAGAGACAGAGTCCTTTTCCTCAAACTCAATACTGGCACTGTATATGAAGGCCCATCCAACCATCAAGTATACCGTGGACCAGCTTAACAACTACCCAACTGGAGTTCCCGCCGTGGGAATCGTCGCAACATTATTCTGGGCTACTTTGACCGACATCCTTGGCGGGAAGCGATATCTCGTCAGTTACTTCATCGGCATTACCGGCGTCGTCACTTCTGTTCTAATCCTCACCCGGTTCGAATCAACCGCCACGGTCTTCGCATCATACTACTGGGCAGGAGCAGTATACGCCTGTCAGGCTACGTTTTTCGCGTGGTGCAATGACGCAATGCGCTCGCAGGATGCTCGCTTGCGGTCTGTGGTTATTGCCAGTATGAACGTGGGCAGCAATGCAGTCAATGCGTGGTGGAGTATTCTGTTCTACTCGGCTGACTTTGCGCCGCGCTTTACAAGGGGGATGTGGGCGATGATTGCGACTTCCATTGCGTTGGTGATATGGACGGTAGGCGTTGTATATATGACGGTGAGGGAGGAGAGGGCGGAGACGGAGATGCCAACTGAGCGACTTACTATCGAAGAGGATGAGAGCCATGCTGTGAATAAGCCTGAATGAATGAATGTGAATACTTCCAGTTCAAGTCCACCATGGTATCTCCATACTGAAATGCCCTGATTGGCCTGGTCGCCAATATGTCCCAAATAGGCAATATCCCGCGACGATCATCTTCAGCCAAATTGGGATTTAGAATTCAGATCAGAATGAACTTGGTGTCATTACGTGGGGTAAAGCGCGGGGAGACAATATTTAACCAAGCCATTTCCCCATTGTTCTCTTCTGAATATTGATATCTTCATCCCTCGCAACCATGGAATACAACCGCATGCCCATTGAAATCGAATCGCCCGAGGAATACGGCTACGACAAGATCAAATACAACCTGTCCGAAAGTTCCATCGCCGACCAGACTCTTGGATCCCTTGGCCTGCAGGTTCCCGACCTGAAGCTGCTGTACAACGAACATAAAGGAAGCACTAGTCTACGCAGGCTGATCATCGAGGGATACGATAACCTCAGCAGCGATGATGTCCTCATCACATCCGGCGCGGCCGGTGCCCTTTTCATCATCGCTAGCTCTCAACTCAGTCGAAAAGACCATTTGGTAGTGGTGCGACCAAATTACGCAACAAATCTCGAAACACCCCGTGCAATCGGCTGTGACATTTCCTTTGTTGACTTGGCTTTGGAGTCGCAGTTCCAGATTGACTTGGCTGCTATTGAGTCGGTTATCCAGCCCAATACCAAGATGATCAGTATCACCACACCGCACAACCCCACCGGCGCAGTCATCAGTCGTGCAACGCTAGACGCCTTGGTCGTGCTGACCAAGGAGAAAAATATCTTACTGCTGGTGGACGAAACATATGCTGATATCTCGTACGATCAACGGTTGCCCATCGCAGCCTCACTTGGAGACCATGTCATCAGCGTCTCCTCCCTGTCCAAGTCGCACGGGATTCCTGGCATTCGGCTAGGCTGGCTGATCAACAAGGATCCGTCTCTGCAGGAGACCTTCCTCGCCGCTAAGGAACAGATTAGTATTAGCGGGAGTGTGATCGACGAGTGGATCGCAGAGCAAGTCCTGTCACGGAGGGAGGAGATTCTCACTGCTACTGTACGCGAGATGAGACAGCGCCGCGATATCGTCGCCGCGTGGGTAGACAAGGATGACTATCTGGAATGGGTTCGGCCAGAGGGCGGGGTGGTCTGCTTTCCGCGCATTAAAGATGGTGTCGAGATAGCTGGTGGGCTTGCCGTATTCTATCATCGTCTGCTGTACAAGTATGGCACCTATGTTGGTCGCGGTCATTGGTTTGAGCTCCCGGATACGTTTTTCCGGATTGGCTATGGATGGCCCACGGTGGAGGAGTTGGAGGGGGGTCTAGAGGCTATCTCGCTGGCTTTGCGGGATATCTCTACCTGATTACATATTATAGAACTCGATTTAACTCTTTCTGTATACTCCTAATTTCATTTGGAGATTATCAATGTTCTATTCGGGAGAAAAAGAGAAACAAAAACAAAAAAGATTGCCCCCATCCAGGATCGAACTGGAGACCTCGGGATGTCAAATCTGTTGAACAGAAATGTCATAGAAATATGAGACCCACGTGATAACCAACTACACCATAGAGGCAACTGCTGTCAGTCAGCCCATCCAGTGGAAGATATACCACTTTGGCCAGCCATTCCGTATATTATCTCTCTATAAGCATCACAGACATGGTCATATATAGACATGAAGTGCCTACAGCAAATAGCAGCAGCAGCCACCAACGGCACAACCACGCTGAGCATATCCACGCCAATCCCCAAGCTATCCTTATCCTCATCGGAAAACGTAGTATTCGACGGGTTTCCAACAGTAACATTCAACGCCAAGTTGGAGTAGCTGGTGTCAACGTCAAACTCCTTCCTAGACCAATTTGGGGACGCAACCATAAAAGCGGAGCAAGATTGCCTATTCGGGTATATCGCAGGATGATCAATGGCTTAGTTAGCACTGGCTTTCTTGGCTGCGACTTATTCGGCCTGATTTATGCAGGATATCGCACATTCGTATGATCTCAATCATCGATTAATTGGTAGTCTTATTGAGCCCCAGATAATGCCCCGCAATCATTCAAAATTTCCAGTTCAAGCGAACATGAACAAGAATGGGATAATTCGGGAAGAAGGAGACGTCTATCATTACGGCGGTTTCCATCCTGTGCACTTTGGAGAGGTTTATAATGGCAAATATGAAGTATTAAGAAAACTAGGCTATGGTCGATATTCCACCGTCTGGCTGGCGCAAAACACTCAGTAAGTCTATCCCTATTCATAACTCAACCAATATTATATATTAATATAACAGAAACAAAGCATTCAAAGCCCTAAAAGTCCTCGGCGCAGAATGCTACAAAGGATCAAATGATATCTACGAACTCGAGATCCTCCAACATCTCCGCGATGCAGATCCCTCTCATCTCGGCTATGGCTACATTTCCACATTGCTGGATTCATTCGAGCATGATGGCCCTAATGGACGCCATGTCTGCCTCGTGTTTGATGTAATGGGTGAGACGCTACGCAGTTTTGGGACGTGGTTTCGCCACCATATGGTTCCCAACGCAGTTATGAGGCGGTTTACGTTTCAGTTGCTGATAGCTTTGGATTATGCGCATGATTGTGGTGTTGTTCATACTGGTAGGTATTTCCCATCTTGGTAATGCTTGATTACTGCTAACATATGTAGATATAAAGCCAAGTAATATCATGGTAAAGATTAAAAACGAGTCCGTCATCTCAGACCTATATCTACCAAACAATCCTCCTGATCTAGCAGCCTACAATTCATCGACTGACCCATCTATTATCAAATGTCAGCCACTGAAACATGACTACTTCCACCAAGGAGCAGATTTTCTGGACTTTGACATTGTATTGGGTGACTGGGGAGTAGCTAGTTGGACACGCTTCCATCTATCCGAGCTCATCCAGCCAGTCGCTCTACGATCACCAGAAGTCCTCATAAAAGGGCCATGGGGTCCATCCACTGATCTTTGGAATCTGGGTGCTGTCTTGTTGGAAGTATTCCGTGCTGTGCGCATGTTTAGTGGAGTAAATCCATCAAGTGGTGATTATGAAATCAGAGTCCATTTGCATGAGATTGTAGATCTCTTTGGGCCATTTCCAAAGCCATTTTTGGAAAGAGGAGATCAAGAGATGGTCAAAGAGTACTTTGATGATGAGGGGAGGATCAAAGAGCTGCCTCCTCTTGACCGGCCTGGGCTAGAGTCAGAGGCCTTTATGGAGGATTTAAATGAAGAGGATAGACGCAAGTTTGTCATGTTCTTGGAGTCTCTAATGAAGATTGACCCAGCAGATAGAAAGAGTACGATGGAGCTACTTGCTACGCCTTGGATAGATGCCGTGAAGCCTAAAGCCTAAGTCTGTTGTGATTAGGGGAAGGTCAGTCTATTGAAATAAAGCCGGGGATATACGGCAATTGATCATGTTTATCCGACATACTGCAGCAAAACATCGTCTATAGACAAATCGCTTGTGGATGAATTAGAATACGATCTAACTACCCGGTATAATCTCCTGCACCACCAATCTATTCTCCATAATATCATGCGCATTCAAAAAGTCCGTGCTGGATATGCGATGCTCAGCTGCCTCTTCATCCGCCACAATCCCAGACGCAACATGGCGCTTCACCAGTCTCGCCCTTGCAATCTCACGATCGACATCAATAAACCACGACTCATCCATGAGCGCAGCAGCGGAATTCCACGGCTCCCGATCAAGACTAACATACAGCCCCTCAAAGATCACCACCCTCGATGTCGGCAGAATGGGAATGTCATCTGCCACGGGGTCCTTCAGTGAATGGTCAAAGCTAGGCGCGTAGACGGTTGGCGAAGACGCAGAAAGTGGCTCTCGCAGTGACTGAACGAGCTGGTGGAATGCCTCCGCATCAAAAGTGAATGCTGCACCTCGACGGTGAATGGCGGTTTCCGGGTCCGGCATGGCTGCCAGCTGGGCTCTGGATAGGTGGTATCCGTCCATGGGGAGGCAGACGGCGAAGTTGGGGCTGTGTTGGAGTTGGTTTATGCGTGCTGTGACTGAGGCTGCGAGGGTAGATTTTCCTGAGCCGGGGATGCCAGAGATACCGATGAGGATTCTGGAGCCGGCATCTTTGGTCGTGCAGAGGGCTGGATTGTTAGTTTGGTCTTTGGTCTTTGCTGTTTGGGGTTGACTTACTCTGGACCTTTTGGGCCAGACGATCGACGTGATCAGGAGTCTTGATTAAAACAGTCATTATAGCTGTATTCAATGGTAGCTGAAGAACATGAAATATCTCAGAAAACATCCAAATAAATATCAATAAATACTCATAAATATACTCCAGACAGTAGCGGAAGCCATCCACCGACAAGCGGGGAACCCCACCCCGCACTTTGACGGCCTCGACACGGCCCCGAAACCTCTTCCATCCCACTGCATCATGCATCATGGCATCTTCCGAGCGAAAACTGGCGTATGTGCTGTCTATCCCGGCTGTTATTGGAATGATCTAACTAATAATGATTACTCTGTAGGTGCCTCGTATGCCGCCACCGCAAAGTAGCCTGCGATCGACGCCGGCCACAATGCGGACTATGCGTGAAAAACAACTTCGACTGCCAGTACAAGGCGCGCGAGTATCGGCCTGGACTGAGGGCGGGGTATGTGTCTGAGCTGGATAAACGGTTGGGTGAGTCTTAGAGTAATCTGCGTTGTGTTGGTTGCTGACTGTCTAGGGCAATTGGAGAGGAGGATGAACGCGCTAGAAGGACAGGCATTGCATGAACCATCCGAGCATGCAAGTCATGATTCTCCCTTGATTCTGCCTGAGGTGCACCGTGGCACAGAATTACCGAGTACTCAGCCGGGTATGATGGTTGATGCAGTGTATACAATGCCTACTGGATCGGATGAGCTGCAGTCGGTATGGCTTCAGAAATACCATCCCTGGTTTCCCATCATGCATCATACATCTATTGTTAGTGCCTTTTCAGAGCCAAGTCTTGTCCAGAAGGCGATCACAGCCGTAACCATCTGGGACATCCCGGGATTGCCATTGGAATGGAGACAATCGCAATCAGAAAAGCTGAGACAAGAGGCAATTCTCGCAGCAATGCCTTCCTTGAACCTTGCTTCCATCCAGGCTTTGTTGATCCTAGCCATTCTATACTGGGGCGAAGGCTCGTGGACCATGTACAGCAACGTCATTGCCATGTGTAAAAGGTGTGACCTAGCCCTGTTGATCTATACCAATAATGGCAACTGATCTGTATAGAATGTCCCACCAACTAGGCTCGGGAAAACTGACCGTGACTTCCACATCAAATATCTCCAGGATCCACCGCGACGAGCATCTCCGCACATACTGGATGGTAGAAATGCTCGATAGCACCTTTGCACTCGGAACTGCCAACAATCCATTCACCGTCTGCACTCCATTCGCTGCCAACCTCCCATGCAGCGATACAGCTTGGGCTCTACAAGACCCATTCCGAGAAGACGTCCCCTTCCACAATGCGAACCACTCATCCGGCTTCTCGCTGTGTATCAGCCTATGCACGGTGGAATTAGAACCCGTCCATCGATTCCTGCAGACCCCGCGGAAGAGTGGCGTAACCGGCGACCTGGAATGGCAGAGTGCTGCCCAACGTCTGGATGAGAAGCTCACCATATGGCGTGAGGAGTTTGTGGCGGCTGTATTCCGGCTTATCAATGCCGAATATCCACAGAGTGCACGCGCAGAGATGGAGCCGTCTATTGTGTTGGCCAATTGTGTTCTCAATATGTTGGTTCTCTTACACTGTCGACGGCGTAGCTAACTATAGCAGGGCTGTTATCACACTCCTACAATCGCAGACCTCGCTACCACCAGGCGTTGAAGCTGACCTTGAACCAGTAAGTAAACACCATCTACTCAGTACCATCTAACTATCCAGTGGCCATACGCCAACCACCGCTGCATCTACGCGTGCGAAAACATGGCCGCCAAAATCCGGCGAATGGAAGAAGGCGACCTCCTCACCTGCAGCCCCTGCTTAATCTTGCCTATCTTCGTAGCTGCTCGTTTTTGCATCGGTATGTCTTGTCACTATCGTATCATGACAAAGCTAATAATACAGTCCATACAAAATGCCTCAAAGCAGACGTCTCGGTCAATCTGCATTCCCTGGCGTATAGTCTACACATCTGCAGCCACCGGTGGCCACTAGCCAAGATGTGTGAATCGGTCATCCGGACGGCTGTTGCAGAGCATCGGACACCGGTCTCGCAGTCGGCTTTGCCGCTGGAGTTTTATGATCTTCGATGTCCGGTCGTTGATATTTGTGCTTCGCTGCAGGTGTGGGCGGATGGTGTGGGAGGTTAGGCTGTTCTAGCGGAGTATAATTGTTCATTGATGGCATTACAAGCTTTTAATTGATTCCATAGTCAGTATATCTGTCCTTCTGTAGGTGGAGTGTTGGCCAAGATGTGGAAGAAGGCGATGATGTGAAGAATGGGAGTTCGGGCATGTGGAGGGGGTTTGATATTGTGGGATCTGAGGATGATATGTATGGTTCAATGAATTGTTCATAGTATTACATTGTGTCTTGGTTATTTGGACTTGTGGACGACGTTGGGTGACGGATTGACTTACTGTACAGCTCTGTCGGCACCCTGGTTGCGTCAATTGGGGTGTATGTATATTCTTAAGAGGAGTAACCCTTATTTAAGATGTATCCACTCATTCTCACCACCAGCACCATACTGCCTATATTGTTAGTTGAATCACCTCCTTAGCTATTACCTACATGATCAGTAAACTGCCTGTAGTATTAATATCCAGCATTCTCGGGAAGAAATTAACTAGGAATTTAGTTATGGGTCTATTCTACAATACCATAACACATGCAATGAGTCCCTTTGACTGAATATTATAGATTATCGATAGATCTAGTAAGGGGTTCATCAAGTTTACCTCCCGTGAGTTGGGTGAAGTACCAGTAGGCACTTGGGAATACATACTAAACTTCATCCTACCAAAAAGCAACTGGAATACGCATTAAAAGGCATTGTTCATCTGATCTTAGATTCCATGGAGGCTAATGAGAGTCTACAACAAAACTGTTGTCAAGACATTTGCGCAGGAAAGCACCCATCAAATGTACTCTGGCCTAAATGAACAAAATCGTAAAACCCGACACCCTTGTACTTTTCTATGAATCGGTCGCTATATGTGCCATAGATATGTCAGATATAACAGTTGCATCCAATAGTCATGGCGTCCTAGTCTGCTTTATCCGGTTGTGTCTTTTGATCGTTGACGGAATTAGTTTGCTGTTTAAGGGGACTTTCCACCATTTCTGGACTTAGACTTCTTCTGAAATAAGAATCCTTGTTCGCGTCCTTACCGGCATTACTAGTGTTGGGGACCGCGGCATAGGGAAGTGAAATGCTCTCGCGTCGAGGATAGGCTGCGCCAGTGTGAATAGCACCGACATCAGTTAATTTATCGGTTGCGGAAAGCGCGTAATCACCGGAGTCGAAGTACGTTCGTTCCTTTTATGTTATTCAATATCCTAAGGCTTAGATTTCTCAAACGTACTTTGGAATGTCGTCCAAGTAATTCCCCTCGACGAGGTAACCTTCCGTAGGCGCGGAGACGCTTCTCATCCTCGGAGAATGGCTAAAAAATAATCAGCCCAGTACACAACATTACGGAGGTGAGCGCACCATGGGTTTGGATTCCTTATCTTTTTCTGGTTCCATTCTGACATGCGCAAAGGTATGTATGTTGAGGTTACGGAAGCCTCCACATGGAAGCCGTGAATATATTTGCCACCATTCGGGTATCCCCATGACGTAGGACATATTTATCATGCCAAGGATGAAAATTCCTTTTGTAGAAACTCTATATCCGATTACTTCGCTCAGGATGTGCGGGTTGATTATTTCTCGGCGTCCAAGTTCGTCATCATTTGTCATGATCAGTGTTTCTGTCTAATAGTGGCACCGAGCCCATCAAGGCTCTGTCAAGACTCCGACTACGGGGCTGAAGGATTGATGACATTCTTTCTAGGATACTGTAGTCATCGAGATGGTTTCAATACCAGTACTTTGACTTAGTTAAAGCAGTATGTACAGTACTTAAGGAAACATAGCCAAGGCTCAAGATAAACATTGGATGCCTAGTGATCGAAATGCTACGACTTGCGTTGCTCTATGCAAACACATTTATATATTCTGTTAAACTGAAATGTAAATGAACCAAAAAATGGATTTTGAATCAGAGTTCCATCACCTTGAATATACGGTATGAATTTATCTACGCAACACGAAAACGATTCATAAACGTATATTCTTTCATGCCGTTACATGATACCTCGGCGTAAGCATAACCTTCCAAGTCCCCTTGCTAAACTGCATGGTGATATACTGTCGGAAATCAATGTCCTGGCCTTGAACCTCGGTGAAGTCGAATCTTGAGAAGAGGTTCGCAACGACCATTTGCATTTCAGCCCATGCAAAGCTATTTTCAATTAGTATCTTCTCATAAAGAGATGTATGTAAGATACGTACTTCTTTCCAATACACGCGTGCTTCCCAGAAGAGAAAGGAAAGTATGCCCGCACACTGATATTGTCAGCAGCAGATTCCTAAAGGCTCTGTCCGATTACTTACTCAGGCTCAGGTGCGCCCTCTCTTGCACTCCCTTCCAACCATCTCTCGGGCCAATATCGCATTGGCTGGGGCCAAAACTCCGGATTCCGATGCAGGTTGCGGTATGATGCAGAGACGACTGTACCTGGCGGCAGATTATAGCCCATCAAATTCACCCATTCCTTGCCTGTTCGACGACCCATCTCCGATGCAATGGGATGCAAACGAAGGGCTTCCTTGATACAGGCATCCAGGTATTCAAATTTCGGGTCAGTACGGATGTCTTTGCTACCAATGATAAGATCGTTGGGTTTGAGGACTGGGAGCGATGCTAATAGCTTCTTTTTCGCCGCTGGTGTTCGAAGTAGTTCCAGGAATAAGCAGGCGATGGTGCTCGATGTGGTTTCGGAGCCTGCCAGAAGAACTTCGGACATTTGATCTGTCACGTCTCGAGCGTTCATTCTTACTCTAGTATCAGCCTTTTCTCCGTCCGTGATGAGGTGTTGGAGAAGATCAGGGCGGTCGATTCCTGAATTCTTTCGCTTATCGATGATTGCTTTTATGGCCTGTTTGGTTAGAGGATGTCATGAGGATGTTCGATCAACATACCGTGATCATCTGTGAAGGCCAGTCGAATTTCATTTCCAGCCCCAGGCTACGGAACAAGCGTTTGACGTATACCATCTGAAGAGTCAGTATATATCAACTGCAGTCATCTAGCGCTGACCTACCTGGTATCTCTTGGTCATTCCCGAGAAGAAATTATGCGGAATAGACCGCCACACATTTTCATCTAGATCAGAATCAATCTTCTTTTCGGGGTTGACTTGTCCGAACCCATGCCCGAATGAGCATTCTCCCATTCTCCTTCCATCAGTATCTGAGCCATTTCAGAGTATGGCGACATACATATCTAGAGCTAGTTTATGTAGGTCATCCATGAGATCCGTCTTGTAGAGATACCCTTTTTGATGCTTCTTCGCGTCAATCTGGGCAGCATACCCCGAAATCAAATCTTTGATCGATGTCGCAAAGAATGGATTCAGATTGTCAACATAGTTTATCGTGAATGCAGGATTCAAAAATCTTTTCAGGTGCTTATGCGGTTCCGGTCGACTCGAATATCATCAGCATCAATAATCGCCCAGCACCGGATAAAACCTACATCTCCCCAAAAAGGCCCGGGCTGAATCTATCTCTCGATATCTCCGCATACATGCTGGCTTTGGGCAGATCGATCGTCTGCAGAATCCGATGCATAGCCTCCTTATCGGCGATCCAAATCTGGCGCGGACCTAAACGGAAGATACTACCATACTTACGATGGTTCTTTTCAACCATCTTCCAGATCGTGCCATTGGCAAAGCCGTAGCGAAGGTGTATTGTTGTGTAAGGCGCGTACCACGGTCCGGGGATGCCAGATAGTGGAGATTTGAGGGCTCTGTGAATGGCAAAGAGCTTGTTTATCACAAGGCCCAAGGCTAGGAGAGTAATTCCTCCATAGAAAATGGTTTGGGCGGGGATTTCGGCTACCAAGCCCATATTGTCAAGTGTGAATTATTTCATTCGTACAGGCTGTTTTCACGGGGATGCTTTGGGCAATTCTTATTATTTATATTACAATCAACCGCAAGCCAACTTCAGGTACAGGGGAAATATCATAAGATGATAACATGCGTACGACATATATAATGAATAATAAATAGTACCTGTGATGACTACAAGCGGCGTACAACAAGGCCCTGCTTATCGTTATACTTGAAAAGTGCTGTTCGTATGATCAGGAAAGATTGGCGCCGAACAGGGTGACTTTTCTCCTTGCATAATCCAGTTACAACTATTCAACATGATAAGAAGCATTGTACTTGATCGGTCATCAGATCGTGGGCTGACCGTCTTATGTACTGGCTGATCGGGTCTAGAACTGGAGCATTGCGAGTGATTCTTCTGTATGTGATGCCCTATTTATGGGTAAATCACTGGGCTGGTAAGACTCTACTATCAACGCTTTTATAGATTCATCTAATTCATCCTGATACAGTTGCAATCACCTACCTCCACCACACCCACCCCTCCATCCCTCACTACGGACCCCAAAGCTGGTCCTTCACTAGAGGGGCTCTCGCAACCGTCGATCGAAGCACAGGCTTTCTCGGTCGACATTTCTTCCACGAGATCATCGGCTACCATGTCGTCCATCACTTGTTCTCGAAGATCCCATTCTACCGCGCAGAGGAAGCCACGAAAGCGACGAGACCGCTTCTCGGTGATATATACAAGGAGAAAATGCATGGGAGCTTCCATCTTGGTCTGTTTGAAACGTATCGGACATGCACGTATGTTTCTCTGCAGAGGTCGAATGAGGGGGAGGATGTGTTTGGGTGGAGGTGAAGGTGTTGGATTGTACGCAGTTATCTTGATTCGTTCGATTTATTATTAGAATTTTATTAACTTGCTTTATTCTATAGTTAACAAGTGAGTAACATGATAGTATATAGAATATAAATGGTGAGGCTCTTTCCTAATCCAGTAATGGCTGACCGCAAATCCAGATTCCTGGAAATCCAAGCATACATTATGCAATATCTCATTGTACTGCATGTAATGCAGAATCCAGTCATCTGTGGCATGGTCAATAGTTGGTGCAACTCGCTATGCATTGTCCACCACATACAGAATGCTGTGTAACACAGTGCAGTCATCGCACATATTTCTCTCTAATCACTTGTTAGCAGCATTAGAATGATATCAAGTTGTCGGCTGAAAGCAAGGGCTGGAATGTATCCCATTAGACACTTGACTTCGTTTATTGCGTCAAGCAAGAAAAGTGACATCTACATAATTGAGTTTCTCACTTCATCTATGCATCTTTGTATCCAGAATGGATGGCTATTTGCTTGATCGACGTCTATCTGAGTCTGTCCGGTAGGTTATCTTTATACTTTCTATATCTCAGCTAACAATCAGCAGACTTGATGCACAGCATCTCTTGTGGAAACTCCAAACAGGATACGCCTTGCATCCAGATATCCCGATCAAGGATGACATGAAAATTGCAGACATCGGGACAGGCACTGGGTATGAATCATGTATAAAACAGAACTATATTAAACATACTGATATTGCACAGGGTATGGCTACTTGATATAGAAAACGACCTACCCAAGACTGTCAATCTCGATGGATTTGATATTTCCGATTCCCAATTCCCACCAGCACATACTCTGCCAGCAAATGTTCACTTTGGCGTGTTGGATGCACTTGAGGATATCCCGTCTAAATTAGCAGGGAGGTATGATGTCGTGCATCTCCGCATGTGGTGCTGTGTGATCAAGGGCAACGATCCAACCCAACTGATCGAAGCCGCATACAAGCTATTGAGTATGCTTTCTTGCCATACCATCTTCGGTGTAATCCTAACATCATACAGAGCCCGGAGGATATCTTCAATGGGAAGACGTCCATGGTGGAAGACAGGTCGTCCACGGTGAAGCCGCAACCAAATTGAATCGACTGTAGGAAAGTCTCAGAAAGGCAGCCAATATCCATTGCAAGTACGAGTCCCCTGCTTATACCATATATCGATAATGCTAATAGTAGAAGATGGTTATATAACCTACCAGATTACCTTGGAAAACACGGGTTTAGCATACTCCACTACCAAACCGACATGTTGAAAGAGAGCCTTGTGTCGATGTATTCAACCACGGCTTTACTGGGTATTCTCGGTGCTTTTAACGCCACACAGGGAAATAATCACGGCATATCATTGCCTGCAATGGGCGAGATCGAGAAACTGGTTGCTTCTGCGTTGGGCGAGGTCAAGAATGGAGGCGCATTGCATTGGATTCCAATGGTTGTTTTGGCGAAAAAGGGATGGGGTTGTGCTTCTAGATAGCACAGCTTTTGTAATGAGGAGATAGCTGTCAGTCACACGCTGTTCTTGATTGCCGTTACTCCGAATAGCACTAAATGCCAAAATGAACTTGGATGGCGATTGGCTTGGAGTTTATATCCATATACATGATATGCTAGGGGCAGTCCAGACCATTTATTTAAATGAAGCAGTTTCACTAGCTTGCTGCATGTCTCACCGTACTTTGCTACCTTGTATAACATTTAAATCAGTCGAATAAGTAGAACCATATATCATTGTGTCTCATCCCCTCTAAGCCTATCAAACATACTCGAAAATGACCACCCCTCACATTTTCATGTCAGTATACTCTATCGATGGGGAAATGCAACATGGGAAAAGGAAAGGTACTACTTCGCTGAGAATGGTCCTTTCTATTGGGGAGATATCCAGCAAACAGTGGCAAAGGCAGCATATGAGCAGAACTTGCTTTCGTCTCCTGAGGTGCACAGAACCAGCCATGACTAGGTCAGACAGGTCAACCGTTTTGGTCTCTATATATGGGGGACAAATGCGAGATGTCGTGCTGTTCGGGCGAGAAAGTTGCTGGGATGGAATCCGCAAATGCCGTCTCTCATGGATATGATCCCAGATATTGTGCAGCGGAAGGCGTGTGAAATGGGTTTGATAATGGGCAGACATGTATCTAATCTATAGAAAATATAAGCATTATGCCGATGCAGCTGGCCAGTCATTGTAATTCTCATCGGGCGTTGTATACGGTCCATAGTTGACCATTCCACCTCGATCATTCACTGCAAAGGGAAGGCCATTCTTGATGCGAGTGATCAGATCCTATCCATCATCAGTTAACTGTCTTTGTCATATCGGATTCACTCACAGGATTATAGATAAACGGCCGACCAAGACACACCATATCAGCCTTATTCTCTCGCAACAACTCCTCCGCCTCATCCACCGTGTATTCATGGTTAACCATAAGCAAACTCTTACTACCAGGATACTTGACCAACGGCCCAAACTGCGCAATTGTATCATAGTTATCCGGTAACTCCTTTCCCTGTAGACGAGGCGGCGTCTTGAAATAGTCATCCTGTGCTCTGTCTATACTACCACGGCGAGAGAGCTCGATATATCCCAGTTCACGAATAACTAGCTGGCGGATAAGATACTCATACACTTCGCTCAGTTCATCGTATGAGACAGCCGAGTCATTGTAGTCGTCTGATGGGCAGATTTTGATTCCTACACGACGAGGTCCCCAGACTGAGATGATGGCGTCGAGGACTTGGAGGGGGAAGCGGCAGCGGTTTTCGATGGTGCCTCCATATTCATCAATTCGTTTATTGGCGTGGCTGTATATCGTTAATAAACTGTCAGATGTAAATGGGGTATACCTACGAGCATAGAAAGTTGTGAAGGAGATAGCCCCTAGAGATGTTAGTAAACTATCATCGAGGAATATAGTCTGCATACCCCTGGCATAGCAATTCAATGCCGTCAAAGCCACTCTCCTGTGCCAGAAGAACAGACTGTTTGAACTGCTCGACAATCACACTTGGATCGCCGATCTCGGTGATGTTTTCAGTATGGCCCTAGTTATATATTGTCAATATATATTCTTCCTATTAACTGTATATCTTACCGGTTTACCCTCAAGAAGACGAAACTTGCCTCCAGCCGCTGGCACTGTCGATGGAGCCAGCACAGGATAGCCACTTTCCTTCAACATGGGCATGTCCTCATGCTGAATCCGACCTATTCAATCTCAGCTATCTTCATCTCCCACATCATAACTTAAGTAACCCACCAGGATGCCACGGCTGAAAGAAAATCCTCCCACCCTGCTCATGCACAGCAGCAGTGACCTTCTTCCACGCCCCAGCATGACTATCGTCAAACATGACCGGCGCATGAGGCCATTCAGCACCATGTAGAGAGACAAACGCCCCCTCTGCAATGATGAGGCCGGTTCCATCTCGAGCTCGGTCAGCGTAGTGTCGGGCTGTGGCGGGTGTAGGTTTGGCATCGTCCACGCAGCGGTTGCGTGTCATTGAGCCCATGCAGATGCGATTGCGGAGGGGGATGCAGTCGCCCAGGATGATGGGCTGGAGGAGATGTGCCATGACTGAATTAGAATGAGATGGTTGTTTATGGCGCGGAGGTTGGGAGCATTTCTTAAAGACAAGGGCGGAATTTATATTCCGCATTGAGGGCATCGTGGGTCCTATGATTACATTGCATGATTACATTGTAAAGCTATTCTTTAAAACTATCATATTAAAGTGACTGAATATGTCTGAATATCTGTAGATGATGTTATTGACCCCTGAATAAACCCCGACCACGTGTTTGCTTATCAAATATCCTCACTTCCACCATGAATCACCACCTCCACTCCACCATCTATCTACACATAACAACCAACCATAATATCATCTACAATGGCAACATACCTCATCACCGGCTCCTCACGAGGCCTAGGTCTAGCACTCGCCACCCGTCTGGCCAGTCTCCCCAAATCAGACGTGGGGAGTATATTCGCCACGTCCCGTCGCGACAACGCCAAGCTGAACGAATTGGTGGAGTCGTCCGATCGGGTGGGATTTGTGCCTATGGATGTCACGGATGAGCGTAGTATTGCTGAGGCTGTTAAATTGGTGGAGATTCGACTTCAGGGGAGGGGGTTAGATGTTTTGATTAACAATGTGGGTGTGATGCCTGCTACCAGGGGGGGAATTGAGAAGATGTATGTTGTTTCTGATTCTATATTGGAATTCATGCTTAAATTCGTAGGGATGATTTGATGGAAACCTTCAATACGAATGTTGCCAGCACTCATCTGGTGACAAAGGCATTTCTCCCTCTCCTGCGCAAGGGACAGCGGAAGACAGTAACCAACATGTACTTCATTCCTTCTCCATCATGACGAAGACACTAATATCATGTAGATCAACCACGCTCGGATCCATCAACATGGCCTCGAACTACAAATTCATGCCTGTCCCTGCATACAAAATCACCAAAGCAGCGTTGAACATGCTGACGGTGCAATATGCCCAATCATATGCAGATGAGGGATTTACCTTTTTCGCCGTCAGTCCGGGTGTATGCTATACTTCTCTTCTTTCTACTGAATCCCAGCTAACAATCATCAGTGGCTCCAAACCGACCAAGGCGGCTCGCGAGCAGATCTCACCCCAGAAACCGGCGCTGAAGCAGTCGTCAAAACAATTCAAAATGCCACGCCGGCTGAAAATGGTAGATTCTTCAATATCCACGTGCCTGGATGGGAGAAACATGACGGGTTGAATCAGTATAATGGCAGCGAGGTGCCTTGGTGACGGCCATCTGTCTGAGGTATCTCGGGTTTTATTTCATTTGATACAGAGTGTATATAGTGATTTGCTTCGGGCTTCAGAGTTGATAGATAGATCCAATCAAGGACAATATACCCGTATCATATGCGGGCAGCCGTTTAGGTATCAACTCAAAGAAAAAGAACAAGCGCAAGACACGAGAGTAACACGAGAATGCGCGAGAAGACGCGAGACGCGGCGTAAAGTCGCGATAGAGATACAGGGAGGTGCAGGAGACAACGGAAGACGGCGCAGAAGACATCTCGATGCAACAGAACGGAAGGAAAGTGGGACAGAGAGGATACAAGTTATTGCGATCTATAAAGACGTATAAATCAGGGTAATTGCTAGTAAGTAATTGTGTTTCTGACAATTACTGAACTCGGCTGTTTCCTGTGAGTAGGCAGTAAATTCTTTCGCAACTTCAGAGTCTTCTGGGTTGTTTCTCAACAAGGAATCAAGTCAACTGTCGAATATGACCTGTCGTGATGAATCCGCTCTGTGTGGAGTACACAAAACACTGAGAAAAAGAAAAGAAAGAAAACGCACAAAAACGCTCTCCAAAGTGTCAAATATCAATTCCATCAATTTAAATGGCAATGTCAAGGGAAGCAGCTGATTTGAAGCACAATTGAGTCAATCGTGTATACAGACAACATCAACTCCCGCGATAGGAAAAATTGCGTCAAGATGAGATTTTTGAAAACTCAATCCCTGTGGCTGTGGCACTGTGGATATTCAACATGCAGCATGATATGATCCATCAAATGTCGAGCAGACTCTGTACTCCATGGGGTGGGAGACTTGATCATTTCATGCATATTTAATGCCGCCAACCCAACTCTCCAGTTGTTCTTCTCGACATCTCAGCTCACTTTATTTTTCCTATTCATTCTTCCAGTTCCTGCATACAGACTACAGGGCCTGCCTTCTCATAAAGAATCCTTCATCGCTTACTTGGTCAGCCTCGGTTATTCTTAGATATCCATCTTCAACGGGAGTTTTCAAACACAATGCCCAAGCGAAGGTCCGATCCAGTTATTCCAGACTACTGGAAGCCGGTCAGCAATCGCAACAAAAAGATGAAATCAGATGGCGATGTCGAGTTCAATCAAAAGATTCCTCCAGCGTCCAGGGCTGTACTTCAGTCTGTCTCCCTCCCAATGCGGCCATGCAACTACCAGCACACAGACCAGCATCGCCGATCAGCTCATCAGAGCCATCGCTCCGGCAAGAAGAAGTCAGATCAAGTCTATTCCAGGAGACACTGCTCCAATCTTCCGCGGTCAAACTCCACCTCGCGGGATAAAGTCAAATCATCCAAGAGCCCTGAATTTACTCTCGAAAACAACCGCTACCTAACCAATCTCAAGGTCTCCCACGATGAACGCGCCAAACTTAAGAATATTCAGGGGACCTACATAATGAGACACCGGTCAAGTGGCGAATACCAGGGCAAAGTGTGGCTCATCTGGGACGAAAGCCGGCTTTGGGGCGCATTTCTCGTGGGTCCCTGGCAAGGTATCATGTTCATCGACAAAGGCCCGGATAGAGCCTCTCCCGCAAAGTACGATATGACCTGGCGAGGCGAAAACGGTCATGAATCCAGCCCTTTCCACGGCAAAGGGTATATCTGGATCGGACATGAACCCGTAATCCATGGCCGTTTTGACGGAATGTTTCACAGTAATGGGCTCCGAGATAGCTTTGAATTCCAGGCTGAACGGAGATCGTGCGTGCCACAGCAGCTAGACGAATACATCCAGGAGTGGGAGAGGTTACGAGGGAACGATTCCAATAGGAAGGAACCTTCGACTGAATACATGCTCTTGTCTGAACTCTTGCCTGGATCCTCCCCTGTGAATGCAATCCGAGTCGATAGCGATGAGGATGAAAGTGAAGTTGGTCCAGAAGATGATGTTGATACGCTATCTGAGGATGAGAATGACGATGACGATGGGGACAGGGAATATCTTGACGATGGGGACGAGGACGATGAGGATGATGACGAGTATGAGTACGAGGCTGTGGAAGAGAGTGAGGACGAGGATGAGGGAGGTCGTGATTCCGATAGTGACAGCACTCGCAGCTCTGGAACACTCTCCCCGGACCCCCAGGATCCCATTCCCCCATCACCCGCGCAATTTGAGAACGTCAGGTTACTCGAGTTACTGACGGGTCGTTTTTATTTGAACAGCGAAGACATCGACAGCAACTGGCCCCAGACCCTGTCTTCTGAACGTGTCATCCATCTCCACGTCCAGCGTGAACGAAATAAGCTCTGGGGGAAATTCAGGATCGGGACATGGGGAGGCTTAATGCAGTTCATTCCGTCGGTGGACAATCTCCTCTTTGATCAATCTATTATATTCAATTGGCAAGGTTTGGAAATCGACACGGGTCAACACATGAAGGCAAACGGTTCGCTCTTTATATCGGAAAACGGAACAGTCAAAGGGACGTTCAAGAATCTTGGGGGAGACTGCAGCTTCACGGGAGAACGGGATAGGACGATGCCAGTAGGAGAATCGGGGTTTGGGTTGTCAGAATATCGCAGGGATTGGAAGAATTGGATGGTCTCTTCAGCTGAGAACTGGTGATCATCCTTGTTTGTTTAGTTTCTGCGCGATGCCTGTAGATCCTTCACCAACCGGCCAACCAATTCGCTGTATTCAACGTCTCCAATGATATTCTCGTCCATATACTAGATCGAGCAGCCACCTGTCTTACAGGTTTTCCCTAGCCAATCGTATCTATGACACGTCATCCATGAGAGTACTACAGACTCTCCACTTCGCACACTTGATTTGACGGAATGCTAGGCTAGGAAACACCCTAGGATGTTCAGCTCAGCTGAGGCTGAAGTGTCACTTAGCCACAGAACCACCAGACGAGGGGATAAATGGCTGGCAGCGTCACTGCAATTCCCAGTCCAGCTTCACTGTCATTCCCTTCAATCAGAATATTCTTTTACTCTTCCGTACAACATGTCTGACTTCTTCATCCCTCCACCAGGACTGGCTTTCCGGCTCCTTGGTCAGAGAAGCAACAGGGTTCTTGTTGCCAACTCCAATGATACCCTCACGGACTACGAACTGGGGGCAAAATATGCCGATCAATGGTTCACCCTTGAGCCCGCACCAACGAGCGGGCAGTACTATATCAAGAGCACGGCCTCAGCGAACCAAGGAAAAGTCATCTTCTGCCGTGCCGCCGAAGGTGAAGTTGGCGTTTGGAACAAGGACTATGACGATCAGCATTTCATTCTCGAGCCTGGTGTGGGCGAGTTCCTCGGAGGCTTCCGACTCCATGCTCCCTCCACGAACAGGGTGATCACCGCCCAGCCCTCAGCTAACTGGGTTCGAAACTATCCTGCGGATGGGACCAAATATAACGATCAGTACTTCTCATTTCTCTTTGAAGACACTGAAATCGATCGCGTGGAGTACGATGCTACAGACGCTCGGCCTGTTGGCACTATGCCAACATCTTTTCCTGTTGAATTGGTCAATCGTGGCAATACTCCGGCAAAGCTGAATGCAAACATGAGTCGATCGGTTTCGGAAACAGCCTCATTTGACTTTCACACAGGGATGACTCTTACGGTGGGGGCAACTTTCAAGTCTGGTATACCATTCATCGCAGAGGGTGAGATCAAGACAGAATTCAGTGTATCGACGGACTTCACTTGGGGAAAAGCCACCACGGTCACATCGCAGATCGGATCCTCGGTGGAAATCGAAGTTCCTCCTCACTCGTCCCAGAAGGTGGTTGGCGTTTATAAACGGAGCACCATTAACCTCACTGCCACCATCTATTCCAAGTCGAAGAGCACTGGAGTCGAGGTTGTGACCAAGGCAATCTACAGGGGTACTCCTGTTTGGGGGTATAGTTATACCGTGAATGAGGCGAAGCCCCTCTGAAAAGATGGTGGTAAGCACAAGCTATAGTATTTATTTGGTGATCACCACTAACTTCAATGGTAGACAGTTCCATGGTCATGATGCCTCTGAAGCAGACGAGTATATTGGAAGAGCTTGGTGATCCCTTCGTTCCGCTTCGCTATCTGCGCAGTAGTTAGTCTTAGCAGTAGTCAAAACAAGTCCACATCGGCCTTAACCCCGCATCTGCATCCTCATTTTCATCAGCTTCAGTAGAACTCACCTTGAATCAAAATGTCTTTTCCTGGTAAGCATCCAGTATCAAGTATAAATAGACTCATTTCAACTCAGTCGCAGCCCATCTTTTGACCACTGATCCTGGCCTCCCTCGGTCGAATCCCACCTTCTCTCACTGGCAGGATCCCCCTCATCCCCTCGCGACCATCCAGTCCCCCACTTTCCCCGAGAAAACTGACGTCGCCATCATCGGATCTGGCATCACCGGTCTGTCTGTCGCCAGAACTCTCCTGGAAGGAGATTCATCCTCCCAAGTGACGGTGTTGGAAGCTCGCACGTTGTGCTCAGGCGCCACCGGTCGCAATGGGGGACAGCTGGCTGCGAATATCGGGGAAGAGTATTCACATCTTGTGTCGATGTATGGAGTAGAAGCGGTAGGGAGGATTGCTGAGTTCACGTTTTTGAATCTGCAAGAGATGTACGAAATTGCGAACGAATATGCAGGAGAAAGTGAAGCCCAGACGCTGGAGAAGCTGCGCGTGTTTCTCACGGATGAGACGTTTGAATCGTTCAAGGAAAGCATCACGCGGTTGGAGACAGATCACCCCCGTTTCAAAGGGATTTATACCATTCTCGACGCGGACAGATTGAAGGTAATTCACTGCCCCGTCGCGACTGGGAGTAACACTGAGAGAAGCAGCAGGAACACAACATCACCGGCGCAGGAGGGGCGCTTCTCCCTGCAGGAACCCTCTGGCCCTATCGCCTCGTCACGGCCATCTTTGCCAACCTGCTCAACACCCACAAGTCCAGGTTCAGCATCGAGGCAAACACCCCCGCGACATCAGTCGCATACAACCCCGACAATGATCCATCTCATCCATATACCATCCATACACCTCGCGGGCCTCTTCGCGCCAGGAAGATCGCATACTGCACAAACGCTTACACGGGGCATCTACTTCCCCAACTTCGCGGTCGTGTCTATCCCTTCAAAGGAACGATGACAGTTCAACGCCCGGAGAAATCAGTCCCGAATAAGGGCGACTCGCTATCATGGGGATTCCATTATCCACCGTCGTATAGCCCGCAGTCGAAACAATATGCGGCCGGGCTATACTATCTCGCCCAGAATGCAAAATCTGGTGACTTCTTTTTCGGTGGCGAGAATGCCTCATTCGACGAGTGCCTGTCCGCAGATGATAGCCATGTCGGAAACGAGTCTATTACTGAATTGCTAAATACTCTCCCTGGGTTTCTGGGTGTGCAGGAACCTCGCGATTGGGAGCTTGTCCGTGCTTGGAGTGGGATCATGGGATTCACTGCGGATGGGCTTCCGGTTGTGGGACAATTGCCTTCATCTCTGACTGAACGCAATGGTGATGGAGAATACATTGCGGCTGCGTTTAATGGATATGGAATGGCCAATTGTCTTCTTTCCGGGCAGGCACTGGCAAAGATGATGATGGGTGAGGATGTCAGTTCGTGGTTCCCCGACGCATACGGGATCCACGATGAACGGTTGCGAATGTTGACGGTGCAAAACTCAATGCAATATTATATTGATTTGTTGGCTGAAGAGGAAAGGCCATCCTCCCCATGAAGAGAAAATGAAATTTTATTGATGATAGGGTATCAAACCTTGTACATGTCTATCTAGGCGAATAATGTATTGTACATGGCGGTTGTGGTCTGCAATCATCCACAGTGCAATGCACGCCTGGGAATATTTTGAGCAGACGAAATAAAAAAACAAAAGCAAAAAAAATGGACTCGCGGGGAATCGAACCCCGGACCACTCCCATGCTAAGGGAGTATTATACCACTAAACCACAAGCCCACTTGTTGAAGACTTCGTGGTGGGTTCTGATTTAGAATCCGTCCCGATCGGCTCTCCCGTCCCACACGGAAACCAAACTTCACTCCTTGGACACCTCGGCAACAAAATCCATCAAACTGGACTGCGCAGGGACTACAGGATCCGACTTCCATGTGCGCGACTGTAGAGACGGTTCTTTGTCTGTAGCTGATCGACCGAGCCTTTCAATCCCGCGCATTTCATACACCTGAATGGTCATCTCATGCCGGGACAGCATCACCTTCATCTTCTTCTGTTTTCCTGTCTTGGGTGAAAGCGTCAACAATTCACCGTGATGTGGATATGCCGCCTCCCATGTCGCTGATTCACCTGCACCTGGCGATGGCTTCGGGTGCGATGACGAGATGGCGGAAACAACATCCAGCATGACAAAGTGTGTAATGACTGCGGCCGCTTCGTCCCTTAAGCCAATGCGTGCCGGGGGTTGGGTATCCGGATGCCGTGGCAGGTTAACAGACACATCGAACTGGGTCCCAGATGCCGGGGGCGAAAGATTGGTACGGATTTTCACGTTGAAAGAGCTTTGGGGTGTGACCAAATTGGCTGAAAGCGTTGACTCTAACGGTACCAAAAATCCTTCGACCAGAGCTTCAACTTGAGGAAGTCCCTTCTTTCGTGCAAGATTCACGGAAGAAAATAGGCTGGATGTATAATCACAGGTGATCCCGGCGGATTTCAACACACGGTATATATCCTTCACAAATGACTCAAGCCATCGTACCTGCGAGCTGTGTTGGAGGTATGCCATTATCGGCCGTAGTAGCTGGTATTCGAGAGCATGTCGTCGCACAGGTGTCAACGGTGGAGGAACCTGCGTCCTTCGACGCAGATTCTGACGATGCGCGTAAGCGAGAAGAATGCGGATTGAGTATGCAAGTGCATCCGCAAGCACATCTTGCTCGTGAGATTCCTGTTCATCATTTGCAGAATCTTGGTTCACATCCACCAAGTCCAGCATGATCTCCTGTTCATCGGACACAGCGAACTGAATCAGATTCTGCCGCGTCGTGACCCCCTGCTTGGCGATGACTCTTGCCTCTCGGACCAGCTCGTGGAACAACTCCTCCTCGTAGACTGTGTCACGCGCCTGTAAGATGCGACTCTCGATTGAATCCTCGCCGTTCAATACTGGGTTTTGCAGCTTTGAGCACCCGGTAAATCGGCCGCTCTCCTTCACACGCACACGTACAGTTCGCGCCTTGGGTGGAATCAGACCCTTGTCCAGTATCAAGCTTCCATCGTCCGCTCGTCGTAGAGATGCAAGACCTCGGTCACGGAAAAGAGGCGTAGCTATAGACATTTAGCATCAATACGTACCATCCCATTCTGGGCACCTCACCTTCTAAGAAGCCGTATTGAACACCCAGTGACTGTTGTTCCCGCGGCAATCTGCATACCTTCCAGCCCTTGTCCTTCACTGCCAGCACTTCGTTCCAGTATCTAGTCTCGGACGCAACCTCGGCTTCCAGTCTTGTAGCGGAGTTGAGCAACTTGTTAGCAGCAGCATCAAAGTTCTGCAGTCTCCACCCACGCGACACTGTCTTGGTATCTCCTTCACTTGACTCTGGTTTCGGTGGAGGGTTAACGACCTCTGCGTTCAACGAGCCGAGGGGCGCGACGCTCTTCAGGTAGGCAGACATGGAGGTTTCCGCTTGACGGGGGGCATTTTTCGAAATCAACAGAGACACAAAATCGAGCGCAAACATCGTTTCCATATGAGCTTGACTATTAAGAAAAACCGGTCAGCTTCCCTCCCATTCATCACCAAAAGCCAAACTTACAGAGCGAACTGGGTGATCTCCGCACGGCGCTTGTACAGCAGCTCCTGTCGCTCTGTTGTGTCCAAATCAGCCGTCGATTTGTCGTCTTCATCTTCGTCCAGCACGCCGTCCTTTTCCTTCTCTTCCTGGATTTTGGCACGAAGGCTTGCTTCGTTCACGTCACGGAAAGATCCATACTGAGCGTTGATCTGGGCGATCTCAACGGGCAAGGAATCCGGACGGTCGCGTTTGTCGATGAGCGGACGGAGGGGGAGGTTGAAGGAATCGGACATTTCAGCGGTATTTCAGTGAGCCTCCTGCATTAGCGGGGCCCTCGATCGAGAGGCGTGAGTGGTTGATGGTAGAGTCAGCCTTTGATGCTGTTGAGTTGTTGCTTTGAGGTGACGCAGGATGCACGTGACTCTGCTACGTTGCGCAACAACAACTCGACTACCTAGCTGTGTATGTGATAGATATTGTGTTTACAGACTCTTATTTTTTAAAATTATTCATTGGGATAATAAATAAATCCTTGCTATGGTTGCATTTACGAATCTTCATACTAAATAGTGTTCACTGAAGTAACAATGTTCTCGAGTGGTCAAAGATATATATCTGTTTTTGGGCCCCATTTTGCAAGTACTCAGATCGCGAATTTCCAAAACTCTTAATTTATCTAATTTAACTACACATGTATACCTAAGCCATAAGAGAAATCACAAAATCATTTCGAGTACATAGAGCCTAAGAAAATTGATTGTATTGTGTTGGGATTGACAATTATTTCCATGGCTATTCGTCAATCGTCCACTGCCAGTTATCGCGGCATGTGGGTATCTCAGCTGAGAGATCCGCACCAGCTTATGCTGATCCATATGACACCACTCTTACATATTATTGATGTTGAACGCAGCTGTTCTGCTGGAATAAATTGGATTCTTCATGGATAAGTGCCATCTTGACAAGGTTATCGTGAGCCAAAACCAACCTAGTGATGCATTCTCTACGTGAAATAGCAACCCAAGGCAAATGGCATCTGGTTCACTATACAAACTACGACCGATAACCTTGCACCGCGATTAGAGGAGTTGAGAGCGTTCTCCGGGATGTCAGGACAAGACAGGGGATATGGTCAGATAGTTCCTTGTCACCAATTTAGTGTGGTATACCCACATATATGTGAGAATGACAGTGCGGCTGTCGAGTGTCCTATGTAGATGTTGATTACGCTGAGGCAATTTCCTGCATACACCATAGCATCCTGAAACTCTAGCTCGCTTTGTGTCATATTTTCATTGTAAGATAATCCGAGGTTTCGCTAAAAGCTGATGGACACACAGGACTACAACTTGTCTTATCAAGTTGAGCACGAGGAGACCGGACGTGGAACCTGGATATTGTTGCCAACAGTGCCATAACCGGTTAGCTGTTATCCAGCGAGCACGGAGACCTATGGTTCTTGGAAACGACAAGCGCACTTACACCACTACTATGTAAACCGTGCCCGGATGGCCTACAAGCCAGATTACAGCAGCTGGTGATGTAAAGGACCATGAGTGGTCTCGTCGGACTGGATCGATCCGGTTTGAAAGGGATGTTTGTAGTGGTCATGGCGTCACCTTGCCAAAAGCGGATAGACTCCACGTGAAGTAGGCAGCCCTGCCCTAAAACAAAACCCCTCATCACGTGATATTTGTCCCGCACTAAGTCCAAAGTAGACAGTACAGTGACGTCGACTAACGGCCTGTCATTCTTGCAGAAGCGCAAGAAAATCTCCTGTCTTGCAGGTCAAATGGGTAGGAACCATTCAAAAAGCGCCGGGATCGCATCCTCAGACAGACCTCTTTCTCAAACAAAAGTCCTAAAGGACGAATGGATTGCTGATTATTGACGCCCCCAGCCAAGATCCTGTCGCATTGGTCAATGGCCTGTGCCCGCCTCAGTCTGTGACGTACATTCTCCCACTCCCGCTTTCTCTCACCGGAATACCCCACCGTCACAAAAGATATCTATCATCCCTCAACGGCTCCTATCGTCTTCTGTTTTTTTGATTGTCTCTTCTGGTACAACAGATCAATCGATTTCCTTTTATTGTAGACTGGTCTAGAGCTGTCATCGACGCGATGGCTACAGTCAACATCCCCGTGGAGCCGCCCAAGAGACGCCGCATTGGTGTCTTGACCTCTGGTGGTGATGCTCCTGGTATGAACGGTGCCGTGCGGGCTGTCGTCCGTATGGCCATCCACTCTGACTGCGAAGCTTATGCGGTCTTCGAGGGTTACGAAGGATTGGTGAATGGCGGTGACATGATCCGTCAGCTTCACTGGGAAGATGTCCGCGGTTGGCTTTCCCAGGGAGGTACTCTCATCGGGTCTGCCCGATGCATGGCCTTCCGTGAACGCCCTGGTCGTCTCAAGGCGGCTAAGAACATGGTCCTCCGTGGTATCGATGCTTTGGTGGTTTGCGGTGGTGATGGTAGTTTGACTGGTGCCGATGTCTTCCGATCGGAATGGCCCGGTCTGTTGAAGGAGCTGATCGAGACGGGCGAATTGACAGAGGAGCAGGTCAAGCCATACAAGGTGCTGAACATTGTTGGTCTGGTAGGATCGATCGATAACGACATGTCGGGTACCGACGCTACCATTGGTTGCTACTCATCCTTGACTCGTATCTGTGACGCCGTTGACGATGTGTTCGACACCGCGTTTTCTCACCAAAGAGGTTTCGTCATTGAGGTTATGGGAAGACACTGTGGATGGCTGGCACTGATGTCTGCCATCAGTACCGGTGCTGACTGGCTTTTCATTCCTGAGATGCCTCCCCGTGATGGCTGGGAGGATTCCATGTGTGACATCATCACCAAGGTGAGCTGCGACCAGGTCTTCGGAGGATAGTAATATACTAACTATCTTTTCAATAGAACCGCAAAGAGCGAGGAAAGCGACGGACAATTGTTATTGTGGCCGAGGGAGCCCAGGACAGTCATCTCAACAAGATTTCGAGTAACAAAATCAAGGACATCCTCACCACGCGCCTGGGTCTGGACACTAGAACTACCGTCCTGGGTCACACCCAGAGAGGAGGTGCAGCCTGCGCCTACGACCGATGGCTCTCGACTTTGCAGGGTGTGGAAGCCGTTCGCGCTGTTTTGGATATGAAGGCCGAATCTCCCTCGCCCGTCATCACCATCCGAGAGAACAAGATCCTTCGCACACCATTGATGGAAGCTGTCCAGGATACCAAGAACGTCACTCAACACATCCATGACAAGGACTTCGCAGCGGCGATGACCCTTCGTGATGCCGAATTCAAGGAATACCACTTTGCATACCTCAACACATCCACTCCCGACCACCCGAAGATGATTCTCCCAGAAAACAAGGTACGGACTCCAACGCGACGAACTCATGCAGCCACTAACAGTGAAATAGAGAATGCGCATCGCTATTATCCACGTCGGTGCCCCCGCAGGTGGTATGAACCAGGCCACTCGCGCAGCGGTCGCTTACTGTCTCACTCGTGGCCACACTCCTCTTGCCATCCACAATGGTTTCCCAGGCTTGTGCCGACACCATGCTGATAAGCCAGTCGGCTCTGTTCGTGAGATTGAGTGGCTTGAGTCGGACAGCTGGGTCAACGAGGGTGGTTCGGACATTGGAACTAACCGTAGCTTGCCTTCGGAAGATTATGAGACCACCGCCAAGTGCTTTGAGCAGTACAAGTTTGATGCTTTGTTCGTGGTTGGTGGTTTCGAAGCATTCACAGCAGTCAGCCAGCTCCGCCAGGCTCGTGAGAAGTACTCCGCCTTCAAGATCCCAATGGTTGTTTTGCCAGCAACCATCTCCAACAACGTCCCAGGTACCGAGTACTCCTTGGGAAGCGACACCTGCCTTAACACATTGATCGACTTCTGTGATGCGATCCGACAATCCGCCTCGTCCTCGCGTCGCCGTGTCTTTGTTGTCGAAACCCAGGGTGGCAAGTCGGGTTACATTGCCACTACTGCCGGTCTTTCAGTGGGTGCCGTGGCTGTCTATATCCCCGAGCAGGGAATCAACATCAAGATGCTTTCTCGCGACATCGATTTCTTGCGAGACAACTTCGCTAAGGACAAGGGCGCTAACCGTGCCGGAAAACTTATCCTTCGCAACGAGTGCGCCTCCAACACTTACGGCACTCAGGTCATCGCGGATATCTTCAAGGAAGAATCCGAAGGCCGATTCGAGTCTCGTGCTGCCGTCCCTGGTCACTTCCAGCAGGGTGGCAAGCCTTCGCCGATGGATCGTATTCGCGCTCTGCGCATGTCGATCAAGTGTATGCTGCATCTTGAAAGCTACGCTGGAAAGACTCCAGATGAGATTGCGGCGGACGAAATGTCCGCAACGGTCATTGGTATCAAGGGCTCCCAAGTGCTCTTCTCTGCGATGGGCGGAGCCGATGGTTTGGAGGAAACAGAGACTGACTGGACTCGACGTCGCCCCAAGACCGAGTTCTGGCTCGAGTTGCAGGACACAGTCGATATCTTATCAGGACGAGCCACCGCTGGCGGTGAAAAAGAAACGTGGTCATGCTATGAGGGCAGTACGTCATCGTGAGCGGAATGCGTTGTCTTAAATACTGACCCGTCTTAGATGTGAAACCGTCTGTGCATCCTTCTACATCATGAGAAACTCGTTTCCGAAAAAGTTAAGGGACGTTGACGATTGATGGATGAGAGATACCTTAGATATCCGGGATGACAACCGCTGACAGCATGCGACCGCGACGATAGAGGAGGTCATGAACAAAGCTGTTTTTCATGTTTTATATGATGCTATGGATAAATTGACTTGTTTAATACAAGAATCTACGTTAAGTATTGAATTGCTTCACATATTCTATTCAGCAACACCGTATCTTTCGTATTGCGTAGAAGGCTTTGCACAATATTGGAGGGCAATGTTTCTTCCAATTGACCCAGGTCGATGGTGTATTTATCTTTGATAACAGAATGCATTTCGAACAGCGTGAATGACAATCGAATTTTTGAATTTCCACTGTTGCGATGTCAATCGAACCTCATGGGGCCATCCGCGATGCGAGTCAGAAGATGGCTGCTTACGGTGGAGTAACAAACTGACCGCGGCAATATCGAGGAACTACATTAGATTGCGATCAGCAACGGGCAGGCACGATGCGCATCGTCACGCTGGACACTTATATAGAAAGCCCCCGCACCTCATGTATACGAATTTACTTCTGACTCTAATGAATAAACCCATCGCAAGATGCACTGGTGTCGGAAAAAGAGCAAAAAGGCCGCGGCAGCCTTAGCCGCATCACAGCCAGCCCAGCCAGCCCAGTCAGCCCCTGGACCAACACCATCGCAACCAACACCTCGACTTCCTCAATTCTCCCAACCAGCCCCTCAACAACTCCAGCCAACAGAACCTGCACCTCGACCTGCAACACAGTCCCCTCAGCCACCACCATATAAAGCGCCATCTCCAGCAGTCAGCGTACCTCTTGGACTAGATGCTTCACAGAATGAGGAGATCACGGCTATTTGGATCCAGGTTGAAGACCGAGTGAGAAAGCTTGCGTACCAACAGGGGAAACACGTCAACCCTGCACTCGGAATCAACGATGTTCTTGCAAATTTGAATGCGGCCCAGCAGCCCGACAAACAAGATTCAGAGACATCGAAGATCATCAAACAAAGCTTTAGCAGGACCCTTGGACTGATCAAGACCGTCGGAGGAATTATTACTGATGGAGCGTCTCAGGTCAGTGATTCTTTATGTGCTTGATTGACCTAGACTGACTGGTTCAGGTGTTTGCCCCGGCCGGACAATGCTATAATGTCATCAGTTTCGTGATCAACGCCTTCGAGAATTGTGAAAGCGTTTTCGAAGATTTGGCCCAGCTTCTCGATAAATGCGCGGATCACCTGGATCGTCTCGGTCATTATATGAAAGGTGGAATGGATACAAAATTGACAAAGGTCGCCTACCAACATCTGCAGCTATTTGTGGCAATCTGTGAGCGGACATTGAAGCTACGAGACTCGCGATGGGCAACGTTCAAGACATTCATGAAAATATCTTTTCTTGCCGAGAATGACATCCAAGACCTGTTGGGAAAGATGGAAAGTCTGGTAGATAAAGAGGGACGACTTGTGGCGGCACAGACATTCAATTTTGCATCGGAGGCGGCGGCCAATTCGAAAGCGAACTTGACCATCAGCCACCAGATGCACAGCAAGCTGGATACATTGATCGAGGGCAGAGTTGATCAGAAGGAAAGCCTGGAGGCAGAGAAGGACAAAAAGACACTTTTGAACTCTCTCGCCTTTGACCAGAATCCTGATAATTGGGACAACACAAAACAGGAACCAAGGCCCTTTTGGCTGACCACATATAACAACTTTCGCAAGTTCGTTGTTCCAGGAACGGGTGAATGGCTTTTATCTAGTCCCACGTTCCATTCGTGGGCAACGCAGCCAAAAACCCCGTCAATACTAGGTATCTTGGGTACAGAGGCCTCGGGCAAGAGTTATTTGACCTCGAGTGTCATTCGCTATCTCCGACAACATCACTTCTCGGAGCACTCCAACGCAAGGCACCTGGTCGCTTTTTACTTCCTGAATAGACAAAAGACAGAGGATAGAGTTGACACCATTGCCAAATCACTTGTGTGGCAATTTGCAGATAACGACGCATCGTATATGCAGTCAGCAGCTCATATTTGCGAGAAGACCAGTGTTCTCGACCCAGAGGAGATTCTACCCCGACTGCTACTTGATAATAAAACGCTGTCAAGGATTGATGCTAGATTTTATATTGTCATCGATGGACTCAAAGATACAGTGGACGATGGTCTAATTCGATTTCTTCGAAAGGTGTCGGACAGTCAAAGCCAAGCCGTCCGTGTTTTTCTCACTGGTACGCCCTTATCCTTTCAACAACTTGCAGGGAAAGGTATCTCTTCTCGCACAATCCCAATAACATCGAAGAACGCCGATGACATTAAGAAATTGATTGACTCTCGGATGGATAAAATCGAGGCTCTTTCGGACAGCAAGCGGGTTGGAGTGGCTGAGCTGCGGAGGAAAATACAAGACACCCTTTACAAGAAAGCAGCAGGTGACTATTTCAAGATAGATTTGGCATTGAACCAGATCAGCACATTGGACTATGTGAAAGATATCGATCGAGTTCTCGAGGGCGCAGGCAAAGAGCGATCACAACAGATCCGAGAAGAGATACAGAATTTGAACGAGACCAGGACGCCCAGGCAACTCGAAGAAATAAATGAGATTGTTTTGTGGCTTACCTTTGCGGCAGAGCGTATCCGATCGGAGCAAATGGCAGCTGTCTTGTACATGAAAAGTCATGAAGCGCCCCTGCGTTCTTTGGAGGCTATGTTCAGGACAAAGTACTTACTGTTCATGATCGACCGTGATGGATATGTCGATTTCAAATCATCCAAGGCTTTGAGGGTCATTCCATTGAGAAGCCAACTGAATGCAACCGCCGCGAATAATGACCAAGCAATACAACCCGGAGAAATTCAGATCGTCCAACATTTCCTCAATACCGTCTGCCCTCCAGCATTGTATCAAAAGCTTGAGTTTGAGCAGTATCTCAACCAAAAGCTGAGCCCCAGAAAAGATCAGATCCAACAAGAAGACAAGGATACTGCCCACCTCAAGCTTGCATTGATTTGTTTGCGAGTCTTGACAGAAGGGGGGGATGCAATGCTTACAGTATTGCAAGGATATGCACTCCGCTATCTTGTACACCATTTGTTGTCGGTTGATCTGGCTTTGGTGGATCGTGAATGGAAAAGCAAAACTGGACCTAATCTGGCGAAGCTGTTTACCGATGAAAGGTCAATCGATATTTTAATGTGGTCTAACAGCGTCGGATCTCTGGCGAGCCCCCGAGCACGCACAATTTGGCTGGACGAAGAGTACAACGTCGATGAGATTCTGAGATGGATGAAGGACTCTGCAGTTATCTCAGACATTCAAAACCAAGCTGTCAGAGCCTGGGTTGCCGATTTGGCATCTGGCAGCCTCAACTCAACCGAAGTCTTGCTGAAACCCTCTGCGATGAGAATGGCAGTCCACTGTTTCAGGGAACCGTCATCACAGACAGTGACCATGGCTGCATTCCAGTTTATTCTTGCATTTATTCTTAGAGTAAGTTTTAACCCCTACCCTGTGCGTTACGTTTCAGTGCTAATTTCTTGTTTAGATTCAATTAAAAAAAGACTACTTTGTGGCACAAGGCACAATCACCAGACCCTCTCCTGAACAGATCAGCCAAGTCGAATCGTGGTCGCAAGCCGCACTTAATATAACCGAGAAGGATGCACTTTGGGAGGTGCAGATGGCTATAATCTTTGCGGATACCGGTAGAAGGGGCGAAGCTGAAAGAAGATGTCGCCATGCCTTGCAGCTCGATGGTCTCAATTGGCGGGCCTCGCATGTCCTGGGAAACACGGTAGCATCGAATGAAGAGGCAATTAATATCATGATGGTCCTCGTTAATCGCCTCCGAAAGGACTCGAGTTGGATGGAGGATCCTACCTATCGGAAAGTCCTTGCCCAGATGACCTTCGATTTAGGAAATAGATACTGGGCGATGGATAAATTTGATGCTGCCACTCAAACATTCTCCCAGTCGATCCAAGAGGATCCCACCAATTATATGCGGACATATGATATTTTCTTGCTTTATCAGTCCAACAAACGGTGGTCCAACATTGCTGAGCTCATAGGGCTGATTGGATCTATTGAAAAATGCCATCTCTCAATCATGGCCATTCGGCTGGCCGACCAGGTGCAATTTCATGAGATCCTCCTGCAGACCGCCATCAAAACCGAGAAATTTAACGTTCTAAGCGATGTGTACAAGAATGCGATTGAATCCGCTTCAGGGGCCCAGGAGTATACCGCCGTATTCTTCATTCGGCTGTATTATGCCTTGGCACTCTACCAGATTCCCAATCGCCGGGAAGATAAAGTTATTGGACTATGGGAAACGGCTTTGAAAGAAGATCTTCCCCGATCCGATCTGGATATGGACACTTGCCTTCACCTTGTGGTGGGCAAGCTAGGAGCTGCGTATCTCCACAATGCACGAGAAGCAAAATCAGCCGGAGACCCTGAGGTAGCGATGGAATTCCTCGGGAAAATATCTGATATGCTTCCGGAAGAAGTACCCGCATGGCAGTTGCTCTTACCACCACAGTTGTTTACTGCTAGATATCATTACCTTGAAGGCGACGAAACCCAAGCCCGATATCATGTTCGAAATACTGTGCAGGTAGCTCTTGAAATTCTCTCAGATGATGATGAGGGTAATGATCTCGCGGCTTACTGGAGATTTTTGGGAGCTTTCCTGCCTTTTGACGATGACAAGAATGTATTGACCGCGCTCTCGATGATCACCATCAACCATCGCTTTCAGGAGAACGAGAATAAGGAGCCCGAATACTCGATGTCTTTTGACTGTGACGGCCACTGCGGACATGTCTGGAACCCCCCGAGCGAGATGTGGCTATGCAAAGATTGTATTGGTGTAACCTTGGATCGTAAGTGTTACGATAAGTTGCGAAACGGGTCTTTCCGCTACAATATTTGCGCCTCTCAACATGAATTTGTGTTTATACCAAAGTGGGACGAGGAGAGAATCAAGAACCTGCCTCGGGGATATGTGCCTTGGGGAGAGAAGAACATTAGCCTTGGGGATTGGCAGCGGGAAATTAAGAAGAAGTATGTTGATATCGATGGCTAAAAAATGCTTGTAGTATAATAGTGGGATTTCTGTTTTATATTTTTGTTGTGTTTAATCTTGCGGCTAAGGTCTTATATAGATAATTTTACCTATTCTGTTGAAGTCATAGAGTTTCTTTCATCATAACCTCAGCTTCTAAAAACATGCTCTGAATTCTGCTATGTTGTTTTTGTTGATACTTGATACCAAATGCACGATTGTCTGGTTTGGAGACAGGTCGGACGCCGCATTTTGAAGCTTTTGAAAACATATCCTTATACCCGCTGGGCATACTAGGGTTTATATTCCATCATCATAAAAAAAAAATATTCAAATCTCACCACACGTCCTATTTAAGATGGCTACAGATTTCAGGGTCCTGCGTAGGCAATTCCATCCATCGACGACGAGCACAGACACGAGGATCGTAGAGAATATCGACCTTGTCCCTGAGAATGAGTTCTTCCACGGCAGCCATTCCGTCGACAGAGTCGCTAGTGCCAGCCTGCTCGACATACCTATCAGTTGCGAGATTCATCATTATATGCGCTTTCGACATAGGCTCATAGTCATGCGTGCGCCATCTGATGTGTCTGCGAGGAAACCCCCGGGAGTTCGATCTTGACCAGCAATTGGACAGAAACAAATGCCGATCTACTACATCTGATCCTGTTGCTGACGCAGCGAAAGTCGTCATCTGGAGACGAGACAGAATGATACCGACTTTGACGATCGGAGGATTGAATAACACCAGTAAACCGATCAGAGTAACAAACCCCTGTAATGGCATTGACTTGAACCTCATCCTTGAAACCTGAAAGAAGATCACAAAAGGCCGAGTTACTGATGTGGCGATCTCTAATACAATATTCAACCTTGTCGTTCGCAGGACATTCACGAAGTAGATTCACCGTGTCACCGGCCTCTGCTTGTTGCTGCTTTTCCTGAATCCAGCTTTGCACCTGTCCCATAAGCTCACTGGGAGGGACTTGGATCCACCAATACTGACCGTTAACATACGAATCTCGAGAGTAGGTATAGACAGCTTTATCTTCGTCTTCTAACCGTCCAAATCGTATTTCGTCGACTGGAGGATTGTTTTCGTTTTGCAACCAGGTAAAGTGCTGTTCAAGTGGAAAGCATGACAAGAAGTCTCCTTCGACGCCATGCTCAAGCAGGGCCATGCAATATCCGATGAAATCAGAAAACATAACCCCATCCGTGTAGCTGGTTGCTCCGCAGATGACAAGGTAAAATGATTGTCGTTGGTTTTGTGCCCTTTTGGAGTCATGAGATGATCCCTGGTGGGGGTCCGTTAACTCCATGATTGCGGACACTAAGGAATAGGTGGAGCTACAAGGGGATATGAGAGGAGGGAGGAAGAAAAGTGGAAATAGCAATGTTCAGTGTTCCGGCAGGCAGCATTTCCTTGAAGGATGACAGAATGATGACGATGATAAATTCAGGCGGCAGCTCCAAAGGATCCGAATAGACATGGGACTGCCAGCATGGCTTGCGTGAATCAACTGATAATAAAGAGATATTAGCAATTCCAGGCCAATGAATTGCTTGCTATCTTTTGTTCAGGGACACTTCAAGGTGGGGCAGGATACGCCGTCCAATTAGTCAGGGACCGGCCAATGAGGGGCTGTGGTTGTATCACTCCGTCCAAGCTTAATCCGACCCTAATCAATCTAATCTAGAGTTTCTCTCGTTAAGATCCACTACGATTTTTCATTGAATTCATGTTGAACAAAGCTTCAATTTTGAATAAAAATAGTATTCCGAAACTATTAAAAAACTATCATCTCAATATCCAGACTAGAGACCAAAACCCTGCAATCACACAAATCACATTTGAAATTGCTTATCTATGCACCTTAACCCAACCCATGCAGATCGGCATGTGAAGTCAATTTTCAAAGGATGTGCACTGTGCCTTTTTAATAGTTCTGCTGTTCTAGAATAGCAGTCGTGTCAATCGCAATGATTCTTTATGCAATCCATGCATAATCAACGGGTAATACCCCTGTAAGAGAAAAAAAAAAAGTTTTACCATCCGTTTGCCACGTACCTGGGCCTAGAATCCAAGCTATGGAGTACCGTGGATCACGCAAGCATCAGATGAACAATTCATATCTACGACAGCAGCCGGCGGAGATAGACGGAGCCAATAGGATGGCCTGTTTCAAGTGTGTCTGGACAGTCGACTGCGATTCGCTCCGCGTGTTTCCATCGCAGAAGACGGTGACTCTGACTGCCCCCCCTCCATAGTCCCCGAAGAGAAATACCCACTTTTTACTTAAGCTGGGTGAAAAAACCAGCCGGGAGAGGGTTTATATTCTGGCACTCCCGGGGGGTTTTGAGAATCATTCTTCTCATCAAGCAAACTATGGCGATTCTCGACTGGGTCTCGAAGAACCGCGACCAGAAGGCACCTGTTGTTGGTGGTGATGGTGGCTGCGCTGAAAAAGGCCAGACCACTGTTACTGTTTCCACTCCAGAGTCGTCTTTATGGTCATCGTCTGTGCCAGGCACGCCTCCCACTGGACTGTCGACACCGACCGGCGCTCACGATGCGGTTGCGTTGGATAAACGACCGGAATTCGGTCGGATGGCTTCGTGGAGAGGAGCGTTGATTCTTCTTGTCACTTCGGGCTCGCAGTTTCTCGACAATGTTTTTATGACTAGCTCTAACATTGCCTTGTCGTCTATTCAAGAGGACTTTGATGCCACCAGTGCTGATCTGCAGTGGATGATCTCTGCATACACATTGACCTTTGGTGGTTTCCTCTTGCTGGCGGGAGTTTTGTCTGACCGGTTAGTATCCCATCTTTCTATAGAAATAATATATCTAACATATACCAGCTACGGGCGCAAGAACATCCTCTGTCTAGGCCTTGCTTGGCTGTCTGTCTGGACATTGGCCATTGGCTTTGGACAGACATTTATCCAGCTCACTGTCTTCCGCGGCATTCAAGGCATCGGTGCAGCCATGACCGTCCCATCCGCAATTGGAATTATCAGCACATACTTTACCGGCGTTGACCGAACACGAGCATTATCCATCTATGCCTCATCCGGCACCGTGGGATTTTGTGTTGGTCTCATATTCGGTGGTTTCCTGACTGGTTCTTTGGGCTGGAGATATATCTTCTACCTCATCATCATCGTCACCGGTTCATTGGGCATCTTGGGATTCATCGTGATTCCAAAAGACGTCCAGAACGATGAGAAACCGAAGATGGACTATATGGGAGCAATCCTGTCCACTGCCGGTCTGATTCTCCTCCAGTTCGTGCTGTCCAGTGGTGGTGAATACGGCTGGGGCACGCCATTCATCATTGCCCTCCTCATCGTCGCCATCCTGCTTCTCGTTGCATTTACTCTCTTCGAGAAGTGGATAAGCTGTCCGATCATGCCATTGTCCCTATGGGGAATTCCCAACTTTGCAGGACTTTGGATTGCAGGATTCAGTAAGTTGACAAACATTTTATATCATGATCACTGCTAACTGGTTCAAGCGTGCTATGGCAGCTACCAAAATGTGATCTACTACATCGTCCTGATGGCCCAGCAAGTGGACAACCTCTCTCCCGGCGACACAGCCCTTCGCTTTTTGCCCATGGGAGTAATCGGGTTCATCGCCTCGATGGGAACCGGAATCGCTCTGGAATACGTGAATGGCAAATATACACTTCTTGCTGGTCTGATTCTCACAGTCCTGGCTCCTGTTCCCAGTTCTTTGACTGCAACAAATACAGAACCTGACTTGTATGTTTTATCCATGTGTTGAATATGAATGTATACTGACTGCTCCAGCTGGGTGAATGTCCTTCCTTCATCGCTCATCAGCATTACGGCGGTCTCTCTCATCTTCGTCACGACCAGTACAGCTATCCTGACTACCGTCCCAGTTAACGTGAAGAGTTTGTGTGGTGGCATGGTAAGCTCTCCCTCCGCTGAGCTTCTATACAAAACTAACAATCCCAGCTCAACACCGCATTCCAAATCGGCTCCGGCGTAGCCCTCGCCATCTCCGCCGCCGTCACCGAAACAGTCGATATCAAAAAGGGCCACGGTATCGCGCAGCAGTACTCGACTGGTCTATGGTGCTCTGCTGGACTGGCCGGACTCGGACTGGTCATTGCCCTGTTCTCTGTGAGCAGGAAGGGCATCGGACCGGGTGATCGCAGTGACACAGATGTTGCTGTTTGAGATAACGTATAATGACTTGCTACTTGGTTTTGGATAGAACGGCATTGGATACAGTATATTTGGTTTAGATATGATTGGCATGTTTTGTTTACATTTGCATGGTGGATTTAGATATAGATATAGAGGGGAAAAGTTATAGATACATTAGTTTTCAACTGCCTTAATGATATGACCTTTACTTTACTCAACTTCAACTTCATGATAATACCTACCATCCATAGCCATCCCGTCTCAATCTCCTTCAATCTCAAGTCAATCAACAAAAATAAACGAGCCCCACCACAGCGCAAAGTGGAACTCAAACTGTGGATCTGAAAATTCTACAAATTCAAAAAAGCGGACCTGAAAGTGAAGCTTATACCTTATCAGTGTCAACAGTCTCCACTATCCGGATTACCGCATTAGGAAGTCCCGGCTTACTCTGCCCTGTGGCGAGATAATAAGCGCCTTTGACGACTTGCATAATGCACTCCTTTCCATACGATTAAAAAAAGAACCAATGATGGACTCGGGATGGTCCACAGGACGGGATATAGCCCACTATTCACAGAGGCTAGAAAAAATCTTCATTGTTGAGGGACAGGGGCACAATGGAGGTGGTTTCGGAGGGGAGCACACCGTACATTCGTGGTGGATATCGTTGGGTATAGATTGGTCTGGGCGTGTCAACTGTCAAGCAGGAGATTATGCATAGCTGCTAATTACCCGAAATGGGTAGAATGCGCTTTGTGTTCTGTGCTTTGACCCGAGCCGATGATTGACTCAGACCCCGAAGCATAGACCGATTGTTTTATGATCTCCCGGACAGTTGGCAGGCTGATCCCGAGGATAATCGGCTTGTTTTCGGGAATATCAGGCACTGAAATTGTGCATATTGGCGAAGTTAGATAATGCTTCCCAATATCTAGCATTTTAAAACAGGACGTGTGGCAACTGCGGTGGGAAGCGCATTCCCTAGGATCAAGGCTATACCGGATGAAGAATGCAGTGAAACTGATAATTATACAAGATTGGGCTTTCTTAATTTTTAAGAACGTACTGATGTGTCATTGGCTAAGGTCGCTGCAGGTATCAATAGAGTAGTTTATTCGCCATCTTTCTTCTGAGAAACTGGCTTCGAATGAAGGGCATCGAAAATTCAGTCTATTTTATTTCATGTAATCTGGAAGTTAGAAAGTCATAGCAGCAGACAGGAGATGGAGACATACAGGTTTATTCATAGTGTTTCAGATTCTCCTGTGACTATCAGCTGGGATTGACAATAACAGAGAAACATACTAAACACGTGAATACTTTTTAAGCAGGTTTTAAAGGGCTGTACAGTTGAATTCATCTATATTTGCTCTGGATAATGGAGAGAACACCCCAGCTTACCTATTTATGTTAGCGTTCGCGGGGGAACAGGAGAAATTGTCCCTCAGATATCATTTGACACTTATCTACTATTTATCTCCACTCCTTCTATGATAATACCACGCTTTGGGTATAGAGGCCCTGTGTCTCTTAGAACGCTACGGTTTGCTGATACACAGAAAGGATAGGAATCCAGCAAAGGGGCTATGGTACATTTGTATCGCTATATATTTGAAGCAAAAATTGCTATAAAATGACGACAGCAACACCCAAAATGTTGGTCACTGCAACCTGTACTAGATCCCATGATGGATATTTCAAATAAAGAAAACTGAAAGACTATGCCAGTGATATCAAGAACTATATTGACTTTTATATTTGCCTGGAATCGATGATGATATCGAGTAAAGAATCGATAGCCAAGGATCGCAGCTGATTTGATGTGCTGCTCTCTGCTGTTCGGAATGCCCTGAAAAGAGTAGGGTTACGTACCACACATCTTTGCTCTACTAGGTGTAGAGTTCTTGTCAGGCGATGGAAATGATGAACCTAATCAACACTAGGCTGGTAGTAATGGCAGTCTGAACTTAATTATGAGACTATTTCCAATTGGAAGATTCAAATCCATCTTGGCTTGTCTCAGAGAAAGAAGGACTAGATGATGGTCTTTGTCATCCAGCTCATACAGCACCAATATGTTTGTGCAGATACTGTGGACCGTTGGCGAATCCATACAACATGATTCCTTGTGAAAGAAATGACACGCTGATAAGGTTATATATAGCCGACTTCATTTTGCAACATCTCAATGAGTCCATTTTATCCTTAGCGGCGACCTCCTTGTCTCTCAACGGCGAGATCGACTCTGATTCTCCTGCCTTCGAGTCTATCAAAGGTTTTCTGTCAGCTTCGAATGTATATAACCAGTTAGGAAATAATTACTCCTGCTCGTTCAGCGCATTGACTGCTGCTTGGGCTTCCTCTGCAGTGGCAAATCTGACAAAGCCGAATCCCCTGCTCCGACCAGTCTCTCGGTCTTTCACCACGCGCTGGCTGGTATCAGTAACTAATGTCTGATAGAAGAAAGAGGTAAGCTTCACATACAGCTTCTTCGACAGTGCCGTATTCCGCAAAGGCATTTTGCAAACTCTGATCGGTAGTCTGCCAGGCGAGGCCGCTTATTAAATTAATTAATATAATCAATTCTCGGTTTGTTAACGACACAACTTACCCAACAAAGAGTTTAGTAGTCATGATGAACAGAAATTGCTGTATATTATGGTGACAGTTGGAAGACGAAGAAAAGCTCAACGGGGATGGAGGGGTTTTTATTTGGAGGGGCATTTTTTCAGCTCGGCTGAGCTCTGCAGCTAAGCTCAATTCAGCTCAGCCATATATCCACTTCTTGGGTTATCCATACAGATTCGTTTCTGCAAGCCATTGACGTGTCTTGGAACTCAATCTACAATTATTTGTCATAAACTGTCTGCATTTACCAACAGTATCCAGCCCCTTTAACTGAAGTTCGTTGATCCCTCGCAGTTGGTTACTGACTACTTTCAGCCCCACTAGCCGAGGTACTGGAAAAAATTTCCGGCTCTGCTTTTTCCCCAAATTGGCAACATGCAAGAGGAGGGTAGATTGTGTAATTTAAATGCATGATGGTCAGTAATGATGGTCAATAATGATGGGATAAGGGGAGATAAGGGGGTCGACGTGGGACATGATTTACGATCTGATGCAGCTACGTCCTGGGGAGACCACCACGTTGTGTTGATCGATCAAAGTACATCTCATACTCGACAGACAATAGGTAAGTGGTAGGTGAAACGGATCTAGTCCAACGGACAGCTGATAGCCATTATTATAGTGTGTTGAGGTGGATATATCTAGTAACCCTCATCACAGTGCTAATAAGCCTATTGATCATATAGACACACGCTAAAGAGAACCTCGAATCTTTGAAAGCAACTGTCATATCTATTCTCTATGGTATATGCCTGACACAGAAAAGTTTATGATGTAGTTAAGGTATGCTGGACGTATTAAACGAGATGTAGCAATGAATACAAGTAGATCTGTAAAATTGGCGTCTGAAACAATATACAATATGTGAGAATGAAGGAAACCTTTATATTCCATGAACAACCGCCAAATCACCTCCAAACATTCTCCCCAAAGTTGAAATTTAGAAACAGTTGTTGCCGCAGTAGCAGGTGCCATCAACACAGTATCCATGGCTACCCCACGGCTTGCAGCATTTGGACACTTGGTTCGAAGGGCAGTCCCTGCGAACACAAATGGTTGAATCGTGCTTCGGGATGCCGAAGGGCGAGGCTGAGGGAGTGTGGGAAGTGAAACAAGAAGTAGTCGAAGGAGTAGACGATGGTGTGGACGACGGAGTGGAGGAAGAAGTATGACTGAAGGGAGAACCCACAGCAGTGGAGGTGAGGGCGAGGAGGGAGAGGATGAATGCGGACTTCATTTTGTTGTTTGATAGTATAGTATGACTTGAGATACTGGTGGATAGATTAACAATTGGATTGTGAAGTGATTGAATGGTTCTTGATGATGGTAGCTAAGTGTAGATTGAAGAAGGCAATATATAGCTGTCGCATGGAAGCTGTTTCTATTTTCATGCACAGGCAGCCTGAGTAAATGTACTTTCGTATCCTGCATACTATTGGTATAAGCTGACATTGAGGTGGCCTAATCACAACACGTTTATGATCGCCCTCGTATTGAGTGGACGTGGTCTATATTTACTTCTTGGCAAGGCTGTGCAAATGTGTTTGCTTGTGTCCTCACATCGAATAAGAACAATGCAATGATGTCTGCCACGTGTGGCGCAGGCCAAAGAGACACGAGATTGGCCATCTCCGGAGTTCAGAACAGCGGACTTTTGCAGATCCTCGTATATCCATTGGTGGCCTTAGCTGGCTGTCAGCATATCTTCAGCTACTTGTACTCTACTAGTTAGTGGTAAGCTATTATTGACAACATGGCATAGCTTGATCAATAAGGCCGATTAGCTTGGAGAGATTTACCCCCTTATAGCTGAGCCCATGACATATACACCGCCCACAATAATCCCCAAAGGCAGCACCATACACATCGTGCTGCAACACATATCGTTCCATGATGTAACTTTCCTATCTTTCCCCCTATCCTCTTTGACCTGAGGTAATGGCAAATGATCCAACCGCGCAGTAAACCAGCTAATGTCGGACAGCATGCCCATGACAAGCTCACCATGGAAAAAGCCAATATACAGCCCGAGTAGCCGGGCAATGAAGGTGGTTGATGCCTCGACGCGAATGAGTGTTTGGGATGATATATAGAATAGCTTCATGCGCCACCAATGCGAGGAATACCATTTCCCCAGAATATCTTCCCTCGGCTGTTCTGGTTTGTTTGCAATAGAGATGAGGTGGTTTGCGAGAGTTGCGGCTGTTTCAATAGCACAGTTGGCTCCTTGGGCTATGTTAGGCGTCATCTGTACTTATTAGCTGAAATACTAAATAGCAATATGGGTATACTGGCTACCTTGTGCACCGCATCCCCGATACATGCAATCCTCCCCCAAGACCACTGCCACTCCAGGGATTCTTCAAGCGGAACATGTCGACTGGAGATTGTATTCTTGAATACGTCGCCAAAGTGTACATGCGCTGTGACATGTTTCTGTAAAAATGGGGCTACAATGGTGTCGATGTATGTGTCTGTCTGATGTCGTGGTATGCGTGAACCATCAAATTTGATGGCGACATACCAGTAAACTGTCTCATCATGTCCAATTGTCACGATCATCGACCAGCCATGGCCGTACGTGCGATGGGCCTCGCCTGGTTGCAGCCCTGGCGTTGGAGATGATGTACCGAAGAGCCCGGAATATGTAGTGCTGAAGGAAATGTTTGGTCTTTGAAAATCATATTTCTGTTTGTGGATATACTGTAGCATCTGCCTCCTTGTGACGCTGTGGATGCCATCTGCGCCGACGACAATATCACCGGATATTGAAGATCCATCCTGACAATGAACTGTGACACGCGAAGCGCCTGGAATGACTTGTATAACCCTTTTACTGAACAGCACTCGCTCTTTATCGCATAGATGATCGAATAGTGACCTCAACAGTCCTTGTCGCGAGATTACAGCAAGCGGATATCCAGTCCTGACATCGTTAGCCAAACCCTGCATGGTAATGCTATACACACCGTCTAGAGCACAGATCTCGAGTATCAACTCTGCGCAGTAACCTCCCATCTTCAAACCAGGTAGTATGCCAGTATACCGGCTGTGTATGTTTGGCTACTTCATGATAAACACCCAACTGATGCAGGATTCTGGCAGCGTTGGGGAGGAGGGTTAATCCAGCCCCGGTGTTATGATCACTATACGGGTCGTCTCTCGCTTCGAGGAGTGTATAGTCGATATTGGCAGTCGATAGTGCATGAGCGAGAGCCAGGCCGGCGATAGAGCCACCGATAATGATGACATGGAATTTGCGGTCTTGAGACATGATGAGTTAACGATCTGAGAAATGGATCCGGTTGTGAGTCAGAAAAAAGCAAGATGGGGAGAAATTCACCGCCGATCAGATGTACAACATGAATGATTGTCGCTTTATGCAGTGTGACTGTGATATCCAGGCCTATTTTAAAGTCTCCTTTTCTGTCCAGTCAGATATGGTCCCTGGTGCTGATGTGCTGTGTAACATTTGTGACGTGGAGGTTGGACATATCACATAGCCAGCCTGTTCATTCTCATCTTTCACCGCAAGATAAATATCCAACTGCAGAGTCAATAATCTACTATACTATACCTTCTATAACTACTCCGTATATTCTGCATCATGGAAGAGCACGATATCGTGGTGGCCAAAATCGCATCTCAGGTGCGCCAGTTTTACGACCGCAAACAACCATATCACATCTACCATGGTTCGACAAATTGCACCCGCAAATCCTCAAAAACAGCATCGAACACCATCGATACAAGTTCACTCAAACGTACCTTTTCTATTGACTCCCTGAAACAGACAATTCAGGTCGAGCCCAATGTGTCCATGGACGAGCTGGTCCAAGCGACCCTCCCTCATGGCTTCATTCCGCCAGTCGTGATGGAATTCTCCGGCATCACCGCTGGAGGTGGCTTCGCAGGGACATCTGGCGAGAGCAGCTCATTTCGCCATGGATTCTTCGATCGCACCGTGAAGCGTGTGGAGCTGGTACTTGCGAATGGCGAGGTCGTCGAGGCATCGCCCTTGATCAAACCGGACTTGTTCTACGGTGCTGCCTCGTCCTTTGGATCGTTGGGCATTACGACGCTGCTTGAAATCAGCCTCATCCACGCAAAGCCGTATGTGGAGCTGACATATTTCCCCATCTGTGGCATGCCGGACGCGTTGGACAGGATTGCAGCCATCACCGCCGATCCGACGGCGGGTTATCTGGACGGTATTATGTACAGCAAGACGAAAGGCGTCATCTGCAAAGGGTCGCTGGTCGATACAGCAGATGAGCAGCGGATTCAGCGTTTTACACGGCCTACCGATCCGTGGTTTTACATGCACGTTGAAAAGTACGTCGAATCAGCACAGCCCGTCACCGAATTCATTCCCCTGTTCGACTATCTCTTCCGCTATGATCGGGGCGGGTTCTGGGTGGGAAAATACGCATTTGAGTACTTTCGTATTCCCCAATCACGATTTACCCGATGGCTGTTGGATGGTATCTCGCATACGAGCGTCATGTACCACGCTGTGCATAAAAGCGGTTTATTCAATCGGTACATCATCCAGGACATCGCCATCCCGTATGCGGGAGCAGAGGAATTCGTGAATTACCTCGACGATTCATTCCAAAAGTATCCCCTCTGGCTGTGTCCGCTGCGTCAAACGACTCGAGCACTGGATGAGTCGCAAATCCACGGTCTACTCGCACAGCGACACGACAAAGACGCTCATCTGCAGCCAGATATGATGCTGAATTTTGGAGTCTGGGGACCTGGGCCGGAGGACTATCACGATTGTGTTCGTCTGAACAAGGAAATGGAGAGGAAAGTCCAGAGCCTGGGTGGTGAGAAGTGGTTGTATGGTCGGACATACTATACAGAAGAACACTTCTGGTCGATCTATAATAGAAAGCCTCTAGATGCGCTACGAGAAAAGTACCACGCGACATATCTGCCGACGTTGTTTGAGAAGGTGAGGGTGAATCTGGCAAACGATGGGGAAAAGAGCATGGGGATGTTGGATGGACTGTACGGACTATTGCATACTTTTATCCATAAGGAGTATTTGCTATCGGAAAAGGAGAGCTGGATGGGAAGGGCAGTGTTTGTGTCTATCGTGGGGATGCTTTTCATGTACTATTCATGCATCCGGTATTTATAGATATTCCTGCATATGATAACCCCTCATTATCCTGCAGCTTCATGCAGGGGGAAAGAAACCAACATTCCCCCTTTATATCTCCCACTCTGCCATCAGTTCTCTTTTCATTCTATCATCACCCACCATGATCCGAAATCGAGTAACCACCAAGCATATCATCCTCAAAGATGATACTCCCGGTAACGCCCTTTGGGGTCGTCGGAGTGAGGTTTCTGCTTTCTCTGGCATTCTCAGCATGGGCGCAGTGATTGCATCTCCTTTATTTGTCTTGTTTATCTTCATTTCGCTACAGCATTTTAATGGATCTGTTCTTGATGCGGGGATTGCATTGATATCCTCATGGTCGGACTTTTTTCTCCGTTATTTACCTCGATTAACCACCCATTCTGCAACTATCTACACAGGCTGGGTTATCGGCCAGGCTGTTCTTTATTCTACCCTCCCAGGAAAGATTGTCAGTGGTGCGCAAACACCTGGTGGCAATGCTCTCCCGTACAAAATGAACGGGTTGGCATCATGGTTTGTCACAGTTGGGGTATTCCTCCTTATCGCCTGGAAAGGAGGGGTGCAAGCCGCTGCAGCACTGGCCGACAGCTGGGGGGGTGTCCTCGTAGCAGCCAATATATATGGCATTGCGGTTTCTGTTCTCGCGTGGCTAAAGGGGCGATTCATGCCGAGTTACATGCAAGATCGGAGATTAAGCGGTGCGTCTATCGATTCATACTATCATGTGAAATGCTAATAAGACAGGATCGATATTCCATGATTTCCTTTCTGGGATTGAATTAAATCCCCGGATTGGGCGATATTGGGATTTTAAGCTGTTCCAGATTGGACGGTTAGGGATGAATTCATGGGTTGTCATGTTGGTATAGCACTTCTATATGAAGCTATTGCTGACTGTTATAGTGACCTCTCCTTTGCAGCGCAGCAGTATCATCACTATGGAACTGTCTCCAATTCAATGCTGATCGTGATCATCCTGCATACCATATACGTGGTGGACTTTTTCATCAATGAAGCATGGTATCTCAACACGATCGACATTGCCCATGACCATTTTGGCTTCTATCTCGGCTGGGGATCGGCTGTGTGGCTGCCGTATATCTACACTTCTCAAGCACAGTATCTTTCTTCTCGTCCTGAGCATCTATCCACTACGACATTCTGGCTCATCCTCACCACCGGAGTACTGGGATACATCCTCTTCCGCCTAGCAAATCATCAAAAGCACCTTCTCCGGACCAAAGGAATCAACTGTAAAATCGCAGGCCAGAGACCGAAAGTCATCAAAAGTAGATATACAACTGCCACCGGCGAGATCAATGAATCCCTCCTCCTTCGTTCTGGTAAGTTTTCTTTCGATATATGCAAAGCAGGTCTAACGGTCCAGGATGCTGGGGTATCGTCCGTCACCCGAATTACATTGGCGATTTGATCCTGTCTTTCTGTGCATGTGTCTGCTGTGGCTGGGATCACTTTCTCCCGTACACATACTTTGCCTGGATGACAGGACTGCTCATTCATCGCTGTCTGCGTGACGAGAAGCGGTGCTTGGCGAAACATGGCAAGGCGTGGGAGGAGTATCAGCGGCTGGTGAAGTGGAGGTTGATTCCGGGTGTTTTTTAAGCAGCGGCATGTCAACAGGGGGTGGGGATGATCAATTCCGGAGAATGGGGAATATGAGGTATCACTTTGACTTGATCCACTCCTGTGGCGCCGGATATTACTGTGGAATGTGATTTAATATAGGACGGGACCGGCAAGGGATGGTTCCTTGCATATACGACCTACCAAGGCAGGTATCAGGGGTATTGCTGCATGTGAAATAGCTTATAGTATTCCCATATACTATGCCATGTGTGCAATGTGACTTGGAACAGTCTTCAGAATGTTCGCTGATCGGTCGTCCAGTTACGATGGGCCTGGCATTTCCATCAGTGGCCTGTCTGTTCATATGAAAATAGCATCGTCTCTGACAGACATACTCTTGAAGCCCATTTCATATGAACGCAAGAATAAAGAATCGTCAAAGTGCATTCTGGATGATATATCTCTGCAAATACCCAAGGGATGTCTAACGATCATCATCGGACCCAGTGGGGGTGGCAAAACAACTCTTCTCGACATTATTTCTAGACGATTGGATAGAAGGTCTGCGCAAATTGAAGGCGATGTCTTCGTCGATGATGGCTGTAACACAGCATATGTCACGCAGAAGGATTATCTCCTCCCTTCATTGACAGTTAAAGAGACGCTGCGATATACAGCTGATCTGAAATTACCATTAGCACATCCATGCGAGAGAACCAGAGTAACCGAGCAGCTCATTGTCCAACTCGGACTGGCGAACTGCGCCAACACTCAGATCAGACGCTGCAGTGGTGGTGAAGTCCGACGAACCAGTCTTGGTGTGCAACTTCTGTCGAATCCATCGTATCTCCTCTGCGATGAGCCCACGACGGGCCTTGATGCGACGCGCGCATATGATGTTATGAAAATCCTGCATCAGCTCGTCAGGAATGGAAGAACGGTGGTGGCGTCGATTCACACTCCTCGCGCGGAGATTTGGAATCTGGCTGACCATGTTGTAATGCTGTCGCAGGGAAGTGTTTTGTATAGTGGTGGTGTTGATGCTGTCCGTTCCTACTTTGCGTCTATTGGTTTCGAGATTCCTTTTCATCCAGCCGAGTATCTTGTCGATCTGATGGCGGTAGATTATCGGTCGACAGCAGCAAAAGCGAGGTCATCAGAGAGGATACAACGACTAACAGAATGCTGGAAATCGCAATCGCCCAGGAAAGATGAACCTGTTTTATCTGTGACTCCATCGCCAGTCACTCCATCCCAACCAGGATCTCTTCCCCATCAAGTGCGTGTCTTGACTCGTCGCACTATTAAGACATCTCTTCGTGATCCTATTGGAGTCTTCAGTTCACTCGCCCTGACTACCACTGTATCCCTCATCACCGGATACATCTTCTTCCAGCTCGATGGAGGACTACAGGCTATTCGATCCAGACAAAGTGCCCTCTTCGTCGTCACGGCCCTCAACAATGGGTACTTGATTCTAATGTACGAAGTCTTCCGTCTCTCCATCGACATTCAATCATTTGACCGTGAGAGGCGAGAAGGCGCCGTGACGGTCCTCGGCTACGTGATCAGTCGTCGAGCAGCAAAGGCGCTGATTGAGGACATCCCGGGGTGTTTTATATCCTGCGCCATCTTCTACTTCATGGTTGGATTCCAGCCTCAAGCATCTCGATTCTTCATCTTTGTCTTGATCGTCTTGCTGCTATACTACACCACCCTTGCCTTATCCTTGGTCTGCATCGCAATCGACCGACGATTCCCAGTTGCAACGATTGCAGCCAACCTCGCCATCACACTTCAGCTGGTGGCGTGCGGGAATTTCGTCCAGCTCGACCAGATCCCCGTTTATACACGATGGCTGAAGTGGATTGATCCTCAGTTCTATGGGTTTGGGGCGTTACTGGCGAATGAATTCACCGGACCGAATCCATCTCCGTATGGTCAGTTGTATGACTGTCCGTATTCTAGTGATCCGGCTGATCCTCGGTGCAAGGAGTACACGGGCGTCTTCATAATGGATCGCTTGGGATTTCCTCGTAATTGGATCTGGAAGCCTGTGGTGGTTTTGATTGGATTCATTGTCGGGTTGTATGTGGTGGCTGTGCTTCTTCTACACTATAAGCGTCCGAACGCTACAACTGCGCAGAATAGCAGCTCTTCTTCCGTTGACGGTGGTGAGATTGAATTGCTACCCAGTGGCTCAGACCAGCCAGATGTCACTATCCAAGTACAGGATTATTCCCTTGCAATACTCAAACGATTCAGGAAATCACATTCACGCGCTATCCTGCAGTCGCTGTCAACGACATTCCATCCTGGACAGCTGAACATCATCATGGGTCCATCTGGGAGTGGCAAGTCGACTCTTCTCAACGCCATTACCGGAAGAATACACTCTTCATTCAACACGAGAAACAAAACCACCGGAGATATTCTCTATAATGGAACACGCTGTTCAGCAAAGGACATGCAGGCTATATCCTCATATGTCCTCCAGACAGACTATTCTCTCTATCCCTTCCTGACCGTACGAGAAACACTCTATCATGCAGCTCGACTACGTCTTCCTGGGCGTATATCCACCAAGGACGCACAAAACAAGGCAGATCAAATTCTCCAACAAATGGGTCTGCAAAACTGCGCTGATTCTCTCGTTGGCGACGACACGTTCAGAGGAATCAGCGGAGGTGAAATGCGTCGTTTGTCCATTGCCATTCAACTTCTCCATGACCCGCGTGTGTTGGTCCTTGATGAGCCTACGTCCGGTTTGGATGCGTTTTCTTCGGCGACTATCTTTGATATTCTTGCTGCGTTGGCCAAAGAGGGTCGAACTATCATATTGAGCGTGCATCAGCCACGGTCCGATCTGTATCGGCACTTTTCGAATGTTCTTCTTCTCGGGCATGCTGGTTCAGTGCTGTATACGGGGCCAGGGGAAACACTCTTACACCATCTCACTCAATACTATGGTGGACAGACCAATCCAGCGGACCTGATTATGGATATCATCTCAGGCGATGCCCCCCATGCATTTCCACATATACCGCAGCCAGAAGTGAAGGCGTCATCTCTGGATAGCCAGAAGAAGCAACAAAAGCCGCTTCGCATCATCCTCCCAACTATCCTCCACCGCGCCTTTATCGGCATGTATCGACGACCATATCTAGTTGGATTCCATCTCGCAGGTCCAATTGGAGTGGGCATCATCATCACCTTATTCTTTGCGCCGTTAAAGCATGATTATGCCGCCGTTCAGACCATCCTCGGTCTATCGCAGGAATTCTGCGTCCTCTACTTTCTGGGTATGTCTCATCTCGTACTCGTCCATCACACCTCTAACGTATCCAGGAATGATCCAAAACACGTCAACATACCCCATCCAACAGAAAGCCTTCGACGACGAACTCATCGACCGGTGCATCACCCCCGAGGCCTTCGTCCTCGAATACACACTCACCAAACTCCCCCTGGAACTGCTCTCGTCAATCCTCTTCGGTGCCCTAGTAACAGCAGTCGGCCTAACCCCAGCCGGCAAAATGGTCTTTATCTCCGCCTTTACCGCATTCGTCATTATCAACTGTGGCGAGTCGATCGGGATAATCATGTATACGTGCATCTCGCATACAGGGCTCGCGTTGTGCTTAATCTCCCTGATGGGGTTTATCGCGTATACACTGGGCGGGGTGATGAATCCCACTCCGCCGGTCGTGTTCCAGGCGTTTAACCATTTATCGCCGGTGAAGTATGCGACTGCGACGATGACGGAGTATATGCTGGCTGGGAGGAGGTTTAGCTGTGCGAATTCGGAGAGGTTGGATGGTGGGAGTTGTCCAGTGTCGGAGGGGGAGGAGGTGTTGAGGTTATACAAGATGGATGGTGATCCATCGTATAATCTCATTGGGTTGGCTGTTTGTCTCGTTGCATATAGAGTTGCTGCATATGTCGCGGTCAAGATTAGGGCGTATTTCGTCTAATGTAAGTATCATCCCCGGATTAAGGAGATGGGATGAAACCACGATACAGAATGACAGTATGAAAGAAAGTATTTAACAAATTCGAGATCTATATACATATCAAAGATCGAAAAAAGAAATCACATCGAGCGAAACTAAGCCGCAGCCTGAATCGCCTTGAACTCCTCGCTGAATGGATAATCCGTATACCCCTCTGGGTTCTGCGAATAAAAGGTCGAATAGTCAAACTCGCTCAAAGCAAGGCCCGTCTTGACTTTAAACGCCAGGTCGGGGTTGGAGATGTATGGCCGGCCAAACGCAACAACCACATCCCTGTTCTTATACTTGCTGTCGACGGCCTCCTTGGCTGTTTCTCCATTATATCCTCCTGCAACGACAACAGGACTGGCATCCTTGTATGCATCAAGAAGGAAGTGCAGACTGTCGCTGTCCGCATCAGACTCACACGCATGAAGATATGCAAGCTTCAACTCGGCCAGCTGCTCCACGACATTCGAAAACTGCGGAATGGGATCTTCCATCCGCATGCCCTGGTATCGACTCCACGGGCTCAATCGGATGGCAGTGCGATCGTTGCCCACGGCCTCGGTCACAGCACGAGTCACACCCACCGCGAATCTGGATCGGTTCTCTATACTTCCGCCCCAGGCGTCTGTTCGTTTGTTCGAGACGTCCTGGATGAACTGATCGACGAGATACCCATTCGCACCGTGGATCTCGACACCATCAAAGCCAGCACGCATAGCATTCTCCGCCGCGTAGGCAAAGTCCGAAATCGCCCCTCGTACCCCCTCCTCCGTTAGAGGCGTCGGATAATGAACTTCATCGCTAAACGCACTCTTCATCGGCACATCGCTACTAGACACAAGCGGGTAACTGGAGTTCGCCAGGAAGCCCGGGTTTCCTGTGCGACCCAACGCCCATAACTGCAGGTAGATATATGAGCCCTTCTCGTGCACGGCGTCGGTGACTTCCTTCCACGCGGCGATCTGCGCGTCTGTATAGATACCTGGGACGTTGGGGTAGCCGCCGTGACGCTGGCTGATGACGGTGGCTTCTGTGATTAGGAGACTTCCTGGGATGGCGGCGCGCTGCTGGTAGTATTCTTTGACGGAGGGGAGGGGGAGGTGGTTGTTGTCTGCGCGGAGGCGGGTCATGGGGGCCATGGCGATGCGCTGGTTGAGGAGGGCGCGGCCGACTTTGAGGGGAGTGAAGAGTTTGGACATGGTGGGTGGTGTAAAGGAGAAAGATTGACGAAATGATGTTTTGATTGACTGTTTATGAGGATCATCGTTGATCTATATATGCATGGAGAGTGATGACCAAGCCTTACCTTAGCAGTCGGGAAGGAACGGCTCCGGGCCAATCAGATGCCCGGTTTACAGTACTCCGTGTTGGTAAGCGGATTTATAGGCGGATTTAAATGTGATTATTAATTATTACCTTCTTTATCAAGGTCAATGGACTATTGTGGACTATCCAAAGTCAGTCATGCTAGATTGCTTTCATCATGTGGATGATGATTGAGGAAAGTTTGGTTCTTTCAATTGCTTCTAAAAGCAGTCCGTAGTCATAACAATAATGAAGCTATTCAACGAGCTGAATGCTTTACTAAATCGCAAAAAGGAGAATGTAGCGATGCGATAGTGAAGAAAGAATCCAACATATGAATACATAGCAGTTAGATAACTATATCGCGATACTGGTGATTGCTTTGAGAAGCAATGGCAATATCAATTACATTTATACTACGATGGTAAACTACTGTTGATACAAAGTCAAGAGTCATACACCGTCAAGGGCAAAAGTCATTTCGCCTGGGCTTCCCATCAACATTCCCCAGAAGCTTAATACAACCATCCTGAAAGACAACCGGGCCTTTGGCAAATATATCGCCCCGGTATGTCTTATGGTATAACCCGTCCACCAATTCCCGGGCTGGTGCGTCCAGATTCGGCAAATCCTGCCAGTGCCAGTGTAGCTCGCCGCCATATTCCTTGGGGAGATTGGATGGATCAATATATGAGCGGAGCGTCTGCTGCACTTCAGATGGAGACAGGAGGAAAATCTTTGACCGGGTGACTGGGTCGAACCACTGGCTGATGACGTCCCAGATGGATTTGAAAAAATGAGGGGCTCCGATGACCTATAATGAGGTTAGTTATCGTGATAGACAGAACTAAATCAGAAAGACGTACAAATACCCGACCCAATGTCTCTGGATAGTGTGTTGTAGCTGCTGTACTGGATTCCTGGAGATACTTCCGTATACCCCAGAATTGCATGATGCTGACTCCACTCACGTCGATGATGTGTGTTGATGCACTGACCGGTTTAGACATCTCCGGCCGAGGTAATTCTGAAACAAGAGGAAAGACGAAATATAGCAGGTTTTCATAGAGTGCATGGAAGTGAAGATCTTGTGGAGGAAGGTCAGACTGATGATTCTTCGATGTTGGACAGGATGAAATGGTCCTTGTGTAGTTGTCCAATCTCCTCTTGGTCAGATGCCTCATTGGAAATACATAGACGGGGTGACCGTCTTTGTCCCGTCGACCAGTCCACTGCGGATACTTTATTCCTCTTTAGCTAGGCCTAGTTGCGAAGCAGGAGGAGACATACCATCTTTCTCGATTCTTCATAGTACTCAACATCTACAGTCTCATAGAATGTCCGAATACCATGCTGCTTTCGCCATGTCTGCGCTGTATGGAAGTGTTGAAAGGCAAGACTGATGTCAAACTTCTGTGCCCGCAGAAACCGCCTAGGGTGGTTAGCACAGTGTCATTAATAGCACATCAATACTTACAGTAACGTTGTATCGTCTGTGCCATCTCTACTATTAGAGATGACATAGCCTCTTTGGGTTAAAAGGTTCTTAAATGCGTCGAGCTGTGCTTGAAGAGGGGCAGGAAGAGCAGAATGAGTATGCCCTGCGGCTGAAAATGTAGTGAGCATAGGATCTTTCTTTCTATGTTCGAATAGCTCTCTCCGCGGTGTAGAAATGACAGACATTGTAGAGTGATACTAGCTAGGTGTATAGATAGTCTCAGTTGTGCCCTCTCTCTTGTAAAAATAACTATTTTACACTTGGTACCCCTAGGCCAGATGAATACACATAGGCTTATAAAAATGAAAGCATGATTAGAAAGCAACAATCCAAAATAAGGTTTCTTCACACTAAGTATTGCTAATCGATCTTCTATCTCTGATTGGTGCCACCGGATTTTGATCGGCTTTCGCCCTTCCTAACTCCGAGTCCCGTTCATCATCAGATGATCATCGAAGCACACATTGAATCATGGTTCGGACATAATGCATTATTCTTAGCTATAACCTAGCTAATAGAGAAAGAAAAGTATAATTTTACAGTTTCTATCAGATGTCATTTTTTTTAATGTTGGGTTAAAACATGAGTAACTAAGGGTCTAGAAGCACGTCAACATCGACTTGTCTATATATATATTGACTAAAAAGTTCCAGCTAATAACAATCAATTGTTTCTCACGTGATGGGTGTCTAGATATTTCGAATCGGTTATATTTTTAATAACAAGGATATCAAATAGCATGATTCTATGCCTTCACCTGTGGAAGCTCAGCCTTAATGTCCAGAATCTTCCTCACGGCCGGACGAACTCACGATGGTGCACTTTAACCCACCCTGCCCGCCCGAAATACGGACCGTGGCCGGACCTCTGGAAATGCAACCACTGTTTAGCGCGGAATATTGAGGAGTGGAATGCTCAAAACTGTATACATAATATCCAATTCTATATTATGTTTAGAAAGGCCGAATCGCCGAAGTTTATGCTTTGATATCCACATGCCACTATCAGAAGCCGTCCAATTGGAGGCACGGTATACACTATTCCAAAATGCAAACTGATCGCCCATACAATAACATGAAATTATCGCTATCGTCATTTTCATCAAACTTCATCGCTCAATCATAACTGACATGCACAAATTCAAATTCACCGATTGGGTTGAGGTGTCGGATACACTTCCTCCAGCCATTGGTTGATGTATTGACTGCGATCCAGCACGGTGGGGATATTGCCAGTATAACATGCCATGCTGACTGACTCTTCCTTTGGGGCCATGTCACGAGTACACTTTCTAATAACCTGGTTAGCTTTGAATGAGACCAATATAGACATTCTTACTCTCTGTATAGATCTTCTAGCACCTTCTCTAGTCGATTCATCCGGTTGAATAATCGCTGCCATGCCAGATTGTCCTGTTTGTCGTCGTCTGCTTTCTTGTTTTTGCAGTCCAGTCTCTTCCTGGTGCATCTCCTCAGCCGTGATGTTTTTTTCTGGTTGTATTTGATTTCATCGTTCGGAGGACGTCGGTCGACATTCTCATGATGATCGCCGCGAGAGGCCGGTTCCATCTGAGTTGTATATGCGCATTCAATTGTCTAGACAAGGAAAAGGATAAAAAATTGCGTATGAAATAGATAAGATGTATATTAATTTCTGGGACATCTGCAGAGGCGATATTCAGCATGGACATTCAACGTGGATATGCCGCTGGTAATCCCGGGATTGATCCATCGGCTTCGGATCCGGGCTATCCGGGAAGAGTGGCGGATATAAAAGGTGGCCTGGCGACACCACCATCTTGGTGATCAACGTATAGCCAAACCAGATTTATAACGTCCGGATACTTTAATAATTGATAATGCCTAGCCGGAGGGTTTAAATGGGTTCTCCGATTACGTTTCTGACCGTGTTTTGCTTATTCTTCAGTAAAATCAGCTAATGCACTCTATATCTGCATTATAATAGCAAATCATTAAGATTGTAGCATAAACATTACTTGAGTGTTTCCAATCAGAAGTTCTCTTTATTTAGTCCGCATTTTCTCAGTCCTTTTTTGCCATCTTTCTCTGAGAGTTCTCAATCAATCAAATAAATAGCCACCACGACAGAGTACCCACAGTGGGTCTATCCGCGATGGTCAACGAATGACAGCAGCAGCATTTCTCCATTCGTCGCTCCTCGGAGTTTAAGATGGAGCACTCCGATCTTTCTTAATCCATCCAAATCCTCCTTCCTTCTTGGGCTTTACTCTTTTGAACAAGTGACATCATGCCACTTGCAATCTGTGCTGATCTAGTGGACACAAAGAGTGTCTTGGCTGCATTCAAAGATATATCTCCGCAGTTCAAGGATGAATAATGCTGGCGGTGGATTTGTCAAGGAGCCATTTCTAGTATTCCATGAATCTTAGTATACTGCTGCGTTTGATTCACATAGAATACACAGAGCATATATCTCCCATGTTCATATAGATGGGATGATTGATAATCTGTGAGGCTTCCACCAGAGACCATCATACCAAGTCTGAAAGTAATCCCACTCCTTCAACGTCGCCTTAGCTCAAGCAGTCCAAGCACCCACGACCAAATCCTCATATGTCGGTGTATCACCAGTAAGAAAAGTCCATCAGTCTGCCTGTAAACCTTTTCTGACTGGCCAAGCGCCGACTCGAACGAGTCAAGCGTTCTCTCTCTCTTTTCATCTCGCACTGTTAGGTATTCCCAATTCTGCTTCCTAGCTCGCTCAGAAAGACTGCTTTTGATTGCTCTGCGGTGGTAGGGTTAGATCGCAGCCCGTGAAAGCAAAGAATGACATATTGAGTGAAAGTCGCAACCACTTGCAAATTCAGTGCTTTCTGCAGTGCTAGGGCCAAGGGAGGGAATAGGAAGAGGGTCTCATACCTGGAATATTGTGGCTTGGTATAGTCCTAATGCAGTAATGATGATAATAAATTGAATTGTGGTTGTGGAGAGGCTTTAATCCATGTTCATCATCGAATATAAGGGCATTATTCATTGTTTCATCAAAAATAAAATATGCAGTAACCCTCATAAGGTATATCCACTACTTCAAGCTACCTATCAATTACAATCTCCACTAAGCAAAGCTACTCTTGTTCTTCTCCAAATACTCCCTCCAAGTCGTAGCCTTCAACCCGACACTCGCCAACAAGCTCTTCGTCTCATCCAAGCTGCGATTGTTGTAGTAGCCTGGGTTATCGATAAAGAGATGATTCTCAAGCATCTCGTCAGCAATCGGGGGAGGCATGAACCCTTTGTATGTTTCCGAGTCGACCTGTACGTATCGCGTCTTGTGACCAGTGACTGCTTCGAATTCAGCCAGGATTTCAGCGGGAGTGTAGTAATCGGCAGCGGCGAGAATCTGCGCCCCAATGAGCTCCGAGCGCTTCTTGATGGCGGCAACGACGAATTTGCCTATATCGTCAGTGAGCCGAATCTTGTATTGAAGGTATTGGGATCCTACCAAAATCTTCAGAAATATCGATCAAAGGGAACTTGGCGGTGCTGGAAACCGGGTAGGCGAGGGTATACACATCGTCCTCACCCTTGCGGATCATACCAAAGCCAGCAAAGTTGGACATGAAGTAGCCAGGCAGGACGAATGTGGCAGGCAATCCGGTGGATTGAATATATGCTTCGACCTTTTGCTTCATGTCAAAGTGGTGCACATTCGTAAGGCGACCGCCAGAAGTCTCCGTCACGTTGAGCAGAGAGGAGAAGATGATGTGCTGCACGCCTGCTTCTTTGGCTGCGTTGGCGACATTCGTGCCGTGGACTAGCTCGACTTCAAAGCCGCCGCCCCATGCTGGAGTAGTGACCAGGAAGACAGTGTGAGAGCCTTTGACGGCATCGACCAGAGAGGCTGTCGAGTCCATGTCGGCCTTGCTTTGTTAGATTTCTCAAGATAGATAGACAAGGGGAACGTACACTCTTGACTTCAACACCCTGCTTCACCAACTCCTGTGCAGCAGGCTTGGATACATCGCGAGTGATACCTCGGATCTTGAACTCCTTGGACAAGGCAGCATCGGCAAGGATGGCTTTGATTATAGAACCACCCTGGTTGCCGGTTGCGCCGAAGACGGTGATGAGTTTGGACATTGTGAGGATTCTTTTTTCTGATGATAGAATGGAGTCTTGTAGACGATTATACAATGAATATATTGATTATTTTATACACATGGATGTCCTGATATAAATTACATCATCTCGACGGGCATTATGTATAAAGAACCCCGAGGCCGAGACCCCACAGCCAATCAGCGTGCAGTATGCAGCTCCCCCGGAGTACCCATTCCGAGCAACCACGGTTTTGTCAGCCGCGAAAGATGTCTATTGATTGATAATATTATGATAAGCCGGGGTTGAACAGTATGCCGAGTCAAACTATTGTAAAATATTATGAATAATGGAAGTAGTCTGATCATAAGCAATGTTGGTTCATCGAAATATACTCAGTGTAGATCGTAGCTTAAAATAGGCCCGTAAAATGCTCCACGGGATATGCCAAATCCGGCTAGCGGGGAGGCACATGATCTGGATGAATCGCACCTCATCCAACTCTTAAACTGACTCAGCTTTGCTATATCCTTTGCGGTGCAAGGCATGTCTCAACGGACAGGGGATTCATGGGTAGGGATCTTTGATACTTGGGTGACGTTTGATTACTCCTGCCAACACCAAGTCGACCGAGTAAAATGAATCTCTCCCGCAATCCTCATATTCCATCTGTGAGTTGGTATGCCTGTTCAATGTTCGACTAAATCTAATAGGCCAAGTGCACTGAGTGCAGAACACGTAAAGTAAAGGTAGAAGGCAATCTCAAAGACATGGTGTATCTGCTCTAATGACAACAGTGCTCAAAAGAACGTCCTTCATGTGCCCAATGCAGGCATCATCGAATTCAATGTATCTACGAATCAAAGACCAATCGAACTCCATTGACAAGGGCGTGAGTTGATTGAATCTACAAGCATGGACATATCTAACGTGACCAGCCACCTGACAAGTGTTGAAGAACGACTTACCAGGTTCGAAACTGCCCTGCATAGACTCTTTCCAGCCGGTAATGTCGAGCGTATTGTGCTTTCTCTGGCCCAGGATCAGAATAGTCAACTGGCAGAGATTGGGATGCCAATAACTACTCCTGGTCAGACTGTATTGCCACTGCTCCCATCTCCTCCAGAGTCAAACCAAGAGCAAGTCCCATTGACTCTCCCTGGATTCGATGACTTGCCATGCAATGGTCAAACGGGTTCAGACATTCAAGTCGGGTGGGATCGCTTCCCACAGACCCCTGATATGCCCGATGAGAACAGTCTTGTTGATGCCTTTTTCAACAATTACCATCCAGGCCAGCCTTTCATCCATGAAGCAACATTCAGAGCCGAGCATGACAGAAGGCTATCTAATACACCTAGTCTTGCGTGGCAAATCTTATCCAAATCTGTCATGGCAATCGGCGCATGGACTTTAGAAAGCACAGACATTGACCTGCAGCTATATAACCAGGCCAAAGGACTCCTCGAAACAATACCCCTGATGGAACCAGGAAGCCTCACACTCGTGCAAAGCTTGATGCTTCTGCACGAGTTTGCGCAGAAACGGGGCATGCAGGACATGAGCCTCCAGTATCTGTCCGTTGCCGCTCGGATGGCAATCAACATTGGTCTTCATCGGGAATCCGGCAATTCCACATTCAGTCTATTTGAAAGGGAGATAAGAAACAGGGTCTGGTGGAGTCTGTACATTTTCGACAGTTGTTCTGCCAAAAGCTTTGGGCTGCCACTTCTTCTTCCTGAGAATAACTTCATAAACACCAGTTCTGTTATGAACATACATGATGAGGTATGCTGCATCGTACGATTATTTCATGACAGACTGACACTGGCAGACTCTTGACCCAACCACCACTTCATTACCACCAGAGGTGAATGGCCCAACCTTGTATTCGGGGTTAATCTCCCAAGCCAAGTTCCATCTCCTGGCAAACAGTATCTATCGCCGCCTCATCGCCACCCCATGTATATCGATTGCCGAAGTACAGAAACTTGAAGCGTCCATTGACGATTTGCGTGACTCGTGTCCGTCGTATCTCAAAGGCAGCGGCTCCGTTCTCGAGTCCAACTGGCTCAGATTTGCGAAAGACCGGCTGCGGATTTGTGATAAGAATCTGCGAATTCTCATATGGCGGCCATATCTTTCGCTCTGGACTAGCAGAGTGCAGTCTATACATGATGAGAATGATGTGTATCGAGAGTCTGCATTTCGATGCCTGCACGCCACGAAAGGGTTGCTGGCCCTTGTGGTAGACAGTATCAGGAATCAAAGATATACCCGACTTAGTGCATCTTTCTTGCTGTGAGCTCTTCAATCAACCAAGTATATCGCATATTCTAACTTCATCAGATACTGCCTCTTCCACGCAACCTTGATATACGTGGTCTTTCTCAAAGCCGGCTCCTCACTCCCCGAATCTGCCTCTTTCGTGCAAGATATCAGATTGATTAAACGTGTTGTGTCGCAGTCATGGATTGGAAATGATGCACAGGTCACTCATTTCCTGAACGTGATCAACCGGCTATGCGCGCCATTTGATACACCCACTGCATTGGTTATAAACCAAGATATCAATTCACAGGCTGAAAGTAGACATCCTGAAGCAGACACAGTCATCCCAAATGACCCGAGTGCCGATTCAATGATGACGGACTTGTTGACCTTCGACTGGTCGAGTGATCAATGACCAAACTGATATTATAAAACAATATTATTTGTATCGCCGATATAAATATACCTGTTACTAGACAATCTGAACCTGATCTCTATCCAAATCCCCTCTCTCAACCAATCCATCCAAGCACGCCCTCACTCTCCCAGCAACCTCCACACCATAGTCTTTAAACGCCGGCAAATGACCCGAAGAAGAGCCAGGCGCATATCTCTGCTCAACCTTCAGCCAAGCAGTAGGCCTCAGACCTTTACACGCAGCACGCATAGAATCCAGATCGTCCTGCGTATAGCCCCCGCCAACAATAATCGCAGCAGGAGGCGCAGTACCACGCAGAAGACTGGGTAACTCAGTCTTTCCGATTTCTGGGCTCATTATTGACTGGATTACTATTGCAACATGTTAATAAGTCAACGTAAGAGTAGAGGAGGTTGGACATGCCTTCGTATTCCGGTCGCAATGCTGCGGTGACAGAGGAGCTGACTTTTTGATTTCGGCCGCAAAGGACAACTGATAAGGGGTGGTGAGAGGCACTGGTGCTGTATGTTCTGAATAATGCTCTAGATGACATTGTGGAGTGGATACGTGGTTGAAATAGAGAGATGTAGCTGTGATGTTATTGGGATGCAGTCGAGAAGTGGAGAAATTCCATAAACCTTACTAAACTACCCAGCCCCTTGTATTATATAAACTAATAATTAATTAGAAAAGTTATTCGTAGACTATCATAACTACTAGGTTAACCTTAATACGGATAGGCTTTTATAGCTTCATTTCTATTTTCACTTAACCTACAGACACGATGCATTATTTCTGCCTCAATCTCAATGCAATCCACTCAACTAACAAAACCGCATCTTCAAATTCGCATCCAAACTCTTCTGCATCGCCACCCGGAACAATTCCTGAACCCCGCTCTGATTTAAATGCGAAATCGCCTTTTCCGTACTCCCCCCAGGAACGCAGACTTCTTTTCGCAAACTCGCGACAGGCTTGGAGGACGCTTTCGCGAGAAACCCCGCACCAAGACACGATTGAACGACCAGCGGCTCAGCGGCGTCCCGAGGAAGACCCATCGCCTCTGCCGCGGCGACCATGGATTCGATGACGAAGAAGAAATGCGCTGGGCCGGATCTATCCTCCATGATTAATGGGACTGGTGATGGGTTTATAGATTAGGAGAAAGGCAGACTTACCCGGATACAGCCGCGACGACGTCTAGCATCGACTCTTGCTCGACGATACTGACAAGGGGAGATACCTCCTCCAGAACGAGTTTGACGTGATTGACGCGAAGCGTGGCATCCGCGGATGCAAAGAGCGCCGTCGCACCCTCCCTCACCTCCACGGGCGTGTTGGGCATCGATCGGATAATCGCCGTGCCTGCCGGCAGCCAGGATTGGAGCTGGCTGACGGTGATGCCCGGACACATGGTCACGATGGTAGGACGGACAGAGGGGTCGAGGGACTCGAGGGCGGGAGCGAGTTGCTTCGCGACCGTGGGAATATCCGCGGGCCGTGTGCAGAGGAAGAGGATGGGGGGTGGCGCATTGTCCTGGGTGGGATTGTGGCGTAGGATTTCGGTGTCTTGCCAGATGCGTTGGTCGAGGTTGTTGTCTGTGACTCGGAGTTGGGGGAATCGGGATTGCAGTTGCTGGATGTGTTCGGGGCGTCGGGCTGTGACGGTGATGTCGCAGTTCAGGGTCCAGGGATTGGTCGAGGAGAGAATGCCGCTGATGATGGCTTGGGCGAGATGGCCGCCGCCGATGAAGGCGAGCCGGATGGGGTCGTGGGTGGAAATCGTCATGGTTGCTGGATGGGAGTTGACGATGTCTGGGGTTGTGGAGGTTTATGTGGTGACAGGATGGCTGAGGTGGACGGATGCATTCTGCATTCCAAGCCATGAGAATGACATGACCAATGAAGGGGTGAACCAGGAGCTAATTCCGTTGTAGAATGCCGCATTGCGGGATTTTGACGTGAACTTAAATGGTGATATGAATTTACATTGACAAATTGTCTAAAAACTACTACAGTATACTAAGAACACTTTCGATCCGAGCAAACACCTCCCGTACCGTATCCTCATCGACCAACTGCCGGTTTCCCTCAAATTCCAAATGCAGCCTTTCCTTCCGGGGCGTGGCATAGATTTCCGGACGCCCTCGAGGAAGCAGATCGTGTTCGTGGACACTGATCGTACTTTCGGCGTCCAGAAACTCGAATTCCATTTCATCCTCCTGCTGGAATGCCGTTCGCCAACCAAAGTCGACCACCTGCTCCGGCCAGTCGGTGCAGTGTCGAATAATCTCCTCCATTCCTGCAGATTCATGGGCCGAGTCGTCGATGAACTGGGCTTGCAACTGCTGAGCGATCGTGACGAGTGTGTCGTTGGGACGGATGGATGCGATGATTGGCACCTCAGTCATGGTCGGGCCCACGACGTTTTGTAGACTGCCAGGAAGCATGGAGCGGCCTGTGACGAGACGGCCAAAGACGACATCTTCTTGTCCGAATTGCTGGGCGAGAGCAATGGCACAGGCTGCGTGGAAAAAGGTTGCGCTGGAGATGCCTTCGTGGCGCTGGCTGTTTGGCATCGGGAAGGATGTTGCGACTGTCATTCGATCGGCAGTACTGTATACCGCATCAATGGGACTCGATGAACTCCAGCTGGGATGGCAGGAGGTCTGGAGTCTTGATGTCCAGTATGTGAGACTCTGTGCTTTCTTATGCTCTCTGAAAGATATGAATTGCCGGAAGGTTGGCTGCGTCGGCAGTGACTGTTGATGGTAAAGAGCTGCCAATGCTTGGATCATCATGCCCCAGGTATACCCATCGAATTGGGCGTGTGCAATCCGGAAGACCAGGCGATGCTGTCCACCTCGATGCCGGATGGCCATGAAGCGAATGAACGACTGCCCGAATTGGCGCGGTCTCTGGAGATCTTCTTCACAAAGTGTACGGGTGAAAGAGTCCACTTCGCCATCAACATCCAGCGTATCATAGACCGGTTTGAACCCATCCAGAAGGACTTGCCAGAACCGCCCATCCGCTTGAACAAATACTGTATGAAGTATGTCGAAATGATCGACGAGTGCTCTACACGCCCATTCCAGCCGGGCAAAGTCGACGTTTTGGGGCAGCCCAAAGATCCAAAGCGGCAGTCTCCCAGGAGGGTCCTGCAGGGCGTCAATGACTGCGCGTTTTTGAAAATCGGTGCACGGAATGACATCCTTGACAGTGCCTGCATGCTCGTCCAAGAAGGGCTCGACGTGATCTTTCAGGAATGACGCGTGATCATCCTTCAGAAACGCGAATGCCGGCGGGGGCTGCGAGGCTTCGTCTTCCTCCACCTTCTGCGTAACCAACAAGGCCAGCTGAGACAGACGAGGGGCTTTGAAGATCTGTGCCACCGTGAGTGACAGTCTCTGAGCCCGTGCGGCTGCAACGAGTCGCATGGCAGCGATGGATTCACCACCGATGCGGAGAAAGTTGCTGTCGGCGCTGATACTGGCCACGTCCACGCCGAGCACAGAGGACCACAGGAGCTGCAGTGTCTTTTCCATCTCGGTGGATGGTTCGCGGCGTTTGTGGCCATGGGATTGCAGTTCAGCCAGTGCTTCCAGAGTCTGCGCATTGCCCAGCTCTCGAACAGCGCGACGATCGGTTTTGTTTGTTGCTGTCATTGGGATTCGGTCGACTGGAATATACGCGCCGGGCATCATACTATCCTCAGTGAGCATTGTATCTTGGATGAATATCAGAATAAGGACACTTACTATAGAGGTAAACGATCGCTCAGCTTCTGCTCCAGGCTCTCCATGAGCTTGCTAAAGGCGGATAGACTGTCCTCTGATTTCTTGCCCATCTGAGGGAAACTGATGAAGACAGCTAGTAGAGGACTGCTATTCTGCGGTCTGATGATCTCCGCCGCAATCCCAGCAGACAGACTGGCATCTCCCAGACAGACGCGAACGTGGTATTCAACTTCGGCCAGTTCAATTCGCTGGCCTCTCAGCTTGATCATGCCATCTTTCCGACCGATAAAGTCGAATGACCCGTCTGAGTTGTACCGGAGAAGATCACCAGTCTTGTACAAAGTCCCTGATCGCCCTGGCTGCGTGGACGTGTCTTGCAGGAGCCATGATGGGTCTTTGATATATGCTGCCGCCGTCTTGTCTGGATCTGCAAAATACCCTTGGCTGACGGTGGGGCCCTCGATGAGGAGCTCTCCAATTGCCCCGATGGCTGCGAGACGATCTGGGCACCCTGGCTTGACCAGCCACATATTCGCACCGTATGGCCGTCCTACATGGTTGTTATGGCAGTTACTATCGAGACGAACAAACGACAGGGCTTGGGCACATTCAGCCGGACCGTAGATGCCAATTATAGCCTCTGCGTGAGTCCAGCGCACCACCTCGGACCTTTGGATAGGCTCTCCTCCCATTGCGAGGCATCGAAGACCTGGCATGGAGGATGGATCCAGAGAGCGAGCAACAGATGGTGTAAAGTACACATAATCACACTCCATGCGGTTGAACGCGCCCGGGATGTCGTTCCTTCGTTCTGCTTCGGACGGAATGCAGAGACAGCCCCCGCAGATCAGGGTCTGCAGATGGTTGGACCATGACACGTCAAAGCTGTAGGAGACAAAGTCGAATACCCGTGACGACGACCGAATATGCAAGATGTCCTGCTGATGGGTTACTGCAGATGCAAAATTGCGATGAGTGGTGACCACACCCTTTGGTGTACCGGTGGAGCCACTGGTGAACACAACTGTCCGATGGTCAGTCCAGCTATTTGAAGGGATATACAAGACATACCGTAGATTGTATCTGATGGATGGGTCTGTGGTAATGTAGATGAGCCATGCGCCACGGGCGAGTCAAGGTGATGACGGTCGACAATCAGCACCTGCGCATCAGAGAGACTACGAGCCAAGTCATGATTTCTCGCAGATGTGAGAAGGAAGCTCGGATGCACCTGCTGTACGATCGATCGCAGCCGCGATTCCGGCTGTGTTGAGTCCATGGCGAGACAGGCAGCGCCGGCTTTCATGACTCCTAACGCGGCCACCGAGTGCCACATGGACTTTTCAAAGCAGAGCGGAATGATAGTCCCTGCACCGGCCCCAAGAGCGACAAGTTGTAATGCTAAAGAGGTTGAAAGCATATCTAGCTCAGCATAAGAAAGCTGGCCATCCCAAGAGCATATCGCAGGGGATTCTGGCTGCCGTTTGACGGTGTCGGCGATAAGTTCATGAACACACGCTTCTCTGGCCGGGGGAACCGCCGCATTCCACTGCCACAATTGCTCGATATCCTGGGAACTGACAACGTCGATTGACTCGACGGCCTCGGTGGTTGAGACGGTCAGTTGGCGCAGGACATGTTCAAACTGCGTTGCGATCCGTTCCATCTGCACCACGTCCACGACGGTTGAATCAAAGCTGATCTCCATACTCAGGCCATTGTCTTCGGTTAGCTGGAATAGAATCATCACCGCATTCGGGTTGTAGTCATCCAACTCATCATTGGCAGAACCTATCTTGCTCTGATCAAAGGGGCCGTCGATGAGTGTATTGTCACCGCCGTGCTGGGCAGGCTGTACCACCAGAAGAGTGTTGAATCGAGTGCCTCGGTCTGTATCCGCATTGATGCGTCGGATAGCTAGCAATTCCGTCTGCTCATAGGCAATCATATCAACGGACTGCTGTTGAATGTCCTTGAGAAAACTGTCCACGTCTTGCTGCTGGTCCAGTTTTACTCGCACCGGGACAGCATTGATTAAAGGCGCAATCATTTGATCTAGCCCTTGCAGAGGGCCCTGTCGCCCAGTGACCATGGCGCCGAAGACCACATCTTCCGTGTCTGTATAGCGAGCGGTTAGGATCGACCATGCCGCGCGTATCACTAAAGCTGCGTTAGCAATCTGAAAGCGTCACATCCAATGGTGCACGACTTACTGGTTGAAGCCGTGGCATCCCGTTGAGGCCAGTAAAAGCCCACAAAGTCACGTCTCACAGTGCTGTCGGCTTTGGGATGGTAGTCGTCATGTGGCAGGGCTGGAAAAGGAACTGCTTCAGAGTCGGCAAATTGGTTCTGCCAATACTCTTGCGCTTTCTCCTGGTCCATCTCAATAATTTGCTTCACAAAAGCCTGGAAGGGTGCAACGGGTGTGTGGTTAGCCAGTCCTGCATAGACTCTCGATACCTCCTCAATCAGAAGATTCAGCGAATAACCGTCGTAGATCGCATGGTGCTGCGTAAGAAGACAGTAGAGGCCATCTGCGGCATTTCCAACGATCGCTAAGCGAGTAAGAGATGTTGAGAGGCCCATGGATCGTTGGTCTTGCTCGATGAATGTTGACACCGTATCGCCCGTTTCCCATTCCAGCGACTCATTCACCCCCACCTGCACCAGGCCTTCTGTCGGCGTATCCACGATGCGGCAACGGAGGATAGGAGCTCTAGTTTGGCTGACTTCTTCCCATGCGCTCCTCAGGCGAGGTATGTCAATGTTCTCTGTCAGCCGAAGGGCAAATCGGGCGATGTACGACGTGTCACTCTTTGCTGTCATGGATAACAACGACTTTTGCACGCCGGTGCAGGGAAAGACATCCTGGATCTCTGACCTGCTGATATTGCATTGCTGAGAGATATCATCGAGGGTCCGTTCGTTGTCCTCTGGATGCTTCAACAGGGAGAACGGAGTGACTCTGACCGGACCAGCATCATCGTGATTCGGGTCCAAGGGCACCATTGCCTGTGCCATGTCGCATAGCCGGGGCTGATTCAAGATCTTTTGTACAGGCAAAGATATGCCCTGACTGCGAGCTAAAGAAGCCAAACGCATGGCGGAAATGGAGTCGCCACCAAGTCGAAGGAAGCTGCTGTCGATATATATTTGATCGGCTGGAACCCCAATCACGGATGTCCACCATGTCTGTAGCAAACATTCCTCTTTTGTAGATGGAGACTGGCAGTTTGATTGCCTTCCACTGTCTAGTTGCTCCAATGTAAATCGTGATCCTATCTCTCGTAGACGCCTCCGATCTGTCTTGCCACTGGGCGTCAACGGCATCGGATTGATGGCCACAAACGTGGCGGGAACCATATACGTGGGCACTCGCTCTGCCATCCGATTCTCCAGATCGCCTGCTATCGTGGAAACGCTCGTCGAGTCCGACTCGATAAAGGCTACAAGAGCAGCCCGCCCAGTGACATCTGGGGTCACCACCTCTGCAATAACAGCGGCCTCGATGGCCATATCCACGAGGGCCTGTCGGAGATGATGCTCAACCTCCCCCAGCTCTATCCGCTGCCCGCGGAGCTTGACCTGGGTATTCTTCCTTCCGACGAAAAGTAATGTCCCATCGACCGCATCGTACTTGACCAGGTCTCCTGTCTTGTATAACCGGCCTTCTCTGCCCGGAACCCGACCGTTGGGATCTCCCCTGCGCAGCCAAGATGGGCTTTCAATAAAGGCCGAGGCAGTCTTTTCCTCATCCATGAAATAGCCCTGTCCAACCAGCGGCCCTTCGAGGTATAGCTCTCCGACGGTTCCGAGAGGCGACAGGCGCTCGCTCGATTGTGGATCGACAACCCATGTCGAGACACCGTATCCTGTGCCGATTGGGATCTTTGATGGGATAGGACTGGGGACTTTCCAGTAGAGGGTGCCAACGGAGCATTCTGCTGGGCCGTAGGAATTGACCGTCCTCACATGAGTCCACAGCGCGAGATCATCGTGGGTAGGGGCTTCGCCGCCGAGATAAATATTCCGTAGCGTCGGGATGGAATTAGGGTCAAGCCAGCGCGCGATAGACGGCGTTAGGAGGGTATCTGTTGCTCGGAAGTGGCGTAGACTCTCGGTCAGATGGCTTTTTCTTTCTTCGTCACTTGGTATGCACACCGTGCCTCCGGCGGCTAGAGTGGGCAGGACCGCTCCGTAGGTCACATCGAATGAAGGCGCAGAAAAGTCGTACATTCTGCTCGCAGGGCCCAGGTTGAAGACCGGGTGCTGATGAAAGATGGCACTGCAGAAGTGGCGATGCTGAATGAGGACTCCCTTGGGCGTTCCAGTGCTTCCACTTGTAAACACGGCATAGAGCAGGTCCGATGGATGGACCGGTGGAAGTGGTGTGGTCTTTTTGGCTCGCGCAGATAGCTCGCGCATTGAATCATGGCTCACCTTGACAACATGCCCGACTATAGAGGAGCCGAGTGATGCATTCGTAGGTGACACCAGCATGAGGATAGGCTTCACCTGCTGCACAATTGCTTGGAGTCGTGATTGTGGAAGCGCGGGATCGAGAAAGAGCCCGGCGGCGCCAGCTTTAATGACACTCAAGAAAGCAAGGAAAGAGAATAGACATTTCTCAAAGTACAGCGGAATGATCATCCCTCGAGCAACACCCAGCTCGACGAGCTGATGGGCTAGTTGGGTCGACAAGTGGTCGAGCTCTTCATATGTCAATTCCCCATCCCAGGCCGAGATGGCAGTGGCTGCTGGCTGATATGCTGCCGTGTCTGCTATAAGATCATGGATGCACCGGTCAACACTCGCGTATGTCTGCGAGTTCCATTGCCAGATCTGGCCGAGGTCTTGTGTTGTGATCATTTCGAGATCGCTGACGGCAACTTCATCGACCTCATCGGATGTCACGCTGCGCAGGAGATGTTCAAAATGGTGCGCCATTGTGCCAACGGTGGCATGATCAATCACTTTAGAGTCGAAAGTGAACCGCAGCTGGACTCCATTGTCCACAAGTGTGCAGCCAACCGAGAATGCATACGAGCTGAACCCACGATAGCGATCTCCCTCACTTTCGGGAGATGACTGCTGGGGTGCGAACAAACCGCCCTCGTCCATCTTGGTCTCTGGGGGCTGCACCATCAGAAAGGACTGGAATCGACAGGCCTGCCGTGCCTCGTCGTTGATCTTCTGAATCCTCGACAGCCCGCTCTGCTCGTACGGAATCATCTGTGTTGCTTGGTCTTGTGCGGCAATCAGCATGGCTTGGATACTCTGATGGCCCTTGACGCTCACGCGAATCGGGACAGTGGCAATGGTGGGAGCGGCCAGTCTATCAATGCCTTGGACTGGAGCATTGCGGCCGTTGATGACAGTCCCAAAGAAAACGTCGGATGAATCAGAGTAGCGAGAGCAGAGCAAGGCGAAAACGACACGGATTGTCGTCGACGGGGTAATGTCATCTGTTCTCCAACGGATGCCACGAATGGAATGCTCCAAACTCGCCTCTGGACGGGGCTGATATGCTGAATGAGGCAGCGCGGGAAACTGAGATGCTTCGAGACCGGCAAACTGCGAGGCCCAAAAGGTGGATTCGGCATTCTGATCCTGTTGGCTGATGTACCGTACAAAAGGCTGGAAGGTGCTTAATGTGAGAGGCTGTGTGCCGTGGTAGAGTGCATCCAGGGTATCCAGGACTAACGACGTGCTCACACCGTCATAGATGGAGTGGTGCATCGTGAGGGCAAAGGTGAAACGCCCGCGTTGACCTGGCGATGTCGCGAATAAACCGCATCGCATCAACGGCGATCCTAGCCCGATCGGCCGCTGCTTTTCCTTTGCGATATAGTCCTCTGCGTCGTTTGCCTCAGTCCACACGTCGGCATCTTCGATTACGACCTGCACTAAGCCTTGACCGGGGAGATCAACGATGCGTGTTCGCAGAATCGGAATCCTCGCCACTGTTTGCTCCCATGCGGCTTTGAACCGGCCAATGTCGACAGAAGATCGAAGCTCCAGGATGTTGCGTCCTGTGTAGTCTCCATCTCGCTTCGTCGTCAGTGAGAGCAGACCTTCTTGCAACGGTGTGCAGGGGAAGATGTCTTCTACGCTGTCTTCAGAGACACCACACAGAGAGGCGGCCTGTTGTCGGGCCAGTTGAATATCCACAGATCTATCCAACAGAGTGAAGGGGTCGACCTGCCCATCCTGGTCATCTGTGGTGCTCTGAATCACAGCCGCCATATCGGATAGTACCGGTTTCTCAAAGACCTGGGCCACTGTCAACAGCACTCCTTGCTCGCGGGCCAGCCCAACAAATCGCATGGCTTCAATCGAATTCCCAAGCCGGAGGAAGCTGTCGTTCGCGGAGATCGTGTCCATTTCAACGCCCAAAGCAGCCGCCCACAAGCTCTGCAATGTGATCTCTGCTGCCGTCGTGGGCTTTATGTATTGGCTGTTGGACTGCTGCGGCGTGAACGCAGAGCCAATTGCCCGCAGTGTCTTGCGATCTATTTTCCCGGTTGGTCCGATGGGAATGGCTGGGACGGGGATGTAGTAAGAGGGAATGGCATAGCGAGGCAGGGACTGTTGCAGCTGTTCATTCAGGCCATGCGTGATGGCATCGACGTCGTCTGCCACAAGGAAGGCCACCAATGTGAGGCCATCCTTCTCGACGATGCTATCCACCACGACTGGGAAGTCTGCAATGCCCACACACTGTCGAATGTGATATTCAACCTCTTCCGGGGCTACTAACTGGCCACGCACCTTGAGCTGAGCATCCTTGCGCCCGATAAACACCAGGTTCCCGTTGCTGTCGTATCGAGCCAAATCGCCCGTCCGGTAGATGCGCCCTGTCCGTCCTCTGCTGCTTCCCTGGCCAACGGCGAGAAACGACGGGTTGTTGCAAAACGCCTTCTCTGTCAAACTCGGATTGCCAATATACGCAACCGCGCATGCCGGACCCTCGAGAGCAATCTCTCCAGGAGCTCCAAATGGCGCCAACCGATGAGGATTATGCGGGTCAACCAGCCAGCGCAGAGGGAGATGGCCAGCTCCAGCCTCGTCCGCAGGGCCCGCAATCATCCCCGTGTACCAGGATGGCCGGGTGGCAGGGCAAACAGCAGCCAGACTGCATTCCGCCGGGCCATACCAGTTGATCACCTTGCACCTGCCGCTCCACCTGGCCACGTCTTCTTCGGCCAGCTTTTCTCCCGCCTGGATGAGCGATGACAGAGTGGGCACCGCGTGAGGGCTAAGCAGTCGTGCCGTGGACGGGGTGCAGTGCAGCACATTGGCCGCAAACCGGTTGATCGCCCTGGCCATGTCGCTGAGCCGTTCAGACTCGGAGGGAATACAGAGACAGCCCCCGTACGCAAGAGTGGACAGCGTTTCCACCGTCGCGACATCAAAGTCGTACGAGGCAAACTGGAACAGGCGAGACGAGGAGCCCATGGCGAATACCTTTCCGGCACCCTGGATGTTTGCGTTCATCGTGCGATGATTCCACAGAATCTGCTTGGGTTCGCCGGTACTGCCAGAAGACACCAAGACTATTGCAGGGTCGGTCATTCTAGGAGAGGGGAGTGGATTGTCTGAGACGGGTATGTCCAGCATCTGATCGATAGTGAAACATTTGGAATACTGCTTGATCACGTCCACTCGTGATGGTGAAGCCACGGCGAGCACCACGCCGAGGTTTCTGAACACGGTGCCTATACGATGATCAGGCACAGCGACAGACTGCAGCAAACAAACACCGCCGGCTTTTAGGATAGCCAGCTGCAGGATCGGTACCCACTTGGACTTTTCCAAGGCCAGAGCGACTGTCGACCCGTTGGAGATACCCAGTTCGAGCAACCGGTGGGCGAAGTCTGTGGACAGCTTGTTCAATTCCTTGTAAGACAGCTGGCCATCCCAGCCATCAATTGCTATCGAGCCCGGCTGTTTGGCTGCCACGGATGAGATCATCTTGGACACTGATGTCTGTGGCTCTCGCGGAAGCGTGGAATTCTGCTCCCACAATCGAGCGATGTCGAGATCAGATGCCGTTTGAACATCCTCCAATTTGGTTTTTTCTGGGTCTGACGTGCATAGCTGTCGAAGGACTGTCTCGAACTGACCAGCGATGCGATGAATCTGCCGGTGGTCAAGAATATGATTATCAAAGCTGATGTGCAACCTCAGCCCCGACCTGGTCAGCTCGCAAATTAACATCAACGGATACACATTGAAGGGATCAGTTCCCCGAGTGTCAAGATTAGAGGAGAAGCTCCGTGCTTTGAATAGCAGACTGTCATTCTGCAGACTCTTTCCTTCAGCCAGTGGCTGAATCACCAGCAAGGTCTGGAACAGCGCCGAGTCTGCATTCTGTACAGTCCGTTGAATATTCTGCAGTCCGTACTGCTCGTGCGGTACCATGCGGATGCTTTGATGCTGGATCTGACCCAGGAATGTCCCGATTGTCTGCTTCCAATCGATGGACGTTGCAATGGGTACTGTAGCAATGGTCGGACCGCTGCAGCGTTCGATGCCAGCCATATTCGCCTGTCGCCCAGATGTAGTCACCCCAAACACCACCTGGTTCGAGGCCACATACTGCGCTTCGAGGATGGCCCAGGCGGATCGGAGGATGGTTGAGGGCGTCATTCCGGCATGTGGCCACTCCACGGAAATCGAATGATTCATCTGTTCGTTGGCCTGTGGGATGTAAGTGGAGGAGGGAAGGACTGGAAACTGTTGGAGCTCAACGTTGGAAAGCTGGTCTTTCCAGAACTCGACGGTGTCTCGGGGGTCAGTCCGCCGCAAGTATTGGATGAAGTTGCGGAATGGCGTAAATGATGCGTGGCATTGGCCAAGGTACTGGTGTTCAAGTTCATCCAGAATCATCCTGAGGAAGGAACCGTCGTAGATACAATGGTGAATGGTGAGAATGAAGCTGCCTTCCACAATGGCAGCACGGCAGAGTTGCATCCCCATGCCCATTGGCTCCTGTTCGTCATCTCGCACATACGTCGCCATGTCAGTGCCATACCGCCACGGAGAATCATCAAGCAAGACCTGAACCAGCCCTTGCCCTGGGAGATCGATGATCCGAGTTCTAAGGATGGGCAACTCCTGCACGGTGGATAGCCACGCCTGTCGTAGTCGGTCCGGGTCAACAGTGGGCTGAATCCCAAGCACACTCCGCGATATATACTGGCCATGGCTTTTTGCGCCTAATGCCAGCAGGCCTTCTTGAAGCGCAGTGCAGGGATAGATGTCAAGGACCTGTTCTTCTGGTACTCCGCAGCGCTGAGCAGCAGACCTGCGACTATCCTCCTTGTCAACGTGTGAGCTCAAAAGTGAGAATGGAGGAACCTCTTCGACGGAGCTACTTCCCTTTCCAAGTCGCTGCGACATACCCTCCAGCACAGGGGACTCGAATATGTCCGAAACGGTAAGCACACATCCATCGTTGCGGGCCAGGGCAACGAGGCGCATCGCCGTGATAGAGTCGCCTCCCAGACGGAGGAAGTTGTCCGTTGCATAGATCGACTCGACGGCTACACCCAAGACTTCTGCCCACAGTCGTTGGAGTCTCTTCTCGTTTGCGCTGGAAGGCTCCCTGGCCTTCTTCCGAGACGGCTGCATCGCCGCCAGCTGCTCTGTCGTGAACGAGCTTCCGATTTGACGCAGACGCCGGCGATCTGTCTTTCCTGTCTTGCCGATGGGAATGGCGGCAATGGGGATGTACAGCTTCGGAATCATATAAGACGGCAGCACTGTCATCAGATACGATTCGAGTTCGTCGACCGGCAACGTGGGCTTGCTATCCATGTCGCGGTAGCTAAAGAAGAGAGCCAGGGTGTCCTTGTCGCTGAGGGATGGAGTGAAGATCTCTGTGACAGTCTGGACCTCATTGCTGCCCTTGACAAACCCGTGGACTAAATGCTCAATGTCCTGAAGATCCACACGTTGCCCTCGAAGCTTACGCTGGGAATCCAGGACTCGGCCGAGGAACAGAAGCGAACCGTCAGAGGTATATTTGACAAGGTCCCCCGTTCGATATAATGACCCATCTCGCCCCGATACCATCCAATATCCCTGCTGGAGCCAGGACGGGGAGATGAATTGCTGTTCATTCAACCCAGCACCGCACCTCCCTGTATAGCTGGCCACGAGCGGACCCTCGATGCATAGCTCTGCAATGGCCCCGACTGGAGCAAGAACATTGGCATTTTTGGGATCCACTAGCCAGGTACAGGCTGCGTGGCCTCTCCCAATAATTCCTGGCTGCCAGTCGTTGGGATCAAGTTTATACGAAGTGGCTACGCACGCCTCGGCCGGTCCATACCAATTGTACACGACGTCCACATACTCGGACCATTGCGATGCCGTCCTTTGTTGGAGCTTTTCACCAGCAAATACAATCGTCTGGATTGACGGTACGTCTTTGGGCGCAATGGACTCCGCAACTGACGGAGTCAAACAGATCCAGTTCGCATTGTAGTGAGCAATGCTTTCAACGAGTAGATTCGTTCGTTCCGATTCAGACGCGATGCAAAGACAGCCACCGGCAGCGAGGACAGCAAGCGTTTCTACTGTGCTGACATCGAAATCGTATCCTGCGAATTGGAAAACCCGGCTGTTATTATCGATCCCGAAGCATTTCTGAGCGGCCGCAATGTTGCTCGAGAGCGTCTCATGGCTCCATTGGATCGGCTTTGGCGTCCCGGTAGAACCAGATGTAAAGAGAATAAAAGCCGGATCGGCGGCATGGAGCTGTGGCAATGGTAGATCCGGATTATCGTCAACGTGCGTTTTAATCAGCTCGTCATGGGTCACCACCAGCGCCATGCCAGTAAAGGGACACAAGTGGGATGCAGCCGACGTCACGATAAGTGCTGGCTGCAAAGCATCGACAATCTGGCTGGCTCGTTGACCAGACGTTGGTGCAGAGACAGGCAACGCGATACATCCCAGCTGAAGAACAGCGATCATGGTGATGGCCAGCCAGGAGGACTTTTCGAAGCTCAGCACCACGATGGAGCCGGGCGTCACCCCATGCACTCGCATTTGTCGTGCAACCGCCATCGACTTTTCCTGCAGCTGTCGGTATGTGAGTTCGTTGTCCCATGCGTATATGGCGATACCGCCTGGTTGGGTAGCAGCGCGGTGCGCAATCAGAGATGTTACAAACTCCGTAGCGGCAGGTGGTAGATCTCGGTTCCATGTCCAGATATCATCCAGATCCTCACTGGTCAAGGGGCTGAGGTCTTTCAGTTTAGAATGGCCAACCTCCTCTGAGCACAATTGGCGCAATAGATGCTCGAATTGCCGCGCCAGCCGTTGCACCTCGCCTCCCCCAATCGCCCCCGAGTCAAAGTTGATCGTGAGCTCGACACCAGACTCTCCCAGCTGACAGATAATCATCATCGCGTAGGAATTGTAGACCCCCACACTGTCACTCCGACCATCCTTAGCTACGAGTACGGGATCCCCGTGGCTGTCCGCGTCCAAAGCACCTGGCATCGACACCGTGTGTGCCCGGGAGAAAAGACCACCCGGTTTCTGACTCTTTCCTTGATGAGCGGGCTGGATGACCAGCAGCAGCTGGAACTGGCTGGCTTCCGCAATCTCCTCGTCGATCCGCTGAATGCGCTGTAGCCCAAACTGCTCGAAGTCTGTCGTTTCTACCATCTGTCTCTGAATGTGCTGCAGCAGATCTTCGACCGTCTCATCCCAGTTTAACTTGACGCGCACAGGAACAGTGGCTATAGTTGGTCCCGCGATACGTTCAATATCCGGCACCGGGGCGTGTCGGCCACTCACGGTAGCTCCATACTTTACATCGTCTCTGTTTGTGTATGATGCAAGCAGGATCGCGAGTGCGGACCGCACCACGGACGATGAAGTCGTACCGGTACGGGGCCACTGCACCGCACTGATGGCGTGGTGGAAATCGAGCTTTTCCTTTGGATGGTATTTAGGAGACGGGAAGACCATTGCATCGGAGCCAAGGAGCTCTTCACGCCAGAAGTCTGTGGCCTTTGCAGTGTCCATGGCCATGACGTGCTTGACAAATGGCTGGAACGACAGGGGGGCGGAAAAAGCTGAAGTCGACCGATACGCCATGTCAAGAGTATCCAGGATGAGCATCGTGGTCCATCCATCGTAGATCGAGTGATGCATCTCCAAGGCCAGACGAGGCGGTTCACTATGAATGATCCCAGCCCGGCACAGTGGCCTCCCCAGATGCGAGGCCGGAGAACTGGTAGTTGTAAAGTCGCGGATAGCCTCATATCGGAGCAATGCCACTGGGGCCTTCACGACCACCTGAACGAGACCTTCGCCTGGCAGCTCGACGATCCTCGTACGCAGAATGGGTGTTGCTGCCACGGCCTCTGTCCAGGCCCTCTCCAGCTGGCTCATATTGATGTCGTCGGGCAGGTCAAAGACAGTGCGTGATGTATAGTCGGCGCTGGCATCTCGCGCACTGATGGCCAACATCCCTTCCTGCAGTGCTGTACATGGATAGATATCCTCCATGTCGCCAGCCTCCACTCCACACAGTCTGGCAGCTTCTTCACACAAGCTCTCTTTGCTTCTCCCGCCGGTCAGCAGGAAGAAGGGGAGCACGACTTCGCTGTGGAGAACACGATCGACCTTGGTTGCCAGTTCGCGCAGAATGGGAAAAGTAAACACATCGGCCACCATCAACGACAGCCCTTCCCTCCGCGCTTCTGCAACCAGATACATGGCGGTGATCGAGTCTCCCCCCAGACGCAGAAAGCTATCACCGGTGCTGATTCCATCGACTTCCCGCTCCAGAACCCGGGCCCAGATGTGCCGCAGCTGTCTTTCCGCGTCGGTTGTCGGCTCGCGATACTCGACAGGGGATACGATGGTGGATTGGAGCTCGACGATCTCATTCCAGTCCAAATTGTTGCCCATATCCAGGAGTCGCCGTCTATCAGCCTTACCGGTGGAGGCGACGGGAATCACATCGACGGGGAGATACACGGTGGGAATCATAAAGGAAGGTAAGATCCCACGCAATCTGCCTTCCAGGGTGTCAATCTGGCCCTTGACGCGTTCTCTCTCGTCTGGTCGTGCCTGAACAAACAGAGCCAGTGACAGCGTGTCTGACCCACGCGGCATGACGACGTCTGCAATCACCGAGAGATCTTCGTCTAGACAGCCACGGACATGATGCTCCACATCGCCAATTTCAACCCGCTGGCCTCGGATTTTCAGTTGTGCGGTATCTTTGCGGCCCATGAATAGCAGTCGCCCGTCTGGTTTGTATGTGACCAAATCTCCTGTTCTGTAAAGTCTACCTCGTCGACCTGGGATCTCGCTACTTCCTTCGAGCAGCCATGGAGGGTCATGGATAAATGCATCAGCAGTCTTTTTATGGTCAGATAGATAGCCTTGGCCGACGAGAGGGCCTTCTAGGAACAGCTCTCCAGTCTCTCCTGGGGCGGCCAGTCTGCTGCTGTCATTGACATCAACCACCCACGTGCAGTGACCAACTCCCCTGCCTATATCCGGACGACCTTCGAGATGCGAAGTGAGGCGGGAAAAGGCACATTTGAATGTACATTCCGTTGGGCCGTACGTATTGAGCAACTGTACCTTGTCCGCCCAGCGAGTGATGTTGTCTCGGTACGGCATCTCTCCACTCAACAACACCGTTTCGAGAGTAGGGGGAATGGGGTTGATGGTGCGTAAGACAGTAGGCGTCACGTTAATCACGCTGGCCTTGAATGCAGTGATGGCGGCGGACAGATCGTTCAGCATGTCCTGCTCGTTCGCAATGCAAATACATCCTCCCGCGCAGAGGGTGTGCAGGAAGTTACTCCATGCGACGTCAAAGGAATAGGGGGCAAAGTCGAACACCCGTGATGTTGAATGAAACCCCAACTTCTTGCCTTGGTGATGGACGGCACTGCGCACGTTCGCATGGCTGATGCACGCGCCTTTCGGCTGTCCGGTTGTTCCACTGTATTCATTAGTGTTTCGTTCCATCGCAGAAAATGGAAACTACATACGATGTAAATGAGATATAGACTATATCAGATGGAGAAGCGACCGGAAGTGTGTCGGCTAGCTCCTCCATCTCGTTGAAAAAGGCATCATCCAGCTGCAGAATGGAAGTATCTGCCAGTCCCGCTGCTCTGATGGCATGTAATGGTGAAGAGATGATGACATGCGGTTGTGCCTGCTGCACAATCGATCACAGTCTGGCATCGGGCTGTGTAGCATCCAGCGCAACGGCAGCGCAGCCTGCCTGGATGACGGCCAACATGGCCACGCAGGTCCATCGCGACTTGGAGAACAGCAGCGGGATAACAGACTGGCGGGGGGTCTGCCGGGCAATCAGGCGTTGTGCCACACGGCGAGACAGCGCATGCAGCTGAGCATACGTGAAATCCCCATCCCAGGCGCACACAGCCAGGGCATCTGGATGATGCGCAGCAATCGTGGCAACGAGATCATGAACACAGCCCGAGACAGTCTCTGGGACATGGGCATTTGCACGCCAAATTTGATCAAGATTGAGGGTATGCGACATGGTGAACTGGCATTGATTGATGGAAAGCGTAGAGGACGTTGTGGCAGTACTGCAAAAAGAAACTCTTTGGTTAAAAGGACACCAGACCGTAACGTAGCTGTCAAATGCACATGCTACCTAGAAAAGTGTAGTTCCGGGCTGACGGATGCATCATCCGTGGTGGTGAACGGATCCGGCCAGGCGTCTATAAACATCAAGTCCATGGCATCTCCATCTCAACCACCAGCAACAATCGTCCAGCAATCCCTCATGTTCCCCTCGTTGGATTTCGCCCACTTCTATGATCCCTCTCAGCGAGAGGGATTTTGTCGCCAATTCGTCTCAACATTGCAGGAATATGGGTTTGTCAAGCTGATCAATCACGGCATTCCGGACGCCCAGATTGACCAGGCATTTGCCGCAGTTGGTTGCCTCTTCAATCCTGAGACGTATATACTGACTTTGGATAGGCACGCCACTTCTTCGAATTACTGGTGGAAGAAAAGTTGAAATCGCCTCATCCTCCCACTGCGAATCCCCATCGTGGCTTCAGTCCGGTCGGCCTGGAGAACGTGGGAGCTGTCTCCGACTATGGCAGCCCAGGACACTCTCCTTACCTCAAAGATATGAAGGTGATGCTGTCAACTCAAATATAAGTGCTGTTCTAACCCTCCTAGGAGTCCTACGACATTGGATCCGAGTGCGATCCCCTCTACAAGAATATCTGGCCACCCCCCGAAGTAGACGACACCTTCCAACCGACCTTTACTTCCTTCTTCGAAGCTGGCTACCGCACCGAATTAGCCATCCTCAGGGCTCTCTCAATCGGACTAGGTCTCCCTGAACACTGGCTGGGACAGCTTCACGCCGCCCAGACGAATGAGCTGCGCATCACGCACTATCCTGCCGTCGCCCGAGAGGATTTTGCGCATTCGACACGCATCGCTACGCACACCGACTTTGGGACTATCACCCTGCTCTTCCAAGATGCAGTCGGCGGACTACGTAGGCTATTTCTTCCTTTCTTCTTTCTCCATGCTAATGCAATGTTACAGAAGTGGAGGTCCCACCGCACAGTGGGCAGTTCGAGGACATCGACAGTGGAGGCCCATACGAATGCATTCTGAACGCTGGCGACTGCCTGCAGATGTGGACTGGGCTGCATAGTGCGCGCCATCGCGTCCATCTTCCCGATCAGTTCAAGGAAGAGCAAAGCGACGGCATGGTGCCGGAGCGCTTCTCCATCGCGTACTTTGCTAAGCCGGATCGTGATGCCATCCTCCGGCCTTTAATGGGTGAAGACAATCCAGAAGGAGAATATCTGACGGCGAATGAGTTCCAGCACATGCGGATTGCGGGAACGTACTGATGGCGGGTTGTGTTGGTGTCCGTTTAGTTGCATAGCTTCCGATAGAACTTGAATCCGGTCATTTTCTCATCCAAATAAGATCGCTTTCCAAATTAACTTTGACAGCTTCTCAGCATTCTCCGGATCCGTAGCATTCTAAAACATGTTTAACCCAAAGCGTTGGGCTGTCATTGAACGGAATGCTGCGATGTAACGCAGCACCCACCCTATGAACCACATCCCGCCTGTCATATTCCCCAGTATAACGAACAAAACGTGCTGGGATCACTCAAACAGCAGACTCTTCTTCATTTCATTCCCATCTTGCAACAATGGACTACCACACTTGGATATGGCCAGTGGCCAAAGTAGATTACCAACCAGCCTTCGCTCTGTTGTTGACCATCACCGTTGCTGCCATCGCAACCAGAATCCTGCATGTTCTGACCCAGCGCTGCCCTGGCATTCCCTCCATCCCTTTGCATATCTCGGTCTACGATGCTTACCGTCGCGTGTCGGAAATTGGTTTCCACAACTCTCGTCTGCGCCCCGTGCTGGAAACCCACGGCGCCGTCAATGTCTGGAACTCGGGCCAATGGGCGGTTCTAGTGACCAGACCAGAGTATGTGGTCCGTATTCTGCGCAATGAGCGCATCGTGGCCAAAGGTGGCTTCTATGGGAAAGTGCCGCATAGTACCTTAGCCGGTCTTTTTGGAGAAAACATCATCGACTCCCATGGCGAGGTTTGGAAACAGTTCACGGGGATCATGAAGCCGGGCATTCAGCGCGCTCATAGTATCTCCGCTCTCAGGATCGCGTCGTGGAAGCTGATATCGACATTGAAACGAGAGCAGCAACACGCCCCATCTGACCGCGGGGTTGTCATCAACGACCTCATTGAACGGTGGGCGATTGACGTGTTTGGGGAGAGCTTTTTCGACGTGGATTTCGGCGCCTTGGATGGCGGCAGTGTCCGGGCTCAGGATGCGCTCCTGGCCATCCTCTACAACCTGGGAGGCCATCTCATCCACCATTTCCCCTTGTTGGAACGAATTGGCTGGCCGCTACGCCCAACGAGGCCGTATTGCTTTTCCAAGATCCGCGAGCTCGAGGACGCCCTGATCGACATCACCGCGAGACTGAAATACAGCGAATCACCGCCGGATCGGGCTGAAAAGCTGATCTACCGGCTGAAGCGAGCCCGCGATGCCGGGCTCATGTCGGACTTTCATTATCGCTCGAACCTGAAAATGATCTTCTTCGCGGGCCATGAAAACGTCAAGTTTGCATTCGTCGCCACGCTGTGGGAGCTTTCTCAGAACCCTCAAATGCAGGAAAAGCTACACGGGGAGATTGCAGCACATCACCCTTCTTCGTCGGACGAGGATGACCTCAAGAGCCTCCCCTATCTCACCGCTGTACTCTCTGAAACTTTGCGCCTCTACCCCCCAGTCAGCCAGTTGATCAATCGCAAAACGTTGGAGCCAGTCTATCTAGGAAACGGCATCACCGTTCCCCGTGGAACATGGGTGGGCTGGACGGCGTATGGCGTGCATACCGATCGAAATACATGGGGTCCCACTGCCCATGAGTACCAGCCAGAGCGATGGGGGGAGGATGTGCATGCCATCCAACGAGCGATTAGCCAGCAACAGGTTCGGGGGAGTTATATTCCATTCAACGCGTGGACTCGTAGCTGTATTGGGTCTGAGTTTGCGTTGCTACAGTTGCGAGTGACTCTTTATGAAGTTGTCCGCCATTTTGAGATCTCCAGTGCCCCGGATTATCATTATTCGATCAAGGAGGCAAGTTCCCACGGACATCGTGCAAAATGCATTGAGATAATTACTAACCAGAAAGCAGAACGCTTCTCTCGAGCCCTATAATTGTCGATTGATTTTCAAGGATAGAATGTAGCCTGGCGACTTTTCCAAGTTGGAATGGCCGCAAATGTGGTTCATAGGCTATTCTATACTGTTTATATACACATACTGTAAGGAATGCAATAGTTGTCCTGATATAAAGTAAAGTGATGTCATATATATGTAGGATCGTTGTCTATCTAATTTTGTTAAGCTGTTTAAATGTTGGTCCAAAACATTGGCCATAACCGAACATTGAAACTGATATAGATATACCAACTACCAAGCCGTCAACCCTCCATCAACCAGAATGTCCGTACCTGTAATATAGGAACTCTCATCCGACGCCAAAAAGCAGGCCACTGCAGCCACATCTTCAGGCTGACCGAAACGTCCCAGCATAATCTTCTGCAGCATTGCAGCCGACCACTCGGTCGATTTCATGTGGGGAGCCGTTTGTTACGTCTCAATCACACCAGGAGAGATAGTGTTAGCCCGGATGCCATGTTCATGCCCTTCCATGGCCAGCTGGCGCGTCATGGCAATAACGCCTCCTTTGGCTGCTGAATGTGCGACGGCCGGTAAGGGAGCGACTGCGACGTCGCCGCTGATTGAGCCGACGTTGACGATGGATGCACGGGACTTTTGAAGATGAGGCCACGCAACCCGGGTGAGAAGGTAGATGAGATTCAGCTCTTCGTTGATGGTTTTGTACCAGTCTTCGTCTCTGATCTCGTTCATCCAGTCAAAGTAGGCCATGCTGGCGTTGTTGTAGAGGACGTCGATTCGGCCGTATGTTTTGATGCCTTTGTTTACCAGTTTCTTGCAGTTTTCACGTTTTGTGATATCGCAGGGACATAAGGATATCATCTCGCCGCCTGCGGTTCGGACAGCATCGACGGTTGCTACGTCGTTTGTAATATTGATGTCACATCCGACAATGATGGCTCCCTCTTGTGAGAATTGGCCCATGCTGCCTCCAGTACCGGTGATGATGCATACTTTGTTCAAGAGACGGGGTGCCATCGTATGTTCCTTGCTTTGGTACTTCCTGTATGGGCGCAATTCAAGGTACCGAGGAATTAAACAGAAGATAAAGTAATGCTCTCTTGTAACCGTGAAAACCAGCCTAGGCCAATTGAAGTAATGCCCTCATGGCTCATTCTCCATACCCACTTATGATGAGCTGGCACTGGCACAACAATTGGTTTCGGCGGGTCTATCACTGTCTAGGAAGATGCGGTCAAGAGCATAAGTCAAAAGGGATTTCATAGATTGATTGGCATATGACGTGTTCTTGAGTCACTGCCTATTCCCTCAAATCTGCCTCTCGGCAACGTAACTCTCAATAGATGCGCCAAATTGCCCAATTTGTGGGTGGGGGAATGTTTAATCCCACAGTGTATCTCGGCTTTAAGAAAGTCCATGGGCCATTAGTATGGCACGCAATGTTCAGAAAACGAATTTCCAGATTTTCAAGGTCATCCCACAACAAATATATATCTTAGAATCATAATATATCACCCAACCTCTACAGGCTAATATCTTGATACATCGAGAAGCAAACAAATGTAACCCATCATTGAATTATTAATCAATGGGCTTTGGTGATCGTAGGTATTTTAATCAGTGAATACTTTGGATGGGTATATGCTTTACAGGTGCTAGTGCGGCATTCTTACGGGGTGCAATTACAAAATATTTCCTTTTCTAGCTTGTCTTTGATAGCAATAACAATCTTAAGTTTCAAGTCCTCAATGTCAACCGCACAGAATACAGCATGATAATAGCTATGTTGATATGTTACCGAAATTCTCAAATAAACCTATATTTTCATATACAATCACAACGACTCAAATTACTCTTCCAGCACACTCATTCCTGTAATCCACACCAATCCCATGCCCTCGGCGCCAGTGTGTCTCGATCACGCTGGAAATCCCATTGCTCGACATCCGAGGGCAGCTCCTGCTTCTCCGAACGTGTAAAGTATTTCTTTACTGTGTCCCGGCGCAGAACCTTTAATGATGGAGTCCGGGGGATTTCTTCCCCATCCCGGAGAATTCGGAGCATCGCTGGAAGCATATACATCGGTAGGTTGGCCGCAAGGTGCTCGCGTAGAGCCTTGAGAGATAGCTGATCCGTGCCGGGCTGTAACCGAACAAGGGCTGCTTCTAGGCCGTTGTTGTCCTCATCAAGGACGCTGAGGATACAGCCCTCTGAGATAAATGGGAGCTCTAGAAGGCGCATTTCAACTTCCAGTATGGGGACTTTGTAGCCCAGGAACCTGATGACTGTGGTTTGAAGTGTTAACGGAGCCACGGGATTGAATGAATAGCTTACACTCGTGAGATGCTCGTCCTTCGAGGACATAGTCTTCTCCTACTCGGCGAGCAAGATCTCCAGTCCGGTAGAAGCCGTCCTCAGTAAAAACTGTCCGAGTGGCTGCTTCATCGGCTAGATAGCTGAGGCATTCGACTTAGTTGGACGACATCAACTGATGGGATATGGATATTACCTACCCGGAAAACAGCGCTTCACTTTTGATCATCATCTCTCCATGATCACCGTCTGACAGGCGGACCGTTATATTCGGGTCTGGTCTTCCTACGCAGCGCTGTAAGACGATTAGCCATTAATTGTAATGAGAGCGTTTTCAATCGTCCCACCTCCAGAGTAACATCCGTTTCGGGATGAATTGATAAACCATAGTCACCCAGCTCCGTTGCCCCATACGAAACCTGCAACGGCCGACCCATTTCCTCTCGCCAAAACCGACGTAGCGGGCCATGTGGCATCGCGCCACTCACATACGCCACTTGAAGGTTCTGGGCTCCTCGGATGTATGCGCTCACTTTATCAGCTGGGAGACTGGCGAGGTGGTTTTGAAAATGCTGCATAATCAAGGTCCAGAAGTGCGGTGGGCCCGTAAAAAGCGTCACTCCGCCTGCCCGGAGCCGTTCCCAGACCACCACAGGATCAGAAGGGATGACCTCGACGCGTGCTCCTGCGAGAGGCTGTCGGAGGAGTGGCAGGGCACCGCCAATCCAGAACGCGGGGTGATGGCTCAGAAATATGTGACCAGGGCCGCTGACTCGATGCATCTCGTAGAACATCCTTCGAGCGTGCACCACGCCTTTTGGTGGACCTGTGGTGCCGGATGTGAAGAAGACTATGCCGGGGCGATGCGGCGATATCTCCATTCCGGGAGTTAAAGTAATGAGTGGGCTCTTGGGATCAATAATTGGAGATGCATTCATTTCAATTGGGAGAACGGTGCTGGGGAGACCGTTGGCAGAGCTGTGTTCGTGGATCTTGTTACCCAGGTCCTGGTATTCTCGACCGACCAGGAAAGTGGACGACTTGCATTTCTGCATGAAATATAACGCTTCCTCTGGCAGGATACAAGTGGCTGTGGTCGTATTAAAGAATCATCTTGAAAGGGAACCATTAGACTCACAGATTGGCACCACTGCGCCTCCGATGGAGAGAATAGACAAGGCAGCAATGATATACTCGTAGTTGCCATTGGATAGTACAAAGACGTAGGGTGTGTCCTCATTAAGAAGATGCCTGTCGTCAAACAGAGAGTGCGGAAGAAACTCCCGTAAAGCCCCTCGCATGCAGAGCAAATCCGTCAGCAGCTGGGCATAGTCTGCATCAACTCCATTCGAAGGGTCATGTACTACTACATGGGTGACCTCCCTAGCGACCTTGAGTAGCTGTCTGAAAATCGGATCGTTTGGAAGGTTGCCATTTATGTCTGCGGTCATCTTGTTGTATTTGGAAGGGTGCCAATGTTGAGAAATGGCAATCTGAGACTCAAGTAGAGTTGAGTAGATGTCCAGGGCAATGGCACAACCAGAGCATATCAGGCGCGGTGGAATCAGTTTTCTTTGAGAACCCGTTACATAATTTCCTTGGTATTGAAGACACTACTATGGTGTGCTTGGAAAGGAATCGCATTTATTGCCACTACTTAGTTACTACTATGTGGGTAGCATTTCTACCGCTTCCCTATACAGGTATGTATAATGTGTCTGATCATACTAAATAATCACAAAAGTGGATGAATGGGTATTCATTGCTAATTGTAGTAGGATAATTGACCTTGCAGGTGAAAACTCTGCAGTGTGCGAGTAGCCAGGGGTTTCAGGATCGATCGATCGATAGTTCATTCTCAGCTGGCTGGTGTCGATCATACAGTACCGCTTGTACCAGATAAATATGAATTTCAATTCGAGGTAATATTTAGTGCGTCAGAGGCTTCGAGCTACATAATACTGAATAGAGAATAGGAGGCTATTTCCGAACTGACAATTGCGATCAACTAAATGGTATTAAGAAAGGTCTGGTTCTCTGAGTGAGTCAAGAAAAAAGGGCTTTATTTACGTTATGAATGAAGCTATTCGAGTCAGTAGATACGATAAAAAAATATGTTAGAATCAGAGAATAACATTGTATTATTTAAAAGCGGGGGGTCTGCACATATTAATGCAGATGAGATCTTATCACTGCATCTTATTTGGAATAACCTCGCCTTGGGATAGTATTTTTAACTTAATTCAATACTCGACTCGGTATTTTACAGCTCAAGTTCAGCTCGATACGGTATCTTGGCTTTAAAAAATATCATCAACTCGGCTGATTGGGTTTGAAAATAAATTTCAAGGAATTTCTTAACAATACACTGCCTGGCAATAAGTCCTGACCCGTTTTTGCCTCCCACTGTAACAAAAAGGGAAGAGCCGAAAGGTAGATCGTGGACCCAGTCACGTGCAAATCTCGGAGTGGGTAAACCGAGCTATCAGCCAATCATAGCCCTTAAAGCTGTTCTCAATGCTTGACGTCATGCTCCCTTGGATAACACCTTTTATTCAGCCAAAGCACAAGCGTTGAAGATTGCAAACAATCTCAATGGCTTCAAGTCTCAAGTCTGTTGCCCTCATCGCTGGAGCAGGTCCAGGAACAGGCGGCGCAATCGCCCGTCGATTTGGCCAAGCTTATCCCGTCGTCCTCCTTGCTCGTTCACAGTCATCGTTGGACCCTTTGGTCAACGACATCACTCAAAATGGAGGGTCTGCTATCGGCATCCCAACGGACGTTACCAGCACTGACAGTATGAACGCGACACTCGACCAAATCAAAGACAAATTCGGACCGGATCTAAGTGTATCAGCTGCTATCTACAACGTAGCTAGCAAGTTTGTCAAAAAGCCTTTCCTGGAGCAAGGCATGGACGAGTTTCTAGGCAGTTTAGAGACTACTACTAAGGGTGCCTACAACTTTTCACAGGCATCGCTGCCATTGATGCTGGGGGAGAAACCAGCGAGTCAGAAGTATCCGCCTACACTCATTTTCACTGGTATGCATTCTAGTATATGCAGTAAAATAAATCTAACAAATCACAGGCGCAACTGCATCTCTCAAAGGTGGATCAGGTCTGTCCTCCTTCGCCATGAGTAAATTCGGAATCCGCGCTCTGGCACAGTCTCTGGCGCGTGAATTCGGCCCTAAGGGCGTCCATGTTTCCCATGCTATCATCGATGGTATCATTGACACTGAGAAGACGAAGGCTTTTGGTCAGGGTGTCCCTGATTCGAAGATTAGTCCTGAACAGGTAGGTCAGTTCTTATCCATGGCTGAATATGCGCTAATAATGGATAGATCGCAGAGGCATACTGGTATCTGCATACACAGTCAAGGACATCATTTACCCATGAGCTGGATTTGAGGCCTTATGTGGAGACTTGGTAAATAGTAAACCCATGTTTATTATATTGATCGCCTCATCCTGTATACAAAATCAAAATCCATCCTTCATCAATATACCATATCACATACCTCTACCGCAGACTACCCTACATCGGCGGCGGATATGCACCCCCTGCCCACTTAAACTTTGCCGTTCTGGCACTCCCGTATCTCCACCGACGCAGTTCTCGTTCGCGGGCACGTATACGTTGACTGCGTCGACGATTTAGGCGGTTGCTTTTGCGTTTTTGGGCTGCGCTGGTGTTTGAGCCGAAGAGCGATTTGAGCCAGGTGAGCATCCTGGTGATCATGTGTTGTTGGGATGAATGGGGTGTGTTGGTGGGGGCCAGATGGTGTTTATATAGTGGTGGGTGGGCAGTGCTTGGCAGGGCTGGGGTATAGACCAGTGAGAGTTGAGTATTGTGCAACATGTCGTTATATATAATGTTGGAATATCACATTCACGAAGATCACATCTACGAAGGAGTAGGATAATGCCGTAGAATTCTCAACTCAATGATCGGAAGCTAATAACTGATGATACAGCAACAGAAGAGTATCTGATCTGATCTCGTGATGGCCGTATAAGAAAATGCTGGAATATCTCACTGCAAGGATCTAACCTAAAGTGGAACATAAGCGGGTTCTCCCGAATGTCATAATGCCATATTGTCGTCTATCAAATTATGACAGAGAATAAACGGAAGTTATCTAATATATTGACTTCGTAGCCCTACGGTGGGAGGAAGATGATATCATTTCTTTGTGTAATTAGCTTCAATATACCACCGACCGTGGATGATATATATCCGCGGCCAGGGTCGAAGAATTAACATAAGCTTTTTCATTTGCTGGTTCGAACGTGACTTCAATAGCACGAAACGAGATGCTTTAGAATTTTCTGGAATATGCAAATACTAACTATATTTGCAGATGGAAAACTTGGTTTAGGTGAACAAGAGGGTTTCTTTATGAAGAGTTACATTCAACTCTGTATTTTTATTGTCGTGGTTTGCCAGATACGACAAAACTAATGAAACGGGCTCAGTGGGGAGTGTGCTAGAGATACTTTCCATTCTCGCCTGGCGACGGAAGGGAAAAGGATAAGGAGACGCCATTGAGATGCTGGAACATTCTAGCTGATCTTAATCTTTAAAGCACTGGCATTTCTTAAATGAGGGGCCATGGTCCCCGCCTATCAGTATCAATCATGGAATACGATGATCTGCAGTTTCAGTCTGTTTATGGTATGCATTGCGATGTTTTTATTAAATGCAAAATAGTTGGTTGTCATTTTCCTTCCATCGAGCTATTTCTTCAATGAAACACCCAAATTGATCAACATCTCGTATAAAGTATATTTTTAGAACAAATCAGTCATAGCAATCGTCATTCACACATATACGAGAACTCAGAGTAAGAGTCATAATATCGAGGAGTTAGTTACTTAAGGCATATAAATCTTCTTCTTTCCATCTTCTATACAATCCATCCACATCTTTAATATGGCAGCAACCCGCCTCTCTCTCTCCGCAAGACAACTCCACCAAACCCTTCCCCTCCATAATGGCCGCACCTTAGGATACGCAGAATACGGCCCTGCAACCGGCTTTCCCCTCCTCTACTTCCACGGCTTTCCCTCCTCCCGCCTCGAAGCATCAGAACTCGTGAATATAGCCAACCGACGCAAACTGCGTATCATCGCTCCTGATCGGCCTGGATTCGGGCTGTCTACCTTCCAACCCAACCGTCGGATTATGGACTGGCCTGCTGATGTTGATGCGTTGACGAATCATCTTGGACTGTCTAAATATGCGATCATGGGTGGCTCGGGGGGTGGTCCGTATGCGGTTGCATGTGCGCATGCGTTGCCAAGCGACAGACTATCTGCAGTTGGTGTCCTCGCTGGATCAGGGCCATGGACAGCAGGGACAGAAGATGTCACATTATCACGAAAGATGACAGCTTTCGGAGCGAAGCATTTCCCACGAGGCCTTACAGGATTAGGAAATGGGATAATCGGGACCCTCCGATGGGGAACTGCTACCAGTCCAGGGAAACGATGGATGGATAACTATCTCAACAATATCGAGCAAGACTTCGAGGGGAAAGATCTGCCAGTCGAAGAACGAAGAGACCAGATTCTACAAATTCTCTTCGAGGGTTTCGCTCAGGGTTCCCGTGCGACTGTCCAAGAAGCAGGGTTATTGACGCAGGACTGGGGATTTAAACTGGAAGATGTGTCATATAATAAGATCCAGATGTGGCATGGAACGAAGGATGAGAATTCGCCTATTCGGATGATGCGGTATATGGCAGAGAGACTGCCTCATTGTGAGCTGCATGAGTCGGATGAAGACCATTATACGATTGCGCAGCATCTCGAGGATATTCTCACAGAATTCTTACCTGAGACTGCAAGATAAGCCAATAGGCCATATGTAAATAGTGTACATTAGTTAGAATACCCCACTCATATATTGTTCATTGATTTTCTTCATATTCCTGTCATTCTAGTGTCGGAGAAAATAACCACATGGTGAATGGCACAGCTTGGTTCCAAAGGCCGGATGCAAGAAAACCTGCATTAAATCATGAAGATCCCAATGATCTTTTTCCCGATCGATCTTCGATTCTGGGTTGATACCTTATGTAGCAATGATCATCGTGGCGGTCTGAGAGGTTCGTCGATGTGGATCGAAACGGTCTCGAATGAGGGTCTGATGGACCCTGAAATATTTTCATTATTTATTCTGCGGGCAAATGGGTGTCAGTTTGTTCCCTACTGATGCTGTTCTTTTAAAATGACTTGGACGACTCAGCATTATCATCCATTCCAAATAATATCATCAGGAAACAGTTGGGCTGCGATGATTGCTGTCAGGATCGGCGTGATGATCGGGACGGGACGCCTTCAGCTTCATGGTCTGGACCAATCACAGGCCGTGCACAGGTGTTCGTCTCCGGATCGGCACTCGATCTCGGAGCCTTTCAGCTCCATCTTTTCCCTCTTCAGGGCAGCCATTCGACAGGAATAATGGAGCAGAGTTTTCTCGTTGGTCTTTCTTGGCTGCTTTGTCGAATATAAATTACCCCAGTCCCATTCCCCAGTTCCCAGTTTTTCTCATTTCTCTCAGTTTCTCTCCATCCACTCTATACAATCATCAACATGCGTCTCAACATCGCCATCACCTCTCTCTTCCTCGCTGGTGCCTCTGCTCAGCTGGCCAGCATCCTGCCAATTCCTCTCCCCACCAAGATTCCCACCCTCACTCCCTCCGCTTCTCCCTCTTCGACTCCCTCCTCGTCTGCATCTGTCTCCCCCTCCTCTTCCGCCTCTATCTCCGCCTACGCCACCCCCTCTTCCACCCCCTCTCTGAACCCCGACGAGTACGACTGCATCCTCAACAACCAGCAGTGCTCGTGGCACAAGTCCGAGTTCGGTTACGGCAGCGACTACTGCGGCTCGTCGCCCTACCGCGCCGGCCAGAAGCTTTCCAGCGGAAACACCATCGTGGCTGTTGAGAAGAGCGGCGAGTCTCAGGATTGTGTGAGAAAGGCCGGTGTTGCCTGCTGCAAGGCTTTTGAGACTGCTTGCCGCAGGGGTGAGAAGTACCTCGAGTGTGAGAAGGCTTAGGTGGGTTATCTTTTCTATCTTGTCTGTGTGTGGGGATTCAGTCGCTAATTTTATACAAGATTCACTTGATATCTACGCAAAGGCGTTCTGCGAATGAAATGCAAAATGGATTAGATGTTGATAATATTGTTTACCTGTAATGAAATAATCTATTCCCCTAATAAACTCCAATTCCAAACTAACCTTTCTATCCCTGGGTATCGCTTCCCAATTCCTTTCCTAAACTCCATGAATGCATTCTGTAACCATTTCCCCCAAATTCTTCCCAGCTCACCAGTATTCTCCTTGATCCTTCACCACCTAAAGCCATCCAGTCCGCTGCGCGGTGTTCTCAACCACTCTTCTTCTCATCATCGTTGTCCGTCTCGGAGTCCTTGTTAACGTCAGCCAAATTCCTTCCACCCCATGCAGTCACTCCAAAGGTCAGCCCGGCGTACAGCTTGATGAAGCTGTGGAAGTAAGCAAACAGGAAGTAGCCCGGAAGCATGACCAGGTCCTGGGGTTCACGAAGAAAATAGGGCGTCAGCTTTACCATTTTGGTGCAGAAGATCCAGGCCGCAAGATAGTTCAGAGACTTTGGGTTTCCAAGTTGGCTTTTGAGCAAGATGTATACCAGTGCACCGTCGTAGAACAAAGCGAAGTTGACAAACGACGTGATGTAAACGGCATAGACGCACCAAGGCTGTCGGGTCCAGACTGTCCGGTCAGTAAACAAACTCGCTGAATTGCTGCGCCAGGTAGTTCTAACCCAGCGCAGGCACTGGGAGATGAACTTGGGGTATGTTCCGAGTGTGGTCTCAATTAGAGCGTCGTCGCAGTACTGTACCTTGATATCCCAACCGTGTCTAACCTCCCAGCGAGTAATGAAGTTGTCGTCGTCAGCGTTGAGAGGACCGAAAAGATCGAAAAAGAAGCGCTCATTCGTGAAGCCGGCGATGAAGTCGGGGTCCTGGAGGATCTCCGAGCGATGTGCCGATGTGCGGCTTGAGATGACGAATACTCCACCGTCCATAGCATTGGTGGCGCGGATTTCAAAGTTATGACGTTCCAGATACAGGGCGCCAATCATATTCCAGAATGACCGGATGTTGAAGCCAGTATCTGTCCGACGAACCCGTTTGTTTGTTCCAACAACACCGACCTTGGGATCTTCGAATGGGGCGAGGATCGTCCGGAGGAAGCGTGCAGGCCAGAAAACGTGGTCATCGAGGAGAACCGTGATCTTTGTCTGAACGAATTGAAGGCCATGGGCGACCTGGACACGCTTGTTAGCCATATCCGTAGTTTCCACCAAGATCTGCGTATCCGGAAAGCTGTTCTTGAATGGGGCCACAGTCTCTTTGGTCAGCTTGGTTAGTGCATCGCCCACAGTGACGATGATGATCTCCCCTGGACCATTGCGCAGGCAGGAGGTGATGCACTCCTGGAAGTCCTGGTTAGTTGGGTCGACCGTGGGAAGGATCACACTGCAATCCGCCGGGTGATAACTGGGCTTCTTCGGGATTGGCGAAGGTTTGTACAAGACCCAGAAAGACCAAAGATGACCGACAAGGCGGAGGTACCTGAAGACAAATAAGCAAAGGAAGATGACAGACATGTTGTCGACAAGAAAGCTACCTTGGGAAAGCATACTGGTAAGATACCATACCAGAAAAAGTGCCAGAGGCACTGTAGACGCTACCTGAATGGTAGACATCTTCACTATTTGGAACGATTCAGTGAATGTTTCGATTCAATGGATAGGTTGAAAGTTCGATTTCGGACAGGTGGTGGGTTCAATTGATAGTGAAGATGAGGATAAGAATCAATGCACAATTGCAGATCAATTCTGGTTGAAGATGATGATACTGCAGCCATATCGCGATACTTATGCCTACGATTCCAGGATTCCTAAAATGAAAATTTTACTTCTCTACAATAGTTATGAAGAGAAAAGACAGACAATGGGATTGTGGGTATACAAAGAACTGATAGGGATAAAGGCATTGTACCAACGAAGAGGACAAAGAGGACAAAGACCGTTGAATGCCATTGTTCCCTGTAAAGCAATCATAAGTCAACGGCTCGGTTGGCTGCCTTAGTATACGGCTTTGCCTGTATCAGTAATCCAGGACATGGAACAGCTCAGTTCCTTTTAATTTACAGTATCAATTGCCACGCATTGTTAATGAGCAGAGCTATCTATGCTGGCGTCTATCAGCTGAACCACCTTTTGTGCAAAAGCTCAGCAGCGGAAGGTCTATCCCTCGGGTCCAGCTTCATTATCTTCACAACGAAACCTTTATCTTCTTCGGAAATCTCCTTCTCTGTAATACGTGCGAATGGCTTCTTCTTTTCAGGTGGAATACTCTGCATGATATACGCCAGAGTATTCAGTGTCTCGGGAGCGCAGATCTCGCGATACGTCATAGGAAACGGCCCGAAGAACTCGCACTGTCTCTGCAGAGTCTTAAGTTCGTAGTCCTCATGATCAATAGAAACACCTGCCTTGAAAAGAAAGAAGTTATCGCCATATAGAAGGATTATCAACTCAAGACTCAGTATAATTGAGAGATTGTATATAGGTCTGACATACCGATGCACCGAATGACCATATATCTGTCGAGGTACTCCACCCAATTCCGAGATGGGCTTCGGGGATCCTCCAAATGGGTGTCCCGATCAAATCACCTTCTTTGGCATATCCTGAATCAGAGGGGACGGTGCTGCCGAAGTCTGCTAATTGAACATCTGTAAAGCGTTCATCTTGGCCGTGGTTGACGAGGATATTGTCGGGTTTGATGTCTAGAAAGATTAGATACACTCTATACTCTCGGTTTGGCTTACCTGTATGCACAAAGCGATCTTTACGTAGAACCCTCAATGCTTCTAAAATGCGTCTGGAAACGTGCTTAATCTCTGTACTCGTAAGCCTTTGTGAGATGGATGCATTCAACAGGTTATCGTTTAGATATTTCAAGACAATCGTTGGTGGATCCACGACCTCATCAACCAAGGGGCGTATGAAAGGCGTTTTAGATTGGAAATGCATCAACACGTCTCGTTCATTCTGGAAGCGAAAACGGTTGACACTCTTTAGAATAACTGGGTTATTGCTGGCATTCCTATAATACAATATAAGAAACTTTCATCGTCATTTTGGGATTCATACATTGCAAGCCAGACTGTCTCTTGCAGTTGTCTCGTCACATTGTAAATTCCATTTTGGTCCAATGATGGACGTATTTTCATATCGGTAGTCAGAATAATCCTAGTAAGGTATGAAGTCAAAAAAATCCCGTATCGCCTTTCGCTTGTGCAACCTCTATATCTTCCCAGTATGCTTCATTTTGCTTGCTCTGGAATTCTTTTATTGCTATACTAAGATTGAATTATCATTTGGATGTTGCTGAGTTGTTCTGTGATTGGGTTGTGACTTATTATTGGCTATTATCAGAGTATTTAGAAAAGATGAAATGTATTTGGTGGATCAAGGACTTAGTTTCTATACCACCAAGAGCCTGATATTATCTCTGTATTCCTATACTACCTTGCTCTCCTTTCTGGCCATTTCCCCTCTTCGCCCTTCCTAGAACCCAGCTTGGTCAATGAAAAGCCCACACTTGCCTTCCCAGGTAAAGCTTTGCTAGCATAATACACAGCAACTATTTTCACATCCTAAACTGTAGTCGGTTTAACCTGCCTATACCTGCCCTGGTATAGGGTGGAATAGTCTAAGGGTAGTTTCATAGATAATAAACTCTAATCAATCATTTTACGGTTATACAATTTATACAAGATTGTTTTCAGTAGAAAAGGATGAATAAATAATAATATATGAATTGAATGATTATGTGGCTGTTCTATATAAAATATTCAATGAAAGATACATAGCACACTGCAAGGTTAGCATTTCAATTTTGTACAACATCTATACATAAAATACATAAAATCCCTATAAAAAAATGTTTAGTTATATGTGTGGCATTAAAAAAGACATAATAGCAGTTAGTTATTTTTATAGACGTAGGTATATTTTTGGCCGCAAGGGGCAAACTGACCGCCATCAATGAACCTCCGGGGTATGAATGCAAGGCTATCTCTTTATCTCTCTTTTAGTGACTACGATTTTGCCTATCCTTGCCGCGAGATGTATTTGAATCTGGGCAGAACATACAGAAAGAATGACAGCATGATATAATCTAAGTACTGACATTTTCTAGCTTGACCGACTCATACGCCTTCCCTAACCTGCATGTACATAAGCCTAGAAAAAAGACTGGGGGTAGAAGTCTCCTAACTAATAGGGGCGAGCGGTAAAGGTTCCATGGTACATGCATTCAAATGCCTCACACGATCAACATGACCCTTCCTTAGATTCCCGTTGAATACTACAGCTACGGTAGTCAACGCAAGGCAAAAAACCATATACATAATATTAGGCTACAGCGGGGTTAGCATAAATAGTGCAACTGCCTTTACTAAGGTTAGTGAGTTTAGCATGCAATGGCTTTTATAAAGCACTACTTGTCCACTAGAAGAAACAATTCTCAACTCCATCTATGACACACACCTTCAACCTTACCATTTACTATTAAACATTCCGATAACAATGCCCACCGATGATGATGTGAGATCAGTTGAAGCTATAATTGGCTATGTGTTTGCTTCGAAAGACTGGATCCGTCGGGCCTTACAGGCAGCAGGGGCAGATGAGGATAACTATGATGGCTGTAGATCTCTATCTATGGCTGGAATCAAACTGCTTGAGATGTTCACAACTATTCCCCTTTGTGAAAAAGGTGTCAATCGAGGTACAGTTATTCGTTGGTGGTTTGATAGCTTAGGCTAATGTTGACAGAATGGATCCATAATACAACAAAAGAATTCATGAACAAAAATCACTTTGCAAGGGTCGCTAAACGCACTGGCATCGCTAACTTCATCTCATATAATAAACGTACCAGTCCTGATTCTCCGGCAGTTCTTCGCAAAGTGGTCACTGCAATCATTGGGGCGGTGTTTATCGACAGGTGGGATTTCATGACAACGTTTGTCATAGCTTTGCGGTATGGGAATTTTCCCTTGGCTCTTGGACGATCTGCTTAAAGGTGTAGCATTCTTATAGATAAAAAGACCACGATCACCTCTACGACGAGCGACTGGTCCTTGATCTCTCATGCGGAGTCGATCACATGTTTCTTGGATTCACTGATATCCTCAAGGCTTGCAACGACCATACCTGCACAGCCCGTTCCTAGTTTTCCCCTCAATCCAACAACATCCTTCACTTCAGATGCCCAAATCATGCAGTGTTTCAATAATAATCTTGACGATACGATTTGGGCTTGTCCAGAAGGCTTAGGAAGCTCCTACCCGCTGCACGGCAATGACCAATTCAATCCATTGGAGCTGGTGCCATATGCAAATGACCAAGACATATATACCGATTCTTTTGATCCTTGGAGTTTTGGGCACGCCGGAAACAATGGGCTAGATTTCCAATCAATCTTACAGACAGAAATGGTAGACGAGAACCAGGTTGCGGAAAGTTTTGACTTATCAACCCCCGGCAGCCTAAATACTCCCAATGATCCGGTAACGGTGGGCGATCCGTGCTCGAATACAGGTGTTAACCAGCTTCCTGGGCGGTCCAAGAGACCAAGAGCACCGACTTCTGCTAATGACGCAGACACTCGCAGGCGAAGAAAACGCACCCACGACCAGTGTGATCAAATCGAACAGTATCCAGGCCATTCGGCTCTAGAGGACTCATCCTTGGCACTGGATATACAGGATAAACGAAAGATATCCGAAATGAGATTTTCAATTGCGCTTCTCAACGCTTTGATCACTGCTGCCAGCCCTGAGTCTATCCTCGCTTTGCAGAAGGTGCTCCGCGAAGCACGCCGTGATACAGGATATCGACAGCGTCCTTTGAGCGAGCTGACCCAGAAGCAGAAATTTGATTTCATCAAGCAATGCGATAGCGAGGTTGCTACTATCAAGCTTTTCCAAGCCTACTTGATCCTTGATTTATTTAAAAAGAATGGTGGATCCGAAGCAACATCTGTGAGTGGCTATGTCCACAGCACGCCTTCCACATTGCCACACAGGTCAACAAGAAGCGGCAATCCACAGAACCACGATGACGCGGCGATTGCACAGGCCATGATGGGTGAAATATTCCCAGCTATGCAACAAGGTACGGATGAATATAAAAAAAGAATTAGGGAATTCAAGACCCTAAGAACAATCGCAAAACGGCTTTATATCATGGAGCAGAAGTTTGGTCCGGGTGTTTTTGGGCTCATGCTGGACGTGAGACTGTCAACATCTTCTGATGTGTTTAACCTAGACACGATGTATGTTCCCCACTGTTCAGTTCATTCATTTTATTCATATCTATCAGGTTCCGCCGCCCAAAGAACGAAGAGTTTAAACTATTCGTTGATCTTCTCGAGAAATCGAAGGGCCAGTTGCTCCGTGACTGGGGCCGTATGGTTAACCCCGCAATAGAGGCCATGCTCCAAGGCACATTGCATCTAAATGAAGAATACATCATAGAAAAGCTTGACGCTACAATAGTGCAGGAGGAAAGGGATCATCATTTGCTTTCTTATGTTTCCTAAGTTCTGTGTATGTGATGGACATACAAACATTTTCGGTTTATTATCAAGTTACTCTTAGTTAAACTAATGTGTGGAACAAGAAATATTGATTTCAATTTTTTTGCAAAGATGAATACCCGTCTGTAACTATAAAACCAGCCAAGGATGACTCATTCATATTCACATGAATTTGCTTTGGCTACTAGAGTAAAGCATGCGCTGCTATTGCCCAAAATGGAAGTAACAGTTCCTACAATTGATTAACTGCCAAATGAGGTAAAGCTCACAACAGGGCTCAAAGCCAAGACACGCTTTCATTCCAAGATAGTCCATTCTCTCTGTCCTAAATATGCGGTTTCAATTGAAATCACTCTTATCCCATGCTTTATGACTCCACTTTGAGAGGGTCTGCATGCAAGTGAATGCGTAGAATATGACAATCACAGCCATGGAACCTTGTATGTTCTACTTACTAGTTCTATTAATATACTTGCAACTGCTACATACCAATAAATCCAGTGTGCGAGCCGGGCATTCATACTTGCTATGACTCAGACGAGTAGTCCAATATCGTTTTCATTCATCTAGTGGAGTATGTAGCTGCAACCAAAATATCAAGCATGAAGGGGACGCCAGCATGGCTATTTAAGTAGTCATGAGGACCTGTACATTGGGTTTGCAGTCTTTCCCAGCAATCATTGGTTATTTATCTACACATCACTGCATCGTACAACCACGACTTCATATTCGGAAAATGGGCTCGATTGATGATGGTGCTGTGGCCATGAGGGGTCAGGTTAGCGACGAGACGATGGCTTACCACCTCAGCCTTCTAAGCCACGCGAACCCGATGGATGATACCGCCGAGGGCTCACTTGCCCCGATCTTCACCGGCAGCATGCTTCCTCGGGACCAAAAGTCCGATGGAAACCCGCAGGTTCACCAGTTCGGTCTCCTGGCGGGCCTCAGCGACAAGCTATCGGGTCCGGTCACATCCGTCGCAGACGATCCGCGCCTGTTTTTCAATGTCACGGCCCCCTCGAGCACCTTTATCTGCGGCTCTCAGGGGTCCGGGAAGAGCCATACTTTATCCTGTATCTTGGAAAATTGCCTCATATCGTCCCAGGCGGGGAGGCTGCCGAGCCCACTTGGCGGTGTAGTCTTTCACTATGATACGTTCATCAGTGACAGCTTTGGCTCTCCTTGCGAAGCAGCCTTTTTGTCATCGCATCCTGACGTTGAAGTGCGCGTGCTGTGCTCTCCTACCAATGTGCATACCATCCAGGTGAGAAAGCAAACCATACCGAGTAGCCTCTCTGCTGACCAAAATCAAGGCCTGCTACTCCCGCTTCAACATCTCTGTGACTCCCTTGCAGATCGACCAGAGATATCTCAACACCAAGCGAATGATGGATTTGATGGCCGTCGGTCAGGACGATGGTCCAATGCCGCTGTACATGCATACGGTGCAACGGGTTCTCCGGGAAATGCGCATCGTCCAACAACGCACCCAGACCGGCTTCGACTATCAGGAGTTCAAGCGGAGAATGCGATCCTCTAATCTCACCCCCGCTCAGCTGGAACCCCTCAGTCAACGCCTGGCTACTTTGGAGAGCTTCATGTCGCAGCCGCAAGGGGGGCTGTCGGGAGGGAAGGAGAAAAGTATTCCCCGTGGCACCGACTGGAAATCGAAAGTAAGGGATTCAGCTTTGTTCTGGTCAGACACTAACACGTGCAGCCCCGTCGTCTGACAGTCGTGGATCTCTCTTGCCCGTGCATTTCCCCCGAAACTGCATGCTCGCTATTTAACATTTGCCTGGGGATCTTCCTCGAGCAGGACCCATGCGTGGGGAAAGTCGTGGCATTAGACGAGGCCCACAAGGTATCTCTTTTCTGGGGTTAGGGGTATTGGATTCAGAGGCTGACCAAGTCCCAGTATATGAATCGGTCCATTGAAGCACGCGGGTTTACGGAAACACTGCTGTCAGCCGTCCGACTGCAGCGCCACCTGGGAGTGCGAATGATTATCTCAACGCAGGAGCCCACCATTTCCACCGCCCTCCTAAATCTCTGCTCCGTCACCATTGTACACCGGTTTTCCTCCCCGGAATGGCTGCGTGCATTGCATAAACATATCGCTGGTGCGGCCGGGGCCCCCTTCAGTGTGCAGACTGAGTCTGACTCTGCGGTGGCTCCCGCGCAGTCGCTTTTCAACCAGATCGTCGACCTCCGCGTGGGAGAGGCACTCATCTTTGCACCGAGTGCCATTGTCGGGGAAATACAAGATGATGGCCAGCTGAGCCTCCGCCGCTTGGGACATGGGAGCCTCCGAGTGCAAATTCGGAACCGGCTGACTACGGATGGAGGAAGAAGTGTTCTTGCATAGTGCAAGCTTAGTTCGTAGTTGATGGCTAGCAGATATGCTGGGTGTTAAGGCACAATCAACCAATGTATGTGATTATCAGTCCTGTTTTTACTTCAGAATGCGATCCTTGAGGCAGGAGAATCTATTCAATTTGGATGAAAATTATGTCAATGGACTACTGTGAAGTTGAACGAAATGATCCACGGTGTATGAGCCCATCTCCTTCCTGGAGATCATATGTTTCTGCGGAGCAGTCTTGAAGAGTTCATGATCATCATTCTAGATTAACCTGCCTAGCTAGTAAGGAATTTTCTATGGAGTCAGTCTATGTATAATTCATTGCACGCGAGTAATCAAAATGTCCGCCTCGAGCCTTCAAGATCATCTAGTCTTCAAGCGCCCACAGCGGAACAGTCGGCTTCATTTTCTTTCTTTCGAGCGTCCCCCATTGGATTGATTGGTTGTCATATGGCTGTTCGCTCTCCGGTTTCTCGAGACGACTCGTCCAGTGCCCGAGCGCAGGCGCTCCTCCATCTGTTCCATCTCGACTGCTGCAGATTGGAAGTCCGGCTGGCTTTTTTCCAGCTGAGTGACCACCGTAAATGTAGCCATCACGCCGTTTTCGACCATCCAGATTCGGGGAAACACGATAAGTGCCTTTTTATCGAGTCTTCCCTTTTTCGGGTCCTTGGGGCCTGTTCCAGAAAACACCAGTGGGTACCATTCGTCTTCCTCCGTCAACGGTCGTTCGAAATCCGACTCGTACTTGCGCCGGCCCCGTTGAATCGGTTGCCAAACCTGTACGGCCTGTCGCACAATCTTCTCCAGGCTCTGACGGAATTTGGTTCGCAGTTCGTCTGTAAACAGCCCATCCATGTATGCGGCCACCGAGTTGACAGCATTCGACACATTTGCCTCTCTCATCCCCATCTGAGCTGGTGGGTCAATGGAATGGGAGATGGCCCGATAGAAGGATTCTTTTTCCCCGTCTACCGTAGCAAGATCGACCAGGCATTTCCGGATCTGCGAGTTTCCAGAGACCATCTCCGTCGGCTGGAAAATATTTCTATCGATCTCTCGGGCCAGGAGGGCCAGAACCATTGCCAGACGCATGCGTTTTGCCGCTTGTGTGTTGGAGCAGGGCAGAGGGATGTGATGCTCTAGGGCGAGATCGCATTTCCTGAGTCTGTTCCATGACGCATTGGTTTGCTGTTGCGAGTTGGTCAGTCCTTTCCTCTAACAGACTGGGAGCCGTACCTGTAATGAGTCCTGGGGAAGATCTACACTGAAATGGGAAGATAATTCATCTTTCGCAAAGTCCCATAGCCCGACGAAGCCATCGATCCTGAGCAGCGGTATTCAGTACTGGGATGATAGGCAGTCAGCACGACGCCACTTACAGGGTTTCTTCGTCATGCTCGATGAGCTCGCCCGCAAACCCTTCGACTCGGGTCAAACGCGCCTGGACCTTTTCCAGCGCCTGCTGGGCCGACGCCGTTCCTTCTTCCAGCTCCTTGGCCCTTTTCTTCGCAGCAGAAAGCTTTTCCTTCAGATCGGAGCCAGCCGTTTTCATCTTCTCCACTGTCGTATCTCTCTCTTTGATCGTCTGATGCAATGTGTTGATTTCTGTGTTTGCTTTCTTGAGGTCGGATGACTCTTTCGCATAATCCGATTGCAGCTGCTGTAATTCCTTCTCGAGAGCCTTGATCTTTCCATTCCTCTCATAGATCACCTTGTCCTTATCTGCCTGGGTTTTTTCCAGTGCTTGCAACTGCTTCTGCGTTGCCTTGTGTAGATCCTTTTCTCTCTCATTGGCCGAGAACATCTCCTCCATGGCTGTCCACTTCCTCTCATCCTGTGTCCTCATCTCCTTTTTCAGCTTGGAAATCTCCTCATCCTTGCCCTTGAGCTGGTCATATAACTTGGCATTCTCTCCATGGACTGTCGTGATTGAGCGGAGCCCCGCCTCGGAAGAAATCGCCCTGAGCTGATTGAAGAAGTTCACTATGGAACGTGGATCTAATCCATCGTGGCTGGGTACTGCTGGTGCCTCGTTGTTGACACGAGACATATTGAACTGTATCCGAGAGCGTGAAGTGCCTCTGGTAGAGGTATTGGGCAAGATATCTAATGGAGCTTTCTCCGGGTGGGAAAGGCATTATATGGTAGCTACGGACGGTTGATCATTCTCTCGTGGTCCTTACATATAAAGACATCACAAGATGAGTTTGGTTGCTCCCATGCATGCACTGTGGCGGCCAACAAACTCATGTAAGGTGTGGCATTACGTGGTCTACCTTTTCTTTGAGCGTTGTGATGCACCCCGCCTCTACACATGCAGGTCTGAGACACGACCTGTCTATTTGTATGATAGCATCAAATGAATTTCAGTTCAACCAGTTACAGCAAACTATTCGGTAAAAGAAAGGAATAAAAGGGCAAGAGGTGGGAGGGCGCTTTAAATGATCATACCCAGCAATCTATTGGATCTTTTCGAGCCTTATCGAGCGTTTAGAATACAAGGCCAACAGTCGCTGGATAGCTGCTAGGAAGGTATACCATCTTCGTAAGAAAAGGATTGGCTAAATTGGAAACCGTCTTGTAACTCAAATTCTTCGCATTTTATTCAGTCTACCCAATTCGATCGCGTGTGAAGTTACCCTAGTGACTGGAAGATGACTCTTGCCTACTGCTAGAAACCGTCTTCTAGTATGCGGTTTCATGATCTTTCTCTTCATCTAGTACTGGGGGTTGTTCAGCTTTCCCTTCCTCCCAACTTCTATAAGCGCGCTTCGTCTTTTTCTTATCCTTCTTCGTCTTGCCACTTGTTCGGATTCCTGCTATCTCAGTCTCGATAGGCCTCGCAGATCCGAAATCGTCAAGATGATCCAACGAGTCGTTGGATTCAGATCGAGCCACCGCTTTGAACTCATCCAAAGCCTCGTGTTCGGCACTTTCCGGAACCATGACGACGCTAGAGCTGCTACTCGTAGACCGCGGGGGAGTCTCGATGAGGGAATCTACAGCGTTAGCAGGTTTATCACTGCGGCATAGCAGCTAGCTTACCGGCACTTCGGATACCGACAAACCGTCGGCATGTGTCTGCGCCTTTGTTGAGGATTTCAAGCTTCTTCGTCAACTCCTCGCGGATCATTTGGCTTTCCTCTGATTCTCCGGCGATGCGTTGAACAAGGTGGTCGGGCATGGTGAAGACCGACATGGGTGTAAAGATATTGCTGAGGAAGGATACCAGTTTTGTTTCAATGACCTCGACCGCAACATCGTCGATGAATCTTTTCAGGGCAACCTGGTAGTAAGCCAGCATACAATCCAGCGCCTCATATGGTGCATAATCAGTCCGAGATGGCTGCAACGATTGAAGAAGAGATTTTCTGAGTCCAATGAGGTCAATTGAGTCATCGAAATACGCGTCCGTGGATAGCTCAGTAACATTGAGGAAAGATTCCAGGCATTGCGTGATCTGTCTCTCCTCGCGCTCATTCCGGATCCTCTGGATATTTTCGGCAAAGGAGTGATTGTACGTAATGGGGTGCGATTTCTGATGGGGATCCAACAACTCCCTTATCTTCTGGTCGACAATCTCTCGAAGTTCGCTCAACGCTGGCCGGATGATCTCACGAAGAAGGGTGGCCGAGGTTGCCTCGTCCGCAATGTAGTCAATGGCCAGTTCGAGGAAATCTCCGCTTGCTTTCCATACCTCCTTGACATGGCTACAGGCGATCTCTTCCCATGGACGGGATTGCTCCAGGAAAAGCTCCCGGACAATCATCGGGTTGAAGGTTCCAGGTAGCTCGCAGCCCCTGGTCTTACTGAGTAGCCGCTTGATATCCTCGATATATTCGCCTTGGGTCACTGCGATCTGACCTTTCTCGGTCCGTTTGGAGCTACCAACCGAAGGCCGGATATCCCGGTAGTGTCCGCGGCGGTTGATGCGCTCAGCGAAAGATTCGTTGATGTTCTGAACCACGGCGCGGATCCGCTTTTGATTGCCCTGCTCGCGGTGCACATCGCCAAAGAAAGGCTCGTTGTAAGTCCCATCGACGGCACATTTGACCAAAGACTGAAAGGACTGGCTCAGGTTCAGCAGGTAGATCCGTTGCTCCGTTGGAGTCGTGCGAGGCTTGCCCAGTTGCTTCAATTGTCGGCTGCAGGCGTCACTCTTGCTTCGGATTTCATGAATCAAGCTGGGCAGCTCCGCTGCAATCTGGCCAAGCAGGAGAGTGCTGAGCCGCCGCCGGAGTGCATTGACTCCGACGAGGCCCGCGGGCATATCGTCCCAGACCCCCTGGGCAAAGAACTCGATCTCCTTGGTGTTTCGGTCTGCCAACGTCCATGTGCCGGCCTCCGAGTCCATGTTTTTCAACACGTGCCATCCAAGCCGGAACTCGACGTCTCTGTTCTTCGCTAGAGATACAAACGTGGCCTCAGACTGAGATCCTGGAATCAATGTGTCTGGCTTGGTGATGACCCCCAGCGTCCGATTTCCTGCTTGATCGGCCTCCCGGGCGAGTCTGAGGACGATCTGGTTGGCAAAGTCGTTCTTGGCCGATACCACCGCCAGAATGATACTGCGTGGCTCCTTCATGTAGGACTGGACGACTTCCTGGACGAGCTGAACATCAGACGCGGACTGCTGTCTGGTCTCCGAGTGAATCAGCCCGGGCAGATCCACGATGGTGAGATGCGGACGATCCGGCCCGGAAACTTCCACGCGGAGCAGGTCATTTGCAAACGCCTTTCCGTGGGTCGAGATGCCCATAGCCGACTTTGCATTGTCAATGAGGTCCGGTAAGCCCTCGAAGCTATTCAGCGTTTCAGAAAATCCGCCCAGAGATATCTTTTCCGCCTCGCTGCGAGAATGGTGAGGGACGATGGAGACTCGCACCCCAACTTGTGCGTGCTTCCGCAACACCAGCTCGGTGGGGAATCGCGTACAGAGGCTGCTCTTGACGGGAAAGGAAACGCCCGAGATCGCCTCGAGGACGGAGCTTTTGCCGGATGATTGATCGCCACAGACAATAATTTGCGGCAGGGAGACGTAGTGGCTGATGCCCTGGGATCGCAGATCGTCGACGGAGTTGAGAAGATCCAGTTGCTCGCTGGTGCAAAGCCCCTCCAGAGCATCGGTGTTGAACCATTTGGTGACCATGATGAGACGGTTAGGAAAGAGATGAATCAGATGAATCAGACTGACTGAGAGAAGGCTGTACCGTCGCTTTCTCCTGTGGGCAAGAGGTTATTTTTATACTTGGCCATCCTGCAACCACATGCCGGCCATGAATTCCAGCCAAAAGCGTTGGAATGAAAGTCTTTATCCAACTGATACTCTGTACACCATCTGGACCAGCATATCCCACCGGGAATGTTTGTTAATTCATTAGCTAGGGTGTGATCCCAAAATGCCCGAACAGATCGTCGTTGGATTTCCGGAAATGGAGATAAAGACTCCGGGATGATGATAGTACCCGAATAGGTATAAGGTCGCTCCCGAGACTATACGCATTCTTTGCACGCAAGGGGGGCAGCCTTGCCGGCGTCTTGTTTGAGAGCGAGCACGACTGATTGCGCCATCAAGTATCTGTTCTCCAGTAAAATAGTACCGTGTTTCGATCAACCACTCTATCTTTCAGTTGAATATATCGATAAGATTTCGTATAGAGTACAAAATTGTCACAGTAGAGTATGCCATCTGGCAGTCTGACCTGTGCTTTCTCCTTTCTGAACCCAATATATTATATCAAGTCGGTCCAGAAATGGTAGAGTTTGCATAATTACACTTTATATCTAGTACAGTTATCCTATATTGAATTCTTTTTTTCAATTCTGATATTTCCAAATCTCTTTCAAAAAGGAGAGCTTGGGAGAACTAAGTATTATATAATTATTCACGAATAATCCGCTGTTTCCGCCCAGTAAGATGGAACCTTCCATCAAGTTTCATCAAGTATGTAACTATCTGTGAATAAGGCCATCTAAGTACCATACAATACAAATACTAATCTAGTACGATATATATTACATTATATTAGATGACACCATGAATCTATATATGAATACCTTGCAGATTAGCGCCTTGGCATTAAGCTTTGAAGATAAGCTTGTCTTGTGGGGGACGGAATGACGTTTCGGCCCACCCTGTACGTAGCCTTTTGATTGTACGCCCATGACATTCAACATTAAGCCATCTGGATCGTTGTTAGATCACTGACAGTTATCATCATATCATCAGCTTCTGTCTTAGATGAACCAAGGTCAGGTGCCATTCTTGCGGCTAGATTTCATAGAGACGAACATGAACAACAGATTTTCTCCCCCAAGGAGGGATATTGGGGTCTGGTTCAGACGTTATATATATTAGCAAAATATTTTAATGTCACATTTTGGTGTAATAAGATACTCAACAACACAGCCAATCTGAAAAAGGCCATCTCCTCGACTTACTAGATAAGGACTAGTTCGGAATGACCTCCTTGACCTCCCATACAGAGTGGATGGCATAAATTTTGCTATGATATAATATTTCAAAGGTGTCACTTTCTCGTCAGACTACTATGCAGTCTGTCCTTCTCTATATTTATACTCTAACTGTACCACACTATGTTGGCGATTTATCTTCTCGTTGTCACCTCCACGATATATATCTCTGTCCGCACTGCTCTTGCGCGGCGCACGAAAGTACCCGGGCCCTGGTACACCAACTTGACTTAGCACTCGCAGAGAAAAAGGCTATTCGCTGATCGATACGCAAGGACTAATATTCTCAGTTCCTCCATCATGGAAGGGGCTCAGCAGCGGGTAGCAAATAAATGTTGCTGAAAAATTTCAGGCATCGATTGGTGGTTATCTGGATTACTATATATCCATATAACCATTCTGAGGGATACGTTGAGGACAAATCTGAAAGTGACCCTCCATTTGTATGCACTTGACTGTGCATCTCTATTCCTTTTCAATCCAGGGAGAACGAACTCACTGGACGACCAGAAAGACTTTATATTGATGGAGGAATTGTCCTATCATGATATTCTGAAGCGTAAGTGCTCTTACTTGATTATCGATTCAGGCTGACACGAGAAAGATATCCTGGGAGAATAATCCAGCATTACTGGCCGTTATTGAACAACATCCTCAACTTCTACAAACCAAGGGCAATGACCCTGTCACAAAGCCATGTGCTTGACCGGAAAGAAACGTCCCAACTTCGTAAATCTTCCCTGCTGTCAAGTTGCAAAGCAAGTCGAGCGTCATAAAATCCATTCAGATGGCAGCGGAGTGTATGGATCATATGGCGGCTGGGATAGAGACCACCGGTGACGGTCTGTGTTCCTTGATGCATGAATAGATAACCGTCCACTAGGCCACTTATCACCAGAGTATCACTTCTCATATCTATCAACGGCTCTCTCCCATATTGCCCGGTCTGAATATAACGCGACAGGGCGATGGTTCTCCTATTCTTGTATGTAATCCAGCCCCCAGAACCGTCGACCGCATAGAAGGTCGAGCTCTTCCAAATGTCATCTGGAATAAAAGCCAACTGTTGAAACAACTCAGCCTGGGCATTGACTACGCCTCAGTTTGTCCGGTTTCAAGGTTCAATCTTCTAACGGGGCCATAATCTGACCCTGATGCAAGTCATGTGCCCTGGGTGAGAAGGCGAGAGCCCTGAAATGCTGTGTTGGTTCTGGAAGCTTGTGTCTCCTCCCAGAATTTAGATCCCATATCCTTAGGGTCCATCCTCCCAATGCAAAACGAGGATTGTCGGGTTAAAATACTAGAGCTGTTACAGTGTGTGATGGCCCAGTTGATGTCTTGAAGTTGTTCTGTGGTAGTACACCAGACAGCTACCGTTGTGATACTAGTCTTGTTAACAGTCTGAGAGTTTGTCGAGGCTACAATAAGCCTTCCCCCATTTATGTAATGCCTCAGACAGTCAGAGCGCACAGACCCTAACCGACTCGATGCAACGCTCAGAAAAATTATAGATAGATCTACAGAGTCCTGTTGATGACTGTCTGTGTGTCTAAATGAGCAATGCCAACATTGTCAAGGATGAGGATGATATAGTAGGTGGTGATAACGTCATTTTTAGAGTTGTGACACGAAGGAGATGTTGAATAGCAAATTTTTTTTTTTAGATCATCTTTCACAGTATATAGCAAATTAATGAGTTTCATGATATTAAAATGACAAAACTTTATTCTAAATTAAATGTATAATTAGAAACTGCATAATATATCCTCAACTTGATGGAATAATAATATGGAAAGACACTACTTGCACTGTTCTAGCCGGATTACCCTGTAAAGGTAAAGAGCAACAAAAATAGCCCAGATTCCTAGATGTATTGAATAAACAATACTATAGCAGAATACAAGGTAGATCTACTATTTATGTACAGAGTTTGTTACTAATGACGTCGTTAATTAATCTGAGAAAGCCATTCGTCTAGACCCTTTGAAATCGTGGGTCGATCCAAAGTAACGGGTCTCTCCCGCTGCCATCCATGTTTCATCCCCATCTTTTTTCTGGTACTCTCCAGCATCGAAACATCCTCAATTAAACATGGCGTGCTTTTGATGGTGATAAGCATTATCCCGTAATTGATTGCCCTGAAAACACTCCGCCACCGCATTTTGTCATATACCGATGCGTCTAGGCTTGTCATGTTCAATCTGGAAATTAGAGGGCCACCATTCATGTTTTGGAATAATAGTTGGAGGAGCCTGGACTGCGCCGGCATTGCCTTTATACCCGAGAAGATGGCTTATCCCAATCTCATCAAATCCCATATATACACCTGGAATCATCAAGTTCAGTCTGCTTTCCATCCAACTCTTTCTTTCTTTCAACGCGCTCTTTTTCTCATACCCTGGCGGTATCTGTATTTATCTCTCGTTTTTGAACATCCAGGATGAAGTTCAACACCCTACTTGGCCTATCTGTGGCTGCGACAACAGCTTCTGCCTGTTCTTTCTCGCATGTCATCGCGGACAACCACCGTTCAAACTCCTTTGAATACGTGCGCCCCAGCAACGGAACCAACCTGGGCCGAGATGCCTATCTCAACGCCGACTTCCGCTGCAACAGTGGCGTCTATTCCGGCCTCAACCGCACCAAGGTCTTGCAGGTGAAGGCAGGCACGGAGATTGGCTTTGCAACTGAGAACAACCTCCTGAACTACGCTGCAGGTCCCCTGTCCGTCTATCTGTCCAAGGCCCCTACCGATGTCCGATTCTACGATGGATCAGGCGAATGGTTCAAGGTCCATGAGCTTGGACCTAAGTCGTTTACCCAGCAGGGTATCGAGTGGAGCTCGTTTGGTGTCGCAGAGGTTTCATTCACTCTCCCTGAGGATCTTCCATCGGGCCAGTATCTGCTTCGCATTGAGCAAATCGGATTTGGGGATCAGGAAGGTGACCGCGAGTTCTTTGTCAACTGTGCTCAGATCAAGGTGCACGGCCATGTTAGGCGGTGGAAGAAGCAGGACACTGTCACGATTCCTGGAATCTACAAGGGATCAGAAGCCGCTCTCAACTACGTTAATGGCACTGTCGTCACCAGCTATGAAATGCCAGGACCCAAGCCTATGGGGTCCAGCATCTCCAGCAGTGCCATCCCTTCGATTGATCCTTCTATTACTGCTATGTTGACTGCTTCGTCTACACCTTCTGTGGCCAGCTCTAAACTTGCAGCCTCTAGCTCTGTGGCCTCTTCCAGCATTGTCTCTGTCAGTGTCTCTGTCGGTGCATCCAGTATGCCCTTGAGCTCCTCTGCCTCCCCGGCCAGCACAAAGGCTGCGATCTCCTCGTCCATCTCGGTATCCCCCCATTCCAGTGTCGCCTATAGTTCGAGTACCCGCGTCCAGTCCAGCTCTCGACCTGCTTCCTCATCCGGAATTGTTACCTCTTCTCTGAGCGTCGCCACCCCAGCCTCCTCGTCTTACCGTCTTGCCAATGCCACCCTCTCCTCATCTGCCCATGCCCAGGTGTCTTCAACCGTCATCGGTGGAACCACCATCACCACCTACGTGACAGTCACCAACGATGTCGTCAAGCCAACCACCACTGTCATCGGAGGCAACACAATCCCCCAGGATGTGACCATTACCGTCACTGAAAGCGGAGCAGCCCCAACCGTGACTACCAAGCCCAGTGTTTCCGTCATCGGCGGCCAGACAATCACCCAGTATGTCACTGCCCCCGAGACACAGGTCAAACCAAGCACAATCGTCAACGGTGGCGTCACCAAGTACATCACGGTAACTGCATCTCCCTCGGACTCCACTGTGTCTGGTGTTTTGGGTGTCTCCTCCTCGTCTGTTCGCCCTGTCACCTCCACTCAAGTAGCAGGTGTCTCCTCCTCAGTTATTTCTAGTGCTTTGGGTGCCTCTTCCTCCTCTATTCACCCTGTCACTTCCTCTGCGAAGATTACAAGTGCCTCGCCATCGGGTCCGGCTGTTTCTGGGGGTTTGGGCTCATCGTTCGCCATTCGCACTGTCACTTCCACTCAGACTGAAAGAGAAACTATCACCATCACTGCCGGTGGGGGTGCGGGCGCGACTGTCACCGTGACCGCCCAGCCCTCCGCTTGTGTTTAAGGATGGCTAGATACCCATGTCAGATAGAGCTCTTGAGCCATGGAGGAGGACGGGTCCTTCCTCCGTTTATCTTTTTTACTTTCTTCCCTGAACAGCCTAGATTGATTCCATTCTTTTTGTACATTTTTATTTAGGCTGTTATTGAATCAAGCATTTTTATGGGCAGTATATCTGTTCAGACACTGCAGAATGAGGGATGAGCTTTGCTACCTTGTAATCACTCCATTATAAAGTAAAAGTAAGAAAGGTGAATTAGGGGAAGAGGCCACTTTTTGGTTGCCCCATTAAATGAATCGGATCTCAGTTGGTAGACCTAGTCAGGCAATATTGAGGCTTTACCCATCCTTATTGACAAACTATATCTATTATTAATGACTGTACATACTGGGTGGAGTCGTGATTTAGCCCAGTGTCATCTACTACTAACTTAATTAGGTACTAGTACATAGATAGACATGAGATCTAAGCTATGATATTCATATAATGACGCTGCACTTTGTTACATCGCGTCGTTGACCCCTGTCAGCTATCCCACTAACCAACTCCATATGCTTATGTGAGCATCGCACGACATTCGGCCCCAAAAGCTTGACATATATAAAGCTACCACTCTATGAGTCAAATCAAATGTCTAACCCATTACTCAAAAACCACACGCCATGATGGCCTCCACCCTCCCCTCAAACGGCCGCCTCGTCAACATCGGCACCCATTCTCTGGCTCTCTACACTCACGGCCCAGAGCCCAGCAGCTCCAAAGACCCCGTGGTACTATTCATCTCAGGTGTAGCAAGCGATGCTCTAAACTGGCAAGCCGTGGTGCGACTGCAAAGTCCGTCACTACGAAGCTACACATACGATCGTTCCGGCTACCACAACTCAGAGTCCTCACCGCTTGCTCCCACAGCCGAGAATGTTGCTCTGGAGCTCTCGCTTCTGATTAAAAATGCGCCCATCCCCAACCCTCTGATCCTGGTGGGACACTCATGGGCAGGTGTGCTCACGCACGAGTTCATCGCGCTAAAAGGAACCGATCAAGTCGCCGGTCTGGTGCTTGTGGACGCCAACCATGAGACAGCGCCGCTGGTGATGAACGTGAATGATCCAATTCTCTGGACCGTTGCTGCGGGTGTTGAGCCATACTCTGCTTGGGGCGTGGAGGCGGGCCATAAGCTCACCCAGGAAGAGTGGGATGCGTTCAGGGCGGCCGAGGCAACTGAGAAGTTTGAGCTGATTATGCGCAAGGAAGACGAGAACTACTTTCCGAGTTTCGAGACACTGCGGAAGAAAGATCTGAGTAAGAGGCAGCCACTGGTTGGTGATAAACCGGTTTATGTGATTGCGGGCACGCGAAGTAGGGATTGGACTGGATTGTACAAGGCGGGTGTTGCTAAAGGGAATGGGACGGAGGAGGAGAGGAGTCATGTGAGAGAGATGATTGAGGGGGTTGATGCGAAGAATGAGGGTCTTATGAGGGAATTTTTGAAACTGTCGACGAAGAGCGAGCTGGTCTTTGCCACTGAGAGTGGTCATTTTGTGCAGCTGATGCAGCCGGATATTGTTGTTGATGGAGTGAATTGGGTTCTATATAACCAACGACCAGCAGCTTCTTAAAATCATTAATGTTGTTTCAAGATATATATACTTGAGGAAAGATAAGAGGGGTTACATAGATCCTGCATAGAGTCAGATGGAAAATTGCTTTTACATTCTACCTTTCTTTTCTACCTTGATTGACATCCCTGTCATCTCACGTCATGTGAGTTCTGCCTTGGGCACTGTAGCGGGGTGGCAAGGCTCCACGACCTGATCCTCAACAGCTTCAGAAAGCGGCAGAAATTACTTTCAAAAAAGTGCTGTGACGCTACCCATCCTGAATCCTATTTATATCACATACGATGTCGAGTGAACCTCTGCCAAAGAGGCAAAGACAGTCCTCTGATGGAGTTGAGGGGACTCGGCCAAGACGTGAGAGAGATTTCGACGCTTTGTATCCCTTGACCCAGCTGCCAAATAAACAGGATCATGATTCCTTGTGCAAGGAATGCAGAGTTCTAGACGAGGAGATTTCTTGCCACAGTCTGAAGGACTTTACATACAAAGGAAAGGTTTTGCGCAGCAATCTCGCAATATTTACAGTCGGTTCTTGTGCAATGTGCCAATTCATCAACCATAGCATTCGCTCCCACGTCGTGAGATCCCCAAATGGATGTCAGGATTCGTTTGATTTGTTTCAACTGAGGATTTTCTCGGCGACAAAATCATTTTTCTGGCTTTATGAATCTGGCAGAAAGGACTTCGAAACCGTACCCATGCTCGCTGTTGTGTTTGAACCAATTTTTCACCAAAAGGACGTGTGCATCAATTCCATTAAAGACATTGTGCCGGAGTTTTTGATACCAAAATATCCTGGGCTGTCTTCCCTGAGCCTCTCGGCTAAAACTGTCAAAGCTGACAGTGTAGATTTCGGGTTTATCGAACAGTCAATCAGTTACTGCGATAAATATCATTGCTGTAGTAAACCAGTCTATTCTCAAGTTCGCATCACGGTCTATGATTTCAGCAGTGATAAAACAGTGGAAGTGGAACTTCCATGCAAGTATGTGGCTCTGAGCTATGTCTGGGGAGAACCTGACCCAAACAAGATGGAACGACCTGATGTGAAGCCGAGAGTGGTCGAGGACGTCATACAGATTGCTAGGCAACTTGGAATTCAATACATATGGGTGGACAAGTACTGCATTGACCAGAAAGACCCACAGAAGCAACTGGACTCTATGTATGCTATATACAACAATGCGTATCTTACAGTTGTCGATGGGGCGGGATCCAATATGCACAATGGCCTCGTTGGAGTCTCGACGCCCCGGACTGGGAATCAGGAAGTTATCAAACTGGCCGAGAAATCGTGGGTTTCTACATTGAGCAATCCGACTTTTTTGTTTGCAAAGTCGGCATGGAACTCCAGAGGCTGGACTTACCAAGAAGCCATGGCATCTCCACGACTCCTCATTTTCACTCGGGAGCAGGTTTATTTTGAATGCAAAGCAATGATTGGGTGGGAGTCCCTTCATATCCCATTAGATGCTTATCATATAAAGCAGAGGTCCCGGCTCAAGAGAGGGCTCCGTGAGCCGGTTTTTTGCTTAGAAACCGCAAGGCCAAAGCACTATGACGACAGGGCAGACTTTCCTCGATACATTACCGCTTATACACGCCGTACGCTGAGGAATAGCTTCGATTCATTGAATGCTATCAAAGGTGTACTTGGCTTCTTGAAAAGATACCCGGAGCGTTCTATCCACACTTTCTGGGGAGTTCCTCTTTATGCATTGGTTCCGGAAGATTATGCATCTGCATTGACTTCTGGAATGGCATGGACGTTCTTAAGGCCTCAGAAACACCCTACAAACAAGCATATTCGCAGACGGCGCATTTTTCCCAGTTGGTCTTGGGCGGGATGGGAGGGAGTTGTGGGGTCCTTTGAGCTTAGTGAATGGAATCACTATACTAAGCCTTCTATTGGAATTCAAGTGGCCGAGGAAAGCGAATATTCAATTCGGTGGTCCGAGTTCTGGCAGTCTAAAGGAAGCACGAGGGGAGGCAACAGGAAAAATCTCTGGGCACACGGCCTGGATCCGAAAACCGATCGAAATGCAGAATATAGCTATCCATGGATTGAGATCACTACGGGGTTTATCAGAGTCAACTTGGTGTATCTCACACCATCAGACACTGAAAAATATGGTGTAGAGCATGCAGAATGCGACAAACCCGGCTTCTTCATTGATCCTCCTAATGCTCGGTCTCGTTATACACCTGTTGCCTTCCCAGAGGACTGTCCTGAACTGACAGCTGCCAATGCAAGCTATATTTGCAACAGGCAATGGGATTGTATTCTTTTGGGATATACGACTAAAGGAAAGGATAACCCTTTTGTCATGATGCTTCACTATAGTGACAATCGTTTTGAGAGGGTGTGGGGAGGGCGGATTCCGTGGATTGATAACTGGGAAAAGTCTTGTCCTCTAGAAGAACGTTGTGTGCGACTCTACTAAGTTAACAATATTTCACCACCAACCATAGGGTATCCAGATATCCAAGGAAATCGACAGACAGATAGGTCGAGGTCTGATGACCCTACACCCTGCTTCCTTAATTTTCATCAAGCTTGTATGCAGTATATCGATCATAAATATAACATAAAATCACAAACATTAGAATCTATAATTAAGTTTACATACTGAATAACGTCATCTGTCTATTCAACATATGGTGGTTAGGGATGGTACATATTGAGTTATCAAAGCTATCCACATTCTGGCAACTAATAGATATATCATCTCGACATATTATGTCAGTATCTTGCTATTACAGATATTGGATAGTGTCGGGTCAGTATGAAAATGACGAAACTATATACATGACTTATCTATACAGCTACTCAAAGCCAAGCACCCGGCATCCGTTCTTCAGCTCTTTCCACCATCTCCCAAAATTGGCCGACCAAGGAGTCCACCGGATCAGTTGACAGTATATTCCAATCTTCCAGCTTCGCTCCATATTTCAGCAAGAATAGGCGAAACCATATTTCATCACCATTATTAAAAACGGAGAGACTTGTACGAGCAGCGCCAGATGTGTGCAGGGCTTTCTCATTTGCTCCGTAGATGGCTAGATCGATGCCCGCCAGCAATAGCTCCGACAGCCATATTTCCAAAATCGTATTGACGTAGTTCTTCGTTGGTATGCACCAGGGCTGTGTAAAGTAGCTCAAGAATAGCATTAAAGGTGTTAAGCTGAAACGAGATGATACGTAGCAGAGATCAGCACCAGCTGCCACCGCATCTGCAAAGAGGCGGCGCCATCCTGCAATATAGCTGGCCCGCTTTTGTATGATAACAAGTGCCAAACCACGTACAATCCTATGTAGCAGAGTTTCGCCCTCATTCTCCAGAGAGTAGGCAGCGGGGTCAATGGAACCACCGCCCATGGCAACTCGAATAATGTCTGCATTGGGATGTGAGAAAGGTGTGTGTAGAAGAGACGTCGCCTGTTTGAAGCGGAACTCAAGAGGCAACTTGGAGTAGTCCTCGAAGAAATGACCTTGTATCATCGCGAGAACTTCCGGGGGTGCTTGAAAGCCCGAGGCTTGTGTGACAGGATCGTCATCGAAGAGCTCATCACCACAGTACTCTATGAGCAATCGGTATATATCACATAATAAAGGGATGATGCTTGGTTGGTCCATCCATTTATTTGCTTTTGTGGGGGACAAATCATAGCAGAGCTGTCTCTGTCAGAAATCCATGTTGATACGCCAGAAGGAACATGTGCATAGAACTCACTATCCCCAATTATTCTTCAAATCGGGATTTGCACCGCTCTGTAATAGTAGCCGGCATACATCCAGCTGACGGTTGGATGCAGCCACATGGAGCAAAGTTATTCCTTCAAAATCGCAATCAAAAGGAGACGCCAGTCGGCTGGCAAACGTTTCTTTTATTTTATCAACTTCTCCATTGGCACAGTACTTGAATATTGGCGACCCTTGTGGTATAACATTCTGGGTTTGGATGCTCAAGGTGAAGCCTGAATAGAAACGGTCGACTCTGATACTCCACATCTTGTCAACAAACCATAATGGCGTCCTGAAACGGATCTCACGTCTATAGCCACTGTTGTATTGCAATCTGTGTTTATACTCCCTTTTATAAGGCCTAAATACCCTCTCAGCGGTAATAATGACAGATTTGAGGTTATTTCTGTACTCACCACCCCATCGAGGTTTCTTCGTTCCTCGGCTTTTTCTCTTTTACTGCAACTGGTGCAGATATCCTGGCATGGATCTCGTACAAAGAGGCACTATCAAATGGTAAGTCACTGCAATCCTGAATGTGCTGGAATACTTCAAGCCCAGATACTCACCTGCAGTAAGCCTGTTGAACAAGGAGAAGTGTAGACCTGACATTCTCAAGATTCTGTCTCTTCTTGTCAAGTGCCTCCTTGTTCAATGCAAGCTTCAGAGCCCCTATTCTGTTCACTGCAGATTTGATGTATTTTTGTATCGTCAAGATGAGCATGTCCAGATCTTTCTGGAAGCGTAGTAAACGACGTTCTGCAGATGAAATATTCAGGAATTTGAGCATTTCCGGCTTGAGTGACAACAGAATTTCCTGGACAGTTTCAATATCTTCAATGAGATTTTGGAGTTCATCTGGCGCTGTTTTCATAAACGTGTGTAAATCTCGTAGTCTGTTTATGCTGTGGACAATCTGCTCTACCACAGCCAAAAGGCTGATGGCAGATGCTGCGACGCCCAGTGCTTCAGCCATGTGGATGGATTATTCAGGGGTAAAAATTTTGTCATAATTGAATGCTCTATTATCAAAGAAAGAAAGATAAATGTTCATAGAAATCAACTGTGTCATAGGTTTATTGATGAAATCGTGCTATTCTGACCAGCATATATAAGGCATATATAAATCTACTTATTGCTGTTTGTGTCTACTATTGTGGCTTAGAGTGTTACCTTTACTAAGCCACCCACGACATCTCCTGCATTGGTACCTTGCCTTGGGTGTTTCTGATATATCTACCCAATAGTATTGTTAGTCACGGCCATATGACGTATCTTCTAACAATTTAATAACATTCATGATGTTGCTAAATGTGTAGTACATATTTTTCACAAGGCACCAGGCAGTATCTGTCAAATCTAAGTTATATATATCACGTCTCATTTATCCTTTAATCACACAGATCTGGAGGTACGTTAATAAGACCCACTCGGTAGAACTGGCGAATGGAAAGATCGCTTGATTACCCCTCATTGATTTGCGCCACAGCTGAGGCCAGACACCATGTGGATGAATTATCCTATTTCTTTTCTTTAATGAAATCAGAATGGAGAATAAGTAAGTAGTCTTGTTCGTTCTTTTAACAAAATACTGATAAATAAGAAATCCGTACACGGTTGGCAATACAATAACTTTGCAGTTAGACGCACCACACAACCAAGCAATAGAAGCCACGATAACCAAGGCGTTCGAGCCATTTACACTTTCAGCCGCTGTGGTTGTCTATCTAGACTCCCCATGTCTAGGTTTAAAGGGGCACATGGTATTAAAGCTATTCGATCGACGCTTTGCAACACAATTGCGACTAGATGAGAAGGCCGCTCCGTGGTGTGGTGATATTGAGCGACAATACCAACAGTTTGTCATGGATGGGGGTGCGTGTAAGTTTATCAGCAGACTCAACTCTGATGAGGAGATAGCCGATGAAGAAATGGATGCATGGGATGCTGCTCACATCGAGACATCTCTTCATGATCAGATGCGGGATTTCTATGATTGTGAAGTTGGGGTATATAATGCCTTGAAGGATCTCCAAGGGAAACACATTCCTCAAGTATTTGCAAGCGTCACAGTTCCTGTCTCTTCACAGGATGCGTCAATCAGCAAATATATCGACGTCCCTGGTATTCTTATGGATTATATTGATGGATTCCCATTATCTGATATCGCGGACAATGCTCCGAGAGGAAAGTGGCAGGTCCTCTGTGATGAAGCTATTCGCATCATCCACGCCATCAGCGAACGAGGAATCCTGAATGAGGACGTCAAAACAAGGAGTTTCATCGTACAAGATGTGGAAGGGAAGGACAGAGTTATGATGATTGATTTTGCATTATGCAAGTTCCGCAGGGAGTACAAAGATGAGGAGGAGTGGAGGAAATGGAAGGCAAAACAAGATGAAGAAGGGGCAGTGGGATACGTGATGCAGAATCGCTTAAAGGGGGGCTTTGTTTATACTCGATCGGCCATGGCGACACAGCTGGATGATGATTTCATGACGGAGGATTACGTGTATTCATGTCGATGAACATTTACAGTGGTCGGCGGTGGAGCTGACTAGTCTCAAATTCTCCACAAATAAGCGGGATGGAAATACACTGAGATTGTGCCAGCAGAAATCATATCCATTGATTTGGAAAGGGGGAACTGGCGATTGCTGTGAGTGTTATAAGTGTGATAAAGACAGTGATTGCCTTTTATTCTCTTCTCATTCTATCGTCCACGGCTGCAAAGGCAGAATAACGGAACTGGCCTCCATTCATCTCAATCTCAGCTGAACTCATAACCCCGCTTGATCGACGAATTGAGACTGAGCTGAGAGATATCCCCACCATCAGCCGCAATACAAGTCCATTCAGCTGAAATAGGACCCGTCAACTTTTCTAATGAAAGACACATAAATACCCACTTCCCCCCCCCCCTCCCCAATCCTAGAACTCCCATTACAACCATTCCCTTTTATTGCATTTCACCCCACTTTGCTTCCCATCACACTTCAAAATGGCCGACCTTCTTGGCCTGGGCGCTGTGAGCCAGTTCCCTGAATCTCTCCAAAAACACTCTGGGTTCGTCGCTGGCGCCAACGACGGCTCCCACGGCCAGAAACTGCTGGCCGAAGAATCCACAGTCGAGCCCTCCGTCTGGTTCGTCAACTTCGTCAAGAATCAGCCGCCACAATCGAAAGACGCTCTCGCGGAACACCTGCAGCATACCCGCGAGTTCCGCAGCTGGGCGAGTGCCAATTCCTGGGCGAACGTCTTGCATCACTCCAATATCCCAATGGATGACAGCCCCGAGTCCATTGCCAAGCGCACTTCGTTCTTCGCCGCTTTTACTGCGAAGTTTATCAAGCAAAGTGAATGGTACGTTCTGGTCGCAATTGTAGAGGTGGAAGGTTTCGCTGATTGGAGTGCAGGCATGCGTTCTACCGAGATGACAACCGCGAACATCACCTGAACTGCAAGAGTACAGAGTTGCACGCTGAGATCGTCAAGCATGTCCTTAAAGGATTTGTGCATGTGCCAGCGGGCGTGCACAAAAGTGTCGAAGGGATTCTGGATTCGCTGTCCAACTCTGTGAAGACGGCGGTCTCCGGCTCATCCGACAAGTTGATTGTCTGTGAGCGCTTCGAATACGTTCCCCAGATGGGTAGCTTTAAATCATGTATGACCCTCTATCTAGCACCGGCGGTGTCGGCTTTTTGCTAACTGATACCTAGACATTCGCCTCATCTACTTTTCCACAAACAATGCCCCCGACATCGTCAGTGCAAAGGATGAAGAGACTGACATTTCATGCATCATTAGATACAACAACTACGAGGCTGAATTTGCCCAACAGAAATGGAAGATGTCCAGTGAGCATGTCGATGATGAAAATCTCAAGGATGACGTGAATAAGTTCCTTGGGGACTGTGAAATCAACGTCCATCCTTGAAGGCGTCAGCAGGCAGTCCATACCTCGATACTACAGACAATAGAACTATACCGGGAGGGCTGAGGATATTTAGTAGAGTGATCTGATCCCAATCAACACCATATGTATAGTACACCTATACATGGCTTCCATATTCCATCATATTGCTGCTCTACGCCTCTAAATAAAGCTTTGCTCTGAGTACATAACAGCCTTTTCTTTTCCTCTATATCATCATTTCCATTCCTATCTTCTCAATGATGATACTGTATACAGCAAGCAATCTTCGCCTGTCCTATAAATATACAATCGAACATTAACACCACAACCAGTCACTTGATGAAATTCAATGCGTTATTCAGGGTTTTTTATATTTAAAAGCCCTATAACTATTCAGTGGGGAATTATTCCCGCTTCAGACACTATGTCTTGGTCGGCGATAAAGAAGGAAAGCTTGTTACTCTGGTAATATGAAAATATACGATGATACCAGAGTGCGAATCAACATTCATTTCTTCATGACATATCTATTTTTGTTGGAGATGCAGGTTGAAGGGTAGACATACAAATCAAAGATGCCATTCATTGGTACACCGCTTGAAGATAAACATAGTCCTAATTAGTGAGCAAAGATGAATTATGTTAACACTGTCCACATTGGACTGAAAAGATGACAACGATAAGGCAGTCACGTGGTGCTACTAGTAAACGAAGAGCAGAAAGGCGCAATCCGGTCCAGGCAGATTCTTCAAGAGACGAATGGTAGTCAAGTATGTGGCGAATTGACTACAGCAATGAGCCTGACAGTGACGTACACTCTCGCTGCCTTGGTTCGCTCTTCTCTTTATCAGATCTAAATCCGTCTCGTCCAGACGGATAAAGTTCGGAAATGAGCCGAGTCTGCCGAGGGATATTCATGAATGCACATCGTGTATTATCTTATCTGACCAATGGACGAGTTGCTTTTGGATTAAAAGATGTAGAGAATTCTAGATTGATATTTTCTTATTTTATTTTCTTAAATATGTCAAGTGAGAATGAAGCAGGCGAGGGAACAGCCCTCTTCATCTCTTATCTGATGGCGCTAGTCCGGATTGGCTTAGCATAGAAGAGTCTGGAAGATTATGCCGTGTTACAAATGATTATCAACCATTAAGGATCCACTCAGGGAAGAATAAAAACAAACACACAGACGCACAGATGAAAAATCTGCAATATTATCGTAGTATAGTCGGCAAATTGAAGCAGACGAATATACTATGTATGCTGTGAAAAGGAGATTAATTCAATGCATCCGAGTCCATGTGCAGAAAGTACACAGGGTGAACAGACACGCGACAACTTTCTGGGACAGGCCACTATCTGATCAGATCGTCTGTTTTAATCTTTTTTAGCGCCTGCATGTTAAATGGGATTCTGGCGGGTGTTCGATTTGCCGGCGTCGACTTGATTCAAGAAATTTCCGTCTACTGATTATGCAGGATTCTGTAAGCACAGTTTAACTCTATTTTTTTACTGGCGTGTGTCACGGCCGAGACAGCCCCGTTTTAATTCTCGCTGTTTAATATTCAATTGGCTGCATCGTGGAATAATTCCCTCTAGCCGATATACGAACCACGGATGGCACGAGGGAGGCGCAAATATCGCCGGCCCAAACACGGTGAAACCGAGTGGAGTCGGCAACGGCGGCAGCATGAGAAGATGATCGCAGCTATAAGTGCGATGGATCCCTGCAAAATCTATCTTCTTGCGTCTTCCATATCAACATCATCTATCACCTCACGATGCGATTCCTTCAGGCTGGAGGCGTGGCAGCCATCCTGTCCACCCTTGGATCGGTGGCTTCTGCCTTTGAGAACAACAACTACGACTACATTGTTGTTGGCGGTGGTCCGTCTGGTATCATCACCGCTGAGCGATTCGCCGAAGCCGGCAAGAAGGTCCTCCTCCTCGAAAAGGGCACCGGTCCTACCGTCGCCACTGGTGCCAATGAGACTCTGTCGTGGAACCGCACCTTGACTCCCATCGACCTGCCTGGTCTGTCCGCTGATATTGGTTCGCTGGATGTCTGGAATGAGTATATGTGCACCGATACCGAGGGGTATGCTGCCTGTGTGCTCGGTGGTGGTGTGACGGTCAACTACATGGTGTTTGTGCATCCGCCAGAGCGCGACTTTGACAAGTGGCCCAAGGGCTGGAAATGGGAGAATGTGCAGTCTGCTTCGGAGAGACTCTACCAGCGCAATCCTGGAACTATCTTGCCGTCGGCTGATGGCAAGCGCTACGACCAGGGTCTCTACTCTATTCTCTCCGGCTTCTTCAACAAGCTCGGCTGGAAGTCCGTTGACATGATTGCTGCTCCTAATGAGAAGCACCAGGTCTACTCTTATCCCGCATGGAACATTGAGAACCAGATGCGCGCTGGCCCTGTTCGCACCTATCTCCCTCACGCTAAGAACCTCAAGAACTTCTCGCTGGGGTTGGGTACCAAGGTCATCCGTCTGGTGCGCTCTGGCAGCCAGGTCACTGGCGTCGAGATCGAGACTGCCTCTGGCAAGTCTCAGATCATCTCCGTTGCTCCTCACGGCCGTGTTGTCCTCGCTGCTGGTGCTCTCTCCACTCCCCGTGTGCTCTTCAACTCTGGTATTGGCCCCAAGGCACAGATCGAGACTGCTGGAAAGAGCGGCGTTACTCTTCCTCCCCAGAAGGAATGGATCAATCTCCCTGTTGGTGTTGGTCTCAAGGACCACCCCATCTTCTCCGTCGTCGTCAAGACCAACGGCACCTTTGACGTCCTCGACTACGAAAGCATCCTCAACGGAACCGACACCCGGGACATCTCCCTCTACAAGAAGCAGAGCGGTGTTCTCACCCAGGGCAAGCACCGCCTCATCTTCTTCAGCTCGAACAACATCGACGGCCAGACCCGCTACTACCAGGGATCGTGTGCTCCCACCGACGAGGGCACCGTCACCATCACCCTCTACTTGACCCACGGTCTGACTTCATCCGGTGTCCTCGGTCTGAACGAGGCCGGCAAGACTGTCTTCGAGCAGTCTCCCTACCTGCAAACCGCTGGTGACCGCAAGGCCGCCACCAGCTTCATCAACAGCCTCATCAACGACATCACCGACCCCTCCACTGGCTTCGAGCTCGAGACATACACCAACACCTCTGCTATTCTTGGATCTGTCTCCCCGGGTATGCACTACACCAGCACCGCCAAGATGGGCACCGACGATGGTCGCAAGAACGGTTCGTCTGTTGTTGACACCAACGCCAAGGTGTACGGAGTGGATAACTTGGTAAGTTTCCATTGCTTCTGGTTGATTGAATGGATACTAACATTTATTAGTACGTTGTCGATGGCAGCATCCACCCCGATCTGCCGACTGGTAACATCCAGGCCACTATCATGGTCGTGGCCGAGGCGGCCGCCGCGAAGATTCTCGCGCAGAAATAGACATTGGGAGAGTGTATATATTATGTATATTTAGACCGATTACATAGAAAAGCTGTTTAATGAGTATGAGTCAATGTTTGATTATCCATCGCAAATTAAATCAATCTCGGCCATGTTTTTATCTCCGCCGAATCCTTCGGAGACTTTCTGACTCTAATGGCTCTAGTTTCTGACAGTCTCGCGATATTCTGACATTCTATCAACATTTATAACTCATCATATCAATGACAAAGCATTTTATTGCTTGATTCTGGTTCTTCAAAAAAAAGATAAATACCTAGAATTTGCATCCATGTCCCATCCATCTCACAACCATCGCACCATCAACACAATCATCCAAACTTGATTAACCACTCCACACAAAATGGCCAACCCCAGCATCGTGATCATCCCCGGCTCCTTCTCGCCTCCTTCCATGTACACCACCTTCGCATCCCATCTTCAGTCCAACGGCTTCGAAACCATCGTTGGAACCCTCCCGACAGCCTCGCGAACTCCCCCCTCCCCAGCCGCCACAATGGAAGACGACGCATCCCACTTTCACGACGTGATCAATGCACTCGCCGACGAGGGTAAAGACGTCGTTATCGTCGCGCATTCCTACGGTGGTATCGTCGCGAATCAATGTGCACAGGGTCTGTTAAAGACTGACCGTGCGGCGTTTGGGAAGCCTGGTGGTGTTGTCAGGGTGGTGTTTATCACTTGTATTGTGCCGGCTTTGGGGTGTTCGACGTCTGATACTACGAGTGATATACGGTTTGATGGTATTTCTGTGCAGGTATGTTATACACAATGTCTTGAGTTAAGATAGCTAACGAGAATAGGGCGACTACATGACTCTCGACGCAGTGGAGAGTGCAAAGATGAACTTTTCCGATCTTCCACTGGACGAGGCAGTCAAGTTCTCCAGCCACGCGACGATGCATTCTGCGCTAAGCTTTGCGGGGAAACTCTCGTATGCTGCGTATGAGCATGTGGCTGTGTCGTATATCATCTGTGAGAAGGATGCCTGTCTCCCTCCTACATTCCAGCAGGACAGAATCAAGTTGATCGAAGAGAAGAGTGGAAATAAGGTAGACACGCGGTCCATCAACGCGGGCCATTTTCCGCCTATCACTCGACCCGAGGAATTGGCGGGTTTGATTCAGGAGGCTATCATTCGTGTTTGATATAAAGATCAGATTGTTAGAAGAAAAGATATCCCCATTTCATCTCAAACTCCCTCCCAATCTTCCACGCGTTCGCATCCCACGACGCAGCGCCCGTCTCAATCGTAAAACTCGTCATGCAGAATAAATCCTGCAGAAACTCATTCTCGTCAATCACGCTCGTCAGCGTAGTCATGTTATCCCGCATTTTCGGGAACGGGAAGCGGTCGATCCAGCTGTGGTGGATGGTGGTGAGCTGTAGATCTGTCGGGTGTAGCGAGGCTGGGATGATGGTTGCGTCGACTGGTTTCGATACAGATGGGATGCAGACGGAACAGGATATCTCCATCATGGCGCCGTTTTGCCACAGCGCTGCCCAGACTGTCAGGGGGACTTGGCCTATGATGGGGGTGGTCGTGGTGGTGGGGATGAGGACTTGGTTGAGGGTGAGAGAGGGGGGTATTTTATCTGATGATGGTGATGATGATGCTTTACTCTCTGCTATTCGTTTGCCTGTTGATCTTCGTTAGTCAGGTTATTGGTATGGGTGGAGAACTCACGTCGGGCTCGCTGGGCCAGTCGATCTTGGATTTTCTTTCGCAGACGTCCATCTTGGACACCTTGCCAGTTATCTCTATCTCTATCTCTGTCCATTTTGTGGTTGAGGTTGAAGTCGAACAAGGCTGACGATTATCAATCAACATTATTATGAATTAGCGGCCATTAGTGACAATGCTAATCAGCTAATTGGAACTAAATGCAGCTAATTACATTTGACGCTAATAAAGAGCCATACTATAGCCAATTTGATCCCTTGATCCATACTTCAGACAATCATTGGTTGTGGTCCAAGTCGCACAAACAAAAATGCTTCATATTTTTGGCCTGAAAGATGACTTAGATAAGTCCAAAATTTAGAAGAAAGAGGCAATCCACTGCATGCCCGGTATTGCCTGAAGTAACATCGAGGTTCCTAATGTCTGGTTCAGGTATATCCGCACATAGATCATGGCGCATTGGTTCTCCGCAAATTCCAGCTTGAAAAGACGAAAATATTCTCAACAACATCGACGTTGAGACCTGCTCATTCCAATATCAACGCCCACCGTGCCAGTAGGGGAGCTAGTAGTGGTGTAGCTGATAACTTGATTCGTCGTGAGTCCATCAAATGAGTGAAGGCTACTACTCTATGTAGTTCGGAGGGACAGTAAGCCGAGAATTTTCGCTTTTTATCTCTTTGTTGCCTTTTTCTTCTTTGCCGCCTTGCTAGCTAGATAAACGTGTCTGTAGTGATATGCATGTTGCCAGCGGCATAAATGAATAGAAAGAAATGGTCGTGACTGCAAAATCATGGCAGGCATCAGGGACACAGTATTCCTGGGTGATCGTGGCACACAGCGAACGATATGGCGTGGCTTCGGCAAAGCCCTTCGACATGAATCACCAAAATAGCTCGAGTATATTTTTATCAATCATGATTCTGGGTGGGGTTTTGTGGTCTCGAAATGTGAGGGTGAGGTAGTGTTCCGGGTTGAATATGGGATGAAATCATGATGGAGTATGTAAAGGAGTAGAAAGTCTCGGTAGGAGAAAGAAGAGAAAAGGGATTTTATATGCCGGACTTGGGGTAATGAAGTGGTTAGTGAATATGCACTTTCATTGCCTTATTCTCTTGCCTTAATAACATTGTTAGGCAACACTATAATTCAATTGAAGAGGACGGAAAAGGAAACACAGAGCAATACTAGGAGAGCATTTATCGCCTTGACTAATACAGAATTGATGCATACACATCACGTGTCACCCCTACCCTCAAAACCACGAGTAAAAAGATGAGAGTATCTTTCATGTTGATCCATTTCAATTCAATGATAGTTCGTAGTAACCGAGTCTAAACTCCACGATTCCTCAAAGGATACTGATAATACTGGTATGCATGGCTGGAGTCAATTGGTGTTCTCTGTTATAGATAATATCCAATGGCCTAATGGCCGGGAATAACAAAATTCTGATATTCATGTCGAATGTGCGGTGTACTTATAGAACAAGCTGCGCGTGTACTTGTAGATATAGGATTAACCTATACACAATCATAAAGCCTTCTCCAGCTCCTCCAGTTCATCCAAAAGTTGAACCGTCTCTGCCGGACTTGCGATCCAAGCTGTGGTTGATGCCAAACGAGCCTATAGATATTAGTATAGCCATCTAAATTTCAGTGTATGGCTTACCTTGAAGTCATTCGCGCCAGCTGACAAAAATTGATCACCGACGTGGAGAGTCTTGGTTCGTTCTATGTTGCCAAAATATTGCTGACAGGCACGTACACCCCAGGATTTATCGCCAATGTCGACAAAGACATCATTTCCTCCTATTGATTGTTAGCTTATTCCTGTTTGGTAGAATATTGAGACCGACCGTTGAAAGCGCAGAATGGCAACCGGGAGCCAACTTGAGACCGCTCGACTGTGTTCTGTACAACCAGAACTGTCTCCTCCAATTGCTCGCGATGGATTTTACTTCTGTCCAATGGATACACACCGACCGCGCGATCCTTCCGGAGGACGGCGACTGGCAGATTCAAATTAGAAGCACATGCCCGCAGAGATGATTCCGCAATGTCCAATAATTCGGTAATGTCTCGTTCCTGCCAGAGCTGCATCTCTTCCAGGATCCATTGGCTGCGTGGCACATAGAAGAGGCGGTGAGGGGAGGACTGGTCGTAGCGGAAGAGAAAGTTGCTTTCTCCGCCCATGATGATCAGGCCATTCTTCTGCGTCTCTGTCAGAACAGACGAATCGTGGACGGTGTCGAGTAATCCCTTGAGCCGGTGGTAGTACTTCTCCGCCTCTGTGTAACCGGCTGCAGTGACGATGCCGATCTTACAGTCTTGGCGAAGGAGACGGATGATGCGAGGGATGACTGGGTTGTCTTCCGTCAAGCAGGCGCCATCGTCGTAGAGGGTCACATCACCGTCAAACGTGACGAGTTGCAGACCGTTGGAGCGGACGATACCGAAAAGCTGGGCGGTGTTGAGGATCAATCGAATGTCGTTGAAGGAGGGAGCGACAAAGCGTCTCCGACTGATGAAGCGTTTCTTATCCTGGTAATTGAAAGCATCCGCAAGCGGGATTGGTGTGAAGAAAGATCCGACGCTGGGAACAAGAAGCTTCAGCTTGGATTTGCCAGGGGCGTTGTCCCGTTCATGTTTGACTGGCCATGTTAGTCTTAACCCTTTTAGAAAAACATGAGTAAGTACGGAATCGAGAAGCCTACTATGATCGGATATGAGGTTTTCAACATCCCGGAAAATCTCCGCGTAGCGTTGATGGGTATCAGCGGCGACGGCGATGAGATTCTCGCTGTGTTCCTGGTAGACGGCGGTGGGCTGCGAGTGCAGCACAAAGGGGACAGCCAGCAGACCCTGCGATGTTTAGTCGCAGCAATTAAACAAGGAGGCTTCGATTACCTTGATCCATTCAATCTATTTATCGTCAATGATGAATGAGTTTGTTTCAAATGTCAAGGGATGATGACTTACCAATTGGTCCCGGCGGTGGGACTGGCGGATGACTCCGAGTCAGTCAATGCAGCTGCAGCGAGGAGATGGACATACCTTGAGGGCATCTGTTGAGATTAGCAATGGAACATGATATTTTATTTCGAGACTTACATTCAACACGGTAGCGGGTAGTCATGGCGATGGCAAATGATGGAAGTTGGAAGAAGGACAGAGTGTTTATCGGAGCTGAAGGGATCGACTGAAATGGCGGGGATGAGCTGTCGCGCCAAGCCAGATAAAGAATGCACGTCAGGCACTGTCAGGCGCTGATCTCTCAGCATATTTATTCATATCATACAGCTGGCATTTTGATATCAGTAGTCTATGGAGTAGGACAGTCGGATCAGATCAATAGATGGTTCTATTTCAAAGACACGATAAACAACGGCCCCACTTGAATGATCAACAGCGACAATCCTCGACCAGGTAGGTCCTTGCAGGATGAGATATAGACGAGAAGGATCCTTGATTATCTGTGCTGCTTTCACATCCATTATGCATGTAATTATCCTTGAGTAGATCCAATCGGAGGCTGTTTTGTGTGATGTTCCTTTGCGAAATGTTGATACATTCATTTATCAGATACAGCATGCAGAAGCTTTTCATCAAGCATCTTGGCAATACTTTATACAACATCAACCGATGAGTCCAGATCTCACTTATAAAATAGCGAATTACTGTCTCCTTCAGTGCAATGTGTAGTTCTCTAACACCGACTTGATTGATGTCTGATGGAGGGATCGGCGTCGTCGGACAATATGTACAGCACGGAGTACTTCTTCATAAATGCCCAAAACTTCACTGTATGACAAAAATGACAAGCTTCATATCGGTCAGTGCTTCCTGTTAGCATGGATTGATGTTAATCTTTTTTTAATAAAACTGGAGTAACGCTTATTACCCGCATGCCGTCGATCCAGATTTCCGCTACCCAGCAGAATCGGTTGCTCTGTTGCTATTCCTGCCAAAAGCCACGAAGAGCTGGTGCTACTACCTTGGCACAATAAATACACACTGACATTGTAGGACAACATCATATCCCGTTGTTTGTATTGCCATGGTAATCATTTGGGTTGAGAGCGTGCTGTATCAACCACCAATGGATTGTACTACTGCCCTCGGAAAAGCATCAAACGATGGCAAAGCTGCTCCTTTACCCAAACTTCCTGCAAACATTTACCTTGATTATTAGAAGGACCTCGATTGGAATCAAGCATCTTTGAGAACATCACGATCCAGTTACTAGTGCTCGAAAGGCAGTCAAGCATTCTATGGAAATGCCAGCCGGATTCAAGTTCCCATGCTACCTTTCCCGACATCCCGACACTTTGATTCTTCTGTTTGGCGATCACCGAGTCTCCCTTCAGCCTGTTCATCAGAGTGCCACAGCCTTTGCGCCGTAGGGCGAACAGCACCAAAACATTGGGGACTGGGTTCTTTGCGTCACGGAATGATTTGTGCAGGAGCTAGGACTCAGGTGCAAAAGTACGGCAGCATCAGTCAACCAGAGACATAGCAGAGATAAAAGTAACTTTAGCGAGCAGATTGTGCAAGGGGCTGGACATTCTGGACCCATGGAAGGGTTGTTTGGGACTTTTTGGGACAATCTGCGATTATAAAAAGACATGGTCGAGACCTGACAGATGTACTGCACGATTTCTGATAGGAGAATTGCGTAGATTCCGATGGTCAAGCTAATAGATTCAATTGGTCATCATCCTGGACGTCATGTAGTCAAGGAAATATCCAAAGTACGTAGCAGGGTGTAAGCAATTGTCATGAACAGATGGGGATGCCGGCTCGCTGTTGTCCGTGTCAGACAGTGGGATAATTTCTTTTTGTGTGCAGTCGAGGGGCCAAAAGCACATTCACTCCCACTTTCAGCCTCGCATTAGACTGATGATGATGAGAAGATCATTGGCTTGGTCTCAGAAGGGCCAAATGCTGGAGACAAGGAAATCTCTTTCCGAAGCCCCAGAGAGAGCCTGGTCAGGCCATTCACTCTGGAATTAATTTGCCCGTCAGTTTTGCCCTATGAAGCGAGGCCAATTACGCACCATCCCCAGGGAATTTCCCCGGCTTCTTTGTCCTTCTTCCCCTCATCCATCCATCTTCCATCTCCACCAGGAAATTTCCGCTCATCACACGCCCTTTGTCATGTCTTCTCCACCTGCAAATCCGTCTCACCGACAATCGGGAGTTGGCGATGACCATCTGACTTGACTTGGGACCGAGGATGGCCATCCTGAACACCGACAAGACTTACCCTTTCCAGCGATAGTCAGCATCGGACTCCAGCCGATTCCAGACAGCAGCTGAGGCGATTTGTCAATTTTATTTCGTGGCTTACAAGGTGTGCCTGTCAGCACCTAACATCAGACGGGTTTGGCCGACCATCCTCTATTCTTTACTTTATCGGTCCGTGGTCTGATGCTGATTTTTTGACTCATTGGCGCAGGCACAAATCCGGGGTCGGAATAGCCCTCTTGGCCCAGATCTTAGGAAAATTCTCCCTGCGATTGACAGCGTGGCCCCCGCTCTGTTCGATGACGATGGTATCAAACCCCTCGGGGGAAAGAATCCTCGTGGCCACTTCACTACTCCACCCCCACACGCAATGACAGGGCCTATAAGCACAGGCTGTCAACCGGATCGGCCAAGAGATGCCGAGCACGGGGTACATATAACACGAGGTCGCCTTCCCCAGGTCGGAAGTTGCCCGAGGGCCCCTCCTACACGCTCACGGGCCTTGTGGGAAAATGTCCGGTCGGAGGAAAGACAGAGACAACAAAGACAGTCGAATCGAGAACCAGAAGTTGGTGATAATGCAATCGTGATCACGATGACATCGCTGACTCCGATTGCCGGCGCTTTGATTTGCCGCCTGTCTCCCATAGTGTGGACGCCTGACACCATTGTGCGTCGTACAAGGGGGAGCAAATGCCGACAGCGACAAATGCGCGATCCCGTAAGCACAACTCGCAAGAGATAATCAACTAACTATTATTATGTGCGTCGAGTTCCACCTTGCGATATCGTTTCTGTGCGACAATACAATTCCAGGCTATCAATATGGGATTCCCGCATCGGAGGTGGACCTCAAAAGTCAAGAGCTAATAAGCTCGTTCTCGGGCTTGGGACTTGGCTCCTCCAAACTCTCTGCCCAACTGTCGTCCATCACAGGCCATACAACCAGGATAATGTCCCGGTCGGGTGGATACGGTATGCGTCCATCATCTCCAGTTTGGTCCAGCGAGCTACGTCCGCTTGGTACTGTAGGTATCCCCAGACTTTTTTTCCCTACCCCACGATGATGTTTCCCCGCATTGCTTTTCTTTGTACCGCGTGCAAGCAAGGATGGGGAGGCTCTCTGGTATAAAGACCAGGTCATGAGGTCCCGTATTGTCCATCCCTTGCGCTTTTTTCTCCGACGACAACCTGTGCTCTACCTCTGACTTGTTTTGAGAATTCATCTTCTTTACAAGTAAGCAGCAGCATTCATCATGGCAGGCGGTGCAAAGAAACCTGTCAACATTTTCAAGTTGAAAGACTTGGGTGAGCCAAGCAATGTCTTCAATTGGCGACTATGGTTCGCTGTGATCTCCTTTGGCCTCATGGGCGCAGCCAGAGGTGTTGATGAGGGCCTGATCTCGGGCGCTTTCAATTCAAAGGACTTTCAGAGAACCATCCATTTCGATTCCTACAGCGAGGTCGAACAGACCAACATCAAAGCCAATGTGTCGGCCATGGTACAGATTGGCTCTGTCGGAGGCGCTCTCTTGTAAGTACTTCACCCAGACAAGAAGGTTCATGTCTAACATTTTCTGGATGACAGTTCGTTCCTGGTTTGCGATCGCATCGGCCGTATTTGGGCAACTCGTCAGCTCTGTATACTCTGGATTGTGGGAATTGCTATCTTTATGGGGGCGAATGGTAACCTGGGAGCCATCTATGCCGGTCGATTTGTCGCTGGTCTAGGTGTTGGCCAGACTGTCGTCGTCGGTCCTGTCTATCTCGCGGAGATTGTGAGTCGCCCGTGCCTGTGTGTAATATTTTTGAGTACTAATTATTGTAGGCACCTGCATCAGTCCGAGGTCTCTGTACCTGTATCTTTACTGGATTTGTGTACCTGGGAATTGTTCTAGCCTACTTCGCCAACTATGGCTGTGAAATCAACTTGGGCGACAACACGCACAAGCGATGGGTAAGCAATTCGTACCAAAATCGCTAATCCATATACTAACCATACCACAGGAAGTCCCGACCAGTTTGCACATCATGTTTGCCGGTATCATCTTCCTCCTCTCCTTCCTCCAGTACGAATCCCCTCGATTCCTCGTGAAGAAAGGCGACCATGAGAAAGCCGTGAAGAACTTGGCTCGTGTTCGAAACCTCCCTGTCGACCATGAATACGTGATGGAAGAGTTCACCGCTATCCAAAGCTCCCACCAAATGGAGATGGAAGCCACCATGGGTGCCGGCTGGTTCGGAACCATCAAGGAAACCTTCTTCATCCCCAACAACCTATACAGACTGTACCTCGCCATCATGGCCCAGCTTCTCTCCCAATGGTCCGGCGCCGGATCCATCACTCTCTATGCGCCCGACTTTTTCAGCCTCCTCGGCATCACCGGCGACAACGAGTCTCTCCTCGTCACCGCCGTCTTCGGTATCATCAAGCTAGTATCAGCCGTCGTCTGCGCTCTCTTCCTAGTCGACGTGATCGGCCGCAAACGCGCCCTCCTCCTAGGAATCACCCTCCAAGCCATCTCCATGATCTACATCGCCGGCTTCCTCTCCTCCGTCCCCAAAATGGGCGTCGACGACTCCTTCGTCCTCCCAGAAGCCAAGCAGGGCGCGAGCCGCGGCGCCATCGCCATGATCTACATCTCTGGCGTGGGCTGGGCCCTCGGCTGGAACTCAATGCAGTACCTGCTCACTGCCGAGTTGTTCCCTCTGCGCATCCGTGCGCTGTGTACCTCGCTCGCGATGACATTGCATTTCGTCAACCAGTATGGTAACTCGCGGGCTGTGCCTAACATGCTCCTGGGAACTCATGCGGGCGGTATCACGCCCCAGGGTACATTTTGGTTCTTCGCGGCCGTGACCATCCTCGGTGGAATCTGGGTGTGGTTCAGTGTACCCGAGACAGCTGGTCGGTCGCTGGAGAGCATGGACAGACTGTTCGAGCTGCCATGGTACAGAATTGGTCTGTATGGTAACCGTGATGCGGAGGCGAGGGATCTGGTCATGTCGGAGAAGACTCAGATGGCTGAGGAGACGCATGGTGGATCGCAGCATATAGAGAAGACGGGGGATAACTCGGCGAAAGTTTGATGACTGCTAACGATGGTGATGAATTGTATTGATGATTGAGTAATTTCTATTGGGTTTAAGCTACTTTAATTGAGTTTCACAACATATCTTTCCATTTTCTTACAGGCTATGCTCGACAGGTGAATTGAGTTTACTTAGATCAACATGGAAGCTGTAACGAGCCAGTCTTACACGCATCGATCCTCGTGCACGTACATGAGATTAACCGTATTATCACTAAAAGCTATGACATTTGCAATAAACTTAAATATCATGACAAATCCTAAAACATCTACGGCCGCCATCGGAAAGCAGGGTTTCGCCAATCAAGGTCCTGGATCTGCTTTTGCGACATTCCAGCCAAAGCACTATCAATATCAATTTTCTCCCGTCTCTTGTTATCCCACGTCTGCCACGCCAACAGACACATGCCAAGGATCATGGTGCACGTCGCCGTGGCGAGGTTCAATCCGTTACCAATGTGATAATTAGGAGCGTCGAATTTCAAGAACGACCACGTGGAAATGAGTCCGCCGACGTTTCCTAGCATGACCGTCGTTGCGATGGCGGAGGATCGCGCCGTGTCGGAGACGACATTGTTGGCTGAGTGGGCGTTGCAGAATGCGCCGAAGGAGAATGCTCCGCTGGCGATGAGGAAGGTGGCGCCGTACCGCACGCGTGGAGATGTACTGGCGAGGAACATGATGTAGCCGGCTATCATGAGCGGAGCTCCGATGGCGAAGAAAATCAAACGGCGATCGATGCGCCAGCTAAGGAAGGGGAATAGGAGAGTGAAAAAGGCGCCAACGATGTATGGTGGTACTGTTTGCAGTTGCTGGGTTATGACACTGCTTTCAGGGTAGATGGTTTTGACGATTGTCGGAGCAAAGAACGCGAGTCCCTGGACTGTGATGTTGTTGAGGAGGAACATGAAGGAGGTTGTCAGCGTTACTGGACTGAAGATCCCTCGGAGGGTCTTTGTCAGGTCAATCTTGTCCAACACCTCGGTGGTGCCTACACGCTCTGACTTCACGCGAGCAACGGCCAGATCCTTCTCTTCCTGTGATAGCCACCGTGCAGTTTCAGGACGATCGGTCAGTGAAACGAAGGCGATTAGGGCGAGACCAATCGTGATGATTCCTTCGATTACAAATATCATGCGCCAAGTGCGCACACTTCCGAAATGGTCGAGGGTGAGGATCCCTGATGCTAATAGGCCACCAAATGCACCTGCCAGCGGTGCCATGACAATGTAGAGTGCCAGACGGAAGGCTAGCTCACTGCGCCGATACCATCTAGACATGTAGTATGCAATCCCAGGCATCATGCCGGATTCGAACGCACCTATTGAAAAGTAATTAGCACGATATTAGCGAATGAGAAACAATTAAATACCTAAAAGAAAGCGAACACCAGAAGCGCTTTGGATATCATTAACAAAGCCCATGGCGACAGAACAGATGCCAAACCCGAGCGCGATTGATGGAAGGAACCAGCCAGGCCCCATCCATTTGCATGCCATATTTGATGGAATCTCGAGGATAATGTACGAGATGTAGAATATGGATAGCAAGGCGTTATAATCGTTGCCTTTGAGACCCAGGTCATCCTCGATTCCGGCGAGTTTCGCGTTTCCTGTGAACGGTTAGGGTTCTTTTCTAGACGATCGTCCGTCACCAGGTGAACGAACCGATATTTGCCCGATCAATGAAGCAAAAAAGATACAAGATTGCCACGGTGGGCACAATGTATAGGTCAATCTTCAGACGCAGGCGTGATTCCGCGGCACGATCGAATTCAACGAGCGCTCGACCGTACTGGTCAGTTGCAGCATGACCACGGCCAGCTGCCTCGCGTGCGCCTTCTTCTGTTATATCTTCCTTGTGCTGCGGGGAGGTCTTTTCATCCACCATCCGCTCAGAGGGAGGTGTGTCGGACATTCTGAGTAATCCGCTCTTTGCACTGGCGACGAGTAAATAACAATGCAGTATTCCGTGTTTAGATAAGACCTGTCGTCTCCCAGGAAAGACAGCGGTACAGGAATCCGATATTTATACACCTCTTGAATATCGGGTACTACCGTCGGATTTCCCGGTTGATTACGCGGGAATCATTATCGGAAAATGTCAAGAGCTCTCTCGATCTGGATTGAGGATCCTCGGCGCGGGGAAACCCCAGCGTGAAGAGTCACGATGGTTTAAGAGGCGTATAGGAGCGTTTGGCAACCAATAAGCATAAAAAGGCAAAAAGCTCGCTTCTGTAACACGGCAGTTGTGATGATAGGGAGCCTTTGGCGACGATACTGAAGACAAGCAATTTCTTCCCATGACACCATGACTGTGTTAGGCGTTATAGGCAGCCTCTGGGCGGGAGATTTGGATTACACTTCCACCACGGTTGACTGCAAAGCAGGCGGCAACACATGGGAAATAGGCGATCGAATCAACCCGAGAATTCAAGGACGATCCAGACCACGATGCTTTTCGCAGGCTCTCGTCCTCTAGCGGCGGACTCTTGGCCATCAGCAACGACTGCGATTTCCACGTATTCCCCGCATCATCCGCTCGCCAGAGTCAAAGCCCCGGCTTGGCTTTGTCTGGGGAGCGGGAGACTTTCGGTATCGGGGATAGAGCGGTATTCATGTTTTTGTAGAACTCATCCCGTCAAAACGGAAGTGTTTGCTAGAAAAATAAAAGCTCGATCAGGTCAGTGCATCAAACAATGCCATTTGGAGTAATAGAAGAAAAGCAAACAACTCTAGCTGTTATGTTCAGTCAGCGCCGTTGGATGAAGCCCCAGACCAATTTTGGCTTCCCCGCATCTCCACAACCCCGGATTTCCAAACACCTAAGAGGAAAATCCCGCATCGTATGGTGGAGCGCTGGAGTATGACACCTGCAATCGGCTCTAGCGATCGGCTCTGGTGGACTGTGTTGGATCTTGGTTCTGGCTGGAGTGGTGGTGGGAGAGAAACAGCGAGGCGCGTAGGTCGACCGGTTGACCACGTGAGTGTCGCGTCGACTCACCCTCTCACATCTCACACCTCAACGCTGTCTTTCTTTGTAGCTATCTCGTACAGGTTGAGAGGATACCTAACGCCAATATTTCTATTAATTTAAATGCGGCCTTGAGCTGACCATCACGGCTTGAAAATGAGCAATTAAGAATCCGTCGAGGTTTACAACAACACTTCCATTTCGCTAACAAGTTGACAGTCTACCGACGGGAACATGGTATTGAAGAACAAGAGCCAGAAAGCATCACGAGTACACTCGGACTCTAATTGATCGCCACCACTTTTCCCGTCCACGGACCCCTCTTCCTCCCCGGATACAGCTTGGCAGCTGCGCCAGGACAGAAACACCGGAACAGACAGCAAAATGTGTGCTTGGCTCGGAAGCTTCCTTCAAATCGGATCTATCATCGGATAGCACTTAGGCTTCGTGTCATCAAACTTACTGCCACTTGATATCGGGAAAATGGAGAGGCATTCCCTGGTGCACGCAGTATCATTGGCTCTTCTCTTTTCGGGGGGGCAATAAAGCAACTTTGATTTTACAGCAGGGACTCTGCTGATCATTTATTCGGCACTTCTCATCATCCGACTGTTCGCTGCTTCGAGTATCAATTCGGCACTTGGTTTTGTCCATGGGGTCCAGCCGAGGCGATACAGAATACCAGAAATATTACTTCTCTACAAGGTGACGTGGTTATGACAGGCTATGCTATCTTCAATCCAGGGGCTAAGGTATGTAACGCCATAATAAGGATAGGTAGGGCAGTTCAGATATGGAGAAAAGAGGCGTAGACGTCAGGTCACCATCAGTGTTCCTATACTATTTCTACCTGTAAATTTAATGTCTAATAATCCAAGATATGTATAGGCATTTATAACATGTCATTATTCAATTCTCTGCTTTTTTTTCATTCTCCTTGTTCCACAATTGCTTACCAGGTATATAAAATCATTGACGTTGTGTGAAACCAAATATATATCCCGCAATCGTTACAGATATCAACATCAACAATTACCCAACAACTCGAGCCTTTAAATTTCTTTTCTAATATTAACAGAACAACATAGGATAGACAGCAATTCAATAAATTCTACTCTTATCTGCACCATGTTGTGCTGTTGTTTTGAGTGGGGAAACGTGGTGACGCCATGCCGGAATTACGGATAAACCCACGTGACCTATATCCGGCGGTCGGCTTTTTCTTCGCTGCTCGACAAGGAAAAAACCCACCAAATTCTGCAGTGAGGTACGGTCTGTGAAGTAATTCGGGTTTATGTTATCTTGGCCCCATTTGACGGATGGCAGACAGCACCAGTCCGGTCCAGCCGTATGGCTGGCGGATATCCAAAGCCTGCCAGGAGTGCCGCAAGCGCAAGATCAAGTGCGACGGGAGTAACCCGTGCAAAACATGTCATCTCCGTAATACCCCATGCATTTACCGTGACATTATTCGGCAGCGCAAGAAGAAACATCAGACCAGACATGCTGAAGATGTTTCCACGCGGCCCGAGGACACTGGACGCCAAACGTCCCCTGGTCTGCCGCAACCGCCAGGTCGCCGGAACGAGTCGGTCAGCTATACATTCCCCAGCAGTGTCTCCGCCACGCACATGGCTTCTCCATCATGTGAGGTCCAGTTGTACTATGGGGCAACGTCTCATTTTTCGATGATCAACCGACTTTATCAGGATCTCTTTTCAAACCCGACAGCCCATTCGGAGGAGCCCCAGGGCGAAGTGGAGGAAGCCGGTGCTGGCTTGGATCTGCTCAGCTTCCGCCGCATTTTCTTCGGCATCCCATCCAGTGTCTCTGATTCTGGCAAAAGCTCTCTTGCAGTGGGGTCTCCAGTGATGTTTATGTCCTATGATATAGCCAAGACCTGCTTGAAGCGATTTCTGACGACTTTGTATCACCTGATGCCTTTCCAGCCAAAGGAAAACTTCGAACGGCAGTTGGAGCGCATGTACTGCCCCGTTCCAGATCCTAGCTCTGAGACGTCCAGTACTTCCATGCTTCTTATGGCAGTGGCCACGGGCGCGCTGGGAACAGAGCATTATGGTTGGGGCGATGTGCTCTTTGAGCGCGTCAAATCGTCGATGGCCGCCTTGGACGACGTGGTGAATCTCCATACAGTGCAACTTGCCTTATTTATGATAAGTTTCCCTGTTTAACATGGAAACACCGAGGGTCCTGACATGGCATTTGTAGCACGCTCACTTCCAAAGTGAACAAGGTCGTCCGAATTCAACATTCCTTTATCTTGGGACGGGCGCACGGAAAGCAATTTCAGCGGGGCTGCACAGGGATGCCCCTAATGACGGCGATGGGACAGCAAAAGGCATCCAAGAAAGGCGAACGACCTTTTGGTGCCTTTATTTCTATGAAACGTCCGCTCATCTTCCCCCTTTTAGAGAATATTGACTCTGATGAGATTGATAGGTGGACATGCTTTCATCTGGGACGACCAAGCTCACTTTCTCTGAAAGATATTGGCATAGCATGCCCTGATGACCCTTTTCTTCTGGCCCTCGTGCACTTGTCGAGGGTCATCTCGAGGTCGGTTGATGAGATTTATGGCCAGCGTCATGAGTCATTATTGCAGATGTGGAGGATTTCCCGGTCCATCGTTGATGACCTTCGTTCTTTCGAGTCTGAAATGCAACGGGCTCTAGGGTTTGGACTCGATAAGTGTGCTCAACCAGGAGAACTAGGAGTTCGTCAGACAATTCTGGTTATGAGTGAGTAGGGCCCCGAGGGATATGCGCTACGCAGAGCTAATGGGTGTAGTCTACCACCATGCTGTGCTCCTAACATTCCGGCCATTCTTGATATTCCGTGGTCGGTGGCGCCACGATATGAAATCATCGGCTAGGCAATCAGCTTCCGGGGGAGGAAATCGACCTACAGAGATCCCCATGTGGCTCAATGAAGCATGTAATATTGCCCTCAATGCTGCTCGCAGAACAATTCATCACCTGTGTGAAGCGTCTAGTGTCAACGGATTTGTTCGGGTATTTCTTTCATAGCATGGTGGAGCACTGGGAATAGTTGACTAATCTCTTGATAGGAGTTGCGCTACCACGGATTTTTCATGGGCAGCGCATGCTTCACGCTGCTATACGACCTCCTCCACGATGAAAACAACTCCCTCGCTCATTTGCCGTGGGTACATGCTGGCATCCGGTGCCTTTCGACCATGCGACCTGGTGACCCCATTATGAGCTCCATTGCAGGTCTACAGACCGTGTTGAAGAAAATAAATCCGCTCTATGAGTGGATACCTGATGAACAGGCGAGAAACAGTTATGAGGTTGAAAACCCGTTTGTCGCCCCCATGCGACCATCTACCAGCAATGGTCACAACCCCCAGGGTGGCCATGTCCCAGAAGCTTTCACAAATGACCTGCTGTCAGGAATAAACCTTCCTGTGCTGCCAAATATGCAGTATCAAGACGACCAACAGAGAGCCAGTGCCAACGTAGGAGGGGGAGAAGATCTTCTTGACCTTACGCAAGCCGATATGGGATGGGATTTTGACTTCTCCACCATGGATCTTGAAGAATTCTTTTCAATTTATCCAAGCATTGGCCAAAATGCTTCTTGATCATGCCGGGGCATAACATCCACGCCGCGGATGAAGCGGGTAAGGTAATTACTGATCAGGGATCAGGTCACCCAGTGTTTGATGTTTAAACTGCCAACTCTGAGGTTTTTTATGGCACAGAAATAGTATCCACAAACCCGATCATTTAATTGGACCATGATCGGAAATTAATCCATGCGACGACAACACCCCGCACCGGACGCATGGAATGCAACAATAGCGGTCTTGTGACCGGCCACCACATCACCAACTTGATCGAAGCCAACCCAGTCACGCTGTCGCCTCGGAAAACGGTCGGAGCCAAAAAAGGTTATCGCTTCGATCCGAAAATCACTACCGATATGTCCTGATTGATAGACATTCGACAGCTTGGTGGCGCCACTGCCGCGATTATCTGATTGCGCGAATTATCAGATAGCGATCAAAAGAACGATATCGGCGCGAACAGACCGTCGGTCATTACTACCAGTACCTAGTGTAAATTACAATGAGACAATGAGAGTTGTTTTTCCCACGCCATTGGGGCCAGAACACTGTTGCCTTGACCATCGTTCTGCCATTTTGATGCAAAACAATAAACGTCGCCATCTTTTATTGCTTTTTCTCTTCCCAGTAAAGGAGAGACTGGAATATGATCTGTATTTTGTGTCGCCTCTCTTTTCATCCCGCCCCTTTTTTATTCAGAATCAATTCTTGACTCCTGAAACCAAGCATTGGCCAAGCTTGACTGTTTCCGATGGGATCGGCCATTTCGGTGGGGATCGGCCAGCCCTACTGCCCTATCGAGACCCACGGATACTTGGTTGGAACTGGAAGTTGTCCGACCATTGTGATCTTGTGCAGTGCTTTTCGCGCACGACGATGTGGGATGCCAAATAGTTTCAAATTACTTTTGGAATACCCACGCCTGGGAAATAATGCATCTACAACATGGAAAGCTACATCATGGCTAAACGGTTTGACCCTCACCAACCCCACCGGTCGGCCAGTTACGCTATTTGCGTCCAGTGGCCCCGAAAATACAGGGAAAAAAATGGGTCCCAATCTATTAGCAGAGACGCACTCAGCCCTACTGGGCTGGCGCTCGGCAAAGAACCGGAGGTTGAGGACTTCTCGTCGTCAAAAGTTCCGCTTCCACCTGTGTTTCCAAATAAATAAATATGGTTGCCTGCTGGCACGCCCAGATCTTATCAGATAGAAATCTCAATCAGATTTTATCAATCTTTCCATCTTACACTGCTCGTTGCTGACCTAACGGCACACCAACAGTATGGGTGTCATTGAAGAGACGCATGTGGTCAAAGATGCAGATGGCGCGGATAAAACTCCTGCACGCCCGGACACAGCATCCGAGGCAGGTATGTCGCTGCGAATATCTACTATCACCAGGGAAAAATTCTGACCATAGCACGTGATTTCCAGGAGAATCCCTGCAAGAGGTCTTGAAAGCGGCTGGCGTCGACGGCGATGAGGGTGACGATAATGCACCGTGTCTTACCCTGCGTATGTGGATTTTGGGTATCGCATTTTGCATTTTGGGAAGTGGCCTGAATACACTGTATACCTTTCGAAAACCATCCATCACCCTCGCCCAATCAGTGATCCAGTTGCTGGCTTTCCCCCTTGGAAAACTATGGGAGAAATGCATGCCGGATTGGAAATTGCGGATTGGCGGATGGACCGTTCACCTCAACCCGGGACCGTTCAACTCCAAGGTATGGATAGCGTCGGCTATTTTCTATAATGGATGGATAGTAACTGGGAGTGCAGGAGAACATCCTGGTGTTTATTATGGCCAACCTGAGTTTCTTGACGCGTCTCAGTGCGGATGTCTTGACCGAACAACAAGCATTTTACGGTTACCACGCTGGATGGGGATTCCAAATCCTCATCACAATGGCTACATTTTTGGTTGGATTCTGCCTTCCCGGATTGTTTCGCTCGATCATCGTTGAGCCCGCCGACCTGCTCTGGCCGGGAATCCTCGGTGTCACGGCCCTCAACAAGGTCCTGCACAAGACAGAGTCGGTCGATGCTTTGCACGAGTTGGTCTCTTCCCCCTGATTTGTAATTCATCTCTGACCTTGGCAGGTCAAAATGGAAAATGTCTAGATATGCATTCTTTAGCGTTGCATTCTGTGCGTCGTTTGTTTGGTACTGGTTTCCCGATTTTATATTCCCTGCTTTGAGTTACTTTACCTTCCCCTGCTGGATCAAGCCAAACAATCCGGTGGTGAATCAAATCTTCGGGATGACCAGTGGAATGGGTCTGCTTCCGTTGACATTTGACTGTGAATATGCCCCACTCTTTGTTCTGATCTCCACTGACACCCGCGTAGGGAGTCAAATTGCCTATGTCGGTTCACCATTACTGGTACCGAGCTGGGCGATCATCAACGTCGGAGCGGGACTTGTGCTTTTTATCTGGATCATTGCCACGGCTTTGTATTATACCAATACCTGGTACACGGCATATCTGCCTTACCAAAGTTCCTCTGGTATGTCTCCCGTCCCAATCGGAAGAATTCAGCTGATCATCATTAGTTTTCGATAACACCGGAAGCACCTACAATGTTAGCAGGGTGGTCAATAAAATGGACGGCTATACATTCAACAATACCGCATATGAGGCCTATTCGCCGGTATGGTTTGCTTTGATAATCCCGTTTGGCCATTGCTGATCCTGATAGATCTACATGCCCATCACATACGCTCTGAATATGTTCGGTATGTCCTTTGCGACATTATCCACGCTTGTTGTTTGGATGATCCTGGAGAAACACCAATTCTTCCTTGATGTTGGACGGAGGATACTTGCCGTATTCACCAAAACCGGTCGTGCTCAGCGCCGCGCCGAAAAAGCAACTAACAGCGTGCACCCGGAGGTCCCAATGTGGTGGTACTTTATTGCCAGCGCAGTGGCCCTGTTCCTCGCCATTTTCAGTGTGGAATATTGGGATGTGCAGCTTCGGTGGTACGGGGTGCTGCTGTCTGTTGCAGTGGCAATCGTTTTCTATATACCGGTATGAGCGCATCGCGATAGCTTTCATTGGGTTATGATACTGACATTACACAGCTGGCGGTGGTGTACGCGACAGCTAATTTGAAAATCAACATCGATGTCTTCTGTCGAATCGTGGCAGGATTCGTGTTTGAAGGAAAGGTTTTGGCCAATATCTGGTTCTTTGACCTGGGATACATCACGACCATCAAAGGACTGTACTTTGCCCAGGATCTGAAACTTGGAATTTACTGCAAGGTATGTGGCTAGGCCCTTAATAAAAATCTCTGATCGTTCACTGACTGTCTCAGATTCCACCTCGGCAAATCTTCCTGGTACAAATAGTTGGTATCGTGGTTGGAACAGTCAGCCAAGTCAGTGTGGTCAACTGGGCCCTTGGCAACATCTCTGGCATCTGCACAACCTCGGGAACAAATGGCTTTACGTGTCCATTTTCACGAACCCATTTCAACACGAGTATGATTTGGGGCGCTGTCGGACCTCGCCGCTTTTTCGCGACTTCGATTGGTTACGATAAACTTTTATACTTCTTCATCCTGGGCGCTCTTCTGCCAATCCCGGTATTCCTCCTCAAGCGGCGCTACCCGCAGTCCTTCTGGAGTTACGTTCACATCCCCCTGTTTATTGGTGGACTGAACTATATTCCACCGGCGACGGGTACCAACTATGGCAGCTGGGCCATTGTCGGATTGATCTTTGGGTGGTGGATCAGGAGGAACTTCCGCGACTGGTGGCGTCGTTATAACTTTGTCCTCAGTTCAGCAATGGACTGCTCCGTGTCACTCGCAGGTGTGGTGATTTTCTTTGCCATCTTCTACAGTGGCGCCTCGAAGCACTTCAAGTGGTGGGGGACAAATGTCTACAAGGTCGGTAAGAATTTCTGGTTTTTGGTTCGCATGGCTAACGTAATTAATAGGAAACTTGTGACTACACCGGCTGTCCATATCTGACCCTAGACAAGGGTGAGACATTTGGGCCATAGATTGATGGTAAATAATAGAACCATCTAGGTCGACATCGCTTGGTTTATTGATGTCCGCAAACCCAACCTGTTGGGGGTGTGATATGTATATACTCTGCATATAGTAGATTAAATAGAATTAAGACACATTAGATTGTCGTAATTTACTGATTCAATCCTTCAGAGCAATTCTCATAGCTGCCACTGTTGGTGTCGGGTACAAAATCCTTGATGCCTCAGGTGCCATCATGTGATCGTCTGTCGCGTAGATTTCCTCTTTGGGAACTCCCACCACCGTCCGTCGCGCCTGACTGTTCTCATCATCGCCAACAGCGAGCGCAACGTTCTTATCAATTCGTGATCACAGTCCATCATCTCATAAGAGTCCAGGCTCTGTTCCAATATTACTAAGGCCGAGTACGACCGTCTCTTACGCTAACACCGCCACTCAGCTGCATTCAGGAAATGCTTCTCCGCTCCAATCCGGACCCGCTGTTGACAAATTCACCCAATGCAGCGATGACATTAGGGCTGCTCAGAGCTACCTGACGTGCTTATTCTGGGGATTTACTCTCCACGCTTGTCCATAAAGGCTCATTTCTACGAGATTCATCCTGATTGCCGAGGTTTATGCAAGAATGCTTGCTGTAAAGCGCAATGCTCGCAGTCTGCCAGAAGACTCACATCTCGGATCCGACAGCCACTCGGCGACAGGGTGGCGAACATGTTCAACCGGCCGGCCGTAAAGGCGATTGCAACGGTGCATACCTATGAGCTTGTCATCTGAGCCTCGGATCCTATTGGCACCGACGAGAACCGTGGATCCCATCAGTGATTCGACGATCGACCTTGCATGAGGCTGTGCATCTGAAGAAATGACAGGTTTACGCTGAAGTGCGAGGTCCACCTGTCTGGTCTATGACTCCCACATACCTGGTAACTGATGACTAGCCGGTGAATGGCCCTTCGCGAAGATCCGCTCCACCCCTAAACTCTGTTCTGGGACGGAAAAAACACCCTCGACAGTTGAGTGATGGACCACTTCGAATGGCCTAGAACTCATATGCTCATTGCTCGACCTGTGAGAGGGTAAGTGAAATCGGTTTTGGCTCGGATGGAGCCGAGGAATTGATTGAAACCTTGTTCTAGGGCTTTTTATCCGTTTGCCGTTCGATTCGGTGCTTCGCGCTGATAAAAAGCACTTGGGAATCGTTTTGTTTGGAACGTCCAGCGGTTAATTCATGGCCTGCTATGCCCGCAGCACATCATGGCGGTGTTTCGTCGCGCACCGTTGCTAGAATCTGACGGTGGACAGATTGAAGAGATGTCTCGGTATGTTGGTCATAGGGCTTCATCGAACTTTTAACTAATATTTATTAATAGATTTTCTTCTTCTCCCACGTTATCTCCCAATTCGAAGAATACAACGGATCTCATGGAAGATCGGGGCTCGTTGACACAAATGTTTCACGGCAATGCAACTCTTTCCACCGATATAACACTTACTGCTCTGGCACAACTTGGAGTCTACCGCTTCAACTGTAATCGGTCATTCGTGACCCTAATTGACAGTCATGAGAAGCAGGTCCTTGCGGAAGCAACTGCTTCCATTTCCTTGCGTAACGAAAGGAAACATGCCAGCGGGGACGGTTTATATATGGGGATCACCTCTCTCAGCCCAAACTCAGACCTATTCTCACGTACTGTCAAGCTATCCAATACCGAAGACAAGTCAGATACGATAGAAACCCAACAAGTTGTAGCCCAAGAAACCAGCTACGTCGCGTGTGACCTTTCCCAGATGGAAAATTTTGAGGGGATGTCCTCTGTGGACCAGTGGTCCCATATCCGATTTTACGCCGAAGTTCCGTTACACAGTCCCTCAGGTTCTATACTCGGCACATTTTGCATCATCGACAATAAACCACGTACTGCGTTTGGTGGTGACGATATCGCTTCATTACAGGAGATTGCGGATTCGATTGCACACCACCTCGAAACTTCCAGAATTGCACGCTGCCATAGTAAAGCCGATCGTCTTATGAATGGACTCACAAGATTTTCTAAAGGCCGGACAGACTCGAAGGGCTTCGAAGATATCGCGAAAGATCAACTAGAAGAGCAAGGCTCTCCCCTACGTGGGTCTATCTCGGATTTCACTTCTGTCGAATCCCACGATACAACGGACCGGGCCTCTGTGTCAACAGCACCTACCGATGAAGTGTCTCCATTTTTTCAGAAGCATGGACCTCCCCAAAGCCCAGGTCAAACACCTGTCCCCTTGCACGGACAGGGTTTCTTCAATATCCCGATACCGATGACACCTTTGTCTGAAAAATTACATGATAATCAATTCAGCGGCGAGGAACGGACAGATGTGCCTAGTAGAAGCACTTTTGTATCTGTGTCAGAGGCATCTGGTATCTCTCAACGTCTCGCATCGGTGTTTTCCCGTGCAAGTGATCTACTCAGGGAATGCATGGAGTTGGATGGAGTAGCTTTTTTAGACGCGGCCCGACGAAGCTCTCGAAGGTGAGTGCCATCAATTTCCCATGGCTTAATACATTCTTACACGTCGCAGTCATTCATCAGGGAGTAGCAGTGATTTGGAGGGGCTACCCAAAGCCGCCCATTCTGGCATGAATTCTCCACAACCAGCAAGCCTTTCGTCTGACGGATTCTCGGAGAATTCGGAAAGACTATGCGAACCCTTGGGTTTCTCAGTCGTGGAGGATTCGAACGGAGCCATTAGCAACATCCCGAGATTTGGAATAACAGAATCATTGTTGCGTGATATGCTAATCGCGTTCCCCCACGGTCAAGTCTTTAACTTTGAGGAGTCCTCACAGGGTGGCTACGCGTCGATGCCCACCCAACAGGAAATATGTACAGGGCTTGCAGAGCACCTTCCAGAGGCGAAATCTGCTCTCTTCCTTCCATTATGGGACTGGAATAAATCCCACTGGCTGGCTGGGGCTATCATGTGGACACGTGACAGCGAGCGACCGTTGGGAATGGAGGAGCTGCATTATCTGAAGGTGTTTGGGGATTCCATCATTGCCGAGGTAGCGAGGGTCGATTGGGCCAGCACGGAGAAGTCCAAGTCGGACTTTATCTTATCTGTCAGTCACGAACTCCGCTCTCCGCTGCATGGAATGCTTGCCAGTGCGGAGTTGTTGCAGTCGACGCCTCTGCAGCCGGGCCAACAGGAAATGGTGAAGATGGTTGAAACATGCGGCCTGACCTTGTTGGATACCATGAATTACCTGTATGTTGATGCGTATTGTCCAAGAGAACCTTCTAACTTTGACAGGCTTGACTTTACAAAAATCAACCATCTGACGGCAAGCCGAAAGAAAAACACAAACGGCCAATTATCGAGATTGACTAACCTGGTAACGGTATTTGATTTGGATGCATTAATCGAGGATGTCACCAACTCGTTATACGCTGGTCACCAGTTCCCAAAGCACGCGTCGCAGTTTGGGGGTCGATATCTGCCCGCTGGATTTGGAGGAAAGGCATCAGCAGTCGACTCCCATATTTCGGATGCACTATCTGTGATTGTACGCTTTGAAGACCAAAAAGCATGGAAAATGGAATCGGTGTCTGGGGCGTGGAGAAGGATCGTGATGAATCTTGTCGGGAATGCCCTCAAGTTCACCAAGGCGGGTTTGATTGAAATTTCCTTGTCTAGGGTTGAAAGATGCGACTCGAAACCCCTCGCTCACCTATCGGTGAAGGATACAGGACGAGGAATCTCACCTGATTTCCTGGAGGACAAGCTTTTCACTCCATTTTCACAGGAGGATATTCTGTCGGAGGGCGTCGGACTCGGCCTCAGCATCGTGGACCAGCTTGTGACCTACCTTGGCGGACACATTGACGTGGAGAGTGAACTTGGCGTTGGTACCAAGGTTGACGTGTATATCCCAGTTCAGATGGTCTCTGCCGGAGCCGATCCTTCACCCACACAGAGCCCTCCTGGAAAGGATGTGAGCAAAGTTTGTCTGGTTGGATTCAATGGCTACCTTGATTTGAAAGAATCACATACGGGGACCTTGACAGCACAGGCCAAACGAAAGCTTGCTACCAAAAGCTTTCTCAGTGACGTGTTTCTGACCAAGCCGGGCTGGACGGTATCTTTTGCCGATTCATTTGAAAAGGCGTCGGGTGATATTGCGGTCATTGATGAAGCGACACTGAAGCGGCTCACGAGAGATGGTGCTATCCATACACAATTCAAGACTGTGGTTGTTCTTGGTGGATATGGTGTGACTATTAACGCCAGCCGCGCCATAGCCAACGCAGAAGTCATCCAAGTGGCTCAGCCGTACGTATCCATTCCGTTGCTTGACCTCGACAAAATAAATGCTGACAGTTCTAGATTGGGCCCTCGGAAGATTTTTGACACATTGAAGACCATACCCACTTCTCCTAGAATAGAGAGCATGCGCAGTCCTGCATTGAGCCGCCCATCCACTCCGGGCCCCTTGAAGTCGACGAAAGTCCCATATCCATATGCATCAGCATTAGCCGGGGCATTTGAGTCGCCACCAATGGCGAGGGAAAATCTTTGTGAATTTCCGACCAAGACTGAGAAACCGGTCGACCATAAGACATTGCATGTGTTGGTTGTGGATGACAATGATATCAACATGAAGGTGAGATCAGAAATCCTTGTGCAGCTTCGTGTTTTACTAACATTACTTAGATTTTGGCCACATTCATGCGTAAGATCGGCTGCAGCTATGAGACCGCAACGAATGGTCTGATCGCATTGGAAAAGTACCAGAACTCAAAGCGAAGATTTGACTATGTGTTGATGGGTACGTTTCTCTTACACACAGAAGCAAACATGGCTAACGACGTAGATCTCTCAATGCCGGTCATGGATGGCATTATCTCCTCGACCAAGATCCGCGAGTATGAGCAACAGCACGGCCTACCGCGCACCACCATCATGGCGGTAACGGGCGTGGCATCGGCGACGATGCAGGAAGAAGCCTATGCGGCTGGAATTGACGATTACCTGGTGAAACCGATTTCACTTCACGAACTTAAACGAATTATGAAAGTTTCATGAGTTATGCTGCGTTCTTGAGTATTGATGAACTGTACATGATATAGCGATATATAGTGGGTCTTTATCGCAGATAGCGCAGATAGCCAATAAGATAAATTTCACTGATTTTATGATTTTAATGCTTTGGTTGTCAAAAGAACCTTCTACAGCTGAAAATCGGGAAAAAGACACGAGGGCAATGAATACGAAAATGATGCCTTTATCCATGCATGATATCACGGGCCCGCTAGTTATCAATCGCTGCTTACCAACAGATCCAGGCACAAGACAATCACACAAACCCGAAAGCTCCAAGTCCAGAGCTCCGGGACAGAAAATTATTTTAAACTTAAATCCGAAAGAGCTCGATCTCGAAGCTGCGAAGAAGAATCGAATGAATCCATTGGCTGCCGGAGATCCGCGGTGGAGATGAAGATCGGAAATACGGGTTGAGCGCATGGAGATACGGATATATGGATATACGGGACACGCGCATTTCAAGCTATATTATAAGAGCTGTATCTCTATTCTCTAGAGGTTTTTTAGAAGATATTCAGTCGGTACTGGTGAAAGTGACACTGATAGCATCCATGGATACACCATCATCAGGGACGGCATCGGTGGATGTCGAGCAGGGCGCCAACGAGATCCGCAAGCGATTGACCCTCACCTTTCGCGATGTCACTGTTCGAGTCACGGCGCCAGAGGCAGCATTGGGAGAGACGTTGTTGTCGGTGGCTGATCCACGACAGTATCTTGGTTTTCTTGGAAAGGGGAGCAGGCCGAAGAGAGTATGTATTCTGATATAGGGATGGAAGAAGATGCTGACGACTGCAGACTATTTTGAACGATGTTACTGGGCAGATCAAGCCGGGCGAAATGGTATATCTTCACTTTCATGACTGATTATGATATCTGCTAACTGAATAGATGCTGGTTTTGGGCCGTCCTGGATCGGGCTGTACGTCTCTTCTGCGGGTTTTGTCCAACGATCGAGAGACATTTGATGAAGTCGTTGGGGAAACGCGATATGGAGATATGGACCATAAAGAGGCGAAACGGTTTCGACAGCAGATCATGTTTAATACTGAGGGTATGTTATTTTGCATCCTTCTATCTCGATAAAACTGACCATCGCAGACGACCTGCACTTCCCTACGTTGACCGTCAACCGCACGATGAAGTTCGCCCTGCGCAACAAGATTCCCCGTGAACGACCCGAACAGCTGCAGAATAAGAAGGACTTTGTGTCGGACAAGCGAGACGGGATTTTGGATTCACTGGGAATCGGGCATACACAAAAGACCCTCGTAGGAAACGAGTTCATCCGCGGTGTGTCTGGTGGAGAGCGCAAACGAGTGTCGCTGGCTGAAGTCATGGCTGGACAGAGTCCCGTCCAGTTCTGGGATAATCCGACCAGAGGTCTTGATTCCAAGACTGCCGTTGAGTTTGCGCGTCTTTTGCGACGCGAAGCCGACCAGAACGAAAAGACCATCGTGGCGACCATGTACCAGGCGGGCAACGGCATCTATGATCAGTTCGACAAGATCCTCGTTCTCGCTGATGGACGAGTGACCTACTGTGGCCCGCGCAGTCTGGCCAGGAGATATTTTGAGGATCTGGGCTTTGTGTGTCCGAAAGGGGCGAATATCGCAGACTTTCTCACGTCTGTTACCGTCGTGACTGAGCGGGTTGTGCAGCCAGGATGGGAGGACAGAGTGCCCAATACGCCAGAGGAGTTTGAGAGGCGCTTCAAGGAAAGCGACATCCATTTGCAGATGACGAACAACATTGATCCTCCAGAGAAGTTGAGCAGCGAGAGGGACGATCTGGCAATGGCCGTGGCGAGCGAGAAGAAGAAGCGCCATGTCCCCCGTCCGCAGAGTGTGTATACGGCCAATCTCTGGGACCAGATTGTCGCCTGTACTGTGAGGTGAGTAAACAGAATCAGGAAATACTTGAAGCTATACTGACTGCATAGACAATTTCAAATCATGGCTGGCGACAAGCTCTCCCTCGTCATCAAAGTCGCTGCTGCTATTCTTCAGGCCCTCGTCTGCGGCAGTCTGTTCTACAACCTCAAGCTCGACAGCAGCTCCATCTTCCTGCGCCCCGGTGTTCTCTTCTTCCCTGTTCTTTATTTCCTCCTTGATGCCCTTTCTGAAACTACTGCTTCCTTCACCGGCCGTCCGATTCTCTCGCGACAGAAGCGCTTTGGATTCTATCGTCCCACGGCATTTTGCATCGCCAACGCCATCACTGACATTCCCGTCGTCATAACCCAGGTGTCTTGCTTTGCGCTGATTCTGTACTTTATGGCTGCGCTGCAGATGGATGCAGGAAAGTTCTTCACCTTTTGGATTATCGTCGTCGTGCAGACTCTATGCTTTACCCAGCTATTCCGTTCCGTCGGTGCGGTATGCAAGCAGTTTGGCAATGCATCCAAGATTTCCGGACTGCTAACGACGATCTTCTTTGTATACGGTGGTAAGTAGCCCTTTTCATTGAAAGCAGGGAAATACTCACAATCCCAGGCTATCTGATCCCCTTTGAGAAAATGCACGTCTGGTTCCGATGGATCTTCTACCTCAACCCTGGCTCTTACGCCTTTGAAGCCCTCATGGCCAACGAATTCGTCGGACTGAAGCTGAAATGCATTGAGCCTGATTATATCCCCTACGGACCTGGGTACTTGGATACCTCATCGAACTTCCGCGGGTGCTCTGTCGTGGGCAGTGACGGAGCAGGCGTCATCGATGGCGCAGACTACATCCGTGAACAATACAGTTACTCGGCTGGGCATATCTGGCGTAGCTTTGGTGTCATCGTTGGCATGTGGATTTTCTTCATCGTCTTGACTGCTCTGGGTTTTGAAATGCGCAACAACCAGGCTGGTTCATCGGTCTTGCTGTACAAGCGGGGTAGTAAGAAGCAGGGCGCGAGTGAGAATGCTAGCGAGAAGCCTGCGGTTGATGCAGGTGCTCTATCGCAGAACATGAAGCACTCTACCTTTTCCTGGAAGGATCTGGATTACCATGTCCCATATCAGGGAGAGAAGAAGCAGCTGTTGGATAAAGTGTTTGGATATGTCAAACCAGGTAATCTGGTGGCTCTGATGGGTTCTTCTGGTGCAGGGAAAACAACGTAAGTTAGACCCTTTTCATTTGGGATGTGGTATCTAATGTGTGCAGATTATTGGATGTTCTCGCGCAACGCAAAGACAGTGGTGAAATCGTTGGATCTATTTTGATCGACGGTCGACCTCAAGGAATCAGCTTCCAACGGACTACCGGGTATTGTGAACAGATGGATGTACACGAAGGAACTTCTACAGTCAAAGAAGCACTCGTTTTCTCTGCCGTTCTGAGGCAGCCATCGACCGTGTCATATGAGGAAAAGCTTGCATACGTGGAACATATCATCGATCTCTTGGAGCTGCGAGACATCAGTGATGCGATTATTGGAGGTAAGTCATAGTTCATTAAACTAAGAGCCATACTGACTATGATTTAGTTCCTGGTGCCGGTCTCAGCATTGAACAGCGCAAGCGAGTCACTCTTGGTGTTGAACTCGTTGCAAAGCCCACTCTGCTCTTCTTGGATGAGCCAACATCTGGTTTGGATGGCCAGTCTGCGTATAACATTGTTCGATTCTTGAGGAAGCTGGTGGACGGAGGACAGGCTGTTCTTGTGAGTATTCGAAGTATATTCTTAGGCTCTCAACTAATCCATTCAGTGCACCATCCATCAACCTTCTGCCGTTTTGTTCGACGCATTCGACTCGTTGCTCCTCCTAGCCAAGGGTGGAAAAATGACCTACTTTGGCGAGAGTAAGTTCCTTCTCCCTAGATTAAGATATCTATCTAACAGTCCAACAGCCGGCCAAGATTCAGTCAAAGTCCTGGACTACTTTGCCCGTCACGGTGCCCCCTGTCCCCCAGATGCCAATCCTGCTGAGCACATCGTCGAAGTCGTCCAGGGAAACACCACCGAGAAGATCGACTGGGTACAGACTTGGAGCCAGTCGGAGGAACGACAGAAAGCAATCCAGGAGCTGGATTCTATAAACGCTGCGAACCAAGCCAACCCGAACTACGAAGAAGACACGGCCGATTATGCGACATCGCACTGGTTCCAGTTCAAGACAGTCTTGTACCGTCTGATGACGCAGTTATGGAGATCCCCAGACTACGTATGGAACAAGATCATCCTTCACGTTTTTGCAGCACTGTTCAGTGGTTTCACCTTCTGGAAAATGGGCGATGGAACGTTTGATCTGCAATTGCGATTGTTTGCGATTTTCAACTTCATCTTCGTTGCGCCAGGATGTATCAACCAGATGCAGCCATTCTTCTTGCACAATCGAGATATCTTTGAGACACGGGAAAAGAAGGTATGTTCACAGGTATACAATGCCCGGATGATGCTAACAGATCAGTCCAAATCGTACCATTGGGTTGCTTTCATCGGTGCCCAGGCTGTCTCTGAGATCCCCTACCTGATTATCTGTGCCACGCTCTACTTTGCCTGTTGGTACTTTACAGCTGGATTCCCAGTGCAAGCCAGTATCTCCGGCCATATGTATCTGCAGATGATCTGTAAGTCACCATCCATATCCACCACGATACACACAACTAACAACCCAGTCTACGAATTCCTCTACACCTCCATCGGCCAAGCCATCGCAGCCTACTCACCGAACGAGTACTTTGCAGCCATCATGAACCCCGTCCTCATCGGCGCCGGCATGATCAGTTTCTGCGGTGTAGTGGTCCCCTACTCCCAGATTACCCCCTTCTGGCGATACTGGATGTACTACCTCGACCCATTCACGTACCTTGTTGGCGGTCTCCTCGGCGAGGTCCTCTGGGACGTCAAGGTCGAATGCAACCCATCCGAATATATCCAGTTCGCCGCTCCATTAGGCCAAACGTGTGGCGAGTACATGGCGGATTTTATGGCTGAGCAGACGGGGTATTTGCTGGATGCGAATGCTACGTCGACTTGTTCGTACTGTCAGTACTCTATGGGGTCTGATTATGCGAAGACGTTTAATCTGAAGGAGAAGTATTACTCGTGGAGAGATGTGAGTTTACCTACTGGATTGCTTTGTGTTGATGCATACTGACTGGCTTGATAGACTGGGATTACGGCGCTGTTCTGCATCAGTACTTATGCGGTGGTGTTTTTGATGATGAAGTTGAGGAGTAAGAAGACGAAGAGTGCTCGATCGGAGTAAACAGTTGGATGTTGGTATGTGAGTGGTATAGTATAATAATAGACTTATAGAAGATTCATAGAGTAGATAGACTAGAGTGCACATAGTTAATAATATTTTGTTCATCAAGAGCAATTCACCAGATGCCAGCATATTTAATAGTTGTCAGTGAAGCCATAACAGTGACGCCGGTTTAGGGCTTAGGGCCAGGGCTGGATTGTTATGACCTTCTCCCGTCTCTCGTATGCATCTCCCCGCTCTTATTGAGACCAGACACCGACCTAGATACTGCGAATGAGAATAGCAGCATATCCAACATGTCTGGCAGAAACAATCCACGTCGACCGCGTCGTATCGCCCACCAAGAACCACTACCCACGACAGACCCCCCACCCCTGTGCCGCAGAACCTCACGGGCAATAAATCCGCGCCCAGGCTCGTCCAGCAATGGTGCCAGCAGTGACTATGTCCCACCAGTGGAGCAGTCGTCTACGCCTGAAGTGACGAGACCTGATCGGAGGCTTCAAGCTCGGGCTGCAGCCCAAGATATTCACATCTACGACAACCCACTAGAGTTGATAAAGATCCGGAAGATATAGAACCAGATATATGGGATAATTTTCAGGCAGCGCACGTCTTCCCTCTCGCTAACACCGGAATTTGGCATCAATTGGGATTCGGCAACCACATGACTATTCCTAACGTGAACTCCGTACAAAACGGAATGCTCATGCGCGATCAAATCCACACTCTTTTTGATACCTATGCGTTTTCAATCTCAGTAAAGGTACAGTACTAATAGAGTGTCCAGTTATGAAACTTTGAAGTACAGGCTGACATCCACAATAGCATGGCTACAAAATTGTCTGTTTTCGCTGTGACAAAGACAACATCGCAGGGACATTCCTAAGCACCTCTTCCATTAACAACCCTGAACAACCCCTGGACATACTTCTTAATTGGCACTTTCGTCAAGCAATACTGACAAACTTGAGAGGAATGGGCGTTCCGCGAGAATGACTTCCCACCCGGATCGGACATGATGGGAGAAGTTTTGGCAGGACCCAAGCCAAGGGAACGCATGGGGTTCGAACTGTTTATGCGGCTTTCACCTTAATGGTGTTGAGATTATTGGTTCGACTGAAACGGTGATCAATGTGATTAATCTTTATGGAATTCATATTTCAACAAATGGATGGCAACCTTCTTAGTGCATAGCACTGGACGAGTCATAGGTGTTCCTGAATACCAGCTATATATACTGTGTTCATGGACAGTGCGTACGTACTATGACTTCGTGTGGTGGCTGTTGCAACCGAACATGGGAATTTTCGTGGGAAATATGATACCAAGTCCCTTTTCTGTACACTATTTGCTGCTATCTATACTACTAATGAACGAACGAAATGACCTCATCGTCGAAAAGAGAAGGGTATTTCCTAATTGGGCATCGGAGCGAGCAGAGCCGACAGGCTAACCGGAATAGGCAGGCGCCAACACGAGACGCGTCGAGAACCAAAAAAATACCAATAATTAATGAAAGCGGAAAGAGGCCAGACGGATGGCTTCGACCATTGACGAGTTATGAGATACGACCATGAATCCTTTCCTCCCTAACAACACTCCCTCCATGGACCTCTCCGGCCGCACTCCCATCTACCGATTGTCGCAGGTCGAGCAGTCCTGGCCTCAAGTCCCCACCCCCACCCCTAGCAACTACGTCTCGCCGTACCGACCACCGCAGCACCAACAAGATCAGCAGCAGCAAGGACTGCCGCCCCAACAATCCCCGGATTCCGCACAGCTGCAGAATGATAACGCCGCGGGTGAGGGGTCTCCTGGTGAAAGTCCCCCGCCCGATGGAGAGGGCGCAGTAGACACACCGTCTTCGCAGAAACGACGGGGGCGGAAGCTACTGGAGGAGCAGGTGGCGGTGCTTTTTAATTGCTGCCTCGAGCAGCAAGGGTTATATGCAGACCAGGACCGAGTGCGGTTTTGGATCACCGTCGCGTCCAAGCTGAAGCAGCGGACGCGACGGAGTTTCGCATGGCAGTCATGCCGGCGGATCGTCACGGATCGATCGTTAGAGAGGCGGGTTCATCGCCGGGAGATCGAGGTCGGGAGACGAACAGAAGAACAAGCCCCATCTGAACTGACAATGGCGATTGATCGGTGGATTGCAATGGAAGACATGATGGAGCAGCAGATATCGGCGGCGTTGACAGCGAAGCGGTCCTGGGGACAAACACAACCGGCTGGGCCGGGGGAACCAGCGGCAGTGGCAGCAGCACCAGTAATAGCAACGCCAGGATCAGGACCAGGGCCAGCCAAACGGGTCAAGCAATCGCCGTTAAAGGCTACATTGGCAGAGTCGCTGGTGAAACTGAGCGAGTCGTTGACGCAGGAGGCGGAAAGCGATAGTATGAAAGAGGAGATGGTCACAGAGGTACGGGATGTCCGACGAGGGATGGACGATATGCGGCAGAGTATGGAGGAAACTAGAAAAGAATTGAATGCATTGCGAGTTGATATGAATCGCAAGTTCGAGTTGGTGATTCAACTGTTAACGGAGATGAAGGAGCAGGAGGAGTCGGGGTAGTTCAGGTGTACGATAGTAGCATTTGTACATAGCATCCATAGTAAATAAGCGTATCTATATCTTCTATCTACCTCTATCTTCCATATATCTAGTATCCCTATCTCCTACTGAATTCACCTTCTGTCTGTCACATGATAACTGCTGAGATTAACTGCGGATACCACAGTGACAGCGGCCAGTTCCGAAGTGGATCTTTGGGTTTCTTTCAGCAGTGATTCAGCAGTGATTCAGCAGTGATTCAGTCGGTATTCTCTCTTTTTTGAGCTTCAATTCAGTGCATTCAGTGAATCCAATTGAATGTAATGTTATACTCAATTATGAAACTTTGCTCATGATTCAAGCAGTCGCACAATTCCCAGCACAACATCACAACACGAATAAGCGGTCAACCATGACGATCCTCGATGATCACAACGCTTTGGACAAGAGACACAAACTAGGCGAAACATAATATCCACTATGGGCCAACACGGCAAATCGCAAATGGCAGACCTCACGATGGAGCCGGCAGTCCACAATGACTGGCCCAGCAAGACAACACCATTGTTTAGAGGCGGACTGTCCAGCAGTTCAGGCTATTCGACCCCTCCCCAGCACGATCCCATTCCTTCGTCCTTCATCCCAGCATCGATCAATTTAATTGATACATAATTCTACCATGGCTACCAACGCCAGCTCACAGCTTTTCCAGCCTCTGGCTATCGCCAATGGCAAGATTACGCTCAGCCATCGTGTGGTTCATGCCCCGTTGACTCGCAACCGGGGTGTTCCTCTAAATGCCACCAGTACTCCTGAGAATCCCAATCGCATTTGGATTCCGGGGGATCTGATCGCTGAATATTACAGCCAGCGCACGACCAAGGGAGGGTTGATTATTTCCGAGGGCATTCCCCCTTCTCTCGAGGTATTCTCAATTAACAATTCTTCTCTGCTATTTATCTAACCTCACAGAGCAATGGCATGCCCGGTGTCCCCGGTATCTTCATCCCTGAACAAGCAGCCGGATGGAAGAAAGTCGTCGACGCCGTCCATGCCAAAGGAGGCATCATCTACGCCCAATTGTGGCACGCTGGCCGTACCACAATTCCCCATATGACTGGATCTCCTGTCGTCGCTCCCTCTGCCACACCTTGGGACTCGCCGACTGAATGCTTCCCGTATCCCCCGGTTGGTTCGACAGAGCAGGTGAAGTATGTGGACCACCCGCCCATTGAAATGACAGTCGAACACATCCAGCAGACCATCAAAGACTACTGCACCGCCGCGAAAACAGCCATGGATGCTGGCTTTGACGGTGTGGAAATCCACGGCGGCAATGGATATCTGCCTGAGCAGTTCCTCAGTTCCAACGTCAACAAGCGCACAGATGCGTACGGTGGCACGCCCGAGAAGCGATGCACCTTTGTCTTGGAGTTGATGGATGCTCTGGCCCAAACGATCGGCGAGGAGAACACGGCCATTCGCCTCTCGCCATTTGGACTCTTCAACCAAGCGCGCGGCGAGCAGCGCGTCGAAACCTGGACATATCTGTGCGAGAAGCTGAAAGAGTCTCACCCGGCCATGTCCTATGTCAGCTTCCTCGAGCCTGTACGTTTACCTAGCCCCTATCTCCATACCAGTAGAACCCTACTAACAATCTACAGCGCTACGAACAAGTCTTCAGCTACGAAGAAAAAGACCAATTCCTACGCAGCTGGGGCCTGGAAGCCGTCAACCTCGACCGATTCCGGAAGATCTTCGGCTCCACCCCCTTCTTTTCCGCGGGAGGCTTCAACGACCAGAACTCCTGGGGCGTTGTGGAATCGGGCAAGTATGATGCCATCGTGTACGGGCGGTACTTTACCAGTAACCCGGACTTGGTGCAGAGGTTGGAGAAGGGGATTCCGCTGGAGCCGTACGATCGGGCTCGGTTTTATGGGCCGTTTGAGGATAATGCGTTCCATTATACGGATTATGTGGCTGCTAATGCGGGAGCTAGTAGTTGTTCTATTGTATGAAATGGGTGTAATGAGTTAATTTAGTTGATTCAGAATTGACAATGTTTGATGTTGTTGTGAGGCTGAGAAGTTGCTTTTGATAACCCCTGCTATAGATTATGCAATATCACACTGGCTGCAGAAGGATTCGGCCATGTGGTTGGAATGTTCCAGAATACTTTATCAAGAACTCGTACGTTCTTGATGGTCTGAATGTATAAACTCTGAAGCTAAATTGAATTCAATTAGCTTTCACTTTAATATTCTATTTCTGTTTATTGAATCCATCAACAGTATCCACAGCTTCATGATGCGGGGTAGGAAATTATATCGGCGAACAACCACATCCAACAGATAATATGTGAACACTGTATACCTATCTACTGGACCTTTCGACATCTCCTAATTCGTATTTATCCATGCTTTCAATAGTGCAGACAGCCTTGCTGTAAAGAAATACAAGACCCCTGCCCGTATCTGCCTCAGGCAAACAACAATCACTAGCGCGATGATCACGACTCCACTTCAGCTCGCGATGAAAGCAAAGCCAAAGAAAAGCAAAAAAAAGGAGAGCTCAGCCAGGATGAACATCGTCAGCTCAGCGTGTCTTTCGCATGCGCTCAAAATAACCGACAATGACTCAACGACATCACCGACAGATTGTTCTCTGTTTCGATGGCACGGGCAAGACTTTCCGCGCTGATGGCAGCGAAAGCAATATCCTCAAAATTTTCGGGATGCTGAACCGGACAGACGATGAGCATTGTATGCATCCATTGACTGTCTATATGAAATCAGGCTAACTGATACAGACTGCTACTATCAACGTACGATCCTCCGCCCTTAAATGAACGAAACGAAACTCACCAAAACAGCCGGAATCGGAACCGACATCACCCCAACCTCCCTCGCCAGCACTGCGATTCGCAAGAAGAAGCCATGGAATAACAAAGCGCTCGAGCTGGCGTTAGGCCAGTCCTTTGACGGACACTTACTCGGCGGATATCGATTCCTGATGCGCCATTATCGCTCTGGCGCGAAGATCTACATTTTCGGGTTTTCTCGCGGTGCATACACGGCGCGATTCCTGAACGAAATGCTAGACTGGGTGGGCTTGCTGAGCGCGGATAATGAGGAGATGATCCCGTTCATCTGGGAGGCGTTTGTGGCGTGGAAATCGAGCGAGGAGAAACAGCGTCAGAATGCGGATTATTTCCTCAAAGCGTGTGCGGAGAATATCTGTCGGCGGGTGGAGAGGGTGCAGTTTCTGGGTCTGTTTGATACGGTGAATAGCATTGCGGAGTTCAAGCTCAACTCGGAGACGATACCCTCGAGTAGGGTTATTCGGCACGCTGTCAGCATCGACGAGAGGAGGGTCAAGTTCCGACCGGTTTTATTGAATCAGACGCGGGTGGTGCCTCGACATAGGAAGAAACATCATCACGAGAAGAACATTCCCATGATTTTGCTTCATCGGGATGAAAAACACGAAGAGAAACCGGAAAAGCATATCAAAAACAAGATCTATGCGGAAGATGTCGTCAGCCAGAACCCATCCAGCAGTGACTCCATCTCCTCGCCCGATGCACCTCTTCCCCGGATCGACGGCAATGACCAAGATATCGAGGAGGTGTGGTTTCCTGGTGGACATACTGATATCGGGGGTGGATGGAAATTAAGACCAGGCGAGGAATGGCCGCTCAGCCATACGCCTTTAGTCTGGATGGTGCAGGAGGCACAGCGAGCAGGCCTTCACTTTGATGAGGCGAAGCTCAAACGGTTCCGATGCATTGAAGACGGCACCACGTACCCCAAAGTCGTGGGAGACGAGGCATTGGGGGATATCAAGTCATGGTCGAGTCCGTTCCTGGACGCGCTGTATGCAAGCACGATTGGCTACCACCATGATCTCCTGCAGCGCGGTCATGAAATCTCTCTCTCATCGGTCGTGGCTTGGAAGGCTATGGAATGCTTCCCAGTCAAGCGAATGGAGCTGCAGTCTGATGCATCGTGGAAGCTGACCCGATGGCCACCTTCTCTGGGAGGCATGCGCGATATCCCACCCGACGCGCAGGTCCATATTACTGCGATCCGACGAATGATGGATTTCACCGACTATAAACCATGCAATCTATTCGCGGGAAGTGGTCGGCGATATGGAAAGGACATAATATCGTCGGATGAAAAAGGAGCGTGGCGGCTATACAAGCATCAAGGGGATCCTGTACGGCAGACTTTTATTCGAAACTGGTAGTCTATACTGCCTATCCACGCTGAATCCATAATCTCGATAATATGCACACAACTCAATCTATCCGGGCCGATCCGCTTTCATAAACATCCTGAATCACCATGCATAACTCGTATTGCGTATCCGAAGCACGTGGTCTCGCCACTGGCCGGCGATGAAGCCGAGATCCGCGCCGTTTTTACGCCATTTGGAGTTGATCGTCGTGGGATGACGACGAGATCGATTGGGGTATATCTCCGAGGCTATAAATATTATCATCGCTTTACTCTCTCAGGCAGTGTTATTGTCGTTGACAACAGACACAATGCGCCTTGCTCTCGCCCTCCTCCCTCTGACAGCCCAGGCAGTCAACATCGTCTCTTCCAACGACGATGGATGGGCGGAAATCAACATCCGCACGTTGTTCAACTCGTTGACGTCTGCTGGGCATTCGGTTGTCGTGTCAGCCCCTGCCGAGAACCAGAGTGGAAAGGGTATGCGAATCTACCCATTGACGATGCATAGCTAATAATGCAGGCTCCTCCGATAAAACACCCACCAAACTCACCGAAGCATGCGAGTTCAACAGCTGTCCGTCTGGAAGCCCTGCCATCGGCCATAATGCGTCGCAGCCGCGCCTCAACTACGTCAACTCATACCCCCTGACCTCGATGAAGTACGGCATCGACAACATTTCCTCGCAATTCTACGACGCCCCCGATCTCGCCGTCTCCGGGCCAAACGCCGGCTCGAACCTCGGCGTGACCGTGTATTTCTCCGGCACAGTAGGCGCTGCCACATACGCCGCGCATAACGCGGGGATTCCTGCAATCGCCTTTTCCGGGGCTTCAGGATCGCAGACCGGGTGGAATGAGGAGACGCCATTGTACAGCCAGGTGTATGCGGACCTTGCGACCAACGTCACCAACCGTGTCATTGCGTCGGGAACACCCTACCTCCCGGCTGATGTGTGGTTGAATGTCAACTTCCCCTCTGTGAGCGACTCGAAATGTTCCACCACGGATGAGTTTGAGTTCATCCTATCGCGGATCCACTTGGCCGTGCCACTGGTCACGGATGACGATGTAGAAACCTGTGGGAGTAAGCGACTGCCGACCGAGACGGAGGTGATTCTCAAGTCGGGCTGCTATGCCAGTGTGTCGGTTGGAATGGCGGGCGACAAGGGCGATGCTAATGCGACGGTGCAGGGGGAGGTGTTGAGTAAATTGGGCAATTTCCTGACTTGTCTACCTTGAGATAGTACACACTTAGCACATACATAGCTGTATAATCTAGTCCTATCAGAACAGCACGTGTACACGCCAATGCAACGTCAATATCGCATCAACTGATCATCTAATCAAGATAACAATCTAATATACATTTCCCCTGACGATCATCCCGGGTCTTTCCCCATCCGGTAATCCCCCCGAGCGAAGATTCTCCGAACGAACGAACCAACCCACCGTCATTATCTAATTCCCCCTATTGAATATTTAAACTCCTGAAGAATTGACAATTTGATCATCGTCGATTAAGTTGAGCCAATTCTAACTCTGACATCTAACGCAAAAATGGTCCGTCTTGTTGATCTTCTGGCTCTCCCGGCCGTTTGCCTCGCTCTTCCCAGCCAGCACCAGGCCCGTGATACCGTCAACAGCGACCAGCTCGTTGGGTTTGATCAAACCGTCCCCAGCGGAGCAACAGGTGATGTGTATCTGGCGTACAAACCGCATCTCAAGGTGGTGAATGGCTGTGTGCCCTTCCCTGCTGTCGATGAAAATGGAAACACCAAGTAAGCTCACCACTGCCAACCTTCCAGTATGTCTGTATACTAACCATACAGCGCCGGCTTAAAACCCTCTGGCTCCCAAAGCGGCGAATGCAGCAGCAGCACCGGACAGGTGTACGTCCGCGGAACCAACAACGGCACGCACGCCGCACTCATGTACGCCTGGTACTTTCCCAAAGACGAGCCGTCGACTGGCATCGGCCACCGCCACGACTGGGAGGGCGTGGTCGTCTGGCTATCCGACTCTTCTGCCTCGACGGCGGAGAACATCCTCGCCGTGTGTCCGTCTGCGCATGGAGGCTGGGACTGCTCGACGGACGGATACTCTCTGGACGGCACGTCGCCGCTGATCCAGTACAAGAGTACCTGGCCGTTGGACCACCAGAACGGATTGACGAGTGAAGTTGGCGGCGAGCAGCCGTTGATTGCGTGGGAATCGCTCCCCAGCGCTGCGAGTGAGGCATTGGAGAATACGGACTTTGGGAAGGCAAATGTGCCATTTAAGGATGCCAATTGGGAGAGGAATTTGGGATTGGCTAGTTTTTAATCATAATACCCTGTATATACCATATCTATCTATATATTTATCTATATCTATCGATGAATGTCTTCTATAGCAGTCGCATCCTGCTTTGCTTCCAGCTCTGCCTCCTGGGCATGTTGATGCGGAATCACCGTCCGTCCTCGAGAAGAGAAAACACCACCGGTAAAGCCTCCTTTGGCGAAGATGAGATTGATGTCCTCCAGCTCCAGTCCTTTCGTCTCGGGGAAGAAGAAGAAGACAATCGGAATCCAGAGGAAGTTGAGAATGGCAAAGATGATGAATACCCTCCAGCCAATATTTTCTACAACCATCAGCACTGAACTGTATACAGATGTAGGATAACTCACGAATAGCAATCGGCGTGATCTTCACCACCGCAAACACCGACAACCAGTTAAACGCCGACGCAATCGCCGCACTCTTACTCCGCAGCCGCTGCGTGCTGATCTCAGACGGATAGAACCACGGCACCGGTAACCAGCCCAAGCCGTAGAAGATCTGGAAAATGAAGATGAACGCCGTTGCGCCGTACGCGGCGTTGAGCTTACTGAGAGAGAGCAGGACGGCCACGAGCACAAAACACAGCGACAGTCCACCCGCAGACACCATCAGCAGCACCCGCCGGCCGTATTTGTCCATCAGGAAGAGGGGGATGGCGGAGCCAAGCAGGTAGGCGATGGAGGTGCAGCCGCTGAGGATCATGGACATGTTGCGCGACATGTTCATGGCGCTTTCGTAGACGGTGGGGGCGTAGTAGTTTCTGTTCCTTAGCATTTATCATCTTGATAAGAGAGGAGATACATACATCATGTTCGATCCAGTAAACTGCATCATAATTTCAATCGCGATGATGATGGCCAGTCGGCGCCAGTTCTGCACTTTGCCGTGTGTGAAGAATTCGCTGAATTTGACGCTGTCGCCGTGAATGTCTTCGCGGATGGCACTCTCTATATCCATCAAGCTGCGGAGCACAATCTCGTCATGTTCGTCGACGTCGTTGATGGACGCAATAACAGCTCTTGCTTCCTCGTGCCGGTCATTCTGCATAAGCCACCGTGGTGTTTCCGGTAACCCGATGACTTGGAGGATGAGGAAGATGGCAAAGACGGCTTGGAATGCGAGAGGGAATCGCCATTGAAAGGAGGATTCGGTAAAGCTGGTGCCGTAGTCGAGCCAGGTGGCTGTCTTGTTAGTTACAATCAGTGATGGTGATGTAGGATACATACCAATGCACAGACCGAGAATGGTCATTGTGCCCTGCAGGGTCAGCAGCGTTCCTCGGATATTGGCTGGCGAGCATTCACTCTGGTATACAGGCGCTGAGGAGCTGTTCATGCCATTGCCCTATTCCATCAGCATGATATCCTGCACATGAGGGAGAAACTCACCACGCCAGTCACGATTCGTCCGACGATCAACTGTGCCACTGTACTCGACGTCGCTAGGATGATCGTGCCCACCACCATGATCGCACCCCCAGCCATCAACATCTTCCGTCGACCCAGCCATTCACCGATGAAAAACACCAGAATCGACCCGAGGATACACCCAATCTACATCATTAGCCAGTAACCAACATCAACCAAGTACTACTCACATCATACAACGCCACAATATCCCCCTGCAAATCCGCATCAGGATGGTGAAAGTCCCTGCCAAACCGATTATCCGCACCAACCAGACCGCTCATCACGCCCTGGTCATAGCCCAGCAGCAAGAATGCCTGGCATGAGCAAGCCGTGACGGCAAAAACGAGTGCTCGGCCCCGGAAATTGTGCTTCCACATGGTTGATTGATTTGAATTGAGTCGATAGTGAGAGTGAGACGACTAGAACGGGGCGTATTTATCACCCCCTTCTCTCCCCTTCTCTCTCTCCATTCTGTGTCTGCTTCACTCCACAATCTCGCAGCCAATCGGCAGGCCAGGCGGGTGGATTATGGGGTCGGGGTCGGGGGAAAAGAGGGCGAGTGCGGAGTGTGGAGTGCGGGGTTCGGATATTCCGTCTTTCATCTTGTCTTGCCTAATATTGTGCTTAAAGATAGCTGGTATTCTAAGCATGTTGTATGACTGTCTATATATGTATCTAAATATCTCTAGATGAATGAGGCTAATCTAGACATACTGTAATGTTTGTAGTGGTAGATATAAAAAGTCGGACTGCAATACACCGAATCTCCAACAAAACAAGCTGAATAAAGTGCAACCACCGCTCCCAGGTCTATTTCGTCATCATCTATCATACCCTCTATTGGTCACACCGACCCAGAACCAGTCTAGTTAAACGCCGCCCAATCATGCCCCAGCCGATCCATGGGCAAATATCCTATCTTCGGCCCGTCCGCAACAGCCGCCTGCATCTCGTTTTCCGTGGGAATGTCAAAGATAAACGCCCCGATGCGTCGGCAGAAGAGGATATACTCTGGCACGGGTTTTTTGGCGTATCTATCTTGTTAGTCTCGTCTGAGATATATCAAGGAAGGTAGACACACATGTAAGAATCATAAATCCTCCTCGTCCACAAACTAAACTTGCCCACCAAGTGCACCAGGATAAAGTACGCCACACCCGCCCAGGAACTACTACAGTGGCCAAACGCCATTGCTCCCGAGCCCGTAATGCCCAGCGCGTACACGAACCGCGAATTCATATTCTTGATAAAGTCGCGTGTGGGACCCATGGTGGAAAAGAGGAAGAGAAAGGCCCTCATGTAGATGAAGGCGTGGAGGGGCATGATGACGTCGTGGTAGGCCATTGGCTCTTGGGTGTGGTATGCGTGGAGTATGACGAGTGGTCGCATGAGGCCTGATGCCTGGTAGGATGGTTCTGGGGGGTTAGCATGCTTATATAGAGTATGATAATAGTGTACGCACTGGTGATAGGGGGATAGCCTTTTTTGAGGTGTTTGACGAGCATCCAGGATGTGGCGGAGTGGACGAGACACGCTGCCACGGCGGGGAGAGAGCATGGATAGCCGCCATAGTAGAGGGCTAGTTCGGCCAGGCCGGCAACCGTGTGATATGGTAGAGCTGGATGGTTAGAATGTAGCGTAGTGGGTCAGGAAGCGGACGTACCTGGATGGGGGTGATAGCTCTTTCTGTTGACGAGTTGGTAGAGGATAAAGACAAAGTAGAGACCCAGGATGAGCACATCCGAGTCGTTTGTATAGACTCGTTGATACATTCTGATCTTTTGTTCTCAGTTGTCAATGTTGGTCTGTTGTACATAATAAATATCAAAATGAGTCAAACTGACCGGGAGCAAAATAGGAATAAGGTTTCGGTTATGACTTGGCCAAAACAACTTCATGTCGAGAGAATGGCTGCATTTATATTGCAATTACCTGCTGTTTTATTATCAATTTGATGGATGATAACACAGATCAAATGACAATCGGTCGTTTAGGGAGTATGTAAACGCCAGATCAACCTGGTTGTACAGCATACCCATGTATATGGCTGCTGCCCTTCACGGTATAAATGCATTCCAACTGACGTGTTATCGTAAATTTAAATGTTGTGCAACACATTAAACTGTATACTCATTCCACTGTTTAACGTGACAATTCCATGGATCGGATTTGACAGCCGTGGTCTTATTAATTGAGCTTTTCTGTATGCACATGAGAGCATCTTGCGGGTGTTGTGTAACAGTTCTCTATCCATACCATAATGCATTCCAGTCTTTTACGATTACACAAGATGTTTTCTATCATTGAGATTATCATATGAGAGATACTGCATATTCTGATGTGTCAAACTAGATGCCATTGCCTTTCAACCTGTAAAACTGAATACAATTCATTCAAACCACTATGAAATACCAACTAACAACTATCTATAATACACGTCTCCTGCCTCACGAAGCTCTAAGCAGACTTGGGGTGGCACTGGTAGTAGTAAGGGTTCATGGAGCTGCACTTGGCACCGTCAGCGCAGACCTTGGGGCCCTTCCAGTTGACACCACCGCACTGGCCGTAGACAGACTGCGCACCGCCAGCAGCCGAGGAAGAGGGAGCAGCAGGGGTGGGAACGGGGGTGGTGGCGAAGGAGGAGACGGGGGCGGAACTAGCGGGGGTGCGGCTGGGGGCGGGCGCAGAGGGGATGCGGATGGGCACGCTGGTCATGGAGGACACGATGATGGAGGGCTTTGACGAGCTGGAGGCCGTGGGCTGGGCAGCAGCGGTGGTGGAGGCCGAGGCAGAGGCAGCCGCAGAGCCGGTCACGGCAGTGCCGGTGGAGGTGATGGCGGAGGTGGTCTGCGAGATGGAGGTGGCGCCGGAGTACATCGAGGGACCGGGGAGAGTGTACGACGAGATGGACGAGTAGATGTTGACGTACAGGCCGGGATCGTTCTCGGTGTACAGCTTGGTGCCGAGAGTGCCCTCGGGCTTGTCGGTGCCATCGCCAGTGACCTGCAGGTTGAAGCACTGGGGGTAGTTCTGGGCGCCGCCCTTCTCCTCGGCGCCGTGCAGAGCGACCAGCTCGTGGCGGAGGACGTAGTTGCCCGGAGCAATGGACTTGGGGATCTCAACCATCCAGCTGTTGTTGTTCTTGATCAGCTGGTCGTCGCCCCAGGTGCCAGGGACCTCCGAGTCGTCGACGAGACCCACGCCGTCGATCTTGAAGAACTTGAGCTCGGTCTTGTCGACGGTCTCGCAGCTGTCACCGCAGTCGGCGAGGTAGTCGAGGACCGGGCCGTGGTGGGAGTCGGGCCAGGCCGTCCACTGGATGTTGACGCGGTCGCCGGCCTTGACGACGGCGTGGCCCTTGGCGTTGGTGGCATTCTGGTGGCAGATGATGTCGTCGGTGCTCAGCTGGTCGCCCGAGATGAAGCCATTGCCGGTGTTGGGAGTGGTCCAGGCGACGACAGCCGGGGGGTCCGACTCGTAGGGGAAACTGCCAATGTCGAAGCCTTCGTAGGAGACGCCGTTGATGACGATGTTGGTGACATGGCCGTGGGCAGCGACACGCGAGGCCGACAACAAGGCCGTGAAGAGAGAGGCAGGGAGGAATTGACGCATGTTGGGATAAAATGAAGGTAAAGCGGACCAGCGCAAAGAATGGCAACTTCAATCAATGAAGAATGGAAAGAAAGAATGGAAAGGTTTGAATGATTGAATTGATGGGAGAAGAGAAGAGGGAAACGGCATATTTAAAGCGTAGATGGAGGGAGACAGAGAAAAACAAGAGAGTGGAACAGGCAGTCCTGGATGGCTTCACCATATGGCAGTTCATTTCAGAAGCGCCCAAGCAATACAGATGAAAGCATGGGAGTCGCACCATCATGGGAGATAAACAAGATCAGGGGCAAGTGTAGCAGGTAGAAAGTGGAGCTGTTTGAGATAGACCCACTGGTGAAGATATTCACATTTAGCCTTGATACATGGTCGAATCTTATTTATTATTGAGTTATTCTAAATGCTATATTTCTATGAATTGATGATGTCTTGTTTATCATAAGAATATGAGGGAGTCAGTCGAGGTAATAATATAGCATAACCATAGCCGCCGATAGACAGTCAATATACATTAATATAATCAATGAATAAAGCTGAAACAATATCTCTATCAACTGAGTCAGGCTTCATCTATAGCGGTCGATCATTTCCTTATCGTGGCTTGAAGAATAAATAGAATCATGTCGAATCCAATTGTGGATCTATTCAGGACATTCATAGACAATCAAGCAGGAATATCATCCAGTATGATCGAGCTGTCATAATCTAAATATGCAGGAAGAGATAATTCTGTATGCCTGAGTTCTAAGGCAATCAGGTAATGATAATTCTGAGATGAAGCCATACAGACCATTAGTCGAAATACCCACATTCGTAACCCATTATCAACCAAGATTATGATTGTAAACAGAACCACGTGAACGCCTTTCTAAGGCTGTATTATTGGCGCATATTCTCCTGCTCCATCCAATAACCTCACCTTCTCCAATGCAGCTAATTTCCGCCTTTCGCTGTAACTGGATAGCCTCATGCCGATCCATCTCGGCACCGTCCAAGTTACATTGTCTGACCGTCAATACGAGATGTCCAGTCATCCTACCAGCGCCCGACTATCGCCATCGCCATTGAATCGAGGCCAAAGCCCTTGGCAGCCCGCCAACGATGCGGATGACTCGCCGCCATGGCCGCCTGGTGGTGGCTTGTTGGCAACCCGACGGGATGCGCCATCGACCAACAAAGAAAGGATTCTCTCTTGGCCAGCCATGAAACATGACCATTCGTTCATCCCGGTACACTCTCTAATCCCTGGTCCGAACAAAGAAAATCCGGAGAAGGCAAATCTGGAGACAAAGATGCGGGGCAAACACGACAGCCTCATGCGGCGGGTGAGCCACGAGGTCTTGCGTCCTTTTAATGATCGCCTTTCCCCTCGTCGTTCTGTCGGCCCAGATTTCTTCGCGTCTTCTTTCTCTCATTTGCCTGTCGTTTTCTGCAGCTAGATCGACAAGTGATCTGCCATCATGGGAGAAAAGCCAACCGACCCCGAATCACCCGGGGACATCCACCACCTCGAGTCTTCCATCTCCATCGAGAAGAAAGATGCCGTGGACGCAGAGGTGGCCCGCACATGGTCGCGTGAAGTCGGCCAGAAACAGGGCAAATACACCAAGCTGAAGAACCCCCTGGCCGGTCTGTCCAAGGAGGAACTGCTGGCCGATGTCGAAGCCTTTGCGCGTGAAAAGGGACTCGAGGATGCGCTCGAAGACCTCAAAAAGGGAGCGTTGATCTCGCAGGATCCCAAGGCGTTCGAGTCGCTGTCGGAACTGACGGAGGCGGATAAAGAGTTGATTCGGCGCGAAAAGACGCATCGATGGAACCAGCCGTTTATGATGTATTTCATGACGAGTACGTCCGTGGTCGGTCCTTGATGTCGCTTCTAACATTGAATAGTTCTGTGTGCGGGATCGGCGATTGTCCAGGGCATGGACCAGACGGCCGTCAATGGCGCTCAGGAGTATGTATTGCTGATGCTGTATAGACGATGCTAATGGCAACAGATTCTACTTTGACGAGTTCAACATCACCAACGAGTGGATGCAGGGTCTTCTCAACGGTGCTCCGTATCTCTGCTCTGCCCTTGTCGGATGCTGGACCACAGCGCCTTTGAATCGCTATTTCGGCCGTCGAGGATGTATCTTCATCTCCTGCTTCATCTCCTTTGCTTCGTCCTTCTGGATGGCTGCCTCCACCACCTGGTACCATCTCTTCCTGAGTCGACTCCTCCTCGGTCTCGCTGTCGGTGCCAAATCCACCACGACCCCCGTCTACGGCGCTGAATGCTCTCCCGCCAATATCCGTGGTGCTTTAGTCATGATGTGGCAGATGTGGACGGCGTTTGGCATCATGTTGGGATACATTGCCTCGGTTGTCTTTATGGATGTGCATCGCCCGGGTCTACAAGGTCTCAACTGGCGGTTGATGTTGGGTTCTACCGCAATTCCGTATGTCTTCATACCCCTCCTTTACTCAGATGCTAACTTGACAGTCCAATGTTCGTCTGCTCCCAAGTCTACTTCTGCCCCGAGTCTCCTAGATGGTACATGATCCGCAACCGCTATCGCAGCGCCTACAATGCTTTGTGCAAACTGCGTCCCTCCACCCTACAGGCTGCCCGTGATCTCTACTATATCCACGCAGCGCTGAAAGAAGAGGAACGCATGCGCGAGGGAAAGCAACTATGGAGTGAAATGTTCACTGTTCCTCGCAACCGTCGCGCAGCGCAGTCTTCGTTCTTTGTCATGTTCATGCAGCAGGTATGTCTCTTCTCGAATACTGCATACATATCATCCTGACCATTCAGTTCTGCGGCGTCAACGCTATCATGTACTACTCCTCGTCCATGTTCCGAAGTGCCGGGTTCAGCGTAAGAGAGGCTCTCGTCACCTCGCTAGGATGCGGCATCACCAACTGGATCTTTGCTCTTCCTGCCGTCTACACCATTGACACATTCGGGCGACGCAATCTTCTTCTCACCACTTTCCCTCTCATGTGTCTCTTCCTGCTGTTCACGGGTTTCTCGTTCTATATTCCCGACCAGACACCTCGGACGGCTTGTGTTGCGACGGGTATCTACCTGTTCATGATTGTCTACTCGCCAGGAGAGGGTCCGGTGCCGTTCACCTACTCTGCCGAAGCATTCGTACGTCCCCATCCCCTCTACATTAATATACAACACTAACATGAAATGAATAGCCTCTTTACATCCGCGACATTGGAATGTCATTTGCAACCGCTACTACCTGGTTCTTCAACTTTGTGGTTTCTCTCACCTGGCCAGCACTGAACCGTGCCTTTTCACCACAAGGCGCGTTTGGCTGGTACGCGGCGTGGAACTTCTTCGGCTGGTTCTTCTGCTACTTCTGTCTGCCCGAGACGAAGGCCCTCTCACTCGAAGAACTCGACCAGGTGTTTTCCGTGCCGACGAGAAAGCACATCAATCATTATGCGGGGATGATCCCGTGGTATGTGAAGAAGTATATTTTGCGGGGAGATGTGCCGCCGCAGAAGCAGCTTTACGATTATGAATGAATGGAGTGAGCTGGATGGGTATTGGGTGATGGGTTGTTGTGATTAGATGATTTGTGAGTTTACATATACCAGACAATGTGTATCTGTTGTAACTATCGATTGCTTAATATATTTGACTGCTGAATCTGAACATGAGGCATCTGCACTAACCGGTTTACCTCGGGCCGATGCTTGAGCGTCTCAGGATTGTTTGAGTTGTGTATTCACCGTATCGTATCCACCAGCAACGCCAACCAGCATCATCTATTCGCTGCTTCGCTTCCATCTCCCCTTATTCTCTCCGCTTCTCCTCCGCATTTTCCATCGCTGAAGTCGAAAGTCAAAGTCACCTGCTCTTCCGTTTCGGGATCCCTGCAGACACGGGGCATGCCGCTGCCTTCCTAATCAGGCCTAGCGAGGGGGCGTTCCGTTCTGGACGGTTACATCTCCGCTATTCCTGATTGGCTTACGCCACCGACAGGCACCCTGCAAACGGCCCACTCTGATACCGGCTGTAAGATACACGTATTTTATGCCGTAATGCCAATACCACGACGGTGGGGATCGAAGTGGAAACACACACTGCAAATCTTGACGCGCTTGTGAGGGAATTAATCGCGATGGAGAATCCGTTGAGTCACGGCTGTCATGGTTTGGTTTGGTTCTGTTCTTCATCTGATTGATAGATTGAATCGATTGTTGACTGTCAAGCCTGTCGGATTTTGCGTTGCTAAGTTGTGTCCATGAAGCGATAGCGTTGCATTCGAGCCAATAGGTGGAGCAGATTTTTTTTCTCTCTGTCTTTCTTCACGTCACGGCTGGATTCGGAGGGTAGTGAGGTTGAGAAGACTCGCTATCACTGCGTTTAATCATGGCCATGAGCCACTCTACTTCTGAAGCTTACGGAGCTTCAGAGATGGGACTTGACCAGCATGCCATTGACAATGTTGGCTCTCACGACGCGGAGAAGCAGGAGGACGGCAAGATGTCGTCGGCTCAGGATGCGTTTGGGGATGAGGAGCTGGCGGAGGTCAAGTATAAGGTGCTGAACTGGTGGTGAGTTGCTTGTCTGATGTTTAGATGTTGAGGGTATTTGCTAATTGACACAGGCAATGTGGTTTCTGTATGCATCTATATCGTCGGCTGCTGTAATCAAACTAATTTTCTTAGTGATGGTGGCTGAGACGGTCTCGCTGGGTATTCTATCATTGCCTGCTGTGATCTCTTCACTGGGACTGGCTCCGTAAGTATGAACGTTCGATATTGCAGATGCATGCTGACAGTGCAGGTCTATCGTCATGCTGCTCTTCCTCGGCGGCATGGCCACGTATACCGGCTATGTGATCGGCCAGTTCAAGTGGCGCTATCCTCACATCCACAGTATGGGTGATGCAGGCGAAGTCCTCATGGGCAGCATTGGCCGTGAAGTCTTAGGGACTGGTCAATTGCTCCTGGTCATTTTCATCATGGGCAGCCACATTTTGACGTTCACCGTGGCTATGAATTCCATCACCAACCATGGCACATGCTCGATTGTGTTTGGCGTTATTGGTTTGGTTCTTTCCTTCTTCCTTTGCTTGCCGCGAACTCTGTTGAAGGTGTCGTGGCTGTCGATTGTGTGTAAGTGCAGCCAGCCATCCTTCAAGACTTTCTCATCTAAACCGGAACAGCATTCATCAGTATCTTTTCCGCCGTCATGATTGCCATGATTGGTGTTGGTATTGAGCGTCCTTGGTCTGGAGGCGTCAAGGCTACTATCGATACAGACTTGTATCATGCGTTTTTGGCCGTGTGCAACATTGTCTTTTCATTCTGTGGGTTTATCACCGACGATGTTTACAAGCGTACCCAGTACTGACCCTTTAGCCGGACACGTCGCTTTCTTCGGTTTCATGGCCGAGTTGAAAGACCCAAAAGACTACCCCAAGTCGCTTTTCCTGCTCCAGGGAATCGACACTTGTCTGTACATGATTGCCGCCGTGGTCATCTACTGCTACGCCGGACAAGACGTAACATCGCCTGCTCTGGGCTCAGCCAGTCCGGTTGTTCGCAAGGTAGCCTACGGCATTGCATTGCCTACTGTAAGATTGCCTAGACGAGAAGAAAAAGAAGAAGCCATGCTAACCCCAACAGATCGTCATCTCCGGTGTCGTGAATGGCCACGTTGCTGCGAAATACGTCTACGTGCGTCTCTTCCGTAACAGTGACCGTCTTCACAAGCGAGACTTTGTCGCCACCTGGTCGTGGGTTGGTATTGGGCTGGTTTTGTGGGTTATTGCGTGGATTATCGCCGAGGCGATTCCGGTGTTCAGTAATCTGCTTAGTTTGGTGGCTTCGCTTTTCGCTAGCTGGTTTACTTGTAAGGACTTTCTTCTCCTTTCTCTGACAGACGCTGACTCGTACAGATGGTTTGAGTGGCATGTTTTGGCTGTACCTCAACAAAGGCCAGTACTCTGCCACGCCGATGAAAATGATTCTCACCGTTGTCAATATCTTTATTATCGGGTGTGCAGCATGCATTGTAAGACTATCCATGACTCTCTTAATTCTACATCAGCTAACAGTCTCAGTGTGGTCTTGGACTCTACGTCTCCGGCAAAGCATTGCATGATAATCCCAGCAGTGCCAGCTTTTCCTGTGCGAATAATGCTTAAGCGACCTGCTTTAATTGTAAATATGTATAGACTACCCGTACATGTATCAATAATAGAAATCAATATATTCATCCAGATCATCTTCATGGCTGAATCCATGATAGCCACTTTCTAGTCTATCATTATTTTTTACACCGAAATGCATGCATTCACATGGAGCGAAAGAGAGAAACGAAATAAATAAACAAACTGCCACCCATAGCGCCACCGGCTGAAATCAATATGCACGAGGTATAATAATCATGTCCGACATCAATCGAGTAATCAAGCAGGCTCCCGTCCAGCCTCGGGGGTCTCCACGGCAGGGGCAGGAGGAGCACTCGCCGCCGCCACTACAGAAGGCATCTCGGATTCCGTCAACGCCCGCTGAGAATCGGGTTTTAATCGAGTCCGGAGGTGGTCGAGTTCCTCGCGGCGCAGGAATTGAGTGATCTGGTCCAGGTCGTTGATCCACTTGGAGACGGCTTCATCACGAACATCTGAAGGCCAGCGGGACGTCATCGACTCGAGCTCGTGGTATTTGCTGAACAGCCCGTCCAACACCCCGCGAACCTGCAGCTTACGATGCGAAGGCACCTCGACCTCTGGGGTGATGCTCTGCGGCTCGACGTTCGACCGCCGTCGATGTTGACCTGCGTTGTGGATATCCTTGAGTTTCAACGCACCACCGCCAGCCGCCTGGATGGCCTCGAGGTTCCCATTCCGACTGCTTTTCAGAATCTCCGCAATCTGACTCGGCTTGTAGCCCTTGGAGACCTCCCGGGCCGCCAGTTCCCGCACGCCCGTCGTAATCTTGTGCCCCAGCGCGGCGTAGTCATGGTTATGACCATCCCCAGTCCGCGTAAATGTCACAAACGACCCATCGCTGACCGCCTTAATCTTGCACGGACATCCGATGGGCGTACGGACGGTGCGATTACGCTGACGCTTTTCCGGCGAGATGCGGGGCGCATGTGCCTTCTTAGGCCACAACCGACACCAGTAGTACGTTGTCGTTCGTTTCTCACTATTCCTCCCACTATTTCTCACGTAGATGTTATCGAGGAAGGGCCAGGCGGCGTTGAACTCGGAGATGGGCATGGTGATCGGCGACTCCATCGCGAAAAATCGCGTTCGTAGCGTTTGGATGTTGAATGGGAGATCGAGGATGTCGGAGGGAGGCAGGGCAGGCGTGCTGGGCGTCGGAGGAGTGGCCGCGTTGGCCGCATCGGACTCCATCGTGAGGGATGGAGCTGGTCGGCTGCCTTGGGGGGGATTTTGGAAGCTGGGTGGAATTAGAGCTATCGTGAAGACTTCACGTGTTTTGCGTGACGGATGGCCTATTCGGGTTAGGGCGGTGGCACGTGATGGGGACGCGGGGATCGAAATGACGGCATGTTTGGGAATCACACGCCAGCAACATCGGGAGACAAGCAGATATCGAGAGTTCAAACGTGAGTGTCTGAGGCTCTTGTTAGTGATCATGGGTTTATCTATGGATGTATGCTGTATGCTGTATGATGTATGCTGTCTGCATTGTCTGAATCGCAACTATATATCCTGTCGATTGCCCCGGCCTCGGTGCGATTGAATCAGGTGCAAAAAAAAAAAAAAAAAAGGACTGTCCAATGCAAAGTGGATTATCTGAATGACAGCGATCACTGGAGAAAAGACTCGAATGGCTGGTGTCAGCATAAAGTCAAACAGCCCTCGGCATGAAGATCGTGATGGTCATTGTTTCACAAGAGTCATACAACAAGCGATCTCGACAAGCACACTCGATTTAAAAAGAGAAACTACAAAACCCAGAACATTGGGAGCATGGAACTGATACTACCTTCTTCTTCTTGCTGATAGAAAATGTCTGTCTAAACCAAGTCGGACAAGCAATCAGTGACCGTGAAAGCAAGCCATGCTCGGTGTTATTGCACATATTGCGCATTTAATCAAGCCAGTTGAGTACAGACGATATATCTCCACAAGAACTGTTTACAGTCATCATAGATTCCCTTTTGAAATTGTGGGTTCGATTCATATGGTCTCAGTTGTACATCAGTCTTGGACGACTTCGAATCCCCACACCAGAAACAAAGCCCTGCGTGCTAATAAAGGATTAACCAAGCTTTCAAGCACCCCAGATGAAATCCCTGCTATATGCGAGAACTCCAAACGGGCGTCAAGTCCCCACACTGCATGAAATCCAGCGGCGGACACCAACGATTGCAAGAAACTAACAGCCATGATAGGATCAGTCAAAACCTGCCTGCTTTGAGAATACCCGAGCCTAGGCAGTGAACCGGCGATCGATGATACCAATTTTGGGATTGAATTAGGGTGCCGTTGCATACAAGGACCCTTTCCCCAGAATTGCCCGAGACTGGACGATCATGGTTGAACATGATGTCGATTGGCAGTAGAGAAGCAGCAGATCAATGGCGCTACTAAATGGGAACCATGACTATAAAGCAGGGTCATCCTCTGTCATTCGATGGAAGGTTGTAATATAAATTCCTTATTATGATCCAATAAGTTTGAGTTTTACTCGGAAAGGTATATTATTTCGGAAATATATCCTTTCTAGTGTCCATTCTATATACTTTCTATATAATCTACAATGTCCGTCCATACAACTTCTCGCTATTAATAACAAGACCAAGCCAACCTTTGTCTACCCCAAATCCATCGAATACCAGTTTCTGTCATGCAGTGCAGTCGTCCTCATCATAGCCTTGGCTCTCAACCACATGATTCCCGATGGAGACAGTGACTGGAGACGACTGGAGACAGAAATTGCCGCACAAGAGCTTGAACTCTTGGTTTGATTAAGGCTCTGCGCCAGCCGGGCAACCAAGCAAAAAGCCATACGCTTGACTGGCGGGCGGGAACCTTGCGTCCTCACATGGCAGGCATGGCCGACACGGCGCAGGCCGCCAAGAAATGCCACGGCGGGCAAACGCGCTTGGCATGCGCCTTTTCTGTATAGATTCTTTTTTTCTTTTGCCGTCTCCAAGACACGGCGACGTAAAAGGCGTAATTAAACGTATGACCGGGGGAAGGTTCGGCTAAGATGCTCCATCAGGCCGAGTGATTAATAAAAACAACTGGGCCACTTTCCCCGCCAAGAGGGTCAGAATTTTCCGAAGAGCCTTATGCTGGCGTCTGTTTGGCGGACTGCGGCAGTGCTTGTTTATGCTTTTGCTTGGTGGACACAGGAACTGCTACGTGACCGTCTTTTGTATGTTATTTCGCTTGCGCAGAGACCGTACGTCATTTTATTTTAATATCCAGGCTTTTGAAACCAACACGAGATGCACAGCCATAATGGCGACCAGGCGAAACCATCCAGAGCCAATCAACACACCAACAACGGAGACACACATGTGAAAACGTCATTGAGACATGCAGAAAAAGAACTTACCCTACCATTAATAATATGGGGTATTGGGGTTGGCATCCGTTCGCGGCAAACAGAACGACGCAAGCACATGGCACCCGTAAGCCTCGTACCGTAGTGGAGGGGACGCCAAGAGTAAAACTTTGATACAAACCCACAACAACCCAGGCACAAAAACCAGACTGTTTCACTGTCTGGGATCGGAGAAGGGGAGAAAATTCGCTACATAGGAAAAGATCTCGAGCTCGGTACCGTTTGGACGCTGTTGATCAGATCCAACCAGCATTGTCTATGATTGGACAACATCAACAGGCCCGAGGGGCGAAAGACCGGAAAACACCACCGGCATCGGGTAGGAACGTGGCGACGACGAATCTGGAGTGGCAGACGTCAGATTAATTTCCATCGTCGGGGGAAGAGACCCTGGATGGGGACGTAGCCCGGGCCCGGGGTTCGCTGACTCGGAGTCACCTGGGTGTCGGATGTTGCACGGTGGGGCTGAGTCAGCAAAAGCAACATGAACGAAATGAAAGAACACAGATGGGGAGTGTGAGTGGTTAGAGCGTGCAGGGACATGACCCCCATTGGTTGGACGTCCCCGCCTCCGATGTCATGGCGCCAATTTCCACAGAAGAAAATGACTGGGGGGAACCGAGTACTACGCAGTGGCCAGAGAGCCGGCTTTACATAATAAAGGCAATTGCACGAAATTGCAGTGATTGGGAAACTTGGCGAAAAGTTTTCGACGTCATGCTGGGGCGAAACGGCCTTGGCGGTTATAGGTCTGCTACAGTAACAATTGCAAGTATGCATAACATGGATGATATGTATATCATGTCAAAGAGAGAAGACGGGAATAAAGACGTGGAGTAGTTTCGAATGCAACAACCAACCCAGCCCTATGCTGGAGCGATGCTGATGGTAGACCTGTAAATCGGCCTGCGCAGATGTCAGCCGCGCCCAGACCCCGTGGAGACGCGCCAAGCCCCGCCAAGCGCCAAGGCGAAGGATTCATTTTCCCCCGCGTCTCTCCGCCTCGGGAAGTGTAAAGCCTTCGCTGCACTTGCCTGTTTGGGAGCTGACCCAGCGTGCAGACGCCCCGTCGCCATGGAGCTGCGGGCTTATAAGACCGCCAATCTCTGTCCCGACCTGGCTTTCGTTCTCTTGAGATCCTCCCCTATTGCTTTCTCTCCATCTTTTCTTTCTCCCCACCACACACTGACGGCTCTTCGTTTGTCACCGTCAACATGTGGACGACCACCACCGGCTTGAGTGGTCGGGCGCTCCGGGTGAGCATTACCTTCACCGCTGTTATGGGTTTCTCGCTCTTCGGTTACAACCAGGGCATGATGGCTGGCCTCCTCAACGGCGAAAAATTTGTCGAAACCTTTCCTCTTCTCAACAAGCCCGAAAATGCGTCTCCGTCGGAAAGTCACTACGTCGAAGTCATCCGCGGTGCTGTCACCTCCTGCTATGAGCTTGGCTGTTTCTTTGGCGCCTTGTTCTCCATGTTCTTCGGCGAATACCTCGGCCGCACTCGTCTGATCTTTATGGGTGCCAGCATCCTGATCATTGGTGCTTTGATTACAACGGTCTGCTTTACTGGTAGCTGGGAAATCGGTCAGTTCGTCATCGGCCGTGTTGTCTCGGGTATTGGAAATGGATTGAACACGGCTACCATTCCGGTCTGGCAATCGGAATGTTCCGGTGCTCACAATCGTGGTTTCCTGGTCTGTTTCGAAGGTGCGATGATTGCTGGTGGCACCTTTATTGCCTACTGGGTTGTCTTTGGTATCTCGCATGCCGAGGATACTGTCCAGTGGCGATTCCCTGTGGCACTCCAGATCTTTTTCGCCCTGATCGTGGCCGCCGGCGCTTTATTGCTTCCGGATTCCCCGTCGTGGTTTGTCAACAGAGGCTACGACAAGGAGGCCTGCGAAGTTCTTGCTAAGCTTAACAACACCACTCCTGATGATGATAAAGTGCTTCACGACTTCAACTTCCTCAAGGCGGATGTGGAATCCTCCAGGGCAGCACAGGCCAGCTGGAAGACAGTGTTCACATTCGGCAAGACCCAGGAGTTCCAGCGTCTTATGATCGGTTGCTCTGGCCAGTTCTTCCAGCAGTTCACCGGCTGTAATGCCGCTATCTACTACTCGACGCTGCTTTTCGAAGAGAACCTGAATATGGACAAATATATCGCTCTGATCATGGGTGGTATATTCGCTACCGTATACGCCCTTGCAACCATCCCATCCTTCTTCATGATTGAAAGAGTTGGCCGTCGCAACCTATATTTGATTGGTTTCATGGGCCAGGGTCTTTCCTTCATTATTACAATGGCTTGCTTGACCCAGGGGGACAATGAGGAGGCCGCCAAGGGTGCTGCCGTTGGTATCTTCCTCTTTATCGTCTTCTTTGCATTCACGCTCCTCCCCCTGCCCTGGATCTACCCACCTGAGATCAACCCCCTGCGTACCCGTACCATTGGTGCTTCGGCGTCGACCTGCACTAACTGGGTATGCAACTTTGCCGTGGTCATGTTCACGCCTCTTTTCTCTGCCCAAAGTCCATGGGGTGTTTATCTCTTCTTCGCACTGTTCAACTTCATCGGTTTTGTCTTCGGCTTCTTCTTCTATGTCGAGACCGCCGGTCGTGAGCTTGAGGAGGTCGATATCATCTATGCCAAAGCCCATGTCGAAGGGAAGATGGCGTGGAGAGTCGCCAACGACCTGCCCAAGCTCACTATGGAACAGATCACTGAACAGTCTCGCGCGCTGGGCTTGAATATGACCGACCACGGTTCGGCTGAGAAGAACGAGCTTGGCCTCAGCGGCAGCGACAACGGCCAGGAGGTCGAGACGGTGCAGGATAAATAGTGGCGCTCTTTTAGACGTTGCTGTGTCTGGTGGAAGGTGATGGTAATATCTGATATCTGGAACTGAATGTTTTCTAATGTCTTCTTTAACGTTCTGTTCATATTTTCTTTCTTTTGTGGATATGTCAATATTTCGGTGATAGACCGATGGCAGTGCTTCCGGCCTGTATAAATACCCAAGGCACTCTGTATTTAGAGTATACCATTTAGATGGTTGTTGAATCAATCATGTTTGCTCTACAGTTTATGTTTACAATCTATTTAATTATCTATCTATTATATCCTCTTCTCTCTTAATACTCTATGTCATGTTTATCAGTCGGTGGTCCATTTGGATCGATGGTCATGATCATCGGCTGATCTCACCTCTAAACTAGAGCCAAAGCCAATGCTATCTTAACCTGCACGAACTGGTTATTCAACTTCCTGGCTGTCATGGTCACCCATCATCATCCGGGATATCTCGCAGGGCACGTATTTCCATACCTTTAACGGTCAGTATGGGCTTGCTGGCTTCCGGAGTGCGTGTCTGATATACATTCCTTTGCTCTTCGTTTGTTGTATGTAGTACGTAAATTCTGGTGCCATGTCAGACTTTGCGTTACTGTTTCCAGATCCCTTCGTCAAATATATATTGTGTCAAGGCCTTCTCCATATGCCTAAACTGTGAAAAACTCTCCGTATCTCGTTGCATCACACTCGGCAACATCCCGCGTCCATGGCCTCGCCACAAACTGAGCTCGTATGCATTCTCCAGGGCTCCTGATAAAGTACAATAAGAATACTCATTTCAATCCTATGCAAGTAGACAGGTACATTTATAGAATTGAGGGGGATCTACAGGGTGATCGACAGGGGTGGGTCTAGATCAGTTACATATTTGGACATGATGTTTTGATTCTGGATATGACATTGCAGTAGAATATCTCATGATGATTAGAACAGATCTTTTGATTGAATCACTCAGTTATCGGTGTATAACGATCATCATGCATTACGAATAACAACGCAGATCACGAGGCTGTACTATGTACTCGTATCACGAATCCCAGCACTGGGACGTTTCAATCCACATTCTATCACCAAATGTATATCTGCTTTTACCCTACAAGGTAAAAGAAAAGATCAACACTGACTCGGTCCCAATGCTGAATCATATTGCATGATATGCCATCATCTGCCGACGCGTGGCCCCAACTGCGACGAATGGCCCAGTGAGATTAGGCAGGATGGCCATCCCTGTTTTGGATTGAATCCACGTCAACGTGTCGCAGGTTCAGTGGGAGATGGTCTGATCTACACTGGAAGTGGATTAAATGCAATGATGTCGCATTCTTTGGACACTTTTAAAGGCCTTTGAAGACGCTGTGCTGCTGTTTGCTGCTCTGCGACCGACTCAACTTCCGAATCACCTTACTTCCATTTGATACCGATACTTTTATTGCAGAAATGGCCAATAAAGAAATGTATGTAACTGTATCTATCAGTCATTGAAATATACTGACAAGATAGCGACGTCGACGTTTTGGTCATCGGCGCTGGCCCTACAGGTTTGGGTGCTGCCAAACGCCTCCAGCAACTGGTATCATCGATCAATCCTGATAATACATCCTCTAATAATCAATAGAATAGTGCATCCTGGCTTATCGTCGACTCCATCGAAACCCCGGGAGGTCTTGCATCGACTGACATCACCCCCGAAGGCTTCGTAAGTGCCACTCACCATAACCCAACCTATACTGACAATCCAGCTCTTCGACGTCGGCGGACACGTCATCTTCTCGCACTACAAGTACTTCGACGACTGCCTGAACGAAGCCCTGCCCAACGCGTCAGACTGGTACGAGCACCAGCGCGTCTCGTACGTCCGCTATCAAGACCGCTGGGTGCCCTACCCGTTCCAGAACAACATTGCCGTCCTGGACAAGGAAGAGCAGGCCAAGTGCCTGCTCAGTCTGATCGATGCGACGGTGGAAGCACGCGCTCGTGCGACAACAGACAAGCCCCAGAACTTTGATGAGTGGAATCGGCGCAATGTCGGGGAGAGATTGAATGAGATTTTCATGAGGCCGTATAACTTTAAGGTGTGGGCTGTGCCGCCTTCGAGGGTATGTATTATGTGGCACTGGATGGTGTTGTATACTGACTGTTTAGATGAACGCCACTTGGCTTGGAGAGCGAGTTGCCGCGCCGAATCTGAAGCTGTTGACCAGCAATGTCGTTCTCAACAAGGTCGCTGGCAACTGGGGGCCGAATGCGACGTTTAAATTCCCTGCGCATGGTGGCACTGGTGGTATCTGGATTGCCGTGGCCAATACGCTGGCCAAGGATAAGACGCGCTTTGGCTCGCATGGGTCTGTGACCAGGGTGGATGCTGATAATAAGAAGGTCTATCTCAAGGATGGTTAGTATACACATACTATAAGAATAGACTCATATTGATTATATCGCAGGCACGGTGGTCAACTATGGCTCCCTCGTCTCCACGATGGCAGTCGATCATCTCGCCCAGTCGATGGGCGATACCAAACTGCAGCAGATGTGCAAACCGCTCTTCTACTCTTCCACAAATGTGATCGGAATTGGCATTCGCGGAGAGCGTCCAGAGCGCATCGGCGACAAGTGCTGGGTATGCTCATCTCCTCTATCCAAAAAACGCATCTAACATGACCAGCTCTACTTCCCCGAAGACAACTGCCCTTTCTACCGCGCAACCATCTTCTCCAACTACTCCCCCTTCAATCAGCCAAACGAGACAGCCAAAATTCCCACCAAGCAGCTCGCCAACGGCCAAAAGCCCGCATCATCAGCTGCCCAGCCAGGCCCGTACTGGTCGATCATGCTCGAGGTGTCAGAGTCTTCCCACAAGCCCGTCAACCAAGACACCCTCCTCGCCGATAGCATTCAAGGCCTGATCAACACCGAGCTATTAAAGCCAGAAGACGAGATCGTCAGCACCTACGTCCGTCGCTTTGACCACGGCTATCCCACACCTAGTATCGAGCGTAACGGTGCATTGACTGAGATCCTGCCGTATCTCCAGGAGAAGGATATCCTGTCTCGAGGACGGTTTGGGTCGTGGAAGTATGAAGTTGGGAATCAGGACCACAGGTGAGTAGTCAATACCATCTCATATTGGAATGTGTTTGCTAACTAGTATAGTTTCATGCTGGGCGTCGAGGCCGTTGATAATATCATCTCTGGTGGACTGGAGCTGACTCTGTCCAACCCGGACTTTGTCAACAGTCGAGCCAATACTGAGCGTCGCTTGAAGACTTTCAAGGGTGTTCGCAGATAAGCTATCATTGATAGAGAATACAGGAGATTGAAGGTGGTCACTTCAGTAGACTAGATTATATAAATAAAGGCTATTCCTCAAACTACAAACAAATATAACGATATAGATCTGATACTCGGCGACTTCCCCAAATCGGAGAACCTATTCGGAGACTTTCAAGCGTCACAATGAAGATCTTCAACATGAATTTATAATGCCATACTTATAAACCCCTTCGAGGACCTCGATTACTCCATCAAAAACAAAAATATCCAAATACCCAAAAAGAACCAATCATGTCTACAATGCAAGCCATCCAAATCCAAAACTACAACGAAGCCTACCATGTCTCGCACGTCCCCATCCCCACCCCAAAACCACACCAAGTCCTGGTACGCATTAAAGCAGCCGGATTCTGCCATACGGATCTGATGGCACTGAATAATGAATTCAACACCAAGTTACCATTTATCGGGTCGCATGAACCGGCGGGGATTATTGAGGACGTTGGGGCTGAGGTAGAGGGGTTCCAGCGGGGTGATAGAGTGGGTTGTGTTAATTTTGATAGTGTTTGTGGTGGGTTTGATCTCCACTAATATGTTATACTGATTATGTTGCTAAGTGTTGATAGGGAAATGCCCGGATTGTAAAGCTGGTTTGCCGGTGTATTGTGATGCGCCTCTCATGAAGGGTATTACCACTGATGGGGGGTGGGCGGAGTATATGATTGCGTATGTATTCACACATCACATTATAATCATATCTAACACACCATAGGGATGTTCGGTTTATCGTGAAACTTCCAGACGACATGGACTTTAAAATCGCCGCTCCTCTAATGTGTGCCGGGATCAGCATCTACGGAGGGATTGTCAAAGCAAACGTGCCTGAAGGAGGCTCGATTGGGATAGTTGGAATAGGGGGCCTGGGGCATATTGGGACTCAGGTTGCGAAATGCATGGTGAGATCATATCCTATCTATATAACTGACGTATACTAATCATCACAGAGCTACAAAGTCGCCGCAATCGACATAAAACAATCCGCTCTCGACGCCGTCGCGGCCCACCAGCACCACCCTGACGCCTTAATCCTCGCAACCGACCCGTTGGAAACGTCATTGCAAAAGATAACCAACATCGTGGACTCGGAATATCCCGGGCTGGACGCGACGGTGCTAGCCACCGACCACCCATCTGCGTTTGAATTAGCGGCTGCTCTGACGCGAAAGCACGGGACGATGGTGCTGCTTGGACAGCCGGAAAAGGGCATTACCATGTCGTATGCGACTACGATTTATAAAGATATCAGTCTGGCTGGGTCGTTGGTTGCGGATACGGCGCAGGCGCAGGAGTTTGTGGAGTTGTTCCATGAGAATCGGCTGCATGTGGAGGTTAAGGAGTGGGGGATGCATGAGGCGGAGGCGATGAAGAGGGAGTATTTGGGCGGTGGGTCGAACGGGAAGAATGTGATTGTTATTCCTTAGCATAAGCGAGAAGTATATCGAATTGTTTATATTAATTTTATTGATACATCATAATACATGCCATGGTCATAGTATACAAAAGGGTATCAAGCAAACGCAGAAAAGCACGAGCTCTTCGCATCGGCCTCCTCCCAGCCAATGCACTTCCAGCAGCTCAGCAGGCCCAGCGGATCATACTTGTTCTTGATGCTGACCAGTTCATCGTAATTTTCTCCCCACCAGGCGTCCTGCCAGTCTTCGGTGAAGGCGTTCGCCTCGTTGCTGTACGCACCGCTGTTGGGCGTGATGCGTTCCAGGGTGGCGGTCATGTTCTGGATCGAGGAGACCTTCTGTTCACGGGTCTCGAGAGTGCTGTTCCAGGCCCAGGCGGTGCCGGAGCCCAGTTCCCAGATGGCAGAGCGCCAGGCGGGAGTCGCGCTGGTGGAGCCCTCGGTGTAGTTGTACAGATATGGGGCGACGACGGGGATGTAGGGTGATTGGCCGTTGGACTGGATGAGCTGGAAAAAGTCCATGAGGTTCTTGCGGCCTTCGGCTGTCTCAAAGACGGCCTTGGGGACGAGACGGCTACCGGCGAAATGGGTCACGCCGACGCTGACGGAGCTGGAGGTGACGTATTTCGTGTAGAAGGAGTACCAGGAGGAGAACTGCTCGATGGTGGCTGTGCCGCCCTGGCCTTCAGCGTAAGCGATCACATCGGCGAGAGACTTTTTGGCTTCATCGACGGAGAGCAGAGGAGACACATTGACGAGGGTGTTGCCGGTGATATGGCCGCCCCAGCCTTCCTCAGCCCATCGGACGGTGTTGTTGACGACAATGTCCATGAAGGGGAGGACGTTGGTCGAGGTGCTGGCGAACTTGATGATGGCCGCGACGAAGCTGATCTGCGGCTCGACCCGGTGCGTGGACTCGAGGACGACGCCAAAGGTGCCTCCTCCACCACCGCGCAGAGCCCAGAAGAGATCCTTGTTCTGGCATTCGTTGGCGACGCGATACTGGCCGTCTGGCGTGACGATCTTGTACTCGACAACGCGATCAATGCCCAGACCGTAGACAGGCGAGAGAACCGAGTGGCCGCCCATCTGGACCCAGCCGCCAGAGACACCGACGGTGGAGGAATAACCGCCCAGGATGGTGACGTTGTGCTGGTCGGCAAACTGGTACGCTTCGTCAAAGTTGACGCCAGCGCCGACGGTGATGGCGTTGTAGCTGGACGAGCAGCCAGAGGGGACGAATGCAGCGTTGTAGGCCATGTCGCGCAGGTTGCGAGTCCACAGGGAGAGCGTGTTCTTCCCACTGCTGCGACCGAGATAGTCGTGGCCGGAGTTCTTGATGCTCAAGCGTGTGCCGGAGCAGTTGGAGTAGTGGAAGGCCTCGACGACATCGCTGGCCTGCTGCACCTCGACATAGTACAAGGGCATGTTGCCCTGGCGGCAGGAGGTGTTGGTAAACGCCAACGGATCAGTCGGATCAGCACTATCCAGTAGACATTGATCGCTGGGATCCGACGAGCACATCTCGTCCTGGTTGTTCATGTAGCCATTGGGCGTGTTGGTGCGCAGCCAGGGACTGGCGTAGTTGGACTGGATATTCGCACAGGCAGCATCATCACGGGCGACAGCATTGCCATTGTAGTTGGAGAAGCAGGGCAGCGAGAACGGAGTGAGGGGCTGGACACGGCCCTGCAGGGTGGCATTGAAGCTATCCAGAGTGCACGAGTCCCGGGGAACTTGACAAACGCCAGCCACGGCGAGGCCCCAAAACTGGGCAGCCAAGAGAGCCAGCGAGATCTTGGATGGGGAAACCGTTGCAGACGCCATTTTGCCACGCGATGACGAGACAATTCTGGAAGGAAATCGGGCGATCTTAAGAAGAAGCAAAAAGAAGGAGAAACGATGGAGCGAAAAAAAGAAAATAAACAGGACCGGAGAACGGCACAGTCTGATGGAGAAAGTAAGACACGATAATATAGCAGAGGGATAATAATTCAGGGGAGAACAGATGGAGAATCGCCGATGAAGACCCGATTTGGCGGTTTTGAGTTGAACCAGTGGGCGCAAACTCTGCGTCGGGGAGGTTCCGAATTAGATTAATATATTATTATATTATTCAGAAGAGATCTTGAACCGACTGAGGAATCATTATCTATTACTTTTACTGCAGTGAAAAGGAAAAGTGAAAATAATATTGAGAATTGCATATCGCAGTGTGTGAGTGTCATGGAGTGCTGGCGATGAGTCCACTCGATGGACACGAAAATTGCCCAAAACGGAAGTAAGCAACGGCCATCGCGGTGGATGCAGATTCGCAATCCCCGCCCGCTCCGAGACTATCTCGGATTGAAAATTGAGATGCGAGGTCCCTGCATTTGCATCGATCAAGATTTCCAAGATGAATCCAGCAGGAGGGAACGAGTGTTCGCATGAATCGCACAGGCACAATTCTGCTAGTAGTACGTACCTGAATGCTGGCTCAGGACTATGGTTCATCTGAAGCCAACCACGAAACGCTTCCAATAGCCTGGAAAACAAATAAACTTTGAGAAGAACCACCAGCCTTAAATCTTATCAGGTTAATTGTTAATCAACAGGCAAAATTCGTAATTTCTTCTTCGCCCGGTCTTAAAACCAACCCCTCCCTCGTCGATCGCCATCTTCCTTTGATCTTAATCTTCCATTCCTCATGTAATCACCATGAGTGGCTACGAGGAAAACAGGTACTGGAAGAATGTGCTGACCATCGTCCCCATTGTGGGTGCTGCACTGGCCACCGTCGCCTACGGGTTGCGCCTCTATTCGCGTCGCTTCACCACGGGCGGGCTGAAGATCGAGGATCTGCTGATGGGCATTGGCCTGGTGATTTCCTACTGTGCCACTGCCTTTGTTGTCGATACGGCCTTTAATGGGGTTGGATTGTCCGTCAAATCGCTGCCTCATGATGAGCGACAGCGCATTCAATTCGTATGCCCCATCCACCAGCAATGCCGTTAGTGATGATACTAACAGCGTAGGGCTCATGGATGATCCAGAAATTCTGGGCGCCGTCAATGGCCTTTATCAAAATCTCCATTATTCTCTTCCTCAAACGACTCCTGGGAACCCTCCGTCCGTATACCATCATCTCCTACTGCCTCATCGTCTTCATCACGCTCTGGGCCATTGCCGCGTTACTGGTCAACATCTTCCAATGCAAGCCGGTGCAATACTATTACAATAAGGATATCGCGGGCCACTGCATGCCGGGGCAGCGCCAGTTCTTCCAGGCCATGGGTTCGATTGCGCTGGTCGAGGACGTCATTGTGCTGTGTCTGCCCATTCCGGTGGTGTGGAAGCTGCAGATCACGTCTCGCCAGAAGATCGCCATTACTATCGTCTTCTCGCTGGGTGGGCTGGTCTGCATCTTCAGTCTGATGCGTCTGATTGAGTTCCGCAATTTCGTCGTGACCGATCTGGCCTGTTAGTTCCTCCTTGACACTCATGATACTCACATACTGATTGACTCAGCATCGAGCGCCAAAGAATCCGTCTGGACGTGCCTGGAAATCGACATTGCCATCATCTGCGGCTCTCTCCCTCTGATGAAACCGCTCCTGGCCGGTTTCCTGGGCAAAGTCAAGAGTGTCTCCAAAGGTCGATCCCATCCGTCGTCGGGGAGCAAGCTCTACTTCCACACGACCAACACGCACAACGACGGTTTCCAGAAAATGACCGATCCGTCGTTATCGCAGCAGTCGAAGAGTCCGCCGATGATGGCTGGTTCAAATCGACGGAGCTCTGATCTGGAGATGCAGAATATCTCAGTGCATACCACAATTCAGCAGGATGTGGACAGTCGATCGGACTTGGGGTCTAATGCCGGGGAGGCAGTGTCAGGGCGAGCATTTCCACGATAGTAATGATCATGATATATAGAAGATAATAGCATAAACGTCTACAAGTCAGACACGGTTCGCACAAAAATAACCTCAAAATCAGAAAAAGAGTTTGCGCGTTCTGATTGGCTGGAAATGAGCCGCTGCCAATCAGGATGAATGATCGACTTAGCATCGCCCCACCAGACTCAAACTGCCCTCTCATTGGCTGCTGCCCTGCACTATACCCAATCAAACCGCTGGCACCGTGCCTGGCAGGTCACGATGTCGCTTTGTGCCCAGTTTCTGCGGTCATCCAAAGCCCGGTTTCGCCTTGTTGGGAATCCCCTCCTTGCCAGTCCTGGTTTAATTGCCCTTATATCCGCTGCCCCTAGCGGATGGCGCTCGCCACCGCAGTCGATGGTCTGCATATTTATATTTGGTTCCCGCCCAGTATGTGAGACGAATCGCCGGTTCGGTTCGGTTCAGCGCCCACGGGTACTATCAAGTCATGATGGCTGCCTTTATCAGGAATTCGGTCTGCGGGGGGACGTTTGATGTTACCAGCAGGTATAACTCTATTCATACTTTTATATATATATATATGCTAACACTGGCAGATACTCGAATCTGCAGCTGGCAGGGATTACCGTAAATGGACTAGTCTGGTTTGTGTGTGTGTGTGCTGATCGCGAAGCGTCAAATTGACTCGATTCAAGCTCTGCGACAGACTCGGTGACGCGACAGGTTGTTGCGATCAAGAAGATTCCCAGACCGTTTGGGTCTGCAGATGCTGCGAAGCAGACGTTGAAGCAGATTAAGCTGTTCAAGTATCTGCAGCATGAGAATGTGCGTTTCGGAGAGGTGCGGAGTCGGAGATGTGCTAATGCGTGATAGGTGGTTTCCTTGCATGATATGTTTATATCGCCGTTGGAGGATATGTAAGTCCCCAATGGACGTATCTGCATCCTAGATAATGCTAACGGAACAGATATCTGGTGACGGAATTCACCGGAATCGACCTGGGTACGATTCTCGGCTCAAAACCTCTGGATAACCAATTCATTCAATACTTTGTCTACCAAATTCTGGTACGTCCATACCATTGGTATTCTCAGTGAACCTATCTAAGAAGGAAAGCGCGGCCTGAAATACATCCACTCGGCCGGAATCGTCCATCGCGACCTCAAACCCAGCAAAATCCTCATCGACCAAAAATGCGATCTCAAAATCGCCGACTTTTACTCGGCCCGTCAGACGGATGCCCGCATGACAGGCTACGTCGCGACGCGATTCTACCGCGCCCCGGAAATCATGCTCACCTGGCAGCAGTACGGCGTGGAGGTGGATATCTGGAGTGTGGGGTGTATCTTTGCGGAGATGATTGAGGGGACGCCGTTGTTTCCTGGTGAAAGTCCGGCGCATCAGTTGCATGTTATCACGGAGTTGCTGGGATCGATTCCGGATTATGTGGTGAATAGGATTTCGACGAAGAATGTGAGTTCTATCCATGGTGTGTGAATGGAGGTGGTTACTGACAGACCAGACGATGAGATATATCCAGTCACTGCCAGAGTTAGAAAAGCAGTCTCTAGAAACACGGCTGAAACACGCACAACCAGATGGTATGTACTATGAATATCAAACGAACAATAACTGACATGTCCAGCCCTCGATCTCATTGGGAAAATGCTCCATTACGACCCCTTACAACGCATCGACGCAGCCACTGCTCTCACCCACCCCTATCTCAGTCGCTATCATGATCCCAACGATGAACCGGTAGCAAAAGAGCCATTCGACTATGAATTATCCAACATGAGCCACTCCATCGAGTCGTGGAAGCATTTTATGTACGTTTGTTATATCTGTTTACTGTGCATTGCTGACTTTCACAGGTACACTGAGATTCTATCCTGGGGGAGAGTGGATGATCTGGCAACGATCGATGTTTGATTTGATGATTTATGATTCTTACATAGCATAGCCAGTTTTATATCATTTGTTTTGATGTTTGCAATAGTAACGTTGGTTGTGGCATTATCTGATTGGTCTTTGGCTTCCGCTTCTATTTCTTCGACTTCAACTTTGACAACCTGGAGATGATGCAGATACAATCTCTCTTCAAGAGACAGTCTGTCTCGTCCCAGATTCTATCAGACCTCCATCTGGAGATTAACCAGCAGTATTACTCGTTTGAAATAGCAGTTGCATCGAAATATCTCATCCTCGCAGGGCGACGTTGGCCATCTAACAGACTACGATTATTGCCTCGCTTTCATAAAAACACAAGCCGACCGTTTCGAACTCGTATTTCTGATTCTTGACATCATGAATTCTACAATGGCATCTTTTCTGTGGGAATCGAAAAAGCACGACAACTCGAACGAGAGCCTTGTTTGAATGGACGACTCGTCCTGCTTCACCAGCGACGATATGATATCCCCAACTCTCATGTCACCATTCTTGGCTGCACACTTTGGTCCAAGGTTCCTGAGGATTCGAGAGATATTGTTCATTCCAAGGTTAAAGATTTCCAGAAAGTCCAAGGCTGGACTGTGGGTGAGCACAATACAGCGCATGATTCAGATACTGCATCAGGAGAACCGGAAAAGAAAACCAACAGACAGACGGTCTATCCTGGTAGTAACCCATCATGCACCGTCTCTCGAGCAGACATCCAGTCCACAACACGCACAGAATCCACGGAGCTCCGCTTTTGGAACAGATCTTCTGTCGCAGAAGTGGGAGGGGTGAAAATCTGGGTGTTTGGACATAGCCAGATTTTAAGCATGGAGATATCAGGGTTGTGAGTAATCAACGTGGTTATGTACTTCCATGGAGTGATCAAGAGAGGGATGGTTTTGATATATGTAAGGTTATCAAAATGTGATGTATACATCCCTAAAAAGTCAACCCATTGATATTCACCCACGCCTTCCACAACATCGCCAAACAACACAAATTTCCCGCCCACCAAGTCACCCCCCTCAACTGACTCCACCTCGAATCCTCAATGCCAATATACGCAATCGCATACAACACCCTCGCAACCGTATACGCACACGACGAAATATTAATCATCTCCGCCGTCACCCCCGCAACCGTCGCAAACAACACCCCCGCAACAAGCAACGTAAAGTTCTCGACTGCATTCGCGTGCGCAGCCTCGTTTCGCTTCAGCATATCGAGCTGTTTCCGCGTGATCTTGCCCTCGCGGACGGCTGCGTCGCCGTATTTGATGAGATCTTCGCGGGGGGAGACGTTATGGTCGATGCCGTAGTATTGTTTAAGGGTGCGGGAGGAGAGGAGGCCGTAGGCGAAGAAGAAGTTGAAGGCGAGGTAGAGAGGTCCATTGTTGGTGATAGGGGCGGCGGGGTGTCGGGCGTAGGTGCCCAATAAGGCTGTGAGGGACATGGTGATGATGGAAGATAAGTTTACAGGATGAAGATGAGACGGTGGGATTGAGCTTTTAATGTCAGATTGCAGGGAAGGATTCCTTTGGATGAGATGGCCAATGAGCAGGCATGGAATATGCCAGATATCAAACAAGCAATCTGACATCATTTTGGGGCCAAAGACTGAGTCAATTTCAGGAATCAATATAACTATACGAAGTGCATCATTTTAATCCCTCAGCCACTGCTACATACGAACCACTCTTGATGTCCTCCAAAATGCCCATTCCTGCAGGTTTCCATCCCAACTCCCTCTCTGCTTTCCCACCAGATCCACGATTTTCTGAACTCAAGAACCTCGCCAGAAACTCGCCCATTTGACCGACAGTCTTGTCGTAGGGTAGAGAAACCACAGGGAGATCCAAGATCTCGCCCATCGCCTCGGATAACTCACGTATCGTCACAGTCGTCGAAGACACACCGTTGAAAACATCCCCCGCCTTTGCCTGCTCAGCAGCAAGAAGATACAACTGCGCAGCATCGTCAACATGGACTGCAGATGTCTTGACAGCCCCATCATCCACGTAAAAGGCTTGTCCAGCATTCTTGAACATGCCCATAAACAAGCGTATCCCACTGCCTCCACGGCCATAGACAAACGGAGCCAACCGGATCACAGACACTTTGACACCTTTACCAGCCAGCTCAAGCGCATGCCGCTCAGCACGAATCCGGCCGTTGAGAGGATTCTCATTGAGTGGCGATGTCTCGTCCGTTTCAGCGCCAGTGGGATCAGGTGCAACCACCAGCGAGCCGGACGTGACGACCAACGGCTTATTCGACCCCTGCAGCCCCTCCCCGATGGCATCAACAGCAGCGAAGTCAATACGTAGGACTTCTTCATAGTCCATGCCAAAGTTTCCGGCCAACGCATCGGCCAGATGCATCACGATGTCTGCCTGGGCACTTTGATCGCGGAGGACATCGAGAGAATGTAGGTCCCCTCGTACCGGGACGACACCAAGCTGAGTCAATTTGGCATCGGTGGCTTCGGTTCGAGATAGGCCGTAGATCTGGTAGCCGCGGGTGATGGCCAGTTCGGCAATGGTGGATCCGATGAAGCCAGAGGCCCCGGTCATGAAGATTCGGGGCATTTTGATGAGTAGATGAGTAGATGGGATGAATGGGATGATGATGGTGATGATGATAGTAGTGATATGGCAGTCAGAAGAACATATTTATAGTCGTATAGCGGGGTTAATCCTGTTAAGTCCGTCGGTGATTGGAGAAAAGACCGATATGCTGCGATTAATACGATGGAAGATAAGCATGCATGTTACCCTGTTCACATTCATCATCCTAATCCTTATCACCGTAGTCATTGAAGTACTCGTGGCAATTATGCAAGTTAGTATGAATCATCATCTTCCTCTTCGGTCTCTACATCCTCATACTCATCAGACTCATCAGAATCATACTGACGCCTAGTCCGAAGCCATTCACGATACTGAACAAGCGTCTCTTCCGCCGGCGTGTCTGGCGATATCCCCGCAGCTCTTAAACTGCTCTCCCCTATACTCCTCCCTTGAGGCAGTGGCGGATCCGGCCGATCAAAGTCGTACGGCACTCGCAGACTCGGATACGGCGTGGATAGCTTCACATCCGCCTGATTCGACACTCTCCACGTCACCGTCACAACGTGATAGTCCAACTGACTCGGTCGCACTTCATCTCTAATCCAGCGTGTCTCCCCAAGCACCGAACTCCCCGTCCATTTCGAAATCGCCGTTTCCGACTTTCTCGCCGTCAAGATCTGACCATCCACTCGGTGAAAGAACCAGCTATCAGCCGCTTCATTGGCGATGTAATCCACCTCCCCCTTGCGCCTCTCAATACTCTCAAAGTCAATCCTAAACCGACTCACACTACTCGGGAACCGAATCGAATTCACCCATCGCCCCCCAATCCTCAGCGGCTCATTATCCTCCCAGAACCAGAAATCCGTATACCGCAGCGTGAGCGTGATACTCGTCGGATGGAAATGCGGCATCCCCAGAACCCGCTGCATCTCGTTTCCCGGCTCAAGGACAAACATCTGCGCGAAGATCCGAATATGGCCTGCTTCGAGCTGACCGTGGATTCGATCGATCATCGCGAGACATTTCTCAAACGCAACAGGCGTTAACGAGCCCGGGGCGCGGTTGGATGACGTCAGGTAGAATGAATGCTCTGCGTAGGCGAACGGCATAAACCATGCTTCGGAGTAGACGCGTTTGCATGTTCGTAGCAGCTCTGTGCATGTGCGATGGGGCGCGCTGTATCCCGGCCGTGTCCAGTACGTCCCCTTGCTGTATGCGCGAGTAGTGTCTTCGTAGCTGGACAGGGCAAAGGCGAAGATTTCATCGCGGATTTCCGGGGGAAGTGAGAAAAGAGGACTTTGATGTTGGTCGAAGAAGGAGGTAAAGTCAGGAGGATGAATAGAGGGTTCAGTCATGATGGATTTGGTGTTTCGTGGTAGGAAATGATGATGGTCTGGATGATGCTTTTATCGCAGAATCCGGCAAGGCAGAAGCGGGGCAAGCTGATGTTTGCCTGTTGGCAGCCTGACCACAGCCTCATCATGTATCTCTATCGTATTTCACTTATTCGATATGATGAATAAGAATGCAAAGAATATCATGATATCGACATCTTAATCTATTAATGTTCAAGGTAGACCGGCAAAAAGCCGAAGCTGTACAGACAATCACTCCGGCTCGGCTCTGTGAATACCCTCAATACCCCACAAAGAAAACATGGAGAAGACTATATCCCTTGTATATCCATTCTATCCACAATTGAATACCCTCATTGGCCATGATGTTCGATGTTTTCGGTGCTTCACAATCCGCCGTCATTCGACTCCGGCGCAACTCCGCTTACTCCGGCAAAAGTCCGGAGTGGATATGGACATAAAAGGAAGCTTCAAATCATCTATAACGATCATCAATTATATTGAAAATATTAAATATGTCTCTAAAACCAAGCATTACTTCTAACAACCCAGCCAACACCAACATCATCACCAACATGACCACCCAACTCCACTCCATCTCAGAGAAACCACCCCTAGAATCCATTCTCAACAGCTACGATCTAGAAAAAGTCGCCGCCCAAGAACTCAGCCAGAAAACATGGGCTTTTTACTCGTCCGCCGCGACGGACATGATCACTCGCGATGCCAACAAAACCATGTTTGATCGTATTATGCTCCGGCCGAGGATTCTCCGGAATGTCACCAGCGTCGATACGAGGACGACAATCCTCGGTTGTGATATGGGTCTGCCGTTGTTTGTTAGTCCGGCGGCGATGGCTACGATGGTGCATCCGGATGGTGAGCTGGCTATGGCGAGGGGATGTGCTAAGTATGGTGTTGGGCAGTGTGTGAGTTCATTCGATATGATTGGGTGATCTTGGCTTATACGGATAGATATCCACGAATGCGTCTTATACAATGTCTGATATTACAAAATGCGCACCTGGCCATCCATTCTTCTTCCAACTCTACGTCAACAAAGACCGCTCGGCATCAAAAGCGCTCCTGCAACAGGCAGAAGAATGCGGCATAAAAGCCATCTTCGTCACAGTCGACGCACCAGTAGCCGGAAAACGAGAGGCGGATGAGCGCGTCCCCGTTGGCAACTTTGAAGTCCCCATCGCGCCGATGAGTGCAGCCCAGGCTACCAACGACTCCAAGGGGGGCGGACTAGGCAGAACGATGGGACAGTACATCGATGCGAGTCTCGAATGGGAGGATCTGAAATGGCTGCGGCAGTCGACTAAGTTGCCGATCGTGTTGAAGGGGATCCAAACAGCTGAGGATGCGTTGATGGCTGCCGAGGCGGGGATGGATGGGATTATCGTGAGCAACCATGGCGGACGGAGTTTGGATACGTGAGTGTCAGTCTGAATTGCACTATTCATCAGCTAACAGGTCGAAGATCCACCTCGTCGATAGCCGTATTAATGGAAATCCGCCAATGCTGCCCACAAGTTTTTGAACGTCTCGAAGTGTTTGTCGATGGTGGAATCCGACGCGGAACAGACATTATCAAAGCGATCTGTCTCGGAGCCAAGGCTGTCGGTATGGGGAGACAGTTCTTGTATAGCCTCACGTATGGGCAAAATGGCGTCGAGCATCTGATTGAGAGTATGTGTCCATCATTTCCTTCTCTGCAGTTCATAGCTCACATATCACAGTCATGAAAGACGAACTCCAAACCACGATGAGACTGCTCGGAATTACAGATCTCTCACAGGCACATCCCGGTCTTCTCAATACTTTGGATGTTGATCATTTGATTCCAAAAAGATTGGGGGCGTCGCATAGCGGGCCTGTCGTGAGGGCGAAGTTGTAAAATGTTCGTGTAGAAGATAGACTATTCAGATAGAATAATACCATGATTAATGACATTTCCAAAAATAAATCAAATACTGGCCTATAAATGATATAAAAGACTCACCGATTATTGCGGCCATAATTCAAAATTATCTGCTGCCATTTGCCCCAAGACTGTTTCATCAAGTCCAAAACCAAACGTGCCCCCAAGATCGTGGAAGTTGTATTCGCCTGTCCAGAACGAATTGTCATCGGTAGGATCTGTTTGCAGAATAGGAAGATTGTTGACGCCTCCCTGCATTGGAGGGTATGAATTTCCTGTCTCGCCCTCATCCAAGGCGTGGAAATGCTGAAGCATCTCGAGCATGCCAGCTGCAATATGTTTGGCGAGGTGCCGCTCGTTTAGACTCGTAGCTATACTCGCGAGCATGTCGGCGGAGCGCTGAACGAGAGAGACTATATGTCTTGCATTGACAACCAGTCCTAATGTATTACTGTCATCGCCGTATTCAATCATTCCAGGTGATGTCGCGTTCTTCCCCCATGTGGCGGCCATTTTTAAGAGAAACGTCGCGCAGAATGCGACCATAGTATAAGTGAATATGGGAACACTAGGAAAGGCACGGCGCAAGTCGTCGTCTTCCAATATCAATGTCAAAGTACTCGTAGCTGCTGCGATGGCTGTGTTGGCAGCTTCACGATGCTCCAGGGACAACAGGGATTGGTTTGAAGTGATACCAGTCGAAGCACTCGGCGGAGTGATTCCCCGCAATGCAAGAGAGTTGAGTTGAAAACGCGCAAAATTATAGTACAATACCAGCCCCTTGGATGGATACGATCCTAATACCGGACAATCACTCGATCGAGGCACCCATTGAAGCCGCCATTGTTCAACAGCCACATTGGACACGCGGAGTCGCTCAATATCTTGTCCTCCCAACGGCCGATCAGGATCACTTCCAAATGCGATATACGCTTCTGTGAGAATGGTAAACAGTGCTACCTGGGCGGCTAGTCGTGCATCGCCAGGCTTTGCTTGTTTTCCCTGGAGAAAGCGTTCAATGTTGCGTGTTGACTCGTCGTCAACTGCCGCTGGTGGACGGCCGTGGGCGATGCTGAATTGGTGATCACATACATATGTGGCATACCATAACGCGACACGTTCGTGCTGGGTATCGTCACCCTTCATGAGGCCATACCATGACTGGTGAAGGCCGATCTCTGCTGCGATGCGCGTTGCTTGGCCGGACAATTTCCAACTCAAGTTGGCCAGATAGAAAGCACCGATGCAGAGGGCTCGAATGTCGTCTAAACTATGGTTTCGGGACAAGGAGGAATTACACACGAGAGAAACAAACATATTGTAACTCTTATGGAATGCTTCTGTTTGTGCTGGTGTATGAAGTGCACCAACAGTGAGAACCACTGCCACCAGCATCGTCGACGACCGTCTGACTGACTCTAACGTATGGTGTAATAATAATCCACCATCCCAGAGCATTCTATTGTTGACTCGCATGAAGCGATCGAATAAGAACTCTGCTTCCTCTACCGAGACCACACCCTGTGAAATGAAATCCTCATGGATCAAGGAAGACTTGGGCTTCCATTCCGCATTGTTGCGCAGGTTTTTCAGCTTGGTCAGTTCATACAAACTGCGCATCGGCGCAGGGACAAGACCCGTTAAATCGTGATCTTGAGGCTGGGGAGAGTTCTCCCGCGACATTTCCATCGCAGCTGTGGAGGTGAGATTCGCATCGAATCCTGCAACAGAACGGGGGGAATCGCCTCGTTGAGCGTTCGCAAAAGTCCCTAATTCAGGCTGCTGCGTATAGCGTAACAGATGCTGAACCGCAGCTCGAAGCATCTCAACCTCTTCTGTCGTTTGGGATTTCCATCTATTTGAGTCAGATTTGATCACCTGAAAAGATAAAAGACGTACGCTGCATCGCCCTGGAGAAATTGCTGCGAAACATCATACGACACACATTCAAGACCATGATGGAGACAGCGCACACAGGTTGTCTGGCCTTCTTTGGTCTCGCATTTGGTCTTTTGTGTTTTGCATTCTGTGCCTGCGTAGAATCAGCGCTGCGGTCGGCATTGGTGATTGAGGAAGTGTACGCACACGCTCGGCTTCGCGTCAATCGCAAGCCTTTGCTAGGATCTTCTTGAGATTTAGTCTGTCCTGTGCGTTGTCTTTTTCGACTCATGATGCATATCAATGGATAAAAGATGAAGAGGAGATGGAGGAGTGGAAAGAATCACGGGATCACGAGAATTGCCTTCCCAATGTGGTTTAGTGGGTTTAACAACGCTAGTCTATAAAGGGAAGAGTATACAAGATGAAACAAAAAGAACTTCATATTTCAGATATAAATGATATATGTTATAGACAGTCTAAATTGCATTCATCGCAGCTGCTGCCACCACTGCCACCGCTGCTCCTCAAATCCCAGCATTCTTCGCAGCAACATCGTCCGCCTGAGTAGCCTTGGGGGCATTCAACTTGTCCACACCAGCCGTAACCGTCAAAGGTTGATAATGAACCTGGTCAGACGTAAAAGAGAAGTGACTCGATGTACTCGTAGAAAGCGTCTTGGTGCTGATGGCGATATCGTCGATAACCGTAGTCGAACATGAACCACCCTTGGTCGAGGAGGTGAGGACGCAGTCAAAGATCAGTGTCTGGATGTCCTGCGTGTTTTTGGCGCTGAGGGAGTACACGCCACTCATATAGAAGGTCGATGGCCCTTGGGTGATGGTGGCAGCAGACTGCAGCTGGCATGATGCTTTGGGTGCATCGCTTTTGCACTGCATCGCGAAAGTGGTGGCATCTGCGTTGGCGTTGACGACACTGCCCTCCAACGCATCTAGGGATTCCGTTCTGACGCCGGCTTGGAAGACTTTGAGTGTTGTAGTTTGCGCTGTGATGGTTGAAGCCAAAGTGGCTGCCAGCATCAAGTTGGGGCGCATTTTGGTGGTGGTAAGACAAATAGTCCAAGAGTTATGAAAAGATGAGAAATAAATATTCCTTCAAGCCATGAGATTGATTGTTATAAGCACCCCAGTCTGCCTTGCCGATCTCTCAACTGGGATGACTCTTCCCCCGCACCTCGTATAGCTCTGCCGATGTCGTCTTATTGGCCATCAACACACTGAGTTACATCGAAGGAATCAACAAGTCTGTGAGATCCAGCTTTTCATTCGCTTCTGAACAAAGATCTCCATATCAGCAGACTAAGAATACACCGGAAATGTCTGCATTATATGCATTGCCGATTCCTAGCGTCACTTGGCGATGTTGCACTTTCCTCTGTTCATATTCCTGGGTCATAACTCATTATAAATAGATACATCTTATAGAATATATTTAAATCGCATATTTCTCGCCTCCAAATTATCCGCCTCGTCATCCTGTACCTCGGGCATCGTTTCATCAAGCCGCTTGTTCATCCTCTTATGAACTAGCCTAATTATAAAAGCAATAATCGCCACCAGAAGAGCCACAGCCGCTGTTGCACTTCCACCTGGGATATATTGTGGCCCTGACGATGAAGGCCACATATAGCTCCCGTAAATCGAAGCTGTGTTTCCCAGCATATTGGCCGTGGCAATGGCAGCAGATCGTTTGACGAGTGGTCGAGGGAAGGAATTGGCGATCCATGCGATGATGATTTGGTAGGCTGAGACTGCGCCCATTGGCATTCTGGTTTATTAGTTTGATGCTCTATACAGCTAGCAGGAGGTGAGAGAACTTACAGAAACATGGCGAAGAATCTAGCACCGATATTCGTAGTCGCAGTGCAGATGATACATCCCACAACACTGACTATCATCAAGGCAATAATATGCAATCCGCGATCATTACTTCGTCCAGAAGTCCAGGTAACAACAAGCGACACCAAAAACGTCACAATCCATACCGGTGCAGTGATCAAGAGTGTCTCGATATTCCCATATCCCAGTGTCTGCACAATCGTTGGGAAGAAATACTGAAAATTCTGCGAAAGCAACGAAGTATGCTGCAGCAGAATGAAGAGATAGATACGCTTGTCTGCAAACACAAGCATCAACGCTTCCTTGATGCCACTCGAGGTGGCTTCGTCTGCTTCTCCGGCATCGTGGATGAGTCGCCATTGGGCGTAGGACTTTTCGGTCTCGTCGAGCCATGTTGTTGTTGCCGGGTAGTTGGGTAGGAGGAGTCTGGATGATTAGTATTTTTCATACCTGGGGGTATAGCCACTCACGTTGATGTTGCTGATATTCCAACAGTTATGCAGCCTTCAATGATGAACAGCCATCGCCATCCTGCTATTCCATGCACGCCATCCAGGTTGCCTAGTACACCTGCTCCGATGAGGCCGCCAAACGCATTGGCTAGAGAACTACCGGCGTAGAACCAGGCAATTCGATGGCCGAGCTGTCCTGGTTAGCGGAGTCGTAGTCTCGAGTATATCGAACATACCTCCTGTCTAGTGTACCAACTCGACCTAATCTCATCAGCATTGTGCTTATTTCTATACCTGAATCACTCACATAAGCATAACCGCACCAGGAAAGAAAGGCGCCTCTACAAATCCCAGAAAGAACCGTGCAAGGACCAAGCCAGTAAACGAGGTTGCAGCAGCTTGACACGCAGATATAGCGCCCCTATATCCATCAGTTCTGCACAAAGTATCTATATATAGAAAACTCACCAAATAGCCATCGCAATCCCCAGGAACAACGAAGGACGAACTCGCGTCATCATAAGATTCGACGGGAGTTGCATGAGAAGATACCCAACAAAGAGAATACTAGTGGCCAGATTGTAGTCGGTACCTTTCATTCCGAGGTCTTCTTCCAGAGAGCCAAGGCGGGCTTGGGATAGATTGCTGTCATCATCAGTACAGGTTATCATATCCAATATAGCGAACATACTTCCGATCCAAAAAATTCAAAAGATACATGACGATGAGAAACGGGAGTAGATGAAAGTCCACCTTGCGGAGGAGCTGTCTGGTCATCTTCTGATGCCATTCCTTGCTCTTGGATGCGTATGCTTGATATATTGCATCTTGTTCGGAGAGGTCTGCCTTTTTGTTGTTGTCTTGGTATTCGATGAATGTGTCGTCTGGTTTGGACATTTTGTTGATTCTGATGACTATGGGTACGCTAGAGGGAGCCTATACTTATATAATGTCCAGTTCACTGGCCTTCTTAGCAGTCGGAATATGTCCGACAAGACATTAACAGGTGGGCTTCCCCGCGTTTGTCGTGTGGAGGCGGGGAATTCGGGGTAGATAACCCCGGATCGGCAGGGCCTGTGTTTAGCATCGTCTTGGCTTGAGTATTTATTCATGGCATGGATATGATCTCTATCATTGCAGTATGTGATCTATGTCTATATATACTGTCTAAAAAACCTTTCCATGAACTTGTCTCTTCCCCTTCACATCGATATTGCGCCACAGCAGCACACAGGCAAAGGCAAGAGGCATAAAGCACATACCAGCAACCAGCATGCGATGCTGTACATATCCGTAAGCTTCTATGATAGCAGTGCGAGTTGGGCTGCCGACGGGGTATGACAGTTGAACAGGAAGTGAGCCGTAGATAGAGCGTAGATTGTTCTTGGACTCTTCGGGGAGATATTCCGCAAGCTTCTTGGGCATCAGGTTCGTCCAGATGGCACCGGATATGGATTGACCGATCGAGGCACCCAAGTTGGTGAAGAGACCCTCCAGCGCGAGAACAACGGCGACTTCATTGTGAGGGACTGCAGCCATGGCGGCGAGTTGCTCGGTCATGACCAATGTCCCGCCGGATAGAGCGTTGAATATTTGCGCCATGATGATGTACCCGATCTGTGTTCCGGGATGGCGGAAGTAGATGAGAAGTCCCATGGCGAGGGTTTGGACAGGAATTGCAACCAGACCCAGCCACTTGAACCGCCCGGTGTATCTGATCATGAGTCCAGTGATGGGTCCCCAGAAAGAGGACCCGATGGTGAAGATGTTGGCGATGTAACCTGCGTTTTGCAGGCTTTGGCTGTTGACCACCTGAAGATATGAGGTGAAGTAGAGATCCCATGCAAAGAAACTGCAAAAGAGAGTACCAGCAAGAACACACGATCCAAGGACTGTGCGATCTTTGAGATACTTGAACGGAACGAATGTCACTGGTGCATAGTCTTTTTCCCAGATGCAGAAGGCGATCAGGAAGAGCACACCAAGAACAATCATGGTGATTATATACCCAGTATGCCAGCTGTGAGCCGTGGTTCCGACAATAGAGAGAGGCAAAAGCACTAGACAGAAGCCACTGAGCGCTAGAGACATGCCAACAACTAATTGCTAGTTAGTATCTAATATATACACCATATCTTGTTAACTTACTGTCGAATTCACGGCAATAGAAGTAGAATGTCTGTGAACGAGTTCGACCGCTTGCAACACGCGGTGGAACAAGACCCTTCTTCCTCGCTTTGTGGTTGTTGTAGATAAACACGCCAGCAACAGGCATTGCCATGACAGGAATGATGATGGAGAAAACCCCAAACGCCCATCGGAAACTGCTGTGTTCGTAGAAAAGCTGTGCGATATGAGGACCCAAAAAGACATTCACGATAAACGGAGTCGTGTTGAGGCCAAACATAATCATCCGATTCTGCAAAGACGTCGTGTCCGCCAGGAAAATGTTGATCACGTATCCCATTCCATTGTATCCAACCCAGTAGAAAACCTGGCCAGTCAGCCACCATCGAATACTATCATGGCATGTTAACCTACCTGGGCAGCAGCATAGGTCTCGACATTCTTGCAAAACGCCATCAGAACCAGCCCGATGGTGCAGAACAGCGTCATCAATATGAATCCCTCCACACGGCCCCAGATATCAAGTATTTTGGCGATGGGAAGTTTCGAGCACCCGCCGATGATGCTGGAGAGGACGTTTGTCGTTGCGTAGAGAGAATGTTGATTGAAGCTCGACGTGACATATGGACCTAGGTTGCTGGTGATCTGCTGCTGCAGCGAGTTGACGAAGGAGAGGATGTAGATACTATTCCGGTCAGCAACACACTAGGATCGATAGCAGTGATCGTACAAGATGTAGGTGAATATCAAAGCCCGTAGCGTCCACACAGCCGTGATAGCCTCAACCTGCTTGACTCCATCCTGCCTTCTCTCTCTCGACTCTGCATCCGACAGCAGTTCGTCGTCTGACACGTCGTCCTCGGGCTCGTCGATCGCTCTGTCCAGATTCGCACTGGCATTCTCGAATGTTTGGTATTGACCGCCGTTGGCCCTGCGACTGGATTCCATGATAACAGCAGGGCCATGTGTAGGATGCACAGAAGGATGAAAACTCTCCCAGGCCGGTGGTCCGGGATACTTAAACGCCGCAGGGATCAGCTGCGATGCACTAGTCCGAGCAGGCAGCGGTTGGTTCCGGGTTGTCTTATCAATCTAAGCGGGGTTGCCGAAGAAAAACACGGAAGATCGGAGGTCCGAGGATCCACTATGGCCTGATCGGGTGTCCTGCAGGGGTGGGACACCAATCAGAGGGCAGCAGACCCATATTCCTGATGTGGCAATTTCGTTTTTTCGACGCTGATTGGACAGTAGTCACACACTGTGGAGACTTTCATTTATAAAAAGTCATCTTGAGACATGTCATCGTATACTAATCAGGTCAGGTGCCGCGATAATCCATCATCTCTTATACCTAAGCAGTCAATCTCCCATGGTAAACAAGATGCGGAACTGCCCTGACCACAATGGCAAAACTCCTTCATGCTTGAGGACACTGCCAGGCAATGCTCCTTTTATGATGTTGAACATCCAGCGGCATCGTGATGTATCCGATAGCATGAGAGACGATCAAAATATACAACAGAATTCCCGTGGATTAGGATAATTACGATTATATTTATATATACAGTCGAATGATCTTCATGGTGCCCTTCTATTTTTCCCTGGAGGCATGTTTGCTGCCACTTGTCCAAACCCATATCCCTTCTGCGAGATCTGCACAAACACTTGATTACACCACTCATAGCATTCCTTGTTCCTCGTCCGATAATAGTCTTTTGCTGCCCATAATGGACTCAACAGCATCTGCAGACTCAAAACTCCTCGTCTAGGTTCCAGGCAGACACTAACCGCTTGGCATGTCAACCGGGCATGCCACGCTGCAACTTGCTCCATCCCATCGAATACCTCTATTGGAGGTTCTTCAGAAAAGACAAAAGCAATGTTTTCATCGTCATTGTTTTCATGAATTCGAGTCGTCTTGAGATATTCCATCTTCTCATACACGTTGATCATGTTGGTGTACAGCATCAGACTGCCAAACCAGTAAACCAAGAGCATCTCCATGACCGATTCAGTGGGGAAATCCACCATCCCGGGGAATAGTGAGCACAGTCGGGGGTCTCCCTCGCGCAATGGGCTGTTGGCTGCTGTTTCGTGTATCAAATAGAGAGGATCCTTGGCTGCCTGCAGTCGAGAATACCAGTCCAGCAGCCGTGCTTCTAGGTCTTTGGATTCGCGAAACAGATCTTCTAGGGTTCGGACCGTGTTTGGTGTGATGCTGGTCATGGCATAGACATTATCGCAGTGTTCCAATACCCCAGGCAGTGCGAACAGAATATCGCGGATTTCGTCAAAAAGCTCGCCTGTAGAAGGTGCCAAATGCCACTTTGGCTCGTTGAGGAATAATCGTTGCCGTCGTAGTATACATGCTTCCGCCCACTGAATTGTCAGTATGAGGATGTTCAAGCGAAGGACAGACGTACGATAAACAACCGCAATGGGCGATATAGGCTCAGCTGTAGAGGTCTTTCTGCTGTTGGAGGACCTCGGCCCTCCAATACTCGCCTGGCCACCTGGACGTGGATTGGCCACGCAGAAGGGCCATTCGAAGGATTCAAGAACTGCAAATATTACTATCATATTACTACGCATATCATTGCATGCCAATAGACTCACCTCGTAGAAGCCCATCGTCATGGCTGTACGGAGCAGCTCATCCTCTTGTCTTGGGCTCAAACGCCTATTCATTGTACAGACCATCTTCAACACTTGTGTATACCGCATCAGGCTGTTCTCGATCCATAAGATGTTCCCCTCTTTGGCACCGAGATACACCATGCCGTATGCCTCGGCTGCAGCATCAAACATGGCACTGTCGCCCATATACACAGGCAAATTAGTGAACCAGTCAGACACCGTGCCCCGGATCAGATTGTGGGCGGGCATCAAGATCTGCAGAAACTGTGTCACGATCTCCACCGCATGGCCCAGTGTAACTTGGCGTGGCAAAGTTTGTCTTGAATGGGCCACCGGGTGGTTCGATCGGGGCTGATCATCGTATCCCTCACACGGGACGGATCGCTTATGACAAGCTTGGCAAGTGGGACGCTCTCGAGAACACTGCTCAGGTCTGTATGTGATACTGTTGGGAGAATGACACGATGGAAACTCACTCTGACATGCCTGCGCTGACAGGTTCTACATGCTCTGTTCCCCGGCGGTTTCATTTTTGGCTGAAGCATTGCAAATATTTAGGTATTAATACGGGATCCTCCATGGATAAGTGGCTAGTCATGTTGGATCGAGGAGTCTTGACAGATCCGCCCCTTTTCGGATACTCCGCCAGGAACATTGTTTATCCATCCGAATCAGGATAAATCACTTCACATCCTCAACATGCAGTGATATTCGCCCCTAGCATGTTTTTTATAAGTTAATATAGTTGTTTTTAAATTCAGTGTTCTTTTGCTCTAATTTTATTATCTCCTCACTATAGCTATGGTGCTGTACCTATCTGGCCTTTATATAAAAAATATACAAACTATCCGTGAAGATCGACAGCAGAAATAGATCTCGATTAGTCGTATGATCCATCTATTCTGCAACCATCTGCAACAAGACTGGCTTGACATTACACAGCCTTCCTGCCCTTCTGGTGTATCGCTGCATACCGGGATATCCCAGTCGCGATGCTAATGGGAGGCCTTACAGCTTGACCATATCCAATGGCCATCCACTCTATCCATTCTTCTATAAACCATCCTAAAATATCGTAAATGATATCATCCATCGTCAAATCCTCATTCGAACCCACTGTTTGTATCCATTATCGATAAGATTGTGGCAACCAGAACCGACACTAGCCATATCCGGTTAGCCTCGGTGTTAACGCCTTCCAAAATCGCTTTCTCTTCTCCTTTCTTTGTCTCTTCTTTTCTCCCACTTTCTATCATCAATTATTCTTTCTCCTGCTAATAGCATCATGTCCTCGACTTCTAGCACAATCAGTTTGCGTAGGTCTTGTCAGGCGTGTGCAAAGGTCAAACGCCGCTGTGACCGACTCATCCCCAAGTGCAGCCGATGCTCCACCAAAGGCATCAACTGCGAGTACGTGAATGCCCCCCTCGCAGCCGGCATGACATCGAAGATTCAAAAGCAAAAGCCCATTCGAGCCATTACTTCGATCCCTCCGTCTCTAGATATGGAAATTCTCAAGACCTTCGAGCCGTCCATTGTTCGGTTTATCGTGAACGGAATGCGCGATTTCCCCAATGCATTCGCCCGAGACGTCAAAACATCGTTCATCCACCCCGATCTCTACGATAATCTATCCCTCCCTGGTCCAATCCAGGATCTTCACATTATCTGCGCCTCATACAATGCCAATCCCTCTTCCCAGCTCCTCTGCCGCGTCCTGAAACAAAAGTCCGCCGAAATCCGCCGACAGGCCGCCCGGGCCAGCACATTCGAAGACCTCCTCGTCTGCATCCAGGCATTGGTACTTGCTCAATGTATTCTCGTATTCGACAGACCCGAAAACGATGACCAGTATCTCGAAAGCACAACCAATATGCTCACAGGGCTTGCGTGGAAACTGTGGCAACAAGCCCCGATTCAACTCCCACATACTCTTAGCCCCCGACGGGCATGGCTACTTGCGGAGAGTGTCCGCCGCACCATTATCGTTGCGTACATTCTCCGCAGTGCCTATTCCTTTGATAAGCGCAATTACTCGGTCCGAACACCCTTCATCGAGGCGTTGCCATTCGACGTGCGCACGTCACTCTGGGATGCACCGGCAGAGAACTGGGAAGAAGCTGCAGTGACATCACAATCATCTATGGTGTCTTTGCGAGAATACTCAGGGATGCTGGAGTCTGGACGGGTCCATGGGATTTCTGCATTTGGGAATTTGATACTGGCTGCTTGTAAGGGGAAGACAGCGGCTACAGTTCAATTTCCGTCAAGACATCCCACTCTAGTGAGCTGAGCTTGCTTAGAATCAACACATGGATTTATGGATGAGGATTTTGCCAAACAAAATTACATCATTTGACGTGATTACTCGAATTGAGGCTGAATTATGGTAAGTGGTTATAAATTATATTCAATAGACGCCTAATATTTATACAGGACGCTCAGATCTACCGCAAAAACTGCTTCAGAAGGCCCGATAGCATCTCAGTCATGCCCTTATACAACTCCTGTCTCTTGACTTCAAAGGCTTCAAAAATGTCCTTGGCGGAACCAACCGGAATCTGATCCTCGCCCCTCAACAGTCTGTTCCAAGTTTCGTCGACAAACTCATTCAAGGGCATTCCGATCAGATGTCCATCCTTCAGATCGGGCTGGTGCTTGGTATCGTGCAATTCAGTCTGCACAGCGGGGGGATAGATCTCGAGAACCTTGACGTTACCCGGGCCGTCACTAACCTGGGTTCTCAATGCTAGGATGAAGTGGTGCAGAGCCGCTTTGGAAGCACCGTAGTTGGGGCACCGCATCATGGGAACAAGAGCCATCTGAGAGGTGGTGAAGGCGAGGGCCGTCTGTCCGGGTTGTTTTTGGAGGTGGGAAAGGAATGCTTTGGTAATACGGACGGCGGATGTGTAGTTGGTGATGAGTTCCTGATCTAAGATGTCAAGATCGACAGTTTCGGGTTCGGCAAAGTTAAACGGTCGCTGGATGCCGGAGTTGACAAACACGCAGTCCAGGTCGGGGTTTTCGGCAATAACTTCAGATGCGAATCGGGGGATCTGCAAGTGTTAGACAAGATGAGGCGAACAGGAGGATACACATACATCGTCCAATTTCATAACATCAAAAACCTTGGTCGTGACCTTGTCGCTACCGTTTGCCTGGACGAACTCCTCCAGGTTCTCCTTACGGCGACCGGCAATGACGATGGAAACGCCATGGCCGATAAGCTTGCTGGACAGGGCCTTGCCAATGCCCGAGGTGGCACCAATGACCAGAACCTTCTTGTATGGGAACGACATTGTGTTTCAATTGATTGTATCGATTGAATTGAAGATGAATGATTGAAGAAAACAGGAAATCACGGCCATCTTTATATGCAGATTCGACGGCAGTTACTTTCTCAAACAACCAAGATCGCCACTCCCGCGGTAGACACTAGTCTAGATATGGGTTAGTCTCCGCTGCTCCACTTGCTTGGTTCGGATGGATTCTAAAAGACGAAAAGAATCAAAACGAAGAATTATCAATAATATGGGGGAGTTATGGTATGCCCGCTATGTCCGTTGCTTTGTAATTGCTTCGGAGAGATAGTCGGGGGGATCAATTGTGTTGTCTTACTTGATACCGGTTTTAGAGGTAGTATGTGCAGAAATATATCCTCCATGTAGAAGAAGTATACTGATTATCTGCATGTGCTGTTTGCAGATACATAGCAATATAAATTTGATAATGAGTGCTTCTGATTGCTCGAATACACATAGTAATAGTAACATCATTGATTATATTTTGCACAGTACAAATATGCGAGGTATAACCAATGCCTGAATATCAACAAAATTGACTCCATGAGAAGAATTGAAATATTAAAAGCTTCATTCATAAACGTAAACTATATACATCTAAGGAGTCTCGGCAATGTTGTACACCAGCTTCTCTCCACTAACCTTACCCTCCTTCATCGCCTGCAACCCCTCCAAAACACCCTTCAATCCCTCACCACCAACCTTGGGCGGGTGCACCTTGACTTTGCCCTCCGCCAACAACTTCTGCGCAGTAGCCCAGAACTTCTCCCCGAATGCCTTATCCTCCGGCTTCGCGGGGAAAACATGCTCACCATAGTTGAACTCCTCGCCGACGACGGTATACCCGAGGGTCCAGCGGTCCTTGACATTCTCGCGCTCAAGCTTGACGGCCAGAAGAGCGCTGTAATCACCACCCTCCGTGGAGAGCGCGTTGTCAGAGAACTTGACGCTGGATTCGAGGGAGATGGTGTCGAAGACGAGCTTGAGGTTGTTCTTGGTGTATTCGCGGATAGCAGCGGCGGCGTTGGGGTCATTGTAGTCGAAGACAGCGTCTGCGCCGAGCTTCTTGACAAAGTCAAAGTTGCGAGGCGAGCAGGTAGTCAGGACGGTGTATCCGGACAACTTGGCGAACTGGATAGCGAGGGAGCCGGTAGCGGTGGAACCGCCGTAGATGAGGATAGGCTCGGGCGATTTCAAAGGCTCGGTAGGCCAGGCGAGCTTCAAGCTCTGGTACAATCCCTGGCCGACGGTGCTAATACCCACGCCCAGCGTGGCAGCCTCTTGGAAGCTGAGGTTATCGGGGATCTGGATCTGGATGTCGCCCTTGACGGCGATGTACTCGGCGAAGGTGCCGTCCTCGGGCTGGACGGCGTTGCCGCCATGGGCGAAACCGCAGATGCGATCACCCTTTTTGAAGGGCTTCTTGACGTCCTTGCCGACTTCCTCGACAATACCGGCGTAGTCGCAGCCGATGAGGACACCGGGGGGAGCGAGGAACTCGATGTGCTTCCAGTCGGTGGGGTTCAGGGCGACACTGACGTTCTTGACGAGGATGTAGTCGTCGCGGAGAGCAGGACGGGGTCTGTCTGCCACCAGGTTGGCGGTCTTAGGGGCAGTGACGGCAATGGCTTTTTGAGACATGATGATCCAATTAATGAATGTTGGTTTGTTGATGATGTGTTACATGTGCTGGGTCAAGGGTTAAATAGTGGACAACGGAGCGGAGCAAAAAATGAAGCCATTTGGTGCATGACGTCATGGATTACCAATCAAGATGAGGAATGCTGACCAATCAGCAGGAGATAAACGGACTTAAAGATCAGAATAAATAACCTCGGGAGGTGATATTGAATTAGAAATCAGAAATACAAGACGATTTGAACCGTTTTTAGTGTCAGAATCAGAATGACGGAGACTAAGCCGGATCAGGCGTAAGGCTGCAGCCATCCATGGTTGCTTTTGCTGTTGGGCTGCTGTGATAGGACGATACTGTGGCTGAGGCTAAATCCTTCATTTTCGCAATAGCCTCAACTATCAGCTTACCACTTGTTGTTAAATGTAAGTTGAAGATATTCAAGTAAGATAGTTGTATTCTCAAATTCCATTCAAGTAGTCACTGAGAACTCCCTTCCGTTCTTTTTCGTGGGTATCACAATTTCCTCCATCCGCTATAATCGAGAATGCGATTAAACAAAAACTTCCGTAATGATCATAAAACGTAAATCCCTATAAAGTAGGCCAACACCACACGATGTTGGCCAACCAAGCCAGTTTTCTAGGTAGACTGTTCGCCAGTCACTTCATCCAAAGTCCTCCGAATGCGATCCTCTACCATCTCAACCATCTCTGGATCATCCGCATACTCCTCGCATAGCTTTTGGGCCTCGTTGATACTTATGACCAGCGAAGCAACCTTTGGAATCTCCTCTCTCACGACCTCGATATTGCAGATGATAGCATCGAGATGATCCGCGACGCTCTGGGCAGTATCTGTTGGTTGTTCCAAGTGAAAACGGAGTCTGTTGAAGATTGTAGTGTAGTAGCGGTGCAGGCGCATTCGGTACTCGTGAAATCGCTGTTTCATGGCAAAGATTGTAGCATGCAGATGATCTGCGTTGTGCTGTGTGTTCTGTAACGTGTCTCTGGACATGTTGATGTAGAGGTTCTGATTAGTTGAGATGATTTCTTATGAATAGAGTCTTCGATTGGTTGAATCAAGAGGTAGAAGATGGAGGTAAGATACTAAAGGAGGCTGGAGATGGGATGGTCGAGGAGAGTAGAGATATGGAGAAGAGATGGAGGAAGAGGATGAGTTCTTAAATACGCGTGGGAAGCAGCGGAGGTGAGGGTTGAGGGAGACGAGGCAGGACAGTGAGGTGAGAGTGAGATGAATCTACCACCACTACCTTATATACTTGATATGGGTCTAGTCACTCTGATACCCAACCTCTTTGAAATCCCATACCAAATCCGCCTCTTCATCCGGATCCCCCACGCCCTCTACAATCGGAATCATCTCATCAATTCCACGAACCTCTTTCAAACTGCAAGCTCCAGACGCCATAACATCTCTCAGCTTGTCAATTTGCGCATCAAACCCTTCATTTTCACCCTTCTGATATCCCAGAATAGTCAGCTCCTCCAGACTGTCCGGTAGACTGTCTACCACCATGTCCCCTCCCCTCTCCGTACCCCGGGCAAAGTATACCAGAAAATCAATTGCCAGCCTCAGTTCTTTCAACGCAGTAAACTCTTTCAAAGAGCCACTGTTTTCCCAGAATGAGGATAGGAATTCCGCGTCTTCCCCTTCTTCCTCGTCTGGGCTTCCACCCCAATCAGGCTCTTCATCGTCGTCCACCAAATAAAAGGGATAAACATGCTCCTCAATGTCAATGTCCAAAATCTCCAATGTTTGCTTATGTGGACATAACGCTTTTATGATCGCTTTAGGGTTGAAGGTGTTGTACCCCCTGCCCCGATCCGCTCTGCCGCCCATCGTGAATCGGAATTCCTTGAGTATTGCGCAAGGCGATATCACTTTTGCAAGATATGTACTCCCGACGAAGGAATGCGTGATTGAAACCCGAGTGATATTGCACGGGCCCTGCACAAGATCCGGCATCCCGTTATCCCGATCGTCTTCGAGGACATCCGTGCCCACCCATTCGATAGATGGGAGACGATCGAATATCGGGAAACAGCCGATAAAGTCCATTTCCTGATAGTACCGCTCGTCGTCCAGGTCTTGTTTGTTAATTATATACACCTTGCGCAGATTCTGAAGGTATGGCTTCCCCACTGGATTTGCATTTGCGTCACGGAACAGCTTATCAAGCGGAAAGTCGACGTGATCAGCTTCGGCCCATGGCCAATCAGTCATGTAGTATCCAAAGTAGTTATAGAACGGCTGCGTCATAGCTATAGAGACCAGATGAGGCGATAATGCGACCAGAACCGCCGCTATGGCCTGTGTGATAAAGGCGCAGCGGTTATCCCATCTGTTTAGATTTAGTACCATGCATACATACATGCAAAGGCAAGTTGAATTAAAGACTCACCTTAAATGTCCCTTGTGTTGTTTCTTTTGCATCAGCATGTTGATCACGCGGCGTTCATTGCGATCTACGAAACCAGCCTTTCGGACGGCACTTGCCAACAGCCGCATATCCTCATCAGACAGTTCCCGCTCAAAGACCCCTTCTTTATACTCTTCAGGGCCACGCAGCGGTTGCCAGTGGTCAATCTGCCGCACAAAATAGCCAAGGCTAGGTCGTCGGATGATATCCATCAGTAGGTTAAATGCGCGATCAATACCCTCATCCCTGCCGGTTATGTGGATCCGATTGTACTTTTTGCGGGTTTCCATGTCGCACAGGGCGTGGAGAGTGCGGCATTGGATGGAGAAATTGGCCACATCGCGGTTGGAAAGAAGATGGGAAATAATTCGATGATGGACTTCTGGGGGGAGAGTTAGGAATGGCATGTTATATTGTCTTTGTGATGTTTTATTTTGATGGAGAAGTGAGGTCTATTTAAAAGTGGATTGGGATTACCCGAATGGGACTAGCCTAGCATCTATCCTTGCCTACGAACTAGTATATAGATCATAGTATATAGAACTAATAGCCGACCATGTTTTGGGCTTTCGATTTGATATTTCTCCCTGGAATTGCTCAGACCCATTTGTTGTCAAACACCTTTCCATCAACATGGTTTATCATCTCCTTGACTGGTGGCAGGTGGTCTCTTCCAGCCCCAAACAACATGCCCATCCGCATCACCTTGCGATAATTCCTTCCCGGGGATACCTTGCCCAGGACATACTCCTGGCGAGTCTCAACACGAGTAGGGACTGGGACTGACCTTCCAACGATGGCTTCCATGGCTTGCCACGCAAAGGTGATGGCTTCTTTAGCTCCAGCTGGAATGCCAGCATCGTCAAGCATGAAGATCTTAATATTGGGATAATTTTTCTGGATAAAGGCCGTGATGTTGGGATTGTAGGCGCCTCCACCACACATGAATAGCTCTGCAATTTCCATATCCGTGGGTGCATATCGTCTGTAATGATCTACGATGGCCTGCGCTGTGACACGAGTTATGGTCGCGACAACATCGTCCGGCGAGAGACCCTTTGCCTCGGCCTTTTGGATCAGTTCAAACGCGAGCGTGTCTCTGAATACCTCCCGCCCGGTTGTATTTGGCGGATCAAGCTGGAAGTACTCATGCTGCAGGAAGTCATCAACAAGAGACTGATCAACAGTGCCTCGTGCCCCCATTTCTCCATCGCGATCATATTCCCTCTCCCCGTTGGTATAGTGGCGTACAACTGCATCGATAAAGACATTCCCCGGCCTAGTATTGAAATCATAGCACTAGTCCACGCCCCCTGCACTATCAGGCGGGATGAAACACACATTCGCAATGCCCCCAATATTCTGACACGCACGCAGCTTCGTCGGATGGTGAAGGAGCAGCGCATTTAAAAAAAGCAATCAGCGGCGCACCCTGGCAACCTGCTGCCTGGTCGCTGACGCGAAAGTCAGTGATGGATGTGATGCCAGTGCGAGAGGCGAGAATCGACCCCTCCGCCATGGTGAGGGCGCTTTTAACCTCATTAGCTTCGGGCATGGAGAGGAGCCAGATGGTTTGGCCATGGGAGCCGATCACGTCAATGGTAGCCGTGTCGATTTGCACGTTTTGGCTGAACTGATAAACGCTGTTGGCGAATGTTTCGCCGAGGATGACGTTGACTTCAGATAGTTCTGAGGGGGAGGTTTTGTTGTGTAGGATGATGTTCATCACGCGTTTTTTGATGGTTGGTTCGAGGGGGATTTCGCCGTACTGCGCTATATTAGATGCATGGCTATAGATATAAAATATCATACCTTGAGCAGTTGAAAATGCAGGGGGGATTCCGGGGACTCCTGGTAAAAGTGACACAGAGTACAGTCGATGCCATGCTGACGGTCAGTTTATGCCTGATAAAAGGAGGAGAGAGTATACCATACTGGTGCCACTATTCAGACCCAGGACAGTGAGGTCCAACACTCCATTATCGATAGAGCCCATGGTGATGATACTTATGAAGACAATAATGATAATCAAGAGAATTGCGATGAAGTGGTTGATGCAGTGAGAGAGTGTGTATTTCATTCTCGCATCTGTCGGCCATTCGGCCGAATGGCTGCAGGTCCCTAATGAGTGGCTAGGATTAGCTACCTATCTAGATACATTTAGGCTGTTTCCAGAAATATTCTGTGACTGCGGTTAAAGGCCTGACTCCTCTTCCCTCAGTTTATATGCAGATGTAAAGTAGTTCCTATCACACACGGGGTGCTCCCCTAATTATATAAAGACACTTACTATAGAATGTAAGCTAGTTTAAATCATATATAGTATCCTCCTAATATCCTCAGGCATATCAGTACACACATATTATCTATATTCCCAACCTATCTATACCTATAGACTTACTCCCCTCTACCGCGGAGATAGACAGGGGCAACTGGAAGTATATATCCCAGTCAATTTAACCGGGGTGCGATTCAAAGCCATGACCACCTAGAGATGGCTATTATTACCCCTTTACTCTCACTGTCCAATAACAATTCATCTAGAGGTGATTGCCGAGTAAGTGCTTACCAATATAATACCCCGGCCGTTCATGCAGGCTATACAATCACTGCAAGGGGGTACCCCTGCCTTTGAAGATCGAACCTCGCCTGTTATTTTGCTTTCGATTTGATTCCTGTCCTTCCATTGTCTGTCCTGAAATGCACCTCCAGAAAGATGGGCTATACTACTCTCTGGGCACGCCTCTCTCCTCGCCAATTGAACATCGCCATCCACCTCTTCTCCCTCATCTCCATCTTCTTCGAGGGATATGACCAGGGAGTGATGGGAGGCGTCAATGCCTCGCCTTACTATGTGACAACAGTAGGAATCGGCACTGCAGATGGCACCGTCACCAACGAAACACACCAAGGAGGCATCGTCAGCATCTACTATCTCGGATGCATCTTTGGCTGCTTTGCTGGCGGATATCTCGCAGATCGTATTGGGCGGGTTAATGGTCTATTCATCGGTTCTCTATTTGCCCTCGTTGGAGGTGCGCTTCAAGCGGCGTCTCAGAGTTCGGATTTTATGCTTGTTGCTCGTGTTGTGTCGGGCATTGGGACTGGAGGTATTTATTCTGTCTTATATTTGAATTTTTCTAATTGAATAGCGTTGACTGGCATCACGCCGGTTCTTGTATCTGAAACTTCCTCCGCCGATCACCGCGGTGGCTTCTTGGGATACGTCTTCATCGCGAATTGTAAGTATCCCTTTATCTTATATACCTCTCACTGACCCTCCAGATCTGGGCATCTCCATCGCCTACTGGCTCTCCTTCGGCCTGGCCTTTATCAACAACGGCTACTCAGATATTCGCTGGCGATTCCTCCTCGCCTTCCAATGCATCCCAGCCCTCCTCTTGGCTGTTTTTGTCAAAATGCTCCCTGATAGTCCGCGCTATCTTGCATCTGCCGGACGGTACGATGAAGCATATGATATCCTCGCCCGGATTCGAGGCCACAGGGTTAGCGAGGATGAGATCGAACAGGAGCACCAGGAAATCATCACTGCAGCAGGCAACTCTCAGCCTCCTTCGCCGATGCAGTTTGTGAAAATCCTTCTTGGGAGAGGGAAGCCGGAGAATCTGGGTAGACGGGCGTGGCTTTGTCTGTTTTTGCAGATCATGTCGTCGTGGACGGGGATTACGGTGAGTTTCTCCTTTTATATACAAGATGTACATTTCTTAATTATCAATAGGCTATTACTGCGTATTCTCCTGTCCTTCTCAATCAAGCAGGATATAGCCGGATCACACAGAATGGACTGGCCGGTGGACTCAACACCATTGGAATTGTTGGAACCATCATCAGCGCACAGATTGTTGATCGGTTTGGTCGTCGTTCCTGTCTGATTGCCGGATCTGCTATCCTATTCACCGTCCAAGTAATTGTAAGTCAATCAATCCATATGGTCCTGGCCAAATCTAACCATCCAGGCTGGATCTATATACGAAGCCTCCCTCCATAATCCCTCCAAAGCAACCCAATACGCACCCGCAGCAGTCGCAATGCTCTTCCTCTTCAACCTGGGGTATGCACCATCCCTAACTTAACATAAACCATACCATACTGATACGATAACCAGATACGCCGCAACATGGGGCACAGTCGCCTTCCTCATCCCAACGGAAATCTTCCCCTCCTCGCTCCGCGCCCAGGGCAACGGATTCGGCATCACCGGGTGGGCGATCGGGGTGGGAATGACCACATTGATCAACCCCATCATGCTGGGTAGCATCACCAGCCGCAGTTATTTCCTGCTAGCGGGGTTGAATTTGTTGTGGATTCCGGTTGTTTATTTGTTCTATCCAGAGACGAGTGGACGGTCGTTGGAGTCGATTGAGACGTTGTTTGTGGCTGGGAGTGTGTTTTCGTGGAGGATGGAGGAGGCGTATAGGAGGGGTGGCGATGAGGTTAAGGGTTGTTGATTGTATAGGAATTAATAGGACAGTATGGATTATGATTAAGTATGGGTAGGGGTGCTTATATCTCTACTGGTCACAGCATATGTCATTGGATTCTATACAACTTTGTTAGTAATTGATAATCATCATCGGGTTGGTTTACATTTGATGAGGCTATAAATACAGTTAAATCAGTTTATCATCTACGTTATGTTGCGTCCATAGCATCTACCCTCAGCCAATACGACCACACATATAGGGGCTGACCACCCTATTTATATCACACGAACAGGTCGATCCCGTGGGGTAACGCATTGATTGCAGGTTGGCTAGATCTGATGTGATTGATAGCCCTGTCGTACAGATCTGAAGCATAGTTAATCTAAGACCGACGCAAGGGATGGCAGATGGAACGGTATATACTATATTATATCTAGCTTATATGACAGTTCTATCAAGTATCACGCAGGTCCGCTATGGAAAAAGATGACCAAAAAAGAAAAGAAGAAGAAAGAACACGGTCGCGCTCCGACCAGATATCAATAAATCAAGTTATACAAAGAAAGATAATCGTGTCTCTTTTTCTCATCCCTTTCCACATTAGACTCTGGGTTATGTTTATTGGCCTAGTTCTTGAGGGGGTTTGGCCATTGGAGGGGGCGCCATGGGGTATGGTTGTGCGGCTGCTACCATTGCCTGAGGCGAGTTGAGGAGTGAGTATCGCTTTTTCCGCTCAAATAGCGCCCAGGCGAGACCGGTGCAGGCGAGGACACCGAGGGGGACACCCACGCCGACACCGATGGCGACGTCTCGGGAACTGTTGTTCTTGTCGTTGGCGTTGCAGGTGGTGTTGGTGTTGCTGGTGGCACTGTCTGCGCTGGTGGAGTCACAGGTGTTGGTATTGCTGCTGCTGCCGCTACTGCTGCTGGTGGTACTCTCGCTGGCAGACGAAGTCGAGGTGGACGACGAGACAGCTATACTGTTACCTCCCGTGGGAGAGATGGTGTCGGCGGCACAGGAAGCACTGGCCATAAGGGCTTTATCCATGACGACATCGCCGTCGGGGAGTTGAAAGGCGGCCTGGTCGTTGAAACAGCCGACGCTGGAGGAGGAGTTGGCGACGATCGAGTTGCAGCAATACCAAACGCCCGCCTGTTTGGTATTTTCCAAGAGCACGATGGAGCACGCGGAGCCCTGTGGCGAATCGGCTATTTCCGTGTTAGAGACGATCGTCATTAGACGAGGAGATTGATAGGCGTCGGTGAGCACTTACTTCCGTAACATTGACGAGGACAGCTATCACCCCAGCCGGAATCGGTGCAGCTGCTACGGTAGAGGGTGAACGGTTGCGCAATGGCCATGCAGTATCCATTATCGAGGCAGATGGAGTTGGGCGAGCAACACGAACTGTACGTGCCGCTGTTACAAGGGACGTCGCCCGTGGCCACTGTTTTATCGGGCCAGTAGCACGTCTGACCGGCAGCTAAAGCGGCCGAGACGAAGAGGGCGAAGAGATTTGCAGACAACATGGTGGATATACAGGACGATCTGCCCGACTCTCAGCAAAAGAGGATAACGAAGGACATGAGAGGATAAATGAGGATAAAAGGAGGGAAACGAACAGCAGGAAAAACCGACAGACAGAGGCAGTGAGCCTTGATGCAGCCTTGCGCCTCGTCTAGCAGCTACTGCTGTCAGCATTAATTAGCCTGGATAGCCATGCTCTCTATCCAGCTAATGATCCTGTCTCTTTCCACACCAATAGAAACACTGGCCTTTCCGCTAAGCACGAGGGTCCGTTGCACGCAACAAATCACCGTGTTGGCCCCCACTCAGCCAGCCTGGCCCACTGTTTCTCGGACGAAGCTTGACGATTGAATTCAGTTCGTGCCATCGCGACATGATTGTTGGGATGGGCCGTGGACCCTGATTCGTCTCGACACAGGCCCGACCGTTTCTCTTCAGTCCTGGAACGGATCGGCAGGTTACAGTGGGCGAGTCTGGTTACTGTCACTGTCCAGTGGTCGGCGATACAGAAACAGACGGAAGCCCCTGAGGCTGACCGGCTCCGTTCATTTCCCGTGGGGCGTCTGATTGGCGGAGAAAGTGACAGATCCGTCAAGGTTTTCCTCGTGTGGCTCGATTCGGCCTAGTTCCGCCATATCGCGTTGCATTAGATTCAGTATGACAAATTAATATCTTATTATTATATATATTACCAGAGTATTGAGAGCAAATGATAGAGATATAATAGTGATAAATAGAAGAATCGTTATAAATATAATATGCACAGTTATCAAATGGCATATTATTAAAGTGATCGGCGTACGGGTGGCGGGAGCAGACATGGATGTAAGGCTGTGCTGCCCCTCTTGCGACGCTGGCTGGTCTCGGCAGTGGTATTTCACACCCAGGTCTTCACCGCCTTCCGGAATCCCCCCCTCTGATTCGGCGCTATGTTTATCTCCGCCTGGCAGAACCCTAGCCGCACACCGTTTATCCAGGCTATCCGCAACCATCCACCCACTGGACCCCTGTTCGACACGACGCTTTTGCACTCTTTTCTTTTTCTTTTTTCTTTTTTCTTTTTTTTTTTTTTTTCCCTGAGGTCATGTTGTTCTTTTTCAGCTGTCCATCTCAAATCCTCTTAATGTTTCTCTTGATCCATTCTTCTCCTCCAGTCCAGACCATGTGTTAGTAGGCTTGACGCCTGCTCCTCTTCCTCTTCTTTCTTTCTTTTCGCTGCTGATGCCCATTTTCCACTCCCGCTCCCCCATTCCTCCTTCAATTCCTCTGCATCGCCGGACAATGTTGCAGCTTCGCCGGGCCTCTTGGCCCTATTTTCTCATCCCCATCTTTCTCCTCTTTCTCTTCTTCCACGGTCTACCCTCCGCCCCTTCTAGCCAGTCTGACAAGAACGTCCCACTGGCTGCCCCTCCCGCCGCCGCCGACCAGTCTGACGTTCTGCACCCCGGCGACTTTATCGATGCAGCTCGCCACCGCGATATTCACAGCGAAGCTCTGAATGCGCCCGAGACCCTCTTGGACGAGCCCGACGGGCCTGGCACGCTGCATGACTTGCGGTATGCTTGTCCATCGCGTCTGTCTCCATCTCAATCTCACTGACGCCTTCTAGGAATGAAAAGTTCTATCTGGGCGGCACTCTCTCCCTCACCACCGAAGAGGTCGGCGCCGCTCACCCCAAACCTGCCATCTTCGACCCCTACCCCGCATACAACAGCCACCAGTGGAGTAAGGAGTGGAAGGGAGAATACAAAGTATGCGAGGGACCTCGTGGCACAGATCTCGATCGCACAAGTCCTGAGGATATGATCTCCGTCTATCGCGGAAACCAAAGAGGTAATGCCGTCATCTTCTCACCGTACTTTTGTACGGTCGCTGACCGTCTTCAGAATTCCCCTATCCCATGTTCGGATCGCAGGAAGCCATGGGTGTCGACCCCAACGTTTGCTCCGACCGCTACTCCCGTTACGGCCCTTACGGTTACGATGAGGACAACCACCAGACCGTTCCCGGCTTCCAGAGACCCCGTAAGGTCCGCTGGGACAATGTCAACTGGGGTGAACTTCAGACCCAGTGCTACGAGCGCAACGCCGACCGTTACAACCCGCACTTTATTGACCAGCACTACAGCCGACATGTTCTCACGACGGATATCCCCCAGCGCCCCGTGGCTTACACTGAACCCACGTCGCCAGTGACCAAGTCGTACAAGCCGCGCCAGGCTGTCGTCCTCCGTGCTTCCTCGGAGATGAACTGGACCCAGAGTCACCGTCAATACCTCCGTTCGTTGATCATGGAATTGTCGCTGCATACCGGTATGGAGTACCAGGTGTTCTTCATGGTCGATGTCAAGGACGACTCCCTCCCGATCGAAACCGAAGACTGGGCCGTGAAGCATGTCTTGGATAACTCGGTCCCCGCCGAATTCCGCAACATGACTGTCATGTTCAACGAACGACTTTTGGAGACATGGTACAGCAAGGTCGAGGAGCACGTCGCTAAATACCAGCACTTGCAGCCCATGCAGATTTTCGCGCAGATGTACCCCGAGTTTGACTACTACTGGCAGTTTGAGTTTGACGCTCGTGTTGTTGGCCACATGTACCACTTCCTTGAAGCCGCCATCGCGTTCGCTAAGAAGCAGCCCCGCAAGCAGCTCTGGGAGCGCAACGCCTACTTTTACACCCCCGGCGCCCATGGTACCTACGAAGACTTCTCGGAGATGGTCAGCAAGTCCATGGTGGGCAAGGATGGTGTCTGGGGCGCTGTTCCCGTTCACGGCATTAACCCCGTCGGACCCAAGCCTCCCGTCGCCAGCCCTCAAAACGACAACTACGAGTGGGGTGTGGGTGAAGAGGCCGATCTCATCACCTTCCTCCCCATCTTTGATCCCCGCAAGACGACCTGGACCTTCCCCAACATGCTCTGGAACCTGGCGATCGAAACTCCTCGCCGCTCGTCTGTCATCACCCAGTGGCGCATGTCGAAGCAGCTTCTCGATGTGATGCACGAAGCTCAAATGGAGCAGGGACTTGGATTTGTCTCTGAGATGGCTGGCCCGTCATTTGCTCTCCTGCACGGTCTCAAGGCCGTCCACGTTCCTCACCCGATCTACGCTGACGGCAAGTGGACGCCCAAGGAAATCGCCAAGATCTACAACCCGGGTACTCCGGAGAACATCAACGGTGAACCAGACAGTGTCTGGAACTGGAACCACCTTTACGACCACATCATGTACCGTACCACCTACATGTTCACGACCCAGGCGGCCGAGGACTTGTTCAGACGGTGGTTGGGATACAAGCCTGACCCTAACCAGTACACCGACGGCAGTCGCGTATGTTCTCTCTTTCTCCCTCAATTCTGATCTGATGCTAATAATCTTACAGCACGAAGATGGCCAAGGACGTTTCTGGTACGATGGTGGTAGCTTGGTAAGTCTGATATACATTTCCTCATGATCTTCGCTAACTTGACCAGAACGAACCCGCATACGGCCGTCTCTGCTTCCCCCACGTGTGGCTGCACACGATCAAAAACTTCGAACTTCAAAAGGGCCCCGACATGGCCGTTCCAGTCTAAACATAGAATTTGCTTTCCATCTAGCGCTTGCTCCCTTCGTCTATCTGGCCCGAACCGGCCATTTTCTTTTCTTTTCCGATTTCGTGTATGTATTATTTGGGTGTCATTGCTGGGTTATCATTTTCTGTAAATAAACAACGGTAGAACGGACACGATTGGTGTTAATGATATTTGATGTCTGAATTTGACAGGGCCAAAGCTGTAGGGATGCATCTGAATGTCTGAATCTCTGAGATCTCAAACTTTATCGTGTGGCACTCCACATTTCGTGGACGATGACGTGTCCACATGCCTTGCGTGACGAAAAGATTGAGGCTATATGACTCTGAAACAGATCGACATGTATCGGGCATTTGCAAGGAAGTGATGTATCACATACCACGGATAATATAATTACAATTCACATGACCGACGATCTATTCAATCAACATGAAAAAACGGCCTCTCACTGTGCGGCGAAACATACGACGTCCCCGAAACATCATGACAGACCGGCTCCGCACGCCTGAAATGCACAATCGCAATCAGCCGCCCCAGCACTGCAAACTCCATCTTCAACTTGATACTATACACACTCGACTTGATGATCACCTGGATAAAGTAAAAATCCAAATACTCCAACGCCAGCAGCGTGACATCCATGAGTATCGCGACGAGGTTAATCGCGATCAGCTCGTATAACAGCCTACTCCGCTGTCTATCGTGGTGGAAACGAATCAACTTGACCGTTTCCCAGATATAGAAGGTTGAGATGAGGATCTCCTGTGCACAGAACCAGGTTATTTGGATTCGTTCGATGATGGTGAATGCCTGATTCCACGGGTGAGTCTTGAAATACGCCGCGCCGTAGTAGAGCACCGTGGTGGGGATGATGAGCGCGATCGAGTCAACAATAATAATATTCCGGAGCCACTTCAGGGCTTTATAATTCTGCGAGATAATATGCAGACGCGAATACAGCACCACCGATTGACCCGGGACGAGAAACCAAAAGCCCACGTTGGAGACGGTGAGAATCAACCACAGCGGACCGATGTCGTAGAAATCCAGCAACGAGCCGATGGTAGCTGGGATCACGCCCATCGTGTTGGAGAGTAGTATTGACCAGAAGTAGACGCCCGTGTAGCGGTGGAAAGTGAGGAGGATGAGAACAAACAGTTCGACGGCGTTGTATAGTGCGATGGAGATGAAGGCCGCCATTGTGAGTTTTGTGCTGATGTTGCCCGGGGTGTTTCCGCCGAAAAGTCGGGCGGAGGAGTGTAGGTTCTCCATGGTGGGTGGGCATTGGTATTACTGATTCTATTGGAGATGTATTTGATGTAGACAGATATGGGGATTCATGGTGTCTTCGTTTTTGAGTTGGGGGGGTGAAGCCTCATACTCATTCGACTGTGGTATATCCATGGATGGGAGGGTTTTATGGTTTGTGGCTGATTTCGACAGGGAAGAATGCTTGACTGAGTGTTAATTTCATATAACATGATCTCTATCTGTAGAATAATTAGTTTTTGCTTGTGGAAATGATATTATCTCATGGTAAAGGAGTGGTGGTATTTGTTTATACACAGTAGTCCACCTCACGTGGTGGTGGAATAAATCCAGTAGTGTAAACCTTTAATATGAACAACAGTTGAAATGGACTTTGATTGAATAGAATTAAAGTATTAAGTTATATAATATCCCGAATATCTACGAAATACCTACTGGTGTAGGTACATGACCAGAAAGGCAGGCTATACCGACCACCCAAAATGCATCGCCATCGCCTTCCACAACACCAACCGCCAAACAATGCGATAACCCCCGCATCAGAAGTTTATCAGCAAGAAGTTATTTTGTGACCTTCCATTTGCAAGTGCAGGAAAGCCTCCCCGGATAAAACAGCGGTGATCTACAGGTATATGTACACTGTCTCTCACCACAACATATCCAAATCATTTACATCTCCATCTATCTTCGCAATGGCAAACCGTGGCCCTACATTCGATCGGAACATCTCCTGTATCCATGATCTGAAGGTCCTGGGCAGTGAGAAGCTTCCTATCATGTATCGAGGTGAGATTGCAGTCATTTTATTTGGGCTTTGCTAATGCTGTATAGACTACTATAACGAAGGTGCTATGGATCTGATCACGTATGATATCCTCATCTTTAATAAGGATCAATTAAATTAAATATCAACAGTCTAAAAGACAACGAAGCCGCCTACGATCGGTATAAAATCCGACCTCGCATTCTCCGCAACGTCGACCAACTCGACACGTCAACCACCATTTTTGGCGTCAAGGTATGTCACTTCATCATTTATCAAGACATCACTAACGGAGTAGACTCCTCTCCCCTTTGGCTTCAGCCCCGCTGCAATGCACAAACTGGCTCACCCAGATGGCGAACTTGGCACTTCTCGCGCTGCTGCCAAATTCGGGCTGTGCATGGGGTTGTCATCGTACTCGACTACAAGTCTGGAAGAAGTCGCTGCACAGGGAACTGGGAATCCTTATGCGATTCAAATGTGTGTGTTGAAAGATCGATCACTGACGCTGCAATTACTGCAACGAGCAGAGAGTGCGTATTTCATATTCAATCCAATGGTGATTCGGTCCCAGCTAACGCAAACAGAGGCCGGATATAAAGCGCTGTTCCTCTCAGTCGACGTCCCCGTCCTGGGCAAGCGTCTGAACGAATACCGGAATAGCTTCGATCTCCCCGAAGACATGTGGCTGCCCAACATTCTATGCAAACTAGCCGATGAAGGCGACAGTGAGCGCATTGCCTATGGTAAGTTTTCTTCTTTTCTTCCAGCGATGGAACGAGATTCTGACCGGTAGACCCTACACTGGACTGGGAATCCGCCATTCCCTGGTTACGAGCACACACCACGATGAAGATTTGGCTGAAGGGTGTTTCCTCGCCTGAGGATGTGCAACTGGCTATCAAATACGGCGTGGATGGTGTCATTGTGTCGAATCACGGTGGACGGCAACTAGACGGTGCACCCGCCACGCTGGATGCGCTACGAGACTGCGCACCAGTAGCAAAAGGGAAGGTCGCCATAGCCGTGGATGGAGGTGTGCGACGGGGCTCGGATATCTTCAAAGCACTCGCTCTTGGAGCGGAGCATGTGTTCCTGGGAAGGATTCCCATCTGGGGACTGGCTGTATGTTTCCTTCTGATGATACTGGGCTGGGCTAATGTCGACAGTATAATGGACAAAAAGGAATCGAGTTGGCGATTCAGATTTTGATGGAGGAATTGAAGACGACCATGGCACTAGCTGGGTATGTCTGCTCTATACCTGAATATAAAATATATGCTAACTGGGCAGATGTCGATCGATCGAGGATATTAACGCGAGTTATTTGTCGGTTTTACGGCCGGATGGGAGATTGGCCAAGTTGTAGATCATAGCATAGCATAGCATTTAATGGCATTTAATCAAAGATATGCATAATTGAAGCTTTCTGTATGTTTAATATAATTTTCCAATGGGTATTGTAGAAATCAATTCCCTACGCGAGTCTACGATGGGCATACCCTGCAAAGTACAGCTTTTTATACTGGAACTTGGCATACTATTGATATCTCTCTTCTACTAAACAATGATAAACTCTGAATCTATAGTTCGGCCTTAATATTAGGGTGCCTTAGTATCATCTGTACAATTTGTGCAGCTGAAGCTATCCAGACCAACTACAAGAAATCTCTCGAATGACCGATATTGACTATGTAGATGACCAAACCATTAAAGCAGACTTAAATATCTATATCATTGACTTTATAATACTGGTTCTATTTAAGCATCAGGATCCATGTTCACATGCACAGCCTTGATCTGCGAATATCCCTCCAACCCAGCCTCTCCCAACTCCCTCCCAATCCCGCTCTGCTTAACACCACCAAAAGGAACCCGGAAATCGCAATCCTGACTGCTGTTGATCCAAACCATACCTGACTCGATCTTCCTCGCCATCCGGTGTCCCCTGACGAGATTCTCGGTAAAGACAGCAGCGCCAAGGCCATATGTTGTATCATTCGCCATCTGGAGCGCGTCTTTCTCGGCCTTGAATTTGACCACCACAGCGACCGGGCCGAAGATTTCCTCTTTGTAGATGGTCATGTCGGGCGTGACGTCTGTGAAGATGGTGGGCGCGATGAAGAATCCCTTGCCGTCTTTCTTCTGTGCCTGGCCGCCTGTCAGCACCGTGGCGCCTTCTTTCTTCCCCTGCTCGATGTATGCCAGTACGCGGTTGAATTGGGCTTGTGAGACTTGTGGTCCTTGGAAGGTTGCGCTTTCGAAGGGATCGCCGACGGTGCTGCTCTCTGTGAGAGATTTAAACTGTGCCAGGAAATCGTCGTAAACGGATTCTTCAACGAAGATGCGCGATGTCGCGGTGCAGATCTCGCCCTTGTTCGACATGATGCCGATATGCGCCCATTTCACAGCTAGATCTGTTCGTGCGTCACCGAAGACGATCAGCGGCGACTTGCCTCCTGTCTCGAGGGTGATGTTCTTCAATGTAGCGCTGGCCATCTGCATGATCTTCCTCGCTGTAGCGGTCGAGCCAGTGAATGCGACCTTGTCAACATCCGCGTGCTGGACCAGCGCCGAGCCCGCGTCTTGTCCCAGTCCATTGATGATGTTAATCACGCCCGGTGGGAAAATCTGCCGAATCAAAGTTCCCAAAACAAGAACACTCAGAGGTGTCTGCTCCGCAGCCTTCAACACAACCGTATTACCACACGCGATCGCCGGACCAAGTTTCCACGCCGCCATCGACAGCGGGTAATTCCACGGAATAATCTGACCGACGACGCCGATCGGCTGGCGGATTGTGTAGGCGAACTTGGCCGAGGTGGTGTTGATGGTCTGTCCGAATGTTTTGTCCGCCCAGCCGGCGTAGTAGCGGATGGTGCCTATCGCTTCCGGGAGGTCGCCTTCAAGCGCTTCGCTGTATGGTTTACCTGGAGAGTCAGCATAGGCTAAAAGGCAGAGAAGTGATAACAAACCATTATCCCATGCGTCGATGGTAGCGAAAAGCTCCTTATTCTCTTCCATCATATCGGCCAGACGGGTCATCATCTGCCCTCTTTCGGTGGGTGGGAGATCCTCCCATTCAGGGCTGTTTAGTGCGTTGCGCGCGGCTTGGACGGCGATATCGACATCTTCAGGACCGGCGGCGTAGACTGATGCGATGACCGATTCATCGCTGAGAGATTAGTGATGCTTGAAAATTAAGAAAGATAAACTCACCTTGGGTTAATCGAGTCGATCCTCTTGCCCGATTTCGAAGCCACAAATTCGTTGTTGATAAACAGACCCAGCGGCTGGGCGTAGGTACGGCCGTTGGGGGCTGTGAGCTGGACTGTGAGATCAGACATTCTGAGACGATGGTACCAGACGATAGATGAATGTATCTGCTGCGTTGACGAGATGATATGAGGGGGAGTTGATATAAGTACGTGAATGAGGGGTGTCTGGATCGGGCAGGTCGATGCGGGCCAATCACAAACAGAGTAGCTGCAGGAGTAGCATTATCACATTCCAAATGCTGGAAAATGTATCAGAATGGAGATATTCCACTGACATCTGTTTAATTTATTTTGCAACTCTTTTGGAGCAAACGAAACAAGAAGGTCATCACGAGGCTAGGCCATTTCGGGACGAAGCTTATCTTATCGGTGCGGGGTGACTGACTTGGAGATATCTGGGGTAGAATCCATTATGATGCCAGCAGACTTCCAGTGTCCGTTACATGGGATAGAAAGTGGCAGAACATCGTGGATGAGATCTGAAAATGTCAATTTGAAGGGATCTCGAGTATTCGACGCTGGAAGCTAGAGTATAATCAACAAAGGCATTGATGTTTATCATTTAACCTAGCCAAAGCTTCGAAATAAACAGCTTGACCACCCTAGGCATAAACATGATCACCGTGCATGCATATCGTAAAACATTACTATCCATGCAGAAGAATCCCATCCAGTATCTGACCATAGATACAATCGACCAATCAACACCCGACGTGTCGTTATTCGCACTCGCGGGTTTTGCGGCACCTAGCGCTGTAAATCCAATAGTCAGACACCCGCTGTGCATTGATAACAGGTTCCTCGCCAGACAAAATCCACTTACTGACAGGAAAAGACCTAGGAATTCGCAGCAGAAGCTGTCTTTCCGTTGGTGACACGCTTTGTCTGCGCACTTTCCCGAAGCGTTTTCTCCATATCACGTAGCTTGACCTGAAACTGGAGCTCTTTGATGGAAAGACGTTCTTCCTGGATCTCGAGTTTTGCTTCACGAATTCTGAATCCCAGCTCTTGGATCCTCTTTTCCTTTTCTCCGATTTTTGTCTTGCGATTCTTGATCTCGCCATCGAGTTCCCCCACGATTTCAGTATGTCCACCTTGGTAGTTGGGAGTTGATTCTCCTGCCGCCGTATAGAGGCTGCTGATCAAAGACATCCTGGCAGAGGGAGAGGGCTGGGCAGTGAGCTCGGTGCTGGAAGTAGCCATCATTGCAGTGGATGTGGCAGGTCCTTCGAGACGAGGTCTTTTGTTGGGCCCGTCTTCCCTTGGAGTTGGCGGTGTGACCCAGGCTTTCTGTCCTTGCTGGGGGACGGGGGCAGCTGGTTGGGCCTTGAGAGGGGTCGTCTGCCCGAAGGAGGGTGTTTTGGGGGGGACCACGTTCTGCTGGCTTTGTGGAGAGAAGCTGTTGCCAGAGTTGCGAGGCTTTGGGGGCCAGTTCGCGGGTGTTTGAGGAACAGGCGTGGGGTTTCTGTTGTTACTGGACATGTTGATGGGGTGGTTTTGGTGGTTGGGAGAGAAGATGGGAAGAGAAAGTGGGCGAGTGGAAAGAGAGGGCGTTGTTGTGTTGGTCGACAGTGAATAAACAGTCAAACAGCCTAGCAACAACTACAACAACACAAACATATACCAAGAGATTGGAGAGATACTGTCAGTGCCTGAGAAAAATAAAATTTATTCCACAATATCATATCGACTATCATATACACATGTAGAGTCAGATCAGTAAATATGATCATAGAGGACGGTCTAGCCATAGTGGTAAAGATTGAGATAAAGACAAGATTATTCCTCTGGAGTCAAGATGAAACCAGTTCTTGCCCCTGGAATTATATTCCCAGAAGGCAGGTGACGGTCTTATGCTACGCCTATATATTTCTGACAACCAAGCAACCATCCAGGCAGGTCCCCAGGGACAGGATCTGGGCAGTATAATATCACGAATCAGCAGATATCGATGCAAGGGAAGTTGCCAGTGCACAGTCAGCACAGCCAATCCTTTGTGTCCGGGTGAAGCGGGGTAGAAGGAGTGGCAGACTAATCATAACAATGATAACCTGCCGTTGTTGGCTTGCACTGAATAAATGTCTCAGGTTTATAGGATTTGTTGTATTTGGGAGAAGAATTGTCGTCATAGGATGGCGAAGTAGCCCTGATACTGTATATCACTGCCTGATTGTCTCCAAATCGGGTAATCAACGTTGATCAGAGCGACAAGGCTGTCCGACTTAGGGCTTGAGACAAGGCTCTCTCCACAGCTAGGCATAGGAGATGCAGGTCCTGTCATCATGAGTAAGTTCCCATCCTGTACAAAGTCAAATATAGATCAGTTTGCACCAGGCAATTTATATGTTTTCAGTCTCCGAGCAGTATATAAGGCATTGCGATATCCTTCCAATCCGTCTACAATCAACAATCCCGCTTGTCTTCAACAAGAAACCCATCATCTTTTACAAGGTCACATCATATTAATCGATCCTCAATCCCCAAGATGAAGCTCAGCCTCAGCATCGGAATGCTCGCTCTCCTTGCTACTGGCTCAGTTGCCACTGAATCAGCTGACTCGGCATATCGTAAGTGGCGTCCTGGTATATTACCACCTTTTCTAATAGCTATTTTAATCTGATTATACCTGCTGGCACAAGAAGTGCCTTGGTAGATGCGAACCGACGGCCGAAGGAAGAGATGGAACTGTCACCGGTCCACATGCCAATGGATATGCATGATGCTATCTTCAAGCTGGCAGGCCAGGCCACCTAGATCCTGGCTCGCCAGCAAAATGCACGGGCGCCACTGGCTGCAAAGTCCAAAAGGGCGAAGATGTTTATTGTGAGACCTAGGATGCCAGTGAGGAGTTTGGTGGATGCTCGACGAGCTGAGTGCCGAGCAGTACAGGGCTCTTTCCAGTCCTCAGTGCGAAACTGGGCTGTTGTATTTATCATTTTGATTATATACGAGTCTCAGGAGAGTTCCGATCATCGATCAATCCAATCCTTTTCATTCCTGGGCCATGGAGGCGAGATATTGAGTATTAGATATCAAAGTCCCTTACGCAACAGGTAGGAACTTATTGTCCACCTCTCTAGCCAATGTTAGCATAGTAATTTTAGGGTCTCAATCAATTACTAGAAGGGGAAGACACCTTGATCAGTCATCGAGGATGTTGCTTTTGCTTTTGGGAATGCTATTTCTAGGATGTTAAATATTTCTGATACAGCAATCTCATCTGGGTTCTGAGGTTCATTTAGGATACGAGTCTCTACCGATGGATCTAGACAGGCTGGTTAATTGAGTTGAATCACTCTATTCTATATGCAATATTCTATTGTGAGCCATCACCAAAGACCAGATCTATACGGTATATTCCAATAAAAACTGTTATTTCAGATAAAAGGAGCGCAACGTACAATCCCTGTGTTTTCCTCGAGCATCGGGACCTCGGTGTTTAATCGAGTCGAGACTGGTGTAGTTCTGTCTCTGCCTTTTGCTTGTCGGGACAAGTGGCGGTGATGAAGGCCGACACGCCACACATTGTCTTGTTATTATAGTTACCCAGAGTATGTTGATCTGCTATAGACAACCTGTAGGGATTGAACCACTATTTATAGTTCCGCCGAATAGAGATTTAAGGAACAGTCAAGATCTCAAAGCAGGAAATACAAAGCCTGAAGTACCTGAATCTTATTCTTATCGGAGATGAAGAATCGATCTAACCAGTCCCCTGCAACGTAATCCACGGTCCACTTTCCTTGCATCCCAATAAGTTAACCTGCGCTATAATGAATCGGGTAATAATGAGATCGCTTTTTGATAAAGTAAAGTGCGTGCTTAATTCATTTTCCCATACAAAGTTTGCATTTCCTGGGCTATTCCAGCAAGTTTATATGAGAATGGCCTGAACTAGGCACAAAATATATATCTAAAGCATAGTTACTAAGGTAATGCGGTATGGCTTCTTGGAGAGTTGAGGATAAAAGGTCACGATAAACCATGGATATCGCGGATATCGGTATAAGTTGTTAAGCTAGACGGTAGTGTAGCAGCAATACATATTCTACTCCGGGTGCGTTTACATATTGGGGATGATGAATTTAAATATGGTAGTTAGTGGTTAGGAACAGAAAAAGCCCAATGCAACCAATCATACTGGGAGAAGAGTTATGGCAGGACTGCGGATTCTAGGAAAGCAGCACGCGTATCCCTCATCGTTTTGGCGTCCGGTTTCTCCAGCCTGAGTCGAGTTTCTTCCGGCATGTCGGGTTTCTCTGGGGTTGATCTATCGTGGTATTTCACCTCCACCGTATCCTTGTACGAGACTCGCCGGTTGTCCTCTGTGTAGCGGTTGATATACACGCCCGTCAAGACGAAGCTGAGCTCTCGACAGTTTTTCACCGCCACACCTGGAGGCCTGTTGTTTGTGGCGACTTTACGGGGTGTCAAAGTAATGACCAGGTGCGTGTTGACCCCATCATCAGTCTTGAGAAAGCTGATTAATGGGTTGAAACGAACATTCGAGAGCATATAGGCTCCGGGGCCAATATATGACTTCATCAGAGCGGCTCCGCCTGCTTCGTCGGGGCTTTTGAGCGGTAATGTGTACCTGACATACTCGATTTCTGTATTCAGTGTTCCCCAGCCACTCTGCATGACGATGTGGAAGATGAGGTCCAGGGAGCCTTGGCCGTTGATGCCGATCTTGAGCCTCCACGCGAACGAGTTCATCTGGACAGCCATCAAGGCGGATGTTGCAAATTTCTCATCGAAGCGACTCTTGTCCATCACGGCTTGTGCGGTCTGCAGGTATAGTTGAGCATAGTACTCCATTGACAGTCGGCGTACCTCGACCGATGAGTCATCGGGATCGGTCCAGTGATAAATGATCCCGGGCCCTGGTTCAGGATCGTTGGGCTCACGAGACACGCCGGACGTGATGAGCTGGTCTGCCCGATTCCAAAAGTAAGTTTTCATAGGTTCATTGACAAGGTCTCCATCATCTTTCCAGGAGTTATTCGTATATGCCCTCCGGAAGGGCATCGTGATTCTGTCAGCATCGACCGCAGCTCCTGCCACGAATGACTGTTGATGGGGAGGCTGTGTGAACCAGATTTCATCCCACGAGGTGGCAGACGGGCGTTTGGAGAACAGGCAGAACATCGTGTCCACATTGACGATATCGTGGCGCAGGAGGAGGAGCTCGTCCTGGTCGATGGGCTTACCGCCCAGTCGGATTTCAACCTTCAGATCAGGAAACTTGGTGATCAAGGCCGACCGAACATAGCATCCATAAATGGGCAACGGAGGCTCAGTGTTGATCTTGGGGATTGGAGTGGTGCGATAAAGATTGATGGCGTGGAAGATGGCCTTTCGAACCTTGTCATCCTCCTGATCGATGTAGTTGGCCAAACTCAAGGCTCCGTCAATCATCGCGTTCATCCACCGGGTGTCAACTTCGAAGAACCGAACGCTCTCCTCCGGGAGATGGCCGCCATCGGTGACGAGGTAATGGGTGGGGATGTTGGAAAACACGAGCCGGTCCAGCACCCATTTGAGCACGGTCATCCAGTCTGCAGAGAATGGGGTGTTGAACTCATTGTACGGGGTCTTCGATGGCTGATCGGGATTTTCCGCATCACAGGCACTGGAAATCTCTCTGGCAGCGCGAAGAAAATGTTCCTCCGTTGCGTCTTCGATCTCTACATGGATGTTGATACGTGATCGTCCCGCATAAGATCGATCGACTGGTTTCACCGATGGGCGAAGCCAACGCCGGGATCTTGCTTGAGAGTTTGTGACAGACAGCTGTCTACTATGTTGCAATGACTGGAGAGACTGTACCAGGGATGGAAGTGACGCAATGATCTGTTCGCGAGAGCGCTCCGACAGCAGCTCCAACTGGTAGTAATACATGCCAAGGTCGTAGATGTTCTTGCGGATCAGCCCGAGACTGGTGACAAACGCTTGATCGGCAATTGCCATGGTTCGGCCCAGCTGCCAGGCGGCCGAGTAAGTAATATCCATGATGCCCAACTGTTTGTCGAGGACCTGAAGATCACTGCCCGCGTTCGAAAGCCGGTCCCAAACGTCCTCTGCGGCCACATTGGCCACCGGGATGAATGCTCCTCTTGTAAAGCAGGCGGTCGATTCACCCGTTTTGACTCGATACCGAGCCATGGTATAGCCATTCTCCAAGCGAGTCAGGACCCTGTCCTTCACACTGGCCGGGATATTGGGGGTTGTCAGATCGTCTGCCGTTACTGCAGCGCGTAGCATCTGGGAGGACAGTCCCAAGTTGACAAACTGGTTGTAGACATTTGGCGTGGTCGACGGATAGCAGCTGTAAGACCAACTGTACAGCGACGACATGGCCACGAAGTCAGAAGCCACCGGCCATTGCATGGGCTCCACCTTGTAGATTGAGACCAGATGGGCAATGCAGTTTGTTGGTTCGGTCGCAGACGTCAGTCCTGTCCGGTGCGAAAAAAGCACACTGTAGGACTGCTGGTCGTCTTCAGTGGCCGTCTTTGCCGCAACGGCCATGCCGGTCGAGTTGATGTCCCGGCGATGAGCCAGGAATCGATGCGGCCGCACATCGGGACCGCTCTCTTTCTTCAGGTTGCCATTCTCGTCCTGCTTACAGAAGAGCGTGGTAAACAGCTTCTTCCGAAGGAAGATGAGCTCAGTAGTAGTATCCTCAGTAGTCGTAGGAGTTGGCGCCACGGGCGACACCGTGTGCTGCAGCTTTGCAATGTCGTTCACCCGCAGTGGCACCGTCAGGGTCTTTGTCTGCCGGAAGTCCTCTTCCTGTTCAATGTTCGCGAAGATCCCATTGTTACCCGTCAGCTCATCTGCAGACAACTCGAGCTCGTCTTTAGTGAAGACAAGGACCGCCAGCCACGGGACGCGGTTTCGATTTGCCTCATAATCCGGCTCATTGACAAGATCGCTTCCCGGCCATTCCCACGGGGTGCTGGGGGTGTTGAACACAATATGGGGAAGGGCCTCTGCCCATTCCTGATGGCCCTGTGGCGGATAGACCGAGTGGATTTCGCCTTCTGGCAATTTAAACAGGAACTTGTCCACAAAGAATGGCTGTGTATCTCCCAGCTTGTCTTCTCCCTCGATCTTTTGTTTGGTTTCGATGGTATAGGGACCCCCGTAAAGGCCCGGGGTCATATATGAGTGAAGACGCTGGTGGCCTGGGTCGAGATAATCATCGTTAACGGCCAAGAGGCCCTGCTTTCGAAGCACAGATCGTGCATGGCGAAAGGTCAGATATCGTGGGGAGAGGTTTTTGCGTCTTCGGGCCACCATGATGCTATTCACACTCTTCTTCTGGTTCTGCTTAATTCGCTGAGGTGGACGCACTGGATTGTATTATAAAAATAAAGAGCAATTGAAAGCTGTAAAATTGCATAATCAGCTGTAATTGACCTAGATATTGGAGTGCACCTTTCTGCAGAGCCAAAAGCCAGGCCGGGGAAGAATGTCCGGCAAAGACCACATTGCATGATGAGGGGGAAGTAGAGCTGCAGGTTGGGTCACAAGCTGAGCATGATGCAGTGTGATGGGTCTAGTGCAAAGTGGCAATTGCACCACGTCACATCAGCTCATGCAGAGTCGATGCAGGCGCAACACAGAGCAGATACAGCTCTGCATAACCGCCGTGACCATACGACGGTATTTCCCGCTCGGATGACTGATGCGAGCAGCCGGAAAGAGATATAAACAGGGTTTTTCCTCTCTCCCTCTTGGACTGCCACTATCTACCCTGACTTCTCCATTCTCAAAATGTCTCTGGCTGTGATTCAAAATCCGTTGGCCCCCCCGACCGCTGCGGAGGCATTGGTCTTCTTCTATTCGACTCCCGCTGAAACCGTTGTCAATCTCGGTGTGATTCGCCCGTCGTTGTTGAACGACACGGAATACCCGTACAATGACTACAACACCGAGACTCATGTGGACGTCGTGCCTGAATCCGGCCTGGAGATTGCGTTCTACAATGGCGCCGTATGTCTTGATCATCTAATACCCCTAGGAATTGACCTAACCTGGCAACTCGACAGCCTCGAGTGTTTGGCTTCACCAAGGCTGAGCCCGATGACAAACTGAAAGGCAAGAAAGTGTCGCCAAACGAGCCGGAACCACCCACAACAACCAGGCGCCTCACTCAGCTGAGTCCGACGGTGACTCCAATCGACAAGGATAATTCAACCTCGGTGGCTATCTTCTCCAACGCACTTACCTCTGTCTATGACGGAAGTAAGGCATACATCTTTGCCATAAAGTGAGTCGCGTCGAAAAAGGAAGACAAAACAGTCCTCGCAGGCTCAAAGACGGCGAAACGAATGAAGTCGAGCTGGTCTATTATACTCTGAGCACGAGAACTCCTCATGCCGCTGTCACGAACCTGACCGCGCGTTGGGATACTCAATTGGCCGCCATTATCACCCCCGCCGGCCAACACCGCTACTTTTTCCAACCCGATGAGAATACCATCCGATGGAAAGAAATCGATGGGAGTGTCTGTAAGTCGACCGATGAATAAAAATAAGATAAAAGAAAGCATCAGTTGACGGAGCACCGCAGTCAAGGACGTTCCCAATGTGGTGGCTTGGAAAAACACCCCGATTGCGGTGACCCACGGGTATACCGAGCCCGGCGAGAAGCCCCGATACCTCTATCTCTACTTTGTGGCCGATGAAAACAACCGAATCTATCGGACGAGATATGAGTATGAGAAAGAGGCGGAAAAGGAAGAGGACAAGTGGGACAAGCAGCCACTGCAACTGGACACCAGAGTAATCAACCAGCCTTGGAGATGGCTCAAGGTGATTCCGTTTGATGAGCAGAAGAACGTTGTTTTCTTCTTCGATCACGAAGACACGCTGATCAAAATCGAGGACAACCTCAACAATAGCCCTGCTCGTGCAGTGCCGGTGAAGCCGATCCACGAGAACTAGGGAGATGCTTGCTTTGCGTTTGTCTGTAGACGGTTTTGTTCCGACTCGAGTCACTCTCTCAATGAAATTACCAATATGCATATTTCTTTTTCACATCACGTAATAGCCACGCATCCAAGAATCATCGGTCGACGATGATGGTTGACATGGAACGACCAGCATAGGCGACCGGATATTTCTTTTGGTCTAGCGGTATTTTCTGGTTGATACCATCGCTTGTCTCCCTCATGCCGATCTTCTACTCGATCTGCTCTCCTGCAGATGCAGCAACTACTGCAAGCCTGGTGGGTCTTGCCACCGGTAGTGTGAGGAGAGGACAACGCATCCTGGCCTGTAGAAGTTGGGATGAATCTGGATCGATGGATAGACGGCTGATGGCTCGACGGACCGGTCCTAGAGCATCCAAACAATAAAAGCGCCATCGTGTCCATCAACCATGACCCCAAATAGCAGGACCATTTCTTCTTCACCACCCTCCAAGTATTCATCCATCACTACTTTTTCTTCCATTCTCCAGCATGGCATCCTCTTCCCCCCTGGTCGTGCCGGTCAAGTTGGATGCCTTTGTGCTGAACCCCGCCGTGTGCGATGGCGTCGAGGCCAGCGAGGCCAAAATCGCGCCGATCACGCAGCCCAACTACAGCTATCTCCGGCTGCAGAACGACCTGCTGCAGAATGACGTGATCCGGCCCATTGAGCTGCACGCCGCTGCCCCGCACGACAAGAACACGCGGATTTCCCACTTGGGGCTGGTCAATGGGCAGGTGCCGGACACGCCGCAGCTCCGTCCAGAGCGACTGGGCGTGTATCTGCACTGGATGATCCCTCGAGCCTACCGCACGGGAGCTGCAGCCACGGGGCCAGACGCGGATCGATCCAGACGCCGTCGAGGAGTGACCCCTCATCTGGGGCTGCATGACAGTCCAGCGCTGCAGATGCCCGTCTTCCCCGAGACGCCCAATCGGTGGCTGGTCGTCCGTCGCATCCACCAGGACAAACCAGTGGCCCCTGCGGATGCGCACTGCCAGCCCGTGACAGCCTGGGTTGTGGAGAGCGACTGGATGAGAACGATCGACCAGTTCAACGACACCAACGACGACCTGTGGGACATTGAAGCCAGCGTCTCCCCCTATCTGAAGACCGGCGGTCTCGATCCCAATGCCGGATCCACGCTCGACCAGCAGGCGGAAGTGTTTATCGGCGGCCGGGAAAAAGCCGCCGACTGGAAGGCCGAGCAGAGCGCAGGGCGAGAGCGCGTCTCGCTGGGCATCCTCAACTCCTCCAACCAGCTCTTCGCCGACTACCAACCCCACAACACCAATGTCTTTTCGACGATCGACACTTTTCAGTGTGACGATGGACGATATCTCACCGAGGCGACAGCGGACTACTTTGTGCTGGGCTGGCATGCAGACGAGGATGACGACCTCCTGCATCTCGGTCGCCAGGACATCACTCGAGGCGAGCGTCTGGATGCGTTGTCCCTCGCTCTGCATGGTGCCAGTGCAGAAGAACCTGTTGAAGAGGTCCAAAAGTGGTTGGAGTCCAAGGAAAACGGGAGAATTCTGTGTCATGGCGCCATGTACGACGTGAAATGGCACGCTACCCAGGAACCCACCACCGTCCCCGCCGACGAGATTGCACAGGATTTCCAGGCCAATGAGTCGGTGGCTGTCGGCACAACTGCTTTGGACGCGTTACTGGCGTACGTCAGACCACATCAGGTGAAGGATGCGGAAGACGTGCTCGCAGCCCTCGGTCCATTGCTGCAGGCACAGAGCGAAAGCATCGAGGATCGTCGTGCGGCAGCAGACGAGGTCCAGAACTACAACTTTTCGCGCTACGCCGGTGGCTCCAAGTACATGCTGGAAATCGACCAGGACAACCCCGCTGCACCCCCGTCGCCCACCGCGGTCGAGTTGCTCGCAAAGCTCAATGCGAGCCAGACACTGCAGGACTCCACCGCAAGGCAGCTGCAGCAACTCCGATGGGACCTATTCGCGCTGTGGTGGAGGTTCTCGACCGACAAGCAGCGTCAGGAGCAGACGGAAAAGTACCAGGCGGAGACAGACGAACTTCGGAGGAAAATCGTTGCCCTCGAGGCGGCTGTCATAGCCCAGGACGAGGCGATCAAAGCGACCCAAGCGGAGATCAAGCAAGAGGTGTCTGTAGAGCTCAAGGAGGCAACCGCGCCTGCCTTCAGCCAACAGCAGGATCCGACCATCCTCCTGGGCAATGTCCAATCCGGCTGGCCGGTGGATTACCTCGATGCTCTCAAAGTCCGCCTGCCAACGCAGATCGACCAGGCTGGCTTACCTGAGATACCCGAGACGGACGACTATGGGCTGCAATACCAGTTCTTACCGGACACGTTGAAGGATACTGCGGAGCTACTGGCACGCGAATTCATACGCTATGCCAACAAGGACAGCCAGAGCTCCCGTCAGCAGCCAGAGTTCACTCCCCCATTGTATCATGAGGATGAGCGCGATCAGTGGAAGGATCGGCAGCCTTGGTTCCCACTGTTCTTAGAGTGGGAGGCCGAATACGTCCACATCGACTACGAGCACTGGGATATGGAAGAGCGAGCCACTGGGAATGATGACCCCAAATTCCGATACACAGTCAAACCAAAACCTCTCTGGGATCTCCAGATTGCAGATAGACGAACGATCACAGGGAGGATTCTTCTCCTTCCCCAAGCAGCGTTTTCGCTACAAGCCCAACTTGAGCGTCTCTACAGCAGCACGCCCGAAGAGGTACTTGACAAGACTGGCACGACCAAGGAGCAGCGAGACGCTCTCCTGAAAGACGTCACCAAGCTGCCCTTTATCTCGGCTCCCCTGGATGGATTCACAAACCATCTCCTCACATTGGCGGAGGGTAGCCACCTCAAGCCTAACAACCGACACCCTGGTGGACAACCACAGCCCCTCGAAGATGCCTACACATTCTCGGAGGAGATTGGCATTGGTGAATCTGAGGTCAAAAAGATGGGGTTGGAGACCGATCTAACCCCATACGCATCATTGGTTCGACTATCTCACACCGAAGACAATGATCTTCCTGCCTTTAAGCCAGTCACCCATGGTCAGTTCAAGCTGACCAAGTTGAATTTCTTTGACAAGTTTGGCCAGGCCGCCTGTGTCATTGATCCTCGTCGGGATCATGACGACTATGTGTGTCCGTGTATTGGGGAATACTACGAGCCGCAAGTGTACAATGACGGTTCCAATGATTGGCCAAATGTGGTCGACCAGCCAAGGAACCCCGGCGAATGCGAGTTCCTTCAGATGCCACCTAGCATCAATCAGCAATCACGGCTGCATATGAACTTTGTCACTTTCGACGAGTACCAACAACAGCCGTACTGGCGGCCAGTCACCGAGTGGGAGAATCCAATCTGGGGCTGGGTGTTGGTTAACTATGTCAACTATGGCATTCAATTCTTTCTTCCCGATGGTACCTTCTATCGTGAAGTCCGTGTTGCCGCGCCCAATCACCCTAATGGCACCCAGGCCACGGACAAATGGCTACCCTTTGAGCCTCCATCCACCGATCACCCTCGCCAGCTAGACAGATTGATCGATCAGTTTACCAACAAGGAGGTCAACAAGGACTGCCGCGAATATCTGCTCGCTTTTATGGACCTTATCACTGCCGCTACTCTCCGTGCCAAGTCTGTTCCTGGAGCATACAGCCAGTGTGTCAATTCCCTGATCGGTCGACCGCTCGCTCTGACCAATGCTGGTATTTCTCTTGAGCTTGGAAGCGACGCCAAACGCGGCCAATCTACATTCGAAGATCAGGAGTTCAAGCGCCTGCCACGGACCCTGCTACCTGAGAAGGGAAATTCTGTGAATCCTCCGCCGCAGTATTCATTTCCCCTGAAGTTAGGCGACAAAGATCGATCTTACGACGGCCTAGTGGGATACTTCCGTGCCTTTGACGAATTCGAAGAGGAGGACGCCCTAGACCTTGGACGCCTGTACACACCATACCCCCGCGAGGATCCGGACAAGTTTCCGTCGGACCAGATCCATTTGATTGGCAACGAGAATTTCCCGAAACTTCGAGCGTTCTGGTTGGATCCAGAGGAATATACTACACTGGAGGACGGCACAGCCAAGTTCACCGTTGACCGGCACAGGAAGCAAACCGCCTATTGCTTTCTCATGGATCCCTTCAGCCCGGTCAATGCCTATTCGAGCATTCTTCCTATTGAGCCATTGGCCCTCCCACCCTGGACGTGGGAATCTGCCTTGAAACGCATGACGGCTTTCTTTCACTTTGGCCCTCTTGTGGTGGCCGATGATGTTCCCAGATACGATGCCACCAAGCGCTTGAAACAGGATTACGACCTGACAAAGGAGGGAGAGGACAGTGAGACAGTGCCTGGGAACAATATCAAATTGCCTTCGTTGGGCGTGGCGGAATGGAGCTGGCTCCAACCCTACCCCGACCCTGAGGCGAGTGGCGATACGGCACAGGTCTCGAGAGCGGGCGGGGATAGTAAAGCGGAAGAGGTGTACATGGCACTGGACATTGGCGCGATTGACCCGGTGCCTACGTGGGAAAAGGGGCCTCTGACGGCCGTGGAGGGATTTTTGCAGATGAAGCGAGCTATCACGGCGCCAGAGACTTAGTGATTTCCTTTTACCTAGTTCGAGCTAAGATTTACCATGACTTTTGCTTTCTATTCTATCTTTTACTGCGGATGCTCAAAAGTCGATTATATGAATATATCACGTTCACAACTATCTAAAATAACCACAGACTGTCCTACCCTGCCACTTTTGTATGTGAGAGCCAAATAATATATGTAATGATGATAACACTTTTGATATTGTCATAATCTACATGTTCTAGTCATCAAACCACAGTTTAGATGCGTGGCAATACCACTATCTAATGATGAAATTCCATGTTCCCACTCTGAATCAAAAAAGTAATGATCACTCCATCATCGAACAGAAACTGATAAGGCAACGATGAAAAGGTTATTTACAAATATCCCCGTGGTGATTACATCCAAACCCACTCAGTGCGGAATGCGCTATAGCGGAAAACTCAATAAAATACCTAAATAGAAGTCATTTTTTCTTCTGAATCAGCCAGCGCCCTGACCCCTATCCCTGCAGATTCTCTGACAAACTGTATCACCTTGCCATCCTATTTTCGTGCTTTCAAGCGATCGGCTCCTGCAGCCTGGATCACATCACACCTCAGCTTGCCCCGCATTTGCACCATCGATCGTACTTTTGGCATCGTCGGCATCGATTACTTGTTTTTACGGTTTTCTTTCACACCAGGTATTCGAATTACGACTCGGTAATGGTGGCTTCAGCTGAAGGCTGCAGATGGGATATGCAACCTGCACACTCCGAGGATGAGTTGTCTTTTGCAGTGTCGAAAACCCCTTAAATGTGTGTCTGAGATGCATGAAGGGGGACCAGCTGGTGAGGGGAAATCTCAACAAGATGGCTGGACTCGAAGGAGAGTGCGATCTATTACGTGATTCCAAATATTCGGATTGAATAATTGCGTATACAGACAGTGAGTGTACCGCTTTTCATCTTGGATTGATAATTGACCGGGGAAAATAACGACTTCGTGCTGAATGATCGTGTGTAGAGAGCTTAAAGCGAACAGCCCACTGGTGAACGGACCAGCGTCTCCATCATGGGAGTGTTCAGAGTCGATTCGGTTCACATATCGGTTGTGCGAGGAGACTCTGCGATCCACCTTCTCGTGGAGGAAACAGGCAAAAAGCCAAAAGTCCATGCGGCGGTTTTGATAGACGGAGGGGACAAAATCGCTGCGGACAGGTTTGTCCAAGTGAGCAGCAAAGCCGGGAAGCATTCCATTCTCTCGACTATCGATTGGATTGAGCAGACATACGATTGCAGCCAGATGAACAATGGCAAACTCCAATTCAACTCGATTGTGATTACCCATTGGGACCAGGATCACTACGATGGGATTGCAAACATCTTGTCCGGTGAAGCTGCAAAAGGCAATCTAACCACGCTGTCCTGGTTGAAATGGGCTGGAGATGTTCCGCAGACCTGCTTCTATGCGCCCTGGGATCCTCCGCCAGGAGATCCGTCGAGACTCTTTACGTTTGGCCCAGCGGATGAGAAAAAGCAGTATGTTTACATCACTTACCCCAAGGACAAAACAGCGAAATTTGCCCAGTATCGCAGCACGGGAAAGGTGAATAATGCAACGGCCGATGGGCTATGGTCTGTCCTGGGTGTCAACCTGTTCAACAACAAGCCGCTGACCACGACGACTCCGGCTGATACCATCACTCCAACAGCGTTGGTGAAAAGCAACCCGCCCGATAATGCTGCTCACCCAGGCCTGTACTGCGTCGGGGTCCGATATTCCTGTCTGGTCAAGAAGACTTGGGACCTTACAAAGGGAATCCCAGATGGCCATAGTCCTCATATTATTCCCGGGGAGGAGGCCGGTCCGAGTAACGAGGTCTCCATTGCTGCAATGGTCATGTGGAAAGCAGCGGACGGAAAGAGCCCTCCTCGTGTATCTCATTACTTTGCCGGAGACCTTGGCCAAACCGAAGAAGAGAGGATCTTGAAATGGTTGGAAAGCGATCAAGTCAATGAAATCACCAGCATGAAAGCAAGCCATCACTCAGCAACCAATGCGACTCAAATCGACATGTTTGAGAGGTTCAAGCCCCTGAACACATACATCCCATCTCCGACCTTTCCTTCACACGGCCATCCTTGTGAGCACCTTGTCCCCTCAAGATCTTCGACTGCTAACCAGATCCACTAGCTTGGGAGTTTATCTTTGTCTGGAATCTGTACTGCGCGACAAGGCCTACCAGCGCAACGGCACCTCGCTTAGTCTGCGCCGCCTATCCCCCATATCTCTGGCAGGAGAATGGAGATTATACTGATGATCTTGAGAAGATGCAACTCTTGGGCTTCGGAAAATCAAAGAATGCCAAGGAATTCCGGGAGGAGCTGAACAAAAGGGTGGCCACGTTAAACGCTGCCCGGGCCCAAAGTTTTTCTGTGGATAATGACTTCGACAAGTACGTCGACAAGACGAAAGATGAGCAGAGAACATACATCGCAGAACGCATGACCGCGATTCTTAAAGCGCGTGTTTTTCCGACGGCAGACCATCATCCTGCTTTGAACTCGGCTTTTGTAAAGCTGGGCAGTTGCAAAAATGATCTGAAAGGACTGGACCTGGTGGTCATTCAATCGTACGCCGACAAGGCCAAGGACGGACCTTTTCTTTACAAGAACTCGGGCAGCGCGGAGTTGGCTTTGACGGGAGCCACAATAGCTCAACCAGCGAGAAGATCAGCCCGTTTGGCAACGAAGCAACACGCGGCGACTGCTGCTGTAAAAAGACCCCCTCCACCTGTATCGCCGGCTACCGCCAAAAAGAAGAAAGGGAACACAGGACCAAAAGCCGAAGAGGAGGGAACTGACGGCTGGCTGCTCGGCGTGGTCGAGGTTGCTGAAGGCACGTTCTTTGTGCCTCCGGAAACGAATCCAGGTGAAATAAGTTACGGAGATGACGAGGAAGACTCTTCCGTTGCTGTCCTTACTGGAATACGGGATCAGATGGGCCAAGTCTCAACCCAAGTCGAGAGGTGTATCGCCGTAGATCCAACTCCTGCGGAAGGGGTACTATCTCTTCTCCAGCACCGTCGATGCAGAGGATATCGCTGAAGAGATTGAGCACCATATTCTCGAGCCGGGTCCTCTGGATGAATTTGTTGGCGCGCTCCATTGTGGTGTGCTTTGTCTGACAGAAAAGCCCGAGGTCGATGCAGAAGCTACTCTGGAGGATGGGGTGGATGAATGGGGAACCTGGTTGCAAGACGTTCTCGGTGCTCAGAACGTGTCGCTGCTGCGAGGTCCTGCTGAGGAAGAAGGAGGAGAAGAAGAAGAAGAAGAAGAAGAAGAAGAAGAAAGTGGCGGTGAAGATGGAGGAGATGAAGATGATGAAGACGTGGGCTTCACCGTCCGTGGCTTCAATATGCAGGTTCCTCTGGAACCGATTGCCAGTGAAACGGCAAACCCCAATCCCACCCTGCTGGACTTTACCACAGACCCTGCCGTCCTGCAAAAGACATTTGGGCCCACGGAATTCATTGCGGAAGACGGCCTCTTGACTGACCACATCGTACTGGTTTTCGGACTGTCCGGAGTCGTCAGCGGACCTACCTCGGTGGCCATCAACGAGATCATACAGTTCATCGGCCTCCGAGATTGGTTCGGGGATCCAGCTGGTGATTCGATCCACCCCCTCATGGCCCTACTGGGTGTTTTGAAGGTGAGACTGCCCTCCACCCCGGATGAGACTGAAGAAGGCCGAAACGCGGTCTGGTTTGCCCCGGGGGATACCTACCGGACCACCATCCGTCTGCAATTACCGTTACAGTCAGACGGACAGGAGGAGCTCAATGAGTTTCTGGACCTGTTCAAAATATCGTTGAGTCAGCCTACTGTGATTGCGCGGCGATCAAGCACCTGGTCGACCAACGGGGAAGAGGTCGTGATTGAAACACAAGGCAGTCTGATTCTGCGAGCGACGGCAACGATCAACGGGAGCATTACGCTCGATTGTACATTGGAATTCAATCCAACCGTGACGACCATCACTCTGACGAATTCCACCGCCGGTGCTGTCACACTGGATGGCATTCTCGGTTGGGTGACTGCAGTTCTAGAACTCACCCCCAGCTTTGATATTCGTGACCTCCAAGGCAAACAGACACCTTCATTTGAGCTGGGGGATATCGAGTTTCGTCGAATAATACTTGACCTGGTCAGAGATCCCATCACGGGCAACAAGACGATATCCGGCTTCAGCTTGCATGCTGAGGTCGTAATGCGCCTCGGCTCACAGAAAGATCCAATCCTATTTTGTCTTTCGTATACATACGATGCCGCTGATGGGAGTTCCGTGCAAGCTCATCTATGGGGCAGTAAGTTGGCCACGATGTCCAGATACTGAGAGAAAGTGAACGCTGACAGCTACAGAGCCTCCATCCAAACCGAGTGAAACAGAGCAGCTGGTCATGCCAGAATACGAAGACTTCCACTATCTAGCTCCCATCACTATCACGGAAGATGAATGGGCATCAACATTGGATCTCATTGCCCTGGGGGGGTTTGACAAAGCTCCAGCCTTCCTACCTACCCAGGTTCTCCAGGCTGAATTCATTGCCAATGCGGAAGGCCTTTACTTGACAGGCACGCTGGTTCCAAAACCACCAGATGAAGGCGACAAGGCTCCTATCTTCACCATAGCATCCGCTACCCTGGAGATCTGGTATGGCTGGGGACAGAGCCAACCCGTTGTCTCTGTGGCTGGCCCGGGATTCGGCGGTGGCTTCTACGTCAAGGCATTGATGACACAGCCTGAGGGCTCCAAATATGGCGCGCCCACCCAGCTTACCGGAGCGATCACCTATGAGTCGGAGGCAAGAGAATGGCAGTTATACGGGTCGATGGACCACTTTTTTGCCTCGACGTTGGCTCAATTCTTCTCCGATGATGTCCGAGGAGCTGTCATTCCGATGATTGAATCCATTGAGGTGAGGGGTCTCGAAGTGCTCTATTCATTTGACGCCGTTGGCAAGACATCATCATTCGGAATCAAAGGAGATCTCGTCCTGGGTCAGCATGTCTTCTCCCTGGCCTATAACCATTTTGGGAACACCTGGGACTTTACTGCTGGCCTGAGAATCGACCAAGACCCATCGGTCGAGTCTGATGCGGGCAGTATGCTGACATCTTTCCTGGGTGATGACCTAAAATTGCCCGACTTCCTGGTAAATATCCTGGTGCCAACCAGCACCAAGGACTTGATGGAGATCAAAATCGAGAGGGAAAAGCTGGGGAGCAATACTCGAGACAGTCTGGTTGTGATTGCCACCTGGTTGATGGACGATCGCCTGTTGCAGTTTATCCAATTTCGTCAGGTCCCGGCAGACCCAGCAGGACAACCAGGGCCTGTCCGGCGAATTGTCATCGCCTCACTAATGGCATTTCCGGCTGTAAACGTACCCATGATCGGCGACATTGCCCAGCCGTTCGATCAGGCCCTATTCCTTTGGGCCCAAGCAGAAGGTGGTGATGGAATTCCACGAGGTGAGCTGGAAAGCATCAATGAAATACTACGCAGTTCGACTCCGGCGAAGCTTACCATTCCATTCAAGGCACTTGGCAATAGAAGTGAGCCTGACGAGCCTCCCAACCCTGACAAGCCTGAAGATGTCGTTCTGGCCAATGGGCTACACTTCATGGTCGTCGCATTTACCACCCGTGGTCACCTAGAGGTTATCATTGATTATGCCTTCAGCATCGGAAAGGAATCAGGATCGAAAGCCGTGATTTCCCAGGGCGATACCGAGAAAGGAGAGAGAATGGAGCCCTTTGCTAAATCTGCAGGTCCTCTCAATATCAAAAGCATTGGACTACGCTACTCGACTGGTCTTTACAACGACCAATCAATCCTCTCTATCAGAATCGACGCCTCGATTATGGTAGGCCCAGTCGAATTCTCCCTGATAGGATTCAGTATCGACTTTGATTTCGCCAAAGAAGGTGCGAGCTTGCATAGCCCACCGCTCCCCGGTTTCTCTCTAGAAGGACTGCAGGCCGCCTATGACCGACCGCCGATTGAGATTGCCGGAATGCTCCAGATTGGAAAAGAAGTCGGACGTGAATACTACCAAGGTGCCTTGATGATCAGCTACATGCCTTGGCAGTTCCAAGCCGCTGGGTACTGGGGCTACACGACAAAGCCAGATATCAAAAACTTCGAGACGGTGTTTGTCTACTGTGTCCTCCGTGGCCCGCTCATCACCTTCCAGTTTGTGAGCATCGAAGGGATCTGTGGAGGTTTTGGTTATAATTCAAAACTCACGTACCCCACGGTGAAAGATGTGATTGACTTTCCTTTGATCAAGGATGGGGCCACTGCAAGGCCACCCGATGATGACACCCCTCTCAACGCCCTACAGAATATGCTTGATACGAAATGGTTTGCGCCGCAGGACGAGTCGTTCTGGGTTGCTGCTGGTCTCACCGTGAAGGCGTTCCAGATCCTCAGTGTACAAGCCGTGGTTGCGGTGCAGTGGAACCCATATGTTGAGCTTGGGATCTTTGCAGTGGCTACCGCCAGTATCCCCGGAGGAAAGAGTGGGCGGCAATTCGCCTTTGTGCAACTGGGTATTGTGGCCACGGTCAGCTTCGAAACGGGTATCTTGAAGATTGAGGGTGAACTGACGCCTGCGTCCTACATCCTGGACCCGAACTGTCATTTAACGGGAGGGTTCGCCTTGTACAGCTGGTTTGACAGCAAGGATTCCAACCTGCGAGGTGACTGGGTGTTTACTATCGGCGGCTATCACCCTTCCTTCAAGAAGCCATCTCAATATCCCGACGTGTCCAGACTAGGGATCAGCTGGCAGTTTGAAAAATCCATTAGCATCACTGGCAACTCCTACTTTGCCATTACGCCAAAGACCTGCATGGGTGGTGGTCGATTGGAGCTGAAGTTGTCTCTGAACCCACTCTACGCATGGTTTATCGCGTTTGTCGACTTCCTGATCAATTACAAGCCCTTCTTTTTCATGGCTGAAGGAGGCATCTCCGTTGGAGTCCAGTTCACCCTAGACCTCTGGCTGGTGACGATCAAGATCAAGGTGGAACTCAGCGCCCGGCTATACATCCAGGGACCACCCATCGGTGGCACCGTTCACGTCAACTTCTGGGTCTTTGGCTTTGATATTGACTTTGGCAGCAAGTCCAATGAGACGTCGCAGCCCTTGCCACTGACTGACTTTATCGAGCTCGTCCTGCAGAGTCATACTTCTGGTCCCACTGCCCTTCTCACTTCCTCATAACCCGCCCAGACCACAGACGGGACCATTGCGGATGGCCACATTTTTGCCGTCGAAGAGGGACTCATACCTCAGGGAGAAATCGAGTCCAGACCTAGCACGGAGCAGTGGGTTGTGGACATGGCCACATTCGAGTTTTTCTGTCAACTGCAAATTCCCCATCGATAACGCGACCGTTTACACATTGAAGGTCACGGGTGAGGAAGATAGTAGGAGTCTGGTACCTCCTGGTGAAGAAGTGGACTCGCTCAGCGCAAGGCCGATGCACAAACTAGGCAGCATCAGCTCGACCTTGACCATATCCATCAAGCGCGACGAAATGAAGGAGTTGGACGAGGAAGGGACCGAGACGGCCTGGGATGATAATGAAGCTCTCTACAGTGACGTTCCTGCTGCCCTTTTTGGCAAATGTACGTACCCTAGCCCTTTCCTTGGTCTAATTGTCTGCTAAACTAATTTTCTCTCAGATGATTCCTTGAAAGACCCCGGAAAGGTCAAGAACCCCCAATCTCTATTGAACGGAACATCGGAGAAGACCCTCCACGTCATGTCGGGCGTTCGACTCCGCAGACCTGGCGACAAATTCTCCATCGATCCAGATGTCTCCTACAATGTGGAGTTGTTCCAGCTCTCCAACATCAAACCCACGTTCAAGATCCCCGACAGTCCAGGACGCTCTGAGGAGCTTGAGGGTGCGCCGTGGCCAGATACACCGGGTTCAAATCACTGGGAGACAGTGAGAGACACATGGACGACCCCGGGTGCTGGAGCACCGGCGGCCGAACAGGCCGCTACTCTATGGCAAGAGCTGGGGTTGAACAAGTTCGGCTGGGACACAGAGCGTCTCAAGGGCTCTGATTCCATCTTTACTGGCGCTCAGCCACAGAGGCTCCTTGACGATCTTGAGAAACATTATCTGTGGGCACCGCTGCTGAGTCGTGGATAGAAATTGTGCCCTGTGAGAGGGATCTTGTTGATTATAGTTTATACACTGGACTCAATCATAACATTATTTCTTATGGAGCTCTTATCCAGAGAATCAGGGCGTCAGTGAGCCGCATGGTCTAGACCCTCCTGGTATTAACTGTACTTAAATCTGTGTGTAGTTGGGTGATGATCAACAATCCCTGTCGCTGTATGCTGATACATTTTCCGTATATATATACTGGGGACCATAAAAGATAATATAGAAGTAGCAGTAGTGACCTCTTACCTTACCAAAGCAATAACTATCAATGACCCAAAAACAGACACCACTTGCTCATAAAAGAAAACACAATACCCCACTCAACAACAGTCTCCCCAATGACACTATGTCCCCATTCCAGAATCCTCGCACTCCATGATCACGGACAATAGGCAGATCACACCCAGGGTTTGATCAAGTCAAATGGCTAGATTATACATACAGTGATAACACCTGTCAGAACACTCATTCCAAAGGTAAAGGCACCGGGTTTGATATCCTCAGCTCTGGCAGCCTCTTTAAGGTTGCTGTAAGTGACCTCTCCCCGCAGGATGTGTTGATATTGGCGCCCCAGTCCAAGAGAAGTCCCGCCAATGTCACGTCTCCTTTAAACGCCGCTCGTTGGATAGATGTCCAATCGTCACTATTGCGATGGTTTGGATCCGCTCCCCTGCTTAAAAGCAACCTCGCGATCTCATGGTGGCCATGTCAGCCTGCCAACATCATGGGTGTCGTATCCACATCTGCCCCCATGCCCCCCTGGCAGGCGCAGTCCACCTCGGCGCCACTGTCAAGAAGTGTCTTCTCGACTTCCAAATGCCCATGTCGGGTGGCCTGGCCCAGTGAGTTGATGTGAAAGTTCTTATAGATATTTAGATTGGCCCTCTATGCGAGAAGCTGTACCATCCTGCCATGGATTCGGTGCACCACCCCCAGTACCCACCATCAGACTGATCCTGATGTTGGGGAAGCTGTGCAGCATGTCTCGTACCAAGCTTGCCGCAGAGGAGATGCCATACTCTCCATCAGGCTGGACTGCAATAACCACATTGTGCTTGTCAATCCTCCCCAGCGTGTAGTCGTTGTTGTCATGGGGTGACACATGCTCTGGGCCTTGATGCTTTTCGTCGAGTAATGCCTGCGCGGCAACATATTCGGCGGTGATGGCACAGATCCAGCCAAGTGTGTAGTCGGTGAGGTTCGACATCTTCGCCAGCGAAGAGTTGTTGTGGATTGTCGAGGGAAGGTCAACGATTAGGGGAGTTGGAGATTATGTAGATGAGTAGGGTTTTTTGTTTATCGTGAGCCTGGATGGTGCCATATGATATACATAGATATGCACAGTGTAGCACAGTCAAACCTGGCGGTTCCAGAAGAGACACATGTCTTATTGTCACTGTGCTCCACTGCATGTTGAAAGAAAACGTGGAATTGAGCTTCACATCTTCAAGTATTGCCTTTATCAGTGTTTTTCTCTCATACCATGTCTCAAAGCAAAGGACATTTGATTGTAATATGCTGATGATCATCGGGTATATTTATAGATGAACAAGAAACAGTCTTCAACTATCTGATTGGTTGACGTATATCGCCATCACATGACCATAAGCACTACTGATGCTTTGAAATCAAGACCAACAATGTTGAATTATTAATCCTGTTAGATGTATACAATTCTACATATTTTTAAATAACTCATGTCGGTTGGTGATTTTATTCGATTTGTCTGGCTGAAGATGACTGCATATAATGGCGTGATTGTTGATAAGAGAGCTGGTGCAGACATATATACATCAACATCCGTCAACAAATATACTCTATCCAGAAATCAAAAAGAAAACACACCATCCCAAGTCAACAATCATGTCTTCTCTATTCAAACCCCTCCATGTCGGAACAGTCGTCCTCCAGCACCGCATCGTGATGGCTCCATTGTCCCGATTCCGAACAGACGAGAACCACGTCCCACTCCCCATGGCAGTAGAATGTCAGTCCGTTCATCTCTTGTTTCAATTCATCATGCTAACGTTTCAGACTACGCCCAACGAGCTTCGATCCCAGGGACATTGATCATCGCCGAAGCAAGCATCATCTCCCCCGACCACGGAGGATACCCATACTCGCCCGGTCTCTGGACAGAGCCACAAATCGCCCGATGGAAGGAGATAACAGACGCCGTACACGAAAGGGGCAGCTATATCTTTGCCCAAATCTGCGCCATTGGCCGCAAGGGCGATGCTGTCTCAGTCCTGAACGATGGAGGAGGCGCAGTGCTATCTTCTAGCGCAACCCCCATAACCCCCGACGGGCATATTCCACGCGAAATGACCGAAGCCGAGATCCAATCTGCAATAGACGACTTTGTCACGGCTGCTAAAAACGCCATCTTAGCCGGCTTCGATGGTGTCGAAATCCACGGCGCAAACGGGTATCTCGTCGACCAGTTCACGCAGGATACATGCAACACGCGTACCGATCGCTGGGGAGGGAGTATACCCAACCGAGCGCGATTCGGGATCGCAGTCGCAAAGGCAGTCAGCGATGCCGTTGGGCCCGAACGGACTGGTTTCAGAATTAGTCCGTTCTCCACGTCGCACGGCATGCGCATGGCCGATCCCATTCCGCAGTTTGCGTATCTGATTGACGCGCTAAAGGATCTGCGGCTGTCATATCTGCATGTGATTGAATCGCGGGTGTTTCAGTCGTTTGATGTCGACAAGACGGACGGGATTGAGTTTGTTTTGGATATTTGGGGGAAGACGTCACCGGTTTTTGTGGCGGGGGGGTATAGGGCTGATAATGCGATGAGGGCCGTGGAGGAGTATAGGGGTAGTGAGGTTGCTGTTGTGTTTGGGCGGCAGTTTATCGCAAACCCAGATCTGGTGTTTCGTATCAAAGAGGGCATTGCGTTGAACGAGTATGATCGCAGCACGTTCTACACGCAAGGCCAGACAAAGGGATATCTGGATTATCCGTTTTCAGCTGAATATCTGGCATCTATTCAAGTCTAGTCATAATCATATCTACATATATACATAACATAACATAACAAATACAATCATCACGCCTCAGAAACCCTCCTTCTCTCAGAATCATCATCCGACGAAACAACCTCAATATCGACCTTTTTGACAATTCCCGTCCCCGAATCCGTGCGCCCATGCATAGTCGGATATTCACCCTCTAGAATCCGCTCAATACTCCCAGTCTCCTCGTTCGGTTTCATGGCATACCTATTTTCAGATCCCGACTCGAACGTGGCATTCTTGGACGGATCTTTGTTTGCAGAGGGGCCGGACAGCTCGTAGGAGCGTGACTGTGCGACGCTGGAGAATTTCTTGACGGACGAGATGAGCAATGGCCGGATGGAGGGGACGGAGGAGGTGATGATGATAATGACGTTTTCGACGTAGCCCCAGTGGATGAGGGAGAGGCCGCCGGTGGCGCCGATGTTGGTGACGCTGGGGACTTGGTCGAGTTTGGTGGTTTTGATGATGGAGGCGACCATTGCCCTGTATTTGTTAGTATAGATTAAAGGAAGGGTGGGGATGCATACACTATGCCTAGGCTCATCAAGACGATGAGGGTGATTTTGATGCGCAGTTTCAGGTTGAGATTCCAAAAGATGTAGGTCGGGAACAGGGCGAGGAAGAGATCGGTGGCAGTATTAACAGCTATATCGTCAGTATTATATTCAGTATACTCAGTATACATATACTCACATGAAGAGAAGTAAGAAAACTGCACGACAGACACCACATTACCGCAGCTTGTCTTGACGGTAGGATCCCACAAGATGCGCACATTGCGACAGATAGACAGAGGCAGAATGGCGGAGATAATATTGCAGATCAACTGCAGCATCATGACGGTCCATAGAGTAATCGAGTACTTTTTCGTCCCACCGAGGATATTGAGCAGGTATAGAACAAACGACGATCGAGCGATTCCGGTGCTGATTGTGACCAGTGGGATTTGAATGGCGATGTATTTCAGAACGAGCTGTGCGTGGTGTGTTGGGATCTTGGTGAGGTCTTGACCGAAACCGTATTTGACTGACAAGCAGAGAAAGACTGTCGATGTGATTGACAATATCTATACCGTTAGATACTCATCTGATAGAGGAGACTCCGAGTCATACCAAAGCCACTATCATGGCCACATCATCCAGCCGAAAGTGGTGAATCTTAAGCTTAGCAATAACACGCAGCACGAGAATCACAAAGGCAATGGCCATGGCAGCCACCATGCCTCTGGCCACCGAAGGCCCTGAATTGTCCATCTCAGCCATAGCAGCGGGGATGCAGCATCGTGCAAGAGTGATGCGAGGATGTATCACCCGCATATATTAAATATTACTTATGATCAAAGAACCAGTTCAACGGTTGTGTCGCCGCATTGGACCAGCCCTGAACCATGGATTGGCGGTGGCGCTGCCCTAGCGCCAATCATCATAGGCGGAGCAGTTCATCGGATCCAGACAAGGCTGAACTCTATTTCCTCACAAGCCCCAGATTGACTTTGGGGTTCCGCGGGTTGGGCGAATCCTCGCGGTCTGATTGGCTGAGTGTCACCGCCACTGCACTCTCCACCGCTTAAAAATGAATCTGCGAGTGCCCTTTTCTGCTTTTTCAGCCAATAAAAGTCCGCCTCCGCTGCAAATTCAAAATCGCAAATTCCAGTTTCGGAGTTCGCGGAAACTTCGGACTGCACATACACACAGTGAGAGAGGCACATGGCGACGGACTGCATACTCTTCGCAGTAGGCATTCCTCTCAGCTTTTTATCTTCTATCATTTGGACTATCTTATTGTCTACAGTACCAGCGGTCTTATCGCTCCTCCTAACCAATCTAGACATATCACCGACCACGCCCAACTCCTCCGGATGCGGAAACCCCCTCGCCTTCGCCCCTCCACGTATATATCCTCCCCGTTCATCCACCTCTGCTTCCCTTCTCGGCTCTCCCTCCATCCGTCCCATTTTGAAGGAAAGTAAAAATGAAGCTTATCTGGTCCTGGATTTGCGTGTCGCTCGCATCATCGGCTCTTGCTTCTGCCTCTGACTGCCGTTGTCTGCCTTCCGATTCCTGCTGGCCTTCGGCTTCCCAATGGGCGGCTCTCAACTCGTCCGTGGGCGGCCATCTGGTCGCAACGGTTCCGATAGGCTCGCCGTGCCATGATCCTCACTATGACCAGTCGGCCTGCGAGGAGTTGCAGAAGGGTTGGAACCTTCCCCAGACACAGTATGTGCTGTCCAAGTCTGCTTCAACTATGGCTACTGACCATCGCAGTTATGAATCGTCCTCATCGGTGATGCAGACTTTTTTTGCCAACCAGAGCTGCGATCCCTTCACTTCCGAGTCCAGCGCGTGCCAGCTGGGCAACTATGTCAGCTACGCCGTCAACGTTTCATCCAGCGACGACGTAATTGCCGCCGTCCAATTCGCCCAGTCGAACAATCTCCGCTTCGTCATTCGGAACACTGGCCATGAGTAAGTGACATACATAATCCCCGCATTGGCGGTCGAAAGTGACGATCACTGACCGATATTCGCTAGTTATTTCGGCCGATCAACCGGTGCGGGCGCCCTCTCTGTCTGGACCCATCATCTGAATGGCATTGAATATGTCGACTGGTCGGACTCGACGTATTCCGGCCCTTCGCTCAAGGTGGGCAGTGGGGTGATGGGCTTCCAGGTGTTGGAGGCTGCCACGGCCCGTGGTCTGGTGGTTGTCACCGGCGAGTGTCCGACCGTTGGCCTCGCCGGAGGATACACCTTGGGCGGTGGTCACTCTGCGCTGAGCACCCAGTTTGGCCTTGGAGCGGATCAGACACTCTCCTTTGAAGTTGTCACGGCAGCAGGAAAGCTCGTCACGGCCTCGCGCACAGAAAATACCGATCTCTACTGGGCCCTCAGCGGCGGTGGAGCCGGCAACTACGGCGTCGTCGTCTCTGCCACCATCAAGGCTTACCCAGACAGAATGGTATCCGGCGCATCGATCAAGTTCCTGGCAGCAAACACAACCACCGATCGCTTCTTCGAGGCAGTCACAAAGTTCCACTCCCTCCTCCCCGACATCATCGACGCAGGCGCTACAGCCATCTACCAAATGACCGCGGCGTCCTTCTCCATCGCCCCGGTCACCGCCTACAACAAAACCACCGACGATGTCAAGGCCATCCTCTCCCCCTTCCTCGACGTCCTGAGTAGTCTCTGCATCCCCTACAAAGTCAACTACTCCCAGTTCCCGAGCTACTACGACCACTACAACACCTACATGGGGCCCCTGCCTTATGGAAACCTCGAAGTCGGGTCCTTCCAATACGGGGGTCGCCTCATCCCACGCAACGTGCTGGAAGGCGACACGACCCGTCTCGGCTCTGCCCTCCGCAACATCACCGAGCAGGGCATCATCGCCGTTGGCGTCGCCCTCGACGTATCCAAATCGAACGAAGTGCCGAACGCAGTGTTCACCCCGTGGCGCGACGCAGCGGTGACCATGCAAATCGGCAGTCCCTGGAATGAAACCGCGCCGTGGTCACAGATGCTCGTGAACCAACGCCGAATGACGGACGAGTTAGTCCCGCAGCTGGAAGCCGTAACCCCTGGTGGTGCTGCGTATCAGAATGAGGCCGATTTCAACCAGCCCGAGTGGAAGGAGACGTTCTTCGGTGATAATTATGACGGGCTGCTTGATATTAAGAACAAGTGGGATCCGGAGAACTTCTTTTACGTGCTCAAGGGTGTGGGGAGTGATTCTTGGAGTGTGTCTGAGTCGGGGAGAATGTGCAGGGCTTAATGTATAATGGATGTATAGTTATGGATTAGACGATTTGTATAGATGCTACGAATAGACTAATAGAAACGATTTATCTTACCGCTGGTGTATTATTAGATACATTGTTGAGTTGTTATGCATAAACTAGACAAGCAAGTCCCTCACTTATCATTTCTTGCATACGCCATGCAGTCTTATTGATCAATGCATATCAATTCCACGAGGTGAACAAGGATATTCTCTGTCCGGCTCCACTAGCTGGTCCCAGATCTCGTCCAAGGCAGGGATTCCACTGCATCCAAACAATATATATCCGCAGTTAATAGCGATCTTCATCCCTGATATACAATGACAATCTCAACGTGTCTTTGTCATTGGAGTTGATCCTGAAAGCCTTGAAGGACAAATGTGCTGTTATATCTTAAGGGATACTCTCCATATTTAACTTCCAGCGGGTACAGTTGCACTCGTGGAGATTGATCCATTCACTGATCGACAAACAATGTCATTGACCAATGATACGCTGTCAGTTGTGGATGTAGAGACGATCAGCGGTTGCGCTTCCACTTGCCTTGTCCAGCGCATCCAGTTGCCAGAGGTATACATAACGTCGGACAAGCATTATAAAGGCACAAATACTTCTTCAACCATCTATCCATCGACAATCCATCATACTTCACAACATTAACATTATCTCCTATCAAAATGGACTTTAGTACCATCCCCATCAAAGGCCTCAAGTTCAACACTCCCGTTCCGTACAAACCCCATGTCAACAAGGCCTTTCTCAACACGACAACACAGAAACTCGCTCTCGCCAGATATCCCCAAGAGCAAACAGACTTTGGCGAGAATAGCTGGGCGCAAGGAGCGAAGGTGTCTCGTGTGAAGCAATTGGTGGAGTTTTGGCGCGATGAGTATGATTGGGAGGTGGAAGAGGTATGCATCACCAACCATCACCATCAGCTTTAATATTCATGCTAAGGATATAGAAACGATTGAATGACATCTTTAACCATTTTCTCGTCAAGGTTGACATCCCCGGATACGGCCCCCTCGTCATCCACTATACGCACACCAAATCCACCAATCCCAACGCCATCCCTCTGCTCTTCTCACATGGCTGGCCTGGCTCCTTCATCGAAGCAAGTCGCATCGTGGCTCCATTGACCAAATCAGACAATCTATCGCATCCATCATTCCACCTGATTGCACCGTCCATCCCCGGCTTCGGCTTCTCGCCAGCTCCCCTCAAATCCGGCGTTGGACCGAACATCGTGGCAACCGCATACACAATCCTCATGACGGACGTTCTTGGATACCCCAAATTCGTCACGCAAGGAGGCGATTTTGGATCGTTCATTACTCGATCGATGGCGATTCAGAACCCGTCTATCGTCCGAGGCCAGCACCTCAACATGTTCCCCGTTCCTCCGCCAACGCTGTGGTCTGCTCCGCTTGCCTATCTCCGCTGGTGTCTGTCAGCTCTTACCTACTCCTCCTTCGAGCACGAAGCCCTCCGGGTCAGGACGAACTTTGAAACCGATCAGAGCGGGTATCTCGAGGCGCAGAAGACGCGGCCGCAGACGCTGGGGTTCGCGCTGGGCGACTCGCCCGTTGGTCTGCTGGCGTGGTTTGTGGAGAAGTTCCACGATTGGAGTGACGGGGCGCTTGATTCTTTGGGCGATGGGGATATTATCACTTTGGTGATGATGCATTGGATTCAGGGCGCGACGCCGGCGTTGAGGTTTTATCGAGAGGCGTTTGGGAGGGGATGCAGAGAGGCGGAGAAGACGTTTGAGGTGTATGTTTCTGTGCCGACGGGGGTGAGTATGTATGCGAAGGAGCAGCTGCATGTGAGTTCCATCCGTCTTATCAAACGGTTATTGAATGATACTGATGGTGTAGTGTCCGCGAGACTGGGCCGCCCAAGTAGCGAATATCCAATACTGGCGAGAATACGACCAAGGAGGACATTTCGCGTCGCTGGAACGACCGGATGCGTTTGTGCAGGATATGCGTGACTTTTTTTCGTCTGCTGCTGTGCTTAAGTCATACTTGAAGTAGATTGTTTTATACACGGTACATGTTATCGGGTCATTCAAATCCCCATAACCCTCTCAATTCACCGGCTCGATCAGAAGTCTTCCATCCTGTTTCCCGTTCGATGCGAGTGAGATGCTTCAAGAGGAGAATTTTTTCAGCTGCGTATTCCTCGAGTATATCACTGCTGTCGGTTTTGGTAAAGAGGGTTCCTGCGAGATACAAGGGTTGGAGTTGGTTAACCCAATTTGCGCTGTTTAGTTAGTATGGCAATGCTCATTCAGTTGAGAAACGTACTGTGATGTATTCGACATGGAGATGCCGGTTACTTCTCTGGCATGCCAGATGGGATCGTCTGTTTCGTCTTTAATGCTATCGTTGATTCCTGTTTGCAGGAGCAAGATACACCCAGTATGATAGAATGTATTTCCACAGACTATCTTGTCAGACTGCCATGCACTACAGAGTATAGAATACTTACTCGCAGATGACGTCGTATAAACAACACTCGGAAAAGGGGTAGACAGTGTGGTTGAACTGGTCAGCAGAGGATATGCTTCCTTTGGACGCAGTCGACGCCATTCTTGCAGCTGTTCCCACAGCTTCAGCCTGGCTGATGTACCCTGATGGGTTGCGAGGACATTGACAATCTCTGCGAATATGAGAATAGCCAGATTGCAGTAATCGTCGATATTCCCTCTGGCAGATGCAGATCCAATCGATTGATCGTCAACCCAGAAATCAGTCGGAATTAATGTTGTCTTTCCGCTGGTAAAGGCAGCCCAGACGTCTACTTTGTTAGCGTCATCTGTATGTATTATGGATATAGATGGAAACATACCGATCCGAGCAAACGCCCAAAAACAGGACTTGACAATTCCAGCGCTCGATCCATTCCATTTCTTTGCTCGAAGCAGTCCAGCACAACCCTACCTATTAGTATACTGATATCTATAAGATATATAGATAAATACCTGTAAATGCCTCCTCCACTCCTCCACACTCGACGCCATCATCTCATACACACACAGCAACGTACACGTCGCCAACACCGACGCATCCGCCTCCACCGGGTCCTGCCGAATCAGCAATTGAATCACATACTGATACAGCTCAAGCGTCACCGGTCGATGACGCCGATTAATATGGTCTAGCTGCCGTGACGCAAGCGACATGGCGGCCGCCACAAAGGCAGGCGACTCCATCATGGCCCGCACGCTGTGGATGGTGAATTGCCGATCCGAATCGGTGGTTTCGCACCAGGTTCCAGTTTCCTCGAGATAGGAGGAGATCAGATGGGCTTTTTGGAGTTCGGATACGGGGGAGGGAGAGGGAGATGGGGGTGGAGAGGCGGTTTTGGAGATGGCTTGGCCGAGGGAGAAGGGGGGGATGTATGGATCTGAGGGACCGGTGGAGGGGAGGATGAGATTGAGATCGATTGGAGACGGCGATGCAGCTGATGGAGCTGATTGAGATAGATCAGGCGATAGAATGGGCATGTTTGTGTCGGGTTGCTCTTCCTTGTCGGCACCAGTATAGCTACGAATAACCTCACCCGTTTCATCCACAATCTACAAGAACATTACCATCGCATCCCCTACACAGACAGAAGACTTACCACGGATGATCGACATGGCCTCCCCTCCTCCACCTCCATCAACGCCACTGCTTCATCCTGCGAGAGACTGAAGTTGCGCGACCGGTGAAACGACACCTTCAGTCCCCATTGGCAAGTATATCCCCTGGATTCACAGTTCCTGCATCGGGGATGTGTTCCATCGCCTATTCGGTTAAATTAGGTGCTGTCAGTATGCCGGGTGCGCTTGCACTTACACTTCCGACGACGCGAGCGACATCGCAGGCTGAGAGGTTAGTAAGGGTAGATCACAATGGAGATCACATACCAGCCACTGCGGGTTCGGGTTTTTGCTTTTGCGGTCTTTGCGTTTCGAGGCATCGTGAATGTGAAAAGCAAATGAAGAGGAAGAGTTGAAGTGGACGAGCGGCTGGGGTTGCAATTGCTTTTATTCCTGCTGCTTAGTGTGAGACTTTATCCCCGCATTGAAAGAGGCAACTGGAAGCGCCACATGTATACAACTATATAAATATCAACAAAAAACACAATACGATCATTAAAACAGAATCTGTCTGGCTATCAAACTGGATCAACTAAATGAATCAAGTCATCATCATCGGCGGCGGCATCTCCGGGCTGGGAATGGCCATCCAGCTCAAACGACTCCTCGGCCACGACAACTTCACCATCTACGAAAAGTCAGACAATGTCGGAGGCACCTGGTGGCACAATCGCTATCCTGGCTGTGCATGCGACATTCCCAGCCACTTTTATTCGTACAGTTTTGCCATCAAGTCTGACTGGACGAGTATGTTTCCGGGTCGTGATGAGCTGCATCAGTGTATGTCCCTCAACCACTCTGCATCTGTATGCTAATGGGATGCAGACTTCCTTTCTGTCGCTAGAAAATATGAGATCCTCCCTCATTGTCGCTTCAACGCCATGTGTCTGGGTCTGGAGTGGAATGCTGCTCGGTCTGTCTGGGTTTGCACCTTTCAGGATACGCTTTCTGGGGAAGTATACATTCGAGAAGCAGCCGTTGTGGTGAGTGCCATTGGGACGTTGGATCGGCCTTTTACCCCCAGCATTGAAGGGGCAGATTCGTTTCAAGGCAAGGTCTTTCACAGCGCCACCTGGGATGAGCCGTTCACTGCAAAGGATAAGAACATTGTCGTTCTGGGCAACGGTGCTTCTGCCACTCAGTTTGTTCCTGAATTGGTCAAGAACGTTGGCAATGGCAGTGTCACTCAGTTTATCCGCAGTGCGCACTGGTGGACGAAGAGAGTGCGTATATCTATTTCTGTATAGCTTCATCTTCACTAACCGAACAGGGCAATGCCACATACTCCACCACCTTCAAACTAGCCATGAAATACATCCCCCTCGCAGCCCGTTTCTACCGCTTCCTCATCGCCTGCCAACTCGAGAGCGTCTTCTACTCCTTCTGCATGACCCCCAAAGGCCTCTCCATGCGCCAGAAGATCCGCAACGCCACCAACGCCTTCATCGACACCGACGCACCACCCCAATACCGCGACATCCTCAAACCAAACTACGAACCAGGCTGTAAGCGACGCGTCAACACAGCAACCTACCTCTCCTGTCTGCACTCCCCCAACATGCTCCTCAAAAAGGACTCCGTCATCAAAATCGGTCCAAACTCCGTCTCAACCCAGACAGGAGAAACATACCCCGCCGACGCAATCATCTACGCAACAGGCTTCCAGACCCAGAAATGGCTGCACCCGATCAGCATCACCGGACGAAATGGGAAAGACCTCCATCAAGTCTGGGACGCAGCAGGTGGCGCAGAAGCATACAAGGGCACGACCGTCACCGGCTTTCCCAACTTCTTCATCCTGTACGGCCCCAATGCCGCGACGGGCCAACACTCGGTTATCTTCCACTCCGAGTGCCAGATCAACTATACCTGTCGTCTGCTGCGTCCTGTGCTCTGTGGTGATGCAAAGTCGATCATGGTCAAGCCTGCTGCGCAAAAGAAGGATCTATCGTGGGTGCATGGCAAAATGAAGAATCTCGTGTTCAACAACGGGTGTAGCAGTTGGTGGATGGATCCGGTTACCAAGAAGAATACCTTCATCTATCCTGATCCGATGTACAAGTACTGGCTGCGGACGATCTTCCCTCGCTGGTCGGATTTTGATATTGAATGGACGAGGCGGTCAAGTACGGGGAAGGTGTTGTTGGGAGTGACATCTATTGGGCTGGCTGCTGTTGCTGTTGCGTCGAGAAAGGAAGATTGGATTAGTTTTATTCAGTAGAGTGGAGTATCTATCTATCTATTTGTTTATTCCAATTGATTAAACAGCCTCCCATCTTGTACTCTGCGATAGGCGTGCCACGAGCAGTAACAAACTGCCGACTATCAAACTCACCCCGGAGTAGATGGACAGCGCCAGATAGCCGTATTTCCCAGCTAGTTCGCCGCTGATTGGGACTCCGGCCATTCCTCTACATTATCTGTTAGCCATTGTCAATCTATCAAGAGTTATACATACGAAAGCGAAGTCGACGCCATGATACACCCAATCGCCAACCCCATAGTCGACGGCGTAGCAATCTGCACCGCACAAGCCTGCTGAAGAGACAGAATGCCCTATTCTGTCAGTATATATATATATATATATATATTCTGGAGAAGACTCACCCCAGCCGCAAAGCCATACGCCGCAGAAAAAATCACCAGCCCAGCCACAGAAGTAACCTTTGTCCAGCACAACGCGATAATGCCAGAAACAAACGTCGCCACGATGCAGCAGTTGTATTTGCCGTATTTATCAGCCACGATGCCAGGGAGGATGCGTCCGAATAGTGAACCGCCGTTGATGATGGAGATGGTGTAGAAAGATAGGTTGGAGGAGAAGCCCTCTGCCACGGCGTAGGAGGTTGTATAGAAGAAAGGCGAGAACATGCCAAAGTAGATGATGAAAAAAGCAAGACAGGATAGTTGCAGTGATGGCTGGCGGAGGATGGAAAAGTCGGTTTTGGGAGGTTTAGCTGGTGATTCCTGTCGTTCTGCTGGAGTTGTCGATGTAGATGTATCTGTCGAGGTCGATGGAGGACGACAACACAAACACGAAATCAACAGCAGAGGCAACATGATAAAGCCCACGATGCGCATCGTCCATCCAAACCCGAGATTCGGTTTCTGGAGTAACTCGTTTATCGCAATTGGCCAGATGACACCTCCGAGTGACGATCCGGCGATTACGATTCCCATGGCAGCACCGCGGCTACGCTTGATATGTTGGCCAACGAGAGCCAGCATGGGAGGGGCTATGAGGGCCATAGAAATGCCCATGAGAATGCCCTGTGCGAGGATGAACTGGTAGAATTCACGACAGAGAGAAGTCATCATGATGGAGAAGACGGTTCCTAGGGCGCCCATGTAGAGCATCATCTACATGATTAGTATATGCCTTATAAAGATCGATGAGAACATACACCCGGACCGAAAAGATCAAGCAGAGGACCTGAGATGATGGAAATGGAAAAGATGAAAAAAATAGCGACGGCTCCGAGCCATGCGATGGTGGATTCAGACTCGTCGGACAGCTGGTATTTGGCATAGTAAGTCTCAAAGACGCCAAAGGAATTGACGAAGCCGACAGTGCAGAACATGCCCGTGAAGGCGCCGAGGAGAGTCAGGCATGCTCGGGGGCTGTATCATTAGTATAGACTCTGATAGAGGATGGAGGAGACGAACGTGTATTCTTTTTCTGTGTTGGCAGCCATTTTGATTGTTAGATGGATTGATAAACTGTTTTGTCAACAAGAGATGTACTCCTTTTATATTGTTTTGTTGTAGAGATCTCTGATCGGACTGTCCGAGATATTGACGCTATCGGACTCTCCGCGGAGCCTCCGACATGGACAGTCCATCATCTCTTCATTCTCCTTTCCATCCTCTCTTCCTTGTTCTTTTGTTCTTCTCATATTTGTTCTTCTATTATTCAAATAATCTATCTTTGCTGGTCTTTGAGCACGTGACCTCATCATCCCACATCGCAATCGCAAATCCATTCAACTTCATCTCATCTTCAACATCACCATGAAGCGCAAACCAACTTCAGAACCAACAAACACTCCATCTAAACGCACTCCCAGGCAAGATCCAGTGTCGTGCGAGTCATGCAGACGGAAAAAGCTCAAATGTAACCGTCAGCAGCCATGCAGCAGTTGTGTCACTCGCCGGTTGCCCTGCAGCTTCGGGGCTGCCTCGGAGAGTACAAAAGTCAGGGTAGAGCCGAATGATACAAAGACAGATACATCGCAGAAGCAAAGACAGGAAAAACAAGCATCTATCGGCCATGTTCCAGTGGATGTACGCCGTGATAATAACGAACCGGTGGTGACGGCCGACTGGCTGGAGAAGATCGTCATGGGCGATCGCATTCCAACAGCGGTTCCAGCCATGTTGAGAGAAGGATTGAATGCGTCGAGAGAAAATAATCCAGATTATACAGGTGTGGCAGGGAATTTGTCGATATCCTTTACAGCCTCGAGTGAGAATCCAGCAACGCTGCAGTTGATTTCGTTTCTCCCCAAACAGGCAGAGACCATGGCTCTATTCCAATACTACACCTCCTACATCGACTATCTCTACCATATCATCATCCCAGACCATGTGGAAGAGCAGATCAACGCAATATACGACTCCATCGACAAGAACCAGCCCGTCAATCTCAACCATCTTGCTCTGGTGTTTGCCATCTCCGCCAGTTCATTATTCCTCCAACTGTCTGTGGAATCATCCGCATATGCAGAAATGTGCAGTCGGGAATTCACCTTCTTAACTGGTGCTGCCCTGATCCAGGGCAACTATACGGCATATCCGACCGTGGAAGGACTGCAGGCCACGATGGTTGTCGCGCATAACATCTCCAATCTGCATTCGCATCCGTCTGTGAATGCATTATTCTCCCACACAACCATCATCGGCCAGGCGAAGAATCTCATGCTGCACTGCATTGACTCGCCGAAATATTCAGAAGAACGAAAGGCGAAGGGAGCTGATGTGATGGAAGTTGAATTGAAAAGACGGCTCTGGTGGGATTTGGTTTCGTATGACTGGTATGTCGGATCTACCTATATCAATATCAAGCTGACCATCAGGCTATTGGGCTTCCTGAGCGGCCCTCAGGAATGGACTTATTCAATCTACATGGACCATATGAACGTCCAGCAACCTGCCAATATCGACGATGAACCTATTACAAACGCTGACAACTATTCATCTCCAACCTCCACTCCCACCAGCATGTCCTACTCCCTCCAACGCCTCAAACTGGCCTTTGTCTGCCGCGACATCGTCGACACAACCGCCCACGAACACCTCCACAACCTCGAAATCAACTACGACAAAATCCTCACCCTCGACCGCAAACTGCACCAAGCATACAGCGAACTCCCAGACTTCTTCCGTCTCGATCCCGTCTCCCGTCGTCGCTTCTCAGCTCTCTACCACGCACGCCCAACCATCGCCTGGCAACGCTGTCTCCTCCAACAAGGCTATCACTCTCGCTTCTGCCGTCTCCATCGCCAGTATCTCATCCGTGGCGCTCGAGATCCCACGTACTCCTATTCCCACGTGATATGTCTACAGTCAGCCAGGAAAGTGCTAGAAATCAAACGCATCATGGACGAAGACGAGCCCAGGTTCGCGCCGCCCAGTGCGGTGGTTTGGTCTGTTATGCATCATGTCTTTATGGCTGCTGTTATCTTGTTGATGGATGTGTGTTTTAATTGGGATGATATACTCGCTGATAAGAGAAAGGAGGAGGTGCTGGATGCGTGTCGCATGTTGAGTAATGCGCAGCAGTCATCGTCTATTGTTCGTGAGGGTATCGATGCGATGATGGGAGTTTTGCAGAAGCATTGGAAGAATGGGAAGCCGTTGTCGACACAGGACTCGAGTACAGTGGATCCAGTGCTGGTTCAGTCGGATCCTGTTGCTCAGGTTTATACTCCTGTCTCTGCTGTGGAGAAAGATTCGTCCATGGAGCAGGCTCACAATGTCATATCCGATGAAACAGGGGAAAGACATTTAGAAGATATATGGACTGAACTGCTCGACAGCGGAGGGAGTCTGGATTACGAAACACCGGATTGGACGGGTCTATTGACGGAGTTGACAAATACGACTCTCCCGTGCAGTTGATCGATATCTTCATCATGACGCCATTGTTATCCATCCCAACATATCACCACCTCGGTTGAATAACCACCACCACCACCACACACAACACAAAATGTCTCACAGCCCCAGCAATCTCCCCGACATCCGGCGATACATCACAGCCCACTGCAGAGAAGGCGAATCCGTCTTTCTCTCCCCCTCGCAAATCCCCGAATACATCCCCTCCAAACCTGTCGGTGAAGATGGCGAATATGCCCTTTTATACGCAACCACCACGACGCCAGTCATAACCGATAATGAAGCAGACGTGGCAGCCTACGACGACTTTCTGCACACCCCTCCTGGGATAACTACATCGCAAGGGTCAGTCTTACGATCAATCGACCTCCGTCCAGGAAAATGCAGCCCCATGCATCGGACGGTGAGTGTGGATTACGGAATTGTAATTGAAGGCAAGGTAGATTTGATATTGGATTCGGGGGAGACGCGCACGCTGAGACGGGGAGATGTTGGCATCCAGCGAGGAACGGCGCATTCATATCGCAATCGCAGTGAGACGGAGTGGTGTCGGATGCTGTTTATGTATCTGCCGATGAGGATGCTGAATATCAAGGGGAAGGACGTGGAGGAGGAGGTTTATGATTCAAAATAACTATCTATACATCTACAAGTCTATCTATAAAGAAATCAAGTATCATTATGCGCCCATGGCCATATTCTAGCAAAATCCAACACGGGCGTCCTCCCACTCCAATGGATCTTCCTGTCTGAATCCCCCTTGAGCTGCCCCAGATTCAACCCCTGGACAGCCTCACACAGCTGATCGACCTGTCGATCCAGATGAGCCAGGCGGTCGATACATCCCGGCTGCTGGTAGTTCGCATGCTGTGCCACGTTCTGAATCACTCTATGATCGTCCATTCGGTCATCGTACAATGCACCCACCATCGTCCGGACAGTAGCTGGCTTAGCTCTGGATGGACCACCGCGACGCAGTGAATCCATGATCTGCTTGAGTCGTTTCTGGACGATCTGGTCGCATTGAGCATCACAGAGGGGGGAATGCTGTGTATAGGCCGTTTGCTTGGCTCGGATGGCCGATCGGATGCTGCTGTACAGTCTGTCTCTTCGGTTGGTTATTTTGTCTATCTCATCAGTTCATCTATCATATATAGGTATAGATATAGATATAGATATAGAATGGATAAACTCACCACTCACACCCGTAGGCACACACGTCCCACTGAGATCAACATCAGCCGCATACTCAACAATCAAATCCCTCGTCGCCTGCTTAAACTCCCAATGCATATTAAACACCCACATCACACACATCAGCCACGACGCAATCTGGCCGATTCTCGCGCGCGGATTCCCAATCCTCACCGTCTCAATCCACGTATACGCCATCGTACTCACGCTATCCAGCAGATCATACTTGTCCACGATCACAGCTATATCTTTGAGCAGCTCAAGTCGTAGCTTATCGCTGGGGATCTCCCGGAACTGGCCGTGCACGGCGCGCATCACGATCAGCATTGCGTCGGCATTGTCTTCGTTGAGGGTGAGGTTGAGAGACTTGTTTTTGCGCAGTTCGTGGGCTTCTGGGAAGTTGCCTGTTAGCATTGCTCTGTAGTAGTTGGAGGCGAGGATGAGATGGGATGAAGAGACTCGGATTGTGCTGGGGGGGTTGCTGGTGGTGATGGTGAAGAGGATGTCGCCATGGGTGGCGAGGGTCATGTGCATTTTGATGGTTGATAATATTGATGATCATCATGGTGTTTCTGTTGATTCTTTTATATTGATATTCGAGTATCTGGATATAAATAGCATCGAGGACATGTTTCATTCTTTATTCTATTGCATATATTGTTTGTTTCACCTGTTTCTTTATTCTTCCTATATCAATAGTACTTTGACAATGAACTGTCATCTGATAACATCAATATATACGTCACTTATCATACTAGTGGTCTATAATAATAATCTTTGCATTAATTAATCCATCTTTATCTCCTATCAATCAATCTAACCCCGCGCGGAATTTCTCCGCTCGCCCACTTTTTCTCTCTTTGTTCGTGCTTTTCTCTTTTTCTTTTCTTTCTCGCTTTAAATAACTCCCTTAATTCTTCTCCTTCTCTTCTCTTTATTATCTTCAAACCATTCAACATTTCTTTCTTTATCTCGCTCAATTGACCCTTGACCTTGACAATGAACCGTGAACAATTCCGAGCAGCTGCCCACAGCACTGTCGACGAGAGTAACTCAACCCCTCAATCCCTCACATTTCAACATCCTCACTCAACTGACAATCAACAAAGTCATCAACTACTTCGACAGCCTCCCCTCCCAGCGCGTCGTCCCCACCATCGAACCCGGCTACCTCCGTCCCCAAATCCCCGAAAACCCACCCACCGAGCCAGAAGAATGGGCGCAGATCCAAGCCGACATCGAAACCAAAATCAAACCGGGCCTGACACACTGGCAGTCGCCCAACTTCATGGCCTTCTACCCGGCCTGCGTCACCTACCCCAGCATCCTGGGCGAGATGTACTCGGCCGCGTTCACCGCACCCGCGTTTAACTGGATTTGCTCGCCGGCGTGCACGGAGCTGGAGACGATTGTGATGGATTGGTTGGCGAAGGCGCTGGCGCTGCCGGAGTGTTTCCACAGTACGGGTCCGACGCACGGGGGTGGTGTTATCCAGGTTAGCGCGAGTGATGCGATTGTCACGGTGATGGTTGCGGCGAGGGAGAGGAGGGTTTATGAGCAGGTGCGGGCGGAGGGTCTGAAGGAGGGGTCGATTGAGTTTGAGGATCGGTTGATGGAGTTGCGACCAAGGCTTGTCGCGCTGGCGAGTGACCAGACGCATAGCAGTACCGCGAAGGGGGCGAAAATTGCCGGCACGAGATATCGCAGCGTGTCGTCGGATTTGGAGAATAACATGGAGATGACGGGGGAAGGGGTGCGGGCGGTGCTGGAACAGTGCGACAAGGACGGCCTCACGCCGTATTACATCACGCTCAACATGGGGTCGACTAGCTCGTGTGCTCTGGATCGGTATGAAGAGATCAAGGCGGTCTTGAGCGAGAAGCCTTCGTGGCAGCGCATCTGGGTGCACATCGACGCTGCGTATGCGGGTTCGGCCCTCGTCGCCGATGAGTACCAGTACATCGCGCAGAACTTTGCCGAAGGCGTGGACAGTTTCAATTTCAACATGCACAAGTGGTTGCTGGTCAACTTTGACGCCAGGTATGCCATCTCCATCCACTCAATTAACCTCAGCTAATTAATTAGTTGTCTCTTCGTCCGCAACCGGTCGGACCTCACCGATGCACTGGACATCACACCCGCCTACCTGCGCAACCCATACTCCGACACCGGCAAGGTAATCGACTACCGCAACTGGTCCATCTCGCTGGGACGGCGATTCCGCGCTCTCAAGATCTGGTTCATGATGCGCACCTACGGCCTGAACGGGATGAAAGCGCATATCCGCAAGACCATCGGACTGGGTGACATCTTTGCTGACCTCGTGCGGAGCCGATCGGATCTGTTTGATATTGTCACCAAGCCTGCTTTCTGTTTGACGGTGTTTAGAGTCAAGAGCCCTAAGGCTGCTGTGGAGAGTGGGGCGATTGTTGGGCCGGATGAAGCGTGCAATGAGCTAACCAAGCAGGTGTATGAGCTTGTGAATGCTCGGGGTGAGGTTTTTATCACTGCTACACTCATCGCTGGGGTGTATGCCATCCGAGTCGTCAGTGCGAATACTGAAGCCGACGAGAAATACGTCCGTCGTGCGTTTGACATAATCGTGCAGGCGACGGAGGATATCTTGAGAGAGTAGTTTAACTATGTACTTATACACTATATAGACAATCGAGTCTATTACTTGTGCAACTCCGGCTGTTCTCCGGACTTGAATGCACATCGGACTTTTGCCGACTCCCCGCCCCCGCATATTTAGATCCCCTCTCCCTCTTCTTTTTTCAATTCCTCAACACCATCGCAATGACAGAAAAACCATTGTAAGCGCTTCAATCCCACTACAGAACTCAATCTAATATCATCAGCCACGTCCTGGTCACCGGAGCGACCGGCTTCATCGGCGCCCATGTCGTCGACAGCCTCCTCGCCCGGGGCATCTCAGTCCGAGGAACGACTCGATCGCTCAAAAAGGGCGAGATAATGAAAGCTGCACGGCCACAGTACGCATCGAAGCTGGAGTTTGTCCAGATTGACGATTTTACGCAGATTGGCGTGTTTGATGATGTTATGGATGGGATTGATGGGGTTATTCATGTTGCCAGCGTACGCCTCCATCTCCATCTTCATGCCTATAGCTAACAGTATGTGTGGACAGCCCTTCACATACAACACAACCAACAACGAAAAAGAACTTATCATCCCCGCCATTAACGGCGTCAAATCCATCCTCTCCGCATCCTCCCAGCCCGGCACCCAAGTCCGGAGAATCGTACTTACATCCTCGTTCGCCTCCGTGGTGGATATCTCACAATCCCCCGGTCCGGAATTCACCTACACCGGATCCCACTGGAACCCGCTCAGCTACGACGAAGCCATCTCCCCATCCACGTCCGCGGTAAACGCATACAGGGGGTCGAAGAAATTCGCCGAACTCGAAGCGTGGAAGTTCATGGACACGCAGCGTCCGCAGTTCGATCTCGTCACGCTGTGTCCGCCCATGACGTTCGGGCCGGTCGTGCATCCTGTTTCGTCGGCGGAGGAGTTGAACGAGTCGAATGCGGTGTTGTGGAGTATTGCGGAGGGCGTGGACCCGTTGCCGGTCGCGAGGGTGTCTGCGTGGATTGATGTGCGGGATTTGGCGGAGGCGCATGTGTGTGCGTTGCTGGTGGGAGAGGCGGGGGGGAAGCGATATGTGCCTGCGTCTGGGGAGGCGTTTTGCTATGAGATGGCGGCGGATGTTATTCGGGATGGGTTTGAGTGGGCTGAGGGGGTGGTGACGGGGAATTATGAGAGGGGGAGGAAGGTGGAGGGGACGTATCGGTTGGATGGGGAGAGAGTGACGAGGGAATTGGGGGTTGGGTATAGGGGGTTTAGGGAGACGGTGGAGGATTTGATCAGGCAGGTTAAGAATATGTGATAGAATAGACGATACATAGATGGATGGTTGGTGTTGAGTGCGGAATAATGCCGTTGTCAATCAAAGGGCGTGCTTAGCGTTCTTAGGGCTGTCACAGGGCGTATCATAGTAACGATGGCATTATTAGCTATCTAGCTATCAATACATCTCCATATCATATCCATATATCCATATCCATCAGCAGATCAACTGCTCATAAATCAAGCAGTTATTACACTTAAAAAGCCATCACCATGGCGGCCAGAGCAACAGCACCAGCCGGGGCACTGAGTCTGTTCATGCTGGCAGCACCAGTTTCAGGCGTGCTGGAGGCAACAGCACTGCCGGCCGCAGACGAAGGAGTGCTGGACGACGTGGCAGCAGCCGACGAGGAAACAGGCGAGGCAGACGAAGTCGACTCCGGCTCAGCCCGCTTCGTCGCCTGACCACCGCTACCAGCAACATCCTTGAAGTTATCCACGCCCTTTCCAATCGCCTCAGAGATACCACTCGCAAGACCAGAAGCGATATCATCCAACTCCTTCGGCACCTTGGACACAATCGCATCCGACAACTTCTGCGCAGCGGCCTTCTGGTCCTGCAGATCGTTGTAGGTCAGGGCGCCGGCCTTGGCCTTGACGATGTCCGACTTCTTAGCCGTGAGGTGCTGGATGACGGTCTGGATCTTGTCCTTGAGGTCGGAGACGGGGCCGGTCAGGCCCAGGGCATCGCCGGCGCTGAGGTCGTCGGTGGCCTTGACCTTGGTGGTGCCCGAGTTGATGGCGTCGACGAGATTGTCCGAGGCAGACTGGACGGGGTCGACGCTGCCGCCCTTGTAGGCCTCGATGGCCGAGTCGAGGGCACTGACCTTGTCGCTGATGCCGGAGAGGACGCCGGTGATGGTGGAGAGATCGCGCTCAACGGGGGTGGCGCGGGATTGCACGGTGGGTTCGGCGATGACACCGGCAGTGAGGCCGAGGGTGAAGAGGACGGAGGTGAATTTCATTTTGATTTGATTGAGTATTTAGATAGAAGAATCGAGAGACAGAAGACGAGAAGATGAGAAGATGCGTTGTTGATGAGGATGTTGATGGAGTGAAGACACCCCTTTATACCTTGGCTCAACAGGATGCAGTCGTAGAATTGGATGAAATTTGGATCACTCAAAAACAAATGTTTGGGATTTTTGCTTCGAGCTAGATGAACGGAGAAAAGATGAGTCTGGGGAGGCCAAATGTAGAGGTCTCAAAATTGGGTGATGAACATGATGTACCTCATGTACATACTGGTACCTGATTTACATTCTTGTTTACTTAACTCAATTAGATCATCTTCACAGTAATAGACAATTAAACTACAAAATAATCATATAATAATACATCAATAGGAATCAATTGATAAATAGACATAATGGTACATACTGGGTAATGAAGACCCCATATTTCCCCGCATCGCAAATATCAGAACAGACTAGACTAGCAGATGCAGATCTGTATATTTTACACTTTCCAAGTACATCAAAATAGCGTCAAATGCATCAGTTGCATATCCCTACTATTGAGCAATGTAACCTCGCGTTTACCATGATTCATATCACACCATTATTGCATGTTGTCTGGTTTTCAGTCCAAATTGTGGCTGATCAAAGGCTGAAGACATTCAGGGGAATGTTCGATGTGTTTATCTCAAAGTCGGACTATGATGTCAGAAGCATTGACAGTCTCATTAATGAATAGAATCAAAACTGGGCTAAATGAGCATTTAAGATGGATTCGCCACATAGTTATACAGTATATAATAGATGCTTTATTCAGTCTTACCATTGTTTCTGAATCGATCTTCAGGAGATCGAGTCAAACAGAGTCAGTATCACATTTACTTGATGATATCATAGTTTCATCTCCAAATTATACTCTCATAACTGATTATTCAGGTACATATAATGCCTTATAATTGTCTTGAGTCAATAAATAATCATCCATCTATATCCCATAACCATAAGACATCGGAATCATCGGAATAGTCGGAATGGTCGGAATCATCGGATACTCTCAGGCCTCAACGGCAGAATCTTATCAATCAATCCGCCTGGACAATCCGAGTTTCTTCATTAATATATTTATATTTGCCATACATTTGCCCCTGATACTCCACAATCCATCCGGAAACAAGTCACGGAGAAATTATCCTGTAACGTGTTCTCCGACGCGATGAAACGTTATTAACTGGGATCGGCAGTCAATATGCCTCCTCCGCATTCCTATGATTGTAGAATTGTCGATTGATTTAGATGTACTGAGCAATTGATAGATATAGTATAGATATATACTATATATATAATTCTCTCTTCTTGAGTGATCTTGATCATTCAGATCAGAATATGGAGATGGCAGTTCGTCATGAGATCCACTCCTCGTCATCGGTGGATATCGGATATTCCGACTAAGAATTCATCACGGAATTCCCGGACATAATTTAAGACTCTATATAGTGTCTACTTCTTCTAGAACTCTAGATAGGATCCCTTAATCAACTGTAGGAAAATGATGCTCCCCATTCTCCTCACCTCCCTGCTGGGCCTCACCTCCGCCCTCACCCTGGACGATCTGTATCTCAACAACGCCCCCTCGTCGCCCCGTCCCTATGTCATCCCGCATTATGCCGACACGCACGCCGTCACCGTCGGCAGCCAGCTCTACCGCTTCACCGTGACCGGTCCCTCGTCCGACTATGCCTTTACGCTCATGGGCACCAACGCCCCCGGCAGCAACGCGCTGGGTGTCCTCCCGCACATCCACCAGAAGCACTACGAGAACTTTTACAACCTCAAGGGCCGCTTCCAGCTGTGGGCGCAAAAGGACGACGGCGAGCAGAAGGGCCGCCTCTTGACGCAGGGCGACTATGGCTCTGTCCCGCGTAACACCACGCATACCTTTCAGATTCTCGATCCGGATACCGAGATGGTTGGCGTGATTTTCCCCGGTGGATTCGAGTATGTCTCCCATCTCACATCTATACAACATAAACTAACGAGATAGGGACCTCTTCTACGCCCTCGGCACCAATTGGACCTCCTCCACCAACACCCCCTACAACCCCGCCTCCACCAACGACTCGTCCTCCGGCGGCTCTTCGTCCAGCGTCATCTCCAGCCTCCAAAAGTTCGACGTCTACGCCCAGCTCGACTTCAACCCCCGCCGCGACTTCACCAACGGCTCCGCCCCGTCAAGCACCTGGCACACCGAGTCCAGCGCCCTCGGCACCCCCGGGGAACCCTACTTCATCGCCAACAACTACGGGCCCAAGTACCTCAACTCGGCGCACGGGTACCAGATTGTGCAGCCGCTGGTTGCGCCCGCGCAGGCGCAGGACGTCAACTTCACCATCTCCACGATCTCGATCAACCGGGTGCGCAAGGGGGCGACTCCGCCGGTGTGGACGCCTGAGGGGGCCGCTGCGTTCGAGGTCGTCGAGGGCTTGTTGAGCATTAAGATTGGGGAGTATCCCGAGGCGAAGTTGACGACGGGGGATGTGGCGTTTATTCCCAAGGGGACCGAGTTTCAGTATTGGAGTGAGGTTGCGTTGACCAAGGTGTTGTTTGTCAGTGCGGGGAAGAAGGGCGTTGATCAGCAGTTGATTAATGCTGGGAAGAAGTGGGAGTATCCTGCCTTCCCCCGTTACTGATTGTATATATATATATATATAAAGGGGGTGGGATATCTCATAGGCCGGTATAAATATATCAGATCTGCATTAACTTCAGCCACCCGATATCTTTAAATAGGCTTTGAGAACCATAATGTATAAATATCATAACTCTAACTTGCGCATTTGCTTTTATCAATGATGCAATTCAAGGCTGAGGCTTATCTCATATCCTGTAACACGCTGTATATCACGTGTATTTGTATCTTGTGGACAAATAACATCCCTCGCTTATAATACACTAGTCCTAGTCCAGCTAGACCGATACCTGTATGACATGGCACAGCATCCCTGCTGTCAGGAACAGGGTTTTGATTAAGGGGAACACACTCAGTTGACCAACTCAGTAAGATGTTTATTTTTCTATCTTGACTCTGGTAATTGCTTCACCTTGCGTTGAAGAGGTGGAAGGGGAATGTATATCACAGTAGAATGGTAGACGATGCCAGCACATGCATGCGTAAACCAAAAGTAATAATAGTAGGGGAATGCCGGTCGCACTCGACTTCACCCTTCCTCCAACTCTCTCTTCACCTCACCTCACCTTATCCCATAGTAACCATACCCAACTCATCCTCATCCTCATCAAAATGGCCCTCCAACTCCAACCCGCCACGGTCGACGACCTCGACAACATCACCGACCTCTGGTACCGCTGCTTCAACGACCCCAACTTCCTCGCCATGATCCCCGACACCCCCGCCGTGCGCCAATGGTGGCATGATGCCAACCGCCACGACCTGCTGCACAAGCCCTCGGCGTACTACTGGAAGGTCGTCGATCCCGCCAATAACAACCACCTGGTTGCGTACGCGAAATGGGATCTGTCGCCGGCGCATGAACGGGGCCCTCGTTTCCCACCTTGGCATGGGGAGATGGACAAGGCCAAGTGTGATGCCTATTTTATTGAGGGGCTGGAGAAGGAACGCAAGAGGTTGTTTGGGGAGAAGAAGAATTACTGTATGTTTCTGTCATTGCATTGTGGAGTGGGGGATGGGGGGGGGCTAATTGGTAATAGATCTGGACATGTTGGCTACGGATCCTGCGTATCGTCGTCGAGGCGCGGGTGGGATGCTGGTGCAATGGGGATGCGAAGTGGCCGATCGCGATGGGATGCCCGTCTACATCGACGCCACGCAGGAGGGGAAGCTGCTGTACAGCCGGTTCGGCTTTGAGGATCGCAGCGGCCCTGGCTGTGCGGAGCGAGGGACCTTTCCGGTGGTGAGAGAGCCAGAAAGAAACTGAACATGCATGGACATCCCGTGTAGATATAAAATGCCTGAATGAGAGGAAGAAAAGACTCCTGGGAGCACTCCGTATTGCCCGTAGACTGAAGATTGAGACAGCCAACCACAGCGCGAGAATATGTCAACGCCAAGGGCGAATCTCCGAGGTTTGGCCAGGGGCATTTGCTGCACTGAAACAGGTCACCCAGCACGGGATGCCCTCGCCAGCGCTGATTTGTGATTTGCAGGGAGTGATTGCATCAAGCCGGTGTAACCAGGGCGATCATCCTGTCGTGGATAGAGCAAGAGGGAATAACTGCCAGCTAGTGGATGCGACGAATCCTCCGCCGCCAAGCCAGGGTGGAGAGGAAAGACTCTCCACCGCTCCAGACCGGCGCCATTACCAAGCAGCGCAAACAACAGCATTCCAGACTATCGCCAGTGCCCGAATGCTGTCTGATGCTAATCAAACGGCCAAGAATGGACGCTCCCGTCGTCCAATCGAAAACAAATATCAACCACCCCCAGTCGCCCAATCGGGCCACCGCTTCATCTCAGCGCGACACTGACTAAATCGCCTGGTCGGTTTGCTGCGTGGGTATTGGGTTCAGTAATCTGTATCACAAAGTCCCCACGTTCTAGCCCTGCTGCTTCAATAAGCAGCCCTTCATAGTTAATCATCATGGCTCATGCCTCACAGCCTTTTGCCCGCCGCTCTTGGTTCCTGCGTCCCCTAGTCTAGTCATGCACGAACCCTGTCCGGCTTATCCTTCGATCTGCATGCCCCCATTTTTTGCCCTCGCCATATATAAATAACCCGATGCCCTTGTTATGTCGTCCCCTCTCCTTCTTCTTTTGTCCACCATCATACAGCCCTTGAATGCGTCCTGTCAAGATGCGTTCCCTTTTGATTCCCAGCCTCATTGGCATCGCCAGTGCCGCCTGCCCTTACATGACCGGTGAACTTCACTCGCGCGATGCCACCAACGATGCTGCCGCCGACACGGAAGACTTCCTCTCCCACTACTACCTCAACGACACCGACTCCTACCTCACCACTGATGTCGGTGGTCCCATCGCCGACCAAAACAGTTTGAGCGTTGGAGAGCGTGGTCCTACTCTGCTCGAGGACTTCATCTTCCGTCAGAAGATTCAGCGATTTGACCATGAGCGGGTATGTTGCACACTTGATACTCCTGCCAGAAAACATTGATACTGATCGCAAAAGGTCCCCGAACGTGCTGTCCACGCCCGTGGTACCGGTGCTCACGGTGTCTTCACCTCGTATGGCGATTTCTCCAACATCACCGCCGCTTCCTTCCTCCGAGGCAAGGGCAAGGAGACCCCCATGTTCGTTCGCTTTTCCACCGTCGCTGGTAGCCGCGGCAGTTCCGACCTGGCTCGCGATGTTCACGGCTTCTCCACCCGTTTCTATACCGATGAGGGCAACTTTGGTAGGTCAAACACATCCGGTTGGGAGAAGGCTGGGCTAACAATGCAGACATTGTCGGAAACAACATCCCCGTCTTCTTCATCCAGGATGCCATCCTCTTCCCCGACCTGATCCACGCCGTCAAGCCCCGTGGCGACAACGAAATCCCTCAAGCTGCTACTGCCCACGACTCCGCCTGGGACTTCTTCAGCCAGCAGCCCAGCTCCCTGCACACTCTCTTCTGGGCCATGGCCGGACACGGTATCCCCCGTTCCTTCAGACACGTCGATGGATTCGGTGTCCACACCTACCGTTTCGTGACCGACAAGGGAGCCACCAAGCTCGTCAAGTTCCACTGGAAATCCCTGCAGGGTAAGGCCAGTTTGGTCTGGGAGGAGGCCCAGCAGGTCTCGGGCAAGAACCCAGACTTTATCCGCCAGGATCTGTTCGAGTCTATCGAGGCCGGCCGTTTCCCCGAGTGGGAGGTATGTTCGTTCCCTACTCCTCGTCATCCAGCTACTCACAATATCAGCTCGGTGTCCAAATCATGGACGAAGAAGACCAGCTTCGCTTCGGCTTCGATCTCCTCGATCCCACCAAGATTGTCCCCGAGGAATTAGTCCCCATCACCCCCTTGGGTAAGATGCAGCTCAACCGTAACCCGCGCAACTACTTTGCCGAGACTGAACAAGTCATGGTATGCTCTTCTCCACCACTCTCATCCTGTCAATACTAACACTCGTTTCAGTTCCAACCCGGCCACATCGTCCGCGGTGTCGACTTCACCGATGACCCTCTGCTCCAGGGCCGTCTCTTCTCTTACCTCGACACCCAGTTGAACCGTCACGGCGGTCCCAACTTCGAGCAGCTCCCCATTAACCAGCCCCGTGTGCCCATCCACAACAACAACCGCGATGGTGCCGGTCAGATGTTCATCCCCCTCAACCGCGACGCTTACACCCCTGGTCCCAACGCTGTCAACGAGGGCGCCCCCAAGCAGGCCAACCAGACCGCTGGCAAGGGCTTCTTCACCGCCCCTAACCGCCAGCCCAGCGGCAAGCTTCTGCGCACCGTCAGCCCCAGCTTCAATGATGTCTGGTCGCAGCCCCGTCTGTTCTACAACTCGCTCGTCCCCGCCGAGAAGCAGTTCCTTATTGACGCCATGCGTTTCGAGAACTCCAATGTTAAGAGTTCTGTCGTCAAGAACAATGTCATCATCCAGCTCAACCGCGTCGACAACGATCTCGCCCGCCGCGTTGCTCGCGCTATCGGCGTCGAGGAGCCCCACCCTGACCCTACTTACTACCACAACAACAAGACTATCAACGTCGGTTCCTTTGGCGCCAAGCTCGCCAAGCTTGATGGTCTCAAGATCGGATATCTCGCATCGGTCGACAACAAGACCTCCATCAACGATGCCACTTCTCTGCGCAACAGTCTCTCCAAGGAAGGTGTCGACGTCGTTGTCGTCGCTGAGCGCTTGGCTGACGGCGTTGACCAAACCTACTCCGGCTCCGACGCCATCCAGTTCGATGCCGTCATCGTCGCCAGTGGCGCTGAGGGTCTCTTCTCCTACTCTACCTTCACCTCGCCTGCCAACTCCACCGCTGCCTCGACCCTTTTCCCTGCCGGTCGTCCTCAGCAGATCCTTGTGGATGGCTTCCGTTTCGGTAAGCCGATCGGTGCACTAGGCGGTGCCGCCTCTGTTCTTACCCGTGCTGGCATCTCTTCTTCCCGCACTGGTGTCTATGTTGCCAAGTCTGTCGGTGAGTCCTTTATCAACGGTGTCAAGGAGGGTCTCCAAACCTTCAAGTTCCTGGACCGTTTTGCTCTGGACCAATAAGCTGCCTAAGGGGAAATGTCTTTCTTTTGTTTCCCCATCCTTTCTAGATCTTGTTAAAGATGACTAGTCAGGGTGTACTCATGTTCATGTTCATGTTCATGTATTATTTGAAATCAAAATTTATAGGTCGTCGGCCTATCAGTATTAGCTTGCATATAACTCCTAATGAAGTATGAAATAATCAACACTTACCTTAAGAACCATGACCACATTAGTAGCTTTTTTTTTTTTTTTTTTTTCCTACGATCAGCCAAATAGGCACATGCCACTGCGCGTAGGGATTACCAAAACCAATCATGGCGAAATGATATAACAATATCCATTAAGCGTTGCTTCATAAGACCTGTCGAGCAGGCTAACGAGTCAAACTAATAGGTAAAGATAGAATCAACCAAAGGATAAAGAAAAGAAACCATAGAGTACATCAAAAATCAAACCCCATGCCTTTTTGCTGCCAATTCAGCTAGACGCCATCTATCCTGGGGTGTTTTTAGTTTTTTAGTTTGGAATGATAAATTTCCGGCGTCTGGTAACATTGTCAGACATCAGAGCCGCGTCTTTTAATTGAAGCTTTCTCTTGGTGCTTCCATTTTCGCTTTGTCCAGATGACTGAGGTTGTTCGAGGATAGCCCATTCGGCGACAGTGGCGCCTACAGCATTCTCCTCGCCTTCGAGTGCCTGGTTGCCGTAAATAAGCAGAGTCGCATAACGTGTAACCCGGACAGGCTCATGAAGTTCCGTTCTGGTAGTATTGCCAGTAGGAATAACCACCTTATCGAGGTTGGTATTTTGGTCATACGGGCTGGATTGCGTTATGTTTTTCATGCTGCTAACGACAATGTAATTGGAGTTATTTTCAGACATGAGAGTCAAGGCTGGGTCCTCAATGAGATTGTCATGGAATATGATCGTTGCATTGACCGGCGGTGACTGCGCCCAATCAAAGTAAAATCCAACGGCCTTCTTGTTGATCTCAGAATCGGCAAAGGAGACGGTCACAGAGCTCAGGTTCGCAGAAGAGGGCTGCCATTTCGTCGAGGTTGCGCCGTCCACGGCAGAAATCGGAAATTGGCCTGGTTCGTATTCACTAGGCGAGTACACTGGACGGCACTGTACCAGGTTACCAGGGATGGTGTTTTTTGATCCAATTTGGCGGTTGCGAACAGTCAATGCACCCTTGACTGGAAGTTTGTAAACAGTTGTGTTGGACTCAGTGCCGACATGCACAGGGATTGACACGTTTGCAAACCGCAAGTCCGCAGTATCGAGGCTAGGAACATTGGCAGCCCGACGGATGGTGGTGTGCGTATAGTTGGAGCTAGCTGACATGGGCCATCCTCGCCAGTAAAATGTTCGATAAGTGATATGGGGGATTTGCGGTGGTAAATTGGGATTAATGTGAATAACATCATCAGGAAGTAGTCGCAGTCCGAGGTATCCAAACAGAACGACTTGATTGGCCCCTCCACTCCCGGTTAGGAAGGGGTATGCTGGGTGTGTGCCCCCGTTGCTACTATAATCATCTACCATCTGTTCAGATAATTGGAAAAATGGTGCTCGTGCATATGGCTCATAGGAGTACTGTTGATACGTGTAAGCAGAGCAACCGGATTCGGAAACATCGTTGGCGACGATTGAGAAAATGGCCCATGTCATGCCTGGGCCGTCGGAAGATTGTTTGTTGGCATACTGTTTTAACGCTTATCGTCAGCACTTTTCACTGAGGTATAGTAATAGTTAGGTGTAATTGAAACTCACGTAGTCCAGGTCATTTAGTGAGTTCTGGGCTGTGTAGTTGCTGCTGTAATCCAGGGGGTATGTGTTGAGCACCACGTCGGCTTGCTTGACTACGGTGCTTCCGTTCATAGTGGTGAACTCGAGGGTGATATCACTTTCCCGAAGCAAAAGAATATTTTCGGCCATTTCAGTCCATGTCTCATTGGTCTCGATGCCGAACTGCTTGCGGAATGAGTTTGCATATGTCAGCGTCTGAGCGATCAACGGCATCGTGAAACCACCCGCATCAACGTGGTTTGCGTATTCATCCTAGGCACAATAGATATTAGCTTAATGTAAATACCAAAAGATAGTAAGTGACGGACGTACAGGGTCAGTCATATTTCTCAGGGTCCAGGAGGATCCATTACGCTCAAGCAAATTCGAATAAAGAGTTGCAATCGAGTCATAAACTGGCAAATGCTTGTCATGGAAATACTGCGTATCGCCACTGGCAACCCACTGGTTGATCGTTGACAGTCCAATATCCCCGTTCAGGTGATATTCATAGTCCCAACATGGACCGGTAGCTGTGCAGTTGCCAAACCGGCCACTGGTCCAAGGATAGGCGGCGGCCGAAGGAGAAAAGTTGGTCTCGTTTCTTGAGCTGGCGAAGGCAGCCTCAATATTTTTCATTGCCTGGGCATATTGAGCCACACGATAATTCGTGAACCGCTGAGAAGCCTCGGGGTGCGAAGCAACGAGGCCAGGTTGCATCCAGATATCCGCATCCCAAAATACTTGGCCAGCGTAAGAATCGGATGTGAGGCCACCGACTGATAAACTGTCAACATTAACGGGGGCCCCGGAAACCGCATTTGCAGCATTCTTGCCCACTGTGTTCTGCAGGAGATAGTATGTATTGGCAACAGCGATTATGGCCGAGTCAACAATGTGACTGTCGGCTGGCAAGACTCCAGTCTCTGGGTTGGCAAATTTGTCAACCGAGTTATCTGTCATAATGCTTGCCCACTCAGAAATATGTGACTGAAGGGACTGGGTATAGCCACGGGTCATTCCAGCAGACACAGCCCTTTTGGCGGTTTTTCGAGGGTTTGCAAAAGCATCTGTAGAGGCAGCACCAACGAACTTGGTGATACGAAGCTTTTCATTGGCCGAGAACTTGACATTGACTGACTGGGCAATGGTCGATTCATTCGAATTAACGTACGGCTTATCCGAAACAATTTTGCGAGATGACAGATCAACGTTTTCCGACCCGGTCAAATTGGCATAAACATAGGCCGTGACATTCGAAATTCCCCAGGGTCGAATAGAAGAAAAGATCGCCCCATCATCTTGTCCTGATTGCACGAAATCGGTACGGACAGCTGAGTAGCCATCAATGAGGTTGACAATCGAGGCATTGGCATTCGAAGAGGGCACAATTTCCAGGTCAACCACGGCCTGGTTGATGTTCAATTTGTGGGCAAAAAGCCGGTAAGCAATGTCATATGATCCCTTGTCGCCTTCGGGAACCCATTTGTATGACCAGGACAGCACGCCAGCTTTAAAGTCATATGTGGACTGAAAATTAGTGATTGTTTTGCCGTCAACCGTTGAATCGAGGTATGTACCATCCCCTAAATCGAGGATCAGTCCACTCCAGTGTGGGATACCGCTGATGACACTGTCGCCTCCATATTGGGACAACCAAGGAAAATTGCTACCATTTGTCGTAGGCTGACTGTCAAAAAATCCGGCAATTGTTGCGAAAGTTTGGCGCCTGGAAAACAAAGGCCAACCATTGATCACATCACCATTCACTGGATCATCAAGCTCGAAGAACGGTCCGACATTGGCAACATTAATTCCCAGGTATCCGTTGGCAATGGAGCCACGCGACTGGTAATGACCCTGGTCTAGACTCGTTGTAGTGAGCAGCCAATTGTCTTCGTCCCATGTAACTCCGGGAAATTTGGTCGTATACACGTTTTTGGAATCCGCATCTGCTGTAATCTTGCCATCACCTCCGTACTGCTTCAGGCTTCGAGCGATGCGGTTCTGACCGTTGGGGGAGCCATTAACTGCCGGAAACTGCAGAAGCAACGACAACAAGGTCCAGTCCAAAATCTGTCATCTTGTGAATTTTGTTTCGGGAAAATATAGCAGAAAGGGTAGATATCATAATGACTCACGTTTGACTTCATCTTCAAGCGTCTACCAATAGAAGATAGAAAGCACCGTAGTGATCTCCTAGCGTCGCCGTGTCCTGCCTTTGTCACGAGGGGGAACAAATATCCTTGGACAGGTATAAGACTCAGGTCAAATGGTGATATAGAACGGATCTCGTAGGGATTATAAATCAAGAGCCAAGGTAACGAAGATGGTGGAAAACTTTATTTAATTTCCACAACTCATGTCAAAGATGGAAAAGCAGTGCCGATCTATGTCTGTAGAAAAAATAGGCCCACAAAACAGCGGAATCCCCGCAACAAACTGCGAAAACGTCAAGTTCTGCGAGAGAGAAAAAGAAAGTACAGGGCCACTTAGGCAGCGCTCAGACTGGCCAGTGTCACCCAACGTCGTAAAGGGCCAAACCATGTGGAAACTGATGCAGGTTCTCCGGACTAAGTATGGATGCCTATGTCGTATTATTCTGCGGGGACGGCAAGCCCACAAACACGAGCCCACAATCCGGAGTCGGGACAGAGCGACAGGGCGTAGCACGGGACCTCGGAATGAACGCAGGACCGAGTATCTATCACTAATTGAATGAGTGGAATAATGTTAAATGTGGAACGGACACGGCAATCCGCGCATTGGCAGTAAAAGAAACCTGGGCCGATACACGGATTGACTTTCACGATGTCATTTAGGAGCTGGGTGGGACGCCTCTGTCATCATATCGCGGGGATTGTGGCTTAATCCTGGGGAGAGTTTTGCCCCCGCAATACGACCGATAAAAGCCCGTCGGGGGAAAGGAGAGGAAATGGCTTGGAGAGGCCCTGGTTAGTCTGAAGTCAGCAGGATTCTGAGGTGTTGATATCATGAGGGGAAATACAGCCGTGCGTTGCGAAAAATAATAATGGGCGCTAAGCCAAACAATTTAGGGCCAGAAAGAGGGAAGAGTTTTATGAAATGACCCTCATATGAATCGATTCACTTGGTTAATAAAAGAGCGGCTTTGACTTGAATATGAATGATGGTTTAAGGATGAAATGAAGGAAATTGAAGTGTGGGTGAGAGAAAAGAGAGAGAAGAGGGAAGGTCCAAAGCTGGGCCTCTTCTTGGTGGCACTGCGCGAATTGGCCGCAAGTGAATGAAAACAGCCATCCATTACTTTCTCGGTCTGATATGGCTGCCAGTCCTTCTTGGCTGTCTGGTCTATTCCACGTCTAGCTAGGTAGCCTTCAAGCTGTCATTGTGGGTAAATTCTCAATCTCATTTATAATTCAAGTCTAGAGAAGAAGATATTCATTGAATAACACTATAAAACTGATGGAAATTGCACATGAACATCTAGATCGTCATTGATTGACTTAGATATTACCTCGCCACCATTGCCTGTAATGAGGCTATGCTTCCCTTTTATGATATAGCAATCGACCGATTCTAGGTAATCTGCCTCTAGAATCAATTATAAGGCAGAAGGCCAAGTCAGTGGCCTCGATTGCCATGAAGCTTTTGGCGCAAAACTTTTATAGGAGTTTGGAGTCAACTTCGAAATCCATCCTTGATCATCAAGGTCAAACTCCCTGGCCAAGTACTACTCCGAGCTTCTGGAGGCCTGTAGCATTGACGAGACCGCAAATTGCACATGCCTATATGACTCTAGGCTGGCCTATTTTGCCTTGTGCTGCACATTCAGTTTAAATACTTGTCTCGATAGAGGAACGAACCACTTCCGAGTTCAGCAAGTATCCCCAAAAGAGCTCAGCCGCCATCCTCGTCACTATTTTCCTCTTCGTTGGCGTCATCGCTAGCAACCTGCGTGCTAGATCCAACGTCACTTCTGCGCTGGGTATTCATGCTTCTCCTCTTATTTTGCATGTGTCGCTCTGTCGAGGTAATCGCTCTCTCTCCAACAAATTTGTTCCCGGGCCAGTCAGCCTTGCAAACGGGGCACTTTTCTGCCTGCTGCACGCGAAAGAAGTTGCGAAGGCAATGGTCATGAAGTCGGCCATGGCAATCACGGTTACCGCAGCGTTGACCCTGTGGCACATGAATTAGAATACGCATTGTAATGTTATGCTCCATCGGACACTCCAGCTCTTACCACAGTAATTATATCCCTGCACGCAGCACAGAACTTGATCTTATTCGCCCTTTGCCCCTCATCATTCTCATCATTGTAGGTTGCAACCAACCATCCACGCAATTCCATCAAGCCCCGCGGGCTCAAGCTGTAAAACCCTTTGCGGCTCTTCTCAAACCATCCTTCATCCACAAGCTGGCTCATCACCATCTCTGCCTGTGACATACTCAGCGACTGCGCTGCCCCGCCTTGGCTTTGCTGCGTCGCAGCACCGGATTCTCGACGATTGGCGTCACCAGCCTTGGCTAGCTGCATGGCTTGCATTCCGGTGATGACCATCCCTTCCGATATCCGGGTATTGTGCGTTTCGAACATTGCATCGAGTAGCCGCTTAACGAAAGCAATTTCATCTGCCGTGTGGATAGTCGCCAGTTGCATCAGCGCATCGCTAGTGGTGTTAACCAGCGCATACACTCGTTCGGGACCTCCATTGTTTGCGCCATCCTGTTGGTCTATCTGTGCCTGTCGCAAGGTACTCCTAATCTCTAGGTCGAAGGGAGAAATGGCGCTGTTTGCGGCGGCGATATAAGAGGCAAGATCATCTTCAGTAATATCTTCAGCGGATATGGGTTGGCCGTCTGTCGCTCAATTATTTTGATTAGCATACAGTCACCAAGCCTCAAGTGATTGCTTGTTATTAAGGAATAGAAAATACCTTGTGCAGAAAAAATGGCGGCTAGAACAGGCCTTGCTTCTTCGAAGGTCATGGTCGAGCGGGCCATGAAAGCTTGGAGAAATGCGCGATTGCTGTCATTATAGCCTCCCTCATCCATGCTGTTCGCCATCTTGCTATTAAACTCTCTTTCAAAGAATATGTTGATTACAAGCCCAAGAACGACCGTGATGCTGAGGTTTGTGGGGAAATGGGTTGGATAGAGTGACGCGATAAACGCGACCCGCGTCATTGGCTGCCAAGACCGAGACTTTAGATGGCAGCGAGTCGTTCTACTACTGTATGGAAATAATGTATGTGCATATTCCTTTAAAATAAAATCAGGGATAAGAAGATAATGAATTTTCTCATATTCGAAATAAATTTGCTCATCGCAACAGATACTACCGCTTCTGCTTATGCTGGACAAATGCAAGTCTGTAGAATTCACTGATCTCGCAAATTAAGGTAGCTTTGATATCATTACACAGAAAGAGACAGATGCTAGAGCTGGCAAAGCTGATGAATCTCCAAACCCGACCCTAGACGCCCCGTTGCGCAAAGGGAAGTGGAATCGGAGCATACACTGAGTCCATATTTTCCCCAACGCCAGGTTTGAAAACAAGAAAGACGAAAGCCACATAGACTTCTCCCTAGTATCTCCTTCTAGTCGGCTCCGGGCTTGGGCTGCGACTGACGCTTCGTGCATCTCTGCCCCTTTCCTTCAGCCACTTCTTGGTGCTCAAACGCATTTCCCGGTCAAGCTCAAAGCTGGGGTCTTTTCGGTGTATGAAGTTACAGAATCCGCCTCGAACACAGCCCTCGCCACTATTTAATCGACAACACGCTTCTCGAAAATCTGTCACGGGCGATAATTCGCAATATATAGGCCGCGCTGCATACCAGCGAGAATTCAGCGTGTCGCAGGCTGACTGTGCATCCTCTTCGTATTTAAATCGTGCGTAGACATTGCCAATAAGATCTGCATTGCAAATTTAGATATTAGCAGCTGTTCTTTGGGGACACCAACTTCATAAAACAGGTTTACTCACGGTCATTGTTGTTGTCACAGACAACCAATTCCTCCAATTCGCCATACTTGCACATCTCACACCAGACATCCTCGTAGAAGGCATCAAAATGGTTTTGCAGCTGGCTAGAGTTCATCTTGTTCTTGGGATCGTAGGCGGGATTTTGGTACATGTTCGGCATCAAAATGGTCTGAGAGTAAGATGGCTTGACATGTTTACGGGAGCATCGGTCGCCGTGCCTGCAGGCACCGATCTTGTAGTAGAAAGAACAGTTGACCTTGTCCTGTTCGGTACCGAAGATAGAGGCGAGATAGTTGGCCATGGTGTTTAGATGAGATCGCGCAGGACACTTATTGCTTCAACTAGATAGACCACGGGGAGAGCAGAATGAGGGTATTGTTGGATGAATTAGATGATGGCGACAGCGAAAAGGAGGGAGGCGCTGGCGGGAGGCGTTGGTGGAGGTTGAAAGGTTGAGAGGTTGGACGGACCAGAGCAACCGTCGAATATCATAAGCTGCCTGAAGATTCTGGAGAGCTCCATGGCGGCAATATCCACTAGCCGATTAAGGATTCATATGCCTGAGGCAAATATTTATGAATATCTGGGGATCGTATTACTCAGCAATGCACAAATAATGCATTGCCTTCTTATTTTTCTTCGTGCATCTAGTCTTTTGGGCTATTTCTCAATTACGATTCAATTCAACACCATAAGGACCCCAAAATCTCATCATTCCATTCTATATTCTATCAGATATTCTTTTTTCTATCACTTTTGTACATGGACCAAGACAAGCGTCGAATATAAACATATTGGAACTCAACTCAAACTCCCAGCCCAGTCACATCAGCAGAGGTCTGGGTTCCTTCAATCAACTCTGCCATGACCTTTCCGGTTCCTAGCGAGAGTGAGATTCCCCAAGGACCATGACCTGAGGCAACAAACACACCTCCCTTGCCATCGCCTTCTCCGGAACCCGTCTTCAAATTGTTCCCCAACAAACTATCTGCTACTCTTGAAACAAACGGTGTTCCACGAGTTGCAACAGGACGGAAACACAATCCTTCGCGTAGGATTTCCAAATCATCGATATTGGGGATTTCCTCGGTTGACTCTGAACTGCCTTCGGAAAGTTTGCCCATTAACCGGACAGCTACCGACTTCAACTTTTCCATTTCAGATGGGTCTTGAAGCTTAAAGGTCTCCTCTGCCTGGGTGGGGAGAGGCATATCCGTGCTGTTTAAACCCGCAATGTATATCTCGCCACCACGTCGAGAAAATAACTCTGGGCTAAATCCGCATGAAGACGGGTGGGTTGTGAAAACAGCATTGCTTCGGCCATTGTACTTCTCAAGCTCATCCTTCAGCGTATATCGTGGAGAGCGAACGACCAGCGAGTAGCCAGCCAGAGGGGACATAGAAATTGAGGTCTTGGAGGCTGGGAAAAGACCTTGGAATGTCTTCGGGGTCCAAGAGCCTGTGCAAACGACCAGATTTGTGCAGGGGATAATCGACTCCTGCTGACTGTTGAGGTTTACCACTTTGACTCCCTTGATAGTGTTGGTTGCTTCGTCCGTGACGAGAGATTTTGCCATGGCTGGATTGTGGAGTTTCACGCCACGGGATACCGAGACATCCATGAGATATGTACTCAGTTTCAATGGGTCACTGGACAGCTTCGTCAGTTTCATGACCCCTCCGCGATAACTTTATACTGATTCACGACTGACACTTGAGCAACTGTATCCTCCTCACTAATCTGCTCCATACCCATTCCTTCTTGCTTCGTCATCCAATCCGGCGGCTCACACATGGTTGCCTGACTGGATCCTGCGGCAGTCTCTGCCCTGCTTGTTCCCTTTCGCAACCAGTCATCCCCACGGGCGCCACCTTTTTTGTCTGCATCAGTAGTATTCATACTAAACGCTGCTCCTTTCATATAGCCCCATTTCTCCTCTCCCCCGTTTTCAACGGCAAGTTGGTGGTGTAAATCAAATGAAAGGGCACCAAGCGGGGCGAGGGAAGGGGCAAACCAATCCTTGGCCATGAAACCAGCAGCATAGCCAGATGCTGCGCTGAAAAGCTTGGATGAGGATTCGATGATATGAATGCCCTCCCCTGATCTTTTATCGGACAGGTAATATGCGATTGAGGACCCAATGATCCCTCCTCCGATGATCACGGTAGACATTTTATATACAGTAGCTCGAAGGCAATTGAATGTCTTCTACCTTAGCGTCAGTGGTAAGTATTGATATACAGGTAGTTGGCCTTACTCTGCAGGTAGAATTCTTCTAGCAAGACCGATGTTTCAATCACTGCCTATCACAAGACATTGGATGTGGTCAGTAGATGACATAAATACCTATACCTAGACAGTGGAGTAGATGGATGACAAGTCGCCAGATACTCGCAAACGTCGAAATTTCTAGATCCCAATTGCTTCAATTGACCAAAGAAGATTGAATCTTACTTCATTTCTGGCTTACTCCTCCGCAATTCGGCAAAGTCCAAAAATGTGGGGGTCTTTATGCCTACGCCCTGCCGATGACTTCCAGTTTCCCGGTTTGCCCGCCGGAATAGATATATTGCCACGCAGCCGATGCAATGATTTTTCCTAGGATTATCGCTCGGGGCCTCGGACTATTTCAACCTTATTTATCTAAAGCAATTGATGAATAAACTACAGGATTTTATACAAAGAATTTGTAGCACAAGGTCCCTCCCAGCAACTTTGCGCTTATCAGCATCTAACTCCGCCTCCCACAATCGCTGGATCTGGAAAAGATGACTCTCATGATACTGTTGAGAATACTTGAGAATTATAAAATTTTATGAAGCCGTAAATAATAAACATAACTGTCACCCTAATATGTGCAACATAAAATGCAGACAGGTAAACGCCAATTAGACTAAATCTCTCGCCAAACCCCCACATCCCCTCACCAAAGACGGGATTACATCACGTCAATTGCGAGCTCAATTCTTCATCGTTTGTTCTGGAGCCGAAACAACTCTTTCTCTCTCTATTTTCACGTCGAAGCTTCTTCAAATTTTATTTCTGATACCTCTTTGTGTTTTCTTTGTGTTACCAGGTTCGAAGACTACCTGCAACAATGACAGGCAAAACCATTATCGTCACCGGTGCTTCGAGAGGTAACATCCCACAAAGCGATCAATTTCCAGATTGTAGCCCATGAAACTAATGACAATAACACCTTTCTGTAGGCATCGGTCTTGCTGTCGCAAAATACCTCCTCACGGCACCTCAATCCCACAATGTCGTCGTCGTGGCCCGCAGCGTTGAACCCCTCCAGAAGCTCAAAGAGCAGTACAGCAAGCAGGTCGAAGTGCTCAATGGCGACCTTGCAGACTTCTCCCTCGCTCAGAAGGCAGTTGACCTCGCCCTCAAGTCCTTCGGCCAGCTTGATGGGATGGTCCTGAACCACGGAATCTTGGGACAAGTGGGCAAAGCTGCCCAGGCCGATCTGGAACAGTGGCAGCACGGTTACAGTGTCAATGTCTTCAGTTTGGTGGCTTTTGTATGCTTTGTCCTTTGGTGATGCGAACTTGAGCCAGGAATACTCATGCTAATGCTATTATAGGTCAAAGCAGGTCTCCCGGCCCTCCGTCAGACGAAGGGAAAAATCATCTTCACATCGTCGGGAGCTTCAGTGAGCGCCTACAGGGGTTGGGCTCTTTATGGATCGACCAAGGCGGCCATGAACCACCTCGCTCTGAGCTTGGGCGAGGAAGAGCCCGAGGTCACCAGTGTTTCCATTCGACCTGGGATGGTCGACACTGAGATGCAGCGCGAGCTGAGAGAGGACCATGCTACGACTCTGGAGCCTCAAGTCCACTCCAAATTTACTACGGTTCATAAAGACGGAAAACTTCTTAAGCCCGAACAGCCAGGACATGTCATTGCTAAGCTTGTGCTGGATGCCCCAAGCACACTATCTGGAAAATTTCTATCGTGAGTGCCCCACGGCCACAGCCCTATGTCTGAAGACACAACTGACGAGAAACAGCTGGAACGACAAGGATCTAGAGGCATTTCAGGCGTAGATGAATTTTCGAGTATCTAGAAACAGCATAATTAGTTTCGGCTGTTATAAATAGCAATAGACATTCGAGCGCGAAGCGTGTTTTGAAATCAGCCGAAAGATGAAAAGCAATACATGTAAACAGCATTAGGTGCAGAGCACCTTCAGCCTTAGCATGGAATGTACGGTGTTCATCATGTAAGAGGTTGCAATGGTTGAAAAAAAAGTAATATGCATACCTATATTCTAGCAGTATAGGTGAAACTCCTATTCAATAGGGACCAATTCCCAAGCAACAGAATAATCAATCCTTAAATGCGCCAGTATCTCCAATATACCAAGACCCAATGTCGTAGATTCCCACAGGCAAACATTACAAGCTAAAAATCTTCAAAGGCATTAGCACCAGATCAAACACACAAAAAGTGAGAAATCAAAAATGAATTGAAATTTTCTTCAGATAGTCCGTTTGGCTTGGACGGTGTACGTCACCATGGGTTGGTAATGATAGGGGCGACAACAATGTTCATCATGGTAAAGGAAAAGGAAATCAGGGAAGAATGTGCGACTCACCATTTACAATGTTAGTTTCAAGAGGCTCCCAGAAAATCTCCGACATAAGAAGATTTCGCCATTTTGGCATCTGGTTGTTGTGGGAAAAAGAACCCACGAGGCATGAAAGAGAAGAGAAGAAAGAAAAAGCCGTGAAAAAAAAGTTGGAGCAAGATAAAGAAAACTGAAGGCGGTATGTTTCTGCCCGTGCTATCGTAACAATTGTTCCGTTCCGATCGAGTCCCTCCGCGCTATGATTTCTTGCCTAGTTTACCTTATTTAATGCGACAAAAAGCTGTCGACCCCGCGCGAAACTACTGAAAGACACAATATCCTCCCGAGGACCTTTCACGACTAAATTGAGAGCATCCGTTGAGTAATCCGCCCAGTCATCGATCCATCATGTCCGATAGAGAGTTCAGTTGTAAGTCACACTCGTCGGGTTTATCTACTCAGTCTTGGCAATCCGCGCGATGCGATGCTGACATTAGTTACTTTACAGCGAACGACGACCTGTCGCTCCCTAAAGGTACGTGATGGAGGTTCCGCTCTTTGTGTTCCTTGGTCTATAATGTTTTGCTTATCTGCGGGTTATTCGACGCTAAACGCTTATGCCTGATGCCCTATTTCATATGCGCGTCCAGATGGTCTATGCATGCGCTTGTTTGTTCGAGTGCTAATTGTAATCATAGCGACGGTCCAGAAGATAATCACAGAAATCCTTCCTCCATCCTCCGGTCAAACATTTTCCAAAGATGCACGCGACTTACTCATGGAGTGCTGTGTCGAGTTCATCACCCTGATCTCCTCTGAAGCCAACGACATCAGCGAGAAGGAAGCCAAGAAGACGATTGCTTGCGAGCACGTGGAGAGGGCATTGCGGGATCTTGGGTTTGGGGATTACATTCCCGATGTACTTGCTGTTGCAGACGAACACAAGGAGCAGTTGAAGGTACGTGTTTTGGTGTTATACATCAACCTGTATGTTGTACTGAGTTTTTGCTAACACCATCCGGTTACAGTCACGAGAAAAGAAGCAAAGCAAGATGGAACAAAGTGGGTTGTCCGAGGAGGAGCTTCTGCGACAGCAACAAGAGCTGTTTCGCTCTGCGACGGAGAAGTACAACGCTGCGGAATAAGCACTGTCGGCTTTACACATGTGGGAATTTAATATGGATGGACTCGTGCTGGTCATAGAGGGAACGGACTTATGGAGTTTTGTATTTTCCGGGTCAGGAGAAGTATTGGAGTTTCAATGGTTACTTGGGTTTTCACTCATGGTTCAAAAATGGGATGGTAGGGCTTTTATTTTATTTTATTTTCGATTTGAGTATTCTTATTCCCTGGCGCATTATGATGTTTGGTCATTTTGGCGAATACACATCCATGAAGTCTCCATAGTAGAAGTAGAGGTTCGATATATATCCGATAGTTTTACGTACAGAGTAAGATGACCAAGACACAACCAACCGCTAACTGACTATTAATGAAGCATGTTTGCTCAGTACCACAATAATATAATCCAAAGCATCCTTTAAATTGTTTAGGTGTTAAGGATAAAGGTAGATTAGTGTATTAGTGTGTTTACTAGTCAATGGGGACTGTTCTCATGGGCTATCTATGTATCTGTTATCCAGAAAATTGCAATTCTACATTTCCCTTCCTATTAAGTTCATTCTCTTTCTATTTTATTTTATTTTTATTTTTATTTTTTTCTGATTATACTTCATTCAACATCCTAACATATATAAAAATTCTTAAGTTGCTGCTTCTGCTGTCACAGAATTCGCTGATGCTGCCCTGACGGCGCTTAACCCAACTGGGTTGCCCGCCAACCTCCCAGCGCGCGCAGAAGGTCGCAGCTGCAACTCCCGCGGAGCTTCGGCTGCCACTGCGACAGATTCCCAAGTCTCCCACCACGCTGGTTGCCCAGGATGCCGCCTTTCAGAGATGAGCACATTCTGGTACGTCCACTGATCGTTAATTCACATTACCCATTTTGCTCACCTCCCTCAACCACCGCCCCTCTCCGTGAGCCACCCTACTAATGCTGCCCTTTGTCAGATAATTGCGCCAGGTTCGCAGGTGACCCTGGCGCAGCTCGGTCTGCCCGAGTCGTTTACGCCAGCTCGATTTCGTTTTCCCACGCGAATGTTCCCCGCAGAAAAGGAGGGGGAATATGAACCGTATAAAATCCGCGAGCGGCGACACGAGGTCAAAGCCAGTAATGGTAACGACGCGCCTAAAGAGGATGTTGAAATGAAGGATTCGGAGTCCGCGCAGCCTGGAACGACAAACACGGAGACAGCCAACAACGCCGAAAAGCCTGAAGGCGAGGTTAAGAATGAATCCGCAGAAGGACAAGAGGGCAATGAGGAATCGAAACAAGAGACAGTGGAGGAAATCTTCTACGAAGAGGATGTTACGTCTGATGAAGGGGCAATTTGCCCAATGGAAAATGGACGTATCGTCGATTGGCCTTGCTTCTTTGCCCATCTCACACACATCTATAATACCCTGAGCCCGCCCTTCCACACACCGATCATGCTTATCGCGGAGCCAGTCTGGTCTGCTCGGGATCGAGAGGCGATCACCCAGTTCGTCTTTGAAAAATTCAAAGCACCCGCTTTTTGCCTTATGGATTCTGCCCTTGCAATCTGTTATGGGTATGGAACTGCTACCGCCACGGTTGTCGATCTCGGAAAGGGCAAGGTGGACGTGACCGCAGTGACCGACTTCATGGTGAACGAGCATGGCAGAGGTATCGCTTTGGAAGGTTGTGGTGGTGATTATATGACAGATCGGCTGGTGGAACTTTTGGGATCGAAGGGATTCACGAGAGAAATGTGCGAGCAACTTAAGAGAAGCAACATCACAGAGATTCTGCCCGCTGGGACGCCACTCCCAGGAGCAGCGGCAACTGCACGACAAGGTGCTAACCCCGCAGCTGCAGCATCCACAGGTGCACAAGATGGATCAGCTCCAGGCGAGTCCATTCCACGTGGGCCAGGGGATGGAACCCAGACTGGACCAGAGGGGGGAAATGGCGAAGACGAAGACGAGGGCGTACTGGATGTAGCAGCCATTGTTAGCGGCAACACCAGCGAGTTCCTGGCCAGCAGAGAGAAGGATAAAGCAACCACCAAGAAAGGATCGGTAGACCAAACCGGGAAACCTATTCGCCTTCCCAACTCTAAGAGGGAAAAGGCCTCATACCAACTTGAGGAATTCGCGCGGCTAGAGCCAGAGAAAAATGCTTCCCCTGGTCCCGAACGCTACGTTCGTCAGAAACGCGACATTGAAGTGGGTGTCGAGCGTTTCCTCTCCGCAACCCCCAGGCAGAAGACCCTGGGCCGTTTGTCAGGCGGTATCCTCGAAGACATTGCTGCTCAAATTCATCATACCATCCTTGCTGTCCCCGATGCGACGAAGCGAAGCGAACTTTGGGACTCTTTGATTATTGTCGGTAACGGCAGCAAAATAAAAGGTTAGTTTGTCCATTCCCCAATTCCTCAGAATGTTTGTCTAATATCCATAGGTTTTACACAATCCTTGCTCGCTACCATCACACAAAAATATGTCCTTTCCCCTTCTGCTAGCATTTTCACATCCGAAATCCCCTCCAATTTCTCTACCCCTCTCCCCACAGGAGGAAGCAACACCCCGACACCTGTTGGTCAATCTGGGCTCATGCAAACTCCCACTGGTCCTGGGGTGAATCCTCTGCTAGTCGCTGCTACTCATGCTAATAACCCGGCGGCCCCTAATATGCCCCCGGGAACACCGGTCATTGATCCCGCCGCTACGGCGCATTATCGCTCTACCGGTCACTCCCAGACTCCAAACTCAGTTAAGACCCTGAGGCCTCCAGAATATTTCTCTGAATGGAAAGAGCAGTCCAACAGCAATGCCCCTGGTGCCAGTGGTAACGGGGGTAATGCGGGCGGTGCTGGCGGTGCTGGTGCACCGGGCTCAGCAGGCACCGGCCATGGCATGGAAGAAGCAGTTTTCCTCGGGGCCCAGGTTGCCTCCAAGGTCATTTTCATTCTTGATCAGGGTCTCAGCAAAGGCTTCATGAGCCGTGTTGAGTATAACGAGAATGGCCCATCGGCAATTCATGAATATATCCTGTGATTGCTTTTAATAGAAATGGTTAAAATTGCTTGCTCTGTTTTGGCGATCTTATGGAAGACGGGGTTTACGACTACTTAGGGATGAAACTTGACTTTTGACCTGTGCTATTTCAATGTCGTTTCTTGGACTGTTTTTGCGCTACATTTGAAAACTACTATATTTCCTACGTTATTTCTTTCTGGCGCTGGTTTACTGTCTGAATGCGATGTCGGTCCCTTCCCTTTTAAAAAGAGCAAAAAGGCACTTCTGTCTGGGACACAGATAAGATGGGGCGTCCAGTTAATTTCTTTCTATCACTCGACAAGCCAGAAAAATGATACGGGACATATCTTGAACAAAGAGCCTACATGTTTGACATCGAGGACCAAATAACTCAGGAAGGCGTAATTTGTAACATATCACGTGATGCTATATTATGTAACGTATCAGCCACTCCTCCGCCTCACGTCAGTGGAGCGCCATATCTTCCCCTTCTCCATCTAGCGACAACGGTAATCGAGCGCCGTTTTCTTTTCTTCACCATTCTTATTATTCTTCAAAAATGCCTCGCGCTGAAGCTGGAAGTACAAAGGCGATTAGCAACAAGATCAAATCTGTAAGCTAGCACGTCTGGCTCTGACTTTGAGAAATGGTTCTAACGAAATGAACAGAAAGGTTTAGGGCGGTTGCGATGGTACTGTCAGGCATGCGAGCGTCAGATGCGAGATGAAAACGGCTTCAAATGGTGAGTTCCGATTGAAATGAGAGATGAGATTGAGGCAGGGCGCGTTGCTGATGTATATCCAGTCATGTCCAGAGCGAAAGTCACGTCCGGCAGGTGTTGCTGATCGGTGAAGACCCGAAGAAATACATCCAAGACTACAGTAAACAGTTTATGGACAATTTCGTCAGCCTTCTCAGGTCTACGCATGGAGAGAAGCAGGTCCATATAAACCAGTTCTATCAGCAAGTTATTGCCGATAAGGAGGTGAGTTTTGTTTTAGAAACAACCAAAGTCGATGTGATACTAATATATATTTCTGCAATAGCATATTCACATGAACGCTACACAATGGAAGAGTCTTACACAATTTGCAGCACACCTAGGCCGGGAAGGAATCTGTCGCGTGGAGGAAACCGAGAAGGGCCTTTTCGTATCGTGGATCGATAATAGCCCGGAGACAATGAGGCGAAGAGAGGCCGTTCTCAAGAAGGAACGACAAGATCGAGGCGACGAAGAGAGGGAACAGCGCGAAATACAACAGCAGGTTGAACGGGCCCGACAGAATGCGGATAAGGAGGAAGAAGTGGATCCCGAAGCCAAGGTGCTGCAGCGGAAGGAGGGTGAGAAGGTGAAGCTCAATATTGGATTCGGCTCTAAGTCTAATGCTGAGTCGAAATCCGAATCACCAAAGACGGAATCGCCAGAGGAAAAGGATAACAGTGCCACCCCAGCCGCGTCAGACGCTGCTCAGGCCCCTGCGGCCCCTGCTCAGGCTGCGCCAAAATTATCCGTCTCGTTTGGAAACAAAAAGCCAAAGAATGTCTTCGCCTCTGCGGTGAAGAAGAATCCGCTTGCTGGAAAGAAGGGGCCGGTTATGGAGCAGCCAAAGAAGATGACCGAACAGGAAAGAATCATGAAGGCTGAGATGGAAGCGATGGAACGCAAGCGCATGCGTGGTGACTCTGGATTCTCAAATGCCAAGCGTCCCAAGATTTCTTGAATTGGATGTATCCCAACCCTGGCGCCACTTTCTTTGGCATAGCCAACAATCTCGATATCACGCGCCCTGCTTTCTCTTCAAACAAGGAACCCTCCAGGGCTTGATTTGAAAGGTTATTACCATGGCAGCAAACCCCACCGAATACCCCAAGACGACAGTTTGATTTATTTGCTGCTCTTCTTAATCATATCCGCGATGGTTTTCGCTGGATGCGGATATTCGGGCTTAGCTTCAACCACTTGATTGAACATGTGGACTTTGCTACAGCATATTGCAGGTTACTATTACAAGTGTAATGCATCCTGTACCCCAGGCTTGACGCAGTGCGCAGATACCAGCCGCTGGGCTTCGCACTCGCGAATGCGATGAAATCCCATTAATAGCCAATGGCCAGCTACTGCACCGGTATTTTATTATATACATATTTACGAAGAATCAATGAATGATTTCATCACTAGCTCTCCGTCTGGTGTTATGACGTTGTAGACAGGCAAACTCCGATGCCCAAGTGATTCTATGCATGGACCAGTCTAGCTAGAATCCTCAAAATATCCTATATAGTGAGATCTGTTTGATGTTGATAAGCCAAGCGACTCATGCCACAATTTCGTTGCCTGCTCCTAAGACCGGGGATTATTTCCCCTGGGTAAGGCCTATATTCTCATATATTGTTGTTTTTGGCAGGGGACCCGGCTTTAACTGATGTTTCTTATTTCCGGGCCACGCGAGTTCCAGCGGTCATCGTATTTCTGTCACTTAGGGGCGTTTATATTGACTATGTGCCAGATAAAAGTGAAATTGAACGTACTAATATCACGGCAGGAGTTTGACGCCTTGTTTCATGTCCAGAAACGGCAATTTCGGGCACTCTCCGGTTTGAGACATGGCGGAGACATTGTCCGGTGTTTGAAGTGCAGACAGTTTATATTATTGTTGGGAATCAAGCCCACCATGATCCAACATGATATATACTCGACAACAGGTTGACCCTGTTTGGTCTTGTTCCACTGCTATTCTTTCTTTCCTTTGTTTGCTTTCTTTTCCGACTGCCCAGCATGCTGGTGCTGTCTTTCGCTCTTTTCTTGCTCTCTGCTGTGCAGAGTTCCACCGCAGCTTTGACGGAATCCAACTTGGAGAAAAAGGTTGATGTGCTGGCACTGAAGAATTCCTTTAATCCTGTCAAAGAAGCCTACTGGACTGGCTATCCTCACCACAGACGAACCCCGTTTGCTGTTTCCCCCGATGGCAAGTCCGCCTACATTGCCTATCTTGATAGCAGTGAAACCGATGTTCATGTTCAGCAGCTTGATCCGAGTAGCTTTGAAGCTACTGGCACTGCGGTAACTGTTACTGGAGGCAAAGAGGGTATGTACATTCCATATCAATATGGTATCGGAGCCACCACTAAGACTAGTAGCTGGTGGTCTCGTCGCCCACGATGACGGCTTCGCACTGTTGACCAACGAGGCCATGCCTTCTGGAACCACAAATGCCCCTCCGAGTGATACCCCCGTTCCTGTGCTCTACCGGTACACCGACGGAGAACAGACATGGAAGACTTGGCTAGGTGGTCCTGGAGTCCACGAGTCCGATGGTCTTTCAGCTTCCCCAGACATGAACGGTGACCTTGTCTATTCGGAGGAAGCAGGCTTATACGGTGCCTACTTTGTTGTGACAGACTACTCTGGAGACGCCTCGGGACATTATGGCGACAGTATTGAATATGTTTCCAAGAACGGTACGCTCGAGACTATCGAGGGTGCCACTAGCTCCTGGGGATGCAGCCACAACACCGGGATCGCGTTTGAGGCCGCCGATGCTGCTCCATTTGCTAGTATCTGTGCGGAAGATCAGGGTGCGATCTGGCTCAACACCAAGACCCAGGGAATGACGACCGACGGTGTCAAGATCTCCAACGAGAACACAACAAACGGAGCTGACGGTGAGCCGATGGGTGGTATGTCGGGTAGCTACAGCGGTCTGGCCAGATTTGCTGGTAGTACCCGGTACATCTTCTCGTGGGTGTCCCGTGGTGCCATTGATCTGACCGAGAATGAATGGATGGGCAGTGGTTACACCAACGCACAGAACCGCACCAACAACCGAAACGTTGCTATTTCCTTATTCTCCGACAAGTATACCAAGGTTGGCTCCCAAGCCTCATCGAAGGTCGGGGCAGAGGACGGCGACAGCCAAGTGAACTGGATTACAGAGGGCAGCAACGACTGCTCCAACGCTCACGTTGCAACCTTTGGCACCGGCAATGCCCTGGTTACGTGGGAGGAGATTTCGGATCCAGTTTGCGACTTTATTGCTATGGGATGCCGTGGCGAATTTGCGGGATCGTTCTTCCAGCAGGTCGACCCTGATGGCTCCAAGGTTGGCGAGCCGATCAAGAGCACTGATGCCTATGTTGCGGGAGATATGGTGACCATGAGCGATGGTCGCATCTGCTGGCCGTATGTGAGCATGGCCTGGGATCTGTCTCAGCCCGTCGCTGCCCTGAGTGTTTCGACGACCAAGAAGATGAGCTTTGCCTGCATCAGTCTTGATGGGTCATCTAGCAACACTACCACGGAGTCGTCTAAAGCAGCAGTCACGGAGACCACCTCTGTCGCCAGTAAATCTACTGTCGAAACTCCGACCACACTTATGACCAAGGCGCGCGTCTCATCTACCGGTACTCCCGCAGAATCCTCTGCCGGCTCTGTCTCGGAGATTTTGCCGACAGCTGAAGCCCAGAATGCGCCCTCTACGACTCCAACTCCAGAGGCCGCAGCTCCACCCGCGAGCTCCTGTGGAGACATTCTGCCTCAATCATCTAGCACCCCTATTGCTTCAAACACTCCCTCGCCTCAGCCTACATCTTGGTTCCCTGGATGGTGGCCAAACTGGGATTTCACCAGACCTGCTGCTGGCAACTGGGGATTCTAGTAGAGACCAGCAATAAGGTCCAACGATCGGTTGTAGATGGTCAATATTTGTTCTATTCCTGTCGATTTCTATTTGGACAATAGAATATATTCTATCTACAGTAATCCTTTTTTTCATAAATCGTATCATAATCACTGTCTGATAGGCTATACACATTGTCTGATTTACTTTAGCATCTTTACTGCTCAATATATATTTTAGCCGAGTACCACCACATCTAGCAAAAAAGTCGAAAATACATCGTTAGTAGAATAAAAATATAGTTTCATAGGTTATAATACCACACGAACTTCTAAAAAGGTAATAATACCTATAAAACAACTCAATTGGAACCATCGTAAAAAAATCACGTTACTCAAACCCCTGCAGCCCTAGCCCAGCCTTCAACATGATTGGCTAGTGTCGAACCAACGCACAAATAAGCATCTTGGCAACATCAAGACAATAGTCATCCACTTTGACATGAACAGCCCGGGTGGTCTAGTGGTATGATTCTCGCTTAGGGAGAGCTCAATGAGTTCTAGCAACCCAAGCATATCTGCGAGAGGTCCCGCGTTCGATCCGCGGCTCGGGCCTGTTATCTTTTTTTTTTTTTTTGAGCGAGCCGAAGAGGAGAGAGAAAGAAGGTGAGGAGAGGGGGTTTTTTTTTGGTTGCTGATTTTGCTATTTAAATCAATCTACTTAATTTTTATGCAGGAGCTTGGACCCCCGCTACATGCAGTGTCAGATTAATTATAAATCCTCGAATAGAACCCCTTGTTTTCCCTGTCGATAACAGATAAGACAAGATACAAGGAAGCCCCTCCAGTGCCTCTTCTTTATCGGTAATCCCACTAGTTCAGCGATAGTGAATCTGATCTCGATAACCCAAAGCATCGCATCCAATCTCCGAGCTCGGGCATTCGGGCAGAGAAACCCTGGGATCCTGGACGGTGATCGGAATGCGGGACGAGAATGAGGGGCAGCTCTGGTAGTTCGGGTGACTGCCCCGAAGTCAAAGTCGTCTGAAGAGTCATTCACTCTTCCTGCGTGGATTCTTCGATTTTCCAACTCACTTACTTCATTTCACTTTAGCTGTGTTACATCTGGATAGGATATCAACGGTACAATGGCATTGAAAGGACAGACTCTCGCTTTTATCGGATGCGGTATTTAACCAGATACAACCAAAATGACTAGACAGATTGACTGATCGCAATAGGAAACATGGGCTCCGCCATCCTGGACGGATTGCTAGACGCAACCCGTTCGACCTCGTCTGAAGAAGCCAGAATCTCGCGATTCATCGTGAGCACAAAAACCGCATCGTCGGCAACCCAGCTCCAGTCTCGCTTTGCAGCAGACGAAGCCCGAGTCAGCTTCCACTCTGACTACAATGTCGAAGCGATGAAAGAGGCCGACATTATCATACTCGGATGTAAACCGTACTTTGCAGAGGCGGTCCTCGGCCAAGAGGGAGTGAAAGAGGCACTTGCTGGAAAGTTCGTGATTAGTGTTGTGGCGGGTAAAACGCCCCAAGTGCTCGAGGAGTACATCTACAAGGGATCGGCGCCGACTCCCAAGCCGTACGTTGTGCGTGCCATTCCCAACGTTGCTGCGCGTGTTCATGAATCGATGACGATCGTCGAAGACAACCCCACACTCCCGGCCGACCTGGCAGATATCCTGGGCTGGATATTCGAGCAGATCGGCAAGGTCAAAGTGCTGGCGCCGGAGTTGTTCAATGTGGGCTCGATGCTGGTCGGGTCGGGAATGGCGGTGTTATCAGTGGCTCTTGATGGGATTCTGGATGGATGTGTGTATGAGGGGATTCGGAGACCAGATGCGTTGGAGATGGCTGCACAGGGATTGCTAGGGATGGCCGAGTTGCTGCGACAGGGAGAGCATCCGGCGACGTTTAGAGAGAGCATTTCGTCGCCGCGAGGATGTACGATTGGGGCGTTGGTGACGGTGGAAAAGGCGGGCGTGAGGGGGTCTTTTGCGCAGTCGGTCATTGATGGGACGAAGAGGTTGCAATGATAGATGGTAGATCTCATGAAATTAAGCCTACAAAAGAATAAAACGCATTCATTGAAGCACATGATCAGTATAAATAAAAATACTTTGAATGGATAATGCCACCGACTGACGGCAGGACAGACCGAAAGCTACTCGGCAAGGGACCCCGAATGCATCAGATATACAGGTTGGCCATGCAGAACAAGTCATTCAGCCTGCTATACTCCAATCGGACGGTGAACCGTGGTTCTGATCTACCCCAGACCCCTCATTGCTCAGTATACACCGTATAAAACCAGCCTGTAGACCAGATCAATCATCAACAACAATCAACCCATCAGTCAAGATGAAGACTCTCTATCCCAAACGACCACTCCTCTATACCAGACTCTGTTTGATTCCATCCCAGTCATATCAATATCAATCCCAATCCACAAGCCATGCCCTCCCTCACTCCCCTCCCTCTACAAAAACACCACCCTCTCCCCTCGCCATGATGCCCACCAAATCCCTCCTCCGCTCAACACTCTTCACTTCCATCATGTCCTCTCCCCTCCTCAATCCGTGCCTCGCAATAATCCAAGGCCTGGTAAACTCCAAATCCGCCCTGCTCAATCCCGGCAAAAACCCCGCCATCAACTACCTCCTCCAAAAGACCGTCTACAACCACTTTTGCGCTGGCGCTACCGAAACAGAGGTTAAGAGGACGATACAATACATGAAGAAGATGGGGTTTACAGGCGTGATCATGGGGCCTGGCCGGGAGGTTGTGTTGAAGATGGACGAGTCTGCCCCGGCTGAGTCGAAGGAGAGTCAGAAGATGGCGCTTTTGGAGGCTGTAGAGCAGTGGAAGGGAGGGCTTTTGGATACGTTAAATATGCTCGATGAGGGGGATTATCTGAATGTCAAGTTTGTGTTACTTTCTGGATGCTGAAGATGAGGTGCTAATCGAATTGATAGATATACCGGTGCCGGCCCGATTGCTGTCGAGGCGCTTTCTCGAGGGGATGCCACTGCCCCAACAGTTATCCAAGAGGCGATGAGGGAAGTTTGCAACATGGCTGTGTCTCGAAAAGCACGGCTCTGGATTGACGCCGAGCAGCAGGCTCTCCAGCCTGCCATCGACGCATGGACAATCAACCTGATGCGCGAGTTCAACCGTAATGGCGTGGTGGTCCTCAACACCATTCAAGCATACCTGAAAGCATCTGCAGACAACGTCGACCACCATCTCCATCTCGCACAAAAAGAAGGATGGGCACTGGGGATTAAACTCGTTCGGGGCGCCTACATCGCCCACGACATGCGAGAGAGAATCCACGACACCAAAGCCGACACAGACCGCAACTACAACCACATCGTCAAGAGTCTCGTTACACGCCAATCGCCCATCCAGGACTCAGCAGTAAATAGCAACCCCTTCCCGACAGTCCGGTTATTCGTGGCATCCCACAACGCTGAGACAGTACGCAAGGCGTATTCGCTCTACAAACAGCGCGTTCTAGACAACCAACCCACCATCCCCATCCAATTCGGACAACTACAAGGCATGGCAGACGATGTGAGCTGCGAGTTGCTGGCTGAGAACAAGAAAGCCGACAAGAGCGGGAAATGGACAGCGCCGGGGGCGTTCAAGTGTCTCTGCTGGGGGACGACGGAGGAGTGTCTGCATTTCCTGCTGCGGAGGGCGGTTGAAAATAAGGGGGCTGTCCAGCGGACGAAAGATATGGCGGTTGCATTGCGGAGAGAAGTGTGGAGGAGAATGCGGAGTGTTTTTGTTTGATCATGGGATCATAGTTCGGATCGGAAGCCGAGTGGAGGGGAATATTTGGAATATATCTGCACAGTCATACATGCATTCAATCTGATCAAATCATTGCATGCCACATCTCGTGCATTCGTATACAAACGCTGGTCGGGAGGGGCCGCCGATTCGGGCGGGGATTCCGATGAAGCTATACACGCAGCACAACAGAGTATTCAAATCATTGGCCCTCGTCTTGATTTCAAAACATCCTTTGCCTCGTAGTAATCCACTTCCTCATCATCCATAATGCCCTCCATCTCACATCCTTCCAGAATCTCGAGGACAAAATCCTGACAGTCCCATTCGAGCGTCTCATTGTCCACCCGTGCATTGTCGACCACCATCTTGATGGTAGGAATATCCGGTTCTCCAATCTCACAAAGAAAGACGTATTCAATAAAAGTGTCTGTATCGGATGGCTTTCCGTTCGAAATGACTTTCTGGAAGTTGGGATGTTCGCCGTCGACTTCAAAGATGAGATCTTCACTGTCGGTGTGCAGGTATAACGACCAGTGTTGGAAATTGCCGTAGTGGGGGTGATGGATTGCTGCAGATAGAAAGGGGAGCATTTTGATTGAGAGGATTTATTGAAGATATCTTTTGAATGGTGTATTCTTTGATGGTTGTATTCTTTGTGGATGTGAATGCAGATGTTTGTTATATTCACGGCGATGACTGCATTCCAACTGCTGCCTGTTGCTCGTCTATAAAACCCTCATTTTTTCTATTTTCTTCTTCCTCTCATATATTCTTCGTATATATCTATATATTATCCTCTGCTCACTTCTCTCTGTATGATGAGTTTGACATCCGCACCCCAGCCAGCGTCTTCTACATAATTTCATTCTCAATCCGCAGTCTTGATCCATAACACAGCATCAAAGACACTTCCTTGATGAATATGATCAACACAGGCAAGCTATTCCTCCTATACAAACTTCCGCCTTTTCTAACGATTCTATCCAACTAGTTCTTATATCCACACGGAACCCACAGAACGTCTGTCCTAAGACCGGTTTATACATTCAACTCCTACCACGACTATCCACTGAATGTACAGTACCCAGGCTCAGTCACAATCGATGCTACTTCGAATAGTCGTACCAATGATTCGACCGATTGGCTAGTCGTCTGGATGATATACTCGCAACTAAACCTGAACCGCATTGAACCATTCTGAAGCGTTTTGCTGATACCCCAGCGTTTCTCTGCGTGTTTGTGGTTACATTTTGATACCGATCAACACGGAACTCACGATGTTGATATCATTTTGGGTTGAAGTTGTGTAACTTGCATATATGGGTAAGTGGCATCTTTATCTTTGTTGTCTAGATACGGACTAATTGGGATGTAGAAATGCTCAAATACCCAGGGAAATCGACAGATACCATATACGGAATACTTTCAGATTCATGGTCGCTCGTCAATGAGATGGTCAGACATTCATTCACGCCAGCTCTAACACTCGGAAGAAAAGCGAGGACAATGGATCGGGCTTGAAAGGCCTTGTATTATAAAGTAAGTCGGTGCTTAACCTGACTCATCCTGATACTTTGTATCCAACTTGGTTGAATAATTGTTAACTGATGAATGCTTAGACAAACATCGAATTCTACCATCCCCAGTGTCTCCTCAAAAGCGAACGATGGCAATAGAAGATATACAGATCCAAGACTGGCTTGAGGAATCGAGCCGAGTTAAGAGTATACCGATTCCCAAAAATTGCGGTTCGAATAACGCAATCTCCCAAGGAACAATCGTATCTTCTAGGGGAACAGGAGGTACTCAATCTCTCCTCGCCTTCTGGAAATGCAATGATTGTGTCTTCTGGTGACGGCAGATCGCCGACTGCTTAATCGCATCAACCTCCATCCAAAACCGTTGACAATTGGCGAGGTTCAATATTCATCTGCTGTCTTCTCCAACTTCTGGAGTAAAAAGACCTCGAATTTGTCTCAATGTATAGGGCCACCAAGATCATCGCTATGATTGGGGGAGCAAAGAAATCGAACGAAGATCAGGAAGTTTTGGGAGAAATATTTGTCCTTTTTAACCGGAAACCTGAGCGACGGTAGCAATTTGATAAGATACGCGAACTGTTTGACCGAATTTGGCATGCCACCAAGAAGATATTGTGGAGCTTATGGTAATATGTCCATTTCCATATGTGTATACGCAGACTGACAAAGCGTACAGGACTTGCAAACCGCAATCCAGAACTCTTCAATAAACCCACGCATTGAAAGAATAATGGTTGAAGTGGCAAATCTGTCGGTGCTTCGAGATTGGGCTGATAGTACAGATGAAGAATATAACATATCAGACCCCCTCGAGAGCGCTGTATGCCATATGGAATCGTGGTTCTGTTTCTATATACGATCAAACCATTCCTTTAGCAAAGATAGGGACAGACATACGGCATCGTTGCCGTCAGATGAACGTCCAGCAGAACGACTGCACCGGATCTAGATGCTGATGATCCCAAATTTGCCAGACTGGAATCCAGACCTGAAGTATTTGCAGTCACTGAAGAGTGCTTGTTTATATTTACCACATTGGCGCTTTCGACCTACCTGTCATCGACTGCTCGTGATATCACACGCAAAACGAATCCACGAAGACACACAAATTCCAGGACTGATATCCCTACATGAACGCTGTTATCCTCGAATAGCACTGAATATGGATGACCTTTCCAACCGGTGGGGAACCCAAATGGAGAGAAAATTAGGAAGTACTCAAAAAAGGCTTGAATGGACTTGAAAGATGTACCACAATGCATTCACCAATAATATGTGGATGGCAGCTTGCATATCTATTAGCATATCTACTCTATCTGCCATATTAAATCCATAAAATAAAACTAGCTATTAAGTTATGTAGGTAAAACTTTAGTTTATAGAAGAGCTAACTATATTGTTAAAGTAATTAAATTGACATTGATTGGCCATTGCTTACCCGTCTCTCATTTTCTGTATAATTACCACACCCTGGATTCTCTAGCGGAATATAACAGCTACATCACACCTTAAAAGCGTATGATAGTCTATAGATGGTGGATGGCAGCTTGAATATCGATTAACCTCCATATCGAATAAATCACTCATCTGCCGGCACAGGCAACCCATTATGAAAAACAACCTTCCGTTTCTGCTTCTCCATCGCTTCGATGGCATTCTTCCTGCGTAGATCACGAGCTTCCTGATCCGTCAACAGCACAAAGTCATATGTCAGTAAGCGCGTGCCCAGCTCGACTCCATACCGAGCCGCCATATTGGGATCCGTCACAGACGACAGATCGACAATGAGTGAATCTTTGACGCCAAAGACAGGATCGGATGTTTCGTACGGATCACCGCGGGGGTAGAGCGCACTGCCAATTAGAATAGCCTAGATAAAGAGCAAGATGAAAACTCACGTTATCAACAAATCATACCCCTCTTTATCGAGCATGAAATGCACATGTCCCGGCCGATTCGGATGTCTCCCCAATTTACTCAACATCTTCCCAACCGGCCCATCCATCGGAATCGGATACGGAACAGGCACGATGGCATTAAAGAAGAACTCCCCATTCGTGTCAGACACCAAAACACCTCGTCCATCCGGCCCCGCCCGATCCGGATTCTGCACATCGTAAAACCCCTTCGAATCGCCCTCCCACACATCAACCTTGACATTGGGAATAACCTTTCCAGCCGAATCGCGAATCGAGCAGACCACCAACAACGGCGTCGCGTCGGGGTCACTATGCAGTGTAGCCCCGTTTTCGACATTCTGCGCGTCATGCGTGTGGAAAGGGCCTAACACCGTCCCCTCCGTGGCTGGCTGCATGCGCGGATGGTTAATAGAGTCAACCAGCATACTCAGTCCCAGCGTGTCAGATAGAAGAATCATCTCGTGGCGGAGGTCGTTGCTGATTTGGCCGATCTCAGTGAGGAATTGGATGCCGGATTGCCATTCGTCGGTGGAGAGACGGGTTTCGCGGGCAAAGTCGTGGAGATAGGTGGTGATGCGGTTCAGGAGATAGCGAAGACGGGGATCGGGGCATTGTGAGTTGACGATGTGGACGTTTTCGGTGATGTTGTCGGTGGTGAGGTCTTTCATGGGGGGGATGGAGGAGGGGGCGGTACAGCGGGACATCTTGAAGCAATTGAAGCAATTGAATTGAATGGAAGAATATCGAATGTAATAAAATGAAAAATCCGAAGATCTGAATGAGCTGAAGATTATTAAACGAGCCCCATGATTGAGTGTTGATGCGCCACTTCTCCATGTGGGAGAACTCAAGAACCCCACATCGTGGAGATGCAGATCATCGGATGAGTTCATGCAGTCAAGACGGAGATAACCTCATCGACAATCCTCTCTGGCTCTGTCACATGCACCCAATGGCCACTATTCACTGCCCATCGAAATACAGACCTCGTCGACAAACTCAGCGTCTCTCGTTGAAACTTTTCGTCCAACACTGGATATTCCTCCATCTTCTGCCGATAATCCGCTCTCTCCTGCTCAGTTCCATTTCCAATCGCAATCCCAGCATTGTACACCTTCCAGTGGTCGCTCGCTGCATTTCCCATCAAGACAACCACAGGATGGTTCCCAAGCAGCGGGGGATTCCGATTCAATTGTTTCTTTGTGCCCAGTTCCTTGCAGCTGTCGATGTAGTGTTCCATTTCCTTTCCAGAAGTTTTCTGATGTCTTTCGCTTTGATTTTCTTTCAGCATAGCAGCCCACTCATCGTCAGTAAGTCTTCGTGTCTCTGGTAATCCAAGGGCAGCATTGAAATCCAGCCCCTGTGCCAGAGGATCAAGAACAGGACTTGGCCAGTTGGCAATGCTTTGTTCTTGATTCGCATCAACAAGAACCATCCCAATAATATCATCCGAACCACCCCTTTGCTGCCTGAGATGAATAAACTCTCTGGCCGTGATGCCTCCATACGAATGACAGACAATCACATACGGGGGCTGAATATCCGCCACCGTCAGCAGTTCGTCCAACTCCATCGCGATATTGATAGCAGTCGGAGGATTCGGCGATTCATCTGATTCTCCATATCCTGCTCTCTCATAAAAAAGAGTTCGAACGGTCTGTTCAAGAAGTCGTTTCACCGCAGCCCATTCTTTGATGCTGGTTCCGACACCGGGGAAAATGAGGACGATGGGTTGGTCTGGGGTGCGATCGGGGCCGGAGATGGAGAGAAAGAGACGGTGAGTTGAAAGGGAGATGAAAGTCGAGTGGGTATCTTTGTTGTAGTTGGTTTGAGACATGGTGAAGATGAAGTTGAAGAGGAAGAGAAGGTGGGGTATTTTGGTGCTGATCGCCTGCAGCATCTTTGTTGTTCTCGTATCACCTGATATCTATTAGTATGGCTTATGTCTTTGTCTGATTGGTTCAGATGAAACAGTTTTATTGTCAAACAAAACATTGACTGTCTTTCATCGACAAGACAAGAAAGGTCTCTTTATTACGGAAACAAGACAAAGGGTCCAGTTTCCAGATGATGCCAGATGATGCCCTCCGAGATACAAATATGCCCCCGCCCCATCGAGATCATCACCACCATCACCATCATCGCCTCATCATTCTATCAATTCATCTCCAATATAATCAACCAACATGCCGCTATCCAGACTCCCCAAGGAAATCCTCTTCCTGATCTTCGACAAACTCGATCGACCAGCGATCCTCAGCCTGGTTCGGACTTCTCGTCACTTCCACGATGTGGCCGTTACTAACTACTACAGATCCCTCAGTCCTTCAAGCCTGCCTCTGAAGAATCTGCTTCTTCTCGCCCGAACATTCGCAGAAAGCCCTCATCTAGCAATGCTCGTCCGTCATCTCGATCTGAGTGAGTGGGTCGCGCGTGAAGAGGACCGCGCCGCTGCAGCTCAGGTATACGATGATAACATCGCCCTCCAGCTGTTCGACCCAGTCAGGATGCAGCTCAGCATCGGAGTCAACAATCAATGGCTGAATGCTCTGAGAGCCCGCAATCGCGATGCCTGGATATCAGTATTGTTGCCCAAGATGCTGAATCTGCAAACCTTGTATCTCGACTACTCGCACAGCCCGGTTTGGACCCAGTTAGTTTTCAAACGCGCAGGCTGTGGATTCAGGCCTTTCGACACTCTCCCTCGTTTCCGCTTTCTCAGCGATGTGCGTCTCTCTGCCAACAAGGCCTGGGGCAACTGGGGCGTGTCTCTATCCTGTGGTATACCGTTCTTCAAACTCCCCAACGTGCAACGTATTGCAGCTACTAAAGTAGTCAGTTGGGAGATGAACCCTGCCAGCACCTGGCATTACGCATTTCCCACCCCCCAGCATACGTCCACCGTCAAGGAGATTTCCATTGACCGCATCGACAGCTGCGACGAGCTCGAAAGGTGGACCAACGCATGCCAAGGGCTCAAGACGTTCCATTTCGGCGCCTGGGACGACACTTCAAGTGCCAATCAAACGTTCGACCCTGTCAGTCTGCGCGCGATGCTCTACGCCAGTGAACCGACCCTCGAGGATCTCACCGTCACATTCAACTCGCTCGACTCGGAGCTACCAGACCACCCAGACCATCAAGTTCCCGCACTCAACGCATGGATGAGATCATTGAAGAGATTCAGGATGCTGAAACACCTCCACATGCGCTTTCCCAACCTCATCGACGTGTCTGGCAGAAATAATCAAGACATCACCGATCCAGACCTCCTACACACGCTGGCCAACGACCTGCCCGAATCACTTGAAACCCTTGTCATCACCGACAACTACCCGGAGCATTTTGAATCACTGTTGCGCGAGCTGACCAGACTGCTCCAGAGCAAAAGTAAATTCCCGAGCCTGTCCCGGATTTCGCTGTGTATGCTGGCTCGCGGTTTGCCGGATGACAATCTACCAGCGGACTTGGTTCGCAGGAGCTTGGTGCCTTTGACTGCTCTGGGTCAGAGTGTGGGAGTTGAGGTTCTGAGTACGGTTCATACAGAGCCATGAGGGTGTGTAGTGAGGGGCACAGAGTAGGAGTGGTTGCTTTCGTTGATAGACAATAGATCTTTGCTTTCTTATACCTATCTTATCCTTCACATCACAAACTTGACTATAGTAGATATAAACCAAGATATTCAGACCCAGTTATATGATATCAACACTGGCCAATAGGACAAGTCTCCGCACGTGGGGCATCAATCGCGGGGTATCAAAAAGACCTCGGCATATTCATTCAAGGATATAACACATTCACGATAGAACAGACTGGAGAACATACTGAAGAACAGCAAAATGAATCACCATATCACTCTAATTGGACTGGGAACCATCGGCATCTCCATGGCTGCTCTGCATCTCCGCAATTCAACCTCAACACTGCATCTCTTCGACACTCGTCCTGATCTGCAGGCGTATATCGAATCAACGCTCCCCCCTTTCCTCTCACCCGACACTCCATCCGTTACATCTCTCCTCTCAACTGGCCGTCTCATCATCCATTCAAGTCTAGAATCAGCTATAAAACCCGCAACAATTATCCAAGAACAAGGACCCGAAACACCAACTTTCAAACAAACACTCTGGAAACAAGTTGAGTCACTCGCCTCCAAAAATGCACATTTCTGGACCAGCACATCTGGTATTCCTGCCTCGGTGCAGATGGAGGGAATGAGCGGAAAAACGAGACTACTTGTCGTGCATCCATTTAACCCGCCGCATATAATGCCGTTGATCGAACTTGTTCCTGCACCTACGACCACTGCGTCAGAGGTCGATTTTGCAAGGGAATACTTCTCCTCGTTAGGATCTGGTCATCGACCAGTTGTTGTGAAGAAGGAAGTGCCGGGATTCGTGGGGAATAGACTAGCATTTGCACTGCTTCGCGAGGCATGCCATCTTGTCAAAGAGGGTGTCGTGAGTGCGCCTGACCTCGACACGATATTAATGGCGAGTCTTGGACCACGATGGGCGGTCAATGGTGTGTTTGAGAGTTATCAGGCTGGTGGAGGAGAAGGAGGGATTGGGTCGTTTTTGGGTAAACTGGAGGGAACAATTCAGCATGTTTGGGATGATTTGGGAAAGATTGATATGGAAGGTGATAATGAGTGGAGGGAGGAAGTAGTGAGACAGACCGATGAAGCGTATGGAGTGTCGATGGGAGACAAGGCAAGAGTCAAAGAAGAGAAACTGCGAAAAGTGCTGGATGTACAAAATGAGAACATTGAGTAATAGATTATCGCAAAGACCGACTTTTAAATCCAATTATATACAACTTAGTGGTCTATTACCTGCCTGATCCGCTTCACCAGATCTTCTGTTCTATATGGCTTGTGAACGACGCCTGTCATCCCGGATTGTTCCATCTCATCTTGATGTTCTTCTCTGACGCTTGCCGTGAGACCGAGGATAGGGACGGATGCGATTTCTTTATTTTCCAGACCTCGAATAGCTCTGGTGGATTTGATGCCATCCATGACCGGCATCTCCTTGTCCATGAGGATACACGCAAACCCACCACCTTGCACAGTTTCAAGCGCTTCACGACCGTCATTCGCCTCGGAAACATCAAAGCCAAGGGATTTCAGCTTGCGTGACAGTAATCGCTGGTTGATCATGTTGTCCTCGACGAGTAGAATATGCGGCCGTCCATCGAACTTCTTGTCTGTTTCAGACGGATTGTGATACACGATTCCTGCATCGTCTGACTTCTCGTGCTGGACAATCCCTGCCGTATGCTCTGTCCGCTCGTCGTTCTTCGCACTCGGCATCACGTCCGAAGAGCGCGTCAGTTTCGGCTTCATTGGCGGCGAATCCCGTTTCTGCTTCTCAGGCTTGACGGTCTCATGCCCCAAAGCCCCGATCTGGTTGCACAGTTCGCGTATCCCAAACCCATCCTGATCCCGCACTTCGTCCGCAGCTGGCCCTTCACTCCGACGAACTCTGATGAAGAACCCAAACGTGCTGCCTTGGTCTTTCTTCGAGCTAACCCCGATTTCTCCCCCGTGCAGATGGCACAGTTTCCTGCAGACATTCAGACCAAGTCCTGACCCGCCGTAATCGACCTCCGTTCTGGCTGTGCCCTGGTTGAACCGTTCAAAAAGTTTGCGCTGGCTTTCGTCGCTGATCCCGATTCCTGTATCGCTGACGGCGACCATGATGTATGCCTCTTCGCCTGTGCCCCATTCTGGACGGTTGGTTCCATCGAGGCGTATTGCGGAATCTTCCGAGTCGAAAAAGACCACGTTGGGTGGGTATGACGATGGGCGTTTCAGAGATGCACCCAAAGAGAGGGCGATTTTCTTCTCGCCAGGCTTCTTGGTGGTGAATTTGATTGCGTTGGAGAAGAGATTGATGACCACCTGGCTGATGCGGGTGATGTCCGCCATGGCCCAGTCGATGCCATAGTCGACATAGGAGTAATCGAGTCGGTACTCAAACTGGATGCCCTGTTTCCGGAGTTCTGGCTTGAACATCTTGACTGCGATGGGCAGTTCGACCTTTGGCCGGACGATGCGTGGCGACAGAGTCAGCATCGATGCATCGAGTTTCGAGAAGGAAAGCACATCATCCACGACTTTCTTCTGATGAACGAGACACAGATTAATAGTATCGGTTGCTTGAACTATTTCCTCCACGTCGACCTTGCCTTCGTTATTCGTGCCATGTACCCCGTCCATGATCTCCTCCGTGCAGTGCCGAATAGCAGAAAGCGGATTGCGAATCTCGTGGCTGATCATGTCGATGAATTGCTCCTGCTGTTTCTTTCCTTCCTTGGCCTCCTTTGCCGCCTTAGCGTGTGCTAAGGCGGCGTTCTTCTCGATCGTGATGTCCACCACGGTACAGACAAATCCGTTTTGTGGGGGAAGATCAAAATGACGACCCTGGTCAAGAGGGTTGAGGAGAAGCAGACGCCAGAGATTTTCCTCTTCGTGCTGAACGCGATACTCGATGCGAAGTGCGGATTTGGATTTGATTGCTTCGTGGTAGGCAGCTTCGACGTGTTTACGATCGTCAGGATGAATAGAGTGCAGCCAGCCAGCAAAGTCATCGGTGCTGTTTGGGTGAAGATCGTGGAATCGCTGGTTGATGGATACGGGTCTCTCTTTGCCGTTGAGAATGACCAGCCCGACTGGCAGCATGTTGGCCAGCTGCTTGAATCCATCGACGGCGAAGGGAATGCCATGAGGGCCATTGACCTGTTGTTCATGCTTGGACTCCTCATGTGTCGGTGGAGTCGTCGTGCCATTGGTGAGTGGACGCGTCTTTGGAAGCAGTTGAACAACAACACTCGTTGCGTCGGGCAATTGACTGAGCAAAACATGGTAATCGGCGTCGTCTTTTGCCGCTGGGATAAAATCACGACAACTCAGTGCATCTGCCTTCGCACCTCTCGCCACACTCTGCAACGCAGCACCAGTCCTCTTGGGCAAACCCCGCTGCTCGCCCGCCAACCCTGCCCAGGCGTCATTCGCGACAATCACCAAATCATCACCATAGTAGATCGCAGCAGGATGCGACAGTGAGGCCAGCGTTTCCGACCAAGAATTGACCGTATCGGACCCTCCCGAGTCATATCGGGCTATTGGATGATGATCCCTATACGAGGATTAGCATAGTAGACGCAAGAGGTTCAATTAGAATTGACATTAGTCTGCATTACCCAAATGAATATTGGATATCACATATGAACTGACAGTATTGAAATAAAACCAAGAATGAAGATAATCACTGCATGAATTGAAGAGATCTAGCATGAATCTACATGGAGAAGCACCCATAGTACGCTCTATAAGAACCGGGAAAAAGGTTGCACTGGGTGTCGCCACATCTGACGTCACCATTCTATGGGCGTCCATCTTGGACGATTCACATTCCTGAAGGGTCTGATATCACTTATATCATCATTTATTTATTATTTATTTGGTTATCAATATCTATTGATTAATTTAATCATTAATGTATTGATTGATATTGATTGCTACTGGTAATATACTCCATCACTCGGAGCAATTCCTCCAACTTGGGTTAATTCCCCATCTCATATGTCGCATAACTGCATCCAATGCACAAATTAATATCGAAAACACCATTCGACAGCGTAAACCCATCTAACCTCCTATAGCTATCCACCATCATGGCAATTGATCGTATATCGGGTCGGGAGGACCACCACCGATCACAATATGCAGATCATGTCATCATATCTATCCACATCCATCATACGGACTCCACAGCACAAGACTTCCCCTCCTGACCCGAGATGATGACAGAAAATAATATGCAATTTCTCGAAGCTTACGACAATAATGCAAAGGAAAACTGACTTATACATGTTTCGGTCAGTCCATATGCCGACAAGAGAGCTTCGCGTCTCAAGCCGCTGCCACTCGCATGGCAACGATGTTCAAAATTATCAACGGCGGTAAAGCTTCTGGCACATGGACACGTACAACCACCCAATCGAGCTCGATACTCTCAAGCATGAGAGCTTAGATCTTGGGCTTTGGAGCGTGCATGCTGATTGACCGCTTCTGTAAGGACCTGATCACGTTGCAGCTTGAACCCAATCCATGGTACAAGATATGCAATAGCGAAGCTCTTATATACATCTCACCAAGCTCGACAATGGCGGTGTAGGCGCTTACTAGAAATTAAGATAAGGATGAACCAGATGATTGAATACCAGGCACTGGAAATGTCATTTGCTACAATGCATGCAAAGACACCTCAGCCTCAGGGCGGCAGCTGGAGAGTTTGAAGCTTTTCAATCTAACAAAAACCAGCTAGATGAGTTGTTAGGAAAGCTTTGAATGTCGCACAGCATAGTATTGGAGACAAGCAGCCCAATTCCGGACTCTCCAACAAACTGAGGCTTTGTCGTGCATTTATTGCATCTCGAAAGAGCGTGATCTGGATACTTCAGCCGTGTCATCGGCAGAATGTCACCGCTTTACCCCTCATTCTGTATCCGGGTTAGTTTGGGCGGTGCTGGAAGCGGTATACTGAAGCGGTCATTCTGCCTATTATTCGAGATGTTCTCCAACAGTCAGTCAACTCTTCGTGGTCACTCTTCATCTTCAATCCTTCAATTCGGTTGCATATTGACATCATGGCTCTGATTAGTGAGGAGCTTCTCAAAAGACCATGTCTCTCCATCTGGTATATCATCTTGAGTCCATGATGTTACATCGACCGCGAGACAATCCTCGACCCCAAGAGACTTGATCCAAAACAAATGACAGACACCACATGCGCAAGATCGGAGAAACGTACATATCTACGAGACAAATCTATAATTGCCCCGAATGAGATAGCAAGGGAGATGACCGGGGGATTTTGTCTGAACGTCACCGAGAGCTAAAAGCATACATAAACCTGAGTCACGAGTCCAGTTCTTAAGTGTTAACCAAAGCTGAAACCAAGTTCTTTATGCAGGGACCCGTTATTATGAAGACTTCCGATCACGAGCCAAATCACCCTGATCCCTTGCCTGGCTCCTTGCTGCGAAGCAATTGTGTCCCTGCGTTTTCGAGATGGAGATAACGACATAGAATCCATTTGATATACAATGTCCGAGATCTGATTGGCCTTGGACTGGAGTGTGGCAACAAAGGGGCGATGGAAGCTAGGAGTTTGGGGCAAACAAATCAATGTAGCGGATGAGCTCATTGATAGTACAGGGGGTGTCAGGGAAAGGTGGTGTTGGTGAGATCTTTTCTGACCACAAGGCTGGGATAGGTGGGTTGATAAGCTGGAAACAGTCATGGTTAAGCAGAATCCGATAATGATTTCTTTGATTGTCTCAGAAACCTAATCACAAGATATGTACATCGCACTACAGGGTGAGCTTTGGCGCATCCCATCTTAAATCCACTATTGATTTTGTCGAATCCAGCCCCGAGAAGATCTCGACAATATCCGTGATTGGAGTACGATAGGAAAGGAGATTATCCAAGTTCCCTTCCCTTTGAAACATGGTAAAAGCTTTGAGCAAGTAATCCGCCGTCTCAAATCCCAAGTTCGCTTTATCAATCGTCCCCAGCCCGTCCGTTTCAGATAGTAGACCAATTCGCTCCATGATGCCAGTGCTCAGCCTGAAAATGGCACAGTAATCCAGCATGGCTGTCGGCAGCCCCCCATGGAACTCGGGAAAAACGGTTTCTTTGATTCCCAACGGAATACTGAAGGGGTAGGTGTTCAGTTCGGTCATCATTTGCTTTCTCAACCGTTTGCTATCCTGGGGCGTGTTCTCGGGATTCTTAACCCCATATACCGTTTCCCAGAACTCCTTGGTTGTCCCATACTTGTGAATGTGCAGACCGTGAAAAGAAGAAAGATGATTCAAGTCAATTGCTGGTCTCTCATCCCATGGTTTTACTTTGCCGAGCTCGAAACTCGTCTGATTGTCAGCATTGGTGACTTTGACCGGTCGGGCACCAAGAACCAGCCGAAAGGTCGTTTGGGAGTTTTCCGTAGGAAGAGACCCGCGGAATAAAAGTTTGGCGAATATTTCACACAGCTGGTCGAGCTAGAGGAGCTTGGGCGTCTCCGGGTGAACCTGACGCAATGCATTGTATACGTGCAGCATGGCAGTGAGATAGCCACTCCGGAGACAGAGACTGATACCTTCCATCGACGCAGAATAGAGAATCTCGGCCATATGGCTACCTGCTACCCAGGGGGCCTGGTAGTAAAGATCAAATCTTCTTTCCTGCACGTAATTAAGAAGCCTAAAATCATAGAACGCGAGGCCGTCTGTCTGATAGTCCATGTACTTTGATTTCTCGGTAAAGCCCCTCATGACGGGATAACAACGATGCAGGCTTTCTCGAATCTTATTTGCAAACTGGAGAGCAGAAACGCGGCAGTTTGTTTTGTTCAAGTTGCCATGAGGCCACATAAAGACCTTGTATGTCGCAACGAGCAGTGTCATACCGACGACCAGGTCGGTGGGAATGGGGGACTCCTTATCCTGCACCACCCGCTTGAGGAGAGGCAATAGGTAATCCGCAGTACAGTTGCCCTCGATGGTGTAGATCATACAAAATTCGTCCAGAAGGTGCAGCATATCATCCTGTATCTTTTCCATCCATCGCGTTTGAATTCGAGGCGAGGAGATCTTCCTCTTCCGCAGGATTCATTATCACACCCATTGGGCTTCGAGGTTTACCAGCATCTGAGGGAGCAGTCCTGTTCTCGAATGACTCTCGCAAATCTCTAAGAGTGTACCAGTAATTATAAACGCCATCTTTCTCAGCGAATAAATCACAATCGGAATCGAAACAGGCGGCCATATCTGGAAATCGAAGTTTGGTCTTCTTGAGCACTCTGAAGTAGAACCATTTTTTCAAGAAGATTTCATGGTCGGGAACGATGCGGTACATGCCCTGAACGGTTCTTTGTATGCCAGAAATTGCGGTCGTAGGCAGAAATGCAGCGAGGATAATGGACATTTCCCCGTCGGCGGCTTGGGTCCAGTAGTCTTTGAGCTGTGCGCAAATAGCATCTAGGGTCTGCCATCTCGATTAGCCAATGTTGAGAGTCAAGAAAGTGCAACTCACGTAAACAAAAATGGTGAGCTTGATATTCTCGCCGAGGTGGTCGTCCTCCAGGTCTGAATCTTCTTCGTCGGATGCTGAATCCACGGGGGTTGAGGCCTGAATCAGCTCGTCCAAGCTCTCCGATACATCCTCCTCACCATCGCTTCCAGTGTGCTCGTCCTCTAGACATGTGTACCCGTTTTTTCTGGTGATGGAGGAGGCGATTTCAGTTGTGACGTAGGAACAGACTTCTTCGATTTCTTCTGTCTCGATCTGTCGGACGAAGACGAAAGGATCTGGAACGCCTCCTCGAGCCTTGTTAGTTTCTTCCGTAGTGATCTCTTCAGAGTCCTCACCTGTCGATAAATGCCTCGTGTTTCGAATACATCTCACTGTCTGGCCCACACGAGGCGGAGTACAGCTCGCACGCAGCCCGTCCGTTCTTGATGGCATTTCTGAAATTAGATATCACATCTTCTGGGACCTTCAATTGCTTCTCCTTGACTCGATACGCTGCCTCGACGATCTCAGCTGTGTTTCTGAAGGCAGCGTTCCCCGCCCACCATCCGCGGTCGACAAAAGCCAATCCAAGGCCTTTTTGGTGGATCGTTTGTAGGAAAAGTATAGCGAAACGAGCGACGCCTCGCCCAGAGGGATCGAAGAAGAAGACATTTCAATCGTTCAGCTTGAGCAGAGTGTATGATTCGAGTCGAGTTTGAGAGACAAATCGCCCACAAGGCTGGATGGGGAAATTTCCCCAGGTCACTGACATCCTTTGTTGACATGCTGAGCCTTATCTGGCGGCGGCCTATCAGAGGGCACCAACGTGCGAGTAGCGATTCTGATTGGGCTTGCAATTGTTTGCTCAGTGATTCGGATGCAGCGCCTAAGAGCATCTTGGTGAGTTGTCGAAGAGGATGGAAGGCTTTGGATGATAGGGAGCAAAGAATAGATCATTGATTTCCTGACATGTCAATCAGCATGATACAGTTGTGTCTTGTATGAATCGCAATCTGATGCTCAATCGATATGCATGATATTGGTTGCATTGCTTATTCAGCGCTGTGCATAAAGATATGAACATCCCAAGCATGTCTCGCCCAAGTCGTATCCCACATAGACCATAACATCAAACTCGATCTCCGCATGAAACAATTTGAGATAATAGTCAATCTACGGAGTAACCTTGTCTTAATATCTGAAACCCTCTAGGAATACTCCGATCTTATTGTCTTACTCCAATCATTGGGGTTCCACCGGATAGCCCCGGCATCTGCTCGATCCGGGGTTGCAACGCCGTTGCGGTATCTCAGCAGTCGATCATCATCGACGCTCGGCTCCTCCGACAAACCCACAGCTTATAGTAACAGCCAACAGTTTGAGTTCTTCGAAACCCTGAGTCAGTCTCAATCGCCTCTCCCTGATCCAAGATATCCGAACCGAGTGATTCCTATCTAGGCTCAAGATTATCTGAACCTCGGTTGGCTGATCCGAAATACCGGCGCGCCAAGGGGTGAAAACCAGGCCAGCAAGATCTCCAGGCCTCATCTTACACCACTTTAGCTATCGTGGGTCGATATGATGATCTGCACAATCAGCACAGACAATTCTGGGCTGTCCGCATTCGGGATGGTCTTTCAGGCAGCCACATCGTGTGTATGTGCAGTAGTGGCATCATCGTCTGCTACACTTCAGCTCCACAACTCAAAATTCTCTCTGGAAGTGCGCTGGCACTAAAGATTTACTGTAGATGCAGCTTATCTCGCCCTTGCGAATATGCACATGACTCGGTCGGTCACACCGATCATCTTGCCAGTGGTAATCGTAATGGACTCGGAAGACTCCTTGATCTCGACGCATTCTCCACTAACGCAATGTCGCAGCTGCTTGAGATCTGCCAATCCCCCACTCTAGGAAGACAGCTCAGATCCCTGGGCGCGGTGTGAGAAAGACAGAGACCTGGGCATATTTAGATTGCTATTCTCTGCCCTTTATGGCTCTGATTCTTTTTGTCTGCACCCTCGCCGTGCTTCTGTTCTGTCCCATCCTCTCGGGTCCTATCGCAGATCTCCGACACTATGGTATCCTCATCATCACCGCCGCCAAATGGCGACTACATTCAGGAGAAGACTGAAACTAACGAGGGGCCCTCCACTCCTGGAACTCCTATGAGCCCCGGAAGCACCGTCCCATTTTATGGATCCTCAAACATCGACTTTGGCCCGCTGGCACACGTCAACACAGCCGAAACGCGACTGCCCGCGTTTGGTGGTGAACTGCAACCAGGTCTCTGGCGACCGGCGAAAGAGCGCAAATTTGCCAATTCAGCACCGCTAGGACTGTTTGGATTCGCCCTCAACACATTCGTTATGGGATGTTTGCAAATGCGGGCAATGGGTATCACTGACCCTCACATGATTGTTGGCCTTGCGTACTCGTATGGGGGTTTCGTCCAACTTCTAGCTGGCATGTGGTATGCTCATAAGCCGATCTGGGATATCTTTGAGTTGGGTAATAACTCGGGACAGGGAAATGGCCTCGGGTAACACGTTCGGTGCAACTGCCTTGTCTTCGTATGGTGGTTTCTGGATCGCACTGGGTATCAATTTTACACCCGGTGGATTCAATACACAAGCCATTCTCGAGCAAGCCGACAGTGGCAAGTCGGACATGTTTTTCAACTCAATGGGACTATTCGTGTTTGTAAGTCAATTCCAAATCAGCCTCGCGGACTATCTTGCTGATATACACAGGGCTGGTTCATCTTCACCTTCCTCATGCTCCTGTGCACACTGAAATCCACCGTGTTCTTCTTCTTACTATTCTTCTTTGTTGATGTATCCTTTCTTCTCCTTGGTGTTTCATACGTCCACCGTGGTAGCTATCCCGAGTACCACATCCCCGTGATGAAAGCCAGTGGTTTATTTGCACTTTTAGCGTCCTTTACAGCGTGGTATATTGCCTTGGCCGGTGTCATGGACGATAGCAACAGCTTCTTCATCATTCCCGTCTTCCACTTTCCCTGGTCGGAGAAAGGACGACAGTCTAGAAAGGAAAGACGCGAGAGCCAGGAGAGCCAGAAGGCCCAGAAGAGCCGGCAGCCGAGTGAGTCGGCGTGATTTTCACCACGCATATGATCAGCTTCAATTTCTTTATGAATATTTAATGAGGGGATGTTGAGAGGATAAAGTTTTATGATTATAAGAGTTTATTATTGTTTGTTGTCGTTATTGAAGTATATATCGCGACGTCGTAAGATCGTGTCGATCTTCAAAGTTAAATTCAAAGACATCGTCGATCACCCGCCTAAAGACAACAGACTGATAGACCGCCGATTACAATATACAGTTTAAGAAACTAGAGTCTGCGAAGGTGACAGAGTTTCTATACAAACCCATCTACTATGAACGACGTTGATGATAAAGAAAGTCTACATGGAAGTCCACGTCCAGATTGAAAGATTCAATAAAGCCCATCAGTACGAATTACTAATGTGAGTATAATAATTGGAATTCCAAGAGACGCGACCGAGAGTGTTGGAGATTCAGGCGCAGCGGTGGCCGGGATTGTCCAGGGGAAGGAAGGGGCAAAAAAAGAAAAGAATAATAAATGCCAAGCTTTGCTTTCGATGACTTCACGTTTACCGCTTTCGGACAGGAAATCTGCATGTGCGAAAATTCTTTCAGATTAGACTCAGACCCACTGCAAAATAGTAGGTGAACATGCAATTGCTCTGCCAACAGAGCATACAAAGTTTATCTCTATTTATTTGAAATTATACTGAATCTGACTTGCTTATATATCACTGGCTAAGAGGATGATGAGGGATTATATATATTCTTTAATACTATCTTTAATATTGTTTATTTATTTCCACCTGCCCTTCTTTCTTTCCTTTCTATTTTTTATAATTACAATTACTGATTTATGTGTACCAGCCGGTCATCGATTTCTACGCGCATCATATCGGCTATTTTGTGGAGTCATACGACTTCCAAAATGACCTAGACGAATACCCCGTATTCGCAACTGATTTGCTTTTGGCTTTGGGGAGGAGGGACCGAAAGAATTGGACTACAGAATATTGTGAGGGCTGTCGCCAAACCACTCTTGTGTCCACTCGTTCTGGCTGTTGTCCAGGATGCAGACCCTTTCAAGGCTAGAGCTACTGTTGAATATTCTGCTGCTGTAGATCAGTTAACCAAACAAGCCATTTATTCCGTCGCTATCAGAATCAATATAACACTTCCAAGCAAGCAAAGAACCAGAACAATCAAGCACAATCCGCACATCTGCTCATAAACTCCCCTGGAATGATAACATAAAACTGATTGCAGACCCGACAAGCCCTCTTCTCCCACTCGGTGGCATATATCCTTCCAATCGCCACTGCCAACTCTGCTGCAAACTGACCATTCTGGCATGGTTGCCTATGGATAACTTCGAGTTACGGTAAAGCTGGCGGATGTCTTACGTAGACATCGATATATACAGGCTGAGAGCTGAACAGCCTATTTTATCATGAAAGCGTCTCTTTCATTTACTGCTGTTATATTAGGCACATAGTCTCCATCCTTTGCTCATCACACACATACACACTCCCTCTCTCTCTCACCCTCTCATCCTTACCCTGTGTTCATCTGGTGCTTGTCTCCTAGGACTGTAATATGGCAGTCACCAAGGAAGCAGTTCAAACCAACCAAGGGGATAGACTGTTGAGTAACGTCCAGAGGTAAGAATGAGCCTATTATATCTCCGCCAGATCTAATCATCCTTCCATGGCAGATTCCTCGAATCCTCCAAATATTCCGACGTCACGATCCAGACAAAAGATACCAAATACAATGTCCACAAACTGGTTCTCTCTGGCCAGTCTCAATACTTCGAACGACTCTTCGATGGATATTGGAAGGTAGGTTTGATATGCTCAATATGGACAGGAAGATGCTGATTTTCGGTTTGGTAGGAGGCAAAAGAGAAAACTATCGTCCTGCATGATGACAATCCCGACGTCGTCAAAGCCATGATTCTGTTCATGTACGGCTTTGACTATGCGCAAAGGTGCAAAAGCGATTCGGCACTCTTCCATGCATCGATCTACTGCGTGGCTGATAAATACTTGTTAACTGCCTTGAAGTCGACAGCAAAGGCAAAGTACGATGCGGCGGTTGAGAGATCCCTCCTGGAGAAAACCCTTCTACATCTCATACCAGAGCTATATAACGATTTCCCTTGTCTAGACAATGCCCTACGCAAGACGGTGATAGATATCTGCTCGAAGTATTCCTCTTACTGCAATGAACAGCAGGAGTTCGAAACAGTTCTGGAACAGGTCCCTGAGTTCGCGATAGATTTCGCATTAGCTCTGGCCAGAAAGGATACGAAGAAATGGACTCTTATCTGTTGTTGCTCTTGCTATGGCAATTTTCTTGCTGAGAACTACCAACTCAGATGCCCGAAATGTGTTGGACCATAGATTACCTGGCATATTCTGGTACAATCTCTGCTTGCCGGGGGAATTACATGCATTTGAATAGCTATTCACACATCAGTAATGATCTCTAAAAACCTTGAAAGTTATATGTTTATTTAATAAATTAAATTTGGCTTTTCCATCAGGTAACTGCAGGCTCTGGCCCAGTTATTTCTCTTCATTCACTGCTATCGATATTTAGGCGCAGAATCGAAGCCCCTCCATCTGCTCATTTCCCTCTCTTTTTTTTTCTTTCTTCTTCTTTTCTTCCACCCTCTCGCCCATCCAACAACTGCCTAAATGGAACCTACGACAGAAATAAAGGCGACAACGGATGGCATGGAAAAAGTCCTTGTGGGCAATATCAAAAAGTAACACACAGCCATCCAATCCAGACAACAGATCTAACCATCAGATCCAAACAGGCTTTTCAGGTCCTCCAAGTATACCGATGTGACGATCAGAACCGACGATGGAGAATACAAGGTTCACAAACTCGTCTTATGCGCCCAGTCAGAATATTTCAACCGTCTCTTCGATGGAAATTGGAGGGTGGGTTTGATACTCTGTCAACGCCAGCATGACAATTCAAAATTCAGCATCTAGACAGGAGCTAACACGCGGTAGGAATCAAATCAGAATACCATCGAACTGAAAGATGATAAACCCGAAGCTGTCAAGGCCATGATCCACTCCATGTATGGGCTAGACTACGCCACCGTCTGCGCAAACGACTCCCCCAGTTTCCACGCATCGGTGTGCTGCGTCGCGGATAAATACTTGATGGATGAATTGAAAACACAGGCTAGAGCAAAATACGACTTGGCTGTGCGGAAATGCCTCATGGAGATGGGAGACGACGCGGTCCAGTTAATTGCAACGCTTTACAACGAGCCTTCCGGCTTTGATTGCGTCCTGCGCGAGCCCGTCACCGATATCTGCGCGAGGCATATCAGTTTCTTCTTCGCGTTAGATAGGTTTCGAGCGGCATTGCATGACATACCGGCCTTTGCGATTGACATTATTTCGGCCGCGGCGAGGAATAGCTCGGTTAGATGACTAAGGTGTGTTGCAGTGGGTGTGGCACGACAATGCTGGTGGATATATACCCTACTCGCTGCGAGTGTGGCCATTATGTAGAGCCATTGTGGCCTGAATGAGGCTGGGAGGGTTATATACCAAGTATCTTGCTATCATACAACCAAGCGAAGACAGCCATCTAACAAACATTATTATCACAAGACTGATCACACTTGTACGTCCCAATCCAATTATCATCCCCGTACACATCCAACCCCATCATCCACCCATTCAGTACCTGATGCAAATAATCCAAATTCTGCGGCACTCCATTCGACTTGCCCTCCTCCGAACACGGATAATCCTTCGTCAACCCTTTATCGCCATTCAACCCACTCCCCGCCGTAAACCAGCCATTATACGACCCGAACGCCTTGATCGCATTGCCGCCCGACGCATTCAACTGACCGACAAGATAGTTCGCGCCCGCGTTGACATTATCCTGAATATCATCCGTACACTGCCCGTTGGGATAATTGTCGCAGGAGACCTGCATGAGACCGGGTGTGGGACCGCCTGCGTCAGCATTACAGGAAGATTCCTGCATGGCGAGGACGGCGAGGATGGTTGGGTCGACGCCGTAGTTGTCGCCGGCGGTTTGGAAGTATCCGTCGTATTGTTTGCAGGGGGACCCGATGCCGCTGTAGAATTGGTCGCGGTTGATGTGGTAGATGTCGTTGATGGCGAGGAAGGGAGGGTCCCAGCCGTCGCTGGTGATGCCGGTGTTGAGCCAGTCTTCGGAGCTGTGATATAGGTTAGTGGATGTCAGATGGGGATGTTTGATGTTATATTATGTCGTACCCATTAGGACCGGTGTTGGACGTGACTTTTTCAGTTGCGCCTTGGGCTTTGGGGTTGGAGCCGACGCCTGGGTTGGCGGATTGGGCGTTGGCGATTGCCACCGCGAGGGTGGTGAGGGTGAGGGCTTTGAGGACAGTCATTTTGATGAATCGTCAAGGCTGGTGAGATGCTCTACTGACTGACTGAACAGACAGCTTTATATCTTTCGAAATCCATCTCTACATTCTCTATAGACCACTTTCCAAAAAGGAAATAGCCTGCGAAACCATCAATCCTCCACCTGATTGGCCACGATGCAGAATTAGGCAGTGCACTAGTCCACCTAGATCTGGGGCCATCCATCAAGACTAGTTTCCTAATCGGGCAAGGCTGAAGCCTTAGGCCCGTCGATCTGACCTAAGCTAACCCTAATGGGAAGAGGACTGCGAAAGGATGAGCTGAATATCGTCAGATTAATCTCCTTTTCTTGTGTTTCTGTATGAATCCTGTCATTTGGCTAAGAATAGCATTGTCGAGACCAGTTGCCAAAAGGGGAAGGCTTAATGTTGAGATAGGCTACGCTCGTTACTATCATTTAGCCTGCTTCTCGCACTATGAGCTACAAAAGCAATATGGATGGCGTTACGGAGTATTCCTCGGTCATTTATTATCTGTCAGAAGGCATAACTTGATAATGACATAAATATGGCAGTCTACATATCTTCAGCTGTAAAATACTCCATAATGACCAGCTGACCAGCATCTGCGGCTTAAACATGGACGCTTCGGAAGTCGCCGTCGTGACTCCACAATCCTGCAGTTCATCAAAGCTGACGATCATCGAGCTAAACCAGATTAACTGCGATAAAGGGAGGAACGGGATATTAGTGGAAATGAGCTGGTTGTTTATGCATAATTCTATCGAAACATAGTATGCGTATACCATCTCTATTGTATTATCTACTCTATCAGGGAACCGGTATCATCATATGACAGCTTAATATCGCATTCAAATCTGTCCTCAAATCCATGTAGGATTTATATCACATGCTATCGAGTATTCTATCATTTCCTTGGCTTCGTCATGGACGCCACAACCAAGCCATGCATTTATTCCCTCACTTTGAGAAAATAAAAGCATCTACTCTACTCTACTGCGTTAAGAATGTCAAAGACAACCTTCCATTGGCTTGTCATAAATCCATATCGAATTCTGAGAGATATGGATTTATGCCAAGCCATGTAGACACCTAGAAGAAGCAAACAGATAGAACATCTGGTAGCCCTCGTGGCTGCAGCCATCCAGCCACGTCGTCACACAAACAAGGCCAATACCAAGAGCTGTGCCATCCACAAAATTCTAGTCTGACGATATTCCAGCAGGCAGAACAGACCTACCAATGACAGCCGCGAGTTTAACCGGTTATTCTATTGGAAGACAGCTTCGAGAATCTGGTTGAGCACGACGAAGAAATGGAAGGAATGGAACGATCCAGATGCGTGTATATCCAGGATGGAAATCTTGGCCCTTCCAGTATGAGAGATTTAGCGTAGGTTACGACAAGAACTTGGCGGATATCAAGAAGCAGTGGGTATAGAGGGTTGGCTGGACTGTTCTGTGGGTATTCATGTGAAACAGTACTCATTCAACATATTTAATCCAAGAGAATCCATCTCAAGGACGTTTTACTTCACTAATATGAATATGATCTGTTTCAAGATAATGCATAATTGAGAGGTCCGTATATGCGCCTGTTGGCCACCCCCTGAGCCTGAATTTTCAACACACAACGATATACTGACCTGCACCACGACATTCCTTATTAGGCTGTTAATAAAACATAACCATGGTTGGTATTCTTGGTTTTCGCTAATTTTCTTTATATCCAAGTTTACTTCTTGTCTGGATTGTAATGTGATTGGCTGTTGTGGAATTTCTCCTGATTAGTCATGGCAAGTTCCATGGATCGAAGGAATGCCCTGCGAAGGCGTCGCTTGTCCCTGGACCAGTTGGACTTCCATCTATGGATGGATGGGGGCTTTATTCTTCATGTGATAGTAGTTATCTGCTGTGTGTGTGTATGTCTGTGGTTGAGGTGATGATTGTAGTACTAAGATAGTGGTATAACAACGAATAGTATAAACCATAGATATATAGAGAATATAGAGAGAGAGAGAGAGAGATGATAGACGATATGTCGAATAATCTGTCAAGTAAGAGAAAACAAAGACTGACTGTGGAGAGATCCACACAAGCAAAGCTGCCTGATTCGATTCCAAACACTGCTTTTTCTCTGTTTTTCGCACTATTCTTTGACCCGCTTTTCTCTTCTTTCTTCTGTCTCGTTAATGCAGTGAATTCCTCCATGAAATGGAAAGGACAAGACCACCTGGAAGACTCAAACATGGGTCTCAAAGCCACAGGGCACAGCACAAAGATTGCTACCGCTTGGATCTTCGAGAACAACGGTAGATCACTTCCCAAACACGGTCATTGTTCCTGAACCTCTCGGTTACTCTGGAACCAGCGTGAAGTGTGCATTGGAATCGAGTCCCACCGGAGCCACCAAGTGCATCGCAAGCCAATGATGTTGAACACAGCTGACAATGACAAGAAAAAGAAGATGTGGTCCGTTGCTCTCGGCCAATGGCACTGTCGATTCCTATCCAGAGATGCTCCATCGCTTGCTTTTCTCTGTCGCTGTCCAATTGCGCTGCTCTGCACAGTCCCATATCTTTGTCCTGCAGCTGACGCAGTTTCTGTCCCACTGTGTCGTGTGTTATAGTCTCGTCCCAGGGATTCTCGTCGTCTTCCCCAGTGCCACGATGGTCGAGACCGTGGAAGTCGTGGCCGGCCGGAAGATGGGAAGAAAGACTTTTCAGTCTGAGGGTTATATAGAGCTCTTCTCCTCGCCGTTCTGTAGCATCCATCAGTCTTTCATCTTTCTTTTTTCATACCTTCGTTCCTTCTTCATACCTTCTTTTGGTGCCATTCCTTCATTCACTTGAACTTTCTTCAATCTTTGCTTGGACAAGCAGCCAATCTTTAAATAGTCCTTCACTCTTTAACACTTCACATCGTGAAAATGTACTTCTCCAAGTCCCTCATGCTGCTGGCAGCCCTCACCACGGGATCCATTGCCCGCCCTCAAGGCCAGGAGCGTCGTGACCTTAGCTCCGACGCTACCCCCAGTGCCACTGCCACTCCCTCATCTTCGTCTTCCTCCTCTGGCGGCAACTCGGCCTGGACCGCGACTCCCGCCAGCGGCTCCTACTCGACCTCTGGCTTCGGCAGCAGCACCGCCAACAGCGGCGACAGCAGCTCCGTCACCTACCAAGGCAACGTCGGCAACCCCTGGGGCAGCAACATCATCGAGGTCTCCAGCTCCGACGCTTCCAACTACAAGCACGTCATGCAGCTCAAGGGCAGCAACACCGACTCCTGGACGGTCGTCTTCTGGAACAAGTACGGCCCCTCCGGCAAGATGGACGGCTGGTACGGCCACTCCGCCCTTCAATTCACCCTCAGCGCCGGCGAGACCAAGTACGTCGCCTTTGACGACGACTCGCAGGGTGGCTTTGGCGCATCCTCGGGAGGCAGCCTCCCCACCGACTCCAGCGGCGGATACTCGTGCACCTGGGGTGAATTCGATTTCTCGAGCAACGGCAACTCGGGATGGTCTGGGTTCGACGTTTCCGCGATCATGGCTCAGAGAGCCGGTGATACCGTGCAGGGAATGAAGATGTGCGATGCGCTGAGCGGTACTTGCTCGAGCATCACCACCAACGCGGGCTCCGTTGACAATGCGTACACCACCGCCGAGACGGATGTTGGTGGCATCGGTGGAAACATTTCCGGTGACGGTGCGGTTCGCCTGGCGGTTGAGATTGACTACAGCGGTTAGATAAAAGTTGTATACGCCTTTGACAGGATATCATACCATCGTTAGACTTGCCTGTATATAACAATTGAATTTGTCTCAACTCATACGTGCGTTAGTAATGGATATAGTAGTGATGAGTAACAGTAATGCCGACGAGAGCAGTAACGATCTGCAGAAATATCTGACTATGCGGCGATTAATCAATCAATTTCTAGAAGACCAGCAAAAGAAACTCTCTGTCTGACTAACGGCATGTCACTGACCTGTCTATTATCTGCCAACACCTACAAGTTATAACATCAACGGCAGGTTACCATCAAGTCCAAAACAAGGAACATCCGTACATCCCAATAACACCGCTAATATACATCCTGACATCATCCAAGATCAAAACGACACTAACCACAAAGTCTGGGGACAAATGCAACCCCTCCGCATCCCCATCATCCCCATACCGGAGGACAGCAGTCCATTGCGCTAGGCCGTGTTTCGGGCCGGGGTCGTTGGGCATTTCTAAGGGGGTAAATTGCTCAGACGATCGGGCGAAAAAGACGGGAGGTAACAACCAAGACGGGATGGCAGAGGTGGATCGTCATCGGCCAGCCATCGGCTTCGCTCACTCGGTCAGCGCTGTTCGGTACGCGGACGCGGCAGGCGAATCGGAGGGGGCGGCGGGGAATTCGGGGGTTTGTCGGGGAATTGTGTCTGGGGATGTCTGGGTCTGGGGATCTGGGGATAGTGGGATGGATGGATGTTGTCAGTATGGAGTATCTCGATCATTCGAGTAGAGTAGATATAAAATGGAGTATACATGTATATCTACATGTATGTTGTATGCCTGCTATATCAGCATGCATGTATAACCTCACCGAGACCGATACTTTGTATAGGCGAAACCCCGTACTCGGATCACCAAACAAACTTCCACCAAGCCACAAGCGGCAGCATTCAGGCCTCATCCGTTCCTGATCCTACCCATTTCCGGCAATTGCCACTTCTCCACCCCCAACTCTGCACCCCCGGTTCTCCTATCATCTGGGGTTGGACGGCCGTGGCATACGTCTGTGCCGTATTGACGCTTCGATTCCATGGAAGCGAAGATGCTATTATACCGTCTCAACAGTATACCCTCCAGGGCAAAGGGTATAAAGGTGTCTTCCCTGTCGTCTGTTTCCTTTCTTCTGTCTGTTTGTTCATCCAGAAGCTGGCCTTCTTTTTTTTCACCATGTTGGACTTTCTCAAACCCAGTCAGCCGTATTTTGGCCTTCGTGGTGGATGGTTGACCTTTTGGGTCACCGTCGCTTGTGCCACTGACATGATGCTTTTTGGTTATGACCAGGGTGTTTTTGGTATTCCTCCTTCTTCCTCATACACAATGAACATGTGCTGATAGTATCCTGTATAGGCGGCGTCATCGTCACCAAAGACTTCCTCGACACCCTCGACCTCCACAATAACGCTACCCTCCTCGGCACCGTCACAGCCATCTACGACGTCGGCTGTCTCTTCGGCGCCATCATGTCCATGATCTGGGGTGAGAAATGGGGCCGCAGGAACTCCGTTCTCATCGGCACAACCATCATGTCCATCGGGGCCATCCTCCAAATCGCCGCCTACGGCGTGCCGCAGATGATCGTGGGACGCATCGTCGCCGGCCTGGGCAATGGCATCAACACATCCACCGCGCCCGTCTGGCAGGGCGAGACGTCGCAGGTGAAATGGCGAGGCAAGCTGGTCGTGATCGAGCTGGTGCTGAACATCGCGGGCTTCTCGCTGTCGAACTGGATCACGTTTGCCTTTTCGTATGTGCCTGGGCCGGCGAGCTGGCGGTTCCCGTTGGCGTTCCAGTTTGTGTTTATCATTGTTCTCTATCTCACTGTGCCATGGCTGCCGGAGTCGCCGCGTTGGCTCATCGCCCATGACCGGCAGGAGGAGGCGCAGACTATCATCGCTGATCTGGAGGACAAGGACGTCAACGACTCGTTCATCATCACCCAGCACACCGAGATTGTCGCTGCCGTGCAGTATGAGCGTCAGCACGCTGTCTCGTGGTGGGATCTCCTCCGTGGCAAGACAGGCGAAGAGGGCAACACCTGTGCCGTCCGTCGTCTCATCCTGGGTGCCGGTGCTCAAGCATTCCAACAGCTAGCAGGTAAGCAGCACCATCCACACATCAAACACCAAGTCTAATATAGCGCAGGAATCAACGTAACATCCTACTACCTCCCCACCGTCCTCATGCAATCCGTCGGTCTATCCGAAATGCTCGCCCGCCTCCTCGCAGCCTGCAACTCCGTCTCCTACCTGCTGGCCGGCATCGTCGCCATCCCCAACATCGAAAAATGGGGTCGCCGCCGTCTCTTCATGATCTGCGCCTTCGGGCAAGGTGTCTGCTACCTCCTCATCACCGTCCTCCTCCGCTTCAACGAAAAGGAAGACTACGGCTACAAAACCCAAGTCGCGTCCGCCTCGGTCGCCTTCTTCTTCTGCTACTACCTCTTCTTCGGATGCGGGTTCCAGGGTATCCCGTGGTTGCTGCCGGTGGAGCTGAACTCGCTGAGTATGCGAACCAAAGGTGCGGCGCTGGGCACAGCGACCAACTGGGCGCTGAACTTTATGGTGGTGGAGATTACGCCGATCGGCATTGAGTCGTTGAAGTGGAAGTTTTATATTATCTGGACGGTGCTGAATTTTGCGTTTGTGCCGACGATTTACTTCTTCTATCCTGAGACGGCGAATCGGGCGCTGGAGGACATTGATTTGTTCTTCCGGGAAAATCATTCGCTCTTTGTGCATAATAACCCCGAGGCGATTTGTGCGCAGCGCCCGGCAAGATATGTCGAGATTGAGCAGGAGCTGGTGAATCGCAATGCGTCGGTGTCGGAGGCGAAGATGGAGGCTGCTGGACTGGAGGGTGTTGGGGAGCACAAGGAGGTTGTTTGATAGATTTAGACTAGACTAGACTATAGAAGAGTCATGATATATTCAATTCACTGTTTATATTCATTCAAGATTCATCGCAAAAGTCCTTTCTGAACAGACAGATTGTGCTGACACTTGGCCAATTAAGTGACCTAACGGATTATTATCCCGGTGTGATATCAATCAGTATACCAAGTCATCGACAAATCATCAAACCAAGCCGAGTTCATATCCCAGCCATCTATTGTCTTATAAATCATGCTATATGCCAAATAATTTTTTCTTTTTGCCAAAACGCCATTAACCACCCACCTGCAAAAAGAACCGCATCATTCATTTCTCAATCCAAGCATCTCCGTCACAGCTCAGTGCCTATCACCAGCACTGTTCATCTAGGCCGAGTGGGCAGGGAGAACGACCTCCCGGTGGCTGAGATCGTGACGGTCCTTGAACAGCTCGGTCATCTCTTCGAGACAGCCGGCAGCGGCAGCGAAGAAACCAAGGAAGGTCTTGCTGGGCGCAAGGACACGACTGAGGTACTCGGGGTGGAACTGCACACCGACGAACCACTTGTGGTCCTTGAGTTCGATAATCTCCATACGCTTGCCGGTTTCGTCCTTTCCGACGAAGGTGAGACCGCCGTTCTCCAATTCTTCGACCATCTCGGGGTTGACTTCGTAGCGGTGACGGTGTCTCTCCCACACCTCCTGCTTCTCACCGTACAGCTTTCGCAGGCGAGACCATTCGGTGCCGGGCTGGAAGGAGGTTGGCCGCTTTCCAAGTCTCATGTTGCCACCCATCTGGGCCTTGTCGATCTCGGGCATGTAAATGATGACGGGCTCCTCGCACTGTTCGTGGAATTCGGCACTTCCAGCCTTGGTCATACCACAGACGTTGCGAGCAAACTCGACGACGGCGAGTTGCATACCGAGGCAGACACCGAGGTAGGGAACGTTGTTGGTACGGGCCCACTGGGCACTCTTGATCATACCTTCGGTTCCACGCTCACCGAAACCACCCTAGAAATTGTTAGATAGGCATAATGAGTCGGACTCATGAAACATACCGGAACAAGGATACCGTTGGCGGTGGACACAGAGTGCCACGCCTTGTAATATTCGGCCGGGTTGGCAGTCTTGTGCTCCTCTTCCAAATGAGTGGATTCAACCCAGATCAAGTTCAGCTTCTTCTTGCAGTGCATGGCCGAATGTTCCAGCGCCTTGCTCACACTCATGTAAGAGTCGTGGAGACTGGTGTACTTGCCAACCAGGGCGATGGACACAGTCTCAAAGATGTGGTCTTGGCTAATAGCCAGACCCTGCCACTCCTGCCAGATGACCTTGCCGTGTTCGAGGTACTTAGGCTCCTTCTTGGTAGTGTCGATCTGAAGGATGTCCTTGATGGTGTTGAGGAAGCCCTGCTGCTCCAAAAGGATGGGAACCTGGTATGTCGTAGAAACGTTGTGAACTCCAACAACCTGATCGCGCTCCACTTGACAGGCATTGGCGAGCTTCTGAATGGTGCTCTCCTCAAGAGGAGTCTCACAGCGGCAGGCGATCAGATCCGGTCTGAGACCAGCACTGCGGACGTCGCTAATAGCTCTTTGGGTAGGCTTGGTCTTTTGTTCCGAGCCGATCAAGGGAACGTAGCTGACGTGGATGGTGAGGAGGTTGTTCTTTCCAGCGCGTCTCTGGAGCTGGCTCATGGCCTCGACGAAGGGTGCACTTTCGATGTCTCCGACTGCAAATTATTAGCGCTGTGAAAGTAAATTGAACCATCACAACTTACCAGTTCCGCCCAACTTGAAGAGGGAGAATATTAGTATAAAATGTACGATTTACCGATTCGTCATCGCAGAACTCACCTCAACTGCAAAATGGTTAGTAACATGACCTAAGTGGTGGTTATTCCGAGAACTTACTGATGCAAACGTCGGGTTCTCTTCCGGACTCATCAACGGGAACCTTGGCGACTCTTTCAACCCACTAATAACAAGTTAAAACCGATCACAGCATTCAATATTGGTATGGGACGAACGTTTTGGATTTCGTTGGTCAGGTGGGGAACGATCTGGACTAGACGGCTGTCAGACAAGCAGAAAATAACCCCAATGTTTGTACCAACCTGTCTTTCCAAGGTAATCACCCCGACGCTCCTTATCAATAACGTGCTGGTAGATCTTGCCGGTCGTGATGTTGTTGTCCCGTCCGAGGGTGACACCGAGATAGCGCTCATAGTTTCCAAGGTCGAGATCCGCTTCACCACCGTCATCTAGAACGAAACACTCTCCGTGTCTTCCATTATGTCAACTTCAATGCGAGCGTAGGAAATGTACCAGGTGGGACCAACTCCAAGGGCTAGACGGAACAGTTAGCGTGGGTAGTTGGAATTGACGATCTGCAGGAACTCACGTTCATAAGACCCGCGTCGAGATTGAGATAAGGATCAATCTTAATGCTGGAAACAGCCAGACCGGCAGTCTTCAACAGCAAACCGCAGCTGCTGGCAATGATACCTTTACCGACGCCGGAGATGACACCTGCAGGGATGAGTCACCGAGGTCGAAAAAACGGGGTTTCAAACAGGACTGACCTCCGGAAACCAAAACGTACTTCATCTTGTCGGTTGAAAGGAAAACAGGGTGAATGGGAATCAAAGATAGCCCTCCTGGTGGAAACCAGGGAGGGGGGGAAGAGAAAAAAGAAGAGCGTCCGATGCGGGCAAAGAAAAAAAATTATGTATATCACGTGGGCGGTGTGTCTAGTCTATCTTATCTCGCTCCACGCGTTCGATTTTGCGGCTTTTGTTTTTTATTTTATTTTATTTTATTTTTATTTTTGAAATATTATGTTCAGATATTTTGTACCAACTGAACGAGTACATGGTACATTTTCTGGAGATTCTTTGTGGTAGTCGATTGTGGTGATATCAGTCGAAGCGAAGCCCCTCCCCCGCCAGATCAGCAGGAAGAAATGCGGTTTTTGTTATAGGGCAGACTTAACTACGTGTTCGAGCAGCTACACGAAAAATAACGGACACAGAATAAGCCAATCACTTATAGCAAATTGAGAGAATCAAGAGAAAAATAATTATGTTACATCTGGATACAAGGGCAAGGCCTGCTTGTGTTGTCACTATCGTCCATAAAATCATCCGGCTGGTCTTTGCTCTTGCCTTTTCCTCCTCCGTTTTCTGGTGAATCCATATAACCAACTCTTTTCCTCGATATTTGCCTCTTGAATCCCACTGGTGATCATGTTCAGCCTGGTTTCAGCTTTATGGTGGGCTTTGGTGCGCCGTAGCAGTTCTCGCATGTTTCTCTCTGCTAGTTTCTCCAATTTCAATTGTAAAGAATCAGTTTCCAACCGATCGTGGTTGATTCACCGTCGTGCTCCGATAGTATATGATTCGTCGCATGCTCGAGCATTCTGATAGCTCCTAAAACACTTGTTCACTCATCGTCCAGTAAATCAATCGTGCTTTTTTCAAGTAAAATTACCTGCTGCTCAGACTCTGCAGCATTCTCTGCATTCTCCAAAAGAGTGTCCGTTGGCGGCATGAAGGCTGCAACCGTGAGAGACAGATGCTTTCACAATTCAAATGACGGAAACCACGCCATGCACTCCACTAAGCATCCCCTACACCTCTGCCTGCATATTCTTTGAACTGTCCACTCTCCCTCAAACTGCGGCATGATCGCCATCCGGGGCCTGGGAACCAGGAGCGCTGCCGTTACGGCCTGGTCGATGTTTCTCTATATACCCGGGATTTGGCCCGGCTCCTCGTGCATCTCTGAGGTAGTAATAAACATTTCCTGCTTCGAGGCACATACCACAGAGAGTCCAGAAGCTGCAAGTGTGGATCATCAATATCATCATACTTAATCGAACCTATATGGAATCGAGGCACTTACAAAGCCAGGAAGGTGAATGCTTCAGCGGCATTCTTCCTTGCACAGGCCCTGGAGGCTGTCCAGACGAACCAGCTGCAAGTGTTGTTGGCTTGAGAAAGGAATATAAAGGCTGCTAGCCAGCTAGAGACGCGCAAGTGAGTGCATCCACCTTTTGACGGATTTTATGGTCCTTGACTTACAGGTATGAGAAGACAACATCCATCGGTAACATGTACCCACGGTTACTTTTCATAAAGGAGAGGAAGAATGCCGGAATATAGAACGCGGTGGTCAGGGCTGCCTGTGATATATAGTAAGTAACAATTATTATGATACTATCAGTATATTGCCTAGGAGCACTTACAATCACCAGTGTGTAGACAACCCGGTAGCCGTCCAAGTGAACAGTAGCCCATGCAGTAAGGCCAAGTACAATGACCGCACTTATCCATTGGAAAAGGCGGGCGAAAAAGAGACCGAAGCGGAAGGCACTTCCCGAGTCAGACATGGTGGCTTTTGCTATTCGTAGACTTATCAAGGATAAAAGGCAGTATTAAAGTCTGGCGACTGCGTACTGTAGATCAAAACCATACTACCGGAGATAGTGACAGCAACTAAGGGCTTATAAGTTTCCAAATCAAACTAGAACCCTCGTGCTAGCCAAGCCCCAGAGCGAGAAACATATTCCATATAGGTGTCATAAATGTTTCTTCCAGCCTATCATGTGTCGCTGGTAGCGATCAACAGCAATAGTTCGATCGGTCTAGATTTGCGGCAAGTAACATACTTCAGACGAAATAAATGTATCAGATGACCATGGTTACGGCCTTGATTAAAAGGGCTATTGCTCATGTACATTTAATTGGCTGCAATTCTATCCAACCACGATTGAAGAATTAAGCAGAAGTCCAGTTTACCAGCCCAGAAAGAACATGTTCAGATGGACTCGCATCCTGCAGAGCGCCCTTGATTGTCGGACCATTCGAGATGCTAATATCAACTCCGGCTGGGCCCACGGTGCCAGTAAAAGCCTGGCTGCCGGTCAGGTCATCTGTCGAGGAATATTCCACGCTGACAACGCCCGTTGCAGGTGGGACGGGATTGGTAACGGTGAGGTTGGCGACCACGCCCTCGTTGGCGAAATGGGCGGTGCCGGTTGTTCCGCCGATGGTTAGGATGGCTTTTCCGGAGGGCATCTGTGGTATATAGTGAGAACAGAATTGGCTGTGGGTGTAAAGGGGTTTATTTACGATGAAGGACTGTATTTCAAATGGCGCAAGGATGTAGAGAAGAGACGAGAACTGTTGGGAGTTTAAATACCCCACGGCGGGGTTGTTTGTTTTCAGACACCCATGATGTCATCGTGTAGATCGCAGCTCCGATAAATACTACATAGTATGTAGGCTTCCATGTTTTAGCTACTCACCTCATAGATTCCCATTATTCACGTGATGATTACTGCCAGTAGTGACATCCCTGTTAATATCCTGCGCGGTAGTTCTGTAGTTTTTCTTGCAAAACCCACTGTCCAAAAAGCATGGAATACAGATATTTTCCTCCCGAGTACAGGAAAAGGTACACCTCTTGTCGCCGCCACCAGCCGACTCTGAGCCATAAACAGAATTGTCAAAAAGCGAAATGACCTGATGTGTTTCGTTGGTTCCCCATAAAGAGCGCGCATGATGCTGGAATCCAAACACCACATCTGGGTCGAGTTCATAGTCGGAGTATCTCCCGCCGAGGTGTCATATTATCGAGCCGTCCGTACCATTGATCTTATTTTTTTTGGGTCGTGGTGATAACTGGTAAAGTTGTTGAAAATTTGAGCAAAGATTTCAAGATTCTCTATGTTTGCGCCGGTATCACAGACCACCTGTCTAAGAGATAAAATCCATAGTCGCGCAATCTTATCACCCATGATGCTTTACTGTTCTGGTAAGTAGGACGTCGCGATTGGATATAAAATGAGTATGGTATGATAGTCACATTAAATCATAAGAGTTTCATAACGAACTTGTACGATGAACTTGCGGGATATCTACTACCGTGATGCAAAGTAGAATGACATTGGCTGATCAAGATATATTTTTGACTGAAGAACAATATGTTAACTACAACTGAGCGTCTAATCAAAGATAAGAAGATGCAACAATTCCGCTCTGATGCCCCACTTAGTCTCTGATGATGTGATGAGCGAATTGACAATCAGGAAGGGGACACTGGATCTACAGGAATAACCTCCACATCTGGTCCTGAAGGTACGGGTGCTTTCCGAACTCAGCGTGGCCAAGTAGTATTGCAATCTCCATCCGTGGCTCGGCAGATCCATTTGATTGACCGATTGGATAATATAGTTGCGCTAATGCAGGTTGACTAGGTAAGCTTGAACGTTTTACAAGTACAGCAGTATATATCGGAGCTTTTCCAAGAAGGATCGGTTGAAAGATACCACACACTTACCGAGTCACGGCGCATAGATACCAGGGGGCTGTTACATAGCAGCACCAGGTACCTAGGTTTCGGTAAAACCTCGGCTCGGCCAGGGGAAATGCATGGGTAGTGTGTATCAGGGTAACAGGACAATACCATTCGTACAGGGGTTCTAACAAGATGTTAATTGAGAGCAATTAATCTATTTTATTTTCGAAAAAATACTCCACAGAGTGAGACATTCCCCAGACGTCTGCTGATAAAGCTGCGATATCTCGCAGTCGAAATCCTATTGTTGTACACGAATCCCATCAAACACAACCTCTCCGGAATATCGTGTTGACGCACCTTTTTTTGGCTGCTTACAGACAGTATGGTTCGGCTTCATCCCCTCCTGCTCGCCGGGCTAGCCATTGTCGCATCTGCCACTCCGAACACAACCGCTCCCTTTGAAAAACGTTGCCGCAGTCTGCCCTCCACTCTGAATGTCCCCAATGTGAACTCGACTACTTCGGAGTTTGTCACGGCCGGCACGACGTTGAACTTCCCCAACGCCGACTCCAGCTGCAGCCGCCCCTCTCAGCACGTCACCGTCGACCTCTGCCGTGTTACCATGCAAGTTGCCACTTCCGCCAGATCTGGCATCGAGATGGAGGCTTGGCTCCCAGTAAATTGGTCGGGAAGGTTCCTGAGCACTGGCAACGGTGGTCTCGGCGGCTGTATTCAATTTGAAGATATTCAGTACGCAGCCTCACTGGGCTTTGCGGCCGTGGGCACAAACAACGGCCACGACGGTGCGACAGGAAAGTCATTCCTCCACAACCCCGACGTCATCGAGGATTTTGCCTACCGTGCCTTGCATACGGGAGTAGTTGTCGGCAAAGAAATCTCCAAGGCTTTCTACGGAAAACAACACGACAAGAGTTATTACCTCGGTTGCTCAACAGGAGGCCGCCAGGGCTTCAAAGAGGCCCAGAGTTTCCCTCAAGACTTCGACGGAATTGTCGCAGGAGCCCCCGCAATCTCTTTTAATAACCTCACATCGTGGAGCTCCTATTTCTACCCCCTGACCGGCCCGCCCACCGCCGACACGTTCGTTCCCTTTGCAGTATGGCCCCTCATCTCTCAGGACATTCTCCGCCAGTGTGATCACCTGGACGGCGCTGTTGATGGTATCTTGGAGTCGCCTGACTTGTGCGACTACGACCCTTCGGGGCTCATCTGTTCAGAAGGTCAAAACAGTTCGACCTGTCTGACGGAGACACAGGCCAAGACCGTGCGCAGCATATATTCCCCCCTCTTAGATGGAGAAGGCAACTTTGTTTACCACCGCATGCAACCAGGTGGTGAGTCCACGGGCGCTGTCGAATCAATGTTCAATGGGCAGGCTTTTGGTGCCTCTGACTGGTGGCGCTATGCCATCTTTAACAACTCCAACTGGAACCCTCTGACTCTCAGCAAAAATGATTTTGCGCTGTCCTCCACTCTCAACTTATTCAACATTGATACGTGGGAGGGCGATCTCTCCGCGTTCCAAGATAGGGGTGGCAAGGTGCTCCACTATCACGGCCAGGCGGACGGCATTATAACCAGCGAAAACTCACCCAGGTACTACAAGCACGTCTCCCAGACGATGGGCTTAGCGCCTGAAGAGCTGGACGACTTCTACCGCTTCTTCCGTATTTCTGGCATGCAACACTGCAGCGGGGGTCCGGGCGCAAGTGTTATTGGTAACGGGGGATTCTCACCAGCGGCCAGTCTAGATCCCGAGGAGAACGTATTGATGGCTATGGTGCGCTGGGTCGAAGAGGGCATTGCTCCAGACTACATTATCGGCACAGCCTGGGTGAACCAAACACAGAGCAATGGGGTGGATTATAAGCGCCGACACTGCCGTTGGCCTTCGCGTAACGTTTACCAGGGTCCTGGCAGCTACAAGGATATGGACAGCTGGGCATGTATCGTGTAAGAAGAGCCATGGCTTCCTCCTTTCGCCGACGAGGAAGTGTCCTTCTGCAATCCTTTCAGCTAGACCATATTCAATTTTGGTCCTCAAACCCCGTGGGTTGCCAAATCGGTGGGTTGCCATAGAATCCGTGTATAATAGCTTCATTCATTGTCTGAAGCACCTAATGCCCTCACCCTCAATTTCATTCTTCGTATAGACAATGCGGGAGTTAATTCTGATGATATGGCTTAATTCCTGATCTACATAAACCTCATATCACAACAATTATATTATTACTTAGAACCCACAAATATAATGACCAATCAATTAAATAACATGAAACGAAAGCGAACCAGAGCGCTAGGGTTGAAACATTCTCAGCCACCGACTCGAGAAGCAGGCTGGCGAAAACGATTAGAACAAAACTGCAGTTTTGGCAATAACACCACATTCATCTCTCGTTACAATTTTGTCGATCTGCTGCCGCGCGTCAGAAAGATATCCTCATAGATGCCTCGGCCAAGTGGGTAGCCTCCAACACTTGGTTCTTAATGACACTAATCAGATAATTGACACCATAGTCCGAGACGGCGTGGACAAGGACATTCTCCCCATATCCGCAATCCTTCTCGTTTGCCACTGCCTCATGATATTCAGCAAAGTCTTCTTTAGTGATGCCATCTTCTTCGGATAGTAGTGCAGTACGCGCAAACGCTTCGGCCTCTTCATAGGATTCAAAGATTTTCTCAATGATCACATCACGAATGGCGCTTCCTTCATCGGCATCGTACTCAGCATCAGCCTGAATAACATAGTACAAGGGCGTGGTCACCCGGTTATCCGGAAGATCGCTACTCAGGCCTCTTGTGTTGGGCGTTGTGTTGATACGAACTCGAAACGTTGTTCCATCATTTGCCACTGCGAGGACGGCTAGCCCTGTTCTCTCGTGGAGGCTGCTGTATTCGAAAACATCCGTGTTCGTCTCATAGACATCGAACCAGTCCCGCTCGTACCCCGCGTCAAAGAGACAACTATGGGCAGCCGCTTTTGCAGCTGGAAGAGAGGTGTATGTTCCTGGAACCCGGACGCTCTCGACCAGGTTATTTGGATTTTTCTTCAGGTGGCTGGTGGTGAGAATAACATGAAAAAGCTGCCGGGGAATTTTACTACGGTGGGAATCCATTTTCAAGAAATGTAAATATTATGATATGTCTTCTCCTCTGGTAACTTGGATTCCCTGCTTCATATGTGCGATTATATATCTTACATGGTTGGTAAACACAGATCAGCTTGTCATACCTACTGTCATATTCACATGGAAATGTCTGGCGTAAGTATGATGACACAATGTGTTTGCTCTATTCTCCGCACTTCATCGCATGGACAACTGCGGGACCGACCCATGGTCAAGACAATCTCGATTCATCTATCGAGAGAATCATCTACACAGTTTATGACGCTCTTTTGCTTTGGTAAACAGTTCCTAATATTTGTCACGCACCCACAAATCTATCTATTCCTAAAACAGGACATGCACAAACCAAGTTACAATGTATATCAGAAATGACATTGGAAGAGGAACCAACTGCGCTTAACACTGGTAGCCCCTTCTATTATATGATATAATTGAACAATTGGCATGGTATGCAAACACTTCATGCGAAAGCAGATGAGAAAAGTTACCCCGCGTGACCATCTTCTATATGCCCCTGACCCCCCAGCACCCTCTGCCTGAGGGTTCCCACCTTCTCTAGTAGTTCGTCCGTTGGTTCCCATATTAGGTCCCACTGAAACAGCTCGGGCAAAGTCAAATGATGCCGCCAACATAATTTATAATAGTACGACAGCAAAAATGGGGATGCAAGAGACGGCATGAAATCTGTCCACTTCCATATAACATCGCGCGCTCGTATCAGCCTCCAAAGGTGCTTTAAATAGCGTTTCATGTTCACCCTCCTATGCTCCCACATCAACATTCCCGGTAAGACTTGTGTCTTCACTCCCCGGTCAGGGTTTATAAATGGCGGGTTGATAGACCCGGCGCCGAGCCTGCCCACCATTGCCCGCGCCAAATATGGAGTTCCCGTCCAAAGGTGGATGCCACTGGTTGCGCGAGGATTGCAGTCGATGGTTACAAGCCTGTCTTCAGTCTCGACAAAGTCCAGCCCGATCTGTCCGTGTAACGGGAATAAACATGCGGCGAGCCGCTCCACATATTCCCTGATTCCTGGATGGCTGCAGGCCTCAAAGTAAACACATGAGCTGCCGTCAATCGTTTCAAGCACAGGGTAGACACCATGTGCCCGCAAGGACCCATGATCAAATACACTATATGAGCAATAGCGCGTTCCGCGAACCCATTCTTGGGCGATGTACCGGGCCTGCTTGCTAACTTGGATGGAGGGAGGAGGGTCCCCGGGTCGAAGATGGTGGACATTTGTACTTGCCCGCCCAAAAACAGGTTTCACAGCCCATTCTATACTTTGATCAAGCTTTTGGATATCATCCATACTCTCGCAAAGGTATGCCATCGGCACATCAAGCCCAAACGCCTGCATGAGTCTGGAAAACTCCCATTTGCTATGCAAAAGCATGATATTTTCCCAGGGAGGAGCGTACAACCGTGCCAGGATCGTCGGGTCCTTAGATTCCGCAAGACAAAACTCTTCCTCGTGTACGGGGATGATAAATTGGATTTCCCATGATCGGACTGCTTCGCTCACTGCTTTGATATACCCCTCAGGGTCGGAACGTGGTGGTGGTACTGTCTTGCTTGCTTTCACCATTCGGGAGAATCGACATACATGATAGCGCATAGGATCTACACAGTACACGTTGTATCCTGCAAGATTCAACTGCCTAGCAAGGTCCAGGGAGACAGGGAAACGGCCATTGGTGAGAAGCACATTTGGCGGCTGGCGGGATAGGCTAGGGGGGTTCTTTTTCAGATGCAGCTTTTCTTTGAACACTGTTGCATGGTTCCCACTCTGTGGCATTGTGGAGCAAAAATGATGTTCTGTGTGTAATTATTTAAACCATAACAAGCTTATAGAGCATGATGGATACGGATGTTGTAATCATAGCACATAATCGAAAGCTGGCTTGATGAGTAGTGGGATGAATTTGCGCATGTTATCTTTTAAAAGGCTGCATTCATATGTTAAATCCATAATTACCTATGCTGGCTATCTCGCAATGACGCATCTTTAAGTCAATGACTTTGTGATGTCTGCTGATTTATTTAAAGTTTAAACTTCACCAAGGTAAGCTATTTTTAACCACTGGAAAGAACATCAGTTCTATAGCTGAAATTCCCCAGATGAACTGGTAATAACCAAGAGATATTACTGCCTGTAGTTAGTCTAAACTATATAATCCCATTCTAGTAGCGTTGAGCAATTTTATAGGCAACTGCATCTCCGCAAATGTTTAAGTGAACCATGGATGAAGGATCATGAACACATAGATCTCTAAGCCAAGAAACCTGGATTTTTAACATGGTTTGCCACTACGATCCGGCTCAAGTGCACTCTTCGTTTCACCTGATCCTGCGATTCACTGCCAGTTCCTCAACAATGTCTTACAACGCAAACAGGCTATCATATCCCACTAGCCTCACCTTTCTGGAGTGCGTGGACCTGACCTGGAAATTACTCACGGCCTGTAAGTGTTCCCACCTAGGAACAGCCGCGCAAGCGCAGCTCTAACTTGCATACAGTGGCGATAGGTATTTCCGCCGCCGTGAGGTTTCCATTTTGCGGGGAGAATGTCTCAAGTTCATACCGAACTTATGTGACACATGCAGCTCTGCGGCAGCTCGCATCGAGTCTCACCATGCGACAGATACAGTGCGTAGCTACGGACCCTTTATCTTCTGACGTGAGATTGCTTCTCTGACAGCGTACGTTATGACCTAGATCTAGCACCACTGCCGCCGCCTACGAAAGCTTTGCAGCATCGAGAGGTGTTGAGCCACGAACGGCATTATGGGGTGAGACTGGCAAAGGCCATTGGGTCGGAAGCCATCATGCTGCGAATGTCTTGGTATGGTTTCACGGTATGACTACCTAGCCTTGACTTGCCCTCACAGAACGTTACCACGAGCAACAGCTTACCAGAAATCCACAGGGGGAAACTATTATGCACCTGCCCATCCAGCCTATTTTGAATTCTTGCACAACATCGTTGATGCGTTGCGCCTGTTAGGCAAGGATTTTGCCATCTTTGTTCCATCGTATTCACTGGCCCCCCACGCGCAGTATCCCATCCAGCTCCTCGAAGGGCTCGAGGTATTACGGTTTCTGATTGAGGAAGAGTCTAAGGTCGCCAGGAATATCGTGATTGGAGGCGACTCCGCTGGTGGAAATCTGGTCCTCGGGATTCTGTCACATATCGCACATCCTCATCCTGAGATCTCGGCGGGGTTCGTCCCAGACGAACCGTTTGCTGGCGCGCTGATGTTATGCCCTTGGGTGACGTTTGACCAGACATGGCCATCTATTGAGAGGAATAAAGACAAGGACTGTGTTCCGCTCCTTCCTAACAGCACCCATGCTAGACACTTTCTGGGAGACATGCCTTCGGACAATTACAATGAACCTCTCAGCGCACCACTGGAGTGGTGGACAGACCTAAATGCACGTCGGTTACTACTACTGTCCGGCGAGGATGATATCATGGTCGATTCTCACCATGCGTTTGCCAGGATTCTTGCGGTATGTCTTGCTTTAGCCGTGGCATTCGCACAAACTTACCACTATGGAGGACTGGGTATACTAACTTGTTTGGCAGGCCGCAAACCCCTATAATACGGAAACGGTCACGGTGGTAGGAGAAGGGCATGTTGCTCCGGTACTGGATTTAATGCTTGGGGATCGGAAAGAGTTTGAGAGCAGCAAAGTTATTCAGCGGTGGCTGTCATCGTGCTTGTAGGCTTGAAAAATACCTGCAAATACAGAAAGCAAACAGGACGGTGCCATTGAATAACTTCGAATACATGCGTGGCTCTCCCTTCATCAGTCACATATCCTGATCACCCTGATAAACGCCCATAATCCGACTTTTCCTCCGCCAGTGGACTCCCCACAAATCTAACCCATCCCCTCGTCCCGAGACATACTGTACTAGTACATCAATTATCAGGCACACCAGCAATACGACAACAATCCAGTAGCACACTGTCGCGAACAAAAACGGGCCGGTATACTGTTGCCGGAATGAAGGTGTCGCCAGAAGAAGATAAAACGCGACAAGCACAAAGAGGCTGACGACAAGCGACTGCATTTGAAGCAGATAAAATGCAAGCTCGAGCTTCGCGCTCGCAACAAGGATAACGGAACCTGCGATGCTGGTCACTAAGAGGGCGCTGGCCCATGCTAAAATGATCCCGTCCTCCTCGAGAGTACTTTTGCTGGAGGCCTCATATGACTTGGATAGTGCGATGGTGCTGGCGATGGTCGCAGCGATGAAAATCGTCTGAGCGAAGTCGGCATACTGCTTGAATTTAAATGACTGATAGCGGTGCTTTTCTTTCGGGCTAATGAGATGCGCGGTATCATGTGATGTTGGCGGGGGAGCCATCGTTGTGGCATAGATATGTTGATCGGAATAAGAAAGCCGAATTATCGATACAACTTATTGGTCTCTTATTTAGTGGACAGTGGCTTTTTCTTTATGCCTTCCCTGTGCTTAAGTAGCTGTGGTAGAATTGTTTAGAAGATAAGGAAAAGTGAGACCAAGAGTGCTCTACTCCTGGGAAGCAGGATGACACTGGGTACCTAATCATCCAGATAGAGCTCCATCATGAATGGTTCAATGGGGGCATAAGGACAAAATCATGATTCTGTCTGTTTTTACATTCTAAATGGGCACGTTAAGGCGACCGGAGTTGGAAAGGCCAAACGGGTCGAGACACCATCTCATCAGCGAACCATATCGGGCTGTAGAAAATTGTCCAGATAGACAGCAAGACGGCAGAAGGAGTATAAGAACGCTGACTTCATCGTGACTCGCTCATCATTTCAGATGTACAAAGCAACAGCAAAGGCCTGGACTGAAAGAGCAAACCAGGGGTCAAGCACCCAGTCCCGCAGGATGATGCCCCTCCCCTCTCAGGTGGTATGGTACCTTTCCGTAGACTTGGCTCGGCTTCGTTTATAAACGGTCACTTCATCCCATGCAACAGAAACACATATGGTAGTCAACCGCGACTTATAATAAAGTGTGAGTGTTGATCACATAGCGCGCTGCCAATCTTGGTCAGTTGTGACGCTGCGGAAACCATTAAACCCATTGCAAAATGTCCTCGGATATTCGTACTTCGGCGTTGAAATCCCCAGTTGATATTGGCCACTACCTTTTCGCACGGCTGTACCAACTGGGTATCCGGGAAATTCAAGGGGTCCCTGGTACATGATCCTATTTCGGTACTCGTTTCGCTCTAATGAAGATCGCAGGTGATTATAACCTGCTGGCCCTGGACTATCTTCCTGCGGCTGGTCTCAGATGGGTTGGAAACTGCAATGAGTTGAATGCTGGTCAGTCAATTCACGAGTCTTATATTCAGTCATGAGTTAAACCTAACTGTTTTACTCTAGGGTATTCGGCAGATGCATATGCTCGGGTTAAGGGGATCTCAGCAATCATCACCACCTTTGGTGTCGGGGAACTTTCAGCGCTCAATGCTATTGCCGGGGCATACTCCGAACATGTACCAGTTATCCATATTGTTGGCCAGCCGAGTACCTCATCCCAGAGAAACAGCATGTTGCTTCACCATACCCTTGGGAATGGTGATTATAATGTTTTCATGAATATGAGTGCACAGCTGTCCACCGCAACAGTTAAGATCACTGACACAATGACTGCCCCAACACTCATTGACCACGCTTTACGTGAATGCTGGGTTCAAAGCCGGCCTGTTTATATTGCTTTACCCACGGACATGGTGCAAGAAAAGGTGGAGGGTGAGAGACTGAAGCAATCTGTAGACCTCAACGACCCTTTGAATGACCTGGAGAAAGAAGACTATGTTGTTGATGTGGTGCTCAGATACCTGCACTCCGCCAAAGATCCAGTTCTGTTGATTGATGCAGGTGCTATCCGTCACAGCGCGGTTGATGTGGTTCATGCTTTGGTCCAAAAATCAGGATTGCCGACATTTGTCGCCCCCATGGGAAAGGGAGCAGTGGATGAGACACTGCCCAACTTCGGCGGTGTCTATGCAGGCGATGGTTCTAATGAAGGCGTTCGTGAAAGGGTGGAATCGTCGGACCTGATCCTCAGCATTGGACCCCTCAAATCTGACTTCAATACGACAGGGTTTTCTTACAGGACCAGCCAATTGAATACAATTGACTTTGATACTGAACATGTTCGAGTGAGGTATTCAGAGTACTCTGGGATCAGGATGAGGGGTGTTCTGCAGAAGGTGATGGAGAAGATGGGGAGTTTGAATGTCCCATCTGTACACACACCTCTCACCCAGACCCCACCTGGAAGCCCAGTCAGTGCACTGAGTGCCCCTATCACTCACTCCTGGTTATGGCCAGCTGTGAGTAATTGGCTGCAACCAGGTGATGTTATCATCACCGAAACAGGCACTGCCAACTTTGGTATCTGGGAGACTAGGTTTCCCAAAGGCGTAACGGCAATCAGTCAGGTTCTGTGGGGCAGCATCGGCTATTCTATCGGTGCCTGTTTAGGGGCATTGTTGGCTACCAAGGGTGCTGATCATCGACGAGTGATCCTCTTTGCAGGAGACGGCAGTTTTCAAATGACGGCACAGGAGATAAGTACAATGCTTCGAGAAAACCTTAACCCCATCATGTCAGAATAACCTGGGGAGATCACCGGCAATTCCATTACTAACAACGGTAGATTTGTCATTTGCAACAACGGATATACAATTGAAAGATATATCCACGGTTGGGGTAAGCCATATAACGATATTCAGACCTGGCAACATGGCTCCCTCGTCGAGGCCTTCGGAGCAGACTCTCAGAGTCGCTACAGCACCTATCAAGTAAAGACGAAGGGCGAGCTTGACTCTTTGTTCAGTAACCCACAATTCTCTTCAGCCCCTCACTTTCAGGTATGTCGAGGAGGCCTTTGAGCATGAAGATCACAGAAGGACTAACAAGTTCAGCTTGTGGAGCTTTTTATGCCCACAGATGATGCTCCGAAGGCCCTCAAGCTGACAGCAGAAGCTGCAGCTAAAAGGAACGCAAAAGCTTAACAAAAAATCATGACTCATAACTTTGGCAAAAAAGATAGGGAGAACAATAAAGCTGGGCTCTTAATTGGAAGATGTACGGTGGCTTTGATCAGATCAGTTTCAACCTAAGAAGGAACTTTTGGAGACTATGATTGACACGAACGTCACGAAGCACTATGGTATAGGGTGGCCCAACTATCGCCAACGTGTTCATAAACACTAGGGTTCAATAACCTTTCCAATCGTTTTCTGGGGCTTCTTTTGTTATGTTATTGCTGGTATTGTTTTTAACTACTAACACATCCTGAATTTGTACCAGTGACCCAATTCACTTTTTTTTAAACCTACAATAACAACTAGTAATAACTAGACTATATAGAATAAGTAATAATTAGAATGCAAACTAAATTCTTGTATTAATTATATCAGATAGTTATATCTCTTACTATATTAATAACGGTAATACTCATTTCTAATCCCCTCAATCACTAATTAGAAAGACCAGTAATTTATCATCAAGATATGTATGTACTTACAGCGTTGTAAGAAATTGGTATCCATATTTTATGAAAATAGACCCCAAATAGATAAGCCAGAGTTACATGATTTAAAGGGCGCAGGTAGCAAGTGTCTTGTAGACAATAGGTTCGAACGGGTGAGTAAAAGCTATACACTCGTACTATAGCAACTGCCAACATTCATCCAAAAAGTTTTCTGTTCTAGTAGTCGTTGATGCTTTCGTGACATCGTGGAGTTCTAGGTCGAAACAGATGGCACCTAACCTTTGTGCTTTACATTTGGCCATTCCGGTCTACGATTCAAGGCAATTTGGACTGTGGCAAAAGCGTGGTGGCTGGAGCAAAGAAACCTAGAACATTGACCACGATATCTTAATTTGACCATTCATAAATGGTATGAAGTGACAACCGGTGGAGTATCTCTTTCAAGCCACTGATAGTATCTCTAGGTCATTTTTGCTTCGAATCACAAATACATCGTGTATCGATAACACAACAGGATAAAAGGCTTCACCATAGCCATTTCTATACGGCCGCGCCCTTGCACTAAAAAGGGAGCTGGAAGGAACAAATTATACCAGAAAATGCAAATTACGAAAAGAGGGTTAGCCGATTTACTGTTTTTTCCGAGACGCGGAGGCTGTAGGTATCTTGCTCCTGCTGCTCTTCGACTTCATTTTGATACTCCTACAGGGCGGGATAGCTTGGTTAACCTTTCAAGACAATGTGTCTTTGGTTTTTTGCTACCCAACGTCACCCCCTTTTCGTAGTTACGGCCTTGAAGGCAGAGGTTTATATATTCATTAACTTATAGAGGTATTATTGGTATATCTAAAATAAACAAGCTTATTATCGAACTAGGCTGTGGAATATCTGCTGTATATAGAGACGCAGAATAGTAAGACTTGGATAGTGGCTGTGTCTGGGCTTGCCCATTATAGGATGTATAACTAACTAAACTAGTATTAGTGGCATTGTGTTAGGTGGGAGATATAGATGGCTCACTGGATAGTATAGAATTATGATAGATAAATGCTTAGTAGATAGAATTATTCTTCAGTTTCAGCGCCTACCACTTATGGAGGGCAGTATAAATCTGTTATAATATTGTATAATGGCCCTTGAACAGAGGCTAAGAAATTCTTCCAGCCTATTTTATTTTTGAATCCTTCAAGGATATATATAAGAGTGTTGAGGTGCAAACATACCCTTGTGTTACTTTGCTTTCACAAACCACGGCAAGTACTATAATAGAAGGTTCACATTTTGCTGGCATGATTCAGAGCTAGATTCCAGGCTTTGATACTGATAATAAGCCATGGTACCGAAAATTCTTTGCAAGCGGCATGACATGTCTCTCCATACCAATTAATTTAGGCTTACGCTTACCGGGCTCTCTTCACATCTTCCAGAATATCTGAATATTTGTGCAGAACAAATTAATCAAGAAGATACACATAGTTATTGTTATTCTGAGGCTTACTGAAATTATTTGCCATAGGAGTATCACATGGAATTCTACTCCTGTCTCCCGGACTGATCTTCTAGACTAGTTGGTTGGTGGTAGTTTAATTTCTAGTCCGGGTCCACTGTCGTGGCGCCTTTGATCTTCTTTTAGTATGAAGAAAGAGGATTCAACTTAGCAAAGTATCGTCCGGAAGTTGCAAGACCGGAAAGGATCAAGTGGGAGGGTGGAACGCGCCTTTGGCAAATAATTCATAGCCTCCGTCCAGATTTGCTGCTTTATACCCGGTCTGCTTTAGGATCCGATAGGCAATATAGCCGTAATAGCCTACTCTGCTGTAAATAATGACCGGGCGAGACTTATCAAGTCTTGAAATATTATCTCGAAGAGAGTCGATGGGTATATTGATTGCAGACGGAGCATGGCCTCGCATATAGTCTTCTGAAGGTCGCACATCAAGAATCTGCCAGTCCCGGGGCATGTTTTGGAACTCCCCTGGATAGAAAATATCCACCAGTCCACGAAGCAAATTGCTGCCCACAAATCCTGCCATATTCACCGGGTCCTTTGCCGAGCCATACTGTGGTGCATAGGAGAGCTCCAAATGCTCCAGGTCGAACACAGACATTCCTGCCTGTAGAGCTGTCGAAAGAACATCAATCCGCTTATCCACTCCTAATCGACCGATTGATTGCGCACCAAGAAGTCGTCCAGTGAATGGCTCAAAAGCAATGCGAAGCGTCATCTGTGAAGATAAGGGATAGTACCCAGCGTGATCTGGCAGATGAACGGTGATCCATAAGGGTGAATAGCCTATCTCACGCAAGCCCTCGATTGAGAGTCCGGTGATACCAGCTGTGAGATTAAAGACTTTGGAGAGAAAGGTGCCCACATTCCCACGATAAGGTGAGGCGATTCCGAAAATATGATCTGCGGCAAGACGACCTTGCCTATTGGCTGGTCCTGCCAGCGCAAGGATCTGAGGTCTATGGGCAATCTGATGCTCTGTTTCAACCATATCTCCAATCGCATATATGTCCATGTCAGAGGATTGCATGAATACATTCACTGAAACCCCATTTTTGCCAATTGCCAGACCAGCCTCCCTTGCCACAGATGTCTGGGCCTTAATGCCAGTAGCTGTCACTACTAGATCAGCAGATACTGTTGAGCCATCATCAAGGATTATATTGCAGACATAACCATCTTCTGTCCTATCCAGCTGCTCTATCTTCCTATTGAGATATAGCTGCACCTTTTGTCGCCTCAGTTCCGTGTGTAGGAGTTCGGCCATATCCCTGTCAAACAAGGGGAAGACATGGTTGTTTGACTCTATGACAGTAATCTGTAGGCCAAGGTTATATAGGTTCTCAGCAGCTTTCAGACCTATAAAACCGCCTCCAATGATAGCTGCACGGCGACATTCGTGTTTCACAACGTGATTTCTGATTGCATACGAATCTGATAAAGTTTGGAGCGTGAAAATATTCGGTGAATCGATACCCTCTATTTGGGGCCGTAGAGGCTCTGCTCCTTGTGACAGAATGAGCTTGTCGTATGGGAGAGAATATACGGTGTCTGTATTTAAATCCTGTACTTCAATCACATGTTTGTTGCGCGAAATAGCGAGGAGCTCTGTATTAACACACACGTCGATATTGAAACGGGCCTTCAATCCGGCAGCTGTCTGTAAAACAAGAGTTGTGTCCGTTGTAATCAATCCTCCTAGAACATATGGAACACCAGAGTTCGCATAGCTTATATATTCGCCTTTCTCTACGATAGTTATTGAAGCCATCTCATTCATGCGGCGCGCTCGCACTGCCGCAGCCATGCCTCCACCAACACCGCCAACAATAACAATCTTAAGGGGCTCTTGGGTATCCATAGTACAGAGAAAGGAAAGTGGAAAAGAGATTTGGTTTGGTGAATCCCTCATTAGCGAAGGATGGGGCATTTAAGCTTTTTGGCATTTGGATTAGTGATCACGAGACACATGATCATCCCCAAGTGGAGCTGATTAAGATTAGATTTCTGCTACCAGATGATTTCATCCTTGAGTAATCGATGGGGTCTAGGCCTTTAGTATTGTATGTGACACCAACATTATTATTATTATTATTATCACCTGAGATAAAATAGATCTCCTTAGACTGTTCTAGGCCTCAGAGACCTGGGTTACTTTTGAATAGGCACATATTCATGACGAAGTGTTTTGATGATGCCGCGCCCCTGAACACGAAGTCCATCAATATAAAACGTATTAATATGAATAGTGAATACAAAATTCTATAGAAGCCTCATACCAACAATTTTATTTGAGGCCAGAAGGAAAAATGGAATCCCCACCACATCAATACATGTTACCTGTTTATGGCACTTCTCCTTATATTCACGAGTTTGAAGAGCCGACTGGGAGAATGTCTCCAGACTCATCAAAGCTACCGCCCGCTCTGTCCAAGGACTTTCTTCTGGAGTACTCCCAATTATTTTCTCAAAAATTAGGGCTTTATCAAATAGTCAAACTCCAACCTTTCTTACAAGAGAGGTGAGTTACACCTGCATTGTGAATCTGCAAAGCTTTTATGAGACTAAGTTTCTGATGATTAGATCCAAGGGGTGAAGCCCCTGACCTCATGTCTTGGTTGTGCTTCGGCTGCTTCTAACAGTTCTGGCCTAGTGATTTCTATTTAAGAGGGCATATTTCAGAAGCAGATGATTACTTCTTAATCTGCAAGAAACAGTTTGCAGATTCATGTGCATTCATGTGTAACGGTGAAAGATAATAACATTAACATTCAACCACTTTGTTCTCTATGATAATTATTATACAATGAAGCTTCTGTTTTTTTAATGAGGGAATACAGTGACTTGTTAATAATAAAATCAAGTGTGAGTAAAGAGTTTCCCCAGCAAAAAATTAAAAATTCATTTTATATAGCTACGGACAATTCAATTGTTAGAAGTAATAAAGGATTGGAGTTTCTTTATGAATTCTCTTGCTTACTGTAGAATCAGAAACTGTAAAATTAAAGGCTTCTGCTTGACTTCTACTCGGAGTAGTCTGTTCCATATCCAGCATTAGTAATAAACAAGTGTAGCTATGGTTGTAGCATCCATGCAAGTGCCTCTCTGGTCAAGCAGATGCCCTACCTGTCACTGAAAGAAAACATCAGTATAGCATGAGCTGTAGGCGAATGGATTATTCACCTCAGGTGTCGACTTCACCAGATTGTGCTAGGAGAGTTGGAACTACTGATTGTATTCATACACAACTATCTACTGCTTACAGCAGAGTAATTATTGCGATCTGAGAAATCGGCTCCGTATTTCCCGACGACATTTTTGAGGATCAGCTTAGTCCATCTAGTTTCGCATCGCTCTATCTGATCACTTTATCTCGTGATGAGTTTTAAATAGAAAAATTGATTGCATTGACGGAATTTGCGTAGGGTGGAATATTTAATATCATTAATTACACCTCACTTTCGGTGGAGGAAACTCTCCAAAAAAACCATAAAATTCCATTCACGTAACCCAAAGTCTCAACTGGGCTAGGTTATGAATAGTAACGTCTGGGAAATCTTTCACTAGTTTCCAGGGAGTATCTCCATAAGGCAAAAAGTAGACCAGGAGACCCTCTAGGGTAGAGCCTTGCTCAGCTGAACATGGCGAGATAGGGCCATAGAGCCATCATTTTGACTAGAATTTAATTGAAACTTTTAACGTTTTCTCCTGTTTCGCATTACCGAATTTCTCATAAGCCGTCGAAATCTCCGAAAAGGGATAGTCTGTTGAAGTGGTTAGTTTGGTAGAACTGGTGATATACTATGCGTGCAAGAGAATCAAATATCAATTACAAGAGGGCCTTACGATGCGTGAATATAGCAGAAGGATTGAGGCGGCCTGTTCGGCACAGTCGCAAAAGTGTTGGAATAGTTGTGGTGTCCACCAATCGCGTTTTGATGCCTGGAGTTATGACTTAGTTTTTCAACTCAATGTGGAAGAGTGATTTTGTTACTCACTAATGTTATGGTCCCAAAGCTCGTTAAGGTAAAGATCGACCTTCTGGCCATGAACCCCAATATTCGCTATTGAACCTCCAGGAGCGACCAATTTTTGGCACATCTCAAAGGATTCTGAGCTTCCTACTGCTTCGATAACCGAGTCAAATCCCTGCCCTTCATTGATGGAATCCAGGGTTTCCATGGCGTCAGATGCTTGAGGATTGATCACGATATCTGCACCAAGCTTCCTCGCGTGATCTAGTCTGCTCTCATCGACATCAATCACAACTAGTGTGGCGGGACTGTATAGTTTCGCTGTCAACATGGCCGACAGGCCAACAGGTCCAGCCCCAACAATAGCAACTGAATTACCGGGTTGCGCTTGAGAATTCATAGCGCCGCACTCCAATCCAGTTGGGAAAGCATCAGACAGTGCAACACACGCTGCAGAATCAATGTTTCCTGGAATCTTGTACAGCGATGCAGCTGCCTGAGGAATACGCACATATTCTGCTTGTGTCCCATCAATAACATTGCCTAGTATCCAGCCACCACTACCGCAGTGGGAACGTAAACCTTTGGTACAAGCAGGGCATACCCCACATGCTGTTATGCAAGAGATTAGGACGATGTCGCCAATGAAAAACCCATCAACATTAGACCCCAGAGAAACAATTGTACCAACACCTTCGTGACCCAGGATTCGCCCGTGGTCTACGGTTGGTACATGCCCTTTGAGGATATGAAGATCAGTTCCACATATTGAACTGTGCATCATCTTAACAACTGCATCCGTCGGGCATTCGATTTGAGGTATAGGTCGATCCTGTATTTCGACAGTGTTCGCCGCGGTGTACACCAACCCATTCATTCTTTTTTTTGTCTCGGACTGTAGTAAAATAAGTCATATATGTGGGGTTTTACTTTTTCCTTTTTCAGAGTTCGTGGATACACCTCACCTTAAGATGACTGTAATTTCGACCATCACCCAGATCTGAAGAAAGCGATCTGTAATTGCTCATTTTGGAATGACCAGTCAATCGCGCTGCAGATCTCGAGTGAGCGTATAGTGGACCTAAGATGGCGGAGATCCTCTTTGGTTTGCATGGACCGAGTCGTAGTGGAATCATCATGCTTTTTCCAATAATATTGGTTGAATATCTCAAACAATACCCTAGATATAGGAATTATTGTTTTCACACACATTAGAATTGGATTCAATGATTAAAACATCGACCCCACGGCAATATACCTACATGCCATCAGTATTGTGTAATGGGCTGAGATACCACCACAACGTGCCTAAATGTGATGATCAATACTGTGTAATGGGCCAAGCGGCCATAAAGAGTACTCATGAAACATGACGGCAAGCTGACACGTATAGCTCCGATCGTTCCACGGCCATCTAAGGTTTAAGCAAAATATAGTTCCAGACATCGTTGTAGATTGAACACCCATCTGAGAAACATACATAATGCCTTCATGCTTCAATCTCCCTTTGCCAATGATTAAGTTGATTAGCGACCAGGATCAGAAGGCAAAGATTAATATCCCAAAAATACTTGTGACTCTCGTATCACTGCGACATGTCTATGCAACCACTCATGCACAGAGGGGGGATCTCCGGTATTAGCCGGCTTCTGGAAAACTATGGTAATTATGTGTCACAAAGACCTGACTGTTCCCAAGACTGCTGCAAATCCAGACACCAAGAAATTCAAAGTCGAGGTCGAGTAATGAAATTGGTTTCTTCACAGATCCTGGCCCTGTAGTTTGAATTTTTATCATCCATTATTGTGGACCGGATACAGCTTCTTATGTCTTTATACAAGATGGTTAAATGAGAAGTTCCACAATCTACTTAAAAAAATTCTATAATGCGTGCATTACCTTCCATATTACTGATATGTGACTCTTTTACATATTCTCGTAAGATTATATTTGCGATATGCTACTATTGACACGTATATTAGATAGTAGGTAGAAATACAGTAGTAATGGTGAACCTCGAGGAATTATCACTTCCGGCCTCTACATGACGGTATCCACCTGGACATCTACTCAAAAACAAAATCCGAATCCATACATTCATTTATTTCATGATTTTTTTTGTGAGGAAACTACAATAAAAGTACTATTGATAAGAACTTGCACTTAGGGTGCTGTAGTGGAACCACTTGAGCTCATCCCTGTGGCATTTTCAAGACGTAGCGGCCGACAATTTCCTCTTGCTCTGATTTTCTAGTGAGTGCATGTTCTCTACTCGAATATCTAGAACTAGAAAGGAGGTATAGAAAGGGAACTCACCCATCAGCTTGTACACCTCGCCCAAGTCAGAAAGTGGCACGACCTTGACTGGGGCATGAATGAGACCCCGTGTAAAAAAATCAATTGCTTCATAGCCATCCTGCCTGTTGCCGACATAGCTTCCCTTGATGTTGATCATCCGGACAACTGTATTGAAGACGGGGGCTTTCAGGTAAGCGTGAGCTGGCATGCCTATGGCGACAATAGTTCCATGAGGTCTCACATAGCTCGTTGCCTGCTGGAATGGCAACTCTGAGGCAGCAAGTAAAAGCACAGCATGTGGCCCAAGCCTGTCAGATGTAGCAGCTTTAACGGCATTAACAAGATCAAGATCTCTACTTTTGCGAAAATCAATAAACACCTAAAAAGCATATTCCATTAGCAATGCTAAAATGACATCAGTGATATTTGATGAAGCGTACTTCAGCGCCCATCTCCTGGCACTCTTTCCTTTTATCTTCACCACTATCAATAGCAATCACTCTGAGTCCCATAGCCTTTGCATACTGCTGTGCAAGGGATCCCAGCCCACCCCCAGCACCAACAATCGCAACTGTTTGTCCGGCCCGTGCACCCGATTCCTTCAAACCTTTATAGACGGTGATACCAGCGCATAAGATGGGGGCAACGGTATCCAAAGGTGTCTCCTTAGGAAGCTTAGACACATGCTTAGCCTTCGCAACACAATACTGCTGGAAGGTCCCATCGACTGTATATCCAGATAGCAAGGCTGTGGGACAAAGTGGCTCATCTGACTGACGGCAGAACTCGCATGTAAGGCATGATCCGTTAAGCCATTTTACACCGGCGAGGTCGCCAATGTCAATTTCAGTGACCAGGTTACCCTTGGAGACCACTACGCCGGCCCCTTCGTGGCCGCCTACAAGAGGCGATTTGGACTTCAGCGGCCAGTCACCCTTCATAGCATGCAAATCTGTATGACAGACACCAGAGTATTTGATATTGACTAAAACTTCATCTGGACCGGGATGCTGCACGGGTATCTGCTTGTAGATAACGTCCGTGGCGGGTTTCTCAATGACTTGTGCCCACTGCTTGCTAGGTATGTCCATGATATCTGATGAGCTAGGTATATTAACAGAAAAAGTTCGTGTTTGCCAAGAAGGTAACAGTGGAAAGAATTACTGAGCTATAGATTTGTATATATGTAGCTGCTCATTAGCTATCCATCAGCAATGAGAATAACGCACAAAATGATATGAAGGCTGGGGACCAGCTTCAACCAGCTTAAGCAGCTACGCTGAGTTCACCATTATGTGATGTTCATCATGACTTCATTGTTCAAAGTATCATACGACTGATAATTAATAGCTGAGATGTAGACTTTTTAAGCTCCCAATTAAACTTCCAAGGACAAATCTAGATCCTTACACCGGGGGGTCATTTTTTATACCGCAATGCTGCTTTTAATCTATGTGTTCAATAACACACTTTAGCGATAGTGGGCGATAGTTGAATTCTTTCCTTGAGCATCCAAGTATCACAACAAAGTTGTCCCATGTTATACAGGCCACCTTTCAAAAGCATGGGACACGTGAATATGATATTTGGAAATTTGATGAAACTAGCTTTGCAGTATCAAGGTGACTCCTGCAGTGGAGCACTGTGAAGGATCTTGTACGACTATCTAGGAGAATTGCTAGTAACAAGAATGGCTCCTTGATCTTTGCCATGTATTCAATGGTCCTTCTTCGTCTCTCCTTTTAAAATATCGTACAGACCAATGAAGAACTTTTTCCGCTCTGGGATAAATGGAAACTAAGAAGCTAGAGAATATCACAATGAATAGGACTAGAATACCATATAATTTGAAAAATTCGCCACCACAATCACGTGGAAGAAATCCCCCTTCCTAGCAAGAAATCTGGCATTTGTTAAGGTAGGGATTTAGGGATTCCCCCACCAGCAACAGCGACCATGAGCGCTAGGAATCTTTCATATGTCTAACGTTTAAAGACCTAATCTAACACCGCCGTTGATTTATTTTCTGTTAGTTTGACCTGATTGGATGCTTGTATGGAAATAATAACCCGGCTATTATTGCCGGTGGATATGGGAGGGTAAATGGCCCACACCGCGGATGAAAATTTTGATATTGAGGATGTGACAGCGCGAGAGGATCGTTGCGACGCCTTTGGCAGAAGTGGGAGTTATGATGACCTCTCAGGTTTATGTAGGCAGTGACTCATCAACCCATCAACCTGGTTGGTTAGTTTTAAAGACAGAAACTGTTGGTGTTTGTGCTATTGAGTCTGGCGTCGGGATTGGTGAACAGATGAGGCTGGCACCTACGGCTTCGATCACGGCAATCAGCCACTCATGAACCGTCCAGCTTATTATGGTACCACCTTAACATTAGGCCAGTGCAAGAGGTGTAGTCACCACCTGTTGCTTCCAGCATGGTCCTGAGGGTGTCGCAACATCCGCAACACAGCCTGACAAGAACGTCAGCACAGCGCAAGATCTGTGGGATGTTGGGTTCATAGTTGATAGTTGCTTCATTTTAAGAAACTCGACTGGAATAATTGAACAATTGGGGTCATGTCCCCTAGACAAAAAAGCGTTTAATCCACTACAACTGAAAGTTTGCCATCATCAAAAACGCAATATATTTCTCTACAATCACAGAACTACAAGGGAAGTCTTTCTACTCTTTGATCTTAAAGTAGTCTCCTTCAAATTCAGCGGACTTGCCATTGTCCTCGGCCTCGCCGTTTCGGATACCTTGATAGCCAAAAAAATTGTAATTTTATCAAGGCCTTGTGAGACATCTGTGCTATAAAATGGATCTGCTGTTACTATGACTAGTAAAATATCATTCATAATTAAGTAAAAGCTGTTATGTAAAATGAAGAAGAGTTGTACATTCCATATTAAAAAGATTGTCAATACTCAAGGAGGGTAAGATCAACCTTTACACTTTTACGAGTGACTAGTATTAGAGTGAAATTTATCCAATGAATGCGGAGCCTTAGCATTTATAGAAATCTCTATATATTCTTTTGTATTTAGAAAAAATGATTCTCAGTCATGCCGTCGGTTGCCTGATTTAGACATTCATTAAAGTTGGCACAGATCATGTGGACACATATCTGTTATGTCATAGAGATGGGTCCCGGAAGCCTTTAGCAATTATGGGGTGTTTTAAAAGCTAATGCAATATTATGCTCATTAAAGTACAAACTCTGGCTATACTTGCTATATGCTATCAAGAGCTTCTCAAAAATTTTCATTTGGTCACGATTGTGTTCAATCACTGATTTGATCAAATGTCCGCATTCTGGAGAGTTGATAGATCACCGAGGATGCGTCTATCCAGCAACTTAACCTTTCGGTATTCCGCTTCATTTTTGCGACGCTTCTCGGCTTCAACTGCCCCTGCCACCTTAATTTCAGACGCTGTCAAGTATGATCACTACAAGATCGAAGATGCGTACCACAGAATCTTGGACTCCACGACAGCAGAGCACAGAGTGAAGTGGCAGAATCAGCTAACCTGGGAAGTTGCATGTCACTCAATTAGTGAGGAGTTAGTGGTTTATCCTGCCTTGGAGAAATATTTGATTGTCGGAAAGGATATCGTCGACAGAGACCGTGCCCAACACAAATTAGTATGATGGCCTTAAGTCGAAAAGTTTGTTTGAGCCAATTAGTAAACCTTTGATATAGATCCGAGGCCACCTTTACACATTTCAAAGTCTCAATCCTAACGATCGCCAATTTCGAGGTGCTGTGGAAGAACTTTGGTCAAGTCTTTGCCAGCATTTCCAGGCTGAGGAAAAGGACATTGCTGCACTAGAGGAGAAGATCCAACCAGTTGAATCGGAGAGCATCGCTGTTTCATTCAACCGGACAAAGAAATTCACGCCAACCAGGAGCCATCCGAATGCCATATACAAGCCACCCTTTTCAAACATTGCAGGACTACTAGCGGCGCCAATCGATCGTTTACGAGATGTTTTTCGGAGCTTTCCATGATGAAAAAAATTTAAGTCTTAGGCTAATTAGGTAAATTGAATCAATTATGTCTTATGTATGAATGACACCACTTCCTGTAATGTGATGTTAGTCTGCGCATTTAGTATCATATTGATGCTAAACGGGCATTGCGTATTGTCTTACGCCAAAGCCTCTGTATTTCTTTGGACCAAATTGTATCTACTTGAGGACAACGACATGAACCGCTACTGCATTGCAGTATAGAAGTGTTTCTGGCGAATTATACAATCATGTAGGTGGCTCCATGTTCTGCCATTGAAGATACTTCATAACCCATATTATCACAGGCCCAATTCACAAAGGAACATTGACTGGTGGTTATCCTGGCACTACATACCAAGGCGATATGGTTCTGCTTCAGTTAAGGGTACAAGGGACTGGTCCTTTGGAGCGTTTCTTATAGAATCTGCATAGCCCCTTCTGTCAATCGTTCATTCTCCAATTCCTTATCCTTAGTGACACTGACCAAGTAATTTATTCCGTAGTCGGAAATCGCATGCAGGATGGCATTCTCACCATTTCCGGAGTCTTTCTCATCTGGCGCAGCTTCCTCATACTTGATATAACTCTGTTTAGTAATTTCATCCTCATCAGACAACAATACGCCCCTTGCAAACAGTCTTACTTTATAGTATGTCGTAAAAGTGCCTTGTACGTTGTTGTCCCCAAGAATGGTGCCCTCTTCATGGCTATATTCAGCATTTGTTTGAATGATGAATGACATAATGCAGAGATGTAGACACGCGTCCGTCCTCGCTGTCGTTGGTAAAACCCTTATCATTGCTTGTCGTAGCAACGTTGGTACTGAATGGCGTTCAGTATGGGGTTATAACAAGGATGGAGAGACATGTACGAGTGCAGATATCCAGGTATTTGCGATGAATGGATAATATCATGTATTAGGTAGAAGAAAGGTCATTCGATAAAATTTATGAACGGCAAGCAGCAGTATCTTTCATTTAGTATCTCAATTAAACAAATGATTTTAGGTCAACAGCAGGTCTAAAATGGTTACATTAAATAGAATATTAAAGAATGACCATTTGGCAGAGTTCCGAAATGTGCTCAAAATCAAATCTTGGCTCAATTTCTCACAGCCATAATACACTATTCAGCAGAACCCGGGTTCTTTCATTTTACACTCCCCGTTGATCGCATTCAAGTCATTTCGTATTGGCCATAGTGCCGGCTTTGAAAGCCGTAATCGAAAAAGTTTCATTTCTCAAATGCGCCTGGACATGAGTGACCTCCATTCACTGCAGACGGAAACCGAAAGCACCGTCTATAATCCCTAGCTGAGCGTTCTGAATACCAATCTTAGCTACTCAGCATGAGAAAGATATGTTCTCGTTATACCAGTTTATGTTTCGAGTACTTGGCGCGGTGAACCCAATGTCGACATCCTCATACATGCCGCCGAAGAGCCCCGCGTCTAGATTGTAGGAATCGTTTGTCTTCTAGATTTAATGTCGTCTGGTAAAAGATGCCCCAAGGTTAAGAAAACCCATCAAGATCATGAACGTGAGGCGTGTAGCGGAGAGTTTTGTTCTAGAAATTAGGAATTGGAAGGCTTCATGGTTGTCGTATTCATTTTTGATTCATTCACTTTTCTTATAATTCGAGGTCCTATAGGGGTCGTATGAATATAGATAAACTTGTTGAGTCATCATGAATCTATAATTCTGTTTGGCTTTTGATTGTCTATATTATTATCATCTCTCCTAAACAAAATTTGACCTGGATGGCGATTGGCAGACGATCAGTCTCGGGATTATGTTAGTGTTGGAATGCTTATTTACCCCGCTCTTACAAAGCCACCCCGTCATCAATCATCGATCATTCAGATCGGAGAGAAGAGATACTCTGCTATTCCTGATAGTTATCGATATTCTAATGTGATACTATGATCTAAATAGAGCCTACCTGCTTTACAACCAGAACAAGCATTAAAATGGAATCCACCGCCTCAACGGAAGGATTTAACACACCAACACACACCAGCATCCCAGACACCAACGACCCTGGCTGTGACCTCAACCTCGATTTGGAGCTGCCCACCTATTCCAGCCTACGCACACCAGTCACTTCCTGTCCCTGGTCTGGCGGAACTTTCATAATCCGCGACCCAAACACCAACCTAGTCATCGCTCTCAAAGGCGGCGAGCTGGGTCTACACCCCCAGGAGAAAGAGCGCAATCCCAACATCTACCACGACGGCTGGGGCGGCCACTGGATCTGCACCGAGAACAAGGGTATGTGGCTTGGATTCCGGAACGCGGTTTCAGGGACCTATATAGGACACAACAACGATAAGCGCCGTAACTGGAGATTCATTGCCAAGGCAAGGCATCAGGATAGTTGGGAGTGTTTCTGTGCGAGAGAGCATCCAAGCGGGGGTCATGTGCTGTTAGTGAAGCATTGGGATGAATTTTTACCGATGAAAATTGGGGGTGTGGATAATAAGGAGTTGGTGGTTGATTCGGAGGAGAAAGATGGAACGGTGTGGGAGTTTATTAGAGTGGATTCTGAGATTTGATTTCTTTGCGCCTTGATTCATGCTTGGCTGACATGAAGAAGGATCATTCATGTTCAAAAGCAAATGTAATTGACACATATATCTGATTCGGTGGTTTGTCTCCAGAAGTCCACCATGTTTATCCTGATTAATTTCATCCAGCCGAGTGTCATCTCTCATAGCTCGCATTGATGCGTCTCTCTGAATACTTATACCGGTGAGATATATCGTTGGCCAACTTGAAGGCTGTTCCCGTATGGACCTATGGTTGTGCTGTGCTAAACTGTGGATAGAATCGCATATGTCTAGTGTTGCTGGAGCTTCATCTAGCCGTGGAATAAAACCATCGGTCGCGGTTGCTGCAAACGGACCGAAAATAGATGAGCTACATCTAAAGTATCATAGGCTAGGATACTGCGACGGTCTCAGATGGTCGTGTTTCTGTGGCTAGTATCCTTTCAACACAGTTCTGTGTAGTAAGCGCTCTATGATCCTTCAAATGCCCATAAAGTTTTTTGCCTAGGAAAAGATCAGTGTTTATTCTCTAAATCTTCGTGCTCACTTGTTAGTGTTAAAGCTGAAGATAATACTTATAAATGTTTCTCTATGCTTTAACATTCTACTACCATTTTCTCCAGGGCACGGTGGAGTGGTTTTCATTTCTCCTTTTTCAAACTTTCATTCTGCTGTATTACCTCTGGAGTCTCTGGTGTATTCCGTATAGGATTCTTCAATGGGACAATTCCAACAGACGGTGAAAGGAGGGATTAAGTCTGAATAAACTATCTATACGGCTCATGTTATTTTATTCCCAAATATCGCGTACAAGGGCTTGGCACAAAGCCTCTACTTAGCTTGGCCAGCTCACTCTAAACACAAATGATTATACTCCACATGAAAGACACATTTTGTGCCAAGGAAAAAATATACAAAAACTTCAAAAACATACAACAGCAGGGATTCGCTGGTGGTCACCCACCCAACTACTAACCTGCCGGCGTGTGGCTCAAGTACGGCTGAGCGGACGGGAAGCCCTGTTCTCCACACCCTGTGGTCGTATGTGCTAGAGATAATGTGATAAGAGGTTCATATGGGCAATTCGGTATTGATTTGGAATTGAACTATTTAATCTCTAGATAGTCGCTCTGCTAGGGCCTAATTGGTTCCTTCTCCTCTACCTCCTCTATATTGTCCCGTATATTCTATTAGCAAATTTGGGTATTTGGACGGCAGAAATTCTCAATTACCATGATTGACGTCATGCTGTTAATCATCTCGGCCTTTCCAGAGGCCGGATTTGTAACTCGGACTACTGTATTGCGTCGATCGACATGGGCGTTCAATGGAGTAATAGAAAGTATTTAAGGAAATGAAATCCAGCGTAGTCTCTGTTTCCAGATTTTCAACTACATCAATTTTCTGTGTTCTCTGCACCCGTCAATCATTGAAAAAATGTCGCAGGCTTCCAAAACCCTGACTGTGTTCGGCGCCACTGGCAACCAGGGTGGCTCCGTGATTAAAACCATTCTTGCCGACCCCCTTCTTTCAAAGCAATGGAAGATCCGTGGAGTCACCCGCGATCCCTCAAAGGCCGCTGCTCAAAGCTTGGCAGCCCAGGGGGTGGAGATGGTCGCGGTATGAATGCCATATCTTCAAAACATTGTTTGTCCATGACACTGATGCGCTTTCCAGGGCGATATCTCTTCCTTCAATCAGGCTCTACCTGCTGTTACTGGCGCCCACACAGTGTTCTTAGTCACCAATTTCTGGGAGAGCATGAGTCGAGAGACTGAAGTGGCCCAGGGAAAGGCCGTGACCGATGCCTGCAAGGAGGCCGGGGTCAAGCATCTGATCTTCTCCTCGCTGCGCAATGTGACCGAGATCACCAATGGGCGATTGCCCAACGTGACGCACTTTGACGGCAAGGCCGAGGTCGAGGCGTACATCCGGGCGAGTGGTGTCCCTGCCAGCTTTGTCCTCGCCGGTCTCTTCATGAGCAATTTCTTCCAGTTCTTCAATAAACAGGATGATACTTACAGCCTGGCCTGGCCTGTTGATATGCAAACGGCCCAGGTTCCTCTCTTTGATGTGGCCGAGGATACTGGTTTGTGGTCCTTTTCGTCTGGCGATGTCTTGCACACTTGATACTAATCCCACCGTGACTGAAACAGGCAAGTTCGTCAAGGCCGCCATCAAACATTATCCAACTACACTCAACCAGCGCATTCTGGCCGCAACGGACTACTACACCCCGCAAAGAATCGTAGACGAGTTCCGTGCAGCCACCGGCAAAAAGGCGCAGGCGATCACCATCCCCGCTGACATGTTTAAGTCTTTCCTGCCGGCGGCCGTGGCGCAGGAGATGCTGGAGAATATCCTACTTCTGGGAGACGTGGGCTATTACGCCGGAGAGCCCTTGGCTGATTCCCACAAACTCTTGGATGAGAAGCCTACGCAGTGGAGGGAATTCGTGACTCGCAACCAGGACAAATTTCCTTGAATAGTTGTGAAAACCGCAGTTTTTGATCATCCGTCAAGTGGCTCTTTATTTCCATATGCAAATAACCAATTTGACAGTGCTATATTTGAGGCTTTAGATCTCATTGAGCTGAGTTGTCCGTAGGATATAGGTATCATCTGGGTTTGTCCATGTGACACTATATTTACTTCTATGGGCTAGCTAATTTACCAGAGTGAAGCTGCGTTCTCGTCAGACCTATTCTGTCATGGATATATCCTCTAGTCTACATGAACCCAGTAACATATTTAAATATGGGCCACATAGCTCATATGGACTCACCCTTGATACCATACAATTTTACACTCATCTAACAGTGGGGTACGATGGAACAAAGGACGGGAGCCACCCCCGCTTTATCTATCCAACCAATAAACGGTCGTCGACGGATTACCCACTCCGAGCACTGACATTGCCCAATCCCAGTTCTCTCATGGCAAATGCCACTGTCGAAAATAGACAAAACCAACTAATTGGAACTTCAGTTTTACTCCCAAAATCGCGAGTTCCCCGCTCAGACGCGTCAGGCAAACGAGAAGGCATCATAGGCGTACGGCGGCTGAAGGCAAGAAAGAAGAGTTGTCGATTGGAGATTTGGATATTGAAAGGGGTTTGAAATCATTTCAACGAAAGATCTTGGCTTCATAACATAAGTTGGTTCAACCTTGACGGATTGCCAGGAAATTCTCACTGCTCTGCTCAAGTCATGCATCTGATGGCTCCTCCCATGCTCCTCCCACCATACCTAGAGGATCGCGGATTTCCCGGCGGATGATCTTGTAACAAGTCTCATAATCAACAAGCCAATCAGGTCCTAGGTATTCTGGCCGGCAGAACAGTTGCTGGACTTCCTCATCACTATGCTCAATTGTAATAAAGAACACGAAAGAATACTTGAATGGAACCCTCCATTTAAACCAGATATAACCATCATCACAAACCTTCCCATTTACTGGGATCTCCATATCAGGTATATCTCCATAAAGTTCATCCCAGCTGGATTTTTTCATCCCATAGTGCATTGCCAGTGTAGACTGGGTAGCAGACCGTTCATCTAGCATTGCCATCCAGTGTTCTTCCATATTTCCCTGTGAGTATGGGTGTCTTTCCTGAAAAAATCGGCGGAAGTAATGGAGAAGCTCATTATCTGTATTACCCAGGAACCCAGTTTCAAAGTCCTGGATTGGTGCTGTAGTTCCCCATTCATCAACCTCTTGTTGATCAGGGGTGCGTATAAGGGTTAAGAATGGAACAGCATCTTGGGCCTGTTGACTCTCATGGAATAATTGATTAAACAGCTAGAGTAAGGGATTAGCGTATCCAACGAATCTGGGTGTCTAATTATCATACGCTTGCTGGTAAGTTGGCAGTGAAAAATGTCATAATTTGTGACATGATGGATGTTATTGATAGGGAAAAAGTTGATAGAGATTGATGTGGAGGATTTATTTCAAGGCAGTGTTGTTGAAGCATGAAACGAAACAGGCAGTGAGGTGGGATGAGCATCCTCGTTATACCTGCCATCCTGGGCACTGATGAGTCATCACTAACAAAACAAAAACAACAGAGGTTGAGTGACAAAAGCGGGGCAAATATAACATAAGGAAAGATTGGAAAATGGCTTCTCGAATCCTGCTCAGAAACGGAACCATTCTAGTCCATGAAGGGGACAAGGTCAAATGGCTAAAAGAGCATGATTTGCTTATTGAAGGGAATGCCATTGGCCAGATTGGCCAGGCTTTGCCGTCGACTTCCGGTTGTAGGGAAATCGATTGCACTTCGAAGATAATCTCACCTGGCTTTATCGATGCGCATCATCATTTATGGCAAAGTCAGGTATGTTTCCTGCATATGAGATGTATAGTCGGGCGCAGACACTGAATCGGATTCTATAGTTGAAGGGCAGACATGGTGACCAAGGGTTCATGGAGTATATGGCAGCTGGTATACCAATCCTTCCTGTGATGTTTTGAATCACCTGTGAGATAATATCATCGGCTAACTGCTGGATAAGGAAATTTCCAATCATACAACTACCTACCAGAAGATGTATTCTGGGGCCAACTGACTGGCTGTCTGGAGAGCATTGATAGCGGTGTTACAACTGTCGTAGACCATGCGCATATGACATACTCTCCAGACCACGGTGAGGTTCCATCGTGTGTTGTTCCATATGGCTACTGACATGCGCCAGCCGAGGAAGGGATCCGGGCATCTGTATCTTCGGGGATCCGGACATTCTTCTGCTACAGCCTCATCCGCCGCATCAAAGAGTGGTCCTCAACAGTCAAATATGATGAGAACGTCCTCCCTGACTGGTGGTTACCAACCCTGGCAACACTTGTCAAGGCGGCTCCATTCGGCAACGGGCGTGTCAATCTTGGCCTTGCGCTTGACTTTAGTATCCCGCATGATATTGTTGTTGGCTTGTGGAACAAGTCGGCAGAGTTGGGCATCCAGCTGGTCACCACGCATTACGCCGCTCATTTTATGCCAAGTAAGACTTCATAACAGTTTTCTTCACCCTGGAAATGTCAGATCTGATGCGTATATATATAAGACGTCGTTCAAATCCTCTCCGAAAATAACCTCCTCGCATCAAACGTCCTTGTATCACACGGCAACGGCATCTCAGAGTGCGACGCCAAAACGATGACGCAGAATGACATGTTCATCTGTAGCACCCCAGAAACAGAAATGCAAATGGGCCTCGGAGACACAGTTGCCTTTCGTCCAGATGTAAAGTCCCACACCTGTGTTGGAGTAGACTGCCATTCAAACAACTCTTCCGACATCCTCACACAAATGCGCCTTGCCCTTCAACACACTCGCGCCACAGATAATGCGATGGCTCTCCAGAACGGGCAATATCCCAGCGTCCATGTCAAGTTGGAGGAAGCTTTTAATCTCGGCACGATACAGGGTGCAAAGGCCATCAATATGGAGAGCCAAATCGGAAGCCTGGCCGAGGGGAAGAAGGCTGATATTGTCATTTTTGATGCGTCCAGTCCATCGCTTCTCTGCGCGGCTCAGGAGAGCCCATTGGCTGCGATCCTGCTGCATGCGAGCGTGCGTGATATGCACACTGTCATTGTGGATGGTCAGGTAAGGAAGGAAAATGGTCGCTTGACTCAGGTCGAAGTTTGGAAAGGGCTGGATGGAGAGGAGCGAAGTTTGCTGGAGTGGAGTGATGTTGCGCAGCGGGTATTGGAGAGCCGGGAAAGGATCCTGGAGAGGACAGTGGGACAGGATATCGGGGCTGCCCTACAGGGATGAGATGAATATTTACTCTGATGAGTTTAAAGTGAAATAGTTCTGGGTGGTTATAAGCGCTGTAACTAGAGCTATGTAAATATAACGCCCATGGGAATTCTCGTCATCTTGTATGCTTGATTTAGCAGTACTCGCAAAGTGACCTGTCTTGTCCACGAAAGTAATCCTCAATACTCAATCCAAATTTCAATTTCCTCAACATCCATCTCTTCCTGCCAATCACCACTCCATGTGGTCTTATGCTCCAATTACTTCTACCCGGAAGCCGAATGATAAAATACTGCGTGCTTTAAATCTGTATTCATGACCAATCCACATGGAACATTTCATCTCCATCATCATCGTAATTCGTCACGGCGAATTCCGTCCGATGGGCGTAATAAGAAGGAAAGTCAAAGGCGTTGTGTTCGGCTTCATTTATAGCTTTGTCTGGGTCGATATCCTGGCTCGTAACTCTGTTGGGAAGGCTCTGTAAAATGATTCTGCGAGTGTCTGCTGGTGTTCTGGTTCGATAGTCTTCACTCTCCTCATAGAGTAGCCGCGACCGGTCATATTCTACCCGCACGAGGACCCGAAGAAGATCATCCTCGGTTAATGATGATTCCTCTCTGGGTTGGTGGGATGGGGCTCGAGTTAGATAAAGGAGACTGTGGTGGAGGAGAATGGCTGCTTCTTCGACGTTGAATTGGGAAGAAAGCCTGTATTTTGGAGAAAGGAAGTGATAGCCGATTGGGGATAGATACCTGGCGCCATTTTGTTCCTTCTCACAGAAAGAATCAAAGGTTTTGTGTAATCGTTGTTGGCAATCACTGTTCAAGAGGCCAAAGTGTTTGATATTGGCGCTTGGACTGTTCAAGATCGCGTCTGGGGTCAGGAGACCTTGATCCGCCCATTCTCGAACTTTTGGCTGGTATTCATCCATGATGGGAAACCTGAAATTATGGAGATGAAGATAGAGATGATGATATGATGGTGGTTTTGTGGGATGCTAATGAGATGGAGGATAGCTGTGTTGGCTGCTTATATCAGCTGGCGACCAAAAAATACCGCTAGACGAAACGGAGTAGACAGACATCTAATGATAACATCAGCTTGGGAATCATCACGGCTGTTCCTTCCAGAACTTCTGGAGAAAATCCTCTACAGTCGTCAGCTTCAGACGAAGAAGTTGATTCCACTCATCCGACACCGCCCACGCGCCCCTTTGAGGCCTCCGAAAACAATCTCAGCAAGAAAATATTCAGAGAATGACCCCCAGTCCATGTTCACTTGCATGTTGGGGTGCTTGGGAAGTATTAGAATCCAAGACGTTCCTAGCTTCCCGGCTTCGAGGTTCTCCCTCGACACCGTTTCGATTTCTTAAGGACCTGATAAAAGTGTCAATGATAGAAGTGAGATTGTGCCAATTGATAATGTACGACTGACCTCGGATAGTCTCTGCGAGTTTAATAAGTTCAAAATTAGAAATCAATGACCCAGTAATGCCCCCAATCTCTAGTAAAGTGCCTTGATACTCAATAGCTTCAGCGACAACCTTGGCCATATCTTGTACCGTGCTCAAAATGATCTGATAATCACCATCGGCAGACACTATAGCACGGTGATTCTTTATGTCCCATTGGTTGGTAAGGATTAGGCTATATGTCGTTGACAGAATGGGGTAGCTGAGATAATTCAAAAAGTTTCCGGGTTGGAAGAGACAATACTCGAACACCATTTTCTCTCTGTTGACCTCTTGCAGATATTGATGAACACGGTCCTTTTCGCGGAATGTAAAAAGTCCACTATTGCTTCACCTAATGGACTGTTAGTATGAGAAGGAGGACATGGATTGGATGGTCTCACGCAGCCCATTCATTTGGCGCAAAAAGTTTGACACCAGCTTCTATACAGGCATCGGTTAATCTTGTCTGCAGATCGAAACTGGATATGAAGCAAAGCACAGTGTGCACGGCTTCCAGGCTTTTTACAAGACTCGCCTTTTCGTGATATTCAACATAAGTAAAGGTACCACCAGGCTTCATATGGTCAACAGATTGCTGGTAAACTGTCAGTATAAAATTTAAGAAAGGTAGTGGGACAGCATAACTGCAAGACGAGGTGAGCGAGTGAAAACAACTGTTTCATGCTTCTGGAACCCGACCAACGCATCAATCACTTCCTGGCCAACAGCTCATTGGGTTAACAATAACAGCAATCCAGACCATTGTATATCTTGAGGCCAGAACTCATATACAGTGACCCCAGCCACTGCAATGCGAACCATTGTTGATAAAAGCAGGATATACCAAATAACCCGTGATTGAATATAAAGACCCTATAAAGACTCCCTGTGAAATCCTGTTGATTTATACTATTTCCTCCAGAGAAATATTCAGAATCAGTAGTCTGTCCTGCTATACAAAGACCCTCGGAGCCCGTGTATCCGGACACCTGGGTTCAACCACGCAGCTTCCAGCGGGGGGTTTAACACCACTTCATTACAGTGTAAAGCAAAGTGTCTTATCAAAGGTGCCTGGGACATACATAGACAACAGTCATGTTATTCAGCTCCCTTCAAGTAGCCGTAGAGCTATGACATAATAATCATTATATTACTAACTACATGTAAATGATCTACGGCCGAGAATATGCTTATTACTCAAACATACCCAGATTAGGCGTTTGATCTACGGTGTTGTATTACATCATCCATCAAACTTTAAGTCAACCCGAAGGGCTGGGACAACGGGGACTATCCATTGGTTCAGGTGAGATCATCATTCGGCCTCGAGGTAACTCTAATACTGTACTATATCTCAATGCCATACTTATATATTGCATAAATGAGAACAGGATATTCCATAATTTTAACTCGTCTGCCCAAAAGAAATTTCTGGACTGTCGATATCATCTTCACTTGCAATGATGGACAAACAGCCTACCACAATGAAGCAATGGACAATTAGTCATCCGGACAAGGATATGGCCGGTATGAGCTTAATAGAAGCTCCTCTGCCTCGGGCTGGGCCTCATGATGTCTTGGTCAAATTCGAAGCGGCAGCTTTGAATTACCGTGACTGTGCTATCGCCAAGGTAAAACGACAACTATCTGACCCCTTTCTTATCTTCTTCTTTCTTCCTCTAAAAGCCAACTAACCTGGATTTTGAAGGGAACGTTCCCCTTTGCCCACAGATACCCCATTGTACCGGTTTCCGATGGTGCAAGTGTAGTTGTCAAAGTCGGCTCGAGTGTCAAAGAATTCAAGGAAGGCGATACAGTGATAACTGTATTCAACCAGGGTCATCAGTACGGTGATATCAGTCTTTATGCTGCATTGACGGGCGTCGGTGGTACGATTGACGGGGTCCTTCGTCAATATGGTGTTTACGACGAGTCTGGACTTGTTAAAGCCCCCCGGAATCTTGATCCTTTGGAGAGCAGTACCCTGCCAGGCGCGGCACTTACCAGCTGGAATGCGTTGTATGGGCTCAAGCCCATCAAACCAGGACAGTGGGTGCTGGTCCAGGGAACTGGGGGTGTCAGTGTTTTCGGGCTCCAGGTATATCATCCCCAACGCCATGCTGATGATCATTCGTCGCTAAACAGCACGATGTAGCTAGCCAAGGCGGCAGGCGCGACTGTCATCGCTACCACTTCCTCACAGGAAAAGGCTTCAAAATTGAAGCAGCTCGGCGCTGACCATGTGATTAATTACCGTTCCCAACCAAATTGGGGGGATGTTGCCCGCGAACTTACCCCGAACCAAGCTGGGGTTGACTATATCCTGGATATCGGAGGCACAGATACACTTGAGCAGAGCTTGGGATGTATTAAGATGGAGGGAATTATCAACTTGATTGGCTTTCTTGGTGGGAGCGACAAGCCCCAACCAGGACTTCTGGAAGTTTTAAGCCATGTCTGCATTGTCAGAGGTCTATACGTTGGCAGCCGTGCGATGCTTCAGGATATGGTGCAAGCATTTGAAGCAAATGATATCCATCCTGTTCTTGATAAACAGGTATTTGGATTAGAACAAGCGAAAGAAGCGTTCGAATACCTGGTAAGTTACAAAAAGCTATATGCTTGGTCAGATTAAATGCTAAATTTGTACGATCCAGGGAGCTCAAAAACACGTTGGCAAGGTTGTTATTCGGATAGACTAGGTTATTAACTTGGGCAATGACCCGAGAAACAAGGCTAGTATTTGCCAGAGGGAACATGCCATTGGAAATATATATTAAGTGACATGCTTTCCACCCCATATCTGTGCTTGCGGGTGAAGCTATTCCCCAGGAAATGCTATAGTCGAATTATATTATATATTGCGTATTAATCCTTAAGTATTGATCTACATATTTGTTCATTTCTGTCTCTATACAGAGGAATATGGACTTGATACCCACGGAGAATCACACTACTTCCATTTCTGGAAGTGCAAGGACAAAGATAAATGAGGAAATATAGAAATGTTATAAAACCGGAAGTTAATTGCCCATTTCAACATGCTCATCTGGTGGATTTCGCAGTAAGACTGGTGTGCCATGTTCCTTCTCTGTCTTTACTCCTATCTCATATTGGACATTCTGAGGATACTTTTGGGGCATAATATTCGTCCGATGGTTTTTGATTCAGACTATATAGCCTCCAGACCATTTCACAATGAACCCATTGTCTGACCGAAAGTCTGAATCCCGGTTGGACTCATAACCGAGGTTCAGCCTTGCACAGCATTACTCGCCCAAGATTGGGATATTCAAATCCAGGGCAGTCTAAAATGCTGGCAAACCGTCGCTACGCGCCGTGCCAGCAGCCATAGCCTTGATCTGCATTATCGCAGGACATCATTGGCTGGCAAAATTTAGCTTGAGTGACAACCTCCTGCGCCGCATTCGAGCTGTATGCTGATTGGCCACACGGCCCCATCTCCGGCGCCAACTAGGTGAACTAGCCCCATCGGGCCACAATCTCCACTGGACCCTGTGTTGACAGAAATGGCAAAGGCAGGAATTCATGGGCAGCTTGAACCTCTGCTAAAAGTTCTTTCGGTCGCCCGCTGAGTCCTCAATGTCGCGACATATCTTTCGTCACTTGAAGATGAGGGGTCTGGAGTTGCTCATTCTGCTCCTCTCTAGCAGTTTCTCAGTTGCAGAGAGCAAGCATGCAAACAGGCGATCATCAGCGGTAGTGAGCGACCTTTCCGATGGATTCTGTCGCAGTTGGAAATTTGCTGGTTGGTCGCGAAGTCTCCAGCGATAAATGTCAAGTTCCATCGCTGATCATGCAGCTCTCATCGCCAACGAGACTCTTTTTATGAACGACCTCGACGGTGGACTATTACCAGGCGATGGAAATGCGTCCCGTAAGCACTTTTGTCTTTTGAGTGGGATATCAGTGACTGATGCGGGGTTTAGACAACTACCTGGTTGAGCTTGACTTGTCCAAACAGCTGGACTTGAATGACGGTTCAAACTACAAAATGAGTATCATCGACCCTTCCGTTCCCGAGTTGAAAGACCAAGCGCTGTGGGCGAACCAAGACAACACCACCCTTTATTCATACGGAGGACGGGGCGCGGGCGATGTATCGGAGGACAATGGCCTATGGACATATAATCCCGCTACCGAATCATGGAAATTGCAACAAACAAGCATCAAGCCAACTCGTTATCAGGCAGGAGGTGACTACACGCTGGTGAATGCGCAATGTTCTCATGCTGATGACGAAAATTATAGCTTCTGTTGATGCGCGTGATGTTCAAAGCGCGTTTTGGGTTGGCGGATATTCGGACAGTTCAACTACCCCCGCTATAACCGATTCTACAAGGGATTATTCACCCAATATGCTGCAGTTTAACACCACGACTGGAGAGCTCGGTCAGCTCGACGCTCCGTTTGCGCCGGTGCAGAACGGAGGGTTGGTTTACATCCCCGCGGGGAAATCGGGTATATTGGTATTCATGGGTGGTGAGACGCCATCTATAGCCAATGGAATAAATGCCACTCTCACCCCGGTGGGTTTAACAATACATGATGAAAGAAACAGGGCTAATGAAGGGCTGCAGAATACCTGGGACCATGTACAAGTGTATGACATTGCCGAAAACAAATGGTACAACCAAACAACGACAGGAACAACCGCAGAACGAAGAAGCGAGTTCTGCGCGACTGTTCACCAAGATCCCTCGTCGTCATCCTATCAAATATATGTCGTGGGAGGATATGACTGGGAATCAGAAAAGCTGATTACAGAAGTGTGGGTTCAATCCTTCTTACCCCTTGATCAGTGCTCACATTCCCGCAGATCATACCTGTCCATTCCGTCATTTAAATGGTACCAAGCAGGCGGTCTTGATAAGGGCAGGATGTCGCTCACTTGCCAAGCGTACGGTCGACAAATATTCGGAGTTGGTGGACGATTGGCACTGGCCAATGGTCAAGGCGCAGGATGCTACACAATGCCGGCCTTTATCTACGACGCTCAGTCAGAGGTGACACGGACATCCTTCAATGTATGCTTTTGCAACCAACTCCATTGATCTATAGTCACTCACAAACTCCACAGCCAGGACTATCAGGGTACAGCATCCCCTCCTCAACGAAAGACGATATAGAGAAATCCTCGTATCCATCCACCTGGGCAGCAGACGGGCTGAAGGACATATTCATCAAGAGCAGCACCAACTCATCCACAACCGACACAGCCTCGTCATCGTCAGGATCAAACCAAAGTAAATCTTCTCAGACCGGAGCCATCGTAGGCGGAGTCGTCGGAGGTGTTGTCGGCGCAGCCATTATCGTGGCGCTGGGATTCTTCATCCGCAGGCGCAGACAGCCGCAGAACCCGTCGTACGGCAAACAAGACGAGGATGAAAGATGGAACAAGCCAGAACTTCCCACCAAGGGGGTGGAAGTCAATGAAATATCTGCCAGAGAAGTTCCAAAGCCCGAACTTCCGACGCATGAGCGTGAATTGAATGAGATGCCTGCAGGGGAGACCAGGGCTGAGCTATTGGCTTGAGAAAAGGCTTGCATATGAAGAAGAGGACGATCACAGTAGAATAGATAATAACTGCTAATTCAAAGCTACGAGTAAAATTCCTGTGCACGCCACACCTTGTCTGCGAGAATCTTTAGGATTTCCGCGTCCAACTCGATGTCCTTTTCCTTTGGAATTGTCGCCGGTCGAAGAAAGAGGCTTTCGAACTCAATCACCATGTTCTATCATTTATTCTAAACTGACAGTTCTAGGACATCCATTTATGCCCCCGGTTATCGACCAGGACATGCGCTGACTAAGGTCCTAACTGCCATTGATACACCTGCATTAGGGCGGGGGCGACGCAGTAGTGCTGATGCCCAGCCTCCCGCAGATCCAAGCCTTGAGACGTCCCCGATCTCTCTCACTCTTCCCGCATACGCCCAACAACCCAAAAATCATGGCAGCAGCTACATTTCCTCTCTTCCCAAACCTTCCTGCAGAACTCCGCAACCAGATATGGCAAGATGCCCTGCCTGATGAAATTGGACAGGCGCTATACTACTATAAAACGGGGTGTTGGTGCCCTCGACGTCTAACAGAAGCTGACGAGGAATTTGATCCAGAGAACGATGAGCTGAATTTGGCTTTCGAGTTTCGTCACGAGCGACTGGGCGATGTTGAGATTGAAGTTCCGCTCTTCTTTGTCAACCGCGAGGCTCGTGGGTTGGCATTGGCCTGGATTCAGGAACAAGGTCTTAGAATGCACCTTGATAAAGAAACACAGTCGATTCGATTTTGGCGCCAGTTTGACCCAAGGCAGGATACGCTCTATGTCCCACGTGATAAATATATCCCATTTCTAATAGAGCCTATCGATCGAATGGAGGAGCCTGATCTTTTGGGCAAAAATGTCAAAAATCCCGGTCCGTACTTTACGCGCATTGCTGTACCCGAGGCGTTGCTTCAGGATGTGCAAGCCCAACTAGCTGAAATTTTGGATCCTGATTACTGGACTCTCGAAACGGTGTTTGTTGTCGTCAATGATCAGCCTGGTTTACAGACTGATGATAACACAAAGGTCCAGCGGCGGTGGGAAATTGAGAGCACAAAGGGAGGGGCATTATTCTGGAATCACACCCGTGGTGCCTTTGACTGGGGGAATAGCGAGCATGCCGTCGACGAAGCCCGATTAAAATTGATAGAGAGGGCCAGCAATAGGCTAGGTGAAACTCTTGCAACCTACAACCACGGCATGGAAGTCCGGTTTGTCTCTGTTACGAGGAAATGAAAATTAAATTGTTGAAAGAATAGTTGTTAGAGTCTGGGCTGGATGCGTTCTAGGTGAATGATGGAAGACTGAACTCTGCTTACTGGATGGACCATGAATTTGAAATAGGATAGATTTAGTCTTGTGTAAATTTATAGGTTTCCTCTTTAGATGGATTCTCATAAACAGCATTCCAATATGCCCTGACCTCTGCACAGACCCCAGATTTGGACCTCCATGTATAAAACACATGTTCCAGATCACAAGTCATCGCCAGGGTTTCTTCCCATATGTCTCTCTCGGCATCATATCCAAAGCGCTGCAAGGCTTCTGCAGAAGCAGTATATGCTCTTGATGGATTGCCGTGCCAATCATGGGATTTCTCACCCATGAGACCATCTGCAGGGTTGAACTTCATGGCCATGGTGTGAATGAAGAATGCACGCACGGGTTTAGCCACGGATGGGTCCTTTACTCGCCATTTCCCTTCGCTGGTCAACTGGAAGTCTTCTATAGGATCAGACTGGAGCATGGCGGCGGGATGCACGTCTTCTGAATGTGGTAGGGTATGCCCCAGAAATACCACCGGTTCGCTCACGGTGTAGAATGTTTTATTCATGGCAGCTGCAGCAGGAATGAATGTATCTTTATCACCCTGGCCATACCCACCCTGGCTTAGGAGCGGGTAATAGTAGTCCGGTCCATAGTAGTTATAATACGCTGACAGCAGCAGCATACTGGCATGGCTTTGTTTAGACACGAGAATCACCCCTGCTTCAGAGCATGCTCGAGCACTCAACGATGGCTCTGGTTGTCGGGAGATGTTATAGTAGATAGGGGCAGTGGTGCTGGCCCAAAAGTCCGGCCAAGTGACTAGGCCCGTGGATGTGAACGGCTCCGAGTTTAACAAGATGCCCGGATCATGCAGGGGAATATTATCCGAATCCAGCCAGATGACAGACTCGAACGAGGAAAACAAGATAGCGAATGATTTAATCTGATAGTGTTCCATTTTGTTTAAGCCAGACAGCATCTCCGAAAGAATGAGACACTTCGCATTCATTGGCGGCAGCACCACTTCGCAAATGTACGCTTCGTATTCTTCCCAGTCCTTCATAAACACCTCTACGGGGAGATTCGAACCCCGTCTTCGAATGAGTCGTAGAGTGACGATGAAGTTGGGAAGATATGTACCACCAGCGGACGACACGATCCCTGCTGTTTGAGGGAGATAAGGTAGTTGGACCTTTTGGTCTTGGATGGCGCGCAAAAAGCCATCGTGTGCGGCTTGCATCGGGGGGAAGATTTCATCGACGTTCTTGACACAATTCAGTCGCTCTCCTTCGTCCGAAGCGTTGTAATACGCGCCACCGGCATCGCCATCTAGTTGAATAGCCGCACAGTTGGGTTTGTGGTCGTGGAGCAGAGAAGATAGTTGAAGCCTGAGCTGCTCCTGGCGTTGAGGTAGTGGCAGGCGGATGGTGGGGTTGAAAACCAAATCTCCATACCAGTGGTAGAGATAGATGACAGCCAGGATGAGAATGATGGCTGGGAGTATTTTAGCCATTACCCTTTTGGTCTGAGGATGACTTCTAACACTCCACATGTTGGCACTAACACGTGGACAGAGGCTAGGGAATCAACTGGGGAGTGGTATTCTCGACATCAACACTGAGAAAGCTGTTCGAAAAGAGGAACAAAGAAACAACCCACATTATGTTCAGGTGACAGAATATGACAGCTAAGCTATAAATAGTTAACGAAAACGTTGGCGATTTTTTTGGCCCCCAAACTGTCACCACTGGACAGTGGGCATTGCCAGGATACCGCTGGATCATGTCGTTGACATTCAAAATGGAAGCGATCATCGCCGCAGAGGCTCGATGGAACAGTGGAGAAAGCACACGATCAACGTGATTCTTTTCCAATTCCAGCCGTCAGCCTTGCCTCGGCGCAGTGTCCGAAATGAAGATCGGCATCGGAACTGCTCTTTGTTCATCTGTTCGGAGTCAGACGGATCGTTGGCAGATCCACTCCGAGGCTGTACTGCAATCTGAATGGCTACGTTCAAATCGAATTGTAAAGACCCACAACTGCTACAAATATAGGGCACAAAGAGATGCTGATCCATTCAACCCATGAACCATTGTTTATATAAACCGGGCTGTGCGATATGTTCTGCAAATAGCAATCAAATGTCAAGTCTTAGATATATGCATCAAAACTTCCCAGCGGTAAGCTACGCCATATACACCTAATCACCATTACATTTAATAGAAGAGGAGGGAGAGTTTTGAGAAAAGAGTCCAGGACTATGATCATAGAGAACCATAGCTGAGCGCTGATAGCTGTCGTTGCTTAAAACCTAGCAGTATGGATGATATATTGTTCAAGGGAGAAACAGGCACTTACTCGTAGCAATAGCAGCTCTTGGCTTTAGATGCTGACGTATCCCATTTTATGGTGTGAACACTGCAATTTTATTCATTTATAAGCAGTATAATACTTTGCTTTGGTACTTACGGCGGGTCAATCTTGGTACAGCTCTCCCCATCGTTACTAATGTGTCTCTTCTCAGTCTCGATGTCATCATAGCCAAGGATAAGAGCTGAAGTGGGAAATTGCATATTGATAGAGTAAAACTAATAGAGACGGTGAAGACATATTTCTTGCTATACGAGAGAGAAGCTGCTATTTAAGTCTGTGCCATACCACTTACCGCCTCCATCATTCAGACACCGCAATCTAGCTAGTTATCTTTATGAAAGTCAGGCCAACTGTTATTTGTGGTTTTATTAGAGCCCGCCTGCAGAGGTCTAAAGCAGGATATCGAATCCCATTCGAAGGATAGGCCACCACATTCTAGAAATCTTCCTTAATAGTTCACGCTATTACTTGATAGAGCCAGTGTAAAATAGTAAGCCAATAATGATGATTGATTTTGAAAGAACAAAGAACGAAATAAAGTACATGTAAGAAAGACACAGGCAACTGGACGTTTATAGAACACCATTGAAAAACATTGAAAACAGCAGCACGATACCGGATCATGCTCGATATAAATCAGATTTTAACAGAAAGCATATCTTGAAGAGGCAAAAAAATAAGGAAATCATTTGAGCTTGAAGACCATCATCCCCTTGGAATGATAGAGATGGATCTCGTCGATGGTCTTCCCCAAAAGGCCGGCATGGTCTGTAAGCATACGCGCCGCAACTGCGCCGTTTGGAGTTCCAACCAATGCATTGAACTCATCGGTGCCATGCTTGAAGACCTCTTCGTCCTTCTTGGTAGATTTCGCATATGCTTGGTCCATAATTGATTTGCTGGTGGGGTTCTTGATTCCGGGCTTGTAGATGTATTGCAAGTGCTTCAGGGCATCCTCGCCGTCATCAAGGGCCCATCCCGCCAACTGGAAGCCAACCTCCGATATTTCCAGGTCAGCACCATGGCCCTTGGATAGGAAGGTCTCAACCATGGCCTTGGGCTTCTCTGAGCTGTCGAAAAAGCCTTGGTAGGTCGCTCCGTGATGAGCGCTCTTCGCCTCCCAGAATTTGTAATGACCGGACTCGGAATGGGAAATGCCATCCTTGTTCATCGCAGCTCCGACCTCTGACGGCAGTGTTTTGTGGGTGTCTTCCTTTTTGGTCCATTTGGTTTTGTCGTTGAATTTCCTCCATTCGTTTTTGTTTGTTTTATGTTTCTTGGCTTTGTCAAGCTCGTCCATGAGTTTCTTGCCTTTGTGGACATATGTCGACCAGTGGGCGGTATTCCTGGGGACGATCTCCGTATGGCTATTGTCGTCGTCCAAGTCATTTGCACGTTCAGCAATGCCTATGTCGACAACAGGAACTGTTTTTTAAATTATAAGTTAGATATCCCTGATAGGTTGGCAGACAAGAAAGGGAGAGTAGAGGCAATTACTCACTAGAATCTTCATGTCGCTTGATCCCATTTGCCCAATTGGCTGCATTCTCAGACGACAGGTCCTTAGCTTGACCCTGGGTGAGATCGGTGGCAGCGTAGGACCCAGGCAGTTGGTCCGATGGAATTGCCCGACCAAAGGTACCACTGAGGCTACTCAAGGTAGCCAAAATGGCAAAGCGGACGTATGAAGATCGCATGGTCAAATATCGATGACAAGGTGAAAGGATGAGGGTTGATTGAATATGAAGGCTTCTTTGCTTCTCAGAATGATAGATTGGATTGGATTGTAAAAGATTGAGAGGTGATGTCTTCCTATTTATGCTATTTTGTTCGGGGCACCAAGGTCTGCTGTATTATAGAATATACAAGCTAAGTAGCGAACACAGTCAGCGTTGAGAAAGCTTCACACTACTGGAGGTCTATGCTTACGGTTCACTATAATCCATGTCAGCCTTACCACAAACAAACCAATCCTTTGTACAATCCTTATTCCTGCCTATGTTTGATGATTACCCTTGTTCTCCGATTAGCCTGTTGGCATCTCTAGTTCTGCCCTGCAGGTCTGAATCTCCATTAATTTGTTCTATATCCCTACATCTATATTTTTTATTCAAATTTGTAGTATAGAAACTACAGGCCGAATGGTCTTTCTGACGTGGATCATATTGTTGTAAGTTTTTGTGTCTTTTCTCGGGCTCATTCCCAGTCAGGGTAAAACGTGCATGTCTTAGGATGAAACAATCGCTACCTATGAGCGAGTACAGAAGTAAAAATCAGTTCGCAGTAGTGAACCCTGATTGAGGCTGTACATATGCTAAGATGTGAGATCAGCGCTGCAGCCTTAACACAATGTGGGGGCCACAAAGGATGCTGGTAACTGTTAAAGGCTAAGCTATCATCTTCTTAATTAATATGAAGCTCTCCGCCACGAATTAGATTAATTCATTCATTTGGCTGATGATCTTACTGTATTTGGGGCTAAATATGCATCCTCTTAATATATATTATATAGTATCTGCCTGTGTACAGGACTGTCAAGTTTAACCCCTGGATCCAGTTTAAATAATCAGACCTTCATTATTCTTGGTATATATAGCTCTACTTCAAAAAAGAATAATACTATAAAGGTTCTAATCTAGTCTACTTACTAAGAAAAAAATCCGGGCTTAAACCCCTGGTATGCAATTTGATTTGCTTTTTCTGGTTCTACTGAAATATTTATGTCTATACTCTGCAGAAGCTGTTGAATGTTTGAGACTTCAATATCCCCTGTAAGCCGTAATTAGATAATATCTTCTTTGTTCTCCAAGCTCGTATGGCGCCCAGATACGCCTTTATTCAAAAAAGAGTAGAACCAGAGATTGTTCTTATCATTTTCTTTTCTGATCTATAAATATTTCCGTTTTTATTGCTTATGTATCAGTATTTAGCTTAGGTGTAGAGCTTCTGATTGACTATTTATATGCCCTAGAGAGAGCGATTAAAGACAGCCCCCTAGTAATTCAGTTATTCTCTAAACCCCGCCAGAAAGCCTCAATATCCTGCACTTTAAACTTCAGTCTCTCCTGGAGCTTTTCCACGATTGGGTCTAGATAGGTAAGATGGGGTCGTTCCTGCTCCCACAACGAAGTCACTATCTCTAATACAGTGTCCAGCTCCCCTGTAACGACGCTGGGATTGTGAGATGCCTGTACATTGTACTTGGCACACAAATCAGGGATGCTGATAGGGTCGATTGCCATGTTTCCTCTCTCATCCTGGGTGAATACCAATCGAGCCTTTGACTTTGGAAAATTGGGGTGTTCGAATGGTCCATCAGTTGGGATTTCATCAATAATGACAATGAGCCTCCGGAAGATGGGGAGGAGGTGGTGATCTTCAGGGCGCCACTCGGTACACCCCACGCGTTTTTCTCTGCATTCCTCTGCGCTCAGTGGTTCGCAAGGTGGACACCAATTGGCAACCTTATCACAAATTTCCTTGTGGAAGGATGTAAGATAAGAAAGACTCCTTGCTTGGTCTGGAGTGCAATGGATTGCTTTAGCCAGGAAGCTCTCGCAAAAGGCCCATGTCTGCTCGCCCTTGAAGCAGACGCTGTCGAGATACTCATATAGAGAGGTTCCAAAGCCTTGTTTCTTCTTCGTATCATCTCCAGAAGCGACGTAGATGGCGCAGACCTTCCAGCAAAAGTCCTGGTAGTCATGGTGGTCCATGACTCGTTCAATATACTCCTTGTCGAGTGGGAACCCTGACGCAAAGGCCATTTGTTGACGGTGAGCATTGTCAAGTTCAACCATTACACGACTTCGTTGATCGTCTGGTAATTGGGGTTGGAGCTGGTGGAAACAGTCAGCTTCTTTGTATTGACTAGGTGACACCGCATGATACCGACCTCCCTTTGCAGCTTATCCATTGAGCGTTGGTACTTTTTGGCCAATTTCAACTGTTCCTTGGCTGGGTAATCCTCTGGGAATCGCCATTCGGGCTCTGAATAGGATATTTTCGGGCCAGGCCATTCGCCTCTCTTGCGAGGTCCCCAATCATCGAGGGAGTAGTTTCCCGATGGCACAAACCCAGACTCAAACTCGGATGACATGGTTTTAGATGGTAAAGTGGTTTAGGATAATGTCATAGATCTCGGAGAAAAGAGGGCAGACGTGGTTATTTATAAGTGCTATGCACAGCCACTGTGGAGATGTCGTTGGGGCGGGTTTTGGGCTTATTCCACCCCCAGCGGGTTTGGGGGCGGCCAATCACCAACTTGATACACATGCGTGCAGCTACATATGTATGTGCCAATATATAAAATGACTGTGGATAATAATGAGTAGGAAGCTATTTGATGGAATTGCATATAGGGCTTAAAGCCATCCAAAGTGGGATAGATTTCGGTGCCATTGTGATTAAATATATTGCCCATCTCTTTTACATCTTGTTTCATTACTATACATAAACAAATATCATCACTCGAAATTTTAGTCATCCCCTTCATCTAGATCATAATTTGCTCCGATTGTCTCTATTAAAGCGTCTGGGGAATATATTATAGGATAGAGATTATTCCGTGGAATCCCTAGTGTTTCCCATTCACTTAGAACAGCCTGCAGGCGAGGCTGGGGAGTAGTTTGACGGGCTGGGTGGATGGAGATGCGGTGGATGATTCCTGGAGATGGGATAAATGAATGGTGATGGATTTGATGCAGTATATGATGGATGAATGATCATGGGTTGGATAGATGGTGAAAGAGGTTTATATACTTTGTTTACCAGTGCCTGACTCACCATGATCTGCTGCGCCTCCAATGTAGATATAGAAAATCTGGCGCAGTCTCATCAATGACGATGGATTGATATATACCGATATCTAATTTTAGAAACCATAGCTTCCTATCTGCTAGAATATAGCCAACGGGTATATCATGGGGCAATGTTTTCGTTGCTTATCAAAAGCCGATCAAAACACGAGGATAATCCTTGTTCCTACCCCGCAGCCACGTCCTCCTTGATCCGTGTTGCCTCTTCCTCCGTTTTTCAAGAGAAGATGAGGATATTTCCTTCAGTGATCGCCGTTTTCTGTTACATCGTGGACTGGAATGGACGGTAATCCACTAATTGCTGCCTCAGAAGGCGAGATGCTGCTTTTTAGATCGGCTGCCTAGACATCCTTTGGTTGTAGTTGTGATACCACATTCGAGCGTGAAAAGAATCAAATGTGGAAAAGTCATTCGAAGACAAACGAGGAATATACAGAAATCCAGAGAGGTGTCAGGGTGAAGCGGGGTTGATGAGGCTGAAGCAGTGAATGAAAGCTAGTGTGAGTGGAAGCAAACAAACAGATTGGCTGTCGATGATTTCTCTGTTTGTTTCTCCCACCAGAGCGTCTCCCTCTCCCTGTTCTCTCTCTCTCTCTCTCTCTCTCTTTCTCCTCTCACCTTCAACCTTTCCCCTTCTCGCGTCTTCAACCCAGTCTTGTCTCGATATCTCCCCACACTCCCTCAACATGTACCAGCGGTCTAGGCTCTTTATTTCATAATCCCTGCTTCTCTACACATCCAGAGATCCTACCACCATGGAGGTCTTCCTACACAATCTTCCTGTCGACTTGAGCGGTGATGGCTTGAAAGACCAGCTTGAGCCATTCATGGACGATCTCAGGATCGTCGATTTCGTCTGCGATAAGCCCAAAAGGAAACGCATCGGCAACATAACATTTCTGAACCGTCGCGACGCAGAAGTTTTCCTGGTAACACATGGCGAGTACAGCACGTTTCAAAGGGGACGAGTGCGCCCCGTATCCAAACTGAAGATTTTGGGTACTGATGTCTTTTGCAAGCCCAGCAACCGCCCCGCGCAGGACTTTGCTCTCAAGAATCTTTCCCATGTTGCCGAAGAGCGCGACAGTCAATCTGTCATAATTGAGGAAGAGTCAGCTGCTGTTTGGATGGTCTTGCGACACGCCAGTTGTGGATATTGCACATTTGTCGATAAACAGGTGTATTACATCCCAGAGGTCGAGTGGCAGCAATCGGGGAGTGTCCAATTCACAAAGCGGAATATGATCGTGAAATTCATGGATGGGAGTCTGATTCGAATACCTCTCAACACGGTCATAGAGCTAGATTGGGCTAATGATGGCTCCCTGACTTTGACATTATCCACTGTTCCATTTTTCTTTGCCTCTCCACCTGAGATCGAAAATTTGGCAAAGGCGATGATGGGGATTAGCATCAACCAGAATCCGAGTGGCAGATCCTCTGAACAAATTAGAAGACGGCAGGTTGCTCTTGGGACAGATCACGCCGAAGTGTCTGGTCAGTGTCTCGTCTATCAATTCCACGTCTTCAATTTTGATCTCGCCGATAAGATGCACAAATTGAAGAAGCTCGAGCTGACTATCAGCTATTACAATCTTTCCGTACCAAGAACAATCCTATCCGCGATTGACCGTTTCCCATCTCAACTGAGAACACTCAAAAAGGAGCTGAGCGATTATACTCGGGACGGCTCCCTTCCCTTTGGAATTCGCTTCCAGCTACAAGCTCTCGCATACAACGCCTATCTCCCTTCAGCCAAAGTTTCGGGCCTCGCTAGAGAACTTCGAAAACTTGTCAGAGACAATAAAGCATCTGGGAGAAGACCACCTTCTGTTGAAGCGATCAAAAAACTGTTTGACACCATTGAATGGCCACTCCCATACGGAGAGCCCCGGGAGTTTACGGTCCAATACCTGATTGACGAGATCAAACAGAACGACAAAAACATCCAAGATGGCCCAGGAAAACGAGACGGGCTTTTACAAGCGAGTGGAAACTTGACACCAATCTGCCGTGTCAATGTAAGCCCATCACGCATCACATTGCACGGACCAGAAATGGAACCAACGAACCGTATCCTTCGAAAATTCCCCAACCATCGCGACTATTTCATCCGTGTCCAATTTTGCGATGAGAATGGACAGGATCTTCAGTTTAGTCCTCGGATCAACAACGATGATATCTTTGCTCGTTTCAGGAACATACTGTCACGGGGAATTGAAATAGCTGGACGTACCTATACCTTCCTTGGGTTTTCCCATTCATCTTTGAGGTCTCATTCAGTCTGGGTAAGTGTATGGAATATAGTCATGTGGCCCGAAATTAACAATTTTTCCTCCCTAGTTTTCAGCCCCTTTTATGGACGACGACGAACATTTCCAGACATACTTCAGCATCATCAAAGCCCTAGGCGACTTCTCCCGCATAACGACTCCCGCTAGGTGTGCCGCAAGAATTGGGCAGGCGTTTTCGGATACACCATTCGCCATCAATCTGGATGAGAACCACATTCAGGTGATGAGAATACCGGACGTACAATCAGACGATGGCCAACGTGTGTTCAGTGACGGGGTTGGGACAGTATCGTGGAACGTCGTGGAAACAGTGTGGTCGGGTCTCCCTTGGAAGAAAGGACTACCAACATGCTTTCAGATCCGCATGGGCGGTGCAAAGGGTATGCTTGCTGTCGACAGTCGGCTAAATGGAACAGTCGTTAAAATCAGACCATCCATGATCAAATTCGAGACCGATGATATGCGTGACCTGGAGATCTGTGAGGTCGGCTCTACACCTATTCCGCTATTTCTCAATCGCCAGATGATCAAGATCATGGAGGACCTGGGGGTATTCGAAGACTGGTTCTTCAAGTTGCAGGGTATACGCATTGCGGAGCTCAGGGAAGCAACGGCAACTATGAAGAATACAGCAGACTTCATCAAAGGCCAAAGCGCCGGCGACAGCATTCGACTACACCGTTTATTTACCGAATGCCATATACGCGCAATAGACTACAAGACCGATCCGTTTCTCCGCTTAGTAGTGGAGGCTGTTGTCCTGCGCGAACTTCGGTTGCTGAAACATAAAGCTCGCATTCCGGTTAGGAAAGGCATCACTCTTTACGGCATTATGGATGAGACGGGCTTTCTAGCAGAGGGCCAGGTCTATATCACATTCGATGCCAAGTCAGATAGATATGCATCCCCGCCTGGAGCAGGCCAAGTCCTTGTTACTCGGTCACCCGCTCTATTCGACGGTGATATCCAACTTGCTTACAATGCCATCCCTCCCAAGGGCCATCCACTACTCGACCACAAAAACTGTATTGTTTTCAGCCAAAAAGGGAAGCGCGATCTCCCCAGCCAGCTGAGCGGGGGTGACTTGGATGGAGATATGTTCAACGTCATCTGGGATCCCGAGGCAATGCCGACCAGGATCTTCCCGCCTGCAGATTATCCACGCGTTGACCCTGTGGACCTTGGTCGGCCCGTCACGAAATCAGATATGGCCGAATTCTTCGTGGACTTTATGCGGACGGATCGCTTGGGAGTGATCGCCATCAAGCATATGATCATGGCAGACCAAATGGCAGAGGGCACTTGCCATAGTGATTGCAAAAAGCTTGCACAGTTACACTCTACTGCTGTTGATTTCTCAAAAACGGGTATTCCTGTGAGTCTGGAAGATATTCCATGGATGAATCGCTTCAGGCCGGATTTGTAAGTTCTTATCTGGGCTCAATGCCTATTTGCTTCTTACGGCAGACTGACCTTCTGTCTAGTTTGGCACCAGGGCCTCAAACGGAGTTGTGCGACAAATCGGAGATTGATCTTTCAGCGCCAGTCATGCCGGCAAAGTCTGATGAAGATGAAGGTATCGGGCCACCCCACAAATACTACAAGTCAGAGAAGCTGCTTGGGAAGCTATACCGTGCGGTGGATGAAAGAAGAATTTGGTATGAAGATGTCCGCATCGACAGGAAATCGAGCTTGTTATCCTTCTGGGATGAATTCATCTACGCCATGACCAAAGTTTGCAATACCTTTGGGCCTGTCAGGTGGACACATCGTGTTGGAGAGGCACGGTTGCTTCGATCAGCGTGAGTCAACACACCGTTCAATGGTCGTGTCAAAGATTAACTAATTCTTGTGTTGGACAGATACGAAGATGCGATTCTTTCCGCGATGTACGGCTTTTCCGAACACCCCGTGAACCCAATCAGCGAACTCGAGGTCTTCATCGGCAACATCCTCAATAAAACCGGAGTTCAAACGCACCGACAACGCGAGCGATCGATAAGGCTAAAAGACGAATTTAGTCGGATTGCGACTTGGATAATCGGACAAATGCGACCCCATGCAAAGACTGATGCGCCGCTGACTGGATACGAAACTGAGATGGATGCGTTGGAGCGGTGCCTTGCGTGCGTTTGTATCGGGGGTGAGATTGAACCATCAAAGGGGCGGCGTCGAAGGGGTGGAAGTGGCGAGCTGGAGAGCTTCCGAGTTGTCGCTGCATGTGCACTCCTGGCTGAAATTGATACGATGGACAGAAATCGCAGGATTTAGAAGTTGGACTGAATAGATAGAGGTTTTTGTGTGATCATTTCACGATAATCTGTTGACTGTTCAAATTCTCCAGACAGAAATCCACGCGGACGAAATATGGAATGTGTTCTAACCAAGTGAAGCATAGTATGCTAGGTTTAATCAAGATAAAGGAATGTTATCTGGAGCTCTGATTGGCCCAGCCGATTATCTGTGCATGTATTGATAAGCCACATCAAGTTATCTTGAATTTCCCCTCATCTCCAACTTTCCGTCCATCCAAACCAACTTCAAATCATCAAAAAATGGAAACTTCATCGAGCGCTGAAAATGATCCGACGACAATATTAGATACAGACATTGCGAAACGCGTGCTGAGAAAGATTGACTTTCAGTTAATTCCGCTGCTTTTTGTCACGTATAATCTCAATTTTATGGACAAAACCATCTTGTCCAGCGCGTCAGTTTTTGGTTTGAAAGATGATACAGTATGTTTTTACTCTCTGATAACCAAAATGTACTTATTCAGCCACTAACCAGGTGCAGAATATCACCGGCGACCAGTACAGCTGGGTATCCAGCATATTCTACTTTGGATATCTCTTCTGGGAATACCCAACGTCATATCTCATCCAGCGACTCCCGGTGGGCAAATACGTCGGCATCAACACGTTATTCTGGGGAGCAGTGGTCGCGTTGACGGCCGCTTGTCGCAACTATGGAGGTCTCATCACGGTGCGATTCCTGCTCGGTGTGGCTGAGGCGACGATATCTCCTGCTTTTGTCTATGTAACCTCGATGTGGTATACGCGTGAGGAGATCCCAACACGGACTGGGTTTTGGTTTGCGGGAAATGCGCTTGGTGGTGTTTTTGCTAGTTTTATCGCGTATGGATTGGGGCATGTAACGCATCCCCTGGCTCCGTGGATGTGGTTGTTTATTGTATGTTGTTTTGATTTTCGCATTGTCTGGGAACTGTGCTAACCAATATATCTGTCATAGGTCCTTGGAGTCGCGACTTTTCTGTGGGGATTTGTGCTGATTGGATTTCTTCCTGATTCGATTCAATCTGCCCGGTTTCTGACCGAGGAGGAGCGAGAGGTCGCGCAGGAACGAGTCGTTGTAGGAGGCACAGGCAGAACCAAATCTGTTTGGAAGCTCGATCAATGCATATCGTGCATTACCGATCCAAAGACGTGGTTTATCTTTGCAATCTCGCTTTTGACGCAGGTGAGATGTCAACCGCGATGGATATATTTGTAAACTTCAGCTGACTAGCCTGCCAGATTCCAAATGGAGGGACGCAAAATTTTGGAAACCTGGTACTGACAGGCTTTGGGTTTACCTCCTTGCAGTCAACATTGGTTACTCTTCCAGCATCATTCATCGCGTTCTTTACCGTCGTGGGAACGTAAGTATTATCGCAAACCCCATCCTCGAGCATTACCTAGTCTGACTGGAATAGTGGATGGCTCTCCGGTCGATTTGCCAACATCACCACTCTCTTGATCTGTACCGTGGCCATATTTCCCATCATTGGGAGTGTCATCATCTATGCTGGCGCTGCCAAGGGCGTCAAGCTCTTTGCTTATTATCTCCTTTCCACCGGCCCCAGCACGATTCCGCTGGTACTTGGTCTTGTCGGCGCCAACTACAAAGGCTCAACGAAGAAGCTCACGGTTTCAGCTATTCTGTTCATTGCGTACTGTGCAGGTAACATGTAAGTCACCACAGTTCAACCCGGATCCCAAAGCACCGTCTAATCAAGAATGGAAAATAGCGCTGGTCCCCAATTATTTCGATCCTCGGATGCACCCCACTATCCGATGGCGTTTCGAGGTATCATGATATCCTATGCGCTGGTGATTGCGTTTTCATTCGCGCTGCGATTTTATCTTGTCTGGTTTAACCGGAGACGGGATGGTATTGAAGGCGTGCATGTTCAGAATACCGCGGTCAGAGTCGATAAAACAGCGCAAACTGTTACGAGTACTGCGACTATCGAGGGCGAGGATGAGGATGATGTTGACGACCTCAAGAGTTATGGGTTTCGATATCGGATGTAGTTGGAGAAAGTTATCGATATGGAAACACAAACAGCGAATCAGAGAAGAGAAGGAATGTCATAAAGAATAATACAACATCTATGCGGCGAATGACTCGTTCTTCCGATAAGTTCTCTGTTTTTGTCCAGTTTTGGGATTTTTACCAGCCTAAGGTGAGTCACTTTATCCTGCTATATTGCACCATCTCTGCTGGCGAACCCTAGGCAGGCAGCTAAGCACCAACCAGCAAAGTGTAATAGATGAAAACCAGGTCTGTGTACAAACTGTTCCCTGAAGTGGCAAGGCTGGAAAATCTCCATCATCCACATGGGCTGCTCGATGTGAGACATTTCGGCCCAAAGAGGAAATAATTAGATTGCGTCCCCTTAGCGCTTATTCATTTCTGTATAGATCCGAAATTGCCGAGAAAGCCCGATACTACATCTTCGCCTCAACCCAATCAAGGCTCTGATTCTGTGATAGCTTCACATTAGCTCTCTATCCGAGCACACTCTGTCAGGCTGTCTGACTGCCTTATATTCCCTCGTTCCCCCGAGACAGAATGTCTACAAACCACCAACCTACACCTCACCTCCTACAATGAGAATTGCTTCCCTTCTCGCCCTCGCGGCCTTTGCCGTCGCAGAAACTACCACCACCGTCGGCTACTTCGAGCCAGACTGGAACATCCATATCCCCTACTTCGCCAGCACTGCCGCCAGCGTCGCCGACATCAACGCCGTCGCCACGACCTACCACATCGGCTGTTTGTCCGGCGCACCCACCACCGAGTGCGACATCAAAACCCCCTGGACGCTCATCCAAGGCCCCGAAACCATGAGCTTCACCGGCGTGTACGGCGCCTGGAAAACCGGAGAAGTCAACTCCGTCCTCGCCACCCGCGACTTCAAGTGTTCGTTCACCTCGTACTCGCTGTCGGCGTCCTGCTCGCTCAGCTACAAGGTCACCGGTACCACGAACGGCCTGAGCTACTCGACTTCTACTTCAACCAAGGGAACTTTTGCGACGGATCATGTTGCGTACTACGAGTTGAAGGTTACCGGCGGAGAATCGCTGTACACGGCGCCCCAGGCTACTAAGACGCCTGATGGCGCTGCTCCTCCTGCGGCGAGACCATTGATTACCGCGGCGCCGTTGGGTGTTGCTATTGCTGCTGCTCTATTGTAGAGCTGGGGATGAATGTAAATTCTTCGGTATACGTGGAATCTGAGATAGAGTAGTCAGGAATGGGACTTTACAGGAATAAGACTATCTGTGAGATCAATGATATTCCGTCTGACTACCACGTTTACTGGGCAATGTCGAAGACAAACCACTAGAAAAACTAATATCTGGAATATTCAAAACATAAAAACGAGCGACTTTGGTCAGTAAAAATCAAAACGCGAAATGAAAAAAGTAAAACTAATAGTCGTCACCACGGCTGATGACTTCCTTTCCACCACTGTGAAGTAGAATGGTCTAGAGACATGATTAGCATTGAATTTGTGTCCTACAATAAGAAAGGCATACATGTTCAAACTGCGCCGTGTATGAGCCCTTGATGTCAACAAGGGGTGCATGAGGCTGGAGGATATCATTATCAACGAGGTTTTTTATCTGCACACCAGCCAGTCAATACTCGCATAACATATTGTGGGTTTAAGTACTTACCCCGAGATGATAATTCTTCACTCCAAGTCGCTCAAGATATCGACGGCAGAAAACCAAAGATCCAAAATTGGCGTCAATGGTTTTGAGGAGAGACTTCGCCGATGAAAGACGCAGGTGGGCACCTGAAACGTCCTCGTTTCTTCCATAGCCGTATATTCCTACCTGTTAGAGAGTTAGCACATGAGCCCAAACTAGGGCAAGGGGAAATGGAAAAGGCATACATCATCGCGCGTGATACCTCGGCCAGTACTCCCAAAAGTCTCAATGGCAAACACATCTCCCTCCTCCATTTTCTGGCGGCTGTTGTTTTTGATAAAGGGGACCTGCTTGTCGCCATGGATATGGTAGCGGAGGATATTGTGGCCTGTTAAGTCTCGGATGGCTTTCACAGGAAAAGTCTTGCCGTCAAGCTCGACTTCGTGGCTTTCCATCACCTCCTGGATCGCGGCGCCAATGTCACTCATACGTGCGTCAACGCCAGCATGCTGTACATTAATCAGCCTCATATCCCCAATTCATGAACGTAACTCGAGCAAACGCAGACAAACCTTAATTCCAGTATTGGTTGCCTCCTTGACAGCGGTGAGGAGATTGTCGTACTTGTCGTCGAAGGCGACAGTAAAAGCCGAATCGACAATACGACCATTCACCTGCACGCCAAAGTCTACACTAAGTACATCATCGTTTTTCAGAATGACGTCTTTTCCGCCAGGGTTCGGCGTCCAGTGAGCCGCAATGTTATTCAAGCACAGCCCAGTGGGGAATCCCATGCTCGCTTTGAACCCGTCTCCGGGTTCGAGTCCCTGATGGCCGGACAGTGCGCGAACACCATCTTCGATTCCCTCAGCAATTGAGAAAAGACCTTTACCGGGCTTGATGAGCTCTCTCTGGGCGTACTGACGAACTTCCCGATGAATCTCGGCCGCTTTGCGGTAATCCGTGAGAAAGTCCTCGTCCCAGAGACGCGAATTGTAGCGCGTCTCTTCATCGGTCGTGCGGGACGTGTTTTCGTACGGGACAAGCTCTCCTGCGGGATAGCCAGACGGGAATAGGTTCGAGACCAGCACACGCGGTGGGCTCGTTTGCTTGAGCTCCCCTGCTGGAAGGGTTCCGTTTTTGGTCTTCTTCTTTTTGGACCTCTTGCGTTTCTTTTTGTTTTCTATAAAAAGTTACAGTCGGTCAGTCATTACCGTCCAGAGAATTCTCGGTGGTGGGATAGGACGTATCCCAGTTGGCTAAACATACCGATATTGAAAGGGGAGGTAATTATCCCGGCCTCTTCCTGGCCATCATCGTCGTCATCGTCCCCATCGTCATCGATGATCCCACGATCCAGATCTGCTGATCCCGAGCCTCTTTGAGAGACTTTGGAGTTGACATTGACCGGCTTGACTTCGAGAGAGTTGGCTGGGTCATGACAGGTCAGTCTCGTATCTTGTCCGGGGAGCTAGAGATCATACCATCAGGAGTCTGCCGGTGCCCTTCAGGACTCTTTGATCCCATCTTGCAATTTCAAGTTTCGATACTGACATGAACAATTGCGGTGATTTCGAGTTGTTGTCAGATGGAAGAAAAAAATTAATCGCCCCCACGTTTAGGAGCTGTTCTCCACGTGACCTTGCTATGCGCTAGGCCTGATGTGAGTCATTTATTCTAATTGACAGGACAAGGATTTATGAAAAGGAAATGATACTATTATAAAGCAACTTTTGATATAGAAATTTTTTTTGATTAGGTAAACTGGCTGCAATGTGTGGATGGTGATGATCTGAACATTAACGGACTTGGGTATCGGACATATTTTGCTGTAGTCGTTCTATGTGATGGGCTTGGGGACAGCAACTCAAAAAAAGATAATTCTTGCTACACAGCTGCCATGACACAAGCTGCTAGCTCTTTTATAGAAACACCAACACGAATTGCGCATCCTCATCCTATAAAGTGAGAACCGAAACGAGCCTTGATGGCGCGAGGAAAATACTCCAAATGCCGGAGACGAGACCCGTAACTTTTAGAATCTCATGTCTGGCTCGTCCACATGCGAGGCTTACCACTTCCATGCTATCTTAGAGAATCCTATCATAGATGCATCGCAGGGGATGGGGTTTGGACTCGTCTCGAGGTACTGGTCTAGAGAGCGGGGAAGTATGGATGTGAAATATTGGGGCCATAGATGAATACTGCAATGGCCATTCTCGCATCAACCACGAATTTTGTGAGTTGGAGTCACCATATGACCAGGTTGCTTTCCGAGAGAAATAGAGCCAACATGCAAGGATAGTATTATCATTCTTAGATTGTGCATATCGATGCGTATACAGGTAAAAGGAATTAGCATCACATGATCGGTAAACAGCTCCGTTTATGGCAGGGGTGAGGATCCATCATACATTATTCTTAGCCGATGATCATCGCTTCATGCTCTCTTGAATGTCATTGAGTCGGCCTGGGAGTACCAATACCAAGAAGCCTTCTGGGCGTGGCGTTTGTGGTGATACGGGCTTTTTGATACAGGCGGAATATATATTCCTGGTAACCTATAGTTGTACTATGGATATACTAAAAAAACACCAAAGGCTAGTGGGAACTGCGGGGTACGCGGCAGTGTGGAGTTACCCCAGACTCGTATGCACTCCACAGTCTAGATACATCCACCATGGCAGCGCCAGGGGAAAAGACAGAGCCGGCTGGCCGTATATATCCAGTATGTATTTATGAATATTCAAGGTTGCCAGCTGTCCGTTATTTTCATTTTGAATCAGAAATAACTCATTTTGATCATGGGCAATCCCTTCGCCAGGCGCCAGGACCATGGCGATGATGCTCCTCGCGAGATATACGGACTCCGTATCTACCTTTTCGCACTATCTGCAACATGGGTTTGTACTGGTCCCTCTCAATTTAATGGAAGCACATTAATTGAAGTTTACAGGCCTCCGCCATGTATGGCTATGACTCTGCGTTCATTGGGGGCACGTTGGAGTTGCCTGCCTTCAAGACCTCGTTTGGGTTGACCGACAGCAACTCCGCCAGCCTTTCATCCGATGTCGTTTCAGCCTTCCAGGGAGGTGCCTTTTTTGGTTCCTTTTTCGGCTTTTTTCTGGCTGAAAGGTTTGGACGCAAGCCCGTTATCTTGAGTTCTGGTGTTGTTTTCTCTATTGGTACGGCTTTGCAGCTTGTTGGAAGTCTTACTTTGCTGTATGTTGGACGTGTGCTTACGGGGTTGGGTGTGGGGTAAGTCCTTGATACGATGACTGCTATGATCTACATATACTGAACAGACACAGCGCCTCATCCATGGTAATCCCTATCTACATCGCCGAGTGCTCACCAGCTTTGATCCGCGGTCGTCTGGTCGGAATTTTCGAGATCATGTTGCAAATCGCCCTTGTGTTCGGTTTCTGGGTCAACTATGGCGTCAACGAGAATATCCCAGATACGAGTGCCACACAATGGAGGGTCCCAGTCGGTATCCAGTTTATTCCCGCTGGGCTACTTCTGTTCTGCATGACGTGGATGATTGAAAGTCCACGATGGCTTGCCAGCCAAAATAACATTGCCAAAGCACAGGCCAATTTGGCGTGGGTTCGACATCTACCACTGGATCATGAATACGTTGTGAATGAGTTGGCAGAGATCCAGACTGCTATTAACCTGGAGCTTGAGGGGCATGGAGGCCGGCGTAATTTCATGTAGATTCTGTGTGAATGTGCTGCCCCTGGTGTGCGGAATCGAATTGCTATCTCGGTTATGTTGATGCTGTTGCAGAATCTTACTGGGTATGTATTGCACTGTTCTACCGGATCTTTTCTAATCTCGTTTCTAGTATCAATGCAATCAACTACTACAGCCCTACTATCTTCCGCTCGGTATGGTTCCCCTCACAGCCATAAGAGCATCATACTGACCATCCAGATTGGCTTTACCTGAACATCCGTCGGCCTCCTAGCCACAGGAGTTTACGGCCTGGTCAAAATGGCCACAACCATCGTCTTCATGATCTGGATAGTCGACCGATTCGGCCGACGGCCAGCACTTCTAGTCGGAGCCGCAGGCGCAGCCTTCGCCATGTTCTACCTAGCCATCTACTGCCAAGTGAGCAAATCTTTCGACCAATCCCCACCAAAGGAATCTGGATCTCAAGCCGCGATGGCCATGGTGTATATCTATGCCATTTTCTATGGCTTCTCCTGGAACGGTATTCCGTGGATTTTCGCATCGGAGATTCTACCATCCCGCGTTCGAACAATTGGCATGATGTGCGCGGTATGCATGCAATGGCTGGCTCAGTTTATGATCGTCTATTCGTTGCCGCATATGTTCGCTTCGATCAAGTTTGGTGCCTTTTACTTTTTCGGTGCGTGTACGCTTGTTGCGTTGGCATTTGCCTACATGTTTGTTCCCGAAAGGAAAGGCATACCGCTGGAGGATATGAACCATCTTTTTGGTCCGGATGTGAGTAGTTTCGCGGGTAAGGCGCGCCAGAACTATCAGGATTTTCGGAGGATAAAGCAGGATGCGAATACTGGAAAGAAAGAGGAGAAGGAAGTAACCCAGGACCATGTTGAGGTTGTGCGAGGCATTTGTTGGTCAAACTTTATGTTGCTATCCAAGTAGAAGATAAGAGTTTACATAGCAATGATCTACTCAATAACTATCGCCACTGAGAATATACTATTTCCTTATAGAACGTGTTATGAAGGTAAGTCTGTTATGTCCTGTATGTGAAATCTATCTCAAACATTCCCGATCATATCCTTCGGTCCAATCAATGACCGTGAATATTGTCCAAGTATCGACCGTGGAATCTAGACTAGCCAAACAAGGTAAACATGTATACGAATACGAAAATCACAATATGATTGGATCGATTAAGCCTCACTAGTTGAACCTAATTGCTTGCTTCCCCGCATTCCCCAGCCCAGTCCCACAAGAGTCAATCGCGTGCCGCTCCTCACCCACTTCGGGATAGTTCATAGACGACGCGGATAAATGTTCAAGACTAGTAGCTAGGCTTAAAAGGAAAGAGCAAGACTTGCATTCTAGAGATCTACATAGGCGTTCATCCACCAAAGATCCATCATGTCGGAATCAGCACCGCAGATAGCTCCGCAAAAACCAATTCCCAACCGGCTTCTGGGCCGTGTTGCTCTCGTCACTGGTGCCGCAGGAAATATTGGACTCGAAACGGCTTCTCGATTTATTCTTGAGGGGGCCAAGGTTGTGTTGGTTGATATTATTGCGGAGAAACTCGCTCAGTCTAAGAAGGCTGTCATTGAGGCAGCCAGGGAATCAAAGTCCAGCGGAGAGATAAATGTTGAGCATGCTGTTTTTACAGTGGTGGCAGATGTTACTTCTGAAGACGATGTGAAGCGTTATGTGGATGAGACTGTTGCGAGATATGGAAGACTGGATGTTGCTGTTCTGTGTGCTGGGATTTCATACTCGTCTACGAGCATCATTGAAACGGACATTGATCAGTACGATAAAGTGATGCGAGTGAATACTCGATCTGGTAGGTCATTTCAGTTCAAAGTCTATATATTATAAGCTGACCTTTCACAGCCTTCCTCGGTGTAAAACACTGCGGCAGAGTCATGAAAGACGCCGGCCAAGGCGGAAGCATCATCCTAGTATCCTCCATCGCCGGGCTGCGTGCAACCCCTGGTCTCTCAGCGTATTCGACATCCAAATTTGCCCTACGCGGTCTATGCCTTACTGCAGCAGCGGAACTAGGCCAATTCAACATTCGCGTCAACACAGTCCATCCCTGTGGTGTCAACACGCCCATGTTCTTGGCTTCTTGGCCGGAGGAGAAGATGAAGAGTATGCTGGCTACTGTTCCGCTTGGTCGATGGGCAGAAGTGGCAGATGTCGCAGCGTTGGTGTCGTTTTTGGGGAGCGCTGATAGTCAATTCATGACTGGGGGTGCGTTGAAGGTGGATGGTGGAATTGTCATGTGTTAAAACTAGATTATCTTCTTCGAGATACCATGGATATGATGATGTACTCATTCAAAGACAAAGTATAACCCCACTTGGTTAAGCTGAATATAAGCGGGCCAGAATGTGGTTAAATATAAATCCTAGCCAGTTACCCCACACGAAGTATATAAACCTTCGATTCCCCTGTGTTTGAATATCTATTTCCACTCCAATCCTTCAAACCAGCAATCATGTTCCAAAACCAGTTGGCAATTACGACCTCATCGTTGGGCCTTCATCCCGTACATAGCCTACCCGAGAAGATACAGGCTGCTTCATCGAATGGTTTCTCATCGATTGAGATAGTCTACCAGGAACTAGTAGACTATGGAACTTCACAAACACCGTCTTTGAACATAACCGAATCCGCGCGCGCAATTTCCCAGTTATGCTCGTCATTCGACATGTCCGTCCTGGCCCTGAATCCTTTCAAAAACTTCGAGGGCCATAATTCACCGCTTTTCGAACGGCTAGAGTCTGCACGACACTGGATTGAGATCGCAGCATGTCTGCAAGCCAGCCATCTCCAAGTACCATCTCAGTTCGATACCGCCAACAGCTCGGGTAATTGGTCGGTGATGGTGAACGAGTTACAGCAATTGGCTGATTTGGCTGCCTCACACTCTCTCGGAATCGCCTACGAGGCCGTGGCCTGGGGCAGCTACATCGACACCTGGGAGGATTGCCTGTGAATAGTGGTGGATGTTGACCGTGCCAACTTTGGTCTCTGCCTGGATTCATTTCATATTGCTGTACGATTGTGGGAAGATAATACCGCCGACAGTGGAGTGCGCCATGAAGCAGACAGCAACTTACGAGCATCTCTGGATCGATTTGTGCAAACATGCCCCCTTGACAAGATATGCTACATACAATTCTCCGACGGAGAGAGGTTTTCACCTCCATTATCGGCCCAGCACCGTTTCTACCAGGCGGGCTTTCCTCCGGGACTGCCGTGGTCACGGAACATGCGCCCCTTTCGGCTCGAGACAGAGCTAGGCGCATATCTGCCTGTGGTGGATATTGCGAGGACCTGGTTGAAGCAGAAGGGATGGAAAGGAGTGGTGTCGATGGAGATTTTCGACTGGCGGATGCGCGACGCATCCAGACGGCCAGACGAGAATGCAAAGCGGGGCATGAGGTCTTGGGAGAAATTGGTTGCTGCGTTGGATGAGCCTCTATAAGTTGATAATGACTAGTTGGTATACGCTATTATGGAAGTATCGCAGAAATATTACTTCTTTAGGATCATACAGTGACGTCTGTATATAGTGGATTGATTGATATTGCTTAAATCGCCCCAATTCACCACCACTGCTAGAGGCTATTATATAATTTCTACTCCAAAATAACCAAACCCTCGGATTTGCTATCAGCAGGCTCGCCCCAGGCCAAATACGACGCCCCGGCGCAATTCATGATCGAATCACCCCACGACTGTAAATTCCAGTCGAACGAACGCTCAGTCACCATGGAATTACCAACGCGAACACGCAGATCCTTCTGGGGGCTGTAATCTATCTCATCCAATGCCACAAGAAGCTTGGGCAATTTCGCGAATGGCTTGTCAAACTTGACAGTTCCGGAGTTATCCGCCTGGGGATGTTTGTATGATCGAACATCGTTGGTTGAGAAACGTCCACTGGTGATTCCAGGCTGATCGGCTGGATAGGCCAGCCAGGAGACCTTGGCGTCGGCGATTTTGGTGTTGTCCCAGGACTGGACGTAGATGTAACAGCCATTAGTCCTGATTCGGGAAGCATAGACTTTGAACCGCCAGCCTGTTTTTTGGTCGAGGTCGAAAGATTGGATAAAAGGCACAACCTTGGGCGTCGTCTTGAACCGCCGGGGGAACCATATCCATTTCCAACTGCTCCCTTTGTTAATTGGCCATCTGGACATGTCCTTCAGCTCGACGGTTCCTTGCTGCAGGAAGTCGAACTTGGGCCCGGCTTCCAACCAGGTCATGCCGGCGGAGTTGAGCACGCTATCACCCCAGGTTCGGATACGGGCGGAGAACTTTTCCTTTCCTTGATCCAGTGCCGCCAGTTGAACACGGGCGTTGTGCTGGCCACTCATATCGAGATGGTTCAGGCCCAGGATGAGCGGTGGCGGCGAGGCGTACTTTTCATGATAGTATTTCTCGGTCTTGTAGTCCTGACGCGGCTTACCCGAAGGCATCGCGATCTCCATCGTGTTGAAGTGACCCGCATCGGTAGCATGGCCCGGATAGCAGAAGCGCATATACTGCTTGTCGCTCTCGGACAGCACCCGGTTGCTCTTGGTGCCCTTGTTGTTCAGCGTATACCTGGCCGGAAAGCTGTACAGCATGATCGAGTCCGGGTCGAAGCGCGTAGATTGGACCTGATCCATCCCCCAAACCCTCATGACATTGTGGTCGATCTTGCCCTTGTCCCAGTTGTTTGGAGGTCCCCCATACGCGGCATACACCGCCTCTTTATCCCATTGGATCTCGCTCTGGGGGCTGCTATGCTCGTGGTGGGCGCCGAGAGCGTGGCCAAACTCATGCAGCACCGTCCCACTCATGTAGACGTGATTGCCGCCCTCATCGACCCAGCCAAAGTTCATCGACGGGTTGCCTTTCCGGGTTCTGAGCAGAGAATCAACTCCTACCATGGACCACGAGCCATCACCGACCTTGAAGTCAATGAGGATGTCGGCCCCGGTGGCCCTGTTGTAGTTGCCCACCCATTTGAACTTGAGATTGGCATACTGCGTCCATTCAGAGGCGTACTTTTCCACAAAGCTCTTCTGCCAATCAGTCCCCGAATGGAAGGCAATCTTGATCTCCTTGCCTGCGGGCCAGAACTTGCCGAGGCGCATGGCAAGACGTGGCTGCTTCTCATCGACGCCATCGGCCATCGCGAATCCGACTGCTTCATTGCGCGGGTTCATCTGGAAGGACAGCGCCATCATTGCGTTGAGGTCATCCTGTGACTTGGGCTCATCTTCAGCACCGCTGATACAGATGTCGTATGTGGGTTCTGCGTCGTCAGCCATGGTGGATAGGTGTTATAATATTGCCTATTCAGAAAGTAGATGAGAAGTGGCTGATGTATTTTTGCATGGCAGTGGAAGACATTGCTTATATAGTACATCTCGAGACAATTGCCTACAAAGTGGTGATGTAACTTCATGTGTCATCGATAGTCTGGTCCACAACGATGCTGTTTGCGGTAACTGCAATTCAGCTTATACCAAGTTCTTCAAATTTGACGTAGATAAACAGAATCAAATTATTGAAGAATGACACTGTCTCGAAATGCATATGGTTGTCATCTAGATTTGCATTCCTAAATTCCAACGGCCTGATGTAAAGTATATGCTATCCTGCCATGGCCAAAATAACCTTATCCAATCTTATTCGTGTATTCCTACAGGCGTCATGGATTAGACTATTTCCATTTCCCCGCAATGTAACATCCATTGAGAACAATCCTTGGTAGCCATCCACTGACGTCGGGAGGATTTCCACCCGAGACTGACAATGTTGCATTGATAGAAGGCTATTTTGACGTGTTCGAGCAAAGAGGTGACAGTCTGAGGAAGTAGATATACTCTCAGTGAGGGATTCGGAGAAGAAAATATCGTATTAATAATTACTTGTCAGACTCAGTGTTGAGAAACTGCATCAAGCTGGCCATTATTTAAGATAATCCAAAACTGCTTCAACATCCTTGATGTCAAGGCTTGGATTTATATCTTGTGGCTCGTTGATTTACCATGATTCCCGTTTATGTGCTCATATAACATCAAAGGCCAACAAATATTGTCATCTTATTTGCCTATTAGCTCTCAAGAATGATAGAAAATCCATGTGGTACTATCATGACGCTAAGCTTTTTAGTATTAGTAAGTGCCATTAATTAGTTATGGTTTCCTTGCTATCTCGGTATGTGGAGATATGCACTTGGCCGATCACTCTGGTCAAGGTCGATTTCTTCAAGAGGGGAACCACGACAATCTAGCTGCCAACAATCTTTGTCAGATATAGCTTTTCCTCACCATCCTCTATATCTCCATCATCACTCTTCCCATCCCATCTTTCTACCTGGACCCATACTAGATCCTCGGCTTCAGCCTCTCCCTCCCTCACCCCTTGTACAACACCCTTCTGTTTCCTTGCTGTTGTTCATGGATGGGTGATTGAGGTGCGTGATAGACTGCTTAAGGATCTCAATTTGATTTGAAGAGCATGCGCCAGGGAATCAAGAAGATTTATAGCCTCAGGAACGCGCGGAGTGAGATCAGCCAAACCCCGTGGTAGTTGATATCGATCTCCGGCGGTCGGTGCTGTCTCGGACCCGATTCGGGTGGATGTCGGAGCCGACACGCGTTTGTTGATCGTGGCCAACTACTCTACGCAGAATAGATTGGATCGGAAATGATGCACTGAAAAGTACTTTATGGCTGTTTGGGGAATCCTGTATCAATTCTCAAGGCATGCTACCGACATCTTCCGCGTTGATCAGCATAAATACAGGCAAATCTACTCTTTAGCCGAGGAAGAAAGCATTCTCGGGGAGACGTAATCAATTCTCTCGCACATTTCCGTCTCTTTCTTCCCCTTTACCTATATATTTTGCTGTTTGATTCACCCGGTATGGCCTGATGCGACTGATACTTCGCATTTCATCCTTCCAGCTACCATCTACCCCGAGATATATGACCTCATAACACTTCTGTCCCTGTTAAACTGCGGTCACTCTTCTATTAGCTTGCATTATTAGTCAGTTGTGAATTCCAGTCATCGTTAGAATCTCATACTCACGGCAGCCAGAAAATCCTCATCGCCATGCTCATCACACGCGGAATCTCCCTTGTCAATTTTGCCGTTGCATCTTCAGCACTTGCATTCCAAGTCTTCGTTCTATACCCCTGGCATAATCAACTTGACAAAGAGTTCAAAGACTTGAAAAAAGAACATCTTCGAGTCTTGCAACGGCTCGATCAAGCAAGACTCGATCAACGCGCTTCAGCTTAAATGGAGATATGTTTTAAAGGGCGTCGGGTATCGTGGCATAGAGGCTTTTTGACAGTGGACAACGATTGACAGACCAACAGATTGCTGACCAGTTTCATGTTGGCATCGACTGTGGTGCACGCGGAGGAGACTTGTGTATTTTTTTATCATAGAATATTGTCGCCGAGTTTAGTACCTCCGTTATATAGAAACATGTCTTGAGTGATATGTTCAATATTAAAAGCCAAACTCCAAGGCTCGTATAAGCAGAATACCATCGAGTCCCGGGCATTAGCTAATTGTTATTCCCATTATTACTGTATTTAATTCTTGCATGTGTCAGCCGATCTGGGTAATTGGCGGTGGGTCCCTAAGCAGCCAGGGTAGCCACTGTAGTTCTGTACATGTTTACATGTTGTGTCTGGATATATATTTACATCCACCTCATTCGATCGTCATACATTTTCAACGCTTCTGGTGTGACAGTACAGGCATACGCAAGTTTTGCATTGCCTGCATATTCCTTATCCTGTTTATAAAAGCTGTTAAAGGTCATAAATACTGGAAGTTTCGATAATTCTTTGTATCTTGTGCAGTCTTATCGTGATGCTTCCTTTGCCGCCGGGCAGCTTTAAAGGGGTGGTCTGAAGAATACGCGTGCCTCCTTCTACCTGCGCATATCTGATTCTACGACCAACCATTAGAGTGCCAGAGACATGTGTTTTTCCTAAACATGCTATTTTATTATTTTACGTTAAAATATAAAAAGTCGAAGTGACGAGGATGGATGATTCAAATATCCGCAATGTAATTCATGCAAAGTTGACCAAGTAAGATGGAGAAGGAAAGAAAGCCGACCTAACCATGCCAGGAACAGTGAAATCTTTAAATCGACAGCATAAACAAGCACAGCAGCATAATTGCGGTTGATCTGGCATAAGCAGCATAAATTTACCGAGCTCCGGATGGAAACAATTGCGTCATGCAGTCGATCGTTCCCATTGAGGACGTCATGTGAAGCTATATAACACAGCCTTGGGGCCAAAACCAGAACACCAACAGACCCTTCTGAGGCAGCCACTGATTTCAAGCAACGCCAAGATTGATACTGCATGGAGGCCCTGTTGAAAACCGGTTTTCGGTCTATGTGAACGCATGAAGAGGGCTGTAATCTGGCGATCTGGGGCGCTTTGCCCCTGCTTGGCGATTGGCGATGATTTTGCCCTATGACGATCATGACCATCGAGTTACTACATGGTTTGATATCGATGCTGTTCTATAGACGGTCTATACAAAAATGTTGTTGATTCAATCGTATCCTCCTATATTTGCCAAGTATATAGCCATGGTTATCAACTCTGGCCAAGAAAAGAAGAACAATTCCAGTTCATAGTCTATTCACATGAACAGGAATCCAACTGGTAACCTTCATCTTCGCCCCATACATGGGGCCATTCCCAGAAATCCACAACATGGTAGTTTCACAGCATTCATTATGCGGGGTTTTCATGCAGGGGAAATGATCTTCACCCCGAGATCTCTATCCTCAACCCTTATAGGCCTATATTATGTTTCAAACGTGGACTGATGCAGGGTCTGGCCGAATTTCCATTGCATAATCTTACCTCAGATATCAGAACCTTGCTGGAATAGATCTACTGGCCCAGAAAATGTCTCTTTGGATATGGACTGGTGTTGGTTTTAATAATAGAAATTCGGGATATAGTATGCAGATGGATCGACGATCAATGCGGTGTACCTGGGGGTTTCACCGGATCGGAAGCATGGAGAACGGCTACGCAAGGAGTTTATGCGGGAATTGAAGAATAGAGTGTTTATACTTATCCTGCTGCATTCCAGTTGTGATATAGAACATGTACATAGAACTATATACTGTAAAGTAGGTTATTTCATTCATAGAAAGAATGTACGCCACTGAATTGCATGGCAGTTTCAATGGACTAACAGTCAGATTGCACGTGGACAATGAATAAATCCTTCTGGCTCCATTCATGACTCCATAGAAACATGCAATTGCCCTGCCACTGCCTATCCCAACTGGACTATAGACAGAGATGGGGCCAAAACCAACACCTGCTCGAACTCGTCAACACAGCTATGACTGCAGCCAAGAGTACAGCCTCCTCTGTACTGGACTCTCAGTTCAACATGGTGCTGCAGAAAGGTATAAAGACGGCGTCGTTTGGCAGAAAAAAAAAAAAAAAAAGAATCATCAACAGCTTTCACAGCGCTCTGGATTGCTCAAGAGAAGAAATCTCCTATATTGAACGATATAACCTCGCAAAGGTGTGTTGCAATCGCAAAGTGATAGAGAACTCATCACTAACAAGTCAGCCATCAACATGCGTTTCCTCAACATCGTCTCTGTCTTTGCCCTAGCCACGGTTGGCATCGCAGCACCAATTGACGACCCAATCGACTCAGCTGACATTCAATTGCCCGTCGATTCCATCAATAATGCAACCAACATTGAAGACCCAACCGAGCTGGATGATTCAACCGATATCGAAGCAAGAGACGATGGTTCAATCGACTCGGCTGATATCCAATTACCAGTCGACTCGATAAACAATGCAACGAACATCGAAGACCCCACCGAAATGGATGACATCGACGGCGAAACCGGAATCGAAGCACGAGACGGCGGCGAGTCGTTCTGTGTGGCCGGTAAGCCCGATATCGTGCCTCAGGGCTCGGCCTTCCTGTGGAACATCGCCGTCAAGGGCCAGGATCTCGGGTCCAACAGCAAGGAATGCGCCCCGTGGCTGAAGAAGCGTGTCAAGCAGCAGTCTGCCTGCAAAGCCATCACCAACTGGAAATGCAAGTGGGACGCAGACACCCAGACCAACTTTGCAACCTTCTTCAGTGATATCTTCTGCGGTACTGGGCCAATGCATACGGCTGTTGAGGCTGCTACCTCGCCCCGTGTCAAGACCACGTGCTACAACAACGCCAACAAGGCCCCTGATGCTGGCAGCATCGGCGCGACTGTTTTGGCGAATGCGTTCCAGGCTCTGGGTGGTGCTGTTAAGAAGGGCTAAATGAGTTGACTGTTTCCAGGATGTTTACGCTATCTACTGTCTATACAGTGTCTTAAGACTCCAGTGTCATATTCTTTATTTTTTATTTCGTGTTGCTATAACCGCTCCACTTTTATGAGATGTTTATAATTGCCAAATGTTTATTGATCTTACCATGTGTCTAGATACCTAAATGCAGCTCAACCACCCCCCCACTTCACATGTGTAATATCTATCTTCATTTCCACGAATCCTGGGGCCCTCCCCAGTAATTATAATTTTTTCAATAATGAATAGCCTGATAACCCTTTACCAATCCTCTGCTGCTGATGAGCTCACTGGCCGCCTGATGATTTCATTTACATCTCGCATTTGCGCGACAAAACGTCCAGAAAAAAACACGAATACTGCTATTAAGCCTGCTATTCTCAGCATGCATCAATGTTCATCGAGTGTGGAGCAATGATAAGAGCCTGAATTCGAGGCCCGAGAGTCCCGAGAATGGCGATGATCGGGTCAGCGATCCGGATCCGAGCAACCCGACACAATATCAGGATGGTATTGTGGGGTAAATGGCAGTGATTATGTTGGTACGACCTCGGATCAGTATGAATGCCAATCTGCCTGTATGTTTAAGGGCAACCGAGAGCCAGGAATTATTTAATTGTTATTGGAATTCTACAAGGTTGATATAAAGAGTGTTCCCTTGCTTTTGTCCCCGGTCTCATCCACTTTCATCACAAACTACTTCGAACGCTTCTTAGCTATTGTTCATTTCATATCTCTAGCAAGGATCCAGCAATAAAATGCAATCCAACGACCTCCAAGAGATTGCTCTCGCCCTGCGCACTGCGCGCACCAACCGGCAACCCATCGACGCGCCCATCAAGAATTGGCCTGGCCTCGACGCCGACAGTGCCTTCAAGGTGCAGCAGATTACTGTTGATCATGCCGTGAGCAATGGTGACAGGATGGTTGGATACAAATTGGGCAATATCGCCAAAGCCATGCAAGATGCCTTTGGCCTTGACAAGCCTGACTACGGCTTCCTGCTCGCCAGCACTTTTGCCTATGAAGGAACCTCACTCTCACTCGACCAGTATATCGAACCGTTTGTTGAACTGGAGCCAGCGTTCGTCCTACGAGGTAATCTCCGCGGCCCCAACGTGACCGTCGCCGATGTCATCAACGCGATCGACTACGCCATTCCCGCAATCGAAATCATCGACTCGCGGGTAAAGAACTGGGAGATTGGACTCGCAGACACACTGGCAGACAACGGGTCAACAGGTTCAGTCCTTCTTGGAGGGACTCCTCGACGGTTAACGGATCTCAACCTGAGCAACACCCGGGGAACTGTCCGTTTCAACGACCGCGAGGTTATGGCTGGGAATACGAAGAACATCTTGGGGAACCCTATATCTGCGGTCGCGTGGTTGATTAATCGACTGGCTGCGTACGATATCGAGTTCAAAGCTGGTCAAGTCATCATGCCGGGTAGTTGTTTGCAGGCAGTGCCGATGAAGAAGGGGCATTGGTCTTGCACGTACGAGGGTTGGGGGACCGTCGAGTTTGATGTTGTTTAATAGATAGCGTTGGATGAATGTGATGTATTAAAGAAGAACAAGGAATATATGTAGACTCAGCGATATGATAGGACCAAAAAGGAATGCGTTTCCCCTCATGCATGTTAGTCACGGGACCTGCAATCTCTGGCCAATCACAGCGTAGAGCCATTTGCGGGGTATGTAGATAATATTAACAGCATTATCTTTGCTTCTCACTTCAATCCTCAAGCTTCAAGAATACTCTGCCCACGTAACATTGGAATATCATGGCAACAAATACACGCACGGCTCCCCGCAAGCTGAGAAGAACTGCAAATGCGTAACACCCCCACACCCCCCTCCTCATACGGGGCTAATATATCGCAGATGTGTTGCATGTCGAAGCTGCAAGATCAAATGCTCTGGAGAGCCACCATGCGCCAACTGCCAGCGACGGCTCGTAAAGTGTCGATTTATCGATCCTGCCAACAAAGTCACGGTCGCAGAGGAGTTTGTCTGCCTCCCCGCCTGGTATCATCGTACTGACTGGCGTAATGGTCTAGGTATCTTCACAACTTACAGAGACAGGCGCGAGAGCAGCAGCATCCGAGTAGCAAGCGCTCTGTTGATATAGCCTTTGGACCAGAGATTGATGTCAATGGCGGCTCAATTCCATCATCCTATCTGAATGTCTCAGAAGTGCCGGCACCGTCGCCGATCGACAATGCACGCAGTATCTGGACAAACCCATTTACCTTGCCATCGAAGATCATCAAGAACACGCATATGATCAAGCGAAACTGGAGTATGAGGGCACCGACTGGCGTTGATCCGCAAAGCTGACATGCAAACAGTCTGGCTTGCCCCCTCGTCCATGTGGTCGCTCACTGCTCGGCTTACAGTGATGATGACAGAGAGGCTCCATCTAGAGCCTGTTGCAAGTGACCCCGGTTTCTTGGAGGGCGACATATACGACCTGCAATGGATGCCCTCGACGGATGGCCCTGACGTCAGCGGCTTGCCTTCCATCGACCATTCTCTGTACCTCTTCAACACAGTCAAGTTCCACCTGGGACAGAACTATCGCTTCTTTGACGAGAGCGCATTTACTAGCCACCTGCATGAATTCTACTATGGCAACGCACTGGAAAAGGCAACCGAATGTCGTCTCTGGTTCGTGCAGTTCCTTCTCGTCCTGGCGTTTGGAAATGCGTTTCTATCGCGGTCAAGAAATAGTCAGGATCCACCCGGTTCGAGGTTCTTCGTTCGTGCCATGTCCTTGATGCCGGATCTCCGCTTCTTATGGAAGGACTGCCTACTATCTATTGAAGTGCTGGCCTTGGCTGGATTGTACTTGTATTCGATTGACCATAGGGAGTCGGCACACGTATACGTAAGTGTGCTTTGAGTATTTTTGCGAAATCAGATTAACATCACCAGGTTGGCCAAGCAATACGAATCGCTCAGTTAGAAGGGCTGCACACGCAGCTTCCTGAAGAAGAACTCGGCCCGGAGGTGTTGATGCGATGTCGCAATCTCTGGTGGACGTTGTATATTATGGATCGACATTTCTCATCCTCTCTCGGTCTTCCAATGACGACACATGACAGCGACATAACTACTCTGGTTGACCCGCCAAGCGCATGTTCGCAACAGGATGCTACGTTGAGTCTCCAAGTACGACTGTCGCAATTGCTTTCATCTATTTTGACTAGTAAGCTGAGTCCGGCTATCATTTCCACGTATCTGACCTCTTCAAGCAATATACAAAACCGAAAGAACGCAACTGGGTACGTTCCTTGAGCAGACAAGTGCCATATTGCATACCATGGCAGGACACGCCCAGGAGATTGAAAGAATCATCCGGCTGAAATTTCAAAACTCGCTCGACACCATGCCGAGAGGGACGCGCCACATAACCCTGTCGTATCACCTGGTTTGTCAGCCGTATTTGCTTGCTCTGGCGCCCATTGATTAACCCTCTCAGTGTGTGATGCTGGCTACGAGGCCTCTCCTACTCTCCGTGCTGAAAGAACGACTCGAGAAACTCGATCATGGCGAAGAAGACTGGAAGAGTCTGTTGGCTCCGACAAGAGCGTTGATCCATACGGGTATCAAATCAGCTGTGAAGACGCTTCAGATATTATCGGACGAGAACAGTCTTCTTGGTAAGTCGAGAGGTAGCTATCACCAGCAATACTAACAATGATTCAGAAGTATTTCTTCCATTCGAACTCGAATTCACATACGGTGCCGCCATCTACCTCACTATGACGAAAACGCTATTTCCACACTCTGTCGACGGCGAGGCATGCAGCAAATCTGCGCATTCCATCCTGGACGAAATGATCCACAAGGGAAATAGATTGGCTGAAGTACGAAGCGCAGAATTGACCCATCTCGAGCAGCTATTCCAGCATCTCACTACACGAATAGAGCAACAAGACCTGCAGACTCTGTATTTGTCAACTCCGGAGCAGAGGAATGCTCCCGGGCCGAATATTCATAATGTTCAGGAAGAGCCTGCCACTGATCCTGAAGCGACTACCGCGCCCCTTGCTACAGATCTGCCAATGTCGCCGACTGCTATTGTGCAGGAAGCCGGCGATCTTGATTTTCTTGAGAGTATTGGGATTTCATCTTACGAGTTTCTGTCTATTGTGGATCAGATTGGGAATCAGGAGGGGTTCAGTACTCTTGATCCTAGCTAGCACTGCAGAAATACGCATGTATTAATATCCACTACTTTATCAATCTGCTGTTGATATGCCAATGGTCAGCTAGAATATCGAATATCAACAGATGATCCCGTGGCTGCTGCTCCGAGGGTATCTCGGCTTCTCCACCCGATCCTGCAGCCCCGCTCGGCCTGGTCCGCCCCCCGCATGGACCCACATGAAACAGCCAGTGGGCATCGGGAACGCCACCGAGAGAAGTCTAGTCCATTGGAGATTGGATATAGCTGGGGATATTGATAGGTAATATGTAGAACTGAGCTGAGCATCTGCTGTGATACTTTAGATAAGACCAGGCATTCCGTGTAGGCAACATATAATAAGATCTCCATACTGAGTCTTCCGTATCAATCGACCCTTCAACAAATTTTGGCAATTGTCAACACAATGACTCGACTTCCCCTTCCGAAACCTGCCCCGATCGATCCGTCATATCAGCCCAAGGCTGCAGTGACAGCCATCCCCGCAGATACACCCATCGAATACATCCTCGCCGTCCTCGAGCGAGATGGCGGGGTTATCCTGAAAGACCTCGTCTCTCGAGATGAACTGGCTACCATCGAAGAAGAACTCAAACCATTCAACAAACCACGCCGTCATGTAGACAGAATCGTCAACGGAGACGCCTTTCCCACCATACCAGCCCAGACAGTCCTCGTACCAGGTCTAGTGGGCAAGTCCAAGACAGTCGCCAACATCTGTGAGAGACCAGTACTAGAGGAACTGCGCCAGCGGATGCTCGTGGATAATTTCAACATATATCGCGAGGGCTTTGTAGAGCCGAATACCATCGACCCCTTGTTGAGTCTCAGCGTGTCGATGAGTATCGGGTATGGCGCTCCACGGCAGCTACTACACCGCGACGACAACGTCCATGGGATCAAGCATTCACGAAATCCCTACCAGCCGTGGACATTGCAGCAGGCTAGCCAGTTTGGATGTCTTATCGCCGGGTGCGACGTGACGAGAGAGAACGGGGCAACGATGTTCGTACCGGGAAGTCATAAATGGGGCGATGACCGGTGGGCGAACGCGGATGACGTCTGCTTTGCAGGTATTCAAGCATCCCTATACAGCATTATATACTAAGCTAACAAGAAAGAAATGTCCCCTGGTTCGGCGTTAATCTTCCTCGGATCGGCCTACCATGGCGGCGGCCACAATTCTGTCCCCGATTCCGTCCGGACGATGCATAGTTTATTTTTTGTTCGAGGGACGTACCGGACAGAGGAGAATCAGTTTCTGGCTATTCCTAGAAGTAAAGTACGGGAGATGAGTCCGAAGATGTTGGAGTTGCTGGGCTATCGCAAGCCTACGACGGCATTGGGGATTGTGAATAATATTAGTCCGGATGAGGATGTCGATGGGACTTGGGAAAAGGCGATGCAGTAGGCTCAGCTTAATATTCTGGCAAATAATTTTATTCCATCTTGAATCCTACTGGGAATTGTCCTGCATGTTGTTCATTGACCAAATGGCAGTGATTGCGACCGAGTTGGTAAACTTTCTCCAGTCATTCTATCTAACGTCGTGAATACGGTTTGTCTCGTATAAGAGTATAGTAATCGTCAACAAGTTGAATAAGTGCGAAAGACTACTCTCCATATCTAAGTATACGATGTGTTGATTCCTCCAGTGACAATCATTTTGATAGTCATGTAATCCTCCACACCATACTTACTGCCTTCACGACCCATGCCCGAATGCTTAACACCTCCAAACCTGCAACATGTCAGCTTCCAATCTATAAGGAAAGGAATTGAATATCATACGGTGCTGCGGCGTCAGAAATGACACCAGTGTTAAGTGCCACCATACCAAACTCCAATCTCTCCGACACCCGATGCGACCTGGCTAAATCACTGGTCATCACATATGACGCCAACCCAACATCGCAACTGTTGGCTCTCTTGATCACTTCTTCCTCAGTCGAAAACTTGAACAAGGCAGCGAGAGGCCCAAACGTCTCTTCTGCAAACACGCGCATTGTATCATCGACATCGCCAAGAATCGTCGGCTCGTAGAAATTCTTTCCCAAAAGAGGAAGTTTGTTCCCGCCGAGAAGAACCCTGGCATTCTTGCTGACAGCGTCATTGACATGCTCTTCGATCTTGGTCACTCCGTTGGTCATGGGCCCATGCGTGACAGACTCATCGTGGCCACTGCCTACGCAGAACTTGCTGACTTCCTCGACGAGGCGCTGGCTGAATCGGTCGTAGATGCCATCCTGGACATAGATCCGGTTTGCACACACGCACGTCTGTCCAGTTACCTTGAACTTGCTGGCAATGGCACTGGACACTGCCACCTCGATATCTGCGTCATCGAAGACAATAAACGGAGCATTACCCCCCAGCTCGAGACTGACCTTTTTCAACGTACTGCTAGACTGCTGCATAAGCAGCTTGCCGACCCGCGTTGATCCGGTAAATGATATCTTCTTGACAATATCCGATTCACACAACGCAAGTCCCAGTTGAGGTGTATTCTCCAATGCAGTCACGACATTGAACACACCCTTGGGCACTCCAGCACGCTCCGCCAGAACAGCCATGGCATTCGACGAGAAAGGCGTCAGTCCATCTGATTTCAAAACAACCGTACATCCCGCCGCCAGAGCTGCAGCTATTTTGCGCGCGCCCATGGCGATTGGAAAGTTCCACGGCGTGATGAGGCCACACACACCAACCGGTTCCTTGAGGACATGTGTGCGACTGCTCGGGTTGCTATGCGGTATGACATCGCCGCAGATACGAGGCGCCTCTTCAGCGAACCATTCGAAGAAGCTCGCTGCAAAGAGGACTTCGCCCTCCGCGTCTGCCTTGGCCTTGCCGTTCTCGGATGTGATGATTCGGGCTATATCGACTTTGTTCTCGACCAGGAGGTTGAAGATGTTTCGTAGAATTCGTCCGCGCTGGCGGCCTGAGAGAGCCCTCCATGCAGGGAATGCTTTGGATGCGGCTTGGATGGCATCGTTGAGGTCTTCGGTGGTTGATTCAGGGCATGAACCGAGATATGTCTCGGATGCTGGATCGGTGATTTGGAATGACTTGTTCGACTTTGATGATACCCATAGGCCGTTTATATAGGAGTTTTCAATAAAAAGAGACGGATCTTTCAATTTCGATGCAAATGATGAAGCCATGGTGTAGGGATTTATTGTTTATCGTGGGTAAGTTTCAGTGGCATTAGCTAGTCATTGGGCAATGATTATATAATAATCTTTGAACTTATACTATAAAGTATTCACAATATACCAGGAAGGTTGTATATCCGTGAATGAACCCTATGCAATGATCGGTTCGGGTCGGCTTTCTCGGACTAGTTCTGAGTACACCATAGATCGGCAGTGCCACCCGAAGTAGGTATTCTAACGAAGCCGATAAAGCCGAATGCACGATATGGCAACGTCTATAATTCCAAGTTCAATCAAATCACTCCAGTAAGATACATCTTAGCATGGCATCCGCAGGCCCCATATCCGCTAAGGCCTCACTGGTCGTCATGGCAAGGCGTGCTCTGTGAGATGTTTTACCTACGAACCCTTCGGTATACCCTTCAACCCCTCGATAGCAGCTGAAATCAAATGCCCAACAAAGCCAGGTCTGCCAATTCCCAACACACTGATTTCCACACCCACATTGCGTCTCCACCATCGCCGATTCTCAATACTCACTAGCGAATCTATTCCCAACGACGGGGAACTACTCTCATCAAGAGAATGGAAGACAAGGATAGGATGCTACATAGCATAAATTTCATTTCTCGCTGCAAAAGATCCACACTCTGCGCATTGTCGAGAATTGCGGGTTTTCGGGCTACTCGATTGATGAAATTCACCAAGTCCCCGCCATGATGTTCAGTGTGGACCTCGTGAGTTTGGGCCCCCTAGGGATCAACCCCATCCGTAGATCACGGAATAAGGCACTGGATTCTGAAGTGCTTCGGGGAATCGCACCGGTGGGGAGCTGACTGAGCAAAATTATCAGGCTGATGTGACTTCTGGTGGTGAAGGGGATATCTCAATTGCTTTGAGGAGATCCTTATCCTTGAAGATTGTAACATTCTTCGACTTGAACCGATCAACCATGCTATTTTGATTGACGTAGCCATACTTTCGGACGATTCCTCCTTTGAATCGGGATATGATTCGGCACTGGCTGGATCAATGGGGCTTTTTTCCAGAGTTGAGGGTGTAAGATTGATGTTTTCTGCATGTAGAATTGAAATCTTTACTATCTATACAAGAAGACATGGTAGTAAGATCTATACTGGCTTAAGAATATACAGACACCGTATTAGTCCTCAAGCGGAGGACTTCAACACCTCAGGCATCCATCAGCCTAATCGAGCTACATACTGTGAATCGTGAATGGACAGCCTCCACGGCAGCCTTGTTGGTTTTACCCCGCTCAGACAACACACAAGATACCTTGTGGTAGCACCTTTCGTCTTCCTTTTTCTCTACCTTCTGCGCCACAGATATTTCGAAATGGACGACACACCTGATTTCAAGGCCTACGAGCCTCTCCCGACTCCCAGTTCAATCCGTCTTCTCTCAGTATTCAGGGAGCCGTCCGAAATTTGGTCTGACGTGAAGCAAAGGCGACCGCTTCAGCTATCTCTTGACGTGGTAGACCTGGAAAATGAATGGTGTCCACAGTATTACGCCTTGTCGTATACATGGGGGTCACCCTTTGCGGATGATGACGAAAGGTCCAAACGATATACCCCAGAGAAGAAATGGCCTATTATAGTGAATGGGCAGCGATTCTTAGTCACTCGGAATCTGTATGAGTTTCTCAACCAGGATGCGGGCGGATTCGACTGGGTGGAGGAGCTGTCCGATGTGCATTATCATCCGTACAATCAGACTGCTATGATGATTATTGTCGCCCAAAAGGGAATCCTCATGAAGATGCCGAGCCTTCTTATGAAAGGAGCAGATGTAGGGGCACAGGATGACTTTGGGAAAACAGCGTTGCACTATGCTGCTGAAAATGGGCATCTCCAAGTAGCAAGGGAACTGGTCAACTGGGGCGCGGATATCGAGCGAAAGGACAATCAAGGAAGAACGCCATTGGATTGCGCCAAATCGCAATCGACCGATGAATGTGCTTCTGTGGCTCGCTATCTCGAGAACCCAGACCCTCCCCTATATGCTGGACTCAGCCGTGGCTGGATCAGCTTTTGGATCGATGCAATATGCATCAACCAAAAGGATGTCGCTGAACGGAGTGCACAGGTGAAAATTATGTCGCAGATCTATACCAAAGCTGCCCAGGTCATTGTGTGGCTAGGCATAGAGGATGAGCGTACTGCTCTGGCCAGAGACGCCTTGCATGGGCTCAGTGAGGGCCTTCTAGAGTGGTACAGTCATATCAAGCTCCATCGGTTCTTCATGTATCAACGTCACCCGGGGGATTCAGCTGAGCCAAGACTTGCTGCTCGTCAGGCAGACGCTGTGGAGCAATTGTTCGCCAGAGTATGGTTCCAACGCGCCTGGGTTGTCCAGGAACTGGCTTTGGCACGAGATGTCCGCATTTTCTGCGGTGGCATTGAGATTTCATACCATAGCCTATCACGCGTCCCACATTTCATAAACACAAATAATCGTGAAGATGGAACTGCCATCCAGGACCTGCTATACGCCAGGGGTAACGGGATCGGTGGCATCGAAGCAATGACCTTGATAGACATACGAATACGGACTGCCACAGAGTCAACAGAAACAAGGGCACTCCTGAATGGAATGAAAGTACCTCCTGTAGTAACCTGGAAAGGCAAGTTGAGCCTTCAATCTCTGGCAACAATGACATGGCCATTCAAGGCCACGGACCCTCGGGATAAGCTGTATTCATTGCTCGGTATTGCGCGACGTACAGGCCAGTTTACTCCCGACTACACTTTGCCGGTAGAGGATGTGTTTACTTCATTCGCCAGGTTGTTTCTACAAGGATCCCCAGACGAGCCTATCCAGTCACTGCGCACCGGGTCTTCACGCGCTCTAGAGCCTCTTGAAGGGCTCTCATATGTTCAGGAAACATCTGACAACTTCATCTTCAAACTTCCATCCTGGGTTCCAAACTTTGCAGCCCCTCTGATTGCGCATAGACTGTGGGCACCGGCGTTTAATGCTAGCACTGGTGTAAGTACCACGGGAATTATCCCAGGTGACGACTCTCACACTCTCTCCTTAAAAGGAATCATTTGTGATAAAGTGGTATATGTAGAGCCTTTCTTCACTAGCACCCTGGCTTGTATTCACGCATCCTGGCCCCTGATGTTGCGCCTCTTTCCCTCTATATATCCTACGGGCGAAAGCCTTGTGCGTGCTCTATTCTACACTCTCATGGCCAGTCAAGCAGGAGAAACATCCACTATCTCTGCGGAAGCAGAGATGTCATTCCGAAAATTTCTAAGGCAAAAAATGACGGATTTCGAGCCCGGCGAAGGAGATTCATATCCGCTGTTAGGACTACTTGACGAATGTGATGCATGGGATCTGCCGCACTCATTCATCAAGGCCAAGAAGCCTCAGCGTGACTCTCTGAATGGGTCTCACAAAATTTTGGATGCCATTCCTGTTTTTTCTAGGTTAATGGATACATATCGATCGAGGAGTCTCTTCAAGACAGAAAAGGGATACCTTGGTGTAGGGCCGGAGTCGATTAAACGAGGCGATGAGATATGGATTATTGCTGGTGCGCGGACCCCATTTATCCTCTCCGAGGCTTCACCCAAGGACAGTCCTGCACGGAGTGATGGGGGCTCCTCAAGAAGAGGATCAAGTCCCATTTCACCGCGGAGGTTCGTCGGTGAGACGTATATCCATGGCATCATGAATGGGGAGGCCATTCGAAACCGACATCGGGACTTCAGACCTGTGTCATTGGTGTAATTACATTGTTGATTGGACCAGAACAGGACTTCGATTTAAGTTTGGGGTGGCGCATGACATTAGTATACACAAAGTCTGTTCTCAGTCTACTATTATATATTGAGATCCGTGAGACTAAAAGGCACTGGCAGAATGGGGCATTGTACAATCAATATCTGATATTATGCTAGTCCCACAGACTTCATAAACTGATGTGTCGGGACTTTGCGAATCGGGTCTTCGGGTCCCCGGTTATTATTGTAAGCAGACTTTGTCTGGTAAGAAACCGGTGCCACAGGCCGTCGCGAAGGATTCCACGGAATTGAAATACCGAGCGATGTCAATGCATCCTCATATTGCTCGTCCCGGAGAGTAGGGAATAGACCTCCATGGAAATATCAAGTTCGAAGACCGCCTGGCACGCGACAGCATGCCTATAGGTACCTCCTCTTACTAGAGGCTCTGACCGCCAGTCCGCATTCGAATAACTCCCATTCGCTGACTTTGATATCCAGGCCTGTGAGCGTTGGGTCTACAGTAGATGCGCAATTTCTCTGCTTCTCCGACGTGATAAATCGGCAAAGCTCCTTGCATGATTAGGTCGAGATTTCTGGATCTGTGATATTATTGGCGCTGTAGTCTGGATGTTCGGCGAGGCTGAGTGGCAGGTTCAGGATCAGATGGGAAAGTTTGGAAGACGGCATATGGTCCTAACGGTATCATAGGGCTGGACAGTTAGTAACAAGCGGCCATGCTGGGTGAAGCATAAACACTACATACCCATTCTAGCGTTCGGGGTAGACCCAAACTCAGGCTTCGAAAACCAGGAAACCAATCAATCACACTGTCGATGTCGTCAAGGAGCAGAAAGACAGCCTTGTTACTTTCTCTGTTTTGTCTACTCGGGCCACCGCCTGGGTATATTTTACCGGGTGCTTGTCTTCGATTGGTATAGCGGAATTGAAGATGCTGTAGTGATTGACTGTGAAAGATGGATCGCTTCTGCAAAATCTGCAGTGGTAGATCATAGAGGATACATGTTTTCAGACTCGCCAAACCCCCAAAGAATGGTCCAGCTGCAGCAATCATATCCTCTGGGCACTCAACCGATTTACTGCGCAATTCAGTCGACTCGACCTTCTCTAAGGTGTTGGCCAAGGCAGGAAAGAAAACGAAAAGGTCCATGTCAAATTGAAAGATGTCTCAAATAATCCCACTGGATGTAAGCTTTCAACGGCTCTAGCTGATCGGCCGGCAATTCCATGTTGAACCATTGAATCCGCTCCAGAGCCGGGAATTGGCCGCCTGGCTCGAAATCCAATCTGCTTGGAATGCCCCAAGGGCTACGCGTCAGTCCGCTAGTGGATCCTCTGAGCTTCAGTATTCGTAGATTTGCACAGGACTGAATGATTTCTTTCAATCTCGTCTCCTCTGGTGGATTACCGCACGAAGGCCACTCCACAGTCAATGAATACAGGCTCTCCCATCCCAGAAGCGCATCTACTGGGTGTTGCTTGGACCGTAGAAGCACTTCAATGGGAAACATGCCGTATACGGTAGCCTCTGGATGGTGCTGCTTCAATGCATCAAATATGCCTTGTGTCTTAATGTCTGTATGCCACTAACTGGCGTCGTGATTGTTCCATCTTATAATTTTACCGTCAATAATACAGGATAGGCAGGTGTTGCTACTTAGGTGTTGTGACTTACACAGAAACGTTCAGATTTTCTATCCTCTCTACAACCCCCTGGAGCATCTGGTACGAATCCTCCTTCCACCCACCATGGACATATATCGCCTTAATAACTCGTAAAAGCCGCTTATTGACTAGTAGATACCTTAAAAGCATGCGGCTTCGATCCCATGTTAGATGCAGCTCCCGGAAAAGCAATGGGATGGCGAGGTCATAGAACTGGCGGCAACACTGGTCGAGCGCCTTCAGGGAAGGCCAGTCACCATAATACAACTATCGGGGTTAGCGTTCGACAGTATCAATAAATCATCAGTCGTACGTATTGGGATATAAGAGACCAAAGCTCCTGAGGTAAGGTCGGTAATGTTTCTGAAGGCATTCCTCTCTGGTGTTCGATATATAACCCATTAGAAAATCGAAAAGAGAGAGAGGTAAAATGGGCTTGGCAGCAGGGAGAAACCGCATTTATATATCCCTGTCCCTGTTCTTAGTAGTATGGAAGGGACAGTCGATCTTTCCTCATTCTTTAAAAAAGAAACACCTGTTTTTTAGAGGGTTGCGTTTGCTCGCATGGTCTACTCGAGCAGGTCTTCTAGCCAATTAACAGACAGCTGATATACAACCCCTCTTCTGCAATGACTCGCTCTAACATGATCTCTCAGAAACACCATTACCCTGCTATATTCTGACCCTGTCTACTGGCTTTACGTTTCCAATTGGTAAGTTCTCTCGCATTTTAGCATTATTCATAACGATAACGCTGGACAACTGGACTTGTAACCCCGACTTTCCACCTTGCCAGGCCTCTATATAGATCGGTAGTAGCGAACATAACGGTCTTTTGTCTGAAACGACACTGGTGTAACTGGTCTGCGAGACGAATCCCACAGAACAGAAAGACCGAGCTATCAACGCATCTTCATATTGTTCATCGTACTGCTCTAGGAATGAATAGCAAAGGGGCACGTGGTCTGTAGATCACCTGGCACCCGATGACACACTCATAGATACTTGCCTGTTTCAAGACTCATGAACTTTGGCTCCAGTCGCTCCCATTGACTACGTTATCAAATGAACTAAAGACAGATACCAGTTTATATACAACAGAATGAAGTAACAGGAACATGGACTGTGTAAGAGCTATAGTGCATCCAATCCGTCTTGATGCTCTATATACTATCCATCTCCCCCATGGCTTTAAAGGGTGAGCATTCCATTAGTTCCCGCGATAATTTACTAGAGAAAAGAGCTAAATACTAAGTCTGCATGCTTGTTCCTATCGTGGTCATTAAGAGGCTAAATATTTTGAAACAAGATAATGGCCCTGTCATTTCCACGTATGTACATATGTTACTTGCCAGTCATTGCCTATGCGGGAACTAATTTAGAATTGCAGTTTAGGCCATGTTTTAATATCGCAGCTCTTGAATCAACAACGGGGCCAAGCTCCCTCGGATGGCCCTCCTTCCGCTGCGCCGCGTTTATCTTTTACCAAATTGGTTCTTTTTCATTTTCATGATCATCATCGGCGGTTAAAATTCATCTAATAATGCTATACCATTGGTTGCCCTGTCCCAGCGCAGTGGTTCTGCCGTCTCATGTGGGGAACTCAAATTTTGAACCTCTTGTCATGCCCCACCGGATGTGACAATCCGACGCAGATGGCCCTTTGCACTGATCAATTGAGTTATCCTGGTTAGTTAGGCCCAGGAACCGTCAGTTTATTGGCGCCCCTAACCTCATCCCAGTAATTAAACGGCTTGGTTCAAACAAGCATCCCCGCACTAGTGTAGAATACATCAAGACCGAGGCATTTAATCTTCTTATAAAGAGGGGTTCTGTCCTTGAGGGAGAACGGATCTTGGGAATTCTTACTCTATTGTTCTCAGTTTTGTGTATACCGAAAACTACACCACCTGTAGCAGCTATAAATATCAACACACAATGAAGCCCACACTCCTTGTTCAGACCGTTTTTATATCACTCGTCGTGGCATCTCCTTATCATGAGCAAATTTCACATCCTCTAACTGAAAATACCGATATCGCCTATCTACATCGCTCGTCCAAGCTCCTACAAAAGTTCTTACAACCGAACCACTCAACAAACATACCCGCCAATCTGGACGTTGGGAACAAAAATTCCAAATCGAAAACAGAACTTAGCAAGAACTGGGCCGGAGCTGTGCTCGACGCACCACAAAATTCGGCCTTTTCATATATATCCGCGACGCTCACCGTCCCCAAGCCATCCGCCATTGGATCGTCAGACTACCAAGCGGCCAGCGCATGGGTTGGAATTGACGGCCTTGATGTGCCCACCGCTCTGCTCCAAACCGGCATCAACATTAATATAATCAACGGCGAGCCATCCTATAACGCCTGGTATCAATGGTACCCGAGCCCGTCGGTCAACTTTGACATTCCCATACACAAGGGCGATGTCATAGTCGCAACTGTCAATGTGACTTCCCCCAGCGCGGGAATTTGCCAGATCGAAAATCACACCACCAAGCAGATCGAGAGTAAGAATCTAACTGCACCAGATGCCACAGCGACGCTGGCTGGGCGAAATGCAGAATGGATCGTGGAGGATTTTAAAGCAGATGGAAGGCGTGTGGATTTTGTGGATTTTGGGCAACTCGAGTTTCATGGTTGTACAGCCATCACAGGTGGAGATCGTGTTGGCAATTACAGAACATACGGACTTGGAGATAGGCCGACAATATACGAATTGGTGAGAGATGAAGAGGTGGTGACAGATGTGCATGTCATTAGTCCTGATACACTAGGTGTTGTTTATAAAAATTGATGATTTGTACCATACTAAAAGCAAGATTACAAGATGCATGGCCCTTATTCTGTAGGAGCATGTGATGACAGTCAGCTCATACATTGAATATGTGAGCCAAGTTATCCCTGAAGACGAGAATCACAGCACAAGTCGTTCAGAGTTGATGGGGTTGCAAAGGTGCGAGTCATGCCGAGCAAAGCGATCGGACAAGGCCGATGCTAGGCATTGCAGGATAATGCCATTGATGCTACATAGATCGATGTGAGTGAGGGGGCGTCTTGAAAGGGACACCCTCGTTGGCTATCTATCCATGTATGGTTGATGTTGCATCTGCGGAGAATTGGCAATGCAAGGGATCGATCGAGATTGCAATCAGCCAAGCCACAGTTGACAGTTGAATTTTGTGTAACTTGAGTTGTTCTTTTCTTTTTCGGGAGAAATTCCGAATATAGGGTAAGGAATGTGTGGATTATTACCTGTTTCATCCACATTCTCACCAGCAGTACCAGGTTTGTGGCGTGCATCTAGACTTGATACTATAGGTGAATAGAAGGATACTTCCTTGGCTAACAGAGGCTAGACATTCAATCATTACTAACAGCCGTACAGTTACACTTAAATGGCTTGCCAAAGTTGGTATTGAACACGCCCTGGTATACCAAGACACGTAGACTGAACCCCAGCATCTGATTCCATCAGGAAATACATACAGGGCCACTCATTCATGCAGTCAGCAGAGAAACCACCTCACCCCACAGCGAGTCATAGGCCTGGTATGTATTTGTATTACTCAAGTATGTTTGACCAGAAATGTCACAAAGCTGCTGAACCAAACTCGAGAGGTCTACTGTCCCCGGGATATCATAGACCATCGAAGCCAGCTTCTTTGAGTCAACACCTTTGATGCTTTTAAACTCATTGGCTTCGACAGCTTCTAGGAACTGGCTGTATGGTGATTCGAAAATAACAGTGAGGTCTGGGATATCCAGGTAGGCGGTGTCGGGGACTGTTCCGGGGTTCATAACAACCTTAATAGTTAGCATCTCTCTGCGTCATAGGCTAAACAGACTTACTTGGTTTTCTGGGCCAAGCCCATCACTGCCTTTGATAAGCGAAGCCAATTTTTGATAGTATGTGACAGTATCGGAGCTATACTCAGCAGGGGCCTCATCAAGAAAAACACCCTGGACTGCAAATGAACCGTTTCCACTTGCAGACGCCCATCCAGCATATCTCTTAATATCCTGTTCCACTTCAGATATGTCCCGAGATCCAGTCCCAGTGGGAACATAGCCTAGAACAAGCGCGTTGCTGTGAGCAGTGAGCTTGGGAACTTCCGTGATGAAGGCATCATCGGGCAAGGAAGAAGAGCCGGGGCCGTTGTCTGGGTTGATGATGATGGTGAATTCTACGTCTTTATTGGCAGCGATCCTGCATACGGTTGATATTAACATGCGTCTCTTGCATTCAAGTACAGGCAACATACAATTTCTCCAAGGGCGTCCAGGCTCCTTCAGATGGGTATAGGTAGAATGGGATGATGACATTCGCTTTGGCTGTACTGTTTGTGGATACTGGGGATCTGGAGGGTGTAGCTGAGGGAGTAGCAACGCTGATCAATGTAGAGCTAGCATGAGTGCTCTTGGCAGGTGTTGGCTGAACAGACACGCTGCTTGCTGGGAGACTGCTTGTAGAAAAGCCATAATGGAATCGACCTCCAGGGCCATGGTGATAACGGGCAGGAATATGCGCAGCATAAGCCTGTTGAGATAGAATTGAAGTGTAGCCCAGCACAGCTGCAATAATAAAGGAAGGGTATCGCAGATACATGGTGACTGGAAAATAGAAAAAGGAACGACTAAAGAATGAAAACAAGAAAGCTTACCAGAAGCCGATGAGTTGAACACACAGAAAACGGGGCAACTGCTCGTTTAAATACTCCTACTCCATATAGAAGGATGATGCTGTAAGCCCTAGATCTATCATTGTCATTGTCATCTTTGGCAGTGGATTGGATGATCGCTAAGCGCTAGCACCAGCGTTCCCATGGCTGAAACAGGGTCTCCGCCCAGGGCGACCTTCTTATTGGATAAAATTCGGCGCTTGTCGTTTTGAGGAAATTAAATGGCGTCGAATCTTCTTACATCTGAGCTCTGATTGGACAATGGAAAAAGCCAGGAACACAACGAGTCAACAATGCCGATGATTGCAGAGGATCGTGGCTGTGAGTGGTGATAGTCAGATCTCGTGACACAGGGCCTGCCCTTAATTACTGGGCACTATCCAGCAGCGTCATATCTGCCTAAATGAGCTATTCAGGTTTTCTGAGGCTTGACGTAGCGACGATCCAAAGATATAACTCAGGGTGGTAAAGGGTGCTTAAAACGGCAACTATTTCCCCACAGTCTTGGCGTTGAGTGATTTAAAACAGCGTGTTTTTTCTCCTTTCGTGATAGTGCCAGAATTGAAGCGGGCTTATCTTTATCCCATTGAATCCTGTAATTCTGTCATATCTCAGGTATCTCAGGTATCTAAGATAAATTCTAAGATAGGTATTTACTGATAGTGGTGAAACAGAATAAAAGAGTAATAGGGATCAATTGGTTATAAAGTTCTATAAACAGGAATACTTGGTGATAAAGACGAAGATCCCGGGTGGCGACCCGACGTGACACGAACATTCAACCCCAGATATTTGGCCTCAACAACCGGCTAGGCTCCCGAGTGATAAAAGCCAGGAGGCAAAAAAACCAAACTGACGTTGCCCTGGAGGATACCGGAAACGATCAGATTTAGGGCGGTTTCTACATTTTTACCCCGCTTTCTGAGGTCGACCATGACATACGCTATCTGCAGTGCAAAGTGGAGATGTATACCACTTTAAAAATGCCCCGAATCCCAGAAAAAGCAAGGGAACATCTGCGATAATTTTCCAGAATGTCTGACAAAGAATACCCCAAAATGCCCTTGGATAAAGAAGATAACGAATTGGGCCTGACTCCCTCCCACAACCAAATTGGGGAGATCCGCGATGCTCCATATGCCCATGATGCTGTCTTTGGAGACATCACCGAAGATGGACCCAATTATCGTAACGTATGTTGCTTGGCCATTGTGCTTTCAATCGTCTTCACACTGACTGGTTGTAGGTCGGATGGATGGGGACCATTGCCCTTATGATCAAGACCCAGATCGGCCTCGGAGTGCTCTCCATCCCCGGCGCCTTCGATATCCTCGGAATTGTTCCCGGCGTCATCTGCCTGCTGGCCATCGCCGCCATCACCACCTGGTCCGACTACATGGTCGGTGTCTTCAAGCTGAACCATCGCGAAGTGTACGGCATTGACGATGCCGGTGGGCTCATGTTTGGTCGTCTTGGTCGTGAATTTTTTGCCTTCGCCTTTTGTCTCTGTAGGTATACCAATGCTATCAGTTTATATGATCTTCTGACATCGTGTATACTGGATTTTTGTCACCGGATCTGGTATGCTCAGTCTATCGATCGGTCTAAATGCCGTCTCCACGCACGCCACTTGTACAGCCGTCTTCCTCGCCGTCGCTGCCATTATCGGGTTCGTGTTTTCGAGTATCCAGACTCTCGGACGGCTCACCCTCCTAGCATGGCTTGGTGCATTCAGTATCCTCACTTCGAGTACGTTCTCCATCCTGCAGCAGACACACCTAGCTAATGCCGTATAGTCCTTATCCTCACCATCTCCGTTGGTGTTCAAGACCGCCCTGCTGCCGCCCCCCAAGATGCCCCTTGGGCCTCTGACTTTAAAATAATCGGCAATCCCAGCTTTTCAGACGCTATATCGGCCGTTGCGACCCTCGTCTTCGGATATGCCGGGACCCCAGGTTTCTTCTCAATCGTCTCTGAGATGCGCGATCCTGGCTTCTACCCTCGCTCCCTGATGATTTGCCAGAGTGTAGTGACGGGAACGTACATTATCATCGGTTGTGTCGTCTATTACTACTGCGGATCCTACGTGGCCTCGCCTGCTCTTGGTTCGGCCGGTGTGACGATGAAAAAGGTCTGCTATGGCGTTGCTCTCCCTGGTTTGATGGTCACCATTATGCTGGTTTCTCACGTAAGACTCTCTCTGCTGCTATCCTTTGAATTGAAACTGATAAAAATAGTTGCCTGCCAAGTATATCTTCCTCCGCATCCTCCGAGGCTCCAGACATCTCACAGCCAACACCTTCATCCACTGGGCCACCTGGCTCAGCTGCACGTTCAGCATCGCCATAATCGCATACATCATCGCTAGCGCCATTCCAGTCTTCGATGGTCTCGTCTCGCTTGTCGGAGCCTTACTCGGAACACTCATGTCATTCCAGCCAATGGGGTGCATGTGGCTGTATGACAACTGGAGTAAAGGAAAGGTTGACAAAAAGCCCCGGTGGATTGCCATGGTTTGCTGGAGTTGTTTTGTGGTAGCATCTGGTACTTTCCTCATGGTGGCTGGTACTTATGGGTCTGTGGTGAGTATCATGAACAGTTACAAAGAGGAGGGGGGATCAGCTCCGTGGTCGTGCGCTGATAATTCGAATTCGGTATGATTCGATTGTGTACTTATTGAGCGGATGACTATCTTAGCATTGTGTATAAATTCAGGTTATTTATGACGTCTGTCGCTTTTACTTCCATGGTAATAGTAATGTGGGACTAAGTTGAAGACATGCATTTCTACCCCTTTGTGCATGGCAAATGGCCCTCTAGTATCAAGTCTTACCAAAGCACACTTATCGGACATATACGCATTATAGAAATATATTAAACGCCAATTATTACCAATTATGTTTGTCTATAGCTATTCAGTTACATGCCACTGGTCACCGACTCTAAACCCAGTCGGAAACGGATCCGATGGATCAAGCACCATCTGCTTGAAGCCGGTAATCCACGCACTCCCTTTGACAGTTGGCAGTACTGCATCAAATTCTCCCACCTTTGTAGTCCCTCTTATATGGCAAGTAAATGTACTCCCAATAATACTGTGATGATCGAAACTTTCCCCAACCTGAAGCTGCCCTCGAGCATGCAGAACTGCCATTCGAGCACAGCTTCCAGTGCCACAGGGGCATCGGTCGAATCTTCCCGGTGACACAACAACTGTGTTCACGGCAGACTTGGTGCCGTCTGGCTTAATCTGCAGTGGCTCTGTGAATTCCACGATGGTGACATCTCTGATCTGCTCATTCTCAGGATGAACTGGTGTATACGTCTCCCGAACAGCCTTCTTAATCCTTTCACCAAGATCAATCAGCTGAGGTCCCTTGGTGTTATCGATGACCACCCCAATCGATGCAGCGTCAACAATGGCATACATCATCCCACCCCATGCTATATCAACCAACACAGTTCCCAAACCAGGCACTTCAACCTTTAAATCCAAGACATACACAAAGGAGGGTACATTATCAAATGAAACAGCCTTACACTTTCCATCCTCACAATCAGCCGTAATACCCACCAACCCCGCCGGTGTATCCAAATTCAACTTTGTAATTGGCTCTGTCATCTTCACCATCCCCGTATCTAACAGCACTGTAGCGGTGGCTATCGTATTACCCCCGGACATGGGCGGATACTCATCACTCTCCATGATAATGAATCCGGCATCAGCCGCGGGATCGCACGGGGACAGGACGAGGTTGGTGCACATGGCTGAACGCCCGCGGGGCTCGTTAAGGAGGAGCTGACGTGTTTCATCGGCGTTCTGGGAGAAGTGGAGGAGCTTTTCGTACATGCTTTTGCAGTGGGGAGGATCGAGGACGCCGCCGACGATTACGTCGCAGACTTCGCCGGCGCAGTGGCATCCGATTACGGAAATGGTGCGGTTGAATTTCATGATATCAGTGGTTTGACTTTGGAGATGGTTTGATGATGATGTATTGCAGAATTGGATATGGTATGATGGAATATATAGACGCTGTATTAATATTCCCCTCATGACTAAGGTACCACGTTCTGTACCATGGTTCCTATCTGTCATACTTGAATCGGTGGGTATCTATCCGATCCGGTACTGCATGCGGGGTTCAACCATTGCATTGTCGCGATATCACCGGCTTGCTTACCGTATGCCAGAGATATACACGATATTCAATAGATATGAAAGTTTCCCCGCACGATACCACGTCGTCAGACAATCGCCCCAACCAAGTCGCGCGACATGGATGAGGGGATTCTGAATTACCATTATCAATGCCAATAGATATCCACACGGAGATCGGCAGCTGTACCGTATCAACAGTCGGGTGTGATGCCGATTGCTGCCTTGGGCGTTTGTCGTTTATCTCGTTTCAGGGTATGCACATACCACCCATCCCGTGTCGGCTTGGATTTCGGTGACTTCCACATTCCCCTATTCTCTTACTATGGTTCTCACATTGGTATCGAACACAATTCAAGATGACATACAGATCCCTAGACAAGAAAAATGCCATTGTCACTGGTGGCTCACGCGGCATCGGCAAAGGCATCGCCCTCGAACTCGCAAAACGCGGCGCCAACATCCTCATCACATACAACAGCTCGGACACCCAAGCCGAAGAAGTCGTGACCGAGCTCAAGAAGCACGACGTGGATGCAATCGCCATCCAAGGACGAGCAGACGACCCCACTGCACCAAAAACGATAGCAAAAGCAGCATTTGACAGATGGGGCTGTATAGACATCATCATCAACAATGCTGGAGCACGCGAAGACTACGCTTTCGAAGAAATGACGTACGAAGCATTCGAAAGGCAGGTAACAATTAACCTACGATTCCCACTTTTCCTCGTCAAAGAGGCAACGCCGTTATTCGGCAAGTCTCCCAGAATCGTGAATCTATCCACAATTTGTGCTCGGGACGGCCAACCAGGCTGTCTAGCGTACGTGGCATGCAAAGGTGGCATGGAAAGCGCGACACGGTCTCTCGCAAAGGAACTGGGCCATAAATACAATGCTACAGTCAATTGTGTCAATCCTGGTCCGGTGAATACTGATTTGTGGGAATCGAGTATGAAGGACCCGGAATTGCAGAGTACTTGGGGTGAGGCTGTCAAGGCTACACCGGCTGCTCCGCGGGTTGCAGAGGTGGATGATATTGCTCAGATTATTGCCTTTTTATCAGAGGAAGGAAGTCGATGGACCACGGGGAGTGTTGTGAATGCAAATGGAGGGCTGTTGTTTGTATAAACGCTGGGGGTAAATGAAGCCTGTAGCCCCTTTACCAGAATTCACGAGCATGTTTGCTTTTCTCGGTCAAATTCATGAGCAGAGCTTTATTCTGAGCGTAATCAGAGCTTCGACTTTATATTATCCAGATGTCTTCCATTGGCTTCATCATCATTCGCACTAGTAATACTTGCAGCAATATCCTTCAGCTCCGACAGATAATCATCATAAACCCCCCGAGGCGTCGTGCCATACTTTTTACACAAATGGGCAGCCGCAGCAGTCGCAATCGCATGCTGTCCACCGTTCCCCATAAACTTGGTATTCGAACCAGCCACATGTGTAACGCTGATATGTTTACCAGCCATCATCAGATTGGCTATATTCATAGAATACAGACAGCGGAATGGAATATCGTATGGCTTCCTGTCACGCTCGTCCCATTCCCAGTACTTGAGTCGGAAGTCGTATTTGTCGTTTCCAGGATAGTGAAGACAGAACGCTCCTTCGTTCTGGACCACAGCGTCTGGGAACTTTGTGTGATTACGGATGTCGTTTTCGGTGAGGATGTAGTCGCCTTTGTAGCGGCGGAATTCGCCTTGCGCGGGGACGTAGGCTACCCAGTCGAGTTCGAGGTTGGCATAAGTTTCCGGTTCCATTGTTTTGACGTTTGAAAATGTGCCGTAGATAGCACGAAGGAGATGGTCGCGAATGTGCTCACCCTGTGTATAGGGATCCAGCCACTGTCCATACTCCCAAAAATGGGTGAGAGGTCCCTTCATACGCCGACGAATCGAAGGGTCAGAGACATGATTGGGAGAGACAGCGACAGGTCCAGGTCCGTTTTCAATACCAGGTTTCGTGAGTTGACCACGCAGGTCTGAGAAGTCCTTGGCTACTTCTGTGGCCCATGGGACGGCAGGGAAAGGGACTGGTGATTCCGCCATGCGGGTGCGGAAGAAGACAGTGTTTCCATGGTGCATGTCATCGCGCTGCGCCGGAGCCAGACCCTCGCCGTACTCTGCTTTTGATTCTTGGCCAAAAAGTGTCTCTGCGCCTGAGTAAAGCCCCAGAATGGATTTTCCGGAACAGTCGATAAATACTTCCGCTGAGAGGCGGATCTCTAGTCCGCTGTGGGCATCGCGGGCATCAACAGAAACAATACGGGAATCGGCAGTGACAGCGTCGTAGACGTTGTGGTCCATGAATACCGTCGCATTTGGCTCAGCATCAAGCAAGTTTTTCGCGTATATATCGCCATTCGCATGACGCTCCGAGATCTCATCGATAAGTGGTCCGGTCACGCCGCGAGGGCGGAGTCCAATCTCCACGCTTGCATTCCCGCCCAAGTACGGACGGTTATGAACGAGAGCAACACGCTCTCCGAGTCGCGCTGATGCCAATACGGCAGCAGATCCTACAACGCCACCTCCAACGACAACAACATCAAAAGTTCCCGCATCCACTGGCTTATCGGGAAGTCCGCGAAGGCTCCGCCGCCATTCCGGTGCCGCCTCGTCGGGCGGAGGCTTGGCATTCAGACTGAGGAAGATGGCGTCACAACGACCACAGAATCCAGTCAAGTCGTGCAGTGAGAGTCTGGCTTTACCTGTAGGCAGTTTGATAATGCCTCCAAACTCCCACGACCAGTTCCGATCGTTGGCACCAAACTCAGGATTGAGAGTGGTCTCGTTGATCGCAAGTGTGAATCTTCCTGGATGATGACCCGGAACCCAGTCTTTGGCGCGAACCCAAACATGATACCAGCCTGCTTCTGCGATTGATATGGTTGTAGTAGCATCAGAAACTGGTCTACCATTTCCGTGAGCTAACAGATAAGGTGAGCCCATCTCATGCTCAAACTGCGAGTCCATGATCCAGCCGCCATAGTTGTCGAATTCCTCGGCCTCCACCAAGATATCTGCGCTAGACTTCTGCGACATTCTGTACACTATCTGATCCTATGTATGATAGCAAACAATAAGAAGATGAAATAATAAAAAAAAAAAAAAAGGTAGAACGACATTTTGACAAACGCGACCTTGTTGTTTGATATCCGCTGGATATCCGCAAATCCCGCCCCATCCGGAGCCGAGATTTATAAACAGCCGAGGTTTAGAGTTGATCTGGTGGAGATCTGGGGTAGTTCATTAGATAATTTAATTTATATCTTTCATTTTCATCTAATGTGAATTTTCCAGATTAATATATCTGATAAGATCCCTAACAAACTCCCCTTCTTAACGAGTGGGAGTGACATGTGGAATATATATAACGGCTTTCCAGAAAGCATATGAGCAATATAATCTTGTGCCTTTTCATTCAACCCCGAAAATAAATTATGTCTAGTAATCTATCTCACAGTGCGCATACGAATTTGTACTATAGCCATTGATAAAAAATAATTCCAAGGTAATATCTTCTATCAAAGCAACGCAGGTAAATTGGGGCTGTGTTTCATGTACAATGCTGGTTGGCCTCGCTCCGAGCCCTGCGGGGCAACAATGTTGATCTCCAACTGCGATCTTAAATACCGTGACACCATCATTGTCAATCAACACCCTTCTTCAAAACCTCTATTCTATCATCCACTATGCTGGTCCGACATCGCCATCTCGTAGCCCGTGGAACACCCGTTCAACCACCTCCTCACCCCATCGCCATCCGAACAGAGCACATCCCCAAAGAAAAAACATTGATTTACATCCGGCCCAAAGCCGACCCCTACTCAGCAAACGACTACACGGTCAAAGATGACGCCACAGATGAAACCCTCTTCACAGTAACAGGCAAGAAATACGGCAACGACTCTGGCCGCGAATTCCGCGACTCATCCGGCCTGCCTCTCTTTGAACTCCGTCGCTCTTATCGATTCCCTGGATGGCGCACAAAAATCAATTTACCAGGCGACAAGGAAGATCTGGTGGAGGTGAAACACAGGGCAATGAATGGCAACTTTGATCTGATATTCAAGAATCAGGCTGCGGTGCATTCGAAAGCGGACATCGACAAGATTGTTAAGTTGGAAGTGCATCGCACTGCGCCTGATCCGCTGCTTAGCTTCGGGGCTGTTGTTGGTGATACCAAGGTTGTTGATGTGCGTGAGAGCTTGGAGAGCAATAAGTCTATTGTGCATATGTACACTCAGTATGGAGAGCCACGGCCGAAACGAGTCATGGATGTGACCGTGGCAGAGGGGTTTGATATGGTGCTGGTAGGCATAATCACGCTGCTTTTGGTGAAAATGACTAATGTTGTAAAGGCATCTTTGATTTCGGTGATGGCAGTAGACTCGGCCTGTCCTGTGGACAGATTGGAGACATGATGATATTCATTGTATGCCTTTCAATCATTGCACAGTGTTATACAACTTCTTATATTGCTCCCAACATGAAGAGAATCAGCCACGCATCGAATAACACTAGTCCATATCCAATTTATGTATCCTTCGTCGTTTGATGTGACATGGCAGTGGACCTCGTAGTAAGTTCTCTTGTACGCTATTCATTACCTCCACGTCATCTCTAACAGAGCAACTAATTGAGCCTCATTATTGGCGCCTAAATAAAAACACGGCAGGAGATAAACACGCAATTCCATAAGTGGGGCGATACTATTGGGGGCGATGCTTAAGACAACTTAACCCCTAAGGTGGGGGCCATGGGATGCTGCACATTGTTGGTGGAAGATATTCAAGGCAATGATTAGCATTAAAACAGCGAATAAACAAAAGAAATAAGGGTGAAAGTTTTTTTTGTAAAATCACGTGTGGTCACGTCGGCTAATTAGCGTGGTCTACCTTAGCTGCGGTCTGAGTTTGTCATCAGCCCATCGCCTTCATGGCACATTCCATCATCTTTCATCTCACTTCCAGGAATATATCTTTCTTCAATCAAAAGGCGTCAATATATTGAACATCAACCGGTAATACTCTTTGTTCCTTCTAAATATACATTGACAACATGTGCTTACGGCCTTTTCAAGTCAGAAATAGTCTGTGAAAGGATCTATTGCAACCCAAAACAAATCAAAATGCCACAACCATCAGCCAAAGATCCTTTCCAAGAATCTTCCTCGTTGGAATATCAAGAGCCACCACGAAAGCAAAATTTCTTCCGCCACCTCTACACTACTCCGTACAGTCAACTGACTGTTTGGGAGATCCTTCTAAGATTTCTTATTGCCCTCTTATTCGGGGCAGCGATAGGTGCTGTTATAGGAGTCATTATCCGTTTTGCGTAAATCAATCGGAAAATGAAGATGCTGTCATGAGAGAGTAATAGATTGATGTGATGATATTGAAAATGTACTTAATCAAACTTACAATCTGTAATCGATTCATTTTGAGTCATAATAATGAGCATCACGCAAGCCCCTTTTGAACACACCGAAACAAGTCCATTATTACAGCGGGTACTTGTGCCTTGGCGGGAAAAGGACGCTTGTGTAGGGCGAATGGGGCACAATCGCCCGGAACTATCAGCGTATCAATCTCTATCATTTTCAGGACAATAAGTTATATAAGCAAAAGAGCTGGAATTGCTTACTTGTAGAGAGGCGAATAGCATGGATTTTATATCCTTTTGATCTCCAGTTCTATGATTTCTTTTTAATTTATAGTGACATTGTTGAAAGCAGAAATCCACTGGCGTTGGTCCAAGCTTTCATTATGGGTCCAGGGCACTGGAAGTCCAATCAGGGCTCTTCAATATGGGGCTAGCATCCATTTTATCGCCCCATACTCCATCGCCCCAGTGAATACACCCTGTTATCGGCCTCGATCATCAGTCACTCAAGCTACAACACCTACTCAAATCTGCTTGTATCCCACGAGAAATTGATAGAAGCAGCTAGGCTGGCTGATGGAGAGGTATTTATCGTGTTGGGGTAAATGGCAAAAAACATATTACGATAAAGCTGAGGTCGCATACTTATGTCGTGACGTAATTAAAGCCTTTGGAGAATATATCTTGATGACAGCTCTAGAAATGAAAATCATGATCCTATACGGTTCTCGCTCTAAATGATACTTAACAAGAGCTGATTCATAAGCAAGACTATCCAGTATCTCGATTTCTTTCTTCTCAGCCTATCTGGGCGGCTTCATTGATTGAGAAACAAGATCGTGTCGGACCAGTACCATGGTAACATAATGACGTCACCACAGTGGGAACATTAATCCCATGTTAAATTGACAATCAAACTGCGATCGAATGAATGAAGTATCGAGGATGGTAAATCACATTGCGACAATGCCTGCAAAGAACCAACTGGGGGCGGGCACCGGCCCGACAGATAGCCATATCCTCTCTCAAGAGCAAAGCGACGCACAATCAACAGAGAAGCTTGGAGAAATAGAATATACAGAGGATATAGGATGGAATGCTTCATCATCGGAGGATATCGACGAGACGCTCGTACCGGGTCTCTCCAATGAGGATGTGTGGATGCTTGTGAGGAGGTTTAATAAAGTGAGTATGAACTTCATCACTGAACGGTGACAATTGATGGATCTTATAGCAGACATACTATGTGAAAGCGCAACATGATGTCCCATTGCAAAGACTCGACCTCAACCGTGGGGAAAACGAAGAATTTTCTCCAGATAAATTGCGGGCTACGCTGGAGAGGCTGTATACAACTATCATCGTGTCGTTGATGGGGTTTTGTAGCCATATTGCAAGGCTGCGTTCGTGGGACGATTTTCACCGGACGTCTATATTTTGTGGAGTATGTCCCTTGACCAGTCCTTGATATAAAGTTGACTTGTATGTTTAGGTTTACTTTACGGCATGGCTTTTGGATCTTCTGGCTCCCACATTCTTCTCCTTTCTATTGATAATATTTCTCTTTCCACATTATAAGGAATGGGCGTTTCCATCAACATCAAAAGCCCAGAGAGAAGGTTCTCGTGGAAGTCTTACAGGTGCATCAGAGAGATTCAAGGGCGAGGCAGACGAACAGGAAGCAAGTAACCTCATGACCAGTGTGGCCAGCGTCGCCGTAGGAAGCGTCGCAGGGAAACATGACCAGGGAACGCCTGATGATGCTCCTATCGAGTTATCTGTGCCTGATGCCATGGATGCTGTTGCCAAAACAGCAGATGCACAAACTGCCGCTCATGGACATGTACCGGATAGCAGCCATGACAAAACTCGACAGCCGATGAAAGCGGTAGTAATGGAAGGGGCAAATCAGGGTGTAAGGATACTGAGTGATATTGTGGATACTTATGAAAGATTTGGAAAGTAAGTTCCCTAGCTGAGGATATGAAGATGATGCCTCATAGTATATCAGTGCACTATCGCCCACTTGGCCGTTCTCAACAACGATTCCTACTATACGCATAGCCAGTGTTTTAACATCTGCTATTATTCTATCTCTTGTCATGTCCAACTATGTGCTGGTAAAAATCGGGACATTTACATTCGGCCTCGCCTTCTTTGGGGACCCAATTATTATGCGCACAGTGACCTTTTTAAATCGGAAATATCCAAGCTGGACAAAGTTATTGGAGCTCAGGAAGTATGAATCCCCATTCTTATGAACTAGAAAATTACTGATGAAAGCAGTTCCCTACTAAAAGGCATCCCCACGAATGCCCAACTGGCCTTGACTATCCTCCGCATTGGCGAGGCAAACGGCACTCCATTGCCACCACCTCCGAAAAATGGACAACATAAAGCAGAGTCCAGTAAAGATGATCACCAAGAAGCAGCAGGCGTCCAACCGCAACATCACCAAATGTACAACATCCCTAAACCCAAAGGATGGATGTCAGGGATGATTGGCTTCTTCCGCGGCACAACAGCAACAGGAATTGAAAGCAAACTGGCCATCGACCGCGTCCGAGCAGCGGCTGGATCGAAACAGGCAAAGAACAGAGTTGGCGTCCTACACCGCAAGGGCCGCCAGACTCTGCCATCTGGTCCTTGTCAGTTCGATACGCGATATAAAGGGAAACGAGGGATAGTCGTGATTGATGCCTCGCTAGACCCGCCTGCGCTTTACTTCACCACTGATCCGACGGCACAGTTTGATCAGCAGTTGGAGAGCAGGTCGAGCGGCAGTGTGATGTTTACAATGCCTGTTACAGAGATTCAAGAGATGAGGAAGATTGGTGGGTTAGGATGGAAGGGGAAAATAATTACTGGATGGGCGGTTGGTAGTAAAGAGGTGGTGGACGGGCTGACGATTGTTGGAAAGCAACAGCAGACGTATAGGCTTACGGCGATGAAGTTGAGAAATGAGCTGTTTAATCGGTTGGTTGCCATTGATGGGCAGGTTTGGGAGACTTGTTAGTGGATACAGTTAATGTATGCTAGGTCACTTATCTCCTAACTACAAATGTGACTGTTAAGCATCTTCTTCATATCCCCCCATCGTCTAATGCGCCATATTGGGAACCTCTCTTACCCTAGAATCAGATTCCTTATTCTGGCTAAGACAAACAAACTGCTCTTTCTAACCTCTCTATCACACCATGGTTCTAAAGCCACTGGTATTATTGTCGCTTCAGTACTGTACAAACCTTTTGTTAACATGGGAGCCGTGGTCATCGAGAATTAGGAAGCGCCATCTCCGCCGGGCCTTATCCTTGATCTGCCGGTCAAATACCTATATCTCGAAGCCACGCGAATCCTATGTCATTATTCGTCCAGCCGGTTAGCGAATAGGTAAGGGAAAGTTCTGCTGCGTGGTATCAAGATCCTGAAACTACGTATCTTGTAGAATTTAAGAGGATGATCGGTACATAAGGCCTGGAGATAGCTTGCTTCTATCCAGCACTAACTCACCCTGGAGACAGATACTCGGGTTTAAACCAGTTATTTTGCTTTGAAGGTATATAGCCCTTTCTTATCTTGTGCCTACTACATACGACCACAGGGTGTGGAGAACAGGGCTTCCCGTCCGCTCAGCCGTACTTAAGCCACACGCCGGCAGGTTAGTAGTTGGGTGGGTGACCACCAGCGAATCCCTGCTGTTGTATGTTTTTTCTGTTTTTGGTACATGTTTTATAAAACTTTTGCTCATGAAATTCTTGAAAAACTGCAGGTGATTGCTCAATATGGAGAATAAACCGAAGGCAATAAAAGAATATATTTGACTGAAGAGACCCGATCTCACCAGACCCGGTTCTATTGATGGACAAACAGAGTAATGAGATATTTTCAATCCATACAAGAATTGCTGGCTATGGGCAGTTTATGTGTAATTTGTTATAGAAATAAAACATATATGAAAGGCTACCATTCTCTCCCTTTAGATAAATCTATAAATCCGACCATCCTCCACTTCACATTTATGCATCTGCGATAATCAACACTACTATTTCGTACCCACCCTCATACCTTTGCTTACGGCTCTTTATTTTTGGACCGCCTCACAGGTCCATGTGGATGACACACTTAGTGTACGTATTGTTGGTCAACAGCATATAACCTCTCCTCCGGGCTAAGTGCGGCAAATCTAGCCTTCTTGACGCTGTTCCGCCACATATAAAACAGTTTCATCCCGATGAAGAGAGCAATATTCGCGGAGCAAAGCCCAACCAGCGCCTTATCAGCGGTGTAATCTGCATCAATTAGCTCCCTTACCCTCTCATAACTGACACGGGGCAAACTCACAGTAAGGCTTGTCATTGTCTCGATAGACATTGACAGCAACGACACTACCGACCTGGTAGCACATATTATACACAGCCGTCGAGACGGCACGCGTGCCGACGCTCTTCGCATTCTGCGATGTCATGCCGACGAGAATGCTATGCGTGTATGGGATGCCATTGACCCCTGTCAAAAGTGCATACCGGACCCAGGGACTCGCGGAGGGAGGAATGACGACAAGGCCGATGAAGAAGGGGAGCATCCAGATGTTGCTGATGGAGGCTACCAGAGAACGTTCTTGGACTTTCTCCGACACCCACCCGGCGACGAGCACGTTGATCGCGAAAATGACATATCCGGGTATGGCGAGCAGGTTGGATTCGAAAACAGAGTACCCGAGGGTGCGGAGAGTGAGGGATAGGTAATTCGCAATGGGCTGATATGGGATCCATGCGGTGACGCCGAGCTGTGTGTGTTAGCACGAGTGTGATGTATAAAATTTGGGCGAGGCTTACGATGTACAACGGCCAAAGATCAATGTTCGTTAGGGCTCCCCAGATGCCCTTCATATCGACTGCTTGGCGATTGTTCATGTCGCCCTTGGTGGGATCGTCCCGAAGGATGCGGTTCACTAGAATCTTCTCCTCTTCTGTTGACCACCATGCATTCGAGCCATCTTTGCGACGGAAGAGGACAGCTCCTTCGGTAACTGAAGCTGGCATCACGAAGAAGCTGATTATGGCGACAACGACACATATTAGGCCTTCGATCAGAAACCTGGGATCATTAGGGCCTGAATTGGGAAATGGAATTAAAGGACCCTACAGCCACTGCCAACCAGCCCAGCCATTTACTCCACGCATCGCCAACAGGCCACCTGCCAAGAGAGCACCGTATATCTGCGTGAGGGGAATTGCAGTATAGAATATGGAGAGTCTGATGGGGAGTTCGTTGCTCTTGTAGTAGTAGGAGAGGTACAAGACCATCTCCGGGATGAAGCCACCTTGGAACACGCCGACCAATGCACGCAGAACAAAGAATGACGCTCTGTTGGTCATCGCCGCTTGACAGCAACAGGCAGTGCCCCAGAGAAAAATGGCAATTGGCGTCATGCGGTCTGGGCCAATCTTCTTGCTGATGAGACCACCAGGGAGTTCTGCGACCAGGAAAGCGAGTAGATTGATGGTCTGGCCGTAGTTGTAGTCGCTGGTGATAGTTAGTCTCAAGGTCAGGAAGGTCTGTGACTACCAACTTACTTGGTACTCAAATTCAGATCGTCCAACTGACTTTTAGTTAGTCGTGCGTATTCCTAATTGATCATTAAAGCTCACCATGTTGTCTGATATGGCACGATTGATATTCCGGCGGACTAAATCCAAGGAGGAAAACATGACCCAAACCCATACCATCACTCTCCAGTCCAACTATATTTTCAAACCACCAGGTCAGCTCTTATTCTGATGCAGCCAAAAGCATGATCAAGTTAAAGCAGACAACGGAATTAAGAAAATAGTTAAGTACTTTCCTTCGTAAACGTTTCTCAGCTGAGGCAGACCAGGTCAACGTGGGGTCGAACCTGGCTCTGCCTTCATATTTTGATTTCTCGTACACCCTGCGCCAGTGCTCTGCGCGTCGGGAGTCGGAGAAGACATGTCCTTCCGTCGAGCCGAGCTGGTTCTGGTGCACGGTGGGTTCGTAGATCTCATTGAACCCGCCTTCGATTGAGCTTTGTGGCTCCTTCTCGCTAGCTGCGGGCTTGGAAATTGTGACAGGGCCTTGGGATATCATAGTGGGAGTGTCTTGCGAACACAGTATGGGTCGGTGATGGTAGAAAATATTTGATGACATTCAATACGGGGAATCGGGGCAAGGGGTTAATTTGTATAGACCCTGAGAGCATGAGGTGCTACAGAAGATCTATGGTGTGATAGAGAAAAACAGGCCAACCAGCGTTTATGTGGAAATTAAAATACGTAGAGGACGGAATAAGGTTATCTGTTGTTGACAGCCAGTTACTGCCGTATGACAGGTATGGGGTTGATATGCTCGCACGAGCTGCCCGTTCAGATAAGACTTATAAAACTGCACATAATATCAAAATCCCCCTAACAATTCAAGTTTATTTAACCATAAAAGGCTCTCATGGCCAAAAATTGACTCATCTGATTAGATATCTATTCTGCCGATGACGCGATATTTGGCCATCTGATGAGCAACACGAGCCGTCTTGGCGATAAATGGATATGATATGATCAGCAACATTCTGCAGTCACAGCTGATAAAATTGCCTAATTATAATTATTCACAGGTCGGTTTAAGACTGTTTAAATTGCAAATGGACTGCATGTTTTATATAAATGCCGGAGGGCATAACATGTGCTGCCAGTTCCCATTTAGGAATTTATTTAGTGGACCGGGAGCCTAGCAAGGTCGGGCACGAGCCAGCACTGCTGTACTCATTATATTCAATATTTAAGGCCTGCTGTACGTCTCGGAAGAATAATTGTAAAAGGTGAAGATTAAACAGCTTGAAAAACCGTCCTTCGAATAGAAGAATGCTTCCGTAGTAGGCTTTGACCTAGTATTTACGATATATAATGGATTAGAAGGACAGTACGAGGTTCCCTGTTTGGGGAAAACCTAGCTGCAGGGAAGAAAGCTGGTTTTGGGGTCAGGTGGACTATTCCCTTTCCTATCACAAGGCGATATTTACCACAATCAATTTGGTTATATTGAGAGCCATGGGTAAAGTAAATAGAGAACAGCACAGGAGCAGCTTCTTGGACAGGAATCATGGTAAAATTTCACATCTGATTTTCTCCTTCAGCCAGTCACGGATGAAAACTTGGCAAGCAAATGCGGGGGTGCCTCGAATCCGGTGTCACCTCTCGTATTCAAACATTGAGTCGCGGTTCAGGAGCAACAATGTCAAATGTAGCCTTGGGGATCACTTTCAAGGAAGGTGTTCGCCCCGCCAACTGAAGATGCCCGCTAGGATGATCCCTCGTATGCACCCGGACTTCAAAATTTGTGTTCTCTGCATCGCTATTCTTCCACCCGTCGAGCGGCATGTGAGTGAGAACATCGAGATGATTCTGGCAGTTTGCACAACCCAAAACATGCCACCGGCTTAGCACGGGTTCGGCACCGACGAGTTTACGACCCTCAGGGCCTAAGGACCATGCTGAGATGACGAAAGACCCACGGACAGCCGCCCGGTTGATGCCGCCAATGCGGAGATACGGAGAACGGGCAGGGGTGGGGATGGGGCTTGCGAATCCATCTTTTGGAAGAGGTATTTGAGGTGGGATATCGTACGTATACCCAAGCTTTTCGATGTTGGCCACGTCCTGAGAAAAGGATATTAGCTGTCAATCGCTAATTGCTATCATGGGGGCCTAGATTGGTTATATACCTGCGACGTAAAAAAATCACTGCTACTTCCACGCTTGAAAGGAGCTAATGGACTTGTAAGGGTGAGCCATGAGCCACCTGTCACGCCTGGCGTGGGGCCCTGGGCGTCGACTGAGTTGGTGCCAGGGTAATCAAGGAGTTTGTCATCTATGAGTGCTTTTGTCTGGTTGTGCTCTATTTGCCAACGCCAGAATATCAAATCAACAAACGCATGATGGAAAAAGAAAATAGGATCGAAAGCTGCAGTGTCATTCTCCGCCATGTCGCCATTTGCACCAGGAACCGAGCTCGCATCCTGCACAGGGATCTGGATACCACCAATGGCAAGGTGGATTCCGTTGTGTGGTGACTCCAGTGGGACGACTCCGGGGAGGGTCTCCTTAACGTCAGGAGGGTTATCGTCATTCCACCGGGCAGCAGAGGTCGTGTTCGAGAACACAGTGTAGTTTGGCGCTTTGAGGGATTTCAAGTACTTTGCTTTGATAAAGCCCGTCATCTGGTCACCACCGCTAGTCGTGTATTTACCTTCGAGCCACTGCTTCACGTTGGTCTGCAGAAGTTGGTCTGTCTTTTCCTGGCCGAGAAGATTCATGATGTTGTTGTGCGCATCTGAGGTATGGCAGTCGGCATTTCCATACAAACCGGAGAAAGGAAAGCGACATGTTTCCCTGCCTTTCGGCTTGCTATAGTCGGCATCTGGGAAAGGTGAGAGACGGTCTTGGATGGTCTTTTGATACCTGTACGACCGAAGGGGGTTGTCGATTTCCTTTCCGTCCACTACATATTTCTTCTGGAGAAATATCTCGGGAATACCTTTCCCATCGATCTCATTCCAGTAGTGGAGAGCCACTCCAGGGACCTGCTTCTGCAGTGCCTGCTCTAGCCGTAAGAGATATGCACGGTGCCAAGGTTGGGAACAGGATATTGCCGTGGTTGCAGTACCCTCCCCACCATTGGGCGTTACCATAGCCTGCACCGCGGAAGGGTTCACCGTGGTAGCCAGCAATGGTAAAGAAGGAATCTGGATCGTTGGGATCCAGCTGTTGGATCTTATAAAAGGCCTTAACAAGGTCATGCTCCTCGTTTGGTTTGAGGTCTCGAATGTTCTTGCGGGAATAAGTCATTTTTTAAAAGTGAAGTTTTGGTTGAAAGGGGAATTAAATCACTGCTAGGAATGTTTGCGGATTCTCATAGACAATGGGCGGATGGGTGGTATAAATATCATGGAACTCTAACCAAGGAGGGTGGAAATGCTCAGTATCAGCTGCCTAAGCTCTATGACAGTGTCTACCCTGTGATCCTACCGAATAGTTCCTGTTGCAAGCCAGCCTATGTCGTACCCTCAGCTGGATGGAACACACTTGCGGGGAAGATTGCCACGACCAGTTGTATTAGTCTATAGCTACAGCATCTTTCGGGAAACATGGAGATTTCCGCGTCTCATTCATGTCACTGCAGGGGTGCCCATTGGCTATCCAGTTTATTTAATAGTCATCAGTGGGCGGCGAGAGACATGTCATTCAATGGGTAGTTGAATGTCGGGGTATTATTCTTGGGCATCAATGCAGCAAATGCATTTCAATGGCTCTGATACCATTCGGGAATGAAGGGGCTTGCCTAAAGCTGTCGATATTCGTTCATCAGATTTCCTGATTATCCTACATGCATTGTCAAATGGCATTGACCACTATCACATACATTAGTGTCAGTCCGCTTCGTGTTGAACCACACGAAGGCGACACAGCTGCCTACGACTTCGCACTCGCGCAATGTATGTATGTCTTCACGTGGGTATGGTCAGCAAGTATGGCCAGGTCGAGGCCCCATGGAAAAAGTACGAGGCAAATTGCAATCCTAGTTGATCTTCTTAGCTCGTAGGTGTGGACAAGCTGACTTGCTTCTGTCATTCAAGTGATTACATTGACACTTATTTCCTGCAAGCTTGGTCCAATATCTCGCGTATATCAGCAAACATCGTGCACATGATCCTGCTAATGTTCATTTTATTAATAGTTCTCGCGTTGACGCATTTCATACTATCAGTAAATGGTTGGTCTATGCACAGCCTAAAGGTTCGTATAGTAGGCGGACGATCTCAAAGTGTCTGTTAAACATCATATGGGGCTAAACGTCATAGTGTAGGACAACCATACTATCACGGAAGGGCTTGCAGCCTTGCAGAAGGGAGGGCTTTAATTATTGGCCACAAAAAATGGCAGATCTATCTGGCGGACATTGCCAAGAGACGTGGCGCTGAACCACAAAGCTGAAATTAGATAGCAGTCACCTGTGGCCACTAAGACTTGCGTGCTATAACAGGCGTATTCTACTGGGATGCAGAAGGATCCAAGGAGAAATGATGCACATATACTCAAAGTATCTACCGGATGCTATCACTGCACCCTTGAGGGATATGTAATAAAATGTAACGGAACCCTCGGGAAGAATGGCTAGGATTACATTCATGATGAGATTCCCTATTGCTTAGTTCTAGTTAGTACGGCATATAACAACAGTATTATTTCCGCATTCAATCTGTAAGTCTTCACTGCCAAGTATTCTAACGCTTGATGGTATTTTTGGGAGGGTGACTGGCTAATTAGAGATGATAGGTGGTCTTGCTCCAGTCTTGTTCAAAGATGCAAGATTCTGCGCTAAAATTCTTCCCACCAGGTTTTATGCAGTGTATTACGAGTAGGTAAGACTCTAGAATAGTGGTACCGACTCTGAAAATATCAGAGGTCTTAGGCGAAAATCCAGGCATTTTAATATCAAACACGCCTTATAATGTTCAATAATCAAGCAACCTTGCCGAATGGCCTGACCATTTTTCTAAGGCGCACGATCATAGACCTGCACATCTTCCCCAGGAAGTCGAAATGCTTCAACCACCGATTTCCCATCATTCTTTAGCCATTTGTTAAACGCTTCTGCCATATCCATGTTCTTAGCTTTTGTTCCAATCAATGAATGAGCCGGGAGCAACAGCGGATCCTTCTCATCATCTGAACCCTTCTTGAAGATTTTGATCTTGTCTCTGAGCTCATGGGGTAGGTGAAGATAGGTTCCAAAGTCAGTGAGAGTATATTCACCAAGTAGAGCCGCAGCCGTAAGAGCTTCAAGAGGGAAGGCGATATACTGGTGATACCACGTCGTATAGCTTGTTGCCCATGGAACCTATTCACATCACCGTCTGTTAATCAACAACCCCTAGCCAGAAGTGGCCGGATAGAATAAAACTAAACCCACCTGCCCAATGCGAATCCAAAGGTCCGATTCCTGGATATTGGTCGCTGATTTGTCAAAGCGACTCAGAAATCGTACCGCACCAGGCTTATTCACGGTGGCTTGGGCTTGAGTATATAAACGGGTGAACATTTGCTCAACAGAACCTGCATTTTCAATTTTGGCTGGATCATCTTTGGGTCCGATTAGTAGAAAGTGGTCTCGAAAGGCGTATGTGATTTCTGGCTTTGCAATTCCGTTGTCCACAGCCACCTTTTCGGCGTGATAGTTGTAGGTTACACCGATATCGGTGATTTCTTCATCGAGATACTGGATGGAATAGGTTGTGTCGCTTTCATACCAAGCGATCTTGAAGGGCTTTGACTTCTCAACCTGCACTTGATACTTGATGAAATTGTTTGCAAGATCTGTTCTTGGTTAAGCTCATGCCAAAAGGCCTTGGTCAGTAGAGTGGGAGAGGCAGTGCATACCTCCTATTAAGCCAGTCTGTCCAGCACCACCATTCCCAATTCTCAACTGGATTTCCCCTTCCTTGTACCCGCCATCGTAGACTTTGAAAGGCTGGATTGCCATGATATCCATGATACTGGACTGAGTAGAGGATCGTTATATTCACTTTCCAACTTCCACAAAGGCTATTGTCAGCTTGTTAAGCAGATATATGCCTGGTTATACTGTAGCAGGACGGAATGTGATGGTGAAAAGTGAATATAATACAAATGAAACCTATAGGATAATTGAAGCGCGCTGGTCTATATCACTGACAACCATGACTATAAAAATCAGCTAACTTGCAAAAGATCAGTATTATATTTTGTAAATTCTTCTCTCGTATAATACAGAGGGCCATAAAGAGTAAATCCACACTCGCATGAGTGATTCCTCGGATTATGATAATGGAGCATCAAAAGGATGTCCATGTTATTCGTGTTGGCCTTTCATTGGTGCTGGGCACACCCTGTACCCTGTAGCGGATTCTGATTAGCTGCCCTAGACTCGGGGCGGGCCGGGTAAACATCTCCGGGCTGAAGATACCTACCAGTCTAGAAAACGCTGTGATGCATTTTCTTGCAGAATCAGCTGTACTCCGGAGCTTCCGTACGGCCCGCAGCAAACGACAGTTTGAATCACTGTCAACACTTGCAGAGCACAGCCCATGCAGCATATGATCCACACATACCCCTCATTCTCCCACGTCAGACCTTCGACCTGTAGACCAGATACGATGAATTTGACTGGATCTGGGCTATTCATGAAGGAGAAACTAGGTGACCATTGGGGCGCTGATCCTCGACATGCTGGTAGTCAAAAGAAATACACCTGAGAGGTGTGCGTTGGCAGTTGCGACGAGTATAGAGCCAGATGCGTATATTGCGGGCATGCTTCAATAGGTTCTCCTCTACATATCTTCAAACATACATACTAAGCACCATAATTTAACAAAATCCAAAGCTAGATATATTCCATACACGTGTATGAATAGTGCAGTATGCTAATAATTCCTGAAGCTGAACAGATTTTGCGGGATTATGGAGCGGTGGCACTTCAGCTCAGCCTCGTCTTATGGAATTAAACCAATAAGCTAGTGCCACACATTTTACCCCTCTTCCTGGGTAGGCAATATCACGAACGATCGACTGAAAGCTGAAATATGAAAGAGAGAGAACCAAGCGGAAACCCACACCCCCCACCATCTCAGCGATATAATCATGGATCGTAGCATACTGAAACACCCCACATTACCATTGAGATCATTGCAGGCCTTTTCTTACCCCACCCAGGATACTGCTGTTTACATTCCCTCCTGAAGCAAAGAAAACAACACTTCCCCATCTCCCCTTCGATTCCTAATGTCCATATCAAGATGCCGTGGCTCGATTGAAGCTCTGATTGGTCGCCGAGGAAAAGCTGAACTGCATCTTAGAGCATCTTTCCAAGATAATATTAAGCACCATGTCTGTCAACTGTATGGGTATTCTGTTTTTTTTTTTTGAACACAGAGCCGGACTAGACTATCGAAACGAAAATCATCAAGATCGTCATCTACATAGTATACATCCAATGGCACATTCAGAACGCTTTGTTCGTCATGATAGCCATCATCGAAATCGGCGTCTGATAAGCTACCATCTTTAGCATGGACTCTGGCACGTGAGAGTCTGCATATCGATGGATGACAATAGACGAGCTTTGCTTTTGGCAGCAACCACCCTGCCATATCGCTTCCTAGAGAGGCTGGACATCAAGCGGACATTGTCTTTGAGAACCGCCGAGCCACGCGCACTAATGTACTTTCTGTAATGGGTACATTCGATCCTAGTCGGTGAAAGGGTAGCTGAAGTAGCTCTGCGGCATCGAATGATTGTGTTGCAGCATCCATGATGTCTTCACTTATCACCCTATCATTGTGCCATGCGTTTAGAAGTGCACGAAGTGATTCTTTGCCTTGGTATACAGCCCCCAGAAATGCTTGTTCAGTAATCGGAGCATGTGGATATCTATTCAGGACCAGCTCCAAACTGCGGAAATCGAATGCGAGTGTTTCAATGGTTTGTCCGTCGACCTCGATAAGCTGTCAATCCAGAAGAAGTTCAAAAAGCTGATGCCCATCCTCACAACCAAATGGAATATTGTCAAGTATCATCACAATAGGCAATCTATCATGAAATTTGTCGAGGATCAGTGACATTTTCTCAGGACTGTATAGTAATCCCTCTTTCAAGACGCTGTGTGGTATGTTGAGAAGCCTTGAGAAAATTCCTCCACTGATATCATAGTTTCTTGCAAGTGACATATCATTCGTAATTGGCAGCGCTTGTTGGTACAGGTCGAGATACTCCATTAGAGAATTAGCCCCGTGGATGCTCCGTGCGGCACATCGTATGATTTCATCAGTGATTCGAATGGTAGAACTCCATTATCAATAAGCAGTTTGAACATCTTCTTACTATGATGCAACGCGGCTCCCTTCAGCGCTGCCTGTGAAACAACAAATCCCGCCTGTTGTCGCTGCCGAAGTAATTTCAAGCTACCAAGACCCTGAAAGCAATTGCCTATCACTGCTTCGATAACCTTTTCACCCATGAAGACCTCCAGAAGCACCGTCATAACAGGCACACCGATTGTCGGATTTTTCGCCGCAGTAATATAAACTGACTGGCTGATATCAGTTCCATGATCGCTTTTCTCCAAGAGGAATTGGATAATCTGGACGTCGATTTGGTTCTGACCTGCTCCAATCAATATATCAATTCATGCTTGTAAGCACGGGAAGTGACACCAGCACAGTTCTGTTTGTTTTCCAAGTAAAAATCCATAAAATCTATTCGTCCAATGGAAGAAGATCGTCCCATTGCCTAATGATCACGGTAGTCTTCTTAATATCACGTCCTAAACATTGAGTCAATGTATACATAACCTATGGCGTGATATGGACATTTGCATCCCAGTATCTCAAGATCATCTCTAGCATTTCTTTGCTAAAAGGCCTAATCTGGATGGCGGATTCTAGAACCCTTGCTATGCAGTGAGCCATCATTTTATCTTTCGAGCTGAGGATAATCTTCATTAATAATGGCCCTGACTTGGTATTTGATGTAGCTGAGTAAATAAGGTCATCGTTGAAATCTTGGCCACATTGTTCTTTCGATTTGTCTGCGAGTGGCACCATATTCAAAAGTAAGTTCAATGTTATATGTACTTTTTCTGTGCCATGACGACGACAGTCGATATTGGACGATAGCCAGGGCTAGCTTCCTGGGAATTTGTGTGCTGCTTCGTAACAGCAGCTCCACCCAAATGATTTCTAGATATGGAATTCAGGCTGTTTTGACGATAGATCAGGACCCACTGAGGTCTATGCGTAGGGGTGGAGCTATGTCTACATCATTAGGTAGGATTAATTGTACTAATTTATAACATTTATTTATACAAATATACCTTGATTAACCTTGAATGGAGGGGTATAAGGCGTATCGTTATGTAGCTACAGCACTCAGTTCGAGCCAAAGTACCAATCCGACACGATGATTGCAATGGCCGCTACCTGTTCAGGGTCAGTTGATATCCCATACAGATACTGCCACACTTACCAATGATGAATCCACGCCGGGAGCAATAATCAGATCCAGTGCAGGGCGATGGCCTCCTCCACGGGAGCTCCTCCTCAACGCCAATCTCTCATTGTGAAGGATACTCTCGCGCACTTCGGCAATCCTCCTATCGCCATCCACAACGTCAAAGAATGCCAGCGCCTCTCCGTGCTTCTTCACCGTCAACGAGATCTCTTTTTCTTCCTCCTTTTTATTCTCAGCGGCTGCGCCATTCCGAAACGCGAAATTCAAATTGATGCTGGTCCAGCTCCACTGCGGCGATGCCTGCGCTATTGCCCCATCACCATTGGGCTTACTCCCGGGCATCGTAACAACCCAACTGAACGGATTCGAAAGTGGCTTCTTGTAAATATCGAACAAAGGCAGCCCCGACGCGTCCCAGATCTCCTTGCACGAGCGATCGTTGTATTTCCGACCGGTCGCGGAGAATGCCAAGATGCCATCTTCGTCGGTGATTTGACATTCATGCTCTGACTTTGCATCGGAGTATTGTTTTAAAATTAATGTGGTTTTTCTTTCTGTGATGTGCTCCTGGCGAAAGGCAAGTTGGCGATCTGGTGCCTTTAGAACATAGCGCGGTCGTGAATGTTTGGGAGTGACTTTGCGATCTAGTCGTGCCTGGGTGTATGTAGTGTAGGACATGACGGAATGATGAGGCTGTAATATGAGATGAACCTTCAAGAAAGGACGAAGAGGTTTATTTATGTGACATCAACCGTGTTAGTCATGGGGGCCAAGAATGTAACACGACTTCAGCGTCGCTTCTGATAGGCCGACATGCCTGGGCAGTGCTGCTGTTGCCCAGACATAATCGCAGGCCGAATACCCGCTATATGCCTCATTTTGTAATCCAAGACAGCTTAGATGTTGCCAATCTAAGTCTATAGTAATGGAAAGACGAATGATGTCATATGCTTATAGAGTGGTCAGCATTTTTGTTTATATATTGCGATCGTATCTATGCACATATCACATATAGTCCATAAATAATGGTCATCATCAATTGCGTTTGTGATGTATATATATATATCCTGAGTCTGGTGAACAAGCGCTTCATGACTGCGGGGAATTACTAGAACCCTGACTCTCCACGTCCCCAACTGTGCTAAACCGTCTTTTTGTAGATTGGATGATCCGAAGCATTATTTTTTCAGTGGAAACCGCAGACCCATGAGTGACCCTGCGAGCGAAAATTATCCACGAAAGACGCCTCGGATGTTGATCAGGATCAATTCCAGCGGTACCATGCTGTTGCGCATCCCAAAGGTTTCTCGAACAGCTTTCTCCCTCCTCTATCCACCCCGAGCCCGAATTATTCGACTGATGTACCAGATCCACCAGGCGATTCAGAATGTTGAATTCCAGCTTCAGCTTGATGCTGTAGATAAGTCCCTTGGCCGCAGTCTGTGACGCGTACCGACCCGCAAACTCCAGTGTCAATATGGTGACGTCCAGCGCGACGACGATCACATTCATGTATATCAGATGCAGCATGAGTCTGTGACACGCCACCCGATGCGTTGCGTCCATGAGGCCCTCGGAGCGGAGGAAACTGCATGTTTCGTATATGTATATGGCGGAGATGATTGATTCCTGGATGAAGAATATAGTGACTTGGATTCGTTCATAAACCGAGTATGGTGTGGAGAATGTGTCAGACATCGACGAGTTTGCTCCATAGCAGAGGATGACGGTTGGGATTTGGAGGAGAATGACATTCGTGACGATCATCGCGAGGACGAATCGGAGGAGGAAGTGATGACGTACCACGAGATGAAGACGCGAGTAGAGGACCAACGACTGGCCGGTGATCATGGCACACCAGCCTAGGATGATAAGTGTGACATAGAAGTAGGATATTGAATTAGCGAGGTTGAAGTCTTTGAGGATGAACCCGATGCAGTAGATGGCAATTCCCCATGACGATATCAGGAAGCTCCAGAAGTAGAGACCATTGCGGCGTTTGAAGGTCAGGAAAAGCAAGAAGGTGAGTTCGAGGACGTTGTAGAGGGCTACGGATAGTAAGGCTGTGACGATATAAGTGATGTCGTGTGGGAGCTGGGAGCCGAGCGTGCTGCCCACATCATTGAGCGCCATGCTGGTGGTGGACAAAGCTGTTTGACAGACATTTTCAGCTGTTGGAATACGGTTGTCGAGGAGAAAAGCTGGAAAAGCTAGCTTGGCCATCATTACGCGGTGGCGTGGTGGCAACCGTGGTTATACTTTATTTCCCATGAGTATATTTCTATCACCTCCGATCGTAGTCCAAGTGGCAATTCTAAAGATAACTTTATCAGTAGCTCGTACGTGGATACCCGGGACATGTTCCATTCACTATCGCAATATCAATTTATACATAATTATCTGTTAGTATGATAGTAAATGATCTATTTTCCGTATCACCACACCGAAGGCACAGACTCCCCGGCCAGCCTGGCCAACCGTTTCTCACTCATTTGAAAACACTCTGGCAGCCCAGTTTCTGTCCACTCTTTCCCAAGGACTATCTTCGCAATGCCAGGAGCAGAGGTGAAGATGCGTGCCATTCCTAGAATCATTAATATATAATCAGGAAGTGATGGGAGGTCACTCACCATGTCCATTAAATCCCGCACAGACATACTGTCCTGGTAAAGACTCAATGGCACCCACAAACGGCACTGAATCAGTAGTCATCGCGATGATGCCCGTCCAAGCATGATCCAGCCCCTCTCCATGCATAGCGGTGTCGGGGCGATAGTTGGGGAAGATATCTCGGAAGCTGCGGAGGGCATCGTTTGCGATTTCCTTGTTGTATTTCGAGTCATCAGTGCTGAGGCGACCGGCAATTGCTTCCTCACTTAGGGTCGGGTTGGAGCGAGATACGCCTAGGATGAGTGTGCCATCGCCACGTCGCTGGATGAGGGAGTAGAAGTGGTGGAGGCTGTAGCGGAGGGAGAAGGTGCTGGGGAGGACATTTCCCGCTGCAAATTCGGGAGTTGGGATGAGGGAGTGAGCTTGAGCACGATTCGGAGTGATATAGGGACGCAACATAGGCAGTAGCAGTGCTGCATGGGCGTTTGTGCAGTGGATGACTTTTTCTGCTGCCACGATTCCACGCGGAGTGTGTATATCCCACAGTTCAGCTCCTGACGCGTTGCGCTTCATCTCTGTTACTGGACAGAATGTAAATAGTTGGACGCCTTTGGATACCACTTCCTGGAGAAGAAACTGGGCTAGTTTTGCTGGATGGATAGATCCTGCAGGCCACTCGTACGCGGACACAGCCCCCTTGACCTTGGTTCGCTGTTGTGCCTCGTGTGCTTGATGATACTTGACATGCGAGACATCACCTCCTGCCTGTCGATACGCTTCGAGACTGGCAGCTTCATACTCGGCAAATTCCGGCGTCATGCAGACATCAAACGTTGTGGTGAGGTTAAAATCGCATGGAACACTGTGCTGGTTTACAAATTCATCCACTTTCTGCAAGACAAGACGTTCGTTTGCGATAATCTTCAGAGCTTGATCTTCGCCATGCACTTTGGAATATGCCGTGAAACCACGAAATGCATCTGGGCGCGTTAACAATATGTAAAATACCAGATAGATCCAACTTACCCGGTCGGACATGGCCAGCATTGCGGGAACTCGCACCACTTGCTGCTTCTCTTGCCTCGAGGATAATAATATCTTCTCCTTTAACACCTCCTTCGAGAAGCTCAAAGGTTGTCAGAGCACCAGAAAGACCAGAGCCAATGACGACGTATTTCGACGTGGCGGGCACTGAATTGTGGCGGTTTGCGTACAAAAGAGGGAATGCCCGAGTGGTGCGCTGCCAGTAACTGAGACAGGGCGTATTGTTGGGAAGGCCAGAAAAATTAAGCATCGTCATTTTGAAGCAATACAGATGACTTGATGATGGATGAAGATGAAGATCCCTTGCTGGAGGTCAACTGAGGGGGTGCGGGGTGGTGCCTATCACGATCTGCTATCTCGTGTCACCCCCTCACGGCATTCGCCGAGATAGCAGGCCATTGGTGGTTTTAATCGGTTATCGGTGCTATCTTGAAGTTATATATCTGAATAAAGCAGCATGGTAACTTCTTTTTTTTTGTTGCATCCATCATGTCTTTCAACTGGTTTTATCGCCGTTCTTCAACAGACAATCGGTCTCAAGATGAAAAAGCCCTCGTACGACGACTCGATCTTTTTCTGTTAACTTTTGGTTGTTTATCTCAGGGTATGTATTTCCATCACTATTTAAGGCATTGGATATTAATATATCTAGTGATCAAATACCTGGACCAGCAAAACATCAACAATGCCTATGTTTCTGGAATGAAAGGTGATCTGCATCTCGATGGAAATGAACTGAATTAGTATGCCATCTCCTACTTGTCAAACTGTCTCTAACATCTTCAGCTTCACAACATATTTTAATGTCGCCTACTGCATCATGTTAATTCCCTCCCAAGTCATCCTCACCTTTGTCCGTCCCAGTTTCTGGCTTCCTGGGTTAGAAATTCTCTGGGGTATCTTAACTGGACTCGTTGCTATGGCGAGCAGCGCAAAGCAAGTCTATGTTTTACGGGTATTCCTTGGACTGTGCGAAAGCAGTGCATGGCCTGGGATGATCACTCTATTCAGTATGTTGAATCCTCCACGGTATAATATCAATCTGACCCTCAGTGCACTGGTATACACCAACTGAACTCGCCAAACGCATGGGATTCTACCATTCCTGCCAGGCAGTAGGCCAGATGATGTCTGGTGCTCTCCAAGCCGCTATCATCAAGACGATGGACTACCACGCTGGCCTCGCTGGCTGGCGCTGGCTCTTCGTCATCAACGCCATCATCACCGTCGTCTGGGGCTTTGCTGGCTTCTTCATGATCCCCGATCTGCCCAATAAGCCCAACCCTCGCGCTTTCTGGTTCAGGAAGATCCACGCAGAGCTGTCGATGGAGCGTCTTGCCCGTAATGGCCGCGCTGAACCTAAAAAGATGTCGTGGGCTGCTGTCCAACGCACATTCTCCAGCTGGGTTGTCTACTTTCTCGCCATCCTCTACATCGCCACTGTTCTCGGTACTTATGGATATGTCTATTTCTCACTTTTCCTCGAATCTCTCACCAACCCAGATGGTGCGCCCCGCTGGAGCACTCCACAGGTAAACGCCATCCCCATCGGCGGCTCAGCCATCAACGTCGTCTTCGTCTGGATCTGGGCCCTCCTCTCGGACTACCTCCATACCCGATGGACGCTGATCATCATCCAAGCTATCATCGCCATCATCCCCTGCATCATAATGAGCATCTGGACTACCCATCCAATCACCGTCCCTCTCTCAGCCGCCTACGCCTCCTACTTTCTCGCTTATATCCCACTTGGAACCGCCCCGCTCATCTTCGCCTGGCTGGCCGATCTCATCCCACAAGATCCTGAAGCTCGTTCGCTTATCGTCGGCGTTGCGGTGGCTGGATATTATGCGATTTCGGCGTGGTCGCAGGTTCTCGCGTGGCCGGCTTCTCAGGCGCCGTATTATCGGTACGGATGGCAGTCTGCGTTGGCGTTGTTGGTGCTGGTTATCATCATGACTTGTGTTTTGCGTTTTATTGATGTGCGGTATTATGCGCCGAAGAGGGTGGCTTTTCGTGCTGAGATAGAGGGTGAGAATGTGAGGGATGAGGAGGATGAGGATGGTGATGGCGAGGGATATGTACACGGGAAGGGGACGAAAACTGTTGTTGAGCCGGTTGGGAAGTAGAGGTTGAGCCGATAGGGACTCAAATACCTGAATATATACTTTATAGCCGCCGCAACCATTGCTTATCATTTTGACTCCAGTAATGTTATGAAAGGCATTTACATCAGGACACTTGCAAGGAGAGTGTAAGTGAGGAGAGAGTTAATTAAGCAAATATTCAGCTAGTAGTCTACTGCTTCAATACTTGGAACTAACAGTGCCATATGGAACGCCCTGGAACTCCAATTGAAACTGCAACGACGCTGAAGTAGGCGTCATGACAAGATCGAAAACGATCTCGTAATATTCAATTCCCATTGAATTCTTCTTCTTGGTGAATAGCTCTCGGGGGATCTTACTCAGATCTGACTCCAGAGTGCAGAGTTTCATTATTCCTTTGACACGGTCAGTCAATTATAAGTTATGTTAACCGGATCACAGACATACTGTCATTGGTAGCCGATGGCGCCTTTTCATCATTGCAAAAATGGAGTTCCGTTTCGAACATCAGATCGTCAGTGTCCTTCACCATTGTTATTCTGTAAAACTTGATACTGATCGGTTTGTTCTCTTTGATTTTTGAGGACTGGACCTGAGCTTAGTATAGTCAGATAATACCAGATCTGGTTGCTGTACCTTGTTGATATACCATTGCATTTGGCCATCTACCAGATACTTTTCCTGCAGCCAGGACCATCTCTTCTTTTCCCCCTCGTGTTGGTTAGAATCATAATGCGCCGAGTATCTTATTCCGTAGTGACGGCGGGCAATGCGACTCTCAACTTGATTCCCGTCTATACCACGCTGAACGGCACCGCTGGATACTTGTTAGAAAATATCATGAATGCCAGGGATATATCCATACGTAACAACTGCTGACCACCTGTCAACTGATTAGACACTGCCTGTATCACAGTAAGGGAAAACTCACGCATTAGATGGCTGGAGAACAGTCACATTTGGATTTGCCGTCTACAAGCGCTGGAAAAGATACTCGGACGACCCAAACCCGCCCACAAGGATGATGGCCTATCTTTATTAGTATTCACCTTTCGAGATAGGGTGGTTGTTCTACCTCCGTGGAGTATCCAAGCTCCTCGACTTGCTTCACCTGCTGCGCAGCAAGCTCCTGGATGTCATCAACAACAAGGTCGAAAATATCTTCGACTTCCTCGCTGCGTTCCAATTCGGATCCATTAGTGCTTTTTCTTTGACATCACTGGTTTCAACTGGAATGTCCACATACCGACTAAGCGTAAAGAAGCCGTCCTCGATGACACCGGGTATGTCGTCTGTCACTCCTGGGACAGGAATGAAGTAGTCAACCTCGGCAAAGTCATCGTCGACCTTCCCGGTGAAGTATGGCTTGACTCGATCTCGCCAGTATGATATAACAGCTTCTTTTGACTTGACTGAAAGTTCCGCATAACGGCCTTGTCCCATTTCATCTTCGAAGAACTCCTGGAATGTCTGGTCTAGAATCATGGAGCCACATATGCCTCCTTGTAGTCTATTAACAACTGTATCAGAGATGAACACAGGTTTCCTTCAAAACTAACTGACCGGTTCCTTCAGTTACCTCCACTAAACTTAGAGGTTCGGTGTCTTTAACAAGGTACGAAATGAGGTCCTATTCACTCTTAGTGCTTCCTTGTGCCTCATGGGGCTGCGATAACTTACCACCGTCCCACCACCGGCATCACACACAATGTAGACATTTCCTTCCTATACAAATTAGATATGGAACTTCGACACGGCCGCATGTCTTACCGTAACGGAATGATCCTGGATAGAACGCAAGGAATAAAGAGCCGCAGCCTCTGGCTCAGAGATAAGTGACACATCTTCTAAAGGAACACCGGCTTTGATAGCAACCGTCATTGTCCTATGCTTTGCTGTGTCAGACCAAACAGCCGGGACAGTAAGAATGAAGCGAAGATCCATATCCTCAGCCTTGGATCCAAGTCTTCTCTCGATGGTTATCTTGACATATTTGATAATCTGTCTAAGGTAATCGCCTGTAACCTGCACTACATCCATATCGTATTTTGCCAGGAGGGTCTTTGAGGCCACGGATGGCTTGTATTTTGTTTGCTGGTCATCGTCAAGCAACAACTTGATTCCTCGGAGTGCCTCCTTGAATGGGCCGACTTGGTATCCCCAGAGGATGTTCTTGTCGTCGTAGGATATGACAGTTGGGACCTTCAAGGATGTTCCTATAACTGTGAGATGGCAAGATTCAAGACGGATAGATTCAGGCTATCATACTGTTGTCTCCACCAGGCCAGTGTGATAGTACTTCAATCTTGTCAGGCGATCCCTCCAGAGCCCACGCAATACTGTACCACGCACTTATTACTCTTGAGAATCAAATGGATAGTGAGTCCAGATATATACCCACTATAAGTGGTACCGAAATCCACTCCAACAAAGATCGAAGATCGAACCATTGTGCTGACGGTGTTCATACAGCGAGTGAATTAGCTGTTGAGATTTTGAAAATGATTTTTATACCAAGTGGGATGGAAAAATGACATGATTCTAGATCAAGTCATGAGATAATGAATAGGTCTAGGCAACATGATGCGGTGGCATTACGACAGTCTTATACTTACACTGAAGCTACAAACCCATGACACAGACTGTGATCAATACACTCGAAACACCAACCCATTCATATTATCATGCATCCATATCTATATGCAATGTATCTCAATTTAAAGAGATATCTCCTTGGCTATCTGAAAATGACTCTTGACTGGATTCGCAATCGGGTATGGCGGCCACCCGTCAAACCCCAGGTGAACAGATACTACGAGGGTGAGGACGACCACTATTTTCTTCATTTAACTAATATTTCTAACATCTGTAGAATGCCAAAGGCTACGCAGGAGGCTGGATGTAAAGGAACATGATTTAAACGAACTACGACTAGTGAGTTGGTACTCCTGTTCATCCGTGATGTTTCTGACAAAATACAGGATAACCAGCAACTCAAGCATAAAGCCCAGGATCTAAGGCAGCAGCACATTTCAGATTCAGAAAGGATTCGTCGACTCAACGATCTACTAGCAGAATCACGCGATCATGCCTCAGAAGCAGCAAGGAAGCATGGCGAAGAGATAAAACATCTCTATAATACAATACACTCTCTCCATGGCGATCATGAAAATGTCGACGATGAAAAGATCATCGATGAGATACGCAAACTAGGCCAAAGTGTGCAACACTGGGTCAAGGCCCATTTCAAGGATGCAGGCAGACTTGCTGCGCTCATACCAGAGTCTCCCGATGGCTTTCCCAAAACCTCCCATCAACGACGAGCCTACATCCAAGCAGCGGTTTCTGACATGATACTCCAACACATCTTCGTGCCGTACTACCCTGGGCTGGGTGATAATCCCTGGGGTCGTTCTCTGCAGTTCCTAGAGTCGGGGGTAGACCACGGATGTAAGACCAGTTTAATAAATCACCAAAATGAAATACTGAGTATGCTAACACCCTTCAGGCCCCGAGAGAATATTGCAAAGCTGGCGAACTGGAACATACACTTTTATCTATCATGCTGCGCAGGGAAACCGGGAGAATGTGATGCGGAATATTGTTGGATACGTAGAGGGGTTATATGGACATTGCTCTTCAACTGAAACAGCACCAAGAGTACGACAGTTACAAAAGATTCTACAGGGCTGTTTTGAATTGAAATCCCTTTTATGCCGCTAGCATGACAAGTTTTATTTTCACTGCAGCCCATTTGGGGCTGATTTTTCTCCAAACGCCATGAGTTTTGCTGGGGGGGTTGGGGAATGGGAGGCAAAGGTCAGACTTTGTCTTTGGCCAGCTTTGGTGAAATGCAGTCCAGATGATGACCACCAGATTCTAGATGCAGAGCAGGTTTGGACTATGTCTATGTAGAAGTACCTTCCCCTATGAATGATAATTCCTGGATCTTTGATGGACTGGCATTCTTTCTTATTGCTAGCAATTCTACATTAATGACAGAAATATCCCAACAATTTCCATCAATCGTAAGGGCTCATTATTAAAAGTATGGACTTGTTTCATTTTTATTGTCTGCTGACTCCATATACACAGACATCGAGATACACTCATGACTCCCATGGAACCATAGTTTCTATCTCCTGTTTAATCAGCTGAAGCAAATCCCTAATCTGTTCATCGTCGTGATAAGCCTCATTATATACAGCACTCATTTCAAGGTGGTCAGCGAATGTCTGCAATCCAATAGCCACAAGTCGGCTACATGGTAGGCCCAAGCCGAAGAACTGCTGCAGTTTGATCGATCCATACATCTTTCCCTCCTGGAACATTGGATCCAAGTTCCCCAATGAACTCATGATGACAGAACTTTGTATGTTTTCAGCCAAAAGGGGTAGCGTCTTCGCACAACGCAGCAGCGTAGTGGATAGAATGTTACGTCGGTTTGCGCCGCGGATTCTGTTGTATTCATTCCGCATGGTTAGAGCCGTATCGTGGGATCTGTCGCTAACCTGAAACTGGGAAACCCAGGCTGTTATATGCTGGGGCAGGCCCCTTTGATCTGGATTTCCAAGCGCATCCTGACAAAGATCGCGGAAATTGAATACCAGAAAATCGGAATGCGTTGTCGAATCTCGGTCCTTGTCATTGTTATGATCGAGCCGAAGTCGTTGGCTTCTTGCTGCATGTAGCATCGCAGCATGAACCAAGGGGGTCACTCTCAGCCCTGAATCGCTCGCGTAGCTGACGATCCTGGCCGTTTCCTCGGCTGAGAATTGAAGCCGTTGGATCCGGCCTTGACCAGGCACCACAGTTGCTGTTTGGGATTTGGCCGGTAGACGAACTGCTTCGTCCGTTCTGATTTCAGACCACGAGGCCTGCAGATTTTCCAACTCTTCTGCCGACGGGGCCGGGACGTTGACTGCTGCCAGTCCACCACCAGGTAGATTCTCAACATCAGACCCGAACTCTCGGGCACTCGTGCCGCTCAAGCTACTGCCCTGACTTGTGGCGATTGAATCCAGTCTCCCGAGCTCAGTAAGCAAATCATCAGAGAGAATGACCGCACCAAGCCCGTCTGTGTACATGTGAGGCATTCGAATGACAAGTTGTTTTTCACTCGGGATATAGGCAAGAACAGGCCAATCCGTACGTTCAAGCACCGCGACATTTTCAATGTTGTCATCCTGGATGGGCTGCACGCCCTTCACCATAAAAGTCTCATCGGCCCATTTCTGTAGCTCCTCTCCGCTGGTTGGACTGCGGTAGATGAATTTCTCCTTATCCGATTGAGCAGCAATAGTTGGGTGCTTGTATCGCAGGTTTTTCCACGCTTCCTTGACAATAGGAACAAGCGATTCGGGGTCCTGCGCAAAGTCAAGCTTCAAGCTGACAATCAAGTCGAATTCGCGAAACCCTTCCGGGGCTGCTTCTTCGAAAAATGTATAACAGAATTTCTCCAGGGCATCATAGGGACGACTGTATTCATTCTCTCCTGTTCGCTGCCAGCCCTTCATGGTGACGGTGTTGGTGTTCATGATGGGCCTATGGCCTTAAATGGAAAACAGAAGAGATGCAAATCATGGGAGTATTTCAATCTGCCTAACTACACAAAATTGCCATTGTTCATCATCGTTGGTGGCCTTAAAAGTCCGACAAAGTGGGTACTGCCACCTCATCAAAGTGGGGTATCTTACTAGAAGCAGGAATCTATCAAATCCTTCAATTCATGCTCCCGGTGTGTGTATTTGGGCTTTCAGACATCATATACAGGATCCTGCGGTAGCTCCACTCCCCAAAATCTGCGCATTCGCTCACGAAACAACTCATAGCATGATCCCATTCGCAGAACCTTCATGCCCCCAAAGTCCATATTGATAGACGCCCGCCCATATATATGACACCGTTGGAGCCCATAGTCAACAATCAAATCAACCGCATCCTTGATCTCGTCTTCAATGTCCTCCACCCGGAACTTTTGTCCACTTCCTGTCAAATTGGCGCTGGACCCCACCATGAGCTGGCCTGCTTCGTAGTTTAATCTGCAAATTTCGCGTAATAGCGATCCCCCACCGACAAACATGGCGATGGTGCCGTTTTTGCTGACATTGGCAAGCGTTTGCGGTGAGAATGTCTGTAAAACCGGATGGTCGGGTTTGTACGGTGCCACGATTCCGAGCCCCATGTCCAGATCTTGGGTGAGCACGCGTGTCATTTCAAACCGACGATCGTCGAGGATGTGCAGATCGTGATGCAGTTCATACGATCCAATCAAGCCCTGGGTGTGGCCCGGTCGACGTCGCTTGGCAGCGAAGGCTTTGCCAACCGCTTCTGCTGAGGATGCCATCAGTCCGTAGCCAACTTCGGTGGGGATAATAACAATTCCGCCAGATTTTTAGCACGTTGAAGACTCGCAGGGCATCGGCCTTGATGTTGGGCACTTCCCCAGTAGCGGGGATCGTTTTGCTGTGGAAATTGGCCATGATGACATCTGGTGAGACTCGGCTGTCACGGATACTCTCCAATATATACCTTATTGAGCCTCGATTGTACACGTGTGCTTATGCCATGTAAGGCTGATATGATTGGATGGATCAAAAATCCTTCTGTCATAGATCATCGTATCTCTGGGGTCTGATTTGATGATTATTTATAGCCCCCGCCTGGCTCTTCTTTCCAATTGGCAGACGTATAGCCGATAAGGAAAAGATCTCATGACTTTTCATAGATACCTCTGGATTAATGTGATTGAACATAAAATCACCGCCTCATTAAGAGGCTCAGTTGCACTCAGCAATTTCACTAATTCGGAGTAATTCGAGATAAACACCTGAGAAGGACAGGAGTCAGTCAATAACATTCCATAGAAAGCGCAGCATCACAGGGGACTTACCAGCCACTTTCCACCGACTACTTATAGTCCTTAGTATTTCCACGCAAGCAAGCTTTCCTGCTGTATACTCTTCATTTTCTGTCTCAAGCGCCATCCACGACAAATCCACGGCACAGGCGTATATGCAGTGGAGCACCAACGGCGAGACACTATCTAACCTGTTCTGCGAAAGTATTTGTCCAAGATTCTGGGAAAATAACAAAACTCGACCAGCAACGTCCTTTATCGTGTTGAGGCATTTTTGCATGCATTCCCGGACACGAGGAGCAATGTCGGGTTCAAGACATTGGCTTTCTTCGGTGAGCATGTCGCAGGCGTGATTGTTAGCAAGTTTGAGAAGGGCACTAAACTTATTAGTATCGGTGTTGATGAGGGAGTTCATATGTGAACACACACCTGAAACAAATGGCGCTGGCAATACTTGTTTCCGATGATGGCGATGCATCCATGACTAGCAGATCGACAAGCGAATATATAGCCTGAGAGAGCATTTCATAATCATCGAGGGCATATTGGAGCTCGAGAGTTGTGTCATTACAATGCCGTATCACCCGCCCAAGTAGGTTTGACGCCTGCGCCAGCCGAGCAAAGGGGGTGACTGAACTGTTGCTTCCGGATGCGAGCGAGACACGTTCAGGGGGAACCATTTCCTTATACAGATGATTAGTGTCTTGTCAATATCTAGTAAGAACAACTTACACCAGCATCCCAGGCCCTGTCATTAGCTGGGAGAAGAGAGTCTTTGCTCGGGTCCTCTGTGCATAGTGGTCGATAGTCCGATCCAAGAGCGACGTATCTAGAACGATGTCAATATCCTGTTGCAAAACAGCTTTTTTGGACAATTCTAACCTGTCAAGAGTCACAATCATCCACCACACACGCTGTCTCTCTTCCCAGTCTACCCAGGTTCGCAGTTTACCAGCAGTCTGGGGAGCTAATCTGTTATGCAGACCAATAGCAACAGCCTGTCTCGCACAGCAACCTATCGTCATAAATGCTGCGTGGAAAATGCCATGGCCCAGTTCGTATACTGCCAGCAGCAGACCAGCCTGCACTGTACGGAGGGTAAGAACACCTTTCAATTCGAGGTCCTTTGCAAAGTACTTTGCGGTAGAGTAAAGCCCTGATGAGGCCGTATGTTGATTCTGTGGAGTCTCCTGGATAAGCTTAATGCATAGTAAAAGCAGGACGATATCTGCTTTCATGGCTCCTTGTGTGTCCTGGGTCAGTCGGTTGAGTCTGATTTTGCTAATAATAGGCATCCAGGTGTGAATGGTTTGGAAATATTGTGACTTGACATTGTCAATGTCGAAATTGATCCCAAGGACCGTAGAAGGATCAATAAGAACTTGATTAGCATTGTTGGCAACAGTAGATGAGAAGACATCAATATCAAGATAGGATGCCTGAATATGTAGATCTTGCGAGAGTAAAGGCTGTGGATTGGAACTGGTATCAGGAACTTCGAATGTGAACGAAGATGGTGTAAACGACGACGGCGTTTGACTTGCAGAACTCAGAATATGTTCTTCCAGTTCTTGAATTCGGTTTCGCAGTTCATTGACTTCATCCGAGTTACTTGACTGTGGGTACTCTGAGTAATCGCAGTGACGACCTGTTCTATCGCAAGACGAACGTTAATGGATATGATGCAACGACTATGGTGGGATGAACAGCACAAACCTTAGGCACAGGCTACAACTCGGAAGAGTCTTGTCACATCGCCGCTTGTTCTTCTTGCACGAAGCACAAGCATGAGCGGCCGCACCGGCCATTTCGATATCTCCACTGTCCATAGCAAGAATAATGTCTGTGTCAACCTGGATGACAGGAAATCTTGGGGGGGATGAAGGCAACGCGGCTTTAGCGGGGGTAAGCGGGGATAGCGGCCGAACACCGTCGCGTCAGCGTCTTATCCCGTCAGCTCAAGGAGCCATTCAAAACGAACGGGCCAGAAGATTTTCTTTTCCTTTTTTGAGCTAGCTTCAAATCCAGAACCAACCTAGAACGGACAAGGCAGGGAGTGAAGCCAACGTAGCGCGAAGGATTCGACGCTGGATCCTTGGCGGCCGCAGGTGGGGCAGATTGCGGTCTTTTCGATTCAGCCAATCAGATTAGTCTATTAAATGCATGGGCTATTGCTGTATGTGAACAACTACTAATTTACACATTGATTGCGGCCAACAATGAAAAGAAAATCAAATTACAGCCTCATTCCTCTCACAAGTTCATCAACCGCCGAATTCCCACATTCGCAACTGTTGCAGTACCCCCAACCACTTCAATCCCGTCCCCTTTCAACTCCTTATCCAAAGACCCAGTAGCACACTTCGCCAGGAACACTCCCAATGGATTCGTCGGAGAATGGTATGAAGGCATTGCACTTCGCACAAGTGGTCCCAGCATTGTCTCCGAGAACCGCCTCAGACAAGTAGATGGTGGAATCCAAGGCAGGATCTCGTTGTGGCCCTTAGAGTCGACAAATGCTGGACGAGCGATGATCGGTCGGAAATGAGGATTGGCTTCATTCATATTCATCAATGTGGCTTCTGCCTCGCCCTTGACGCGACCGAAAAGAGGTGTCCATCTTGTTGGCTCCCGTGTAGCGCCGTCTCCTGATACAAAGACGAAGTTGAATTTGTCGTTTTCGGGCTTGAGTTGCTGGAATGCTTGGGCGGCTTCGATTGTCAATGTTTTGGTAATATGAACGTATTCGCTGAAATGAGGTTAGCTATCACTACTGCATGATTCAATAGAATATGCTTACTCTTTAGGCACGTCGTTCTGGCTAACTCCCAACGCCCACACGCAGCCATTGGCCCCTCTAAGACGCTCAAGGAGTGCAGGTTCGTATTTTGTAAAGTCCTTGTGAATAATCACCTCAACACGATCATCCTTGATTGCCTCCACCATGGGAACTGGTCGACGGCTCAAGATGGAGATCTTGGCAATGTCCTTCATGCCCATCAAGGCGACGAGAGTGGCAGAGCCGACAAGGCCTGTTGCGCCGGTCAATATGATATGCATGTTTTTGGATGGTTGCGAGCTTTCGAAGAGGTGACCTAAGGCGGGTTGAAAATGTTGACAGACAGAAAAATAAAGGGGACTTGCGATGTGCTGATGGACAATAAATAGCATTTTGGGTCTTGTATGACAGCATGCCCTGCTATTCGCTGATTGGCCAGGCTGGCATGCGGCCGCTGACCGTGCCCCACAGTCAGCATGGAGTTTACTCGGGACCAATGAAAACGTACTATCTTCATCGGTGCGGCCGCAGTCGCCACCCACAGGCAGGGGAGGGCGGCCGCTGTATAGAAAGGTCATCGATCTATAAGCACCCAAGGAAGCCCTACGACATGTATAAATACACATATAACCTCCCTCGTCATCAATTTTTCCAGCAAAAATCAACATCAATCAATCATCAAGTCTTTCAAGTCACATCTTCTATTTCAATTTCAACCATCTCCCATTCACAATGGCAAAGGTTTGGTTCATCACAGGTTCCTCTCGCGGTCTTGGTTTCGGCATTGCCGAAGTTGCGCTCAACGCTGGGGATTCTGTGATTGCCGCTGCTCGAAAGCCAGAGCAACTCTCAGGCTTTGTCGAGAAATATAGCAGCGACAGAGTCTTCCCCGTTGCTCTTGACGTCAGCAACTACGACCAAGTGATCCAGGCCGTCAAGGCAGGCCATGAAAGGTTCGGCCGCATCGATATCGTCGTCAACAATGCAGGATACTCCAGCGTTGCCTCCATTGAGGATGCAGATATCGACAGTTTCCGCGCCCAAGTCGAGACAAACCTTTTCGGCGTCATTTATGTCACCAAGGCGGTCGTTCCTATTCTTCGTCAACAGAAATTCGGCCACATCTTCCAGATCTCCTCCATTGGTGGACGGCTCGGCATCCCCGGTCTCTCCGCCTATCAATCTTCCAAGTGGGCCGTTGGCGGATTCTCAACGGTGCTTGCCCAGGAAGTAGCCCCGTTTGGCGTCAAAGTCACCGTCCTGGAACCGGGTGGTATCAGGACCGACTTTGCCGGCGTGTCAATGCAGATTCCCCCAGTCAGCGAGCCATACCAGAGCACAGTCGGATACTGGGGTGAGTTTATACGAAATATCTCCGGTAAGGAGGTATCCATCCCGAGCAAGATTGGGGACATTATTCTTCGACTTTCGACTGAAAAGGAACCTCCTCTGCGGCTTTTGATCGGTCCTGATGCAGTTGATCTTGCTGGCAAGGTTGCTGGGGAACTTGCTGCGTCGGACGAGAAGTGGCATGAGTTGAGCGTTTCGTCAACCTAAAAATTTTATTTATGGGATAGATACCCGTGATGTTTTCTTTGTCAGCTATTAGTATGTTGATATCATATCTCTCCGGCTACTAGTCCATAAGATAGGAATAGCATTAAGTCAGTAATGGATTATGGCCCCTTAAATATTTCCAAGGACTGCCAGATACATATTCGTTTCACTTCGGGTAAAATACCTCCATAACCAAATTCATATTCAGAAAGTCCTGTATCTGATAGGATTTGTGTGAAACAAATATTTAACATGTTTACAACACATTTAGCGGCAGCTTTCAAACAATTCAGAGTCTTTAATTCGATCTTTGGGTAGTTGTACAAGATATCAATATTGTTTGACGCACATATCCATACACCTATATTGAATGTTTCATCCCTGAGTAGTGCCGAGCGGCCATCCAATTCCTATGATATGAATACCTGTCAACACCGGCCTCTTTCACTTACCCTATATCATTCAATAATGCAGTCTTCAAAGTTGCCACCAGCATAGTACATTTAACAACGGCGCAGTGGGTTCAAACCCCGATGTATTTCATCGGAGCATTCTCCTCCGCTTGGAATGAAGGCCCCGGTTATCAATGGCGAGCCCCAAAGACCTCAAAGTACTCGAGGTCAGGTAGAGCCCGCACGGCGACACCTATAATGACACTGTTAACGCTCTTCATCACCGCACCCGCGTTTGCTCAACGATGGCGGTATACCAATCTGAAGACTCCTCTTCTCCTTGTCTTGGCTTATAGATTCTTTCCGCCCCTGACTTCGAATGCGACAATTACACACGGTTCGCATGCAGTGTGCCCCTTGATAAATGGAGCCACCATAGGATGAGGTGTGTATGCTATTCACGTACATCTAGAACCAAACATCCAAGAAATCCACATAGCCAGTCACTTTGATGGAGTACTGGGTCTCGATTCTCCACTAGGTACTCAATATCGCACTCTTGGCACCATTCAACACCATATTCTGGAAGCCCTCTCGCTTCCCATTGTGCGGTAATATGCCGACTGTGTGGATGTCCTGGGGTAGGTGGTGCTATTATTACTGGCGAATGTGACCTGGGGACACACTATAGACGGATATTCTGATGCATAATGTTGCTGCTATGGTGTATGCACTATGGCTGTTTTGGAGACCAAATTTGAAGCGCGTGTAAAGATTTCAGGGGAATCTCAAACCTGTAGCGGATATTGCTGGACAGGCGCAATATTATGACGAAGGGACCGTAGATGGAACGTGGATTGCCCAAGAGATGAATAAAAAGATCTTGAGAGAAGGATTGCACGGTTAGATGTAGCAAATAAGGAGCGGAACTTGGCATATAATCGGGTAAAAAAGCGATAGTTGCTCATTTTTCCATAATATGATCTGCATAGTGATATCACAAATAATATAGTCAGGGGTTTAGAAGTCCTTAGTCTGGTACCCCATAAGCATGCAGCGGTATGTTTTCTTTAAGAATAGGTCATCTTTGGCTGCCTTCTTAGCCTACTCGTACTTTTTTTAATTGACATATCATTATAAGTACGGGTCACATTTATGTCACCCCAGTACTGCAGTAAGCAAAACATTAGTTCCTAGTACACAAGAAAAGAAAATTGAAAATTGAAGAAAAAAGGAGAAAGAGAGAAGTATATAATGTGTAGACAAAAAGTAATCAATCAGGAGGAATGTGGATGTGATCGCGTGCTCCATAAAAAAGAAAAAGAATAGTAGCATGTCCTCGTTTCGATCGAGGGACCTTCGGGTTATGAGCCCGACGCTCTTCCCCTGAGCTAACATGCTGGGTCTTGGCAGATAAGTTGTCTACTCTCAATTACAAAGAGCCCCGCCTCCAATGAGAGAATTAAACTACGCCAAGATCCAGGCACCAGCACTTTAAAGGTTAATAAACATCAATAAAACCAATATATTGAATCCGGAGGCGCGGTGGAGTCAATAGGATGGTTGGAAAAAACACTCAACATCTATGCGAGAGACTATAATGAGACATATCTAGTCTATTCGTATCAAAGGTTGAGCTCATTGTCTTGGAGCCTTTGCATGTCACAATTGCCTTCTAACTCCTTTTTGATCCTTTTTTGATGTAGAGATTAAGGACCTATTTTATATAGATCATGACGACTATATATTCAACATTTCCCTAAGCCTTGAATATGAGCATTCAACGTTCAAAACACCGTCGCCCAAGCCGCCATCTCCCAGTCGATCAATCCTCAATTCGAATAATATGAAGTTCTTATTCATTTCTGCGCTGCTGGTGGGCTCTGCGCTTGCGAGTTTCCGATGTGCCGACAAAACCTGCACAGACATTCAATGCTGCTACAGAAGAAGAAGATGGGTAAGTCAAGTTTGAATGAGGAAGACATTCCATAGCCACTAATATACATTCTCTAGATCCAAGGCCCAGACGACTTTGCGATTGGCGCCAAAGTAGGCCCCGATAATACCTACATCTAAATAAATGTGAATACGGCCGTGAATACATAGCAGTGAGTATCATTACTATTTCAGTGTAGATTATGTTTGACGTGAGCTGACTTCAGTATCAGTGCTTGTTCGATTCTTTCAAAAGTCATAGCTACCGCAGCTATAACCTATTACGCGCTATATATTGTAATAGCCCTTGGCGAAATGCCAATCAGAGGGTCTCTTTGCATACCATCTGGTGGATTATCCATATAAAAGTTATTTCGACTGTATCAGTTACAAAATAATCAATTATACCCCTTATCGCCTTGCCTCTGATTGGTTATTACTCTTTATAAGAATGAAAGATTGAGGTAGAACGACACTTCAAATAAGGCACTAGAATGATATTCCGACTCGAATAAGTGTTTTTCTTTTTTTTCGAAGTAAATAATTTCTAGAATTTATATAAGCATAATAGAATTCTTGACATCATTCAAGGTGACTTGGAAATATATTTTCACTTAATCTTATCTTCAGGGTTGACGTATATGGCTTTAATCCTGTGATAACAGTGCAGGCATCTTTATACTACGAACCATATGAGTAATATATAATAGTATCCATACCAATGGATGTAATCTGGTAGTAACAACATCGAGCATCGAGCATAATGTATTAAATGCAATTCAATATATTGGAATTCCGCTGTAACATTACATCTCATCACCCCGATTATTTGGCGATTATGCTCCTAATCAGGCAAAACATGCCAAGCATTTCGGGCAGTGAACGAGAGAAAAATGCAAATATCCCTCTTTTATTGGCGACAGGAATCATCGACTCATTCTGGTAAACTCTCCTGATACCCCTTTCTTGCATACCCTATTAGGGATGATGTTTTGACTAAAAAATGTGCTCACAATCCCAAGTGCTGAAGATTGCAGGATCTGCACAGAGACCTCCGAATCTCTGCAAAAACCTAATCTATGATTTTAGATGCGGGGCTTGTGATTAGAGGACAAGTCAAGATCAAGCAGTGGAGCCAGAACAGGACGACGAGAATAAAAAGAGGTCGATATTTGGCAAGATCGTAGATCGATCGATCGATCGATCTCGATCTCGATCCTCGATAGAAGTGAGGATTCCGACAATTTACTCGAACAGCTCGGAGGTTCGAAAGGCTATCCTGCCATGTTTTCATGGCTGATATGACCTGTACCCATGCCACGTTTTTAGCCATCGAGACAGTCTATCTACAGCCAATCCTGAATTCAATCGAGATGATTCTCCTTATTCCTTTTTACCTCTTATCTGGCCTCGCAATCCTAAGTCAGATTATAAATGTGGAGATCAGACCCGTAAAGATACTGATTGCTGCTACCACGAGCAAGCCACTAGTTTTATTTTGAGGACACAACTAGATAATAATGTCAGTAAATGAGTCTTAGTGTAAAGGATGAATTTAATTACACCTCTGTCTGTAACTGATAAATGCCATGAATTATCCTACAAGGGAAGATAATTCACCCGCTGTGCATCTTATCAAAGCCAAGCAGGCTAAGCATTCGGGACGGATCCACTCCAAACCATCCCACGTGGCGCCAGACTTTTCTTTTCTTATCTCTGACTCTTCATTTTCTATCCTTATTCACAAATGGAGGACGAAGAAAAAGGGACTAGGCCACAGCCTACTGTAGAGGCGCTGTCTTCAGACAAACCCTCAGGCAATATCTTTACTCGCCTCAACGACAAGATCCTCTCCATCAAATACTTGGAAAGTCGAGGGATCGAGCGTGTTCCGGTTGAGGAGCGTCATGCAGTCACTTTTTCAGATTACATGCAGATGACTCTGCTCTGGTTCAGCACGAATATCACCGCCAATAACATGGCTGTCGGTATGTTGGGTCCACTGGATTATTCCCTTGGTTTTGTCGACGCGGCTCTTTGTGCGACGTTTGGCGCGTTGCTGGGGGCAGCTGGGGTCGCGTATATGGGCACTTTTGGACCGATTAGTGGGAATCGAACAATGGTATGTACTCTATAAACTATGTGAATTTAGTTAATAGCTATAGGTTGTCGCGAGATACTTTATGGGGTATTATCCGAGCAAAATTGCCTGTCTTCTCAATATCATCATCATGCTTGGGTATGGAATGATTGATTGTCTTGTCGGTGGGCAGATACTGTCTGCCGTGGCTGGAGGACGCATGTCTGTCGTGGTGGGCATCATCATCATCGCAGTGGTGACCTGGGTGGTGGTTGTCTTTGGCATGAGCCTTTTTCATATCTACGAAAGGTATTCTATCAACAATTATATCTGCGGTTTAGATACTAACCATCGTAGATGGGCATGGCTCCCCCAATTCATCGCAGCGTTTGTCCTGGTCGGCAGTGCTGGGCCCAAGTTCGACACGTCCATCACATCTACTGGCGATGCAGCCACAATCAACGGCAATCGACTCTCGTTCTTCTCCCTCTGCCTGTCTGCATCTGTCGCATGGGCACCGGCCGGCGCAGATTTCTTCGTCTACTTCCCACCATCCACGGGCAAATGGAAGACATTCCTCATGACATTCATGGGAGTTGGCCTCGCATTGACCTTTGCAAACCTCATCGGCGTCGGGCTAGCCTCAGGCACCATGACCCATCCATCATGGGCGACAGCATTTGATACTTCCTCCGGCGCTCTAATCCTTGCTGGCTACGATGGACTAGGAGGGTTTGGCAAGTTCCTCGGTGTCATCGTCGCACTGGGTTTAATCGCGAATAACATCCCCGGGACGTATTCCGCCACTCTCGGATTCCAAATCATGGGTCGCCATATCGCCCGCCTTCCGCGATGGTTTCTTTCCTGTGTCGGAGTACTCATTTACACGGCTTGTGCTCTGGGCGGTCGCAATAACCTCTACGACATTTTTGAGAATTTCCTCGCTCTCATGGGATACTGGGTAACTATCTATCTGACCATTGCATTGGAGGAGCAGTTCATCTTTCGTCGCACGCGCGGGTTTGACTGGGATGCGTGGGCTGATCCGGCGCGATTACCGGTTGGAATCGCGGCACTGGCTGCGTTTCTTATCGGATGGGCTGGAGCGATCGTCTGCATGGACCAGATCTGGTATGTTGGGCCTATTGCAAAGATGGTTGGAGAGGATGGATCGGATTTGGGTATTTGGGTTGGTGTTTCATGGGCGATGATTGTGTACCCGCCGTTGAGATGGATTGAGTTGAAGAAGTTTAACCGGTGATGCTTAGTGATGGAGTATTGAAATTGCATTTCATGTAGATTCAGGATATCTCGCTAGTATAGAGTAGAACACTCGCTGATGTATCCAAAGTACCATCGATGGGCCGTCCTGCTATCAGCTGTCGTGCCGTCATTTCCATCTGTTGAGTCAACCCCAGTAACCACATCGACATCTGCAGTTGTCACGGTTACATTGTTTCCGCTGGTGATCCAGTACTCGGGACTAGCATGATGATAGCCCAATAGCTTGGGTGGCAACTTAGGAACAATATCATCGGTGTGGGTTACGCGATAGTTGTCTCCCTTGTCAGTCACGTTGGTGATATAGTCTGCCAATGCAAGGTTCCCAATTCGGGGTTGGCCATAGTTGTACTATCAATCAATCAACAAAATAATAAATATACAGTGAAGAAGCAAACATACCAGTTGAACCGTATATCCCGAATTCCTAAAAACAACAGCCGCAACAGCAGCCAGGGCAGCACCGTAACTATGCCCTGTGAAAGCAAGCTCATAGTTTGGATACTTTGCAGTGGCAGATTCAATGATCGAAGTGATATTATCGGAAACAGTCCCCCAAGCCTCCCAGAAGCCGCTATGCACTTTACAGCCAGAGCATAGATCGCTGCCATCTGTGAGTCCAAAGTCGAGATCGGCTATCCAGTTGGCAATATCAGAGCTGCCCCGGAATGAAAGAACTAGGAGTTTATTCGTCTCATCTGCTGCGATAAAACCGGTGACATCGCCAAATGATGAGGATCTGGATATATCAGCTGTGTTGAATATAGTCGGATGATAGTACCCACTCATCAAACTCATCTAATGTGACAGTCGACGCCGCTTCTACTAGCGGACAATTTCCAACAGAGCATTCAAGCTTAGTATTGGAGGAATTCAAGTTCTCTAGACAGTATGAGGCGGCACTGTATTGTGCAAAAAGATCGAGATTGTTCAGAACGGAGGAATCGACATCTGCCTTTGTAAATACTATGAAGGGTTTCAGGATGAGTAGACATACCTCTACGGACTGGAGAAGGAGCTGCTTGAACAAGCAGCAGACTTGCGATAATCCCAAATAGTATGTCGAACATCTTTTAATAGAATAGAATATATTTTTACTATCATGACGGAGGAATTGTACCTCCATTTATACACTACTGGATGCCGTCATTAGTCAATCAGGTCATGGTTATGCAAAACCCCGCACTACACCAGGTACGGTGTTTCGTCCGATGGCATTACGACTCTCTTCAGGCACGTAATTTGTATTGACCGTATGATAGGGCGAAAGGAAGATAAGCTAACGAAGCAATAATAATGCCTGTCAGTGCTATTTAAAAGCAAGGCATGTTTACTTCCCCTCATCTTGATAGCCTCGGCCAACGTGGGAAGTTACAGCACGATGATAGGTGGATTGTACAGTTCATGTAAATTATTCAAAGACAATGTATTGCACTATCACGGCTACACAGAAGAAAAATAGATTATAATTTTAGTTTTAATGTCCTGAATAATTTCCGAGCAATTCACCGTCGGATCTCCGTCTGGTTTATTTGGTAGCATTTATGTGAATCTTTATCAATGTATGGCAAGCGCAGCAACAATAACCCCAGTCAGATCCCCTATTATACTCGGGATATTACTGCGTATCCACCCACTAGAGCTCTACTTATTGTACCATGGTCTACTGTATCATTTAGTTTAGAAGATAAAATTATTAGGCAGAAGACAAAGAGCTGGACTGCATGATACGCAAACATCTTGCATTAGAAACTTAACATCCCCCAATTACACATTCTTCTCGACTAAGGTAATCTTGCCAGTCTCAACCTCATAAATATAGCCTGTGATAGGAACATTCAGCAACAGACTGTTGTCCTTCAACGATCGGATATCGTCCAGAACACTCTGTTTCAAATCACCAAACGGCAAAAATGCAATATGATCAGCATTCTGGCCAAGTTCAGATCGGATCTTGCTCCGGATCGCCTCATCGGTAAAGGTGAGCATTCCACAGTTGGTCTATCGTAGTCAGTATTCTCATGCAACCATCGATGTTGCAACCAGGTACGGGAGGCATACATGGTGCACAAGAATAATCTCTCTCGTTCCCAACAGCTGCTGCGAGATGATGAGGCTTCGAAGAGCGTCTGTCACTCGACCACCTGCATTTCGAATAACATGGGCATCTCCTTCTTCCAGACCAAGAGCGCGAGCAGGGTCTTTGCGCTGTCAGTTCGAAGGCATCATAGATTTAAACTGACGAGAACCTACCCAGTCGGGCATCCATGCACGTCACTATGGCGACCTTTCTATTAAGATGGTTTCGCATTAGAGGTTTCTCTTCATACTCATCATAGAAACGTACCGCTGCGGGGGAAGCTGCAAATCGCCCTTGGTGAAGGATGCCGCGTATTCGGCATTCGCAGCTTCGACCTCATTTGCGACAGACATAGTGGTTTATATAAAATTGTAATAGATTGAATAAACAAAAGGACCTTGGGGATGATGGAAAGGATAGAAAAGACCGATTTATCCCCGCATTGAGGATGTTCAACATCGACATGTTATGACGTGATATTCGCTGACCCCATTTCTTGATGACGTGATGAACCTTCATCACAACAGACAACCTTAATCAACATGCTCACTGTTATCTAGAGCTGTTCAAGTATCTATAGTTTTTTTTTTTTTTTTTTTCCGTTTGCATATCTATCTGATCATAGAACCCCTACGCTAAGCGCTTGTTTTGTTCCTATAGGTCTACAAGTATAGACATTCAAATATTGAGGAATGACATCGACCGTAGATATCGAAATCGGGAGTTTATTAGTATTTACTGATTAGGTCTGTCCTAAGACTTAATATCGGGAAGACGCTATATTGTTTTTATTGCCCCCTCGCGATGCCATACGCCTGCGGGACTTTTTATATATACATACAATACACCCATGCAGACCAAAGGTAGCCCTATTGCCTCTGGTCTTGTTGATAATCTAAATAATCCGACTCGCTTGAGGTTTCAGTGATACAGTGATAGGGCCGTTTTATTCTATGGCACAGCTATTTCGTAGCCACATATGAAAAACCACTCCGAGAGGAATCTGGATATAGAGGCGCTCGTCGGTTACCATCTCTACTCTTTTTATTAATTCAACTAGGTAAATTGAGGTCAAAAGATACTGGAACTGGTCCTGGATGCATCATTCAACTCCTCTTCGACAGCCATTTTCGAAACCGACATTTTCGACCAGGAAATCGGCTTCGGCGGCAATGGCGATTACATGTCTGCATCTGTCGCTGAGAATCCCTTTAATCTGACTGGTCGTACGGGAGGGGATGGTGTCCATGGGGGTGAATTTGCCCCTGAATTGTTTACTGTCAATTATCCCACTCCAGACTGTCTCCGTCGCGACTTTCTTCCTTAGATCATGAATGCTTTTGCGCAGCAGAGCTTGGTGGATCATGTGCAGAGCCAGCCGGATTATACAAGTTTTGCACGGGCAGTAGAGAATATTCCAAACTTCTCACAGCCAAACATCCACGGGAGTGAGGATTTTGGGTCTGGAGGCGTCCTGGGGACATTGGGGAATCAGGCACAGAGCCCTGGGGGTGAGTATACCTATGCTTCTTTCGTATGGTCAAACATTGCAAGATTTGACAAATCCTCTTTCTTGCTCCACCACGTTAATCTCGATCGTATCTTCTGGACTAGCAACAGAAAGATCTACCTTCACGCTTTCACCAGGTTGGGGGTCCAGTCCAGCCGTTTGATTACAGTGGGGTGAACGTCGCGCTCGACTTCAAGGTGGATATTGGGAATCTCGCGCCGAATTTGACATTGCAGCAGCTTTTGAAGCCGCAAGGCGATGTTCTGTGCTATGATTATTATTCTGGAAAGTGACAGTAGATACTCCCTATGTCAATGATTATGCTTCAAAAGTGAATACAAAGGGGTAAAGGTATTTGAAATGGGACGATAGAATGCTATAAAAGACGGATCACGTGACCGATCATGGATCAGTCAGCGGTGCTGCGTCTGATTGGTTGTGCTCGAATATGAATGAGGTGTACACCCCGCTGCACGTGCTCAAGAGCTGCCTATCAAAGTATCAAAAGGGCCGGACTTGGTAATATTCAAGGTTTTATTGGCCGCTGCCTGTGCCTGCTCACCGAAAAAAAGGATCTTCAGCTTAAGCCGCGAGCTGCTCAGGTATGATTTCAGCTGTCAATAATTGTGGATCTGTACACACTCCCATTGGCCGGGGAAACCTCCACCGTGGGGTGTTGTTGCGACTCCTGAAGGCTCTGTTTTTCAGCTCGGCTGTGACCCACCAATGACGGACGGGAGAGTTCAGCTGAAAACAGCTACCCAGGCGCGATCGCAAATAGAAATGGCCCGGAAACCCAGTTTGTTGGGAAGAACGAGAGGGGCATGCGGGATATAAAGTGGACGACGTCTTTCCATGGAAATTCCGACCAAACCCAAATCACCTTCTTGACACCCACAAGATGGTAGCCATCAACTGCCGCCAGCATGCATTCTTCGAGACGACAAAACGGCTCCTCGCTGAGCTTGTTAATGAAGGCTTGGTCCAAGCAACAGTCGTCGACTCCAAGGCCGACGCAGAACAAAGATGTTTGAAGCTGAAAAGCATCACTACCGGTGATAATAAAACGATCACCGTCAGATTAAGGCCAGGCACGATCATCGAGACAAGACTCGATCAAACGATCGGTGTTGTGCGCCCGGATAGTTTGCAGCCACCAGTCGTATTGCGCCATGATGAAACAGAAACAGAGGAGCTGGACCCTGGCTATATCTTCACTTTCATCACTTCTTGGTTGGCAGACGAGGCTGAAAGCACGACACTCGAACAAATCGCATTGGAATTGCAGAATTCCGCGAGGAATCAAGGTTAGACCGATTGAATAATATGCGTGGACTCGATGTTAACAGGTAACAGTGAAATGGCTGGAAATAAGCAGAAACCAGACCGAACCGACTTTGGAGAGCCCATCGATTACTTGGGAGAGATCCCTGGTATACGGACATCCCAGCCATCCAGTATGAACCTCTTGAAGACGAAAACGGCAATTACTAACTGTGTCAGTACCACCGGCTATGCTACGCCCAAGAGCCTCTCCAACCAGTCGCCCCGGAGGATATCCCAGCAATGCTCACCCCGGATCTCACATTCATCTCCATTCCGCGAACTGACATGCACTTTACCGGACCTTTTGAAGAAACCCTACAGCCACTGCTGAGGAAACTTCAACTTCCGGAGCCCTCTAATGAACGAGCAATCGTCCCCTGTCTCACCCAACAGCTCCCCTCTATCACTCAGCGCTTTCCCAACGCCATCATCCTCAAGACCGTCAAGGAGTGTGCAGAAGCTCAAGTCTCAATGCGCACACTAACTATTCGCCCCGAGCTAGAATTCCCATTCCATCTCAAGATGTCACTAGCATGCAACATCACCTCTGCTCTACGAACAATCACCCCCTGGACAACACGGATTGGGCCACTTCTATCGGAAATCCTCGAGAAGTTCCTACCCCCCGGTCTGTGGATGTTTAAAGAATTAGCAGGAATGACAGGATGTCAAAGTGATTTCAATGAAGCAAAGCATTTCTCATGCATTATTCGAGACGACATGGAGGAAAGGGCGAACGCAAATAATGAAGCTCTGGCTGTCGGTGCCTCGCTTGCTGAAATTAACCACGACACGGGCAAGTCGTGTGCTGAGAGAGTGTTTGGTCTGGAGACTGTCTCACAGAAACAGGAATGGCTACGCAGGTCAGTTTGTTCAGTCTCATACTGATTATTGCATTTATGTTAACTCGGAATAGCTATGTAACACGCCTATTCGAAATCGCTCTCCCGCCATTGGTCCTCCATGGAATTGGTTTTGAAGCCCACGGCCAGAATATCGTCGCCCGCATCTGTCGTCAGACAGGTCAAATCAAGGGATTTGTCGTCCGAGACTTTGGAGGTGTCAGATTGCATGTTCCAACACTAGAAAGCCAGGGCATCTGTTTCGCCTCATTGCCACCTGGAGGAGCAGTGTTGACTGATAACATGGAGAATGTGTGGAGCAAAGTCCACCACTCTTTGCTTCAGAACCATGTGGGATTGATCCTCACCTCGCTGGGTCTGGAACGAAATGGCGGATGGGGCGTTGTGAGAGATGCTCTTTCCAGTGTTCTGAAGCCAGAGCAAGGAGGAACAAGGGAGACACTTTATGAGTACTTCCTCAAGGATACGATGCCGTTCAAGTGCTTTTTGAGAATGAGAATGGCAGGGAAATATCGCGATGTAAGTTTTCCATTCCATTGACCGCAGCTTATGATACTGACGTGCTATAGTATGTGGAGAGGGAAGTCCCGAACGTCCTGTTGATCGATTCGGACCGTTGGCAGTCTGTGCTGCAGAACTATCAGCCATCGATTCATTATACATAGAATAACTACAATCCCTTTAAACGAATAATGTAAACACTTCACTATACATATGAACTGAAATCCACATGCGAGATATGTACACTTTATTATGCGTCTATTTCTTTCCACCTGCCGCACCGACTAAATTCCCATACTTCAGCGTATTCATCGTAGCCGCAAACTGCTCAACGGATGGTGAAACAGTGAGAATCATCGCCGAATGACTGTCTATCGACGCCTGGAAATGTTGACGCAGCACCATGGTCAGCGGCGAAGATCTAAACGGGATATGGGTCTTGTTCAGTGCTCTAGCCCGTATGACTTCCTTCAAAGCCAGAAGATCTGTGTTGATTTGCCTTCCCTCTTGTTTCTCCTGTGGTGTTTGCTTCATCCCAGTGTTCTGATCTGAGTATTCTGAGCCTGCGAGATCGACAAAAACGAGCTTTCCTCCAATACACACATGTCGCTGGGCTATAGAGTCAAATACTTGAGACTCGTAGCTCTCGGCTTCCTTAACGCATGATTCAAACTCGGCCTTCTTTGCCTCGGCAGCATCGATCCGTGTCTGGTCGATCTGATAGTCGGGATTGGGAACATACTTCCCCTCTTCATTCTGTATCAAGCCGCGATAATTCTCTTCAATGTAGACATCAGTCGCGTATTTCCCCACCGGAACAAGCTCTGACTGTCGCTCTATCACCGCATCGCGTGCCTCCAGTAGTGACTTGGTCACAATCTCAAGCTCCAAAACTGCATGCGTCCGAGAACTCTGATCATGGACTGTTGAGGTCCCTGTCGTGCGAAGTTTCAATCCCACTTGCAACTCGCGGCGCAGATCCTCGAAACTCCAGCATGCTTTTGTTGCGATAGGTCTGACCCTGACTTTCCCGTTTTCCAGCATCTCGGTCTCCCCACGGATATACACCTGTCCGTCAGACCCTTGACGGACGAAACATTCTCGACGGCCGTTGAGGAGGTCAAAAGCCGTATTCTTTCGTAATTCATACATCCGGATTCCGAGTCCGAGCTTGTCGCTATCATCACCTTCATTCTTACTCTCAAGCACTTCTCCCAAATAACGAGCAGCAGCCAAAGAAAGCCCAAACTCATCGCTATTTTCATAATCATATCCGATAATCGTATGCGACTTGCCGCTGCCCGAGTGGCCATATGCAAAGAAGTTGCACGATTTTCCCTGCAAGACATGTGGCAGGACAGGGACTATGACTTTTTCAAAGACGGTGTTGTTCTTGTCATCTGCATCGAATATCCCAGCAAAAGATGCGGCGCTTTTCCACGAGCGATCTCGAGTAGAAGATGGAGGTGCAACGATGGATATTGATGATGGTGAGTATTCACCTTGGCTGTATTCGCGTTCGATTTCGCCCTGTGGCTCATTGGGCCTGAGAGGACGCCATCTTGCCCATACGTTCAATGGGAGCATTTCGGATCAATATGTTTAAGAATGAATGAGATGCGAGAAGTTCTTTTGCGAGGGGATTAATTGCTAATGCTGTATCTGCCTGGCTCTTGAACCTGGGTGCTATCTTCACCTCTCCAAGAACGAAATTGAACACGCGTTAGTTGTCAGGCACCCTCGATGTCGAAGAATCGAGAAAGTAAATACATCAATGGGGAGTAAGTGGACCAATCTCATGGAATATTCTGATTGGCCATGTTTCACATGATCTGCGTTCCTGGATGATGCTAAAAAAAGGGTCCGGGAAAAAGTGTGGAATGAAATACCGAAACACCGAAACACCGAATGTCCGTGTGTCCGCAGGTCCGGATTCTGCAAGACATCCCAGTGGAGATCAGGAGTTGTTAGCTCGACACTGTCTAATCAATGTTTATTTTTATTTTTATTTTTGAAAATGTCCCTGGCTTTTGCTAGGTCTAGATCTATATAATGCGAGAGTTTGAATTAGATTGTCAATGCTATGTATGCTGTATATCAATTTTCTAGCATGTGTTGCAGGATATATAAAAATAATCAATACTATCTTATCAATCCAATGTAACCGAGCACCAAATTCATGCTCAATCAAGATCCAATGCAATCTGTTGACAAGCTTCGGCCATCGCCTTCATTAAGATCCTGATCGGCTCTAGCTGTATTCTCTCCATTGCCTCTCTGCGCACAAAGTCGCTGACCATCATAACCAAGGCGAGGTCTGATTCGATGTCACTACGTTTATGGGCGTCGATGATATTCGAGCACAGGTTAAGAAACGGTACGAATTGGTGTAATAAAATTTGGCTGGATAGAGGGTGAGGGTTTCTTATTAGTATGGAAATATTTCAGTAGGGGAAGGAATGACATACCTGGTGCCCCAATGCATTCTGGGAGCAGTGCTGATGAGGTATTTCATTTTGAGGATGGAAGTCCTCGCAATATCCACAGACTCTTTTGGTGCGCTCTGGTTTTGTTGATTGCATTTCTTAGATCCGTGTAGTATGATAAGGATCTTGAAGCCGTTGAACACGATGTCTGCGCAAAACCACGAGTCGAAGGTAGTTGTGGTGGTTTCAAGAAGTTCCTCCTTTATACAGTTAGATATTCCCATAATATCTAAAAGTATAGACAATGTATTTGAGAACGTACCACCTTCCAGGTAGACGTGATCGAAACAACCTCCTCTGCAAGTCTATCAAGGGTTTCATCATACCCAGCGTGTTGAACATTCTCTGAGTTGTCCACCAAATCTAAATATTTCAGTAGTACCAAAGTAAGGCGCATCGATGCAAGGAAATGAATCTGTATGAAACGTGTAGACGGATCATCGACGTCTTCTATAGTAGCGTTGGGGAAGTTCACCACCCAGGACTCCCTGGAAATGATACCTGGTCTGCCAAAATAGAAGCGGAAAAGACAATCCGTCTGTAGGAGATACCAGAATTCGAGTCGTTTTCGATTGTCACTGATTCCACTCTTATCCTCGGCGGAATCATCGTGACCTTCTGATGAGACCTCGTCGATGGTAAAGTATCCCAGGGCTTTCGCAATCCTGCAAACATCTCCATAAACATTCCAAGCTTCTTCGATATTACAACCCTCGAGAGACATCGGCATCTATACTACATCATCAGCCTGTCTTTTTCAAATTTTTAAGGTAGCGACTACCATGAGAAAAGCTGCATAAAAGTCCACGTAAGTATTTTGAGCTTCGCTCCGCCATCTGTCCACGAGGTCCGTGCACTTCCGATAGAGGTGTTGCACCAAGACGCCTCTGTTGGGAACAGGCTCCGTATCTATCATCATACCCTGAAGAACACTGTTATAGTAGATGATCAGGCAGGTGCTGTCAAGCTTGACATGGCGTATTTCTAGTAGATCAGGGATGGAAAGGACAAAATCCTTTTCCAGGGGGCATCTAAAGCCCTCGCACTGAGAACTATCGAAAAACACTGGACATGTCAGTTTGGAGAAGGTGACTGGAGTGTCAACCAATACGTACTACCTGCCCATCGCTTTGCCATTTCTTTTGAGAGTGGAGGAGGGTTTATTGGCAGGTCTCTTTCTTGCCAGTTTGTGGAAGTCTCGATTTCCATCATTGCATTTCTCATGGCTTTGCTGAATACTTCATTTTCGACAAGGTTACGTCCTGCGTACCGGAGTTGGTAAAGAAGATCGCTATGTAGAGAATGGCTCGACGTGCTTCGCCCTGGCAATTGGGTGGGTGGAGAGCTTTGTCTGTTGTTGTTTGACTGAACAAATGAAAGGGATCTTGAACTAAAACCATCCTCTTCATCTGTCCTACTTTCATGCGCACTCTGCCTTTCTAAGCGATCCAGGCGCGAGAGAATATCGGACAGGATATCTTTGTCGTGAACTCCCCTTGTATATCACGAGTTAGACATGATACAAACCCTCCAAAGGACCACCCCACCTTGGTTTCTTGTCTCGAGCTTTACGCGGTAAGTATATGCATCTTGCATCAATTGACTGGCATTTGTCGCATCGCGGATGTGCTTTATTGCATCGAATCTGGTCTTTTATTACTACTTTCGCATGCCATCGGAAATGCGCAGCGTACCTTCTTTGACTTGCAGCGACTGCACTTGATAAAATGTCAGTAATATAATCCACAGCACCAGATGTTTTTACTCACGGAAATATCCGTCACAGGCCTTCTCGAACTCATTGCTGGCTGTTTGGACGTTTGTGGGTTGCAGGAATGCGACGTTGCAAAGGAGAAAACGAGAGTCCGAAATGCCGGTTTAGGCCCGGTTCAGCGCGGGGTTTCGCAATCACCGAAAGTCCGGCTGCCGATCGTCTGACTGGCTTCAACCCAACCCACAACTCGTATTCGCGTCTTTCTGCAAAAAGAGTCATCGCAATAATAATAGGGGGGACTCGGAAAGATGAGATGCAGGCATCATCATAATGAGCCATAAAACACGATCGACATCCACATTCCTGATTGGGCCAAACGGTGCGCTCGCCAGGCAGCTTATATGGATATATAGCGATGCTTTCCCTGTTCTTCATTCCGTCAGCGACAACTTTTCGACAAAGATAAAGCAAAATGTCCAGGACAAAGGACCCATCGGACATTCCTCAAACCCCAATTGAGAAGCAGGATATATCTTTACAGCATCCTGAAACGACAGATGAAGGGCAGGAAACTGCCATAAAGATCCCGGATGAAGCTGATCCAGACAAAGGTGGTGGGGATGAAGAGAAGAAGGATGCAGAGCCGAAAGAAAGTGCCTCTGTTGCCAACTATTTTGTATGATCATACTCCCAGGTAAAATATGCTGGTCGCTGATGGTGTACTAGAGGATCCTCTCCTATGCGACTGGAAAAGATCGCATTGTGCTCGTAATGGCACTCATTGCCGCCGTTGGATCCGGAGTTGTATGTTGATGATCGCCGCAGCCTCAGAGATATAATCGTGACTAACCAGATCAGCCTCTTCCACTCATGAATATTATTTTCGGAAACCTGGTTGGCAAATTCAGTGGATACTTTACGCCAGGCACATCAGTCACCAAGGAAGACTTCAAATCGTCTGTGAACGAGCTAAGGTAAGTTTGAACGCAGTTGGAAAACAGACATCTTGGTAAACATTCAGGACAGTTTGTACATCGTGTACTTGTTCATCGCAAAGTTCTGCCTGACTTACATCGCCATGGTAAGCCCATTCTTAATGAATTTGTTGGCAGGAATACTGATCAAAAAAAGTTTTGTTTCCGAGTCGTTGGTCTCCGTGTCTCAGCAGGTCTCAGGCTCGAGTATATGCAGTCGCTCTTTTCGCAACCGATCAGTAAACTCGATGAAGTGTCCGTGGGAACAGTCACAAACACCATAACGTCACTTTCCAACACCATTCAACAGAGTGTTTCAGACAAGTTGGCCATCCTATTTCAGTCGGTCGCGCTCCTCATCACTGCTTTTATCATCGCTTTCAAGTACTCGTGGGCTTTGACGCTTGCTACCAGCGCATCTCTCCTATTCATTGTGCTCGGTTTCTGTGTGACTGTTCCGGCTATCATAAAGATCCAGCAAAGAGTTGATAAGGCGGACGAGAAACATTCATCGATCGCCGCAGAGGTATTTGCTTCTGTTCGGACGGTCTTTTCCCTTGGCGCACAGGAGTCCCTTTCCAAGAAATACGGAGAGTGGGTGCAAGAGGCACGGAAGCGAGGTCAGGGCATGTCCATCATTATGGGGATCCACCTCGCTCTCCTCTTCTTTGCAATGTACTCGAGTTATTCACTGGCATTTTGGTTTGGACTGAAGCTGTACCGAGAGGGGCATATTGAGAATATCAATACGGTTATTACGTGAGTACATGCAGAAGGAATACCGGCGCAAGCTAACATCCATTTATGACAGTGTCTTCTTCTCAGTTACCATTGTCGTCAGTATTTTAGGAAGTATCGCGACGCCGTTGATGACCATCTCCAAGGCGATCAGTGCCTCCGGATCGTTCTTTGAAATGATAGACGCAGAGGGGCAAGAGTCAGGAGGTCTTCGTGATCCAGATGCTTCAGCCCAGGTGGATATTGTGTTTGATGATGTCCGTTTTACATATCCTTCGCGGTCGGACGTTCCTATCCTCAAGGGCCTCAATGCACGATTCCAAAAAGGGAAAACGACAGCATTGGTCGGTCCTTCGGGCTCCGGGAAAAGCACCATCGTTGCTCTTGTCGAGAGATGGTACCAGCTTGCCATTGGCGAGGAGGGAAACACCCCAGGTGCAATTTTCGTGGGCGAGCATAACATCAATAGTCTCGATCTCAAGTGGTGGAGATCCCAGATTGGTCTTGTGCAACAAGAGCCATTTCTCTTCAACGACACAATATTCAATAATGTATCATTTGGCCTGATCGGAACGAAATGGGAGAATGAGACGGATGAAGTCAGAAAGGGGCTTGTGGAGAAAGCGTGTCGAGAGGCTTTCGCCGAGGAGTTTATCGAGCGTCTACCTGAGGTATATACCCTTCTTGATTTGATAAACTTGACTAACATTGACAGGGTTACGAAACCATCGTGGGAGAGAGTGGTATACGATTGAGTGGTGGCCAAAGACAGAGACTTGCGATAGCACGAAGCATTGTGAAGGAGCCCGCCATTCTGATATTGGACGAGGCGACGAGTGCGATCGATGTTCGTGGAGAAAAGATTGTGCAGGCAGCCCTTGACCGTGTATCCAAGGATCGAACCACCATTATGATCGCTCACCGACTGTCGACTGTCCGACAAGCAGATCACATTATTGTCATGAAAGATGGAATCAGCGTTGAGCGGGGAACCCACGAGGAGCTTCTGAAAATCGAGGATGGCGTATACTATGGTCTTGTTCACGCCCAGAGGCTCGAATCATTGACGGAAACCGAACCTGATCTAAACGAAGCTGCCAACGAGTTGAAGGAAGTTGAAACAATCGGCTCTGTCGTTCAAGAAAAAAAGCAGGATGAGGAAATGGTGGAGGAATACAAGAACCGTGGTCTCATCGGCAGTCTTGGTCGGTTTCTGTATGAGCAGCGTACCTACTGGCGACACTATGTCATCACGCTTCTGGGCACCGCTGGCGCAGGATGTAAGTACCTGAAATGAAAAGTTGTACTGTTCTCGAACTAACCATATGCCATTCAAAGCCGCCTATGCACTGCAGAGTTGGATGTTCGCAAAGCTCATTGAGGTATTCCAATTTACCGGCCAAAAGCTCATCGATTCCGCCAATTTTTGGTCGTTGATGTTTTTCGTTCTCGCCCTCGCCATGGCCGTCTGTTACTGGATTGTTGGATATTCATCGAATATCATCTCAGTTGTAGGACTGCCTTATCTCTGCCCTTTGAAGCATTTTCGATGCTAACATGGTTTTAGAGGATTTCCTCGGCTTACCGAACGGAGTACTTCCAGAACATCCTTAGAAAACCGATTCCCTTCTACGATTTAAATGAAAACTCTTCCGGCTCTTTGGTCTCTCGATTAGCCACAGACCCAAAGCAAATTCAAGATCTACTCGGACTGACTGGAGCATTCCCAGTGATTTCTATATTCAACATGATCGGTTGCATTGCAATCGCCTTCTCATTTGGTTGGAAGCTAAGTCTTGTGGCGGTATTCGCAGCCATGCCATTCATCTTCCTGGCGGCGTTCATGCGCATTCGATATGAAATGCAGTTTGACGCGATGAATTCTAAGGTCTACTCCGACAGTTCGCAATTCGCAACGGAGGCTATAACAGCGTTTCGTACTGTATCAACATTGACAATGGAGGATAGAATCATCAATCGGTATTCGAATCTGCTCAAAGAGCAACAATTCAAAGCTTTTCGGAAAGCATGGTACGCCACACTGGTGTTTGCCTTTTCCGACAGTATTGAGCTATGTGGCATGGCATTGACCTTCTGGTAAATGTCCCCGAAGCCCCAAACAATAATTTGGCAATGACTGACTCGATCAGGTACGGTGGTCAACTCCTTGCATCCAGAGAGTATCAACCCATTGCCTTTTTTGTAATCTACATGGCAATCATCCAAGGAGGCCAATCCGCCGGCCAGTTCTTCAGCTATGGGCCGAATTTTGCCCAGGCCATGGCGTCCGCGAATCGCATCCTGAGATATCGTCCGAACCCAGCCACGAAGGATCTTGAGACCAAAGAGAAGCTGCCCCAGGGGGATTGCTATTCTGAAGCTAGTGTTGAGTTTCAAAATGTTTCGTTTAGATACCCTGGGCGAGACATTCCTCTTTTTAGAGGGCTGAATGTCAATATTGAGAGTGGGCAATTTGTCGCCTTCGTGGGTCCTTCTGGCTGCGGGAAGACCAGTGTGATATCGCTTCTGGAAAGATTCTACGAACCAGTGAGCGGCTCAATCATGCTAAATGGCAGAGATTTACAATCTATCGAAATGTCGTCTTATCGCAGAGCGTTGTCGCTAGTTGCACAGGAGCCAAGACTTTTCGATGGCAGCATACGAGAGAACGTCTGTTTAGGACTCCAAGACACAGAATACACAGAGGAGGAAATCATCCAAGCATGCAAAGACGCCAAGATTCATGACTTCATTACTTCCCTACCCGATGGATACGCAACTCAGCTTGGGGTCAACGCACAGGCATCTCTGAGTGGTGGCCAGCGACAACGACTCTGTATTGCTCGCGCGCTACTACGAAAACCGTCCCTTCTGCTCCTAGACGAGGCAACATCAAGTCTCGACTCGCAATCCGAAAAGGTCGTCCAGTCGGCACTAGAGCGCCTCGCAGGAAGTAGAAGCATGACGATCGTCGCGGTCGCGCACAGACTAGCTACTATTCAAAAAGCAGATATAATTTTCGTCTTCGGTGAGAGCCAGGCTGGTCGTGGTTCCCGGATAGTCGAGCAAGGAACTCACCAGGAGTTGCTTCAGAGAAAGGGGACTTATTGGCAGATGGTTAGTATATAGATCCCCTTCATGTGCCTAGCTTTACTAATCTTGGAACAGTGTCAAGCGCAAGCGTTGGATAGGTGATTTTTCTGGCGGGAATTATACCGGTTGGTATATGGCACGAATAATTAGTGTACGATATCTAGAAAAGTAGCACTTTCACTCTATACCCCACTCTTCAAGGGGAACGAATAACTAACAACAAATTCCTCCCATTGTTCTTCTGCCAGTACAGAGCAGACTGACACAAAGTCAGTACAAAACAAGGCAGTCTGTTGTCTTAATTTGCGTCTATTTTTGGTCTAATATATTCCGTGAGTGTCATTATTCTAGATCATAAATTCCCGACAAATACCAATCATTCAACCCCGCGATGGCGTAAGCTTTCCACCGCATCCACGATACCCTCCTTCAATGGCCGGAAGACCCAACACTTCCTGTGACCGGCTGTTATCAAATCCATACACACCACCCTCGGGATAGTCACCTGGCTTCAGTCCATCTCCCGAGGGTAATCGACCCTGGAATTGAGATAACTCTTCCCGGATGATGTTGGTAATTTTATTGGTGGAGAATGTGCTGGACACAGCGACGAAGTGCTTTCCTACGTCAGGGCAAGGTCGCGAACGTCAACGAAGAAGTAGTTACCAGTACGTGGGCGTTTCTCCTTGGATGCGCTGACGATCAGATAGCGAATGCGTTGGTTGGAGGTGTTGAGGGCATACAGCGACATCAAATGGTGTACGATTGGTCCTAAAATCAGGGGTGGGTTGATGACGAAGAGGCGGAAGTTGGGCCTCTCCTTGTCGAAAAACTCTCATGCTGCGTCAACGATATGTTGAACAAGACACGAAAAGGAAACGACAAGGCGAGCAAGGAGAAACAAGGTATAACTATGGATGGTCCTTGTTCAAATTGATGCTCGGAGTTGGAATGCGCCTAACCGCATCGGGGTGGATTCTTCTCGGAGTTCCCAAAGGAGATGAAGTTGGCTAGTTGCCGAAAGGAGTATCTCCAGAAATCTCCCCAAGGAGCAAATGGGGGGATTTTATGGCATTTCTACAATGCTTATTTTAACTCCATATTCATTATGAGGTATAATATTATCTTTATAACGTCTCCTCCAAGACTTTCGAGTTCAAGAGGCATTATTGATCCACTGCGATCGGGCGATCACGGCCCGAGCCGTGGAGGCTAAGGGAAGAGTGGCCTGGTTCCCACGTGACCAGAAGGACTGATTTACCGAAAAGATAAGAAACAGAGGGACTATCAACAGTCATCAGAATTCAAACTATGATCGATAATCCGATCAAGACTCAAGAATCGATTAGAAGAAACATGGCAGTGGATCCAGGAGGAGAGATTAGTCTGGAATCAGTGTAGCGAGTGACTGATGATTTCAATTATTGCGGTCAGCAGATTCATATCTAATCTGAAAACTGCCTGGATATTGAGGTAGATATAGTAATCATTACCTTGCTTTGTTCCACGAAAGAAGCTGTATCCCATGCATATGCAAGTGACGATTAACAGATCCCGATAGATTCAATGTCAGCTGGGCGTTTTAACTGGTTTTGCTGACTCGATCTATTTTCCACTATTGAGTCTCCCTAGATTTAGCGCATACATGCATATATACTGGCCAACGCAGGCTCTCATGACTACACATGATAAATGCGAATGATGTTCTTGAACATAAGCTCATCTGCAAGCTGATTCATCGTAGAGACACGTTGATTGTCAGCTGTTATTGGTGATAGATTGATCTGAGATATCATTACTTGCCAATATGACGCAAAGCACCGCTGCCGGCATGGCTTCCCCACAATTACCTTTGCAGAGGACCTCATGACTTCGTACATTTCGCACTATCTGGGATATGGGGTGATTGCTCTTCCGGACGTTCTCTACTTTGGGCTTGACACGACGACATATGAAGGCCATATTGCGCAACGTACGCGGTGGTCTCTGTCTATGACGCAGCAGATCCAGGTGTCGAAAGATTCCAAGACCAACACCGTTTCAGTCCCGCTCAGGAAGTCTCTAGTGCAGAGAGCAATAGCCTATATCCTGAAACGTTTTGGCGGGTTGATCGGAGTTGTCGTTCTGCCTTTTGCGTTGGCTTCTGGGCAGGCTTATCCCTGCCTTCTCTCTCCGTCTGCAGGTAGTGCTGAAAGTGATTATACATCGACCTTTTGGTTGCATGAATGTTTGCGGTCTGCTCAGTCTGGCTTTCAGGGACCAACATACCCAGAATCCACCGAGTTCTGTGCTTATAGGTATGTTATATATCTAACATATACCAGCTTGGTGGCTGATCATATATACTCCCAGCAAACCTTACCAAATGGGCCACGTATATCTCCTGCCACCGAAAGCCAAGGGCAGCAAGCCTTCTACCTCCGAAGTAACTGGAAGCAGCGTGAATCCTTGGATTAATGCCAATTTCACTCGCTTACAGCGACTATACCGTGATTTCGTCCATGCCGGTGTTTGGTTTAACGCGCTGTACTTTACAGGGTTGTTGACAGCATTATCTGTCTGCGTCTCGTCCACTACCGATGGTGATACAAATACACTCGGTCAACTGTTCACTGGTTTTACATGGCCCCCAGTGCTGAAGATCTGTTACCTCCTGTGCTCCCATTTTGTCCCGCTCAGATATACACTGCGGCCTTTGAAATACACCACTCGTGAGTCCTTATCCGGACCTCATCCAAGTGATTCGAGTGTTGGAATTCCTACGGCCAAATTTAAACAGGCGATTGAAGACGACCGTCAGCCTGCACTGGGGAGTTTGGTCATCTCATTTTTGGCCCGGTGGTGCTTGTTTCATCGCTGCTTTACTCTTTACCACTTTGAAGGTATTCATTGTGTAGGCGTGTCGAATGAGAATATACTTTGGAATAAACATCTGCATGAGCCAATCTGTGAAGTTTATATGGTGACCAGAATATAAAAATATAAAGCTTAGCCATCGTTAAAAGAGAGCGTGATTGGCCAATTCGGAAAGAGTCACAGAATCAGCAGATTTTTTTGACTTTTCCCGAAAGAAACGGCTAGCGGGAGGGGCTGAAAGCGGAATACAATTCTGTTTTCCGACAGCGTCTGATTGGCTGAATGGACCTCTAAACCAGGCACCAGCCAATGAACGTGCAGAAAAGCCAATTGACGCATGCGGCATTTACACCCGCCGTAATATATCCGGTATTTTTGGTTTTTCAGTTTCAATTTTTTCTGCTGCGTCTTGATGGCCAAAGCAGGTGTTCATGTTGGAAACTGTGATTCATGTGTTGCTCTTGCTCTTCTTCACGCCAATTATCTAATTAAAACAGCCCATCTCACCATGGGCTCAGCAACTGGGATGTTCGATGCCAACCAACCCGGCAATGGCAGTGAAGCGAACAAGCCGGCCGGAAATAGCACCGCTTGGCTCCCAGACAGTAAAGAGTCCGATGCATTGAACGACGGCGAACAGCAGATCATCGAGGCCGGAGAAGCCAAGTACCATCGGCTCGGATGGAGGGGTCTCACGATCATGTTGATCGTCGAGGCGATTGGGTTGGGCGCGCTCTCGATCCCCTCTGCGTTTGCCAGCCTCGGAATGGTGGCCGGCGTCCTCTGCTGCGTGGGAATTGGGCTGATTGCCATTTACACGTCGTATGTGATTGGGCAGGTGAAGCTGGCTTTCCCGGCTGTCCGCCACTATGGCGATGCGGGGGCGTTGTTGATGGGCTCGTTTGGGAGTGAGCTGTTCACGGCCATGTTGATCTTGCAGCTGATTTTCTTGACGGGGTCGAATTGTTTGACGGGCACGATTGCATTGCGTCATATCACGGACAGTGGGATTTGTTCGATTATCTTCAGTGTTGTGTCGGCGGTTATTCTGCTGTTGCTGTCCATTCCGTCGTCGTTTGCTGATATGGCTTTCCTCGGATATATCGACTTTGCATCGATTGTTGCTGCCATTGGAATCACCATCATCGCCACCGGCATCAGGAGCACCAATTCCACTGGCCTGGACGCAGTGGACTGGTCTGCCCTGCCGCAGGGTGATCCCAGCTTCTCAGATGCATTCATCGCCATCACCAACATTGTATTCGCGTACACCTTTGCCAGCTGTCTATTCTCCTTCATGGATGAAATGCACACCCCTCGCGACTTTACCAAATCCATCTGGTCTCTTGGTATCTTGCAGATTGTCATCTATACCGTCACAGGAGCGACCATCTATGCCTTTGTCGGTCAAGACGTGCAGTCGCCTGCCTTGCTATCTGCCGGGAATCTAGTAAGCAAAGTTGCATTTGGCATTGCACTACCTGTCATCTTCATCTCGGGTGCCATCTGCACCATTGTTGCTGGCCGATTAATCCACGGCCGCATATACGAAAAGAGCGTGACCCGATACATCAACACCACAAAGGGCTGGATCACCTGGCTTGTCCTAATCACCGTCCTCACCATCATATCCTGGGTCATCGCCGAGGCTATTCCGTTCTTCGATGACCTGCTCTCAATCATCTCTGCGTTGTTCACCTCTGGATTCTCCTTCTACCTCCCCCCGATTATGTGGTTCGTCCTCATCCGTAAGGGGAAGTGGTATTCCAAGGAGAACTTGCTGATTAGTATTGTCAATTTCCTTGTCTTCATCTTTGGACTTGTTGTGCTTGTTGGCGGTCTTTACTCGAGTATCCAGGATATAGTAAGTTACCTCCACCTTATCTGAATGAATGCATGCTAACAACTCTGACAGAGAAATAACTACCGAACGGGTAATGTTCGTGGTGCGTTTAGTTGCGGTGCTGTTGAATGATTGATTCATATGATACCCTGTCTGTGTTGCATATCGAAAAAGCAGTGTATAAGCTGCATACATGGTATATGTATATAATTGAGCTTTACGTTTTGGGGCAAAAATTGTACAGCTCCTTAAAATATAGAATTGCATGATTGAAGATAATAGAAGGTTGATAGATTATAGTATCAAAATATCGATGTGAAATTATAACACTAATATATTGATAAAGGTGGGGGTGATATGTAGGTGATGGGCTGAACCCCACTCCCACAAGTTTAGGATATGGGATGGTTCATTGGGTACATAGGGTTTAAAATTTATATTCGGTTCAATATTTTAAAAATAATAATAAGCAATATTAAAAGCTTTTAAATTTTAATGTTACATCCTCTTAGATGCTACAGTATCCACCCAAGCTTTGCTTAGCGTCGGAAATTTTCTCAAAGTCTATTTTGCCACACATCCCACTCAGAAGTATTCAAGCTGATAAACAATATTATTCTATTTCATAAAAATTCGTATCCCATAACCCAGAAGTAAACCCCCATGACCCGTCATTATACAAAATTAAGTATCGATATTAAGAAAATTAGAACCCCCACTCAACAGATCCCCTGGATCTTTAGTCGGTGCATCGCCCAGTATCAGGCTTTCGATGTAGTAGTTTAATCGCGACGGTAGAACTTCTTGTACCTGGTATATATTAGCAAGGCAGATTAAAGAGAAAGAAATAAATGGGCGCATACTGTCGCGAGATCTTTTCCTTCCAGGTAGGAGAAGCGGTGTTGGTCACGTTTTCTTGGGAAACGTTGACTTCCTTGACAACGGTGGTGATGTCCTTTGCAGCGACAGTTTTGGTGGCGCGGGCAGCCTTGCTGGTGCCGTAGGGACCAGAGCCGAGCATGGGAATTGGGACAGGCATTGTGAAGAGGTATTAGATATTAGGTGTCTTGAGCGACGGTGATTGTTTGTATACCGAGTGTGGTAGTGAGGAGTGAGGAATGAAGCTGATGGATGATGGGTTCTTGATGGGTGAGGGAAGGTGTTTATATACATTTTGTCCTTATCTTCTAACATCGACTTGGTTAGACCCTTTGTTCAAAAATTTTCGAGTCATGGGGGCAGTATCAAAGGATGACTCCAAAAATAATGCGCGGCACGGCTGATCCGAGCATCGATGGGCGGACTAGAACGTGGTGTGATGCCCCTATCCTGCCTTGGGTTTAGCCTATCGCCACCCCTGCTGAAAACCCTCATACAAAAAAAACTCAACACAATGAAACTGCCCAACGCCGACTTAACCGTGTGTCACAAGGCTGGTTGATATTTTTTTTCTCTCGCCTGACAGCTGATCCCGAACATGCAAGCTGATAGAAAATCTCCGCGGAAACATCGCTACGAAGCCGACCGACTTCGGTTCACTGCCAGAATTCGGCATTGGCGCTGCCTCTATCCATGGCACAACCCGACGCCGCTGATAAGATTGCGCCACCATGAGCTGTTGTTTTCTACCTGGTTATAATGGAATACGTAACACAAAGTCGATTAGCACACAGCTCGTCGATATTATTACGAAGAGATTTGTCGTCGAGCAGTCAAGGCATGCCGATGATTCACCTGGTCGGTAGCGCTTAGCGATGCCGAATCCCGGTCTGGATCTCGACAGCCTGCGATCAGCGCCGGAATTCCTGCTCACATCCCTGTATATTTTTCTTCTCTGCAGGATTTTCTGGTACACATGACTGCAGGTGGAGCACAGACCTTCTGCCCACTCAGCCAGGGTTGAGAATTCCTTACCTTATCTATAGCTTAATTCTGCTGATAGTGTTTCATGATTGTGCAATCTATGATTATTCTATCTTCATATCAAGTGAAGGTTGTTTTACAATATGGAACTGGCTTATCCATTAGGAATGATAATTCAGTATTGGAATAGAAATTTATCATAATATCGTGGACGACAGTTTTTTTTAAATATCTATGCAACTGATAATTCTGAAATCACCAAGTGCCCCTATGGCCCACTGTGATTGGCCAATCCATATTTTCCGGCAGTCCACTCAATCCCAAGAAAGAACTCTTAGCGATACCCGAAGGGGGTTGGTATATGTTAGGTGGAGTATCCAATGAGTCCCTTTGCATTTTAAATCTGATATCCCTATCAAATCCTGTTACTACAGAATTTGATATTCATTTCTCATATATTCATGATTATAGTCTAAGATTACCTCAACAAAGGCACAGTCAGACTAAACACGTTACTTGGATCAAAGCTCTCCTTCAGCTCTGTAACATCCCGTGCATTGCCACCGTATGTTTTTGCCAGCACGTCCGCTGGCGCAGCATCCGCCATATTATACAGCGAAATATACGCCGTAGAAACAATATTGCTGGCATCCGTCTGCCCAATATCCTCAGCCAGCTGGATGGCCCACTTCTCAGATGCCGCTTTGCCTATCTCCGCTGTCGCAAACCCACACATCTCGAGCATAAAGTGCGGCTCTCTCGTCGCAAACACAGAGTCACTTTTTGCCTCCGCAGAGACACCCCGCAACTCGTGAACGGATAACATCGTCCCCGGATCCGCTGGCATATTCACAAGATGCCTTGCAATCGCCTCAGCCACCTGCGGTGAGATACGCCGCACGCTGTGCGTGCGAGCAGCTCCGTACACGCTTGGGGGTACCAAGGCACCATTTGCGATCATCCACTCTGGGATGCCGGTTGTCGCAATGGTATTCACAATGACGGGACCTAGACGGGCGATTTTCTCGCTCCAGCGTTGGCCTTGTTCGATGTCGGCGCCGCTCCAGAAGAATAAGACGCCAAAGGTTCGACCGGGTGGTGCGTTGAATACGATCTGTTGGACTGTGAGTTGTTGGGGGAGGGGTTCTTCGGCTTTGAACTTTTCGTATGCGGCGTTGAAGTCGATGAATGTTTTGCCGATATCTTGCGAGTCGAACATGAGCGCTCCGGTGAGTAGCTGTGAGGTTAGTTTTACTCACTCCGAAAAAAGGATGGATACATACAGTCTTGAGAGGATAGACCTTGATGGTGAGGTCGACGATAACACCAAACAAACCCCCTGCACCGCGAATCCCCCTCAGCAGACTCTCATCCGCCGTGATAATCTCCCCCTCAGGGTTAACAACAGTCGCACCCACAATCTGATCTACTCCAAGTCCCCAGTGTCCCGAAAACGATCCATATCCACCATATACAGCCCAGCCGACGTACCCAACTGAAGGCGTCGTCCCCACCGGCGTAACTAGCCCCTCGTCCCAGAGCTTCTTCCCCAACTCCGCCTGTATGATTCCGCCCTGCACGATCGCTGTTTGACGATCATCCGCGATTTTGACGCCATTTAACGCCCGCAGATCGATAAGCAGGGCGCCTTCGACTAAGCTCCGGCCTTCGAGGTTATGCCCGCCCACGCGGATGGTAAACGGGAGGTTATTCAACTTTGCATATTTGACAATTACGCTTACGTCTGTCGCGGACTGGGGCTGGACAATTGCGAGGGGGTTGTCGGGACGGCTGCAGTTGAAGATCTTTCTGGCGGTGGAATAATTCGGGGATGAGGGTGGGATATACTTGATGGCAGGGTGGTTTTCGAGGAAAGCTTCTAGGGATGCTAGTTGGGGGTGGATGTTGGTCATGATGGCGATGGACTCGTAATGTCAGCAATGAGAGATGAGGCTATATATGCATTTGTCTGTGGGTCAGCTTACTTTTGATTGATGCGGGGTATTCAAGGCTGCCACTATAGATTGGGGGCCTAAATACAGCAAATCAGATGATCGGTTTAGTATGACAAGGCTGTGAGATGATATACATGCATGGATGGCATGACCAGGATTATGTGAGATTCGAAGTCAACAAATAAAAGAGGAGCAGTATAGATGATAGATTACTACGTCACTGTCTAAATAAAAGATTATCCTCAATTTGAGAAGTAAAAGAGTACACTGGTGGGATGGAGATCCGCCCTCTACAGTGAGGTCACCACCAAGTCATCGGTAAGATCCATATAACTGTAGTATTTGTGACTGCAAGCATAGTATAATACAATAAAGAAGTTAAAGATAGCTCCATACTCCCACCATCTCCACCATGTGGATCCATTTGTTTAAATACACATAACCGATTCCCCGGCCAAGATATAACGTAAGATAAATACCAGCTTTATTCTATATAATTGATCTTATCCTCAAAACATGAACCACTTGTATGGTGAGTTCCTAGTTGCCTTTCTGGCGAGTATACACCGGTAGCTTGGGATTGATCGAGGGATCTTGATCATCCATCCCCCCAGGACAAGTGTTAAACCAGGTATAGGCCTGAAATTCAGTTAGAATACAGCTAGACACCACGCAGCGATAGAAAACTTACAAGATTCGTCCTTGGAATAACCTGGACTAAGTCTGCTCGGCCCAGTCCACCCAGATTGGCGAAGTGCAGGTTCGCCTGATGTCTTGTTAGCTGTGTCCTACCCTTTCCGGGGATAAATACATACACCTCGGTCGACGCCCGCGTATCGGGGACCTTTAAGCTGTGTCCATTTGAAGGTTGAGCCCGCGGCGAGCTTCCCATCTGGCAATTTCCCGTCGTTGTTCCAGACTGTAACATTGCCGCTGAACTTGTCGATCCAGAGGAAGTCGGCTCGGCCGTCGCCTGTACATATTAGTTAGATAAGTGTAGTTGGGTTCGAGGAAGTGGTATTTACCATTCACATCAGCCCAGCGGTGGTCTAAATTAATCGTTAGCAGCGTTTCAGGGTGAGGGTATAGAGAGACATACTGGCACGGTCGTATCCTTGGGATCGCTTGATCTGGCCCATATCTTTGAAGTCCTTTACACCTTGATTCAAGAAGGCAGTGGTGGTTCCGTTCGGTCTAGATAGTGTTAGAAGGCTCTCAGGGGGCAATGAAAAGCAATACGTACTCCATGCACAGGTAGTCAGCACGTCCATCACCACTAATGCCAGTTAGCAAATAATTCATAGAATGCGACATCTGGATGCTCATACTCAATGTCGTGGAATGCCAATCCAATGTCATAAAGACCAACACTCCATCCTTGGGTACAGCTGGCATTTCCAGTGACAGAACCAATAGGATTCCATTTCATCGTCTCTGATGCCAGGTCATACTGGTTGATCCAGACTTCAGCAGATCCGGTAGTTCGGTCTGTTACCCAAAGGTCACACTGGATGCCGTTAGTATCGTAATTGAACGTAGATACAGGATAATGTGATGATATACCTTTCCATCGCCATCAAAGTCAGCGAGGTGAACAGCCTTGCGATCGGCATTGGCCTCGAAGATCTGCTGGCCCTCGGGACTCCAGACTGGGGGCTTGTGAACATTGCCATATAGATATCCGGTTCCTGTTGGCGAGACCCAGATATAGTCATCTGCGCCAGTGCCACGCATATCACAGTAATAGACACCGTCACCTAAAGCTGTTAGCCACTCATCGATCATGCTAAACAGGGTTAAAAAGATCTGTACCCTTCAAGTGAGCTCCTCCCTTTCCGGTATTCTTCCACGCATGGGCGTAATGGTCATCCGTCTCACCATCTCCACCCGCCGCCTCAACAGTCTCAAACCACACATAATCGGCTCCATTCCCAGCATAGACTTGACCGAACTTGATGTTGTCTTTTGCACCTTTGACATTCATACCGGCGTGTGTCACACCAACACTCCGCCAATCCGGCACCAGACTGCCCTTTCCGGTTCCGCGGTTGTTGATATATGTAGTCACCTTGCCGGTATCGTCCATCCAGAGCCAGTCACTGCGGAAGTCGCCGTTGATGTCGATTAGCTGCACACCGGAGATATCGCCCATTCCCTTTCCGGTGAAGACGATTCCGAGATCTTGCCAGTAGCCGTTGTTTTTGGTTGTTGGGGCGTCTCCTTGGCCGCCGTTGCGCCAGCATCGGATGTCGCCATTTCCGTGGATGAGGCAGCTGATATAGTTAGCACTGAGATTTACACTTTGAGAATGAAGTTAACATACTAATCAACCCGTCCATCACCGTCAATATCGCCCAGTCGGACATTTTCCTGGCCCAGATCATCGCCCGGTGCGCCCCTTACAAGGCCGATGCTCTCAAACGTGGGAATACCATCCATCACGCCCCGGTGCATCGAGACATACATGGCTCCATTGCGAGCAATGCAGATAAAGTCGTCGTAGCCGTCGTTGTTCAGATCGCCCCATCGAACGCCTAATCAGGATTAGTATTGCCAACAGCAAAAGAAGACGAGCATACCTCTAGCCAAACACTTATCCTTAACATCAATCTGATACCCATTTCCAAACTTTCCATCACCCTCATTCAAGAACATATACGTTTCATCCCCATCCTTCGTCCAGACAAGCTCATCCAACGCGCCCTCACGATACGCACCGGTAGTATTAACCAACTGCGCAAAGTGAAGCCCCGAAGCAACATCGTCGCCAGCAGATTTGCCCATCTCGAATATCCGCCCCATGTACTCGGCATTGTGCTCGTAGTCGCCATCGTCGAATCCACTTCCACGTTGTGTCTGGGCATACTCGGACGCGCCACTGCCGTATTTCTTCTCGCAGGTCGTGTGCAGCGTATCATTGATTCCGGTATCTTTCGGCGGGGTGAGGAGTCCGTTGCTGTCGGCTTCGTTGATCGCGGCCCACCAGACCGAGGCCATTTTGACGTATCCGGCATCGGTGGGGTGGGTATCGTCGTTGAGATCGTCCTTGGTGATGAAAGTGGGCATGTCGGCCAGGACGATTTTGTCGTTGTTATTGTGGCGACGGGTGTAGATCTTGCGGTATTGGTCGTTGATATCGTTTATAATGTCGGGTTGAAGTTTGTTGGGGAGGAGGGTAGATAGGATGATGGTGGTTCCTGGGATGGCCTCGTATAAACGGGCGATGAGGGCATCCATACGTTCGCCGGTTGTGCTGGTGTTGTGCTTCTGAACTGCGTCGTTTGTACCGGCACTGAGTTGTTAGTAGAGCTATAGTCAAATACAGACGAAACATACTTGATGAGAATCAAATTCGGTTGAAACGGAATGCTCTTCTCTGCCTCTTGGGCGATTTCATCAACCCGATATCCAGAATGCCCTTCGTTATCCTTTACAAATCAGCATCATCCCAATATTATATAGTAACAGCCATACATTATCCGTCATATTTCCCACCTGCAAACTCCCCACCATATTCACCGGCCATCCCGCATATCGAAGCTGCTCTCGAAGCGCTTTGCGATACCCATTGTTATCACTCGACAGGTAGCCCACGGTAATCGAGGCCCCAAGTGGGAGGACGCGAAGCGTAAAGTCCTTTTCTTTAATATCTCTCGCTTCCAGCGGAGTGGTCTCGAATGCCGTGTTGAGGGTGTAAAAGGGGACTGCCGATGCCAGACTGGAGAGTGTTGCCAGTGCAATGGCACAGCTTTGCGCTGCAGTCGCCAGACGAACCATGTTGATGTTTATCTCACGAGAGATGATTAATTCCCGCTGAAAATCCGACGATCGCGATGGGAGATGCTCGCTTTATATCTTACAATGCACTATATCCAGATGGGACAAGGGTGGTGGGCTATGTAGACTTGGCCCTGGAGTGGGTCACTGGTTTGCCATTGCGAAATAAGCACTAAGCTGCTATACCACTTTAGTATAGAATGTGGCTTGATGACTTCGCTCTAGGGTTGCAATTCTTACAATTCGGGAAATGAAACGGCCCCTACAAGTCATGAAAACCAGGCTATTCGGATCTTACGGATCTCAGCCATTGATTTTAATCAGCCAGAATAGACGAAGCGATCAGGATGGGGCCGTAGCGTGATGTCGATATTAACGGCGGTCTTGGCTGATGGCTGTGTTATTGGCGATTTGTATAATTAGCAGTAATGGGGCTGATTGCAATACAGTCATCACTAACATAATTAATATCCATTCTATATGCATTCCATATTAATTCGCTTATAGCATTGAATGTTGGCCTAATGGTGGCATCCCCTAAATGGTAGCGAGCTAACAGCTAGTTCAGGGACACCACACCAAAAGAAATTACCCCTTGGCAGTCTCCATCATGTCTCACTTTTCCTTGCTTTTTCTGTCAGCCACAAAAAGTAAATGCAGCCTTACCACACTGAATATCAGCCTTGTCGTGGGAATTATTACCCCACCTTATACCCGACCGGTTCTCTCCATTATCAAGAATACAATGTCAGATCGCTTGGACATACTCTCGAATTAATGTCTGGAAATGTTCAATAATATCCGCATAATCCAATCGCTAACTACTACCCCCAGCAGCAGGTTCCCTCCGCAACTCCCCTATTGCCTCTGTATTAGATGTCCCATAAGTATCCGCATATCTCCCCACCATCCATTCCCCCACATTCACAGGCGGATACTTGGGACTCTCTCCCGGTCCCAGACATGTAGGAAGACACTCAACCGTATAGTCAGGATTTCCCGAGAAAAAGAACGGAACACTATATCGTTCCTTGCCAGACCGATTGATGACTCGATGTAAATTCGACAGGTAGCGATCGTTGGTCCATCGCATCATCATATTTCCTAGATTCACGACAAACGCACCGGGGACCGGGGTCACGTCTACCCATTGCGAGGAGATGTTGTTCCATACTTGGAGACCGCCCGTCATGTCTTGCAGGAGGATGGTGATGCCGCCAAAGTCTGTGTGTGCGCCGATTCCTGCATCTTGTCAGCGTGGATAGGTCACCGGATGAGATATAGATACCCCTCTCTAACTCAGACGCATTCGGGTCCTGCGATGGATAATGCAGCAGCCGCAGAATAGCTGCTGGACTCTGACAGTACTCATCAAAGGCATTCTCCTCCAACTTCAGCGTCCGCGCAATCATCTTCATAATTCCCTCTCCAAGACCGGTCATCACAGCATGATACTCGTCCACCACTCGCCGGAATTCCTCTGGATCGCTGACCTCCTGCGGATACTGATTTGGTCCATGCCCAAACTTGCCCGCAACGACAGACGGATGGTCGAGCGGATGATGCTTGCCGAGGTAGAAGCCTTCTTTGAGATCGCCCTGGGCGCGTTTCTCAAAGTTCTGCGCGCGCAGTCGCTCATAGCCGAGGTTGAAGCCGCCGATGTCTATTTCATTAGCTCTGTTGCACTTGCTCACATTGAAGAAATGGTACCTTTATCGTATTTCTCTTTGATGTGCGTGGGAAGGTCGAATAGGTCTTTGCTCTGTTTGAAGATAGCCTGCTGCAGATCTAATGGGATGTCATGGTTGATGAGTTGGAAGAATCCAAACGTTTCGCAGGCCTGGCGTATTTCCTGCACCATCTGTTCCTTTGCTGCTGTATCCGGGCCATAGAATGCTGTAATATCATCGTCAATATCTGTGACAGAGGCAGGTGGGGAAGCTCACGTGCGAAATCGACGATGGGGGGCTCTTCAGGATTCATTTTATTTGACCCGAGCTTCTCATGCCAGGGGCTAGTTAGATATATTATAAAATTGACTAGAATATCGGCTTGTTCAGCTTGAGGATTGATTCTTTCATTGAATGTGGATGGAATGTCGACCCCGCATAGACAGGGATTGTCTATCTTTTGCCAGCTATCGCTGCTAATAATAGATTATTCTTTGATAGCATCAATAACAACTCGCGATGAACGACTTATAATACCACGATGTCTCAAACGCCGTATACCCGTTTATCAGGAGAATGAAATATTAAACACAAATTAAACTAATAAATCCATGTTGGACCGGGCACGACCAAGGGGAAGCTCTTTCTGTCAATACTCTGGACTTTGCCCGCGGCGCGGACGCGTAGTTGGGTGAAGATGATATGGGAATATGTTAGTTTATTATGATTAGAGTATTATTTACTTCCACTTCACTATATAGGTTGTGTATACTGACCATTGCGTTGCTCAACATGGCCGAGAACCGTGGGAAGGAAAGCAGGAAAATTGCCAGGTTCTTGCATCGTATGTATATCGGCCTTATTGTATATGTGAGCTAATAGTGTGTAGGTTGTGGGATGGCGAGTTTCCAGGTCCTTTCGGGAATGCGTCTTTTGCACAACTTGCTCCGGCTCTCCCAGATATTGATATTGTTTAACATACTTCTTCAGAATCAGAGATGATAAATTTGATACTATTGATCATGCCTAGGTTTTACATAGTTCTGCAATAAAGAAATCTCTCAATATTGGAGAACTATTCCACAAAGATAGGACTGGTAAAACAGAATGGACAATTGGAATATACTGGATTCCAAGCTTTCTTCGAACAAATCTTATATTCCAGCAGTCCTGTATCACAAACACAAATAATCCCATGCGCCTTGACCTTGTAGGAAAAGTTGATCCTTCTTTTGAAATCTACCCCTTGCCTGCTTCTATTCTGGGATATAGCCTGGAATGTTGGCTTTGGCGATGTTGGCAGCGTATCCACCCTCTCTCCCGGCACGATTGGGAAATAATTTCCATGTGCCATCGACATGTACATGAATTGCTCCCACCTGTGTACCATTGTTGGTTTTCAGACCCACCGTGAGTACCTTCTGCCTATCACTTTTATCCTTGGATGAGTAATGAGCGACAGAGCCCCTAAGCAAAGATGTTAAACAATATCCAAACATCAAAAATTTAAGTGATAACATACTGAAGCTCGGCTTGAGTAATTCGTGGCTCCTTTGTTTGCTTTAGTAAAGTGATATATCTTTAACGATCTACAGATGAATATACTCACGGCTATCTCAATTGAGTTGCAGGCAGTAGTGGCTGAGGATTTCCAATCTTCACCATCTCCCTTGTTTGAAGCTGCGATCTGTTCCACAGGAGTGCCGATATAGTTTATCAAAGTTTTCGAGGCGGACGAAAATCCTCTCGTTACGTTGCGACTCATTATGACAGTTGGTTGTAGGTGAAATATATATATATACAATGTTCGTTTTGGCGAAGTATGGCCCAAAGAGAAATGTCTGGGTTGATGGGAGATGAGACAGGAAAGATCGAGTGGAAAGCCATTGTTTATATAGGATAATTGAAAGACGATCAAATTCTATAAATTGCTTCAATAGCTCGATTCTGAATGTAGGCGCCAGTTTCAAAGTGACATCGAAGGAAGAGCGCTAAGTGATTTGCTCACGCTGGACATTGTATTGAATGCTGCTCCATATTTTTAGTGGCAGTGCAGCCATTGAGATGCGTAACCCACTTGATGAGCGTCTACAAAGTAAATGTCACAAACTGCAAAGGCTTGTGGGCAGCACAGGGTTGATCAGGTGAAAAGGCGTCTGAAGCGATCGACCCGCGAAGTTCTCTATATCAGCACTATAATCACATTGTCTTTTTTTCGTTTTGTAAAACTGATTGGACCATAATGGGGTTCCTATACTACTAGGCGCCGTGACAACTGGTACATGGCCCATGTCATCCCTAAAGGGTATAGCGGGCCCATGCGGGGCGGTTATAGCATCATGCCAAGCAACGACCCGTGACCTACGCGCGCGCGTTGATCACCTCCGGGGCTTCAACCACGGCCTCTTTTTCGCGCCCAGTGCCTTCTCCATCATGGTTATCCCTAGCCACCTAGTCCTTGTTAGCCAGCGCCAATACACCTATCCAGAGGCCCTCCCCAGATAATGATATCCGTCATGCACCGAGCCATAAGAATTCCCCGGAGTATTTATTCTCCTTCCTTACCCCGAGCTGTAACTCGACCGCTCTCCTCGACCTTCTCATTACAGGGACTGGGACGTCCCTTGCTCTTTCGCCACCAACTTCCACGTTCATTTCAGAGATCAGTCATGTCAAAATCAAATAGCGCGTCCTTTCCACGGGAATTTCCGACCTCGGGGTTCGAGTTGTTGGACCCATCATTCAAGATTGAAGAGGAGACACTACCGACTTATTCCCCTGACAAATATTATCCGGTTAAACAAGGAGAGGTTTTCAATAATAGGTATCAAGCGATGACGAAATTGGGCTACGGAGTCACGTCGACGGTTTGGTTTGCTCGGGATTTGGTGTAAGTCATTGGAATAGATCCGTCGTAATTCAGATTCATAAGGTCAATAGATCCTGAGTTGACTAGATAGTGAATCTACATATGTCGTCCTCAAAATATACGTGCTTGGTGAAAATCGAGAGCATGAATTGAATATCTATAATCACATCAATGATATCAACACAAACCATCCGGGCAGAGGTTTTATTCGCCGTCTGTTCGGTCATTTTTTCGTGGACGGCCCTAAAGGCCGCCATGTTTGTCTCGTCCACGAACCTTTGGGAATTAATGCATCCGCGTGGCTGCAACACGTCCCTGGACAGAAAATGACGCTTGGAGGCATGAAGTCTGCGATTCGTCAACTCCTTGTCACCTTGGATTTCCTACATTCAGTTGCCGGTGTCATTCATACAGGTATGATCCGCCATATCCAGTCTAACAGTGTAATGCCATGAAACTAACTGCAGAAGACATCCAGTTGAAAAATATGCTTGTTCCTGCACCCGCACCTTCTGTACTGGCTGCATTTGAAGAAGGGGAAATCAAAGCACCGGCAGCTAGGAAGGTCCTCCCAGACCGAACAATTTATAAGACCTCGTCTTTTCCAATAGGGGATGGTGGGATTCCTTTTCTGAGTGACTTCGGTGAGGCTCGATTGGGCGATGAGCATGATGGAGATATCATGCCAGACTATTACCGAGCCCCGGAAGTTATTTTGAAGTCAAACTGGAACCATAAGGTTGATATTTGGGCAGTGGCCATGCTCGTAAGTCATTCCACCGATAGCGCTCTGAAATCACATACTCATGTATATTTAAAGGCTTGGGATATCGTTAGCCCTCGCACTTTAATCAAGGGTGAAAGCATCGACGGCATATTCGACGATGGTGCACATATAGCAGAACTTGTTGCATTACTCGGCCCTCCACCGCCAGAGTTCCTTGAAAGAACCCATTTAAGCGGGGTATTTTGGGATGAATCTGGTAATTGGAGGAATTTGGTCCCCATTCCTGACCGATCGCTTGAGCGGTTGGCCGAGAATATCCAGGGTGAAGATGTGGAGGGATTTCTGCGGTGGATGCGATTGGCCTTGCAATGGAATCCGGAGGATCGTCCCTCTGCCCTGGAGCTTTTGATGGATCCATGGTTGATGAAGGGGTTGAATTTGAAGACGGGCTAGTCGATGATGTATAAAAATAATTTATGGTTCATCCGTATGGTTTATCGAAATACCCGGATGCTGAGGATGGCCGGGTGGCTGTGTGAATATTTTTCTTCCACTATGATGCAGCAAAGGTTTAGATCACATAAGATCAATTCAAAGACAGACACTACTGCAAAGATGGGATTTTCAATCAATAGAGTTTTACTAAGGAGCACGATATTCGCAAAAGGATATGTATAATAATTGCTGTGTTTAGATGTTCCAGAGGATATATTCCGACGAGAGTTCAAGTATATAAGGCAATCCACCACCCAGTAACTAATTTAAGGACAAACAGTGGAAGTAAGATAATCGAACAAGGAATAAATTTGCGGGGTATCTCTATGCATTCCATCTCAAAGAATCACGCAGACACTGATCTTTTGTTAGGATTAATGTGTTTTCACCATCAGCAAAGACTGCCTCGCATTTCTGTCCCCCAAGAGCTTCCATATCCATTCGCTGCCAGTCCACGGCAAACTCCTCCTCGGTATAATTTTCTAGCATATCAATAACGCCTCCTTCGGAGCACAGCCCAAACTGCCTTAGTCCAATGCCCAGCTGTCCGTAAAGCCCATCACCGGCTGACCATAAAGATCCATCTTCTGTAAGAACCACGACATGTTCCCGTCCTGCCGCTGCATCTTTAACTCTTAAGCGTGCATCTCCACTTCCAGCTGGAATAGTGGCTTCTCTTAATTCAGTACCATATTTATCACTGGTATCTCGGATTTCCGGCCATTTGTCATGCTTGTAGCCCCAGATGAAGAGTTGCCCCGATCCAGTTATACAGATGCTATTACAGGCTCCCGTGGACAGACGACGGATTGGGGGTAAAGGTAGTTTTCTGGGCTCGTAGTCGAGTGCGACGGGTAGTCTTGATGGCCATCTATCAATTTCAATAGGCGTGCCAAGCCAGGCCGCTTCAAACAGCGCATTGTCAAACTCTTCGTCGTCATCGGAGGGCGTCGGTGGTTGCTCTGGAAGACTATTTCCCCAGATATATACCTCCCCGCTCTCTGTAAGGATAGCAAACTCCTTTGTCAGTTTGACGATGGGCGAGCAGAAGGTCGCGGTGTGAAGTGGATGGTAGCTGGGTGGCGACGTTTCGAGAAAAGAACACATGGGCTGCCAGGAATCAAATGAGAGTACAGTGTGCGGATCCTCCTGAAGAACAATGCATACAGCGCCTGAGATGAGGCGGGGGTTCCAATAGTCGACACGCCTGGTGGCGATGTGCTGGATAGGTTTTCCTTTAATAATACTATGCCGTCAGATTCCCTGAGCGACAAGAGCCTCCCATCCCGAGAGAGAAATGTGTATTCATCGGCTAGTCGAATAACAGTTGTAATACAGTTAACATCCAAAACTGCAGTTACTTCTCTGAGTTGATCTTCCGTCAGTGGATCCCAATGGGTGAGATGCTTCAACTTTCCGTCCACTTCAAGAAACGCGGACCCGCTTTCGCAGCTGATAACTCGAATATTTTGGCTTGACTGTGTGACTTCCCTGAGACTCAAGACCCAAAGAGGACAGTGAGGACAGTCCTTGCCCCAATTATTGTGCTCGCAAGGGTGCTCGAGGTTGACGTAGCGTCTAGCGCAGCAGCGAGGCTCCCCAAGACATCCGCGCCTATTGTCCCCACAACCGAAGAGTTGCATTTTTCATGCAGTGCTGTTGTAAATGAGCCGGGGGGCCCTGGGAAAGAAATGTTGGAAAGACAGGAATGATGATAAGAGTGGAGTTCGTGATGGGAGGCGGGGCTGCTATTAATAGCAGTGATCTTCCCCAGATGCCACTAGTCCCAGATAGGATGAGCTACAACCTGGCGGTAACTAATGTAGAAGTGTTTTATACTGGGATTTGATAAGAATGAAACCAGAAGAATATTTAGCAATTCTATTCCAATCGCTCCTCTCAAGCGATAATCCTCTAATGACCAAGGGCAGTCTAGTGTCAGATTCCCACCGATTTGATTGACTTGATAGTAAAACCAAGACATCCTTAACATCCCAAAGGAATAGATGAGATAGGAAAATTCTCTCAGCTTAACAAAAAGCTAAAGCAAGCAGAATGAGTACCATTATTACAATCATCCCCGTCGTGCACATTAGGCGGATTGGTGCACCCAAAGTTCGCCTGATTGGCAGCAAAGGCTAGGATCGCATCATATCGGTCTTTACAGATTTTGCTTGTGAGTGGCGTAACAAGATCGGCTATAGGTGGGCTTCCCCGGGTGATATATTTGAAGTTGAAAGTTGGGTTGTTTGGCACAGGGATCCTGACGGAGATAGCACCCGGGGGCGGAAGAGGTGCCTTTCTGTTGCTTGTTAGCATATCGACAAGGAATATAGAGATTGGGATACGTACACATAGAAGACTTGGTTGTTGGGAAACCAAACCTCACAGACTCGATCTGCGAGGATCTTGACGTTTGTCCAGAGCGCAATGGGGGAGGCCAGCGGACCTCCTTGACATTGCTGGCGGCGGCCTAGTGAGTTGTCGCCGTCATCGCCATCGTCACTGTCATCATCATCGTCACCAGGGTGGGGAAGTTCCTATACATGAGAATATTAGAATTGGGTCTCTGGCAAAAACTTCGATGTGAATGTACCGATGCCTGGGGTAGAGAAGTTATATTAGAAGGTGGCGGGGCCGCAATATCTGGCCGAGTTGCCACCAACGAAGAATTGCTCGGCTGGACCACTGCGGAGGCATCCGCTGTATCAACTGGAATGATCGGGGCGGACTGGAGAATATCCATGGGCAACGTGTTGTTTGTAGCATCTTCCTGTGCATGGGCAGTCTGGAGAAGATCCAGCATTGCCACAAGCACAATGGCAATGAAGACAATTGGGTATTGGGCAGAGGCCATGATGGGAATGATTATTAGCCGGATGATAAGCAATAGGAAATTCCGATTGATCTGGAGCACATTTCCTTCTAGATGGAAGGCTTTTCCATTTATACATCCCATATTCATGCGAATCATGTGATCCTCTACATCATTTTTGGATCATATTTACTGCCACAACATCGTCATACCAGCTAATGATACGTTTGGTAACCCCAATATTAGCTTCTCCATGAAAAAGCTGTGTCAGAGAACAGGTGCGTGGCGGACCTTTGATCCTAGCCTGTACCAGATTTCTGGGTTGAGATAAATTTAGACACCATTTTGTCTTTGAAATAGTATATATCTATATCCGACGTACCTGACGGTACAAGGTATAAATATGGCATTTGCAACACTCCCCTCCATACAGTATAAACTAATTGCTGTACATTAAATTTGAATGAGGAAAGATATCAAAATCATGCTGAGAATTTGATTGTCTTGGAAGAATGACAAGCCGTTTTGAATTGTTGAGTAGTGATGGTTTAGTAGTGACCGCATAAACACACGTACGCTGTACGTCATGCATAAAATTCTGAAGGTATCCAGAATCCGAAAACTGTGCTCATAGAAGATATAAAGTAACGTAGTCATGAGCTGTTTATAAGGTCTTTACTTGGCTAGTGATTCTTGTATCTTATTTTAATGCTATCCAAACGTATATCAACAATGAAGGGTGATCAATACCCAACCTGGTGACACGCCGTAAGATCTGAGGCACAGCTCAATACCGCCTTGGTAGAGTGCCAACATTCCAGTGATGCCGAGCTACGCGAGTATATATAATACTGGGCAGTGTACAATCTAGCAATCATGGTAATAAATGATATTCTTTCAGGAGAAATGCTGGTGTGGGTAATTGCAAGCTGCTTCAAAATCATCGACCCGAATAGAAAGTCGGATGTCTTCAAAGATTCCAACTACCATTTGGATTGGTCTGCATATATATTCTCAAGGCCTTGTGCAGATTATCGCGTTCATCTTCTGTGGAAATAACCAATCCAGCTTACAAACGAACTGTCGGCTTTGGGACTGGATCTGACTGGGCTGGTTTTGGTCGGTATCCAGGATACCACTTTATCAGATCGACAGCCAAGATCTGATACATTCTTTCAATGACAGACACACTATGAGGGCAGGTATGGGGGAATAACCAAGGCCTGGTAGATTTGCTAGTTGAAGGCCGCATCTTGTAGTTCGTGCCGCAGACCCCATTGATCGCTTCGAAAAACGCCTGGCAACCGATGCATGGTATTTCTGATAGTCCAATATATGGGTATGCTATGGAGGTATTTTTGCTAGTGTCAGATCGAAACCCTCCGCCTGCCCAAAAATCTTCGGTTTCGTCCTTGGCAATGCGGAGGCACTTGAACATTGTTTTCCAAGAGGCCGGGTTGGAGGGTCTTCCAACTTTGGCATCGTCGTCTCGAGTATAAAGCTCTTCGATGGTGATGATTGATTGGCGAAGGTTGTGAAACGGATGCGCAGAGTCAAGGTTGTCAGTGTCGATATCACAAAACAGAGCGAACTGCGCATTAACGCGGTTTTTCAATTTCTCGAAATGGAAGTTCAGACAGCTATAAGCGAAGATGTTCTGCTCTCGTTCTAGTCCCTCATCGTGGATGTCTTGTGGTCGTAACTGAAGGAAACGGGCGGAGATACGCTTCAAGCCCGCCCAAATTTCCTTGACATGGTTGCATGTTGTATCCTGAATGTCCTCATTTCCCGTGAGAATTAATTCCACACATTTGGTTCTATCGTCTACTCTCAAAGCAGTTGCTAGCACTTCTTGGCGGGGCTTGGAGACGCAGAGATTAGCAAGCGAGTCGAGGACTTCTGCTATGCGACGTGGTTCTGGGAGCGGGGTTTCTTGTGGCAAAGGATAGGTCTGTTGGATATTATGGCGTTCTTGAAGCTTTGCAGTGGCAGTAACAAGATCACGAATATCATCGACAGAGGCATGGATAGGATGACTGCCCACTGCTTTTAGATGGTCGCTTTGTTCCATTTTGTCGAGTTGATGGTGGGATGTCTACAACGGAATGAGAAGGTAATGTGTTATCCGAATGTTTCCATGGTTTAACGACGAATGACCTATTCTAGGCTTCAGTCAACAATCAAAGGACACCAGTATCTCATGCAGCAAAATATCAATCCGTTCTACTGATCCTCGACCTCCGCAGTAGATTTGTGAACTTTCACCAGGCTTTGCTCATCATCAAGATGGCGAAATCCCCTCCAGCGAATGCAACAATTACACTCGTTCGTACAATGCACACGATGCATTTTGAAGTTGGGGATGCTCCCTTCCTGTCCTGCTGGAGCACACCGAATTGCTTTGCAACAGCCACAGCCACGGATACAGCAGCCCAAACGAACCTCACAGTTCCGTCGACCCTTTTCCCACAATTCATCCTCCGAAAGAGAAAAGTAATGATCCACCCAAGCGCCTTGGGGGCATTCCTCGTTTAATTTGGTAAGATTTTGTCCGTTTTTCCAGAGACGCCGCTTGATCTGTTTGAGCTCAGCATCGATTTGAGTCGTGTCACCGAGGGATCTTGGCGTAGCGTTTCGCGCTCTTCGAGAAGGTAGGTTTCGTGTTGAAGGATCTCGTGAAACTTTTTCATGCCGGCCTCCCAGGTTTTGATCGCTGCCTGTTCTTTGTCGTACTGGTCTTGTGACGCCCGAGAGCGGAGAAGCTTTTCCAAGTAACAGTCCACGGGACTAGTAGAGCGGTGCGCGGACGATCGAAAAGGTCAGTTGAGGGTGAATCCCCATAATTTCAACAAGCCGACAATCACGCTGAGAACAGGAAGGTTACCTGGAAGAACTCGAACCACATCGTCGTCGCTGTCGTTGGTGATGCAGGGTGCGATGGCAGATGCAATTAGAAGGGATGTTGGAAGTGGGAGAGAAAGGAAGTTGTTGTTGGGGACATTCTCTTTTCCCAGTGTTTGGGAAAATTACGCTCGGCAATACTGGAAAGAGAGAGAGAGCAGTGAATGATATGACTGTCACGTGCCAGTGTGCTCGTTCCCTTTTGGGAAATCGCTTCTCGGTCGAGCCCCCAAACAATGGCCCTGAAGTGACCTACTACTTTCTTGGTATCACCCTAGTACATGGCATTCGAATCGGAAATACTATATTCTGTTGAATTGTTGATGATTCGGAAAGGTTCTCATTAATTGTCTCGATTGAGTCTCCTCCCTAAACCCAGCCGTTTTGAGAGGCCTCTCTAACGCATATTATGGCACTTTGACACAGACGAAGCGCTCCCTACCACGGCCAGAGGATAACCCATTTACCAGACGAAAGTAAGTCTCAGAGCTCCCAGTCGGGGAGCAAGTCTTTTGTCTGTCGGTTGAGAACAATCAAACCCAACAGATGCGCCTCGTCGCAGCGGATTCCACAACGAAGCACGGAGAAATAAGTGTGGCTTTTGTTTCGACAAGCAGGGGCTAGGGCTTATCCTTTCCTTTGCCTATAAAGACTTCCGTTTGTCTCCAGAGTGATACATCAGAGAATTGAGGTGTTTCAAACTACGGCGATGCGAAGGGCTCATGTACTGACTATTTCGTGGAACGGATCAGGGCAGCCCATCTTACTACTCCTTTCGTTACTGTTACAATATTGCCATTCTTACTGAGAATAGAATAACCGAACTGTTGTTATATCAAAGGGAATTCCGTGGATAGACAGCAGGGGTTCCACTGTTCCAGGGACCGTACCAATTCCTCGAGAGACACGCTTAAGGGCTTGATTCCGGGCGGAATATAAGACTTCATAGATGGGGCCTACTATCAGGAAGAAATATAAGAGTTTTCTCGTATTTTCGTTTGAGGTTGAGATCTTTTCTTGCCAAGGTGTCTTCTTTTTCCCCCGTCCGTTCAGAAAGAAGATGCAAGAAAGCGTGTTTAACCCATAATCTCAAGACGTATATTCATTCTCAATCGATCATCTTGTAAAAGGAATGAGAGGTAGGATTGAAACGGCGAATCAAACTGCGCTCATCGGAGCAATTTTTCAATTGTGTATTCCGACTCATCAATTTCCAAAACACGATTTAATAACATCCGCCCTTTGTTTTTAGACTCAAACCTTGCAACAAATTCTAAATCGTAGACGGCACATAGACTGGAAGCCAGTCTAAAAGGCCATGGGTATGATGCCACTCAGTTTGTGTTGATATTGCAGAAGGAACACAGCCCTCCTTCCAGATTCGGAATTAGGGCAAGTCGCCCAGTGTGACACTGCCACCAACGCTGGTCGAACTGCCTACCAAGCATGATCTGCATCATCTTTATCACTTGAATTAATCAAAATATCCCTTGACCAAAACAAAGATGCCAATGACAATTTCCATCATCACCGACAGGCTGGGTGTACATGTTCGCCCTCTTTCTCCTGGTCGTGACGGTCTTTGCCTTGCAGTTGATCGATAATGATTTGTACTGACAGTCCTTGAGACGGTTTGGTTTGAAACTGTTGGATTCGAATTCTTACGCGTGCTGTCGTTGCCCTCGTTGTTGCCCTGCGCGGATTCGTGCCAACTAAGTTATCCGATTCCGAGCTTAGAGACCTTATAACTAATAAATAGTAAAGCAGACGCGGGATTAGTGTTCGCTTCTCTTTTATCGATAGACTTTTTCAACGGAATAAACGGCTTTGATGAAAAATCCGGCTTTGCGAATATAATGAATAGTACTAGAGACTCTAACAGAAGGCCGACAACTCCAACTCTAGATAAGATTATTACAGCCGCTTTGAATTCCAAATAAAATCACCACGAAACCAACAAAAAATCTATACTCTAGAATGCCTCTTGGACAGGGCATTGGTCATAGACATGATAGTGTCTCTCTCCTTTGGCGTGAATTCCCTCCTGTTTGGTCCTCCGCGGCTTCCATCACCTCCATTGCGACTTGCGGCCCCAGTGAAAATCTCCTCTCTGGCACGCTTTTGGTATTCGACGTTGAACTTCCACTTTTCGGAAAGGTCGGTGGGTAGTTGGCCCTGGAAAGCACGAGAAATGTACTTTCCAATGACAGGGAGGAATTTATATGCGCTGTTTTAGTTAGCGTCGTGTCTCATTCTAGAAGATAGAGGGTACATACTGTCCAGTGCCACCAGTGGCAACAAAGAGGTTCTTATGGTCGGGGTGATAGTCGAAGATAAAGTCACCAGTCGGTGTCTCGTTGTACCAGCAGAGGCATGTCTTTTCGAAGCCTCTTGATACTAGTTCCGGGACAATCTCCTTCAACCCAGCGAGGAGCCGTTGCATTCCCTCCTCTGGAATAAAGTTGGCGCGAGCGGGAATTGCTTGAGTGGGTGGTGAGGAAATATTGTCGGTGGAAGAAAGGGTATACCCGAAACTATGGCAGGCAACCTTGAGATAGCCTGTCTGCTCATGGGGAGGGAAGCTGAAAAAGCCAGTGGACAAGTTGAAGATGATGGGGAGGTCTTTGAGCTTCTTGACCTCTTCGGGGGTAAGTCGGACGAATCCAACAATCTGGGCTGTTGCAGCCATTGTATTCCATGTTGGCACAATACCAGCAGTCCATGCACCAGTGGCCAAGATGAACTTATCACCGGTAACACGGCCACCATTGATCGTCTTGACTGCCTTGACAGATCCATCCGGTGCCTTTTCGAGCTCCGTAACCTGTCCATGAGGGCCAGTCACAAACGACACACCAGCGAGAATACAACGATCACGCAGTCCAGCAATGGCAAGTCCTGCATCCGCCCATCCACCAGAGTTGTTGTAGAAGCCTTCAAAGCCCTCTCCAATAGGAGTTCCTGATACAGTAGGGAAACGGCGCTTCAATGCCTGTGCATCGTCAAGCGTGTGCCAATCCTGGCCCAGCTCAGCCAGAATGACTTTAGTCTTTCTGATGAAATCCGATCCACCAGCTAGCACTGACCCAGCGGAGCCGGTTCGCTGCGACGTCCACACACAAGGAGTTTGGTGGAAAGAGTCCGCATATTCAGGGCTATTAAGCCACAGATCATACGCCTCCTTCGCGATCTCCGCGTAGACCTTGTCACCATAATCGAAGCGGATCACACGGGAAATGTCAACGCTCGACCCATCAGGAACGGGAGGCATTGACCGGTCAAGAACCGTCACTGAACTGAAGCCATCTTCTGCGAGGTGGAGGGCAGTCGACAGGCCAAAAACCCCTGCCCCGACGATGACAATGCGTTGCGTCTTATCCATGCCGAGAGATATGTAGAAATGATACCAACTCTCACATGAGTGGTCAATTGAGAACCCATTTAAAAGAGCCAAATAATTAAAGCACCGGCTCGGGACCGGGATCAGAGCCGCCTTGGCGCCGGCGTGTAAGGCCGTTATATGGTGCGTTCTCCGCGGATAAGTCGTCTATCGTGAAGCTAGAGGGAAAATATTGCTGTTTTGGGACTAGTGTATGAGGAAGCTTGGATCACGTGGAGAACATGCGGGGATAATGTGGGGAAGGCATGACAGCTTTTTGCCCGATCGAGAAAGCATTTGCGAATGTTTGATTTTGCGGCAGATCTGCACGCTTCGATTATCGGTATCTGCGGGTCTAGGCTCTGGCTTGTCTTGAAAGGGCGTAATAATGACATGAGCGGGGATTATTATATGGCAATCGATATGCTAGTCCCGACATTCGGTGAGTTATTACGGTAGTATCAAACTGCGAAATAATACCTGTAGGCAGAAATACTGCCCGGTAAATATTGCCACCGGTATATATGACACATTTCGTGAACGTGAAGTGTAGTGGGGCATTGATAGTACTAGCAAAAGTACTGTCTGGCTATCTATCTTGTAGAAAGTTCGTCCGATAAAGAATGCAGATGGACAATAGGACGGGAGACTTATCTTGGATGACATGCATAATCTATCATTTTTAAGAAGTGTGTAGAGATAATAGTTTGCTTGAAACGGCCAAAAAGAACAAATGATAATTTGACGACAAAACCACCATGATATCATGATCGTATCAACCCCTGTCATTGGACCGACTACCTTATTTAGGTAAACAGTGAGATTATTCCCTTTTCAGCAAATTATCTTCCGTAACGCCATGTTTACACAGTGAAGGGATATGCTTGGGAGATAAACCGCGTGACACAGTAGAGAGCATCAGCCGATCTGATACCCAACATTCCAGTATGAGCGGTTTCTGGTATCAATCGTGTCTGGATATCTGAGGGCGCGGGGCATGGTCAAGGTTACGACATATAAGAAGTTCATCATCGGCCGTCATTGGAGAACCATAAAACCGTTAACTTCCTTCCATCTCTTGAATTATCTACTCTTATCATCTTTCTTCTTCACACACTTCACACTTCACACTTCACAATGGTCTCTTCAATGTGGAGCTATCTCGGCCTCGGTGAGGCCTCCAACTCTACCGTCGAGAAGGATGCGATGCGCGCCCTGCCAGCTTCGTGGTATACCTCCCAGGAGATGTTCGAGCTCGAACGCCGCGCTATCTTTTCGAAAAAGTGGCTTCTGACTACACACAAACTCCGTCTCCCCAACGTCGGTGACTATATCCGCTACGATGTCGCTGGATACCAGTTCATTCTTACCCTCGACCGCACAAAAAAGATCAACGCCTTCCACAATGTCTGTCGCCACCGTGCCTTTCCAGTCGTCACGGAGGAACAGGGCTCGGCTAGGATCTTCTCCTGCAAATACCACGGCTGGTCGTATGGGTTGAACGGTAACCTTGCCAAGGCACCTGGATACCAGGATCTGGATGGGTTCGACAAGAGCAAGAACGGTCTTCTCCCCATCCACGTGCACATCGATGTCAATGGATTTATCTGGGTGAACCTTGACGCAGGCGAGAAGCCAGAGATTGCATGGGAAGATGAATTCAAGGGTATCGATTTGCAGCCTCGATTCAAGGACTTCAACTCTGAGAACTTCGAGTTCGACCACACCTGGGAAATGGAGGGCGGGTATAACTGGAAGATTCTGGCAGACAACTACAGCAGGACGACACACCCGGATGTTCCTTCGTTGGTGGATGCCAGCACCATCGATGCTCACTCCAAGCCGGACCAGGTTGCGGCTGGGTTGAAGAATGCCAGTACCTACTACTTCCCTAATGCATCCATGACTGTCTTGTAAGTCTATCCACTCTTCTATATGACTTCATATACTGACTATTTAGACCACACTTCTTCTTCCTGCAGCGCCTCGTTTCCACCTCCCCCACCACCTCCATCATGAAGTACGAAGTCTACCGCCACAAAGAATCAAAGAACGAAGACTTTGAACTCATCAAGTCAACATACAAACGCATCATGTCGGAGGACAAAGACCACTGTGAGCTCACCCAGAAGAACCTCAACGCTGGCGAGCTGCACCCCGAAATGGAAAAAGGACCCCTCTACTTCCAGAAAGTCGTTCGGGACGCCGTCACAGAACACAGCCAACGCGAAGAAAAAGCCAAGGAGGAGATCTGGCCAGCCAGACAGAGTCTGCCCAAGACTGCAGATGCAAAGACGAGTGCGAAGGATATGCAGTTCTGCTCGAGTCTGCCGTCTTGTGGCGCGGGGAGTGAGTGTTGCTCGAATCTGGGGGCACCAGCGGCGGCGACGGCTTGGTAGTTTATCTTATTACTATTATTGCGTTTTGATGATTTGATTTCTATAGAATTGCATTGATATTTAGCCTAGCTATGATTTATGATTAATTTACTGTTATTCAACATCTCTATCTCGACAGGAAAACCGTAAGGAAAGAAAAAAGATGCAACATGGATCGGCCTAATTCCATAAACATATGCCCATGGAAGAGAGATAACTAGTACATTGATTCTTATATTGTGCACACATGATAAATTAGTCTTGGTATCTTCAGCCACTCACCACAGGAAATATATCGAGTTCGTATAGTAAAATTACCTTGAGATATCTCCAGAGTCATCTCTTATCTTTTGGGCCGCCAGCTATCATGCATATACTTATCTGTTGTTGTTGAACCTTTTTTCTTGTCCAACGCTGTGCATGGACATCCAACGTCCAGATGGAAATCGACGCCGGATCGGGTAATCAGACCCCGCCCGATGTCGATCACCTTCCTCTCTTGCCTGGTGTCTTATCTTAATCTTAGAGCTCCCTTGACAAATTCTGGAATCACCCAATATTTTATTGAGATTATCTATTCGGCTAAAACGGTGATCACCATGATCAATCTTCGTAAAATCAATAATATTTTAGTATATTCTTGACTAAAGGGGTGGGGCTGAGGAATGTGCTTATTGTAGTTGTGGTCTGCTATATATTTCTAGCAATGTAGGTTATCAACAAGAAAATTAGTATAGAATGTTTATCTTCCAGATTAACAGAAATGTTGTTCAGTTAAATGCTCAATCAAATATAGAAATATAATTCAATAAGATAGTCCGTATCATGAAATAGTATTCTCGTAATTCTTCTAGTTCCCACTTATCTACAACAAAGACTTGAAAGGTCGGTCAACAGACGATCCATCGCCATACAAACGACTCATCTGCGGATCATACAACGGCTCAGCCGTGATGGTAGCCCTGATCTGGCGCCCAAAATACTCAATCTCGACAGCATCACCGATGTCGAGAAGGCCAGGTAGCCAAGCATACGCTACAGGCTTGCCGACCGTATACCCAAACGCAGCACTGGTCACGTATCCGACCGGTTTGCCGCTGTAATATACAGGCTCCTTACCGAGGATGACGGAACGGCCATCATCAACAGTGAGACAGCGTAGTCGTCGAGCGAGTGCTTGTTGTGAGCGTCGTTGGAGTGCAGTCTTCCCAACAAAGTCTTCCTTTTTGCTCGTGTTAATGGCAAATGCGACTCCGGCTTCGTATGGATCGTGTTCAGTCGTCATATCTTTGCCCCAGATCCGGTAACCCTTTTCGATTCTCAATGCGTCGAACGCGTGGCGTCCTGCTGCGATGATACCATGTGGCTTTCCTGCTTGGGAGATAACATCCCAAAGTCGATGTCCGTATTCAGCGCTGCATTGAATCTCCCAGCCAGACTCGCCGACGTAGGACTTTCGAAACATGGTAACTGGGATGTTGGTGATGGTCGCTTTCTTGACGCCGAGATAAGGCAATGTTGGGTTGCTTAGATCATCAGTGCTGATCGTGCTGATGACGTCTCGGGAACGAGGTCCCCAGAGACCGATGCTGCATGTACTGCCTGTGATTTCGCGGACTTGTACCCATTGCTGCTGTTGTTTGGCTTCGTAGGAAAGATAGGCTAGATCGGTCGCAGAGTTTGCATTCACCTGGAAGACTTCATCGTCGAGGCGTGAGATGAAAATGTCACTGCGGATTCCGCCATTGCTGTTGAGAAGAAGGGCGTAGACTATTGACCCAGGCTTTGTAGCAATGACATCTCCGGTGCTTAGCCGGTTAAGCAGATGAGCGGCTCCAGGACCAGACACTTCAAAGCGATGGAAAGTAGTCATGTCGTACATGGCGACTGCATTGCGCGTCCTCCACGCCTCTGCAACAGCAATGGGCGAGTAGAACTTCGCTGACCAGGAGTCTCGCTCGACGGGCTGCCACTTGGAGGGGAGATATTTGAGCAAATGCCTATTTCCCTCATACCAGGATGGATGTTCCCAACCTCCAACCTCACGGAAAACAGCACCTAGAATCCGCTGCTGATGGTAGAATGGAGTTGTTCGAAGCTGCCGTGGTGACTCCTTCGGCTGTAGTGGATGAAGGATATCGTATATTTCGACAAAGTTCTGTTGGGATGTCTCGCTGACATAGTTGCGGCTTAATTGGATAGCTTCAAATCGGGACAGCTCGCATTCGGAGACATCAATGTTAGACTGGCCAGTGGTGAGGATCTCAGCGACTGCTCGTGCGACGCCGGCAGAGTGCGTCACCCAGACAGCTTCAGCGACATAGAAGCCATCGAGCTCTGGTGCTTGTCCGATGACCGGTCCACCATCTGGTGTGAAGGAGAAGATGCCGTTGAAGCCGTCGGCAAGCTGCGTATCTCGGAGAGCTGGGAGAAGGTGCTGGGATTCCTTCCACGCGGGATCAAAGTCTTCCTTGGTGAACTGAAGTCGAGATGGCATGTTCTTTTCATCAACGTTCTTCGAAGTGAGGCCCAATGAAGCTGCCTCTACTGGCATCGGACGGTGGCCATAGTAGCCAATGCCATACTGATCGCCATGTTCACGGTAGTAAAGATCTTGGTCTTGGTGTCGTAGAATGGGATAGATGGCGTTCTTTCCATTTGGTCGGTTGTTAATATCTCTGCCTGCCAGAGAAGGCACCTTGGTCGTCTTCGCATACTGATGCGCCAGAGGAAGCAAAGGAACTTTCACTCCAGCCATGGCGCCTACTTCGACGCCCCAGAAACCAGCACAGGAAACGACGATATCCGCGGGGATGATGCCACCAGGGGTATTGACGCCTGTCACTCGGTGGTTCTTCTTCTCGATGCCGGTCACCGGTGTCGACTCAATATACTTCACGCCAGCTTGACGCGTACGCTCGATAAGCAGCTGTGTCGCACGCGCAGCCAGCGCCAGACCATCACTGGGAATGTGTAGACCCCCAAGCACGATATCCTTATTCAAAAGAGGGTACATCCGTATACACTCCTCCGCACTGACAAGCCTTGCATCTATCCCCCACGAAACCGCATATCCATGTTTCCGCTTCAACTCCTCCACTCTCTCTGGCGTCGTCGCCACCTCGAGTCCCCCAACCTGATTAAAGCAATCAAGACTGAGTAACTTGTCCACCGTATAACTGGCAAACCGAGTCATCGTCTTGGACGGGCTGGTCTGAAACACGAGACCGGGGGCATGTGATGTCGAGCCGCCCGGCATGTGCAACGGGCCCTGCTCGACGACAGTAATGTTGTTCCATCCTCGCGAGACCAGTTCGTCGGCAAGGTTTGTGCCCACGATGCCGGCTCCGATGATGACGATGCGTGGTGTTGATGGTGGCATGATGAAAAGATGATTGTGTATGGTTGACAATAGACATGATGCTATTTGTTATATATTATCTCTGGATGGTTATCCTATCGCCTTGCTATCTCCGCACCTCCCGGCATGGTATCTTTGTTGGATGCAGTGATGTGTTACCCCGCATGGCTATTTCGGGATGCTCTGGACGGGGATACCCGATTGGGATACGATTTCCATCCACACATATCAACCAGTGACAGCTGGCGTACAAGCGAAAATACGAATATAATTAACTAATTAAGGAAACAATGTATTCAGAGATTCTAGCTTAGATTCTTTATCTTGTGGAGTTGAATATGTATTCTGTGTGCACTTTATTGGACGATAAGAGTAAAGGGGTCCCGTTAGCTAGAGAATATGCATATTTTGGCTATTATCGGCTCAAGTACTAAGTTGGCCTTTTAAATGCTGTCCAAGCTGGTTGTTCGTCCTCGGTATCTATATAGACTTCCGTATCAAATATATCTACCAGCCAAACGTGTGCAGCCTCCATTCTATCGGTGTACTGTGTATGTAGTGCACGCCTCGGGTTGATCGCTATCTCAACCACTGGTCAAGCATCGAGATATCGTTGAATGAAATGATTTAATCTACCTACCATATCCATTGTCCTTCTATACACTCGACCAAACCCGGCCAGATGTGACCTTCTTCTTCTTCTTCTTCTTCTTCTTCTTCTTCTTCTTCTTCTTCTTCTTCTTCTTCTACTACTACTACTACTACTACTACTACTACCGCTCTGTATCCTTTATTAGGCTTTGTTATCTTGTGTGTTCAACGATTTCATTCTGGCTGCCAGACGGCGCGATAGCTATATCGATTGATAACATATGCTCATTTCCGCAGCAACAAGAGCCTCTATATCTACCATGGTTAGCAGTTAATATTAAGCTATTGAATGAATCGACTGCATACCTTATACAGTCTTGCATTCGCCGCTTCTTTTGCTTCTCTATCCGAGGGGAAGAGAACAAAAAACTGAAGAAAAAAACAAGACAACCCCACTGGCCGCAGCCTAATTGAGCGCTCTCCTATGCGATGATTAGGGGATGATTCTCGCATATGAATGAGTTTGCATTACCGAATCTCTCTGATGAGAGTGGCCGGCGAGAAGAGATATATGGCCCTGGAGGCCAGGAGGAACAGGCCGACGATGGGGAGGGCGATGAGGGTGACGAGGGCGACCACCGCCACCAAAAAGCAGGCGATCTCGGCGGCGGAGGGGGACCAGGAGGCGAAGAGGATGACCTCTCCTTGGTCGAAGACGGTGAGATTCATCATGGTGGTGCTTTCAGCGCAATTTCACGATGTTTGACCGGGAGAAAGAAAGAAATTTGCGTGCGCCATCTGCGAAGATCTTTTGCCCCGCCGAGGACGTTCCTTCTTCTTCCACATTGGGAAGGCGCAGGTCTCTTCCGCTTTAGACACAGTATAGCGCTCAACTGCTCTGCACTATTATTTGACACAAGAGTTATGCTAAGGTACCCAGGCGCCCATGGCACACGATGGTTGCAGCATCCAGATATTGTAGTAAATGCGTGTTATATCTAGGCAGTCACTGCACTGAGAAATGGGAGCAGTCAACGGCTTCAATGCCTACCGAAAAGCCCAACGGGTTGCCACGAACTCTCTTCATAACCAACTCACAGTCAAACAAGTGCCTTTAAGCTGTCATATTTCCCCTTTCTACCGTACAGAGCTCAGCCATCGTCCAAAGAATCAAAAGCAAAATGTTGATTCTGGCTCTGATTGTGCAAACAATGTTAAAGTTCCTCGTTATTCTCACCGGAGCCCTTACCCTCTGGGCCTTCGTGGCAGCCTTAGCAGGGAAGGAGAACACGATGGAGATAATTCGGCAGTGCAATTGCCTTCTAAGACAACGCTCGCATACGAACCTGTCCTGGGTTACTCGACGCATCCTGAAAGCGTTAACATCGATCGAAGACACAAAAGGACAATACGAATACATCCGTCTATTCCTTGCGAGCCGCCACGAGCTGAATGAGATCTTACAGCGCGAGATATATCTCCTCGAAGGGAGAGAAAGCCTACGAGAGAAGGCTAAGTCAAGCATCCTTACTCGGAAGGAAGAGGGACTGCTGGAAAGAGTTGAGCAGGAGCTTGATCGGGTGATGCAACGTGTTTGGATGAATAGGCAAGCGATGGTCAAATTGCAGTCCAGGAGTCCTGGTGGTGTTTGGATTGCAGAGTATAACCATATTACTGACGACGAACGATGGGAGCACGACAGAAGGGATTGTATACGGCGGTTGGGCTGTTGTTCTCATAGTTGTGGGTGCTGCGATACACCTCGTCGAGTTCCAGTACGAGGACATAATGGAATAGAGCTGCTAAGAAAGACACATTGTACAATGGAATGTGGGTGCTGTATTCGTTGGAGAGGATTTCGTCGCATTGGTGAAGAGGAGAAAGACTTGATTGAGGCCACTGAGGGAGGGTCTACGGCAGAGGCATTGAGCCTTTTGGATTAGAAATTAGGAGGAACTGCCATGGGTGTAGCTACAGGCATATGATATAAGAATGTAAATTGAATTGCTGTACACGAATTAAGACTGCTATAATGCCAATCCATGTCTGATAAAGACATTTTCGATGAACGGTTTAAGCCTTCTTGCCCTGGATAAGGACCTGCTTCTCCTTCTTGATTTGTTTGACAACCTCGATATCAATCTTGAGCACATTAGCCACGGTATCGGCAGGAGTGAGAGCAAGCCATTGAGCCAGCGAGATATCGGCGACGCGGTCACTGCGATAGATCTCGATCCACACCAGCTTCTCTGTTTCAGAAGTATTCTCAATATAGTGACCGGCATTATCAGGGAAGACTGCAGTATCACCGCCTCTAAAGTCAAAGGTACGAGCCTTCGAATCTCCGATGAAGATGGTGGCGCGGCCGGTGCCTTGGTGGAAGTACAGCCATTCCTCGGCCTGAGTCATTAGTATCATCGTCAAGTATAACATTGATAGATTAAACTTACATTGGGATGCCAATGCAACTCTCGCAAGCCCTTTGGTTCAAGCTCCACAACTGTAGCAGCGATAGTCTTGGAAATAGGGAAATTGGTAGAGTCAATCTTGCGGAACACACCACCATTTCCGGGAACAGGCTCAGGCTGATGCTTGTATGTATGGTAGACATACGAGCTGTTGCCCTTGAGATTTCCCTCGGGTGCCTTTTTCAAATCCTCACTGACGGTGCCATTGAGAATGTATGGGAACTTGGGAGGCACCTTGTCAAAGACAGAGGGACTGACGCCAAAGTTCTTTGCAAGAATGTCCTTCGGTGTGTGGGCAATCCAGTCGTCGACCATGAAGGTTGTTCTGTTCGATTAGACAAAGTCTTATATGATGGGTGGGAAGACATACCCGATCTTTTCAAAGTCGCCATCGTCGAAGACAAGGAGATATTCATTCTCCTCTTCCAATCCTTGAACGTTATGAGCGACGCCCTTGGGAAAGTACCAGATATCACCCGTTTCGAGCTTCTCGGTAGTGAAGCCACCGTTCTCGTCAACGCCAGTAAGAAGGAGAGAGCCGTTATAGACGAAGCCCCATTCAGCCTACATCATTAGTATCCAAACATAGCACAGCGGAAGAAAGACGCACCACACGATGCCAGTGCAGCTCACGAGTAGCACCCTTCTTCAAATGCTGCTGCGCACCAGAAATATCATGGCTCTGGGGAAGATCCTGAATGACCTGCTCTCGGCTCCAACCACCGGGGAAAAGCTTCGTCTGCGAGTCAGAGAAACTCCACTTGAGGTTGGGCACAAAGCCATTATCGGTGCTTTGGGTGCGGAGACCATCGGGGTTTTGGGCGTCGATGGCTTTGTTGGTTCCGCCTGTATATTGTGAGATGGTGTCTTAATAGGTAAATGAGGTTGCCTACCTAGAATTGGCCCGCCCTTTCCACCGCTGATGGGTTCGGCATCGGATCGCTTCTCGATGGCAGAGGCAAAGGCAGTGGACAGGAGTCCAGCGAGGAGGAAGACTGACTTCATCTTGGCTGGTGCTTGTTGTGTTGTTATCCTAGTGTCTTGGTATCTTTATATATTCTATATCCCCGCCATGATTAGCGTTAATGATGACAACATCCCCCTCGCATCTTCCGAATACGTTGATCTAAAGGGGTAAATACTACATCAAAGAACACAGAAAGTAAAATCTAGATATACAAAGTCGAAATGATGCAATTCGAGGCCCGTCCACTTCAAATCCCGATCCCCCAAGCTTAACGGTAATTAAACCTGATAAGATGAGCCCGTTCTATGGACGGAAAGTCACAATAAGGTTCATCTGTATAACCTCATTCTTGGCATAGTGTCGAAATCGAGGGTTCACCCCGACTTTCAGTTCCTTGCGGGGAAATTACCCCGTCGATCCAGGGACGATTCCAGGGACTCGATTGAGCTTTGACAACACGCGGTTGTCATTCTGCAGTTGACATGTTCATTTTATACAGAATTGCACCATTTATTCGGCAATTGAGTGGTGCGGTGATTTCTTGGCTGGCCTTGGCGGGTGCTGATCTTTTATACGAGGTTTAGTCCTCGAGGGCTTTGTTAAGCTTTGCTTTGACCTCGAGTTGTAGGGCATGATGCTGTCTAGAAAAGTGTACTTGTGGACTGTTCCGAGTCCTGCCCTATACAGAAATTGCTTGGTGGTATAGGGTATAGGTAGCATTGATCACCAATTCGGATAGTCAGTATACAAACCCTATAGCTCGTGCCAAGTACCTGGTACCCATCCTTGCCATATCCCTGCTGGACCATCTCGTGAACATCCAGACGAACTGATCACGACATTTGGTGAACCTTGACTCCTTGGCGTCGTCCAAAATGGCAACTCGAACACATCTAGCTCTGGCCTGGTTGAAGGAAATCAGGATTGGGCTTCTCGTATTCCAATAACTATCACATATTCGTCATATCGTAGATCAAATTCGTCTTGTCGATATTGAGATTGATCGAACTCTGCTCTTGCGTGCTTTTGTCCATGTGTTCGATATGAGGAAGGATATCAACAAATCCACCAAGTAGGGCAGGATGGCCGTATATATAGACATGATAAATCCCTCAAATGTGCTCAAACCAACTCACTCCATCTCCACCTCCACTCGAAAATCGTTCAAGATGAAGTATTCTCTTGTTTCTCTGGCATCCCTCGTCACCATTGGAGAATGTCTCTCCCTTCCTCCTCTCATCCCCAGTATTCCTGGTGTAACTGAGCCTCTGACCGAGAATGCCCCTCCTCTGCCTATTCTCCAAGTCCCCACCCCTCCTCTTGAGAGTCCTCCGTTCACTGCGAGTGACATCAAGCCTAAGAAGATCGGGTACTTTTGGACTGGTGCTGCTGATAAGCAGCACAAGGGTATGTGGTCTTATATCTTGTTACCAATGGATCGGTGCTGATGAGTGATAGACTTTCTGGCGACCTACAGTCTGGACGATGTAGGAATACACTATCTCATCTATATACCATTTCTAACCTGATAGGAAACATTTGGAACTCTACTCTGGATTACCGATGTCCCATCCAGCGGCAACGATCCCCACCATCTTGGACCATCTCTCGATGGCAAGACCTTGTTCGGGGGTGGTCTGCTCTCCTTGTTGAAGACACAGGTATGTCAACGCCTTAATAGTAATATTACATTATCTCATCTATTCCAGGACACCGGTTTCTACTTCGACACCTCCAACCCCTACCGTCCCACCTTCAAGGAGAGCAACCGAGCTCTTCTCTCCTCCATCGCCGATGAAGTCCGTGCAAAGCCCGACGGTGGATTCTACATCACCTACATGGGTTCTGCCGTGGGAACATCTCCCGGTCGTCTGGTCGAGACAGATGCCAACTTTGACATTATCCACGAGTGGCCGGAGGATGTGGAGAGTACTCTCAACATTCTTGGGGAGCAGTTCTCGCCTCACGGTCTCAGCATTGACTGGGAGAGGAAGTTCATCCTTACTTCCGACTTTGTGGAGCCGGTTACTATCTTGAAGCCGAGTCTGGGTATCCACCGTGCCAATACTCTCCGGTTGTGGGATTTGGATTCGAAGAAGATTCTTAACACGATTACTATTCCTGATGTGAGCTTCCCCCATATCTCTACTGCCTTATCTTTGCTAACGATTGCAGGGCGGTGGTATCCAAGACGTCAAGTTCATTCCTGGCAACCCCGAAGGCGCTGCTCTTGCAACTGCAGTCCATCTCGGCCAAGTCTGGATCATCTATCCCCAGCGAAAAGACGCCAACGGCAAACCCGGTGTTGCAGAGCTTCTTTATGACCTCGGACCCAAGGCCCGCGACACTGTCGCCATCTAGTAAGTACCCTCTCCCGCCCTCATCTGCATAGCTAACAATCCCAGCACCGACATTTCCCAAGACGGCCGTTTCATCTACCTCACCCTCACCACAGCCAACCACATCGCCGCACTGGACATCAGCGACCTCAACAATGTCAAGCGCCTCGATGACCCCAACGAAGACCAACCGACTGTCGGACCCCATTATATCAAGGTCACCCCTGATCAGAAGCATGTCGTGGTCACCGATTACTTCGTGCAGACCGGCGAGATTGGTCTGATCAACACCCCCGCTGATTTCAAGGCGCTGTACATTGACCTCAATGAGGATGGAAGTCTCAGTTTCAACCGCACTATCGACTTTAGCAAGGAGTTTGCGAACCGTGGTGGAGCGAAGCCTCATTCGAGTGTTGTTTTTGATTTCACGGATCCTGAGAAGCCGCTTTACTACTAATTTGACACTCATTTCTTGGGGTTGAGGTGGATTTACCTGGATTGGCTGCTTTATACAGCAGTGTTAGTTAATATTCCGACATTAATGTATCTGTCGAGGGTCAGAATCACTCTTGGATCTAACACTATGGTAATGGATTCGGGTCAGTATTTTGACATTTTCACTCTATTTTAAATCTTTCCATTTACGCATGTTGCCAATCGAATCCCACCATATCTACGCATGCAAATCAAAGTGGCAATAAGGTCAAGCCGTCTCCAGTTCTCAGCTAACAAATTAAATATAATACTAGTGGGTATGACCTGAGACAACCGCCTAATCTGTTCTCATTATATGCAGCAGCATAGCCGAGGTTCATGTGACAGCGCGTAGCTGATGGAGATTACCCACTTCATAAGCTGAACATTCTCATGATGAGCAGCTGAAAGAGGCTGGACTTCATCCACATCTCAGATTGAAAAGTGGAGCTGACTACCCGACATGGATCCCTGCATATAGACCCACTTATTCCCTTGATTGATTGAGATCATTGCATGTCTACCTTTGCAGCTGGTTCAATCAACGACTTAAAGCACCTTATACGGCGTGTGGCTGAGCTCTCCACTTTGATGCGTTATCCTATGTTGGTTAGAAGTAACGAGTCCTCTTCCAATGAAGAACTACCCACGAACTGATCGGCAAAAGCTGAACTAGATGCCCCTCATTTAGAAGGATCATGCAGCGAAGATACCTCGCAGGTGCAATCTGATTGAATCCACGTCAGATTGCCACTCGTCGATAGAAGTCAGTCGAAATCAGAAGGTGGCCTTTCACTTGGTTATAAAGGAGCCACCCATTGCCCCCTCCCCTTCAGTAATTTTTGATACTAAACACTCATCCAAATTCATCATCTATCTTCAATTCTATTCCTACTTAATCCGCCCCTCTTGAACACAAATAGCACAAGATGGTTCTATCACGCTGGTTCGGTGGAAACGGCGGCCATGCTGGCAAGGCGCAGGCGGAGTTCCCTAATAATACATTAAAAATAATCGAAATCGCGACGGGGTGGCAAGATGGTTCTCAGGTCGTTGCCGGGATCAAATTAAAATGGGTGGGTGGTGAAATTCAGCGTTTTGGGACCTCGTTGGACAACCATTATGTTGCACGCTTCTTTGATGACGATGAGACTATAGAAACCATGGTTGTCGGTTCAGGGGATATGGTTGATAGCATATATATTAAAAGCAGCAAAGGACAGGAACTGCAGGGTGGAGGCGACGGGGGTACTAAGCGTCAGGTCGACGTTGGTAAAGGTATCCTGCTGAGAGCGGATATATACTCTGGTGATAATCTCGATGCTATTCGCTTCGACTTCATGGATTGATCATCAACTCGACCCTGGTGAGTCAATCTTTAATCAAGCCATTATCACCTATCGTCTTATCACTAACCATCAATAGTTTGCTATGAGTACCTTCAACCATATCATTTTGCAAGAAAGGCATCACGCTTAGATATACTGCGCATATCTCTTGCACCTTCCCTGGCTTGATTAAGCTTTTACTAGAGCGATGCACAAAATTTGTCTTTCGGCGATTGAAGATGTATATATCGATCTGTGCTTAAAAGGATGCATATAGACCAGCCATTCTTGTTAAATATACAATATTAAATTATCTGCCAGCCCTTTTTTATGATCCCACATCAACCAGACTCTTACGAAGACGAACACTCCCTCTTCTCCTTATCTTCGTAGAAGTAATCCTTGTCAATCTTAATCGAGTCCACATGCCACGTCTTTCCATTGTCGGAGGTCTTCAAGCCACTGCTCGAAGCCTCGTCCAGAGCAAGGCTGTCACCAAAGCTCTTGTCCGCGCCACTGAGGTGAATGGTCATGTTGGACCAGGTGTAGCTGTTGACGGTACCGCAGGCGTCAAGGTAGCACTCGTTGCTGGAATAAATGAATCTAGGGCTGATGGATTTGGCGTCAGATTGTTTGGAGACTTCCTTGCCGTTGATGGAGACTTGTTGGATGATTTTGTCGGATTCGTTGTCGACGGTGACTGTACTGTTAGTGGGTGGGATTATTATCATGGGAGTATGAACCTACTGGTAAAGTCGAGCTGAGAGTCATTAGGGACAGTCACGTATGGCTGCTGAACCTGGCCGGCTAACCTATCGTTAGTATCATACTTTATCTTAAGTAGGATCAAACATACATAAGTGATAGGTGCTAGTAGCAACACACCACTCCTTGTTCGTCGCCGGACAAGCCCTATCCAAATCAGCTTCATTCAATATACTGATATCAGTGAACATACTGTGACTCCTGATCCGGCGACCAGTTCAGCAACGGCTGGAACAAATCCTCCGCCTGGCTGGACATCGACTCCGACACTCCAACCCAGATAGACAACCAGGGTGCCTCGCTCTTGTCCTGGACAGAGCCGCAAGGAACAGGAGGGGGAACGAGCGAGTAGGTAGCCTTGGTGATGTATACATCGTCGCTGGTAGGTCCGAGAGTGAACATGTTGCCAAAGTACCAGTCATCGTACATGGCAGCAGCGCGCAGCGCCACGGTCAAAGGAGCGAAAGCATAAAACGAGCGCATGTTGAATATTGAGAACCAGTCTCTGATAAAGAATGAAATATACTGAGAAGAATGAATAATTAATTGACAATCTGAAGTTAATAGCGAACGAGCTGTTTAAGTATCCTACGTGGATCGGCTGTAACAGCCTTGTTTTCAGGAGTCGACGATGGGTCGTTTCAGGATCCACAAGGGTACATAGTGGAGTCCATTCTGGAGCATCAGAGACAGCTTCTAACGGCTAATCTAGTCTAATCCGATCAAGCCGTCTCATTTGACTAACAATTATTCATGGTTTTGGCGGAAAATCCCCGAGATTTCTGGGCGCGTGTCTGGGATTAAAAGGCCTGACAACTGGGGTTTTCAGGGTCGATGATCTGCCCCTGATTGGGGTAATTCAATCGAATTAGTTCAGGTCGTTCTTTATTTCCAAATCAGACTGTATATCCACAAGTGAACTATATTAGGGGATTTCATGGCGGGGTCTGTTTCTGGGACAATATGTCCTGGATTTATACTTTTAAAAACACACCGAAAAGGAAATCCATTGATTATATTCAACGAACTCATATTCGAGATTAGATCACTACATCTATCAATGCTCCACTCTGAAATTAACGTCATGTCAAAGCTGTAGATTAGATTAACAACATATTAAAAACGGAAGGTCTCAATATTGCAATGCCATTAAACCGAAGATCCCAATCTAAACAGAGCGATTTTTATAAATTTTCCATTTCCACTCCCTTCAGAATTGATTCAGGCAGAATATAAGCATTCACAGAGCCCCTTAAATGGGGTTGAATTGTCGTCCAGGCTTAAAGCTGCTGGATACATATAGTCTTGCAGTGGTTGCCATAAATTTCCTTTTAGTTGCGCACCAAGTCCACGACCTTAAAATTACACGATGGCAACACAGGAGCATAACAATTACAAATATGACATATAATAAAGTAGTAGAATACACCATAGTGGCCGTTTTCTTTGTATCCCTTGTCGCCATCCAAGGCTACCGCTGGAGAAGTAAAAAAACGTATCTCTTTCGACAGTATCAAGGTGAGAGTCATTATATATCAGTCAGACGTCAAGTATACTAACATATATATTTCGTACAGATCCTCCAAGGTACACTAGCCGCGGTTCAATTCCTAATCGTCCGAATAATCTACTTCTTTCTCTCTGCATTCGACCCAGACCATGGAAAATGAATTGTGCTCACTGGGTTAATTAGTCCGCTTGTCGTCATGCTTCTCGTCATGGAATGTGTAACTGTCGTGAAATATCTTCTGACTGGGTTTCGGGTCGCGCCAACGGAGATACGAGCGGGGTATGGCGAGAGCAAGGAGTTGTTGACTGGTATATTTGACTGAGATGATGTGAGATCGCAAAGAACCAGGGCATGGGACGCTCAAGACACTCGTCGAGTGCTTCTGGAATTCCTTTCTTGGTAGATTTAAAATGTAGAGCTTGAATATCTAGGAACCTCTAAACCTCTATTAATTTTCCTCCGTCATTTTTTTTCCCTTCAATCTTTCACTTGTGATTAAAATCGAAAAATGCCAAGTCAACGCCGCGTTATTGATTTCTAAGGCATATACCCCTGTAGTATTGCTAATATAGGCTCGGACTGTCGGGTTTTAAGAAAGCGAACCGGGGATAACAAGCTGACATAATAAATTCGTCCTGACAAGTCTAGATGTTTCATCAATCTGGGGGCCAAATGGCTGTATAAATACATTCTCAGCTGTCTGTTAAATTATCACCATAGACTGACTATCCATCGGTTGTTCTATCAATTGATTAAAGATTCTTCGTCATGGCCCCCAAGTACGCTCGTGACCAGCCAGATGGCTTCACGAATCAGATCGAACGCGTTGCCATCGTTGGAGTGAGTTTCCTTGTGACTTCAAACACTAAACGAACACTTCATTGACCCTCACTAGGCTGGTGGTCAAATCGGTTCATACTTTGTCCGGGCATTGCTGGAAACTGGAAAGCACCGCTTGACAGCAATCACCAGAAAATCCAGCAACACACTCCCTAAAGGGGTTCACGAAGTTGAAGTGGACTACGACGACGAGGCAACTTTGGTCCATGCGCTTCAAGACCAGCAGTTTCTCATCATCACTATGGCCGTCACCGCACCGGCTGGAACCCAGAGCAAGATTATCAGAGCAGCCGCCAAGGCGGGCGTGCCTTATGTGATGCCTAGCTGGTACGGCGCTGACATTGAGCGAAAGAACCTCCTCAAAGACCTACCCATCCGGGCTGACTGGACAAACGTCACCGAGGAGATTTCCTCATTGGGCGTCAGCTCTTGGATCGCTTATACGACTGGATTCTGGTACGAGTTTAGTTTACTAGGCGCACCAGATGCGTATGGATTTGACATCAAGAATCGGCACTTCACGATCATTGATGATGGGGACGTAGCTATCAATACTTCGACATATGCGCAGTGCGGGCGCGGTCTCGCAAAGCTGCTGAGTCTGAAAGAGCTCCCGGAGGATGAGAGTGATCGCTCTAAGACTCTTTCTCAATTTAGAAACTCTACGCTCTACGTGTCCAGCTTTCGTTTGACGCAGCGGGATATGTTCGATAGTCTGAAGCGGGTGACAGGAACGGATGATGCGGATTGGACGATCTCGAATGAAACATCTGCTCAAAGGTGGAGGGATGGCAGAGATGAGCTTCAGAGTGGCCAATATACTGGTTTCATTAAGCAGCTGTACAGTCGGATTTTCTTCCCAGGGGGGGACGGAGATTATGAGACAACGCCTGGTACGCATAATGCTGTACTGGGATTGCCGAAGGAGGATCTTGATGAAGCAACACGGAGATCTGTTGAGATTTTTGGCTCTGAGAAATAGGGATATAACGCCTTGATTTGATGGCTATATGGCAAAGGAATAGTTCGTATAGGAGTGATGTACAGCATGCAATTTCATATCTCCCCTCATAATGATAACCAATTATACACCTGAGCAATTCAGCCTTACGCAACTACCGGTCCTAATTAATACTAGGCATTAGTATAAAATCTATTAGTACAAGCAATTATTCTTCACGGATTTATATCTCTAAATCAAGGCGATCATCTGGGATGTACGTATTTACTTTGGGATTCTTTGAACGGAAAAGTAGTATAAAAATTAAATAGCAAAGATCATATCATTAATGGGTTAAGCCCATCGTCAAAGTCAGTAGAGCCCAATGTGTGAATCAGCAAGACCTGCCCCGGTGTATAGGCTCCTTCTGCTCGCCGTCAGGTCCCTGCATGATGGTCCCACTGAGGAATGTATGCGGGAATCCAGGATCAAACGGATATGCCTCCTCGATCTCGGCCATGTCGCTTTCCTGCAGCTCAAGTCCGTGTTATACAAGGACCAGATCCACAGAAACCAAGTATGGCACGGAAGCTAAGGTGGGGTGGCTGGTCTGAACATGAATGCGCCTAGCCTTACTGACAACTGATTTCGAAATTTATGATCCCTACTCAGGAGGAATGTCACCTGACACAGGCTGTTTCACCTACCACGATTCTGTTTTTCTTTCTTTTCTTCACCGAAACAGTTGTCTATAACTTTGTATAATCCATTCCATGCAGTACTTCGAGCTCAGCCTCCCCAGTGGAGGAATTGTCTCTGGGCGCCATACTCTTCCGACTTTGTCGCAAGACCGAGGCCATCGAACCCCTCTTATTGTTGCCCTTCATGGAGGTAGCTACACGAGTCAGTATTTTGACGTCAACAGTACACTATCGGCTGGCCCAGTTAGCTCCATGACGGGTGTGCCATTTATCGCCATCGACCGACCCTGTTACAAGAACACATCAACCGTTTTGCCCCTTCCTGAAGGAGTTTCATTCTTCGAGGCATGGGGAAGGTGTCTACATTGTGAAATTCTCCCTTCTTTGTGGCAGAGGTTTGGTGTGCCTTATAATTGTGCCGCTGTCGTCCTTCTCTGCCACTCCCTTGGATCCCCGGGTGGCTGTGTTGCTGCGTCTCTCCACGCCTCAGAAAACCACCATACATACCCTCTGAGCGGCATTATTCTCTCAGGATTTGGGAGTGATAATGCGTTTCGGATCCGGAAAGAGAACCAGACACTGTGTCTTGAAGATGAACCCAAATCAGTATCCATCCCACTCGCCATTAAAGACTCAACTATGATTCCCCTGGGAACTGTACATCCATCGGTGTATAACTATAGCAAGCTGCTGGATCACCCGATGCCGATCGACGAGTGTCGCATGGCAACCAAATGGTTCCCATTTTGGCGCCACCAATGGGCCTCCAATATAGCTGTGCCTGTGATGACTGCGCTAGGGGAGCGAGATTGCGTTTTTATGCCATCACCAGATCATTTAAGAGACTTTGCGGCTGCATTTTCGTCCAGTGCTCGCGTGGATACGAGCATCATACCAGGCGCCCCGCATAGCCTTGAACTCAGCTTCTGGTCTCGGGGATGGTATATGCGGTGCTTTGGGTTTGCACTTGAATGTGTCGCATCATTCGAGAGAGCAGAAGCAAACTAGGTAGAGGAAATAATTAGCTGCTCATCATTTAGTACTTACAATTGAGTCCTTACAAGTGGCAGAAGGCCCTGTATGTTAAGTTGTGATATTGACTGCAATATGGGCTGTCTGGGTGTGCACAATATATTTTGGACATGACCCGACGATTTTTGTATGATTGAACCATCATACATGATCCAACACGGTTTATAGAAAAGATATAAATAATAAAATCTCAGAGTAGCTATAGTTAGCAGAGAATTATAAGAGAATTATAACTTAAGAGTTAAGCATAGTATCTAAGGAAGTAAGGCTCTGCCACATTGATCGCGACAAAAACCGAATCTGCTGTACTCTGTTGACTGTAAGAACCCCTTCAAGTGCCACAAAAATGACTGGGCTTCCACGTGATTACAGCCCGGGTGGTCTAGTGGTATGATTCTCGCTTAGGGAGAACTCAACGAGTTCTAACAACCCAAGCATATCTGCGAGAGGTCCCGCGTTCGATCCGCGGCTCGGGCCTGTTCTTTTTTTCTTTTTTGTATTCTTATTATCTTTCGATGTCTGTCTCCGGCTCAATGGCAAGCGACGAAACAATTAATGGGGAGGAAGGATGGACTGACTGACGGTGGGTGAGTGATTCCCGTGACCTGCACAAACAATCCTGTTTTTAACACCCGTATCTAGCTAGCCTGACTGTATAGAGATATCAACACTCGGCCTTAGTCTAGAGGATACCGGGCAAAAGACACAACAAAAATGCCGATATTATCACAAGAATTTGGATGCCACCATTGTCTCTTTTATATATTCTCACACGACCCTACCGCGAGTGAAATCATCTTGTATACCTACTCAATGTCAGTCAGGACAACCAGCAAAAGGCATGAAACTCACATCAAAATCCATCTTCAGTGCCTGAATACCCCCCCTTTGAGTTGAAATTTGATATAATAGCACCATCCGACTTACCCAGCCACTCCGACTCAGATGCATCAGGAAGAAATAAACCGAATAGCATTAACCCCAAAATCTCCGATGGCTACTTCAATTCCTTTTAACGAGGTTATATGCACTCGTATTTCCACCGGGTATCTTATACCCAATGCTGGCGTTTGGTTGATCTCTGCAAACAAACTCCATGCCGATAACGCAAGTCGTGTCTTCTCCTTGGAGAAAAAAGACATCTATCTGGTGAAACGAGGGTGGTATGGAAACTGTCTGTGTGAAGAGTCGAGTTGTACATTCCTGTATTTCTTCCGGTACTGGGATGTCCTCCCAGGTGATATTCGACGGCATAGCAGTGTCTGGCTGATCTGGCAGATAGGAATCACTACTCCGTGTCATCAGACACGCACCCCAAAGTAGTGGGTGAGTTTTCCAAATGGCAATTCGATTCTGGAGCTGGGGGCCTCCGACCCTGATCCCATTTGTGGAGTGGTAGATCAGTTGCCAGTCCGCAGATTATATCTCGTCTCTTTTTGATTGCCATTCTGGGTTTGTAACAGGTAGCTTAGGAATCCGAGCTCTCCATTCACGCGGAACTTTGTTTTCCAAAAGCTGTTACTATCAAAGACGATAGCCATCGCCCGAGAGGCAAAGCGCAAATTGAGAAAGTCGGCTGTCGCTAACAAGACTACTATGTCGTGCCTGATTTCTGGTGGAAGCCCATGGAAACAGTCGGTTGCATTTCGACCACATAACATGTCCTTCTATTCACTGGGCGTCTTTTCGCGTTCCTCGTCAACTGTCTATGAGTTGGTACCTTTGTCAGGTCCATTTTATCCAGGGGAGTTTCATCCTCTATACACCGTTAGCCAATTCCATGGAATACAGACCATGTAGCAGACCATCGCCATGCGCCCAATCTGTATCTGCCGTGCAAAATTGAAACAGCCGATCGATTTTGAGCTCCCCAGAGACAAAATGCTTCATGAAAAGGTCCCAGCACGCAGCATGAAACATAAACGCATCTGGCTGCCTGTTTCCACTATAGATATTTTCAAAACGGATATATTCATTACCCATTGTTTCCAAGGTTGCATCTTGATTCATGGGAATGAGCAGTTGATCGTCGAGGCTGTTCTGGTCGATCCCAGACAGTTGAATGCCATTTGAAGTTTTGTATACTAGGCAGGTTAGAATACAATGAGTGGGGTTGAGTTGATCAGAACGTACTCGCTCTGACGGTACCTGACCAAATATTCTGGCCTCTTAATTCGAGTCCACATCAGACGTACAGATCATACCATGTCCTCGTAAAAAGAACCATTTTTTTAAGTAGTTGACTTGTTGTCAAGGTTGCTTCGGGATATTGTCTGATACTTTCTGATATATGCCGGTCATCGCTACGTCAATCTGGAGAATATTTTCTCGACTGCAGCCTAATTTCTATTATCCCATCAGCAGCCAGGGATGAAAAATGTACAATGACACTGATGACCATCCCTCCATAGAAGCCTATATTTACCAGACAGATCCCTTCAGGTCAGCAACAGCTCCTGACCCTCTCCCGTGTCCATTGAAGCGTAATCTAGCGCCAAATGATGCTGGACTGCCGATTGCCTTGCGCCGACAAGAAACTGGAGACATTTTAGCATCTCATGGACTTCCACCGAATTTCAGTTTAAATGTGGCCCAGAAGAGTAAGCCAAGCTATCCCGGTGGAGATATCGAACGCCTCGTCGTGACAGTTGGATTCCGGGGTGTTGCATCTGAGAATTTCGATGCAGCCAGGGAGGAGATCAATGCATTTCTGAATACAACACACGATTACAATGTGGACGTCGAGGTCATGGATTTCGATCAGTTCGTTGTTCCCGATTTCTTCCGATCACCCTGTGGTAGAGGTGTATAGTGAGGCTCTTGATTCCCTCTTGGAACTGGCCAACGGCAGATTAGGCTCAAAGTGGACCATGCTGTCTCTTTTTCTGGTGGGACCACACTTACAAGGAGAATGGCCAAGGAGTTCATCATACTGAGCCACAGGGCCGAGGCGAGAAAGAAGACTCGAATTGTTCGGATTGCCAGGCGATTCTGGTTCCTTGGTGATAAACTTTAAGGCTCAAGTTTGTGGGCTATATTATGGAAATGTGACCTTCCGGGCTGGACCTTATGGCGATTTCTCCTTTCATGCAAATGGTGGTCTAGCTACGAGTATGACAGATGTCATATACGATATTCAGAACAAGATGGGTAGCTTCCATGGGAATGGCCCTGCCACGTTAGGTCTTCCAGAGCAGCCAACTTGATATCTACTGCCCCACAATACAGTTATAGGATTTGCTAATTATTGATACTGCAGCAACCCGCTATAAGTAACCAGAATTCATAAAGATTTTCTTCCATTGTCACATCCCAGAACCTGGCAGTGATCTAATGGTAACTTCATGATGAGGTCTTAGCAGGTTTCCTATATAATGTGACTATAGTTAAATAAGACTATAGTAAGTAATTAATTCTAATTAATACCACCTATATATTTGATTATATAGTATTCTTGCTCATAGTATAAAGGTAGTTTATAATCTCAATTACTATCTACTAAGCACCTTAAGCTCCCAGTGCTTTACAGTATATTAAATACTAGTATATAAGTAGTATACCAAAGTATATACCATCCTAGATAGTATACTAAATAGTATGTTTGCTAAGACATAGTCCTATATACTATATTACATGAGTGTAGGGGTACTAGGAAATGGCTCCTTAGGCCCTAATAGGTAAATTACTCCGGACATTGGTTGCAGTCCCACTAACATTCAATTAGGGCCCCCGAGAAACATCTAAAAGTGGTACTACCTGATGAGCTGCAAGACTCGCTGCGCCTTCTCGAGCCCGAGGGCAACCTCCTGGATGATCGATTCCGGAACTTGATTGTCCAGGGTAAGCTGGAATCTCGCAAACCGATTATCCAGGCTCGGAAAGCCAGGAGAGATGTCACAGAGAAATGGGGCCAGAAGGATTTCAAAGTACCGGGGATATAGTCGCCATTTCCTGAATTGTCAAATCCATGATAGATCATCGATTCAATACATAACAGCGATGTTTGGGTGTCAAAAGTTTACAATCAGATTTCCCCAAATAGGGGCCATCATTTGAAGCATCACTTGCGCATAAATTCATTCTCATGATTCACTAGATCTTTATCAAGAGACCAAGTCCTTACTTGACTTTTTCTCACTCACATGTCGGTGTCTAGACATTTGTCAAGTGAATACATAAAAAATAAATTATTTCTATTTTACAAGGTATGTACAGAGTATCAAGCTTGGCGACGAAGAAAAATAGAGTCACTCATGGACCTCGAAGCGAAAAGCAACCAGTGAAGTTCCTGACATGCCACACCACCTACATTAGAAGGCGAAGTCTCAGTTCCAGCGGACGTGTGTTTATGCAGCATCGGCAATAATCACTTCTGCGGCCTTCTCACTGATCATGTAAATAGGTAGGGCAATATAGTATCCCGGAATCTTGGGGAAGACTGACGCATCCACGACTCTCAGCCCCTTTACACCACGGACCCGGAAGTCCGAGTCAAGAACCGCCTTGGGGTCAGAGTCTTCGCCGATGGGCGCCGTGCAGCAAGCATGGTGACCCCAGGCCTCCCGCTTGATAAAGTCCTTGAGCTCAGAGCCAGCCGTGACATTAGGGCCTGGCCAGATCTCCGTAAACCCGCCATCCAGCGGCACCAGATCGCGGAAGATCGTGCGCGAGAATTCCATGGCGTCGTGGACGGCCTGCAGGTCCTTCTCGTCGGCACCGTCCGTTGTCGTTCCGGTGTCGAAGGAGTTGAAGGTGATGACCGGGGTATCGCGAGGGTTGGTCGAGCGCAGCTCAACAGACCCAGCGTTGTTACGGCTCTGGGCCTTCAGGGTGATCCAGGTCCAGTGGTTGGACTCTTTCAGGCCCTCGTACGAGTAGTTGGGGTAATAGCCGGGGAATTTGACAGGCGCGCCAGAGACAAGGAGGTCTGGTGTGTCGTCGGCGGTGGACGACTTGCGGGTGACGGCAATAGCGATACCATTAGTCGTGTAAGTGCCCTTGAACAGGGTACCATTCTTCCATTGCTCCAGGCAAGGGTCGGGGCTACTGTATAGGAAGGTGCACTTCTCGGTGAGAACGAAGTTAGTGGGCGACTCGCCGATGACGCCCGTCTCGTAACGGTCCTGCAGATTGGAGCCAACACCCGGCAGGTTGACCAGCGTTTCAATACCGTGCTTCGACAGCTCTTCCTGGGGACCGATTCCGCTGAGCTTCAGGAGTTGGGGGGTGTTGAATGAGCCAGCAGCCAGAATCACTTCCCGGGAAGCCTTCACGCTGCCTGGTGTGCCCAAGGAAGACGTGAGGGAGGCCCGAGGGTCTGCACGGTAGAGGCTTTGACCGGTGAGATACTCAACTCCGGAGGCCCTTGGCCTGACTCCGGAGGTATCAAATTGAATCTTGGACACAAGCGTGTTCAGCTGCATGTCGAGGTGGTACTTGCGCGATCCATCCGAGTTCACTGCGTTGGCCGTGTTCAAAATGAAATCGCGAGGACCCGTCCGTCTGTGTTCTGGAAGCTCCACAGCGAGAGGCACCTGGTATGGACCTGTCTCGTAATCACGGGTCGGGGAAGGGCTGTTGAGATCACGCAGGAGCACTTCGCCCAGGCCGGTGACGGTGGTGATGACCTTTTCCAGGAGGGATTTACCCGCGGCCGTCGCGGCGGCGAGGATCAAGGAGAGGAGCTTTTGATCCTCGATGACCAGTCTCAAGTCAGTCAAGCTCGTCATAAGCCAGCCATCCAATCCATGGCCGGCCACGCTGCTGGGCAGATATCGATTCTTCTCCAGCCGCTCGAAATATTGTCGCATGTTATCGGCTGACCAGGAGTCATTGCCGGTGATGCTGGCGAGATGATTCCAGTCATGTTCGTACGGATAGATGGTGCTGTTGAGGAACTCATTAGTGAACAGGTAAGCTGCAGCGGACGGCTAAGGTACAACTCACATCATGGCGTTATGAGAGGTGCATCCTCCCAGTGTACCAGCTCGAGGGTACAAGATACCCAGAGGATCAGAGCCACCCGGCGGATTGGGGCCAACATGGAGATCTCCAGCAGAAGTGCGGTAGGTCATCTTGGAGTCCTCCTTCTGCCGGGTGAGATTCGAATAATGCTGGACGAAATAATCCCATCTCATCGGCTCGTACTCGGTGGATTGGAGTTGGAGGGCGGGCACCTGCTGCACGGTGGCATTGCCTTGGTCATCTCCTGCGTCCAGGAGAAGAACCTTGTGTCCGGCGATAGCCAGCCGCGCTGCCACTGGACCACCCCCAGCACCAGATCCAACGACGACATAGTCATATTCAGTCGCATCTGCGCGTTTATGATGATTATGTCCATGTCCCGCACCGTGACTGCTACATCCTAGATTAGTTGCCGCTTTCGCAGTAACAAGACAAATGTCAGAGGATCATTGGTGAATTGTACGTACGATGCGAGAGCCAAAGAAAGAGCGGACAGTGACCCAAGCACCGTAGAGAGATGCATGGTTGCTGAAAGACAAACACGCAAGAAAGGCAAACAGGCCAACAAGAGAAAAAGAGCGACTTTTTCACCTCGACAGATGAATATCAAACCAGGCAACCCTTCATCTGTTCAGAAGATAAGGTACCATTATATGCCTCTTTAATACGGGTGTTTTCCACAGTCTCCAGGAGCATTCTGATGGATGTTTTCGGGTTATCCCAAAACGGGAATGGAAAAACGGTGATCGACAAAGATATTTACCGGGGAGCCCGTCTTTGCTTAACACATAATTGACCAAAAGTCCTTGCTAACATTAAGGGGAACTCAGGTGGTCCATCAGTCCTGTCTCCTCAAAGACAGTAATAGGGAGTCCGACTCTGCCAACCTATCTGGCCAACCGTCTACAAGCACTAATTGAGCCATGACAGAGGAGCCCCATTTTGTGGATACAGCGCCTCGTATACCGACAAAGAGTCCACCTGCTAGCGGGTCCCCTAACTAAGATTCGCTTGTGGTCCACACAGAAATCGTTGCAAGCCACAAAGTTGTTAGTCCGGAGATTCCTTTCTGGGGTATAACACATCCTATTATGACCCACTTTCGGGATGACAATACGGAATGCGCATTTCCCATGTCCGTTGACTCGAATGATGCTCGGACGGAGATGTGTCCTGCATATGTGCTCTTGCCAAGACATAGGATTCCAATACAAGCAAACAATGCGGATTGAGGAAGGATTGAAGATCAAACCCTGTGCAATTTCGACCGAATTACGTGCGGGATCAGAGACCAGGTTAAGCGCCGGCTGGGCGCGATGTGGACCATCCTAAGCAGCCAGTAGTGCATTCTTGTACACGTACTTTTTCGAGAGATTTCCATTTTCTAGCCAGAACTGCAGGAAAACGAGACTGGCTTCAGTGGCCCGTTTACTGCTCAATGAATGTTAGTACCCCTGACGGTAGAAAAGTAATGGCGAGTCGAAACTTGACCTAGAGAAGCAATTTTAAAGGTCCAACTGTGTGTCTCCCTGACAGCCCTGATCAGCCAAGGCGATGGCTGCAGAAGAGGCCAGTGACACAAAAGCTGGTTGATGCCACTCTACGATGCGGCACGTTATGCCTAGCCATTCAAACTGGATGCAGCTATCAAGTACCGAATGGAAAACTGATATGAACCGAACCCATTTGGACCCGTCCTCTAACTAGCCTTCAAGTCTAAATGGGAAGGCTTAGCGGACTGAGCAGAGAGTTTACAGTGTAAGCATGTTTTGCACTCTCTACCTGCCGGATGGGTATGCCCTTCTGGAGACAGAGGCGTATGATGCAAGCGAGTGGGTTGACTCCCGAGTATGGACAAGGCACCAGTACTGATAAGTCAGGGGCTGTTTCTGGTTTGAATTCCCAGAAAGAAATGAAGGTTTGAACTTGTGTTTACCCATTTTCCTTCAGAATGCCAATGCCTAACTGACCTTTCTTCATCCGTACTAGAATAATCGATGTATTCGCACGAGTAGCTTCCAAGCCCTTCCCTCGCAACTAGTAGACTGGAGTTCAAACCCTTTTATTACCACGCCATAACTCACTCAAATGAAGACCTGTTTGAGATGATCGAATTTTGAACAAAAGAAACTGGAAAGATTACAAGGGTCCACAGATAGAACTGGTCGGCCGCTATTTACAAGAATTAAAAATACAAGTAATACAAAACAAGAAAACAGAGAATTGTGCTCCTTCCCACTGCCAATAAATCATCTCTTTTCTTTTATCTACCCCTTCCGGTCCGGTGCAGCTCAGTCTGACTGGAGTGATCCATATCAACAAGCGGCAGGAAATCTTGGTCATCATGCTTGCTCCTGACATGAATCGCCCCTTCCAGTCGAGATCCTGTCCCCCGAGATGTTGAGTTCACTCCGAAGGATTGATTGACGCTGGTACCGCCGAACAGCTTCGGTGCTGCCTTGCGCAGCAAGAATCGAATGGCGGGTAAACAGGCACAGATGACGCCCACATGGCATTCAATCGTACTCCAGTATCCAACTGTCACGTAGTCCCCTGATAAATGAATTGTGAGTCAACTTTCAGTCATGAATATTTCAACCACCACTTACACGTCACATTGTCCGTGGAGGCAAACTTGATGAGCGAATCCAGGCGCAGAATACTCACAACAGTGACGCTGTTCAAGGTTCCTAGTTAGCGATACCAGCCATTGAGTTGGTCCCAAGAATACGTACAAGATACCGAAGCTAAACATGCACATGACAAAAGTCTTCTTCTTGATGGAAAGATTGAGATTGTAAAGCTGTTTCAGCGGTAGAATCATGACAATGAGGTCAAGGACCATGTTGATGATTGCCGATGCCCACCCCTGCGCGTTAATATGGTTGCACTTGTAATTTCCCTCTCCGTCCCAGCGAAGCCATGCGCCTTGAATTGGTCGACACTGGAAGACCGAAATCAAGACAAAGGCAAGTAAATATGCGATGTTGAGGCCGATGACAATATAAGTCAGAGTTCGGAAGTTTCTGGCGGGGAAGATACGAAGGTAGAAACAACAGATCGAGATCTTGGTCATCGGTAGGATGCTGAGATACAGCAACTCATCCCAAAAGTAAATCTTGGGGTTGCCAAGAAGGTCAGCTTTACCACGGACGCCGGGGCAACATGGGAAACTAACGTATAGAACCTGGGTAACGTTTGTAAAAGGAAGAGTCCACATATCTCTGCCCAAGCCCGTGTCGGCCACTGTATGAGGTTGTCAGGGAAAATGCAACATATTTATCATAACCCACGGAAGTTCATACAGACAACTGATAGTGCTGAAAGAGGTATCACCAGACACTGTAATTTGTTCAGTATGTTTAAATATTAGTTTTAGAGTCTTGGGTATGTACCATGGTCAATCCCATTGTCAAATCGTCCATCCCGAACGTACCACCAAGGCACTTAAACCTCGCGACTATCCGGAGAACAAATGCGATACATGCGATGACGAGACCGATGACTCCTGCATATGAAACAGCCTTGGTTCTATCTCGTACCGGAGCTCCGCACGCAGTGGTTGTGACATTTTTCGTAGCTATCAAATCAGTGACTCTATCTTTGAGAAGACAGTACTTGCAACATACTTAACGATTCTTTGATGGTGCAGCTAGACACCACACATTCCTGCAAAAGAGCGGTGTAGGTTGTATCCGTACACTGGCACGTCTGGTCTGTGAGGGTACAGGACGATTTCGGTATAGTGACAGCCATGCATTTCAGCTGTACAGGGTCAGTACTCGCAGCCCCAGGGTAGTGATCATATCGCCTACCGCACATTTGGGCAACAACGCCTCCAGCTCTTTCACACTGGCAGCCATTATAGTCGTTGACAGCAGGGCGATGCCCAGCGCCGCTGCACCTAACACACGCATCTTGATGGGCCGTAGTAAGAATCAAGAAGCACAGCAGTTGCTGGTGTGTGGCGGGCGGGATTGAATATGATCAGGAATATCAAGATCCAATCCTCGCAAAGTCCATAATCCGCGCGTAATCGGCATCGAAGGTTCGGGCGCACCTTTTACATTGGGTACTCAATACTTAAAAATCCCCTATTTGGTCTGTAACTTCTCTCTGAAAGCAGCTGTTGTGAGTCTACTTTTGGAGAGTCCAGAACTAGAAAAATAAACTAGGCTGGCTCTCCTTCACATCGTTTTCAAACCACTAGGCTGAGTGTCTATTAGGATGTGCATTTTGCAGCGATAGCTTTCCGGTTCCCCGTAATCGCAAGCCCTATCAAATCCCAGAAATAGTCTCATCAGTCGAAATGAGCCCCTAACTACTCTGGGCGCCACGCCTCTAGTATGCCGAGAGGACCCAGTGCCGGTAGACGTTGGGGAGTCCTATCCACAATCGGCATTTCGAATAGCGGCGCCCTATTATTATTATTATTATTATTATTTAATCAAGTTTAAGGTACGTGTGGAGCCCTGAGGGCTATGACAGACCGGTTAATAGCCATCAGGTGCATAATGGAACACCAAGAGACCCTGCAGTCAACCGTCCAATCTTGGTTCTTGCTATATTCCGACAACTCGTAACTCGACCCAAAGTAAGGGCGCCAGCTAGCTAGCACTAGGGTTCGATCACCAATTCTATACGAGCTGGTGAATTGCACGCCCCTTTTCAAGGTAGAAGAATGCCTGGATAGTGGTTGGGTTTTCTGGGAATCCTCTCCATTTGGCGAAGCCCCTGTCAAGACGGCAGTTGTCTGCACCGGCATACTGTTAGGGGCAATTCAGAGCCTGCTATCGCCAAATTCCAACATTTTTAGTGCTGTGTAGCGCACTTAGATGGAGTCGGAACGTTCGGAGTCCGCCCTTAGACTTGGGCCGTATCTCCCGCACTGTGGATTTGGGTTCACTAGGCTGTCTCACCAGCCCAAAGCTGTCAAACCTTAAGCCTATTTGCACTACTGCCGAATGGCCAATGGGCTTGCAATGATAAATCATTTTCTCAACTTGAAACGAAGCTAGCTCCACTAACACTTAGAGAGATTATGCAAGACTAGGCCCATTCACGTTGGGCTGATCATGCTCTAGTAGCGTCAAGACCGGATTTTGACCGAGCTACCCTGTCAAAATTCAGGCAAAAACAGCTATGAGGAATTTAGTCAGGGGTCATATACCGTCTGGGGCCGGCTGCATCTCGCCACTGGCACAAGTTACCACCATGTGACCTCTTTTTGAAATTGGCATGCTACGGCAGGGGGGCATCGAGGGCCCCCAAAAAAGAAGTTGTGGGTATTTCCTAGTCGATCACACACGGTGTGGGGCACTAGGGGACGGATTTAAGCCAATAAACAGTGTGGACTTCAACTATCTAGCTTAGATATAGAATGAAGTGGATGGTAAGCTCATGCCTCAGCTAAGCTACCTACCCTTTCGGGATAGGGCACGCACAGAAAGAAGGGTTATTACCCTATAAAGATGGCCAAGGTGAACATGATGATAACACAAGGATGAATGGAATATTATTAAGATCCTATAGCCACAGTTATAATAGCGCTAAGAGGGGCTTGAGACATAAGCACTGCCCAAATGCTCAGCGCAGATAGACAGAATGGGGCGAGGTAAGGGTCTTGAACAGTTGAAAGACGTGAAGAAACTGAGATGTAACTGAATAAGTCTGCCACATTCGTGGCGATGATCCTCTCACTGTGAAGTAATTAATCAGCACTTCTCCATAACTACAAGTAGCCATTCACGGCTGGCAAAAGGGGGGGGGTTTGTGGATCACTTAGAATAGTTCTATATGATAATGGTCCCAGAACCTCGGTTTCTATTCCCAGTAATATTCACCTCGGTGCTTGTAGAGGTTAATACTACTCTAACTTCCCTCGTTATGCGCATATAAAGCTCTTTTCTTTTTTTGATCTTTTGTTTTCCCGACCAAAGCCACTCATTCAGCATGCGTATTTCTACCACAGCACTGTGGATCTGGCCCCTGGCTGCTGCCCCTCTTGTTGCAGGGTTTCCAGACCATGGCCATTCGAATCATGCGGCCATGCACAAGAGATGCCCATACGCCAATGGTCATCACCAGGGCGTGTCAGGACACGAGAAACGGTTTCTTGTGGATTCGATGAAGTCGCCGGTTGATGGTAGGCCTCGAAATCTGCCTCCACGGCGGGTTCACTAACATTGCAATACTTAGTCACTCGGGAGCACGCATTTCAACCTCCGGATTTCGAAAAAGGCGACCAACGAGGTCCTTGCCCGGGCTTGAATGCGCTGGCAAACCATGGCTATATCCCACGTAACGGCGTGGTTTCGGTGGGGAAATTGTAGTTCAGTCGCTTTAGTCTTCATGCTGACAAGAGACAGTTCGGGGATGCGATCACGGCCATCAACAAAGGTATGCTTGAGAGCACTCAATCCAGGATGAGATTAACTGCTAAAGCTTCTAGTGTACGGTATGGGCGTTGACCTTGCCACTATCCTCGCCCTCATGGGCACGGTTTGGACTGGGAACCCACTGTCTCTGGACCCAAGCTTCTCCATCGGAGGTCGCGACATTGGCGTCAACAACCTGCTGGGTAACCTAGGAGGACTGCTGGGTGCGTGGACCCTCTAAAATACCCTGGCCTCCCATGACATCCCCCTTACTCTAATGACTGCAGGCGATCCCCAGGGCCTCATCGGCTCTCACAACTTCATCGAGTCGGACTCCTCCAACACTCGCGACGACCTTTACGTCACGGGCAATAACCACAAACTGAACATGGACAAGTTCATGTCATGGTACAACATGTCCACTGACGGCACGTTCGACATGGACCTCATGGCAAAGCGCGCCAAGTTACGTTTCGACGAGACCGTCCAGAGCAATCCGAACTTCTACTACGGCCCTGTGACCGGCCTGATTGCGCGCAACGCAGGGTATATCTTCTCCGGGCGGTTGTTCCGGAATCATTCTCGAGAACAGCCTGACGGCGTCCTGAGTAAGTAGATGAGAGGATTGCTCGACGCGTGAACACACTAACCATTTGTAGCCAAGGAGCATATTCGGAACTTCCACGGAATTTATGGAGAGGAAGGTAACCTCACCTACAGGGAAGGATGGGAGCGAATCCCAGACAACTGGTACAAGACTCCAGTCGACTTTGGTCTTGTCCAATTGAACCTGGTTATAATCGACTGGCTGTCGAAGTATCCCGAGCTCGGAAGGTGAGATCTCTTTGTTGGTTTCCATCTTTTCCGATTCGGTTTCTGATGGTTATGCAATCGCAGCATTGGAGGCAACACAGGAACCGTGAACAGTTTCGCTGGCGTTGATCTCGGAAATATGACAGGCGGTATCTTCAACCTGGGCAACCTGCTCGAGGGTAACAATCTGTTGTGCTTGGCCTTCGAGGTGCTGAAATTCGCCGGTCCTAATGCGCTATCTGGACTTTTCAAGACCCTCGCAGAGCCGCTGGAATTTATCACGAATACACTCTCCGTGCCTTTGCTGAATGTCACTTGTCCGGCGTTCAAAGATCTGCAAATGGGCGGCAAGCCTTTCTGGGAGGCGATGCAGAATGATTTCCCCGGTGCGATGAAGAGCGGCGGTGCTTTTTAGCTGGCCTGTGGGCCAAATTGGACCACGCCGGTGAGGATGATGGAGTTGTTGTCTTTCTATTCCCTCTGAAAGGCGTTTTTACCTTAGATCATTTAATCGATACGCCTGTGGACATTCCTGTACTGCACTCCCTATCAGGAGGGAAATAATGGTCAAAGTAACCTCGTCTGGTCTAAATCCCGCTTTTGCATCCGCGTGAAGGATTCCAAGGCGGAATTCATTGGACAGATTTCCGACACACAGTATAAATGGGGCTTGACATGGCACTGGCCTAAAGAGTACTACCCATACGAATGGAAGTTTGAGGTCATAGATCGAATCGAAAACGACCCTGAGGATGAAAGCGACAATGACGGCGTGGCTGCTAGTGGAAATGGTATTTCACATCAATCTACCTTGGATATTGGAATGATTTCGGACCCAATCACACCTGGCTCTCATGTATACAGATTCGTCTATCACCAGTGGGGTCCTTACTGGGAGGAAGGAATTTTGCATCACAAATTGTATATTATTGACATCCCTACTGCTTCAGGTGGGTCGAATGTGCCGGTTAGTGATCCCATCCAGGTTATCTTCCTTGCTAATATATTCCAGATAGCCATGCAGTGAGACATAGCTAATCGCAGGGCTTGGGTTTTAGGGTATAGTTTGGTATTTACCGTTGGTGCAGTATGCCTTTTCTGGCAGTAGGGTTTGGGGATTTTAGGACATTCATTTATCTTTGATTGGATATTATTGTCGGTGTAGTCGAATGAAATACTTGGTAACCACAACCATTTTATATAACATCACTTTTCTAAATAAAGAACGGACTCGACACATAAAATGGTCTCTCTATAGTCTTACTCTCCAAACTATGCATCTAGTTCTTCCTCAAAAACATTCTCTGGCCCATTAGTCCACCTTCTTCCTGTCTCTAGACACTCCCCCTTCACCCCCTCCGCACTATTATTCACCATTTCCCTCTAGAAAACCCCCTCCCCAGACCTAATAATACCAGCTGCCTAGAGCATACTGACAGCAGCAGATACCATCCTCTTAAAATCAGGTCTTCCAACAGCTGAGGTTGCGAATTCTAGATAAAGTCTATAGAGGGTGTTCGCCGGGGGGTCGGTCTGGAGTAGGGTTTCCCCCCATCCATCCTGGGTAGAGCCCCTGTATTTTTGCAGTCTATCTACCCATCCACCATATATAAGTCACCTATCTACCATCCCTACTCTACCTATCTACTGCGCCCTTACCTTTTCCCTAGTTACTCTACTAATCTACCTAGGATCCTACTACAACTAGTATTATTTATACTATTACTACACGCGCCTCTAAGCTATTATGAAATTTTTTTTCCCCTCTATATAGTTATAGTAAGACTAAGATTCCCCACCCCTATCTACTACACCCTACTCTCCATCTACTATATAGCTAATCTATACTCCCCCTTTTATTACCTATCTACTATAGACCTACCCTACCTCTTATCTAGCTAATTACTATTACTAAATACCACTATAATATATCTTAAAAAAAATACCCTAGCACTGCTCTACCATTACAACGAGAACGATGATAATGATAATAGTAATAATAAGTAGATAAGGTACTGTATTTCTATTGCTATATCTAAGTCTTATAACTACTAAGTACCATCCTCTTATCCCATCACAGCATCTGTCATGAATACTTTAAGATAGATAGATAGATAGATCACTAGTTATATATATATAACCTACTCCTTCCCCTACTTCCCTCCTACCACTATAATGAACATGATGCCCCTGGTCTTATTAGGTCTATATAACCATTTTATAGTGGAGGACATATCATTACTATAGATAGAGGATATGATTAGGAGAGCCTAAAGTTCAGATTCTATTCACCTAGGGTTATTAAGCACTATTCATAAAGTTCCTAGGCCATGAGTCACATGTTATTATTAAAAAAAAAAAAAAAAAAAAAAAAAAAAAAAGATAAAAGAGAGAGAAACCTATATCACTACTATTATCTATACTATAATTAGCTTTTCTTATCCTCACCCATAAGGAATAGCCTAGATTAGATCTATTAGTACAGTACACCCTTCCTTCTTTATATAAGGAATAGCACCTACTAGTCATTAGTATTAGGGTAACTATCTAGCTAGTAGTTAGTAGGGAGCCAAGCACTAGTAATAAAGGTAAGGAGGATCACTAGTATCTAGATAGTATTAGTATACTTAGTAATGCTAACTTCTGCTAACTACCTAGTATTATCTATTAGCTATATTCTAATAGAGTGATCTTAACCACAGTTAAGGCCACCTCTTATATGACCATCCACGTAGACTTATATTAGTCTTTCCATCAGTCTCACCATTTGTCAGGCTGTCTATCTGGCCGTTAGTCTGGCCATTAGTCTTACTATTAGTCTTACATTATCCTAGCTGTCACTGTTAGTAGTGGATTAGCTAGTTATCTTACTAGACACAGTGAGGCCGCTAGTATTAGGGGTCTTAGACCAGGTATAGTAAGATAGACTAATAGGCTAGGCTGCCCTTCCCAACCTATTAATCTTACTACTACTGCTACCCTTACTCTTACCCTCTTCTTTATCCTTATCTTTAGTATTATCTTTACTATTAATACTATTTATGTCCATTTTATTATTATTCTTCTGAGTCTAAGTCTCGAACTTTATATCAGCAGCTATTCCTTGGTATAATTTTAACTATAATTACATCCCTTATATTAGGTGGCTATCCTATAGACTTACCATATTCTTACTAGCCTCTGATTTCTTTATGTCAAAAGCCCTGTAAATCGACTCTGGTGGTCGGTGATCCATTCGGGAGAGTTCCATGAGTCTGCATCTTCGATTGTGGGGTTTTGGGTAAGATCGGCAAATCTATTTCCTGATGAAGTGTTGCGATTTGCAGATGTTTAATGTCCATCTGCGAGGTTTCTGGTAAAGCAACCGGGTGTCCTCTGGGGATATTATGAAAGCTTTTGGGAGCGGAGGAGGTGGTGTCGACATTTTCTGTCTTTTTGCAGCTCTGAAAACGGGCTTTGGTCGCGGTTTTTGGGACCCAGAGCGAAGATTGTAGATATCAGAGCGTAGATGATACCGGGTAGGGGGGATGCTGTCAGTATATGGTCGTGTGGTCATGGTGCGGTCTGGAAGAGAGTGAGGTGATAAATGGAAGTGGTTGGCATGGTGGTTACTGCCTAAACTTTCTTCGAACAGAACATTGTGATATCATCATTAAGTCCAACTCTATATTATACTTTATTCCATCTCATCTATTACATCCCATAATTGTTGAAAACTCATCGATTGCTGCAATAAGTCTCCTGGCGATCCATGGTTAACCAACCTCCCCTGGTCCAATATAACAACAGGGTCAAACCCTCTGATACTCTCCATATCATGCGTAATCATCAACACCGTTCGACCACTAAACTCAGCATGGATAACATCCATCATTTGTCTAGCCGTATCGCGATCGACATTAGAAACAACCTCATCGAAAATAATAATCTTAGAGTTCGATAGAAGGGTCCTCGCAAGACAGAACAGTTGCTGCTGGCCGCGTGACAACGCCAGAGTATCCATTTCTGCATCTAGGCCACCCCGTTGTGAAATTATAGGCCACATTCCGACCTTTTCGAGGGCAGAAATGATGGACTGCTCTGGATGTGTGGAGGAAAGATCGATATTAAAGCGAATTGTTCCTGATACTATGAGAGGGTCTTGTGGCATTGCTGTGATGTGGCAGCGGATTGTCTGGCGGGGGACGATGCTGAGTGGGATGTCGTCGATAAAGATGTCCCCTTGGGATAGCTCGATTAGTCGGAGTATAGCGAGGACAAGGCTGCTCTTTCCACTAGACTGAGTTAGGTAATTTATAGAGGAAAAAGAATTAGATGAAATACCTTCCAGTTCGACCACAAATGGCCACCTTCTGCCCTGGTTGGACATGTAAGGATAATCCCTTCAAGACCGGTTCCAGGTCTGGTTTATAAGTGGCTGCCACATCACTAAACCTGATATCCCCCTTCATCGGCCACATCTCAGGTGGCTCCATCTTCTCATCCGGAAGATGTTCAGACGGCGTCTCCTCTTCAAATCTCTTCACCCTAGCCACAGCCCCAAGTGACGTCTCGAGATGCGCCCAGAACTGCACCAAATAACACAAACTCTGACTGAATGATAAGATACTGACAAGAGAAACTCCCAAAGACCCCGCCGACGAGCTAGGCAATTGGGTGGCAAGCGCCATGATGAATGTCGCTAGCCCTGCCACTGTCATGTCCAGAACGAGACCTAGCCAGCATTGAATGATGTAGAGTAGATAATATGGCTTCTGGGAGGAGTCGATATATTCGTTATTCTTGGTTACTTTTGGTCTCTGCCAGCCAAAGGCTCGGATAGTGGTTAGGCCTTGAAGCGTTTCAAGGAAGTGTGAGTATAGAGGCGTTTTTGCTTCGAGGTCGAGGAGTCGCAATTGGCGCGAACTGCGGAGATAGAACTTCTGGATGATATATAGAACGAATAAAAGAACTGGGAGTATTAGAGCTGCCCATTTTGATGCTGAGACGATTAGACCAGCTTCCGCTATGCAACCTGCCAAGGAGAAAAGAAAGTCCATCAGCGCCAATGGAAGATCCATGTCGATAAGCGACATATCCTGACTAAATCTGTTCAGTAACTGTCCCGAGTCAAGTGATGTAAACAGCCACAATGGAGCAGCCATGACTGTACTGAGAAGAGCAGAATGAAGGCGGATGGACGACCGGGGAGCTGCTATCTGCAGTACCAGGTATGACATGCCAGCAAAGGCGAGGAAGTTCAAGACGCAAAACATGATATAAAGGCCGACATAAAGATTTGTATGGACGCCTGGATGTTGTACCTCACTATCAGACCACCATCTGACCAGAGCCGTCGGGAACTTTATAGAAAAAGAACTGATGATGTCGATGACAAGACATGCCATAGTAAGACACCATCCCAAGGCACGAAAGTAATACCAGTATAATGTAATACTTCCAGATGCTCGCCAGGAGCTATCGGGGGGTTTCTCAAAATCTGGATTTTTCAACAGTGTGGAATTATCTGGGGCATCTTTCGATTTTTTTGTATGCTCAGACACCTCAGATTTGGTAAAACAGATATCTTGACGTAGATCCATTTCTGATGGTGGACCCTGCTGAGCAATACACCCGGTTGGATGCATTCGTATAACGCCATCTGCAAGGCGAGTATGACTGACTGAGATGACGTGAGAATGCTATGCATCAAACAGAGGCTAATGACATACCTTTGTTTGTAACCAGTACGACAGTCATATTGTTCCGTCGACATACACCATCCGCACCGAGTATGCTGTCAACAACGATCTGTTCAGTAGAGGTATCCAGCCCGCTAAGTACATCATCCAATAGCAGAAGCTGCGGACGGGCGTATAAAGCCCTCGCCAGACTTAGACGCTGTCTCTGGCCACCACTCATCCTCGCTCCTTGGCTTCCAACCAGTGTCTCATCGCCATCTGCCATGTTTTCGATATCGACTGTCAATGCACAGGTTTGTACTATAGTGGAGTACCAGGCGTCGTCGAAATCTGAAGATCCAGTGATAATTTCCCGGATACTCAGATGGGGGAGCCATGGATTCTGAGCACAGTAGCCTATCGTGAGCGATCGTGGTGTGTGGAAACATCCCCGAGTGAGATGGAGTTCGTTGAGCAGGGCTAATAGAAGTGTGCTTTTCCCGCTCCCAACAGGTCCAACGATCATTGTGCAGGAACTTGGCTGAAGGCGTATGCTGATATCCCGTAAAGCACAATGCTCTGGGACTTGGTCGTATGCAAAGTCTGCATCTTTCAGGCGTAGCACTGCGTCCTCTTCAATAGCAACAGACGGAGACTTGAAGGGCTTCTCATCCGTGCTCTGGCAATTGGAACAGGACATTCGGGAGACCCGATCGTGGCTCACTTGATAACTGGTTAAATATTCTTGAACACGCTGGAAGCAGCCGACAGACCCAGCCATGGGTGTGATTGCCCTGGAGATAAGCTTGACAGGATCCGTAATCAGTGCAATCAAGGACAGCGAAGTAAAAGCTACCGTCGGATTGAAACTGCCGGATGTACTTCCATTCGTAACAAGAACATATAAAACCAAGCTCGCAGCTGGGACGACAGATCGTAGCATCCCATTCAGAGTTATGACAACAGAGAGAATCCCTCGAAAACGAGCAGAAATCTGCAACTCTCGAATCCGAAGGTCGTGTAGTCTGGTTTGGAGAGATTCCGTTACGCCCATTATCTTGACTGCCCGTATATGACCGAGTACAGATGCAGTTGCTGCAACTCGCTCTTGGACAGCCTGATTCCACGATCTTTGTGCTGATCTTGAAAATGGACTGAGGGCGAGTGGGCAGAATATGAAGACTAGGTGGTTAGCATTCAAGTATGATCACTTCATTGAATACTTACTTATAGCCAGAACCGCAGCAGTAAGACAGAATATCCCAATCTGTCTACTCAGCAAATACAACGCAACGGCAATTTCAATCGGACCGGCCCATAGGCTATCCATCAGTTCCAGGCCATAGACAATCCGTTCAATATCAGTATCCATGAGTGTGATAGCAGCTGACTGTTCCGCTGCAGTGGCTCCCAGTTGGAGAGTGGCGTCGTATATTAGACCGACAAGTCCTCCACGGACCATGCAAATGAGGCGGTATGTATTGTGCTTGTATCTTGCTATCATCAAGGCCATGCCAATATACGTTAGAGCAGTGGCACCGATTAAAGCACGACCAACGTTGGTGTTATATTGGCTGTCTGGCTGTGAGAGAAGTGAGACTGCCTTCTCTGTCAATAGGGGTTGGCAGATCTTGAAGCAAATCACCAGTAAACGCGGAACCACTGTTGATAAAAGTGGCTTCCACAGGCAAACTGCAGTGACCTTGATCAAAGCATGCGGTCTCTCTTTGTCAGCAGCTGCCCATGTCTGTCTGAATCTGGGCTGAAGATCCCGTGAAGTCAATTCCGTGCTCAGATTGAACAGAGCAGGCAAGTCCAGGATAGTTGAATATCCGCGAATAAGCAGTGGATTCAACCACCAAAGCAGACTGATATTGATAATTCCAGCCAAAGACTCTGGCGCGCTGTTAGAATAGCGATGACGGAGAAACCGTCGCTTTTCGACCATCTCCAGTAAGAGTCCGCATAGTTTCAGCACAAGACCAGTGGCAAACAACCCCGCGATTTCCTCATTATCATGACGAAGCCACAGAGTCCTTGCCTGTGGAAGATCTAAAACAATGGAAAAGAGAAGAAAAAGTTGAATCACTGTCGAGGGTCGAATTGACCGGTCGTGCTCTAGAAATGAGAGCCAGACCAGAAGGACTGTTGCTGCCAGTGAAAGAACAGATGCTCCAAGAGAGACATCTGTGGGGTGAGATGTAGGAGATGCCCATAGAATAGTCAGTGCCAGCTGGGTGGCAGTCAAGCAGATAATAACAATCTACAGCATGTCAGCACTCAGCAGGAGTATAGACTTGTACAAAACACACCTGCTTCCACAATATCAACCAACTGCCCAGTCCAGCTTTGATCTTCGGAGTGTGTCGACCCAGCTTCCAAAGACGGAATATCCCACTGATAATTATTAAGCCCGACGGAATGATGGAGAAGATGGCCTGCTCAAAAAGAAGAGTAAAATCGAACCCTTTTCTACATCCCGAAACCCAAGGCCCAAAGACATTGTCCACATGAGGGGAGCAGGCATCGAACATGCCGGGTAGAACTGTCTATCATACCATCAAACATTGACAAGGAGTGAATCGAGGGGAAAACAATTTGAGGCAGCAAATATCCTTTCCATTGTGTCCCTGACACCATAACGTGATGTCGTGATGCCCCTTGCGTCGTTCGGATTCAGGGAGAATCCCATCCCTCGATATCGCTCTTACTTTCAACAAGATGTGGTGTTTACACGCAAGGCAGATCTTTTCTGGCAATCAGGATGCTGATCGTCAGCCCTTGCTTTCTGGCTGTCGTACCTGAGCTCGTGGCGGTGACCAGAACAGTCTGCTGTTAAGTAACAATCTGTTCCACAGGTAATTTCCTGTCATTCTTCTTTTGTCGATGCATCATTTCCTTCAGTATACTTACCTGCATCAATGACCGACAGCCGACCAACGGTACTCTGCGTAGAGTGCCCAGAGCCTCCATGTCGACTGGAAGAGGTCACTTCCTCGTCCAAGGTTGCGCAAGTGACCGAGAAGGTTCTCGAACTGGAGATAAATCCAAGGAATCTCTGTCGCGATTCCCCAGACCGTGATCACGATGACGCCCGACAATACTGGATTCAGCAACTGTCAGATAGCGATGCGCCTGCCTTTCCTAACAAGCCGTCGGTCCAGAATGTCAGGAAAACTTTGATGCGCGAGATACCCCTTCAGTCGAATGCGAATGTCAAGGGGGTTTCGTCTTCTGCCACAGTTCAGCTGGCGTGGGCTCTCACCATCTCGCAATACACCGGCTCGGTGGATGTGGTGTTTGGCGCTGCAAGGCCTCGAGGAGATCAGAATGATATATTTCCGATGCGCATTGTTTTAGACACAGATGAGGTTATTCAGCAGGCAGCAGAGGAAATACATGGGAAGAATCATGAAATGGTTCCTTATCAGCAGGATGGACTGCCAAATATCAAACAGTGGACTTCTGGAGCTGGTTGTGGCTTCCACAATATATTGTTGCTCGATTCTAAGATAGACGCCACGACTGATGCCAGTTTGAGAGCCTATCCTCTCGTCTTGCAGTGCAGCTTCAAATCTGAACGGCTGGCACTGAACGCGATGTTTGATCCTCTGGTGGTCACCGAGATATATGTGCAGCGAGTCCTCAACCAGCTGATCCATAACATCAACCAACTCAGCCGACATTGGGATCGACAAATATCGAACATTAGCTACTTAAATTCTCACGATGCAGTACAATTAAAACGGTGGAATGACACACTGCCAGAGCCTATCCAGCGTGGTGTGAATGAATTGATCGCAGACAACATTCGCAGCCACCCGGATGCCGATGCCATCTGCGCATGGGATGGCTCTTTGACATATGATGAGCTGGACCAACTATCATCACGACTCGCATTGAAACTGATACAACATGGCGTCTGTCCAGGAACGGTGATTCCAGTGTATTTTCCACGGTCCATGTGGACTCCAGTTGTTTTACTGGCCATTACCTTGACAGGGGCTGCCTTTGTTATGCTGGACAGGGATCATCCAGAAGACAGACTACGCGATATTTGCCAGCAAGTAAACGCCACCTTGGTGGTTTGTCCGCATAGCGATGTTGTAACTGCATCTTCTTTCTGCGCAGGTATATTTCCTGTCAATCCAGACCAGCTCAATGGACTAGCTCCCCATGTTGCAATCGACTTCCAACCGTCCCCTGAGACATTACTTTATGTAGCCTTCACATCCGGCTCAACGGGACGACCCAAAGGAGCCATGATATCGCATCATTCCTTTTCCTCATTGGCAGTGCGTCTCAATCATGTCACAAATCGTGGGCGCCACACACGACGCCTTGCCCTCTCGTCGTATGCCTTTGATGTCAGCATTGGGGATATATTCTTTACACTCATCGGAGGAGGCTGTGTCTGCATTCCACCCAACTTGGATGACTTACCCAAGGCTACTTCCGATCTCAAGGCCAACGCATTTGACACTACCAATAGTGTTCTTCGAACGCTGAGTCCGGGTGAATGTCCTGGGGTTGAATCAGTGTTGACAACAGGCGAGTCACCAACTCGAGATGTCCTTACGGCGTGGACAAACAAGGTGAAATTAATACAAGTATATGGACCAACTGAATGCTCTGTCTGGTGTGCTACAACCTCGCCAATGAAAAGCACGACAGAACCGTCGATTATTGGGAACCCACTAGGATGCCGCTCTTGGATTGTCGACCCTGCAATTCCAGAAAAATTGATGCCAATTCAAGGAATCGGAGAGTTGGTGATTGAAGGGCCCATCGTCGGGTTAGGCTATATCAGCAACCCCCAAAAAACAGAGACGACATTCATCTCACGCCCAAAGTGGGTCAATGATGGCACTGGAAAAGTGTATAGAACAGGAGACTTGGTGCAATACACCGAAAGTGGAACTCTCCGCTTCATCGGACGGAAGGATCGACAGGTCAAGCTGTACGGCAACAGGATAGAACTCGGAGAGGTGGAATTCCAAGTCCAACAAGCATTCTCGCGGCCCATTAGTGTCGTCGCAGAACTCATCAGACCAGCTGGAGCTAACAGTCTTCCTGTTCTACTTGCCTTCGTCTGCCTCACTCCGAACCATAAACAACTGTCCGCAACTGAAAGTACCAACGGCCTGCTCGAAGCAGGAACAGAAGACTTTCGAACAATGACAGCCACCGTCCGGCTGCGCCTACGAGAGATACTGCCCCCATTCATGATACCAGGCGTGTTCCTCCCTGTCTCATACATTCCGTGGACACCAACTGGAAAGACGGATCGGAATCGTCTGCGAAGAGCCGCTGAAGCATTAGATCGACACGAACTAAGTCTCGCAGAAGCAGGAACGATATCATTCCGCGCACCAGAAACAGACACTGAAAAGGCATTACACAAACTATTCGCAAAGATCTTGTCTATTCCAGAGGATCAGCTCAGCGCGGATGCTCACTTCTTTCATGCTGGGGGGGATTCAGTGCTGGCTTGGAGGCTGGTTATGGCTGCTCGTGCAAAGGGGATTATCTTTACCGGGGATCAAGTTCTCAATCATCCTGTTCTTTCTAATCTTGCTTTAGCTGTTCAAGCTCAACGCCTATAGCAGTCATAATAAACACCGCATTAGAATTTACCATATTATATCCCAACGTCGACACTGAGCTTGCCCTCGGATGTTTTGTAGGTATATTTTGAAGCACAATATAAGGTTGTGGAGTGGCACTGGGCAAAGTGGGGCATATCTTATAGGGTTCATTTCAGTGAATTGAGTGACTGTTCTTTTTTCTTTCTTCAGACAGATACTGTGAGTCATAGGCAGGGTATGGCTAGTCAATAGCAAATGATATGCCGTAGGAAATAGTTGGTTGTTTGATATTTCTATCTAGCTTGACATGCATAAGATTTCCTATGCTAACACGAACTTCAGCATGACTGCTTTAAAGTATTCAATTTACCACGAAGAGATTGCAAATGGCCTAGACGATCTGGGTACATATAATCTTCAAGTGATGTGGCTTCAGTTTCTTCTTCGTTGGCACAGATCGGTTCATTTGACTCGTCCTCCGACGGACCGGGCCGTTTCTTGGGCTCCTCCAACGTTTCCTGTGTTTTGGGGACAGCTGGCAACCCCAACTGAGCAGGCGGGGCATCTTTGGCGGGCGGATGTTTCTTATCATTCTTCAAAATGATAGACACTTACAGAAAACCATTTTAACATGAGGGACTCCTTGACTCGAGGGGAAAAAAGAAACAGAGTTTACTGGGAGACGGACTGGAATTGCTGTTTTCTGCGGAGCAGCGATCCGACAGAAAATGTGATAATGCCGAGTCATCACAAACATACAGGGGTCTGTCCAACCACGCTCACCTACTTTCTTAGTATCTGACTGGACCACGTCATTTGATGAACTGTTGGAGTAGTTCATTAGAGCATTGCCTCAAAACAGAAGTCTTTATCTAAGGTGCTATCATGGTTGAAGGGTATAAAATGAAGCATATATCTGCTGATAAGCATTCATTCCGTCCCGTCACGCCCAGCACTACTCGTTGAAGCCTGATAAACACCCTTGTATCCATCAACTGTTTCCCCCAATTCTTGGACTACAAGCTGAGCAAGCTTCGCATCACGTAAAAGAATAATCCCATTGGGATTTTTGACCTCCATCAAAGCCCCCATGGCACCTTCATATCCCGCATCGACCACACCAGCTGTAATCCCAACACCAGAGCGCCAAAGCGACGATCGAGGGAAAACGCTCCCCATGCAATTCCGTGGGATTCGAACGGTCTCGTTGAAATCTACCAAGTAGGCGCCTGGTTGGAGTGTGATTGACTGATTGGTGTTGTCGAAAGGCAGGATAGACGTTTTGGCTGCTTGGCGTTTGGTATTATCAAAGTCTATGGTGGCCGGTGAGGTCCATTTGGACACTTGGCGCAGAGTGAGGTCGACGCCGCAGGGCTGTTGCTGCTGGGTGATGTTGCGTAGATTATGGACTAGTTGGCGGGTGATGACTTGGTGTCCGCTGAGAATCATGATGAAGCTGATATATTTAACAGTATCTGGGGTGATGGTGGTATTAAAATAATGTATTTATAGACAATAAAAACAAGTGGTCTAAGACATAAGCCTATTTATACTACCTAAATTAAACCTTATGACGTGCTTTACATAATATCCTGCCTAATGTTTTGATGCAGCCATCTTAATATGGTTAGACCGGATCTGTAAAAGACTGGCCATACTTAGCGCTACCATTTATATTTTGGTAAACAACTATAGCATCTTCTTTGAATATAACTTGGTTATTGCAACATACTTAGCTAGATACATGCTGCTGTTAACTGAATAGCAAAGACCATGGTAGCAGGAACTCGCTGTCTACAACCACTGGTACTCAAGCAACCCAAGAATCCTGTAATTTAGACGCATACTACCTCTTTCTCTCTCTGACTCTCTCACTCTTGCGCACTTTGTGAAGCTGGCCCTTGACATTCCGTTGGCGCCTTCTTCCTCGAATGCCCATATCCATCAACTTCCTATCCTTAAACCTACCAATAAACTGCGTTACCTCCTCCATTTCCATATTGAACGCAAGAGATCGATCTTCGGAGTTTGGATACGGAATACATTGCCCAACGATTGCCGAATAAAACCCATCTTTTCTAGCAACGCTGATGCAGCAGACTCCCGCGTGTCGTAAAGTCCCAAAGTAGAATCCTCGAAAGGCATCCGCATCAAGGACCACTCGGAGCCCGGGGTAATGATAGTAAGACCGAATTGGGCTTCGTTCGTGTGTAGGCTGCAGGTATGGAGCGATTTCAAGACACCCTTTAATATAATCACTCTCTTTGACGGTCCTGGCCCCAGGTGTTGTATAGCCGACCACGGTAACAGGATGATCGTTGTATATGAACTCTAGCCCGGTGATATGTAATCTGCCGGCTGTTTCATAGGCTGAAATGGCAATCTGAGCTAATCCAGGCAGAATATCAACTGCAATTGTTTGATCCGTGGAATATACTGAGTTATGATAGCTATGCAAGGATATTCCGTGAAATTGGGGTATTGGTTGACCGGTACGGTTGGAAAGAACCGTGTCCCTTAGCCATTTCGAAATTTCCCAGATCCTGATGCTATACTCAAACTCATGACTGCATTTCAACTGATTAGTACAATGGAAGAGAAGTCGCCAGTCCAGTTTCTGCCTGTCTTCTTCACTTAGGCGTTCAACAACGTGGGCAAGAAAGCCGCGCTGCGAGTTGATTTCGAATTGTGACTTCCAGAACTTGGAGCTGTGGAACAATTGACTCAATCCTCGTGAAGCCAGACGAAGGCCCAGAACATCGTTCACTGATAGATGGATTGCAATATTTTCCTGTAACTCCAAAGGAAGACACCCGAAGATGTCAGTCGGATTCCTTTGGCATACTCCAGTCGATGAATCTGGCATTTCCTTAGGAAACTGCATTAATTGTTCGACGGTAGGCAGGATGATGTCGCAATCACCCGAGTAAAATTATGAAAGTACTAGATTGAGCATCAGCTTAATGCACCACGAAACATTCTATCAATATAGACCTAACCTGGCAATAAGGGCATATACTGCAATGCCTCATACAGCTCATCAAGATCAAGCTCATCCGGGGTAAAATGACCCGCGATGGTATCCCAGCACACCTCATGGAAGAGAAAAACATATTTGAGACTATTGGGCTTCTTAGCAAGGGCGATGTAATCCTCTCCCATATTCTGCCATCGTGCAGCTGGGTCGTTGGGGGCTTCGTATTCATCATGCTCATCTGCCTTTGTACACCCAACGCCTGTCAGGATAACGATATCATCGCAGCGGTATACTATGATGCTGTATTAGCGCCATCGGAAACTGGGGGATATTGAGGATAATAAACCTGCTCGGAATAGGTCTGTCCACACTGGCTCTAAGCGTATCCTTGTAAAGCCGCCACCACAAATAATACACCTTTTGTAGTTATATTGATCATCATGCCAACGAAAGTTCCCAGGCCAGTTAGGCATGATTCAATATATTTATTGGCAAGTATCAGCAGTTGTGTTTGTGTTGTTCTTCGGGGAAGTGAAGAACGAAGGGCTCGAAAATATCTCCTGCTCGGCTGTCTGTCAGAAACAGTCTATGACACATACCTTGATAATAGAAGGAGAGTGTCTAATCATATATTGACTGGTTTCTGGCAGCAACCACCATAAATCTAGGCAACGCTCTTATAATTATTTCAGGGGCCGTATCGAGCGACTTCTCCTTATATGCTGCTTCTCGTCGGAAATAAAGCCAAAACGTCCCCGACTCACTTATATATAAACACCATTATTATTTCACCCACCCCCAAACAAAAAAAAAAAAAAAAAAAACCTATAGACAACCTAAAAAGAAACACCAACAAAATATATAAAAAGCATAAAAACATACAACAGCAGGGATTCGCTGGTGGTCACCCACCCAACTACTAACCTGCCGGCGTGTGGCTTAAGTACGGCTGAGCGGACGGGAAGCCCTGTTCTCCACACCCTGTGGTCGTATGTGCTGGTTTAGAATAGGCTTGGGCTTATATGGCAGAGAATAATACCATCACACCATTCTATATTTCTTGCATAACAGGCTACCTCAGCGGGGACGCACAATACAATATTCAGAAAAAGATATAGTTCTTGTCCTTGGTATTAGCAGAAATGCATGCATGTGTATTAATTCTGATAGTTAATTTGTCGCTACACCCTTTTTTTATGATATACATTTGCACCATGCAGGTTATAGCCTCACATTGTCCATCCAATCATTATGACAAATAGAAGAGAAGATAATGGACGCCTTGCGAAAATCCCACGTTTCCACCATTAGCATAAATAGCTGGCTGATCGTCTTATCTATGATATAATTTTATTATCTCTGCTACTTGATTCCTGTCCCCTGATTGTCCTTGAAGAATTTAACCCGATCCAGACTAGTTTATGAGAAACTTTGTAGTTAAATTTTAACTTTAAACTGGCAGTTCCGAGAATGAATAGAAGGCAAGGTGAACATTGCCAGATGTCCGTTGTCCGGGAGTAAAAGAAACCCGGGATCATTCCGGTATAGGGAGAGGAACTGTCCGAACCTGACCAGTAACCCCAGTTCGAGATTGGGCAGCACTGCATGAGGGACTCGAAACCAGGCCAAGGATAACTGTTTCTGGGGGAGCCTATATGCTAGATGATGCAAACACACAAGAGAACCTTGATACGGACAATATCTACAGCTGGATAGGATAGAATAACGTACAGCTTGCACTGCATTATCTGCTTAATGATAAAAACCAAATCCCACACATACATGCGCCTCCACAGTGCACACTTCCCCATTCACCTTCCGTTAGCCTTTATCCACCAAGAAATCTTCGAGGAAAAAAAAAAAAAAAAAAAAAACAAAAAAAAAGAAAGAAAACTAAATGGCGCTGCGTCGTTTCCGCCCGGATGAATACTCGATCGGATGAGTTTCAGCCCTTCCCATTGAATTAGCCGCGGCGACAGTCATGCTGGATGAAGAACATGAAAGTCTTCCCTGTGCCCCAGGCGACGATATCCTGTATACACTTGGCTCGATCGGGGGACATAATGTGGTTCTGGTCTGTCTGCCAGCTGGAGAAGTTGGGACCAGCTCTGCCGCCACCGTTGCCATGCGAATGAAATCCATCTTTCCCTCCATTCAATTCGGGCTGATGGTGGGGATCGGAGGAGGCGTGCCCACCGCGAGTTCTGACGTGCGGCTGGGCGATGTCGTGGTGAGTCAACCAGTCAGTCATCACGGCGGAGTGGTCCAGTATGACATGGGCAAAACAACCCCCGACGGCTTTGTTCGCACTGGCTATCTCAACCGACCGCCTGCTCTCTTATTGAGCGCTCTGTCCAACGTGCAGGCCCGTCATTTCCGAGGTAAAAGTACCCTTGCCTCGCATCTAAACCTGTTTGATGATATCCCGGAGTTCAGCCGGGACGAGGCTGGGGCCGATCTCCTCTTCCAACCAGCTTATCACCATGTCAACGGCGGCTACACATCGACCTGTCAGTCTTGTCACACAGATCAGCTCATCCCCCGGACCCCTAGGAAGAAACAGCCTGTCCGGGTGCACTACGGGACAATTGCGTCAGGGAACCAAGTCATGCGTGACGGCGTCACCCGCGAACACATCAGCACGCAGCTAGGGGGCATTTTATGTTTTGAGATGGAGGCTGCAGGGCTCATGAATAGCTTTCCCTGCTTGGTGATTCGTGGGATTTGCGACTATGCCGATTCCCACAAGGATAAACGGTGGCAGCCGTATGCGGCCTCCACAGCGGCTGCATACGCCCGGGAGATTCTCTCGGTCATTCCGGTCCATTCAGTGGCGAAGAGAACAGCCCACGAAGGAGGGGATTCTGATGCCAGGAGAGGAGAAGAGGCTAAGCTGAACTGCCATCATAAACCCGCACCGGATGTGGCCTTTTCAGGAACCAATAATTCAAAGATGCAAATCGGGATGAATTATGGGACTATCAGTGGGTTTAGCATCAGCTGAGACATTTTTAGATTCTATCCCACAATATACAGTGAGGCTACTTTGTTCTTTCAGATATAGACCAGCATCGCCCATCATCTATTGTTTCAACTCTAGTAACACACAATGTCATCTAATCCAGTCTCCTTCCGAGACACATCCGGTTCCGACCTCCAGGTGGGAATTAACCACGGTTCCATCCTCTACCAGAAATACCCAGATCCCTTCGATCTCGACGAATATGCATTTCACAACGACGCCTTTGATAGAAACTATGTTCCACACACCTGCGACTGGCTACGCGATACACACGAGTATCAGCAGTGGGCGGCAAGCATGCAGCAAACGGCGTATCTATGGGTCCATGGACATGGTACCTGCTCTTGACTTATATACCTTTATTTTTGCTAACTGGGAATAAGCGGGCTGTGGAAAGACGTATCTCTTGTGGGTTATAATATTGCTACAATCAATGTTCGTGACATAAATATTAATGCATACTTTATAAGAACACGAGCAATCCAGCATCTCTCTATACGAAGCGATATCCACCTCTTATATTTCTACATCGCCATCGACGGACCGAAAGACGAACGCAGCCTGCTCTTGACCTTTCTTAAACAACTCAAGAAACAAGGCAAATTGAATCCAATACCGGGCAAGTTCCGAGTGGATTCTAAACTAGAGGATCTACGAGAGTACGTCTGGTCGTATATCCAGAACGAGGCCACCTCACCCGTATACATAATCATCGACGGATTGGACGAATATGACAGAGAAGATCGCACCAATCTTATTTCCACTCTTATCGCCCGGTGCAAATCCAGGCGGTGCCTGTTCAAGATACTGATTAGCTCGCGCAACACGGATGATTTACCCAGGGTTCGACAAGAGGAAGGCCGTAGGACTGGAATCTATACCGTGCAGGCTGGGCGCCAGAACACGGCACGGGATATTCGACGGTTTGTTGTCAGTCAACTGGATATCATGTATCGGGAGCAACCTCGCCACCCGTTGAAATGTCGGGAGGTGATATTAGACAAGCTGACAGGCAATGCGAAGGGAATGTTAGTATAATGCCCAGTTATTGGTATACTCTAACATACATTACTGACTCAATAGGTTCCTGTGGGTGAGCTTGCAGATGAAAGCTTTGCGAAGGGAGGATCCTACCCAGTTGGAAAGATCCGTGAAGAACCTCGTATATCCCAAAGATATGAGCGGCTACTACAGCAACATACTGGGAGAAATCAACGCAAATTCAAATAACGGAAAGATTGCAAGAAAGGTCTTGACTTTGCTCATCGACGTCAGACCAATTTCGGTTACGACAATGTCTGAGGCAGCAGCCATCTGCATCGCAGAGAAGGATGGAAACAATGAAAAGAAGACAATGGATCAAAAGAAGCAAGAAAAACAAGACATGGCCGCGATGTTTGATCAGGAGCATGAGAAACTCAGAAATGACCCCGACAGCATTGTTCGCATGTGCAAGGATCTGGTAGTCATCGATCAGGGATGGAATGCCTTTCGCTTTGTCCATGGATCTGTTCTCGAGTTTCTCAACACCCACCCTGACCATCTCACCAATATGGCATGGCAGGAGACATCTTCTAGCTCACTGTTGGCACAGATGTGCCTGTCTTATATCTGCCTGCGGGGAAGTGGTCAGCCATCCCACAAAGACCTTCGCTTTTCCAACGTTGGATCTGCCGGAAAGGAAGGCACACAGTCATTCCTTCACTTGGCATCGACGTGTTGGCCTCATTATGCTCGAGCTTGTATGGTAGACTCAAAGACCGCTCTGCAGATCCAACCTCTTCTCCTCAACCTGTGCGAGAACAGAGACATCATGTTGCATTCATTCCGAATTTTGCTATCGAGCCAGCACATGAACTTTGTGGACGATCTCAGTCAAACCCATATCATCAGCTATCTCGGCCTTTTTAATTACCTCGACAACTTGAAAGCCCGCTCCCTGTTAGAAAGTAATGCCCGGGACTCCAAAGGCTATACACCAATGCACTGGGCCGTTCATGGTGACCACAACACGGCACAGACGATAAGAGCATTAATTCAGCATGGAGCAGACATATGTGCCCAGGACAACAACGGCCACATACCCCTTTTCTATGCATCCCAGCGAGGCGATATCGAAAGCGTTCAATTGATCCTTGAGACACAGAATCGGAAATCTCGCTCTTTCAGAAAACAGCTCGGACTGTGCGTGATCGAAGCGTCGTACCAAAGCCATGCAGCAGTCGTACGAGAGTTGATCAAGCATGGTGCGGATGTCACAGTCACAAATCATCTGGGTACTGCATTACATGCAACCGCTTCACAGGGCTCTTATGACTGTGCTGAAGAAATTTTAAAAAGTCGACGACCTCGGTCGTTGGATGTTCTCAATGGGCCCATCGGCACTCCTCTCCACGAGGCTGCATTTTACGGTCGGGCATCAATCGTGAAAATGCTCTTGGCCAAAGGATTTAGTATACATCGCAAGAGCAAGCAGTATGGTAGTCCACTGCAGGCCGCCGCCAGTGGATGCTTTCTAGGTCGGGATTCGACACCGTTTAAGGAGATGTTTCAGCTCTTGTTAGAACGAGGAGCTGATGTCAATGCCCACGGAGGAAGGTTCGCCACTGCCTTACATGCTACTGCCTTTTACGGCCATGTAGACTTGGCTGAGATGTTGGTGGAGAAGGGCGCAGATATCAATAGCAAGGCACATCTGGGAACGCCCTTTCAGGCGGCACAAGTAGGGGAGAGTCAAGAGATGATGGACTTTCTCAGAGAGCAGGGTGCGGACACGACTCCTCTTGCCCCTGCGGAGGTCTCCAAAATGGCCAGTATCCTGAGACAGAATTATGGCCACGATGCAACCCCCGGCAACCGAGGAATTCTGAGAGTCGCCCTCGATGCTCCGGTCAAGATGTTGATGGATTCAATCAAACGGGGAAACGAAGAGCGTTTTGACCACTTCGTGAGTCTGTACTTGGGGGGCTTTAAAACAGCGATCAACGTGAGACAGATGGCTCTCATTCGATCGCTGGCTTCAGTCGGTGAAGAGGTTTTCAAGCAGACGGCTTTCTTGACCGTCGATCTTGACTATCAACATAGCCCCGATCGGGACGCGAGCCAAATCAGCTGTTGCGCATTGATTATCATCACATTCCTCAAGCCGCTAGCGATGGCTTCCCGAACGGCAAACCAACGTCTGAGATACACCAAGCCAAAGGAGATGATCAGTAACACCGAGTCCACCCCTCGACCGGTGCAACGAACAAGTACCCAAGATGTCCGGCGCACCAGATTTGCCTTCAAGGCGTTAGATCGTGTTGCTGATGTAGCGATCTCCATCCTAGCTCATGCAATCGAGAATAAGGATGATGAGATCACGCGTCTTGTATCGATTGCGTGGACAGACGCACTTTATAGCGTCCAGCGAGCCGCAGGTGAAGACCTGATCAGAACACTGCTCGACCTCCGTCTGAAGGAGCTGGAAGCTAGTTTAAGCACCAACCAGATAGAAACTGCACAAATGCTGGGCCGAAGCTCTGTACAAATGCTCTCGATTGCCATCGAGAACCGTGCTCAGTATACCTCCTTTGTTAAACTGTTTGCACATTTCTGCAGCTCCGCCTTTCGGTATATTGAGCAGCTGGGTGTCAGTTCTGACCGCGACTGCCTGGGTCAAATGCTGGTGGCGACCTTCCCATGGATCATCTCATCAGTTTACGAGGATGAGGATGTTGAGCGATACACGGTGGTTGTTGGGGAATTGACTCCCCATATGGTCCGCGATGGTTATGAAAGCATGTTGGGCACATTGACTGACAAATATGTTAACATGCTACGCGTGGCCTTTGGCCAGCGGCATCCTGATCATGGGGCTTTTCTAGTTCGCGACCCAGTCAGTTTTCTTCATGATTCCCGCTGTGTCTACGTATACACATTTGGCTGACAGAAAGTCTCAGATGTTTATAAACAATCTCGTCCGCGGTCTCGAGTCAGCTATTGTCGACAATCCCACAGCGTCGACAGTCTTCAGATCTTTCGTGTCTCGAGAAAAGAACCATTTCGTCTCGGCAGTGACAATACCCACGCATGAAAACCAGTATCCATTGATACTCTTCTTGATTTTATCCATGGCTCGAATGATTCTAGCAGCAAAGCATAATGGACATCACCATCTTCTCGATATCCTGTGTTCGGCAATAGTGCAATGCATGTGCGATATACTCCAGTTTCCCTCTTTTCTGTCGCAGGTGAGCGAAGAAAACACAAAGCAATTTGTCTCCGATCTCGCCAGTCCCCCAGACCGCGAGTATGTCATCATTCCCGTCCTGGTGGATCTATTGCAGTGGGCTATAGATGATGATCTTGAACAGGCCGAGTGCATAATACGGCCGATAGCGAGGACTTTTCCATACTTGCATAAAATCAAGAATGCTGCGCTTAGGCAGCATTGTGAGAGCGTTGTCATCTTGATTGAGCGTTTTTCTTGAAGTAAAGGGACACGAAGCGTTTAGCATTTAATCTTAATATACCTATTTATATAGTTTCTTTTCTTTGAAGAGGGCGTGGTCCTATATCTAATAGACTTGATTTGTGAACAATGATGAACAGTGATCATCTTAACCCCGAATCAATACAGATTGACAACTGAATTCCATCTCTCGTTTCCCAGAGCTTGCCCTGTTTCTGCCCGGCATCTCTTTGCTGCAGTAATTTCTCTGGGAGAAATGCCTATATGCCTCTATTGCATGATATCCAGCACATACGACCACAGGGTGTGGAGAACAGGGCTTCCCGTCCGCTCAGCCGTACTTAAGCCACACGCCGGCAGGTTAGTAGTTGGGTGGGTGACCACCAGCGAATCCCTGCTGTTGTATGTTTTTTTGTCTTTTTTTACTCTTCATTTGTATATAAGACATGCTTATTTGCTTTATTTCGAGGTCTTTCTGATTTGCGTGGAAAAATGCGTTGGTATATCCTGCACCGTGTATGCATACTTATATACTTCAAATTCTATCGTCACTCTACCCAAACAATTTTAAATCCGGCATTCTATACCTCCATCCCAACTAAGAATATCACGTTCGAGAATGCAGCCTTGTTTTATCAATCCGGAAATGATGTGCGAAGACCCTGCATGGATGTCGTCTTGGCTGTCAGATGCTGTCATTGCCGCATCTACATTGAAACAGTTTCACATCCCCCGTAACCCCTCTTTCGACCTCAACTTCAACTTTCAGATATTCCACAATGTCGGACCTCCCTCTGAAACCCCCACGCAAAGTAATCAAAGTGCCGGCAAATATCTACTACCGCCGCCCTTTCAGCCCCCTCTACTTCATCCTATTCACCTTTTTCGGTAGCTTTGGATGCTCCTGGTATTCGGACTATCTAGACTGGCCCAGCACTATCCTCATCTGGGCCATCTATGTCAGCATTCTCCTCGTTTTCATAGCCATCGAACCCACATGCACCCTTGAACTGGATCGAGTCGATGACTTGGGCAACAAATTCATCGTACGCCGCCCTTTGGTTGGATTCCGATCGTGTGAACAGGCTGTTCCCCTCGCGGCTATCGAGGAGGGTCTTGTGTGGACTGAATATGGCGAGCCAGATTCTCGTCTAACCGATGGATATCGATATGGGCCTGCTTTCTGGAGGATCTGATTCGAATGGGCTGACTTTTTGGTGGGGGATAAGACACCTGCCGCAGCTCTTGCTGATCAGCTTGAGGGACCATGTTGTTGGCGACTATCTTTCTTGGATAGAAAGCGTGGCTTTATCTCCCTACATTGTTGGATCACGGGGGCATTTCTGCTCGGTATACAACGGTATTGGTGTTCCGATTAGGTACTATGGTTGACCTTCGGAAACCTCCAAGTAGTTATACACCGTCCAATACGACTTTCACTCTTTCGGATTGCATAACCTCGCAAACCCCAGTAGTTGGATATTGATTCAGTGGCCTGATGCTCTCCGACAGCGATGCTGATGCGACTAATTTCCACTAATTGAGAAAAGCCAGGTAGAGGGATTTTTCGGATCCATTGATGGAGATCTTCTAACTTGAGAGCGAGTAAACTCCCTGTCTTGACCACACTGTTGGATATGATTACTATTTTCCCATCCTTCTATTAGCTCATGTGTAATTTTATTTTTAGGGTTCATTTTATATCAGTAGTGATAGTAAGGGCTTCCTAGATTGCACGCTAGTCGCTTAACAAACCGCTGTAGATACAACCATAAGCTTGCTCCAGGCAAGCCTTGCTGGCCCTAGCACTAGATATATTTAAATGCATAGGAAAGCATAGGAAACGTAATGTGGTAGCTACCGAAATCACGATAGTGACGGTTTCTCTACCACAAACGTTGAACTCTCGAAGAATTGTTCAGGAGCTTAGACGAAACAAGCATGAAGTCCCATTAGATAGTAGTACAAGCACCCTAGGCTATGGCAGTATCGCAGGCGCTTAGGTCCCTCTTGTGGAATACAGGAGGATTATTTCGTCGATGGATTGGGCATACCGGAAGTATGTGGCCATGTGCGGAACAAGTCAGCCAGATGGTCGATCGGGGCAGTCAAAAGTCCAATCGCCGTCTCGAAGGGAGGCTTGTTTGGAGCACTCGGGTGAGAACGCGATGGCACAAACATCTTTGTCCTGCCAAAGGACGTGGCCAGTTTCTCGCTCTCTTCAGTTGTCAGGGCGTCTTCCAGTTTCGGGAGATCCTTGCTCTCCTCTTCCTGAATGTGTCCGGAAAGATCCTTCATCAGAGCTTTGATGGTCGGTTCGAACTGGGGATCGGAGGGCTTCATATTTTGGAACTTCTTCAGCTGTTCTTTGACCTACAATGCATCGTTAGCGGATTATACTAGGAGGGTGGCTTCGACGGCTGGTTCACCAATTGGTGCTCATTGCGGTCTTTGTCTGCTAAAGCCTGACCACCAGGAAGTTTTGCCTCGAACTGGGGGTACACAACTAGCTCCTCGCCGACAGAGTGGCGGGCTAATTCCCAGGTAAACTGGTTCTGCCATTGAACCTTTTCTTTTTCAGTCGGAGAACTCAGAACTTTGCTGTAGAAGTTTTCGATCGCACGATGATCTGTTTTGATCGCGTCGATGATACGAGGCGCCATGGCGATGGGCGATCTGAACATAAGGCAACGTTGTGCTGGAGAAAATTTTGAATACTTAAAGGGTCCAAGTAGAACAAAGAACACTACATTCGACTTTGATATGGGCGATTGTCAACGCTTCTTCTATCTATCGAGTTCGAATATGTCATCATGAGACCCTCCGCTGGCCGATATGTTTTAATCTAAAAGTCTAATACAATACCCATTGATAATCGTAGGGTTCTGTCCCGGCCTCATTGTGACGTGGTCTCAAGCAGTTAAAATCCATCATTATCAAAGTCTAACTGATATTCCTGTTTCTGGACCGGGATGGGCGACATGCAAAAACTACTTGATTCTAGATCTCCCTGAACACGGTAACCAATGACAATCTTCGTGATGACCATTGTGCGAGCATCATCCCGCATCATTCTACATAATTATACTACCCACAGAATCGTCATCCTGATACGTCTCACGCCTGTTCGAGCAGAATTTATAGATATGCATTTATTGGTGAAGTCAGTCCGCACACATCGAATCGCTGTCTCTCAAACAGGATCCTATTACATCCACTGATTAACGACTATAGGCTGGCCCTTTTTAGCGGAGGCCTAGATAGTTGGCAATCTGCTTCATCGCTTTTAGCTTTATAGTGATCCATAAAGTTCACTATTACTGGATGTGCTCAGATTGATTGGTCTTAGAAAAGCCAACACTATTATTAGGGATTACTGGGCTCCCACCAATACTGGCAAGCAATCATTCACTGCCTAGTATAAGATTCCTGCGGAGCCCTGAGATCGCTTTCTCTAACATCCTCCGTGGTCGCACGTACTTTGCTGAGGGCTAAGCAGCATTATGAGAAAGCTATGACATATGGCACATAAAGTGATTGTAATTTCATTAGAATGCCCTCATGATGAGATAGGCTATCGCATTAAGTGATCTTAGTATCACTTACAAGTTATATCCTGACTAGTCTAGCTCCATAGGATGTGGAATTGATAGCGCTAGTCATGTTCTAGATATCCGTATGAATGAAGGTATAAACTACGCCATACATAATAATCTAACAACCACTTACAATAACATTCAAAAACAATCCCTATTCATCTATAATCGAATTCGACATCACGCTACGGAGACCATATCGCTGCGGAGAAAGAGGGGGGTTAGAAAAGCCCGTGGTGTCTGAAAGCTCATCGTTACTATCCTCTGGGACAGGCTCGCAGATTCGATCTCGAACGGAGAACATAACTTGTCTGCGTTTGAGGGGCTGGCGAAACACGGCATACAAGTCCGCGTTGTGTTCCAAAAGCGCTTTCATTATTCTGGCCCGGCTTGCTTTGGTTTCACTATTTCCCTGATGTGTTGTCGCTTGGTAGAGAGCATACCACTCTTTGGTCTGGTTGGGTGAAAATCGAGGTGCTGCATTACCTCTGGTCCAGTTCTCGTCCACGAAGTTTCCATCCAGGCATTCCATCCGGGAATTTGCATCTATCCCGGTAGATAGGAGAAGTCGACCGTGTCAACTGCATGCTCATCGATGGCAGAAACCAGAGCGGCTGGAGTAGCCTTGACGCCTTGAGACAAAATCTCACGAGTCTGATCGACACTATTGACTCTTCGTGCCTGGGCTATTGCTCGGGCAAGAGGGTCGTGCCCCCAGAGAGGATTAACCCATTCTCCCTCTTCGCTTGTCCAGGGAAATTCATCGTCACCCATGATAGGAAAGAAGTATGAGTTTAATAATATCAGATTCTTAGGCGGAGTTTACAGTTGTATGAATAGATATGGAGAGGGGTGACTGCGGCAGTTGACAATGACTCAAATTTGGTAACAAGACTTGAAACAACTAACGGTATAGGGCAGGATAAATTTTCAAGGTTACCCATCAGTCCTGCTAATCTGAAGCTCTATGAAATCCATATATTTCCATCATTTTTGCACCTCATAAGGGCAATTGGTATATTTACAATGTTGGTAGAATTGCTAGCTAGTAAGTCTTGTTCATTTGAGACTATTTTAACTTGCATACCATCCAATAATATGCGGTGTACCTCGCTTAACAAAGGCTGCTTCAACACCAAAATCAGCGAGTTAGTTTTCCTCAGGCACTGGGATGGGCTTCGAATATTCATCGAAAGAGCACAATATTGTTCTTATATAGCCATGATGGTGGTGGTTTTCGCTTCGAGAATACATGAGTACATAAATATCAACGCTGTCGTTCATGAACACATAAGTCTAGAATATATACAAAGTAAAAACAGTCATGATAGAAACGCCGTAAAGCGCAATCCCAGAGAGTCGATCTACTACCCTCCCTGCAAAACTAGTTGACGTTCCGCAGCAATCGCCGTTATACGTGACGTTGTTCATCTCCGCGGCAACTTGAAAAACTGATCCTGGGGAGCTGCCCTGGTCATAGTAATCCACCAATAAGAAGTTTGGTGCTCGATCCCATTGTGCTGTTGAGATAATCAGTATTTGTATATCAGTTCGAAAGGCGATAACATACCAAGGCAATTATTCGCCATCAACCCCAAACTCCCATACCCCGAGTACGCATTTGTCACATTAATCTTTACAGAATTCGGGATGAGAATATCAACGCTATCCAGCACAATTTCCACATTCAGGTTATGATTAATCATATACATCCGCTCGTCCGCCTGTGCATCGCTAATACCAGGTGGTCGTTCCCTCGTACACGGAAAAGACGTGTTTAATGGCGAAAACGGCGTTTCCCACATCTGGGTGAATTCATCCAGGATATACGGGATATCGGACTGGTCGGCTTGATAGTCCATAAAAACGACGGCGCGTTTACCGTTCACGATCATGTTGGATAAGGTGGGCCAGTCGTCGCGGCTCATGGGGACCTTCCACGGTTCGTAGGCGTAGTCTTTGAGACCTGAATTCTCGATTGCGGATGTGAAGTTGGAGGGGGAAACGTAGTCGGAGTTGACGATTAGGATGGTTACCACCTCGAAGGGATTGTCTTCCATCCAGTTGGTGACGGTGGTTAGATAGGATTCTAGTGTTCCCATGTTGAGTAGGGAACAGGAGCTGTGGCAGAGGTAGATGTCATCTTTATAATAATGTGCCTCGAATGATACTATCCATTGTCAGCAGTGCATATGATGATAGATTGAGATAGACTCACGCATTCGCACCCCGTCGTTCAGCTGCGTCGTCACATCATAATTCTGATTCGACGCGATGTTATTCTTCTTCGCAAACGGACTATTATGCGCCGTCACCATGGTGATATTTGAATATTTCCTCTCACAAAACTCGGTATATCCATTGCAAGCTTGCGTGTTGGCCGCACCAGATGAGGTCGTAGCCGTGCCATTGACCGAACCAGTCCCAGTAACCACCACCTCTGTCGTCGTCGCTGTGTCACTTGCGCTGGGAGTAGGCGTGGTGCCACCATCTTCGGGCGAGACCGTGCTGGTCGTGGTATAGCTGAGGTAGTCGCCGGTTGGAATCGCGACCACTGTTTCTGATTCCACGACGATATAAGCACCCGATGTAGTGCTACTGGTTGGTGTTGTCGCATCTGTCGAATCTGTTGTAACTGTTGTATCTGTAGTTGTGTCCTCGCCAAAAACCCCCCTCAACAACAACGAGCACAACAGAAATTGTAGTGATAGTAGCATGATGGACTCATGGAGATGTCAGGCAAAACACTCCAGCCGGAGAAAAGTTGACATTAAAATCAATCTGCCTGTTCTCATTTTTCCATCGGCGATCCGGAGGAGTAAGGCTATGCTTACGCTGCGTGACGCGGCCACAGCCCCCAATCAGCGGCTGCCATTCGCCAAGGCCACGAGGCTGCCCCACAAAGCTTGACTGGATTGGATTATAAATAGAACTCTGAGTCAGGCTGTCTATCCAGTTTGTTGCATTTGTTGATTCGGGTATGTCATGTGCGTCATAGTTCGGAGTGTGCGTTCCTGCTCAGCCAGTAGATGTTGGTTCTCCTGCCGGCTGTCCTCTTGGTGTAGACTTTAGGATAGCCTTGCAATTCCAGTGGCTGGTTTTGGTCCGTTTCCAGGCCGTTGTGCAAGCTCACGGACACTTCAGCCTTGTCTGTGCCCTTAGACTAAGGCTCGGAACGCCCTTCAACTAATGGCTGGGGCCCATCCCATCGCCAAATATCGAATGCCAGAACATACATATGATTTTCGGTAATCCGCCAAGAATTTGGGCTTGAAGGATCCGTAAAGTCCATGTAGGTAAAGTCAACAATGTACCTGATGGCCATTATCAGTATGACAATTGATTTAATTTCAATGCTCCGAGGATGGGGAACTTACAGTTTGTTGGTCGTTCTATCGAATCGGAGAAAACTAGGATCTTATTCAACCAAGACGAACTCACACTGTCTCATGTGTCTATTCGAGAAGCAAGTGTTAGAAGGCCATGCCGCCTGGAGTAGAAGGGAATAAGACGTACTCGAGTATATAAGCAAGCTGTGTCCGAATCCCTCCGAGCTGGTTATCTGAAAGTTGACGAAATATACGACCAAGATCCTCACCCGGAACCCGCGACATCACAATAAAATATGCATTACCACCTGGGTACGGGAATCTTGGCCCAGCAGGCTGTCTAGCATGCTCAATGTATGCAAGCCCGTAGCCAATTTCCTGCACTTGTTCGACCAATCTCACTTCTTCCAGAAAGCGGTCGAGTGCCCGTTCTCGTGTTTCTTCAATGTCTGTTATACCAAATGACTCGGGTGGTAAACTGTTTTAGTATCCAAATTAGCATCTGAAAATGTCAAAGATATCGGAGGTCACCTACTCGTAACGAATCTTAAGCATAATCGGGTCGCCAGTATCTTCGTATCTTGCTAGAGTCAAAGCCTGTCGCTGGGCGAACCTGTGATCGACAAACTCCGTGAGCTGCTTCTCAGACATGATGGGCCTGCCCTTGATTATCCGGCCTCTACCAGCAAAGTCGAAGCTCTAGATAGGCATGGTGGTAAATATGGATTTGAGGGTTTATGAAATGATAGCCAAGAATGCCGAGTGAGATATAGTGTGATTTATGAATGTGCAGAGCTTTGTGGCAGAGCATAGATGAGATGGGGTCCCTGCTAAGCGGATGCCTACATAGACATTGGTGTCTGGAAGAAATGATGTATGATACGCGACATTATCTGCATTAAAACCTAGATGAAGCTGCTAGTCAAGTCGACCGTTATTCTGCCACAAACTGCTTTCCTTGAACAATGCCGTCCAAAGGCACAGGCCAAAAAGCATCAACCCAATAGTCGACATTCCACAACTCGCACCTCCAGTCATCTTTATCTTTCAGAATTTGATTCATGACGTCTTCTCGCATCCAGAATGTCGCTGTCTGTTTATCCTTTCCTAGCCCGCTCCACTTGAACGTCGTTATCATGTGACAGCCCTGGTCTCGGAACTGTCTCACTTTTGGGACATCAAACGGTGGTTTGGGCGTTGGGTGCAAAAGCCAGTACATTTCTGTGTCCTCCTTGGGGCAGTCCGTCTGCAAATCAACCTGGTACAAAATGAGTGCGAGGGATGGGGTGGTCTCGGGCCTGGGTGGCCACGCAGGGCTGGGTACTTTGATACTGTAAGAGTAGATGGAGCTAGGTGCAGGCAGAGATGCTTTGGTGATGAGGTGGAATGGGAGAATCCGTTGCAACAAAACTGTCAAGGTAGACATCTCGGCAAACCAAGGTGCCGTTGACAGTTTGGCTGCGGGGTAGCTCTTGTCGACCTCTTTTTCAGGAATCGGTCGGGCACTAGGTGGTCGGGCTGTGGAGGTGATGTCGTTCTCGAGGATCTTTGCAAGTACCTCGACAAGCCAGTGCGAGTGGTATCCAATTTCATGAAGGTGGATAAGTAACCGGAAAAAGCTGGTCAAATTGAGCGGCGAGTGAATGATGTGTTTGGAATTGGTTCGAATGGCTAGGGGGTAAGGAAGAACTGTCTTGAAGAAAAAGGCGACAAGCCATCTGGTCAGCTTTTCTCGTGGCAATAAGAATTCGTGCTCGAACGGCTCTCTTGTTGGGCGTCTCCAAGCCCTGTAATCGCACACTGCAGTTGGGCCATTTGTTTCTTTTCCTGCTTGCTCATATTCAACCTGTGCGAGTTTGAAAAGGGTACTGTCGTCATTGATAACCATGTAGTGGCTATGAAACTGCGCCATAGACTTCCACGCGGAGGTGTTGCGCAAGCAGTTCGAGGTCACAGTAGAAGTAGACGGGTCCTTGAGGAGTTTTGCGGCGTGGACGAAATTAATGAAGCTGCCACCGATGTAATCGGGGACATTAGAAAGGTGGACACAGTCGAACTCGAAAGGCGCATCCGTATCTCGATCGTCAATGAGATCAAATCTAATAGTATCCATTGCGGCAACGGTATCTCCCAGGATCATCTCCACCGTCGTACGCTTACGAAGGTTTTTGATAGTGCGAGCCATGGATTCGAAGAAAGGGTTTACATGGTCGAACAAGCACTCCTCAGAGCCAGTCTCTAGCGCACACCTCAAAGCTTTGGCCAGGTCATACGGGTCGTAAGAAAGCTCAGTGCCAGCTCTCTTTCAAATGCCAGTCATCATCCAGAAAAGTGGTGTTCACGTGCCAGTTTTTGTCAAGATGATCTCGGAGGGCGGGGATTGAAGCATCTGAGTCTAAAAGCTTTAATAGCTCAGGGTCATGCTTCTTGAGCACAGGCGGGGGAGCGCGTAGCAGAAGGGTCTTATTGTAGCAATGAAACTCCGTTTCGCAGCCCTTCGGTATGGTGTTTGGTTCAGAGCCTTGCAGATCAAATCTACCCATATCATCTGTCATCATAGTCGAGACAGTCTGTGAAATCAGCTTGCCTGTCGAGGTCAGATTCAGCAGATCAGTGCTCTTCCAAGCTCTAAGTGCATCAAGGATTAGCGGTTTGTCTGTGTCGTAAACACGAACCCACGGAATGACAGGGGCCTTGGTCTCAAGTGTTTCGATAATCGAGTCAATCACTTTGTATAAGTGATCAAAAGCAAAGCGAGGCATGATCTGCGTTGCGAAAACATAATAAACGATCGACAGCCGTTCCAGCCTCTCGATTTCTGACAAATGCGTATTGACTGCCAGGTCATCCAACATGGAGAAGAGGACTAGGTTTCGAGCCAGGACTACAGGTTTGATATCATTTATCGTGAAATGATATTTCTTGCTGGATATCCCGGTGACCCTTTTACTGGCCTCCTCGAAGATATTGAATAGAAACCAAGTACCATTAAGATTGCGTGCATCCCCTACACCTCCAAGGAACACGCTAACATCGTATTCGTCCATGATAACGGACTCCTCCAACAAAGGTTGTAGGTTGTCATGGCCAAGGTTGTAGCATTCTCGGTTCGTCGAGCTAAGCCGTCAGTATATATGTCAGATACATATCAACCATAGATATGGAATGCTGATAAACTCACATGGCTGGTCTGTAAGAAGGTACATCACTTTGTATCTTCTTCCGCAGCTGTCGTTCATCCGAAAAGGCAGAGTTTACTGCTTCTCCATGCTCAATGGCAGCTGTGTAAAACTCACGCTCAATGGGGAAGTTTTTGAATGTGTTGATTATTTGCCTCGCGATATCATATTCTTTTAAATAGAGATGCGCTTTGACAACGCGGACAACGATCTTCGGGAGTGCAGTTGTCTCATCGCTACCAATTACGATTCCCAAGGCCTTAATACCATATGTGGAACAGGAGGCATACTCTCCCAGTTCGGAATGAACGGCAGACAGATTAGACAAAGGCCGATAGTCCTCTGGAGTTAATTGTAATGTTTTTTGATAAATGTCGATGGCTGCTCTCCATCCCCGTTAGCCTCCAGGATGGCTTGCTCCCTTAGTGTGCCCTGACCTTGTCTTAGCTTGCCGCTCTTGTACAGTGCATTTCCTTGCTCTCGAAGTTGCTGGGCTTGTTCTTGTTCGGATGGCATGTTACTCTGAATATAATAATGCCTTTATCCCTCGGTTGTAACTGAAAAGTGGGTGGATTTGATGTTTTTTGTTTCATGAGGTGGAGCTGTTGTCCCGCTAGCCTGACTGGGCTAGTGCGTTGAATTTGATGCTCCACACTCCATCGTCGTTTTTCACTGTGTTTTATTATGTGGAATTATCAGTATCCTTTTACTCTACTTAATCAATTATTCAATCGTAATTCTACCATTCACTTGAGGTTTGGAGAAAGAAACAAAAGGCGGAAAGACAAAAGGATTGTGTTAGAATAAGACAGTTCCCCGTATCTCCAACCGTGGAATACAACGAGTGGAACGGTAAAGTCAATTGCATTCCTATTCTTTATTCAGACGGCAAGTGGACCTGAACAAATGTCTCGAGTCTGAAACAAGCCAGAAAGGCGATTCGATGGACTCACGATCTCGACTGCCGATCATGTTCACCAACGCAAGGGATGCCGGTTCTTTCCCTCTTGGCCCACGCTAAATGCAATCTATTCGATCGGCCGGCGGGGCGAAAGAGTCCAGCGGTCAGCCCCAGCTGAGACTGTGGTTGCATCATGGCCATCACGCTCGTCTAAATAGCTGCTATCTCCTGCCCTTTTTCTTCTTCTTCTCTATCTCTGCTTCTGTCAAACAGCCGCCCCATAAACAATGGCGTCTTTCACTGTGACAGAACATCTTGTTGATGGCCAATACATCCGGGAATATCCCCGATCGACAGCCACCCAAGATGCCCGCTTGAAATTGAGCGTCAAAAAATACACGCCAGTCGATAACCCGAATCCCCAACCGGGCGATGTCACGATTATCGGAACCCATGGAACTGGCTTTCCCAAGGAGATGTACGAACCACTGTGGGAAACACTGTTGGCACGCAGTAAACAGGACGGATTCCGGATTCGCGCCATTTGGGCCGTCGACGTGGCCAACCAAGGAGCCAGCGGTGTGCATAACGAGCAGCATTTGGGTAATGACGGTAAGTTGGTTCGCAATTCGTAGTGAGCGATCGAGAGAATTGACGGCTTGACAGCTTCATGGCTCGATCACAGCCGCGATCTGTTGCAGATGATCAACCATTTTCGAGATGAGATGCCCCGACCGATATTTGGTGTTGGGCATAGCGTCGGTGCCACGCAACTGTCAGTATATCCAAACACCACATTATCCATCGCAGTGAACTCAGACTATCGTACAGGGCATTCCTCTCCCTCGTCCATCCCCGCCTGTTCACCTCCCTCCTTTTCATCGAACCATACATAGTGCCCATAATGCAACCGGCCGGCGGCGCAAAGAGAATCAAGGCGACTACCCGCAGAAAGGATATCTGGCCCTCGCGATCTGCAGCTGAGCAGGAGGCGCGCAAGTCCCTTCGAATCTGGGACCCGCGGGTAGTCGATCGATGGGTGCAGTATGGATTCCGTGATCTGCCCACGCTCATCCACTCGCAACCGACAACAAATTCCCCAGATGAAGGTCCTCCCGTCACGTTAACCACCACGAAACACCAAGAAGCTTTCGTATACACCCGCGCGAACTTCAATCGACACAGGCAACTCGGTCTACCCGACCAGGAGGGCATTGAAAAAGCAAATGGGCCTAGACCACCACACGACCCACTCACTGTGCCAGACATGATCGGGCAAATGTATGCGGGCCAAACATTCTACCGCCCCGAAGCAGTCCTGGCCATGCAGTTGGTGCCATTTCTTCGACCGCCCGTCCTGTATGTCAGTGGTGCTAAAAGCGCTCTAACACTGGAAGGGGGACAGGTACAAGCAGCGCAACAAACGGGGACTGGGTTTGGAGGAAGTGGTGGTATGGAATATGGCCGAGTAAAACACATCATCATCGACCGGTCGGGGCATACGCTGCCGTTCGAGAAGGTCAGTGCAACGGCCGATGCGCTGGGGCCGTGGCTTGGCCAACAGTTGCAGCAGTGGAAGACTGACGAAAGACGGATTGCCGAGGGATGGGAAAGCCTGTCTTTGAAGGAAAAGTCAACATGGTCAGAAGAGTGGAGGGCCGCCTCGGATGCTTGGTTTGATGCCTTTGTCAAGAAGAAGTCGAGTTCGAAGTTGTGATATTCGTCCGCCCAACTTGGCCTGTATGGACATCGGGGAAGCTAATGCTAACTGTTCGTATCTTGGAATGAATAGGTCGGACTTTAATAGAAGTACATATTGTTTACTTAGCCTGGCCTCATGATAGACGGTGGTTTTTATTGAAAAGCACCCAACAGTTATCAGACAGGACAATTAGTGTCTAAAGCACAGTCAGAAGCGAAATATCCAACAATCGATAGCTTTGTCCACACTTCCATTCAATCTGCACCATCTCTTTTTATCCAAATGCACATGGCATTATGATTGATGACTATCAGACTCACGTTATCTGGCTGCTGGACTCAATGTTCATTTGTACAGACTGCTATTTTCATGGCATTATATATTAGATTGGATCCACCAGATTGACAGCCACCCTCAAATAAAACAGTTCGTCATTTGGCTGATAGCTAATACACTAGAAACTGAAAATGGTTATCCCCAATATTTTTGCGCTGCAGTTCTTAGCGCATGTCCCAGACGGAATCGGTCGCCGCTGAGATTGTCCACCGCCATCAACACAGCCACGACACCTGCAGCTTTGGAAATAGTACCTGTCCAATTGCTGCCACCAACCAGCTGATCCTGCATCGTCTCACCGCGCTTGAAAGTTGCTTTGGTGGTGGGAAGCTTGCCCACATTCTTCATGTCCCAAGGCTGATATCGCCAGCTGAGCAAAGACTCCACCCAGCGTCCAGCCATGGTGACCACAGTTCGATCGTGACTGAATGCGTCGAAGCCATATTTCCCATGGAAGGCGCCGTATCCCGATTCTCCGACACCACCGAATGGAGCTGATGGTACACCGGCGTGGAACATGGCGTCGTTAATCGTGACGCCACCGGAGTTGGTGTTGTCGAGAATGTAATCGATCTCAGCTTTGGATTTGGAAAATATGTACAAAGCTAGTGGATGGGGCATGGGTTTGATTGTGCTGAGCGCAGCGGATACATCGGCTTTGATGATTGGAAGGATGGGGGCGAACAGCTCTTCGGAGATCAAACTGTCTGCTACATCCACGTTTGTGACAATCATTGGGTGGATGAATTTCTGCGATCGATCGACAGATCCTCCGTAGACTGTCTTCCCTTTGGTTCCTTCGAGCAGCCTGTTGATTCGATCAAAATGCCTTTCATTGATAATGCGAGGAAGACCGTCGGTTTTATCTTGAGAGAATTGCTTCATCCAATAGATGGTTCGTTCGACAAACTCGTCATGAATTGTAGAATCCACAAAGACATGGTTGACGTTAAGACAGACTTGCCCGTAGTTGAAGAGCTTCGTATTCGCCAGTCGCTTCGCAGTCAGATCGATATCCGCGCTCTTGGTTACGATTGCTGGTGCTTGTCCGCCCAGTTCCAACACAACGGGCGTGAGATGTTTAGCCGCAGCCCCCGCGATAATGCGACCGACCTTGCTTCCTCCAGTATAGAAAATATGGTTGAACTTGTGCTCGAGGATAAATCCCGTCTCGGATGGACCACCAGTGACGACAGTGATCGCCGACGTGTCGAGATACTTGGGCACCAGCTCCGCGAGAAGATTCTGTGTCGCACCACTCAACTCGGACGGCTTCAGCATCAAACAATTGCCCGCTGCGATGGCTGCGACAGCTGGCGGAAATATCGTAGCCACGGGAAAGTTCCAAGCCCCGATAATCAACGCCACGCCCAACGGTTCTTTCCTGATCCAAGCCTTTCCGATCGTGCCAAAGAAGAAGCCCGGGTCGGGCGGTGCCTCGCCCTTTGCCCATTTCTCGAGATTGTCCAACATTTCGATAATGCCTGACTTGACGCTGGGGATCTCAACTGCTCTGCTTTCAAAGGAATGACGATGGAGGTCTTGGTGGAGGGCATCGCAGAAGGCGTCTTCGTTGTCGTCGATCATCCACCAGAGCTGCTTGAGCTGCCATTTGCGCCATTGGATCGATTTCGTTATGCCAGTTGCAAAGGTGGCATGGAGGGTGCTGTACGCTTTTTCGAATTCGTCTGGGGAAGTGAATGACGCCATGGTCTAGAAATATGGAGGTGGAAAAATAAGCCGATAGAGATGAGGATTTTGATAAAGAGCGACTGACGGGAAAGAAGCGGGGAAGACAAGTGGAATGTGGCCTCGGGATAATTAATCCAGCCGACGTCGATAGGGATGTTATATTGCACATGCTCTAGGTATAAGCTGCATAACTCTTATGCAGTATTACATACTGGTATCACGCCAACACATGCTGTCTCAAAGGCCCATGCAATACACGATGCGATGTCTGCTTCCGCTGCTTCAACCACACCCCGACAAACCGGACAATCTCCTGATGGAGGTCAATAATCACCCTGGGCGCGGTTACCCCTTCTGCCAGTTCCTTCTCCGAAAGCGCATTCTGATCCCAGTGATGCACTGCTCCCCGAATACCATCCCACACATCTTCAGCCGGCACGTCAACCAAGATAAAAGGCTCATCGTCTGTTGACTCTCTCGGGGCTGTTCCATCCGCGTGCGGGGTTGCATCACGCCAAGGATCGGCGAGTCCATCGATGATAGCCACCCGGGGGTAGGAGAAGTTGAATCCGCCGTGTTTGTTGATGATGTCCGTATCAGGGGACGTCGTGATGTTGAACTTCGTCCGGCATATCTCGGTTGTATAGTTCATATCGATCAAACGGGAAATCAAAGGGCGTATGTCCGCAGGCACAGAGGAGCCGGTCATAAAGTAACCCCATTCCGTACACACCTGGTACTCCCAGCTGGTCGAGGAGGATTTAGAAAGGGGAGCTGGCGATCCATGGATTTCGGAGCTATTCGCATCTTCCTCGTCGTCTAGGGCCTCTGGGCCTTGGGAGAAGACGGTCGCATTGAAATAGCCAACATAGTTGAGCATGTTGGTGACGAGGGTAGCATTCGACGAATCGTACCCAGCACCAAAGAGAAGCTTCTTGATCCAAACCTCTGCATTGGTCGATTCGGGGTAGACCAGTTCCGTGCTGGTGATGTTCTGACAATATTCGGAAAAGGTCCTGTCACTGATTTGGGAGTCCCAGTTGCGACCCTGGTATCCGCTCAGGCCATTAGAGTAGATCGACACAAACCATCGATCATCTCCATCATCCCACTTGGGCTTCAACCCGAAAGCGGCTTTCAGTTCCGATTTGACGGTCTTGTTTTTGTGGTCAATGAGGAATTTGTCGAGAATATCAGTAAAGGTCTGGATAGTCGAGATACACTCCGATGGACCATATTGCCTGATGGGCTCAAAGTACTTCCAGTAGTCCTCGACAGCGGCAGTGACACCCGATGATGAAACAGATCCCCAGTAAACATCTGGATAGAGCTTCCGGAGAAAGGCCACAAATGCACCGGCATAGGATCCGCCATACCCGATATACGGCGTAGTTTTGGCTGTGAGATCCAAGTGTTCCAAACCGGGGAATACCACATTTGATGCAAAATACGCATAATCCGCCAGAGCCTGGTCGGTCGAGAGGAAGCGAATGCTCTCCGTCGTCAGATTACCGACCGGGTAACTATTTCCGTAGTAGCGATGCTCCAGGATGACTCCAATCCCATGATATTCTTCGAGCAACTGAGTGACAACCCCTTGCGACAGGAAGGGGAACCGGTTCTCAGCGTTGGTTTCACCAGCTGCAATGACGATCACCGGGCCTCCTTCTTGGTAGTGGCTGGCGTCGAACCAGTATCGAAGGTCAAAGTGGTCATCACTGTGTGGCTCATATCGAGATTCATTGTGGAAATGGTCCACGGGGACAGAGATATTGTGCTCTGCATACGATGTTGAGACGTCTGTTAGGACGTTTGCATGGGTCTTGTGTTTAAAACTCCGCAGAATTGGGACCTGCAGTTCTAGGGGAGAGTGTTCAAATGCATTAACTGATAAGGATAGAAGTGTCCCTAGTAGGAACAGTCTAGCTGATGAAAACATGTTAAGAATGATGGATTGAAGATGAATCTCGGCGATGTCGAGGCGGGAGGAGGCCCTTAAGAAGCGGTGGAAAACCCCACTCGATTATTGTTTGCTTTCTGTCCGGAATAGGCAGTGATCAGCGTCAATTGACGCTATCAGGCACCATTTGTCCATCATCCAGGCCTTGTGATACAAAGAATTGTGTTATTCATGGGTTCTATCACCAAATTGACTGTTCTTATTAATCATAATTTCATTGAGTTATACTCTTCTATAATCTTGATATAATAAGGTTAATGTTCCTGATTACTCACTCAATCATGGTCACCTGATGTCGGATATATATATCGAAGCGAACGGTGTCCATAAGCTTAGACTTCTAACCTCAAAATATTAATATTAATTGAATTTTCTAGAATATTTATCAAGCAAATTATATGGGAAATAGTCTCTGGAAAATAATAGTTCGAAAAAGCTCACCTCGATGGACGGTATCCTTGATGGATGAAAACGCCTTTATCTGTGGGCAATTTTGAAATCAGACTCGACAGTATCTACCCATGATGATAAATCCGAACTATCAAGTATAAGCAATTTTTGCTGTTTTGGTCTCCAACCCACCGTCTTCACCCACATTCCAAGTTCAACCCACGATCTCCATCACGATAGGATAGCCTACCCGAGATAGCCACATTTCGATCGGAGATGACATGCAGATGTCACAAACAGTGATTGTTAAAGGTGAATTCTGTGCGTCATAGCTCTGAGGCGCAGATGGTGGACGCTTTCAGGGGATGATTGCCCCGGCTGTCGTGAGAGTGCATTTTGGTTCCATCCTTTCCATTGAGGCTTGCTGAAAGTTTAATTCTTTACAGATAGGGTACAGATTCGAAGTATATCAAAGAATAGCCGCTGACCAATCCACACATTTTGGCTTCGAACGATCGTAATAAACCAGGAAAAGTACTCCTTATACATACAGTACTAATGATCAAAAGCCAACTCCCAAAACTCCCCAACCAATCTCACCCCAAACGTATCATGCTCCTCCTCCTTGACCAATTTGAACCCATTCGCCTCATAAAGCCTCCTCGCAGGAACAAGCACACTATGCGTCCACAGCACGACACGTTTATACCCGACCTCTCTTGCAAAATCAACGCACGTCCGGATCAAGGCACTCGCGACTCCTAATCCTCGCGCCGACGAGTCAACAAGAAGAAAGCGGAGCTTGCCTGCATCTTCTGCGCCGTGGTCTTTTGCAAGCATGATACACCCAATACGGGAGTTATTGTGTTCAGCGATCCAGCATCGTTCGACGGCGGGATTGTAACTGTCGATAAAGTCTGCACAGGACCGGGCGACGAGTGACTCGACGCGTTCGTTCCACTTGTATTCGGTGGTGTAGAGGGTGCCGTGTTGGGAGATGAGCCAGCCTAGGTCGCCGGGGCGGTGGGTGCGAATGGTGTATTCGGGCATTTGTAGTGAGGATTATTTTCAGTATAATGGAAATATTTTATTGATGATGTGGACGCTATCTCCAGCTCGTCTAGATGATATATTATCCTCGTGTAGATAATGCGGGGAGGCCAAAGGGCGCGATGAGTCAACGGATAGTCGGAACATAAGATTTGGATCTTCAAATATCCCCGCGATGAGGATGAGAGATAATTTCCTATTTGAGTATTTAATCAGAGAAACATAGTAATGAAATGATAACATGTGAGTAGATACCTGCTCGATAATATCACCAAGAAGCCCACGCAGGAAGCACTGCGCAGACACCAAACACTAAAAAGAACAGCCCCGTCGAAATAGGATCGCGATCATTCAAAAAATCATTAATGGTCTTTCCCTGTCTCCAATACATCCCAATATAAATTCCTATCTGCAAAGCCAGCATCTGTAGTATGCTAAAGGGCCTGAAAGTGGCGTCTCTCTGCTTCTCTGTTCCTTCAGGCCTGTCTGTTGGAGGTGATGCAGCATCAGGACGACCATGAAGTCTCTGCACTATTGTCTGAGCAGACTTCCATAGCGAAATTGCCATTATGGGCATCTCAATGAGCTGCGCCACTCTGTTCCCGAAGAGGGGCTGGAGGAAGGGGGCTTGGATACTACCGCAGATGAAACCAGTACTGAATACTGCGAGAGTATAGATGAGATTAGACAGCATCTTGCCAAAAGAATATATGTAGAGAAAGACAGTATAGTACAGCAGATGGTTATTTATGAGGTGGTTGCGTTGCCTGGAGGTGATGTAATTCTTACGACCCAGGATAAACAATCAGTCGCAATCAATGACCATATCAACTGGATATAGCTTCTCTATCAGGTCCCTATCTAAGATAAAGGACAGGTTATTGAATACCTCACCTTCTGGCATCGAGTGCTCTAGCCCCACGCCAACCACAAAAGCCCAAAGTCAAACCACGACATCACGAGCATCACTACGCATGATTGGACACGATGAGCACTGCCCTGCAGCCCAGACTGCTGGGTCTGTTTCAAACGAGGCTATGCAGACCAGTCGCAGAGCTCAAAGTCTGGGTCTGGGGAGCCTCCGTCCGTACTTTGACTTGATGTTCGTGTTCACCTTAAATGTGCAGCTTCCCCGACCTCAGCTCCTCTGCTGAATATTCAGCAGCTGCAACATGCATGTAATCACTTCTTTTTTTACTCATTAACTGTACTCCATAACCGTTATATATATTCATAATGGAAAGCCATACAGCCAGCGCATCTCCCACAGCTTCGGGCGCTGCAGGGAACACCCCCGGCGAAACCATGTCGACAGGCTTCATCATCGCCAGCGCAGTCGTAGCAGCTCTCGTTATCTCTATAGCAATGTACGCAATATACTAACCGCTACTCTACTCTGCTCTGACCTATCGCAGTTGCGCATGCTGTTTCTTCTCCCGCAGAATCGCCGCAGATAGCCCCGCTACTGCCAAGATAAAATCCGAGATTCGCTCTGAATCGAAGGAAACAATGCTATCGCGGCTGGAGACTGCATGTCCGACCAAGTCATGCGAGGAGTGGTGGGAGACTATGAAAGCGGGAATGGACTCGTCGAGTAGTATTAGGAATCATTTTGTCTGGTTGGTACTTGACTCTATATATTGGTAGGTGTGATTCTAACAGATGCTACAGTCCAATTTGTCTGGAAGAAGTCAACCCCGCTGATAACATGCACACTATGACATGCGACCATGTCTTTCACGCGAAATGTATAGAAGAGTGGTTCTTGGGATGCCATTTGATTTGTCCACTCTGTCAGAGGGCATTTTACCCGGGAAAAGATGCGACTGAAAATGCTGGGTCTGAGAATGCTGTCTAGTTATAAAAATGTAGTATTATATGCAAATACCACTCCGATATTAGCAACGCCATCCCAACTGATAATGATATTTGCCTCACGGGAAAATAGTTTCTCCATAGCATCATCTGACCGACCAACGCATCATGGCTTGAGCTTTTGCTTTTTGATTCTGTCACTTTATTGGCGTGGCCCCACTACAAACTCTATTGACATCGCGGCCCCACCCCCAGATTCCAGGGTCTAGACCAGAGCAGATAGCCAGTCTGAAGAGTAAGAAGGGGGGAAAGAGAGAAGAAACACAAGGGAGAGACATTTTTCATGTGAGAGTGATTTGTGCTGATTAACAGGTTTTCTGTATGCTGGGGATACATCATTCTGGATTTACGCTACAGGATACTTCGTCATATCAACTTGAGTTTCGGTGTGATTTCATTGTCTAACTTACTATGTACAAGCATATGCGAATAATTTACTATATAGGTACAATATGCAACAAATCCAGGAATAATCTCAAACTTCAAACACGCGGAAATCCGGATATAAATCCAATGTTCCCTAAACCCGCTAACCCGAGTCCATCCGAAACGCAACTCCGAGACTCCGAGATGTCGCCGTTCGCCACTAAAAACCCAAGAACCACGGATTGTGCCTTCTTTGGGTGGGCCGAAATACCGAACGGCTTCTGCAGAGTTTTCCTGTCCATATTATTCTCTTACGTACCAGAACCATAATCAGTGTGGTTTATTGTGCGGTGTTACTGTTCTTGGTTAGTGGTAGGTATTAAGGTCAGCCGACTGAGCACAAGGGTAGAGACGGTTCATTTCGGCGTGTTTATATCATTGTGCATAGTTTCTGTTTCTGAGAAACAGGGGTATGTTGCTGAGATAACGATCTTGGCTTTACGGGGACATTTTTTCCGTTGAAATGTGTGGATGCGTATTGTTTCTGGATTGAGTAAATGAAGCAAAAATCGGGATCGTCGGTCAACCGTGTCTGGGCTGGTTTTTTGACAAGGAAGCGTCCACGAGGTGGGGTGGGCGAGAATAAAATAATAAGAAAGTGGAGCCAGCCCTAGCTTGACAATTGGCCCTGGCGCTGCGACATTTGACAGTAAGCACAACGCACATGTCTGATGATATTATCGAGACGGGAGAAAAGAAAGTATGATATCGCTGTGGAAGGATTCGAGTGGAATAATAAAACAAGATATGTGAACGGCAGAGGAAAAAAGATGTGCGTTGACAAAATGTCTAGGCAGAATGACATCATAACACGAGATCAAACAGGCAGGCCAGCCGAGCAGCATAACGTCATTTCTCCTTTCTCATGCCTTCTTGGTAACAGGTTTGACTTGCTGGTTTTTTTCTCCACGAGGGATCGTCAGGTCAGAAGTACTTGCTTTTAACGCTTTAAACATTATGCAGGGCTGTCTGGCAGGGATTTGTTGTCTGATCGCACGGCCGTGTGCTTGTATTGATTACTGTATTGGTGTATTGTAGTATATCTTCTCGGAAGGTGGTGTTTATTGTCAGAGCTTTAGAAGTATTGATAGAAGCATTTAACTATTTTGTAAACTGTAGGTTTAATCAGTGTGCTAATCTCTAGTTTACGATCTACAGAATCCCGGGATTAATCGTATACTTGGATGTACAATTCGAGGTGTATCTAATGCCCTAGTTATAGCATCTTCACGATGCAACAAGTCTCCATTAGAATTGTATCTAGAGATTTAGTCTATTCAGACAGTAAATGCTCTTCTAGTACTGCTCTAATACTGTTTACTGGCTTACCATTCGAACTCAACATGGATATATTCTGTTTGGAGCCCCCATCCATGGCAAACTGTCTCACATACAGCACCATTCTCCTCTCTCGGACATTATCTCGAACCCGTACGATATCATCAAGACAAGCACCCTCACCGGCAGATCCCCGATGCCTAATTGACATCTTCCATTGAGATTCCTCGCCCCCGCCCCACCACCATATCAAGCAAAAGCCTGCAATCCTGGGATAGCTCGATGATCACGGCCTCCACGGAACACCACCTTCCCCAATACAACAATCACCTAATCCATAGCTTCCCTCCTCTGCTATCCTCACCTCGGGGACGATCTGCGCCGACATGGTTACCTGTCACATTGGGTAGTTCTTTACCGGTGACTGCCGCGGACGATGGCATGACCCCACGGGCTGAGATGAAGCCGCGACGGAGCTGGGGAAGAACAGGCTGGCTGATTGTGTCATTCTGTGCCCTGGCGACAGGCGATTAAAGTTGATTAAGCTTAGTGTACTTGATCTCGTTGATTCGATCGATCTTGTCATCTCCACAGTCTTATCGATCTAGTGGTGTTGCGTTAGGCAGCAGTGTTTTGAGGTTATTTTGACGACATGGATGTCTATGGCTTTTGAATGGATGATATTTATATTAAGGTGTAGATATAGTTCTGCAGATGAGGCTATAGATTATCTACTTGTTGAATTGAATTGTATACAAAGCCAATGTACTCTGCATGGTAACAAAGCCAATGTCTTATTTTATGCTTTTGATATAGAATCAACTTTACCCTCTTATTTTACTTTATATTAGTATATTAATTAGAACAAATTTACCACTATCAACATCGACTTCAGTGTCTTCCAGTACGCATAATTGTATCCCAGCCTATACACCATTACACATGTATATTTCCCAAATCCCGGCCACCGTATGCGCCAAGCAACACTTACGAGTCTTATCACCTCCGATCATCCTTTGCAGCATTTATAAGCAGAATTAAATTAAAAAATTAACCGTTTCTGACAGTAATCATGCCATTGAGTCATGGCCTGCCTGAGCGGGCTAGATCTGCCCATCGCGTCTCCACTTGTGACGGAACCCTGCGGCTTGTTCTTTATTCTTCATGGTAATAATATCGGTAGCCACATCGATAGTTGGATTTTGATTTATCATGGGATCCTGTACTTCCGGATGGTTGGAGTATACCTAATTATATTTGTAATACAGATGGATGTGGTATTATGGTGTGTTGGAGTATTGTCAAGCATTACGCTCTGCGTCACAGGGCGACTGCATGGTTTAGCTTTACTTAACAATTACTGTGGACCTTTAGTGTATTCGGTGTTTTCTGACCATCCTTGCGTCAGCACTCCCTCTACTGCCATGTAGTATTCTACAAAATGATAGTGAAACACAATATGTACTATAAACTTATAGTTAGACCCTGATTAGGGCTGAAGCAGCCGCCTTTTCCGGGTGTTTGTGTGGCCAGGGCAGGCCATTTCCGAGCCATCCGGTTGTGCTTCCGGATCTGGTGATAATCTTCGACCACGGAATACAAACAGTTGCCGTCACCATATAAGGTATCGAATTGGCTAATCATGTTGATCCCTATAGTGTCATCAGGGCAAACCGGCGCAAAAGTCCCCAGGTCGCTTATAAATTGAAAGCCCCTCTTCTTCTTCTGCGTATCTTTCTGCTTGATTATTCTCAACATTTTTCCATTCTGCGATTTCCTCCTCCCTCTATACCTCACTCAAAATGGAATCGCCTACCGCGCGCAGCTCTGCGAGCAGCTCTTCGGAAGGTCTTGCCCATGAAAAGGCCAAGATCGTGCCCACGGGGCAGAACATTCACGGATCGGGATCGCCCAAGCGATTCAAAACATTCTGGGCGGCATTCAGACACCTGCAGGGGTTGAGCCAGAAGGAGGTGGATGACTTCATGGCCTCGTACGTCATCTACAACCTGGACTGGTCGGACGAGAAGCAGATGGTGGACACGTTGGGCCCCAACTACCAGGAGAAGGTGGGCGACTGCCTCAAGGCGTACTACGGGGTGCTGAACCACCTGTGCGCGCTGGGCGACGTGGAGAAGATGTACATCCCGCCGCTGGTGAGCAAAAAGGCGACGGTGCTGGAGAACCAGGTGCTGTACGAGCAGTCGATCGCCAACGACATTGGCCTCAAGCCCGGCGATGCGGTGTTGGATTTGGGTTGCGGTCGCGGGCGGGTCGCCGCGCACATGGCGCAGTATTCGGGCGCGCACGTCACCGGCCTCAACATCGACCCGGACCAGATCGCGCAGGCGCGCAGCTTCAACGCTGAGCCCGAACAGGGTGCGCTGAACAATCGCTTCGTTATTCAGGACTTCAACGCCCTGCCACTCCCCTTTGCCGACCAGAGCTTCGACGCCTTCTACCAGATCCAGGCCCTCAGCCTGTGCAAGGACCCCGCCGCCCTGTTTGCCGAGATTTTCCGCGTGCTCAAGCCGGGAGCCAAGATCTCCTTCCTCGACTGGGTCTCACTACCCGCGTATGACGCCGCCAACCCCCAGCACGCCGAACTGATGCGGCGCGTAAAGCCTCTGATCGGCGCCGTGGGGACGCCCACCCCGGAGAGCCTAGAGGCCGCGCTGGCCCAATCAGGGTTTACCGTCCTGCGCTCGGACAATGCAAGCCTCGACGGGCTGCAGGCGCCGCTGATCCAAACGGTCGACGTGTATTTCCGCACCATGCGCCAGGTCATCTTGGCCCTGGTCAAGCTGCATGTGCTGCCCCGGCATTTCAAGACGCTGATTAACCGGCTGTGTCTGGACGGGCAGGCGTTTGTCAAGATGGACAACATGCGCTTGATCACGACCAGTTATCGCATCATTGCCCAGAAGCCCGAGAGGTGAAGCGTCTGATGAACGAAATGATTTTATATAATATACCCTGATTTTACGACCTGCCACTGCTTGAGAGAACACTGCTTAAGAACAGCCATCCTTCAACTGGATGATCTAGCTACTATTTAACAGCTCTCAAGTCATCAGTGGTATTGCATTTTGATTGTTATAGATAGCTATTAATGTTTGAGCAGTTGTATAGTCCCATTGGTGTATAGGTTTGTGTGTCTGTAAATAGAACAGATTCTGTTACCCTCTCTTCTCACTATTAAATTATTTAAAAGCAGAAATATATCGTCAATACATTTTATTTTATTTGATAAAAGGCAAGACTGCGTAGCATCAGTCACACCAATCTCCGCAATTGCAGATCAAACTCTCGCATTATATCATCCCGCATCCATCTCCTGGCTAGCAAATTAGAACAACCAAGGGTCTCCTCTCATCTGACCCTCAACCGGATCTAGTCTGCCGTCTCTCGACTGGGGTATCATTCATAGAGCCGAGTCACCTTCTATCTCAGGTTACACAGACACACTGTAGCTGACTAAATAATCACTCCTACATCCCTCTAGACCCAGTACAGTAAATGCGTTTATTCCGTCTGACTCATATGCAGGGATATCTGCATCTTTGGCACACTTTTGCATCCTGGTTTGGATGTTGCCCCACTTTCCGTCGAGGGTTTACGTTTGTATCGGGGACGTTTGGAGTTTTCATGTAGAATATCGTGTCGGAGAGAATGACTATGAGATGTAGAGGTTGTCTAAATTTCATATTTCCCAGAAACTAGGGGTCTACGCCATTCATAAGCACTATGATCTAAACCAACAAATCCATCATGCGATTTCACTACGTAAGGATTATCAAGGAAGCAAGTAGATATATATTTTATATCACATGCGACACGGAAAATCAGTCAGATGCAACTATTTTGATTAGTAACATCCCGGATTTGTATGTGATGGATTCGATCCAACCACTCAAGGAAAGCACATGACATTTATTATACGATTTTATCCTGTAATAGAGGTTATTGGATCGACAAAATTATGCATAAAAATTGAAATCCAAACCACGTCATCGTGATTGTGTAAAATTGATCTTCGCGGGGGTGTGATTTTGATGCTTGAACAGACCTGCTGTGTCCCTATCATTCTTGTACGGATTAGTGCAACAGTAATCATCTAGAGTATATTGCTGTTTCTCAAATACGTAAGTTCTATACTATGTGGAATTTACATAATGACTTGATTGGAGACTTGTGGCGGGTTCCATGCCTCCGTATGGGGATGTACTTTTATACTCCCTCATTTTTTGCCACATTTCCAAAGAATAAACTCGATAGAAACAGCAAAGCACATTGTGGTAGTAGTTCCGTCCTCAAGGTATACCGAAAATATAATTTATACGCCAAACTATGCATAAGATTGACTTCAGATAGCAAAAGTCCGATTAACAACACCTATATGCAAGCATCCTAAACATCAACCACTGATATCTCAGCTGCAAGGATCAGGGATATTGCTATCCAATCATGGGCCCTGGAATTCGTTATGGATGGTGCCTAAATTAAGCTTAATTAGACTTTCAGGGGTGCGCAAACAGGTAGGACAGTGAGAACAGCACAGCAAGTGTTGATTGTGTGACGCAAAGCTGATGTTCTGAACTATTATAAATATCTTGGAAGGTATTGATTGGGTATATTATACCATTTTACTTTGAGTGTATATTGTGCTATGTAGATTGTGTGGCGAATTTTACAATGATTTAAAGATAGTAGTTGTTAGTCAACATGACACATTATATGGGCTCTACCATGACTCTAGCTACCCGACACTATTACTAGGAATAGCATAGTAGAAATGATAGGTAAGCAAGTAACCGTCTACCGTATTCGACCAAGCTACTGTCTGATGTATCCTCTATGGAGCCGTTGTGTCGTGGCACCCAGTCCCTCAAACTGGACATACGGCTATTCGACAACAAAGCATAAGCACACAAGTACCATCACCATATGTATTGTATACCCTACGGAAAGTTGGCATTAATAGAGTCAAAGAGCCTGTGACTTGGACATTGTCCATCTGTTGAACTATGATCTTATCGCACCAGAATGAGGAGGAGCATTCCGTAGCGGAATAGATTGATCGAATAAATGGCACTGTTGCCTATTTTAATTCATTCGATGCAGGTATTATATGCGAAATTACTGTCCATGGGCACTGCTTACCATATCACACAGATGTCGTTTGATCTGGCATTCTTCTACACGGCCGTAGCTGAGGCCCTGGAGATGCGCTAACGGCAGACAATTGATCCTAAACTATTATGTATTCTACAAATTCGAAACATTATCCCGTCTGGGCAGTTAAAGATCGCCCTACCACGCATAACCTGCCACGCAACGATATTTCATGAGGTTGATCCGGGACCAAATGTCGATCCATGCTGACAGCTCACCACCATGGATGGATCATCGATAATCTATTGGATGTTGATGAGACTAAGAGGCTGTATGACTCAATGAAGAAGGCTGTGCAACACCAAGTCACAGTTGTTATAGATATATAAGGCGACACCCCATAATAAAAGTTATACAATAGTATCTACACATCTTGAATACCAGATTCAAAATGGGATTGACAGCAGAAGACCGAGATGACTCTCAATATCTCATCCTCCAAGATCTCTTCAACGACAAGATATCCGCAAAAGCAGCCGCCGACCAACTCGCCGCATCGACAAACCTAACCCATTCATCAAATCTCGACTGTCTCTGGTATATGGTAATAAGATGCGCCTACGAGTTTCCCTCCCAACAAGATAAGCTCGTCGACGCCCTAGTCCAACTGTCCAAACTCCCCGACGCCACGGAAAACGACAAACCCATCATTCTGAATAATGAAAAAGTCTGGAAAGACATGCCATATCTAGGTTTTGCGTTCCGGGAAGAATGGAATATGTCCGTACCAGAGGGCCCTCAGGAGCATCGTCAGCGGGCGATTTGCGATCTCATCAATCGGGACCGATTCGCTGCGTTGCTGATGGTGACCGAAGAGCCGGCGTTTAATTACTCGTGGTTTGCGCTGATTGCCTTCCGTGAGGCGCTGGAGAGACCGATAAAACAATTGGACACCTGGAATCCGCGCGAGGCGGCGATTCCGGCGGCAGCAGCGTGGATTGAGATTCTGGGGGTGGCCATATATGACTGGGAGGACGATTGGTCTGGGCGTGTGCGCAGTGCGCCGGGGAGAGGAGGGCCGCTGTGGAAGGGGAAGCATGGGTTTTGTAGAGAGAGATGGGCGCTTTGGAGGCAGAGGTTTGGAGAGATATCGAGGGGGGAGGGGGAGCTTGGAGAGGAGCTGAGGGTGATGGCAAGAGATGCAGAGCAGATGATGATGGAGATAGAGAATGGAGATGTTGAGTGAGAAATAGTATCTTGAGCATTGGAATTATTTTAATTGATGGTGTTAATCCATTTTTCGACATCTTGCTGTGTTTGCACATAACCATCCTCATCATTATAATAATCGTCATGGACATAGCCACGAGACTCGACGACGCGGATTCGGGATGTTCCAATGTTCTTCTGAGCGATCATTCATAGTGATACTTCTAGACAAGATATCAGCCAATAGAAGTGAGGTAAAACGGTGAGTTTAGAATAATCTAAATCCAAGACATTTACTCCCTTCTGTCCAGTTGGCCCCTTACCGTCTGCCAGTGGCCCACTTTGTATGGGAAATCAAAAATGCACGGACCACCGCATACAAAATGGACTCCCCCAGAATGACTTTCGGACACGCGAACGATTGCACACACGATTGCCGTCCAATTGAGGTCGGTGGGTTTATATGGAACAGGGGAGGGGGTATTTCCAAAGTGCAAATCAAGGTGGTGCCTCGTAGCTCATCTGTCGCCGCAGGCCTAGCAGGCCGAACACAGTTTTTTAGGCAGTGAAGCTCGCCTCCTAGGCTCCAACGATAGGGCCCATGGTGAAAGATACCCGCATGCCTTTGGATTGAACGTAGTAAGCCGTGTCATCATACCATGACCGACCGCGTCTGTTGATTCGAAGGAATCACTTGAATGGTTCCGAATTCCCCAAAATATGCCTATATTGCCAAATTGAAATTTGCCTAGAAAGCCGGATACTGGAAGTGTTTCCAACGTCGTGATCCTCACTTCATCTGTAGATAATACAAGACGACGAGGATAGATTTGGGTGACATGACGGAGTTATGGAGAGGGCAATGCCTTTCGAAGACTTTTCTCGACTTCTGTACCTTTCTTTTTGAGGGGTTTGAAGAATTCGGGTATCGCTGAGTTTTTTCTGGCATTTCAAAGGCTTCGACTGAGGTTAAACTTGGGTATAAACGCGAGAACCGGGGCCATCATAAAACCTTTGAGCAAGAGAGCGACCGAAGAAAGGACTTCGTTTTGCAGTCCTTCATGACTTCATACGTTGCGTCGCAGTATCCGAAAACGGACTTTTGTTTTGAGCATTTCCTCATTAAGAGTCCAGAACATTTGCAAATGGCCAGAACAGTCTGCTGCCATATTCTTCACCATCCATTGAATATGAATGGGTAGATATATTTTATCCAGCCATATCGAACTTCACGCGTCATACAAGGATGTTCTCTGCAATTCGACAGTGTCTCGTAATATCTGGCGGTTGAGTCGTGGATTTCGATTCTCGGAATGAAAAGTTTGTCTTTTCTTTTTTCGAGCTATCAAGATATGATTAGCAAACTACGTAGGAGTTTGGAGGATATCGTCCATTCATCAAATCCCAGGATGGGATAGCTCTGACAATTTCGGAGTAGAAGGCAGAATGGCGATGACATGATCATGAATGAGGGCAGGAGTAAGAAAAGTCGAGAGGGATAATCCAGGGGGAAATAAAGAGCCGTTGGATAGCTATCACTAGCCAAGTGAAGTGCCTGGTGAATACTCCTTCCATTCCCCTCCACCAGAGGGGCAATGACACTGGAATTCTATGATTACTATGACTTCTATGAAAAGTCGAAGTAAGGCAAGTGGCAATGTTGACTGATGTATATCATTCCAGAATTCATAAGCAGATCAAGTCAGAGTACCCACATGTGATTGGCATCCGTGCTATCTGTCGATCGTGTACACTATGCGTGTACTATGTAAGGGTGTGGGATTGCCCTGAAACTACGGGCGTTTTTCGTCATGAACACCCCACTCGCCTGTCCCTGTTTCAGGGGCGACTCAGCCTACTTGAATGTCTTTTATCTCCTTGGCCTTGATAGTTTCCCATGCGTGATTAATTTATGATGACTATCGTTGATAGGGAACTTGGCGCTTGGCAGGGGCTTGGGGAGTACGTACTTTGAGTATGTGGCCTATCGTCTGATGCGACCTACATAGTCCATAGTAGTAAAATCAGAAGACACGGTCGCATGGTGTTGATTACGTGGAATATCGTGGGAAAAGCGCTTAGGATCATTGTTTGATGTCAGTCTAGCCAGAAATGTCACAGAACCAAGTTTCAGCTGGACGAGGTTGCATTTGGCTCTTCGATGATTTCTGCGGTGTAACTGTTGGGACATGGCACATGCTGAGGCAGTCGCTGAATAACGCATGTCAAATCCTGTTTCATTAGCTGAGCATCCTGATTTACATAGTATTATTCTCCTAGTCATCAATTGTTCTGGAATAATTTAATTTACTAATGGTGAAGATAGGAAATATTCTGAAAATCCCTCAGGAGTGAATAGTTCCAATTATAGACAAGCTTTGTTGTACGCGTTTTTACTGGCTGAAGCTACCAAGTGCTTGAGTGGGGCATGCCAATATTCCGATCTGCGAATCATATTTTTTATTGGCTTTTTTTCGATGCTGGTGATTCAGATATTTGCAAAATATTAATTCCATATGAGCAATGATGCGTTGTCAGTGGCTGGGAAGGCTGCTGTCGTAAGAACACATCATGGATGATTCACAATGAGGAAATCTCGAAGCGACCAGGTCGGTTGCGACGGCACCGCGTGGTGAAAATTTTTTGTATGAGGGTTTTGATAAGGCGATGAGTCAGGCTAAGCCCGAGTCGATCATCCCACTGCGGTCTAGTCCGTCCATCGCCATCGGATCCAGCGTGCCGCCCATTATTTTTGGCGTTCCCATGATCGGGAAAAATCAGAGCAAAAATCAACAAAAAGGAGCCCTGGAAGTTATATAAACGGACGCTGGCTCCGTCCATCGTTTCTCTCATCCATCAGAATCATTCTTCCTTTACAAACCTACAAACAATTGGAACAATCCCTCAGTCCACCAAACAATTCCATCCTCTCCAAACAATCAAACCACAACAACCACATTAAAAATGACTTTCCCATACCCCATGATCGGCCAGGAGACCTACCGCTTCTCCAAATCGCGCCAGAACACTCCTGCCACAACTCCTGCAGTGACTCCTTTGGCCACTCCTGCTGCTAGCCAGCTCGATGTCAGCACCCCGGCGAATGCCTCTCGCAGCAGCTCTACCTCAAGCCTTGGATGGAAGCAAAGAATCTCGCGACGGTATGTTCTACTCATGTTTTGGTTGATATCTATTCAATACTAATTACAATAGATTCCACTTTTAAGTGATTGCGACAGCCATTAGACATGGCACAACTTTACGAAAATGAGGCATACGCTCAGGCGATAGACTGGTGTTGGTGTTTGGGTCTGATTTCATGATTATATCTTATACCATATTAATAATTAATGTCAAAAATAAAATACAATAACCATATACATCACCTACATTAATCACTATTACTTCACCTTCATCTATATTGTAATTGACTTTAAAACTCTTCCTGTCAACCGCAAACAGACAATAGACTAAGTTAAGCTCTCGGAATCGCGGCTGCGACGATCGGCGATCGGAAAGGCGGCACTGAGTGGGTCTTATCCAGCCACAGCCATCTATTCCCATTTCTATTGGCTGGCGGGGATTTTCCTTTGAATTACCTAATATCCCAGCTTCATCCTATTTTATGCCTGCCACCTGGCTCTGCTGTCTTCCCGGCTGAATTGGCCCTGTCCATCAAACTCTCTTTTTCTCCTGCCTGCAGCACACCAATCATCGCATCCTGCGCTTTAATCCGATCACCCATTGTCACATCCTCAATTTTCCCTTCTCGGGTCTGCCGCGACCGCATCATCCCGACCATCGCTTCATGTAGCGGTGTATTCCCCTTGTTATTCGGGCACTCACATCCGACCCTCGACTAACTAACCAGAAACTTCGCCGCATTCACCTGTCCCAAGTTCCTCGCCAGAATGTGAAGAGCGGTGTTGCCATCCGCGTCGGCGTGGTCTATGCTAGCACCATGGCGACCAGCCCGTCCAGCATGGCAGTGTTAATCAGCTCGCCGTCCACAGAGCGCGAAGCTAGTATGTGTAACGCAATCTGTCCATTGTTGTTTTCTAGCCGCGCGTTCCCCCGTTTTCGCATGGGAATTTTGTGGTGAGGTGGGAGTCGCTGTTTCCGCATCCGGCGTGGCTTCCTGTCGCGTAGTGCAGGGCTGTCGATCCCTCCTTGTCTTGGGTGTCTATGGTGTTGGGGTTTCTGGTGAGGAGGATGTTGAGTCTTTTGGTTATATGGGAAGAAATTTCTTCTTCAGAGAGCATGTTGCAACGCACAGATTGTGCACTGCGGCAGCCCAGTGCAGTGGAAGGCGCCCGTTGCTATCGCGCGACGATACCACATTTGCAGTATCGTTGTCGACGTCGCTGTCTCTGTCGCATTGATCGAGCAGCGCTTGAATTCCTTCCACATTCTAATACCAGCTATCAAGGTGAAGAGCAGTGACATTCTCAGCTACGGTCCTCCCTCTTCCAAATCTAGTATTTCCATTGTCGCTGTATTGCTGCTTTGCATATATATCAGCACCATTGTCAACCAGCCGTTTCACTTGTAACTAGCATGGGAGATGGCTACAGTATCAACCGGCTGCGCCTGTCTATCTTCATCGTTTTGCTGGCCGCGGTTGATGGTAATAGCGTCGCGAGCGGAAGCGCCCATATCGAGGAGCAAGTTTATCAATTCCTCGCCACGATCAATGCGATCGCTTATCCAATCCTGTCTGACGTTATCATAATTCCCTCCGTTCCAAACCAGATAAACAAGAGAATCAGTAGCACACAGCAACGCCGTCTTACCATAACCATCTCTATCATGAATATTCAACGAGGTTTGGCTATCCAGCAGAAACCGCACCGTCTCAAGCTGCGCATATCGACACGCCACATTCAGCAAGAGATATCCTCGCTCGTTGAGCGGTTGTGTTGACTGAGCTGCATCCACCTTATAATGATTAAGAAGCAGGCGAAGAGCATCCGTGCTTCCATGCGTCGCGGCAACCCAGAACGGGTCGTAGTAAGCCGCTTCATCTGGGGCCAGGGCATGTCTAAGGTGTTTTGCAATATATCGCTTCAGAATAGGCATGTCATTGAGCTGGACTATTTTGAGTAAAAGGCCACTATAATCTGTTTTGTAGAGAATAGCGCCGTTGGTGTCGAGCAGCGTAACGTTGGAGGCATCGGTCCGACGAGTGTGGAATTCAGTGTATGGCATTATTCCGTCTAGAATTATTTTCAATGTTTCTGTTTTATGCTACTGTGAATTTTTGTTTTTTTTTTTTCGAGTCAAAAAATATTTTATTGGCATGGGTGGAGATTGGCTACATAATAGTAGGTGAGCCCATGGAACATATATAGATGACAGCGGCCCCACCGTAGAACATGACAGAAGGCTTGTTGAGTATGATAAGAACTTGCGTCTGCAACTACTGTATATTTGCAATTTCCGAATAGAAGTATGATTTGAGATCTTATCTAAAAGTGCAGCTCATTCCATGCACGCAGTTGTACTGCATATGCCATGCCCCTTGGTTCATGTAGCCAATTCTTTCGCCGCGACATCAAAAGGCCAAAATCATCATATCCTCGATTCCAATGCAGCTAACACCCACGCCCTGTTCAATCAAGTGTAAACGACGCTGAACCTCCTTTGTCCTGCGTACAATCCGCTCAGGTTGATAAATCTCGTCCAACGAAGTAACAATGACGGCCTCCAAGCGCCCCAAAAACTCAGCCTTAGCCTTCCCAAAAGCAGCATCGCTACCCTTCAAGATCGTCTTCAACTTGCCCGCATACGGCTTGACAAGCACATCGATCTTCCCCTCAATGGCCATCGCAAGATCAAGCTGTTCCGTCAACTCGGAGACGTCATTTTGCGTACGGCGGAAAAGACCATACTGCAGACGAAACGTGTCGCGGAAGTACCCAAAATGGAACTCATGCTTGGCCTTTCCGACACGATGCGCTGCGAGTTCGCTCCAGGGATAGAGGGCGCCGTGGTATCCGTACTGCGCGCCGCTGGGGTCGATGGCCCAGACTTCGCCGTTAAGGAGGGTGATGCGGTAGACGTTGTGTCCTGGGAAGTGTCCGAATTGGTCACCGCCGTTGGCGAAGCAGGTTTTGATCGAGAGTTTGTTGTTGGTGGCTTCGAATTGGATTTCTTCGACTGTGAAGGAGATGTCTATACACGGTTAGCACTGTCTCTTGTCGATCTGTGGTAGAAGATTTGGAGCGAATATTACCCATCAGGAGCGCTGCGACAAAGGCGTAGAGATACACCATCGCCTCCGAGCATCCGATATACACCAACGCCGCGTCCAAGATGTCCTGACCGCCCTTGACATCAGCGGAGAAGGGTGTCAGCTGTCGTTGGAGACGTGATACTTCTCCTTTGTATCCTTCGAGATATACAGTCGAGCCAACAGCACGCACGGTCGTGAACTGAAGAGGATAGGCATGGAGACGAATCCTGTAAAAGATAGCTTGAAGGAATGAGGCCGCTCGAGAAAGAGTCTTGCGAGTCTGCAGACGCTTGCAGTTCGTTTTGTGTCTGTCCCAGTCGCTCTTCTGACAAACTCGGCTGCAGTAGAAGGTTGGCTGGGGGGTTTCTTTGTCGTATCTAGGAGCGTCTGAGCATCCACTGCATTTCTTCGTAGTGGAATTCTGGCAGTGGGCGCAGATGGAGGGGGCAGAGGAGGGGTTCTCCATTGCTGTCGGGTCGTGGTTGTTGGGAGAGATGTAGAAAGGTGGAGGGGAAGTCGAACAGATTAATTGTCTTTGTGCGTCTTGTTGCTGGGGAAGCGCTGGTTGGACCTTTCATTCACTGATCGATCGATATCAATTCCTGCAAAGGTTACTTCCACTAGGCACCACAAGAAGTTTTTGGAGGAACTTTTAGAAAGAATCATAGTATGACTAAGAAGTGAGTGGAAGATGAGGTAGTAATGTTCTAGAACAAAATGTACGGAATTAAACCTGATGTCAAAGCTGAAATCACAAGTCGACCTAGACTCCTAGGTGAGGCTGTCATGTCACCTTTTAAGCCTAGTGGAATTTGACTGTATTCACTCGATTCTATCCCGGTGAGGTGACGATAAGGGTAACTCAGAGATAAATGGAGGATGTGATAACAACGATATTTTTATTGAAGGACTCGAATATCGTATTTCATTCAAATCTAAACTAGACAATCAATCTAAAACATCATGCATACATAACCGTCATTCGTAAGTGGTCAAACAGCATCCCCAAACTATAGAAAACTGCTATATAGAAACATCGTTGCAGGGCATAATCGTGTGATCGCATGTCAAAAGTATCCGATCAGTATGGGTCATCAAACGGATTGAATCGTTAAGCGCTTGTCGTCAAATACTACCCTGTATCGTCAATAGTTCAATCCAATCGGAGAGATCCATCGCGATCCTCAGCCTTGTCGAGAGCATCAGTAACGCGAGATCCGTCTCCCTCGTAGAGAAGACCATCGTAGACTACAGCACCGACGATGCAGCCAACAATCGGGGCGATGATAGGAACGATGAAGTAGTAGTTATCGGAAATGAAGACCTCTCTACCATAGACGATAGCAGAGAAAAGTCGTGGACCAAAGTCTCTCGCGGGGTTGATGGCCTAGAGATAATCAGTAAGACCAGGTTTCCTTTATAGGGTCAGAGGAACATACATATCCAGTCTGCCAGCCCAACGCAGCACCGATAGCAAGCAGGAGGAGAAACATGGAGAGCTGGGAAGAGTGGAACCGAGACTTATTGATCGGGTCTGCGATGCTGAGGGCGCCGAACATGAGAACCGCTGATCCGAGCCATTCAGAGAATGCAGCCTCCCAGTTGGAGGTGAAAAAGTCGGACGGATACGTCGAGAAGATACCAGCGGAGTGGTGTCCCTTTGGACTCAGAATTGAGCCACCGGGGATGGTGTACTCGGGATCCCAGGCCTTGATGGCCGATCGGTAGTTGATATAGACAATGGCGGCACCGACAAAGCCACCGAAGAACTGGGCAAACAGCGTTCCTGGCAGCTTTTTCCACTGTCCGCGAGAAGGACGAATGAGAGCCATGGCAATAGTGACAGCCGGATTGATGGCAGGACTGGGATCGGAAAGATATCCCGACAGACAGACAGCAGCTGCCCATGCGATGTTAATCGACAGCCAGGTGCCATACTGGTAGTCGGACAGGAGGCATTGTGCGACCACGCCGTCTCCAATGACAATCAGCAGGGCTGTTCCAAGAAACTCAGCCACATATGGCTTCAGAGCTCTACGAGAGAGGTTAGGCAAGCGAAACATTGTGTCTTTGCGTCAAGCAGGGGATTTGAGGAGGTTGTTTTGGAGTTGTTTTGAGGGGGAAAAGAGGGGAAATCATTGTTATCTTGTTTTGTTCACCGCCAGTCTGCATGCGGCTTAGCGTGGTGGATCCACGATCGACCCGTTATGGATTTGTATAGCTTCATGTTGTCCAGAATAGTATAAATCAAAACAGATATCATCAATCAACACCATAGAGTACGATTGCATATCGGATCAAAATAATAATATTATGTGATTAAGGAGTGACTAAAACATAACCAAACTCTCCTGATTGCTATACCCAACCCCTATTTCTTCCATTGATATCACTCGCAATGACATCCAGATCAAGCCCAGCAGTTAATCACCCCACCGTCCAAGTTAATCGGATAAGCAGACCCTGCGTATGCATCCAGATCAACATAGGTGTGCTGAGCAGTAAGGGTATCGATTGTGACACCGTTATTCTTCAGCGTACAGACGACGGTTTGAGGGAAGGCAGTCAGCTGGGCAGAGGAAGCAAGAACATGTCCATCAGCAGCGACGGAAGTGCCGGCAAAGAGGGAGGAAAGGTACTGGTCGGTGCCATCGGCGTGGAAGTTGACGCTGGCATAGGCACCGGACTGGTCGTTGGAGAGGGCAAAGGTGACTTGGTTGGCTTCGCGGGTTTGAAGGGGAGAAGCTGCAACGGAGGCAGTGAGCAGGGAGAGGACGGTGGTGATGGTGAACTGCATTTTGGTTGATGTTGCTGAGTGAGAATGGATTGTATTGATGGTTTGATTGTTGAGGATGTTTTGGATGATGAAGCTGTCAGGTAGGAACGCTGGCTTTTATATCTTTGCTATTACATATAAGGGACACCTTCAAGTCTACAGTCAATTGTGCTTACCATGTCGCATGATCAAAGTCTCAGATCGCCTGCCTAGAATACATACGAACACTGCAGGTAAATTTCGATATCAAAAATAGATCCATTTCAACCATAAGACATGCATGAGAATATACTCAGTAGACCATATACTTCAGGCCCACCAAAGTAAATCTACCAAACCCCACACTCTAAAATACTAGATGCAGATGATCAAGTGCATCTCGTATGCAGTAAGCAAACGTGGAAGCCAATCCGCGGTTCGAATTACGAGGTGGCTTGAGACCCCGCCAATTCGATCGATCTGACATTCTAAAGTGGCGTGACTCGGCGAGTATTAATGCAAGGATATGCTGGATGGATCATAAAGTGTAATGATGCCATTCAGGTGACTTGGTCCGGATGCAGGTAAGACATTCGTATTCTACACTTTGTCTTTCGTTCGAAGACATTGTCCGTAGGCTACAATTATTACTTCGAGGACATCATTTTTGAAGTGGTTGTCATAGTTAGGCAGCAGTTGTATTCGTTCTAGTCACGATAATTACAGGATCCATCCTTGCGAGCAGTAGATATTAAAACCAGTAAAAAACATCCTCAGGTTACACGACCTGATGATTTGCACAGTTTCGCCTCAAGGACAGCACTTCTCCCATCCAACACACTATCCACAGCGTCTGGTAATAGCTATGCCAACTCAGCCACTGTCGACGCACATCCAGCCCAGATACTCCCCCCGGACGCAGCAGCAGCAATACCAGGATAATTAGGCGACTGCTGAGATGACGCTCCCAGCTTCTTGCTTATCATCCTTGATCCATACCCGTTCGATTGAACAGCCAACGGAGCTGGGCGAGGAGCAGCCCATCTCTCGTTGTTCAGCATGATGGTAAGCACGGGGATCCCATACCGGTGAGATATCCAATACACAGAGCTGGGAATGGAAGACATATATCCCCCGTCGCCGACAATCTGGCACACGAATTTCCCCTTCCCTTTGCCTCCACGCAGGAAGTCAGTGGCTAGTTTGATGCCTAGTGCACCACCACCAGACCATCCATGGCCTCCGCCACAGGTAAACCACGACTTGGGATGTGTGGCTGCGACTTGATTGGCCACGATGGATGATAAAGTAGCCGCTTCAACGGCCCAGATTGTATCTTCGGGACAGAACTTGCGGACTTCTTTTATCAGATGGAATGCGTTGAGGGGATCGCGCGGACCGTAGACGGGGATATGCTCGTTGGAAAGTCTGCGGTATCTATAAAACCCATCGCGATAGCTCATCGTTTGGGCGATTTGGGATTTCATGAGAGCGCAGTTATTGATGCAGCGGTTGAGTTGTTTGAATGACATGGCCGAGTCGGCGCGAAATGTTGCCAGAGAAGGAATGTCGCAGAGAGTCATCTGCGGTTTCAATGGATCGATGTCAATATGGAAGATCTTTGCGGAACCTGACGGTCTGCATTGCGTAGACACCCATGGAACATCGCAGTCAAGGACTAGGATGACATCTGCCGTTGCGACTGCTGGATGTGCCCCCCATCGTGTTCCTAAAGACGCAGGATGGTTTGCTGGGAAGGACATTTCACTGCCGCCCATGCTCAACACGTGAAGATGCTTGACAGTGTCGGCCAATGCAATCAGATTGCTCACTGCTTCTGGATTTCGTCCTGAGTAGCTGGTGATAATGAGTGGTTCGTCTGCGTAGACCAGATGATTCGCGATCATCTCCACCCCAAAATCGGACAGAGGCGAAGGCGATACAGACACTTTCAATGATAGACTCGGTATACTTTCAACCTCATCTGCCAGTATTTCCCTCGCAGCGGTTAGATAGACAGGGCCCTTAGGTTCACTATTCGCAAACTGTATTCCCCTGTTAACAAATTGCCGGATATTCTTCCCCTTCGTAATCTGCTCCGTGTATCGGCAATACTGCGAGGCAATTTGTCTCTGATCAGGCAAATCTGGGATATACTGCTTATAGTCAGACCGAAAACCGGCCGTTTCCCCGTTCAGTGCTATAGACGACAGTTCCGCAAAGACGAGCACCGGCACTCGTCCAATCGAGGCATTATGCATCGCAGCACCCAATTCCTCTGTTCCCACGTCGCCACGCACAAAGATAGCTTGCATTTTCCCTGTTAATCGGGAAAAGCCATCTGCCATGGACACCGCGACAAACTATATACGCCATGAGTTTCCACTCAAAATATGGATGCTGATGGCTCACCTCTGTCGGACACGTTACAATCTTGGGGAAGCGATCTGGTCTGGTCTTCTGACCGACTCCAATGGCTCCCAAGATCGAAGGATTATCGAAGCCAAAGACGACAAATACATGACTAACTCCGGCCTGGAGAGTCGGTCAGCATGTCTTTATGACGAGGGTGAGGATATTCGAACCTCCCAGAGTGTCTCGAGGAAGACAAAGGCAGCAGTGGATGACCTGCGGAAACATGAGCCATTTGCATTTAAATAGGATGAGAATAGATTTCGTAGAGAGTTATACATCCTGGGTAGTTGCATTGTTGCGGATCTATAGCAGAAGCGAATGAAGATCGATGGTTTCTGGTATATTATAGTTGTAGAATGGCACTGTGACAGTATAAATAGCTGCCAGATTATGATGATTCATAGATAATCGTGATTTCATAGCAGATGCCACAAAACGTGACTAAATGAAGATGGTTGAACAGAATGTCGTGTAACCCACAATATAAAACTGTCACGAGCTGTCTAGACCAAAAGCTTGACAATACACATGGTGGCCTGGATGTGGAGATGCTATACACATTGCAGAAGGCAACTGTAATAATCGCAAGAAGAGCACAAATGACATAGTGTACCCGTGACATATGTAGCATGTATCTGCCATGTCAGTGAACGCACACGCAAGGGACTACATATGACATCTACCCGTTGTACGGCAGGTACAATCATCGTCCTTGATAGATATGATATCCTCGCAATGGCCTCATATATCATCAACAGCCATGTATCCCTGCCCTATCGATGTCCAACGCCTCAACGTCAGCCTGTAGAGAACTGCAGTATACCTCCCAAATAGGAATTGTAGCTCATTACTAGGTTCGGTGCTATGTAGGCCACTAAATGTGGAATAGAGTTGACCCTATCACAGTCCTCTATGGACAGGGGAAGGCTGTGTCTCAACTCTATAGAACGGCAACCGTCGGGTGGAATAAGCATAGTTCCATTGACCCGAATAGCAATCCGGCATCTGGCCAAAATGCTATTGCGACTTATCGATATCTCTATATCCACCAATGGAAAAGACGAATACTATTTCGACCTCCATCATACCTATGGAAAGACGCTCTTTATGACAGCATCTGCGATAAGTGCTCTATATAATAGCCATAGATTGATGAATATCCATCTTAAACTGGTTTACTATGTTTTACTATGTTGCAGATACAGCAGGACGATCAAGAACGGTGAAAAAGGCCATAATAGGCGAAGCTGGGACAGCCGGTTGGGATTCTTCAATCCTGCAGGATAAAATACAAAAGGAGAATAAGAATACCTTACTGGTGCTACTGGATGAAAGAAGCGTTATTAAATCGGAGGTTGTCGGGAATACCTCGGTGAGGTTTTATTGCATTGTTCTGCATGTTATTTCAAATCATCTACTTGCTATCATTTATATTATTTAATGAAAGTAGACATTGCCCATTTATTTCAGCATTAAACTGCACTAATTCCCCATAGCCTACGACCCCTTAGTCCATTTCTTTGACTTGGTTTAATCACTGTAAATCATGGTACGCGTAGATTTGACATACTGTGTAATATAAACTCCTTGCTTCTGCTAACACGTGGAACTTGATCAGCTCCTGCCTATTCAGGACAGATCGGGATTTGGATAGCTATAGTGACATCATCAGCTCAACGCCATAATGGAAGCAGTCCTGAGGCAGAAAGCAGTTGAGGCATGATTTTGTATTATATTCGAAATATGACCATCAAGTCTATTTTAGGCAATAAGATATAACTTTATTCTCCATCCAACCATAGCAAAATGTGAATCGGGCTAACCCGAAACGGCCACACGTTGCGCTGCTCAGCCTTGTGAAGATCATCTGCTGCAGTAATGTCAGCAGAATAAGAAGTTATAAGAAGCGTGTACTCAGCAATGAGTCTTAATATTATTTCTAATCTCAAATCAAACGGTGAATATTCTATATACTCATCACCACTTCCACAATTACTTGGTAAGTTACGTCCACCGCTTCATGTATCCGCCACTCACACTAAGTCAGCAAAAATGTGCTTCGGATCCAGCAAAGACACCGATCACGATCCCTACTGGTGGGGATATATCGACGACGGCCAAGGATGGACAGCCCGTCGCAAATCCGAGTATATGAAAACGCCCGAATACAACAAAGACTTGCGACGTCAGATGCGAGAGCAACGAAAGGCAAATGGGGGTCGTGTTGCGGTGCCTAGCTCTGCGTATAGGAAGAATTACTGAGATATAACACGACATAATGGCTGGATGTAGTGGGATGAATTGATATGAGATTTGATGATAATGATTCTCGTTTTCTGCTTTTATTGTCGATAAATGTACTTTATTTACTTTTGAACACGGATGAAGTTTGCATGTATACACAGCCCTCGACAAATACGTCTGAAACCATGGTCGACATAAACTATACCATAGTATCTAAATCATTCAAGAAGGCATCCTCCATATACTCTCCTATACCCCGGAATCTCATATCAGAAAAGAACCACTCTCTCTGCTCCACCACCTTATCTATAGGCACTGCACTAGCACCTGTGATATTCCACTCATCCATATACGCAATCGCCCGTTGAACATCATCTAGTTTTTCATCCTCCACTGCCTGCAAGATATTCTCCGTCGTCTTATGTGTGACAGTAAACCTCTTTCTGTAAAAGTGTTCCACAGTTTTGATCGCCTCATTCCATGTCTGTATATCTCCAACAACATATGTATGCCTCTCCCAGGTCCCAAAAGGGGCATCGAGCAGCTTGACCAATGCACGGGCGACATCTCGAGCGGAGGTCCATCCAACCGGTTCATCGCCTGTTCCTGGCACAGTTGCAGTCAAAGTATCCAGATCCAGAGGCAAGATGCCAGGGAGAGGCTTCATGTACGATCGGGCTTTGGTGGTATCGAAGATATTGTCTGGTTGGTTGCCATGGCTTGACCCGCCGTATGGAATGATGGTAGGATCAACTTTGCTGCCCTGTACGAAATAATCCATAAACCAGCCCCCTTTGACGACTGTCCATTCTACATCTTCCACGTTGGCGAGAGTATCCCTGAATACGCGATGAGTCGAGTCGTAAAACCGTGGAAGATACGGGAAGCGATCGATATCACCGCCATAATCGGATGGGATGAATCGTTTGCAGTGCTCGCTCATTTGACATGCTGTGAGCATAGCTTCGTGAGCTGTGTTATAGTGAGCTGGGTCGTTTGAGTGGAGGAATGAGAAGAGGGCAGTTGCGTTGGTTTGTTGAGGATTGACAGGATGGATGAAGCTGTGTAGTCTGAGACATGCAGCTCAATGTGTGGGTTTGTAGTAAACCATGGTCGATTGGAGAGAGAACGTGTTAACACTGCCATACGAGGTGGTTTCGATGGATTTGAGGCGATGAGTTCTTCAATCAGGTATTTGGAGACATCGCTGGCACCGGCGATGGCGATGGAGGACATCCTGTGTAGAGTTGATAACAGTATCCTATGTCTTTGTATAAAATAAAAGATGTATTATTTTTATATGTCATTGTATCGGAGAGTATCAAGGCGGAAATATCAAACAGTCCGATTCGGCGACTTATAAAGGATCGACAGCGGAGACTTTATCTCACCAACAACACAGCAAGTTATTAAGAATTACAAAAAGAAACGAGCATTAGCACTAGCAATAGCAAATACGCAGTCCATTTGAAATACTGCATCACTCATCCACATCATAGTAATTCTCCGTCCAGCTCTTCATCATCTCATCCAAATCCTCCACCGGCATCCCCATCTCCATCTTCCTCTCAATCGTAGCCTCATATCTCTCCCTCAAAACCGCCAGCGCCACACCCTTTAGCTCCTGCAATTCCTCCGCACAGATACTATCCTTATACTGGCTCCTATACACGCCGAGTTGTTCTTCGAGGCCATCAAGCTCCTCCATTGCTGCACTGTCGTTGAAAGCGAATTCATCGCCCATGCAGACCGGACAGGCCTGGTCGGTGCCGCAGTTCCCCCTGAGTTCGGGGAATAGCTGTCTGGTGTCTCGGCATCCAGGACAGATCCAGGTTGTTGTGTCGCAGCTGGGACAAGAGTTGTTGAAGTAGTGTTTGAGGACGTCGCTGTATAGCATTAGCATGTTGCTTGGTGATGGGAGAGAGTGCATACCGTCCATGGGGTCTGGGTAGAATCATCATATCTTCCTGCTGCCCGTCAGCTCGTCGCCAAGGACGAGTCATAGAATCTAGAGCGGAAGAGAGTAGCGTCTGAGAGCCATCATCGCCATCATCCCCATTCCCGTCGCAGCTGTTCGATAGGCAGTAGTTATGCTTCCAAGGCTCGCCTTGGTTCACATAATACACATCCGGGCCAGACAGTGCCCAGTATCCTTTATGGTCTGGGATATGGTAGTAGACATTCTGGACTGTGATTGAGGATGTGTTGGAAGTGGGCTCATTGTTTGCTGTTGATCTGACAACGAGCATCTTTGCACTGTGGGTTGGTGTAGACGAGGATGAGGTCGTCTGAACGGACTTCTGAGGGAAGGGCTGAGGGTGACATGTTGATTTATGCTTGTTTGCTTGTTCTTGTTCTGCGATAGATATCTTCAGCTTTTGGATTATCGGAGGGGAAGAAGAGCATCGAGGTGAATATACTAAAACAGGTAGCGAAAGATATACAGGCAACCATATCTAGAAATGAACTCATATTTCAATCACTGTATGTCTATTTATCCTTATACTTCACAACCACAATCGTAGGCCACAGCTGCAACAGCACAGCGCCAACCATCAAGCATCCCGCAAATATCTGCGCCTTCAAAAAATACGCCTCGGAAATATTTACCAACGCCCCCGCAATCGGCGTGCCCACCAACGACCCAAACGAACTAATCCCCCACATCATTCCCATTCTCGTACCGAGGAAATCGCTATCAGGGCAGAGGGCGGGATGGGCTATTGATGACGTAGGTCCTGTGACGAGGACGCCGCTGAGGAATCCCCAGTAACATGCCCAGACGATGAAGCCGGGTGTGTTTGTTGCTGCGATCCAGGTGTACATGGCGATGGCGGCGGCGGAGGTGCCAAATAGCACGACGCAGATGGGCTTGACGTGCGATGTGAGGAGGTAGGGTAGTGTTCGACCAAAAGCAGAGGCGCCGTTGATGATAGACACGAGGTAGGTGGAGAGATTTTGGGGTGTGTGCAGCGCTGTGCGGGCGTAGGAGGCGACGTAGAAGATGGGGATGTAATATGCCAACATGACGCATGTTAAAGACACGGAGAATAAGGTGAATGGGGCTTCCTTAAAGGCCTTCCAGTCGATCATGCTTCGTGCGCGTGTCTTTTTGCCTGGATGACGGCAGAGAATGGCGCAGGTGATGATCGCCATGAAGAGATTGATAAAGGCAATGCAGCGGACAGTCCAGGGGAAGCCTATACGAGGCTGCAGCTGGCGGAACATGATTGGGAAGATGACGCTGCCTACACTCGATCCGATAGAGGCACAGCCGATGGCGATAGGGCGTCTGGTGGTAAAGTTGGAGGAGATGACAACAAGAGCAGGGATGTATGCGATGCCTCCACCCATTCCGACGCAGAAGCCTTGAGATAGAAGGACTTGATAGTATTGTGTAGCTAGACTGGTCATCATCATTCCAAACACGACCAGAAAGCTGCCCGTCACAATCAACGGACGGAGATATCCAGAGTCGACTAATGGACCAGTCACGATGCCAACCATGACAATGAGAGTGGCCTGGATACTTCCGACCCAGGATAGAGCAGAAAGAGTTTCATCGCGAAAAAGGACGGTTTGGTAGTATTCCTGAAAAGCACCATATGTCGTGATCAATCCCCTGAGCTGTCAGAATAGCTTCAATATGCAGGATGAAACATACCATGAATTGACAAACACACAGAAACCGGCAACAACGCTGAGAATACCCTCGCGCCGTTTATAAGCATCATTATCAGTAATTACAGACATTTTCACATACACAGAATATTAAAATGGGAAACAGACGCTTATAATCGCATCTCCAACAGCTCCAAAGTGGAGAACTTCCCCGCGTTCGGTTCTTCCCTCGGGCCAGATTCGTTCGGCTAGAAAAACTGCCGAATTGGAGATTAATTATGGAGTCACTTGGAGTATCTGTGCTGAATGGAATGATCCGATTTGCTGCTATTCTGGTGGTGACTCACTGCGGAAGTAGTATCGGAATATGTCTATAATCTATCTTGCATCTAACAATGTTTCTATAACATCATCCTATCCATCTAGCCTCTATCCCTCATAATACCAGCCAATATCTCCTCTCTCCATCCCCATCCAATGGCAACAGCAGCACCGGGTCCAAACAAACAAGTCGTGGTAGCCAAAACGCCCACCACCTTGACCCAAGACACAACAACACCGTATAATTGAAGATCCCTAAAGCACAAAAGTAGCCAGATCAGTGCACTTCCCATCGAGAAGATCTCATCATATTGTAAGAATCGAGCGATTCCTTCCGAGAATGACTGAGCTGAGGCTGTAGTAGAAGGGAGGAATATTTCCAGAAGAGATGAGCTGTCTGGAATGTTCATCCGGACATGGATGAATGCAGCACCGGAGACCACGGCCAGGATGAAAGAGCAGAACCGTGTAGACAATGTCACTCTCGGACGTAGCTTTGCAGGAACAATCTTCATAGCAAGCATAAGCAGTACCTGCAGAGCAGGCACAATCAGCGGGAATAACTGCCAACCCGCATTAATGCTCTGTCGCATCGCCAAAGTGGGAGCTACGAAGCTGGCCCAGGTTGGAATATAGTATCCCAGAATAAGAGCAGGAAAAAGCATCGTGATAAGAGAGGGACTGATGTAGCTGCTGTCCGCAACAAGAATCTTGGAAAGCGGTGATTGCATAAAGTCGAGGAGAAAGTAGATAGGAGCAAACTTTCCGATGCCTTTGAGTTGGAATGCGAGTCCAAATAGAATCGGACTGGACTGTTAGCTTTTTCATCGTTCAAGAAGATGGGAAAGTTACTTACAGGAGTGGCATGGACCAGTGATGTGCGCGACGATAACTTTCCAATAGCCAGATTGCGTAGATCGGACCGAGATCAGTAAGGAATGAGTTTATTTGGAGTTTTGATAGTGGATGTGAGCCACTGATGAATGGGAGAAAGCAGGTAATCATTGGACGAAAGAGATCATCCAGATACTGCCAGTGGTACTGTGGCTTGTATAGACTGACTGCTTCTCCCGTACTGGATTCCCATGTACCAGACAGGAGAGTGCGGCCGAGATACGGGATAGTGCTGACAAGAGTGGCATCCATAGTTGAAAATGCCACCAGCAGAAGGCTAAGCAGAGGAAGAGCCCAGATAAATCTCTTCCAGCCAGGTTCATCTTGAATGTTTCTGTAGTTCTTGTCATATGGAATCAGACATTCTTGAGATCCTTTGACGGGGATGAAGTCCAGTTTCTCAGCGCCAACGATGGAACGCGACGTTTTGTCGGTCAAGATGCTGGTGAGATGTGGAAGCATGTATAGCCCGACGATTTTATGCTTCCATGTCGCCAGTGCCTCCAGTCTCGTGAGGTCATTTGCCTTGGCCCAGATTCCGTTGACGCGAGGCTGTCGTGACGACTCCCATGATGATAAACAGGAACGCAGATCTTGGAGTGAGTATGTCGAGGAAGAGTTGACAAAGGAATGCAGAATATTTGCTAGAGATGCAGCGCTTTCTATTGCGCTATTTCCTCCTTGGCCCATGTTTGGCGTCATCTATCATCACTGTCAGTATGCAGTCGTATATATAGTTGAGATGTACATACTTTGTGTATCGAATCTCCAATACACACAAATTTATCAACAGTCCAATATTTATAGAAAGCCTCCTCAAGAGGCACATATGTCGTCGTGATGGCATTCTTGTAGACCGCAGCAAACGGGACACCCGCAGCAACATATTTGTCCAGATGGGAAGCAATGTTCTGTTTCAGATCGTCTGGCGTGAATCGAGGAAGAGTGGACATCGAGTATGTCTGTTCCAATCTCGTGAATAGAAACCAGAATACCCGGCCTTCCTTCCCGATGATAATAAGACTGGAAAAGCCATCACCAAAGGAGCGATGGGACTCTCCTGGCTTCAAACCGGGTGTTGCGTTGGAGATTCCAAATACGCAGGAATATTCAGACTTCATTTCTGTGAAGTGTTAGCAGTGTCGATCAGGTGGCTCTGTATACATACTAGCTTTTTCTCGTTTGACAGCATTATGCATCTTGATGTCCATCATGTGCTGCCACATTTGCTGTCGAATTGTACTCTTGACTCCATCTGCTCCAACGACGATATCGCCATTGAATGAAGAGCCATCAGCACAGTGAGCGATAACACCAGAATCAACATGCTCAACACGGACGACCTTTTTCTCCAAGTGCACTCGAGACTGAGAGTCTCCTAAATGTTTATACAGAATCGCCAAGACGATCTGCCGGTCCAAAAATGCCACAGGATATCCATGTCTGTATACGTTAGACTCATAAACAATAAATATGTGTGTAACCTAACTCTGATGGATGGTCTGAGGAGCAGTATCCTCTGTCAGAATATCTCCATTGGCCTTTAAGTATTTCGCACCCTTCATTGGCTCAACTTCATCTAGGATGTCGTCGTATATGCCTAGTTGATCGAGGATCCTTGCTCCATTGGGAAGGACGCCAATCGACGCCCCGACTTGGGGTGCGATATCATTGTAAGCCTCGAGGACGACGTAGTCAATATTTGCTCGTTCTAGACTGTGCGCAAGGGTGAGGCCTGCAATTGAGCCACCGACGATGACGACTCGAAAGTTTTTTGTTTGAGACATGGTAATCGAACAACGAATTTCAGATGATCAAGCGACATGACAGGCTACATCTCTCTTTTATAGCATATCCATCGGAAACATCGGGTCGTATAACTGCCTCAGATTAACTCGCTTCTGTCACTTCTATATTCTCCGTCAAATCCGGGTCTAAATCTCATCTCCGGCACTAACACAAAATCTCCACTTTAACTGCATTATTCTGGGCATTATCGTACTGCATATTATGATCGTCCTTTATGTCCGGATATCACTGCCTGTCCCCCTCTCGCTTTTCCTGTTCTTCTCCGGCGCTACACCAAACCCCCGTTACACTTGCTCAGTCTGCCCCGTCATGCCTGCGCGGGATAAACGGAAGCCGCGAATTCGACTTTCGTGCACATTTTGCCGTGAGAAAAAGTCGGTGTAACCTATTTTTGCTGGATAAGGCTGATATATGACAGGCTGAAATGTAACCGGCAGCATCCGTGCGACAGCTGCGTCAGACGTGGTCTCGGAGTGTTTTGTGATTATATCTCGGAGAATCGATCTGCGAGCCATGTTCAGCAGCGGTGGCCTTCTATAGCAGTTCAACCGGCTGTTGTTCAAGAACAAAACAGAGAAGCAGAACATGCATCGCCATCAGCGTCTCTACCGGGGAAGATTATCCCCAGTCAGGATGGGACTCGATATATCAATTCTGCTCACTGGCAGGCTATTCTTGATGATGTTGGTATCCTGTATATTGCAAGATAAAGGACTAATATAATCAGATCAACATGGTGGAAAGAATCACCAACGACAAAGAACCGCGCGATGAACGACGGCCAGATGGTCCGTTGCTGCTGTTTGGCTTGACTCTGCCTGTATCCAAAGTGCAGTTGTTGGCCGGTCTTCCTCCTCGTCCAGTTATGAATCGACTTTTATCTAGATTCTTTAATTCGAGGGAATCTCCACTGGGTGGGAATATTCTAGCTTGAGTAACGAGTATAGCTAACAGTCGCAGTGATGTTCCATCCTCCTACATTCGAAAAAGAGGTAAGTCATCTCTCTGCAGTATCGCGCGAATACTGACCATCAGTACATCCATTTCCTATCCAACCCCGAAGCAGTCAACATGGCCTGGCTGGCTGTCCTCTTCGGCGTCCTCTGCTGCAGTTCCAGATTCCAAACGGGAGGTGCCGATGATTCGTCTCTCTTCGACAATTGTCTCTTCCATACAGCGCAATGCCTCGCCATGGCCAACTACACCACCCCCGGTCGATACAAAGTCGAAGCGATGATCATGTACTTGGGACTCGAGTATCTCAAAGCCAGTGACGCTCAGGTCGGTGTGTCCGTATTGACTAGCATTCTCACTCGACTGGCTGTACATATGGGCTATCATCGCGACTCGAAACACTATCCACGTATCTCCATCTTTGACGGTGAGATGCGCCGCCGGGTTTATCTATATCTGGTCATGCTGGATTCTGCTCTTTCCTCGCAGGCTGGGGTTCCACAGACCGTCCCTAAATCGCAGAGTGACACTGAGCTTCCTAGGAATCTCCTAGACGAAGATCTCCATCCTGACATGACGGTCCTCCCACCATCGAGACCGGAAACAGACCTCACGCCTGTCGCTTTTATGCTCATCAAAAAAAGACTGTTGAACATCGCTACCGAAATCGCAGATATCGCATCCTCCGTCGACGGCCGATCTTACGATCAAGTCCTATATCTAGATCAGCGCCTTCAAGAATTCTATCATAACATCCCGCCCCTCCTGCGCATGCGCTCGTCAGTAACATCCATCATCGACCCCCCAGACGTCATCCTCCATCGCTACGAACACGCTCTCAGCTTCCAACGAGAACGATGCATGCTCCACCGCCGCTATCTATCTCAATCCCGCCACGACGCACAATACGCCTACTCCCGCTGGGCCTGTCTAGACGCAGCGCAGATGATCCTCCGCTACCAAGTCGATCTGCACGGCGAATCGGCACTCGGCGAACAAGTCCGATCATCGGGTGCGATCTTCTTCAGCTCACTCACCACGGGCAAGTATCTGACTGCAGCGATGATTATCTGTCTTGAGCTTTCATTTCGGGCGGTGGAGGACCATGCCGCTGTCCAGGCAGAAGATCAGCATATCTTGAGAGAGAATCTGGTACAGTCATTGCAGACATCGCATGGGATTTGGATGGCGTCGCGGGGACGGTCTGAGGAAGCTCGGAAAGCGGCGGAGACGACGGGGTTCATGCTTGGGTTGACGAGGTTTCGGGCTGAGGTGCAGACAGAGGATGTGATTCCAGCATCTGGGATGGTTGGCCAGGCGGATGCCTATCCGATGGGGAATCCGGTGGAGCTGATTCCGTCGCTGGAGTTGTTGCAGGGCATGTTGAATGATCCGTCGCGGTTTGATTGGGTGAGTTATCCTATACTAAGCTTGAGAATGGATGCTGATTGTATAGTGCCTGTGGGATACTACGTTTTGATACATCCATCTGCATCATGGTGAGGGAACTCGTTACCTAACTCGGTTATATGATAACAATCACACCTGTCAGTCTTCTAGCTCTCATAAATGATTATTCGTTTTCAAAGTCAACACACTTGATGTGGCAGGATTTGAATCAAGCTGTCATGATGGATGGGATGTCCTTAAAGACATACCGATTCATCACAATCTGGAATTGACTGGTTTGGATGACTGGCAGCTGGACAGACTGTAGGGTCATAAGGGCGGTTTCAAAGTTATTGGCATGGCTGTTGGAATTTGAGCTGAGGCTCTTCTTTCCACCTTTTGGGGCCATGGTTTCGAGGAATCTAGACATAGAGATGGAATGTCAGCGCCGTTTATAACGTCTCCGGGGTGCATGGAGTCATTTATCTGAAAAATCCACTGGAGTTCGAACGAATGGTGGCTGGGAATAGGAATGGTTCTTTAGGGAATAGAAGGTAGCAGAAAAACAGATCAGGGATAAAACATCAAATGATCAAGGCATTGAGCAGCTATTCATGGCGAGCCGTTTTGGCTCGCTGTAAATAGCTATCTGAAACTTTGCTAGGACAGCGGACAGCATATACCAGTGTAACCAGACATGCAGTGGATGGGTGGTGTGCAATACAGAGATGAATAGGTAAAAAGGAGGGGTCTGAAACGCAACGCAGTACAATAAAAGGGGACAAAGAAAGAAAGAGGAAGTGTGAGCCAGTAGGCCTTACCATAGAAATCTATCACAGAGAAGCGTTGATCGTGCTGGTAGTACTGTTCGAGGTTGGATCAAGATAAAAACTAAACATAGAAAATGCTGGTCAGCGAAGATACACTCGGTGGAATTATAGGTTTGGCAGTGGGATATGACTTACAAGGATCGCACGATCTCTCGGTCGGGGTATCCGTTTCAGGATTGGAACACGCGCGGTTAGTATCAAGGCTTTTGTCGTCCCTGGGGATCAAGATCAGTCACTACCAGCCATAATACTACGTATTATTGATCCTCGAGCGTTGGCAGTGCCATAAAAGTGGTTCCTGTGAGAGTAGACTGACCTAACCCATGAAAAGTGTCGCTGGCTAAAACGGTTCCTTGATAACAGTAATCTCAAATCCAGTCTGCTTGTAATGGGGCTTTTGAGGGCTATTAGAGCTCATTAGCTGTCAGCACTGGTCTGAAGATAATGTGTTATAAGGCTTACCTAGACACCCAATCTGTCCTTCGAGGAACCAGGTTTTCAATGACAGTGAGCTTAAATCTGCGCTGTTGGTAATGAGGCTCTAGGGAACGCTAGACCTCACGAGCCATCATTCCTAGTTTGAATCTGAAGCGTCCTTAGTATTGCTGGCGCGTGGGCCACGCTGCCAAAGTGATGGCCTTAGGACGCGACTTACCTTAGAACTGGAAAGAAGGGTACCAACAGCGCTATAGCGCGCTGGAAGAAAAGGGATCTTAGAAGTAAAGAGGACTTGTTGGTGATGCTGTCAGTAGTAGATATATCACTGAAAAAACGATGGTGATGACGCTGATGAAGGGAAGGAGGGCGGGTGAGAGAGGTAGGTAAGAGAAATGGGTGAGAGGAAAAAGTGAGAGGGACACACGCTAAGCAATAAGTGAGATGATTCCTGAGGCTTTATTCACTGCACTCGTTCACTATAAACTATGTCATCTAGGAAATCACTGCGCCGGCCACACTATCACGCGGAATTTTTCTATCCTCTTTTCTCTTCGTCACCCACGCTGTTAGAGTGCCAAATCGGCTCGCCAAAAATCTGAGCAATAAATTGGCAGCATGCTATGACTGTGGAGTGATGCAGACAGCCTACATTACTAGGCCACCAAGATTGGCTATAAAGATCATGGAGACCCGGAATAAGTTATAGCCTGAGGAGTTGGCGAGGCGCCTATACGGTCCAATAAGTCTATGTATCCATCTAGAACTTCATACTGCACGGGACCAAGGCGTAAATTTGGGTGCTTTCAGTTAATTTTTCTTGGTATGCTGTTGATTCATCTTTTAAGACGCGTACGCCCTACTCTAGATTCACGGGCAATTTTTGACACATTCAAATGCGGTTGGCTTCATTTCCTCGTCGGTAAGCATGGAGGGCTTGTTTAATTTTATATTCATCCTGATGATAATCAGATAACATGGTTGTGTGGTTGAATATTTAATAAAAAATAAAGCTATCTAATAAAAATGAGCTGTGACCGACGAGTATTGCCTGAGCCCATCTTCATGGGCGCTAAACCTATTCCAGATGGAAGCCTAGACCGTATTTAGGCAATCATCATCATCATCTGCTGCATGCTTCCTTCGCCACCACAATTTCGCCAGATTCAACAAACGCAGAAAAAACAAGGGAGAAGAAAACGAAGAGGGAGAAGAGGGACGAAAATGTTTCAACCTAGAGCAGAAGGAAGAGTTTGTGGGATACCGCCCAACGCTTACCGCTACAACCCTATTCCGCGCAACAAAGCAATCGGGGCCGTTCGCGATGCCCTGGAGAAATTACAAATGGTCAGACCCGCCGATCGACCAAGATTCTTGACTTTCGATGAGGAGCAAAAGTTGAAGACAAAGTGGCGCGAGTGCAAGACCATGAAACAGTTTGTTCGTCTGGCCAAAGTGCGTCCCTGGACAGCATGGTCCCTTCAGCTCCATTTTGGCGAAGTTGAGGACTCTGGCGAGAAACTCGAGGATTTTATCAGAGACGCTGCAGCTTCATGTGTACAGGCTGTGAGGCGAATTCTACAGAAGGAGGAAGTTTCGATTGGCATTCACTGGGCAAGCCACTACTCTGTGCTCTCTGACTCGCAAGTGGATGAGTTGGTCTTTCTCTACGTGGAGCTGACCAAGGTTGCCGACACTCCATTCTCTGTTCCTGACCCAGCGTGGTGCAATGAATATTGGTTGGTCCTTAGGCGCATCTCGCCGCAGTCGAAGCAGCGAGTGCAGGCGATTGTTCCTCCTGGATATCGCGGACGGCTGGATGCGTGGGTGGATCAATAGTCCATTTATCAAGATGATCTTTGCTATCAAACTTATGTTGAAATATGAAATGTAGCTTCAAGTCTCGAAATGAAATTCTGCTTTCTGATGTTAGCTCGAGTGGCGTCTATCAACAAACACGGATGTGTGCTCGTTTATAATTCCATTCACTGCCCCCCCCCAAACACCCAAAATAACACACAGTGCCGATTGAGCCCATCGCCTCGAATTACAAAGTTTCTGCTACCCACCACCACCCTCACTTCTCCCACCCATCGCTTTCCATTTCATCGCCTCTGTTGTTCTACCTCGTCTCTTTCTTTGCATCCGTCAAAGCTGTGCCATCATGTCGGGGTCCCCCGGTCGAGAGCAAGAATCACAGAATCCGGCCGAAAAGGAGCTTTCGCGCCCCAGAATACACGACCCTCAAGAAGAACGTAGCGGTCACAGATCACGACGCAATATATTTCGACGATTTAGGACCAGGCCTGGCGAGGTTTCCTGCGAAGATACGCCCACGCATCCATCAGCCACCCAATCCAGCACGTCCTTGCAGCCCACGTCAGCTTCCCTCGGTTCGGAAATAGGCTCGACAGAGCTACCACTACACAGAGTATTGCATAAGATGCCCAGCGTTTCTGGAATTTTCGGAACCGTTTCAAAAAGGTTGAGTAAGTGCAGAAGATCTTCTAACAATATATTTGTCATTGAGCTGATTATCTCGTCATCAGGAAGCGAGACCCCTAAGCTGACAAAAAGCCAACGAGCCTCCCACGAAGGCGAAAGAGGTATCACCGAGTCCCACCGGGTGGTAAGACTCAGATGGCGAGAGGCACACTCCCTGGAAGATTTTGCGCAGCTTGCAGGATGGGGACCGGACCTTGTGGAGTCTATTCGGCCTATGTTCACTCCTTATGGCACCGTGGAAGAGTTTGTTCGGCAATACGGTTCAATGTACATCGGGAAGTTGATCAATGCATACAAGAACCGGAGGGACCTATCTTTGGAAGTTAACTTGTCCGCCATGGAGCTTTTAAGCGTTGAATCTAATATCGATGAACTGGCCGCAGCCCTCGCCGAGACCGCGAAGATACTCCATATATGGAAACAAGATAGATTCGAAGATTACCACAGGGTATTTCTCCAACTTTATCCAAGCAGTCTCGCCCAACAGTCGGTGGATTGGAGAGCGCGTGTATCGAATGCATTACTCACTGCTCTCCAACGTGAAAGGATTGGAAGGGATCAAATTTCGGAGATTTGGAACATGATTGTTGCATGCTTCGAAAAGTACGAATCAACGCGGGTGTTTTCGCCATATACCTCGATTATTGGCTCAACTGGATGTGGAAAGACAAGCACCGTCGAGAATTTTGCACGCGCCGGAAAATGTTACGTGTCATATGCCAATCTGGCTGCCCGTGGAGAGTTCACCGTCCCGAAGCGTTCAATCATGGCAGACAGGATTGCCGAAATTGAAGACCGGGCGGAGCTAACGATCTTTTTTGAGGTGTACATAGCTAGTGCCTTGGAGCAAGTTGTTCTATGTCGTCGGACTGGGATCACAGCATATGGATTCTGGCAGATCCAGGTGCTGCAACAGTTTGAAGACCTGCAGACTGATATCGCGGATCATGTTCATGAACTGTTTCAGTTAGCCAAGCTGGCCCTCGAGCAGAAGATTACCGGAGGTCGGCCTCCTACCCCTGACATATCTCGCAAGCTCCGTGAACGTGTCAGATCTGGAAACAATGCACGGCCTCCTTCGCAAGGGATCCTTATCGCACGTCGAGAATACATTGACGCACTTCTCCCCGACCACAGGGACAGGATGAGAGAAACGTTCGCTAAAGCTTCCAAGCGACTTGAAGAAAATATGTTAATGAGCCCGGATGAGAATGCTGCTTTGAGAGAAGGACACCTTGAGTGTCTAATATGTCTCGATGAGGCAAGCGACCTATTCAGGATCACGGCAAACGAAACCATTGACGGCTCGCGGTATGGTGCATGGAGGAGGGCCTTCCGACACAGGGCAACAACGGAAAACAAGGAGAGCAAGCAGCTCAATTTTTTCGGCCTTGTAACGGGAACTACGTCCCGGGTTTCTTACCTTTCCCCGTCGAAACGCTGGGATCAAAGTCTTAGCTCCGCATCCAGCCCGTATGATCTCTTTCCGCCGATTTGGGAGCTGGACACATTCGATAACTGGCCGAATGACCATCTGTATGACATAAAAAATCTCCCAGTGTATGACGATAAACTGGATAACAAGTACTATAAGGACTTGTTTACCTTTGGTCGTCCCCTATGGGGTGCGCTACTGGAAGACGAAAAAATGTCCGCCGAGGACGTGAAAGGTTTAATCCAGCACAAAATATCCGATTTCCGTTCGCCGTCCGCCCCTGGTCTCCATGAACAATCCCGGCCCAACGAGACAGACCACGTCAGGTCTCTGGCGCTTCTAAGCTATCGCATTATGTTTTTCATTAATTTGGAGAGTTTAGCTGAAGAGCTTTCATCAACGTATCTACATTTCATCGCTGATGTCAGCGATGATAGAGCTCTGGTGCGGACGCTCCAACCGTCAGAACCCATTCTGGCATGGGTGGCATCCCAGGAGATGCAGATGCCGAGAAAGCGTGTGGCTGTTGTAAGATCCATACACTACCATATCCAGAGAGGGTTCATTAACATTGGAGATGTTGGCGAAGTTGTGGCCGCCATGATTTTACTTTTTGCTCTTGACAAGGCCAACGGCATTGGACGACCCCGACCTGTGAGCCTTGCAAAATTCTTCAAATGCCTTCTTCCAGAACGGCTATGTGGCAAAATACAACCTATATGTGAACGCGATTCAAAACTCGGCGAAATATGGGAAGGATCGGTTTTTTTTAGCCAATTTGTGCGAACGCAGAACAATGATCGAGCCGTGACCATTGAAGTTTTGACAAGGGCCTATGCCCGGAATGCGGCACTTATTGCCCCGAATAATTTCGAAGGCTGTGATTTGATAATCCCTATTGTGGTTGTCAAAAAAAATGGCAAAAAAGATGAGTTATATCCTCATTCAGGTGAAAAATGTGGACGGCTGGAACCTTACATATGGGATTAAAAAGAAGGCAAAAGAAGACCTAATGCCCCACGACAAGCTTGATGCCCCAGAAGCCCCATACTTCGGGCTTTATCTGACCCTTCGGGGTGCGAAGAAACGTGGAAGATCCTCAGCAGCCGCAGCAGAGATCGTCCCTGACACAGGTGGTGATAAACTTATTATCGTGGCAGCTGGCCTAGAAAAAAGCCTCTATCCAGCCTTGGAAGAGCCACAAAACGCGCTGGTTTCAACCATGAAGTCACTTCTGACCTGTAATGCATGTATTGAGGTACCTAAAAGCAGCGTGTACCTGAAACGTCTTTTCCCAATTGATGGTTTCATGCATTGATTTCCTTTTTCTCTTTTTGTTTTTACACCCTGCTGTTCTTTTTCGATTTCAAAATATCTTCACGCCTTTTCCTTTATATTGTCGAAAATTCATTCTTTATCATGGACTGGCTTGAGTTATTTAGTACTATTACTGATTCTGCGGCAGTAAGAGCGCCTAATCATCCTGAGCCACGATGGCTCGGGATGATTAGATGGCTTTTATTAACAATATCATCAGTAATAGGTGGAAGCAAAAACGAATCATTAAGTTATTGATTATTCTATCAAACAAGATATATATTGCTTGTAGGAATAAGACCTGAACTACTAGTCCTAAAGTCAGATAATTCCTAACGAAAGGGGACTAATTACTCTTGTAAACTAATTAAATAAATCACCACAGATGCCCTGAAACTCCATAACTTTACAGGCAGCCTAGTGGGGTTTCTGATATCTGTATGGCTCCATAATTACAAGGAGTGGTCAAAGGTGTTTTCAGCTTCATCCTGAGCTAATGTGACTCGGGATGGTGGCGTCAGTGCTAGTAGGGACGAAGGAAGAGGATAAAAAAGCCCCATGTTATACATTCTATAGGCAAAACTGTCATTTTATAGATGTAAAAATATACAAACAATATGACCATAACAAAATTCCTATCCAAGCCCAGACTTTTCCGGACTTCACCTTTCCTTTAAAACAACTCCCTGTATCAGAAATTTCCATCAATAGCTGCCGAGCATGGCGTGATATCCAACACCGGAACTACACGCTTCACGCTGGTATACAGCCTGTTTTGAAGCCGAAGCATAACACCATTCAGTCATTCAATGACGGGATACTTCATGCATACTTTTATACATCTCATTGCCCAGTGAGAATGTGAATTGAGGCAGTTTAACATTACTTTGTGGCTTGGCTGTATGCTTGGGCCCACTGCCTCCCGCGGATGTTCGTATATCTCCTCGGAGATGGCTCGGGTGAGAGCACGGCATGCAGAAGGAAGTTGGCGATGTTGTGATTTCAGACCGAACACTTAAATAGCTGGTGGTCGAAGATGGAGTATGTTTTATTCTCTGTGACATTCTATCTCCATGCTGTGCCAGCTCTTCCTTGTCCGCTGCAAAAATTTGTTACCCGGTGAAAATGACCACGCCGGAAATCCATAGTCATGACTACAATCGAAGGGAAAGTTCTCATTCAGATGGAACTGAATATAAAGAACAGACACAAACAACGGTATACGCTGTCGGTGCATCCCTGGACACATTGGAGCCTATTCCAGAGTATGAAGGCAGACATCGCTACGACCCAACGGCAGAATGGACAGCAAAGGAGGAGAAGAGACTAGTTCGAAAGGTATACATCTATTCTCCTTTTCTATATAGCCATTCTAATTTAACAGTTGGACATGCGAATCTGCTCATGGGTCTGCCTCATGTTCTTTGCCCTCCAGCTGGATCGAGGAAATATCAGTCAAGCGCTCTCAGACAACATGCTGAAAGATCTTGGGCTTTCCACGAATCAATACAACTACGGAATGACAATCTTCTATGTATGCTTCCTCTGTGCGGAACTGCCGTCACAGATGATATCCAAGAAGCTCGGTCCAGACGTGTGGATTCCCATCCAGATGGTGTCATGGAGTATCGTTGCCGCTTTACAATGCCTCATGGTTGGTAAGAATGGGTACTACGCGACTCGAGCTCTTCTTGGCCTGCTTGAAGGGGGTTTTATTCCGGATGTGATTCTTTATTTATCATACTTTTACAACAGTAAGGAGCTGCCTATTCGGATCAGCTATTTCTATACGTCCTCGCACATTACGCCTATCATCGCTGCGTTTCTCGCTTATGGAATCTTGCATCTGAGGGGTACGCGAGGATGGGAAGGATGGCGATGGCTGTTTGTGCTGGAAGCTGCCTTGACTGCCATCGTTGGTATCCTTTCGTGGTTTTATCTTCCTCCCAGCCCGACGCAGACGGCAAGTTGGTTTCGAGGAAAGGATGGATGGTTCAGTGAGAGGGAGGAGGTGATCATGGTCAATCGAGTGTTGAGGGACGATCCCAGCAAGGTGAGACAAATCTATATTGAAGCATGGATGCAGCTTATACTGTTTAGGGAGGAATGCACAATCGTCAAGGCCTGACATTGTCGCTTTTATGGCAAGCCTTGTCCGACTACGACCTCTGGCCAATCTATCTCCTGGGCCTGACTCTCCTCCAACCAGTCAACCCTATCATGTCGTATCTGACATTGAACCTGAAGAATCTTGGTTTCGACACGTTCGAAACGAATCTACTCACCATCCCGGCGTATGTGCTGTTCGTCATTCAGCTCGTCATCTGGACTCAAGTATCGGAGAAAATCAACAATCGGTTCCTTGTCACCCTGTTCTATTCCGCCTGGGTCTTTCCATTGATTCTGGCACTGCGGTTGGTTCCAGCTGATGTAAATCTGTGGGTTCGATATGCTCTTACGATCATGATTGTGGGATATCCATATGTTCATTCTATTCTTGGTATGTATACCCATTGATGAACGTTACCAATATTAATACCCATCTAGTCAGTCTTACATCTCGCAATGCTGGTTCCGTCCAGACCAGGACAGTCGGCAGTGCAGTCTACAATATGTCTGTCCAATGCAGCAGTATCATCTCGTCGAATGTGAGTATCCTCATCAATCTACACTATATGCCACTGATCCTCCTAGATATACCGCAAAGACGACGCACCTCTCTACCGTCGAGGTAATACAGCCATTCTGGGAATTATAGCATGGAACGCATTCTTCACCATTGTCTGCAAGGCATACTATATGTGGCGAAACAAAAGTCGTGAGAGAGTCTGGAATGCCATGACTGAAGAGGAGAAACAGAATTATCTGACCACAGCCAAAGACAAGGGCAACAAGAGACTTGATTTTCGATTCGCGCATTAGTTGAAGTAAGGAAAACCACGATTAGAATGTGCGTGATCCATGTGTCATGTGAATCACCTATACAAAGTTGCATGAAGCAGATCAATGAATATGATCAATTCACTCAGGCAGGTTGAACTTGGTATCAATAAATCCCCGGAATCAACGAATAGGGCACACGAGACTTGACCTCCTCATACGCATCACCATACTGTTTCAATCAGCATACAACACCAATATCAGATCAAGAAAACTCACCCTACTCGTCAAATACTCCTCCAAAACAGGCACTCCACGAGTCGCAAAATCGGCAAAATAAAACGCAAACGTAGCAATTCCCCACGCGATTCCACCGGTCGCCAACGCATACCCAGTGCGCCAGATGGTGTATCCACCGTAGTTGATATTCCTAGCCAGCGAGAAGAGACCACCCGCGTACGGTTTGCCTTTGTTGGCTGGATCGTTTTTGAATGCCTTGCGCTGGAATTCAGAGATGGCTTCTGTGAGGATGCCGATAGTGTATGCGCCAACGCCGACTGCGATAAGAGGGTTGGAGAGGGTGTCTTTCCAGTTTGATAGATAGGAGATGGAACTTGCGGGGGATGACACAGCCCAGAGCGAGAAGAGCGTATTGACGCTGTTGAAGATGGTGTTGAACGCAGCAATCGCCACGGCTGACCCGGTGCTCATTTCCTGCTCGGAAACTAGAGCCATATGTGCGATTTGCTTCACACTGCTGCCCAGTGAAAACAGACTAACCAAGTCGTAGTATGGCCGGAGTCCAGTAAGTCCAACTGGATGGAGGACTTGGATGGCCGGGGCAGCATGGCCGCCTAGTTTCTCAATGATGGCCATTCCCCAGCTGCGACGGAGCAGATTGTACTGCCAGAAGACATCTGCTGCACGGAGGCCGATGAAGATGGATTTGCCGATGGGGGAGGGTCCTTTGGTGCGGGAGACATTGTCGCGGAGTTCTTTGGGCATTTTGATGGTTTATTCTGGATTGATTGATCAAGTGAAGTGATTTGGATGATTTGGATGATATTAAATAGTGGTGATGATGAAATGGATTAATCATTCGGGGTTAAAAAAAGGCCGAAATGGCCGAAAAGGGAAGATCTGGATAACAATTCTTGGCTGACACGTTGACTCTATGGCATCGTCAATTAATAAAGTTTGATTATAAATACGCTTTTTATATGATTATAGAATTAAAATAAACAAAAAAAAGTCGGATTTTCTATCTGCTAGATCTGTAAAGTATAAAGAAACATCAGTTTGCATTCAAGGCAAAGAAAGCAGTTGGCAACTGCTCCAACGGCCAGCGAGCCAGGAAGCCTTCCCAGTCCACCGTCTTAATCTCAGGATATCTCGCATTTTCCACTTCAGGTCCAACAAATGTCTGTCCATTGATCCAGTAGTAGTAGAAGAACCTGTCAAGTCAGTAATAGTTATAATGAAGGTGTCAGAATACTTACAAAGACATGTAAGCGTAGATATTCTCAGGACTCTGCTCTCTCAGTTGGTGCATGTGCTTGTACAAGTCATCCAGAGAGCCGAGTCTTTCCATGGTAGGTTTGATGCCGTAGACCTTTGCAAACGAAGTAGCTATTTCATGGATTGTAGAGCGACCACCAAGGACTAGACAAGTTAGCAACAGTCAAACAATAGTAGAATATATCATACAGCGAATAACCCCAACAGCAGTCGCATCCTTCGCAACTGCAGCCGTAAATGCGGCAGCATCATCGTATGTCGTTCCCTCCATCAACTCATTTCCCTCTCCCCAGTAACGAAAGGTGTTACTCTTCGTATCAATGATGTTGAAGAACGGACTAACGACAGGCTCCATGAATCCACCAATGAGGATATGCACACCCTGCACCTTCTTACCCTCAAGGTACGATTTCACATGAATCATTGGATCTTTGGGGAAGAGCTGACCGAGCTGAAGTTTGGTGTAGTCGAGTGCCCAGTCACTGGCGATATACCGAGGGACATTGATTTCCTCGCACGCATCGATGAGCATCTTCTGACCGTCTACCATGAGACGATCATCACCCAGATAGCAGCACACGACAACATCACAGCCCTGGACGAAGGAGTGGATGGATTCGGTGTCAAATGCATCGCCCTTGATGACGGTGACTTGGGAAGAAGAGGTGATGGTTTCAGGGAGTTTGGTAGGATCACGACAATAACCGCGGATGGAGACGGAAGAGTCCTTGAGGAGATGAGAGACGAGAAGACGGGCGAATTTGCCGGTGATTCCGGCGATACCGACGGTGGTCATGTTGAGTTATTGATGATGACGATGAAGGTGAGAATGGGAATGAAGATGAATATGAAGACGGGCATTCAAGGTTTATATAGAGGACTCTGTCTATGATTGATAATGCAGATTATCAATCCGGATTAAATGTGTTCTTAACGGATCTATCATCCGGAAACTATATTAATGCCGAGAGCTATATCAAGTGGTTCAATGTTAAAATCAAAGGGGTAATCTATTAATGGACCGGATGATATGTTTCTCTCATAAGGACAATACCCAGGAATAAGCAGGCAACAAACCAAGTAACTCCAGCATCTAATTACATTGTTGATATCCTATGGTCTAATTGCATTATATTTATCACAGTCCAAGAATATACATCCATTGATCGAATGGAGAATTAGACTAAATCTTCTATATTTGCCTTCAAAGTATCCTCCAACGCAGTCCACCCCGATGTACCCATCTCCTTGAGCAGCCATTCAGCCCGACCTGCGCGTTCAATCTCAAGTGGTCTGGCAGACGTCATGCTCGGTAGTTCCTTAGCAAACTCACGATCGGGGTATGCTTTTTGATACAGGGTCGTAATGTCGTTCCACACGAATTGAGAGCCAAATGCAAAGAGTCGTTCATTCTCAACATCCGAGTGCAACAGACCGGCTACATGCAGTCGTGCAACGTCTTGCACATCGACGCAGTAGGCTCCTGCACAGATTAGCATATAAATGCATCACCTTTAAGGAGACATACCGGTAGGAATGATACTGCCTATAATCGGTTTGATAGTCTCTAACTCATTCCGGAAGATTGCTGATGGCCAGGCAGATGAAGATGCGTGTCCTTGATTTTTGGGATCAACAGATCTGCCAAAGCATAGAGACGGTAGAACTATACAGCATTAGCACTTATATCGCAGATCATAGTGCATCATACCTGTGTTGAGCACAAACTGCGGCTGGTTCTCATCCACCCACTTCCAGATCGCCTGTTCTCCTCTTGTCTTGCTGGCACAGTAAACCTGGAATCCTTTTGCGAGATCCTCTCCAGGAGTCTCTGCATCCTTGACAGCTTGTTCATTCCAAGACTGAGGATCCACTTTCAACTGCCCTCGTTTGTCGGCAGAAGTGTAAATGGCAGCTTCGGACGAGGATGTATAGATAAACCGCTTCACGTTGCTCTTCTTTGCGGCTGTTAGGAGCTTTTCATTTGCTTGCATTATGGCAGTGACTAGATCACTTCGGCCGAAGATGGTAGCGACGTGGATGATTCCAGTTGCATCTGATCGCATTAGTAGGTATGTGAATATGAAGATAAGCGACGAACCTTGGATAGCTTTATCCCAAGCACCATCAACTGTCATGTCCTCCACTTGTACCAATTCGAATCTGTCGTTCCCATATTTCTTTTCGAAAGTATTCTGTAGCCAGCTGCTCTTCTGCATATCACGGACACTCCCTCGTATCCTGTATCCGTGATGGAGTAGTTGGTCTGCGACATGGGAAGCCACGAAGCCATTCACGCCGGTGACGAGAATGGTCGAGCCGGATGGGAGGGCAGTAGTGAATTGAGGCATTTCTATCTGAGTGATACGATAAAGCAGAATACAAGAAAGATAGAGGTAAGAGCACAGAGTAAATATACAGGCCAGTATTATAAATCTCCCCTGATTAAGCTGCTTATACAGCATTCCGCTTCGGTCTTTATTTTAACCCCGAGCATCCAAATCATTGCAACCTTAAATCTTTCTTAACCTCATTGTAATATCTATTTAAGGACACTAGCAATATTATAATTTACTAACCTATTTATTAACCTATCACCTTGATTTATTTTACTCCGTCCATCCCAAAATGGCCAATAACCCCAGCAAACCCCGCAGTTGCCACCGCTGCAACCAGAAGAAAATCCGCTGCGACAAGACATGCCCATGCCAGCACTGCATTCAATCAGACACAGACTGTATCTTCCCTCCACCTGGTCGTGCACCGCGTCAGAGAAAGCGACCGCTTAAAGCGGAGCTGAATGCGCGATTGAGGGATTTGGAACAGGAGGTGCAGAGGCTCAACACAGCCGATGACGACATTGTACAGTCTGAGCAGGACGAACAGATTGATCCTACTAGAGCAACGATTAATCAAGAGGAACGGCAGTTTGGGAGGTTAATTTCTGGGGATAGAAGTAGTCGATATATCAGCCACCAGGCGTTGACGAGTTTAGGGGATCAGGTTGGTAGTCTGTCTGTGTCCAGGCCACTACTAACTGTTTAGATTAACGAATTGAAAGATATTCTCGACTCATCTGAGGATGAATCAGATCAAGAAGAGTATCATTCTCCATTTATTCTAGGCTATCACTCGCTGGCCGAGTCTCTGTCTGAATATCATCCTGATTCCATCACCAGCCAGCAATTATGGAAGGTCTATGAAGCAAATGTATCCCCATTACTCCCAATCTTCCACATCCCAACTCTCAGGATGCTCATGCGAAAAGCATCAACCAACTCTGAACACCTTGACAAAGTATCAGAGGCACTCGTCTTTGCTGTCTACTATTCCGCAGTAACCAGCATGAAACCAGATGATTGCCAATCTTTTCTTGGACACGACAAAACCAGTATAGTCCAACACTACCGTTTCGCAACGGAGCAGGCACTGTCAAGAGCAGACTTCGTTCATGCTAGGAGTATACAAATTTTGCAGGCGATGCTCCTCTTTCTCAATTGTATACGAGACACCGAGCTCGTCTGGGTGATGACAGGAATGATCCATCGCCTGGCTCAACGACTTGGTCTTCATCGCGATGGCAGTAACTTTGGATTAAGTCCATTCGAAACAGAAATACGACGTCGGCTGTGGTGGCATATCTATCTCCTCGACACGGTGTCGACGGAGTATAACGCGATAAACATGCAAATACCACCGGGGGGTTACGACACGCGGCTTCCATTAAATATAAACGATGAAGAGATGTGTCCCGACTCAGCAGAGATCACAGAAAGAGTGGGATTTACCAGCATGACCTTCTTTCTCATTCGATGCGAGATTACAATCATGTTTCGCCAGCTTCAGCAATCTCCATCTCCATCGTTAGATGAATACGAAACCTCTCTCAACGATATAAGCGCAAAACTCGAGAACCGCCATCTTCAATTCTGCAATCTCTCTATCCCAATTCAATGGGCCTCTGCAACGATAGCTAGGATCGCACTGGCAAGAGCATGGCTCATCCCTCATTTCTCAGCAATAGACACAGCCATCTTCCAAGAAAAGCGGGATAAACTCCTCATCACCGCCACGGAGGTTGTTGAATTTGCCTATCTACTCGAAACGAACGAAAATACAGCCCAGTGGTCGTGGTTCTTTGAGGGCTTCGTACAGTGGCATGCCTTTGCGTTCGTGCTATCAGAACTCTGTGTTCGACCTATCTGTCCCATTACAGAACGAGCGTGGGGTGTTGCTCAGATGGCGTATGCTGCCTGGGAAGGGAGAATGCAGAATGGCATGTTCTGGAAGCCGATATCCAAGCTGATGAAGAAAGTTACGACGATGAGAGGAAGTGGCGAAGATACAACGATGATGTTCAACGACATTCTGGCCGAGATGGGCCTCGCATTAACATGATATTAGTCTATTAACATTATATATACTCTATGATATACTTTATCATCTCGACATCTAAACAATCAATCCATAAAATGACCCTCCCATCGGCACAATCACTCCCAACACAATCGCCCGTGCCATCTGCACCCCCTCCCATCCCGCATACCCGGCCACCAACCTCGCCGTTGCACCACCGACAACCCCCATCCACACCACAAAGAATCCCAAATCGTACATCCTCTTCCAGAACTGGTGGTGCTTGGACAACTCTGCATTCGAGCGCATCGATGTCCCCCACCCGCTCTCCCAGTATGTCGCCAGACTCCACACGTGGATGGCGGGGAGGGGGATGTTGTAGAAGAGCAGCGCGGGGAGGATCCAGAGGATGGCGAGACGGGGTCCGCGATCGGGATTGCGGAGGTAGTTGTAGAGGATTGTGTAGGTGATGCGGGAGACGATGTCGGAGAAGGAGAAGAAGATGAATTCGTAGCCGGTGAAGAGGTACCATACGATGCAGGCGAAGACGAGGATTGGGCCCATTTCGCGTTTGAAGGCGGCCCAGAAGAAGATGGGATGGTTGAGGAGGTAGACGCGGGGTTGTTGGAAGGTTTCGATGTGTGTGGCTCGTCCCCAGCGGACCTTTACTCGTTAGTTGTGGATAGATATATATAGATATAGAGATGCATACCTGTTGCAGAAGCCATCGGCTGAGGGTGGTTGGCGTGTCTGTGGCTGCCAGTGTGTCTGATACATAGGTCACCGTCCATCCCCGCATGAGGAGGTTCGTAGTCAGGTGGCGATCCTCATTCACAACCTACACAATTAGCATATTCATCATTAATATATCAATACATCGACTCACCATCCGCTGCCCCCACACCGTCTGCGTATACCAATTGTACAGAATCCCCGGCAACGCAGACACTCGAAACGCCGTACTCGGGCCACTCTGGCAATCACTCGTGCCAGACGAAGCAGACGTCGACCGAGTCATATACAGCTCACACCAGTAAACAGCGCTCCCCAGCTTCGTAACCAGACTCTCATGTGCGTTGTGCACAATCAAACCAGAACTGGCGCCTCCCGCATTCTTGTCCCCCGCTATCGTCGAAATGGTTCCCTGCAGCGTATCCGGAAACACAATCGTGTCGGAATCAGAGGACCACAAATATTCAATTCCGAGGATGTCGGAAATGACGATTGAGAAGATGAAAGAGGTAAACATGATGGCCTTTTTGTATCTGTGTGGCTGGTACAGACACAGCCTGGTGACGCCGCCGGGTTCCCCAAGTCCAAGATCATGGTCAGCGAGGATTTCGCGAGCGAGTTGGCAGCAGTGCGCGATGGCCAATTCATTGCACATTTCCTTATTCGCTGCGTCTGAGGTTTTGGAGAGTTTCTCGAATGTGCGCATGGCGGTTTCGCCGAATGGTTCGCTGATGTGGATGGTTGCGGCGTCTTCGGGGTAAACCTACTTTTTATTAGTGTTGATCATATTTAATATAGAACTGGCATACTTGTTGAAACACATCGACCATCTCCAGATCAGGCCCATTATCGCCATCGACTCCGACAAGCAGAAATCGACATCCTTGGGCTGTTTTGTAGCTCTGCAAGGCACGACTGAACAGGTCCGGGTCTTCACGATATCCCACCACCACCGACATACAGTCTGGTCCGATGTCGAAACATGGTGATAGAGCTCTTTTTTCTATATCTGCTGTGGTATTTGATTTGTAGAGCGTTCGTCGTCGACCCTCGTTCGCATAGCGATTAAATTCAGCGACAAAGATGCTGATTAAAATATCCAGAGTCAACGGATGACGACTGAATTTGGTGATGAACCAATAAACCGGGAGAATGACCAGACAGCCCAGGAAATTGACAAATTGACGAGCAACAGAGACGACAGGGCCACGGCTATAAAAAGCCGGGAAACGCGTCGAGAGGCCCATGTTGCTGTCTTGACAAAGTGAAGGATTGTTGAACTCAAAACGAGGACATGTTGGGATTAAAAAAGCCAACAACGGAGGACCGGACTCAATAGTCGACAAATCTCCGAATATTGGACTGACACATTTTGCGGTGCTTCATTTCGTTCGGCAATAGATTCGAGACTAGTTGCATGTCTTGGGTCTCGTGTTGGTTTATATGCTGGTTAATTATAGACAAGGCGAGACATGTCACCTGCGGTCAGCCGAGACCTGCCCAATGGCCTTGCCGCTATTCTGGTCTCACATGCTGCAATGCAGAGATTGCATCGCAACTGAGGGGAATCCAGAAAGGAGAGCCCGGTTTTCGATGGAGATTCTGGATAGATTCTGGACAAATTACTGTCCATCATTGCCCCATGGAGAGGGACTACTTTAGTCGGTGGGCCTCGGATCTGGCTATTGATGCAGGGTCTCACTCCGTTATCAGTTGCACAAGAGAAAATAATACAGTGATAATAGCATTGTGCATGCATCTATTGTCTGTTCTATCTGTATCTGCATGGCTTGTCTGCACTTAATTATCAGTAATGATCGTGATATAATAATATATGAAATTGATATTTCCAGATCAGAAATCTCGGTTAGCGCCAAATAGACTTTGCCCGCCCCACTCCGTATGCAGCTAGAAAAGACTAAAAAGGACTATGGCAAATCAGGATTAAAGTGTCTCATCCGGCAAAAGGAGCTGTTGGATTTGTGTTTATCATCATTAATAGATAATTAATACATAATCCTTTGATCCTCCAAGTCTTTCCCCTCCATGCACCATGGCGCTCTACAGGGAGAACCGCATCGTCCCAATCGGGCTGATGCTCTTTTCCCTCATTCTCTTCTTTTACAACCTCGACTTTTACCAACAGCCGACACACGAGTCACATCAGACACACATCGACAGACCGGTGGTTGAGTCACCGCTCGAGGCCAGACCACTTCGAGTATCACCACCACATACAGATGCACAAGATAAACAAAATACACACACAACAACACCCTCAACATCAACCCATACAGACACATCAACAGGCAAACTCACATCCGACGATGTCGCTCTGCTCTTCAAAACCGGCGCTTCCGTCCTATGGCGCCGGCTGCCCATCCACCTGTCCACCACCTTCTCCCCCGCCCGCATCCATCCCAACAACACCATCCTCTACTCCGACTACCCCGAAACCATCGGCTCCTGGCACATCATCGACATCCTCGCCAACTCATCCTCAACAGTCCGCCAATCTGACTCGTTCCAGCCATACCTGCAGCAGGAAGATTACGAAAACAGACAGGTCTACGCAGAATCCACCAGCACCAACGGCGACGGAAATGGCCCTCTCGGGGGGTGGAAATTAGATAAATATAAATTCCTCCCGTTGATTCAGCATGCAGGCGTGGAGAAACCTAATGCGAAATGGTACATCTACATGGAGGATGACTCGTACATTTTCCTGCCTAATCTCCTGCGTCATCTGAACGACTTCAACTACCGTGACCCGTGGTATCTGGGTAGTCTGGCCTGGAAGCACGGCGACTACTTTGCACACGGCGGTGCTGGCTTCGCTCTGTCACGGGGGGCATGGGAGAAGAGCTTTGGAAAAGACCCCAACATTATTGATAAATTCGAACAATTCACCGATGTCCACGGATGCGGGGACCATGTCCTCGGACACGTTCTGAACGAATACGGGGTCAGCTTCGGTGAAACGCATGGCGACAGTCGGTTTACGTTTGGGTTCAATGCGGAACCGCATTGGTCGAGTTGGTTCACCAAGGCCAACTGGTGCAAACCCGTCTACAGCTGGCATCACACGCACAGTAAAGACGTGGCACGATTCTATAATCTCGAGTCGAGCTGGGATTTCCAAAAGGTACCCCTAATCTATCCCATACTATATGACCACATACTAATAATACCTATCAGTCTGCCCTGAAATACCGCGACATCTACAACGCCTTCATCAAGCCCTATCTCCGTCACCGCGTTGAATGGTGGGACAACCAATCCTCCCAATACGATATCACCTCCTCCAACGCCCCCCACGCCGAGCCACCCACAACCGCCACATCGAAAGAAACCTGGCTGAAGTCGTGGCAGTCCGCCGACGCGTGCGAGGCTGCCTGCCTCTCGTGGTCCGAGTGCGTGCAGTGGGCCTTTTACGAGGACCGATGCCGAATGCACGACCAGGTCTATCTGGGGAGTGGATATCCCATCGGAGACCCACGGAGGCAGACTTCGCTGATGTATACGAGTGGGTGGTTGAGCGAGAGGATGGACGAGTGGGCTTGTGATGAGTAGGCTCTTCAGCGCTGTTAATATTAGTGAAGTTATATAATATAATCCTTACGTTTACTCCAACTTATGGGAATTAAACGCCTTCACAGCATCCCCGAAAGTATATCCACTTCCGAGCTGAACATGAACTGAGTATAAACAAACAGAACAGTGGAGACAGCGAAAAGCCACATTCCTGATATCCAATCCACCCTCGGAATACGCGACACGCAGTATGGGGTGCATTGACGCGCAGCATGGACCTCTTACCAACTCACCGCGAATATGTCTTGGACATTCCCAGCAATCAGGATGGCCGGGGAAACTATTATTCAACCGGCCCATCCGCGATTTGCTGGGCGCGATGATCTTTCCATCTGGAAGACACTCAAAGTGGGTTTTCCTAGGCTGATATGGTTGCGGATATGGGTCCCGCCGGGAGGTGTGGATATCGATTGATGCCCAACGATATAAAACTCTTTCGGCCTACCGGCTGTATTATCAGGGGATTTTGGGGGTTTGTTATTCGACAAGGCAGATTGTTAGGGCTGTTGTCTGTCTGGGTTTCTTATCCGGTGCGTGCTTTATCTCGATTTGGGATTGCGGATTCTCTGCATGTGCGATCGGCATCTTGCATTGCCATGACACAATAAATTGCGATAATGCCATTGGACCTAGGCCTTCCATATAATAATATCTGAGATATACCAAACATGGATGAAGATAAGAATGACCAGCCTGACAACACATGACAACCCTGGTACTTCAGTTGACATCATCCACGCGACTATCGAGTTGTGTTCATCCAATCCCGTATACGGATCAAATCCCCCCTACTCCAGATCATCGCAATAGAACGTGGAAGAAACCTCCTATTCATACCCGCAGACACAGACGCCACCTAATATCAAAAGACATGTGATCCATTTGACCGACGCTTGGCTACAAAAGTACCCATTCAGCCAGCCATGCTGAATCGTAGCGGCTCTTTGTCAATAGTACAGACTATCTGGTCTGGGCCCTGGATCGTAAATGGCGTGGTACTAATATTCCGGCGGATTCTGAGATGGCAGGAAGTAGATAGTATGGTCTATAGTTAGATAGATAGGGGTTCGTGTACGTACTCCTTTCTCTATTATGGATATACGGTTGATAGGAACAGTTCATGGTGGAATGGTTAGCCATTGTTTCCAAAGTAGACAGCAAAAGTACGGTTATCAAGCACAGCCTACCTGGAGTGCTATCGCCATACAAGGAACATGCATTCCTTGAATCCTCCATCCTGAAGGCATGCACACATAAGCTTATGCTATTTGCTACAAACGGTAGGTAGACCCTGACGCTAAGGATGCAATGTCACACTTTAGTGCTGACCCTGTGTTTCCGCAGAGTGTCGGACAGCCGAGACATAACTGTACATTAGTAAACGAAGAACGTTTTTTAAGTTCTGGAAGCATCATTAATATGCATTGTCGATATACCTATGCTGTGCTGGAGGCAGCAGGATTTTACGAGGGCATCCAGGACCATACTCAGCAAATGCGTGGACTTTTATGCGTTCATAAAACGTTCCCTTGTTCGCCATGAACAAGCACCCCTGAGTATAATGTCTTTAAATCAGAGAAATTTGCTAGTCACGTTGGCTCGTTATTGAAGCTATCCCGAAAAAACTTGCATTGCAGATCGACACACTGCCGAGGCAGACAAGGGACCCTGTCGCACCGGCCCGGTTGGCGCTTTTCCTTCAACTCTTATCACCACCCATGTTGATAGGATTGTTTCATTTTCCCTGTACATACGCATTGAGTGTGCACTTTATGCATTGTAAATGCCTTCATATATTCATACGCACGGTGATCAATTCGTAATGGATGACTTCACCTGAGATTTTGAGTTCATGGTTAAGCGTTCACGAAAACCCGCGACGATCTCATTTCTCATCAAAAGCGTCCGCTGACTTTATTTTGAATACTCTCGAGCAGCGGTCAAGCGGAAACTGAACGTGCTGACCATCGAGGGTATGCCAACCCCGCAGGAGATCGACTCGATATGGTCTGATGGTCTGAAACGTTCGACAAGGGTGGACTAACCCATGCACATATGCACCCTTAGCATTGTCTTGCGCATTTTCCAGGAACGGTTTGGCTGACGAGTTAGTATTCCTGTGTCCAGACCAAAATGTTAAACTTTGTTGGAGAGCCCTTTCGCGGGAAAAACCGTTACCTTTGTGCGACAGAGCGACTCAACCATGGTAGACTCGACTTCAACCTGTCAAGGGCCTTTATCTCCTGCACAGGCCAAGATCCGAAAAGCAAGATCCGAAAAATGGGCCCCTAAAGATGAGTTCCACAGGTGAACATTTTGTAGTTCGTACCAGACGTGTATATGAAAGCAGAGCTGCTCCAACATCAGCCGTCGTCATAACCCAGCCACAAACCCAAAATGTTCGACAATAATTAAAGCCAAAAACAATTCCAACCAGACACCAGCCTGCCAGAACGCCGTGGCTTGGCCAACCAGCGATCCATTCCTTCAGGAGAAACGTCGGGATTTCGCGTGCTTGTTAACCTTTTCTGCCCAATGCGATGGAGCCCCGAGGTCGAATTGTGGAAATGGCATCAATGGCGATGATCCGCTGCCAATCAGCAATCGCGATTAATATAATAGAGTGCGTTGACCCGCAGATCACCAGATGCAAACGGTTAATCACCTCGTAAAAGTGGCTCATCCAAGCTTCTGGCCCCCCTATCCAAAACTCCAACCCTGCGGAACCAAAAACTCAAATATCACAATGCCTCCGCCTGAAATCCCTCAAGCTGGCGAGAATTCATCACGGACCATGCCGAGCTGACAACAGTGGATATATATATGAAAACTGCTGGTGCTCCATGCACTTCATGCACAGTTTCTCACTTTTTATCTTCCTGCGCGTGGGCATCCCCCATCACCATGGCCGGCGAAACCGGCCCGGTTAACCTGTCGAGGGCGATGGCGATGCTAATCGCGGCCTTTCTCGCCGTCGCCTGCTATAACGTTTTCGAGATCACCGTCTCCATCTTCTCCATCTTCAAGCGTCGGCGGGGGCTTTACTTCTGGAGCATGTTGGTCGCCACATGGGGAATTCTACTGCACGCCATAGCAGTGTTCTTGCGCTTCTTCGCCCTCGCCCCCAACTTCCCCATGTGTGTCTTGGTCGTCATCGGGTGGGTTTCCATGGTCACCGGACAGTCGGTGGTGTTGTATTCGCGCCTTCATCTTGTCACTGGCGACTGGGGACGTTGTCGCTGGGTGTTGTACATGATCATCACGAATGTTTGCATTTTGCATGTCCCAGTCACGATTCTTTTCCTCGGAAGCAACGCAGGCGATGAACGATTCTTAAAACCATTCAACGTCTACGAGAAAATCCAGCTGGCTGGGTTCTGCGCTCAAGAGATTGTCATTAGCGGGCTGTATATTTATGAGGCAGCAACATCCCTCAAACCTGTCTTCCAAGTCAAGGGCATCGCCGGAAAGAAAGTCCTCATCCACCTAGTAATTGTTAATATCTTCGTCATCCTCCTCGACGCCTCTCTCCTCGCTACCGAATATAGCAACAACTTCGCCATCCAAACCACCTACAAACCAATCGTGTACAGCATCAAGTTGAAAATGGAATTCACCGTCCTCAACCGCCTCATCGCCATCGTCCGCCCAAATCCCAGCATCGACGAATATGTCGACCGATGGCGGACTCCCCAACTGCACTCTTCCTCTCAGCGTCACTCGTCCTGTATGGGCGGGTCCAGTTATAATACCACACAGCCACTTCAACTAAATACCCACGACCTAGACGAACTAGGCCACGACAGAAATGACCATCATCTTCAGGAAGCGAACAGTCCACGCAAACCTCCTTCGGTATTCACCCCAGAAGTTGTCACTTCGCGAGAGCGATCGCTCTCCCCGGCGTCGGCTGCACGAGATACGAGGACCTCCTCGGTCATTTCGAATGGGAAATGGGGGACTTCGTTTTATGTTTAGATAATAAAAGCACTTTCAAAAAAACTAATACTTCACATCATCCTGAATGTTGTAAATTGTAGAGAAGAAAGACGAGAAAGAGAACGACGAGCGACCAAAACAAGGCCAGTCCGTATCGGGTTAGCGTAGCGTCTGAAATATAGCCCTTCCGTTTCAGGCGTCTTCGACACTCGCACCTTCCCACTCGCATCTTCCCACACACCACCTTGACTCTTTGCTTCCTCTACACATCTTGAATTCTCATCCAGCGACAAGGAGTTTCCGAAATTTCGAAAATAACTCCTACGTTGATGACCTTGCTTGGTGGGTCCTTTCCCCTCATTATATATTTCGGAGGACCGGTAAGCCTTGAATTATGCATTTTGATGTCAATCAGCTTTCATCAGTCCTACCTCAGTTCTAGACCAAACATTAATAAAATACAATGAGACGTGGCTAATAATTTTGAACACCTTGTAAGCAGTGATATCTGGCGATCAAGTTTCAGAAAATCATCAGCAACGTTTCCTGGTGAAGATTATGCCATGATATCGGGTTTCCCCGCAAGGAGAGCCAGCAGCGAAAGCAACCAATGAAAATAGATTTCCCCAAAGCTCAGAGAACACCGACTTCAATACTACCAAGGCAGTTAGTGAAAGGATATGGTGATTTGGCATCTGATCGGTGCCTCGAGTGACGCGATAACAGCGATAGGTTCCACGACAAAAGGAGGAGCGCATCATCGTCGCCGTCTTTGGATTGATGCAATAAATAATACACCCGAGAGCAAACCAGCCAGATTACTGCGATAACCCGGATGTACAATGACGTGATGTCCATACTGGCCTGGCTTTGGGTTAAGGAAGAATATACGAACACGGGCCATTTGCTGGCGATCGTATTCCGGGCAGATCCCCAGATGCCAACGCTGTCGCCAAGCAGTACGATGGAATTATAGCTTCATTCCAATGGACCTCTATGCAGCGAGTACAGGTAGTCCAAGAGGCTGTGGCCTCGGCTCAGGATATCTGGATATTCTGTTGAGCATATGGTTTCGAATATGCGTCTATGCTGCTCCTCATCTAGTGTCATTCGATACTGGATCCTGAATTTTATCACGGCCGAAGAGCAGTAGAGAAGTGAGCAACATAAAATGATCGATACATAAAGAACGATGGCAGACATTCCTCGGAAAGACGTCAACTTGTCCCGACGTGAAAAAATAGGTCCGGTATGCAGGCATTGGCCACGACGTCAATATTCAAGGCCATTGACCCAAGAGAGAGATCTCTAGCTTACTTGACATGGCTCGATTGCCAGAAAATCCGGATAAAAAGAAAGTTGCGGACTGTTCTATGATCACAGTTGGTGTCTTCGCAGGGCTCTCTGATAGAGCTTGTAGTAGACTGACAGTCGGATGAAAGTAACGTCTTCGAGCCGCTCAAGGGCTTTCATTCATCCTAGAGACCTTTGATGCCGACCACAGAGGTGGCGTCCATTTTGTGTTTTGGATTTTTCAGCTCCTATCACTATGCCTGGTCTATGGCACCATGTTTCAAAACTGCATGGAAACCAACTTCCCGAGCGATATACCACTAAGCGACCGGAGCCAGCTGGTTCTAAATAGTTCCTTTCATCATGATGTTGTACCCATGGATGCGAGAGACAAAGAGGAACATGGCTTCGAATTCATCTAGTGAATGTATCATCTATAACTGACGAATAACGCACTGAAGCATCAAGGAACTATCACGATTCACACTCGGGAAATAATCCAGACGCTGCGCATCAAGCACAAAACTTAAAATAAAGTCGGTATCTGCAAGCGGTCGCCTTTTCGGAGGGTGGTTTATGAGTGATTGGATATGGCTCAGCAAAACCAGGACTCGGGGTTTCCTGACATCTTGAGAATCGTTGATGTCTTGTCACGATGAAATTCCAAGCCATGAAGGCCCTCATAGCGCATTCTTATATCACCCCTTTGTTGGCGATTTTACTGAATGTTGTAAAACTGGAAGTCTGTTTCGCATGAATAAAACCATTTCGGCCTGGGCCGTCGTCTGCCACTCCAGGTGACGAAGTCTGGTTAATTTCAGGGGAATAAATCATATATCCAGAGGAAAGAGAACTCCTCGGGCTGATTTAAGATTCTTGGCGAGGCACTTGTCCATGGGACTATGAATGGTGAGGCATTGCGTGGAGATGAGGTGTTTCAACCCATAACGCAAGTAGTGTGATTCGTGAAACAACCATGCAGTATACATTCTGACTCGGAGGAATTATTCCTATGAAGATATTATCCAAAACCTCCAATCAGTGGGGATATCACATTATCGCATACTCTAACGGCTAGTTTCACACACGCCCACTTTAATTACTCCGGCGGCACCACCAGATGATCCAGTTCGAGGCACTAAACGAACAGGCTTATTCGGGAAGAACCAATGACGATCTCAGCGCTATGTTAACTATATTCTGGACTGTTCGATAGCCTTGGTTGAGCCAAGAAATATATATCATCTTTCATATGAAGGACGCTTTAGAGTGACGCCGTTGCTAATTTTCTTCAGGAAGTTGTCGCCGCGTGTAGCCACGTGCGGGTTCATGTCTGAATCCACCAATAGGAAATACAGTGATAATTTCCACTTCTTCATGTCGGATATTATGCGGATGGGCGGCGGGGTGAGTTGTTTATTTTGTATATGCCGGATGGTGCGATGCGCAGTATAAAAGCAGTCGCTGCAGGCTGCTTCAACACACCAGATACAAACCATCAGCCAAGATGAGATACACCGTTCTTTTCAGTGCCATTGCTGGCCTCTTCCAGTCTGCAGCCGCCGTGAGCGTCTCCGGCGCTGCTGAGGGTTTTGCAAAGGGCGTCACTGGCGGTGGTTCTGCTGCTGCTGTCTATCCCACCACCACCGATGAGTTGGTTTCCTACTTGGGAGATTCGACTGCCCGTGTGATTGTCTTGGACCGGACGTGAGTAATTCAACCGGGTCTGTTGATGAGTGCTAATTGTGTAGCTTCGACTTTACTGGCACTGAAGGCACCACGACTGCCACTGGCTGTGCGCCCTGGGGAACTTCTTCTGGCTGCCAAACTGCCATCAACAAGGATAACTGGTGCAACAACTATCAGTCGTCTGCTCCCAGTGTCAGCGTGTCATAGTAAGTGTTCTGTCTCTCTATACTAAAATCAAATCTGACGATGCAGTGACAATGCCGGTATGCTTGGAATTACTGTCAACTCCGACAAGACCATCCTTGGTTCTGGATCCAGCGGTATCATCAAGGGCAAAGGTCTTCGCATTGTGAGCGGTGCCAGCAACATTATCATCCAGTATGTCATCTATATCATCGATCGATATCTCATTCTAACCGGACAGAAACATCGCCATCACCGACATCAACCCCGAATACGTCTGGGGAGGTGACGCTATCACCCTCAACAACGCTGACATGGTCTGGATCGACCACGTTACTGTAAGCTATCCAACACCATCCTCTATCGTCACTACTGACTAGATAGACTGCCCGCATCGGCCGTCAACATCTCGTCCTCGGAACCCAGGCCGACAACCGCGTCACCATCTCCAACAACTACTTCAACGGTGTCACCGACTACAGCGCCACCTGCGATGGCTACGCCTACTGGGGCATCTACTTTGACGGTTCCAGCGATCTGATCACCCTCAAGGGCAACTACATCCACCACTTCAGCGGCCGCAGCCCCAAAGTCCAGGGCAACACTCTCCTCCACGCCGTCAACAACTACTGGTACGACTCTACCGGCCACTCCTTCGAGATCGGCTCTGGTGGTTACGTCCTCGCCGAGGGAAACATTTTCCAGAACATCGCCACCCCAGTTGAGTCACCTGTTAGTGGACAGCTCTTCACATCGCCTGATTCGAACACCAACACCGTCTGCGCTACTTATCTCGGTCGCAACTGCCAGGTTAATGGATTCGGTAGCTCTGGAAGCTTCAGCCAGGCTGACACTTCCTTCTTGGTCAACTTTGAGGGCAAGAACATTGCGTCGGCTTCGGCTTATAGCTCTGTTACCAATGTGCCTAACACTGCTGGACAGGGGAATCTGTAGATATACTCGTCCCAGAAGTGATGGAATCCAAGGGCTATACATAGCATCACTGTTACTATTTATACATGTACATCATTACTCGATATGGCTATAAAATCAGATCTATAAAGTGGATCGGCACGATGTAAATCACTCTCCACAACGAACACTGCTGATCAGTATCATCTTCATTAAATCTCTTCTTTAATCTTTACTTCATACAATCTATCGTAAATATCCCTACTCAACCTGATAGTCCCTTCTCTCAAACAACTTCAACACTGCCTCCTTCCCATACGTAGTTGCCACATCCAACGCACTCAGCCCTGCCTTATTTTCCTTCCTCGGATCTAATCCTCTCTTCAGCAACTCCTTGAATAACAGTACTGCGTCTCCATCGGAGGCCCCGTCATCGTAATCATCGTAGGTTGGTTCGTAGAATCGGCCAGCGACAACGTGTAATAGCGTATCGCCTACAATATTAACCGCAAAGACATCGTGTAAATCAAGCATGCGTTTCACATCTCCCATGTCCGGTGGCGGGACGAATATCATATCACTACGTTCTTTGACCCTTGCCAGATATGGGAAGAGGGGAGTATTTCCTTCACGATCCCGACCGTTGGGATCGCATCCGCCATCAATGAAGCGGTGATAAAGCTCAGTGTACCCCGCCATGTAGTTTGTTTTGTCTGTACAACCAGTTCCTTCCATCTGATCGGCCGGACTATGAATCATTAGACACGGGGCGAGGAGGTGCAAAGCCGTTTCACCCTTTGGACCGGTGCAGAGCGGGTCAGCGCCGGCGGAGAGGAGAGCCTGGATTTTTCGGAGTCCGAAACAACCGGCCAGAGAATAGTAGAGAGGTGTGAGGCCGTTGTTGTCTGCTGCGGAAATAGATGCGCCGTGAGATATGAGCAACGAGATGGTCTCAGCACTCCCGTTTTGAGCAGTCAGATTGAGAGCCGTTAAGCCTTTATTATCGGTCGCGTTGACATTGACACCGCCGAGAACAAGCTCTTTGACAGTATCACTGACTAGATCACGCCGAGTACTCGTGTAGAATGTTTCACGGCAGGCCAGCAATAAAGGTGTACGGCCATCATTGTCTTTTGCCTCAAAATCAACCCCAGCAGCAGTCAGGAGTGGTCCAAAGAATCCGAAGCAGTATGCTATCTTGTGGAGGGTGTTTTGGCCGTCAGCGAATTTCATCATCGGATCAGCGCCGTACTCAAGGAGGAGTGCAATCAGCGAGGATTTGGCCAGTGCTTTCTTACTACCAGGAGCATCACGACTCTCTACCCAGGAAGCTGCGAGTAGAGGTGTTTCAACTTCCAGTGCAACACCATAACGTCTTCTCTTTCTAGAGACAGGTTCATACATTGTATTTGGGTCCGCACCGGCTTCCAAGATGAGTTTTGTGGCTTCGACATCGTGACTGTCTACCACAGTGAATAAAACAGGGACATTGCCTAGCGACATATCCGCTCCATAATCAAGTAGTTTTCTGATCAACTTCGGTCCCCTCTTCCATGTAACAGCCGTGGTTAGAGTCGATTCACCCTTCGAGGACAAGGCATTGATGTTTGCGCCGTGTTCTAGGAGTACTTCTAACGATTGATCCCTCCAGAACCCGGCCGTATATGAATCTGTGGACCAGGTGCCAATCTTGCCATTCCAATGGCCACTCAGTGCACACAGAAGAGGAGTGTTACCATCACGGTCGCTCAATTCGATATCTGCACCGGCCTCGCACAGAGACCGGAGTGCGGGAATATGCCACCATTTCTTGCCTGCTGCGAAGATGTGGATGGCCGCGTAGAATTTGGGACGTCGATCATCAGCATATTGATCTCCCTTTTCCTCATGGTGCATCACGTTGAGGTCGACACCAAGCTTGATCAGCAAATTGACCATCTGGATATTGGAAAGATCGCGTAGAGCAGCCACGTGCAGAAGAGGCGGGGATAGTTTGTTTAGATCCTCAACATAGGAGGCCATGATTTTCATCATTGATGTCAATCCCCAGTAAGCTACCTTATGAATGGCTGTTAGCCCTTCCGTGTCAGTCGCTGTAGGATCTGCCCCAGCCTTCAGCAGCGCCCCGAGGAGGTTTTCGTTTTTGAGATATATGGCTGTTGAAAGAATGGAGTGTGTCTTGATATCTTCAGGACTGATTTGCTTGACCATATCTTCAACATTTCTTGTTCTCGAAAGATACAACTGATCAGCTAGTGGATTAGGGGGGAGAGCATTCGTGCCTGAGGTGACATTGTGTCTATGAGGTGCCAACACATCTACCGCGCCTTCGCACCCTAACATAACAGCGACTTCGTATGGAGTCTGTCTGAACTTATCACGCACGGTTGGATCTGCGCCAGCAGACAGAAGCAATCGAATGACATTCTGTATCATGTGTGTCTCTTCTTCCTGGGCAATCACTATACCTAGCCCAAGCGATGTTTTCGACCCGTATACGCGGTCCGGATCCATATCAGGTGTAAATCTGCTTCCTCCTCGGCGATTGTCCCAGCCTGATAGCAGCTCATTTTTGCGCTTATTTCTGAGGTCCAATGTATCAACACGATGCTCTGCTGCGGTATGGAGTGGCGCCTGCCCATATTTGTTCTTGGCTGTCGGGTCGGCGCCTGACTGTAGTAAAAGATAAACACATTCTGCGCTACCGGATCGAGCAGCCTCATGCAATGGCGTACAACCTCGTGAGTCCTTGGGATCTATATCCCAGGAATGATTTCGATACAGCTCGCAGAGAAGACCGACGACGTTGCTTTCGCCCGATGCAGCCGCACAATGAAGAGGTGTGCGGCCATCGAATCCTTCGGCTCGTACGTCAGCACCAACGGATATTAAATGGCATACATGGGTTGGTGCCACTGATGCCGCGAGATGAATAGCTGTTAGTCCCTCATGGTCCTTTTGGTGTATGTCAATCCCCAGGTCTGGCTTCAAGAGGAAGTTGATCCTCGAAATAGATTGGTTGTCCGATTCCAGGCCCGCTGCCATATGCAGTGCCGTTCGCCCAAGGTTATTGCGTTTATTCGCCACTCCTCCGATCTCGATGATAGTAGTCAATTTCTTCTTTACCGCGTTTTCCACCACTGCATCGTGAAATGGCGTGTTCCCGCCATAATCAACCGCGTTGATATCCACCCCTGCTTGTACCAGGGATTGGACAGTATCCAAAGTCTTTTTTGAACTACCATACCAGTCGATGCCACTAATAAAAAGGTGAAAACACGATTTGTTCTGAAAGTCTCTAACAGTCGCATCGGCACCAAGACGAAGTAACTCGTGGGCAAAATGATGCTGTACATTCTCGCAGGCAGCAAGCAGGGCTGTCCTCCCCCGTATGTTCTTCGACTCGAGGTCGAGGCCTTTATCCACCATAAGCTTTATACCTTCGACTCTTCCCTGACCGCCGTTCCCCCAGCGAAGGTTATACACGCAGGTATTTCCATCGTAGTTCTTGATCGTTGGGTCTGCATAGGCTAGCCATTCCTCAATATGTTCGCGCTCCAGGCACCACGACGTGCAAATATGATGCAGAGCTGTATTTCCGTCAGGGTCTTGTTTGTTGACGTCCGCCCCATTGTCGACAAAAGAACGTATATCAAAAATCTGCTGTTTTGCCATCGTGATCAAAGGGGTAAGACCTTCGTGGTTGATGGCATTTATATCAGCACCCGCTTTTACAAACAGCTCCACCACCTGCTTACGCTCCCTGCACCAGGAGGCTTTATGGAGGACAGTGTTTCCTCTATTGTCTGTTGCACGTGGGTCGGCGCCGTGCTTGAGAAGCAATGATACGAATTCCACCGCTGGCTTGGAGTGTCTCTCTCCGAGAAGAGATTGATCCTCGTATGCAAATAGTGGTGTTTCGCCATCATAACAACGTGCATTGATATCGCATCCTGCTTGCACCAGTAGACGTAGGACATTTCCCATATCCCCTGTAGGTATCCGAGGAGTTCGGTCATACATTTTTTGGTCTTGCAATCGGGCCCAACCTTGTAACGGAGTGAATTCGTGGTCGTCGCTGCCATTCCTTGAGGTGATGCGAACGTCTGCACCATGGTCGAGCAAGATACGGACTGTTGCAGAGTTTCTATAACAGGCAGCCACGTATAAGGCTGTGTTTCCTTTCTCATCTTTCCGGTTGATGTTCGCCTCGATTTCGGGGTGTTTCAGTAACACTGAAAGTACATTGGCCTGCCCTTTGGAAGCGGCCCAGTGAAGGTGAATATCGTCTCTTTGGCGAGGGTTCATGTAAAGCGCCAATGCATCAACTGCTTCAGTATTACCCAACTCGCACGCATACTGCATGGGCGTTTTCCCATTCGTAGACAAACTCCAGGATGCCCAGGATCGATCCTCTCGGGATTTTGGCTCCATCGGGTCAGCACCGGCAGTGAGAAGGCCCTTCACAACCTCGCTATGGTTGCCTTTAGATGCATGATGAATAGGAGCCAGGCCGTCAAAATCTTTAGTGCTCACGCTTGTGGTGCGATTAATCAAAACAGCTGCAGTTTTTGAATGGCCCCCAATCGCCGCGTGGGCTAGTGGACTGCGTCCGTATGAATCCGCCCGATCTGCATCATCTCCCTTATCCAACAGGTACGAGGTATATGAAACCAAGCCTGACTGAGCAGCCACATGCAGAGGATAGAATTCTTTCGGGAATATGTCCTCTGTGGAAAACCAAAAAGCCTTCCAGCTTTCGAATGGGTGGGCTCCATACTTAAGTAAACTGTCTAGCGTTTCGAACAGGCCTGTATCTAATTTATCACACCTTGCCGCGTGATAGGGCCAGTTCTGGTAGGTGTATTGGAGAAAAGGGAAGCGAATCATCAAAGCTCGGCGTTCTTCTGATATCTTGTGGTCATCATCCTCTTCCTCCGCTGTCATCAGCGACCAGCTGTCAAAGCACCCCGATAAAAGATAATCGACACATGTGATTGTCAGATTCCGGTGGACATCTGATGATATCAAAGATGGGAATGACTTGGATGAACTGACCCTTCCGTCATCAAGAAGGAATTCCGTAAACGAATGATGAATTACTTGAACTGTTTCATCTTCCAGTATCTCAACTAACGGGCCACACGCAGATCGGATCATGAGCTTTGCGTCTCGTGTATCGGCCTGTCCCCAACGATTTGGATCTGAGTTGACCACAATAGCGAGTTCGGTTAAACGAAGCGCCCGAGACGAATGTGTGATCCATGAGAGCAGTGAGACTTGGAATTCACGGGATATTTTAGAAAGAACGGAGTGCTCATTGAGTATATCTGTGTACATATCCACCAGGCTACCTGGGAGGCGGTCTAGCTGGTCGTGAATCGGATCTCCACTTTGAAGCACCTTGTCTAGCATCAGTCGGGCGTAAAGAAAAAGACTTTGGGATTTCTGAGAGAGGGCATCCTGTATTGCAGATCGATCATCTGAGCTCATTTGCCCCTCTCCCTGTAAACCCATGCGATGATTGATATAACTACTGATATCCTTCCCGATCATACTCTTTGCAAGCTGTAGATCAAGGAGCGAAATGTGGTTAGGCTGGCCGCCAGGTGGAGCATGCCGGCTTGTAATTGCCACTTTGACTGATGAAGGCTTGAGCTGCCCTAATCGAAGAAGGTCGAGGACAATACCCTGATCGGCTGTAAGCTCATCCATTGCATCAAAAACAAGATAAATCTTGGGAAATCTCGGTAGAATAGCTGTCAGCACCGCGGAGAGATCCTTGAACGGCACCTGTTCGACGTCGGGGAATCGAGCCATGAGAGGCTGCAACTCCACAGGCAAGATTGCGCTGTAGCCCAGGGCTTGAAACAAACAATCTCGAAGAAGACATTTCGGGTCGCTATTCAACGCGAGGATGCGTCGAGAGAAAAAGAAGAGCACCGGTGCGTTCTCACGCTGAGTCACATTAATCAAATTGGCTGCGATGACGGATTTGCCGCTTCCTGGGATGCCCTTAATCCAAAGGACGCCAGTGTCATCAGAGTCATACCATTTCTGATACTGCTCAGTCTGAAACAGCCAGTCTCCAGTGGCAGGAGCGTGGTTGTTCAGGTGTTTGCGATATTCACTGCCTTCTGAGTCGAACTCGGTCGGCGACAACCACTGTCGCATGCTGTCGAGGAGCGGAGATGAAACTGTCTGGTTAGCTTGGTCATTCCGATTTATCGCGGATAAAATCCTACCACTCTGCTGGTTTCCATCTGTGCCTTTCTTGTTAGCTTATCCACTGGGTATACTGATTGATGGTGCTTACCATGATTGACCATAACAAAATCGTCCTCCATGTTTGTTGTTGGGTTGAAGATGACAGCAAGTGTCGCTAATTAAGAAAGAGGGGCGACCATGTGATCTGCAGGCAGCAACCAGCGCGAATACGAGAAAAATGATAAAATATTTTTTAAACAAGAGCAAGTGGTATGGATTTCTGAATTTGCCCTTAATCTGGGCTTAAAGTTGGCGATGTAATGGAAATATCGGATAGCATCCCTGACAACCAAACAATGCCGTGGGATCACTGAATGTTCTTGATTATCAAATCGTCATTCTGGTCGCTATTCAACTCTGATCAAGGAACCAGTATATATCACTCTTCACGTCTCTGGAAACTGTCAATTGCCGCAGAACTGTCCTGCGCACTCTCCCCATCACCATCAAACAAGCCCCATTGGATAAGGACAGATGTGGAATCTTGGGACCCCGGCTTGAGACATTTCCATTCATATCAAGCGTCACATCCTTTCCGGCAACTTCAATATTGATAATGGCGATACCACGTTTGATATATTGCCCAATCCCGTGAATGTAAAGGCTAATAAACGTGTCGGTTAGTCAGGTAATGAAGCCGTTGTCACTGCTGGCATTGACTTGCTCTCGGGAACATAAATCAGCGCGATGCCCTCATAGATCTGGATACTCATAAAGTATTCATGGGCTGTTTGGATCTTCTGGGCTGCATCCAAATAACTGCGGTCTAGATTGCCGAGGACGATGTCCACGGTACTTGATGAGATTATCAAGTAAACCCACTCTCAACCCAATTGATTGGCTCTGTGATCCCGAAATCAAAATTGTTGACGGGCATCTGAAAGGGGCGTTAGTGAGGTTACTGATGCGAGTTGCAGTTCCATCTAAACTTACCATGAAACTCCAGTCCCCAATCAAATCCGGTAATGTATCAGCGGGGATATCATCTATTCCGTCCAGGTGTATTCCAATATCTTCCTCGCCCTTACCCTGGCTAACCCTGTCTTCCAAGATCGATACACATCTTTCCAGCACGTCTTCGGCGGCTTTCGTTAGGAGTTCTGGGAACTGGCTTTCAGGGAGGCCTCGCATAAGGCCTCCGACCTGTTCGCAGATGACAGATAAGAAAAGATAGCCTTTGACATTGACCTGGCCAACCTCGATGGATCGCAAAGCCCACTTCCTTCCATCATCCAGGACCGAAAGTAGGTCGCGCCGCAATGGTACGGGACCTAAACTGTCTTCCTCTTGTAGCTGAGCCCTGAGCTCTGCGGCAATAAGAAGGCAGGCTTGGGCGGAGATTGTGCGGAACAGGCCCGATCCGCAAAATGCAAGGCGTGTCAGATAATCCGAATGTGCTGGCAAAAATTCAGTTTGGGACGCAGCAGCCATGATAGGCGATGATGGATAGACGGCACACCACATTTTGAGTGACGTGTCTACTACAACCTTCCTGGAAAACGCGTAGGCTGTTTCGTGTGTCGCTGGAGCAAAGAAGGGCTCGTGAAGAGCCAAAAAGTAGCGACGTACGAGGTAATCCAGGGTGCGTATTTGAAATTGAGATGGTGAGTTGCCGCCCCCAGAACTGTATTGTTGAATCATCCGACAAATGGCCTTGTATAATCTTCTTAGCTCAGAATCCAGTCGAAGTGTTTCATTGTAAGCACTTGAAACTCCAATGCCATTCAAAGCCTTCGCAATAGCAAGCCGAACTGGGAACATCTTTCGAAGTGCTAAGGCAATTGACATCTGGGTAAAGGACCCGTCTGGCTGCGGTGTGGGGTCCTCAGCCATGATCTGCTCGTCGTCAAAATTACCCGGTGGCTGGGTATCAAAATCATCGAGGGAGAAGAGTGGTGGTCCGCCAGAGTTCATACTCGTTTGCAGGTTAATTTCTAAGACAGTGTTCCATACTCGTCGACGCATTTCTGCAACGAATGTTGTTGATTTCGGGAAATACAGAGGGTCTCGATGCAGTCCCATGTATACTGCAGTCCGCATGACATTCCCGGCCGAGACCCAGGACAACCCTCCCTCCACGCCAACGAATTCTCGGGCAAACAAAAGCAAGATGCTGGTCTGAAGAAATTGAACGTTAAGCCTAGACTTGAACTCCGGCTGGGAAATCCATGTCTGTGCCTCATAGATCCATCGGATCGCCGAAGTGCGCAGAGAGAACCGATCATCATACATGACGGCTCCGATGGAGAGAACCAACTTCAGCTGAATTATGAACGCCATATCAGGCGTCGTTTCCGAAACCCAGACTGCTTCATAGTCTTGCCTAAATGTCGGAATGTGCAAGATGCGATGAATGCCTTCGATCGTTCGGAGATAGATATCGACGAGTGAGTCAGCCACATCTTTTGCAGGCAAGTCGGTAGTTGGTGGTGTGGGCCACGTGGGATTTTGACGCGACTTGATCACTCTGGCCAGGTATTTACATTTGTGCACATTAAGAAAACATTTTGAATTTTCGTTTTGGACACAAGGCTCAATCGTCTCAAGGACGTCCCAGAACTAATCGCAGGTAAGCCGATGATTGTTCTGATTTCGTGTCCTGTAACAACCTACCTGAGCGGTCCCATTCATCCAATGGCTCTGTCCAAAAAGGCGAGTCTTGTGCATGATGGTGCGGGGGATTGTCGCATCTTGGCCAGCGGCGGGCCTTTGGTGGTGGACGTGGAACGTCCCGGCGAGATATGACTTTATTGTCGTGATATTGGTATCAGAACTGGCATCAGTAGAAGTAACTGGTCTCCGCGTTGCTTTAGACAGCTGCTCCTCAAGTTGCTTAATTCTGAACCTCAACGACTCAACCTCCCTAGCAGATGACTGGCTGCCTGGAGTCGACGGCGCGGTGGAACTGGCCACCAATTGGCCTGACTGAAGAGTTTGGGCTGTTGTGTCGCTGCTCACGGTCGAGCCTTGATCAAGCGACAGTGTCTGACGTTCTTCGGGCTCTCGGGCCCGATCAGGCGCAGTTGTTTGGCCATGGCGAAGGCGTTGTCGTGGAGGGGGCGAGAGACTCTCATACACGCAACGATTCTTTTTAGACCGCAAGCAGTTGCTGCATGGGTATTCCCGGTTGCATTTAATCTTTCTTTTTCTGCAGAGAGTGCATGATCTGGATTCTTCGTTTCAACACAAGTCCGGTCGGGGATTTTCCATCGAGCACTTACACGGGCGGTCTTCTGCGCCGGCTTTTCGGCTCGGCCATCGGGTTCGCCTGCAAACTCACACTCGGGTCATCCATATTTTCTCCGACAAAAACAATTCAGATTGTCACGGCTTTCTGTTTCTCATCTTCAACTGGGGGAAAAAAGAAAAGAAAACTGGAACAGAAGGATGGAGACTGTCAGATCAGAGCTCGGGAACTGCGCAAATGGTCCGTCTCACCCGCCATTCCCCGGCTCCGACCCCGCGTTCGCATCCGCCTTATCTCCGATCTCCGGTTGAGCAGTTCATTGCTCCAGCCATGTGCTATTATTCTATACAACATCTCAAGTTCTTGCTTGGTCATGATCATCATATTATTTTAGCCTTGGAACTATAGCGATCTGTCAACAGCCCCTCTGTTGCACGTCTCGATTGGTACATTGGATAGGGGATCAAATGTATATCACCATGGCGTCTACAAGATAGATCTACCGGCAACATTGCCTGGTCTGGATTTTATCTGGCAGTCGTCACGAACTATTCCAGCAGGAATATTTGTCAATTAGTTGAATGAACGTAACCAGGGCGATTCTCTGCAATCTTCAAATACAGAGTCACAGAAATCCCTGCGTGTCAGAAATGGCAAAGATCTTTTCAGCGCGAGACAAGGCTGTACCTTCTGATTACTTCTTTTACTTTTGCGCGCCTCCATCACAGCTCAGCATCTCTTCAATGTGATAACTGAATCGCATTCAAATCTGCTTTTATCATTAAATACACACAATGCGACTGATTCATAATACCACATTGACGGTAGTGAAGTTCACCCCAGACCGTGTCCCACCACATGCCATCCTCTCTCAAGCTTGGGGAGAAGGAGAGATTCTGTTGAGTGACATTGAAAAGGGAACTGCCCAGACCAAAGCTGCATGGGGCGTGTATGTATGTAGCCACAATGCAATACAACACCTGAGTTACATAGTGATTATCCAATGATAGTCCATATTTAAATAGGTCATGCGATAAGTATGTGTGTGGCTGATATAGTACTCATAAATGCTAAAGACTAAGAAAATACCAAGCCTTTCCAGAATCTAATTCCAACCAATGAAGATGCAAGTATCATGATCAATCAAGTTATTTATGCATTTATACACTGTGGATTATACGATCATCATACTAATAGCTTCAGTTCAAACTAAGCATAGCATCACATCTTCAAACCAACAACATGCGTCTCCAAATCCTCCCCTTCGTCACTATCTTCTCCACCTTCGCTAGCACCAACCCAACTGAAACCGCCGGTATCCACGGCTGATGAGGCTACTGTGGATGGGACAATGAAGCAGACAACGCTACAATAATCGAGGCCACAAAGCAGACCTGTCGACATGTCGAAGGCCACTGGACGCTGAGGAGGTGCAAGGGCGGGGCGATAAATTGCGACTTTGATGAAATGTCACTAGGCAACTTTACAGAGTCGTGCAATTATAAAGGACATGAATGGTCGGTTTCCCATATTCTTGGTCATATCGTCGAGAATTGTACCGAGATTGAAAGGGTGGTAAATCTAAGGGGTCTTTTCTAATTGAGATAATGGTGTAATTTGAGTACAAGTAATGATGGTGTATATTAATATGCTGTATGTCTGCATAGATTTTCTATCAAAGGTGATCCTCGTGTGTATCATGCAGCATCTTTGAACAACTCAGGGAACAAGGTCCTCAGTTCATCCAAATCCTGTATCGCATATTCCGATGCTGGCACTTGAGGTGCAGGAACCATAGACTCCACGAAGTGGACGGTCCTCCAGCCACGAACTGAAGCATGTTTGCAGTTCAAAAAGGAGTCATCTTTATAATCATTAGCCCCTTGCAATTCTAAGGACCACAGTAACATACCGATAAAATAACACTGCTCCGTAGACAGCGCCCCCGCTTCCATTTCCGCCTTCTCATACATCTCAGCCGATGGTTTGCAGACAAGTGGGAGCTGGCCATAGTCGCAATAAGTAATACCCTCGAATAAGTCCTCGATTTGCAGTATTGTTATCACACGCTTTGCATGGGTCACGTAGGCATTGGTAAGAAGCCATAGCTTGACTTTTGTCGTGTCGAAGCTTTCGAGTAATTTTCGCAACTTCTGGTCTGGTTTTAAGATGTCATCTAATGGCAGCGCATCGTCGACTTCGCGATTGAAGACGAGGGGATCGATCTTGTGGTGGCGAGAGAGGCCTTCGATTGCAAAGCCGTATTCTCGGTAGTATCGTCGATGGAGGTCATGGGCTTCTTCAGCACTGATGGAAAGATGGGTGACGAAGAATTGGCCTATAAGCCTATGATTTAGAAATAGTGGACAGTAGTATAGAGGTTGAAAGACTGACGGATCAATTTCTGCATTGCCTCCAATACATTGCAGGCTGTATGTGTCTTGTTAGTCTGTGCTGAACTACTGGTGGAAATGACTCGTACATCTGGAATAGAGCTGAACGGCATTAGTTAGTGTCATTGTCCAATTTTAGAAACGTTGTACATACACAATTATCTATATCAAAGAAGAAAACTGGCCTGGTATCAGGCGTTGCGTTTGGATTTGGTGCCATTGAGTTGGTATATATAAAAAGGCTATGCAGATGAAATGAAGATAATTAATACAGGGGATGGATCAGAGAGTAAATATAAACATGCGCATGACTCATGTTTTAATACCACGATCTATATTTAAACTCGCTAAATAGTTGATTACCAATCAGAATTGAAGTTAATCGCTCATGGCTCAATGTGCTACTTTTGATCTATTTGATAAGATCTTTTACCCAATTCGGTTTAACCGAGGTCTGACTCTGATATCTTGATCGATATCAAATATGGAGAACTAATCATCACTATTAATTGTTTCGAATTGGCGACCTTATTGTCATTATGAAATTTGTATAATGACCCACCATTCAATCTTTGTCAAAAAAGCGTTCCAGCACCCCTATTCTGACATCCGCCATCTGCATATCTGGTGTGACTCATCTGCAAGGGTTGGGGTTTTAGGAGGCGGGGAAGCCGACATTTCTTAGATGAAATTTTTAATGCCAAGAGCAGGGCCGTAGAAAAGATAAAAGCCTGGCTTTTTTTATGGAGACGATCAACGAGTGGGTCATTGTAGATTCTGCTGTTCGTAACATTATTCTGCCAAGGCTAGGCTTTGGGCATGGAGACAATGAGTGGGAAATGGAATAATATATGGAAAGGTATGAATCGTCGATTAGAGTTTTTGGCTGAACCTTGTTGAATATGACAGCCAAACATGTTTTTGGCAACCCCACACCTGAGACACTCTGACGCAAAGACATATAGGAATCTCATATAAAGCACAGCTTAATAAAAGTAGTATAACTAATATCAACACATATTTCATTAGTATATATAAATACTCCATCTTTCTGTTATACTCGACTAACAAACGCGAAAAAAAAAAAAGATATAAATCAAAGATATTGAGGTGAGTGTGAATATGCCTTACTATTCAGGCATCAATCTCACGGAATATCTAATATTGTAAACGTAATTTTATTTTTTCAAAGGGTCCATGGTAATAGATTGATAGATAAAGTCTGTTTGTGTCGAGATCTTTCAAATGTGGGGTTGATGTAGATGGGTGGTAATGTTTCTTGGTTGATTACATCACTGTACCATAATAATGTAGCAGAAACAGGGTATAGACGTCATGACCAAATATAATGTTAATGATGGCTGTTTTCAGTTTATGGCGTGATTAACATTGAAATAAGTGGCTGACCATACGGACCTGACATAGATGGAGATTGGGATTATCTTTAAATAGCCCTTCCTGCTCCCGTCGGACTCGAATTAACTCGTAATTCAACCACTCCCCATTATTCGACTTGCATACTGCCAGAATGGCGAACGAGGAAATGCCTCGCCTCAGAATAGCTCTAATCGCCGAGCAGCAATCGGCCTACCTCCAACTGGGCTATTCCGAAGACGAATGTGCGGCCCTCACACATGATGGAGAAGTCCAGGCAGTGTCCACCACACTCAGAAAGCTGGGCCACCACGTCACGCTCATCCCAGGTGTTCAGCCGCTAGTGCAGCAGCTGGCAGCTGGCAAGCATCACGAGTGGGATTTGGCATTCAACATGGCACAGGGCTTCCATGGATCGGCCCGTGAATCGCAGGTCCCAGCGCTCCTGGAAGCATACCAAGTTCCATACACATTTTCCGATGCTGCAACGATGGCGTTGTGTCAGAATAAGGCAAACACCAAGGTATCATTGGATGTCTTCCTTTGAAATATGCCGAGTTGACTGAGCATTGTGTGGCGATCTTAGATTTCACTCGCCTATAACCACATCCCCACTTCGCCTTTCGTGGTGATCCCAGCTCGGCAATCAGACATCCCAATGTCCACCAAAACATTGCCACAGTACCCCCTCTTTGTCAAGCTGGTGACTGAAGGATCGTCCAAGGGAATCGATCCCATGAGCAAAGCCAATGGACCGGTGGAGCTACAGCGGGCCGTGCAGAAACTCAGGGCCCAATTCCCAGGCCAGGATATCTTGGTGGAATCTTTCCTGCCGGGACGGGAATTCACAGTGGGAATTTTGGGCAATGGCGCTGACAGCAAGGTGATTGGAATAACAGAACATGTCTCCCAACAGCCTCCCAGCTCTGATGAAGAGGGGAGTGACGGCTATTACGGTATAGACTTTGTGAGCAGAAAGTGCAAGTCCAACAAGGGGTTGGTAGTCCTCGATCATGACTGCTCTGATATCAGTGACCCCCAATTGAAAGCCGCCAGCCAAGTTGCTTTGGATGCATGGAGTGCCTTTGGATGCAACGATGCTGGCCGTGTCGATATTCGATTTGACTCTGAAGGGCCAGATTCTGTTCCAAATGTGTTAGAGGTGGGCTTCCCATAATGACATGAGTCCAACTACCAAAGGTCCAAACTGACTCAATATACTCTACAGTTGAACCCCATTTCTGGTCTCCTTCCGGGCCATTCCCCGCTGGCAAGAGGTGCTGAGAAAAATGGGATTTCGTTCGAGATGCTGGTGGGTGCAATTGTTGACAGTGCAGTGAAACGAACCTGCCAGGCGACTCCCAACTAGTATAGCTTCCATGCGTGGTAATATACATCTGACTTACTGGGGAATAATAAAAATATGGTGATTCCTACTCTTAAGGAAGGAATATGGCCTATAATGTTTACAATATGAATATAAATGAGGTTTTTGCTATCAAGTATTCTGATGCAACCGGGGATGTATCCCAACTCATAATTCAGTAAGCATATCTCCTATCTCATATCCATACCACACATAACTAAATAAAACCGTACGCAGCAGCAGCAACCGCAGCGGCCGCCGCTCCTCCAACCCCAACATGTCCAGCGGCAGCAGCATCAGGCGTCTGCGTAGCCTGAGGGGCATTCAACTTATCCACTCCTGCCGTAACCGTCAACGGCTGATAATAAATATCATCCGAGCTATATGAGGTCTTCCAAGTCGTCGAGCTGGAACGAGAAACCCCCAGCGTGGAACCGTAAATTCCCGCAGAGCCAGAGCAAGACGCCGCAGTCGAGGAAGTGACATCGCAGTCATTCATCAAAGTGAGTTTAACATTAACACCGAGGGTCTTGGTTGTGTAGACGGCGGAAAAGGTCATAGTGGAAGGACCAGCGGTGATGGTGACGGGGTCATCGAGGTCGCAGAGGGATGTGGGTGCGTTGTCTTTACATTGCATCGCGAACGTTGTCGCGATGGCATTAGCGCCGACGACACTGGCTTCGACTCCGGATAGGGGAATAGTTGTTTCGCCCGCGTTGAACACTTGGACGGTTGTTGTCTGTGCCGAGATGGCGGTGGCCAGAGCCAAGAGGAGGAGGTAAATGGGCTGCATGATGCGGTGTAGATATTGGAATTTTCGACGCAAGGGGTATGCGGGCAGAAAAAAGAACGGGGAGAACGAGGCTTATATAGCGGGGATACAGTCAAAGCAGCAGGCGCGAGGGTGATTTTGCCCTCCCGATGGAGGCTCAAATATGCCCAAGTAAGGCTGAAAAGACTCTTGGTATAGATTGCTCTGACTCGTGTCATGGATGTGATTGGTCAACTGCTGACACGATACGAACTCCAAGCCACTAGTTCAGATCATGATTGGTAGAAGGTCATGTGTCTGCTTGTCCGACAGCGTTGGTCCAGTGACATTTCAGACGTGGGACAGTGATACCCCTCAGCCTTATGTCTGACATACAGATGCAGTTAGCCCAGTGACTGTTGGCATTACGTTTTATTTTAAGTACTGGTATATTCCGAGTTTCCGAGTTCATAAATCCTGTTTATGAATATTTGAAATAGAGTTCCCTAGATATGTACAGCCTTTTCTACCTATCAGACCACGGTGCTGTAGGTTTGTACTACTATCAATCAAGTTATGCATTCTGGTCCGACTATTGATGCAACTGTCTTCTCGGGCACTTGGCCGATATTCTAAGAATGGACTGAGATATACAAGATATCCCATTAGTTGAAAATATCATACCTGATTATAATGATTAAAAATTATTTAGCTCTAGCTAACTCTGAATTATTGATGAACCGAAAGACTATTGTTATTGATTGAGGGTCTCAGGACTTTGCCATGTGGGAGGCGGTCTATTCCCCTTTGGGCTAGCTTGATCACATCTGCAGCCACTCACAGCGTCCGCTGGCAGACTTGTTCTGATGAAAGCCACTATGTAGTTCTATGCATTGCTACATCAGTATTAATGCCTCATTGGAGTCTAATCTTGCCAACCAGTACATATGACCTGTTTAGGTCTATATTAGCCAGCCCAATGCATCGTATCAACCCCTTTCAAGACCTTGGCAGCAGCTCAATCTTTGGGTATAATAGATGCTCCCGCAGATGGGCTGGTTTATTTTCTGTTTCTCTTCCGCCAAACTACTTAACACTACTATTCCATCTTATACCCTACTTATATCTTAATACCATAATGCCTTTTATCAAGTTCCTCCTTGCCGCGGCCCTGGCCACTTGCGCCGCGGCGCAGACCTCCACCACCACCACTGCCTCTGCCACCGATTCCACCACAGTCATCTCCATCTTCCACGGCGGTGCCACCCCAACCGAAACGACCAAGCCAAACACCAGCCTCGAGGCCAGCGTCATCACAGCGCACTCCGGCACCACCATCCTCGAAGTCGGCTGCAAGGGCAACTGCGAGAGCACCTCCTACACCGTCTCCCAGGGCCCCTCCACCTACCAGCAGAGCATCTCCCAGAACTTGACCAAGTCCGTCAAGGCCTGCAAGATCACCTCCTCCACCAAGAGCGCTGTCTGCACCGACCGCACTACCTACAGCATCGGTGGCACGGAGACTTCGTCTGTTCGGAGCACCTCCACCTCCTACGATTCGAAGAGCATCACCTACCAGCCTGTTACCGTTACTGCTGGTGTTGAGAAGCTGAAGAAACCCGAGGCTACTCATACTACCGATTCTGGTGCTGGGCGTGTCGGCATGGGAGGCGCTGCTGTCGTCGCTGCTGCTGCTGCTGCTCATTTGATTTAAGATTGGGGTTTATCTGGGTTGCTGTCTGTATAGTCACCATGTCTAATGTTCAGGGAGGTCATGAATTATGGTTTAAGTCGGTAATTAATTTGTCAATAAAGGGATGTTCGATGGTCCTATATCTCAGTTAATTTCAATTTAATCTCAATAATAGCCATGTATATAAAAAGTCACTCGCTCTGTAGTAGTGAAAAGATATGCTACTATCTTAAAAAAAAGGATACTGATATCTTTGGTTTTCTGATAATTTGTAGTTGATTGATTGGATTAATGAAATGATATGTGCATATGATGAGGGACTCGACTAGTAGTGGGTCGATGGTATGTGGATGGCACCAATTAATGGACTTCAACCTAACCTAATATTTAATCTGGACGTCTTTTAAAAGACAGACCAAAGGACAGATAACTTAAGATCTACATATATCAAGAATAACGAATAACGAGTAAACAAAACACCATACGCATAGTGCCATCTGTGCTGAATCTATTGTTGGTGCTTCGTCACCTTATTTAATGTGCCTTATGCTGATCATTTCGCAGCCTTGGAGGCTGAAAGCAATACATCCAATGCATTTAGTTCAGTCTTCTTGACGGGATAATGGCTTCCAAGTAGGCATCCATAGATAGCTTCATGCGCCTCAGCAGGGCAGAGCAATGCTCAGAAACTTGAGTATGGATGGTGGGAATTCCATTGTGGGGATATTGATTTGGCCATGGCGTCTACAGCGATTCCCCTCTATCCTTATGGGAAAGTGCTGCACATGAGTAGGTAGTTATATGCTTTTGGTTATGTAGGAATACGCTATGTTCATAGACCTTATTTATTATTAATCGATAGATACCAGGACCAGACAGGTGGGCATTAAACTAATACGAGGTCGTAGTATTCTGAACTCCATCAGCCAGAATTACTGCCAACATAATGAGAGGCTGTCCGCTTAAAACTCCTCCCGGTCATCAATCGCATCAGTAACACAGCGAGCACTGGCACCTCTGAATGACTTCTCCTCCTTAAACTTGTGAAGACCCCTCTTGAAGGCAGTCCGAGCACCACGGCATCCCACCTTGCTGTTTGATATATTAGTCAAATGTGTACAAGATGTATGCAGGGCAGTAACATACGCGTAAACTGTGCAGCGAACGGGGTCATCTGCATTAGGAGTCTGGACATAGAGAATCTTCCAACTTTCTTCCTCGATGCTGGTGTTCAAATTCTGGTTAATAATGAAACGATATATCCAGATAGAGAAAAGGACTTACTTGTCTGGGAAAGAGACACATTGGTCTTCAGGAGCTTCGACAGTAGCTCCCTTACCCTCATAGGGCTTAATGCGAAGCTGGGCAACATGTCAGTGAATGTGGATAAGATATGTCAGTTGGATTGAACATACAATAGTATCATCATAGACAGCAGATGCTACCCCGAGAAGGGTAGCTCCGGCAGCAAGGATGCTAAGGAATCTCATTTTGCTTGTTGGGGAAAAAGTGAAGATTGATGCGATTGATTTGAGTTGAAATTCCCCCTATTCAGAGGGAGCAGAGTCAGGAATTATATATCCGCTGTCTGTGTTTTACGTCATGAACTCAGGACGAGTTCAGCTCCCACATCTCAGCCACCTGCAAGATTTGTTGGGAAGATACACTAGTGTGTGATGAACATGTTTGCTGCAGGAAATTGACTTTGGCGATCCGAGATCTTCTGCTTAGGTCAACACTCTGCAAAACAGACAGACACTAATAGCCCAGGATCAGGCTGATGAATGTATACCTAGATTTCTAAAGACAATCTAATTAGCCTATATTATTAAAGATAATAATATCTTGCATCACTACCTTCCAGGGACAATTTATGCTGCCTTAGATCTGATTGTGAGTGGTAATGACGGCTCGCTAAGATACTGTGTAACAAACCCCACTCCTGCTGATCTGTGGGGTAATAGCTCACCTATCAAAAGTCAATTCCCCCCTCTTATTCACACGGCTAAATAGAACTAGTCAAAACCAGGAATTATCATATGAAAATCATTGAGTAACTTGGTTTCCTGTGATGAGAAACAAGAATAATAATAATATAACGCATTAATACCGCTACCTTATCAGCAAAACACTACCTAGTTAGTATTCTAAGATGCGGTCCTTGGATTGTTGTCTCTATATAGTAGACGTCATAACATCTAACAATTATAATTCCACTCTTCCCAATCCCCACTTTAGATGGTTCAATGTGACATTGCCAATTCAATTGGCCTTCTATAATTTTGCTAGCAGCCCTCGATGCTCCTCCACATTCCCATGCAGGGGGTCTAATACGTAAGACCCAGAACATGTCAAATAGCCATGTTGCTCTTGTCGAGGTGGGCCTGGAGTCACAATTGATCGAACGTAGACTCAGCTTCCACTCCGCCTCTGGAAGGATCGGCCGGTGGATCCATCCCGACTGAGTTTCGGACCACCGCGGAAAGAACTGGTGGCTGAAGCCGTGCTCAGCTCATGTTGTTCAGCTCGTTTGTATCTGCCTAGGTACTCAACATGTATTTTGTAGTTAGTGTTGGGGACTGTGTCATCATCCTGACGTCATTAGCAGGCCCTCATTACCACAATTGACAAATATCTGAGTGTGCTTCAGCTTTAATGCTCCAATGTTACACAGACTACGCAGAGGATGCAGATTACAATGTACCGTGGTGATCAATTGAGGGATTTTGCGACTCTTGATAGACCTGGACCAGGAACACTTGGCAATTCAGCTGGTTTGGAGTGATTTCAGTGCTCTACTTCTCGGTGCCTACCCCCATGCCACATTTTGGGCAATTCCCCCATTCCCCTTCCTCCCATTCAGCTGAAACCAATGCTCCGAAAAAACAGATACATAATAGAGCATTTTGTCTTGGCTTAATATAATGTAGCAGAATGCTTTAACAAACTTCTTGCTTATTGTCCATGAGTCTTTCAACAACCCATTCTTTAATCCTAACATAGAGATATAAAGTAAGTTGCTGAATAGACAAGATACTAGTTTTCAATTATATGAATATGTTGGGAATACTGTATATATATATATATATATATATACGTATGGACAAGTTGAATGGCAACGTGGTCAGGTAAACCAACTACCTTGACTCAGCTGGAGTCCAATCGTAGGAGTAAGCCCAAAATCCCAAAACCAGAGACTAGTGGATATATATTTAGCCCATATTTATGATGTGCGTGCAGAACACTACCCAAGTCAGCTCTCCTGATTGCTACCATTTGGAGCCCCGAAGAATCCCTCCAAGAAAACAAAGACATAAAAAGAAGGAAGAAAGACCTTAAGAGCCTCTTTTCCTGGCCTCCATCCTAACATCAGGATCGGCCAACATCTCAAGCCCAATTTCCATAATCGTCGGGGCTGAACCCCCCCTTCCCGCCCCCCAATCCTAACATCATACTGCAACAGAATCATTGGAATGGCGATCTTGAGACTCGCGCCGCTTCAGATAACTCTTGGCACAGAGTAGAACCCCACTGGTTTTATCATGAACACACTCATTTAGTACCGACCTAATTATTTGTGCTTATCAAGAAAATGACGGTTAACTATCTACCATATCAGATGCCTGTAGACTTAAAACTGGAGCCTTTGGACTAGCCAGAGATTTTTTCTATGAGGACGATGGCTGTGTAGACCATCTGATCCCAATTTGCGTTGTATATGGCTGCTACAAGCCCTCCGATATCTTGATCAATCTTCTTCATTCTTCGCCGTGATTTTGCCATCTCTCAAGCCTACCAATAGCCCACCACCCTGCTCTCCCCTGTCATTGACAAATCCATCGTTGAGGATCATAGTGTCAGCGGGCTGAGTCATGCCTTTAATTTAACTGATTAATAGGAGTATTATTTCGCCTTGTCGGGATTCAACGATTCATCACGAAAGCCCAAACCGATTTATCCAGTTCCGTTGGTCAAGGAGAGCAATTTATGATTCAAGGACTAGAAAGAAAAGAAGCACAACAAACACAATAAAGAGAGAGATTTAATTAACATCATCCTCCACTGTGCCCCCCAATTTCACGAGATCCTTCAGACAAGCCAAATGTTTATCCTGATGCAAGACCTCCCCACCGTTCTGGTAAGCCCTTAGAATTTCAGAGTTTCGGTCCTCCACGTATTTGACCATAAGGTTGATGGCGTCGGTTGCATACTTCTCCAGGCCTGCCTCGTTGGTTTCCTTGGCCTCATCCTGGATTTCGTGGAGTCGCTTGAGCCAAAACATCCATCTCCACGGTGAGAATCCAACCGGTGCTAGCTGCCCCAGCTCCGACTGCATGAACCGCTCGCCACACTGGCCAATCGTGCCGGGGCAATCATTCCACGAGACACTTGAGAGTAGCATGATATTTTCCCCTGCCTCCTTGATCCACGCAAAGGCAGCTGGCAGTAAGCGTACCATGTCAAGGTTGTGGATGGAGCGGTTTGGATATTCATCGTCTGACTCGTCTGGGATGTGGAGCTCTCGGTCCATCTCAAACATATACCGGAATAGCACGAGGGCAATCTGGCATACTCTATCCTTGCTGGCGCGGGTCGATGCCAGCTTGGCCAGGAAGGAATTGAAGTTCAACCGATGGGCGCTCGACATTGGGCCGCAGTCGTTCATCCACCACTCGGTCATGTCAGTGGCCAGGAAGGGCAGGTCATTCCACAACACGCCCTCGGCTGTGCGTGCAATATCGATACCGTACACGCCCGACACCGGCCTAGTTAACGGCCCCGTACCCTGGATGCGGACGATGTCGAGGACCAGGCGATCGTGGTCGGTCGTCTCGTGTGACGTATGTCGGCTGAGCTGGTAATACATATACCACAGAGAATGTATGTATTCTTCGAGGGAATCCACCCCATCTCCAATACGGCAGTATCGACTGCTGACGATCCAGGTTCGATTGTAGAAGGCTGCTCCCCGGACCTCTGCAAGGTCCCCCCGAGCAACGGATGCCCGTGTATCCTCCTGATCTCTCAAGATGTTGCTTGACTGGTAAGGGATGCCTCTCGGCGAGGAGCTCAGCAGGGATTCACGGAGGTGTTCCATCTTGATAGTGTTGATGATGGTTAACCTACGATAGGGGTACAGTGATGGAGATATATCGACAGGGTACCAACGCAATTGAAAATTAGGGGCTACCTGTTCCTCCCTCTAGGCAGCAGTGCAGGAGGTGCATTGTTCTGACAGTCATGTCGATCTTTGGATGTGTCAATTCCTGTATGCGCCGCTGTGTCGAAAACACTACTAAACGCCTTTTAGAACCAACCAATAGTATTGAATACTAATCCTATCTTATGAATAACAGAACTCCAGGGTGGCTCCCAATCTCTCATTCCATCTCCCTAGCCACCCTCATAGCCCACAGTCCGCCTCTGTCTTCGTAGGCCCCGATATCGCTCAATTGGCTGAATAGCAAAATCGAACAACAATGCTAACATGGAGAAATCCAATGTCAAGCGACGTTGGTTCGAGATACCACCCTCCCAAATTACTATCCTTCCTATGGTTCGCATCTAACCATTCTTAGAGATTGATCCATAGTTTTATTTTTAGGGCTATACCTGGATAGAGAGTCGGATCCTGAGCATGCAGCCGACGAGCCAGATCTCGATCGATAGGATCTTGAAACGAAAGGGCAATGTCTTGTTGAATGACTGACTGAGCTGGGGCCCAAGCAGGCTTTGCGATGGCATCTCTCAGGCTCTGCTGTGAGGTCAGATCATGCGATGGAAGAGATGGATGCGCGCTTATCCACAGTTTGGCGTAGGGTTTGTCTGGGTCGATTTTGGTTTCTCACAGCGCAGCTATCGAGCTTTGGCCATATTTACCTTCTGGTTGTTAGATATAACACTGCTCGTTGAACAGGAAGTATACCTACGCCATTCATTATGGGTTACACCTATTGTGCTCAGTTATTGATCAAGTCGTGGGGAAATAAACCCACCACATGCCAATCGCCTCAAGCGCTTTAACTGATTCATTGTATTGAACTAAAATATAGATACCGGGGAGGAACTATCATTCGTCTTACAATAAACAAACTGCATGATGGACTCTTCACATGGCAGTATAATGCAATATGACGGGTGTCTTCAGATCAGCATCACAACGTCATCGTACAGACACAATACGAAACTCATTGGACCACGTATTCGGCCCCTCGGCATCTTATGATTCCATAAGCAGAATATAAGTATCTGGCACCTAATGGCTTTCTGATCCGTCTCAACAGTTCAAAAATCCTACGTGCTCTGCCGACATGTCAACCCCGATTTCCGTTTTGGTCATTGGCGATCTCATCCTCGATCAGTTCATCCGCGGTACTGTCTCGCGTATCTCCCCTGAAGCTCCGGTTCCAATAGTGAACCAAAGCAGCGTCGAATCCTTCCCTGGCGGGGCAGCGAATGTCGCTCGCAATTTGGTAGCGCTCGAGGTGAGGGTGGTGTTGATGGGGTGTGTGGGCGACGACTATGAGGGAAGAAAGCTTCTCTCTCTACTCTCTGATTGTGGGGTGGATATCGATTCTGTCCAAACTGTTCGGGATCGACCAACCTCGCATAAGTTGAGGATTATTGGCGACGGGCAGCATGTTGTCCGCGTTGATCGAGAGGTTGTAAAGCCATTACAGGATCAGAACAAGACTCTGGAAGCTATCAGCCGGCACTTGCCTACCGTTCAGGGTGTCATCTGCTCAGATTATAACAAAGGGTTTCTCTCCCCGGCGGTTTTGATAGGCACCATCAACGAGGCATCAGCATTGGACAAGCCGGTCATCATCGATCCCAGAGGCAGCGATTACACCCGATATACTCGGGCAACTGTTCTCACGCCGAATATCAAAGAGCTTCAGATCGCTTCGCGCCGAGGGATAGACACCCCCCTGGTACTTGATTTGGCTGCGGAAGAGATATTGAAAATGACACAAGTCGACGCACTTCTGGTCACCTGTGGTGCAGATGGAGTGGTTCTATATACCCCCGACAGGAAAACAGCTATCCCTGGCACGAATCAGACTGTAGTCGATGCCAGTGGAGCGGGTGATAGTCTGCTAGCAGCCTTCACGTGGAGCTATCTTTCTAGTCAGTCCCTTATACAAGCAGCTGAGATTGGCAACCGGGCTGGGGACATCTCAGTAACCAAACAGGGCACCAGCGCCGTCACTCGAGACGAGCTACTCCCAGTGGCAGGAGAAAGCTCGATCACATCACCCAAGATCCTCGATCTCAAAACTGCCCTGAATCATGCAATGGTAGCACGAAAGATGAACAAACGCATCGTCTTCACAGACGGCTGCTTTGACCTTCTCCACGGAGGCCATATGGAGTATCTCCGAAAGGCCCGTGCTTTGGGAGATGTATTAATTGTCGGCCTTAATTCCGATTCTTCAGTCAGACAGTTCAAAGGGGAGATGCGGCCAATTGTGCCTGAAGGGCAGCGGGCTCAGCTTCTTGCAGGGCTGAGCTGTGTTGACGTAGTCGTTCTGTTTGAAGACTCTACTCCAATTAGAGTCATTGAAGCCCTGAAACCAGATGTGCTTGTCAAAGGAGGAGATTATCAAGTTCATCAAGTCGTGGGGCGTGAGGTGGTCGAAAGCATTGGAGGACGTGTGGAAATCATCCCTTTGAAAGAGGGACTGTCGACCACTGCGTTGATTGAAGAGATTGTAAGACGGCATAAGATGGCTGGAAATTGACTTGGCTGTTGAATCACACAATACTTAGAGTGACGTGAATTATAGGTAAGGCCGAATATCTGGATCCTGTGCAACTACGCAGAACAAAGCATAATATATATGTACTATTAGAATTAAAGTAGCGTGGGAGGTGCAAGACTCACTTGTCATCCTAAAGTGAACTGCTACTGTTTAGATTACATCTATAGCGAACGATACTATGGATAGATAATAACTATTTCTGAGGGTTAAATTAATATACATCATGGATACATGATGCTTAGATAATCTCGCTAAATGCACAGCACCTCAAACCTATTCAAGTTTAATCTCCGCATTGGACTGGATGGTTATTCTACGGAGTGTGCAACCGAGCATAAATCAACGCCAGTTCATTCTGACCCACTCCCTGGGTTTTAGTCGAATGTCAGTAAAGGTATTAAATAGAGAAATCAATGCAGTTGATGGTTAATTTAGTGTTAATGGAGCCGTTGAATCGATAGATATGTATTAGCATTGAGTGAGAATTTCATATTACGCTTGCCTATATATAATCGGAAATGCTCTTAGTAAACCTCTTCAGAATGTGTCATAGAATAGATTAATAAAGCCCATCATCTGTTGGCATCCTCGATTGATTCTTCGATTCAGACGAAGAATGTTTCAACCTTCCATGATTCCATCCTTCATCTTCTGCACTATTTTTTATCTCCGAGCCGATGACCCACAGATGCAACGTTAGATAATCAACAACTAGATAATAATAAGTGGATAGACCGTATGATGCCAAGGAAGAAAAAGAAAATACTCCTTGACAGAGTCTTCTGATTACTTTATTGGGAGAGTGATGCAGATGTATACGTGTTCCATCAACGCCGGTATCCCACGGGAAGCTCGGAGTTATCACTAACTCACCACCGCCAAGTGGCCAAATGAAGCGAACGAGAAAAAAGCGACTTGGCAAAGCTTCATCTGGATCAAAAGGCACACGAGTCTGCTTCATGCTGAGACAAAACTGGGTGTCAGAGGCTTGGCAGATGCAGATCCCAATATCGCGTATATCTTTTTCCCAATGAGAGCCGGTGTTTTAGAGTGCCTAGGCTGCAGCAGATTGCCATCCAGCGGTGCAGGCCGCATTATTAACAGAATCATATCTCCGGGCGTCGGGATTCATCTGATAACAGGAGGGTCTGATCTGATTCGTGAAGGGCGTGTTGTGTGGATATTCGCCGTGGGGTGTGCAGTATGCCCGAGATGTGTCGGAGACAATTGCTACAAGCGGCGAGGATCTTCTATATAGATATCGCCGGTTCCCGCCAGGAGGCAGATGCAGACTGAAGATTTCCAAGAAAAAGCACCACGATGCGGTTCCTTCGCTCTTCTGCTGCCCTTGTGCTGGGCTTTGCCCTTCCTCCGGTTCTGGGCTTGTGTCCGTATGCCTCGCAGATGCTGAATGCGCGGGATACGCCCTCGCCACACGAACACACCAAGACAGTCCGCGATACACCCGCTAAAGATGGAAAGAAAGGTGCGTTCCTCATGAACCGAATTGCCCCTGGTACATCCGAGCTGTATATCGCCAACGCGGACGGGAGCAACGAACGGGCTCTGCTGTCGGAACCTATCTTCGAATACCATGCCGCCTTCTCCCCCGACGGACAATGGATCACCTTTACTGGCGAGAGAAATGGAGACGGAAACTCTGATATCTACCGTGTTCGCACAAACGGTTCGGATCTGCAAGAACTGGTCGCCACGTCTTCTGTCGAGGATGGCGTCGTGCTCTCTCCGAATGGAAAGCTCGCTGCCTACGTCTCGACTGCCAACGGATACAAGGCGAACATCTGGGTGATGGACTTGGAGACTGGTGATAAGTGGAACATCACCAACACCCCGTCTACAGTGGGTAACGATACCCTGCCCGATGGCCATTTCCGCCCATCGTGGTCCCCCGACGGCGAATGGATTGCCTTTTCTTCGGACCGCAACTCAGGCTGGTATGGCCACGGCGACCCTGTCTTCTTGGGCGTCAGTGGATGGGAGCATACCCAGGAACTGTCCATCTACGCCATCCGACCCAATGGATCCGACTTCCGCCTCATCACCAGCAAGAAGGACTGGTCGTTGGGCTCGCCCAAGTTCTCTCCTGACGGCAAGCGCATCGTCTACTACGAGATGACCCGCGAAGCAACCTGGGACTCGCATCGTCCGGAGTCGATCGACTCGGCCAACTCCAGCATTGTGTCGGTTGACTTTGCCACCGGCCAGGATCGCCGTGTGGAGGTCCAAGGCGCTGGTGTGAAGCTATTCCCGCAGTACATCTCCCAGGACAACATCGGATACTTCTACAAGGGCGCTACCAAGGAGGGTCTGCACACTACCAGTGGAAGCTATGTCAACACCACCAGTGTAACTGTGCGCTCTCCTGCCTGGTCTCCGGACGGCAAGCAGGTTGTCTACGAAAAGACCGGATGGGACATCCGTCCCATGGAGAAGAAGCTATACAGCTGGGACCCAGACTGGGAATACCGCTTCACCGACGTCTACCCCCAGCTTTCCAACCAGAACAAGCTCGCCATCACCCAGAAGCAACTCGGCAACTCGTCCGTGGTCAAGATGAACGCCAACGGAACCAACGAGCAAACCGTCTACAACGACATGACCTCTGGCCTCGTCTCCTCCACCATGGTCAGCCAAGGACTCGCCGGCGCCTTCCAGCCCTCCTGGTCAACCGACGGCGAATGGATCACCGTCGGCGTTGGCTTCTGGTTCCAGAGCAGAGCAGAAAATGGAGGCTGGCTCGTCCGTGCCGCCACCAACGGCTCGTACTCGGAAGTCCTCACCAACAGCACCACCACGCTCAGCGCAAACAGCAGCCTGATCAACTCCGGTTTCCCCAGTTTCTCGCACGACGGCAAGAAGATCGTCTACCGCGTTTGGGGGTACAACTCCACCCAGGGCGAAAAGTCGCAACTTGGTCTCCGCATGATGGACCTGGAAACGAGAAACATCACCGTCCTTACCACCGAATGGGATAACCTTCCCTTCTTCTCGCCTGATGGTGAGAGAATCGTCTTCACCCGCAAGACCAGCCCAACCAACTATGACGTCTGCACTATGCGTCCTGATGGAACCGACATCAAGGTGCTGACTAGCAGTGGTGCCAACGACGCCCACGCCGTCTGGTCTCACGATGGCCGCATTCTCTACTCGTCTGGCATGTTCGGTTTCCAGTACGAGTGTGCCCTCTACGATCAGACATTCCAGCCTTATGGCCAGATCATCGCGATGGATGCAGATGGCTCGAACAAGGAGGTTCTGACTGATTCTATCTGGGAAGATTCTATGCCTCTTTATATTCCGAATGAGTCTTTAATGGGATAGATTAGGAAGCTATTGAGTGGCTTTGAGAGTGTAGACTGTGGTGACGGTGCTATCTTCTAAATGTATATAAATTGACATATTGTTACAATAGATAGAAAAGTGATTTGTTATTTCCTGTACTTCCTATAGGCTCGAATAAGGTATACCTTTATAGATAATCACACCCATTAGATAAGATGAATAGAGCCAAGGAATACTATCCAATAGCAGTAATTCTCCCCTCCCTCTAAGGCTGACTGCGGGCCGTTCCTCAATTCCGATTCGGCTGTCGCTGATCCAACTTTGTTTTTATACTACACCTTATTCTTCCCATATCTTAGCAGACACCCAAAACAAAAACTTTTATATTATATAGTCTATCTATCTATCATGATCTAATCTATATCATTATGAATAATTACTTAATAAGAAGAACATCCCCCTGCGCCGCCCTCTGCGCAAATTTACTTCTCCCCCTTATCCAAACCCCATACTTGATAAACACAAACGGAATAACCGCCATCCCCAACGCACAGAACCCCAACAAAGAACTGGCCCAATTAATTCCCAGATTTCCATACATCTTCTCCGTGGCCAGCGGTAGACAAACCGCGAACAGCGAACGCGTCGTACTCGCCGCCGCCGCAGCCGATGCAGAAAACTGCTTATATGCATCCGTGAGATAGTTGAGCAACGCCATGAAAATCAGGAGGTAGCCGAAGCCGAAGAAGATGCCTGACATCATGGGCATGACCGGGGAGATGGAGGGTTTTGCGGACCAGCCGAGCCAGAAGAGGGCGATGGGGATGCCGAGGCAGCCGATGCAGGCGAGGGGGAGGCGCCGGTATTCCTCGACGTGGGCCCAGGGGAGATTGGCCTTTGCGGCTTTGGTGTGGTAGGAGCTGTAGAGGAAGAAGATGATGAAGGCGATGATGGAGCCGGGGAGAACTGTCTCGTTAGATATTATCTTCAAGGTATAGTCGGTGGAACTTACTAGGAAGAAAGGCGAGACCACTGACACCAGCGGATAGTCCGTATAGTTCTGGAGAGTTAGTGTATATCATCAATATTGGAGGGTAGCAACTCACTTTGAAACACAATCGGATAAGCCTCGAAATAGAGATATAAAACGGAGTAAACCAACGCCAAATAAAGCGAACAGCAAAGCACAATCGGCTCTTGGAAGATCATCGCAAACGGCCGACTCATAACAGAGCCCATCTTGTTCGAAAACTCCCTTGCTTCAAACCGGAACCGTTCCCAGCCGGTGAGTCTATCCGGATTCATGGCGCGTTCATGTCGCTGCACCAGCACAGGCATATACGTCTCCGGCATGAAGAGAATCAGAGGAAATCCAGCCCCTGCGATAATCAAACCCACCCAGAATGTCCATCGCCATGAGATCACCGAGACGTAGCCTGAGATGATCGGGCCGAGGAGAGGCGGAAAGATGGTGACGAACATGAACCAGCCCATGACGAGGCCGCGAGTATGCGGATCGCTGTAGATGTCGGAATACAACCCGCCCAGCACGGCATTTGGTGCAGATCCTCCAAGGCCGCAGAAGAAGCGAAAGACCAGCAGCGCAGGGAATGTTGGTGCCAGCGCACATCCCATGGTGAAGATGAGATAGATGGCAAAAGTACAGGTCAGCACGGATTTCCGACCAAAGTATTCGCTCATCGGGCCAAAGATGACAGGCCCGATGGCAAAGCCGGCCATGTACAGCGAGGTGAGAAGCACCAGCTTGAGGTCATCGCTGGGGATGTCAAAGTATTGGGCGATTTCATTTGTCGCGCCCGAAGACAGCGACGAGCCCAGGGAGCTGTTGAAGACAAAGTAGATGCCGGCCACGACGATGTGGAGTTTTTTGGTCTTGCATCATTAATACACCATTTAGACCGGACTAAGACGACTAGAGGCTTACCAGAGGGAAATCAAAAGGACTAGCGACGCCTTTTTCGGGGATAGACTGGACGACTCCATCGGGAGCGTCTTTAGTGAATGCCGTGACCGTCATGTTAACATCTCACAATAACGAAAGTAATGTCCCTGAACCTGAACCATGAACCCTCCGGACCTGAAAACTTTTTATTACAATCCCAATGGCTGATTTCAAATCTGGGCCAGACTGGGGACGGCCTTTTGTCCGATCGTCTCTCCCAATGAAAACATCCTCGGTGGACCGAATACGGGCCCGCTTTCGGCAACCCGTTGGAGCTCCAAGGGTTTCAAACAGGAATTGAACTCCACCCGGGCCCGTTATTGGCCAGTGTTGCTGCCCATCGGAGAGGAGTCCGATGTCAGAATGGAGAATACGAGTTGGGCTGAATATTGTGGCCTTCAAAGGGCGTACAAGTGACTCATTGCTGCCCCAATCGGGAATTTGTGGTTCGGAGTTCGGCTAAAACTCTGCAGGACCCACTCGGCTGATTGTTTTGCCATTAGAAGAGTATTTGTATATAATTGTAGAGAAGAAATCATGCTAATTGATATTGTATTGGCATTGGCTATTAAAATGGGTCATCTAGTCTGTCTTATATACAATTCAGATGGTGCTACTTTAATTGAAGCTGTGTGCGTGTGTTGAAGAATGGAGATAATGCCATGCGTCACCCCCTTCTCTGATTATATTTTAATCATTTATGTTATTAGATAATAGGATAAACTTGCATTTCTCGATGGTATGATGAAGCAAAGAAGTAGCGGTGAAGTGGAAAGCCCGGTAAGGAGTAGAAGAGGTATCACTGTATTTATCTTAGGTCTTAGTGTATTGGTACTGTATACAATGCTATTCATATGATTTTATCTGGATCATTGCTAGTAATATCATATCAAGCATATCTATATACTAGGAAGATTGGAGTATTAATTCCATAACGTCATAGCGATTACATATACTCCGTCACCCATGTTTCTTCTCAATCATGAGGATTACTTACACAGAATAGATTTTGAAGCAGGGAGTCATTCAGCCTGTCCATTTCAAGCCAAACGATGGTGTCCCTTGTCAAGGTGTGTAACACGAGAGTAGCTGAAATGGCGGAATTGCAACCCATCCATCTTGATTGGCAATTCGTCCTTGTCTGGTGATATCAATCAAATACACATAATATCGACTGGAAATACGGTCGCTTGGAATGTGAATATCAATATGAACTGAACCCTTGCCCATCGACTTACCATTCTATCAGCCAGAATGCTATCTTTTGAATTAGCTCCCGTCCGAAGACGATTGTCGCCAATGAATATCTCACCAGAGAGTGGCATACCGCCATCTTGCCATATGGGCCAACGTGGAAGAGCCATTGTCGGATACTGGCCTCGGTGCTCAGTACAACTATGGCGAACAGATACCAGCCTCTGAAGGATTATATGGGTTTGCAGCTTGTTCATGAGATACTGTCAGCAGAGGATGTTGTTCCCTGTCTCCATCAGTACGTATCGCGAGTCACTTCTGCCTTGGTGTATGGAGGACAATCGCCCAAGGAGACCGAAATGACTATAAAGACGATCGATTCAGTCATTCGAGCTATCATGGATGGGATTACATCGCCTAGTAACTTCATTGTTGACGCTTTTCCGGTGTTGGATTACCTTTCGCGATGTTGTGGAAGCAGAGAGCGGATAAAATTCATCGCAACGCAGAAAGCATCTTGATGGAGAGCTTGGAAAAAGGGCGAAACAGCAGTTCGTGGAACCGGTCGCACCATCTCCTTGGATTCAAGGAATTACAGCATTCCTTCACATCAGAGCAAGCCCATCTGCTCGAGGTTATGTACGAAGGAGCCATTTTCACTAGTAGGACTGTGATGGAGCTCTTTGCTATGGCAGCTGTTCTTCATCCCGAAGCTGTACACAAGGCTCAACAAGAGCTGGACACTGTTGTCGGCAGGAATAGGCTTTCCACCTTTCAGGATCTCCCGGCTTTTCCCCAGTTGACAGCCTTTTTTCATTAAGTCCTCCGCTGGAGACCAGTCTTACCCGCCGGTGTCCCTCATTGCGCTCTCCAGGATGATGAGTACTTAGGCTACCGCATCCCCAAAGACGTCGATGCCTTTTGATGTTGAATTCCAGGTTCGCAGTCCAGAGCACCGGCAGACGATTGAAAGGGAGTGGGTGGTTGCTTTCAAGGATACAGCGAGTGTACTTGCTGGTACTGGAGATGCTGTCGGTTGGAAGGGAAAATAGCTGCAAAATGCCTTGGGATCCATGCACTCATCAGATTATGTAGTCCTGCATATCAGATATAGTTTCTTAGTATATCGTCATGGAAAATATCTCCGGCTGTATGTTGCATGTCTATGGGTAATACGAAGTGCACGATAGGTGGTTCGAATAATGATAAAAACCTCCTACAGTGAAAGAAACGCGATCGAGTGATTCTTCTGGTTATACTGTCTGAGATACATTATCGCGTGGATAGCTTCAAATAGGGTTGAAATAGGTATTATCGTGGCTTGTGCTATTTACATGTCTCATATTCTCATTCCAAACGCGTCCGTGTCTCTTATAATAATTTCGACTATATTCGTTAGTATGGTATATTGCAGGCAAGTGGACAACGCACCTCGGAAATAAGCAGCTTCAGATTATCGATGGAGGAATATCGCAGGAATACAGCGCTTATGAGGCCGGCAAGAGAGAGGAATAAGACTGTTTTTGCAGTGCTCGACTTGCTTTTCTGGCTGTCTTTGTTGTCTGGGAACATCGATTCGGCCACGGAGAAATACATGGTGGGCACGAAGAAGGAGAAAGAATACTGAATAGAATAATGTGCAGCCCGTCCTATTTATAAGATAGACACAGTCAGCAATGGCTGCATTTTGACATCATGTCTGACCCTGCACCTGGATACCCCGCTTTTGTACCATCCCAGCCTTCCGCAACTGGAATGCTGTGGCCATCACATGTGAATCTGGAGATAACAGCATTATCAGTCTAAGTATCTTGTGTTCCCATCGATGCACATATTTCTGTGTCTCCCCCCCCTAGACAATCACCCAATCCTGACTTTCTTCATCCAACTCCGAATCATCATCGGAATTCCTGTCCTCCCATCGCTTGTTGCTTTCTCTTATTATCTGTCGCAGTTGAGCAGCGAGATATGTACCAAATTCATCGGGCCAAAGGTCGTCGAATGTGTGCTTGGTGATGGAGGCGGGAGCTTAATCCCTGCAATGTTTCTGGCCAGAACAGCCCGGATCGACAAGTCTAGATACTGGCCCGGATACGCCCAGAGATCGTCGGATGTCTCCACCATGGAGGTGAAGGTGGTATTTCCGGCTATTTTCGCTTGGATGTATGTCAGGACGAATCTGAAGAATAGGAAGCGTCGGGCGGGTTGGTTTCGTGTGAGGAATTTGCGCTCACGGCCGTCCATTTCCTGCTTCGTTAGAGAAATACAGAAATGGATAAGAGGACTTACCTTCCATCTGACAGAGACCCATTCCCGGTCAAAGTTATCGCCGTCGTTGTATAAACGGACGACCTCCTCTTGGATACTCTGGTCGACCAGAACAACCTTCCACTTGCGTTCAGCATCACTACCAGCAGGTATAATCGCGATCTTCCCAGCATCCAGAGCAAGTTGGACTTTCTTATGCAACAAAATGCCATTCCGCGGGTTCGTCAGGTCTATCTCTTCCACCACAAAAAGCAAGGAGATAGCAATTCCTGCCAGCTGCCTGGGAACCAACTGAGCGACTCTCACGTCCCGTGGATCATCCCAATGGACAAGATGACAGTATGCGGTCTTGAAGCTGCCATCGCTACGGATAACGCCATAGTGATCAAGAACCAGTCGTCGAAAGATTTCTTGTTCGGGCTTTGACACAGCGCTGTTACCCTGTTTGGCTGGACCCAGAAATCTGGAAATAACACAGTTCGTAAACGCTCTCTCGTAGACCTCAACCTCAGACACATTCGTCTCTCTCTTGATATTCTCAATTTCGTCCTCCATGTCCTGGATCATGGCGGACTCCCCCTTCTGCCAGGCCCAGATAAGCTCGTTGGGCGGCACGCTGTCTTCGACGGCGGTTTCGAGCTCTTTCTGGAATTCTGCTTCGTCGATGCCACTCCCTCTAATTTCGTGGAGGGCATCCCTGTATTCCATGAGCCTACCCTCTTCTAACCCAATATACTCAATTCCCTTTTAGAGGACATCTCGGATATTGGAGGATTCGGATAGTTTGGACATTATGGACGTCAGGGATTCGTATATGCCGATCCGCTGCTGAGATGTTGAGGGAGCATGGATAGGTATTTCAGGGGATTTGGCATTTTGGTCATGATGTGAAACGATGCAGGGAAAGAGTGGAAGGCAGAAAGGTGAGAGAGAGGGGGAGAGAGGGAGGGAGAGAGAGAGAGAAGGAAAGGTGAAGGGGTGGATGAGTCAATAATTGCCTGAAACAGGCTAGGCTGAAATGATTTTAATTTCCTTCTCATGGAATACCAGAGACACTCTCCTCACTGTCAGTTTTGCCCATCCGATGACCGCTCCTCATTCAATATCGAACGTCTTTGTCTCAACCGGGACGACAACTGCATTATATCTCGACAGACTGAGTGTGCGCATACCCTTGTCTACTTCATGGCTCTGGCTGTTGAAAGAAAGACATGGGTATATATATATTCAAGTACCTCCCTGCTTGGGATCTCATTTATATCACGATAAAAACAAGCTACAACTTCAGGTATCCAACTAAATCACAATCATTTCAAATCCGAATAAACCCTAGCCGCCAACCCCAAAACAAGAACCCAACAAAGCAACACCACAAACAACACCGTCCAACACGATGGATTTCTCCTCTCTGCCGACCGTAAAGGATAGCGAATCAGATCTCGAGTTCGTCCATATGGCTGCGAGTAGGTATTCGGGTAGAATTGCTGCTGTGTTGACGGATAGCCCAGAGGGAGAGATGAAGCTCTTCTCATCGGGCTGTTCGGAGGTAGTCTGTCGGCTGCGTAGGAGGACATTCGCTGCCCGTGGACGTAGACATTGATAGTACCGTAATCTGAAGATCGGGGAGAAATGGCGCGTATATCATCTCCGAGAGTGGAGTCTTCGGACCACGTTGACGATATCACAGATCGCAGAGGAGAAAAGCGATGGACATAGTATATCAGATCGAGAAATGACTCTGCTGTCAACTCAACCTTCTTTTTGTTCTTACATGGTCTGAGTAATTTGCGATCCACGACGAATGTATTCTCGATCTTGGCGTAGCTTTGTTTTCGCGATGTCCAGCTCTTGCGATTCTTCAGGCGAAGGACGATTTTATATATTGGATGGGGAGTCGAAGATTCAAGGGGAAGATGCGTGGTCCATTTCCGCGACTTTTTGCCGAGCGGTTTATTGTTGAATGTCGTAAGCTTGAATAATTAATTATCAGCTGGTAAATATAGAGATGGAAATACCAAAACAACCGTCACAGACTGTTCTTCACAGCCGACAATGATGACCGGATGATTGAGACATCCCGGCGGCAGTCCCGGATGAAGCAGTCTCGATGCCTCTTTGTATTCTGGCAGCCAGAAAATGCATCCATTGTGAACATCGGCCATATTTATCGATCTATCCAAAGTCTATTGAGGAATATTTAAGAGTCATCGTAAGCGCCGCAGTTGACGTGGCGGATAACTGTCCACCCTGCATTATAAGTCTAACTGGTTGATATATTTATCTGCATGCAAAACACCACAAACCGTCGTGGTCCAATCATTTCAATTATATAGACATAATAATAATTAAAAAACAGCCTTCTTCTCCCCCGGCTCCAATCCATTCAAAATCGGCAATCCGTGATCGCCCTTATCCATCGCGCGTTGGTACGCCTCTCTTCCTGTCAATCGCTGCACATACGCCACGATATTCGGATACGGCGACAGATTCCAGGGGAGGAATGTGCGCTGAGTCGTGAAACACCACAGCGCCATCAAGTCAGCGAGCGTGAAACTATCGCCAGCCAGGAATTGACTCTCGCCGAGTCGCTTCTCGACTAGGGCGATGTTTTTCTGGAGTCGTTGCCGGGGGAAGCTTCGTCCCGGTGCATCGTCGGGAATATTGGGGTCAAAGTAGACGAACATGGCGGTGCTGCAGGCTGGTTGGAGCGTGCAGAGGGTGAAGTACAGCCAGTAGAGGTAAGCGGGGTAGGATGGATCAGATGGAGGCGGGGTGAGGGTGTTGTTGGGTGCGTATTTGGAGAGAATGTAGTTTGTGATGGCCATTGATTCGGAGAGGATGAGGTCGCCGTCGACGATGACGGGGGCAGAGCCTTGGGGGTGGATGGCTTTGAGGGACGGCGGGGCAAGCAGCGGATCGCGTTTGTGGATGGTGAGGTTGTAGGGGATGTTGAGTTCCTCGAGCAGCCAGAGGATGCGCTCGGACTGGCTGCGTTGGAGGTGGTGGAGGGTGAGTGAGGCCATTTTCATCTATGTGCAGTGAATATACAGAAGTGAAGGTGAAAATGAAGATGAAGAGGGGGAAGTGAGAAACTCCTTTTATCGCAGATCAGGTGCAGACCCACTCTGATGTCATCTTTTAGCTTGTTTTAGTCTGAGATGAAGTGTATAGAGATGAAGATGGAGTAGATATTAGCTATCACATTATAATTGCTAGAGTATTGTTATAATTTTGAATAATTAGCATATGGGTAGTTATGGGTAGTTAATATGTATAGATAAACACCAACCAGAGGTATTCTTCTACAGGGGTGGATGTGCACCTTGGTCCGAGTAGACGACTTGTCAATGCCATCATGCCCATCAATAGGACACTGTTATCCATGCAATGTCGATCAAGTATCAATCAGTAAATGTACTCCAACTGTACTGGCAACCAACATAAACAAGTCGATCGGGTGGATCGGCTTCGTTCATAGACACGGCCAAATTGGCAACGCATCCACAATGTATATGATATCAGATAATCAGATAGATCCAATAAACTATAGATAAGTCCAGTAATGTCCATCTCCACCCTGATTACTCGATATATTTATCGGCGGGCCCGTGTGTCGGGTCGGGTGCGGGTGCAGCACCCGACAACTCACCCGACTCCTATAAGGGACGCTATCGCCGTGAATAGCCATCGCCATCCATATATAAGAAGGGATATATCCTTCATCTCAAGTCCATCATCATATCATCACACAACATAATACATACAAAATGAGCATCGAAACCAACAGCTGGAGACCACTCAACGTCGGCGTCATCGGTGGCGGTATAGGCGGTATGTCGGTTGCCATCGCTCTCCGTCGCGCCGGCCATACTGTCACCATCTACGAACGTCATGACTTTGCCGGCGAAGTTGGAGCATCTGTATCATGTGCTGCGAACGGTACACGATGGTTACACGAATGGGGGGTGGACGTGAGCAAGGGCGACCCAGTTGTGTTACGCAAATTGATCAACCGCGACTGGAAGACGGGAGAGCCGGTCAGCGTGTATGACTTGGATGATTATGAGAAGAAATGGGGATATGTGTATAACATGTTCCATCGACAATATATGCATGCCATGTTGAAGGATTCTGCCCTGGGAGAGGGAGAGGGAGTTCCGGCTGTGTTGAAGGTTAATCATCAGGTATGTCACACCCATGTACTATATCGATGATACTAACTTCTACAGTGTCAAGATATCAACCTCCAAACCGGAACAATAACCTTTACCAACAACACCACCGCCCACCACGACCTCATCATCGGCGCAGATGGCATCGGCTCCGCAGTCCGCAAGATCATCGGCCTGAAACCAGAAAAGAAACCTTCGGACTCGAGCTGTTTACACGCCAACGTGCGCACAGAAGACGCCGTCCGCCTCGGTCTAGTCGATTACTCCCAGCACAGCGCCCTCGAGTACTGGGGCGGCCAGGAGGGCAAGTGGGACAAGATTGTCCTGTCGCCATGCAACGGTGGTAAATTGTTATCGTATTACTGCTTCTTTCCGCGGGAGAAGGGTGATTTTGTCAATCATACCTGGGGTGGTGAGGATAGGCCGGTCGAGGAGCTGTTGGCGCCGTATCCGGAGTTGGATGCGCAGGTTCGTTCGCATTTGGCGATTGGGACGGAGATTCGGCCGTGGAGGTTGTGGGTGCAGTATGTTTCCTGTTCTTCTATTCTTGAGCATGAACTGACGGATTAGTGAACCGTATCCGTATATCACCCGCAACATGGTGTGTTTGCTGGGAGATGCTGGCCATCCTGTATGTCATCTTCCCTTACTCGGTCTGCAATTACTGACAAGATAGATGATGCCTCATCAAAGCCAAGGTGCCTGTATGGCAATCGAAGATGCAGCAGCACTGGGTATTATCTTCAGCAAAACCTACTTTAACGGCAACATCGACGAAGCACTGTCAGTCTATGAAAGTATTCGATTACCCAGAGTCACCAAGGTTCAATCAGCAGCTGCAAAGGCAGCTTATAACATCAATGAACGGATTGGTTTCTCGAGTAACACAAATATGTCGACATACAAGGTTGAAGATGAGAAGAAGAAGCTGACTATCGAGGAGATGAATGCGTGGGTCTACCCTACTATACATAAGATACAGACTAACAGTCGCAGATACGACATGTACAAGGACGTCGAGGAAGTGCTGGCAGCAAAACGAAAGCTTCCATTTACTGCTCCGTATATCAACGGATTGCCTGTCGGATTGAAGTTACCGAATGGATATACCATTGGCGAGTTGGCCAAGTTGTGATTATCATGTATTTATTTGTATATTGTGTTATTTAAGCCTCGATCATCATCACTGTTTCAGAACAAGCCTCTTCTTCTCCTCTGAAAACTCAAGTCTAGCCTTTGCAGACTGAGCACTCTTCTCCATACTTCCCATCGACATATACGCATGCTCATCTTGTAAATAACTGTCATCCAGACCATGATATAGAGCCGGTAAAATGGATGACTTCCACAGCCCCAGCTTCTGTCCTCTGTTGATCAGAATAGTTATTACCAAAAACAGAATCCCCAATATGAGCACAGCAGCTGGAAGTGCCAGAAATGCCCACTTCACATGCACGTATACCTGCGCGACATTCACAATGCCATGGATCGTCGAATTACTCGAATCGAGGGCATGCTTGGTCAACGACGCAGCAACATTCGTAACCACCGTTTCCAATCCCGAGTCCACGATCCTTCGCAGATTATCAGAATATGTCGGTGGAACGTACCCTCCCCATCCGGTCGAATATCCATATGAATGTGTCACGAACGATGTCGACGCGAATACTTGCCTTATTTTCGCTGGCGGTCCATCAAGCGGACAGATGGCGAATTCACTTGCATTCTTGAATACACCCCAGCTGCCTATAGCTTCTCCTACTTGCGTTACATTGACAGGAGGGCCATGGCCTGGCTTCCAGCATGATAAATTCACGGATCTGTTCCCGAGTTTCATGACTTCGTGGGGGAAGTACTTCCCATAATCCGGTTCTGACATATTGATGGATGGAATGCCGTTCTGGACGGCAACATTATAAGTACGCGAACACATGGACAAAGCACACTGTGTCACTTTGCCGATTCGGATGCCATTCTCTGGATGCGATGCGGGAACGTCGAATTTGTCGTATGTGAAGTTGAACGAGGCATGAGCGAGCACCATCAACGGACCTGCGATGCCCGAGTATGTCTTGTTCCAGGTGTATCCGATGTCGTTGGGATCGCTGACCGTCCACACAATTTCGGTTGGGAGTTCCATCAAGTATTGCCCTTTGGTCCTTTGTGGGAGGATGTTGATCTTGCTTCCTGATGGATATCCTTGGGGGAGGGTGACATTGCACCAGGTATAACTGGAGACAGTGCTGGTATTATCCAAGCGAATGTCGTAACATCCGACAAGGCGTGCTTGGGAGGTCATATCCTCGCATTGACTGCACCATCCTGTCGACTGAAATGGGTCGAATGTACAGTTCCCAGAGGCACAGGTTGGATTGATGTTAAAATCCTCCGACCAGATGCCTGTGTTGATCGCATTATTGAACCCGGTATCCGACGCTCCACTGGGCTCGTACATGGCGTCTCTTGTCTCCAGGGTAAATGGGAATATCGCCTGTTTGGTCGATGCGATATCCGTTGGGCTAGGCACTTGTCGAACGGGATAACTGATGATCTGTTGGATAAATGGATCAAATGCAAGTGCAAGAACAGTAACCAGTGCCCCCAGGCAGATCCACGAGTATCCACGATGCTGGAAGATAATCTTCAAGGCGCCCAACGGACCACGACTGGCGTCATCGATGGACTGCAGGTGATAGATTGGTTTCTTTTCTTTTTGAAACCAAATCCATTTCAATTGGCTGATCGATGCGCTGATTAGGAAGATCAACGACGATTTAGATGCTGTGGCTAGGATAGACACGATCGTATTCAGTGTCAGCTCATGTGGTAGACTGGGTGATGCTTTGCCGTCGTATACAAGAAGAAGAACCAGAATGGCCACTGCGCAGATTACACTGAACGCCACGGCAAAAATCTCCCAGAACCACGAATCGACGATTAAGGATGATTCGCGTGACTTCTCCCGCTTAGCCCTTTGTTCTTTGGTAGCAGTAGGGCCGTGTTGAGGAAGCACCACGCGTTGATATTTCTGAGGCATTTTGAAGGGCCACTTCATCTTGACGGACAAGAAGGGTTTGTTGGAAAGAGGGGAAGAAAAAAAGGGGCGAGGGTTTTGTGTGTTTTGAACACAAGGCTGAATCAAGGCGGTCCTACATGCATTGGATTGCTCTTTGGGTTACATTGGAGGGAATAACAGACAAGGCTGTATGCAGGGATACGCAGAAGTTGGGGGAACCTGTCCATGTCTTCACCGTTCCAGCAGTCAATACTTGATCCTGCTCATTGATGAACAAGGCTTCGACCTTTTTATTGTCATAGGCTCTGGTCGGTCTCGCGAGAGACTTCCCTTAATATATATTCTTCAGATACTTCCTCATCTGATTGCTCCCATGATGATAAAAAGGATGGCGGTGATGGTGATGGTGGGGTGTTTGCCCCCCAGTTACCTTGACTGGATCAATGTTAGAAGAATGTAAATATATGCGAAGCCACTCACTCGGATATAAATCAGCTACCGGACTGTTAGGTCTTATCGATCTCAGATACATTGGGTCTGAATTTCACCGGTGTAAGGAGTGAAGTCATGTCGATTCGATGATCGTGGATGCACAGACTGGTCACTTAGGCTCGTTGCGATTCCTTACTACTAGTGACCTTTCCACCGACTGCCTTGACCATCCAAACACCATCTTTCCTCTCAACTTGCTGCATTCGATCGTGTGAAGGACCCTTCGCTCCCGAACAATATCTCAATTCCGTCTGAAGGTAGTAGAATAGCATTTCTGGAATCACCAGATCCCCTTCATGGCATAATAGATCCATCATCACCGGTTACCCACGGCGCAGGTTTTTTTTAGCCGCTTCGAAGACTCCTATCGAGATCGGAACATTTTTACCTCGATCAAGCAACATTTTCATTATGGATGGTCCCTGGTGTCCGTTTTGTGCTGCGTTTTCCAATGCAGTCTGAGATGGTACAAAGCTCGTTCTGTGGCTCAAAAACAGGCTAAGTATCTGTACAGCACAGGACACATTTCCTGCGGCCTCTTCAACCGCTTTCTCAGAGACAGGAAGATTCTCCCGCAGCTGGTTGTATAGCATCTGCATTACTTCCTTGCAGGTATTTCCTGCTGCTGCTTCAACCACTCTGTTCGAAACTGAAAGATTGGCCCCATTTTGGTCAAATGGAATCTGCATTGCCTCGGCGCCGCATGTCCAATTCCCGGCTGCTGCCTCGACCAGTTCCTCTGGAGGATCTTCAAGGCCCTTTCCCTTTTCATGAACCAGAATCTCCATTAGCGTCAATGCGCATCGCGAAATTTCACCTCTTATTCCGTCTGGCATCCAAAAAAGGGGATAATCATCATAGTTCAAGAGGCATATCAGCAGTCTTTTGAATTTATCAATGACCTGACCGGCTTCTTCATCCGTGAGCTGCGTATACTCTCTGATACTTTCTCTGGAATAGCCGAAGACCCCCTGAGCATGGTCTTCCAGATATGTCATGAAGCCATCGTTTTCCTTATATTTCTGCTCCATACAGATTAATACTAACCTCGCAGCGCTTTCCAGGGTACTTGAACTGTCCAATCCGTTTTTCTGACGGTTACGCTCGAGACTTTGGGAGAGGACTGCCTTCGCTTCAGTCAACGTTTCGTGGTCGCTGCAGAACCTTATATATCTGTTGAGGCGTTCAATTGTCTTTGGGTGTGTTGCGCCAAATCTTTCCTCGTATCCTATCATGATATGAAAACCCTTGATGTAGTCTTCGGCATCTTCTAAAATCAGTGCCACCTGGTATAGACCGTATCCTGCCTCTGGAATCAATTCAAAACACTCCTCTGAGAGATCACCGATCTTTTGTTGCACTTTCGTTTGCTTTACGTTGTTCCCCGCCAGTTTGCCAGTTCCAAAGAAGAAGCAGGTTCCGGGGCGGGACACCGATTAAGGCTGAGTATGCTTGGTCTCGTAGATCCAAGGTCTCTCTGCTGTCATCGTACTGGGGCGATACCGCAATCATGATGATATCAAAACAATTCTCACCTGCCCTAATGATGCATGGTTTGGAGGCACCATGTAGAAGGCATAGGATATCACCCTTCTGGATGGGCTTTGCAGAGGCCTGGAGGGTCCATTTGGTAGCGAATGCCCCGGCCTGATTCCAATATGGTATGTCTGATGTAGCCTTGTACTTGGGTGTCTTTAACCCCAATATTCCCGCTGCTTGGTTGCAGACAATGTCAACATGTTGTATATCGTGCTGAACATCATCATACTCCACTCCTTCTACTCGACCGAGACAGTAACCCTTGGACTTGATCACTGCAACCTCCCTGTCTTGCCATGTTCCAACCTCGACTTCTTGGAATAATATATGCTTGACGAGTCGCCTGAAAAGCACATCCCATGGGAGTTCATAGTCCGGTAACAGTTCATCGGGACTGTCGAAGCTCATATTCAACAATGCGTATATCTTATCATGGAGCTTGGTAGCCTTGTGTGCGTGGTACATGTCCATCAATTCGCCTATCGAGTGTCGATTTGACGACGCATGGCCATATTTCGGTTGAAAAGGTGCACGTTTGATGAGATATGCCACTGACCGTATCCGGTTCTCGAAGTCTGGATACCCTTTGTTTGAAAGCTTCAGTCGATTAAGGCCTGAGCAGAATACACTCCCATCAATATCGACAGGGCCGCACATTATACGAATATCTCCTGCAACACCAGCCTCTTGGAGTACCTGGTGCCACTGATTAGTCTCTTTGTCCAAGTTATATGGTTTTTAACCTACCCAGATGCGCTCAAACCAAGGCCGTTGTATAAGGGCCATGCATGGGTTGTAATTGCTGTCATCGGATCCAATTTCGACATATTCTCTAGAAGAAATACCATCTTCTGCCGTGGCTCGTAGAAACTCCAGTGCCTCACTACTCCGATCTGCCTCTTCACCAAGCCAAATGGCTACACGACTGGCTTGGGAGTATATTTTTTGTCATGGATTTGATCTGATTCTCTTTTTCTTGGGTGTTGTCTTCCTGGTTGATGCAAATAGCATCCACCCATAGAATGCGATCAAAATAGTGGTTTCGGAGATGTACCAATGCCGCATAGAGGCTCTTAGTAACATGGAGCTCTTTGCCATCAATGTAGATAGACCGAGGCTTTTTCTCACTGCCCCATACATAGGACAATGCCTCGTAGAGGTGCGATCCGCTGCCATCTCCTAGGGGGTATTCAAAAAGTTTGCATCGTATAGCAGCAGTCTTATCCTGGTCTGGCATCAGACACAACATACGAGTACTGTTGGGTAATTTGAGCGGAGAATACTCGTATTTCGGCATTTTGGTAGTCGAAACCAGCGGGCTGGAGATATCCGAACACGTAGGAATGAATCACTACTTTTCGATAGATAGGGAGTGGCTTCAAATTGCCCGATTCTGTTGATGTCTAGCGATAGATGCTGACCCCGCATAGCCAACACACCAGTCTCTTATCCAATCACATGGTATAAGGCTGTCACCTCTGATCCACAGGAATACCTAGGGGAAAGGGTATCCCGTTGTACACAATGATGATTTTCATGATGTTCAATCCGCTCTCTAGATTTGTGAAGCCATTGGAATTCATGACTGACCCTCAAGAGGTGCAATCACGGAGAGAAGTGTGAAGGGGAAGTTACAGGGTTTCCTGATTGGGAAGTGGATAAGGATATGTGACAGAAACTGGGTTAGTCATCTATGCAATAGCACATGGCAAAATCGTTTATCACGACATTACAATAGCATATTGACTGAAGGAAACCAGATGACAGAGGAATTGGCGGTGTCATGAATCCGGAATGATACTCTGTCCAAGAGGCACTGTTTATGAATTACTTTTCCTTCGAACAACTGGATGTAGAATTCATATAATTGTGCATGAGGTAAGGGTGGAAGTCTCTTCTATGCAGCAGCGCCATTGACTAATGAGCAGTCGGTGTTATTAAACATAGTTCATTTCGTACTGGCTAGCTTCCTCGTGGTATAAATCGCAGCCCGTGGTCAGTCGTGGGATGACCTGCAAATGCATGTAGTATGCAAGGAATGGGCCATCCAGATAATCACTGGAAAGACGAGAAAATGCGGTGTACTATTCTTTCTGGTATTCTCCACCAAAATAGTCAAAAAACTCAAAGCATTGATCTACAGCTCTCCGTACATTCTCTGGCAAAGTTGATGAGAACCATTCGTGTATTCTCTATTTTTGCGATATAACCAATAAATATATCTTTCTTTATAGTCTACTATTTTATCAATCTCTATTAACCCAATGGCTTCATACCATACTTCTCCGCATAACGGGAGGAATCTCAACGGCGCAACCTAAACTGGCAGACCCACATTTCCGAATTGGGACGGTATGCACCCCTGAATGACCAGATGGCTTTCACCGATAGAATATTTACATTCATCTCAATGATATTGCCACGCTATAACAGTGGCATACATATCGGACAGATCCTTACGACAATATATATAAATGCACGTTTGCAGATCGAGGTACACGGCAAAGATCGAAATAGATGGCCAATAATTGGTCGCTTGATAATACATATCTGCAATGCAATGCTTGGTTGATCCACCCGCGTATCCTACCACGTAGAGAGAATTACAAATAGCCAGGGACCAGTTAATAAGCATGCTGCCAGCTGTTCGAAACGAGGGTCTCGGTTGCAGTCCTCATGTTGCATCCACGCAGCAAGGAGGTTCTTTCAGCCAGCCACTTTGTCGGGATCCATTTCTCAGCCAATCAGAGCAGTTCCGGAACCAACCAATAGACCTCCAGGCACTCGTGCTCATCGGATCTGCGAATCGACTACCTCTTCTGTTGCATCCTCTATGTACTATGGTGCAATGTCTTTTGACTTATGCCGCGTTCAGACTCTCACTTCCTGCCGAACAAACTTTATTCCGACTGCCATGATGCCATGTTACTTCCTATTCTGCCCATTCAACTTTGACTATTTGCAATTGGCGATGTCTCCTGCCGCTTGCAGTCAACGAGACATCGCTGGCACCCCTCTGCACCTTGATCTGTAATATCTCATGTCTCTAGTGGTCGAGGTCGGAAATCAGTAATCCATGATGACATAAATCTATCCTGTGTCTCTGAAGTGGCTTTGCAGGCGAAAGCTGAGTGCTGAATGCAAGTAGTTACATCAGAGGTCTGGTCGAGGTATATAAATGGGAAGTAAGTCCCAGACGAGAGTTCCAACAGACAGGTCGATCGTACTATCTGAATTGAAGTGAATTCATTTGACAACCAAAATGGCGTCCATCAACAACGCAGACCCGCCCAGGAAGCCAGATGTTGCCAGGACGAGTGAATATCACACAGAGGCATTCACTCTTTCCAATGGTAAGTTGCCTCCCCTAGATCCATAACTATACTGATTGGATAGGATGCCCTATCGACGACCCGTTCAACTCGGACAAGGTCGTCCAGAAAAACGGCAATGCGCTGTACATGTCCCAGCTTCTGCAGGATCTCCAGCTCATCGACCAGCTGTCCCACTTTAACCGGGAGAGAATTCCTGAGCGGTAAGCCCTTTGCTGCTGGATATTAGATGTACAGCTCACATGTATAGTCTCGGACACGCCAAAGGCACGGGTGCCCACGGGTACTTTGAGGTCACCAACGACGAGATAGCCAAGTACACCTGCGCCGACTTTCTGCAGAAGAAGGGCAACGACAAGGAGGCCAACAGAACGCCTCTCTTTGTCCGTTTCTCGACCACGGCGGGATTCAGGGGATCGGCCGATACGGTTCGCGATGCTCGAGGATTCTGCTTCAAGTTGTACACCGACGAGGGTAATCTGGACTGGGTTTTCTTCCACCCTGTAAGCTTCTTCTGGATAGAATGACCATCATGGGTAAATATTGACACGGCCAGGGCGTCTTCACCTTCTGGGATCCTGGCAAGATCGTCACCAGTAACCATGTGACCAAGAAGTGCCCGGCCAGTGGCATGTCGGATCCCAATATGGTAGGTCACACCTTGATAAATGATTGAACGTCGCTAATCTCTACTAGTACTTTGAGTATGTGATAACACCGTTTCTATATGCATAGCTAACCATTCAGGTTCCTCAACAACCACCCTGAAGCCTTCAACTCCTTTGTCCGTATCCAGAGTGACGACGGAACCCCCAAATCCTACAGCGACATCACCATCCGCAGTCTCAACACCTACACTTTGGTCAAAGATGTACGTGCTCTCCTCATCTTATCCGATGAAAACTAACAGACCAGGACAAAAACCACTTCTTCGTCCGCGTGGAACTCCGCCCCCTCAAAACCCAGACGCCCTTCCGCGTCGCTGAAGCCGTCGAAATGGCCGGCAAAGACCCCGACTTCCACAGCCGTGCGCTCTGGGAACAGATTGCAGAGGGTAACGCCGAGACGGCCAAATACCAGGAAGAGCTGGACGATGTGAAAGAGATTCTCAAAGAAAGAATCAGCGATCGACACAGACAGCGGCTGATGGCCGATAAGGAGAGACTGGAAAAGGCGATTGAGAGCTATGACTGGCCTGCCTGGGGTGTGTTTGCTCACATTGTCAAGCCTGAAGAGGTGGCCTCTTTCCCCGTCAACATCTTCGACGCCAGCAAGGTCTTCCCCGCGGATAAGGGAACGTGGGTTGAGATGGGCAAGATCGTGCTCAACCGCAACCCCCGAAACTACTTTGCCGAGGTCGAGCAGTCTGCTTTCTCGCCGGCCAACTTTGTCCCGGGCTGGGATATGTCGCCCGATCCAAGTATGTCCCTCGCCCTCTATCCTAGACAGATGACATCTAACAAGAACAGTCCTCCAAGCCCGGCTCTTCGCCTACGGCGACACCCAGCGCCACAGACTCGGCCCCAACGCCGACCAGCTCCCCGTGAACCGTCCCAAGCGCGTCTGGTGCCCAACCCGCCGCGACGGTCCCCACTCCACCTTCAACTACGAGGATATCCCACACTACCTGTCGAAACCGCTCAATACCGCCGCTGCCCCGGGCACCAGAACCTTCAAGAGCTTTGTCGGCAACTACTGGGATGAGAAAGCCCCCATCAAGACGGAACGCTCCGTCAACGAGTGGGATACCCTTGAAGACCAGCTGAAGCAGCCGTGGGAGTACTACGCCAACGATCTGAACGGTGCCCCGCCTCAAGGGGACCAGGATGCCACTTATGCTGACAAGGCGAGAAAGCACAATATCACGTACAAGCAGTGGGCGTTTGTGTGGAATACCGCGCTGCGTCTCTCGACTGTCCGTGAGGATCTGCGCAATGCCACCTATGGTAAGTCTGACGGATACCTTCACTATGACGAGAGACATCTACTAATATCTGTATAGACAAGTTCAGAATCATGGACAAGAAGTGGAACAAGAACCGCACCGCCAACCAGAACCTTGGAGACCTCATCCACGACGTGACCGAGGAGCTGGTCAACAACAACAAGAAGAAGAGCAAGGCTACGGGCACAAAGAGCAGAGCCCCGGCTCCAGAGGTTGCTCCGTCTTTGACCACCGTGGGCAATGCGTATGACAGCGTCAGCACCGGTAACAACAGTGCTGGTTATGGTCAGAGAAGATAATTGGCATCTGTCATATGTTGAGATTCAAAATTGTCGTTTGTGAATTACAAGATGCAATGGAATAATTTTGATCAACATACGCTTCGTATTAGACACTAGTAAAGGGTATATCGCTAACTAAACACCTCCCATGTACCCAAGTTCATCTGACCAGATCCCATCTATCCACCACGTAACTCGCGGAATGAAAGCGGGACTGAAGATCGATTTCAAAGTCTGGGAATTCCTCTTTCCGTCGAGCCTCTTCGACTTCTGGCAAGAGTTTTCGTTTTTCCCTATCAGTCGCTACCAGATTGGAGCGGTACTCAAACATGCTGGCGATGAGAAACCAGTATTCGAGCTCGAACGACCTCTCGTCTTCATTTCGATCACGCCTGACATTAACCGCTTTTGGGGCCAGTTCTTTGACGGACTTTTTCAATGCGCTGTCTGGCCTGACATTCCTTTCGAGGAGAAACCTCACAGTGTCTAGCCGCTGACATGTACGCCACTTTGTAAATGATCTTGCTTCGTTGAACCGGCAGAGACCCGTACTGCGGGCAGGGCTAGACGTCCCTCCCAATATCGATGCTTCAAGAACGGAAACAGGTGCCGGTTCCTTCGAGAACCGTGTTAATATCGACCTGCGCTTGTCCTGAAGAATAAAGGGACTCGCGTCGCACTTTGCCTGCAGATATGGGAGGCAGGACCAGGATGCAGCGAGGGCTGCCATGCCATGAGGAATCGTTCTGTCGCTGGCCGAAATGGATGTATCCCGGAACATGGGATCTAGGTCAAGAGGCAAAAGCTGCTCTACCTCGATTTGGTCCAAGATGGTCAATAGCCTGGCTCTATTCTCTGCCGTGTTCTCAATTTCCCCAGAGACTTTCAGTATGCGAAAGATGCACTGCTGGCGCAGTTCGAGACTTCCGGCATTATCCTTACTTGGTGGTCCCAAGGATCGAAGGTGACTGACCAGGGAAGCAACTATGGTGATAATGGCCTGGAATCCAGCCGGTCCTTGCGAGCATATCAAGGCCCAGTTGCCCTGTGTGCACAGCCAGTCAAAGGCCGTCCGATGGAGGAAGTCGACAGTCGGGGATTTCGGACGCGATGGATCTGTAGAGATCTGCAAGATGCCCTTTGTATGCCCGGCCAGCAGTCTGGTGATGAGGGGCAGAATCAACTGTTCCTTTTTCACTTCAGGATAGGACATCTTCTGGAGGGGATCCACGTAGTCGATGGCAAACCAGAGAAAGGTTGCCTGGATTTGACCGTTCCACGTCCGCTTCCACTCCATGACCAGCTGATACAGCCTAGATGCCATTTCCCGTTTTGATGGTTCGATTGTTCGTAGGATAGTGTCGTATAGCTCTTCCAGGCCTCGAGGGAGAGCGTTGAATACTTTCCAAATGGCCAGAAGACTCGGACAGTCCCGAGCAGTCTCGAGAAGCTGTTCAACGACAAGAACGACCCATAAGAACACTCCTTCGGCCTTGTCTCTGATTTCCGCCATCAAATCGTTGATACTATCTGGCTCCAATTGGCGCAGCTCTTGAATGGCAAGGTTGCTCCCCAGATGCTGCTGAATGTATACATCAATGTCGGGTTTCGTGAGCTCCTCCATTTTCAGCGACGGACTGTGCCGGAATTCGTCTGCAAACACATTCCAAGGTCGGCTGGAGACACAAAGCTTGGGGTTGTAATCTCGATGCAGCTGCTTGAGAAACGCGACGAGCTCATCGTGGTTTCCATCATACTCGTCGAGTCCGTCAATAAAGAGCGCCAGCCGTGACTTGCCTTGGATCTTATATGCAAATCTCAGCAGGCACTCTCGTAGCTCTGGCCACTGCCACTCCGGTGATGCTGCATGGGCACCAGCAAGATTGAAAAAGACTCGTCTTCTGGGCGCAACAAAGTCGCACAGATCCGGCTGCTGCGAGAGAAGCTGGAAGAGCAGTGACCGCAGGAGACCAACGCGTGATTTCTGAATTTTCGACCCTGGACCCCAGAAGAAGAACGTGGCCAGATGCAGCTGGGAATCACCGGTCCACTGGCAGAGGTTGCTCTCGAGGTCCGGGTGCGTGGAGATGAACTTCATCAGAGTGCTCTTTCCTGATGCTGGTTTGCCGGTGATCCAGAATGGCTCCTCGTTGTCCGACTTCAGCCACTGCGTAAAGTCACCGTCTCGGAATAGCCATTGGAAGGTGTTCGGATAGGGGGTGGCGATCCTCTCGCCCCGATCCGCCATGTCTTCAAAAGCGAGGCTTTTGAGAATCGTCTTCGATATTGCAGCTTTGTCCGTGATGGCCGGAGGGGGCTGTTGATCACGACCATCAGGCAGATCTAGTAGTCCACTCGAGGCCCACAGTGCATCATCGAATCTTGCCTGGGCGCTCGAAGAGTCTGTCAGATTTCTACCAGCTGAGATCTTTTGGAAGTCGTCTTGCAGAGCATTCATCGTAGTTTCAATCCGGCCCACGACCTCTACCAAAGTCCCAGCCCCATCAGCGCTATCTGTTCGCTCCCGAGCCTTTTTTGCATCCTCCCTGGCGGGTCATTAGTATGATAGTCTTTCAAAGTACCAGGTCTGATTTACCAAATACACATCAAGACATTCATCATGATCTGGCTCCGGATCCTGTCGAGCTTTTCCTTCCACTCCTTCACCTCTGTCTCCGACCACATGGCCCGAATAGCGGCACGAGCATTCGAGTCGAGTCTGCGCAGTTTACTACTGTGCACCTTGGCCGTCACCGTCTCCAGCAGCGACTTGAGTTGAGTTTCCGCCTCGACGCATTCGCCATGAAGCCGGGCAAACGACTCGGACAGACTAGGATAATGCGATGCAAGATCCTGATACTTTTTCTTTGCCTCTGTAGCTACAGACGAGAGATCTCTGGCGGATTCATCCAAATTAGCTATCGTCATCGGCTGGCCGTTGGCGGAGTTCTTGATCTCGGAGAAGCGAGAGATCAGCTTTCCGCCAAAATCAACAAAGGCCACTACGCCCGACGCCACAGAAAGAGCGGATAGAGGATCCATGATGGCTTTGGATTGCGTGCATGGATAGTTTTGCGCGAGAGAAGACCAGCGTTGTAGTGATGTTGGCCTCAGCCCCCAACCCCTCCACGTTAGCTTAGATGCATAGACCAATAGCAGCCATGCAGCCATGCACTTAGTCAGCTGGATATGACTGGCGATATCCTGAAGAACATTGTTTATTATAGATGAATCTAGACAGTTGAAATGCCTAGACTTGACCGATATATTCTCCGTTGATCAGCTGTTTTGCATAGATTAACCTGTCCGACTTTAATGATGCGGCCCACTTGGATGCATGTCACAAAATCAGGACAGAGAATATGGACTGTGATTGGACATGATCTGATCTGATAATATATCTGTTTTTGATCTGTCAACTTTACATCATGTCCAGCATCACACTCGGCTTGTATGGGAGGTGGCATGACCTCTGCGTGCCATTTATCATCCATGTATATCCAGCCCGCTTGACGCACATTAATGTCACCTCAAAATGCCTGGGGGAATGCATCCACCACTCGAGGTCATTGCTTCATGGCCTCCTCCCAATACGGTCAATCCTGAATCTCATGGACCAGCTTCTATCGTGCTGTCTGCTCTCTTCGGTGGAATTGCAGTCATCACCATCCTCATCCGATTGTGGACTCGCTGTGTGATCCAACGAGCAGGAGATGCAGATGATCTCTTGATTGCACTGGCTTTGGTATCATTCTTTTCTCTTGACATGATATGCACATACTGACTATATGAGATCCCCATTCTAGGACTCGTTATAGCCATCCCCCTCGGAGCCTATACATACGGCGAAAACCACCACACCTGGGACAACAACCTCACAACCCTCGTCAACGAACGCAAACTCGCCATCGCCAGTGAAGTCTTCTACGTCGTCGCAGCCGGTCTCGTCAAATCCTCGGCTCTCCTCTTCTATCGCCGCATGGGCAAACGCACCATCGCACCACGCTTCATTGCCGTCATCTGGATCAGCATCGTCTCGGTCACGGCATATAGCGTTGCCTTTCTGGTCGTCATATTCGCTTCGTGTCGTCCCTTTCACGCTTTCTGGATGCAGGTGGATCCTGTCTGGTCTCGAACAGCCAAATGGCAATGCTATGATGAAGGGGCTCATCTCATCGCCGCGTCGGCAATTAGTCTCGTACAAGATATCATCGCGACTATCCTCCCAGCTATCCTATGTTGGAATCTGCAGATGCCATTCCGCCAGCGAATGGCGCTGAATGCCGTGTTTGGACTTGGTTTCATCACGGCCATCATTGCGGGGATTCGCATTTACTTCATCTGTCGGCTGTTCTATACTTCCTACGACGCCTCCTGGGAAGTCTGGTATTGTTGGCTATTTGCCATGCTGGAGATAGTCATCGCTGCGACTTGTTCGAGTTTACCGGCTGTGAAGGTGTTTCTGAGATGGTGTCAGGTGCCGTCGATTCTTGCAAGTTATGTGCGCTCCATCAAGTACTCGCATGGCAGCAGTGGACACAAACAGTCTGTTGTTTCCCAACCGCATGAACCGCGATGTTCTGGTGAGACGGACAAGTTTCTTCTGGCGCAGCAGGCAGTGAGTGTGACTGAGTTGACACGGTTTCATACACCGACTCGGATACATCCATTGGCTGGGGATTCAGAGTAATGTTAGAAAGATGAGATATAGCATAAAAAAGCCTGCTCATTGAGATTATGAAAATAGCAGAATGCTAAGATAAAAAGCTGCCAGTGGCATTCAGCCCATATACGGCCTTTTACCCTTTCCATCGAGCACCTCCAAAAAGTAGTCGCGGAAAGACACAGGTACCAAGTCCGGATACAGCTCTCTCGCATCCAGATATCCCAGATACTTTGCATAATCTGGCCGGTTATCCTTTCGTACATATTTGCTGTGGTTATACTGCGCTATCCAGACAGCCATTCGTTTTGTGAGATCGTCTGGATTCTGAGCGAGATCGGACACGGCGTCTTCCACTTTCTGTTCGATCTGCTGGGATGTTTCCTGAATGGTTGTCAACTTCAGCTCACACTTGTAAAGAGTTATAAAGAGCATACGAATGTCCTTTCGATCTTCTCCCCCGAAAGCTCCTCGACAATCCCAAAGATCTCATTTTCCGTCAACACATCACCACACGTATAAACAAACTGATTGAGCGTTCTATCATCTGCAATAATTCTCGCCACGAAGCGTCCAATATCGCGTAGATCGGTGAGAATATTCGGCGCATCTCCGTCGCCATGGATAGTGGCATCTGGTCCAAAATTGGCGTAATCAACCCGTCCTGACGGAACGGAGGGAAAGGAGATTTGATGCCAGAAGCCAACGTCAATGACGGTGTATGGCAATTCGACTCTCTTGATTTCATTGTAGATTTCCTCTTTCTATTCCTGCGTAAGTACATCGTTATGTCTATTCAGAAGGGAAACGTACCTCATCACGAAGCAACATCGCACCCGTAGGCGGAGCGATCGTGATAAAAGCACATGGGATGAACCGTTTGACGCCAGCTTCCTTGGCTGCTCGAACCAATGCTTCCTGCTGTAAAAGATCTCGCGGTCCAATCGCGCTGATTAATATGTCAATGCCGGATAGAGCAGAGGTGATTTCGCTCTGTGGAGCACAGAGGTCGAATACACGGAGCTGAACTCCACGATCGACCAGATCCTTGACAGACTGCTTTGATGCGGAGCTTGGTCTGACGAGGATTTCAACGTCCTTTTTTTGATGGTTAACCCAATATGCCTTATTCTTAAAGGTGTGTTGTTAACGTACATATTGATCGGCTGCCAATAGCCCCTCCAAGATAGAACCCCCCGTTTCACCAGTCGCTCCAAGTAGGAGTACCCTTTGTCTCGTGGTCATTGTAGCAATAGTAGGTCAGATAATGAGCCAGTTCCCAGTCTGTAATCAATAGGAATGACCTATATGTAACATTCATTGCAGCATTCGTAAATGCACATCGGATTGATAATCGCCTGATTGATAATCCCTGACCGGAAGCAGCCTACATCCGACCCGTTCTGAACATCCGGTTCCGAGATGACTGGATTGCGTCGTTGATCTGGCATTGATATTTCTTTTGCCTGCTTACAAGATAATAGGCTGATATCTTCACACTGTGATTTCCTTCGTATAGATGTCACAGTGGCAATACGTTCATGCTGCGGATTAATAAAGACTTGGACTAAATCAGAGCCGGGCGATCCCGTTCTCATCGTCAAAGGATGGCTGCGCGTTTCCCTTCGCCAGGTTAATCCTACCCATCCCTTTTATCGTAAATATCTCCCCTGTCGCGACTACGCTACTCATGATGTACAGCCGGTGGTGGAGAATGAGAAGTATGAAGTGGACGTGGAAGTGTGGCCGACCAACACAGTACTCGAATGAGAAACTCGTTCTAGAGATTGCTGGTCATGATACTCAAGGCGTGGGCAAGTTCTCTCACGAACATCCTGAAGACCGTGATCCGAAGATCTTTGATGGTCTGAATACTGTGGACGTGGGACAAGAGGCTTGCTGGCCATTGCTGTCTGTTATTCTGGTGCGTTAAGGTGGAGTTCTTTTTGTATTCATTCATTCTATTTAGGATACACCTTCTATTATAATATGATCTGTGGTTTGATCAGATGATCTTATAAATACTATACTCAAAATGTAGCACGTTATACCGACATCATGACTGACTCATCCACGAATCACCCTAAAAGCCAAACCTCGCCAACGCACAGTTTCCTATCTTCAAGATGCTTCACCTATAAACATCAATACCCACAGAATGCTACGAGACATTGTATATTGCACATGGCTGACCATAGAATGGTGCTACTTTCTCGACGATGCCGAAGAGATTTACCGCGACATACTCGACTTTTTCTACGACTGTTTACTTTGGCTTCAGTGTCGACTCAGTAGTAGACCTGAGCAGAATAGGAATGCTCCTTTATTATGCCTGCCGTCTGAAATTGTTCTTCTTATTGCGGTAATCCTCCCCCCGGCATCAAAGGCAGCGTTTGCGTTGAGTTGTCGCGCAATGCTGAATACTCTGGGACGAGACTCTTTGCTTTTGAGAAAGAGGGATAGAGGAAAGCTTCTCCCGGGGCTTGAGCAGCACAGCCCAAAGCACGTTTATTGTTATAAATGCGCTGTCCTTCATAGGAAAAGGTATCGACCGGGTGGTTCGCTGCGGAATAGACGATGCGAGCGCAAAGTGTCTATTCCGTTTATCAGCTCGGGGATGTCATTGCCCTTTTCATGGATCCGACAGACGCTGAATCGATATGAATATGGTCCGAATCACCGGGTTTGTGGAGGAATCCCCCGTGGTGCCTGTATACTCAGTTACAGCGCCCACTGTGAACGATGGGAGAGTCATGAATTCCGCATCACCGCCAAAGGAGTCATCCTCAAGCAGACCAGCTCTATCGAATTTGACAGGGAGCATCCTGAGTTCAAACACAAGAAACCCTACCATGGCCAAGACCATACATACCATCTCTGCCTCCACATGTCATGGAACCGCATCTTCAACGCCCGCCGTCTGAAGAGCAAGACTGGCACCTTTTTCAAGTGCGCGCAGTGCGACACGGAAGCCATGTATAAACTGTCCAAACGTTCGAGTGGCTTCGATTACTTTGAGGTTGCAACGTGGACATTGCTAGGCCCCTGTCGTGATCCGTTTGAGGACCGCTGGCTGGCGGTTACGACAAAGGAAGGAAATCATCTCTCGCGTCCTTTCTCGGGTTGTCCGGAGGATTCTATCAAGCTCGATTCTGCGTCGGTTCGGGCGTGTTTTGAATCGAGCCCTCAATTGCCTTTTTCTTTTTAGTTATGTCCTATCACCCTCTCTCCTCCCGAGTTGCTAAATCCAGCGCTGGCTCTGTCTCGAATCATAGCATCTGCTTCGTGTTCCGACAATCTCAAGCGGCATTGCTTTATTAGCTGTACGTAATACAGTATATTCTATATACATGATGATCACTCGATAATAAACGACCCAAACTGCGGATTTGCATCAGCCCAAACATTCAAAAAGGCTTCTGCAATCCCCACTCGCCTGCTGATGCCATGTTGTGTCTCAAGAACCATCAAATACACCTTCAAGATACATGCATCAGTCTCTCCCTTGCCTTGGTAAAGAGGAGCTCCGGCACAGTCACGCATGATGATATTCTCCCTGCCATATGCATTCCCATTTTCGTATTCATCCAAGTGAGGCCATTGTAAATCAGACAGCCGTCCCATGCACATGGATAGAGCAATCACATCCAAGTACAATCCTTCATCCGTTATAGTAGGAGCATTCGTGGAAAGCTTGTCCTCGTCTGCCCCGTAGCTTACATACCATGCGATTGTATTGCCCCTTTCATCGCGCAATTTTGGTCTCCTGGAAATGATATCCGCTTCGGTCAAGTATACTGGCTGAAGACGAAGGAATGGTGTATAAGCCATTCCAGGCGCACCATTCACACGATCGACCAAAGATGCAGGAAACTTGATCTTCACATCTCGTGGAATACCATTGACCATATCATGTACATCATCATAAAATGCATCAAAGGTTGACCATCGAGGCTGGATAATGGATTCATACTGCGCCCATGTCGCGTTGAAATTCAGTGCTGCGGGGATCGGTCCTCGAAAGCAGCCCTTTTTCCAGGCTACCGCGATTCCAAGAGCAAAGCACATATCGTCTTTGGGTTTGCATTCTTCTCCTGATCCATGTGGTAGAATTTGCAACGTGCTTCTTCCAGAGTCGCTGGCTGGAATTGCCCACGCCACCAACGGCGCGAGATGAGCAGCATATAGAAATTCCACCTCCTCCGTAACGCTTGCCCATGACCACGAAGGGAAGACTGAACCTTCTGGTGAGTTTCTCGGCCGGTAAAGCTCCATCTCTGCCGTCCACGAGATAGCTCTATCTGGTATCCATAAGATAGCGCTGTTAAACTTGCGAAATGGTAGACCAAAGTAATGATTCTTGCGATATTTAGCATGTAGAACACCAGAAAACGCACGAAGAATGTCAGATTCAAATGATAGACTTCGTTGGGAAAAGGCCTTGACGAGATTTTGATAAAGGGACGAGAGATGGAATCTGGGCTGGTCGGATCCACGATGTAGACGGACATTTGGGTCTTCATCTTGAATTGCCTTATCGTGGAGACATTCGAAGAAGACGCCATAGTCTGAGAATAGCAGCATGCGAGGGGATAATAGCGCCTCTTGGAACGTCCAGCCTCGAGTTGCCCAGTTGGAGTCGTGGACGAGGTCGTGATACCCCTCCGTCTGGCGGAGGACATAGACGCCCTGCGTTGAGAATGATATACGATAGTTGCGCTTGACTGTCGATACGCCAGGGAGACCATGACTGGCGTTGCTCCCAGCCATCGCGACGAGAGTCACCAACGACCGGCCGTAGATACCAGCCATCGCGTTGATCTGCTGTAAAGCTTCTTCTGCTGCTGCTTTGTCTTGCGGAATGCACAGTCTGTCCGCCCAGAGATATCTTATACCGAGATGGGTACAGGCAATCATGGCATCCTGGATGGTGAGTGGGATCTCAGCATGCAATAAGGAACCTTCTTCTTGTAGAGCTGCGATATTGTCCGTTGTGGCTTCAAGTCCTGCACTTTTTCTATCGCCCCAGACATAACTCAACGTGGCATATTCACATTCTGGAGGAGCATCCATGACGCATTTTCTCTCTGTGTCGATGACTCGAAATCCAGTTGGCGGCGGCTGCACAGACTGCTCATATGATGTCTTTATATGTTTGCTCTGGCAATTTCCTAGCCACTTGGACACAGTCGGCCAGTTCACCATGGCTGACTGCATCTCCAAACCACCCGTCATATCTTCGTTGAACCCAACAAACCGATACATAGTGCGCAAGTCACTTGCTGTAACCTCGTCAGTCCACACCACAGTCAGAAGACTGAAAGCCTGCTTTGATTATCCTCAATTGTGAACAAAAGATCAAAATTATATGGCATCCCCAGATGAACATTATAAAGACCAATTTCCAGTTCCGTTCTCAAACCAGCATCGAAAGGTCCATCCTTTGAAGCCTTTTTCACCAATGCACTGCAGACTCGACAGTTCCTCGAGCGACGAATCAGCTCATCCCATGTACCGAAATTTATTCTGGCTTTGAATGGGGACAATCTTTCGTGTCTGCACTGTTCCTTGTTGAGTGGTGGTTCATACTGTCTGCAGCGGAGGAGATGACCAAGGCGCATGTGCTGGCACATCTCACATAGGCTTTCACTTTCCCTATCACGATTCTCATGCCGTGAGCAGGAGCTACATTCTTGGTGAAAGAGAGTATATCGACAGTTGTCAAGCTCTTCCTGAGATTGACTATTCGAGGCAGAATAGCCATATGTCCTGCATCTCTCTAGAGATTCACACAACGAACATGTGTCGATAGAAATTGACCCTGTGGGTTTGGGGAATGGGAGTTCAGTTTTTGAATTGGAATTGGGAGCTTCCATAATGAAGATAGACGGTGGAAAATGCGATTGTGAGGTCGTCATGCAACACTGCGGGGTTGATTGATGCTCATTGGCAAAGTGGATGCGGCTAATGCAGCTAAACATATCCCTGTATCAGAGGTTGTTGGAAACTACGCGTGGGCTATAACTGCAGCAATACCACGGAAGGTGCAATAATCTACCCTCCAGAGCCAGCTAATCAAAGCATTACAATAGTCCATCTATCAGGCCTTATCTTCTAAATACGTCTATACGATTGATATATATATACTCATCTAATCCATCATCCCATATTTCTCCCCCCTCTCCAAAGGAATAATCTCATCTTTACACCCAAACCCAGCCAACGACACCTCCTTTGTCGGCCCCATTCTGTTGGCCCTGATTGGCTGGTTGGATGCAGCGGGATGAAGCTATACAAATGGATCTGTCTGGTTATAGCCATATTAGGCAGTGATGTGCATTTGGTCCCATCGGGGACGGCACGTGCCTAGCTCTTGATTTCTATAGTAAATCTATAAAAGCAGTTGAAAGTGATGGTCTATTTCATCCAAAGCAGTGTGGTGTACTGAGCATAGTATATGACCTGTTTGGCTATATTTTGCCTACCTTGAGCTATCCCCATAAAATCAATTAGAATGATATTTTAGGGATGTTTGTAAATTTCAGAATAGCTAGACCGTTTAGGTTCCACAGAGCAAATCGATTCGTAATAGCCCAGTAGTTGTAGATGGATGCACGAGTATCCATGACGAGATATCAAACTTAGGCAACAAACCTTGCCTTTCCAGCCGTAAAGCAGATCCCACCTTCACAACTCCACATGTCCATCTTTCATGAAGATCTCTGTCGATCGCAAAATGGTTAATTTAACCATCATCAGCGGCATCGCAGTCACCATCACCCTGATAGCCGCTTTAATCCGAGTGAAAAAAGCCTTTGGAATTAGCCTCGACAAGTCTTTCGCCCGCCTCGAGGCCCGTCTTGAAAAAAAGGATCACCCCTTCTGGGCGTCCAAGGTTCGCGCAGTCGCCAAGGTGCGAACAGTTGCCAGTCGAAAGAAGCAAAAAGCGTGGATACGAGAAGCAGAAGAAGCCGAAAAGGAAGAGTTTGCCATCGTCCAGCGTTCGATCTACCTCTGCGAAAGATGGGATTTATTCTACCAGCGATCTCTGAATCCAGGTCTAACCCCCGAAGAGCAAGACTTATTCGACAAGATTGAAAAGGAATATTATGAAGGCATTGACGGGCGAAGCATCAAGCTGAGTGATACCTACTCGCGTCTGGATCGTGAACGGCCTGCAGGAGCTTGGGTAAGAGAGTTCGAAGCCATGTCCTACGACCGTCGGTGGCAGCACCAGATCAAGGAGTGCAAGGCACGCGGGGGCTGTTGCAGTCGCCTGTGCCAGTGCTGCAGCAAAGCACGGTGCGGGCTTGGAGGCCAAAAGGGAAGGGTTGACTGTCGAGCGGCCAATATACACTGTACGCCAGAGTGTGGATGCTGCATCCGTTGGAAGAGGGACGGTGAGACACAGATGGATGAGATCCAGGAGAAGAAACGGAGAGACTTAGAGTGGGAGATGAACCTGTCTTTTGTATAAACGGTGCGGATGGGGTGGACATTGCTACTATATCAACATGATGGGTCTGCTGTCATTTGCTGTATACCGATGATGCAGATAGAATAGTTACATACAATAATACTGCTCGAGAAATCCCTTCAGCAATATTCATATCAAGCATAAACCAGGCACAAAGAAGTTATAGTATAGGCTGTTTACTTAGCCTGGGAATCCCACGCTTTTTGCTTTTTCTGCTGGCGATGGTTCGCACCTGGCGACCGCGCGGACTTTGGAGCCCAGGAAGGGCAGTTTTTTTCTCCAGCTGGGTCTCAAGGCGAGCGAAAGAACTATCGAGGCTGATCCTGAAGGCGTTTTAACTGGGATTAAGGCTAACAACTGTCTTATGCAGCATGATGTGCATTGGCATTGTTTGGCTCGAGCGCTGGTAACAAGTATAAGTTAGTGAGCAGTTCATTCGACGCCCGTTTGGGACGATATAACTGCTACCAGTATTGCCACGACGCTCCACTACCAGAGGATATAGACCCTCGATATCGTATTCTCGATAAAGGTCAGCGGTGTCGATACCCATAGAATCGAGCACCTCCGACAGGACATTCGATACCGAAAGTTGTAGCATTCATTCTGAAGGTGCTATTTCGCAGTTCAAGGAGTTTCCGCAGTGTCAAGCCAGGAGTTGTAGCATGGTCTGTTTATTCGGATCTCGGGGTTCTTCTGTGTCTACTGCATCCATGGTTAGATCATGATATGGAAATAGATTTAGCATTACTCACTGTCTCCGCCAGCCTGGTCATGGACACATTTAAATTCCTGGTTGATTATGCGGAGAGAATATGCTGATGGAGGAAGAAAAGGCACAGAAGAGAAACAGCGCGTCGGAAAGAGCGGGTGAATGAATACCAGATACAACATTCAATTCGTATGACTGTCTATTACTGCAGCGGTGAACAGATACATCTAGATACCTTGGGTACAATGCAACACGTGTGGAATGCCCATCTCATGATTCTCGCGTGCCAATAAACTTCACCTGGAATGCATCACCAGAAGTCGACCGTGGTATCCTCAGAATGCTGACCAGCCACTGTCCAGCATCAGTCAGTCTAGACCTTCACATACCCCGTATCTCCAACTCGCCAACACCTCGGATAACGGAGTCGGAGTCAGTCGAGTGAAGTGGATGTATTGTAATGGCATCCCTTGCTGTTGATCTGCTTTCGGAAGCGAGCGGACAGAGGGAATATCACAATCAGCCCAACCGACTGCAGTAAACTACAAGTTGCGTGATTGTATTTATTTATATAAGGATATGGATTATTGCAATGATATTGGATGTGTTTTAGACGTGTTGAAGAGGGAATGTTGGCATGCCGTTTGCAGTGGATTTTTATAGATGGCTGGCTCTGCATAAGACATGGTCACATTCTTAATATTGAGCCATGATCTTAATACAGATGTTGTGCATACACTATTGAGGATCAGCACATAAAATTCAATAATCTGAATGTAATGTAATCGGTGCATCGTACAACTAGTGGCTACGGGGCAACTGCCTGAACGGAGTCGCCCTATCCAGTAATCCCCTGACGATCCTCTCCAGACCACAAGTTGCGGAGTGAAAATTCTGACGCTGACTAACTGTCCAGAGACCACTGACTCGTGATGATAGTAATACGACGGAGGAGAGGGAGTGATACACGTCATACACTCGATGTAATGCAGTCCAGTGAGAGATTCAATCCAGTTCTACAGAATGTATAGTAGCCCGTATAAGAAGAATCTATCCCCTCGTCACATCTGTCCATGATCGACAGCCGCACCATATAAAATGTGCTAGCCCATCATGTCTGCGGCATCACAGAATGCGGAGAGCTCTATCCATCCAACTGCGCCTGGTCGAGCCGGTGCTTTTCCTGCCGGACCGGGCCAACATCCCCACGGTGGTCCGGGGCTGTTGCATCCTGCGTCTGACACAACGACTCACCGTCAAACGGCTGACGGTGAATTTCCGGGGGGTGTCGTGTGTGCAGTGGTCGAATCGTATGTATCTCTGAATATGATGAGACAGTCTCTGATGGAGCAGGCATCTGCGAAAAGGAAGTCCTGACAGACCGCACCATCACGCTCTTCGCTCGTCCCCACAGCCAAGAGCTTCCCTCTGCGACTGTCCGCCTGCCTAGCTATGAGGACTCGGAACTTGGGCGAGGATTCCCACCGGGGACGTATGCATACGACTTTGAGATGAGGCTGGATCCCCATCTCCCCGAGAGCATGCTGCTGGAGCGCACCCGAGTGCGCTATGAGATATCGCTGGTGGCCGAGCATTCGGGCCTCTGGACTCGGAGCACCTGCCACCGGCAAGAAGTGCCTGTCGTGCGATGTCCGACCGAGGATTTCCTCCACGACAATGAACCCGTGCGGCTGATGCGATCGTGGCCCGGTCGCTTCCGTTATGAAATCGTCATGGCCCGAAAGGCCTCGCTGGGTCAGCGTTTACCCATTACTGTACTGATTTGCTCGCTGCGTCGGCTGCGCTGCCGAGGATTGCGGATCTTGTTGTCGGAGAAGATCAAATACGTACGGCAGTGTGGGCAGGAAGCGCCTTTTGCAGCGAAAAAGACCAAACTACTACTACAGAAGGGATACGATGAGAATCATATCACCACGCCCATGGACATGCTGGAATCAATCAAAACCCTCGACCACTTGGGAGAACCTCGGGATGAAAAGATGGAGAAGATGGAGGTGGAAGTGCAGCTGCCGCCGAGTGGCACAGAATCGAGCCGGACGTTGAACATGGGGACGGACATTCGCTACAAGAACGTGTGCGTCAGCCACTGCCTGGAGGTGAGTTTTCTTTTTCCGTTTGATAATGAATCTAACAGCGTGTGGTTTGCGATCGCGATGGTTTCCGATCGAGGCAAGGAGTACAACGTGACGGCGAGTGCGCCCTTTCAGCTTCACAGCAGCCATGCAAAGCACGACAACATTTGTGTGCCCGCATATCCAGGATGATTAATATTCCTTGTCTCCAGATTCTCCATGTATCTATCTCTGTATCTCCAGGTTGTATCCGAGTATTATGTATGTAGTCGGATTATGATTGCGCCCAGAAGTCAAGCATAATCCAAGCACAATCAAGCACCATCAAGTGGCCAGATGACGTCGACCAAGAGACGATCCAGCGACGATCCCCTCGGCCTAAATGAAAAAGAGTGACCGAAAAGACAGAGCAAGTGGCCCGAATGCGCTGCCGACTGTGGTTCGCCGCATGCTGTGCTGGTCTTGACGTAAAGCTGCAGCCGATCGCTGGAATCAGGTTTATACACAGGCTCCATCGTCCCACACAAGGGGGTTCCACCCATCGGTGAAAACTCTTATTGATTGAGCGCCCCCAAAGGCTCGTGCTGGATACTGAGTCGAGTAACCAGTTGGAGTGTTGGAGAGGGCGACAGGAAAGGTCTTTCTGATAGAGTAATTGTGCTGAAGGTACTGCGCATTATTACGAATACTGTAATACTGCCCGTTTGGCGATAGACTTTGCCCTCCGCCCAAAGCGGAAAGTCCGATGTCATACCCAGAAACGCATTCGAAGATCCACGCAGCAGCGCAGGCAACAAATGGCTCTTAAGTCCTTCCATTGCGCTTCGCTTCTCCATCCATCCTCTTCTTTTCTTTTCTTTTCCTTCGCCGCTTCTCCCCTTACTTCTTTCTTCTTCCCCGCCCATCTCCAGGTCTTCGATCCTGTTTTGCCCTGTTTTTGATCGTGATCTATCTTAATCCATCTTATCCTTCTTGAATATCTTCATCATCTCCCTCTGGAGCTGCCCTCCATGGCGCCCCCCAAGTATTGTGGTATGTCGGGACGGCCGCTGTCCTTGACAGTGTCCACCATCGCCACCATGGGTTTCCTGCTATTCGGTTATGACCGTATGTCCTCTGTGCCTTTTCGGTCTTGCGATAATGTATACTGACTCCAGCAGAGGGTGTCATGTCTGGTATCATTTCCGATCCCGCCTTCAATGACATGTTCACGGCCACCAGGGGCGACAGTGTCATGCAGGCCACCGTCACCGCCGTGTATGAAGTTGGTATGTTGTCGTCCCTCCCTCATACCAGCCCGTCTAACCCTCCCAGGTTGTCTGATTGGTGCCATCTTTGCCCTCATCTTTGGTGATTGGATGGGCCGTCGCTGGATGGTGATCTGCGGTGCTACTGTCATGATCATTGGTGTCATCATTCAGGTCACTGCCATGCCCAGACACATTCAGCTCCTTCAGTTCATCTTCGGTCGAGTCATCACCGGCATTGGAAACGGAATGAACACCTCCACCATTCCGACGTACCAGGCCGAATGTTCCAAGACCAGCAACCGTGGTTTGTTGATTTGCATTGAGGGTGGTATCATCGCCATTGGTACGGCCATCGCCTACTGGATCGACTTTGGCGCCCACTACGGTCCTCAGGATCTGGTGTGGCGATTCCCGATCGCATTCCAGATCTTCTTCGGTATCATCATCATCGTCGGCATGTTCTATCTCCCCGAGTCGCCCCGCTGGCTCATCGCCAACGGCAAGCCCGACGAGGGTGAGCGTGTGCTGGCTGCCCTCAGTGGTTTCGAGGTCGACGACCACCGCACTCAGCTGCAGAAGAACCTCGTTATCGACTCTGTCAGAGCGTAAGTTCGCTTCCTGGCCATCTCTGTCTAATGCTAACAATATCAGTTCCGGTGCCGAAGAATCCAAATTCTCCGACCTGCTCACTGGCGGTCGCTCGCAGCACTTCCGCCGCATGATTGTTGGCTCCTCGTCGCAGGTCTTCCAGCAACTGTCTGGCTGCAACGCTGTCATCTACTATCTGCCCGTCTTGCTCGAAGACTCCCTGCACAAGTCGCACGATTTCGCGCTTCTGATTGGTGGTGTCAACATGATCTGTTACGCCATTTTCGCCACATTCTCCTGGTTCTTCATTGAGAAGATCGGTCGTCGCAAGCTGTTCCTCGGTGGCTCCATCGGTCAATGCGTCGCCATGATCATCGTCTTCGCCTGTCTCATTCCTGGTGACGCAGAGAGTGCCAAGGGTTCCATCTTTGGCTTCTTCCTCTACATGTGTGTCTTTGGTGCCACCTGGCTCCCTCTCCCCTGGCTCTATCCCGCCGAACTGTCGCCCCTCAAGACCAGAGCCAAGGCCAACGCCATCTCGACCTGCAACAACTGGCTGTTCAACTTTACTGTCGTCATGATCACCCCTGTGATGGTTGACGGTATTGGCTGGGGTACCTACCTGTTCTTTGCGGCCTGGAACGGAGTCTTCATCCCCATCATCTGGTTCTTCTACCCCGAAACCACCGGTCGCAGCTTGGAAGAGATCGACTTGATCTTCGCCAAGGGGTATGTCGAGAAGATGAGCTACGTGCGTGCCTCCCACGAGCTGCCCCGTCTCACCGACGAGGAGATCGAGGCCAAGGCGGTCGAGTACGGTATCCTGGACGAGGTTCACCAGGACGAGAAGACCCAGGAGCACGCCGGCGAGCACGAAAACACCTCCCAGGAGGTATAAACCGTCCTATAGGATGGATGGATTGTCAATTGCTATATTATACCCACTCATATTCACCGATTGTGATTGCTATGATGTTTTATATACCTGTGTGTTTATGATTGATGTTATTTCCTTGCTAGACAGATCAGATGTTATGCTAGATAGATGTCACATTTAGATGTCAATAGATATCGTCTGGATGTCATTGTAAAGTAATTGTATCTGTATCCTAGTTCCATATCGAACATTCTTCGCACCAACAATCTCATCCACTTCCCCAGACCTCTACATTTGCCACATTCTCCACGGAGTACTTTTCCGCTCGTAACCGGTTCTGTATGCCACTATCTGGCACACATGTCACACATGACAGTCTAAATATGTATCTACCCTCTAGTCACACCATAGGTCATATGCAAGATCGATGGAGAACCGTACAACATCTGTACGATTCCCCACAGATATTAGGCAATACGGGGTAATAGTTATTCTTATCCTCCGCATCCAATCTCGTCCTGGTGCCTTACAACTTACCAGCTATAATCTATTCATGGTTCACTTATATTTATTATTTTAGGCAGACTGACATCAACATGATGCATATTACCACGTCCTCAACGTAAACTTGGCCTCATACATATTCTCCCCAAAATACTCCCCCACCTCCAGTAGTAGAAATAACGAGCTGTTCTCAACGTAAACAGTAGCCTTTCCCCGTAAAACACCAATATCAAGATTAAACGAGAGTGGACTCTCGTCTATATCGCCTACATATCGTCCGAGATGGATTTTGGAAAGCGTCATGTCGAGGTTGTATTCGTGGGTTTCGACGTCGAACCAGCCGAATACCTAGTCTGTTAGTATGTTTATATTATATTATACAAGACATACACTCGCAATAGACCCCACAGCCTCTCCCTCTGCCGGCTCAACAGTATTAATAGCGACTTGGGTATCGGTGAGTTCGAGGGCGAGTTTGGGGTTGTTGCGGGGGGCGTCTTGGACGTGGTATTCGCCTGGTTTTTGAGATGAGATTTCCAGGATGGAGCCTATAAATCATATATATTAATCCAAGGGTGAATAGGAGTTTTTTCGGTCTTACCGATGTGGATAAAGCGGGTTGAAGTCATTTTGTGGTCTTTATTGTACTGACTTGGGGATATATATTTGTGTATATAGATGTTAGGTCATCATTTCATCATACGGAGTATAATTCCGAATGCTTCTATTCTGATATATTGACATGTTGATATGTATTATCATTCAATATTGAATTATTTATCTAAATGTTATGATGTGTAAACTGCATATTATGGCGTGTGCTGTGTGTACATACGTGTAGACTGCAGGCTTATCTTGAGACCAAAAATGAGATGTTTAGCGTGTAACAAATGTTATCAGTGTCCTATCATCCTATCATTCTATCATTCTAGACCATAATGACTGCCCCTTGGTACCTGATCTTCATGATTCGTGTCATGTCCAATTATGGGATAAGCAGATGCGAGCTAGGAGTACACTTTGTCTATGATATCGTCATAGCTGCAATAACTGTGGCTAATTATGCATAATTATGCCATATCTCCAGCTCAATTAGCCTAATCTCTCCATAACGGCTAATTCTCCCTGGCGACATCGGCATTGTCGGCTCATAAACGACGCCATCCCGAGGATTTTCCCCGCCCGATGGTCGGCTGCCATACCCTGTAGGGCGACGCTATACCGTTTACAGAGATTAGTAATGCACTTATCGTGCATTATGCCAATGTATTACGCACTTGGCAAGGCTTGGGCAAAGCTTCTTTGCGGCGTTCGGGGAATCCCCGAGTTTGTATGGAGCCTGGAGAGACACTGGAGAAGCCCTTCTCCACGATTTGTTGCCACCCCACGATTATTAATTTCCTTTCTCCTGCTTATTCTCCTTGTTTTCTCTTATTTTCCGTCGTGTGCCGTGTTTCCCTCTTTGCTTTTGTTTTTTTTTTTTTTTTTTTTTCTCCTGACACGGTCAGTAAAATGGACGAAAAAAACATTGGGGACAATGGCCCCGGCCTGAAGCAGGAAGAAACTCGCCGTGAGAATCTGCTTCTCTTCCTCAGCGAAGAACAGGCCCTCGCCAAAGCCAGAGCCAGCCCTGACCAGCCGCTGCCCATTTGTGTGACTTTTTCCCACGATGATCGTGAGAATCCGCGCAACTGGCCGAAATGGCGCAAGTGGTATACGACCCTCGTGGTCTGCATGCTCAATGTCATCACGTATGTCTCATCCGTCTATTTGACTGGTCTCTACTAACAAGATAGAACGTGGTGTGCTGGCAGCATCTCCTCCGGTGCGACCGAGATTGCTTCGGAATTCAACGTCTCCTCTGAAGTCACGACGCTCTGTCTGTCCCTCTACGTGCTCGGCTATGCGGTTGGCCCTGTCATGCTCGCTCCCTTGAGTGAGTATTTTGGTCGCCAGCCCGTCTATGTCGTCTCGTGGTTCATCCTCTTCATCTTCCAGCTTCCTCTGGCGTTGGCCCCCAACATCGGCACCATCCTGGTCTGTCGCTTCATTGCTGGATGTGCTGGAGGCGCTCCCCTGACCAACACTGGCGGCACAATCAGTGATATCTGGGAGCGCAACTCGAGTGGTGGCCCCATGGCCTTTTACGGTCTCAGCAGTACCTTTGGCCCTCCCATGGCGCTGGTCATCAGTGGCTATATCGGCCTCAATCTCGGCTGGCGCTGGATCTTCTGGATCCTCATGGCCATCACCGGTGGCATCTGGGTGCTCATCACCCTTACCGTGCCTGAGACGCGTCACACCATCATCCTCGAGCGCAAGGCCAAGCGCGTCCAGAAGATCATGCAGCAGGAGAACCTCGCTTCTGCTGCATCCACCACCGACGCCCACGCGAAGAAGGGCCTCCACCAGCTCTTCGCGACCACCCTCACCCGGCCCTTCCGCTTCCTCTTCTCAGAGCCCATCACGACCTTCTCGGCCATCTACAATGGCTTCCTCTACGGCCTCGTCTACCTCTTCAACGAGGCCATTCCTCTCGTCTTTGGCGAGCCCAACGGCCACGGCTTCAACGTTGGCCAGCAGGGCCTGGCCTTCCTGGGCATGGCTATTGGCCCCCTCATCGCCTTCTGCTTCTACCCCCTCCAAGAACGATACTACCTCCGTCGCGTCGCCGAGAACGAAGGCCGCGGCGTGCCCGAAGCACGCATGTGGATGGCCCGTCTTGGTGCCATCTTCATCCCCGTCTCCCTCTTCTGGTTCGGCTGGACGAGCTACCGCTCCGTCCACTGGATCGTACCCATCATCGCCTCTTCGTTCTTCGGCGCGGGTATCTACATTGTCATCCTGAGTATCCTCAACTACGTCGTGGATAGCTACCAGACATACTCTGCGTCTGCATTGGCGGGCGTGATTCTCGTGCGCAACGTCGTCGGCGCTGGATTCCCCCTGTTCGCGACGCAGATGTATGAAAAGTTGGACTATGAGTGGGCGTCGAGTCTGTTGGGGTTCCTGGCTATCCTCCTCGTGCCGATTCCGTTTGTTTTCTTCCACTTTGGTCGTGCTATTCGTCTGAGGAGTCCTTGGGCTAGAGAGCACTTTGACCAGACTGAGGATACCCCTCACTGATGAGACACGTATACGTATAGATGATATATATACATTGATGCTAGATTAGAAATAGCAAAATTTGCTTCGTTCTGTATACTCTTTTTCCAATTGCTGTCTTTCTCTTTCCATGTCACTCTCTTTCTCATTCCAGGATAACAACTTCCCTCTCATCACCTTTTTATACCTCCCCAACCTCTCCTCATCCTTTCCAATCCATTTATAAAACCACTCATCATGTCCAATCGACACCTCCTTCAACCCCAACTTCCCAAACTGCAACACCCCATATACAAAACACAGCTCATCCCATTCTCCCTTCAGCACTGGACTCGGCAGCGAATACGCCCGTTTCAACACAAAATGCACTTCTTCCACCCCCCTCAATGAATCCAGGATATCAATCCCTCCTTCTGTCTTGCTACCCAGATACCCATTCCACCAATGCATCTCTCTTGACTTCGGTGCAACGGTAAGCACCACTTTCCGGAGTAACCCAGCCCGCACAGAGCCCAACCCTAGTCCCTGCATCAGAAACGATCTAAACCCATTGACTTCCTCAAACGCATAAATATTCGAACTATACGCAATCGCCCCCGCCTCCTCATACACCCGTTTACTAACACGCAGTAAATCCAAAAACAACCGCTCCGTCCCCTCCCTCGCTTCGTCCATTCGATTCGGAAACCCATTCAGGTGCCTGATAGCCTCGTATCCACATTCTGGGATGTCGGTGGGTTTGCCCTCCTCTTCCCAGCTCTGCGCGATGCGGTACTCGGATCCTGTCTTGTCTAGTGTTGGACCGCTTTTGCACACGCAGTAGAAGTATCCGACGTGAGGGGCGTCATAGAGGTATTGCGCCCAGGGGTGGATGTGGATTACCCGGTTGCCGATTGCGTATTTGTATATGAGGGTGCGGATTTCTGGGGGGAGATTGAAGAGGGGGAAGGGTGTTGAGGGATTTGTGCTATTCAATTAGCATTATTGTTATACTATATACGTAGAGTGTTGTAGTACATTTTGTATAACCCGTGTTCATCGTGCGCTTTTTGGACCCCCCGACGGGTTCTTTTGGAAACTGTTGTCAGGGCATTGGGATTGTCAATGGCTCGTTTTCGAGACATTTTTTACTGTCTTTCTGTTTGTTTAAAAGGTGAGGTCAGAAGAAGGTTGAAGCTGGAGATGTGAATACGAGGTCACGTGCCTAGTATATGATATTAATAGATAGACTGTAGATTATCGATCGACAGATGAAGCATAAAATGATGCAATAGAAGAGAAGATATTGCCGTATATCAATCTGCCCGGAGATGAATATACCCGATCATGTCTATATCAACAACACCATAATTCTCACTCTCATTCTCATCAATTAAAATCAACCAAAGCAGAAAAAAGAACAAAATGAAAGCCTACCACATCTTCGGCCAGAACATCTCCCTCAGCCTCTCCCCAACCCTCCACAACGCCGCCTTCGCCCACCACGGCCTCCCACACCACTACGACATCCAAGAATGTGCTTCTATTGACGATGTGAAATACCTCATTGACAATCCATCATTTGGCGGTGCGAGCGTTACTATGCCGCATAAATTAAGCGTGGATAAGTTCTGCTCAACCGTGTCTGACTCTGCGGTGCGCATTGGGGCGATTAATACCCTTATCGTCGAGGAGAGAGGTAATGGACGGGTCATCACCGGCGACAACACGGACTGGTCTGGTCTGTATTCTATTGTCGATGAAATGGCCCCTGAAAATGCACAAGTGGGCCTCGTCATCGGTGCTGGCGGCGCTGGCCGAGCAGCTGTCTATGCGATGGTTAAAGCTGGCCTGAAGAAGATCTATATCTGCAACCGCACCGTCTCCAAGGCTGAGCAGATCATCGCCGACTTTGCTGATAATGCGTCTACATCTACCGTTGTTGCGCTTACCCATCCATCGGATGTTCCTGAGCCGGTGGATGTTATCATCGGGACGATCCCGGGCGATGTCACCACCAAGGCTATGTTTGCGGATTTGTTCAAGGGGAAGAAGGGATTGTGTATTGAGATGTCGTATAAGCCGAGAGTGACGCCTTTGTTGGCTGTTGCGAGACAGGCGGAGTGGACTACGGCGGATGGATTGGAGGTGTTGTTGAGACAGGCATTTGAGCAGAGCAGGTTGTGGACGGGATTGGAGGTGCCCGAAAAGGTAATGCGCGAGGCTATTCAGGTGAATTCTAGGATTTAGTGTATATACAGTATATCATTGAGTTAGAGAATAGAGTACATGCATTCATAAATATCAGATCTACAACTCCAAATCTCTCCCCTCTACCCAATCCTTCGCCTGCCAATAAAGCAAATCATGCTTCTTCCCATTCACATTATCTCCCTCTCTCCGATGACCAGGCAAATCCAACAACACCTTCACCCCCATCGTTTCCTCCTGCAAATACGCCAGATGCCGATATCCAGACGGATATTGTTCCAGCTTCTTCTCATCAACCACAGGCACTTTTCCGGCAGTCACAGGGATCAATTTATCCTTTTCATACCAGTGCCTGACGAAGAAAGCTCTCCATTCACCATCTAGATGAGGATACTTGGGATTCGCCATCTTCTCCCAGAAAAAGATAAAGCGGCAGTCGCTTTCTGCGTCGGCTGCGCATGTTCCACCCGTCGTGCAGGGGAGATCCGCAAAGCGCTGCGTGATGGTTGCTTTCATCTTGGTCACGGCGCGGGTGGCGGGGGCGTTGATGTCAGTGGTGCTGCCGTGGATGCGGTGCATAATGAAGGCGCCCTTGTCCATGCCTGCTTGTGAGGCTTGGATGAAGGCTTCGTGGTGCGTGAGACCCGTCCAGGTGGTGTAGATGTGCGCTTCTGGATGGAAGATGGAACGCAGATTGTCCCATTCGCAGGCGTCGCGGTAACACGGCCATCCTTCGGCAAGTTCACGGAGCATGTACCGCTCCAGGGCCAAATTGGGAGGGCCATTGTTGCGGATGGCGTTTTCAGGGCGAGAGCCGGCAGGGAGGGAGTGGAGGTCTGGCATTTTGATTGATATGACAGTAGTAGATATATGTGATGGTGATAGACCGAAGATGAGGATGAAATGAAATGAAGATGATATACTCCGCATCGTCGGCTAAATCCATCCGACGCGGATGTATTCATAACCGTATATCCGCATAAAGCCAGCAATGAACAAGATACAAGTCCATCATCATCAAATCATCAAATCATCCAAATCAAGCAATTGAGTATCAAAATGCAATCCACCCAAGAACCAACAGGCTTTGCCTACCTTACCGGCATCGGAGTCACCCACTCCATCGCCCCTCCAATGCACAACTTCATCTCCAAATCCCTCGGCTACAACTGGCAATTCATCGCCCAGGAATGCCCCACCGTCGAAGATGCAGTCCGTCTCTTCCGTCTGCCTTCCTTTGCCGGTGCCGTCGTGACTATGCCCTACAAGAGGACGATCATGGATCATCTGGACGGATTGGATGAATATGCCGTCAAACTGGGTGCTTGCAATAATGTCTACCGTGCTGCGGATGGCTCTTTGCGAGGAACAAACACCGACTGGGTGGGTGTTAAAGGATGTCTATCATCAGCCAGTGAAGACGGACGGGGCAAGCCAGCTGTTATTGTCGGTGCTGGCGGTGCATCACGGGCGGCTATCTTTGCCCTGCATGAGCATCTGGAATGTAATACCATCTACATTGTCAATCGGGATGAGGATGAAGTTGCTGTTGTTTTGGATGAAGTGAATAGGGCATACGGGGATGCCCTCAATCTGGTGCATGTTCAACGCGTCGATCAAGTGGCAGCTCTATCTGCTCCCTTTTATATCGTCGGCACAGTCCCAGATGCAGAACCACAGACTCCAGCGGAGATTGAGATCCACGCTATTGTCGATGCCTTCCTTTCACTTCCCACTAAAGGAGTCCTGCTGGACATGTGCTTCAAACCCCGACGCACTCGATTCATCAAGGCAGGAGAAAAAAGCGGATGGAAAACTGTCGAAGGAACGGAAATCATCGGGCATCAAATCCACGAACAATACCGGCTGTGGTGCGGAGAAGAAGACAGCAAGAGAATTCCTGCTGGCGATGCATGGAAGGTGTTGCGCACAGCCGCTGGGGAGAATCCGATGATTAATTTCTAGACGGTTGAGAATATTGCCGATAGCCTATCATAAATATATCCAACACCCAAATAACTTACATCAAATCATTCATCTTTATCATCTCAGAATGTCGTACCCCGCGATAGCTTCCATGTCCCTCGGTCGAGCCTGGGTTCATGCTCTTCCTGAAAAACTATCCCAAGCCGCCCAGGCAGGCTTCAAAGGAATTGAAATCTTCTATGAAGATTTGGAATATCTCGCCAAAGAAAAGGGAGACATCAACACCAGCACCATCCTTGCAGCCGCCAAAGACGCAAAGGAACTCTGCAACCAACACAACCTACAAATTATCGGCCTGCAGCCCTTCATCTTCTACGAAGGTCTCATCGATCGGCGTGTACATGAAGAAAAAATCGCCAAGTTGAAGATATGGTTTCAGATTGTCAAAATCCTCGACACCGATATTATTCAAATTCCGTCTAATTTCCAGTCAGAAGGCATATCCGGCGATCTAGATCTTATTGTTGCGGATATGAGAGAGGTCGCAGATATGGGATTGAAAGAAGAGCCAGTCGTTCGTTTTGTATATGAGAATCTGGCTTGGGGAACTTTCATCTCAACCTGGGAAGGCGCCTGGGATATCGTCCAGCGTGTTGATCGGCCTAATTTCGGCATTTGCTTGGATACCTTCAACATCGCTGGACGTATCTGGGCTGATCCTGCTAGCATCACGGGCAAAACACCGGATGCAGATGCAGAATTGGCGGCTTCGATGGAACGACTAGTCCAGACGGTTGATGTGAACAAAGTTTTCTATGTTCAAGTCGTCGACGCAGAGAGAATGCAGCAGCCATTGGCCGAAGGTCATCCATTCCACGTGGAAGGACAGCCACCGCGTATGAACTGGAGTCGCAATGCAAGACTGTTCCTGTACGAAACTGATCGAGGTGCATATCTTCCAGTCCTTGAGGTGGCCAGGACTATCTTCAAGGGCCTCAAATACAAAGGATGGGTTTCCATGGAGTTATTCTCACGAACCATGGCAGATCCAGACCCAACGGTGCCTCGAACACATGCACAGCGGGGGATGGATTCATGGAAACAGCTGGCGGAAGAAATGGGTCTCTAGTTCATTTACGTATCATGGAATCAGTCAGGTGGTTGTTGAAGCTGTGCCAGAAAGTCTGTATCCAGATCACCAGCATAGAAGCCAAGATTGTGTGCAAACATGGGTTCCTGTCTATGTAGCATGAGCTTTGTATTTAGAAAGAAAGCATATTGACCATACCTAGTTGTTGGAATTGAAGTCACCATCTCTTCGAACAATGCATCGAAATCATCCGACTCGAGACCAGCAGACGCAGAGTCCACGGGAGTTGCGAAATTGACATTTGGTATAGTAGGATTGAAGGCATGGCCGTAGGCGATCGCTCCATTCGCAGCTGTTGATACCGACTGGTCAAATGTATTCATGTCTAGCCCTGGCTGGAGGAGATCAAATGGTCTTTCAATTCTAAAATGGCCCAGCCCCAATTGTTTCAGATGCTTGGATAGTCGGTCTTCGATTTCATCTTTTTCATCATTTGGAATAAAGTGTAGGCACCTTTGCGCTTGCAACGCAAAGCAACTCAGCAATGGAGACGATTTGACGGTTCCAGTCATCTCAATGTAGTTGTCGAGCATATCCAAAGTAGAGTTGAAGGCATTCCTGACCAGCTCTGTGAGATTTGAATCCATCGTGATCTTTCGAACCAATGTCAACATGACAAACTGCAATGTCAGATGCAACGTTAATAGAGGAGGATTCACGCAATGGCTTGTATGCGGATAGCGCTCCCCAGCCATCCCTTGGAATTGTCGTAAATCGACCAAGAAACCGTGCAACGACGGTGCACCAGATGGGAATTGCAGAATTCTCGTCAATCGATGCATGAGATCGTATATTCGGTTAAATATGCTTAGTGCTCGCAGTGGTCCTTTGGATCGTTGCCCATTGTGATCTCGAGAAATCGCCCACACATCCCATTCATCAACGTCATCCTCTTCAACGTAGCCATGCTCCTTTTGTTCATCTAACGACAAACAGGGTGTTCTTTGTAGGACAGCTGATATCATGGTGTCTACGAAGACACAACCATGAAACGTATGTTTATATCGATGCGTCCTTGCTGCCGTCGGGAGGACTACCAGAATTCTCATAGCTTGTCCAATGAACATCCACGCGAGGTATAAATTCCCACATCCGATATTTAACAACGCCAGCACAAGAAGGGCTTGGGCATGGCTTAATCCTAACGTATCCTGGTCGTTGATGACTTGTATTTGTATCGAGTGTTGAACCCGCATTGGATCTGGATAGTCGACACGATCCATGCCATTCATCGATGATATACAAGCCACAATCGCCCATAACACCAGACGAAAATGTTTATCCCGAGGCGAGGATTGATGAGGATCAGTGTGCATCACCCGTAGCATATCACGACGTTCAACGACTGGAAGCCAAGAATGAATATGGGTGAAGTAGAAATCCAGGACTTCTGCTGTGCTATCTGGAAATTTCTTATCCAGATAGTTATCTGGCTCTTTCACCTCATTTATCGATGGGGGCATTAAGGGCAGTTCATTGAGTCCAGTAGTCGAGGCTTCCATTACTATATCGCTAGTCTCCATCGACTCCCACTCCGGGGCATCGTCAATTCGAGCATCCACCGGATCAGCCGAATCAGGATTCAACAACTTGTCAACATTCTTGGCTAGTTTCGATTTGCGCCAGATTTTCACTGAACGCTCTGCCATATCACTTGAGAGAAAGTTGTCGTGATCGCGTATAACACTCTGTAGGGTGGCTTCGCTTCCGGAAATGTTCTGAAGCACAATCCCAAGAACAGTCTCCAGGCTTCTCACATATCCTGACTGCAGTCCTCGTCGTCGACCGCTATTTTGATAGGTACACGTCCGATCTGCCTCGCGACAGATGGCGCAGACAGGCTGCGTTCCGTCGCATTTCGACTTGCGCCGTCGGCATTGGTCACAGGCACGACCAATCCGCTGTCGTTTCGAGGGACGTGGACTCGACATGAGTAAGGAAAACGACTCATTGGTCTTTCCTGATGCTCCTCGTGGTGTTGCGTTGACTTCGAGGGGGGAAGTGGCGCCCGTCATGTGATCGGCAAGGGATTTTGCCGATGCTTCGAAGCCAAATTCACTTCACGTCATCGCGTCAAGGATGAAATATGTCAATTGATTGCGTCTTGGGCTGTTGAGTCAGTCAAGTGATCATGTCTACTTGCTCAGAGGCCGGTGAAACATGCGGTCGACGATATGCCTCTGATGCGACGCTGCTGCTGGTGGGATTCTTTGGGGCTGGCAAGAAGACGCTGGGCATCATCGCCTCAGTCGCTCTGCGTCGACGCTTTATTGACTTTGGCGCCTTCTTTCAACAAGAGCTTCACTCCTTGCCCCAGGAATACGTTGCAGAACATGGGCTAGCACGATATCGCGAAGTCGAACTCGAATTGACCCGGGATTTGTTCATGAAATGCAGCAAAGGGTGCGTGATTGTCGGCTTGGGATGGATGGCCAGTCGCTCGCAACAGATGCTGTTACGAGAATTCGCCAGAGAACACCCCGTCGTCTATGTGAGACGAGACAAAGCAGACCTTCGACAGCTGCTTACCACCAGTCAGGACAAGTTCGACCGAATTTTCGACGTGGGCAATACATTCTTCGAGGCGTGCTCCAACTTCGATTTCTTCAACCGCACGCAGGAGGCGACAGACCCCGCGTACTTGAAGCTGAAAGAGACCGAGCGCATCTTTGTGCGATTTCTGCACCACATATTTGGCCGTGTTCATCGGCCCCTCGCTTCTGCGGAGCCATTCTCTGCATCACATACATATGCCCTACAAGTACCAGTAACTTGGCTCGAGTTTTCTGAGGATTACGAGGCACTAGAGACGGGAGCAGATGTGATCAATCTTATTCTCGATCTGGAAGTGCTTCCCAAAGATGGACTGGCAGATAGAATTGCACGGCACATGGCCACGATTAGGAAACATGCTCGAGCTCCGATCCTCGTCGAAGTCAGTGTTTCCCCGACAGACTCTAGATACCATGAACTACTGGAAATGCTTCTTCGACTGGCACCAGATGCTCTTAGTTGCTCTCTTTCCGCTGGCGATGACTTCATTCAAAAGCTGAATGCTATCAAAGGTCATACCAAGACCATGGCCATTACTCACCAACCGACACCGTTGACGGGAAATTGTACATCTCGGGGTCTCTCTATCCTCCAAAAGACACAGGATCTAGGCTTCGAAGCTCTTCGAATTACGGGAGAGTCAAAGTCCCTTGGAGACAATCTTCCTTGTGTGTCTTTTCTTCAAAGTCTGACCGAGGTCTCCACAATCCCAGTCATTGCGTATAACACTGGACCACTAGGATATAACTCCGTCTGTTTGAATCCCATCTTGTCGCCTGCAGTACTTCCTTATATGGAATCTTCAGGGATCACGGTAAAGCAAGCACAACAAGCTATGACATCCTGCTTTCTCGTCACTAAGAGGATATTATTCACCATCATTGGCCAAAATGTAACTCATACCCTGTCTCCACCCATGCATAATGCCGCCTATGCTGCGTGTGGCCTGCCATACGTACACGGCGTCTTGAAAACAGAGGATATATCTGATTTTCACCGTCTACTAGGGGACGAAAAACATGGTGGCCTGGCTGTTTCACTTCCCTACAAAACTGCAGTTTTGCCTTTTCTCGACGAAATCAGCCCAGACGCCAAGGATATCCATGCCATCAACACAGTACTCGTCGAGCAGAGTCAAAAAAACGGAGCCACCATCTTGAAAGGATACAATACCGACTATATTGGAATTAAAGACGGCATCGAAAAGAATCTCTCTCCAGCAAATGCCATCCGCGATGGAACAACAGCTTTGGTTGTCGGGGCGGGAGGAATGGCTCACGCAGCTATATATGCCTGCTACCAGTTGGGAGTTCATCGTATCTGCGTCTATAATCGCACGCTCGAGAATGCACACAAGATTGCCAAATACTATAATGAATGGGCCGAATCAAAACATGAAACGAATTTACATGTTTTTGTACTCGGTTCGAAGGAAGATCCCTGGCCGGCACAGCTTCGCTTGCCAACCATTGTCATCGCTTGCATTCCTACTCTCCAAGTAGGCACGGAATTGCCTGTGACATTCACCCTACCTGAGCACTGGCTACAAAGCAAAACGGGCGGAGTTTTCGTAGAGGTATGCTACCTACACTATAAACATGATAGATATCTAACCATAAATAGTCTGCTTATGGGCTACCAGAAACACCAATTATGAAGATGATGCGCCAGAGAACATCCAAAGGTTGGGTAGTTGTTTCTGGACTGACTGTGTTAATTGAGCAGGGCATCGCCCAGTATGAGCTTTTCACTAAACGACCGGCCCCAGTGCATGTTATGAAACGTGCTCTTGAGGCAGCTCATCTTGCCTCTGCTTCTAATATGAGATAAAGGTTTGACGCAATATTCCGCCGTAAGACGACGAACCATTGATGTCCGACATCAGCGAAGCTAGTCAACACACGGCAAAAACCAGGGGCAATGGCCAAATTCGCTGGAAGACTTCTTTCTACCTGGGGTCTACAGCAAGTTCCATTGTTTTGTTATTCAATGTGGGATTCATTATATGGGCTGCTTCCCAGCATGGCGCCGTTCATAAGGGCCGTGGTCTGTTGTTTTCAGGCGAATGTCAAAGGGCACGAACTATAAATACCGCGTTTCACGTCGCAATAAACATTCTTGGAACTATTCACCTAAGCGCCAATGACTGTGGAACGGTCCGTCAATGGGTTGCCTATACTCGGAATTGATAAACTGATGTCTGCAGCAATGTTTATGTGCACCGACCAGAAATGATGTCAACCGTGCCCATCAGAACGGAAAATGGCTTGAATTGGGGTACCAAGCATGCGTAATCTCTTAACAATATCACGAAAAAATCTTATCCTGTGGATTATCCTGGCGGCTTCTTCACTTCTTCTTTTCCTTGTGTAAGTTTGTTTATCCAAATGCTGGCCTAGCGCTGACGCTTCAGAAAAAAAGCTACAATTCTACCGTTTTCTTGATATTATCGTCCAACGAGTACGACATATACATTAGAAATAAGCCATTCCCCAGCTCCAATATTAAAGACTTGAGGTCACCGAATACAACACATAATAACGTCACACTCCCTTATTACCGCGGATTGACCGCCTACAACAGGCTTTGGAAAAAGCATCGAAAGGTGAACTCCATCGACTGGAAACCCGTGAATGTATTTCCGCATATTCTCTATTCCAGACGACATATGGCAGCCTGTTACTGGTTAGCGATGGCTTCAACTCAACGTGGGTTGATTATAAGTATTTCGATCAAGGTGGCCTTTATGTCCCCAAGACAATTGAACCCTTTGGTTGGATATGGTCCAGATTCCCGCTCCAATTATCTACCGGATATCCTTTAAATGCGAATGATTGGTATACGAAGTCAATCGCAACGATTTACAAACCCAGCGTTCGCCCTTGCTGGGTCAAAGATTGCCTGAGCGAAAGAACGGAGGGAATATGCAAGGTTGAGTATAGCTTACCTCTAATTATTATCGTGATAACATTCAACTTAATAAAAGCGAGCATCATATGTGGAATCACTTTCACCATGGCCGATGTCCCCATATTGACTACTGTTGATGCAGTTGCCTCATTCATGAGAAAGCCAGATAAAAGCACCAAAGGCCAGTGCCTGCTATCCAAGAGGTCAGCATACAAGACGGCCCCTGGCTCTTGGAGGTACAACAAAAACCCAAGACGATGGGGCTCAGCTGTATCGTTTCAACGATGGGCGATCTGTCTACTATTGTGAGTGTCCCTAATTTATTTCTGTGGTTTTCAGTTGGATTAATTGAATGCAATATCAGATACACCATTTCAATTGCGATATGTGTCGGTCTGCGCCGCTATGGACTTTCCTACATAACCAATGCATCAGCAGTCTGGAAACTGGGCGCCGTCGACTCCCAGGCACTGATCCACGGGGACAACTTCCCCACGTCACTAACAACCAACATCATCAGAGCCAACACTCCCCAAGCAATATTTTCAATTCTTTACTTCAGCACCACCAGTGCTTTTACGGTGATGACATCTGCAGCCTAATGGAGCAAGTATGCTCTGCAACGAAAAGGCCTGCGTGTCTCGACACCAACCCGAGGCTACCAACAAAATACCTTCTTTCTTTCTCTATCATATAGATATGCGGTTCCACTCCTTGCTTTATCGGGAACGTTGCACTGGCTTATTTCTCAGAGCTTGTTTCTAGTGAGCATGGAGGACTACGGGCCTGCGTTGAAAAGACTCCCTGATAACGATATTATTACATGTGGATATTCGCCTGTTTATATTGTCAGTGCATTATCTGTTGGTAGTTGTATGCTTGCATATATGGTCTGATGGGACTGAGGAGGCTTAAGTCTGGGATGCCGGTTGTCGGCAATTGCAGTCTGGCTATTTATGCTGCATGCCACCCTTCTAAGGACGGTGAATCAGGAAACGAGGCAGATATTGACATTCTGCCATTGAAATGGGGACTTGTGTCCATGAAAGCGGAGGAAGTGGAACATTGCGCATTCTCCAGCAAAGAGGTTGAACTGCCAACAGGTGGATGTGAATACGAGTAAGAGTAACGAATGTTATGGTTCAATATTCATCTTCAAGGTCTACTATTCGGTCAGTAAATGACGAACTTATTCTGTGCAATGAGAGATACGAATACGCAGAGCCACAATTGATGAGGAACCACCACACGACGCCTTTTTCATCGCTCGAAGGTCCTTTGTCCGTGCGATTGGTATAAGCCTCCTGTACTCCAAAGATGTGGTCCCTGAATATCAAGTTGAGTGCAAATGCCGAGGGCCCAGGAATAACACCGACGGGACCGAAATCAACAACCCAGGCTTGACCGTTTCTATCGACAGGGAAGTTATTCCTGGTGGTATTGGAGCAGTAGCAGACCATGCTATTGTTGGTGATGTGGACTTTTTTCCATTCCTGCCATGGCTTATAGTATTTTTTTCAGACTCTGTCTATCTATTAGTTTGTGATTATACTGTATTTGGGTCATATTCATGCTGTGGTGTGATGTGAAATGATGTCCAAGTGGCTGGATGAACCTTGGTTAGTGAATAATGCCTCATGCAGAAGAAATATTCACGGTTTAAGATAAAGTAGATATTCAATATATCGATTTGATAATGATTAATAGAGTGAATAGCTAGACTGTATATAGTGTCCTCCAGAGAAATGATTCTTTCATAAAAATGTCGCCTTTGTTCTGTATCCAAAACTCAACCAGCCAGAATGGCATATGCCTTGTTCAGTTCTCTTCAATCTACTACTGCACGACAATATTATTGAAAGTTAATTTGGAAGTGTCAGAAATGGCCCTATGGCTGATGGGATATACCCAGTGTGATGAGAATATTCTGCAACGACTTCTACTATCTATGCGTGGGAATAAGTGATGTGGCTTTAAATCATCACCAATCGAATCCATCTTCAGCAATGATGGCATAATAGTAAGCATGCTTCTATTCAATCAGAATGTTTTATACTAACTCCATCACCCTGTCAACAGTCTTTACTGCCTCAGAGATCTATGTGACATTCGGGACATTAGATCCCAGCTATAGCCTCTACCTCAGAACAGGTAGAGTAGGGTCGACCATCCTCAAGCTGAAACAACATGGCCCATGGAAGATGCAGGGCAAATGAATGTGCTGGGATGATAACCTAGAAGAGAGGTCATTCAATATTGGTTTAAACTGTGTTTCTAGTTGCATGTCTTGCCACAGTGTCATTACCTAGGCATGAAGCTATACAGGATTAATCATCTGTGTTCACTAATCATCAACCTCGGATTTCCCCGCATCTCCATCAATATAAATGAAGAACAAGAACAATTATACTCTATCTAGCAGAATAATCAGAATGTCTCTTCGATGCTCAGTCTACGTAACCCCCTCTCTGCCCTTCCAGCGACCCGACGGCAAACGAGCCATCTGGTCTCCGATCTCCAGCACTCTCATCATCGGCGAGAAAGAAGCAGTCCTAGTTGATACACCATTTACCATCGACCAAACGAACGATTTGGCCGACTGGATCGAGAGCCAGATTCCCAGCAAGACTCTGACGGCCGTCTACATCACCCACGGCCATGGAGACCACTGGTTTGGTCTTCCTGTCCTCCTGCGTCGATTCCCCAGTATCATGAATACCTACGCGACAAAAGGAACAATCGAGCATATGAAAGAAGACAGCCATTCAAGAAACTTCACTCGAGTCTGGAAACGGTTATTTCCAGGTTTAATCGATGAAAACTTCCAGCTCGCTTCGCCTCTCCACGACGGGCAGTTTGTGGTTGAAGGCCACGTTTTCCAGGCGATCGAAGTGGGCCACACGGACACGCATGACTCGACCGTCTTATGGGTTCCTGATATCAAACTGGCCGTTTGTGGAGACGTGGTGTACGGCGATGTCCACCAGATGCTGGCGGCAGCCAACACATCTGCATTGCAGGAAGAGTGGATTGCGGCTATCGAGACGGTGGAGGCACTTGGACCTCGACTGGTGGTGGCCGGGCATAAAAAGCCCGGCGAGATGGACGGAGTATGGCATTTGGCCAATTCCAAGAAATATATCCGTGATTTTATGCGGTTGCAGGATGACGCTGTGGATGCGGAGGATTTGAAGAGGAAGATGGTGGGATTGTATCCGACTCGGATGAATCCGCTGGCGCTGGAGTGGAGTGCGACAGTCAATATGAAGATGAAGATGAAGCTGTAGTCTGATTATAAATTAAGATTTATACTTCTGTCATATATTGATCCACTCGCTATGCCGAAATGCACTGCATAAAGAATGTCTCGGAGATGAAGAGATTGATCGAGTCGGGCCGGTGCGTCAGGCCGAACCGAGGCTGTTTCACCTTGTACACGCAGATAACTGATGGTGGGAATGTTTATAATAGATGGGAGAGTATAAACTTGTAATAAATATTATATTTGAGTGTGCTTGTATCTTATACTGCCCAGTGTTGTATAAACGTAGAATACTCAAATATAGATGGTGAAAGATGATTGGCCACTAGGAGATCTCCGAACGCACCAGCCAATCAGAAAGCGTGTTTATTTCTAATTTCTTCTAAATTGCCCTGTTGAGTAATCAAAAGAGATGAAGACGAATATATTAATATCAACCATTCCCAGGCATTCTCATGGATAAACACGGTCATCACCATGTCCTCCGACTCTCTATCAACCTCGGATCTTCCCAAAACGGTTCCCTTTTGGCGTCTTGTCCTCGACCCCGGCATCATCACCCAAGAAGTCGCCGATTATCCCTGCGCAGGATCAGGAACAGACGAGGACCCGTATGTGGTGCAATGGATGCCCAATGACTTTCGAAATCCGCTACAATTCAAGGCATCGATGAAATGGTCCATCACGCTGGTTGCGGCGTTGGAGACGCTCGTCGTGGCGCTCGTGTCGTCTGCGTATACCGGTGGCATTGTCCAGATTGAAGAACAATTCCACTGTACGACGGAGATAGCTACGCTGGGAGTCTCGCTGTACGTCCTTGGATTTGCCTTGGGCCCTCTGATCTGGGCTCCGATGAGCGAACTCTTTGGCCGTCAGGTCGTCTTTATCGGCACGTACTGTGGCCTGACCATCTTCTGCGCTGCGACAACAGGCGCAAAGAACATCGAGTCGCTGCTCGTATTTCGATTCCTCGCTGGCTCGTTTGGTTCATCGCCGTTTACAAACTCTGGTGGTGTCATCGCAGACATGTTTGCTGCTCGTGAACGAGGACTCGCTCTGTCGGCCTTTGCCTCTGCGCCCTTCCTCGGCCCTGTCCTTGGGCCTATTGCTGGAGGGTTTCTGGGAATGGCAGCAGGATGGAAATGGGTTATGGGTTTGCTGACAGTTCTATCTGGATTGCTGTGGTTTGCTGGCACGGTCTTTAAGCCAGAAACGTATACCCCTGTGCTGCTGCGTCGCCGGGCAGAGACGCTCTCCAAACGCACTGGCAAGATCTATCGAAGCAAACTCGATATCGATGAGGGGAAGAAGACTCTCCAGCAGGCCATGAAGACGTCTCTTCTCGCCCGTTTGTGCTGCTCTTTACTGAACCTATTGTCCTTCTCCTTTCTATCTACCTTGCCATCATCTACGGCACACTCTACATGCTCTTCGACGCGTATCCCATCGTCTATCAAATCCACCGTGGATGGAATCAAGGCGTCTCTGCCCTCGCCTTCCTGGGAGTTCTAGTCGGAATGGTCCTTGCCATCATCTACTCCATCCCAGATAACAATCGATACATCAGAATCCTGGATAAAAACAACGGCTACGCACCGCCCGAAGCCCGTCTTCCACCCTGCATGCTCGCCTCTCTCGCCCTCCCAGCTGGTCTCTTCTGGTTCGCATGGACAAATTCCCCTTCAATCCACTGGCTAGCTAGTATCGCAGCCGGCGCACCGTTTGGATTTGGCATGGTCCTCGTCTTCCTCAGCGTGTTCAGCTATCTCATCGACGCGTATACCATCTTCGCTGCATCCGTTCTGGCTGCCAACTCTCTTCTTCGTTCGCTGTTTGGGTTTGCATTTCCGCTGTTTACCACGTATATGTTTGAAAATCTGGGCATTCATTGGGCTTCGTGTGTTCCGGCTTTTCTGGCGCTGGCGTGTGTGCCATTCCCGTTTATCTTGTATAAGAAGGGGTTGTCGATTCGGAAGCGATGCAAGTATTCAGCTCAGTCGCAGGCATTTGTGCAGAGTCTGCTGAAGCAGAGTGATGTCGAGCCAAAGGATGGCTGATCGATGCAACTTGCAGACGAGGAATTCATCGGCAGTCGGTATCTAGACGATATCTATCAGAACATCAAGCAGCTATACAGCTCATCATCCCGTCCAGGCATACATCAGCAATGATGTTTATCAGTTCACATAATACTGAGACTGGGACTTGTCACTCAAAGTGACGATATAATTAGATTAGAGCATATGCTAGCATCACGATCATATCCATTTTATCACTCTATCACTATGATCTCCTCTCCTCAATTAAAGTCGACTGGGTATTTTGTATTCGGTTTATTCCCATACCCCCTAATACCAAACTCGATCATTTTGCCTCCCTGTTCCAATTAGAGCTTATGAATCACACAAGATAGCAAGAACATACCCGGAAAGAACCAATCACCTGAGTGACAAACTCCATCTTCATATCATATTTTCGAACGTTATTTGTGTAAAAATATACCGGAAGCGTGATACAAGGCGAGTACGGGTCGTCATTGAGGACCTGTATACCGTATACGCGGCGGTTCCGTTTCAACACGAAATCCTCGAAATCTTTTTGCGCTGAAGATGACCTTTAGTCCTGGATATCTGTAGCCCTGCTTAGTAGGCCAATCTTGCGGCTTGTACTCTTTGTCTGTCATGGCTACTGCCCCTGGAGTTGTATACCCGATTCTCGCCGTTGACTCGTTGTTGGAGATGAACTCCATTCCGGTGATGTAGAACTCGCCATCATCCATATAGGTTGAGATTGTGATGTTTTTCAGTGGGTATTGTATATCAACTGGCTCTGTGTGCGTGTCTCTATGGCCTGTATGGTGATAATGCTGCAATGCTCTCCCTTGAAAATGTAGGATATCACGAATGGGACACTGGGCCAGAACTGCATCTCGCAGCCATCGAATACTCTCCCAGGTGGTGATATTGTATTCAAATCCACGGCTACATTTCAGCCTCGATGTGCAGTGGTAGAGCAATCTCCAGTCCATCTTTTGTTTTGTCTCTCTATCCAGTCTTGCGAGAACTGAATACAGAAATCCGCGTTCTGAATTGATGCCGAACCTGGATTTCCAAAATGCACGGCTTCCAAACAAGGGTATCATTGTTCGTGAAACATAACGAAGACCGAGAGCATCTCGAATGGGTAGTGACTCTGCAATGGCTTCGCAGATCTCCAGAGGAAACTTCCCAAAGCAGTCATGTGGTATCCTTTGCCTCAGTGACGACCGTGGCATTTCCTTTGGAAACTGCATCAGCTGTTCAATAGTTGGAAGTCGAAAAGGGTCATACGGATCGAAGGGAAAGTGAATCCGCCATGGGCCTAAAAAAGTCAGTATCAGGTCAAACAAGAAGAACCCGTATAGATCAACCCTGCAGCAGAGGAAGATACTGCAACGCCTCGTACAAACGGCGTCGATCAAACTCATCTGTATTAAAATGTGCCATAAAACGATCCCAGCATATTTCATGGAAATAATATGCATTTTCCCAGCACCCCACCAGCAACACATAATCATCGCCCATCGTGTCCCATCGGGCGTTCTCATCGTTGGGGGCTCTGAGCTTGAAATTTTCCTGCTTTGAGCCGACGCCAGTGAGATATACCTCGCCTTGATGTACGTATACTGGAGATGTAAGTATGAAGATATCGTGTGGTTGGGTTAATCTCACCTGCTCTAAAGGCGTCATGCCATGATTGATGAAATTCGCCGGGTCGAATGATACAAATGCCGCATATTATGCAGTCTTGATTCCTCTTGTATGGCATTTTTAGAAGGCACTGGTATGTACAGGAGTTGTTTGAGCTGAGGTTATTCATAGGTTCTGGTAAAATTCAGTCTATTGATCATTGTTATGTCATGCCAATAACACTTATAAATCTATGATTAGCCATCAAGTGAGTATATAACAGATATTCTGTCAGATATAGAAGCAATATCAAATAATTTATACTCATCTTTATTGGCTGCACTGCCACGCTCGTTGATCCTAGTCACCCAAGCATCACAGCCTCATCTTTTGAGAGACAATCAACCATCTTGCAAACATGTCAGACACAATAGATAATATTGAATGGCTTCAAATAAAAAGCAACAGATACTCTGACATCCAGCGTCATCTATCCTCTCAACCCCAGGTACCGCGCGGTGGATTCCCCATCGACCAGCCTTTCGTCAGTGGCCCGATACAAACCATGACTGTATATGGATCGAGGGTGTCCCTGGCGCTGGAAAATCAGTCATTGATGTTTCCTCAATCGATCATCTCCAGAGAGTTCACGACGTGCCATTGTTATTCTTCTTTGGCGACAATCTGCCCGCTCATCGAAGGCCACGATGGCTACTTCAACATTGGCTTTCTCAGCTTGTTCCGCATAGCCTTTTACTTCAGCAGAGGCTGGTTCCGTTGCTCTCTTCTCGACTGAATGATGTACAGAAGGATCAAGGATGTAGGCATATTGAGCATTTTGAACTATTGTTCGCCGATGCAAATGTTTTTTTTTGCGAAATGGAGATGGGGAAACGGTGTTGCATGTGGTCGCTAAACGGGAGAGGTCGAGCTATACAGAATGAGAACATGTCAAGATGTTGTATGAGTTTCCAGCTACCAAGTTGACCCGTTGGTTAAGGATAATGAAAAACGATCAAGTTTGGATATTGCGGCGGCGTTGGGGAAAGAAGATATCCTGGGTTTGTTTCAATCTCGTTCATAGTTGTCTATCTAGATATTCTAACAATAAAGAGGTCTATTGAGTCTATATATATATTCTTCCAAGAGTATGAAAACCTATATACCAGTATAGTGATATGTCCAATGCTACAAATAGTCAGCATTCCAAACCTCCGACAGTTTCCCATCCCACGTTGTAAAGTCCTCCACTTGAACTAATGAATATCCCGCATCGTCTGACCGACCATGTCTCTTCTCGTACCGTCTCGCGGCACCGGCAAAGTCCTCAAACCAGCTTGCCTGGATTCCAATCTCTAATTTCTCCCATGGTCGACTCGATGCCAGCTCGTGCCAGGGTCGGAACCATGCTTCCTCCAGTTCTTCGGGAACGGTCCCGGCTCGAGGCGTGCAGGATTTATTTAGAATGTGGATGGTCAAACGGAGACGGTGGAGTCCGATATACGCTAGACGCAGGGTGCGGAAGATGGTATTGTATGTGGCCCATGTTTCGTCGGTCATGGTGGAGGGGGTATTGGTTTTGGTGATGTGGAGGAGATTAAGAGATGTGATGGCTGAGAGGTGTGAGGGGACTATCAACTTAGGTAATCTGCATAGTTTGACCGAGGAGGATATCAAAAAGGTATTCGAGGCGTATAGAACAGGGAGAGCTTCTTGGTATCTATTCAGCAAGGTTAGATATACTCCCTCTGCATAGGAAAAGGCATTACTCACCCTAGTCGACATGTCCGCAACCAATGCACGCCTTTCAGCTTGTGCTTGTCTAATTCCTTTCTTCCTACCCGCTTCCTGTCCTCCAAATCAACCCCTCGACATAAATCTCCCGGTTGTGAGTCGTCTTCGTCGCACACCCGATGCCACCACCGCCATTGATCTGGGGGTCTCTTGTCCCGCTGACGATACCCCGGCGCATACCCATAATCATACTCCAGATGTACTGACCGATCCCCTAGCAGCTCAGTGTAGATCCGGTTCCGGATCGACGGGGATAGACGCGTAAAGAACAGACTTTCGCTCTGGGGATCGACATGGAGAAGATCGGAGGTTGACGACGACGAGTCTGGCGGGGGCGTCAACGGGCGTCGCGGTGGGGGAATGGGCATCGACGACGAGTCGCGAAGGGATCCATCTGCTCTGCAAGTGTCATAATCGACGCCGATATGGCTCAGCGCCGTGCTGCGGGGGTCTGTCGAGGTGTCCTTCGGTTTTCGCCGAAGACGTTGGAAGAAATGCGGCGCCATGGTTCGGAGATGTATCCCAATTTGTGACTAATGGTGGGGGGGAAGATACTATTTGAATTACCGAGTCATGGAAGTATCTTAGAGGTCCATCCAGGGTGGAGGACGGACACGGTTGATGGACTGGACGGACGTCTTTGTTATTTTTTGTGTTTGAGAAGCTCACGGTTATTTATCGCGGGGGAACGGGATCGACAGGGGCGGTGGATCGCCTCAACCGTGGACGATTTAGGGGGAATACGATGACAGCTCTCAGATCAGGATGGCAGAGTACTCGTAAATTGAGAACACGAGGTTTGATGAGATACTCGGGATAGATGCGATGTTTATGAGAGGAAGATGAAAATTCTGTTTAATTAATATCAAACGACGTCAGCCCACGTGCTCCTGAAACATGGACATGAAAAATGCGAACGCCCTCGATCGGCGGAGATCCCATTTTCTAGAATCTTGCCTTGATCAGCCGATGAACTGCTGGTCAGATATGAAAACGCTCTTTAAAGCCTCTCTGCCAGCTTGTTCAGCTGTTTTAGTTTCTCATGCTCGGTAAATCCCAGCTTCCCCTCTTTGTATTCTGCGTCCAGTCTCTTCCTCAATGCTTCCTGCAGCTCTCGCACAATCCAGTTTTGCTTCTTGATTGGCTTCCTATATGCCTGCATGACATCTCGAACCAACGGCCCCCCATCTTCCATCAGGCTCAGGAAGCTCTCATCGGCAAGTGTTTTCTCGATGGGTGTCCGCACAGACTTGATCATGATACAGAACCTTCGTAATGGATCATCGTCGCGGATCGTGTTTTCGTAAACATATCGGACATGGTCCACTGTCATGTCAGCTGGGTTGCAGATCTCTGCATACGAGCGGATTTCATCGAGGATCAGCCGCTTGAATCCAGGTGCCTGTAGTTTGTCTGCGAGTACGTAGCAGGAGAATTGCAGGCTGAAATCGTAGTAGTCGTGGGCTCCCAAGGGGTCAGCCGTTGAGCCGGTCTCCGACATGGATTATTCTTCGCCATCTTTTGCGGTCGCGTCTGGTGTTTCTGTCAACTCCTCTGTCTGTTTCTACTTCTCGTTGACGGGCTCAAAAATATTTGGTTGAATGTTGCCCAAGAATTCGTCGTCGTTCGTGCTGTTGTCTTTGCCATGAGCGTCCTTGAAGATAGCACCAGTGTCACACTCGTCTCCCAGATACAGCCATTCTGCAAAGACAGCAAATGTTGTCACGTCATCCTCTGGCAGTCTGACGATCCGTTCCTTGCTTTCCTGGAACTTCTCGCTTCGCAGCATATGACGAAAGAAGAGAGAGTGACGGCGCAAGAGACTCCGGTGGATGTGAAAGTGTCGCTCTGACGAACCAACTAAGACAGTAATGATGGGTGTGCATATCATCCTTCAGAGAATTAACAGATTCCAGCTTATTGCATATGATAAGTATTCTACCTCCAGAGTCTTCTTTTGTTGGACAGATTACCAATCTCCTCTGCGTTTTCCTCGAACTCGTCATCATACCAGTCGGATTCTTCCAATACGGCATGTTCAAGCTCTATGAATCGTTGGGTTTCGCTCTTTACAGGCTCTGGCTCTTGTGCAGGCTCCCGTGTCTGTCCTTCTTGTTGTTGCCCAGACATGGTGTTTTGATCTGGGTTGTTGGCACGAGTTGGTCTGTTGGTGAGAGGAGATTGTGGAGCGCTTAATATATAGCGCAGATCCCCGCTAACTCATTGCTTTTCCTGCTTAAATTGTTCTCGCATTGTTAAGATTCACTTTTTTTTCGGTTCATAATCCCAATTATTTGGAGGCATTATCATTATTGAAATGCCTGGCCGGCTTCATTTTGCCGTCTGTCTAGACTTGACTCCAAGTTGGCATTATAAAAACCAGCCTTTCGAAGGGATGTCAGATATATATCGATCAACACGATATTTTCATACGCCTACCTGAGACATTTATCACTTCAGAATGGGCAGAATACCCCATATATCTAACTACGGTGTTTCTGTTTCCATAAATATAAATTCAGATATTCCCACCCCGCCGGACTTTTGCCCTCCACAACGTGCGATCTGCAACGAGACGGAGAATATCCGGAGAAAAACGAGGGGAAATGCAGAATTGATGTCATCGCGTGCGACTAGAGATAATTAATGCTGGGATGTCTCAGAGATGCTCGAGATCATGAGATGGGAAACGGGGTTTGCCTGGTACTCCCGTTGGGACATGTAAAACATCCCTGACTATGACCCAGGGCAACCACGATATATCCTGGCGCACGATGAAGTTCAGGTGAAGCCATTGTAATCAGCTAAGACATGCAACGCGGATGTCTTGGAAGCCAACAAGCTTGTTTATGGAAGAAAGCATCACGATGCCAAGGTGTTCAATGCGTTGTGTGATATTCAGGTACAGCGTACAGTCTCGATCCGAAAGATCTTCCCGATGCCCAAGACGTGCAGTGCAGTAACCCGGTTAATTGAGAATCCAAAAGCTCTCTCTTCCGATACAGGTTGTCTGCTCGTCACTATCAGACAGTCGGCTGCGTTTGCGGGGAAGTGAATCAACCCCTCTGGGCTGCAGAACATCTCCACCTCTCGGTTGAATCTTTTTGTCTGCTCATCACACTCGACTTCGGACAAACCCTCTCATTCGGCCGGTTAGCCTGGCTATGCAGAGCCAGCAACGGCTAATTCCAGGAAATATGCATTATAAAAGGTCTGGCAAGTCCCGGACAAGGTGGATTGACCACACAGCACAAACGCGTCTTCCACTATGGTGGCTTTTTCGACTCTCTCGGGCCTCAATGCCCTCTTGATGCTCTTCTCCTTGATCGGCAGTGCTAATGCTGTCTCTTTGAAAGTCTCAACAGACGGTGGAAACTCATCCAGCCCCCTTTTGTATGGATTCATGATTGAGGTACGCACCATATTATCTGGCTGGAGTTCAAATTCTAACAACAAACAGGATATCAATCATTGCGGAGATGGAGGAATCTACAGCCAGCTGCTTCAAAACAACGGTCTACAGGATCCCTCTGCCAACACCACCTCATGGGCTTCTGTCGGCGATGCCACCATCGCCGTTGATACCAACAACCCATTGACCTCTGCTATCCCTAGAACTTTGAGACTGGATGTCCCTAAGGGCTCTAGTGGCCAGGTTGGATTCTCCAACGAAGGGTACTGGGGAATTCCAGTGGACGGCAGCACATACCAAAGCGAATTCTGGATCAAGGGTGACTTCAACAACAATGTGACGATCCGACTCGTCGGAAGCAACGGTGGTACCGAATACGCATCAAAATCATTTCCTGTCACCGCCAATGCGGAAAAGTTTACCAACTTCACCGTCTCCTTCCCAACAACCAAGGCTCCGGATGGAAATGTGTTGTATGAGTTGACGGTTGACGGGGCTCAAGTCGCTGGATCTTCGCTTTACTTTGGTCTTTTGCAGCTTTACCCCTCAACCTATCACTCGAGGTATGTTTCCCCGCCTGGTTTAGTTGTGATATACTAACGAATAAGGCGCAACGGTTTGAAACCATATATCGCCGATACCTTGGACGCAGTCCACGCATCTTTCCTGCGAATTGGTGGAAACAACTTGTGAGTGACGCGGCTTAAGTCAATGTGTACGGGCTAACAACTTCAGGGAGGGAAATGATGAGAACTCGAGATTCAAGTGGAATGAAACCATTGGACCAGTCGAGAACCGTCCTGGCCACCAAGGTATTACTTTTCGTGCTATCAGTTGACCAAAACTAATGCTATTCTAGGTGCATGGGGATACTACAACACAGATGGGCTTGGTAAGTTTTTCTCGAACAATATGAGAAATCCAGGCTAATATCCGCAGGTCTCGATGAATATCTGTGGTGGGCGGAAGATATGGAGCTTGCACCTATCCTGAGTATCTATGCAGGCTTTTCCTTGGGCTCTGGCGGAAACACTCCTTTTACAGGCGATGCTCTGACACCTTGGGTCGACGATGTTATGGATCAATTGGAGGTACGTACACCAGTTTAACCACGGGATTCAATCATTGACGAAGAACAGTATGTTTTCGGCGATTCGAGCACAAAGTTCGGCTCCCTTCGCGCTTCCAATGGACGAGCAAACCCCTGGAACATCACCATGGTTGAGATCGGTAACGAGGACAACCTGGGAGGAGGCTGCGAGTCCTACGCAGAGCGATTCACCGTCTTCTACGATGCCATCCACAAAGCCTACCCCGACCTCACCCTCATCGCCAGTACAGATAACCCCTCGTGCTTGCCCAATCCTCTGCCAGAAGGCACTTGGGTTGACTTCCACAACTACAATAACCCCGACACACTGGTGGATCAGTTCAACATGTTCGACAACAGCAACCGGTCCGTTCCGTACCTGATCGGAGAGTACTCCCGCTCGGACATTGACTGGCCCAACATGAAGGGCTCGGTTTCGGAAGCAGTTTACATGCTTGGACTCGAGAGAAACAGTGATGTAGTCAAGATGGCCTCTTATGCGCCGTTGCTTCAATTGGTCAACTCCACTCAGTGGAAGGTAAGACACTCGGCAGTCATCCTAAAAGTCAGCGCTGACAATTATTCCAATAGCCCGATTTGGTCGCATTCACCCAGAGCCCCGACAGCATCATCAACAGTACCAGCTACTACGTCCAGCAGATGTTCTCTGTCAACCGCGGAGACACCATCAAAGAGGTCACCTCCGATTCTGCATTTGGACCCGTGTACTGGGTTGCATCTAGTGCTGGAAACCAATACTTTGTGAAGCTGGCTAACTACGGAGCTGATACCCAAAAGGTTACGGTGTCAATTCCTGGAATGAAGACCGGAAAGCTCACTGTTCTCGCGGACAATGACCCGAATGCAGAGAACACAGATAGCCAGTCACCCGTTGCCCCGGTCGATTCTAACGTGAATGCCTCGGATGGCAGCTTTACCTTCACTCTGCCTGCGTGGTCGGTGGCAGTTCTTGCCGCGAATTAGTGCCTGTATGTCTAGACTGTTTTGTGTAGATTAGAGCAGACTGGGATATCAAACCTTAATCTATTAATTCTACCGATTTTTACAATTACCCTCGCTTGAATTCCATGACGGCATCAGCAATTTGATACGGATATGTAAATCACTCGCTGAAGAACAGGACGTATCATCCAATCAATTAGCATACTAACTAGCATCAAACATCTCCATTGAAAACAAGAACCAGCGGGGTATTCTTCAGCCGAATCGTAAAGGATTGGCAATAATCATACTCGTTTCAGCACGACTAGTCGATGAACTCCGCATTTGCAGGGACTGAAACGCCAGGGTCAATGTGGCTCCCGAACAGAGTGGATCTGTTATGGATTAGGCCTGTGTGTTTTGGCCAGTATGCGCCCTGATAAATGTACACACATGTACGAAGTACGCATATATAGATATATTTTAAGATGCACTCCCAGCACAAACAGCAAACATGCCCACCGAATTCTCCTATGAACTGCCACCTTATTATGAGCTTAGCTGGTCTATTCTGAGTACCATTGGTCTCCTTCTGACCATTCTGAGTGTCTAGGCTGTTCTCATCAAGTGGCTCAGTCCGTTGAGTTTATATCCCCATCATCGTGTCTGCAGCCTGCGCTGTTGCCAATGGCCTCTGCTACTTTGCCTTTTACACCCCGTATTCCATCCCAAATAGAGCTACTGCCAGTGCTTTGGCGGATATTCTCTGGCCGGTGTGTATCTTTATCCTTCATGGTGCGAGGCAGATGAACGAGTAGCTGAGATAGCCAGATCCAAGAAGGAGGTCTCGCCTTCCACAGCTACCAAATCCTCATTCACACCCTCCGCGACTCCACCCGTCGCCTCTTCCTCACCATCTTCTGGACACTTATGTTCATCGTCGCCCTCCGCGTTTCAATCCTAGTCAACAGAGTCCTGGGAATCGTCCATGGTCACGCGGTCTTCATGATAGCCATCAACAACCTTCACGTAGGCTACTTCACAGCCATCGCTCTCGTTGAACCTGTAGTGCCACTTTTCTCGTCCGGCTTTTGCATCGCACTTTTCGTGTTACGCCTCGTGTGTCGTCCACCCGTCCGGTGTTTCGGTATCTGCTTAGAACGACGGAGATGCGCTTTGCGAGTTTGTGTCTGGTCGCTATTGCTCGGGCTGTGACATATTCGTTTCAGGTTAGTTCGCAGGCTGTCACAACGGTGGCCGGGCAGTTGGATCGGTTTGTGTATACCTGCGAGTGCCTGTTTCCGTTAATCATGGTGTAGGTTTGGTTGGTTTCTTGGTGGATTTGAGTCGCTGACTGAGTTTAGGATTGATATTTTGGCGTCCAAAAAGATCGAGCCTGAGTTCCAACCAAACCTGTGCTGTGCAATCCAGCCAAGGCGAGATATCAGGATCTACAAGATCCGAACAACTGCAGCACCCGATGTGGGTTGCTCGTTGACTCCTGCCATTATCGCATTCCAATGAAATATTAATTATACGTAGATTAGGTAAGTATACTTCTTATCCTTCTTCCATGATATCCTTTTCCTTGAAATAGACCTAATTCATTTTACTAATCGTATTCAAATCGTATATACATAAACATCAATGGACCCTTTCATTATGCAGAAGGAATCCTATGAAATGCCAAACCAATGATGCCTGCATCATACGGGACCTTTCACCACTATCATGTCTATGCGACCGCCTTTTCGGAGTTCTTGGGGTTGTATTCGGAAAACGTCTCGGGCCAAAGCATCATCTTTTCCTCACGCGGGGTGGCCGCAACGAATTTTGGAACCTAGAAGGGTGGATCAGTGATGAGCTCTATACCAAAGTCGAAATGAAACATACCGCTTGCTTGCTGGAAATCCGTCTCCACATGTTGGCGCGAGGGTTGAAACGAGCAGGTGTGCCCCGTCCTCCGGTCTTTTCTTGGTCCTCCTTGAGAAGGCCGTCAATGTGCTCCTTGATCTCTGAAAAACTTTCAAATGGAATAAATGGTATACTGTTCTCGGTGCAGTGTTGTTCGAGACGGAGCCCTTTCCGAGCAAACAGAACGTCGGCTTCGCGTGCGGCTTCGAGGTCAGTGAGTCCGTCGCCAATAAAGACGATCAGAGGAATCTGGCCGTTAATACAGAGTCCCTCTGCTTCAGCACGGCCCTCGTGGACAGACTGCCTCTTGTCGTGACCCATTTCAGTCGCGTGTAGCCAGACAGGCTTCCATTTCTCCCCGGCATGGATTTCGGCATCGTTCGCAATAATCGGGATTTGCGACGACTGATCAGTGTTAGATGATTCTTGGAACAACCATTAATTGAGGGTTAGTCACATACCTCTTCTTCTCCCAGAAAAGTATCCAGCACCCCGCGTAAAACAGGTTTAAGCCCGGAACTAATGATGTTGAATGTTATATCCTTGCTGAGGCAGAACTTGTGGAATTCCTGGAACCCGGGGTCGATCTTCATGTTGTCGCGCATAACATCAAACCCATCCTCGAAGGGAATTGTCAAAGAACCCCACATGTCCTCAGAAATATCACGGAATGACCGTTCGCCCGACTTCATTTGTCTTTCGAGGTTTTCGCGATAAGCTGCTCCGCAGCCAAGGTTGTCGACAAGAACATGTCCACTATCTTCCATGAAGATGGTGCCATCGAAGTCTAAGATTGTTAGTGAAATGGAAACGATGAGAAGAGGCAATGTTTGCATACCGGAAAAGATGACAATCTTTCTTGCCGGACTAGCCATGGCTGGATCTGTAGAAGAGAGACTGCGCGAGACAGAGAGCGTATGGAGTCTTTAAGAATGGCAACGAGTAGGCCTGTGGATGGAACTGAGAATAGGAACAGCCGGGCCAGGCATCTTGAAATATTCCTTGATGTGGTGGCAAACAAGATATAGGCTTGGCTTCATGACGTAGAGACCCTGGTAGCAATAGCCGTCGAAGGCTATGATGTGATGCTATTGTGGAGACTCTTGGAGAACAGGATTTGGGCGTTTGTCAATCACGGAAGACGCAGAGATGCAAACATTGCAAACTCCCCAATCCGGTCAAATCAGACTGGATCAGCAGTGCATTGGATGCTGGCAAGGATGAATTAATATAACAAATAGAAGTGGATTGGAAGAGCACGAGTTGCGGATATCTTTTATTGACAGCCTCTGGCCAGTGTCATGCAGACTAGCGGGCGCTTCTCTTCTAGTGCCATCGAGATGATCGTCGGTCGTGGACCGGATGGCTTCATGCCAAGGAATAGAATCTGCTCTCCCGCTTCTCCCCTTCTCTTCGCCCACTCAGTGGTAACTAAGAACACGACGAATAATCTGTTAAAGTGTTGAATTCTTATGGCTAACCTTACATTCTTAGTCCTTTTTTTTTTTTTCCAAACCCCCCGAAGCTCAGCAAAATCCTCCATATCTTCCATCTGAGAGCACTAGTTGATTCAAGAACAATCAGGGAATGTAGCCGAAGACGCGGTGACTCCATCGCCATAAATAACCTGGTTTCCTGGGTTGGCAAACACAGTCTGCTTCTCCTCCACGGTCGAGCAGCCATTGTCGACATTTGCGACGAACATGTCTGGATATTTCTTCTCAAACGCTGATGTGCTTCCATTACCGCCACTAATGATGACATCGGCACAGTTCATATACATTTCCCGGTTGCCCTCCAAATTGAACCACGACCAGGCAAAGAGAGCGTGGCCATCAGCCACGTCCCCAGGCATCCGGAAGTCATATGTTGATTCGAGAGGGCATCCGCCCTCCATGGACTGGATGACCTTGAAGGTTTCGCCGTTGTCATAGCTCAGGGAGAGCTGACAAGAGCCCCCGCCGTGGGTTGCTGAGCCAGACAGCGTGATGTTGTACGTTTTTCCTGCGATGTATTCGGCGGTTGCGCGCCAGGCTGTGTCTTGTTGGTAGCCTTTGCAGGGAAAGTTGGATCCTACACTTGTTAGACTCTGGTTCCGGTCCTGCGATTGAAATTGGGACTTACCATCAGCGAGGAGGGGGCTAGTCATGGAATAGTCGATGGTCGTCCAGTTGTTTGCCGGGTCAAATTGACTGCGCAAAGGATAAGGCCAGCTCAGTTCCATATGCGCGGCTGCCAGTCCGCTGATGCACAAAAGACCAAAGATCGACTTGAGGAACATTTTCTCGTGAGTCGGATATCTTTTTGACTTGTTAATTGGATGAATGAAAGTTTTTGATCTGGAGCAATGTCCCTTGCTCTCCGGTATTCTTATACCCATCCCAGATCGAACCAGCCGGTGTCGCTGCTGTTGGACAAGATATATCGACTCTAAGCGACATTATTTTACGTCAAAGGAGCATTCTGTTTGGTATACCTATCATATTGATATGGGGATCTCAATATATTTGAATCTCGGCTCTCTAAGCGAACATCCATTTCCAAGTCCTGGAACATCAGCCTCGACACAGATATCCATGTCACATCCACCGCATAACCTGTGACGCCTAAACATCACTATCAACCTCTAGCGCGAGCCAATAGGTAACTGAAACCTGCCTGATCTAGGATACTGGATCTGAGATTAGGACCTTGGATTCGATTCTGGCCTGAACTATGCCCCTGGTTGATGATCATAATTTCCATTAATGTTTCAGAACAGATTAAGCGATCCCCGCATTTTGCGGGCATGGATCTTCGTGCCATATTATAAAGTTTTGCCAATAATAATGAATGTATTAGCTGAATGTTGTGAGACATCGGGATTATGATGAGCTTCCTTCCTCAAACAATCCTCACTTCACATATAATGAATCCAAGTCTAATAGGCTCAACATTTCCTAATACGGAAATTCATCGGATCGCCCGCAATCTTGGTTTTCACATGGATACCTATTCTTACCCACTCTTCACCGGTCGTCGATCTCGGTGTTGATCGGATCTGAGCGGTTTAATTAAATGGGGTTTAATAGGTGTCACACCAATACCCACTTCGGCATGTATCTATACTCTAGATATTGCTATGTGATCCTGTTCCATGGTTGGATTGATGGATTGGCAGTTCTCGACGCTATTAGAATCTTTGTAAACAAGACATCTACAACCCAAACTGGCTATCATTCTACTATATAAGAAATTAATATATATGATCAGGTACAAGGAATGCAAAGTTTGGTATGCGATATTGTGATCCTACGGAAAAAAGAACTGGTTTGTTGCTCAGCTGTATGGGTTGTCAAACTCTTCAATTATCAATGACTCGAAATAGAAGGTTTCGAGGATTCCTATACCTACTGTATCTGTTTATTGACTTGTGGATTCTATATCCGCATGCGGCATGTCGCCACTCCATCGTCAACTGGCAAAGTAGTATGCAAGGCCCAATTAATTTTGGAAATAAACTCGTCCTCCAGTTCGAGTCTTCGAACTTGATGGATGTCTGTGATCTGAACACTCGGAGTCTTCGCATCTCTTGAACTATTCCCAGTTATCTTCTTCTTTCGTAAATAAAGATATACCAGTCAAAATCCATGTCTCATGTTTATATCATGAGGTAAACCGAATAGATCCGAGGTTTGCAATTCTAGTCTTGATATCATCGATCTAATGCTCACCCATGCATCTGCATCCATCCCATGGCTCCTCGGACTCGAGATATTATGATTCCTATATACTTCTAAAGTATTCAAAGCAAGATATACGCATCGGGGTCTGTCTTACCGTTGCTCCCGCCAGTTAGCAAACATATCAGCCAACATAGCAACCACAAATGCCGCTCCCTTATGAGTCGCTATGGCCTGCGATGAAGCCGGGTATGATTACAAAGTAGCCGTGGAACAAGTCCTCCAAAATGACACCCTTGTCAAATCCATCACCGATAAGACGTTTATTCTCATCTCGCCGCCGAGGCTGCTCTCCTGGTCCGCGGATAAATCCGTACCGGAATGGATGTGGTCATTGCCGCGAGCAAGGTTCCTTCCTGGTGTTTGGGCTGTGACGGCGCATGATTCATTAAGTCGAACGGGCGATTCTGAGCAATAATGCACAGGTGTTGTGTTTCAGACAGAGGATAATTGGTGTAGAATTGGCAAAGACGCTGGCTTTACAGTGGCTGCGCTATCAGTTTGATCTCAAATCTGCCAGCGGGCAGAAAATATCTATTATCCATGTTGGGGAGTTCTTGACTTGGTATGGTTAGCAAATAATGAATTAACACTTATCCCATCAAAACTCGTAATGAATTCCATCATAGATAAGGGATTTGTTCGTTCCTTTTATACTCCCATCTAAACAAGAGCCATGGTGAAGATGAAGCCATTGACACGTCCATGGAGATGTATGATGTCACGATTTGGCCACCCAATTAGGACTAGCCAGGTACCGGTGCCAAGAATATAAAAAGTATGAGAGCTGTTGTGCTGTGTTGTCCATCCTCTTCGTTGCTACGGCCAACTCTTATTGCAAATATCGTTAAATTCATATCCAAATCACTTAGTCATGACTGGATCTTTTGCCGTCGCCGGCTGTACCAAACCCGGCAACCTCAACTGTTCCGGATGCATCACACCGCAAACTTGATACTGCTCGGCCCAGTGCCAGAGACAGGACTGGAAATCCCATAAACCTAAATGACCCGGCGCGAAGAAATACAACGGTTTCATTATCCGAGCAAAGGTAGACACTGAGAATTCCAAAACCGCAGACTATCTTGACCCGTTCACCTTCCAAAACTACGGAAACTGGGGTGCGGAGATGAATGAGTTGGAGAGCAGAATGGGCTGGTCTGGGACAGATGAGTCTGGAAATTTTACCCATAAAAGAGTAAGGAATGGTATTATCATGCATATTATCCCCCCGTTAATTATTGCCCGTGAACAAGCTCGCAAGCGAGGCCGGCATGGGAGGGAAGATCCTTGGGGATGTCGTGGTGGTACGAAGCTCGCCGACGGATTTGAACTATTCGGAAATCTTCTCGAAGCCGGAGCTGGTCAAGGCCCTTGATTTCTACAAGACTGCTAATCCTGTGAGAGTCTTTTCGGAAAGAGAAAGAGCAGGGCTATGGGGAAGATGGGCTTTTCACCGGAAATGATTAAAGGTGTCCCTTCTTTTACTTGGAAGGGCTAAAGCAGGCTCTTGTCAAGGCTCAAATTGTGCGAATTCACAAAGGTGTTTCAGTACATACAATCAAGATTGCTTATACAGAATTAACTTGGCTATGTTCATCCATTCATGAAGCTACCTCGACTACTAGATTTCTTACACTTCTATCAACCCTCTGTAGGTGATAGTATGGCCTTCATCCCCTCTCTATGAATGATGGGGAGTTACTACTTCAACTTATTGGCTCTATTTTCTCTAGCAACTCGGGTTCTAGAGTCTGGAAGATCCTTCATGGCTTATTCATATAACTCCGAGGACGAATCTACCTCTTAGCGGTACTCATTCTCGCCATCCAGCGTCTGCCATCCTCATTCGTTTTCGAAAATACTATTCTGCGATTTCATAACATGGATATTAAGGTTAGTATAGCGTTGTGATCAACGTTTCGCTCATCCGCCATAGTGAAGGACACTTGCTGAGAATTGGGTTCGGACAGTCATGTGTCTCCGTGCTGCCTATATCTAGGACTATATTAAGTAAGTTCACTCAATAGCAGTTAAATCTATAAACACCCCCCAAGGACAGAGGTTAATGACATAATTGTTTTAACCATAGTGTCATCTACCTAAGAAAAGATTACCTACACCAGACAAATCATGAGCTGTGCACCCCGTCAAGCCTTTAGCTTTGGCATGATATATCAATAAAAGATCTCATAAGAGACATACACTCCAGCATTGCGTGCACAGTCTCAACTTTGTCACAGTCAGGTGATATGGACACACCCTGTCCTTTCCCAATTGGGTAACCCAGCAACTCATTTATGATATAATTCACTTCCATCTAGCCCCCTCAACAAACCCAGGGTGACTGTGGCCGAATGGTATGACCGGTCGAGCAAAAACAGAAATCCTGGGTTCGAATCCCACTTGAAACTGGTCAAATATTTCGACCGGCTTTCAGGCTGGGATTCGTTGTAAATCCTTACGATTACGTCGGGATTTCGTATCCTGCCTGTTCAGTCTTCCACCTTATAGGAAGGAGGACTGCGGGAGGTAGAGCCTTTTTGTTTCCTTTCTTTTTATGTGTCATTTGGTCATTGGTTGCAGTGAATTCAGGCTTCCCAATATGATGTTCTGGTTGCATTTTTTCTATGACAAGTATATATTTTTATTCATATAACGAGGGGTGAGAAGGATGGATATTGAGATGTATTACAAGGACAGCTTCATATGTTATTAGTTATGCAGAATCTTCATTGCCGAGCCATCAAAGCTTCTTCTGGGATTTGAATAAAATTGCAACAATGTACTGGCTAATTTAATCACAACAAGCCCGTAACACAAATGTGCAGGCATCTCAAGAACTTGTTTATCTCGAAAAACACGAGTAACCGGGGTCTTATGCCCTAGCCCTATGCCCTATACCCTAGTCGTTGTACAGTTGTAAACAAGCAACATCAACAATCCGACAACTTGACCGACGGCAGTTCTTGAATATGGCCACGGCTTCAAGCACCACAAAAAATTCAACATTCGAGTCAAGCTGTGGAGCTTGTCGTAAAACAGTCCACATCGAACCGACAATTTGTACCTCGGTTGAATCGAATGTTATTGAGCCGTTTCATTCGGTTTGGCCTAGCCGAGCCAAACCACCCAACCACCAATTCCAGAATTTCCAATTCTAACAGTCTGTTGCAGATAGAACAAGGGGTTTCGGCCATTGCCGGCCGGGCGATGAAGCGGTTTATTTCCGCAGGGCTAGCGGCTTTTCATGACGACTGCCGTGCCGTCCATCGTTTTTCTCCTAAACGCTTCCAGGAAACTCCATCCCGAAATGAACCAACCGACATTTCTAATTTGTCCACTTACGGGCTAAAGAATAATATCGCAAGCACCTACCCAGGTTCCCTTGACTCCTAAAGGAATGCTTCACATACAGAGCTTCTAGCAAAATAAGAAAATCTACTCCTTCCGTGGTGATGGACGGTTCAGACCGTGACTCGCGGGATGGAATCCTCGAAACCCAATAAAATGGAAGAGTCTATACAGATTACAGTATGGACAATCAATCTGCGTATATACATACAGTGTCAAATCATGAAAGAAATCCAACCCATTCACCGCGAAGAAAAATCACCCAAGACAATATAAGCCAAATCTTTTAAAAACAAAAGATCTGATCGCTCATCTTCGAGACTGACCCAGGCGTTTGAAACCCCATGGATGCCAACGTCTTCTTAGTTGCGTTTACCATCACTGGAGGCCCACAAAGAAGAATCTTCGTATCCGGAGATGGTGCAGGCATGTGCTCTGTAAGAACTGCTTGGTTCACATAGCCAGTCCCGTAAGTCCAACCCTCCGAAGGGGCATCTAACATGTACCATAGCTTGAAGTTGTTGGGATACCTTCGTGCAAATGATTCCAGCTCTTCACGCAGCAAAATATCTCCTTCCGACCGGTTGGCGTATACCAGGCTGATCTCTGTCGTATCCCTGTCGTTTTCGCAGATTGCACGAATCAACTGGTACATGGGCGTAATTCCGGTTCCTCCGGCCACCATCCCCAACTTTTGGCAATGGCCTTTGCTGTAGCGCATCGCTCCCTTAGGACCCCGGAATTCGACCTCATCACCTACTGTCAGGTTTGCCAGGTAACGACCACTAAGCAGACCATCTGGATAGCACTTGACAACCAGTTCAAGTCGGCCTCGGTCGATATTGTTGGAAACTGGCGTATACGACCGGGTCACTGTCAACCCATCAATAACTGCTCGAATAGCGACGTGCTGGCCGATGGGAAGACCAATGATGTCATTGGCATCGGGCAAAGCGAATACAAATCGGTAAACATTTGGTGACAACTGATCTTTTTGGACCAAGGGCAAGCACTGATATTCTTTCGGGTCAAGGAAGCCTTTTGCCAGGTGCGGGCCGATTCTGACCACCTTTCGGGCTTTGATATGTGGTGGATAACGCGTGAAGCCAGATTCGATCTTGGTAAATTTGGCCACTTGTTGAGCAATAACGCTCCCAACCGCGGCAGAAATGACGGTGGCCGTGAGGAATCCGTTTGTGAACCCTCCCCGTGGGAGGCGGATGCTGCTCAGTTGTTGGGGAAGGAATTTATTTATTCCAAATGGACCCAGTATTCCCCGGTGATAAATATAGACCAAGGATGACAAGGCACTCATAGCACCAACAACTTTGCTGACCGTGCCAATTGCAGAGCGCGGCTTCTCAACTGGCTTCTGGGTGATCACGCGAACTGCCTGTGGCCTAATGTACTCCTTTGCGTTCTGAAGTGTACCGATCATGTATGGTTGCATGATTTCGCGTGCATCTTCTGAATGGCCGATGTCCTCGTAGGCTGCCGTGGCATCACTGCCAGCCACTTCAACGAGGACATCTGCACCTCCAGGGTGATCTTGCATATACTTTGTGATATCAAAGACTGACTCTAGTCAACGAACTGCAATTTCTCTCCAAAGACCAAGGATATGAGCTCTTACCCTGTCCGTGGATAACAATCCAGATATCATCTTTAAGGTTATGCGCTGCAACATCTTTTAATGTGTACTCAGGCTGCACTTCGGCATGCCACTGCGCCTTCATCTCTTTGATCTCTGGAATCGCCATCGTTCAATTTTCCTGAAGCTGAAGATAGTTTGACAATGAAAAAAAGGGGATAATAGACATTTCGACATGCGAACAGCGCAGCATCTAGAATATAACAATCTCAGTCCGGGGACAGATTACATCGTACCAATAAGAGGCAACATGAAAAATCAATGACAATCCACCACAGGGAATTCATAATTTCCCAAAATACATTATCTGCCCACGCTACTATGGAGCTTCAAGCTTGGTTGTTGATTTTTACCTCGGGATAATTTAGACTGGCAGCTTGTCTTGGGACGGCCTGAACGGGTGTCGGCCTCGTCACGGCACACGGCATGCCTAGTCGATATTACTAGGGAGTACGACGTACGCACGTCGTCTAACAGATGAGAGAAAGTCCCGAGGGTGTTCTCCTTTTCTGCATAAGCATAAAAACAATCGGGATCCGGCCGTTAGTGGCGGGTCCTTGACGCTTTGATCCAGTTAACTTGTCGATAAAACGTTCAATATCGAAAACATCGAAAACGCCGAGGCAGGCAACGAGGCCGCCATCGACATTGTTGGGACGGCAGATCCCCAATTCTGATACAGGACAAACAAACTGGTTGTCATCATTACTATTCTCACTAAATATGTGGGTTCTAATTCATTGTGGATTTATATCCATTTTAATCATAACGATCTATTCCTGGCTCCGTGGCATTGATTGACACAACTATAATCTCAAGACTTATAAATCTCTGCAATGACCCTTTGCAGTCAGATCTCTTCTATGCTTGCAGTATAAATTTGTTACTTGCACTTTTTCTTTTTCATTAGATCACCACACGATGCCGGTTCAGTGCTTTTATCTTTTAGGAGAGCCCGTGGTAACCGCGAGGGAAATTGAGGTGGACTCAGCGGTGGATTACAATGGACTCAGAAACCTCATCGCTGCGCATTTTGCGATTGTTGAGCCAAATGGTATGCGAATTCATTTCTTCGCTTGTGAATAAACTTTTCTGACTCTTTCAGGCATTGGTTTTCAGAGTGAGGACTCGGCATTGTTCGTGGTAGCAGATATCATCGCAAGCAGTGATCCAGTCAGTATTACAATTGATGGCAATGCTGTGCGAGAGATTCCTGGTCCCAAAGGCCTGCCATTTGTCGGAAACTTCTTTGAAATTTATCCAGACCACCTGGGAAACCATCAGCGTCTCTTCGAGCAATATGGGCACATCATCAAGACCACCAATATGGGCCGCACAATATATCACACCAACGACCCTCAACTGTCTGCTATTGTCTTTTCCGAGACCGACTTCTTCACAAAAAAGATCAATAGCTCTCATCCACTCTTTCCTATCAAAAACGACCAAGCGGGAGTTTTCCTGGGCGACACAGACACACCTGAATGGCGAGCAGCGCATAAATTTCTTCCGCCAGCGTTAGGCCCCAAGGCTGTGCGTCATTATGCCCCTACAATGCAAGAAACGGTTGAGGACTCGTTCAAGGTCTTTGACACACTTGATGAGCAAGGCGAGGCATGGAATGTATATCAATACATGCTCAAGCTCGGCTCGCAAGCAGTTGGCAAGCTGGTTCTTGGAATGGACTTTAATCACTTTTCATCGGTAGATGCGCCTCCTCATGAGATGATCTACCGGATTGCGGAGACCTTGGAATTGAATAAACAAGTAGCGGCAATGGGTGACTGGTATGCTAATATGCCATTTGGTGCTCCTAAGCGGCTTAGAGACATTAGAGCGCGTGTTATCGAAATGGTCAATGAGTCAATTCGGAATGCCGCCCGAGGGGGTGTTGAAGATCTTCCTCTACAGGATGCTGCTCTCACGGCATCAAACATGGTTGGTAAGTTCGATCTTGGTTGGCTAGGCTTGATTCTGTGCTGATAGTTCTAGACTATGCAATTCGGGCCACAGACAACAAAGGAGAGAAGCTGCCCAAGACCAGTCTGATGCAGGCTTTAGTAGTAGCCACCGGGGCTGGATTTACCACAACCAGCTCATTGCTGTCTTGGTTGATCTATGGACTCGTCACATATCCTGGTGTGCAAGAGAAACTGTTGCAGGAGCTGATTGATCATGGAATTGATGCCGACACACAAATGACAGCCGACCTGACAGACCGTCTGACTTTTATGGATAAATACATTAAGGAGACTCAGCGTCGCCATAATCCCTCCTACCAACCTGCGCGCACGGCCAAGGTGGACATGATTCTCCCCGGAGGCTATAAGCTCCCCGAAGAAGCTGTCGTGATCCCTGCTCTGCATCATATCCATAACAACCCAGCCATCTGGGACAACCCGGCGCAGTTCAACCCAGACAGATGGGATACGGATAAGGTCAAGAACCGACATAAAGCATCGTATATTCCCTTCGCTGCAGGTCCCCGCATGTGCATTGGCTTCAACTTTGCCCTGCAGGAAGTCAAGGTCTTTTTGCCCAAGCTGGTGTACCGATATCAGTTCACAAGAGAGAACGAAGGAACCATCGAGTACGATCCTATGTTCCAATTGATTCGGCCCAACAATCTGTATGTGCGGGCGGAGAAACGAGTCAAGTGGCCACCCAGGACCGAAAATGTCGCTGTGTCTGCTTCCCTATGATTTCTCGTTCAGGATTTGGTTTTATGTCGGTGTTTCAAATTGTTTCATGGGATTGGCCTTTGCTCGTATCATATAGACTGCTATTTTCATTATTCCCTGATTTCCTGTCTTTCAATCAATGTCCGAGTTGACATCGGTGATCCACAAGGCTGCTCTGTGGGATGCCACCATTCGAGCATGTACGTGTATTGGGGGATCGTCAGTGTTGTATATTAGAAAAGGGGGATGGACTCACACAGACGCATGTTTTATAATTATTGTTGTTTTCTTTATTCATTGCCTTCGCTTTATCTCGCTACAACCTGGCTATCTTCAACTCGGTCTTATTTACGCATTTGAGCCGAAACCCGAAAACGCCGATAAAAAAATCTCCGCAGATCGTCAAGGGAATGTCGATGCCTACAGCCCTACAGCATCCGCCGAGTATTACGATTGTCCTTTCCCCTCTTTAAATTCTTCGAGAATGCCCTGATTGTGGAAGACTTCAATCCATCATCGTCTTTTCATCATGTCGGCTCTCACTGCCGTTCTCAATGAGCTGGGCCTCGTTTCCCTCTGGCAATCGTCTCGTGATGTCAAACTTCTGTGTTTTCAGCGTTTCGTGCGACTCTTTGCCTACGGGGGTTCCACTCTCATTCTGGCCTCGTATCTATCCGCTCTGGAAATCAGTGATGAACGAATTGGGCTGTTCATGACCCTCACCCTGGTTGGCGATGTGGTCATCAGCTTCTTGCTCACTCTCTTTGCAGACGCCATGGGTCGCAAGGCAGTGCTGGCGTTGGGATCGGCCTTGATGATCGGCAGTGGTGTTGTTTTTGGGTTGTTTGGCAATTTCTGGATACTTTTGGCCGCAGCGATTTTCGGTGTCATCAGTCCGAGGTATGATCTTATGTATTTATCTATTTATCTATCTATTTCCTTTCGTTGTGGGGCATTGCTGACTTGGAGAAATAGTGGGAACGAAATTGGCCCCTTCCGGGCAGTAGAGGAGTCAACTCTCGCCCACCTCACTCCTCACGAGCTACTCAGCGATATCTTTGCTTGGTATTCTCTCATCGGCACCGCAGGCACTGCCCTGGGCTTGATGGTCACTGGCTGGATCATCAACTTCTTGCAAACGTCCAAAAGGTGGGAGTATATACCAGCCTGTCAGATTATCTTCTTTGTCTACGCTGGCATTGGTGCGGTCAAGTTCCTTCTCACCCTTGGTCTAAGTAAAAGGGTGGAAGCTGCCCCGAAGAAGAAGAAGGCCGCATCTGAGGATCAGCCATTGCTGGGCGATCGCCAGGAGCCGCAAAAGAAATCATATTTTTCTTTCATGGAGAAAGATCTTATGTCTTTGGTATTCAAGCTTGCGGTACTGTTTGCCCTCGATGCGTTTGCTTCTGGACTGGCTTCAATGTATGTGGTTTCATCTTCTCCCTCTCTCCTGTCCTCTCTCGCTCGTACTCACACTCAAGAGGTCGTGGATGACATATTTCTTCAAACGCAAGTTTGACTTGGAAGAAGGAGGACTCGGTTCCATCTTTTTTACTACCAGCATAATCGCCGCTGGTTCCATGTTGGTCGCCTCTTCTATCGCAAAACGTATTGGTAACGTTAAGGTTCGTTCATCCTCCCCTTCCTTCCTGAATCTCTTCATTTGTATTAACAGTACTAGACAATGGTCTTCACCCATCTCCCCTCCGCCATTTGCTTAGCCCTCATCCCCATCCCCTCCTCACTTCCCCTATCCTTGACCTTTTTGGTTATGCGTTCCTGTTCCCAGAGTATGGACGTCGCTCCGCGCTCTGCCTTCCTGGCCGCTGCTCTTCCTGCCGACAAACGCACGGCCATCATGGGAGCCGTTAATGTCGTCAAGACCTGCAGCCAGAGCCTGGGTCCGCTCACTACGGGTGTGTTGTCGAGTCATGGTCTCTTTGGTGTTTCTTTTACCATTGCGGGTATATTGAAGGCACACTATGATGTCGGAATGCTGCTTTGCTTTGCAGGCAAGGAACCAGTGCGACAGAGGACAGAGGAGCAAGAGGAATAAAGAACTTGACATTCTGTCTAGTGGTATCGATCGACGATCACAGTCGTCAAAAATGTATATCTGGCATTGTGGCATGGGTATTCTTATAAATTCCACAGGAGACCATGCTCTCCTGCATATCAATTACGTATGCACTTAGATAGTCATCTGGCTATGTTACCTCATTCCAGCTCAACCTCCAACAAAATATTTGGTTTTGCAATGCTATCCGCCGGCATCGAGTATGTCAAATTCCAAAACATAAAGTCACTATAAATTGATTAGTCTTGATGCTTTTCGTAGAAGAGGAGTCCAGGACATAATGTCATACTTGATCGTTTCATCACTCGAACTGTACGTCACGTTCGGCTTCGAAGCAACATTCCCCGATATGTCAACTTTCAACCCAGGGATGCCATCAAATCCGGTAACATCTTGCTTCTTGTAAAATGGTGACATTAGGAACTGGAACTTTGAAGCATTTGTTCCATATGGGTACGTGAGATTGAGATATCCCGGTCCAACGACAGCATCCAGCGCGCTTTCGGTAGCATAAAGCTAAAAGAGTGTCAGTTAAGTCGTTCTTTTCTGTTGACCAGAGGGGACCTAGGTACCACTATCCAGCCAATCCCTGTTTCAGTGTCCCATTGAATCACTGCAGGGTTAAAAGTCGACGGATTGACAGCTGGCCCCCCAATGACAGTCTCGTTGAAGCTCTCCGCGCCTATACTGATCTTCTTTCCCAACCAAGCATTGACCTTTCGGGGGGAGGAATCATATGGAATGGAGTATGCTGAAGTATTGACAAAGTGCTCTCCAGGGAAGGTTTTCAAAGCATCCACGGCTGACGAGGGCACCAGGGCATTGTGGAAATTGGACAAAATGGCCACCAAGGGAGAAATGGCAAAATCAGAGTTGTGCGACATCATGTAGACCTGCTGCCATTAGACTTCATGCATCACTCTTTCGAGTAAGTCGTCTTACCTTATCAATCACCGGTGAAGTAGCCTTGCCAACCAAAGACCATATATGTGCCGACATAATCCCAAAATACTTTTGCATATCGAAACCATATGACCGATCCCAAGGGCCAGCAAGATTCTTCAAATCTGCGTGGTACAATTTCCCGATATCTTTCCAGGTGTCTTGCAGCATCTCCTTTCCTTTGTCCTTCATGATCGAGCTTTCTGGTGCATATTTTGCCCACATAGTAAGTGCAATCAGAGACACTCCTGTATACGTCGCGCTGTTGAATTCTGAAAGAGTTTCTGCTCGGTCAAAGAGCTGGATTATCTCATTTGCATACATTTCTCCTGCCTGTGTCATGTTTTCGTCTTTAAGGGTTCGACCTGTCCAGCCACTGACGAGAGCTCGCATCAGGGACTTTCCGGTATTTCAGCGTTAACATGTTTCTTTTCCATTTAGAGTTATCTGGGGCTATCAGACCTACCGGATTTGTATAAGAAGGATATAGATTGTCATCGTCGACTCCTCCGACGCGGTAGCTATCCCCGACAGTAGCGTTGTAGAGAGATGCATGCATGAGTTTAGTCATGTTCTCATTAATCAAATCAGGGAATTCCTCCAGAGCAATAACAAAGGCTGCCCCGATAAATCCTCGCCAATTCGGATCCCAAGTGTCGTAGATGATCGGGGAATATGCCAAACTACCCACCGTGGGTTCTTCGGGATACTGTTGGTAGTCCCCATACCTGTGACGTTCTCTCAGTGACAATCCATAATTAGTAGTCAATACGCATACCATTGATCTTTTGGGTCCGTAAATTGTCTATCGATGACATTCTGGACGATCTTCAACGCCTGATCAACGTCGTCGTTCTGGTTTCGAGCCAGTAATCCCACGGCGTACCATACAGATGTTCTCGTGACATGCCGCAAAGCAGTTGCAGCGCTGGGATCGAAGAGGTATCCAGCGTCTTGATCGTAAATTCGATCCATATAACTCATTGACTCCGAAAAGAGCTGGCAGGTATCTTCCGTCCATGTTGCAAGGCATGTAGGACTACAGTTGGCCGTTGGGATGAAAAGCGTGGCTGTTAGGCCCAAATAGGCCAGTGTTTTGGAAGATAACAGCATTCTTTGAGAAGATTTCGACTCAAGTTGGACGAATTCAGACAGAACTGAAGGGCAAAGCAGGCCATGAGGGGTAGCACGGCCATTATATCGCCAACGCTATCGGCATGCAGTGAGCTGCAGTGGGGAAATGTCCAGCCATGCCCAAGGCGTTTGTCTATCATCGTGCGATAAAGCCTCTTGAATTGGCAGTAACTATCGTGGGAACTGGACATTATCAACTCCTGTGTTTGCGGGGAAACTGGGTCGATTCGTCTGCAGCGGGGTTTGAAGCTGTTCTTCAATCCAACTTCGACTCTGATTTGTGCAATTTCTTCATTTTAACCGAAAGTCTACTCGCTTGGATACAGAAAGCCTGGATTCCATGTTATCATTGATTGGTTGTATTTACTGCCCATTCGCTGAGGTTTACGGAGATTGTCCGGTTCTCCCCACGTTACATCGGCTTGGATTCTCTCACAGCACCATGAGAAACCCAGGGTCCCTATCATCATTACATCCGGCATATTGTGTATATTTTCCCCTTCTCTTATCGCGGTTGATTCTGGCGCAGTACAGGACATTAAACAGGATCCTGATAGCAAATGAGCATCAGGCCCAGATAATCAGGGCATCATTCCACTTACATGAGCCATGCAAACACCAACAGAGCGACAACGACCGTATGGCCTCGATGATACTGTGGCTTGTCATTGCTGGGGTAAATGAAAGCTGATCAGAGAAGCAACAGATTAGCCCATGCTTTGGAAGGAATTATGAGGGCAAAAGACAAGGCGTACTAGCAACAAATCCACCGCAATTTGCAATGGCCAACTGCATTCCAGACGTCGTGGCCCGTTTATAATGTCCAGCCGAGTTGTTCGAATTCCAGACCAGGATGCAAGGAACGGTGCTGTACATCCCCGTGGCCATTAGAATAGTCATTCCATACTTGACCTTGGGAGATTCAATGTTGGCAATCGCTGCATATCCGACAATGGCAACCGGGAGTGTGGCAAGCATTATGACTCCTCGGAGCCGCATCCAGTCCGAGATGTACGATACAATCACTCGTGTAGATTAGTCTCTATATCTACGCAATCTGGAGACTGGAGACCTACCTGTGAGGATAGCTGCCACCGCATATGGTATCACCGACCACAGTTGGACTTGGTTCTCGTTTGCTGCAAATCCACTGTCGTTGATAATGGTTGGCAGCTGAATGAGATGGAAAGAATCGCCTGTCAGCCATTGTCCTCTATAAAGTGGAAATCTGGAACCATACAAAAAGGCCAAACGAGTACAGTCCAGATAGAATGCCAAAGTAGGCAGTTGCTGACAGCCACATCTGAGGGTCTAGGATACCTCGTTGTACTTCTGACCATCTAAATGCCTCCTGTTCATCTGCCAAAGCGCTGCTTCTGTCTGTCAGCCGCTGAGCCTAGACACTTGTTTCAAGCGAGATCAAACATTTCGAGATAGGGTAGACCTGCCCTTCTGTAACAGTTGGACTATCAAGCAAGACCCTCTGTCGAGCAAATTGTCGTTCCTCGGGGCTCAAGAAATATGCAGTTTCCAGACTGTTTGGGAGTCCAAAATAGCTCAGAACGCCACATACAAAGGTCTCAGTTGGCAATGCTGTCAGAATAACTGAGCTGGTCATTGAATAGGGGAAACACTCACCAGCAGACCTTCCATGATCAGAATCCAGCGCCATCCTTCAATCCCTCCTCGAGGTCCAATCTCGACCAATCCACGGGCTAAAAGACCTATATTGGCAATATCTCAGCGTCTTGACAAAGCATTGGTGTTTCTGTCGGCAGTTAATCATACCCCCAAAAGCACCCGATAATGAAGCAGCCGTATAGAAAATTCCAATACGCAAAGCCAGATCTCCTCGTCTGTAGAATGAAGACAGGTAAAGTACCTATGTTTCCCAAGTGTCAGCCCTACCGTGAATACAAGAAGGTAGCTCAACAAACCATGCCAGGTAAAAGGCCACCTTCTGCTATTCCCAGAACAAAGCGAACACCAACAAAATCAGCAAAGTTCCGCACAAATCCTAAACTCATGGTGATTATGCCCCAAATTACGGTTAAGAAAGGTAACCAAACCCTCGGGGATGCCTTTTTGATGATGAGGTTACTCGGCACTTCGCTGTTGGGCACGCCTGGTCAGAAGACCATGATGGCATGAAATTTCCAGTCCAATTAAACCTACCTGCAGATGTATGTGAGATAGTACACAGCCAAGCCAATATCATACTGATGGTTTGTGATATTAAGGTCTTCTTCGAGGCCGAGGATTTTGGCGTTTCCAACATTGGTTCGATCCAAAAAAGAACAGAGAAACAGGATAGCCAAGATAGGAAGAATTCTGTCGATAGCAAGTAATCAGCGTCTCCAGTTGGAATAGAATACCAATGGATACCAGTTACCTCGTGTCTAGTTTGAACAAGATGCTCCGGGTCAATTTCTGCTGATGCTCAAAGTCCCCGGAGATCAGGTCGAGTGACTTCCGCGGGGCATCTTCGATTTTCTCGCTGTTTGGTTTGATTGAATCCATATTGAGTATGAAGAATTCTGTTTACAGAAGAAAAAGAAGGAGGAGGAGAACAATATTTGAAAAGAACGAAAGAAAGAAAGGCTATTGAAGGGCACAGACAGCCCTCTTCGGCGGCCACTTCTATATCCGAGTCATAGTAGCCCATGTGCAACAAAAAGCCAGATGCCAGATCATCAGACGCAATAGAAAAGCTTTCCCCGCATCTTCCCCAGACCGCTCCAAGTCCCCAGATGTCTTGGTGAAGCTTAAGCTGCTTAGGTTAGAGTTAGTGCTGACTTGTCAGTAGTAACCCCGTTACCGTACTGTATGTAAAGTACTGTTCCGTTATTTTACTCTGTAATTACTTGTATCGGCATCCGGAGGAGGCGGTATCGGTCGGCGTTCATTTCTGGCACCGAGCCCATCGTCAAGCTTGCGACGGAAGAAAATATACAGGCCCCATCACCCCAATTCATGGGTTCCTCCTGGAATATCTCTATGGCGGCGGCAAAGAAGATTCCAAGAAGCAAGAGGAGAAACATGTCCAAGTTATCCAACAGCCTGAAGGCGCTTATCAACGCCCCAATTGCCCGGCCGGCCACTGTGCCTGCTCCTCGCAACATCCAGTCTGTCTATCACAAGATCCAACAAGGCGCTCAAGCGAACAATGTCTCCCAGCCATCTTGGCTGGCTCTGTCGGTATGTTTGTCTCTTTGTTGGTTTGATAAAGGAGGCCTCCAGCTGATCAACATTTACAAACTCTTAGACAGCCGCCACAATGACAATGAATTCACCGGATTCCTTGGTCGCGCTTTTCCAACAAGCAACTACATCCAAGTCAACGGAAGAGAGCGTTGCCGCAGCGGAACTGATGCGGGAGGTTGGCCTCAAGTGCATCAGCTTCAATGGAATTCCCCGCACTATCAACTGCCTTAATGCCTTCAAAACCAGTCTTCCCGATGCTGTGAGCGCACAATTATCGCGTGTCCCAACCCGAGCCCCAACCCAAGACAACATCAGTGAAATTCGCCATCGCGGTCGCGCCTTGTGGGACTCGATTTATCGCCCATTTGAGGCCAAGCTCTATGACAAACTGGCCGACTCCCATCCAGACCTGCCTGTCCATATCCTCAATAGTAATTACGGAGCTCTCCTGTCTGACCCTGCAGGGCGGACTACAGGCGCAAATGCTGGCAGGGTGATGACGTCCATTGTTGCCGTTGCATGCTTGCGTGCGCAAACTGGAGTCGGGCCTCAGGTGACCTCACACGTGTTTGGTCTACGCAAAGCAATCGAAGATGGAACATGGGCCAATGACGTTGAGAGCGAGCAAGGAGCCAAGTGGCTAGCCAGTGACGAGGGCAATGCATGGATTCTGACTAGTGTGGACGAGATTGTTGAGTCTATTGGCCAAGGACTGGGATCGAATTTTGCTCCTGGGCGGGAATCGAAGTTGTAGATGGATATCCTAGCGATGAAAAGTCGTGTATATATCTCCATTTATATATACAACATTATGGCTTGGAGGATATACATATTTATGACTTACTGGTTATCGGTCCATGCTCACTTTCAATCTAGTTCGAGACGGCAGCCCTCCACTCTGTACAACGACTTCGATTTCATTGAATGAGTCAGGTATACTAGCTTTTCGAGATCATCCATAATCGAGATTTTCATTCCGATTCTATTAATAGCCGGTACTTGCCCCAATGGTTATTCTCTTTCCGGTTATTTCTCTCACCGACATTGTTGAAGATGTGGAGTATTAAAGAAATTGAAATGGTCGAAAATAGTCAATCCTCCCAGCATACTCCGTACTCATTCTCGAGTCTATCGAGATAGTTCCGATATGGAAATACTGCCTCACAATGGCGGTCATAATAGAAACCATAAAAATGAAGACTAAGACGTCTGCAAAAACAAAAATAACCTCTCAAGTTTCGGCCATCGATGATATCGTGTGGGTATTCCAACCCGCATTATTGCCCCGTAGCCAGCCACTAAGGTCGGGCCCATTGACTGTCGATCTTCCATTATTCGATTTCTATTGCATATGTCTCGTTGTTTCGCCTGAAATGGAATTGTCCAGCAGCATGGACTGTTTGACAGTCGAGATCAAAATGATCAACCGTCGATCGCATCTCCAATTATGCATCTTGATCAGGCCTTCAGCTATGGAGTACCCCGTACTTGCTAGTTGCTTCAACTCGATGTTCTAGTTGTCAACGTCTCATTCTGGAATACCAGGCTTGCCTGGTTGGGCCAGTCAGAGAAATAAGGCCGGTGATCGTCTCAGATGGTTGAAGTCATGAAAAGCCAATAATCAGAAACAGAAGCTAGATTCTCCAACGTGGAGATGAAATTATTCATCTGCTTAGATACTATATCCTGGAATGCCTCAGATCCATGTCTCCTCCGGATGCCGATCAGCCTGTTCGTTCAAGCCTGTGGCTAGCTGAAGGGCTCGGGAGCATGAGCTGGATAACTACAGAATCGAATGGTCATCTCTGTGATGGTTGACACCAACGCTCCCTGTAAACCCACGGTACCTGTGGTCTGTACAAAGCGAGAAGCCGTTTTAACAGGTAGAAGAAATACTGGGGGAGTGGATCTCATGGCGATCTCTTGCCACTTTCCCCATCCGGAACTATCAGCTACCATAGAAGATAAATAGAAGTCCAAATCCCCCTCAGAATCTCCTTCATCCATCAACAGCAATATAATCAACCAATTCTTTCATCCATACACAGTATGGATGAAAGAATTGTCAGTTGCTAACAGTTGAACTACCGTGGGCTATCTACCACGAGGTCCCTGTATGACTTGACTCTGAATATTTGCATTTAAAGGTGCTTGGTCCTATAAATGATGCTAACTTTTGCTTACAGGGCTGCTTCCAGTGTTGCGACTCTGTCTAAGCTTTACTTCGACTCATACTCATTAGGGGTCGACTGACGCTTCGGACGAGTGCTGATGTTTTGGGCGCGTTTGTTGAATGGACTGAATGTGGTATTTTAAGAAAATTAAAGCTCTGTTTCTCAAACCAAAGTATGCACATACTTCTGTGCCGAAATCTGATAAGGCTGCTACATACATCAATGCCGAACAATTTGGTGGGAAATTGCTTATCACCGCTTGTGTGACACTACCTAATACTGGGTAGGGCCATTTATAGTTAGGTAGTCATTGCCTTCGTAAAAAAGAGACTTCATGTATATAGAAATACAGTTTATAAGTACTGGGCAAGTAACGATTCAAGAGTCACGGTGGAAATCAAACATTAAAGAACAGAGAAACAATCAGCAAACTGCCGGCAGTCAATGATTAATGTAATCTATTCCATAAGCCCCAGGTTTTCTGCAACGGTAAACTTGGCTCCAGTCTTGCTTTGAACCTCTTCAACCTCTACGCCAGGGGCCAGTTCAGTCAGCAGAAGCTCTCCTTTGCTCCGGTCCACCTGGAAGACACACTACAACAAATAGTCAGTCATTTTGTGTATCTATTTCCATAATAGTCGGCTCTTACCAGGTCTGTAATGATAGTGCTGACACAGTTCGCACCAGTCAGAGGCAAGCTGCACTGCGGCACGATCTTCGGCGATCCGTCTTTGGCAGTATGGCTAGTGGCCACCACGATTTTGGTCTTGTCAGGATTGGAAACCAAATCCATGGCTCCTCCCATTCCCTTGAAAACCTTGCCAGGAATCATGTAGTTGGCCAAGTCGCCATTGGCGCTGACTTGCAGGGCCTATGATCATTCATTAGCGAATCTCATAACCCCTTGCATATTGGGCTTCACGTACCCCTAAGATTGACACATCCACATGTCCACCCCGGATCATACCAAATGACTCGGTGCTATCAAACGTAGCGGCACCCGGGATCAGGGTAACAGTTTCCTTCCCAGCATTGATGACATCCCTGGAATTGACGTTAGTAAGAGAGCTGTGATATCATCCAAAGTTAACAACTTACGGATCAACTTCATATTCCGTTGGGTAGGGTCCCTAAAATCTCGTATTAGCAACCTAGCAATACTCAATAGGCGTCAGATTTGTCCTACCATGCCCAATATTCCATTCTCCGACTGAACCCAAACATTGACGCCTTCAGGCAAAAAAGACGGAGCCAGTGTGGGAATTCCTAGTTTAGCGCAAGTATTAGTTAGTTTATGAAGACATGATAGTGGAACATTCAGCATAAGACACTTACCAACACCCAGATTTACATAATAGCCCTTTTTGAGCTCCTTTGCAGCCCTCCTGGCAATCAGGTTTCTTTGAGTCATTCCGGCATCTTTGTCCGTTTTCGCTTCATGCTCATCATCTGCCGATCGAAGCTTCTTGAGTTCGATATGCTTCTCATCCGTGGCCGGGACCACTCTATCCACAAATATGCCCGGCAAATCAACGTCATTGGGATCTATGGAGCCAATGGGCACAATGTTTTCCGCTTCCACAATGGACAGTGTGGCCGCTTTTGCCATAATAGGTCCAAATGCCTTGGTGGTATAACTAACAACGTAATGGTTAGTGTCCTGTATAACAAATAGGCGTCGATATAAACACACCGGAAAACACAATTCCCGGCTTCGTCTACTTTCCAAGCCCGCAGAATCGCCACATCCCCGGTCAATGCTGTTTCCATCAAGTATGTTTTACCATTGAAAGTTCTAATCTCCCGAGGAGTCCCGTGCTCCAGCACTTTGCCAGATGCTTCCAAGCGAACCGGGATCCTTCCATCCTGGAGTAAGGTATCTGGTCTATATCAGCGAAAGCCCCAGTAGTATAGCTTCGTATTCTAAACTCACGGGCTCCTGTAGGTGTAAAGAAGGCCGGAATCCCAGCACCTCCTGCTCGCAACCGTTCGGCTAATGTGCCTTGAGGGCACAGCTCAATCGCGATGTTCCCAGTCAAATACTTCTTCTCAAGGGCTTTATTATTTCCAAGGTAGGATAGAATCAGCCGATTAACCTGACCAGCTTGGGTAAGTGTCGAAAGCCCCCCTTTCCCAGGTGCGCCGGCGTTGTTTGAGACTGCCGTCAGGGAGTGGAGATTGCCATACCCCCTACGGTGAATGGCCGATATAAGAGTTTCTAAGAATCGGAAATTAGGCTTTAAAATCTCCTGTAGGATAATAGCAATGGCTTTGTAAATACCTGCAACGCCGCAAAGACCAAATCCAGAACTGAGTAGGGTAGACCCGCTCTTGAGATCAGCTACAGCTTCATCTGCATTCTTGAATAGCTTGGAGCCTCCGCGCTCAATCTTCGGGGCTAGTGACGGTTTTTCACCCGGTCCAGTTGAATATCTTGCGCCAAAAATGCTATCGGGTCGAATCAATGGTGGTGCACTTTTTGCGCAGCGTACCCCAAGGTGAAGCCGAGGCCGACAAACAATGACCCCCCTCCGCGACAAAGACAACGCTGAAACCCGCACTGTCACCATTTTTATCCTAATAAAAGAACGGCTTATACTGTGGAATTAATGCGAAGGGTTTTCAAAAGAAAGAAGACAAAACAAAATCAAGATTGTTTTATCAACATCACGCTAATTAATATACAATCGTGAGGCGACGGCACCGTCGGCATTCGGGGCTACTTCTGGACACCGAAGGGTGGTGGAGACCCGCATCGATTCCGATTGCTCGTATGGTGTAATCATGCAGCGCGGTTCTTACCAGGGGCATGGTGGGATCCAACAGGTTGCCACGAGACACGGGGTCAGAAGTGGAATTCTGTAGCACTAGCAAGGTCGAGCCAATCCCAACTCATCACAGTATCATCTAATGGGACGTCCGGGACAGTCGATCCGAATGCCGTACCAGCCCGGTTTACAGCATCGATAATTTGGTCGTCAGACATCGCAGAAAAATGCAGTGGTTCAGACCAGAGTAGAGAAGGTGAGAACGATGGTTGAGTATCCAGGAGTGCGGCATCATACCCACTCGTTGATGGAGCAGGCTGATGAAAAGTGTCTGCAGGGCCAATCCTTCGCGAATCAGGTTGGAATTGAGAACTGGGGTCTACAGGAGCACGTCGTATCAACTCTCGTAGAAATCTTCCATAGAGAACGGATGCGCCACTTCTATGGCATGGGGTAGCTCCGATTCGTTCTAAGACGCCGGCAGTTTCCTCGATCAAATTACGAACGCTTGAGGCCAAATTGGATCTGCTGTCTGCAGGTGTCACGCCGAGAGAGAGAGCAGAACATGCTGCAAAAGAAATCATAATCACCGTGTTGTTTGGCATAGACTTGAGTCGCGACTCGCCTTGAATAGCAGCTCGCATCACATTCAGTGCAGAGGAAAGGCCGGCAGCCCGGAAGAAACGTTTCACTTCAAGAGGTGCAGTGGGGTGGTTGATAACACCACCATATGTTGATAGCATAGTGTGCGTGACCAAGATTTCGACATAAGGCGGGAGAGAGTGCGCTTTGCGCGAAGGTCAGCTTTCCATCGAATAAATTCACTTTGTTCTGTTTCAATAAAGCTAGTACTCACTTTCGCCAATTGCTGGTGCCCATGAGGCGTACCATTGATTGTAGAAGCTTTCAATCATTGCCTTGATCCTTCGGGTTTGTAAGACAAGGTTTCGGTCAATGCAAGGGAATACATACGACTGGGCAGCCTCAGTTCCTGTATCAACAATTTGATAACTATCGCAATTTGATCTTACTTTTGTGAAAAGTTGGTCCTGGTAAAAAAAAAAAAAGGGGGAGGGGGAAGGAAGCTTTAGCTAGTTTTCGGTAGAGACAGAAGCAATATGATAGCTTCGTCCAAACAAACGGGTGACGTACCAGATTTCTTCTTAGGACTGCCACTGAATTCATAGGTCCATCACGGGAGTCTGCAATATCTGAAATATGCCATCGGTCACAATTCTCAATGAGGGTGGTTGGAGGAACAGTGTAGCTTCTTCCGCGAGCTAGGCATACTCTGCAGTTAGGCGGTTAATTGAACAGTGAAATTCAAAATTGCCTACTTGGTCTGGGATCCAGACTTACCCACGTTCAAGAACGAACAATGCAATCCAAGCCCTTTCTCGCCTTCGGAGCAACCTTCGGCCCCATTCAGAAGTTGAATCCACATTCTCAAATCCATCAATATAAAGAGCTCTTTTTGCATCAATGCAATCAGCCTTGGCTAGTCTCTTCAAGAAACTAGCATCGAAGCTTGAGGAAGGCAGTATGATCTTGTTTAGAAACAGATCCAATGCAACAGTCAAGGCCATTGCAATGTAAGAGCAAGTATCGTCATCACCCAGACACTCCCCTGGAGCCATCCATGGCACATTGACCATGAAAGCTAAGACAATCTCAACTGATCTATGCCGTTGCACCACAACACGATGGGCTAACGCTTTGCAGTGTCTAGAAAGCCTCTTGGATAATGCAGCAGCAGAAGGCAAGAAAAGAGCGGCCGCAGCAAGGATTGATGTGAAAAGAAAGGCGGACTGAGAGCGTACAAATAGCACGGTATGAACAAGAGGGTCGAGGCCCCATCGAGTGTGCGCGAGGTTTCGATAGAAACTAGGGCGTTGAATGTGAGTAATATCTCTAAAGCATGGTTTGTACAAAAACATACAAGGCAAAAAGAGACCCAGCTTCATCTAGAGTAACAAGTCCCAGTTCAATAGGATCGATACCCTTGCCAATGTCTAGGCTAGCTTTGATGGGTACAAAAAAGGCTTTTGCACCAGGGTCACTACTCTGGCGGTTACTTTGCGGTGCTGCTAAGAGTGTCGCCGAGGGCTGCAATAATGGTAAAGGTGATCTTTGTGCACCATTCCCACCATTCGGTGACAGTTGGAGGTCGGAGGCACGTGCGAGTAGCTGCAATGGGTTCTCTGCATCATCTAGTGCTAGATTTTCCTCGCTGTTGAAGTCACGGGGAGGTGAGCGACTGTGAGATTCATCAAGATCCTCCGATATGTCATCAGTTTCACTTTGTGACATTTGCCCTTGGGCCTTGTTGAGTAAGTCCTGGAGATCGGAGATTACTTTACAGGCTGCATCAGATCCTGGGGCATCAGTCTTGGGTCGTTTTATAGCCTGTTCTATTTGGTGTATTGCTTTGTCGAGGCCTTTGCGTTTGCTGGGAATAATTACTCAATTGTTTATCCTTTACCAGGACGAAGAGAACATGGGTAATACTTACTTTTTCACCCCCTTCTGCCTGCCGACATGGTGGCTAGGAATGATGCACTCCGAGTTGGCCTGCTTGCATTTCTCACAGCATGGGTCTCCAGGATTCCTGTTGCACCGGATCTTGCTCCTTCTACAATTCAAGCATGCAGCTTGCTTCCCATTCGATGTTTTGTTTGGTACTGAAGGTCTAGATTCCATCGCCTTCTCAGTAAGACACAAAAGAGAAAAGGCTGTTCTTCTTCCTGGGATGTGGCTTGCCTGTCCGGGAATTTGTCAGAAGACGGATCGTGTATCAACTGGTAATGTATGGGCGGTTCCATTACTCCATAAGTACCGGGTATTGTACGAAAGTCGTTTCGAAACGGTAACTGCCGGCTCTGTTCATTCCTATAGACAGACACTCGAATTTGCATTGGGTGCCTATTATTGTGTAGGATAGAGAAGAAATGTAAAGGGGAAAAAAATGCGTTTCTTCTCATTGGCTGAACTTGAACTGACAGGGTATGAAGATATTATATGCAAAAAACGCAAAAATAAAAGCCGAACGCGGGGGTCGAACCCGCAACCTTGAGATTAAGAGTCTCACGCTCTACCGATTGAGCTAGCCCGGCATGCATCTTGAATTAAGGGGATTTTAGTTTGATTGCTAAAGGAAAATAAAGGTTTAGCACACGTCTCTTATATTTATATCCATTTACCTTTCACTCGGGTAATGTCCAAAAAGAATTGAATGAAGCAAAAATAATGACCGGGTTGAACATTCATATAATTAATGGTTTCGGGCATCTCAGCACCTATCTATATATGTGTAAATATGAACACACCTGGAGAAGAGACGATAGAGCGTAGAGCGAAATGAGAACCAGTGCAAACCTAGCTGGGCGCAGGTAAAGATCAAATACTTAACTATACTTATCCATGCACGAAGGAAAGGGTATTAAAAATGGCCTAACTCTAAGCACCGACTTCCAGAGATATATAATTTAGACCCACGCCCAACAATACGTTGATGACCACCGAGAGAGGACAAAGAAGCAAAAGAGACAACACATAAGAAAGAAATTAAAAGACATAACTTCGTGAAAGTCGAGGAAATAGCTGTTAACTAGACCCGCAAGGCCAGATTCCGAACCAAACAGAGAACCAAGGCCTCGATACACCAACAAGTAGCAACGAACCCCATATTCCCCTGTTAGATAAGTGAAGCTGTTTTCTTGTTTGCCCAGTTTCTTGCCGTTTACAGAAGAAAAGAAGCCCCAGGACTGAAATCGCCAAACGAGCACGAAATCAGCACCTCAGTTGGCAGCTCTCAGGGCCCGTAATCTCGCACCAAGGCCATCTTCCAGTTCCGAATCGCCCTGCTTCGGCTCATGTACTTCTTCATTGGGGGCTTTGTCGGCCTCTAGAGCCAAGCGCATATCCACACCCGCATCATCAGCGAGCTGTTCCATCAGACGATCAACATCTGCTTCACCCTCCGCACCATACTCCTGCATCGACACCCCTTGGGCGACATCCTCGATTGCGCTACTAGCAATCTTAAAATCCTCCGAGCGTGCCAGAAAATTATTGGCGTGGGAGACTAGGTTCTCCAGATTGACACTCTTCGAGGCAGCATCCAGACCCCGCGATGCCAACGCAAGAGTTCGTGATGTGTCACGGGTGCTTTGGGCGGCTTTGAGTTCATTTATGATGACATCTGCCCGGGCGGCCTCGGCTCTAAGTGTTACCTGTCGTCGCTTTTCGCGGACGGCAGAAGCAGCGTGGATGCGGGCAATCTGGAATTCGCGGTTCTTCATGGCTTTGTCGGCCTTAGCTTTCTCTGATTTGAAGGTTGATTCAGCACGGATGGCCTCTTTCTTGAGTCTATTAGAGTGTAGCTATAAATGCAGAGATGCATAAGTTAGTAGCTGTGTTGGGGATCAAGGAGAAGACAAGATAGACGTTGGAGAAGCCTAGCGGGGCGGGTTTCATTATGCAACTCACCTTAACATTGGTGCGTGCCTCGAAAATGGGATCCTTTCGAACCATTTTGCTGAAACCAAAGAATCCAATTTTGAAAGAAAAGGAATATGAAAAGTCAGTCTGAAGTGGTAAGAAATCCGTCTGAAAACAAGGAAGTTTGTTTGTCTAGAAAGAGGCGGAGGCAACATTCCGTTCCGAGGGGCGCCTTAAGTCTAGACGGGCTTGCGTGGCAACGTCATCCAGATCTCCGTATTGAGAGTCGGTGGGACAATAATCTAGGCCGATTCTTTATTGATGAATTAACGGGTAACTACTAGTATTTAAGGCCAATTGTTGGAATACATGAGTAATGATGGGATTCTCTCTACGCAACTTTGGGCCGGAAACAATTGCCACTGGAGTATTGAGGGGTACGGGAAGGAATATCTAGCGTTCTCCTAATAATACGAACTATGTTGTGAAAGGTGTAAAGACATTGGAAATCGTTGGATTCTACTAGCATATTAATTGCTGGTAGTCATAATGTTGTAAAACTAATTATTGTACAGGTATATATCCCTCACCAATCCTTTCCCATGAGCAAAGACGTCAATGTCTTGGCTGTAGTTGTATTATTTGAACTCCATGAACTCCGTGAACTCCGATAAGACTTTCCGTGAAAATTGCGCCGACCATCTTGCGCTGAATTCAAACCGTTGATAATTCGTCGTCGATGTCCTGACTTCTCAAGGCAATCTATCGCCCAAGCCAAGGTTAATAGGGATTCCCAGTTCTGTCGACTCTCATGGCCTTCGGCGGCCGACCAGTTCCCCTGGGAGAAATTCTCGCTAACAGCCAGCTGCAATGCTCTGCCCGTCGCATCGCGAAGTGGACGCGCCAAGGCTGGGCTGCACGCTAGAAGTCTGGCGAGAAGCCTCATCCGGAAGACCGTGGGGCGTCTCGATGCCTTCGAGGGTGACAGATTCGGGGTCGAAATTAACCATAGAATCAAAGGGAAATGTCGATAGATCTCCTCCGTCGAGAACTTCAAAGGCGAACCCATCTTCAAGGACTGAAGAATCTGGCTCAGCGGATGAATCACCGTGGAAAAGGCGGTGGAAGTCATCGTCAGAAAGAGGAGCTGCAACGTCATTTGCAGAGTGAGGCTCAGCGCTTGCGCTGAGGTCAAAGAGTGGGAGAGCGTTTCCTGCTCCTTCGAGTCCAGCGACTGACACTGCAGGTCACACAACACCGCTGCAGGATGTTGTGTCATGTCGGAGGACTCAGCCAGAGTGGAAGGTTTAAGGGTGGGAGAATAATCGGTGAGAGATGGCGTAGGGAAAGGAATGCGTTCGAGGGGGAGCTCATCACGCTCCTGCTTGAACAAGGTGGGTGTGAGAGTCGGTGACTCGGTAGCCGGCGAGCTAGGTCTAGGAGTGCTGCCACGAGAACTTCGGACCTCTGCAGACAGCTGGGCAACTTGCTTGTTCAAACGGTTGTTCTCAGCCTCCATCTGTGCTAGTTGCTGAAGGAGGAATTGGTTCTGTTGTTCCATCTGGATTTTTTCGTTTTCCAACTTCTCCATCTCGAGCCTCTTGCGCTCGCGGGAGGTCTGAGCTGCTGCACGGTTACGAAGTACTCGCTCAATACGACGCTGCTCTTTTTCATCATCTGTCTTGGCTCGTTTTCTAAGTATTGATGTCAGTGAACTGATATCGTAGTCGGATCCGCTGCATGGAACTTTTCACATACCTAGGAGGTAGGTTGGTCTTAGGAACTGGGAGCTCCTGACCCCAGGACTTTCTCTTCTTTGCTGGCTTCTTCTCATCTGTCTTCCCATCAGGGCTATCCAGCGATGTATCCGCAGGATCGACTGTGAGTGGGGTCTCCGGCTCCGGGGTACCGGGCATGGAGTCTATCGACGAGAAGGTATCTTCCATAATGTACAGCCGTGAGACGCGATATCGTGATTGAATGTGATCTATCTCTGCAATGTACAGATAGAAAGGTGAATTTAAAGAAAAAGAGTTGCAAGGACTTGAAGCTATTTTGGAAGTATAGCTTTTGATGATCACGATATTCCACTTGCCCAGCTCACAGAGACAAAGGCCACGGTGTCATAACGGTAGAAACCGGAGTCCTGACTCCGGAAATCTAATGCAGAAAGTCAGATAGACTCGGCGGGGAGGGGAAAGAGTGGAAAGGACAAGTGGTCAGAAAAAGAGGGCTTGGAGAACAGAGTGTTCACATTGCAGACCTGGGGTGCCATGGACTCTTTAAAAGGCCAGCGTGGTCAGTTTGGGGCTCTTGAGCCCTTGCAAGGGGGCGGAGTCACTGTCGTCAGCGGTGTGACGGTAACATTACACTAAGACAGGAGGTTGCTTTGGGAAGGGCCTATGAATGGGGCGAGGTGGTGGTATGGAACATGTAATAATACACCTGGCCCGTGGTCCACCCTCGCTGGACCGTCTCGCCCCCTGAAAGCCAGAACTCGAAGCCCCCAAGGTCGCAAGCACTGCCCACAGTGCCCAGCCTCAATGTCTCTCGCCGCAGTCTCGTGCCTTGTGCGAACGGCTGACGTGCTTTGCGTTTTTCCCGCCCACTGTACTCGCGACAATGGTTAGGCACCCCCTTTTTTTTTTCTCAATGTTCTAGGTGTTTCTAGGACTCCACGGAGAATGCTCCATCAATGATCCCACAGGGGGCCTCATTGAAACCCCATTCACCAATCCAAGCAAATGATTCCCTTCCAAGTCGATTTAATTCTCCGTAGTTGCCCATGGACATAATTTTATTGGTGGCAATTTTTAGTAGTACCTTGCATCAGCCTCCATCGAACCCACCAGGCTGATCTGGACTACCGACTAGGTAGTAATAGTAGCAGCTGGGATTTGCGTTGGAGAATGGTATCTTACTTCAGCCCACAAGCATGCCTGCCTCATCCTGCTCCTTTATTTTATTATTCCTATTAGTATTTCCCTTCATTATTCTCTGGAGTAACTATGTATGTCACAGGTAGAACACCATTAACACCTTCCTAGACTTATCATCAATATACTCGGTCTGATGGATGACTACCTTAATCTACGTAGTATGTCCTAGGTAGTTATCCCTGAAACTCGAAATCCGTCAGCAGTCCAGCAGCAATTTAGGATCAATTTAACAACAATCATACTCCGTAATAATCACCGACCCTTTGTTGTTTATTCTGACAATTGACTCAGGTGAAAAGGGGCTTTGGGTAAGCCTTAGCGCCTATCCCGGAAATACGACCTTGCTACCTTAAGCCGCCAATCTTGATGCAATACCTTAAAACGTCATATGTACCATACGAACCCCTGAGAATAATGTGAACAGCATAAAGAACCAAACTTTTCATGTCCCGAGATCAGGGCCCTGAAGGGATGACGAGACACGCAAACCCGTCTATCTATATTTTAATTATCATCGAAATGCAATTGACGTCGTTCTTCATTCCATCGAAACATAAACCCTTCAAAAATAAACAAACCAAACCCCCTGACACCATGGGAATATATGCGAATTGAAAACGAGTACTCAAAAATCAAGAACGGTATAGAGGAATGTAAAACGCCCATGCCACTCACAATGACTCATGATCAAAACAGAAGAAAGTATATGTGCAAAGGAGTTCCCGGAATGCAACCCGGTAGGTTCCTATGTTGGTGAATCTAGAACGTAACATCCATGGTGTCGTCTCCAGCGTCGAGAGCATTCTGCTTCTCAGGGTCGGGAACCACGACACCTCGACCTCTTCCAGCCAGTAGTTCTCGTCTCACTTCGGGTCCAATATCCTTGTGCCCGCGAACAAGCAGCAGGTCCAGGAGAGCCTCACGCTGATCTTCCGTGATATCATTGCGGTAACGCTGTGCAAAAACCAGCAGAGATTGGTGCCAAAGAACAGGGAGTTTGTAGGCCTTGGCGGTGGCTCCAGATAGTCCATCAGTCATCATCGCGTCTTCAGAATTGTCGTTTGCGCGGAAGCGCAGGAAATGAAAAACGAGCGCGTCAATCACCTTGTATGGTAGTGCATACTTCTTCTCCAAGAATATACGGATGAACATGTTCACTGCGCCGGTACTTTCCAAGGACTTCATGGACTGTTCGGCTGCAAGGTCGCACATACGGAGTAGAGCGGCAGCGGAATGCAAGACTGGGATGGAGACACGTGCGATGACCGAAGAGACAATGTGAGCTTCCCGGAGGGTGCAGGTTCCGCTGGAGACCAAGGGAAACAGCAACCCCTTGAAAAAACAAGCGGGTTTGTACAGAGCTTTCTTAAGCGAGTTGTACGTATGAACATTGAGCTTCTTAGTCTCGTGAATCTCTTCGCGGACACGGTCCAGTAATACGGTCGAGATAAATTCCTGAGCAACAGCAGGCTTAGACGAAATGAAAATTCTGGTACCAGCGTAAACAGCGTTGGCTGTCCACGACTCCGGATTCGTAATAGACAGAAGGGTCGGCCAGTTTGGAACTGATGGGAGAATCTTAAAAGGTTTCGGAAGAGGCCCAGACTTATAACGGGAGAGAATCATTCCAACTCTTGATCTCGGATTAGTACTTAAAACAGCTATGGGTGGGATAAACAAGAAAACTCACTTTTCATATACTTCGACAGCCTTTGCAGGTATTTGGACAGCATCTTCTGCTAGTCCACCTCCTTGAATGAATGGCCCACCTTCCCCAGATTGCTTCGCCTCATGCTCCGCAATCTTTTCAAGAATCAATTCTGCCAAGTTCGTACTTTGGCCGTCGGCGTCCGGGTTACTGGGGTTGAATATCGGGTCCTCATCACCACCGGGAACAAATTTATGAAACATGTCAAGATCATTCGGGTCAACCTCCTAAGATGTCATTAGAATCTACCACAAAATGATATTCAGAACTCAGCTGCGGGGAACATACAACTTCTTCAATTTCATCTTCTCCCCATTGATCTTCCGCAAACTTTTCTTCGTCGTCTGACAGAGGCTCATCATCTTCGAATCGGGATTCGAAATCAAACGCAGAGTTCACTTTGCCCCTTGTTTCCCCCATTGCAGCGCTTCGTTCGGCAGCATCCTCATCGGCCAATTCTTGTCCAATCTGCAGGATCTTACGGGACATCTTCGCATCAACGAATCGCTCTCCATCGTGCCCATCTTCTTCAGACTGTGAATTGCGCTTGTTCTTTTTGGCAGACTGCGTTCGTAGCTGGCCCGCAGATGTCAGATCGTCGGCCAGAGGATTGTGCCTGCGGGCAGCGGCGGCCGAGCGAGAGGAAGTTGATGCCTTGGGCATACTGTTTATATTTTCCCTATAGGATCTGAGTTGATGTTGAACTGAAGAAAGAAGCAAAGTGTATTATCTCATAACATGTGATCTTTTCTTTTCTTCTGTCTGCTTGGGTAAAGAAAGAGCACAGGCGTTTTATCGCGAATCTTTTCTTTCAAAAATTGTGTGTAAATTTATTAGTCATGTGATCTCAAAATTTCTGCCGAGCGGTGGGAAAGTTACTTTTTTCTTTTTTTTTTTCCCCCGAAGCTCCTTAGTGGCTGAGAACCCTGGGTACCGCCTGGGATATCCTACGGTGGATGGTAAAATTTCCTCACCGCTCTCACAGCCCCTCCAGAGCGGCATGCATGGCTAGGTACAGTTTTATGTCGGCACTTTTTAGTACTGACCGCCTTTTAATAAACGTTGACAACGGTCTCCGCCTTCTCTCCACTCCCCAAAGAAAAGCATCATAGGCAGCTTACTCTTCGTTACCGGCGTCTGAATGCAGCTTGCATAATATAATTACTGGCTTAATCTTAGTGCATTATTTCACATACAGGTTCATTCCTACTGGGGGAGATTCTAGCAATCTATGAGTGGATTTGCTGTGGAAATTCAGGTACAGCCCATGACATTCATTTGAATATTTTTTCTTTGATCAACCAGAATCTGTAAGTCAAGTTCCGCTCACCTGTTCAATTGATGCAATCAATGGAAGATATCACTTTGGGGCTACTATTTCCCAGCCTTTGTACGCCTAAACATCTCTGACAGTATGTTTTTATTCCAGGTATTTTGGGCTATTTTGATTGTTATTATGCCCTTCTCGACCGCTGTGCCCCTCTTCTTCAACTGAGTCTACCATTATTACTGCCGAATACACCATTCCCCCTTAATAGCGAATTCTCCAGCTTACGCGGCCATTTCTGCAGCGCATGTCAGTGTCCCCAGAGTTGGATATATCATTTAATACACTTGTTTCTGCGTTCAATTCCGGAAACCGGTACATAATAGCCTTTGCTCTTAGCAGGAGCTTGTGACTTATTCACTGATCAAACACATCTCCTAAAGCCGATACTTGTGACTAGGTGGTTTACATAATATACAATCACTTCTTGATACGAAACCCCAGGAGTGTTATTCCATAATGGCATCTGCTCAACCAACCGGGTCCTCGGCACCTTCGTCTAACATTAATTCCCCCATATTACCACAGGGCACTGCACCATTTATCAGTGGTGCTGTGTCAGATTTGAACGCAAGGTCGTCCCCAGCACCCCCTAGTAATGCATCTGTGCAAGGTGATGGTACAAGATCGAAGCGCAACAAACGAGACAGTCGCAAAAAGCGCGAGGCCAAGGGCTTGGATCAGGAGAATATGCCCCTTAAAAAAAAGGCTGCTGTCGTCCATAGCACCGCCCTTCCGAGCTCAGATCTCAGTATCCTGAGACCTTTGTTACTCGCCGAGCCCAGAAATTCCGATCTTTTTCCACCTCAGCCACGTCAGATGAATTTTGTCAACCGAAAAACATCCACTGTGCTTGGCCAGAGCTGGGACTTCTATGAGGTTGTGGACAAACTCACAAATAAAAATGGCTTCCGCTACAGTTATGCCATAGCGGACCCGGGGTTTCCACACATAAAGTACCGTCAAACCGATGTTTACCCCTATAACGCTCGTTTCAGCTTTGAGGACTCACCTGCAGCGATTGCATTCACGAAGGATGCACTCGCGGTTACAACCCCTGAACCCTGGTATACTGCACGTGCAAATGTATGTGCACGCGAGGGAACGTATTATTATGAAGCACGTGTTATTAGCGGTGTTGTGAATGACTCGCAAACCATGCCTAAAAATGGCAGCTCTGGGACATCAGCACGAGGCCATGTCCGTCTTGGGTTTGCACGTCGAGAGGCTGATCTTGATATCAATGTTGGTGTTGACTGTTATGGCTATGGAATTCGCGATGCGAATGGTGAAGTGGTCAATCGAATGCGTTGCGAGTATTTTTTCCCAAAAGGCGAATCCATCAATGAAGGTGATGTTATCGGTATGCTCATCACTCTCCCTTCGCTCGCTCTCCACAAGAAAGTGGTCGAAGGGACATATGATCCTTCAGTCGATGATAATACCCAATCACTAAGCCTGGAGCCACCATCAACCATGAACATCATCCGTGACCGTATCCCCTTCCACTACAAGTCCGACTTTTGCTGGCAGCAATCCAACGTATTCCCTACAAAACACCTCCGCGATTATGCATTCAACCTCAAAGAGACTCCTACTTTTGGCCCACCGTCGCCACTGAACAGCGAAGATGCTTCTCTACGTACTTTGCCAGGCTCAAGCGTGGCAATCTTCAAGAATGGCAAGAAAATTGGCACACCGTTCAAAGAACTATACGCATTTCTACCTCCAGCTAGTCGCCTTGCAAACGGGACTAATAATTTAGGCATCGGAGAGCGTGAAAATGCAGACGATGGGATGATTGGGTATTACCCTGCTGTTAGTTGCTATGGGGGTGGAGCGGTGGAGTGTCGTTTTGAAGGCCCGTGGTGGGTTGGTCCGCCTCCTCACACAGAGAACGGCGAGCAGGTCCGAGCAATAGGTGAACGGTTCAGTGAGCAGATTGTGGAAGATGTTGTGGCCGATATAGTTGACGAAGTCGAGGCAATGCTTGTATGGGGTGATATGGACGGCAATAATGTCGTTGGAAATGCAGAAATCGACGGTTCTGGCTCTGGTGTTGTTGGAGGCTCCGAGGTCTTGAAGAGTGGGGTTGGGGCAGCCTATGAGTCGGTCATGCCTTCGGATCCTGCAACGGAGACCCCAGTCGCTGAGAACAGCGCTGCCAACGAAGCGGCAAGCGTGGCCGAGTCTGGCCCAGGCAACACCACATTTGATGATGCAATGAGTGTTGGAGCAGCAGGTACACCAAATACAGAAGCAGCAGAAGCTACGGCGGTTGGTGAGGATATCGAAATGTCTGGTTGATTAAGTGGCTGGCACTGCGGGCTTTTTTCTATAAAATGACATATTTGCCAAACGTACCTAGTATCAGGCATCATGCTTGAGTTTGCCATAATTTGCAGACATTGTGGTAAGTATAGCAAATCTGGAATAGCATATTTATATAGGTGGTCTTATCCCATTCCATAATGTAAACGTAATTTCGGCAGGGTGTTCGTTCGATTTATACATATATAGATTAGGTGCTGTCTCAACAAAGTGCAAGTCACTTAAGAATTAGACATTCGCTATTATCAGACAGATGAACCCGCTAGCTCTTTGCCTTCTAGCAGTTCTCCTAATTTAAGCACGAGCTCGTCATCGCCATATTGGCCAATTATTTGGATACCGGCCAAATTCGCTTCTTTTGCATCTTGAGCGTCACAAGCCGCTTTGACTGGAACTGACACAGCAGGGAGGCCAGCAAGGCTGGCGGGAACAGTGAATACATCGTTCATGTAGGCATCCAAAGGGGAATCCACAGCGTGGGCATCCAGCAGATCAGATAACGATGGCGGAGAGGAAGGAGCAGTGGGGCAAACGATGACATCAACATTAGCCTCCTCTGTTTTATGCTGGGCATCAAACCCGGAAAGACTGGCTATCGGATGTTCTGCTGTGAAAACAGCATTGAAGTCTTGCTGGATTAGACGGCGGACGCGCTGTGCTTGAATGAAGTAATTGTCTATAGCACCAGCGCTCAAGCTGAATGTGCCGAGTAGAATTCGCCTTTTTACTTCAGACCCAAGCATTTCTCGAGTGTTGCCGTACAGGTATCTTCCCAATCGGTCATCACTGTCAGGACCCTCTGCGCGAGTTCCGTATCGAACACCATCGTATTTTGCCAAGTTAGAAGATGCTTCTGCAGGTGCAAGTACGTAATATGCTGAGAGAGCTAACTTCGTCGCTGGTAAAGAGACTGGGCGAATACTATGACCCTGCTGTTTCAGATGGGCCAGTGAGAGAGCCCATGCATATCGAACAGACGGGGCTAGTTCTGAAATGTTATATTCAACGGGGACACCAATTCTGAGGGGTGATGACGTCAGTCGAGATACGGAATCGTGGGTATTAAGCCGTGTGAGAATCCGAGAACGGGACGTCGAGGAGATATTAGTTGGATCGCGAGGATCATGCTTGTTTACGATTGCTATTCAAATACACGCTGTGTTAGCATCTCACTAGAATATACAACGCAAGGAACCAGGAAGGCATACTAAAGACATCACGAACGCTGGAAATATCTCTGCCCAGAATACCAACAGTGTCCAGTGAGTTGGCATATGCAACCACACCCCATCGCGAAATAAGCCCGTAAGATGGCTTAAAGCCGACAGTCCCCGTGTATGCAGCAGGAAGCCGAACAGACCCGCCTGTGTCTGTACCCAGTGCTCTAAATACACGCTTTCAATCAGTGCATACATTCGAAAGTTCAGGAACAGGGCTGATACTCACACATAGCATTGATTTGTAGCAACGGCAATCGCACTCCCGCCGGAGCTTCCGCCAGCAGAGAGACCTCCGTCTTGACATTGTCGCAGATTTTTGACTGATCCAAATCGCGAATAGATGGAATGAGACCCCATCCCAAATTCATCCAGATTGGTTTTCCCGGCAACAATGGCCCCCGCATTTTCTAATTGTTCGACCACCGTGGCGTTGAATGGGCTGGTGAACTTATCCAGTATTCCAGAAGCACACGTCGTCGGGAGATCACGAGTGCATATATTGTCTTTAAGGGAGATCAATCGGCCGTCAACTTTCGATTTGCACGTCCCTAATCAGAGAGAGAGAAAAAAAAAACTGGCCGTCAGCATCATCTTAACAACATGAAACAAAGGGCAAGCTCCTACCTTGCTCGTTTCGAATATCCGCATCCTTCACCCGCTCCAGCCATTGCGCGGAGCGTCGTAAAGGAGTTATAAAAGCATTAAGGGTGGCATGGGCTTTTTGATTAGCGACACATCTTTCAGCTTCGCGCAGAAGGGACATTTAGACCTCTGGGACGCAGATGGCGAGGTGGTAAGAAGAACCGTGGCCAGTGGATAGATGGATTCCCGCCGTGATAATCTGCTGGTGGTCCGTGCATTTCTCGGAATAGCGAACAAAAAGCATCATTCCCCAATTGTACATCCAAGAGAGTATATATACTTAGCACCTAGGTATAGAAAGATATGATACAGATTTTATGTAGATAATGATGTATGCTGGCTATAGACCCCATGATGTCTGGGTGGTAAAAGGTCTGATATTTAGTTTTTAACATGGTGAAATATATTATTCAAGGCATATTATGATTTTTGTAGCTTCAACATTTTTTAATACTTCTACATAATTCTTTGTTTTTTGTTTGAATTCACATTAAATGAACTGCTACATAATTCTAGTTGAAATATAGTTACCACAGTGTATGTATGTACATATTTTGACTTATATGTAGTTACATACATACTTGGAGTAGGTCCCTTTTAATCGATAATTATAATTGCCTTGGCTAATTGGATTATTGGTGTGCTATCAGTTATACTTCATTTATTAGTCACACGCACACCTGTAAATCGTATATAGACCGCGCTCAAAAAAGATTTGGTCATCCTGTTGGTGCAATAATCGATGAAGTCGAAATGTCAAAGGAGGATAATGTCTTTGCAGCCTTTCCGTCGGCCCGACGGCTTAAAAGCACGACGTCATTCGGAATTTCTTCTAAGACAACACCGAGAGAAGAACAACAACTCCTGACATCTCAGTGTCTTTTAATAAATTGAAACTGTCAGTGAAACCTGGAACAAGCCCATAAATTTGCAGCGATAATGCTCTCCCGTGGCGTATTACGAGCAACAGCCGTTAGTTTTCGCAGCAATACGGCTTTATCGCTGAAAACTAGAGCTTCTTTCCCCCTAGCCATAGGCCAATGTCAAAAGTCACTATCGAGTCCGTTGCCCGAAGGACGAAGATATGTTTCGGTCTACGGTTATACACAGGCCAAGGCATTGATATACTCGCGATATGGCGAGCCACAGGATGTTTTGCGGTACGTGACCCTTTTTGCCCTTGAAAATTTGACTCCCACGGAGAATCATTGACATCTGATTACTTGACTAGACTTCACAACCATTCAATCTCACCCCCTCACGGCACAGAAGTTACTCTTCGTCTTCTCGCTGCGCCGTTGAATCCAGCCGACGTGAACCAGATCCAAGGCGTATACCCAAGCAAACCACCGTTCCAGACAACACTTGGCACAGAAGAGCCATCTGCCGTGGCTGGCAACGAGGGTGCTTTTGAGGTCATTGCAACTGGCGCAGGTGTCAAGAATATCGCCAAGGGTGATTGGGTTATCATGAAGCAGACTGGACAAGGGACATGGAGGACTCACGCTCAGATGGACGAGTCGAAGTTGATTAAGATTGAGAACAAGGAGGGTTTGAGCCCACTTCAGATCGGCACAGTGAGTGTCAACCCTGTTACTGCGTACCGGATGATTAAGGACTTCTGTGACTGGGACTGGATGCGTGCTGGCGAAGAGTGGATCATCCAGAACGGAGCCAACAGCGGAGTTGGCCGCGCTGCTATCCAGCTCGCTCGCGAATGGGGAATTAAAACGCTGAATGTTGTACGGGAGAGAAAGACCCCGGAAGAGACCGAGGCAATAAAGAATGAGCTCCGTGAGCTCGGTGCGACGGAAGTGGTCACCGAATCTGAGTTATTATCGCGTGAATTCAAAGGGATGGTGCATCAGTTTACCCGCCAAGGCAAGGAACCCATCCGCTTGGCACTGAACTGCGTGGGAGGGAAGAGTGCGACTGCGCTTGCAAAGACACTGGCCCCAGGCTCGCACCTGGTGACTTATGGTGCCATGTCGAAGCAGCCAGTCGCACTGCCATCTGGTCTTCTCATATTCAAGAATCTATCCTTCGATGGTTTCTGGGTGAGCAAGTGGGGGGATAAAAATCCACAGCTCAAAGAAAACACTATCAATGATGTCTTACAGCTGACCAGAGCGGGTAAATTTAAAGATATTCCTGCCGAGGACATCAAGTGGAAGTGGGATACAGATGGTTCGGAACTCGCGGCAGGTGTACAAGGAACCCTCAGCGGATACCGGAGTGGTAAGGGCTTGTTCAAATTCGAAGGCGGAGATTAAATGGGACAGTCTTTCTGTTGAAGTTTTTTATATAATAAACAAATAATTGATCCATGCGACGGTGCTGTAGCTTGATGATGCTTATTCACTGGTGCCAACAGAAGAGATGAATATAGGATGGACAAAGCCCACATTATGCTTTTCCACAAGACCAGTTATCCTTTACCCAGTTTAAGATGAGATTCGTTAGAGTCATAGAAGGCATATACACGTCGCTGTCACGCGAAAAGTCGACATCAAAGCTTGCAAACTTCGCCGCTATTGCCACATACGATTCGATAAAATCAATGTAAACCAGATCTACCTTTTTCGGCACATCAGAGTTTGAAGATACCAATACCTGAAGGCAATTTGGCACACGATAGAATGGGATAGGGAAGTGGACTGTGTCGTCGCCATCTGTGCCTCCAGCATCTGTTGTTGTATAACCGGGAATAATTTTTGGGGGGGCATCATGGCCCGACAGTAACGCTTGACCGGCAAAGGAGCCAAGATTTGCTTGGATATCCCAAACGGAGTTTTCTCCAGGAACAAAGTCCTGAAGGTATGCATATTGTTCTGGGGGAGCGAGCGTCCACGGCGAATAACCCGATTGCTGGCGGGATTCGGTAAAAATCTGGGGCTGCTGGTTGAGGATTTCTACTATCTGTTTCGCTTTACCATAGGGAACGTCTTTCAAATAACGAAATCCACTTGTGAAAGGAGACACGATGAAGGTTGTGTCTTGCGTAAAGGGCCCTTTGAATATGTCAAAGCGCATGGCTCCTGTATTGACAACAGCCAGTGCTGGCTTTCCACCGCGAGACTCATCTTTCAACGACTCAGGAATTACTTGCTCTTGGAGCCAGGTATATATGCTGTCATTGCTCGGGTACTTGGCACGGGATAACCAGAGATCTCGAGGGGCGCAGCCATAAATTTTATCCAGCTCAAGGGCATGCCTGGATTGTTGTATTACTTGGGTTACGTTTCGACCATTTTCGGTGGGAAAGTTTGTCTCATTCAGCCCTGCATGATGATGGAATGAGAACAGATTATTGTCAATATACTTGCGATTGAAAACGGGAGCAGCCGGAGCGGGCCTGGCCTGTGGATTGCCAATGGCCAAACCATCAATAGACATGAACCCGATGGTTTCCATAAAACGGCCACTCGCTAAACCGTAGGCCTTCAAGTCATACTGAACATAGTCACGAATGTGATAATGTCCACCAAAAAACTGGATTGGCGTATCCCAGTGAACGCTCCTTATTTCATTGAATACGGCGTTGAATTCCTTGGATTTAACGGGCACATGCCCAGCAACCAGAAAAAGATCGACGTCTCTGTCTCGGATAGCTTCTTGAAACCAGTCCTCCTTAATGCTCTCCTCCACGGGCTTGACAATTGTGTTATTTTCATTTTTCATGAAGTCGAAAATGAAGCCGAAAGCAACGATACGAATGCCCTGTTTCTTGGTGGTGAACTTCTTGAATCGTGGAGCGAACGGCATAGCCTCTTTCGTAGTGGGATGAATGATATCGAGGTTCGATGCCAGATAATTGCCACGAAAATTTGGCACGGTTGTAAAAAATTCAGCCTCAGAGGTGTTCTGTTTGTATAGCTCATGGTTCCCAACCGTTATCAGATCGATGTGTTGATGGCGTAAAATGTCAGAAATATAGACACCTTTAGGCTCCGAGGAATCATAGAGGCCATTTCCTTCTACTCGGTCCCCTGTATCAATTACCAAGAGATCCCATCCCTGTGATTCTGCCTTTTCACGCATCCGGGTCGCGAAAGAGACATAATCCCCCCAGTCTGCGGAGTATGAAGCTCTGCAAATAAAGTCAGCCAGTGAATATTGTCAATGTGCAAGAGTTTTGGCCCCATACTCTTGCAGATGACCAGCGAGCCAGCCATGAGTATCCGTGGTGTGGAGGAAATTAAGCTGACCCCATCTCAAATCACGTAACGGGGCGGGAATGGGATCGGGAGCAGACGGTTGAACAGCCCGACATGCAGTGGAAAGGAATGAGAGAAGCGTAACAGAAAAAAGAGAAAATCCTGGAACCATTCTCTCGAGACTGCTCCACTTGAGTATAAATAACCAAGAGAAATAAGGCGTAGAGTAGATAGTCCCTGTATTACTACTCCGTGGGCAATCGTAGAACAATCCCTGTCACAACACTCCATACATAGATATGGATAGCATAGTTAGAAGCCCTGGGACTACCTGGGGGATTCTGGTACGTAAGAAGCTGCCGGTGAGACGCCCGCTTAGTCATTTCCCGCCCAACAGCGTTCTCACCAAAACCAAAAACCATCGCCGAAAAGGGACAGGAAAACGAAAAAGGCGCTTTGGCTTTGAATCTCGGTTTCCTTTCTCATCTCCGTTGCCAATTCGGATCTCACTATCCACGTCTCTTACCGGCAGCGTTCTTTGTTCCTAGTGAACTCCTATCTCATCTTCTTCCCTTTCTGCTGGCTCTTTTTTTTTTGTCTTAACAGCCCCGGCCATGGCTGCTCCCCGACTTTTCCGCCCTGCAGCTCGTCTGCTTTCTTCTCGCCTTTCCTCTACTCCTCTCCGTCCTGTTTTTCAAAAATCCGCCTGTGCTCCGGCTATCTTGCGTGCCCGGGGTTATGCTACGGAAAGCGGCGTTAAGGAAGTCACCGTTCGAGATGCATTGAACGAAGCCCTTGCGGAAGAGCTGGAGAGCAACCAGAAGACATTCATTCTGGGAGAAGAAGTTGCGCAGTATAACGGAGCGTATGCTTTCCCCCTTTCCATTACAATGAAAACAATCGATATCGGATCGCATTTCCTGACTGCTATTGGTCTTCCAGATACAAGGTCACAAGGGGTCTTTTGGACCGCTTCGGTCCTAAGAGGGTCATCGACACACCCATTACTGAGGCAGGATTTTGCGGTCTAGCTGTCGGCGCTGCTCTCGCTGGCTTGCACCCCATTGTACGTTTCGATCCAGTTGCACTTGGAAGGGGTGGGGGAAGAAGAAAGCCAAAGAGGTTTTGTGATACTAACTAAAACTGGATGCGAATAGTGCGAGTTCATGACCTTCAATTTTGCCATGCAGGCCATCGATCAAATTATCAACTCCGCTGCTAAGACACACTACATGTCCGGCGGTATTCAGCCTTGCAACATTACATTCCGTGGTCCCAATGGATTTGCCGCCGGTGTTGCTGCCCAGCACTCGCAAGACTACTCGGGCTGGTACGGCAGCATTCCCGGATTGAAGGTGGTGTCTCCTTGGAGCTCTGAGGACGCCAAGGGTCTGCTGAAGGCCGCCATTCGTGACCCTAACCCCGTCGTTGTGCTGGAGAACGAGTATGTATAATCGCAGTGTTGAATTGGTGTGCAATGGAACCAGCGGACTGACAAAACCCAGGCTTCTTTACGGTCAGGCTTTCCCCATGAGCGAAGCCGCACAGAAGAGCGACTTCGTTCTACCCATTGGCAAGGCCAAGATCGAGCGACCCGGCAAGGATCTCACTATCGTTTCTCTTTCCCGCTGTGTCGGGCAGTCTCTTAACGCCGCCGCTCAGCTTAAGCAGCAGTACGGTGTTGATGCTGAGGTTATCAACCTCCGGTCCGTCAAGCCTCTTGATGTTGAGACCATTATCCAATCACTCAAGAAGACCGGTCGTTTGATGTGTGTCGAGTCAGGTTTCCCCATGTTTGGCGTCTCTTCTGAGATTTTGGCTTTGTCCATGGAGTATGGTTTTGACTACCTGACCGCCCCTGCTCTTCGTGTCACCGGTGCTGAGGTTCCTACCCCCTACGCCGTTGGTCTCGAGAACATGAGCTTCCCCCAGGAGGACACCATTGTCGGCCAGGCCGCGAAGCTGCTGCGATTGTAATATGGCCCTTGTATGAGCGACGAACGAACGAGGGAAGCCTGAGATAATCGCAGTAATAAAAACATGTGCCTAGTACCCTTTACTGTTACAATCTTTTCTTTTGTTTTTTCTAATTTTCCCCAGCCAACTTTTTTTTTTTGGAAAATCTGTACGACTATATTAAAGGATAAACCACTTTCCATTTCTTGAACCAAACCATTTCCACCAGATAATGTTTTCACGAAGTCCATATTTGACGTAAGAAGAGAAAGCGCCTAAGTCGCCCAGCCTTGATATAGATGGTAAAACTTTGATGTCTATGGCGGATCTGGACTCCAAGTTCCATCTAACCAATTTGTGCACATTTTGGCCATTAGAATACAAAAGAACGGTGAATAAGCTTGGTCATAGTGCGGTGGCGTCAACCTTTTTGATTCCTGTGCAAGTAGCAAAACAATCTGTAGGCTTTCGCGGATCATAGTAGCCCCCACCGACTCGATCGTCGGCGTAATCTTCATCAGTATCACTTTCGCCATCATTGTCTTCAACTGCTGTGTGTTTGTCTGGTTTCACTTGATAATCGACGTTCGTCCGGATGGCCTCTACTCCATCATCGTCATCTCCCAAGACGTTTTTTTTCACAGGCGCTGCAGGAGCAGCAGTACCCTTGACGGCCGTGAAGGAGCTCTTGAACCCCCCCTTCTTGAATCCAGATCCTTTTCCTACACCACCGCTGACGCTCCCGGGACCAGGCCCAGGAGCTGGACGATTTTGGGTGGTGTCGATCACCCTCAAGCCAGCTTCCGCGTCGGCTTTTTTCTCTGCTCTCCTGGCCTTCTCTGCGGCATTTGGATCACGCGAGAGTTGCTTAAGATCTTGAAGTCGTTTGCGATGTTGATGGTCATACGAGGAGATATGGGCTTCATATTCGGGATGACGAGAGTATGATTTATTGCAAAGGGTACATGTGAAAGAGCTCAAAGCAGAACGCGCAGACTCGGTCTAAAGATTAGTTGAGAGGTATGAACTAAAATCATAGAGAAAGGAGCAGATTGCCACCGTACTTTTGGAGCTGGATTTGTGAAACCACGCTATATGATCAACGAAATGCAAAGACATCAGCATTCACATTAAATTCTGAGAGGTTTCCAGACATACAGGAGCCATCTTGTCTTGAGCCAATTGGTATAGTTATACCAGAACCAGGCAACCACAAACAATATCCTAAATTAAGACGGTCAGCAAGCCATTTAACAGAAGGCATTGAGATAAACAAACAGTTAAAGTAAAGCAAATTATTATTTTCAAGTTTTCTTTGTGATCTGAAGTCGTGATCGATTATATTGAGATGACCATGGCCCTTCTCCTTAGTCGGGTTATTTTGCTGGCAGAAAAGTCACCGCTTGAATGGTGGATGGAGTGAAATAATATTAACATACTATGCATGCAGGTACTCTGTATCGAGCTCTACAGAATACAATGGGGTAAATAATAAATTTCATTATAGGAAAGACTAGCTGGAATAATAATGGTTTCTTATCCCAGGCCATTGATATTTGTATCATTGCTGTGTGTGTATATATGTATATAATGTAAGGAGAGAGGAGAGGCACTGATGTCAGAGCACCGTAAATATTGATGTTTTCAATATACTACTACATATATATCCTGGAAGTACTATTATCACTATCAATTATTGTACAGAGTACGGAGTGCACACCCAATCAAGTGAGGTAGGTCAGGTAGTAGCTACCTTACATACTGCAACTATCCGAGGCCAAGGAGCTTGAAAGATCGTCAACACTCGGGTTCGAACAACTAATGACCAGCCAGCCAATGATGCTGTTGCGATTGAAGATTGCCGAAGCTGCAATTCCCAACCAAATAATAAATTATCAACACTTGAAACCCACACACTTATCCGAAGAGACTTATTGTGAGATGTAAATATCAGCCAAAGCATCATAAATGGTTATGAAGTTATGACTCCGTGAATATCGGTATATATTGATCCATTGGCCGTGAATACTAGCTCTTCCAGGCTCTCGTGACTTTTCGACTACGATGAATTCCTCCATGGAAAATGCTTCATCGAAGCCAAGTGAAATTGACACTCGCTCCATGATGTCGATGCAGGAGGTAGACCCTTCTCCTGTGGACGATGAGACCCCGGATCTGGAAAGCGGCGAATACTTCCCAACAAAGCCCATACAGCGAGGAGTTCCTGAAAGCGGTTCTTCCATCCCTAAACTCGGCCTTCGGGGGTATAACTGGGACACTTGCTGTAAGTATACTTGAATATTATCATGCATTCCTTTTATTCTATGGTAAAAATGGTAGTTGACGTAAAATCGCACTTGCAGTGTCCATGCTCCAAAAATACTCTACTTATCCGCCAACCTTGTTCTTCGGCCTGCATTTTACAAATACTTCCCTCATTCCTCTAGTGACTCGCTCAGTGCCTGCCAGCGAAAGCTATTTGCTCCTCACGAGACCTATATATCAATCACCTTCTCTAGAGCATCTTGTACTGACCGTACCCGTTCTGATCCATATTGCGTCCGGATTTGCGCTAAGGAACATCCGCTCTTCCCGCCGAGCGCGACTTTTTGGAGCAGAGAATAGGTCTCAGCGCTATTTGCTCAAGCTCTGGCCTCGAATGAGTTTGCAAGCTCGAGTTGGATATATTCTTTCCCCACTCATTGGTGCTCATGTTCTGGTCAACCGTGTCGTGCCGCTAGTGGTCGACGGTGGAAGCTCTGGTATTGGTCTAGGATATGTTGCTCATGGGATCGCACGGAGTCCTGCTCTTTGGAACGTATACTACTTGGTCTTTGTGGCCGCTGGTGTCTGGCATTTTGTTGGGGGTTGGGCGTCGTGGATGGGATGGAGAGTTACCACAGCTTGGAAGGAACGAAGCAACACAAAAGGATCCCTTGAAGGGTGCCTGGGGTATATGGAGAATGGGAAACGGATCAAACGACAAAGGAAAATGTGGTGGATTGTCAACGGCATCGCAGCTGCGGGTGCATCTGTTTGGCTTGTAGGCGCTCTGGGAATCATTAGACGGGCTGGGGAGGGCTCTGCATGGGAGTCAAAGAGTTGGAATGAAATGTATAGACAGGTGCCTATCTTTGGGGGATGGTTATGATAATAGTGTTTGAATACTTGGTGATTTTTGGGGTATCAACCCCGCTATATATTATTGTACAACAGCAGATCTAGAACATAATATTAGTATTGGTGATGCATGTGAAATTTGAGGTAGTTAATCTCTAATAAAAGTGACCTTTTTCTAAACCTGGGATCAAGAAATCAGCTAATATTTATCCTGAATTGATTCTGTCGGCTGGGGAAATTTCCTTGGTCCGTGCACCATGGTTTTTTTCCCGGCGATCATCAAAAGAAGAGACGATCATATCTGTCTGTCAGTCCTTCGCACTGAATAGAAGCACAACCTAGCTTCTCTTCGGCATATTTGGCTTGTCGTTGATACTTGAGTCCATGTGTTTGGTTTCTCAGAAACGATTTTACTGCCTGACAACTCATCGTGTCCTCGCGTTTCTTAAACGCGAAGTCCCTCCATTTCCACGCAGTGAGCGATTCCAGTGTACCCCCTGCTGTCAAATCGCACTACCCGTCCAACGGAACTATAGATCGTTATCGTCAGTTATGGCAGGATTGCCCCAGTCTCGGATGGCGAATCAATTGGTGCAACATAGCGGCAAAGAGTATATGACAGTCAAGGAAGGACTCGCCTACATTTTGAACCCACCTGCCCAAAACGCCGCCTCAAAGGCAACGAAAAAAGATCTCAAAGCCGATGATGAATCCCAGTCTGTTTTCTACAATCCTATTCAGCAGTTCAATCGAGATCTGAGTGTGCTCGCGATCAGAGCGTACGGAGAACATGCATTGGCTGCGAAGAAACAGAAAGCCGAGAAGAAAAAGAATAAAAAATTTACAGGAAGTGGATCAGTAACGGGCAAAAAACGGAAAAGGGGCGAAGAGGAGACAGAGAAGAATGACGAGAAAGAAAGAGCTGTGGGAAACAGCAGCGAGCCTGCTCCAGAATTGCACCACGAGCAGAAGATTCCCCCATCATTCACCATCCTAGATGCCCTGTCTGCTACGGGGCTGCGCGCTCTACGATATGCTTCGGAGATTCCGTTCACAACATGTGTTATTGCCAACGATTTATCATCGTCTGCAATAGAGTCGATGAAAATAAACATTGAATACAATGGACTCGAAAAGTTGATTCGGCCCAATAATGGCGATGCGCGCGCTTATATGTATAGCGCTCATAATTCAACTAGTACCAATGTCGAAGGAATCAATACCAGCAAGTTCGATGTCATCGACCTGGACCCTTACGGCACTGCTGCTCCGTTCATGGATGCTGCAGTGCAGGGGGTTAAGGATGGGGGTCTTCTCTGTGTGACCTGCACTGATGCGGGTGTATGGGCCTCAAATGGATATCCTGAAAAGTCGTTCGCATTATATGGAGGCGTTCCAATTAAAGGCTCCCATTCCCACGAGGGAGGCCTGCGCCTTATTTTACATGGACTTGCAACATCTGCTGCCAAATACGGGCTCGCCATTGAGCCCCTTCTCTCCCTATCCATTGATTTTTATGCCCGGGTATTTGTTCGTGTACATCGATCTCCAGCTGAAGTCAAGTTTGTTTCGGGCAACACCATGATGGTCTACAACTGTGATTCGGGCTGTGGGGCGTGGTCAATCCAGCCTTTGTCACAGACCAGGCAAAGGCTAGACAAGAGAGGAAACCCTTTTTATCATTATGGGTTTGCCACAGGGCCGGCTGCGGGCCCGTACTGTGACCACTGCGGCTTCAAGACGCACTTGGGCGGACCGATGTGGGCTGGACCGCTTCATAATCCTCATTTTATCCAGAAAATTCTGGATATGCTTCCTGGTGCAGACAGAGAAATCTATCAAACGGTCGATCGCATTGAAGGAATGTTGACCACAGCACTCGAGGAAGACCTGGACTTCAGTGATCCCACCAAAGGGTCGATTCCAGAGCAGACCGATACAGTTGGCCAAGAAGCTGAGTCCACTGAATATGCAGCTATAATACCTCGCCTCGACCCGGCAACCCGGGATCCTCATCCTTTTTACTTCAGTCTCAGTGGCCTTTCAAAGGTTCTTCACACATCTACAATGCCAATTGACGCGTTCCGCGGGGCTATCCGCCATGTAGGCTACCGCTCGACCCGTAGCCACGCAAAGCCGAATACGGTACGCACGGATGCACCTTGGGAAATCGTATGGGAGATCATGAGAGAATGGGTGAGACAAAAATCGCCTATCAAGCCGGGTGCTCTCAGCACTGGATCTGCTGGCGCTGCCATTATGGAGAAGAGTCGAGAAAACCTCCGGAAAATAGACGGAGCGAATAAATTGCTGTCTCAGTTGAAGAATGAAATCGTATCTGCCGTTGAGAGCGGAAAGGACGCCAGTGACCTTGTGACAAAGGTCGAGGCTGCGCTATATCGCTCTGGGTCCAAGCAGGCATTAAGTCAAAACTTGTCCGAGGCTCAAGACGCAGGCCAAGTTGAGCCGCAAAAGAATCAAGCGCAGGTTGCCGCATCCTCTAAAGGTGCAATGTCTGCAAGCCCTCATCTAAATCTCGGCACATTGGAAGTCGTTTTCGATGAGGCTCTTGGCAGGGAGGCATCCGCTGTTCATACTAAGAAGCGCCTCGTCCGGTATCAAATAAACCCTCGGCCGAACTGGGGGCCTTTGAATCGAGCCAGTGGAGGCCAGCAGCCATAATATGTTGATACGCAAATGTAAATAGTCTTGTGTTGTTTGGAGACTGTATTCTTCTTTTCAACTTGCTTATTTTTTCTAGAATATCTGAAATCACATCATTGTGTATTTCCATTCAAAGCATCGAGTGCAAACAGAGCATTCGATTTCTCCCAAATTCAACACAGCTTTAATATGGGCTATAAAACGATACTTAGTACCTAGAATGGAAAATACGTATCTGAGTTGATTTGGATACACGCACATTCTACGGAGTACAGCAAAATATCATCATCCCCTGGAGGGCGCAACTAGCAAAATAAAAGAATCTACCGTTGACTGGGTTATTATGAACAAGAAAGAATAACAATCAAGAATATAATATAATATAAAATGGAATAGAATAAGATAAGCAAATCAGCCACATCACCGAAAACCGCGCTCAAGAATTCACTAAACTGATCACTATCATACTTGAGGACGGGGCGGCAAAAAGACAAGAAAATGTAAAAAACAACGAACATTGCGCTTGACCATCTATCTCAGATACATTAATATATGCCCATGTTTTTCCTAACATCATTAAAACTGCGAGACCGCGACTGCTACAGCTTGAGAATCACTGTGGCTGATACTGACGTTGACATTCTTAACACCAGCCTGTTTGGCAGCCTCAGCTGCAGCACCAAGAAGCTACGGCAGGATGTTAGCTCAATATCCTGTATGCAAACTTTCGGCCAAGGATGAACTTACATTGACCACAGGGGCCCCATTCGAATCACTTGCAATTTCAATATCCTTCAATGGTGCACCGGCACCCTTGCTGGAAACACCCAGAGACTTGAACACAGCTTCTTTGGCACTCCACCGCCCAGCAAACGATGCCTGAGGTGATGGCGCCTTAAGGCAATACTGCTGTTCGCTTGAAGTGAAATTTCTTTCGATGAAAGTGGCATTGTCGATATTGACAGCGTCGATGGTTTCCACATCGACACCAACCCTAGAGTTTTCGGTCGAATTGGCTTTTGCAAGAGACTCAACCATATGTCTAGTGCTCTCGACATCCTGCACATTGGGCTTTGGGGGAGATGCAGGGAACTTGAGCTCGGAAGTTTTCTTATCCATGGTCACACGATAGTCCGGGTTGAGGAAGACTTTGCTTTGAAGGTCATCTTCGTAAGGCGCCTTATTCTTCGCAACAAAGATACTGTTGTTGATCAAACCGTTGTGGAAGAAGCGGTAGGCCTTCTTCTGTCTGGCCTCAACCTTGGCCTTGTAGGTCTGGTACTGTGCCCGCTCAAGAGTGGCGTAGAGGTACTTGGGATGGATACCAATGACCTGAGCACCCTTTTGGCCGAAGCCAAAAGAAGTGACCGAGAAAGCTTTAATGCCATCTGTCTGGATGCTGCGACTGGGGTAAACGATGTGGTCAAACTTCTCCATTACCTTGTCCACATTGTCGGCGTTACGGTTTCCGGGAACAAGGCCGCTGTCCAGAACCTGCAAACAGCCGTTAAACATCCAAGCACCAGCAGCACCCTTCGGATGTCCAGTAAGGTACTTCTGGAAGATACCCATCAGGGCATTACCCTTCTTGCGTCCAAGGTGCCTCATCTGTTGGCAAATGACATCGGATTCGTTCTTGTCATTGGCGACGGTCGAGGTACCGTGGAAAGAAGCGACGCCGATATCATCGACTGTAAGACCCCAGGTGGCAAGAGCGCCACGAAGAGGAGCAATGCGAGAATCTTGTTTCCAAAAGTTGTTTCCAAGGCTGAACTGTGCATCCTTCTCCTGTCGAACAGCCTCTCGCTCGATGTGGTGGGCTCGCTCCTGCAAATACTCAGACACGTCGAATGACTCGGGGCCTTGGGCCTTCATGGCCTCGGCCTCTTCCTGTAGGTACAGCAGCTCCGACTCCTGCCATTCCTTGATCTGTTTCTTACGCAGATCTAGCTGTCGGCGGCGATACTTGATGTCCAATAGTGGAGATGGGAACTTGCCCGGGTTCTCGCGCGCAGTCGTCAGAACACCTTGACCCGGAGCAGGGACGGAGCGTCCAATCTTGTCGGTTGCGGTGGTCGTCAAGGCAATGACACCATGGATTGGTACACCCATATCCAAGGCAAGTTGAGCACTCATGATAAGTTGCATACCACAGCCCTGAGATTCCATAAACCCAGCACGTGTCGTGGTCGTCGGTCGCGACATCTCCTGCGGGGTACGGCCGTGGGCGAACTCATCTTCCGCGTTGCTGGTGGCCTTCATATTGGCGAATTCGTATGACCCTTCCTCCTGGAAGTCATCAAAGCCACCCACAAAGCAGACGCGAGCCTTTCCTTCCACAATAGTCTCGTATCCAATATCAACAGACTCAACAGCGGTAGCACAGGCACCAACGGGCGTCTTAATAGGACCGGTGGATGATAGAAGCAGCATGTTTACCCACGCGCTCATCGTGTTGATGAAGGATTCTTGCAAAATGTCCTTCTGCAGAGGCTTGTCAAGGTAGCGGTCTTTGTACATTCCTCTCAAAGCATGGGTGCCTCCAATACCGGAACCGATGCAGTTACCGACCTCAGATAGATGGACATACTTGTAGAACTCATAAGGATCGGTGATACCGGCGGAAAGCATTGACTCAGCAGTGCAGACGAGGACAAACAATGTGACTGGGTCAACCTGCTCAATGATATCCTCAGGAATACCGTATCTCTTAGCATCCCAACCAGTAGGGATCTGACCAGCAACCAACCGGTCGAACTGAAGTGCCTTGGGAATGAGAAGGGTAGCGCCCTTCCTGAGACGGACGGTAAACTCCCCGGACTCAGGGAGCTCAAATATTTCCACCTTGTCACCATGTTCGCGCTGAAACTCTTCCGCTGTCTCCTTCGAGGCTTCAAAAGGATCGAGGTCTTCCTGGATGACAATTTCCTGGAGCAGCTGTTTCTTGTTGGGGTCGTAGCCCTTGAACAACTCCGGTTCAATAAGTCGGATACCAGTGTGCTCGAGGATGAATTTTTCGTACTTGATCTTAACATCCTTGTCATCAACCGGTTCGCCAGTCTTTGAATCAACCCATCCCGAATAAGCCTTGCCCTTCAGCGGGCCGTTATGGTGCTTGATAAGGCCCATGATCCACGCCATTTCGACACAGCCTTCAAGGGAGAACTTGCCCTGAGCTTCCATTTCCCATCTCGTGCGAGAGTTACCCCAAGGCCCAACCTCCGAAAAGCCGGTGACAACGACGACCTTATCCAAGTTAACCATTCCTCTGAGGGATTCGTTGAGGGGCTGAACCTCTTCTTCCCAGTTAGGAAGGTTGGGGAACTCGAATTTGATGTTTGCACGAGGCTCCGCAACGACCTTTTTGTAAAGAACTTCACTGTCTTCACCATTGACAATCTTATTCTCGATTGCCGTTTCTTTGATGACAGCCTGGCGAACGTCGCTGGTCTCCATTATGTCAGTGCGAAGCTTAGTCATCAAACCCTTCAGGTCAGGGATGAACTGCAGCCCGCCGTTGAGATCGGCAAACACAGGGTCAACTTGGCAGAGGTTGACAATTGCAGGGGACATGAGACCGAGTAGGTTAAAGGCCATCTCCTGCTGTGAAAATGTGCGAACACCAAGCTTCTCGACGCCTTCAGCGACCATGTTATTACCGCTCATCAAACCAGTTCCGCGAGTCCAGCCGATGACAGCACCGCAGATGGTAAGATAGTTATTCCAGCTTTCGGAGTACCAGCGGTTGAAAAGAGTCTCTAAGCCAAGTTTGGATTCGGAATATAGACCGTCATTTCCGAATGTGCCGTGGTTGGGAGACAATGGCAAAATGACTTGAGCAGGACGGGTCTCGAAGCCGTGGCCCTGCTTTTGGGACTTGATGGAACCCAAGAGTCGCAGCAGGTTGGTCAGCATGATACGATGGGCAAGCTCAGACTTCGAGTCGATGGAGTCGATCTCGCGACCATTCTCTGGAATGGCAGCAAACGGAACAACAAAATCCAGGTCCCACCCAAGGCCTTTCTTGGTGTCGTAGATGTAGTCAACCAGGGCCTCGACATCTTGCTGGCTGCCCTGGTTGAAAGGAACCACGACGAGCTGGGAGCCACGGCCACCGTAGCGTGCGTACATAGCCTGGTAGTATTCGGTAACTTCACGCGAGTATCTGCTCGTTGTCACCACGACCTGGGCGCCACCACTGATCAGACCCTGGAGAACCTCTGCACCGATGGAGCCAGCACCGGCACCAGTCATCAGAACATTCTTGCTCTGGAAGGTCAGGCCTTCGCGCGCAGCAGATTCCATCACGTCAAGGTAGATACCGGTTATCTTTTTGTTATATTCCCAGCCATGATCCATCTTCTTCTTGAGATGAAGGAAAGGAATTGTTTCGACCTTTCCAGTGCGAGGGCTGCCATTTCGTTTAATGCCATTTCGCCCAGTTTTCTTGCCGTTCTCCTGCGGCATGATCTGGTTTTCATTCATGTTGAGGGCGCGCAGGACATCCTTGTAAAGGGCGTTGAATTGCAGCTGCGAGGCTTTAGACAGACGGTGTTGTCTGCGGATCAGCTTGTAGACGCTCTTGAGGTCGTTCTGAACCTTGGTCCGGTTGCTGTACTCTGAGATGGGGCCTCCTTCTGCCATCTGCTTCACATAATGCTCCAACTTACGAGCGCTAGCTCTGGGAACCTCTTTGTACCCGATGCTTCCCCGGGCATCAATAGTTGTTTGAGGCCCAGTGGGGATGGCAACATCCTTGTAAACGGGAGCAACTCCGAGGACTTCCTTGCAGTTCTCAATGAGTTGCTGACCGAGTTCCTTAGCGAGCTGATAAGTTTCACCTCGAGTAGTTGGGCAGTTGTCGATGTGGTATTGCATAAAGTCCAACAAAAGCGGATTTGAGCGGTTCATAATGCGGATACACTGGCTCACAATCTCACGGTCAACCGCCCTCAATCGCCCGAAAATAATGTCGTAATACATGCTCAGAGCGTCTTGACGTGCCCAGTTCCAGGAAGAATCGTAAACACGGGCCTTAAGCGGGTCAAAAGCCGGTGCAATTCCAGATGCGTAGAAATCACCATGTTCCGCTTGCCAAAGATCCAGCTGTGCCTGCAGTGTCTTCTGGGTCTCCTGGGATGTGATGAATGCTTTATCGCCAGCACGAAGATCCATCTTGAGGTACCGAGCAATGATTTCAAGTTGCTGTTTGAATAGGGCTCGTTGATCCTTGGTCAAAGCGTCAATCGCAGCTGGGTCCATGAGCATGCCACCACCACTTGCTCCGCTATCACCGCCAGCTGTTGGGGCAGAGAGATTGATTCCTGCATTGGAGGCATACTTGTTTGCCACGTCGTCGAGGTAAGATTTGGCATCCGCTTCGGATCCAAGACGAGAAGCGGGTTCCATTGTAAGAGCGAGCAAAAGAACACCATCCTGCCTGCCGGTCCCCAATCCCCATCTTGTCTCCAGGTACTTCCGGACAGCAGTGATATTGAAACCACCAGGCATCTTGGATGATACAAGACGAGCTATGAGGGACGATGACTGTTTGCCCAGCTGCCCATTAAACGTAGCCTGCATGGCAGCACCCAGCTCATCTAGTGGTGTATCTTCAGGCTTCTCTGGTGTGGAGCCAAATTCTTTGCCCAAATCTCCGAGGATCTCATTCTGTAATGTGGATTTGCCTTTTAAAGTTCAAAAGATTAGTAAACAGCATTATGCTTCAGGACAATGGTCCGACTTACCTCCAACCAGATCCTTGATAGCCTTGCTCAAAGGGACATCTGCCAAACCCTTCTTCAGTTTCTGTGCCACCAGCGTTCTGAGAACGTCAACAGCTGTGACTGGAGCATCCTCTACTGCCGCAGCTGGTCCGGCACTTGGGGGAGGGGGGGCTGCCGCAGCTGGAGTGGCAGAAGCGGCGGCGGGGGCGGCGGCAGCCGGAGTACTGGCAGCAGGCTGTGCAGTCTCAGGCTCTTCCTCGACTGGGTCAACGTCGTAATAGATTTCCTTCGCATCTTTATTGTAGCAGAGGATTTGGCGTTGCACCGAAGTGGCAGCATCATATGCCTCGTACTTGGACGCTAGCGTCCGACGTGCCATACCACCCAAGGTGTCTGCGGGACCAATTTCCACAATGCGTTCCGTTCGTTTCTCTGCAAGTACGACATCTTGAGTTTCAATCCACCTCACAGGCGATGCAAACTGATAGGCCAGAAGCTCTACCAGCAAGGTATGAGCGAGTTCTTGTTCAACTTCGGGCCTCATGATTGCGGAAGGAAATGGGTATCAACGGGATAAAGGGAAGGCAATATTTGCACGCCGAAAAATGTTGCCTGACCGAATTCAATCGTTGCTTCGTACAGAAATGCGCAATTGGTGGCAGCCAGAATTAAGAAAAAGGCCGAGAGAAAAAGGGTAATTAAATGTAATAGGTAGAAGAAAGAAGTCAAAATCTCAACCCTGCAAGCAGTCAAGAAGTCAGCGCAAGAGCAATTACTGAAAGCTTCTGTTGTTTTTTGTAAAAGAAAAAAATAATAACAAAATTATTATAACAATGTATGAAGTAGACAAGTAGAAGGAAATGTAGGAAAAGAGGGGAGAGAATGCCAGTAAGTACCCTGGACTACGCTGTAGAAACTCACCCCAGCTGGGACCACAAGCGGGGAATCGCCGATACGACGAAATCTGGTGAACAAGAAAGATATGGAGTTGTTAGGCACCAAAAATAAATAAGATAACTAATAAAAAAAAAGATCAAAGAAACGAAAGCAAAGCCGAAGGGCCGCAAAAAGACTGGCTATTCGGATGGATGGGAAGAAGAATTGCTGGTGAACTTTTGGTGAGCGTTGGGGCAGCTCCTGGTTGACAGGGTGGATCGGCCACTACGAGGACCAAGGGAAAAAAAAAAAAAAATGGAGGGTAAGATGAGTGTGCATCCATACCTAACTGGGTACATAGTTGAGATGAAAACAGCAGACTGTACACTTGTATTATGCTCCATGACACAATGTTAACCTGAACCATATCTCTTGTCTCTAATCAGAGTTACACAATAGACTGAACACCATATGTTTTATTACTGAACAATGTCAGTCTTTTCAATAGTCACCTACCTACCTCTTGTAGATAGGTATCCTGCTGCCTTGGTATGTTCAACCTGATGTCTATTAATTTATTACAGAATCCATTTACCTAGGTAGCATGGTTTTGGTGTATGTATTTAGTACAGTAGATCCACTTATCAATCCATTGGATGTACATGGATACTAAAGCACTGGCTCAGGTAGTTCTTTTCTTTTTCTAAAGCTTGAAGCCCTAGACATCTCAGAGTCACACACCTATGAAAACCCTAAAATCACTATTTGCTTATCAACTACATTTGAATCAATCATACTATTTCAGATGTCTTAATATGTATTCCTATTCCTTGTCTTTACCTCACTTGAGACACTCGGTAGATATTCAATTTATTTATCAACAAGCTAATGAGAATTCTATAAGTACTAGAGCCCAGTGACAACTCATCTTGTCGGGCGGGAAAAAAGTATGTGGATGGAATAGGATTTTACTAACTACCTACCCATGTAGATAGGCACACCTATCTGGTAGTACCTTTACCTACCTTAGGTACCTGAAATAATGTTACAAGTGCGTTTGGTATTGTAATGCCCCACCGGGTCCAGCCCAACCTTTTGGACCTTTGGGGAGGTTCCGCTTCACGCTATACCCGATGGGGGTGCTTCCTGTTCAACCAGCTCGAAAAAACTGCGATTTTTGCCTGACAGCCCCTCGAGCACCGGCGATTTCTCATCCTCTGGCCCGGTTCAACACTGTTGTCCTTTGGACTGTTATTGGCACTAATTTGGTCAGCGATCACATTCGTGTGCGTCTCTTAGCGTTCTTCAATCAGAAGATTATTCTAGCTGCTGAGTGTCTGGTTATTATTTGATGTGGTGAACCATCCTCCCCGCCATTCTTGCCTGTCCTCTCCCCTCCCAATATCCATTCCTCCTTCACCTTCTTACCTCTTTCTATTATATTCCTCTTTCTATTCTTTGTGAAACTCTTGCTGTAATTTTTTTTCCCCTTCTCCATATTTCTATTTCTATTTATTATTATTACTTTATCACTGTCCCTTAGATCAAGGACAGTTTGGGGGTCTGTTGACTTGGCTTAATTGAGGATTGCACGCAAAAAAAAAAAAAAGTCTGAATCGGTGAGTGGGAATCAGCTAGAATTCCCCACTATACGAAGGGGACGCTGAAGTTGGCTAATTGATCGATCGGTCATGATAGATCCTTTTTCTACATACCTCCGTTTTCTTCTTCTTCCGAGAATATAGAATAGATACGATAACACGAAGAGATGTACGGGACATCAACCGGCCCTCAGACGGGCATTAATACCCCCCGCTCCTCACAGTCATTGCGACCCTTGATCCTGACTCATGGATCCCTCGAGTTTTCTTTCCTCGTGCCGACATCCCTTCACTTCCATGCTTCGCAATTGAAAGATAATTTCACGGCCTCGTTACCGCAGCCCACAGATGAGTTAGCTCAAGACGACGAGCCTTCATCTGTACCAGAACTGGTGGCCCGGTACATTCGTCAGGTTGCCCATGAGGTTGAGGAAGGAGAGGATGATGCACAAGGAACCTATCTGGAAGTTCTGAAGTTGGCTCTTAACGAGTTTGAGCGTGCCTTCATGCGTGGTAATGACGTCCATGCCGTTGCAGCTGGTCTTCCAGGTATCACAGCGAAGAAGGTTTCAGTCGTGGAAGCCTACTATGCTGGTCGAGCGGCGGCCGGTCGTCCCATTAAGCCATACGACTCCGCCTTGCTGCGGGCTGCCTCGGAAGACAAGGCCAGTATCTACTCGGTTTTTGGTGGCCAGGGAAACATTGAAGAGTATTTTGATGAATTAAGAGAGATCTACACAACTTACCCATCTTTCGTGGAGGAATTGATCATTTCCTCCGCTGGGTTGTTGCAGTCTCTTTCACGTGAGCCTGAAGCCAGCAAGCTCTACCCCAAAGGACTCGACATCGTTCAATGGCTTCAGGATCGGGACTCCCAGCCCGATACCGACTACCTGGTATCCGCTCCAGTTAGTTTGCCGTTGATCGGTCTAGTTCAATTGGCGCATTTTGTGGTCACCTGCAAGGTCTTAGGCAAACAGCCTGGCGAAGTTTTGGAACGGTTTAGCGGAACTACCGGACACTCTCAGGGTGTGGTCACCGCAGCTGCCATTGCATCTGCCACGACATGGGAATCCTTCGGGAAATCTTCCAAAGATGCCTTGACAATGCTTTTCTGGATTGGATTGCGCAGCCAACAGGCCTACCCTCGCACGTCAATCGCACCATCCGTGCTCCAGGACTCTATCGAAAACGGGGAAGGAACACCTACCCCAATGCTGTCGATTCGAGACCTCCCAAGGGCCGCTGTCCAAGAGCATATCGACGCTACCAACCAGCACCTCCCAACTGACCGCCACATTTCCATTTCTCTGGTCAATAGCGCCCGCAATTTTGTTGTTACCGGACCGCCGCTCTCTCTGTATGGTTTGAACCTGCGTTTGCGCAAAGTCAAGGCCCCTACGGGTTTAGATCAAAACCGTGTGCCTTTTACGCAGCGCAAGGTCCGCTTCGTCAATCGCTTTCTCCCTATCACCGCTCCCTTCCACAGTCAATACTTGTATTCGGCGTATGACCGTATTGTGGAAGACCTTGAGGACATCGAGATCCCAGGAAAGTCCCTTGTCATTCCAGTTTATGGAACCAAGAACGGTGAAGATCTGAGACAGATTGGCGATGGAAATGTTGTCCCAGCTTTGGTTCGCATGATCACGCACGATCCGGTCAATTGGGAGCAAACCACCGTTTTCTCCGGAGCCACTCACATTGTTGATTTCGGGCCTGGAGGTATATCGGGCCTTGGAGTCCTCACCAATCGCAACAAGGATGGCACCGGCGTTCGTGTTATTCTTGCTGGTGCTATAGATGGTACGAATGCTGAGGTGGGGTACAAGCCCGAACTGTTTGACCGTGATGAGCACTCTGTCAACTTCGCTATTGATTGGGTCAAGGAGTATGGGCCTCGACTAGTGAAGACTTCGGCTGGTCAGACTTTTGTTGACACCAAGATGAGCCGACTGCTGGGTATCCCTCCCATCATGGTTGCTGGAATGACACCCACCACTGTCCCGTGGGACTTTGTGTCGGCCACAATGAATGCAGGATACCATGTTGAACTCGCCGGTGGTGGCTACTATAACGGCAAAACAATGACCGAGGCAATCTCCAAGATTGAGAAGAACATCCCTCCGGGGCGCGGTATTACAGTTAACCTGATCTACGTCAACCCTCGCGCCATGGCATGGCAAATTCCTCTCATTGGGAGGTTGAGAGCCGATGGCGTTCCTGTCGAAGGTCTCACGATTGGTGCTGGTGTGCCGTCTATTGAAGTTGCCAACGAGTACATTGAAACACTTGGTATCAAACACATTGCCTTCAAGCCTGGGTCTGTAGACGCCATTCAACAGGTTATCAACATTGCGAAGGCCAATCCCAAGTTTCCTATCATTTTGCAATGGACCGGTGGTCGTGGTGGAGGTCATCATTCATTCGAAGACTTCCACCAGCCAATCCTGCAAATGTACAGCCGCATCAGGAGATATGATAATATCGTTCTTGTCGCCGGTAGTGGTTTTGGTGGTTCTGAAGATACTTACCCGTACCTTTCTGGGGCCTGGTCTTCTGGGTTCGGCTATCCTCCAATGCCTTTCGACGGATGTCTGTTCGGTAGTCGCATGATGATCGCCAAGGAAGCTCACACATCCAAGAATGCAAAACAGGCAATCGCAGATGCCCCTGGTTTGGACGATCAAGACTGGGAAAAGACGTACAAGGGTTCTGCCGGTGGTGTTGTCACTGTCCTTTCCGAGATGGGCGAGCCCATTCACAAGTTGGCCACAAGGGGTGTTTTGTTCTGGCACGAGATGGACCAGAAGATTTTCAAGCTGGACAAGGCGAAGCGTGTGCCTGAGCTCAAGAAGCAGCGTAATTACATCATCCAGAAGTTGAATGACGACTTCCAGAAAGTCTGGTTCGGTCGCAACGCCGCTGGAGAAGCCGTTGATCTTGAAGATATGACATATACTGAGGTGGTCCACCGTATGGTGGAACTCATGTATGTCAACCATGAATCCCGATGGATTGATGATTCTCTGAAGAAACTGACCGGCGATTTCATTCGTCGTGTTGAAGAGCGTTTCACTACCGCTGGCGGTCAGCCTTCTCTGCTCCAGAACTATTCTGAATTAAATACCCCATACCCAGCTGTCGATAACATCTTGTCCGCATACCCCGAAGCGGCGACTCAGCTGATCAACGCTCAGGATGTTCACCACTTCCTTCTCCTTTGCCAACGCCGTGGACAGAAGCCTGTGCCATTTGTTCCCTCGTTGGATGAAAACTTTGAATACTGGTTTAAGAAGGATTCTCTTTGGCAGAGTGAGGACTTGGAAGCTGTGGTGGGCCAAGACGTTGGCAGAACTTGTATTCTTCAGGGTCCAATGGCGGCCAAGTTCTCTAACATCATCGATGAGCCAGTCCACGATATCCTGAATGGCGTTCATCAGGGACATATCAAGGGCTTGATCAAGGATGTCTACAACGGCGATGAAGCGTCAATTCCCGTCATCGAATACTTTGGCGGGCAACTTGGCGAGCCAGATGAAAGCCTGGAGCTCGATGGCCTCACCATTTCCGAAGATGATAATAAGATTTCTTACCGGTTGTCAACTTCCCCTTCGGCCGACTTGCCTGACCTAGAGCACTGGTTGCGTCTCCTTGCCGGCAGATCATACTCTTGGAGGCATGCTCTTTTCCTGGCCGATGTTTTTGTTCAGGGTCATCGTTTCCAGACAAATCCAATGAAACGCATAGTTGCACCGACGGCGGGTATGTACGTTGAAGTCGCATATCCTGATGAGCCTTCGAAGACAGCGATCATTGTGAGGGAACCGTATCAGTCCGGCAAGCTTGTCAAGACGGTTGAAGTGAAAATGAATGAGATCAATCAGATTAGTTTGACCCTGTACGAGGGTAGGACAGCAGAGGGAGGCGTTGTTCCCTTAAGCTTTTTGTTCACTTATCATCCTGAGACCGGATATGCGCCTATCAGAGAAGTCATGGGTGATCGAAATGACCGCATCAAGGAGTTCTACTACCGCATCTGGTTCGGCGATAAGAATGTCCCATTCGACACCCCAACTACGGCGACTTTCAGTGGTGGTCGCGAGACAATCACATCTCAGGCTGTCGCTGACTTCGTTCATGCAGTTGGCAACACCGGCGAAGCTTTTGTTGATCGGCCTGGAAAGGAGGTCTTTGCCCCCATGGACTTTGCCATTGTTGCTGGTTGGAAGGCTATCACTAAGCCCATATTCCCTCGTACAATCGATGGAGATTTGTTGAAACTCGTGCATCTTTCAAACGGATTCAAGATGGTTCCTGGTGCCCAGCCTCTGAAGGTTGGTGATGTTCTGGACACCACTGCTCAGATCAACGCTGTCATCAACCAGGACTCAGGTAAGATGGTTGAAGTTTGCGGCACCATCAAGAGAGATGGCCAGCCCATCATGCATGTTACCAGCCAGTTTTTGTACCGGGGGGCGTACGAGGACTTTGAAAATACCTTCCAGCGCAAAGACGAGGTTCCCATGCAGGTTCATCTCGGTACGAGCAGGGACGTTGCCATCCTCCGTTCTAAAGAGTGGTTCCGCATGGATGAATCAGATGTCGAACTACTGGGTCAAACCCTCACCTTCCGCCTTCAAAGTCTGATCCGATTCAAGAACAAATCCGTCTTCAGCCAAGTCCAGACAATCGGCCAGGTTCTTCTCGAGCTTCCCACAAAGGAAATTATTCAGGTAGCATCAGTCGAGTACGAAGCTGGTGCCTCCCACGGAAATCCTGTCATTGATTACCTCCAACGCAACGGAACCTCTATCGAACAGCCAGTCTACTTCGAAAACCCCATTCCACTCAGCGGCAAGACCCCTCTCGTTCTGCGTGCTCCAGCATCCAATGAGACCTATGCTCGGGTTTCTGGTGACTACAACCCAATTCATGTTTCGCGTGTCTTCTCCAGCTACGCCAACCTTCCAGGTACTATTACTCATGGCATGTACTCCAGTGCGGCTGTGCGCAGCTTCGTTGAGACCTGGGCTGCTGAGAACAACATTGGTCGCGTTCGAGGCTTCCACGTCTCCTTGGTGGGCATGGTTCTGCCCAACGACATGATCGTCGTCAAACTGCAGCATGTTGGTATGATTGCCGGTCGCAAGATTATTAAGGTCGAAGCCAGCAATCAGGAAACCGAAGACAAGGTTCTTCTAGGTGAAGCAGAGGTTGAGCAGCCTGTCACTTCCTATGTGTTTACTGGACAAGGTTCCCAGGAGCAAGGAATGGGTATGGAGCTCTATGGCAGCAGTCCTGTTGCTAGGGAAGTCTGGGATCGGGCAGATCGCCATTTCATTGAGAACTACGGTCTTTCTATCATTGAAATCGTGAAGAACAACCCCAAGGAACTCACCGTGTACTTTGGCGGTCCCCGGGGTAAAGCTATCCGTCAAAACTACATGTCTATGACCTTTGAGTCGGTGAATGCGGATGGCACTATCAAGTCCGAGAAGATCTTCAAGGAGATTGATGAATCCACAGCCTCGTACACATACCGATCGCCCACTGGCCTTCTTTCTGCCACCCAGTTCACTCAACCCGCTCTAACATTGATGGAGAAGGCAAGCTTCGAAGATATGCGATCTAAAGGTCTTGTCCAGAGGGACAGTAGCTTTGCAGGCCATTCTCTTGGTGAATATTCTGCTCTTGCTGCTCTCGCTGATGTCATGCCCATTGAAAGCTTGGTTTCTGTGGTTTTCTACCGTGGATTGACTATGCAAGTTGCCGTCGAGCGTGATGACCAGGGTCGCTCGAACTACTCCATGTGTGCTGTCAACCCAAGCCGTATCTCGAAGACTTTCAACGAGCAGGCTTTGCAGTACGTGGTTGAGTGCATCTCTGAGCAGACTGGCTGGCTTTTGGAAATTGTCAACTATAACGTTGCAAACATGCAGTATGTTGCTGCTGGTGATGTAAGTTTAACACCCCTCCTGTTGTTGTAGCCATGTACTAACTTCATCCCAGCTTCGTGCGATCGACTGCCTTACCAACCTGCTCAATTACTTGAAGGCTCAGAACATCGACATCCCTGCTCTTATGCAGAGCGTGTCGCTGGAGGATGTCAAGGCTCATCTGATGAAGATCATCCAAGAATGTGTCAAACAAACCGAGGCTAAACCTAAGCCCATTGCTCTGGAGCGTGGATTCGCTACCATACCTCTCCGAGGAATCGATGTGCCGTTTCATAGTACTTTCCTTCGTTCAGGCGTTAAGCCCTTCCGGTCGTTCCTACTAAAGAAAATCAACAAGACCACCATCGACCCCAGCAAGTTAATCGGAAAGTACATTCCGAACGTCACTGCTCGACCTTTTGAGATCACGAAGGAATATTTCGAAGACGTCTACAGACTCACTAACTCTCCGAGAATCGCCCATATCCTCGCCAACTGGGAGAAGTACGAAGAAGGAAATGAGACCATTTCTCGTACGACTGGTACATCGACCGCTTAGGACATTTAATAACGTCCGCTCTTTGGCTCTTGTTTTCGAAATTCTTTCTCTTTTAGCGCTGATGGTGTTTTTTCCTTGCTATGGTTCTTGATATTGCCCTCGCCGGTTAGATGAATATTCATGTTTCTCAACAGCTATGTCTTAAAACGGATATTATTGTAATGCCAAAGTCTACTCGAACATGCTTACCTGCCATCAGGTAGACCAAGCTGATTTATGGTAGCTATATTCAGTTGGTTCACATCAATTACAGATAAGTCAATTAATTTATCATCCAACCTTTTTTTTACAATAAAAGAAGAGGGGAGGGGGAACAAAACCAAGGCTATATAGCAATTATCGAGTAGTTAAAAAACTTGACGTGTTTTGCTTCTTATGTTATAGCCATCTATGATCTATCCGCTAGTTTATCGGATCCGCTTCCTACGTAGATGGGTAAAGACGATGGGTGATACGATCCCGTCTAATAAACCTGGAACATGGCATGCCATGATGAAAAAGACTTTGATTAATTTAAAACAGGATCTTTGAATTACAGAACCCTTCTTGAATATGTGAGTGATATAAACAATTTCCTAGGTTTAGGTCTCCTTCAGTGTGCCCGGGCGTAGCAATCTATCCTCTTTGCCATAAACACTCACGTCTTTGACAATAGCAATGAATCTTCTGTGGTTATCTTTTGATTCACCCATACGTGGGCGAAAGATTCTAAGTAAATCACCGCTGAGAATACCGGATGGTGGAATAGCAGCATGGATCTCTGCTGGGGTAGGAAAACTCTGGCCAGAAGGTCCAGGTGTCGAGACTCGAACTTGACCTATACGCACCAAGACATGGTTAGAGAACATAGGTTCTAGTACGTAGGGAGGAGAAAAGGTAAAAGGGGCATGGAAGGAAAAGAAAGTAGAACTTGCTTTTGATCGAACCTCCTTCCGGGCTACTAGCACGACTCCCAGAGAAGCTTTTATTGCCCAAGGGTGTCGGACTGGCGGCCCTGGACCCTTGTGGTGTGCCACTCTGAGAGGATATTGCAGGAGGGTTAAGCTTTAATTTCTTCGTCTTTCCATTCTCGCTTATTTCCCCCCCGGAGCCTGCGCCTCCATCCACGTCGCTGGGCCCTGCACCACCAACAGGTACATTTCGAGCACGTTTCTTGCTACCCTACAAACAGTTAACAATGTGTTGAGATATGTAGAGATTAGGTTTAATTTGTACTCACGGGTACTGCAGATGATGCAGATGGAGACATAGGACGAGAACCTGGCTGGGGCGTAGGCTGAGAAGATGGATACTTGCTCTTCGTTTTCTTACGGGACGTATCTGTACCACTTGCATCGGAACCGTTAGGGGACCCAAGCCGTTTCCGAGATGCAGTAGTTGTTCCTTTCTTAAGGGAATCAGTATGCTTGGGACGACCCGAGGGTGTATTGCTGCCCTTTGAGGATATGGCTGGTTCCTTTTTGCTCTTTTCTTCTTCGGCTTTCCGTTCTTCCTCCTTGAGCCTCTCAGATTCGCTTTCATCTGAGCTCTTTATTAATAGGTATGTTAGTAAAATTTTCCAACGGGGCTCAAAGACAGAGCCTACCTCTTCGTCAGAGTAAGGATTCACATCAGAACCACTACTATAGTCGTAGTTCTTTTCTCTTTTCTTGAGAGCTTTCCGCACTCCCTTGCCTAGAACTCGCCGAGCCTCTTTTTCTTTCATCTCTCTCAGTTCCTCTTCTTCGTACTCTTTTTCCTCCTTCAAGTCAAAGACATTCGCTTTCAACTGGTCTTGTTTGATCCTTTTTTCTGCCGCTTTTGCATCCTCATCATCATTGAAAAGATCATCGTGCTCTTCATCATCAGCAAACCTATCCTCTTCGAAATCCATCTCATCTGCTTCCAAGCCTTCAACACCAGCAGGGGCTCCTTGTTTACCGGCGTAAACCTTGCGCTGCTTGGCAAAGGTTTCCAACTCCTTTTGTTGAGCTTGTTCCTGTTGCTTTTCCATGAACCATCTGGGATCCTTTATTTTCTTCGCCATGAATTTCTCCGCTTCTTCGATTGTCAAAGCCTTGAACTGACTTTTCGCATTGAACTTATACCATTTCTCCACTGGAATCATTCTCATCTTGCCTGTGTTCTCGAGTACAAATACAGCATGCGTTTCTGATAAAGCGGCTTCATAATTTCCCACCCAGATATTTTTGCTGTCAAAATCCTCTAGGTGCCAGGGCAACGCTTCTTCGTACTTTATCCGTGCTCTCGCAATTTCTTCGGGAGTCATGTCTGTTTTGAAAACCTGCTGCGTCTTTTGCTTCGGTGCATTAGACCGTTTTGGCGCTGACCCAATCGAAGGGGCTATCTGAGCCAGGTTGTCTGCGCGCTCTTTCTCGCGCGCAGTTTTCCTAGCCTCTAGCTCCTCGCGCTCTAGATCATCCATCTGCTGGCTGGATTCAGAGGCTTCCTTCTGGTTGCCTTGGCCCCTTTCGGCGTTGATTTCTTGCGATTTTGCCCTAGGATCTCGGCGTTGAAGTCTGACTGGCCGAGTGAATTGACCTTCATCCCGGGGATCAATATTCTTTTTAGATGCAAACCTAGCTATATGATGCTTCAAGCTTTCGCGCAGTGCTCGCTTTGTTGTTACCAGCGGGTAATCCACATAGGTATCAGATAGTAAAGGGCCGCTGAAACCATTCACTGCAAGGTGGTCTGTCGCGGATGCAAGTTTAGGTTTCTCCAAAAGAGACCCGGGTTGGACATTAGGAACGATAGGCCGAGCAGGCAGTGGTTTCGGAGCAGCGCCATTTCCTGCTGATGGAGGGACTGCCGGTCTGGCCGTGGGTTTTCTCTTTGGTCGTACTAATGGATCTGCTACTTTTGGACGACGGATCCTCATCGGTGGAGCTCCACTAGAACCAAGTGGAGTTCGAGAATTTGGATTATTCGTGGGCGTAGTCATTTTTCATGGTAAAAAGCGGCGGGATGGATTAAAGTGAAGCAGCCACGGCTCGCCAGGTGGGTAGATCAGTTCCTGGGACTCTTATCATGAGCCAGGGATTTAAGAAATAAAACTGTGTAAAAGCCTTTGAATGCAACAGAGATATCAGATGGGCAAATAAACTAGGGATGGTAAAATATCCTGATTGTTTGTGTCTTCCAAGTTCAATGAGGAATGAGGTGTGAGGCGTAGCTGAGCCATGACTGTCTGCTTACGTAATCACATGTGATTGGATGAGCTCATTTCACTTTCATCACTAATAATTAGTGATATTGATAACTACCTACATACATAGAAAAGTACCTATGTAGTGGGTTAGTATGTTCATTTGTGATCTAAGGGTACCTAGGTAGGTATAGAGGTCTCATTACTACATTTAGGGACGATGGGGTTACTATGGGAAGAATAGTAAAAATGCTCTCAGCAGCTTTGACTGAATTTAAAAACAAAAATGCAGTTTCAATCCGCACACTAGAGGATATCCTTTCTCAGATTGAGAAAGGGTGGTGCTCCACAGAGTACCTAGGCATAACAATGGGACTATACCTATTGAGTTCCTGGTTGCCCATTTGAACATGACTGTATGACCGTCACCCAAGGTGGGTTAAGTATGTACTACCAAATGAGAACTCTACTACACTCAAACTACATACAATCATAAAGTGTATCCAAGAACTAAATATCTAGAGCCGGATTGTAATGGTGCTCTGGGCATAGTAGCTAGATGTGGGCCTTGATCTTCTTTTACAGACACTCCATTGATGGACCCTAAAGGCAGTCAGTCTCCCTTATCTAAAATATGTACCGCGGTGGTGCACTACTCCTCTATACCTAGGCACCAGGCCATTGCGAGGTGCTTTCCACTTTGCTAGCTGGTCAATGCTAAGTTGAAAAAACAGTAACTACCTATCTGTTGGTTAGATTCTGGAGGAAGGCGCATGGAACCCGCCCTTCTGTTTCTAAAAACCAGCTAATAAAATGCAAGATAAATTCAGTTCATCATTACCCAATCAACGGCGTTTCATAGTTTGCAAGCTCTGCACTCTAGGTACTTGTGGTAATCGGTGCTCTTACAAACCTTTCTTACCTTACCAGTCATGGTCTCTTTTAATACTTGCGGCTTAGTACCTAGGTACAGTCCACTAATTTACACTTGCTCCCTGTCAAAGTAGCATGGATAGCTAGGTATTAAGGGATGTATCATTTACTATACATGTCAAAGGACGAGGCTAAGCAGTGTTTAAAAATATGATACATATATTCTACCTATTTTAGATCATTATTATAAGTATATATACTACTGCTATAATAGTCAGTTCCCTAATGATTCAAAAGTAGCCCTGTTCCTAGCGGCTAGCCGTAGGACAGTAGAATACAACGTGAGCTCTACATACGCCTTAGTTTTTGATCCCCCTCTCCCTGCCCAACATGTTTGCAATTACATGGAATAAACCTGTTGAAGCAATATCCAAGGACAAGAAAATATATCATACAGCAAGATTGAATGTGTTGAGCACAATCTATCTAATTCATAGTTTGTATAATTTAGTGCTATGAAAGACATGGGGGAATCTTTCTCTCCCCCTCTCCCCTTCTCTTTGTGATAGGTACTAAATCAAAACAACTCTACAACCTTGTTGTCTTCATCCTGCTTTTGCTGTGACCCTTGGTCTCCCTGGAGACTTCCTTCAATGTTTGCCTTATTAATTTCTTTTTCGCCCTCCTCATCTCGCATCAAAACCTGGACCAGTCTATCACAAGCTTCACGAACATCATCATCATCAACATGGAGATGACACTCGCGAATTATCGGATACACTTGTATCGCCCTCATAAACTCTCGCCCTTCCCGTGTTGTGGTCAATAATAGCAGTGTTTCGATATGCGTGATGATAATGCTGTTGTCACTATCCCGTTTTTTATCAGGTGGCAGGAGCTGAAGGTCTGGTAGCATATCCATGGATTCCTCCTCTGTAAACTCCTCTGGGCCCGTGATGGGCAACAGAATATAAGGGATAATATTCGCTTCATCCTCGGAAAGGAGCTTAGGATGAAACGGAAGGTCAAATGCGACATTTTTAATAGTTGATGCAACCCCTTTTCTCCGAATTGTGCTTTTATGCTCCGTGAAAACGGTCAGCTTTGTCACAGGCACGACACCGTCATAATCCTGTCTCGAGGTAAAATAAGCTCGCCCCTCATCAGACTTTGAAAAGTCAGCGAAGAGATAAGATAGATAGTCATAATTGGCGTTTTTATTGAGACTGCCATCGGCACCTTTCACAAAGCAATCCATCAACTGGTCAATGGCATTTGGGGATGTAGACGTGGGCTCTGGAATCCTCCGTTTCAAGGTTAGAAGTTTCTTCAGCTCATCCGACTTTGCCAAATTAGCGAATAGCATCGCAACGTCGTCTGCGTTCGGCTCTTTGGCATTCTATAATCACCAACATCAGCACAAATGCCGAATTGCATTGGCAACAACAAATCTGTTGGGGTACCCACTGTCACTTTAGTCAAAAGTGTTTCTAGAAAGGCATCATCTCCTGCAAGGTTTGCAAGTACCTCTTCGTCAGCAGAGAGATTGATGAGAATTGTCAAGGCATGTTTTGCGATAGGCTAGTCAATGGCGACAGTGAGCAGCTGTAAAATTAGAACATGATGCTATAGCGGGGAACTAACTGTATAATCTCGAACCAATAATTTCAAATCTCGCACTGGTAAAAGTTGGTGGCGTTTGAATAAGCTAGGTTGAGCAGTCGAGAAGCCGACAAGGTTTTCACAAGCTGAAGGGTTATAGTGTCAATGTGAAGTTCGAGAAAAAGTGCGAACGCCTAACGAATTCGCAGGTATGACCTAAGGATTCCTATTACCGATTTGCCTGATTTGAGTGTTGCCATGATGAAGAAAATCGACAAGCTGGATCAGTAAATCAGCCTGGGTTCCGCGACGATACTCAGTAATTTCAAGTGTAGGTAGCTCACCTCTTCCAGCTCAGTTGGCATGTTGAGTGATTTTTCCAATTAAAAAATTCCTTCCTAGCCCATGTACAATGATGAGAAGATAATATGGTCTCAGTTGGTGGTCACTTTTTCTGTGGATTACTGGAGCGGGGTGAAACAATAATCTTTCTTCTGCCAGAAAAAAAGTGAGAAAAGAGAGGTGGGGAAAGAATGTCCTTTTCTTTACTCCACACAACGTCATCTTATCTTAAATATCCCACATGTTCTATCCTAACGCCCTCACGTACCCTAATGAGATCACATTTATTGTTTTCCTCTTTGATTAGGGATAATTAATACTATAAGATGTATTATGATGTATATTATTGCTATATGATGCTTGACATCCTAGAGATAATTTATTATATCCTGCTGATAACGCCCTCTTAGGCGTTTGGCTATTACTTTTGACCACGATGAATTTAGCATTGTACTGTAAAGAGAATTCGAGGCAAACAAGACTTATTTAGATAAATCTATATATTCTAGATATTCTTTGCATTGATTTAAGTGATATCCAATATATATTACTGTTATTATATGGGAAACTGCAGTAAAAGTGGTCTTTAACTAACCCATATCTTAATAATCAGATAAAAATCTAGTGTGTTACCTAAAAACGACCAGTAGAAATCCCCTTATTAATACCATTAACGAAAATACCTGCAGTACAGTTACTTGACTGTTTAGGAGGCCCATGGGTCATGATGCCAAAAGTTATCAATCCAGGAAAAGGTACTCTCACTATGATATTAGAGGAATTTACCTAATAATTGCTGCACCTTCAAGCAAGACTCCAGCAGCTAGAATTACCTGCAGCCAGTGAACATGTATGTGGTAGTATTCTGTGGAAGAATATGATAACTTCCTCTAGATATTCTCTTCAAATTAATCTCCCTACAAAAAAGAGGCTTTAAAGGCTTTTATAATAACTTCTATAAAACTTGGTGTGTGTGACCACTAGTTTACATAGCCTAGGTACCTTTTGATCTTGCTCTTAAGGCTAGGTAAATCATCGCCATTAATTTCCTTGTGGTTAGTAGGACTACTCCAAAGAATACCGGCCAGTTTATCAGTGAAATAGTAATAAAATCTTGTACCTAAATAAGCCAACCTAAAGAATCAGACAGGCCCTTGTGATAGAATATGGCTACTGCCAAGGAGTTTAATATCTAATAAATTAAAAGACAGGTTTCTACGCAGTGAGAAAGTTCTCCAGTTTATAATTTTATGCATTCATGTCATTTTAATACATAGCTTATTTTATTTCACGCCTAACTCATGGGGGAAAGTTATAACTCATCTTGTCTACTAACTGATGCTCTTACGATCTTTTTGTACTCTGCCATCCACAGTCAAGGGCATTTCTAAATCACAACCAAGCTTCCACCTAAAGGGAATACCGTCGAACCAATATATGACTTTGAAAAAAGGCCCTTATCAGAAGTCGCATGTAAAAGTTGGGAGGTTAATTAAAAATTAAAAATTAAAAATTAAAATAAAAATAAATCCGTGAAGCAGAAGATGCTGGTGGTGTACTGGTTCATTTAGTTATAGTGCAGGGGTTACTGCACTCTCCTTATACACTGTTACAGCTAGTATCCTTAACTTATATTAGGAATGAAGGTGGATGCTAGCTACCTAGACTATTTTTTGAAAAAAGTATAGGGGTTATCTAGTAATCATTCTTGACCTTAGGTAGTTGGTTTTAGAACAAGTCTTAGCAGAAGGAAGTGTCTGTCAGGGTGTCTCCAAATTTGTGATAAGGGAGAGTAAGATCAAATCTTCTGATTACAGTTGAATATTATATATATATATATATATGCAGATAGCATTTACCTATTCCATGGGGAGCTTCCTCCCCCCCCCTCCCCCAAAACGGACCATCTGTTTATTGATTTCTTATCCTTATCATAAGATTATCAAAACCACCTTCACCCTCTCCGAACTCCGATTCACCGTCATCATCATCATCATCAAAACCATGATCACACCACCTGGCTGAGTCGCCCCCTGAGACTATCGATACATCCGATTCCATATCAACCCCCAAAGGATTTTGGGTCACTTCTTCGACTGGAACTGCTGCCACCCTCTCCTTGTGGGAACGCGAAAGGTTTTCGGTAATACAAAATCCTCTCTGGTCAGTAGTCTCTTGAATTTCACTTGTGGCATTATGACACGATACTTGGGGGTCTGTCTGACCTTCAACATCGCCAGAACCAGTAGTTCTAATCTTAGACGACTTAGCTTTTTCTGTGTTTCGTCTAACAAACTCATCGGGTTGATCCACGGAAGTATGTCCAAAGTGTGTGTCAACGAGATGCTCGACTACAGGCCAACCATATGCGTTTGTGAACATCCGTCTCACAATAATATTGTTATGCGCATCAGGCTCGAGGCGAACAAGTACTTTACGCCATGACAAATTTCGATGGTAAGCCCTCGCGATTTTTTCCTCAACTTTCAGTCCGCTCTCAGACTCGCCGCTTGGGGGTAGATGCATCGGAGGATTCTTGCTTTGTGACGGCCCAAATGTTAAAGCCCGTCGCTTGAACGGTAGCGGGGGAGGTATGTCCTCCGGGTGATATATCCGGTCATGGAAAATAGTTCGAGGCCTTGAGGCAGGATCAACAATGAAGTCAATGGGTGGAAGAGGAGGCATAAGAAGATCACTGGCTGACTCGAACAATGTGGTCTTTGGCGGGGTATGAACTCCACCCTCATCGTATGAATTGTCGCGAACCAATGCTTCCCGGGGATGCGATCTAGAAGGCAATGGTGCTTCAATAGATCCGTCTGACACACAAAGAGTCTGGCTGCGCTTGTAAATCTTCGTTTGTTTATGCCCAGGTGAAGATTTGGTTTCTTTCGGCCGGAATATAGAGAAAAAGCTGCTCAACGGGCCCAGAGGCGAAGATTGTGCCGGAACTTCCTTCGAGCTTAACTCTGTTATGTTGCCTGTTTCTGACTGGTGAGGTTGCTTCAGGAACTGGCTGGGTTTGGGAGTGGGTGGTGCGTCGGTTGGGATTATGTTGCTAGGGGTTTCACTTTGCCATGGGGTTACTGTCACAGTAGTCTTGTTTGCATAATCACTTTCTTCATTAGTATCACCCAATGTTACCTCAGCACCGGGGCGAGTGGCCTGTGGAGATTTCGAGTTTGCCCCTGTTAATTCTGCCCAGCCCCATTCAGCCATTGTTCCCATGATACCATTCCCCCTCCTTGCCTTTTCAACCCGATCTAGACCTTTCCAATCGAGAAAAAGCAAACATGAAGTGCGTAAAGGGACTATTCCATCATTGACCACATTAGAGTAAATGGTACGGTGCTTGAACTTGACGAGCACTTCATGTGCAGGGCCACATGGCAGAATTCTGAGCAAAGGTTTAGAACCAGGATCTGTATGTGCTTGTGGTTTTATGGTATGGCCCTTGCCTCCAATTATAGCCCCCCAGCCACTTCTCATCCTCGGCGCAGTCCAACTCAGGCCTAGATCTTGACCTGTCCGACCGACAAGCCCTAAATCCAAGGCAAACCGAACATACACCGGATTCTCATTGCTGAGACCAAGGAAAGGCGTTGCTAGGGCTATGAAGTTGATGGGTTTGATCATTTCGAAGAATTGAGGGGAGTATTTTTGAATGTATGCAATCGCATATGTCTGGACAAGACCACCAAGCGAATGACCAATAAAGCTGATGCTAGCAACTCTGTAAGCATGATCCTGGCCATCTTTGTGGTCCTCATTAGGATTTGTGGCGGTGGGAATGTTGATAGGCTGCTCCGCTGGGCTTTTCCAGGCGGCAAGTGGTCTGGATAGAGATTTTCCTTTCGTGCTCTTAAGGGGGAGATATGGCTGATCCGGGTAAGTCATTAACAAGACGTATTTTGCAAGACGTTTGCCGAGGTATTGTATTCCACGTTCTGTGCGAACAGCGTTTCCAGGGAAACCCCTGACTATAACTTGCTCATCATCAGAGTCAGAATCTGAATTAGCATCGTTTCCTGCTCCATAGTCGTTCGTCCTGCTGAATAGCAGCCTGTTAGATACAATTTGCAAGACATATTTATATAGTTGGGCGATTTGTTGTGATCACCACTTACTCTCGTGAAGAGGTGGATGGGTCCGAGGAAACATGGCGCTTCTTGGAATGCTCTCGGTTCCTTTGCACTTTTTCCTTGGCTTTTTTGGCAGCGGCATCAATACTTTCCTTCAAGTAGAGCATATCTGCCCCAAGGTTGCTGTGTAACCCGTGGGTTAACACAACGAGATGGATTTTTTTCTTCTTGAGCTCGCCATTCTTTGGGATGCTATCGGGTCCACTGAAGCATTCTTCCGGTGATCCGAAAGCTGCTGATACACCATCCTGGGCCCGGTTGGCTTTGGCGGCCTTATTCTCTTCGCTAAAAGATGGAAAAGGGGGTGTGTTCCAAAGACTAACTGTGTCATCTATAAGTAATTTGATAGATTTAGAGTATACTCCTTTGGTGGCAAGCACTTGCTTGCCCTTTGTTTTTGGCGACCGGTGATCATCTAGCTGAGCTGGCCGGGGGAGGCCATTGGCTGTAGCTCCACCAGCAGATAACAATGCTAGTGATCTTTCATCACGACCAACAAGAAGCTCAAATCGGACAGCTGCGGTGCTCGAAAAAATCACTTGGGATACTATTTCGATGACCCAGGTTATACTTTGGCAGCTCTCAGGGTTGACAGGGGTAGGTTCCTTTGGTTGCCGAAGACGTTGGGGTACAGTAATAGTCGAGTTCCAGTTTCCTCCTGCCTTGATGTAAGGTTCAAATTCTGGGGTCCCCTCGGTTTCTTGTTGTTCGTATTTTAGATTCGGATCAAATTTAGAAGGGTAACAAGATGCGTAAAGAGTATATGGGCCATGGAGGTATGCAGCTCGCAACGGAATGGCCGACGTGTTTTTGACCTTTATATATAGCTTTTCTGGAATTGGTTGAATGGGATCGGTTGCTGGGGTGTAAGTTAATGTGTACCTATGTTCAAGGCAAGATATCAGCATCGTTTAGCATATAATAATAGAATGAATAAGAATATCTGGCATAGGATGCATGGAATTACGAACCTAACTACCTCACCGACTCGGACACTTCCGGCTTGATGGAGTAGCAGCATTTCTGCATTCGCGGAATTTGCACACCAACCACTAAGGGAATAGAATGTAAGCTGATTCTCGCTGGTAGGGGGATTGAACCCTCGATCTGGTGTCTGGGAGGTTGAATATGTCCGGGGGGTGATCAACATTGAATCCAAGTGCAGTCATTTCCATTATAAGGTTGGGGTCTAGCTTTTCCCAAGCCTTTGAGTACACAAGCAGGCGGCCGAGAGACACCGCAGCAGCGCATACTGCCTATGTACATAATCATCAAGATCGACAAATGCGGTTCAGGGAGCCAATAAATGTGAAGACTGACTATGGGCTAACTACAAGTAGTTAGTAATAAGTTCATGTCGATAATCAAGAATAATAAATAATACATAGATAGGCATCAAAACCCGTGAACAGCAAAATGTCAGTTTCCATTTAATTGGGGCATCGGCATCCACGGTTAGCGAGATACCCTAATAGTAATACCTTAAGATAGTAATAGCCACCTACCTAACTACTTTATTACTCCGAGTTCTGCTCACTGGCTTGAAATCATCCAGGATTTCATTTCTGTCTCCAAATATAACTATACTATTATAGATACAGGGGAACATAAAATATAAGCTATTGTTTTAAGTACCTGGGTAGGACTGCAACAATTATATAAGACCACTAACACTTCTACCAGTGGAAGCAATGTCGGCCTAGTGACACCCAAAGTTCTCAAGATACACAAGTGATGAGATTTAACAAACGCCGAGGCTCTTTTCGTACTTCCACCCAACCTCCTTGTTCGACGACAATAATCTTGCCATCTACACAAACCCGTCTCCATTTTTCGTCAGCTTCATGGAAATCGATCCTAAGACCCTCTACTTGAGTGTAGGTAACAGCCTTCTCGTGAACATGTTGGCCACCCTGATAGGCCAGGCCCATGAGTCGCATGGCTTCTTCCGGTGGTATCGGGCCGAAGTGAACCAACCTCAACTGGCCATCCAGCGGTATTGATTGGGGTGATATTAAAAAATTGCTTTCAAGGCTTGAAACTAAGACAGCCAACACGTACATATGCTTGCTGTGTTCTATTACCGAAACATAGGGCTTGCCTCTTTGGTCCAATTTGAAAAGAGCTATTTCCCCATTATATTCATGGGTTTCGGCACCACTAGAGGGGAAAAGAAGCTCTTTTGCAGCCATTTTGAATCTGTCAGCCCCGAATTTGCGATATTCCGCCGTGTCGCTATCAGCAACCAACGATGCATGGATACCCCAGCTCACAACAACGGCGCCATAAACCTTTGGAGTGGTGCCTATGGTAGCCCGACCACGGCCCTCATCAGTAGTGTACCGCGCACCAGGTGAAAAATTGGCGGAGAAAGATGGTATAGGCACCGGCTTTCCTTGTAGTAGTGTCGTAAACGCACTTGTCGAATGAGACAACAGCCCGGTTGAATTGGCCATGGCATTTCCTGTGCCTGTCGGTATCAATGCAATGTTTGGTAGAACAAACGCTGTTTCAGCAGAATTATAGAAGACGTCAATGAGGTCAACCAAGCCCCCATCTCCCGAAAGAAGAATGATCGTTTGAGAGACCCCAGCCTTGGCACGAGCAAGAAACGTCAATCGGGCTAGCTCCATTATTGTATGGGTGGATTGTGTTTCGTGAACGTTATAGTCAGTCAATCCAAGGTGGAACAGAAAGGGCTCTAATGCATTTTGGAATATGCTCTTCGCAAGCCCTGTCCCCGAGAGTGTTGATATGACAACATGGATGTCCACCTTTTGGTCCCGACGTGAATTCAGATGATGGGGTAACTCTGTGCACAAATAGCGTGATAGCAGTTTGGACGGTAAAGATGCCACCTGGATACTTTCCAGGCGTGCATGATCCCTTTGGCACTCGGAATCGGTCTGAAGGAATAGCACCCGATATCCTATTTGATTCTGACTTGAGTCGGGTAAAATACAGACTATATCATCGATAGAAATATGCTTTTTTTCTTGCGTATGTAAATCTATGCATTGGAGATGATTCTCGACCATCTTGCAAACAAGGCTGCCCATGTGAATGGAACTGGAATCCAGAGTGTCTGGCATATCTGATCTGATGGCAAGAAACCCCAGAAGTTAGCAAGCAGCTTGAATAAATTTTGGGTGTAGTCTTTCTTTACCTTTATGGTTCATATAAATATTGGCGGTTGGGTTTGTGTCCAGTGCTAAGTAGAGGAAACAGAATTTTATGAATACTTAGTGAGGAAGGGGAGGGTGTGCACTAGGTATGCCTTGTTCTTAATGATTTATTGGATGGCAGAAGGGTGTATTTAATAGGCCCAGTACCTGGTTAGGCTCTTCTAAAGTTAATGATGAGGTGCGGGGGTTCTTTATCTGGGGCTTGTACCCTGTGCTAGATTTATAAATAAACTATAGCATTTAAAATATTGGCGCCTTATCATCTATCTACCTGCTTACACATATCGCAACTATTGAATTGGGCAGCACCTTGCACTATGACACAAAAAAACATGCAAGCCTATGTCACTAAGGTAGGTAGGTACTGTACCAAATTTAAACTATTGCCAGTATTTATAGAGTACCAGTAACGAAGGTATACATGCTAGTAATCAAATGTGCCATACGCTGCTAGGTGCTCTCTGCCTAGGCCAGTTGACAAAGACATATTAGGCACACCGCAATGCGGGCAACCTTAAAGTGATGAACCATTGATACTAGGTTAGGACGCATTTTAGGAGACCATACCCCAATACACAGCTGTAAACTTATCATCCATATTGTTGTGTGCTCTAGACTGAACATGATACTATTTCGCAAGACCAGCAGGTAAGGCCAAGCATAAAATATGTAAAGTGATCTTTTGCGGACAACATGGCTAAAGAGAACCTACCGCCCCTCTCACCCAGTATCCAAGACCGAAACAGGCGGATACTGAAAAGGTCTACGAGATTGGGATACTCTGCTCTGGGTTAGACATATGTTTATCGCTTAGATTCACTGCAATAAAGCTCTTCGGGAGTTTGACACTGCAGAATATCCATTAGCATCTATCCAAGCATCAATTTAGAGTACTTACGTGTCAAACTTTGCTTTCAGTGTTTCGATAACCTCTTTCCAGTCTTGGTGCGCGGTCAAGCTCCTTCTGGGAGCGCAGCCGATTGCATGCCTAGAATCGAGCTGGACATCAAGCGGATCGAACGCATGGCAACCTGGACTAATTGAAATCCGAATAGAGTAGGAATTCGTTGCTGACTCGCTGTCTTTAGCTTCATATAGTTCGAAACAAATTTGAGATAGATAGTCCAACTCAGGGATAGCTCGCCTGGCTATTTTGGTCTGTATTCCACCCTCTAAGATGCAGTTGAGAAGAGTGTAGATATGTGATTCCTTCGTGAAATAGAAGAAAGACTTCGCATCTGACGATGCCTGAACCTCCTCCAAATCCCTGACAATCTCTTGAAGAAGGGGAAGAGACGTCAAAAGTCCGATTTCTAACTTCTCGGTATCTGTTATCCCATACTCCTGGGGCGTCACGTAGTCGAAAAGAACCTTGGCCAATTTGTATAGTTCCCTAAGTTTTGAAAGCCTTCCATCGATCTTGGACTTCGTAGGGCTGGCACCTGGGTATAGCTTGAAATAGTGATCATAAGAGTCATCAAGTGCCCTTAAGTGTGGTATAGATTCAAATGCATGCATCCGCTTCTTGAGCCCAAGTCGCTGTGCGAAAGTCGAATTCTCCATGTGTTCGTCAACCTTATCATGATTGATCCCATCCAGACTGGATCTTTTTTCTACAATTTCATTTCTCGGCGCACTATTCCAGTTATGTGCACTTTTTAGGTCATTGTGTGCATTATCTTCTCCAGGGGGCATGAATACCCATTCCAGGAACTGTCGGTTGTGAAGGGCATCAAACTTCATGCTATCATAAAGCTCCGAGAGTTTACTAGGATCAACCTTTTCTGTATCACAGAATTCGGCAAAAAGCTTCTCCCACCTTTCTTTGAAAAGAACAGGATCCTCACCAGCACACCATCGCCCTTGTATAGACGCTATTGCAGGGTTCTCGGTGTGTGCATTGAGTTTGTTATGAGGGACCGATTCGTCCGCGATTTGAAGTGAGGTAGGCTGTTGTGGGAAGCTGTCAAGTTTCTGAAAATTGTGCCTCATAACATCACGATGAAACTTCATCAGCTCAACAACTGTAGCTAGAACAACTGATGGTTCAGGAATGTTGTCTTTTGGCCATGCAAATTGCGAAGGTGCAGAACCTTCGCGCAGAAGCAGTTTTAATTTCTTCTTGACCTTGTCCATGTGGTCTTTTGCGGCGTTGGAGTCATCAAGAAGATCCTTTCGTACTTGAATAGAATCTTTGGGGAGATCCTTCTGGTCGAGAAAAGAACACGCCCAAATTTGAGCTAGGTTGTTATAAGCAGTTTATTGGGTATGTGATAGGAGCACGATCAAACTTACCACTGGTGCTTACCCTTTGCTCAGAACTGGTAAAAATTCGCACATTGCTTAGTGCTTCTTTGTTCATCAATTTCAAATCATCACGTATATTGAGCCCAAGGTCTTGAGACTGATATCGTGCTGCATGAGTTGGCTCCCCTCCCCATTTGATAACAAGCTGGAGCTTGTCTAGTATAAGATCATTTTCAACGGCAGAAAACCTAGAGAAAGTTGCGCCCGATATAGAATCACTTCGAGTTTGTGACCTGCTAAGTTTATCCTCGTCTGGGACCGCTTCACTATGATTTGGTGATGAAGGCTCTTCGGAAGAAACAGGGGGTGTTGTCGGACCAATTGACGGCGTCTGGCCACGCGTTTCTTCGGGTTTCCGTTTGCGAAACATGGGCTTTATTTGAACCTTTGTACCAGGCCAACTGCCTTTCTTTTCGAGCGATGTGCGCAGCAATTTAAGCTTGTCCATGTCTTCGAGACCATGATCCATTGCAACTTTAACAGCATCTCCAACGCTGGCTAGTGCAGGTTCGCCTTTAATGACCACTTCCTCTTGGTGACCTTTGAGTAGATCGACAAAAGGCTGGCTATGAAACGTAAATTTGAATTTCTGTTTCGGCGTACGGTCTGCATGTCTGATAACTGCTACCATCCCTTTCAGCTTCCACGAATGTTTAGAAGCGGGCGGCGGGGGCGCCCCTTCATTCGGAAAATGCATTGAGAGTACAGGCGACTTTGTATTTGATGGGCTGTACCCACGGGGGGCTGGGAATACATCTCTTGAATTTGAATTGTGACTTGGTCCATGGTCAGTATTCTCGACGCCTGAAGAGGACGCTAGAGATCCAGCATTGGTAGATGAGTCTGATGTTCCATATTCATGGTTTTTATGATTTTGGCCACTCCCATGAAGCCTTGAGGCACTTGGAGATTTGAGCAGAGTCCTGAATGCGTGCCTATGGGAGCCTCTCCTAGAATGGTCTAAATCCGGAGAGGGGGGTTCCGACGGCTCCAGCGTCCCCTCACAATTGAGCTTCTCATTCAGGAACATCTCTCTCAGGATATTAGCGCATCTGTCGTAATAATCATTATTATCCTTGACGAAGCTCCAACCATTGACATCAATAACGTAGCTCTTTTCCCCGACACGAAGCATGTCAAAACCACAGATTCTCTGCCCAAAACCATTCGATATCTTGGAGGCGATTGCTGCCTCCTCTTTGCTCAGTTTTGTGATGTATCTTAACTCCTTGCCATGGGTATTGCGACGGACGAGTCCGTCGACGACCGGAGACTTGCGTGTTTCTGCATGGCAAAAATCTGGTCCGACGGTGTATGCTTTGACATCCTCGGAATTATCCACCCTCAAAAACTGTTCATATAAATAGCTCGTGTCTTTCTCTGTCACTGATCGAGGAATAACAAGATTGCAGTCGTATTCAGAGCTTTTGTTGCCAACCTTTCGGAAAAGTCTCCTGCCACCGCCCCCATATTGTTGATCGTTGGGGAAATAAATATGGATATTATGATCTTCTCCGTTGACTGGTTTTTCAACAAAGGGTTTTCTAAAAACCTTCCCATCGGCAATCAAACACTCTCCATCATCGGACATTGACACGTTCTGGGTTCTGGACACTCCGCCTCCGGTTCCATCTTCAGGGCCCTCGAGTTTAACGCCGGTCAGTTGGTACACGTGTCGAGCAAGTTCGGGCGATTCCAATATCGGTCCGCCATCACGATTAACCTCAAGTCTCTTCGGCGTCGGAACACTCATGTGATCTAGTATTTTCAAGCAAAGCCGTCGGTCCCATAGAACCTTCTGCATTGGTAGATCATTAACACAGAACGGTTTGCGGAGTCTCGCATATGCGATGGCTTTGTCCAATGGAAATCCATCAGAGAAAAAAGCAATTAAAAAATCGCATACAGGCCAATTCTCTACGGCTTCATCGAGAATCACCTTATCGCCGAATACAATCACTTCAAAGTCGCCCTTAGATTGGAGACGTGTCAGAATATTTTGGCTTGGTTTGCTGCGCGCTTTCACATCCAGGGCACAAACACCAATCTTCCCTAACCTTGGCTGGGTGGAATCCACTTCGTTGATAGAGCTAGCAGTCGTACTTGCACTCAATCTCCTAGGTGCTCGACTAGAAGAACGGGTAGAGTGGGAAACACGCCCCGCAGTACGATTATCTGACATTGAATCAGGCTTGGGTGTTTTTGGCTGACTGCCTTGTGGATTTTGGGCGTTTCGGGTTGATGATGCAGAGGCCGCAGGGTCATAAAGCAAGCTGAATGACGACTTGTTTTCTGTATGCCCAGAGAATTCATTTCCTGAGGCAACATTAAGATTCAATTTGCCATCAGCAATATCTTCAGGGGAGCCCGCGTCTGCAATAGGCAAACTGCTATCGTCATTACTATGGCCCATTGTAGGATTATCTCAAAACAGTAACCGAACGGGAATCAGGTCAGATGAGTGCCTGAAGCGGATGCCGTTTCTGGCGAAGGTTTCTTCTCTTTCCTTTTGCGGAGTATTGAAAAGAGCCAGCAGGCTGGTGATGGGTTGGAGGTAGACGGGAATATTGATTTGCTTGGATTCTATGCGAAGTATTACAGCTTTGATGCCAGTATGCACTTGTGATCTCTGGCTATTTGCTGCTCTTTCTTCAATTGGAGGAATCTCTGTAGAGGCATCAGAGTAGTTCACTAACTTCCTGCGGGCCTGGAGTCAGAGTCTGCAATCCTTCATCACCCAGCATCCTATGTATCTTACTTAAAGAAGCTGTACTGAAGGAGCAAAGGAATAAGTAGGCACCTACCTTGTAATTTTGAAGGCTTTGGACAGAGCAAAATCAGCGAATCCCCTTCAAGTTATAAGTAGTGGCCTCCAGATGTTGAAACGTGATTTAATTTTATGCTTCCCCCCTGGGCCCCTGGGTCGTCTCTCCTTTTTTTTTTTTTTTTTTTTTCTCCTCTTTCCTCCCTTCTTGGGGTGTTCTATGGGAGACGGCGGGAAAAAAGACAGAACAATGAAAAAAGTGTAATGAACGAGCAGGGATCTTGCTAGGTATTATGAGTAGGTTGTTAAAGTTGATTTGACATTACTGCTATGCACAGGTATGCAGGTAGGTTATCACTTAGTGGCGGATACAGCCTGCCTTTGGTACTAGGTACCTACTTCCATTAGGTAGGTATTTCTAATACAGAGTACGTATTCTATTAGGGTCATTTTGCAACAGGAAGCCAGAAGTCAGAAATCATCCTTTTTTAGTTAGTATATATTACCATTTTCCCCACCGTGGTCATAAAAAATGAAGTACAATTATTATTATGTATGAATAATTTAATAATCATACTTTATGCTTTCATAGGATAGCTTTAATATTAAATACCATTGGTTGGTTATGTTCACTAAGCCTAAAAGAGGTGACTTCAATGCTTTAGTGACTTCTGGTCATATGAAGTCGTGAGTGCGTAACTACAACCTGAAATCTGAGTGGGTCTGAAGTCATCTTAGGCACACTCTGAAAGTCGGCCAGGCTAGGCTATATAAGGTAAGGTTTCATGGCGCTATACCTAAAAAGAAGACTTCTGACTTCCAACTTCCCATGCTGCAAATTGACCCTATTAGACTTTCACCATCCCTGGTTCATGCTGTTCTACCAATAAGGTATAGTGCCATTTAAAAGAGTAAGCGGTAAAGTAGGAGAACCGGTAATCAGAGAAAGTTATTGTTATCCCCTCGTCTGGTGTTATGCTCATTTTAGCGGCTTGGCATTACAGAATTGCTAAAATCAGTTGGCCGCCTTTGATATAGAAGGCAGAATAAGGGCGGTCATTCTCTGGACAAATGAAAGGTGCCAAGCCATAAAAATACGCTAAAATGAACAAAACACCAGACGAAGGGATAGGTCCAGAATAATGTCTAAAGAGGTTTAGTGTTATGAAACTAAAACGAATTAGGATCCTGCCAGCACTGGTACTAACACCCATCCCAACCTACTATTGTGAAGTCTTTTAATTCTCCATGAGCGCACTTAATTTTCTGCTGGATGAATATCCGTGGGAATTATTAAGTATGGGTAATTGTTATTTGTGGACAGCTTAATATCATACCTAAATAGGGAGGCGGTAGATATGTCAGTAAGCGGTGCTATGCAATCTGTGGCGAAAAATTAAAACACTTTGCAATCACGCCATAGTAGTCTGTTAGGACCAAGATCCAGCTGCTGAAAGTCTACCTTACAAGCCCAGACAGCTGACCTACCTCAGGCTATCACCTGGTACCTAGTACAGTGCCTGGCAATAAGTCCTGACCCGGTTTTACTGCCATTTGATACCGCTCGTGACAACCCAATCAAAGCTCACTATCCTGCCGGCAAAATATCAATGAGATATAATTTGTATTACACAGGCGGCGTTTAAAGGCGGTCAGAAAACGGATCAGGACTTTTTGCCTCCCACTGTACCTAGGAAGATATGGGCCGGAGTATAGAAGCTCAGTAAAACATCCTTAATATTACCATTCTTACCTAGGGCGGATAACCTAGGTAAATACATACAGGTACATAAGGTACCAGCCCAGGTACTATGTACTCTATAGGTATGTTGCGTTACTTAACTAGGTAGACGGGCAGGTAGCCCTGGCTGGTAACCTCTCCTGACCCAATTTAGGTACTGCTATATGAGACATGGAACTCAATTACTAGCCTGCCGGCAGAAACATTACCTAATAAGGTGTGTAATGGCGGTCAGAAATCGGGTCATTGGGCTTTTTGCCTCCCACTTTCCAACATATATCTCGGTAACTAACTACCTACCTTACCTACAGTGAGGTGTAATGTGTTTTCACCCACCTTTTCTGCCCCCCGTGACCGCGTTGGATAAACCAATGATATATCACCGTTCTGCCGGACTAAACTCATCAGCCATTCATCTCAATAGTTCATTAGGCGGTCGGAGAGGCGGTCCGGTATGGGGGGTGGTTTTGAAAACTCATGGCGTCCCACTGTAGTAGCCCCGTGCAGATAGGTAATTTTGTACTCCACGTGGGTACTGCGACGTGACAATACATAATCCCGAGAGCGGTGGAGAACGGAAGAAAAGGGCAAAAAAAAAAAAAAAGCTCATTCAACAATTCTCCGCCTTCAAAATCTAGATCATCATATCAATAAAATTGAGAGCAGCTTTGTTGCAAAACTCCTGGCTGTAAAATTCCCAATTTTTGAGTGGAGTTGTCAGCTATCGAAGAATCGCAGGCAAGATGCCTTCTTATGATGAGGAGACTTTTGATTTACCTCTGGCAAAAAGGCAAAAACGTCTTGTAGATGAGAAGAGTCCAAAGCGACCACAGGCCACCGGGTCCAAAGTCTTCTCCCCTTTTCGAGTATGTTGAGAAAAGCATTCATATGACAGATTTGATTCCCTACTAACTTCATATTGCCAGACCTTAGGCCTAGTATCTTCTACGGCAGTCCCATTTACCTGCGTCCGTTTGGGGAAAGCTACAATACAGATTACAACGTCTGTAGGGCGTTCTTTACAGACTTATGATTTACGACGAGGTCTGAGTTTGATATTCGTCAGCCGGCCCCAGACGCCAGAGATAATCACCGCTACCTACGCATGGCAGGATAAAGTGTTTGCTGCCTGGGGAAACCTCCAACCTGGGACACAAGGGGGCATTTGGGTCTTCAAACGTGGCAAGATAATTGCTTCTCTAGAGACACCGCCAAGTCTTGTTGAACCCATTGAACGATTGCTCGTTTTCGGCACGTGGATTGTCGGCTGCTGCAAAAAGAGCATAGAAGTATGGAAAACTTCATCTTATGAACACTACACTACCTTGATTCCTCAGTGCCCCGGTGAACACATCTACACTGGTCAGATGTGCAATCTGCCAACATATCTTAATAAAATATTTGTTGGGAGATCCGATGGGAGCGTTGACATCTGGAATCTTAGAACCGGGAAATTTCTATATTCAATCCTTCCCGCATCTACAAATCATGGGCCTGTCACTGCTCTTCAACCTACTCCAGTTTTGTCACTCCTGGCAATTGCTCACAAAAATGGTGCACTGTCAATCCAGAATGTTGAAACAGATCAGCTTGTCTTATGCTTGAGAACAGCCTCAACAGAAGCCGCAACGACCACATCGATCGCGTTTCGAAGTGATAACCTAGGCGCGGGCGAGGACGGCAGAAAATCTGGCGTTATGGCAACAGCATGTTTGGACAGCGGCGATATTACAATGTGGGATTTGAACAACGGGGGGCGGGTAGCCGGTATTCTGCGCAAAGCACATAGAGTATCTGAAAATGAAGCAGGATCGGGAATAAACCACATTGAATTCCTGGATGGACAGCCTTTGCTCGTTTCGTCTGGGAAAGACAACTCTCTCAGAACGTGGATCTTCGATGAGACACCTTTTTCCCCGATTCCCAGGCCCCTTCATTCAAGGAGTGGTCACTCTGCTGCAGTCACTGCTCTAGGTTTCTTGCCTGCTTCTTCAGATGGTTCGGAATTCAGTGGAAAATGGTTATTGAGTGCAAGCAAGGATTGCAGTTTATGGGGTTTCAGCTTACGAAAAGATAGCCAGAATACTGAGCTTTCACAAGGGAGTATGGAAAATAAAGCAAAGAAAATGGGTGGTAACACGGGCGGAGGTACAAACATTGGGACACTGAACGATCTAAAGGCGCCAGAGATAACATGCATTGCCTGTTCTCTCAACCGCGATGGAGGAATGGGCATTACGACTTCGGGTTCTATTTGGGCAAATCCAAGATTTACGAATACAGACGCCTCCAATACAACTGGCTGGGAAAGTATAGTAACCGGTCATCGTGGAGATAAATATGCCCGCACCTGGTTTTGGGGTAAGAAGAAGGCCGGCCGCTGGGTGTTTGAAAGCGGCGACGGAACTGATGTAAAGGTATGTTCAGACTTGGGACATCCAGTATCACCCAGCATGGTACATCTTGCTAATATATATATATATATTATTATTTTTTTAGAGTGTGGCCATTTCACAGTGCGGGACGTTCGCTTTCATCGGGTCAGCAGGGGGCAGCATTGATATGTTCAACCTGCAATCTGGCTCACACAGACAGAGCTTTCCCGCTCGCCCACTCAAGCCGTATGATAGGAGGAAAACTGAGGAGGCAAAGCACACGAAAGCAGTTACTGGTTTAATGGTCGATGGGCTGAACCAGACAGTCATCAGTTGTGGACTTGACGGGAAAGTCAAGGTAAGGTTTTCAAACAAATTCTTATCATAGATCGGTGTTGATTTGCTTTCATGACTCTAGTTTTGGGATTTTATCTCTGGGACACTCATCGATGAGCTCAATTGGCATCCAATGGCCGCCATTACTGGACTTCGATACAGTAGCGCGAGCGAGTTGGTCGCCTTCAGTTGCGATGATCTTTCGATTCGTGTCGTTGACATTGAAACGAGAAAGGTTGTCCGAGAGTTCTGGGGATGTGTGGGTCAAGTAAATGACTTCACTTTCTCCAATGACGGCCGGTGGGTTCTTGGTGCTTCCATGGACTCTATTATCCGTGTATGGGATTTGCCAACTGGACACCTCATCGATGTCTTCCATGTTTCTAGCACATGCACCGCATTAGCCATGTCATCAACGGGGGAATTCCTAGCTACCTCCCACGCAGATGGAGTCGGTGTCAATATTTGGACCAACCGGAGCTTATTCATACCTGTGTCGACAAAAAATATGGATGAGAATGACATTCCAAATATTCATACACCTACAATGTCTAGTGAATGTGGAGTGGGACTGATCGATGCTGCATTCTCAGAAGAGCATATGCAGGATGAGGCAGAAGGTCCAGTTCTCTCAACAGAGCAACTGAGTCAAGATATGGTGACATTGAGCATTATCCCCAAAAGTAAATGGCAGACTTTACTTCACTTGGATATGATCAAGGTATTATTACCGTCTTTTCCTTTACATGCGTTTCTAACAGTAAATTAGGAACGCAATAGGCCAAAGGATGCACCAAAAACGCCCAAAAACGCCCCATTCTTTTTACCTTCTCCTTCCGAAGGAGCAAGTGCTCATGAAAACATTGGTATTGAGCCAATAGTTGAGAGTACTGCCGCCGAGCGTTCACGAATCACCAAGATGCAAAATTCAAGCGGTGGGAGTCCTATAGGGTCTCGCTTCACGTGTCTCTTACAATCGGGCTGCCAAACTGGCGACTTCGATCCATTTATCGAATATCTCAAATCGCTGTCCCCAGCAAAGGCTGATCTTGAAATAAGATCCCTGGATCCACGAGTGCAAGAAGGAAGCTCTGAATTGTCTGTTTTCATCGTTGCATTAACAAGCCGCTTACGACTGAAAAAGGATTTTGAGCTTGTTAATGCTTGGATGGCAGTACTATTGAAGATACACGCTGATACTTTGGGGAATTGCTCTGAAGAGAATACAGGTGAACACAATATATTAAGGGATGCTCTTATTATTTGGAGTCAAGAGCAACAGACAGAGAGCAAACGCTTGGCTGGGCTTGTGGGATATTGTCGCGGTGTGGTGGGATTTTTAAGGTCATCACGCTAAAATCCAGCCGGAGCCATCGTAAAGGTTGATTAAGATTAACTGCTGCTTTGTCTACGTAGTTTTATTTACAGATAGGACAACAAACATGCCCCTGTTTTGGTACTTAGTATGGATTATGATATTAAAGTGAAATAAATAGAATCAGCTCTATGATATAAATTTCAAAGTCTGATTCAATGAATATTACAAATCAAGCTGCTTGGTATAATAATAATACTGGTCATAGGGGATCTTTCACTTAGAGTTTCTGCTTTTGCTAACAATGATACTATGCCTTCATTCTGCATCAACATGATTTTAGCTAGTGACTGTGTGTTTTGCAAGTGAAACTTGCTCTTTGGCCATTCTTCTCAAAGGAGAATTGCAATGTGCTAGTTTATTTGATAGACAGCCGTTGTTTTCAAAGTAGGAAGCTGGATCTATTCCTTGAGCCGGCTTTCCAGTGGGCTTATTCCGATCCGAGGAGTTCAAACATGTTAGAAACTGCCCTTTGAGAACCACCAGCTAGGCATTGAGAAGCTGGGCTGGTAATATCTCTTCGTGGTGGATCTAGCTGTTCCACTGCCTCCGCTTCCTGGTCTGGTTTGATACAAAAGCAAGCGTCGTGTTCAAACATGCGAAAGAACTTATCCACAAAATCACTTACAGATGCGGGAGTTTGGAATTGCCGTACCATCTCTCGTATCGATCCCATTATGATGTGCAATGGCGGAAGCCCAGCCAGTGTGGATATCATTTCTGCCACAAGACCTTCAACGGGCACAGAAAGCTCCAGGAACTGCTTGAGGATTCTCAGCGAGTATAGCACTGCTTGAGCCTGCGCAAAGAGATGGATATCCGTCCATTCCAGTCTCTCTCCCATATAGCCCAACCTAAGAAATCGACTCAACTGTCCGGCATCAGGGATTATGGTAGCCCTAGATTCTCGGCCATATACCTCACAAAGAGCAAACATTCTCCAGTAACTTGAAGAGGTGGGTTCACCGTTAAAAGCAAATTGCGCTGACTTTAAGCGTTCATGGAGTGCTTCTAACTCTGCTGAGATCCATTCATTGTTTCCAAGATCTATCACATCTGCTGATATTCTCTGACCTCGCCGAACATATTCATCAATGGAGGCAAATCTTTCAGAAGTCGGGCGAGATGCATTGAGAACTGAATACCCAAGGCACCTATACAAACGCCCTTCCCCCCATGCACTTCGCCTTGAATGATCTTCATTCAATATTGGAAGATACATTTTGGGGGTCATCCCCAACGTATGAGTATCGCGAAATTCATACTGACAGAAGAGTTCCGATACCCTGGGATCAAAGTGCTGAAAGATAGGCTGGCTAAGATTCCTCATCAAGTGGCAACTGGGGCTGTACTCGTACTCCTCGGCAAATAGACAATAATCGGTTCTAGATTCGAATGTCTGGCATGTATTTTTTGACCGTTCTATTAGCTCTGAGAAACCTAGACGTGTGTGGTTCTTCAATTCATAGGCAAACTGCTGGAGATTTGCAACTCCCAGTCGAGAGGCGAGTGAGGTAGGACACAATCTCACGGCGTTGAGTCGCGACTTTTCTGGATGGAGAATATCCCACTGAATCATCTCAACTGAGTTCAGAAACAACACGGAGCCATGAGTTCCAAGGTCGTAGAGGAGAAGGTCCGAGTCGTTTGTCAGCACAGCACAGCCTGTGAGCTTTGCTGTATAAGCACACTCAACATCGGCTTCACCAGGTACCATAATAGTAATTCCAGCCCAGGGAAATTCGTCAAGGTCAATAGACGGTAAATGAAGAGCACCTTGGGTTGCCTTCATGATACTTTCTTTGTTCCATCGATTTTTTAAGTCTTCAAACACAGCGGAGACCATAAAGGGATTATCGGGAAGATCATTGTATTTAGAATACAAGTTCCGGCTCTGCAGGACCTTTTGAGGGTCGATCGCGCGGGTTTTCGTTGTGCCTTCAAATGCGGGAAACCCCTGTTGTGTTTTGAAGCGAAACAATTCGAGCCTTCTCCTTGATTTTTCCAGCCGTTGAAGTCGTGTCTCCCTCTTTAAAACAGGCAAAGCCCCGTCGAAGTATATTTTGTTTCTAGTGCAAATCAGTGTCCCATCGGCTATCTATCGCTGAACTACTTATCTTTACATTTTTACACCAAGAAGTGTTAACTCTAGAAGATACATCATAACCCCAAGACTCACTTCATGACACGTTGGCTGCGCTTCGAATAGATCCATCCTAGGATCATTCCAGGATAGCAGTCGCATAAACACATGGTAGACCAAACCCGGGCCATCGATTACAACAGACTGTATATGTGTAATTCCCTCCTCTTGCCTTTCTTGTAGTGTCACTGGTTCGGCAAATGGGAGTAAATGTCGTGTCAAATATGGTATACCCATGATTATCTTTATCGAATACCTTGGTCCAGTTATTGTGAAATTGGGAGGGATGAAAAAGAAAGGGATCCACTAGTCACTCCGGTAGTTTTGAAAATAATTGTTGTACTTTTGAAAATGCTGTTCCATTACTTCACCACCTCTATGTTACGACCGGTGGCCACATGGTGGCGCTCCCAGCAATATCTTATGTAATCTGCTTAATGACATGCTGAGTTAGCCTACTATATATCATATAACTACACTATAAATATTCTTAATATTAAGTATATTATACCATACCTTAGTAATTAGTCTAATATAATCTACTATACTCTCTATATACCTTATAGGTGTCACACCCTGGGATCTTGCAATGGTACCTAACCTGTAACCTGTGAGTCAAGCCTGGGAAATACTAATCTATGACCCTAATCTAAGGATGTTAACAGTAGATGGGGTGCTCCTATAAGCTATAGTACTTAAGAATATAGTATAGTAGTTAAAGAGAGAAGTAAGGCTAAGAAGTATATATACTTCTTAATTAAGCTTAGAGATATATAAATAAGTGAGTAGAATAACTAGAGTAGTAATAGAATAGTAACTATAAGATAATAACTAATATTAATTATAAAGAACTATCTAAGTATATAAAGTGAGTATCCTTATATATCCTTTTACTAATATACTATTCTATATACTATCTTAATAGTAGTCCTAATAGTAGTTATATACCATATACTATTCCTTAGTAATAGTAGATAGTAGTTAATCACATGAGTGTGGCAGTGTCTATTAGATAGTGGCTATAAAGAGTTATAATAATAGTAAATCATAATTCTCTATAATAAGAATATCCTTTTCCCTTGACCGCCTGATTCTGCCTGATACAGTCACTGATAAAGGTGCCGTAACAATAGGATATATCCTAATAGTTCTAATTACTCTACTTAGTAGATTATCTAGTAGAATATAGTATAAACTCCTTAAGATGTCTAATAACTATTATAATAACTTTAATTATCCTCTAAACCCCTTTAAGGCTATAGACTTATAGGAGGCTAATAATAAAAATATTAATAATATCTATTAAATAAGCTAGCCTACTATAAAGGAACTCCTTATAATATCTAAAGATTAGGATATAGATATTAATTAAGCTATAAATAATAATAAACTATACCCTTAATTATAATTAATAATAATAATAATAATAATAATAATAATAATAGAATAAAGCCTTCTCTATACCTAGTAAATATTAACCTATTCTTAGGTAGGAATATATACTAACTATAAGATTTTATAAACTAATTTAGAGTATATTTTATATAATTCTGAGACTAGTTTACTACTAATAAGTAATAAAAGGTAATCTATAATATTAATTACCTTAATTTAAACTACTTTATAAAGTAGGACTAAGAAATAAATAGCTAAATCATTAAATATAGCTAGTAAGAATTCAAGGATTTCTACTAGAACTTCTTTACTATATTAGAGAACTAACTACTATACTAATATATAAAGGAATAAAGAAAGTAATACCTATTTATAAAAGTCTCCTAATTATATAATATAAGGTATAAAAGTCTAATATAAATCTTAAAAACTTAAATAAGTATTTAATATACTTATAGTTTTTTAAGGATAGCCTATCTAAGTACTAATAAAAGTTATATATTAATAAGAAGGGTAAATACCCCTTTAAAAAGGAAGAATAAGATAAACCTTAAAAAGTTATAAAAGATAGCTTATAAAGAATATAAAGATCTTATTCTAAATTAAATAAATATAAATATAGCTTAAATTTATTATAAAATTCAAATAGACTCCTCTATTATAGATATAAATAGTATAGTTATATAATATCTAACTATTAATTATTATACTTATATAATTAGACCCCTATATCTAGAGCTAATATAGACTTTTTAAAGAAATAAGAGATCTAGTATTTAGAGCTATAGTAGTACTAGATCTGAAGGAAGAACCTTATAATAAATAAATAATATTTAATATTATTATTAATATTCTTATAAGTGTAAAAGCTATATCTACTCTTCTAGATTATAGTAATAAATCTAGTTTTATTACCTAATACTAAGTAAAAGAGTATTTAACTAATATAGATAGCCTAGTATATCCTATTTAAGCTATTAATAGCTATATTATAAACTTATATAATAGTTATAAACTTAAAATTACTATTACTAATAATAATAATAGTATAATATAGGATTAAGACCTTTAAAATAATTAATATAATATTTTATAATATTATTCTTAGCTTTTTCTAATTTAAAGCTATTAGTCCTAATATATATTAATTAAAATATAAGTAGTATTACTATATTAAGAATAATAAGAATTAGATTAAGATTCTCTTACTATAATAAAAGAACAAAATTGTATTAAGTATATTAAGTATTACTTTAGAATAAAGAATTCTATAGATATATTAAGCTATTATCTAGATTATATATATACTAAATAAAGGTAAGGAACTTAAGAATTCTATATTATTGATACTTTAAATAAAGCTATAGTATAATATAAACTAAGATATTATACTTTAAGGACCTTATAGAATTAATAACTAAATTAGTATATAAAATATAGGATATTAATGAGTTTTCTATTAATATATAGTCTTATATTATATCTTAAGACCTTATAATACTAAGTAATTTACCCTAGAGTATACCTAGTAATAGATTATTTAAATTTAATAGTTATACCTTTATCCTAAGATCTTTAGCTATTATATATAAGATAATAAAGATTAATTATAATAATCTATAGGGAGGATATCTTTAAGAGTAATATATCTTAAAAAGTATTTAATAATAGTACTATTACTATAGTATATAATATAATATCTAAAACTATATTTAAAAGTACTAGAAGTATTAATATATTATTATATATTAGTATAAACTATATAGACTTCTTAAACTATTATTACTACTTATATATCTACTAGATTAAATAAGCTTAGACTTTACTATAGACTTATTACTATATAAGTAATAAGGAATTATCTATAATATAATCCTTATTATAGTTAATATATTTACTAAGTTTATATAGCATATCCTAACTAGGAAGGATCTTAAGATATAAAAGCTTATTAAGTTATTTTATAAATGTATTTATAGTCCTATTAATATACTTAATAACCTTATAAGTAATAGAGGCTCCCTTTTTATTAATAACTATTAGTCTATACTATATTACTTCCTAATAATTAAATATTAATTATTAACCTTCTTTTATCTATAGACTAATAATTAGACTAAGTATTAAAAACTAAATATTAGAGTACTTTCTTTATATATATATATATATATATAAATTAGTACTAAGATAACTAGGTATAATAGCTATTAATAGTATAGAATACCTATATTAACTCCTTATATAGTATTATTAATATAACTCCTAATAAGGTACTTATAGACTTTTAAGATAAACTTTAAGATTAATATTAAAACTATTATTAAGGATATTAAACTAGATATAATAAAAAGAGTTAAAGACCTTTAAATTATATACTTCTTTTTATAGGAATATCTTTATTAAGGTAAGGAAGCTATAAAAAGATTATATAATAAGTACCTTAAATATACCTTTGAGATTATTAACTAGATTATAGTTTATATAAAAAATATTAATGAAAAAAAAAAAAAAAAAACTCTTTCTGCATGAATCAAATTTTTATAATTTCATAATAACTATTAGGCTAGATCTAGCTTAGAATTTATTTAACTATATTTAACTCCAGCTGCTACTAGTAGAGACTAATTTCATTAGGATTACTAGTAGTAATAGTAGAAAATAAGGAAATAACTCCTCTTAATAGTATGGACTACTACTATAGTAGCTTTAAAAGGACTATAATGTTACTTTACTGGTATAGAGGATATATAAAATAGTATATAGTAAATATATTAGTATATAAAGAGCTATAAAAATAAGCTTCTCTAGAATATAGAGCTATTATTAAGTTTTATCTAGGGGGTAGAGACTGTATAATAATTATCTAGAGTAAAAGTAGATATAAAAAATCTAATTCCTTAATAAATATTTATAAGGTACCTAAAGAAAATCTATAATAATATTATATATCTTAAATAAAGGATTTAAATTATTAGTTTTAACTAAAATTACTAATTTAGTAGCCTAGTAGAAGGATTTCTAGGCCTAGAATTAATAATAAGGCTTATAGAATATAGCTTTATTATCTTAAGGGACTATAAGTAAGTACCTTTACCCTAGGGATACTATATACTAAATTAGGTATTAATAGTAAGATTATAATAAAGGTCTATAATAAGGTAGTATAGGATAAGCTTTATTAATAAACTCTAGCTAAGATTATTAAATAGGTTAAATAGGCCTAGGTAGTGTGTCACACGAGTCGAGTTTACTCATGAGTAATGAGTAGAGTTCGAGTAATGAGGCGAGTTTGAGTTGAGATTCAGGACTCGTAATATGAGTTAAGTTAAGATTTAGGACTCATACTATAAGTTTGAGCTCTAAATATTTTAAAACTCTACTTGTAATACCAAAAATACACCTATTTTATATGGGGGAGGCTTAAAAATACAGTAAAATACAGTAAAATACAGTAAAATACAGTAAAGATATAGACTCTTACTCTACTCTTACTCTTCTTAGCATGAGTTCAAGTCCTAAACCCTAACTCTACTCATGAGTTTGAGTCCTACCTTCTAACTCAACTCGCGAGTTGAGTCCTAAATCTCTACTCAAACTTGACTCGTGTGACACGCTAGGCCTAGGGTATAGTAGCTAAGAAGACTAGTAATTCCCCCCCCCCCCCCTTTATAATATTAGGATTTATGACTATATATTAGCTACTATCTAAAGACATTATTCTTTAAGCCTATAATATTATAAGGGTAGAGGTCCTCTAAAATTATATTAATAAGTAGGTAAAGGTATTTAGTACTAGTATATATATCTAAATACTTATCTAAGGGTCTATTACCTATAGAGTCTTAATCTAGGATAGAAATCTTATAATAGAAAATATAACTAATATTACTATATATTTAGTAGCTATAAATTAGTATACTTAAGGTAAAGACACTAAAATCCTCTATATAGGGTAGCTAGTAAGGCCC